GTGCCGCGGAGGCCGGGCTCGAAAACAACGGGCGCGTTGGGGCCGATGAGCATGGCAACGCAGCCAGCACCACCGGTGGGGCGGGCATTGCCCTTCTTGTAGAGGGCGATGTCGCCAGCGACGACGATGGCGTCGCGGCCGTCCCAAGCCGAGGACTCGACCCAGTTGAGGGTGTTGAAGACGGCGTTGGTGCCGCCGTAGCAGGCGTTCACGGTGTCAACGCCCTCGATGTTGGTGTTGCCCGAGTCGGCAAACAACTGCATGAGCACCGACTTGACCGACTTGGACTTGTCGAGGAGCGTCTCAGTGCCGACCTCGAGGCGGCCGATGTTCTTGGGGTCGACATTGTACTTCTTGAGCAGCGAGGAAACGGTGGTGAGGGCCAGCGAGTAGATGTCTGGTACGCTATGCGGTTAACACTGCGAACGGACGTGGCTGCACGCGGGGCGGCGCATACCTTCCCGGTCGTCGCAGAAGCTCATCTTGGTCTGGCCGAGGCCGATAGTGTACTTCCCCTGGCCGACGCCATCGAACTTCTCGAGCTCGGCCTGGTCGACGCACTGGGCGGGGAAATAGAGCTCGACGGCCTTGATGCCAATGTTCTGGGGAGCCATTGTGACGGGCGGGCGTGCAGATGGGGGCGACTGAGGGTACGGGAGGAGAGCGAGCGGAGGGCGAAGGTGGTTGAGGGCGGCGACGTGGAAAGCTCAACGGTCCCTGTTGATATTCTTTCATGACGGCCCCTGTAAGGTGAAATTGGACTAGACGCAAAGCAGCCTAGATTAAGCGTGATAAGCTTATCAGCCACACCGCTCCACGCAACAACTGGCCGGCACATCTGGCTCGGTGAGCCCTCTGGGCCTCTCACCCCAGCCTGCTGTGCCCGGCCTGCACACGCAGGCTGCCTGCCGGCGAGGATAAATGCAGGCACCCGCCTTGCGCCGACCCTGCGGTCACCGCACTTGCTGCTGCCTGCGCGGAATGGCCTCAGCCTCGCAGGCACAGCCTTCGCTTGCGCATCCCTCGCCCACGGCCCTCATTTGCCCCAACCCGCCGGCCTGCCCAGTGGCGTCGCGCCGCTCCCCGCGCCATCATACGACCCAGCGCCCGCTATCGGGAAAAAGATCTAATCAGTTCCAAGCAGTTGGCGCGCAGTTGTGTGCGCGACCCGTAGACCCACCACTCTCCACGCCACCACGCACTTTTTACGTGAACGTTCCATCACCACGGCATCTTGCGGACCAGCCCGCCGCCGTTGCCGTTCGCTGTCCCTTACTTCCCCGAGAGGCTCGGTCCTGCCCGATCCTGGTGCATCTTATCTCCGATCAGCTTTCGTCTGCCTAGCCTACCACTGTCTCCATCCGGCCCTGCTTTTTGCTGTTTGAAGTCTTGGACCACCGCCCTAGCATACGCCTCTCCCTCTCTGTGGCCACTCAGCTCACTCGAGTCTCGCTTCAGCTGGCCCTTGTCTCATGCAACCGTCGGCCCTATTGATTACCAATTGTCATATTTTATTCCTCCCTACCTTTTTCTCTCCCACCCCGCGGGCGGTTTCTGGAGCAGCCCTACTTCCGACTGCGGTCTGCCGACGCCGATCTCGCCGTGCAGGCATATGGCTTCATGCAGACTGACCACATAAGCTTGCCCTCTGGTCCGTACGCGCGTCTGGCGACGAGAAAATATTTCAGGCCGGCAACCCATAGTCCAGTCGTCTGCTGGGTCCCTTCGACGCCACCATTTTCAAGAGCCTCCAACACGTTTCGACTTGTCCATGATCTCGCTTCAGAAAACGGCAGAAGCTCATGTCCTTTTCGAATGGAACCTAAAAAGATATCGCGGCAAGTGACGCCGAAACAGGGAGCTGCAGCCGAGAGCTGAATGTGTTTGCGTATCTTTGGCCCCATACAGCTGATTCGAAATTCTGCCTCAGCATCCTGCCAAGGTCGATGCTCGTATCTTACGGAGAGCCTACAAGTGTGGTCTTGTCCTTAGCTCACCGACTTGAGGTCTGTATTGGGGGCTGTCCACGCGTGTCTGGTGATCCTGACTGACTCGCAGGCAGCTTTTTCTCCAATGTCCCGCCTACCCATTTTTTTCCTGCTGACCACGAAAGCAGCGATTGGCAGGCACAACACATTTCCAATCTGTCAACGCTATCTCCCAGATCGATCTGCAAGCCCATGACGACATAGTCTGATCGACGGCATCAGAAATCCTGGGGGCTTTCTGCCTTGAATCACTTGGAGGCGGCCAATCCACTGTATGTCAGCATGTACTCGGTAACCGTATGGCCTCAGTTGGTATCCGTGCATTGGGCGTGCTCGGGTCTTTTCGAAAGGCAAGCTTTTCATATGGGCGAAAAGCTGGTTCGTACTATTTGAATTTGCACGTTTCCATGTTGACAACCTACGGGTATTTGGTCACTACCACGTTACGGCATTGTTTCTCAACACACCTGGCGCCTGGTAGATCATCAAAGACTTATGCTTCCATTTTCGCCCGGAGAGGTATCCCTCATTGATGTAATCAGCTGAAGCGCTCATCCTATCACAGAAGCATCGGAAATCACACAACAATACTCAAACGAAGATCTCAACTGCTTATGGCCGGCATGATGTCTGATGAGAAAGAGCCGAGCAGAGCAGACACCTTCTGCACCCACTGTGAACGGTTCTAGTCTTCCGATGCCATCAGCTGTTGAGACAGGAGGCTGTCCCCCATAGGCTGGACCGTAACAAGTAGGTTCAAGTCCGGGATGCAAGCTCTCAGGGATCAATCAGAGCCCTTGCTCTTCCTCATGCTCCTGCAGTATTCGACTCAAAGCGAACAAGACGGCTGCGGTTCTGCGTTTCATTTCCAGACCTCGCGAATGCTGTCAGGTCGAATTAAACATGCCTGTCCGACATCGGGCAGGCCTTTGATTTGCATTTAGTGCAACCATCCCGCAGCGGAGCTTACAGTGGAAACAATGACAGGGTCCAGTGTAACGTTGAGCAGAAGTTCATGCCAAATCTGCAGGAACACTACAATGTTTGTTTACAGTTTGGACGCGATAACTCACAATCTCAATGACAGGCAAGCAGGTCTTCCCCCAGTTCATCGATGACCGGCTTTCGCGACCGACTTAACCCTGTTGCTGACCCACAGTCAAGCAAAAGATGGGGATGAGATGACTTGCGGCGTTTGGTGCGTATCTTGCCGACGTCCCGAACAAGGTGACCATGGCATTGAAGGCCAAACAAGGCCAGGTGCAGCATTGGTGGGTGGATTGTGGGACCTGGTTCCTCGTTCGGACCGGACTGTGGAGGGGCTCGTTTTTCGTATCCAAGTGCGCCCACCGACCAGTCGCAATTTACAGCAGCGGCACTCATCCGCATTGGCTCTCACAGACTCTTCTGCATCGCCCGAGCAGCAGTCACAGACGCTCCAATTTGAGCGCAAACTATTGTGTCTCGGGCACTGACAGGACGATCTCGGCGCTCAGACCGTCTTCCCGGAGCTCTGGCTGGGATCCCAGCCTTTTGCGCTCGCCGAAGGACTGGAGCGTCATTTCCACCCATTCCATACAAAGCACGCCAGTCAGATGGTTCAACGTTTTCCATGCATGTCCGTTCAGAGTTTGCGGGACGGCAAGACCCAAGCGGATACGAGGTTCGTCCAGGGCAGATGTTCTGTTGGAACTGTTCCGGCTCGAGTTTCGCGACGAGCGCTTGGTCCCTCGGAGATCAGAACGGGCCACTTCATAGTGACGAGAGGGGCGTCTCCACCTCCCGAGGCGAGTGCGGCCGCGAGAGGCGCCGGCACCGGCCAGCCCATAACACGCTGGAGGGCTGGTTATTAAACCGAGTGTGGCTGAAAATAGTTGTTTTGCGGCTGAGCAGCAGGCAGTAGTGATCTCATCGTCAACACCACGAGCAGGCCTCGAGTATTCGACGGAAGGGGCAGCGGTGGCGCTTTGTGACAGGGAGCACTAGCAGCCCCGGCACGTGACCGCAGCGTTTCAGACTCGCGCGTCAGAGTCAGCTCGAGTGTCGCAGCGCAGGTACGGCGGTTACACCAAGCAGCACGCGGCCGGGCGTGCAGAGCGTGCAGAGCGTGCAGAGCGACCGGCAGTTGCAGAGCAGAGGGTATCGTCAGCACCCTATTCCACGCGCTGCTTAGGCGCTGATCGGCGGGCGCAGCAGCGCAGAGGGCCGACCCAATCGAGACGGGTCGGCGGCGAGAGATGCTGACAGGAGCAAGGGGACGCTAAAATCAAGGTTAATCCTGCCGGTGTCTGGCCGCCAGAAAAGCAGGGACAGCGCGCTGTTGTCTGCTGCCAGCGAGGGGCGTGAGGAGTGGCCGGCAGGACGGCAGGACGGCAGGACGGCAGGTCGCATCCCTCAAACCCGCCATGCCACACACGCGAGGTGTCAGTAGTGTCAGCCCGCGCCGTGCAACCGTCGGTGGCGCCGGCCCTGGGCGGCGGCCGCACGCACATCGCCCGGCCCTGACTAGAAGCCCACACCGCGCCGAGGATACGGCCGCGCCCCGGGAGTCGCTCTCGCTGCGTGCTGGGGCGCAACGGGCGTGGTGATGCTGGGCAGCGGCGGCAGAAGGCGCCGGCGGTGCAGTGCAGCCATGGAGTGCTAGCAGCGCTGGCAGCACCGCAGAGCGCCCTCGTGGGCAGCCCCGTTTCGGTATACTCGGCCGGGCTCACTTTTTCTGTCATGCCCGAAACGCATTAGCCTGTAATCATGCGCTTCTGTGCTTCTGCCCAGTGGACCTGGCGTTCCCCGAGCCCATGCCGTCCTGACCACCCGGATCTCTCCACTTCGCGACCACATTCATCAACACCAACACCGCCCTCGCCCCCGTCACGCACTCGCGCCTACCCTGCACGCTAACCCCCGCCCGTCGCTCTCGTCGTCCCCCGCCCACGACCCTCCCGAACCGCACAATTCGATCCATCACGGCGCCCTCACGCCCCCGATAAGGAGGCGACTCGCTTGCCGGGCGCAATGGACGGACGCCAGCCGCCGCCCAGCGACGACCACGCGACGCCCTCCAATTCCGGGAACCCCAACATCTTCGACGACGAATATGCCCTCGAACGCGACCAGGACCCGGAGTTTGGCATGGGAGTAGCGGATGGATTCCGGCCTGGAAACGATCGTGGAAGCGGCATAGCGAGCAATTCGGCCACTGCACTCGACCACAGGACTTCGATACGGTCGTCAGTACGTCACTCCATCTCGGAAAATTTCCCACTGGACACCAAGGGCCCCCCGGCCGTCTCTCAGCAGCGCAACAGCATATCCAAGGGCGGCCATGCGGCACGAGGATCTTTCACCATGGCCCAAGACGGCCCTAATTCTCAGACTCCCGAACGAAACAGCACATCTTCCCCGGCCCCTCGCCTGCCCCAGCTATCGCACCGCATCTCCATTGCATCTACATCATCCTTCGCGACCGAACATGCGTCGCAGAGTGGTTTTGCAGCAGGAAACTCTGGCCCCAGCCACCCCTATGGCATGTACCCTCAGGGCACTGGTCTTGCCCGCTCATCCAGCGTCACGACAACCTCCACCGTTCAGGGACCCCAACGAGCCATGTCGCAACACGGCCCCGCGCATCCGTACGCAATGTACCCCCAAAATGTCTTCGACGACCCCGATGAGATCCGGCCGGCACCCGTGCAAAACCAGATTCCAGTTGGCTTTCCCGGACTCGGCCAAGGTTTTCACAGGCAAATTGGACCCGACGGCGAAGAGCAGGATATCATCGGGCCTGACGGCCACACGGAGCAATTGCCCCCCTACTCGAGATTCCCGGAGGAGGGTCCGACCAAGGCCTCGCTTATGGCAGTGCCCGAGGAGTTTGATCTCGTGACCGGAACAGAAGCGGGGGTTGCAGCAGGAGCCACTGCAGGAGTCGCGGCAGGGGCCGCAGCCGGTGGTCTTGCGGCTTCGCCCGCTGCAACCCACGGCCCTTCGATGTCTCAAGAAGGGTTACCATCGAGCAACTCTAGTATGATGATGCAACCCATGGCCAACGGGCAGACAACTCCACAGTCGCAAGAGCCCTTGCAGGCACAAGACCGATCTGCCTCGGAGGAAATGCAACCAGACAGTTCCGGAAATCCAAACGACAAAAGTTGGAGTGAGAAGTCATGGCAGGAAAAGCGAAAAACTAGGATCCTGTGGGGAAAGGTGCCACTGTGGGTGTTTATCACCGCCCTCGTCATCATTGTGATATTGGCAGTGATTCTGGGGGTTGTCATTGGCACATTCATGGCCAAGGGACGTATGGACAAGAACAAAGATCGGTAAGTGACCTTGGGCGTGAGTGCCCACATCCCGCGTAATACTGACACTAACAACAGGCCTTCTATGGTCACGGTGGTTAGCACGGAATCATTGTTTGACGCTTCAAGCATTCAAGTGATTCCCACCGGCCTCCCCGCCTTACCCGTGGGCAAGTATGCACTTCCGATTCGCAGCCCTGACGTCTCGAGCAATGAGTGCCTCACGAGCTCGGGGCAGAATGATGCTTGGTCCTGCAACGTGGACGGACCGCCTCTCGAGATCAACGTCAAATCCTACGGAAAAGCCAACTCCTACGCCATGTGGCTTTCGCCCTTGGACAACACCACGGGCGTCAACTACGGAAGTCAAGCACCGAACATCGACCCTCAGGCGCTTAGCCTGGTTACTGACCTTGACAACCCCACTGATGGACCCGCCTGGCACTTCCAGACTTTGTACGACAAGATTGTCATCCTGCGGCCTGAAGATTTCGCGGCTGGTTCAGAGTACGAGAAACGCGATGCGCAGTTCGCGAGTGACCCCTACCCGCCAGATGGCTTCAATATGCCTTCAGGATTCAGATCTCGTCATCAAGTGGTTGCGGGCGACAAGCCTTGGTACTGCATCTGGAACTCGACTTTCATCGAGACGTTCATCTATGTGGAACAGAACACGTCCTCGGCTGTGTCGACAGGCGTGTCCTCGGCTGTGGCCTCAGCAACTAATTACGCGACACCTGCACAGTCGTCGAGTTCGGTACCGACTACGACATATCCCTCGCCGGTCACGGTTGTGTCTACAAATAGTGCGGCCATCGTGACGACTACGCCCACGCCGGTCGAGCGACGCAGTACGCCTGGCGATACCGACAGCAACGACATCCAATGGTACCCACGCATCGTGAAGATTGAAGAACGTCGAACATCTACGAAGGAGCAAGCATACTGTCAACAAATGCAGCTTCTTGATGATGGACGGATGGTCCCGACGTTGAAAGACGGCAAGACGATCGTGGTGACGCTATCGGAGTCAGATCCAGACTACAGTGACTATAAGAGTGGAAGCACCAGCAAACGTTCGAACTCTCTGCACAAGCGAGATGACCCTTCGAATGCTTGCCATTGTCAGTGGTCGTTCATATAGGGCGTTTTGTTTTTGGTTTTTATATTCTTTCTATTTGTTGACACTACGAAAAGAGTTTCGTTCATGTTTTTTTCTTTCATACATGTCCAAGGCATCGGCGCAACGAGGATCACAAGGAAGCACAGGGATGGCATGGCGCTACGGCGGCTTGAAAGTGAAGTTTATTTATCGGTTGGAATGGTGCGATCCTTTCGGAGCACCTGGGATTTCAAAGAGCGAGGGGAGGGTGGGCAACAACACACATACTCCGGGCTGCTAAGACTGGCACGTCGAGCCCACATTTTCTGTCTACTTTTGTCACATTGAGTCGTACATGACGAATAGATGCTCTCAGGTGGGCAGCATGCTCTCCTGTCCCAGCTAAAAGATAGCAACAACACGAGCGGTGACAGGGAGGAACTTGCCGGGCGCTCGCTTGTGACACGGCTCTGCTCTGTTTTCCTCCACAAAAGCGAGCGCATGAGGCTGATCATGGCTGGATGGAGCATAAACAGGCCGGCAGATTCTTTAGCATAAACACACGACCGACGGAGCATATGACGTGTCGACAGCAGGAATGCGATGGCGGGCGCCATGGGCCAAGCCCCGCTAGCGTACCTACAGCCGGATCGGGACAGGCATGCGTGCGGTTGTCGAGAGCCGCAAAAAAGCCACAGGCGCGATAAAGTGCGGCGGCACGGCAGGGGAAAGGAGGGGATGGGTGGTGTTTGGCGGGTTTGGCGTGCTTGTATGTGGGCGGCCGAGCCGGTGTGCGAGGGCGAGTGGGAGCGAGTGGAGAGGGCCCTAAACTTGCGACACTCGCGGGCGGCCTGTCCAATGGGCGCAGGCGCGTGCCGTTGCTCGTGGGAACAACACTTGGCGCTGGGGCGCTGTGAGAGGGCGACCCCGACGGCCGGCGCCAGCAGAGGAGATCGAGCTCCGCTCCCGCCCTCGCCGTGCTGCACGGCGCGCGGAGCCTGCGAGAAGATATACCTACCGCGCATTGCTCACCCGGCCGGCGCGGCGGTGGGTGCTCGTGTACGGCCTGAGACTACCCCGTATCCAACGCTAATTTTAGCCATTTTCGCCTTCCGGGCCCGACGGCGATCTTCCAGCGCTGCAACCCCTGCGGGCCATCCGCCTGGAAGCCTTTCTCTCTTTCGACGCCTTCAGCGCTGCTGCAACCCTCAACGCCTGCCGCCCCTATCCACCGCTCGCGCCCCGTTCGTTGCCCGGCCCTCGATCGCTCCTCAGTCATTCGTTTGGAAGGCCTGGCTCCGTCAACAACCCGCCTCCGCCGCGCCGCAGCTTCTGCCACTGATCACCCAACCTCCCACCGCCTCCACCGCCGACCACACATCGCTCCCAGATCCGCGCCGCCCGCCCCAAAACACAAGACCTTTAATCCCCGAGCCACCCCGCCGGCTCCACGACGCGCCCGCGTCTCCATTGACTTTTTCCCTGCGTCGCCGTGCGCCCGCACCCCGATCCCCACGATGCGTCCCCAACAGCTCGTCGCCGCAGCCCTGACGCTGTCATCCCTTTCGGCCGCCTGGCCATGGCCGCCCAACATGGGCGACATGAAGGAGGTCATGGGCGTCGAGAACCTGTTCAAGCGTGAGAACTGGTTCTACGTCCGCGCAGACGACAGCACCACCACCGAGTGTGAGCTTTCCCTTGATGCGACCGGCAGTGCCGATCTTAAGAACCCACTTAGGCTAACTTTCCGGACCCAGCGGCTGCCAAGACCACCGCCGCCAAAACCGATGCCGCTTCAGACACCAAGTCGGCTTCCGCGTCGGGAAGCGAGAAGACGACGGCCGCCGAAACCGCCTCCAAGACGGGCACCGCCGAAGCAAGCGCTTCCGGCACGAACTCGGGCAAAACCACCGACAAAACGACGGGCACGGGCAAGACGACGGGCACGGCCAAGGCGACCGGCAGCACCAAGACGTCGAAGAAGGGGTCGAAGAGCACGTCGTACGACGCCCGTCTCCCGTCGGGCGGCATCTCGATGATCACGCCGGCGGCGACGGACACGTCGCAGTACTACAAGATCGGCGAGTGGCTGTCGTTCGCGTGGAACTACACGTCGCTGTCGGCGACGCCCTCGGCCATCAACGTGCTGGCCAGCTGCAGCCTGAACTCGCAGACGTACACGCTGGCGAGCAACATGTCGGTGCACGAGACCAACATGGTGTACTGGGACACGGGCGAGTTCCAGAAGACGGCCACCAAGAGCCTGGTGCAGGCGACGTACACGCTCATCGTGTACGATGCCGGCAGCAGTATTTCGGCCACCGCCGCCGCCGGTTACCTCGGCGTTTCGAACACTTTTACCTTTGGCATGTACATCCCGCAGGAATACGTCCCGAGAGCAGGTTAGTTTTGATTCCTCCTTCCATTTCTTTCCCCTTCCCCCTGCCGCCTCAAGTGAATACCAAACACTGATTTTGCCGTCGCTTCGTAGATTGGACTTGCCCTGGCTGCAGCGCCGCTGGTCTCTCCGTCGAGCAGCAGACCATGCACTTCCTGTTCGGCACCTTCGCCATAACCGTCCTCAGTTTCTCCTGGTTCGTCATCGGATTTGGCATCATTTAAACGTGAGTCGGACGACATTGCCGAACGAGTTACTTAGCAGTCATGGGCATCGATCTAGTAGTATCTCTTTACGGTTTTTCCTCCTCCTGACGAGAGCATTGCAACGGGCGTTTTTCTCACTCAACACAAAAAATGGCTTTTCTTTCATCTTTGATATTTTTTTTTATTGGATTTTGAAAGCGCGCAGCAGCGGTGTGGACGCGGCGTGAAGATGCTTGTTCTTCTTCTTTTTCTCCGCCGCAACAGCCGCTGCTTCTCATTACATATTGACGAAAGCCATGCCGTTTAATAGCTCTTTTTTGAGTCCTGTCGTCTTTTTACAACTCCTGTCGTATATATTATATATCTAAACTCTGGAGCTCTCTCTCTATCTCTCTCTATCTCTCTCTCCCCGTTTCAGCGCTGGCTCTCACACTCTCCTTTCAGCCTTATTGTCATTGGGATCATTATAGGTTGGGAATTGTTCTCTCCGTTGTTGTTGTTGTTGTTGTTGTTGTTATTGTTGTGTGTTTCCCGGTGGTGCATGTCGTTTGGGATTTAATGGGGAGGGGGGCGTAAACCTTTTTCTTTTTCGCTCTCTCATTAAAAGGACACATCGAATGGAATGGATGAGTGTGGATGAAAGATGAATGGAATCAGTGTGTGACACATTGGCGGGAGAGATAATTGTAGTGGATGTGGATGTGGACGTGGACGTGAGTAGTCTGTGCGAAGCGATATAATGAAGAATGTGATAAGGAGTTCTTTTTTCTCTGGGATTAGAGGATAGTCAATTGTATGCATTGGCGGTATTGGTACGTATGTATGGTTTCGCACGGAGCTGTGTCTTTTTGCTTTTTGGCTCCCTCCCCATCTCCATCTTGTCACACAGGCCATGGTGATGACGTCTGCTATTGGATGAGCGAGAACGTCATCTGGTGAGAAGCGAGATTCGGATCTCCCATGATTTGCGGCATATCGTGTGGGGATTTGCTGGCTGACTACCGGTAGTTGGTCCGACAGCAAGACTGAGAGGAGAAAGAGTAGAGGGGGACGCGTAATGTGTGTGCTCACCATGCTGCTAGCCTCCTTCACATGGGTACACAAATGCGCACACACACACACACACTCTCTCTCTCTACTTGCTTACTTAGCGACATAACCTGAGGGTGCTTCTACATTGACTAACGTGGCTCGCTAACCGAGCATGCAACGTGCAACAAGCGAGCTTCCGCCCGGTTGCAGTCAAGTAGGTGAGCGAGGAGGCGGCGGATGCTGCGCGCGTAGGCGCGGGGAGCCGAGATGTTGTTGGTTGGCTTATTTGGCTGTTCGACGGCCCCTCCGCATTTCGCTCTCTTCCAACTCGATCCTCCTCCTCGTCGTCCCAACCTCTTCTTCTTTTTCGCCTAGTAGTAAATTCTGAGTGATTCCTGGGGAGAGCCCGTTCCGATGCAAAAAGAGACTGCAAGACGACGAGAGATGGGCACGGCAATCTTCTTTTGCCAACGACGAGATAGACTTTGCTACAGTATGCATAAAGAAATTCCTGTTTGTTGCGACCGACTGGATTGGGGAAAATGAATACGTGATGTTCGAACGTAGGAAAATCGACCAACAGCCCCGGCTGCTGATCTGTTTGGGCGAAGTTCGGGGAAGGGGAGAGAGGTGAGAGGGGAACAGGTGTGGGGAAAATCCTGCAGGATCGGGTGCTTGGTGGGTTGGTTGGTTGAGCCGCTTTTCGTGGCGTTCTTGTCTCTTTCTGAATCCGGGTGCCTGTGCGGATATGGTCCTCTGGGGGATGGTCAGGTACGGTGGGCGGAGTCCGAGGTTCGCGGGTAGGATAGGTTCCAAAAAAAAAAATAGATGCGTGGATTGGAAATAGGAAGTGGAAACAATGAGCGCGTAACCCCCAGGAGCAGTGTCTAACTACCAACGCAAGCAAGGTACACTACTTGAGACCTTCAAAACCCCTCCATGTGCTCAATTTGTGTCCAATTGGAAGTAGGGGATGATGGCGCAGTCGTCGAGGTAGAGGTGGTGGAGGGTGCAGGAGTGGCTGGTCAACCAGTCGAGCTGTAGAGAGAGAGAGAGAGAGAGAGAGAGAGAGAGACGAGTGAGGGTTGGGGAGCAGAGCGAGAGCCACGTTGGGACGAGCTCGGACATGAAGGTATAGAGTCTTGCTTTTGGAGGCGGTCAGTTTGGCGCTTCCCGCTGGAGTGGCGAAGATGGTAGGGATCGGGAAGATGGAACTCTTTTTCAGGAGCTTCTTCGTAGTGTTACGTGACGATATACAAGCGTAGGGAGGTGAGCCGGACATGACATCTTTGAAATGCTTGCTCTTGACTAGCTCTGGATCATTGATGTTTTGAAGGTTTCTGATGGAAACGTCTGGGATGTGGGATGCTGCTGGGTTGGCAAGTGTTCTGAAAACCCGACCAAGAATTGGCTGCCGAAATTCTGGTTTCCGGCCAATTTGAACACTGCACGGAGCCATCCCAATCAGATATTATTCTGTCACTGGTCGCATTCCTTGAAAACCAGAGGGTTGCGCTCTTGAGATTGGGAAACCGACGGAAGCTCCCGAAAGCCTTGCGATATTCATTGCTTAATTCAGCTTGTCTAGAATGCTCTTCTTCCTCCTATCGACCAGGTCAGACCAACGTTGTCTTAGATGGAAGACCCTTTACCGCATCCTCTTGAATCGTGTTTAGGTAAACGTGACGGACAGCCTTGCTCAATTCGGGGCTTTCAAGGAAGATATCATACTTGAACCATGCACATTGCTGGCGAGTACATAGCAGGTTGAAAAGAGAAGGCAACTCACTATAGCATTTGACGAGTATGCAATATAGCGATAATCGTGGTTCAAATTCCTACAAGACAACCACATACCTATACAAGTTCCCATATAATACTCTCTAACCAAAAAAAAAAAAAAAAAGCAAACAAGAAAACCAACCAGCGAAGCGCGCTTGCTGAACCTTTTGTTTTCAAACTGAGAAAAGAACCCGTCATTCATATATATCCAGAACCGCCCGCTTATCGCACAGATCGTAAGGAGATGGATGATGAGACCAAAGCGCAGAACAAAAAGATAAGGAAGAGAAGGGCAACAAAGTACCTGAGAGGAGGAGAAGATGATCGCCAAATTCTTTTTTTCCCCCATGTCCCGCTCCGTTCGTGTTTCCAGCCCAGGCCAGCTGGAGGATGAGCGAGAAAAGGGAGACCAAACGTAGGAAACGCAGAACAATGCCCACACACAGACATTCTGATATCGTAGACGGACGTCGCAAAAAGATCCAGACGAAAAGGTCTTGTAGAAAAGAAAAAAACGAACCCAAAAAAGTGAAAGGGGGGAGGGGTATCACCAACCAACCAACCAACCCAGGTATACAGACAGACGTCAAGAAAGAAGAAATGAAGAAAAGGAAAAAACCCCAACCAAACCTGGAAGCGAAGCGAACTCACCATACCACCTCTTGCCTATCCATCCGTCCACCATCACTCATAAATCATTAGAGTTTTGAAAAGAAAAAGAAAAAGAAGAGACACAAACCCGACGTCCCCTCTCACCGTCATCAATACGCCGCCACACCCACCATGCCCGCTCCCGCCCCCGACGCCGCTCTCGCCGCCGCTCTCCCCTCCACCTCCGCCGGGTCGTTCTCCACATAATTCAACCACATGCCGACCCGCCCCATCCCGCTCCTCGCCGGATCGCCCAAGCCGGCCATGACGGACGCTTCTACAGCAGCAGACGGACGCTGCTGCTGGCGCGCGTACTGGTATTGATATTGAGTCGTCATGTTATTGCCACCCATCGTCGTGGTCACCGTGATCGGCTCGGCTGTAGCTGCGTACCGGCCGCTCGTATCAGCTGGTGGTGGCGGAGGCTCTCTGCGCGAGAAGTTACGCGTGATGGTGCTGCGCGTAGTGTTGCTACGCCTGACGGCAGCAGTCGCACCGCTGCGAGGCGGCGGCGCTTGCTGCTGCTGCTGCCGCGACGCTGCCACCGCCGCGGCGCCCGGGAGGCCGAAATCGTTCATGTGGTGACCAGACGCGTTGCCGACGCCCATGACCTCGATCTCGAGTTCGGGAGAGTCGTAGCGGGATGGCGGCACAACAACAGGCGCCGTCCGATTGCGGTGATGGTGGTGGTGTCGGCGGTGGCTCCCGCCGCCTCCGCCGGAGCGGCTGAGGCTGCCGCCGCGGATGCTGCCAGTGCGGCCGGGAGCGTCGGCGGCGTCGGCGAGAAATTCGGATTGCAAACGCCGGGCTAGCATCTCGTCTTCGCGCTCGCGCTCGCGCTCGCGCTCGTGCTCGAGGTCGCGGTCGCGGTCGGGGGCGTAGAAGGTGCGGGCGGTGCGAGAAGTAGCGGGGCGGGTGTCTTCCGGGGCGTAGACGGGGTAATTCAGGCGGGGGGCGGGGACGGCGTACTGTTCGGGACGGGTAGGGTTCTGAAGCGGGCGCGGGGGAGGGGGGGCGTGGATGGCGTCGGGGCGGTCGCGCTCGACGACGACGTAAGGTTCGGCGACGCGCATGTTCTGCAGGCGGTCGTCGTCGTCGAGGTGTTGGTAGTTGAACCACGGGCACTCGCACGTCTTCCAGCGCGCGCCGCACAGCATGCAGAACTGCGCAGTGCACCGGCACGTCATGTGGTTGCAGCCCTCCTTCAGCTCGACCATGGCCTTGCAGTTGTAACACTTCTGCCACCCAGACTCTTTGGCCATCTCGGCGAAGGCGTGGGCTTCCTCGTCATCGTCTTTGGGGCACTCTTTGCGTAGGTGCCAGCGGTTGTTGCATTTCACGCAGACCTTGACGCGGCAGCGGGGGCATTTGCCGTACTTGCGGCCAACGGTGGCGTCCATGCGAATGTGCGATGGCTTGATCCACTCTCCGCATCCTCGGGTCGGGCAGTATACTCGGTTCTTTGCGGTGTATTCCTGGTACTTTTTATTCCAGAGAACCTTGAATTTGGTATCGAAGAGGCGCTCGACATATTTAAGAGGAATGTGTTCGGTGGTGCAGCATCTCGGGGGCATGTGCTGGGGATCCCTGACTGAGAGCTCGAACTGGCGTTTGAGGCAGGTGTGGCACATACGATGGCCACACGAGAGCTTCGGGCAGCGAGATGCGCGGACCTCATCCATGCACACCATGCAGTCATATCTGGGAGGCAATATAAGCAGCGACACTACCACGGTATGCGGATGCACCTACTTCTTTTCCGGCGTCTGGGCGGGCGGCGGCACATGGCGGAACAGGCCTAGAATGCCGCTGTTTTTCCGTTGGTGGCTCTGCGAAGGCGTAGGCGGAGGCACTTCGTCGGGCGGGGTTTTCAGGGTTCCCGTTCTTCTGAGGGACGGCCGGGTCATGACGACAGCCGGACGGGCTGAGTCCCGAGAGGACATGGTCCTGAAGCACGTAAACATGCTGGCGTGAACAGCGGGTGCAAGATTCTGAGGACATACCGATTTAACCTGACGGCTTCGGTCCGGTGCAGCGACGGTTCGGGGGCCGGGTCGGCCTCCCTCTCAACCTCGACATCGATAACGTTGGTGGCTGGCGACGACACGGTCCGCCTGTGGCCGGCGCGTGATCTCGTGTCGGCCAAATCTTCGTCCCGCCTGCTCCTGCTGTCGCCGCTACGGGGTGTGCTGTACACATACACACCGCTGTCTCGATCCTCGCGCTCTTTCCTGCTGGGGCGGCGGTCATCCTGGTGCTGGCGCTTGGGTTTGGAAGTCTTGCGGGTGCTGGCGGCGCGCTGTACCATGTCTAGGTCGGGCACAGGCGGCGGCGGAGGAGTCGGCGGGTGAGAAGATAGCGCGACGGATGCGGCCGAGGGCCGGCGGGCACTACGCGGGTCTGGGATTTCGGGCGGGCGCAGGAAGTAGTCGGCGCGGGCCTGGCGCAGGTGATCTAGGTCGGGCTGGGGTGGAGGAGCGGCATGGGCGGGCAGGTAGCGGGTATCGTGGTCGATGGTGTTGCGGCGCGGGCGGCGAGAGGGCCGGGGGCGGTGGTAGGAGTCGGAGTCGTAGGCGGCGTGGTTGTCTCGCGGGCGGGTCGCGAAGATTGCGCCCATGCCGTCGAGCAGATGGGCGAAGCGGCGGTTGGCGGCCATGCGGCGATACGTGGGAGCTTGGTAGGCGGGCGGTGAGCGAGCCAATGAGGGTGGCTGGCAAGTGACCATGCGCCGGCCTCACACGATGGGCGGACGGGCGCTGAGCATTCTTTGCGGGTGAGCGTGACTGCGTGACGGCGGGAGACGGCGGTGGTGCAGGTCTGGCGCGGCGGCCATGCGCTTCGGGCAGAGGTGAACGAATGTAGGTTTGAGACGCGCGTGGAGAGAGACAGGGTGTCCGGCTGGGGCGCTGAGCCCTGGTGGGAGGGCTGGGGTGATGCTTGACGCGGCGGACTGATCGCCGCCAGCTGCCAGCTCGCCGCCAGCTAGCCGCCCACGCCCGGGCCACGCCAGCACTTCTACACTGCACAACTGCGCCGCTGCCTGCACCGCTGCCCGCACCGCTGCCTGCACCGCTGTCTGCACCACCGCAGCATGCACGCCCGCTCCAGTGCACCCTCACCCCCATCGCCGTGCCACCCCGTCTCTCGCCCCGAGCACCTTCTACATGCCTGATTCCGCCCAAAAGGCTGCGCTGACATAATCCCAAGCTCGGGCATGCAGTGAGTGTTGCACCTCAGCCGAACGTGTCTGAGACTGCCGCTAACCACCACCACCCCAGGCTCTCAGTGGCAGAGCGCTCGCCTTGCAGCATCGTCCCGGCTGCGAGAGGCCCAGGGTTGAAAGTTCGATCCACGCTCCAGCTCGGCCCCAGCGGTCACTGGCAGTCAGCACAGCAATCCCCTGCTTGTCCACATCCTTTTGTGTCGTCGATGCAGCTGCTGTCTTTTTTTCCTTACCCGCTCCAGCCATGCACAGCCATGCACAGCCATGCACCCTGACGCAACATCTCCCCACCCGCCGCGCTCTCTTCTGCACTCTCAGCCAATCTTTTTGGGCTCCTTCCATCGGGTCGCCTCAGGAATGCGCTAAAACACTGATACGACCGCCGGTCAAACGGCCGTGGCTGATTCGCTTGTCACCGCGGCCGCATCACCGCCGTTCTCCACCAAACCAAATTTGCACCCGCAACACCATCCACCACTATCCAGTGCCCAAAAAAAAAAGACATGTCTCCGTTCCCAGAATCGAACTAGGGACCTTTCGATGGCATAAAGCGCGACTCCGAAGAGGTCGCACATGATATTGCGACTCCGAAGAGGACGCACATGATATTGCGACTCCGAAGAGGACGCACATGATATTACAGTCGAACGTGATGAACCAACTACACCAAACGGAGGCGGAAACGCGGTGGACCGCATTTGCATGGACTGATTCCTTGTTGATGAATTTTCGAACTCCCGGTATCCAATATATACTCTCAGTCTTGCCCCTGCGCGAGCTGTTTGATAGTATCCTCCCCAGACGGACGATCCAGGCGTATTTCGTGGTGTTTGGGTTTCATGAGAAAATGATCTCGGCCCCTTTCTCATCGGAAACTTACCCGGTTTCACCAGAGTCCCTCAGCGTAGCCTCTCCCGGAGGGCCCGGCCAGCGAAGCACCGTCTTCCTACCCAGCGACCACTCATGGTTTTCATGCAGGGCTTCCAACCTCCGAGTAATCCCTCCGAAGCGGTTCAACCTTGTCATCCAAGAAAAGCGTGTTCCACAGTAAACACAGTGACCAACCCCATCCTCCACGTCAGCAGTCGTTTCCCCCACAGTTGCAGCGCACAACGATTAAATGTACAGTCACCTTGAGCACGAACTCGGCGTCTGCTCTGCTCGATTGAATTATGACCACCAAATCCTACAACCCGCGACGACTCGCTGGATAGGGTGGCCGTGTCCTGGACATGTTACCGCAATCCAAGGCCAACTTTACAGCAGGTGCAGCCAGCTTCCAGGGAAAGCTTAGTGAGGGAATGGTATCCGCATTTTGGCCTGCCGGGCGGTGAATTGAGTGGTAGCTTTAGCTCTCCAACGTCCTTACTGATGGCGGGTAGAAATCATGCTACGAACTGGAATAAGGTCCTGACTGACACTCACAAGGGGCCAACCGCTCAAGCCCCGTGCATCCAAGCGAGAGATGTACTATCGCTCACAGTTACCCGGAAAGCGCGATCAACGGCCAGGATGAAAGGATCAAGGGCTGTAGGTGTTGGAATTGTGACTGTTGATACGTCTGTTTCGCATCAAAGGCGAGAAAGCGAAGGCAAGACGGTTTTTCATTCCGATTTGTTGTTACGTCCCTTGACGGATTCAAGGCGTTTGTTCAGCTCCCTCTTGTTGTTCGACATCCTCTCTTCTTTTGCGGAGGAAAGAGTCGAGAAACGGTTTGGGTCGGTGTTCGTTGCGGGAAGAAGGGCGAATATGCTAAGAGAAAAGTGTTGATCTTTTGATGATCGAATGAGGTTTGGTTGATGGCATGAGGATCAAGAGGGAGGGAAGGAATGATAGGGGCCTTGAGAGATGCCGAGATCCTCGGCGCGCAGAAACTCGTGTAGAAACTCCTCGGACAGGTTGTCAGCTGAATGCATCGCATTTGAGGCATTCTTGGCAGGCAAAAAGAAAGTGCAGAACGAAAAAAAGAAGCGGGTCACACATAGATTTTCCCGGCATACAGGGTTCATTCAGCTGGGTAATCAGCACGCTTTGGCTTCCTGCAGGCGCACCAGCTTTCGTTTTTCCTGAACTGGTTTTCAGCCTCAACTCCGAGCGAAAAACGGAAAGCTGGTATCTATTTCAGCCACAGTTGTAGCCGTAGTACCACATCAATCAGACCGAGCCAACTTCTTGTTCTCTTCGGGCATGGAGGAAATTTCTAGCTCTGAGAAGAAGCAATTTCCAATAAGTCATTGTGAAACGGGTCCAGGTGGCATTTGTTGCAAAAATTGGAAATACCATGTATGAAGTATTGACACCCGAGATCGATCAATTAAATCCATTAAATGGAGTAAGCCATCGGTACCAATACAGCTAAAGCTATGAGTCTAGAAAACACCAAACCAAATTTCCTTAGATCGGAAATTAAAAGTATACTTTCACTTTCGAGACCTACCGCAGATCATGAGGACCTCGAGATACACAATTGAAAGAAGCATGGAAATGGTAGTACGAGGGACTCTACTCCAGCCTGGAGCCTTATGCATGCATGAGGCCAGCAAGGTAGTGACATCATCGTATAGACAGGGACGTATCTCCTCAGCCAGCCATGGTTTTATCCACCGGCGATCTGAGCCATGGTAGACGTGTGGATGAAAAGTCTTAGCGGAATGAATGATCGTTGGAGGTTTCACTTTTGCCGGAACAGCTCAACTTCGGCCGCCACGAGTTTACTTTTTCGAGAAACACTCTACGGGTGGTTCGTATAGATTGCTTTTCCCAATCCACTGCTCACACCAACTTGCATGGAATTCATTCGGGATACAACTGAGCCGCACCGTATGCGGAAATATTGGATCATGACAGTCTTGTCTTCACAAGGCTGTGCCTTAATTTAGCTCGTAGCACTGTTCAGTGCCCGAAGCTGATGGTTGATGACCTTTCTATAAAAACACTATCGTGAAGGCATCCGGCCTCCAAATTCCCACACATACCTATTCCTCCGAGTCCTCCACTACAGCTACCTGAACGCGCCCCACGAAACCCCAGTGAGCCAGCCATTCGATTGTTGAGTCCTTCCTTCTGGTATTCAGCATTACAATGGCGGAAACCGTTGGCGTTGAGGATATTGAGAAGATGTGGGAGACAGCTTTGAAGACGTACAAAGAGAGGACAGGAGATGATCTCAATCACAGTGCAAACCTTACCTTGGAAGAGATGGAAGCGGAGCTCAGCAAAAGCTTTCAAGGAGGTGATACACGAGATGACATCGTCAAGAAATCATTGGAAAGCATAATACAGGCTGGGGCTGAGATTTTGAGCGACGTCGCATCGAACGTAAGTTCTTGTCTATTAAACAATTCAACTCGTTGTTTGTGATATATTTAGAAAGAGGTTAACAAAAGGTTTGGCATAGGCGTTTCCAGGAGCTGGAGTCCTGTTCAAAGCAGTCACGCCTCTGATCGAAATCACGCACAACTACCAGAAGTACTACACGCCCAGAAGCGTCCACGATATACTGGAGGATATCCTACCACACTTCAACAGAATCGAAACCTGGGTGGAATCAACACGTCAAGGAGCCAGATTGAGTCGGAACCTCGTGGAGTTGATCTTCCAGACCCTCGAGCATTTTCTGAACATATGCGCCATCTACCGCAATATTGTCCAAACCTCCGAACACAGGAAAGGAAGATTCAAAAACTTTTGCAAAGCTGTCATTGGTCTTGACCAGGGTATAAAAGAGGAAGTTGATCACCTTGAACGCTTAGCGAAGCATGAACGGGCACAGACCGAAGCGGAATCCCACGGGTACCTTCTTGTGGATGAGGATCGCCGGGCCCGGGCCAGGTACCAGAAATCCATCAGCGACAACCTGGAAATCGAGGAAACCACACAATTCCTGGATCAGTGGACGGAGACGCAGACAAAGCTTCAAAAAGAATACGTGAAGGGCATTGGATCATGGCTGCCGGCACTTGATGAATTCTCTACGTGGGCAGATGTTTGCCAAGCTGCAGCCCCGGTATTGATGTTGGAAGCAGACCCAGGTTTTGGAAAGACTTACCTCTGTTCCGAGATCATCAAGAAATTGCAGGATGGCCAAATGCCTGAGAAGCATAGGATGTCATCCATTGCCTTCTTCTATTTCAAGAGCTCGGAGAAGGGTCGCATCTCAAAGGGACAGACCGCAAACCAAAGCCAAGGTGCCGCGAAAGACAGTCCGACGTCTGGACCTATCCAAGATGACCAGGTGTGCATTCGAGATGCTCTGATATCCCTCATTTGGCAACTCACCTTGGTTGATGACGAGTATCAAAAATTTGTGGCCAGCAAGATGGAACTCCCCACTAGCCGGTTTCCCAAGAGTAAAGAGCTCTGGGAGAGATTAGTCAAGGAGTATGCCACGTTTGCAGGCTCAAAGCGCCGAAAAATCTTCTTCCTCATCATCGACGGACTTGATCTGGACCAGAGAACAGCAGAAGAGCAAGACGACTTCAAGTTTGTCGTTCAAGACATCATGAAAATGCCCCGTAGCGAGTTCCAAATTAGGATACTGATCACTGGAAAGAAAGATATCCTGAGCAATCTTCAAATCAGCGACAGCAAGGACTCGACACTCATTCACGTTGCCGAACATCGCCAAGGAGACATGAAAGCATTCATCAAGTACAGATTGCGCGCCGTCCCAAAGGATTGGAAAGACAAAGAGCAAGTAGACCTCTTACGGCAAATTGAGACCAAGTTCTGCGATTGCGAGAAATATACGTCGGGCAGCTACCTGCACGTATCGTCTCTCCTGGATGAGGTCGCCCATACCTATGGAAACAATGAACTTCGCGATATCCTGAAGCGTCACCCCGAGGATTCGTGCAGTGCAGTCGCTTGGCAACTGAAGCGGGTCGAAGGCCAGTTGAGTGGTGACGAGATAGAGGAATTTAACGACATCCTCATCTGTATGGTCCTCTTGGAAGTTTGGCCAAATATCAAGCAGCTCGCGACATTTGCATGGTTGAGCAAAAGCGCAAGGCACTAACTGGCTCTTGAACAACGGATTAGGGACAAGTATCTTCATTTTTTCACGCTGTATGATGACGACATAGTCGAATCTGAACCAACGATGAAGTACTTCATCGACCGCCACCCACCGGAACCAGAACCCATTTTCGCCAATGAAACATTTTCTCAAGGCGAGAATTACGAATCCGACGTTGCATTGATTAAACGACTTGCCCGAGCCTTTTGCCAAGGAGAGCTTCCAGCCAGACTTGAGCAGTTTTTCAAATCGCTACCAGCTTCAACGCCCCGCATCGATTTGGACTGCGTTGATGGACATGTGAAGATAGTTCTTTGTGTTCTAAGAGCAGTATGCACTGAACGCAGGAAGAACTCTGTCTTCTTACATGAGTACGCAGCTTTCTATCTTCTCTCACACTTTGGAAAAGTTACAACCGACCAGCTGCGTCAAGTCACTGCAGATGTCAAAACAGAAATTGGCTACCATCTCCATGAATTTTTCATGGATCAAGTTTCGGTAAACACTTGGATGAAGCAAGACCTTTCTGACAGCGCCCTGGACACACTCTTCTTGGCTGAGCAGCAGCAGATTGTGCATGATGCGCTCAGATGGCAAGAAGGTGAAGACGTGAGAAAGGGAATAGGGATGGCTGCCAAGCAAAACAAGTATTGTTCACAGGCCTCTATGGAAGAGAACATTCAAGGTTCTGGAGGAGAAGGAAAATCAGATGAGAAAGCTACCCATGGAGACGACTTGAGCCAGGCCGGGGAACTGAGCATCGATCTAGAGGAAACCGAACATGCCGCAGAGATAACACACGACCCAGGTAACATAAGCTCTACGGAGGAAGTAGTCCAACATCAAGGACCCGCACAAGATCTCACCGTTATGAGCGCCAATGAGAGGGACAGGCAGCATGATGCATATGAAACAGACACAGAGGCTAATGAACAAGCTCGGTTGGAAATTCACCAAGTCATCCAAGCCCCACGGAAAGCTTTGGCATATTTATGGCTTGATGGTGTCGACTTTGATGCGGAAACTAGCATTTGGAAGCTGATAAGAATGTCTAGAGGCGTAAGCCCTTCTCCCATCTCATATGAAATAAGCTCGATTTACTGAACTACCCGTCCTAGAACTTTGGAGATCTGGAGGTCTGTTCCGCAGATAGACTGAGCAAGATATCCAGACCCTCATTAGAATTGATCTGGAAATGGGCTATTGGAGTTCTAGGAGACGCAGACAATATCAAAACGTCAAATAGATTGACGCGACTTGCCGAAACTGTCCTTGCAATTCGGAAAGCTTCCTTGGAAGAGCAACACACCGACTCGGAGCCTTGGCAAACACGACCTTCAGGAGAAGATGACGACTACGAATACATCGCCCAAAAATGCCAATTAGCCAAGCGTGAAGATCCAAATAATTGGAGAGCTACTTGGTGCATTGCGAAAGCCCAAATGCAGCAGCGTCACGCACCATGGATCTGGCCCGGGGAACATCCAGCCTTAGAAACATTGGAACAGCTTCTGGAAGAGTTTCAGAAGAAAAACCTCAGGAATGAAGACAGGAACCAACACGACAAGATCCTCAGTTCTTTTTTAGAGCTTTGTGAGAACAAAAGCCTACCATACAGGGCCGTAAGAGCATTTGGCAGTCTCTTCGAGAAGTTCCCTAATGACATGGATCTGGTGAAGAGAGGATTTGATTGGGTAATGGCCCAGAAAGACCGCATCTGCTTGAAGAAACTGATACATATCCTCGTCATGACGCCGGAGAAAGGAGGATGCAGTCCAATGACCAACCTACTTCACAAGCTTGCTGAATCACAAGAATTCCACGGCAATCTTTGGCTGGCACTATACGACGACTTGGGACTCACCATAAAGTGCTATACTGACGCCATCAACGTGACAACCGACATTTCCGTGGTGGCTAGAGGTAACCTACGCTTCTATTACGCCGTGGCACTGTACCATCAACAAAAGGTGGAAGATGCGACCGGAATGTGGGAAAGCATCAAACTCGAACGGCCACAGTTCAGAGCACACCCGGAACTCCGACAGTTGCAAGCCCAGATCTCCGAGAAGCTTGCTCTATGCTACGTTCAGCTTACTCGGTCTTCCATCAAGAAGGCGTCAGCGTCAGATGGAGAAACTGAATACATCAAGAAAGTCCGAGAGTTGATTCAAAAGGGAAAAGAGGGACAAGATACTTCGGTGACGGACATCCGGTACTTGACGCTATCACTATGCCGGATCCACAAGCTCAACGGACAAGAGGAGGAAGCCAAAAGCTGCATCGGTAGCTATGTCAAAGCCGCAGCCGACATCCTGGTGGACGAAACATACGATAACGACAGCGAAGGTTATAGGGCACTTGGCGAGATCTTCGTTGCTCTAGGTGATGAGAAGAGGGCAAAAGACGCCTGGTCAATGATCAACGACACCGGGGACGGACATCTTTTTGAGCTGCCAATATTCTGCGATGGGGGATGTGGCAAGAGATGGGAGCGTTATCCGGATACGGAGATGCACATCTGCAAGGACTGTAGGGGTGTACACCTCGACAAGACGTGCCACGAGAAGCTGAAGAGTGGAAAATTACGACAAAGAGTCTGTGGAAAAGACCACCCGTTTTTCACAGTGCAAAAATGGGATGGTAAAGCGAGGAAAGAAATGACAAGCCGGGTCGCCAAAGCTGGAGATTTGGTAACTCTGACGACAAGTTGGGTGGATGAGATCAACAGCCAGTATGTGGTCAAACAGACCAACAACCAACACCATCACAGGTAGTGGAGACGTCTGCACAGTGCTGCTGAGAATCTTGAGAAGTTTCTGCGCAGGAGAGCAATGGTTTCCGGGAAAGTCACCAACGAGGATAGAGCTGGGACTTTGCGATGAGTTCTCTCTCTGACCTAGTCCCGACAACGCGAAAGTCTCGCCCGATCACAAGTTTGTATAACGTCTGGTTAGCACCGCCCTCAGACTTCGAAACGAAACCAGGACTACAACCCTTCAAGCCAGGACGACCGTTCGCCTGAACAAAACCCGCAGTGAATCCTCTCAACCTGGCCAGAGTTATAGTAGCAGCAACAACCGCGCAGCAACGTTGACGACGACAGCTATCTTCGAGGACTACGCATTTTCATCCCCCGAAAACATCCTCACCCAGACACCGCTCTTCGGCCCAGTGACGTCTGCATTTGTTGAGCCGGACTTGTCCAACATCTGCTTCGAGTGAAGAAGTCAACGGCACAGCCAGCAGCACTCCCACCTCACAACATCCACACCAACCTTCCATTGCACGTGTTCCTCCCTCCTCGTCCATACTTGTCTCCTGAAGCTCCTGGCGACGTACGACGAGGCGTGGTACAATGGGAGCAGCGCTGTGGTCCGGTTAGGGCCGTTTGTCGTGGATGGAGAAGACGGGAGGGGGCTGAGGCGGAAGGTTGTGGTGCTGCAGATCGAAAAGGTAGTTGGGATGGTGGCGCGGCTGGAGGAGTTGGATAGGGGAAAGGGCGGCCGGGATGGCCCTGCGCTTGAGGGGGAGGCAAGGCGGATAGCGGAGAAGACGAAGCGGGAGGATGGGAGAGAGTTGTGAGGCGGCAGGATGATTGGGCTGGTGACTCAATGAGCGATGCGCCCCGCTGGATGTATAGTTCCAACTAATGGGCTGAGGAGGATTCGGCGTTTTCAACAGACGTGCGGATCTCGAAAGAGCATGAGCCACTAAAGATGAGCGGCATACTTTCCAACGTACGCTTTTTCCGATAGACGAGGACAGGAGTCATGGTTTCGATAGAACAATGCCTATCCAGTTGTGAGTGTTGCTAGACTCATCCTCAACGCCCAATCTTACACGTAATCTCTCTACATTTTCCTTTCCCACGATATCCACCCAGTACAATCCTCCTCTCCACCCCTCACTTCAAGCCCCCACCCTCCTCCCCCACCAGCGCATCCACAAACACCCTCAACCCCTCCCTCCCCGGATGCCCCTCTCGATCCAACAACCACAACCACGGCTCAATCAGCTCCACCTCCATCAACACAAACTCGCCATCCTCGCCCACCACCCCATCCACCCGCGCATACAACAGCTCCTCCCTCCCCAGCACCCCTTCCTCCCCCCTCTCCGCCTTCAACGCCCTCTCCTTCCCCACCAGCCACTCCCACACCTCCCCCGCCACCCTCTTCCCACACTCCGGCACCCGCTCATCGCCCTCGGCCCCCATCGGCTCCCACACGCCCTCAAACGCCGAATTGATCCGAAACTCGCCCGCCCGCGGCCTCTTCCTCACCGCGTGCGTCAACCTCCCCGCCACCACCACCATGCTCCACTCCCCGCCGCTGCCACCGTCCCCGTCCCGCGCCGCCACCCGCGGCAGGTACTCCTGCACCAGCACCATCGCCCCCGGCTGCGCCGCCGCGCGCATCGCCTCCAGCGCCGCGACGTCGGCGGCGACGAGCGCCAGCGGCGCGCGGATCAGGTGCGTGCTGTGTCCGCTGGCGGCGATGCTGGGCTTCAGCACGACGGGGGTGGATGGCGACGCGGCGACGTGCGGGTCGGCGGCGAGGTGGGCGGCGAGGGCGGCGGCGGAGGTGGTGCGCGGGTCGAGGAAGGACGTGCGCGGGACGTGGAAGGTGGTGCTGCGGGCGGTGGTGGAGTCTTGCAGCTCGGCGAGGTAGGTCTTGTTGGCATTCCAGGCGGCGAGGGCGGGCGGGTTGTGGATGCGGAGCGTCGGGTTGAGGCGCTGGGCGGCGGGGAGGGTGGCGGCGAGGAGGGTGGTGAAGGCGCGCATGTGGTGGATGTACTTGTCGGCGGCGAGGAAGAGGACGTGCGTGTAGGTGGAGGCGATGGCCTCGGCGGTGAGGCCGGGGTCTTGGAAGGTGCGGAGGTGGACGGCGGCGCCGCGGGCGCGGAGGGCGCAGAGCGGGTCCGAGAGGTAGGCTTCTATCTTGCCGATCCAGATGGCGGCTTCGTCTTCGGGGGTGGGGAGGTTGGCGGTGACGAAGAGGATGGAGGGCTTGGTGGGGGCGATGGAGCCCATGTCTGTGTTGAATGAGTTGTGGCGGTTGGGAAGCGAATGGTCGTATGGCAGCTGCGGATATGCCGATGATACGGCCTATATGCAGTGCTGGGCACCGAGTCGGGGTTCGGAATGCCTTCGGATTACAAGGCAAGACGTGAGGTTTCTTCAGTGGAACAGAAAAAATGATGATGAGGGCGTTGGCCGTGGTCAAGAACAGAAATACAGTGTAGATGCATTCGGAAAGCAGATCAGATATGAACAATTTATATTGGCGCGGTCAATACGAGGATGTCCGACAGTCGGCGATGATAGATAGGGCATCTCCGCCTCCGGCCGGTTTCCGGAGCCCAAGGCTGACGAAGCCACGGAGAAACCACCGGGTGCCTGGCCTTGGGCAATCCGCGACCATCACTGTCTGAGATGCGCTTCAAGCCGAGGCTTCCTGTAGAATCCGGAGGTTGGCGTCTCTCATGACTTTGAGCGACTGTCTAGTTTTTGGAGGATATGTGGATATCGGATATCTTGCAATGCTACCCGGCGAACTATCCCTCAAACGTGTTACTTCGAAGGTGCGCCCAGGGCGTAGTTTTTCGTTAATGATTTCCTAGTTCGTGTCGATACCGAAGCAGATCTCGATTCCAATCGCACGGGTTCCCACACATGCAGATGCAAGGCCGCTTCAGCTCCACTGCTATCTTTTTGTATGCTCCTCCGCATGGACCACATTGGAAAAGCAAGCAACCCGTCCTGGTGAGTGAACGAACCAAATCATTTCCGTCAAAGCATTCCCGCACGCAGATTTGGCTCCCACGAGAGATATATATTGAAGCTCATTTTCTCACCTGCTGGATCAAACCGCATCTATCCATACGAATCTTATAGGCTGTTGAGCTTCCACACCGTCATCCGATACAATCACAGTCCACTGTTGTTACCCAGCACTCTCTCGTGCCACTCGTTCTCTGTTTCACGACTACCAATCGTCCGATGACGAAACATGGCAGACTCAAATTCAACTTCCCTCGAACCTGCACCCGATCTTCCAACAACGCCACCAAATCCCCAACATCTGTCACAGGCCTCACTCGACCAAGGTGGCCAACAATCAAACATGTTTGTTTGTCTTTGCTTGTTTCAGCCCAACAAGCAAGCAAAGATCGAGGTTTCTGTGAAACAAGCAAGCAAAGACGGAGGGCTGCCATCTTTACAAAGATCTTAGTCCTCTACGTACCAAGCAAGCAAAGATCGGACCTCATCTTTGCTTGTCTTTGTTTGTTGGCCACCTTGCACTCGACGAGGTGGTGCGACCTGAGAATCAGTCCTCGGCGGTTGCAACGGACGCTCAGCCGCCAAGTCCAAAAGAAACAGTACCCGAATCCAAATCTCAGGAGGAGCCTCAAGCCGAAGCAGACGAAAGTGATCCAGAGGAAGATAGCTGCGATGAATTGGTGAAGCCTACACCCGATGAGAAGTCCAAAGATTTTCAGGATTGGACGGAATGTAAGTGGAAAAGATTGAAGGCGGTTCAAACGTTGTTTTGACTTCGTGCTATCCAGGCGAATTCGTGGACGATGACGTACCAAAGAGTATGAGGCTCCAGATCCCCGAAGATGCACAACCTGAAGCTCGCAACCGTCCCGCCTATGCATCCTTTGGCAGCAACGGTACGACGGTGGCTGTCAACGCACCCGGAAATATCATGCAAATCTCGCGGTACTTTGGACTTGGTCGCTCTGGCTTTTTTTGTGCCGACTCAGACTTCTACTGGGAACCAGACTTTCCCAATTATCGCTTAGAAGAATTCATGGAGCACATGGACAATGCCAACAAAGGCTTTCGACTCGGACTAGAAAGTTTGTCCATTAAGAATAGGCCAACTTTCGAGTTTGTGTACGATCGTTGGCCGCGGTTCACATTCCACCATTCGCAAGCTGCCCGGAAGTCTACTGGAGAATTAGAAGGCCCTTTGACAGAAGACAAAGTGAATATGGAGTCGAGAGAGCCAGTATCTGGTGACAGATCATCGAAACCAGCAACGCAGTTCACCGGTGCGCAGGAAAAAGAAGAGCAAAGCCATCCTGAATCACTCATTCTCTCTCTGCAGTGCTTTTGCTACCGGGAGACCGTTTTTCAACGGTATGTTTTTGATGGTAGGGATAGTTTGCCCAAAGCCACGAAATGGAAGATCAACGGGGGCATCCCCTTACGCAATCTGGATTTTTTGGATGTTTCCGATTTCAACTCTTCTTCGGATAACTATGACTGGAAGCTTGGGTATAGAAAACGAAGCCTCATACGGATCCACGAAATCACAGATGATGTAGCGAGCGAAATGGGTGTTACAGTTCCGGATCAAGAGCAGAAGCCCCGGCCCTGGGCGGTAGCACTCATCATCACACCTTTCATCAATGGCAAGGCGCAAATAGTTCAACAAGAAGAAGGCCAGAAGGTCTGGTATGTGGACCTTCCCAAGAAAATTCCTGCCGATGCCACTCAGCTCTCTGTCACTTTGGCATACAGGTTACAGCTTCTCGAAGATGATCCCAGTTGGAAGGATACTATCGTCCCGGCGCAACATCCGGAAAATCATGGGGAACACTTTCTCAAGAGAAGCAAATACACCTTTCAAGGAAGTCCGGTTCTCCAACCATCATCACCTCAATTTCATGATCGGACGAAACTTGGAGCACATTCTCTCTGTGTGCAGTATTCCGATTCCTGAGGATTTAGATTCCGATCCCACTATTTCCGATGCCAAATCAGGTGTTATCAGCTCTGGAGATGAGAATCTACATACCGGTCCGATGGCTTTCACGTGTGGGCCACTCTCAGGTCACCGCATAGACACAGCATCAAGCTTGTATGTATTAAGCTGTCTCAAGGCTCCCCTATACTGGCTACGAATAGCTTCGCTTTCCAAATCCTCATTGCAGCGTGGCATGGAGAGTCGAGTTGCAAGCGTAGAGTGTAATGTTCTCGCTAGCACAAAACAATTGAACAGAACGAAACATCCCTGGCAGCAACGAAAGATACTTGAGTTGGTCATTTTTGACCTGACGCTGTCGGAGATCGAGTCAAATACGGGCGTTATCCTGTCTTGGATTCGAAGAAAAGTTCTCGAAAACGATGATTGGAATGGAACAGAGAAAAGGGGAGAGAGAGATGAGGGGGTAAACCAAAAAGAGGTAGGCACAGCAGACGAGGAACTCAAGGTCATTAGTGATGATCATGACATCGCTGCAAGTACGCCATTCAGTCCACTTGCCCTTTCACTCGAAGAGGGTGTCAAGTTTCTCGAGAAAGGCGATAGCGCAAGCTACTTCTCAATCATCAAACGTTGGAGGTTGTATGAACAGGTCTTACAAACGATCAAAGAGGACCTGAGTGAGAACCTTGACTGTATCGAGGAATAGAACCGTCGGGAGAGTGACCGAAAGCCGGAGAATCCAAGGTGGACTATGAATGACGAAAAGGAATTTCGTCCCATCATCAACAAGCTTTTGGTCCAGAATCAACGAAGGCACCGAGACCTGGAGCGCTTAAAAACGACCATCCAAACATTCCGGCAGTTCCTCAGCGGTCGGTTGGAATCCATTCGAGACGATGTAAGAAAATGTCTTTCACAACAGGATATATGCTGATAGCGATACCAGATGAGCTTTCGTGGAAGCGAGAACATGTCCTTATTCACATATGTGACCGTCATATTTCTCCCTCTCGGATTCGCCACGGGAATTTTCAGCATGAGCGAGGCACCTGCTCGGCTAACCTTGGCTTCCATGGCGGTGACTGCCGCTATCTCTTTGTTTGTCACCGTTTTCACTTTGGTAAATGCCGAGACTCTGGGCGATGCTATGGTCAAACCGGCTATAGACCTTGCCCAAAGTTGCGGGAGACCACTTATCTTTTTATCACTGTTCGCCGCATATTCACTTCGATTTGTGCTTCTTGCAATCCAATTGGTTCTTCGCCCTGTACTCAAACCAGTCTACAAGTACACCCTTGGTCCGGTGTTGAAATACCTCAAGGACGAAGCAAACCTGAAAAAGTACAAAGGCATGATGGATTCATTTTTCCCTCTCGACAAGACCAAAGAGAAGGAAAATGAAGGCATACCAGAAGCACAAGCTGGCCAGTCTGATTCACGAGATGGAAGCGAATCAACGTCAACTGGAGTTCCTCACCGCAAAGCTCCCCCGCCAAAGCGGCGAAAAATGGAGCCAACACCAAGGCAACTTGAGGCTGGAGGTCTGCATCGTTCTGCGTTGTCCTGATTGTGAAATTTCTCTTGCTCCCGGCCGTTTTTGTCTTTCTTTATTATTGCTTCCCCGATTTATTTATCTTCATTTACGACCTCTATTGCTCTTGTAATGTCAAGTAGACTCAATATCATTTTGTGTTCGCTCAACAATACGAGACGTGTGCTGGTGTACATTGAGAAGTACGCCTTCGGCATCATCTAGACAACAAGAAGCTAATAGGAACGAAACGCCAGTCTGGCCTTGGATTGCAAACAGTCATCATGAAAGCCAGCCAACAGCCAGTTCTGCATCCAGAAACGCTCTTTGTGTCAGAGATCGGCAGGCAGTTTTTAAATGCCCCCCCGCAAAAAAATTGCATATAGAAATCGCAGTGCCGAAAGAAAAAGAGAAGCTGAACTTGGCCCTCCGTAGTTTCTAAAACACTACGCGTGAGCCCACTAGGCTTTGGCCCCACTTGCTTCGTCTTGAAAATATGACGCACCTCATCGGACCTTCTTTGTCGGTCGCGTCTGAACGATATCTATCACTGACTGGAATAATCAAATAGGATGGGTTCGATGTACGATCGAGGAAAGTGTGGATTCGTGTAGCAGGGATACGGAATAGGAGTGCAGCTGGGCAATGCCTCATGGTTCTGGCGATCAGCACCCTGCATAAGGGGAGGACTGGAGAGCCCGGATGTGTCAATAGGTGATGTTTGAGGCTGATTGTATGAAAAGAAGCCGAGGTGTAGTGGCTGACTTGAGTGGTTTATATTGTGCTGAAGGTCATCTTGAGAGAAAGAAGCTGTGTTGGCCCGGTGGTTCAAGTTGTTGTATGGCGAAGTTCTTTGATCAGCGTGGTGGTCCTGCTGGACTTGGGCTCTATTTAGACGAGGTGACGCGGTGGAAAGTAGTTCAGTCTGCTGAGTAAATGTGGCCCCGGATGTACAACCTGTATTGTTCGCTGTTGCTTCTCGCTCCAATACGATTGGGCTTCGAGGGTTTTCAGGAGCAGGCCTGAACAGATTGGTTTCGCGAGTCTGGCCGTTCCATGATTGGAATTTGGAAGTGACTGAAAATACCTGCACCCACGAGCCTGCTACCTGTGCTACTTTCGGGAGTTTCGTCGGAGTTGATGCTGGATGAATCGCTCGCTTGTCTCAACAACAAGGGTTGCATCTCGTTTGAGCTTCCAGAGTTCTGCGTCTGGAACTCTTCGAGGAGGCCACCATTGATCTCACAGACAAGCTGAATGACCAACGACTTTGTCCGGCCATCGAGAGGGATAGCATTCAGCTTATCTGAGAGCCTGTGTGGAAGTACCTGCCGAGAGAACTCATGGTATTCCCCCAGACCATCATCAGTACAGTCTTAGAAGTCAGCCATAGGATCACCAAGGAGGCAACGAGTGCATTCCATTACGGCCGAACTCACAGGGTGAAGGGAGTGCCGAGGAGTGGTTCCCAGGAAATAGCGCAGAGTAGAGGTCGGTCCATTTCTCTTCCTCGGTCTTGCCTCCAGTCGCACGTCTCTTCACAAGCTGTTCTTGCTCCTTTGTCAGAGTCTGGTGCATTCCCGGCTCACGTGGAGAGCACCACTGGATGGCTTGAGAGTGCTGTTTCAAGGCTTCAGCGTCATTGAAAACCCTAGAACAGCGATTGCATTGATGCTGCGCAACGTGGCAGCGGTTCAGGTGCTCCCTTGGATGAGTCAGCTCGGCTCATGGAGGACTGCTTACGGCTTACTTGACTCTGGCAAATGACGTGAAAGGATGGAGGCATGAAGGCGAGTGAGGCTGCCAGCCCAGCGATTTCAGATGATGGTTCTTCCTGAAAGGGCAAGCAAATCTGTGGTGAGTACCTTGGGCGGAGGGGATGCTAGGTTGTTTGGCGCCGCGGCTTGAGCGGCGTGATTTCTGCAGTCGCGTAAGTGGTCAGGGGCGGCTCAGTTGCTTGTAGTCTCTTACCACTGAGAAGCGGGGATTCTGCGCATGGAGCTGTTTGTCGGGAGAGTAGCTGTAGCCTAGGCGAAAATCATCCTGGCTTCGATGGTCGGACCTACTTGAAAGCTGACTGTGAGTGATCATGGTTCCCTTGAGAGTCAAACCGACGTACCGTAAGGACGAGTGGGGAGAGCGTTTTAATGGCTGTCCCCAGGCGCGTGCTCCGTGGCGTGGCGAGAGCTGAGGCGGCGGCGAGTTTGCCACCTTTATATATCAAGGCTGCTCTCAAGCCCTCAACGCGCTTCCTCCTACATCTGCAGGCTGGAACGCGGGGTGCGCCCGAAAAGAACACTCATCGCAAACGCGAACTGAAATGTTGTGATTCAGTGCCAACATCGCTTATTGGATAGCCACGAGCTCACCCGGATGGATTGGAATCTGAGCATAGGAGCCGATGTGATGGTGAGAGCGGGGTAAAGTGGATAATGCGGCTTGGGCAAGTGCAAGTGCCCACGCAGACCGGCTTCTCGATGGGCTTATGTGTGCTCGATCCTCCGGGAAAAAGCTTCACAAGGCCTCCAATGCCCATGGGGCAACCAATGTGCAAACAGGACGCATTTGCGATAACGTGCATATGCCGCGGCAGATTGTTGCGCCTGCAGCTGCAGTCTCACGCTATCTGCGCTCTGCCACCGAAGACACGCATTTGAAACACAAAGTGTCAACCACCGCTGTTGCGATGAGTCCAGACATAGACTCTGGGGATACGACTGCATGGTAAGGCGGAGCTGAAGGCTCTCTCTCGGAGGATATTCAACGGGGCCGTGCAATCGACTTAGCTGCCCGCGTATGCCCCAAAATCCTGACGAATAGACTGAAGCGTACCTCAGCCTTGCCAGAATACCCCACTTTGGCCGATGCATGAGCTACGCTGATCGTAGATGCGCACATCCAAGGCTTTTGTACGACCAAGGTGACGCACCAACCGGAAGGTTATTTTTGGTTACGTGCAGTTGATCGAATTGGGTGTTCTTGAAGCCCGCCTTAGTATGAAAATGTGAGCTCGAAATATGCATCAGTAGTATTCCTTCTCCATGGTAGGATATCAATTACCATCATCAAGCCAAACAAGCAAGCTTCTTTATAGCCCGGCCAAAAGCAATGCACGCTCCCTACGCTTTCGTAGTACACCGATTCTTTACTCCCCAAACCTTCTCAGAGTCTCAATGCTTAAACGATATCGTTAGTAAAAGATCTAGCACCGTACACAAGAACACTGCAAAAATCACCTCGTCGTTCAAAAGTGGTGGTGGAAATACTGGTGAGTGGACCACGTGCTTAGTCAGCCTACCCCGCCACGGCGCCCCAAGTCATAACGCCGCCTTTTACATACGCTTGTCACTCTCAAACCAAGCTACGCCCGAAGAACACAACAAGATTGAATGGGAGATGAAAGACAAGGATGTTTCAGTCCTCACTAAGGAAGGGGATGAGGATGCGAAGGCCACCAAGGAGAAGCAGCAGACCCCTCAGAACATCATCCTTACCACGTCCGACGGTGTCGAGCTTGTAGTCGGTACGTCCAAATGCGCCAAGGAGGCGTCTACAGACATTGTTAGCTAATCATTGCCCATAGAGCGCCGCGCCGCTGAGAAGTCGGCTTTGATCAAGGACCTTATTGAGGATTTCGGCGGTCATGTATATCAGCCGATACCCATCGCGAACGTAGCTCAGCCTCGCCCCCACCCATTGCCCCCCCTCTGACGCGCGTGACAGGTCGATGAGCAGACGATGAGAAAAATCATCGAGTGGTGTGAACAGGAAACGAACAATGCCGGGGAGTGGGCTGCAAAATTCCTGGAAGTCGACCAAGACGAGCTTTTCGAAATCATCCTGGTAAGTAGAACCACCAACCCCGTGCTGCTGCCGTGCAAAACTGCCTGCCGAACTCGATCACTAACCCATCTCCACACCAAGGCCGCCAACTACCTCGACATCAAGTCCCTCCTCGACGCCGCCTGCAACGCAGTCGCCAACAAAATCACAGGCAAAACCCCACAAGACCTCTGCCACCTCTTCAACATCACCGACTACCCCCTCCCCAAGCCCGCCGCCGCCGCCGCCGCCCCCCCAAGCTCCCCCAACTCCATCCTCCCCCACACCCACACCCACAACCCCACCCTCCAAGACATCCACCACGCCCGCCACATCCTGCAACACGCCCCCCTCCACAGCCGCAGCCGCAGCCGCACCCGCGCCGGCCAACAACCCCCCCTCCCCCCCGAACTCGCCCTCCTCATCGTCTCCCTCGGCTACCGCCCGCGCCTGCTGCGCCACACGACCGAAGAGCGCACCTACCGCGCCAACAGCTTCTGGCGGCCGGGCCCTTACGCCAGCGTCGCCGGCCTGTACCTCAGCAGCGCGCCGCTGCCCGCGCCCGACCCGTCCACGGGGGTCGCCAGGATCGTGCCGCAGCGCGTCGTTTTCCGCACGCGGTCCGCCGACCAGGGGTGGGCGGATGCGGGCGGCCGCGGGACGTTTTGGAATAGCCATACGTGGTTTGAGGCGAGCATCGTGAGGCCCGTGTCGCCCGAGACGGAGGGGGGTGCGGCGGCGATGGGGGATCGGGCGGATCATCGGGCGGAGGCGGAGGTGGTGGGTGCGGCGTCGCTGGGAGAGGTGTTGCCGGGGGTGTGGGAGACGCCGGGGCATGCGCGGGGGGCGTTGGCGGAGGCGGGGTGGGACTTTGTGGAGGGGGAGGAAGGGAGCGTCGTGTGGAAGGTGTGCAACAACATCACAGCGAAGGATGAGTACTCGGATTACGTCGTGGAATGGGGGAGGGGCGTGGCGGCGGACGCGAAGGATACTGAGGCGGTGGGGAAGGGCAAGGGGTTCCTGGAGCGGCTGGATTCCGGGTGCGTCGTTGTGCTTTGGGCTAGGGCGGAGGTGAGTCCTGATGACGATGCGATATCGTGTTTGCTTGGCTGACTTTTCTTTAGCAACAATGCTGGGAGAACAGTGTTGAGCAAGCGAGTATTGAGATAGAGTACGAGGTGCTATAGCAGCGAGAATTAGACATCAATTCAGATCACGTCAAGGAAGAGTCTGAGATACTTTCGATTAGATTTGTCGTCAATCATCATGGATATCGCAAAAGTGAAAAGGCCGAACCAAGAGCACGGAAGCACTTCTAAGCCTTCGCCGCACACCGATTCACCACCCCCACCACCCTCCCCAGCACCTTGAATAAAATGGTCAACAAGAACCACACCACCTTAAACGCAAACACCAACAGCATCAACACCAGCTCCACCAACCAATGCATACCTTCCTCCTTCTCCTTCCCCTTCCCCTCTCCCTCAACCCTCCTCTCCCCCGCCCCCACCTGACCCATCTCAATATCCACAACCCCCTTCTTCCTCGCCTTCGCCTCCCTCTTCCTCGCCTTCGCCTCCGCCTTCTCCCCATCCTCGCCAAACCACCAACCCCAACTCCCCAACCTCACCTTCTCCCTAACCAACTCCCTCGGCCCCACCGCCTCCATCCCGGGCCACCGCCTCGCCGCCGCCGTCGGCGGCCCCTCAAACACCACCGTCCCCGCGGCCGCGGCTGCCACCGGCGCCGGCCACGTCCCGCCACCATAAACGCCCTGCTGCTGGTGCTGGTGCTGCCGCTGTTGCGCCTCGACCGCAGCCGCCGCAGAACCACCACCCGCAAGGAGGCCGGTGGTGGTCGAAGCATCATCACGAACGGGCGTGGGGACCCCCACCCTCCGCCTCTCCGCGACCAGCACGGCCAAGACGGCGGCGACGGCCACGTCGACGACGTGCGGGTGCGGCGAGTGCGCGTGAGGACTGCTGTTCTTCTCGTCGGCGCCGAGCGCCGCGATGGCCGCGACGTCGACGGTCAGCGTCGCCGTGTGCAGCGCGAGCCGGGCGAGGACCTCGTCCGGGGCGGGGGAGGCGGGGCGGTCGCGCGAGGAGTCCGAGGAGGGCTTGGGTGAGGGACTGCCCCGCTTGCTATCCGTGTCCGGGGCGGCGTCTGCCGTGCTGCTGCGAGGCGCGGCGAAGGGGTTGAGCAGCGTGATGGTCGCGGGGACGGCCGGCCGAGGGCTGGTAGTGGGACTGCTTGTGCGGGCGTCGTTGCCGCCGCCGCCGCTACCGCCGCCGCCACCACTGCTCTCCGTCGTCGTCTTCTTCTTCTTGTTGCTGTTCGCTGCCGCCGCCGCCGCCGCCGCCGCCGCAAGACTCGCCCTCACATCCCCCTGCACGACGACCGGAAAGGCCCCCAGCGCCGGATGCCTCAACTCATACGTCCCCGTCTTGCCCGCCTCGTACGGCGCCATCAGCGGCTCCGCGACCGGGCAGTAGCGCAGCGCGCACGCATGCTGCGCCTCGCACGCCGCTACCGCGTCGGCGGCAAGGGCTGCCGCCGCCGGCGACTCGGCTCTCGGGTCGAATGAGGCGATTTCCGACGCGCGCGCCGACTGCGCGGCGGCTTCGAGGGCGCCGAGCGTGGCGAGCTTGGGGGTGATGGTCGTAATTGCCGTGGCTTCGGGGTGGCTTTCGCGAGGGGGTGCATGGCCGTGGGGAGGAGGCGTTTGGATGGCGAGGTGCGCGATGGGGAGGGAGTGGTGGTGGTGGGGGTTGTTGTTGTCTCGCGGTTGGGTGGGGTTGGTGCGGGAGATGAGGACCTCGCAGGCGTCCGTGTCCTTGTCGATGAGGGCTTGCTCGAAGCTGTAGAAGGGCTGGACGGGGGAAGCGCCGAAGACGAAGGCTTCGCCGTCGACGGGGGAGGAGGTGGGGCTGGCGTTGCGACGGTGCATTTGCAGGGCGTAGGTTCGCCACCCTTCTGGTCGGGCTTTGCCGTTGGCCGCGTCCCATAGAGTGCCGAGCTCGATTTTAGGAGTGTAGTATGGCTCTTCGGGTGAACCGCTCCGGAGCACGTTGGCGTGGGGTACGTAAAAGGTAGGCGAGTAAGGCTTCCGGCTGATCTTGTCCTTCGGGATGTCGGCTGGGGACGTCTGCGTTGGTTTGTATTGCTGATGTGATAATGGAAGATCTGGATTGTAGCGCGGGAATATCGACCGCATGACAGGTGCGTCCTTGGGGCTCGTCTGGCTCAATTTGGTCCGGTGCGTGGCCGTGCTTTGATTTCTGACAAGCGTCGTGGCATCTGAGAAGGCGGGCGAAGACGTGTAGAATTGGCGATCTGCCTGTGACAAAGGTGATATTGTATCTTCGGACTCCCTGCTCGGGGAGATGTTGTTCGGCGAGTGGCTAGTGTGGCCGCCCGAAGACGGAGTTGTTCTGCCATTTCCAGAGCGGAGAGATGAAGACCGGGCGCGCGACTGAGGACTGTCCGATCTCAACACATTCTTGCCGGTCCCAGTTGCCGAGGGTTTTGGTAAAGACTTTCCGGCGGTTGAGGAGCCAACGTGAGCCTGAGGTGGAGTTTCGATGGGAGATGCAGGATTGGAATTAACTTTGATGACGAGTTCGTGGAAGTCGACCGGCGCCTTCGCACGTTCAAGCAATTCAACAGCGGGCTCTGGGCTGGCAGGCTGTGCTGGCCGTTTGAGATTGATAGGCCTCTGTTTCCTGGGCGGGGGAGGAAATAGTTGGAAAGACATGCCGGGATTGGCGCACAGACTGCGGATGTAGTAAAGACAGGAATCTAGCGATTAAAGGTATTACAGCAGAGTAAAAGCCAGAACAAGAACCAGTCTTGCGGCGTAGGCGAAGAGAATGGGAAAACGGGAGGAACAGGGCGACGTCCAAGCGTCTATGAAGCAGGCCGAGCCGTGCAAAAGGGAGCGGTGGCGACTTGATATAACTCGACTGGCTGGGTGTTGCACATTCGGGCCGCCCAAAAACGATAGCGGCTGCAAAGCGGTGTTCCTGCATCTTCACATTCGGCAGTGAGCCAATGGACCGTGCAGGGCTGCGAGACGGTTGGATGAGGTTGGCTGACGTTAAGCGCCCACATTGTCTTGGCGGAGGTGATCGGCCCAACTGGGATGTGACTGTGCCTGGCCAGATTGCATCCTCGCGCTCATTGGCCAGACGATTTGCTGGAGAGTGTGGGTTCTGGCCATTTGGTGTGATATCGAATCTCGTAAGCCTCTTTCCGTGGGGCTACAGCCATGGCGGTGTGCCATCGGCGGCAACTCAATTGCCCGAACCGTGATCTTGTAGGGTTCAGTATCCTGGAGTACAGCCAGTTGCGTGAGAAGAGAGAAAGAAATGAAAGACAAGGCGACTAAAGAGAAACCGGGCACTATGTACCTCTCATCTCCGGAGGTGTTCCCTCGCCAGTGTGAACACCACAGCTACAGGACAAAACATGTCTACTCCTCACCACAAAGTAGCAGACCTCGCAACGAGGATATTTAAAGAACAGATGAGCAGCCACTGGGGAACTGTGGGCTGACGGCACTCAATCGGGAGGCATTCGTATCGGTTCCCAGTCAATAGCGCTCTCCTAAGAAGACTGCGGGTTGAGAGGCTGCGGAGGCGTCACACGGGTGAGAGCGAAACATGCGCGGTGTGATGAGCAGCGTGGATGGAGCGCGTCTACGTGCATCGGAGAGTGGAGGAGAGGGGAAAGGCGGCGGAGGACGACGAGGGCGCGAAGGCGCGAGGGCGCGAGGGCGCGAGGGCGCTTAAAATAGACACCGCGTGCGCGTCCGTGCGATAAGATAAGATAAGCCCCGCCAAAGCAAAAAAGTCCAAACCCATGACGCAGCCACCAGTCCTCGCGCCCAACTTTCACCCCCGCCCGCCAAAATGCCTACCGAGCTTGAGGAGGCAAGACAACCCCATCCGCCGAGTCGCCGTGAGCTAACGCCGCCATCTGCAGCTTGTGGAGTTCCTCCACCACGGCAACACCCAGATCCGCCAGATCGGTACGCTCGTCTCATCCTCCGCGCCCCAAGCCCTCAGCCCTCAATGCTGACTTGCGTCCTTCCCAGCCGCCGAAAACCTGGTCGGATACACCACCGCGCAGCCTTCGCTCTTCAAGCGCAACCAGCTTGAACCTATAAAAGACCTGAAGCTCCTGGTGAAGGACTACACAGTATGCGCCATCTGCGCTGACCACAGGGGTCCGTCTGCTGACAGGCGCACAAACAGGCCATAAGCAAAAATGCGCTTACCATGCTCATCAACCTCACGGATGACGACGAGAACCGCGAATGTCTGGCCAAGGACGACGCCTTCCTCGAGTCTCTGCTTCTGCGCATAACAGTATGTCAGTCAACCGGCACGGCCAACCCGTCCCTACGCCTCCACTCGATTCTGACACTGCCATCTCACATCAGAGCTCCAAAGAGCCCAATGCCAACGAGATCGCCATGCTGTTTGCCAACCTGGCCAAATCCGACTCGCTCAAGCGCATCCTGACGCTGGAGCGGGCGGTGCCCAAGGACCTGTCGACGTCCAAGGTGGCCATGGACCAGCTGATGGACTGCTTCGTCAAGGGCGCCGAGGGCCGCTACAACAAGCACGCCGATTACGACTACCTGTCGTACCTCTTTGCCGACATGGCCAAGCACGCCGAGGGCCGCGCCTACCTGACGACCCCGCAGGCCCGCGACGCCGACATCATCCCCATCACCAAGCTCACCGTCTTCACCGAGCACCGCTCCACCATCCGCCGCCGCGGCGCCGCCAACACCATCAAGAACGTCTGCTTCGAGATAGACGCCCACATGCGCCTGCTCGACGCCGACGGCGTCAACATCTTGCCCTACCTGCTTCTGCCCTTGATGGGCGGCGAGGAATACGCCGACGAGGACACCGAGGGCATGCTGGACGAGGTGCAACTGCTGCCGCCCGACAAGCAGCGCGAGCCGGAGAACGACATTCTGAAGACCCACCTCGAGACGCTGCTGCTGCTGTGCACCACCCGCGAGGCCCGCGACGAGCTGCGCCGCGTCAAGGTCTACCCTATCGTCCGCGAAACCCACCTGCACGTCGAGGACGACGAGGTCCGTGAGGCTGTCGACCGCGTCGTGCAGATCATCATGCGCAAGGAGGAGGGCGAGGAGGACGACATGCCGCCACCCGGTGGCAACGGTGCGCCGCAGATTACGGAGGCTGGTGAGGAGGATGAGGACGAGCAGGTGGTGACGATTTTGTAGACGATGAATCCCCGCAAAAGTAAGTGTAAAAGGAAAAAGGGTTGGATAGATAAAAAGACGATTGGAATGTTACAAGATGAGGCATCTTCATGGCACCTGACCACGCATTAATCGCGTGTACATTTGATTGAACAATGTTTGGTGCTTCTGTGCTTCGCGTAGGACGCTTCACTCCCTACATGGGCAGTTGAAGCAAACGTCCTACCGTAGATGTGAGACATAAGAACTATACGCACATAACATAGGATCATTCTACTGCACGCAAAACCAGTCCGCAAGATTTCCAACAGGTAAGGCTCAACGCCGCCGTACCCAACACCCTCTAAACCCCCTCCCCCCTCTACAACTTCTTCCTCAACAACCCCTTGAAGAAATCAAAACTATTACTATCACTCTGCAACTGCCACACCTTCCCCGTCCCCCTATCCTCCCACCCCAGCTCCTCCGCCACCAACAAGCCCCAGTCCCTCGTGATCCCTTTAACCCTCGCCCTCACGCCGCCCTCCTGCTCCAGCGTCACCACCTGCCCCTCATGCAGCCACAAGCCGTAATACATCCGCTCCAAGTCCTCGTCCCACCCGCCGCGGCAAAACCGGCGATACAGCTCCTCGAACCGCGCCAGCACGCTCGCGAGCAGCTTCTCGGCGCGGAAGGCGGGCAGGCCGCGGGCGCGGGCGAGCGCGTCCAGCGACGTCGTCGGCGCCGCGTTGGCGACGTTGACGCCCACGCCGGCGACCAGCGTGTACTCGGCGCCCTGGTAGCTCGAGTTGACGAGGACGCCGCCGATCTTGACGAAGTCGTTCGGGTCCGTGGATGTGTGGGTGCCGCCGGCTTTGAAGGCGGCCGAGTCCGGGCTCAGGGCGTAGATGTCGTTGGGCCACTTGAGGCGCACGGGGAGCGAGGCGTAGCCGGCGTCGTACGAGTGCACGCCCGCGACGGTGGCGAGCGCGGCGAGGTACTGGATGAAGACGACGGGGGCGGACTGCGAGAGCGCGACCGAGTGCCGCAGGACGGTGCTGTACATGAGGGAGCCGGGCGGGCTGACCCAGACGTTGGAGCCGCGGCCGCGGCCGGCGATCTGGGTCGTCGCCGTCGCGGTGAGGCCGGACGGGAGGTGCTTGAGGAGGCGGGGGTTCTTCTCGAGGAGCGTGTTGGTGCTGGTGACGACTTCGCCGTAGAGCAGGTAGCGGCCGAAGGCGCCGGCCGTGTCGCGCGTGCGCGAGTGGTACGCCGCGAGGTTGGCGTAGAAGGCGTCGTGGTTCCAGTAGGGCGTGGCTTTGCTCGAGGGCCGGTCCGTCTCGTGCGGCACGAGGCGCTTGACGACGGCGTCATAGTCGAGGATTCTGTCAGCCGTGGAGCTGGCGTCAGTCTTGCCCTCCGGTGATGCGCCGCTGCCCTTCTCTTCCTCCTCTTCTGCTGCTGATGCGCCGGGGATGATGGAAGTGACGGCTTTGGCGAGAGTGCTCATGGACCATGATGACGGCTTCTCTAGATGGAATGTGTCGTTCTCGCCCTTGATGTGCTCCTCCCCCTTTTCTACGGTGATGATGTCGGACCATGAGGACACCAGCTCTGCCACGTCGGAGGGGTTGGAGGAAGTGAGATGGAGGCGGGAGAGGGACGGTACCACTTGAGCTTCCTGGTTGACCTGCAGCCCCAACTTGATCAGGCAAGCCTTGAGGAAATCGGTCCTCTGCTTGTCATCTTGAGCCAGCGCGTCGACGATCTTGTCGTAGCCGGGGATATCCTCGCCTTTGCTGAGGTTCACGGCGGCGAATCTGCCAGTGTCAGTAGTGCTATGGCTCCATCATGAGCGAATTACGAACTCTGGATGAGGTCCAGTCAGGATGACGCCACCTTCGCCGACCTTGCGATACACAACCGCCGCAGTACCTTCTCCGGAATCAACATGTAGCTTGTCTGTGTAGCTCGCAAGGGTCTCAACGCCGCGATCCTTGAGTTTTTCGGCATCGACGAAGACACCGCCGCCGTTGTAGTAGGTGCGGAAAGATTCAGGCACGGCACCTCCGCCGGCCATGAGAGCCTCTTTGTTCACCTTCAGCTCGACGGCACGTGTGCCCGCCTCGCTGTGGTAGACGAAGCCAGGGAAGGCCAGGCCGCGGCAGACGCCCGGGTAAAAGCCAAGCTCTCTGTCGCCAACGACCTCCATCTTCTTGTCGCCGACTTCAAACTCGCAGTGCTTGCAGCCATAGTAGCCGCCGGCGCAGAAGCCGAGGTAGTTGCCGCCGCGGTTGACATACTGGCTGATGCGCCGGTTGCCCTCGCCGTTGAGGGTGCGGCAGTAGCCCAGGTCGGCGCCGCCGGGAATCACGAGCAGCGCGCACGATGCAGTCCATGGCTCGTTGATGATGGCGTTGCCGTCGACAGGAATCACGGCGTAGTTGGGCGAGAGTAGCCGTCGCAGACTCCACATGCAATGGCGCACGCTCTCGACGGTGCTACCGTTGCCTGAGGCCGAGAGTCAACGGATGATGTCTTTTGCGAGGCAGCTGATGGTCTTGACGTACCGGAGTAGACCAGCACGTTGGTCCGCTTACTCGCCATGATGGAGCGTGACTTGCAGTGGTGGTGTTGGAGTGGCGACACTTCCGAGCCTCAACCGAAACGAAGACGGCACGGCCAGTCTTGGACCAAGAGAAACAACCAGCAGAGGGAGAAGAGCAACAGTGATGGCAAACGACGCAAACCGGACGGCAGCGACGCAGGCGGCAGATGACGACGAGATCGACGACTGGTAAGCCTGGGCGGCGTCTTCAGCGCCAGTCTCTCGCCTACTGACGCCCAGCTTGCAGGGACAAGCGGATCTTCTCGACGGGCTGTGCGCAAGAGAATGCAAAAATGACGGATTGCTACTATGAGAAGAAGGATTGGCGCGCCTGCAAGAGGGAGGTAAGCTCAGCTGTGCCCGTCGCCGATTCCGCTCGTTCGTCGTCGCCCAACACTTTTCGCCTCCGAAATGCCCGCGGCTCTGCCGGCCGAATCACCTTCGCCCAGGCTTTCCCTGCGCTTCTGATACCATTGCATGTGCTAACCGATTCTCTCCAGATGGACGCATTCCGCGAGTGCTGGAAGCGTCAGGGAAACAATCAGCGGACCTCTACGAAGGACGCCTGAGAGTGGCCCTCTCTACCATCTATCCTTTTGCTTTTCGCATACATCGAGTCTCTCCTCTAAGATCCCATGCAAAATCGACGCTTTGTTGGCTTAGGAACTGCTTTGCTACTACACCTTGGGGAGAAGTGAACCATATGTAGCTCCAGAGGCCACACGTAGCCGCCTCAATGGCATACTGTAGATTGGCCTGGATCAAGCCAAGTAGCGCCGTTGCTGAGCAATGTGCTCGCTGTCCCTCCCATCCTGCTTGAGTATGCACTCGTCCATCTTCTACTTCAAGGCGCATGCTAGCCCATCACCGCCTTCTCCAGCAGCTTCCTCAGCACCAAGGCGTGGTAATTTGTTGTCTTTCCAGTCGGAGGTTTTAGGGCTGTCTCCTTCTTAATCTTCCTCGCGGCCTCTAACTCAGCATCTGTCCACTTCCACTTCGACCCTTTCGCAATTGCAATCCTCCCACGCCCATCCTCCTCAAACCTCGTCTGTGTAACGCAAGCCCTTCCAAAAACCATACTCCACGCAGGCCAAGCCTGTCCGCCCTCCGAGCCTTCGCCCTCACCCTCCACCAAAGCCTTAGCCCTCCACCACTCGTACAGCCTGAGCCTTTCCTCATTCGCCCACTCCTTGACATCCCTATCCCCCCGGGCCGCGACCCTCCTCCACTCCGGGAACCACAGCCCGAACGTCCCCTTCCCCGGCGCCGCCCGCCGCTTCACCATCACCCCTCCCCCCTCGACCGTCCGCTCCTCCTCCTCCTCCCCCTCCCCATCCCCCCCCTCCAGCGGCCGCACCTCCTCCTCCTCCCCCCCCGCCGCCGCAACCTCCACAAACGCCGCCTCCGTCGCCTCCGCGCAGTCCAGATCCGCGGGGCTCAGCCCCGGCGGCCCATGCGTCGTCCACCGCACGTAGACGCGGCGCCCGCACCCGCTCCAGTCCGGGTCGTGCGCGCGCGCCGCCGCCACCTCGTGCGCCACGCGCCAGCTGAACGCCGCGGCGCGCTGCGGCGTCGCGAAGACGTACGTCCGCTCGAGCGCGTCGCTGGCGCCGTGCTCGCCCATCGCCTTTGTGAGCCGCCACGGCGTGGTGGCGAGGAGCGCGTGGAGCCGGGCGAGCAGCGCGGAGGCCTTGTGCGTGGTGGGGTCGAGGGAGACGAGCGTGATCAGGGGCGCGGAGGGGGCGCTGGAGAGGGCGACGAGCGTGGAGGTGGAGGAGCGGCGGCGGGAGGGTGCGGGCGCGGGCGCGGGAGGATGGGGCCGCGAGGGGGGTTGGTGGTGGTGGTGGCGCGGGAGGGCTGCGAGGGTGATGGCGCGGTGGTGGTGGTGGTGGTGTAGGCGGTGCGCTCGGATGACGGCGGTGGGTGAGGTGCGGAGACGCGGTGGCATTCGGAGGGCGGTGGAAGACATGGTTGATGGATGTCGTGGTTGTAGGCCACACGGGTGCGCGTCTGTTGTCGCGGGGTGGCAGAGGGAAGGAGGACGGGATGATGTGGTGGATCTCTACTAGGTACTACTTACCTACCTAGGTAGTACCACAGTAACGGTCCGGATTAATTCTTCCCGACTACATTCATATAACCTAGGTACCTGCCTGACTCTACATACGTAATTGGCTTCTCTACTTAGCTTTAATCCGTCATCCTGGCGCTACCTCTCTGACGGCACAGCATTTTGAAAATCTGCGAGGGCCCAAGCTTCTTTCGAGGTCAGCGCGGGTTGATGATGAGCAATTCATGACTCGTTGGTAATACGACAGGCTCACTACAGCACTTCTCTCTTAGGGTATGTTCATACATTGCTTACAGCTCTCCAGAGTAGTTGTGCACATTATTTCTAGAATGGATATCGAAAACATCGAGCATTCGTGACAAAAGGCATGAGCAACTGCTCGTCATATCTTGCCCGGCCTGATAATTCGAGGTCGACGCCTGCAAAGCCCACAGTATGTACGATTTTTGTTTTCATGTCCTTCCCAAGTCAATATCCAGGACCTGCTTCAGCTTATCTGTTCCTTCAGGCTTAGCCCCTTCAATCTGGAAGAACGGCTTCACGGCTACGTCAACAGTCTCTTCAAAAAGCCCCTCGACGATTCCCTTGAGCTCGTCTCCAGTCTGCCGGAAGTCAGGGAATGCGTTGATCTCGAGTAGCCAAGCGTTGCCCTGCCCATCGACCATGTAATCGACGCCGAACAATTCAAAGGCCTGGGGCAGCGGCTGGAAGTGGATCATCATCCCACGCGCCGCGGCTTCGAACAGCTCGCCGGTGACGGTGCAGATCTGCGAGAAGACGTCCTCCTTCCAGCCTCCGGACAGACCGGCCAGCTCCGCATGCGCGGCCGTATTCGAGGCGTCAAGGCTGTCGGGCAGATCCCAGAAGGCGCGCACGCTGCCTTCGCGCTGGTCGGAGCCCTGCAGGCACGTGTTGGTAAGATGGGCGCGGAGGTCGGGCTGTCCGCTATCCTCGTCCGAGTCGGCCTTGTCCCACGGCGCGCTGTAGGGGGTGGCGGCAAAGAGGGCGAGCATGGGCTTGTAGACGTATACGCGCAGGGCCCCGACGGCTAGCACGTATGTGCGGATGTGGAACTTGCGGTCATCAAAGGTGAGCGGTGGGTGGATGTACGGTTGCGCGATAAAGTGACGCAATTGGGAGGTGATGATGTACTCCTTCTTCTCCTCCGTGACCTGGATTGTGGAGGAATCAAGGAGCTCGTTGCTGTTGCTCCGGGCGGCGGCATTCTCCCTCTCGCCATCTTGGCGGTCGTCCTCATTGTCTTCCTCCTCATCATCGGAGTCAGGGCGCTCCGCTTCCCATGCTTCGAAGATGTCCTGAAGCTCGTGCTCGGTGCTGAAGATCTTGATGCCCTGTCCGCGATCGCTCATTCCAGGTTTCAAAATCCACCATTCCCGATCTTTCGGGTCTTTCTCCACATTTTTCTGGAAGGCTTCTTGCAGCTCCCAGGCTTCCACAAGGGCGTCGTCCAGGAACTCTGCATAATCGAGCTCAAATTCCACGCTCGGCTTCACGTGGTCCTTCAGCTTCGACTCCGGGTGTTTGACGATCCAATGGGAGACGGTGGTCGAGAGGTAATGCTTCCTTATTAAAGCCTTGCGGATGACGTAAGCGTTGATGAGGATGTTGGGCATCTCCACGGCCTTTTCGAAATCCAGCGCCTCGTACGCGCGGAACTGGATCATTGGGCCCACCCGGTGCTCCTCGGAAGATTCTATGAGCTTGAACGCGTTCGCCGGAAGGCATTTCTGGAAGGCCGCGACAATGAGAGGCTGCACGTAAGGGTCCTCATAGTCCAGCAGGCAGTCTATTGGCCGACTTGCCGACATTTTGGTCACGACGTAGGTACCTTGAGGCATGGTGAGCGGAAAGATGGCCGTGGAGGAGGGTGGCGGGGAGAGAACAGCGGCAGGTGGGGGACGAAAAAAGCAACGGAGCACTAGCTATATAGTGCGGGTCTGGAGATCCGGGACGGGACGCGCATGGAGCAAGAGCAAACGGTGGTCAAACATGCAGGTGACTTACAGACGGCTCGCTCAAAATCGACGAAAAACGGGAAGCAGGAATGCTGCCAAGCTGGCGTGGCTGGCGGTGGCGGCGGGGCTTGGAAATCAGCGGGCGCGTTGGTGCAACGGTGCGCCTCTGCGGACCCGTGTGAAGTTTTGGCCCAGGCCTACCTAGCTCGGCCGCGATACCGGCGACAGCAGCCGGGGGTCCGCTTGCATGGCCCCACACGTGACAACTATACAACAGGCGGCACTCTGGTGTTGACTGTTGCAATTGCTACATGTCCGAAACTGGAACTTGGGTGCTTCTTCGCGCAGCCATGATTCAAAGCCCATCCCATTAACGCCACGCAATGCTGACCAATATTCTCGAGACACCTAAAAATTCTGCTGCGACATGAACTAACGAAAATCAACCTTCAGTCGCCCGATGTAGAGCATCGTTCTTGGCACCCACTCATTTCTTGACGGGAGCTTTGGTGAAGAACGAGCTAAGTTTTTTCATGCCCGACGTGTCTGCTTTCGCTAGTTGCTTCACACCACGACTTTGATTCTTCTTCTTCACCTCCTCTTCATCCTTCTTGCGTTTCTTCTCCGCGCGCATCGCAGCCGCTTCATCGTCTTCCATGCCGTGCTTGCGAGTGATGTTGTCGGACAGAGACCGCAATGCCTGGGCCTCTGACCTGAGTGTGGCGAGTTCCTGTAGGTGCTTATCTAGCGGGTCGAAGTCCACCATGCTATTTGATGACCATGCCGGTTGTAGAAGCGCGCGGATGCTGGGCGGCAGATACGAGGATGAAATAAAGTCAATTGCGGTGCGCAAGCGTAGAAGATGGGGTATCCCCTCAGGAGCATCGATTGGCTGCTGTTGTGCAGGAGATGTGGTCTGCTGATCCGTCATGGCGGATGTGGCTGCATAATCATCCGACTTCTGGGAATCCGTTGTCATCTCCGCATCAGTCGTTGTCGCGGTCGTGGTTTCTGTTTTTGCAGCCTCGCCATCTTCTGACACGAGACTTACGGTCGTGTCCTCGCGCTTGATGCTCATGACAGGCCGCTCCAGTGCCTTTCGAACAAATTTCTCTTCCATCGAGGCAGGAAGTCCGTTCCCGACAAAGCGCTCAGCCTTGGCCAGTAGCTCTCTCGCCAGCTTCTCAATGGACAGTCGGAACATCTTCTCGTCGCCAGCATCGACTGTATCGCATGCTGCTGCCATTCTCTCCTCTACCCGTGTCCGCAGTGTATCGTTTTCTAAGAGCTTCCGCAGCTGCGCACATGAGCTTCCCAGTGAATCCATATGGTCCTCCACAGACAAAAACAATTGCTTCTCGCCGCCCTTCGCTGAAGGAACCAGTGCTGGTAAGGCAAGGAACAGAGCGTCGACCGGTGTAGCCACGAAAATGTCCGGACTTTTCAATGTGTAGCCGTTGCGCAGCGAATGAACAGTCTCGCCATCCACATTATCTGCTTCTTTCCTCTGTTCAGGCTCTCCATATCTTTGCGGCGCAAGGAGCCAGCTTTTCGATGCAGACTTCGGGGCAGCGACTCTGGTGAACTCGTAGAATCCCTTGCTCGGACAGCAAAAGTAACGATTCGCTGACGACGAAGCGGGGTTTGGAAGTGTTACTATGTGCGCTTGCGAAGAGACATCTCTTGGAAGGACGAAAAGCTTAGGAGGATTGGGGTCGGCGGTGGGCGGTGCGGGACCGGCTGCGGGTGCGGTCTTTTCGGGCGCGTCGTTCTTGGCGGATGGCTTTTTTGATCGCGTCTTCATTTTGGCTGGGTGGGATATGGTACAAAGACGATTGGTGGGCGGCAATCGTGGCAGCAGTGCTGGATTCTGCAGACCTGTTGGCGGCGAAGGTTGATGCTCAGCCGGCGTAGATGCGAGGGCGGGCGCGGAAGACGCGTCGGAGGAGCTGACGCGCGCGCCAGACAGGCACAAGCGAGCGGGCGCGTCTCGCTACCGCAAGCAAGGGCCCTGTCGCATCGTCCAGAGCGCCATCCTAGCGCCATCCTTGTGCCTTAGACGCAGCACGAAACCACTTCCGCTGTAGCACAAGACAAACACTCCGCCCGCACCACAACACACGACCGATCCGAGCGGCCAGAGCCCAGTTGCGCCTCGAGTCCCGGACATGGTGTGCTTGAACGGAGCGGTCCCTTATCCCACGGCGCATTGGAAGGCCTGTCGATGATCAAGACCGACGACGCCATGTCTCACGGTGCGCCTGCCTGTGCCGTGCCTGTGCCGCCCGCGCCTCCCGCATGCTAACCGCTGTTCAGCGCCGTCCCAAAACGATTCGAACTGGCCCCCCAAGTCTCCCCATCAGGCCCTGCTTAGCTCCCCCAGCGGCCGCAAGAGATGGGAGCAGCGCCGTCGTAACCAGCCGTCGCCCTCGATGGGCAGCCCTCGGACCGCATCGCGCGCCTCGCAGCTCCTGTCGGACGGTATAGAAGGTGATGATAACGAGGAGGAGGATGAAGACGAGGAGACGTTGCAGCTCAAGCTTCAGGCAATCGAGGCCCGCCTCCGACTCAAGAAATTGCAGGCTGCCAAGGCGAAGCAGGCCAATACTGAGGCAGATGAAGGTGAAGGGCGCGACATATTCAGCCCACATCCTCTCAAGAACGCAGCATCTTCAGATCAGTCGCGGGCAACGGGTCGAATCAGGGCTCAGTCCAACGTTCAAGTCCCTCTATCCCCCGTGAAACGTGGCCGGGTTCCGCTTGATCCGACCTCCCCTGCGCGTGTGAAGCTTGGTATCGATAAAGGGTTGCGCGCGCAAGACGTTTCTCTAAAACGACCTACATTTTCTCAGGATACTTCGAACACTTCTTCGCGACCTAGCTCGAAAGCACGCTCAGACCGCCCAAGCTCGTTCAGCGGTCCTAGTGGAGTTGCTGCGCGGGACGGGGCTCTAGAGAGGCCGAAGTCATTCAGTGAACGGCTTGCTGAGACCAGGTTGAAAGACAACGAGAAGCTGGCGAAGGATGAAAGAATCCAAAAGGCTAGAAGCCGGGGCTTTGGACTGGGTGCAGCGGAGCGTACGGCCAGCAGCCAGGACGGTCGGACTCCTTCGCAATTGTCAAATGGGAGTGGATCACATACTTTTGAGAAACCCGCTCGCCCCAGTTTCCTGCGGCGAAAGCAGTCCTCTAGCACCAACAACTCTTTGGACAGCTCAGCAAATACGTCAAGGCCAAATTCTCGTCATCGTTCTGCATCGCAAACATCAGCTACTACAGATCCACCTCCGAGGAAAAATTCCAGTTTCTCCGGATTGCCTGAATCAACTGCAGATGATGGCGCCTCATTCGAACCATTCACTGGGATTCATCTCTCCAGGCGGCTTCTCCCGCATAATATCATCACTCGGGCATTTGATCAAAAGGAACTGTATCCTCTCCCCCGACTGCTTGCGACCGTCAAAGGCCCCGATTATGATCCTCCGGACCATGAAGCAGACTTTGTAGTTCTGGGAGTGATTGCATCGAAATCGACCCCACGAGACCTTAAGAACATGCCCAAGGCCGCATCGACCGCGGATCCGGATGATGACGATGGACCGAACAAGTCTAAGTTCATGGTGTTGCATCTGACGGATTTCAAGTGGGAAATCGATCTTTTCCTTTTCGGCACTGCCTTTACCACATTCTGGAAGCTGACGCCCGGTACACTCATTGCCATCCTGAACCCTGGAATCTTCCCTCCTCGGGACAAAAGAACAGGGCAGTTCTCCCTGAAGATTGGATCGTCTGAGGACACTATCCTTGAAATCGGCAACGCTCGTGATCTTGGCTTTTGCAAGAGTGTCAAGAAAGATGGGCAGGAATGTGGCAGCTGGATCGACAAGCGCAAAACCGAGTTCTGTGAATATCACGTATATCTGCAGGTTGAAAAATCTAAGCGTGGCCGTATGGAGGTGAATACCATGGCGGGATTTGGGAAGGGGCTTTCAGGTAAAAATGGGGCAGGCCCGGCAGAGACCAACAAACAATACGACAGCTACTTGCACGAGACCATGTATGTTTTACCGAAGCATATGAGCGGTAGAAGTGCCGCAGCTCGGCTGGATCACGACGAAGATGCCATCAACCGCGGAATGAGTCGTGAGGACCTGCACCGGAAGAGGCTCGCCGAGAAAGAGCGAGAGCGCGAACTCGCAGACAAGCTGAGCCGCATTGGCGGCAAAGCGGGCAGCGAGTACATGAGGGCAAAGGCAGCCGGCCGGCCCGACGCCTCCTCCACCGCAGACAGCTCGAGAAACAGCAGCCGCCAGACGTCCGCCGCCGGCGCCGCGGGCGCTTACAACACCCCATTCAACCGCTTACACGACGGGCCCGATCCCGTCGACGCGGCGTCTCTCGGCCTCCTCGGCAAACGTGCCGCCGACGTCTCCCTCAACCCCATCAAGCGGAAGCGCACTGCGACCCTGGGCGGTGGAGGCGGCGGCGGCGGCGGCGACGGGTCCCAGGCCACCACGGTTGCTTCTTCGTCCTACTCCGCCCGCCACACGGCCGAGCCCATGGGATGGGGCGGTGCCAACAAACGCGAGCTTCTCCTCAGTCCATCCAAGAAGAAGCTTGTCGGCAGCAGTGGCACTCGCCGCATCGACGACATGCTGCGTCGAGACGGGGACCCGCGGCAACAACAACAACAACAACAGCAACTACAGTCACCGGCCCTGCAATCACCGCGAGGCGTGCTGCATCTGCCCGAGCGCAGCAGGAGTCGAGAGGGTAGCCCGAAGAAAAAGGCTAGGCTGATGATTGAGGGGAAGGGCATCCGAGAGCCCGGTCGAGAGAGTATGGGGAGTGCGGCGGTTGTGACGAAGGCGACTAGCAGTGATGATGACGATTTGGAAATCATCTAGATGAGTGAATGGGTCCTGGCGTTGTGTCTGGTTCTTTTGTTAAGACAAGAAGGTTGGCGTCTGAAAGGTGTTGTTGTGGCGGCGTGGGGTAAATGTAAAGGAAGGGACAAAAAAAAGAAGTTTGAGGTCACGATCAAGGAGCACTGCTGCATAGGTTGGCTCTTGGCTTTTTCGTCTCCCCTTTTTTTTGTGGGGGCTCCTGTATTCCAGACGACTCGGTATTCTTTTTCTGTTTATTTTCCGGCTTATTGTTCAGGATGGAGATGGAAGGGGAGTAAAAGGCTTGTATGATATCCCGCGTTCGAACGCATGGATGTAACAGTGGCTTTTTTTTCCTTCATGAATTTCACAGCCCCAATTTGAGCCAGGTCTGGGAGAGCGGAGATCTGGCGCAGAGGACCTCCATGAGAGATGGCTACAGCAAATGATTTGGTATACTCCAGCTGTAGAGGTGTTCTCTCCAAGATCTGTGGCAATTTGCCGCCTCGTCTTCGTCCTCGTCTTCAACGCGCCGGGCGCTGAAGGCGCTTCCAAGAATGGAGGCCGGCCGCTTGGCCGTGGTCGCACCTTCTGAATGCACGGCACGGAGTCCGAATGGGACCCAAGTGCACCTGCTCTGTATGTTTGGGAAAGCGCAGCGCCCGGCAAAGGAAAGCGCAGTTCCCGGCAGAGGAAAGCGCAGCGCCCGGAAAAGGACAGCGCGAAGGTGCCTGCGTGTGGCAGCTGACTGTGTCCTTCTCAGCGCTCTTATCCTCTCCTCTCTCCCTCCGGCGACTGACTCCAGCTACAAGCAACAATTCTCTCCTTTCTTCCTCTTCGGCAACAGACGCCCAGCTGCACGCAACAACCCCTCTCCTTTCTCCCTCTACGCCAACCGAATCACACTTGTATGCAACACCTCGCCCTTGAGAACCCAAGAGCAACAGCCCATGTTTTCTTACAGTAGATATGCTAACTTGACTTTTTCTAGCCGCCGCCGCCGCCGCCGCCGACACAATGCCAGGTATGTACGCTTAGAAGCTTTCCTTCCATTTCTCTGGCTCAATCCTCAATCATTCCGCCGCAATCTTCCTACTACACACAAACACACACACAGGAGCATTTAGATGTTAGGCTAACGGTATGTATAGAAATCGAAAATCCCGCAAGACCCTCGTTGGAGGGCAGCCAGTCGACCTCTTGTAAGTACCTTGGACTTCTACGCTCTGTTTTCCGATTGGAAGAGTTTATATTAATTTAGTGATAGCGGTCGACTGGAGATCGATTTGGGCGCAGATTCCCATGCTGCTCGCAGTCGCCTTCGTCTGATGGCTGGCCTCCGTAAGTTATACTCCACCGCCGAGAAGTAGATATAGCTAATATAGTAATATAGTGGGCCTAGACATGGGTCCAGTCCAGGCCCAGTGGACGACCTGGAGATCGGGAGGGAAGGGGGGGATGATTCCGCGTCGGCCTTCCGGCTCTGGCTCCGGCAACACGGGGCCAAGACGTCGAACGGCGTGCACCCCAACACCACCCATCTGATCCAGGCCGGGGCTTCCCCGGACCCGACCAAGGAACAGAAGGCCAGGGACACCCCGGGTGTGCGCAGGATCCCTTTCCGGGAGTTTATGCTCAAGGCCAAGGCCATCGCCAAGGAGCACAGCACCATCGTCGTCCTCCCGCTACTGCTGCTACCGCTGCCGCCACCGCCACCACCGCCACCGCCCAGCACCAGCAACAACAACAACAACAGCAACAACAGCAGCAGCAACAGCAGCCCTTGCCCGCGCCCGGGCCGCCCGGGAACCCTCCCATATGGGTACGCGCTTTCGAGTCTACGCGTGATACCATTCGCGGTTGGGGGGGGGGGGGGTGGACCGGGGCCCCGGGTGCGGGCGTAGAGCTGGAGGAGCTGCTCCCGGGTGGAGGGGGAGGAGGGGGGGGACGTCGGCTGCCCTGCCCCACGATGACGCAGAATTGCTGCTGTTACTGCGGCTGCTACTGCGGCTGCTACTGCTGCCACCGCCGCCAACACGCCTGCGCCTGCGCCCGCCGCCGCCGCCACCACCCACCAGCAGCAAGATGCTGCCTCTTCTCCGTCGCCGTCGCCCGCGCCGCCCGCGTCCCCATGGACTCTCCCACGGCGGTCGAACACATTGTAGAAGCCATGACTGCCTCAATCAGTTTCATGCGGGCCACGGGCCGAGTCAGTCGGAATGTGGAGCACGGCTCCAGCATGGAGCTGCGGGACTTGCTCCCCGGGCATGGCCGGGGTGGAGGGGACTAGGAGAACTAGGATTGGGAGAACGAGGATTGGGAGAACGAGGATTGGGAGGACGAGGATTGGGAGGACGAGGATTGGGAGGACGTGGATTGGGAGGACGAGGATTGGGAGGACGTGGACGAGGACAAGGACGTGGAGCAGGACAAGGACGTGGAGCAGGACAAGGACGAGGATGAAGACGAAGACGAGTACTAGGACGAAGACGAGCTCTTTTTTCTTTCTAATATTTCAATTAATCGGTATAATGAAAGTTGTCAAAAAGTAACGACAACTGGTAAATGTTCAAGTACAGTAAGCACTAGTGCGTAAGTGATTAGTGAGGGGAACCGTCATATAAATACTGAGTGCCAGCCTCCAAACCTCCTGAACCATTTGAAACAAAACCAACCGTTACAAGTATGTCACTCACAGCAGTAGCAGAAGTAGTTCTGGCCAACGCCAAAGAGCTGGACAAGCGCGGCGTCGTCGACATCGAGTCCAAAATCGGATTCCGCGACCCGACCCAAAGCGACCTTGACTGCCGATCCCGCCTGATCACCGCCATCCGGGAGCTGGAAAGAATGGCTCTCGGTCCAGCGGAGACCATATACAACATGCTAATGGCCAGCGTACCGTACCCTCCCCTCCCGCCTTCCACTCAACCCCGCCCAAACCCCCAACTAACCCACCCCAGACCGGCGATATCACCAGCCTTCTCACCCTCTCCCGCTACGCCATCCCCACACACGTCCCACCCCACGGCACCACCACCATCGCCGCCCTCGCACAAAAATGCACCTTCACCACCACGACCAACCCCACCACCACCCCCTCCCCCTCCCCCTCCCACACACTAGACGCCCAAACCCTCGCCCGCCTCCTCCGCCCCGCCATCGTCTCCGGCATCTTCGCCGAAGGGCCCGAGCCCGGGTCCATCAGCCACACGCCGACGTCCCGCCTCCTCCTCCGCGACCCGGACTTTCTCGACCTCATCGGCTTCTACGCCGAGGAGAACGGCGCCGCGGCGGGGAAGGCGACGCTGGACGGCCTCGAGCGGTGGCGCAACTCGCGCGAGCCGGCGGAGACGGGCTTCGCGGTCGCAGCTGCTGCGGGCCAGCGGCGCGGGGAGCGGAAGGAGGAACCGGACGGCGGGAAGCACGGAGGAGGAGAAGGAGGAGGTGAAGGAGGAGCGGGCTTTTTTGCGGAGCTGCGGCGCGATCCCGCGCGCGTGAAGAGGGCGGCCGGCGCGTTCAATGCGTTGCCGCAGATGCTGGTGCAGGGGAACGACGGGCTGGCGGCGTCTCGCGTGTGGCGGGAGGTGGATGCTTCCGCTGACGACGGTGGTGCTCATGGGGAGGAGGAGCAGCCGGACGACGCCGACGCAGCCGCCGCCGCCGCCGCCGCCGCCGGCACCGCCCTCGTCGTCGACGTCGGGGGCAACCGCGGGCACGCGAGCATGGCGATCGCGGACGCGACGTCGGCGCGGGTGCGGTTCGTCGTCGAGGACCTGGCGGGGCCGGTGGCGCTGGGGGAGCGCGGGCTGCCGGACGAGTATCGCGGGCGGGTGTCGTTTCGGGTGCAGGACTTCTTCGAGGAGCAGGCCGTGGTCGGGGCGGACGTGTATTTTTTGCGGAAGGTGCTGCATGATTTCCCCGATCATTATTGCGTGAGGATCGTGCGGGCGTTGGTCCCGGCGCTGAAGCGGGGCGCGAGGGTCGTGGTGTGTGATCGACTGATGCCGGACATGGCGAAGGCTGGGTATGAGCAGCGAGAGGCGAGGTATGTTGGTTTGTGTGGGTGTAACTTTGTGTGGTGATTGCTGATTTTTCGTTGTAGGTTCAGTGATCTTACGATGCTCCAGTTGTTGAACGGTCGGGAACGAACCGAGACTGATTGGAAGGAGTTGTTTGCAGAGGCGGACTCAAGGTTTGATGTCGAATTCGAGCATTGGACTGGAAACCTTCATGGCCTGATCATTGCGACTTGGAGACCTGAACAGACCGGCCATCAAGTGAAGCTTTAGCCCAAGCGCATTGTGCACTTAGCCAGGCGAATGAAGAAAATAAAGAACAGCAGTGAACAGAAAGACAAGACTTGAAACGAAAGCACTATAGTAGTTTGTGTGATATTTCGAAAAGTAGAGTCGCTCTTACGTTGACCATCTAACAAACCTGTCTTGATAAGGGGAGATGCCCAGCTCTGATCAGCGCCGGATATTTTGATACAGTCATAACACGTCGTGCCACCCATTCCCAACCAAACTGATACTCCACACCGAAACATGAAAGCTCACAAAATCCACCCATCTAATTCTATAGGGTTCTTTCACAGGTATTGTCCCAAGTACGGGATGCTTTGGAAAAGCGCATCATAATCCTTCGCAACCCAACCCGTGGCAGGACCGCCTTGACCAACAACTCCAAGACCTCCCCAAAGCCACAGGCCGGTGACCGCAGCTGCAAGAGCGTTGATACTATACCACCTCCTCTTCCTGATGAGTTGTCCCTTGGCACCACCGTGCACCACGCTGGCCGGGTTCAGGTTCAACCACTTCGCCCACCCCCAAATCGCATGCCAGACGGTCACGCTCACCAGGGCCGAGAATCCAGTGAAGGTGAGTGCGGGATGCCGTGCGAACGCGTGACTGACATACTCCAGTCCAATTCCGGCCGAGCTGCCTTCAACCCAGAGAGGCAGGATGCGATTAGCAAAGGCGTGGCCGCCGACGAGGATGGTTGTCAGGTAGCCGAGTGCTGAGGTACCGGAAAGTTTCGGCCATGGTACGGAACGGCGTTCGGAGAAAGTCAAGCCGTCGCCTGCGTAGCGCTTCAGGGTTTGCCTTCGCCGGTAGATGCGCAGCGCGATACCGGAGCCGACATGGGCGACGAGAGGAGCAACGACAAGGAGAGGCTCAAAAGGAAAGTCCTGGTAGTAGGGCCGGGTCAGGAGTAGGTAGGTGTCACTTGCGGCGATCGAGCGGGTTGCCAGTGGTATAAGAGCGGTGTTGGTGATATGGGCGGCGGCAAATACGGAGAATGCATACGATGAGTATTTTTGTATGCGTGTCACTAAATCATTATTAGCAAAAGCCTCTTGGCTCTTTGAATGTGGAAACAAGAGAACGAGTCTCGAGTGTCCGCCCGACGTCATAAGGCCAAGTATGCTTGAGACGGGGAAGGGTCCGGAAGGATTCAGCAACCAAGAGTGACCACTTCTTGGCGCCAGGGGCAGACAATGAAACTGATGAACATGGCCAACTCTTTGCAACAGATAGCTCAAAGGGAGTTTCAAGTAAACAGTCGTATACGTACAGTAGAAAGCAGGGCCACGGCCACTGAAGCCTAGTGTTGCTGAATGCGAGAGTAGCTTCGGCGGTGGGTCCTCTGAGGCGGTCTCATCGGGGAAATAGCTCTTTTCAGTTTCATACGGGGAGTCGTCCAGCGGCGACGGCTCGAGGACTTCCAGGCTGAAGACCGACGCCGCGTAGTTGGCGTTGTACGGCATCCTGGGCGATTCAGGACGTCGAAGAGGAATGACGTTGGGAGAAGGCGAACAGAGCGGTAAGCGGAAATGCGAGGCTTGTGACGCGCTAGATCATCGGCGGATCGGCGAAAGTCGTGGCCAAGCGCGGGCCGCCGATCGCTCTCCAGCTTTCGTCACTCGGCTGCTGGGAGCCGCAACACCAACCCGACAACATCACCGGCCGCCGTTCGTTCCCACAACATCTGAACGCAACCACAAGCGTTTCGCTTGAAATCCGCCAAGATGCCTCCGGTGAGTGCGCTGCTTGTCCCGAGAGGGAAACTTTTCTGCTAACTCTCTGTGCAGCGCACCTTCATGAACCCGGCGCCCAAGGTCAGCTGCTCCGCGCGCCACCGGCTCACCGACACAGTCCCGCTGACTGCTCCCCGCGCAGACCGAGAGTGCCCGCGAAGCCGCCAAGAACTTCTTCTGTGTGCAATCCCGTCCGATCCGCAATCTCCCGGCAGCCCAGTGACTCGAGACCGCAGGCGACCTCTGCCAGAAGGGCTACCAGCGCCACAACGAATATGAAACCCACATTGGCTCGTACGACCACCAGCACAAGAAGGAAAGAACCCCATTGACTACACTACAGACACCACCACCTCAGCATGAGCGTTAGCACAACCCCCCACTCTCCCCCCGCTCCACACCCATCAAACAAAACAGCACAATAACCACCCACCCCTGCCAACAGCGCCTCAAGGACATGAAGGAAATGTCCAAAAACCCCCAAGCAGCCGAGAAGGCGCGCCGCGCCGAGCGCGCCCGCGACAAGGAAGCCGGCTTAGTCAAACTCGACATGTCTGCCAAGACCCCCGCCGCGGGTGGCGGCGGTTTCAAAAAGGGCGGCTTCAAGAGTGCATTTGCATCTGCATCTACTGACGACGCTGCCGGTGCCAAGGCCGCCGGAAGTGGGGGAGGAGGGTTCAAGAAGGTGTTCGCGGCCGTCGGCGGCGGCGGCGGCGAGGACAAGGGCAAGAAGCCGGGAGAAGAAGCTGGCGGTGCGGCGGGCGTGCAGGCTGGTGGACCTGGCGTCGGTGGCGGCGGCGGCGGTGGTGATGGTGGATCTGGTGCTGGTGGCAGTAGTGTCGGCGTCGGTGTCAGTGGGACCAACTACGGCGACGACGGCGACGACCACGACTACGCCGGCTCCGAGACGGACTCGGACGCGGATCTGGGCTACGAGAAGTACGACCCGGCGCGCCCGACGGGCTGCCGCGATCTCAACTGCGACTGCCACGCCAAGGGCAACATCTTTCCGCAGACTATCTTCCCGGAGTGAACTTTGGCCGGTTCGGTCCGCTTCTTCGAAGGACCTTAGCGGGCATACGAAGTGCCATTTCTCTTCATCAGTCAGAGGTTCACAACGCGGCGTTAAGGGGAGTAGAGAGTAAAAAAAAAGATACCCGTGAAGCAGCGACAGCAGCATTTAGCGCAAGCTTCTAGATGATCACACGCATCAAATGGATGTACAACGGTCAAATGATGAAATACCCTTTTCCTGAAACCGACTTTGTTTTTGTGTTGAGCAGAGTGATGGTTTTGATCTATCGCAACTGAAAATAGCGGACTAGGCCACTACCATTTCTCCATGCCATTAAAACGCCAATGCCCCCCGCCTGCTTGCCTGCGTATTTTGCTTGCATGCTCGCATGCATAAGCCGCCCAACCGCTGATGATGGATCGCCCGCAAGAGATTGCCCCCCACCATGATACGAATAATCATGGAAAGAAAAAAGTTAGACCATGCTATACCCCGGTCATTGGCCAAAGCCTCAAGAATACAAAGCTAGAGGCAGGAACGAAGACATGCGCAGAGCCACAAAGTCTCAGCCCGCAAACCCGCCTCACCATCACCTCTCGACAACCTTCCCCTTCTTCTTATCGTAATCGAGGACCTTCCTCTTGCGATGATTCTGCGCCATCTTCCACCGCACGTACAACATGACGGCGTCCTTGACGGCCACGAACAGGCAGCCGCCGACCAAGCTCCTCGCCCACCGCTGCTGCAAAAAGGCCGTCGGCGACCGGCCCGACGCGGGCGGCGTGACCCAGGCCTTGGGCAGACCGAGCCGGATCAGCTCGCCCATGGCGGCGGCGATGGACGGGAAGACCAGCGCGCCGAGGACCGTGTCGGCGATGTTGGAGGTCTGGAAGATGAGGTTGCGCTCGCGGCGGTTGTTTTGGCGAGGGCGCGGCTGCTGCTGTGGCGGGGCCGCGCCGCCTTGTTGCTGCTGCTGCGGCCGCGCCTGCGGCATGCCGTTGGCGTCGAGCGGCGGCGCGCGCTGCTGGTCGTCGTCGTCGTCTGGTCTGTTGGCTGGCCATTGGCCGGCGCCGGGGAGGGCGTGGAAGTCGTCGTGGAAGTGCTCGTCGTCTTCCTCGTCGACGAGGTCGAGGTTCAGCTCGAAGATGGGGCCGTCGTCGTCGTCGTGGATGCGGTCGACGTCGGCGTCTTCGTCCTCGTGCTCGCCGCCGTCGGTCTCGCCGGCGCGGGGCTGGATGTCTTTGAGCCACTGGCGCTGCTTTTCCGCCCAGGCCCTTTCCATGTACGTGTTGTATGCGCCGCGGATGTAGGGAAGGAGCGAAAAGGAGAGCGCGGCGCTGGGCGGCCAGTGGCCGAAGTTGAGCATGTCGTCGCCGGCATTCGACGAGGCGAGGAAGACGACGGGGAGAATGGGCAGGATGCTGTCGGCGATGGAGACGCGGGAGGCGACCAGAATCGGCGGGATGGCGGAGAGGCCGAAGTGCAGGCGGGCGTGCTGGAAGAAGCGCGTCACGGCTGCCAGCGCCACGGAGCTATGCGCGCCGGTGCGCAGCACGGTCGGCGCTTGATGTAGGGGTTGGAGGATGCGATAGCCGTCTTCGAGGCCGAACAGCGCGTACACGGTGCTCACGCCGTGCATGAAGCACGCCTGGTAGACGGTATATCCCAGCACGCCCATGGTGCCTGGCAATATGAGCAGGTTCGTTATCCGCTCGATGGCACGTACTCCGTCGACGACTTTGCTGGTTGGGCGCTTCAAGTGGATCTCGTTCTTGCACTGGGGGCACTTGAACTTGGAGCCGGTACCAGCCTGGCGGCGGGGATTGGGTGCTTCCTGGCTGGCGACCCAGTCGAGTAGACAATCCTCATGGGCCACCAAGGCACAGGGACATGGGCTGCGCCAGGCGGACGAGTCGGGCGCGTCCTCGGTCTCATCGTTGAAGCAGATCCAGCATTTGCGCGGCTCATCCTCCTCGGCGTACTGTGGCTGCGGGGGAGCCTGCTTTGCCTCGGTCTTCTGGGAAAAGGAGCTGCCGGACAAGATGTGTGCACTATCGAACAGAACGGTATCGGAATCGGCGGAGGCGGTGGAGAGGGTCTCGCTGTCGGCGCGGGTCAGGTTGGATCGCTCGGCGGAGTTGCCCTGTTCGCGGGGCGAGGTGCGTCGCTGCGACGCCTGGCGGGGAGGTAGGGATGCCATGGAGGAGATGGTGCGGAACGGTATGTATGCGGAAGCAGGAAGATCGGGGGCGGCACTAGAGCGACATAGATGCTGAGGTTTGCGCAGGAACAACACGGAAGGAGCGTCGGTCTGCGTGGAGGCAGTGTGGAGAGGCTTGACGCTCGCCGGTCTGCGGCGAATGGCGATGTCATCTGGAGCACGGAGCACGGGCGTGTTCGGCTACGGGCGCGGCACCGCCATGACAATCTCTGCCGCGTCCCGACCCATCACCGCGCAACACTGCTCACGCGTCCACCTGACTCTGACACACCAGCTGTGGGCCTGACTCCCACGGGACATGTGAGCACGGGACTTCGATAGGGCGACCTTAGTTTGGCCCAGGAAACTCGACCCCTCCATCCGCCTCACCTGGACCGCGGCAACACAATGACTACCCGGCGAACGTCTGGCAGAGCCCGCCCGGCCAAACGGTACACCAATGACGCGTTCGAAGGTTTAGAGATCGATGATGAAGCTGCCGACAGCGACATGTTTGCCCACGAAGATGACTCGGGCGGAGATGACGATTTTGACGAAGCAGCTGCAGCTGATGATGGACCCGACGTTGAAGACGACGTCTCCGAAGGCGCTGCCTCTGGCGATGATGATGGGGGCTATGGCGAAGACATGCTGAGTGACGACGAGGTCATCGGTCCAGAAAACGACCGTCCGGCTCGCAAGCCGAAAAGAAGAGGCGGAAGACCAGTCAAACCCGGCTTCATGCAGCGGGCTGAGGCATCGTCGTTCAAAACAGGCAGCTTCTGCTTGCTGGCCTCACGAGTTCACGAGCACAAAGAGTCTGAGGTCAAAGTTTCGTCCAGAGGTGTTCCTGAGATGTACCACAACACCGGTAAGGATACAAGGATACTAAATCTTTTCGGCCCAGCAAAAGAGGACGTCGTCCCAGCAACCACGGCCCGGGACAGATGGCATGATGAACCCGTGCTACCAAGCCGACGCATGAATAAGCATGGCGAAGGTGGAATGGCTTTCAGTCCACTGTACACCAAGGCTGTGCGCGAACTCGAGGCAAGTAAAGGCTGGGAGTGGTACCATGAAAGAGGAGGCGAGCAAGCATTCCGAGCGAGGCAAGAGGTTAGAGTCATCTCGGAGGATGAGGCAGCTGTATATCTTCCCCAGACCGGTAAACCCGATCAACCTGTGCTCCTGGGCCCATTCAGAAACCAAAAGCTGTTCCACGTTGCGGGAGGAAAAGCAATCAATATTGGACAAGCGTGGTCAAAAGACGCTGGCGTGGAGGCTGGAAATTCTACTAAAGGGGCACCGGTCAGGCAAGCGTGGCTCTTCAACCTGGGCTACAAGGTTCAGTGTCTTGAGTGGGTTCCGTGGCGAGAAGGCTCACAATACATATCGGCAGCAGCCCTCCAGCGATCCAAGTCCTACAGAACGACTGAAAACTACGCAGCCCCAGGATTTGCCCCTACGGACCCTACTCCAGCATCCATTCATATATGGAGGATCCAATCGACGGATGATGGACGGTTAGATTACGATGTTGATCCGAAGCTTGACATTGTCTTGTGCACGGACTGGGGCAGCGTACGCAGCATGAGGTGGTGTCCAATGCCCCGAAGGAAGGAAGAAGATGAGAATGAAGTGCATCTCGGACTTCTCGCAGGAGTCTGGGCGGATGGACGAATGAGAATCTTGGATGTTAGATACCCCAAGTCTTCAGGAACTCAGCACGTCCGCATAGAAACAGCAGCCATCGACTCAAAGCCACCCGACTCCATCTACACGAGCGTGACGTGGATGTCAAGCAGCCATCTCGCATGCGGCTGCGCCAATGGTAGCTTTGCCGTTTTCGATATTTCCGACTCCCTTCTTTCCTCTGAGCCGAGCGGACCCCATGGCCCCCGGCCGATACTTTATCAAAACCTCCATAGCAGCTACGTTCTCAGTATCGCCGCGGCCTACCCGTCCAATCCACATTGCATCGCAACAAGCAGCATGGACGGCTTCCTCCGACTCGTTGACATCCGCGCTCCGAACCAAGACACTGTTTTCTCCCAACGGTCTCGTACCGGAAGCGCACCACTAGCGTGGCACGACATCTCACAGAGCTTCCTAACCTGCGATGAGAACTACACGCTTCTCGCGCTCTCTCTCCGCCGGTTCCACGTCAATATGAGTGTTGGTCGGGCAAACAGCAACATCCAACACATTGCGGCAAGCCCATTTCACCCATTCACAATCATGGGGTGTGCAGACGGCATGGTCATAACCACCAATCCCATGCGCAAGGTACTGATCGCCAAGGCGGAGATGTGGCACCAGACGTGGTTCCTACACGAATGGCGGCGCGCCATGGGTCAAGAAGGAATCATCGATGAGGCGTCGGCAAGTGCCGATAGCCGCAGCGACTTGAAGAAGCCTCCGGACAACGTAGTCAAGGCGACGCCGAAAGGCGAGGTCAAACATGCGGAGCCAATGTGCAGGGTGGTTGACGGATTCAAGGCAGAGGTGTACAAGCTCTGGGTGGAACAGGGGTTGCCGAATCAGTACGAGGGCGTGGTGTACAACACAGTGTACGAAGAAGAGTCGGCGTCAACACAGGTTGCGTGGAATCCGAACATGAGGTGTGGAGGATGGGCGGCGGCTGGAATGGGGACGGGGTTGATCAGGGTTGAGGATTTGGCGCTCTGAGGACCAAACACCAGCATGAGCCGGTGGCGGGTGGCCAGCCTCCCAACATATTTTTCTCAAATCATCAATATCATATCTTTGATCTAGCTTGCAAAAAAAATGGAGGCAGGGTTCTTTCGTTCTTTCGACCGTCATACCATGCCAAATCGGACCACGTGCACCATGCCGTCTTTCCTCGATTCGATCCTATGCTTTACCCAAATGATCACCCAGCCTCGTCCGCAGCGGTTGCCATGGCGGCGCGTGTACCCTGATTTTCGTGGGAGGAGCACTAGTTCACTGTAGCGTCTGATAGCGAGGGCTGGCCCAAGCTCCCATGGGAAACCAAGCTCCGCCTTCTCAGCCCTACGCGCGCTTGCCGTGGGTGCGTGAGTGCGTGGCCACGGTCCATCTCTCCACCGCCTCTCAATCACAATCACACGGACAGCAGACGCCGACCCCGCCATCCCGCATCCCCCATTCTTTCATTGTCATTTTTTCCACTTATTCCCTTTTGTAATCCCGCCCCGTGCCTTGAACGTCTTCCTCCGCCTTCGACCCGACACAACAACGCCAACGACGTCCCATCGCCGTCCGTCCTCCCCCACGCACATGCAAACCTGTACAAACACGCGGTTCCTTAGAATTCAACGCGCGCAACGCCACACCCATCACCGGAAGGAATAATCAGAAAACCACAACGCCATTACCACCGCGACCCGTCCCCCATAGATAGACACCACACCCATCATGAACTTCGCACCGTACCAAGACGCCTCTCCCGAAAACACGCGCGCCCTCTCCCCGCCGCCCCTCCGGTCGCCGACACACTCGCCGCGGCCATCGCTCTCCACATCGCGTCCCAGCGGCTACAACTACCCGCACCACCAGCGCGGCCTCAGCGCCGCGTCCGCCACGTCTCCCTCCGGTTACACTCCTTCGGGCTATACGCCGTCGGGCTACACAAACTCCAACGCGTCCTACTTCCCCCCGGCGACGCGGGGCAGCAGCGACCTCGAGCGCGGGTGGGGCAACAGCGGCGCGGGAGGATGGGGCCAAGCGTCGGCCAGCAGGGGGAGCGTGGGCGGCAGGGAGGATCTGGACCTGTTTGAGACGAGGTTGGGGATTCGGATGGATTGGGAGGCGTGTCTGGCGTATTTGTTGCTGCCGCCGGCGGGGGGCGTGCTGTTGCTTGTCGTGGAGCATCGGAGCGATTATGTGAGGTGAGTACCTAAGATTCCTTTCAACGCGTGCGGAGCGGAGCGCGGGGCGGAGGAGGGAAGAGAGAGAGTGGAGAAGGGATGGCGCTGACAGTGTGCGATAGGTTCCACGCGTGGCAGTCGGCGCTGCTGTTCTCGTTCATGTTCGTGATGCACATCATCTTCTCGTTTTCGTCGGTGGTGTCGTGGCTGCTGTTCGTCGTCGACTTGGGCGCGATTGGATACTTGACGATGCGGGCGTATCGTGATGGTGAGTTGTTTTTGGTTGTGATGTGCAGAGGCATGAATGTGGCTGATGTCGTACAGCGGAAACTCTTGATCGTTGCGAAGTGCCGCTCTTCGGCCGGCTGGCGAGCTCGATTCTCGACGATGAGTAGGCACGTTCGCGGTTCGTGTGCTGCAGCTCCCTGCGTGTTTTGCTCCGTTGATGGATGGAAACTGGTTAATGGTCTACTCCGCGTTGGATACCCTTGTTGGTTAATGCCGTTATGTCTGTGTGCAGCATCTTGGATGCGAAATGTGCTGTACGAATAAGCGCCTGTTTATATGAGTGTTTTCGTCTGTCAGTTCCTGCTTCTCTGGCCTTTGTTTCTTGTGTGTAATGTCCCAGTCGATAGAGATGCTGAGTAATATGGTGGACTTCCAGTTGGCCGAAGCGCGGCAATTCCCTCGGGCCGCGGGCGACGTCATTCTGCGGGAGCTCGAGTCTGGTGCAACCCCAAACCCCGACGAGCTTCCACGCCGCATAGCTCCAACCACAGCACACAGCCATACCCAGCCTCCAATGGCTTCCAGACGAGTGCTGCTCTCCGCCGCCACACGGCCCATCGCGGCCGCCCGCCCTGCCGCCCGCCCCACCACGCTGCAGGTCCGCGCCATCTCCGCCTACGGCTACGAGCAGGCCAAGGCGCTGGCCTTCGACAAGTACGGCGAACCGCAAGACGTGCTGCGCTTGCACCAGCACTCCATCTCGCCCGCCCACGGCGACCAGCTGACGCTGCGCTTCCTGGCCGCCCCCGTCAACCCGGCCGACATCAACCAGATCCAGGGCGTGTACCCGTCCAAGCCCACCTTCACCACCGCCCTGAGCACCCCGAACCCCATTGCCGTGGGCGGCAACGAAGGCCTCGCCGAGGTGCTCTCCGCCGGCTCGTCCGTCAAAGGCCTCAGCCGCGGCGACTGGGTCATCATGAAGCAGCCCGGCTTCGGCACCTGGCGGACCCACGCCCAGACGGACGCGTCGAACCTGCTCAAGATCGACAACAAGGAGGGCCTCACCCCCATCCAAGCCGGCACCGTCAGCATCAACCCGTGCACCGCCTACCGCATGCTGCGCGACTTCGCCACCCTGGCCGAGGGCGACTGGTTCGTGCAGAACGGCGCCAACTCGGGCGTCGGCCGCGCCGCCATCCAGCTCGGCCGCCTGTGGGGCTACCGCAGCATCAACGTCATCCGCGCCCGCCCCGAGGGCACCGACGAGCTCAAGCAGGAGCTGCTGGACCTGGGTGCCGACGTGGTGGTGACGGACGAGGAGCTGATGGCCAAGGGCTTCGGCGACCGCGTCAAGGAGTGGACCAACGGCGGCCGCGACCGCGTGCCGCTCGGCCTCAACTGCGTGGGCGGCAAGCCCGCGACTGCGCTTACGAAGCTGCTGTCGCCCGAGGCCCATTTCGTCACGTATGGCGGCATGTCCAAGCAGCCGGTTCAGCTGCCGACGGCGCTGCTTATCTTCAAGAATATCCATTTCGACGGCTTCTGGGTCAGCCGGTGGGGCAAGGAGCATCCCGACGAGAAGAAGAAGACGGTGGACCATGTGCTGGACTTGATCCGTGAGGGCAAGTTCAAGGATACGCCGGTGGATGAGGTCAAGTGGGAGTGGAAGACGGAGCAGAAGACGCTGGTCGATGCGGTGCAGGGCACGCTGGAAGGCTTTAGGTCTGGGAAGGGGATTTTTGTGTTTGGTGAGACGTAGGCCGGTAGCCTAGTGTCAATATAAGCCTGTGGTTTCTCCATGTACATATCTTTCGCCTCATTATTCAGCAACCTTTGAAGCTCCAGGCAGCCGTACCAGGAAGCCTATGCACCAGCTGCTAGCGTGACCGCCCGCGACGCGCTCCCAATTGCCAACCGGTAACTCTTTCCACCAAGTAGCACCGTTACAGCCTTCGCACGACCATGGCACCAAGTCCCACACCGCCGTCTTCTCTCATAATACCTCCTATAGGCGAAACTCGCTCAACCGACGATATATAGATCGCAAAGCTACCGCCATCCCGAATGGAAGAATTTCTCGCTGTCAGCCATGACGACAGGCTCGGTGCAATATGGGAAGACGACGCGACGAGCGCGACGAACGCGACAGATGACTCACTCTCAAGGATAGGTCGCAACACGTGGAGGATAATTTTGTTACGCTAGAGCCAGGCTCCGCCAAATATTCCTTGGGGCCAAGTCCTCCAATTCAACGAGTTTGTATGGTACGTAGTGTACGGATCGAAAATTTAAGGAATGGTAGACGACCCTGAGCCGCGAACCACGGTTACTCTTGGTCAAGATTGAAAAGGAGCCAAGTATAAGAAGCAACACACAGCTTCCTTTTCGCAATAAGCAATTACCACCATAACCCCTACAGTGGCTGCATATACAATGGATACCAAGCATACACCCACCAAGCAGCATGGCTACCATCCCACATCATCATCGACGGCTGCCCAGGGCTGCCCAAGCGCAGTCAAGAGCCCTTTCCCCCCCACATATGCCCGAGATCTCCACGATACGGCCGGTCTAGGCAATATACAAGCTGGTTTCTGGAGTGAGAATGGTTACTGCCAATACCCCTGGTCCACCGACACTGTCTCTACGGCCGATCTAGAGGTACTCCTGTGGTTCATTATGGTCCATGATTACGCCCACACTGCCCCGCGGTTTCCGGTTGACATGCCCAGCGAGTTTGTCGACCACTGGGTCCAGGTAGGACGCATGTTGGCCCAGCAGCACGGCCTATGGCTCAGTGTGGATCCGCAAATACAAGAATTCGACGTCCCGGCTATACAGGCCTACTGCTATGAGCACGTTATCCAGCCCGCTCGTCACCACAACCTTCCTACTGAATACGTTGCTGCGACAATATCCCGCTTCAGTACCCTGGTCGGCGAGCATGGACGTATGTATACTGGCAGTCTGGACTACATCCTTGCAGTGCAAGGGCCAAAGCATTTGGCGACGAAAATGTGGTTCGACCGGAACGTGGTCATTCCTCGGTTGTGGTTTCCCAAGCGGAGCGAGCTAGACAGACTGATACAGTCGTTGGATGTGGCGCAAAGGCGGTACTTTAAGGCGCTGGAAGGGGCTGGGTTCAAGATTAATACCACGTCGGAAGCTGTTGCAAGGATGACTGGCTGGTGCGAGGTCGAATGGGAAGAGATGGTATTGACCGAGTATGCCAAGGCCGTTGTGAAACGGACGCTTCAAGCGGTGGAGCATGTGGACGAAGCAAGAGCGCGTTTTGGTACGAGCCCGAAGTCAGCAACTCAGTCGGGAGCTATTGATCTTGAGGAATTGTTCGCGGATATCGCTGCTGCTGCTGCGTCGTGCGAAGTTCCGACCCGTCCATCAACCCTGCCAAAGCCTGCCAAAGCGGACGGAAGCCATTCGGTGCTAGGGAAGGCTCGGAAATATATACGAAGAATGCTTCGGCGCTCTTGAAGTCGCGATAGCGAAGCCCCGAGACTCGGCTTGACGCATTACCAGGCTCCTTTTGAAGACCCTCACACCGTCATACCTTTGTATCTCATAACAGCCAATCCTCTTCGATTACTTGGAGTCTGTAGTGGCAGCGTGGCCTACAAGATCAGTCCTCAACGGCAATCAACGTATCTTCATTCATTTACCACATCGGGAAAGCAGTGAATGAGGATTGACACTTCAATAAATCTGTCGCTTGAAAGCACTTGAGGCTTTCTAGGCTCGATCATCAACTAAGCCTTTCCCCGCGCTCTTCTCCTCTCATTTCTCCCTCTTTGGAGACCGACACCAACTGTATGCAACAACAATACAAACCCTCCCTGCTCTTTTCCCACAGGAAAATAAAACAAAAACGTTGATTCCAGCGTGAAAGTATCAACAATTGAAATATTAGAGAGGAAAAACAAGCCTACTCGTCCTCGTCGTCCTCGACGCATAAAAAGCTCGTGGAGGTGAGGAGGAAGTACGATCCGTCCGAGGTCTTGTACGTGCTAAATGCTATTGGCATGGAGGATTGGGAGTGTGACTTGGGTGATGGGAAGCTATGAAAGCATGCTTAAGGACTGCAGCACGGGACCTCTTCGTTAGGGCGGCGCATTGCAAGAAGACATACGGTCCCATTGATGCTGTAAACACATGGCGATAACCTCACTTAACAGAATCTGTTTCAACTTTTACCCGTGCGCCGGAAACGAAATCATCGGAAGCCTCTCCTCGACCACAGCAAGACGCAACGCAACCCCCTCTCAATCAGAGCGTCAACAACATCGACATCGAACAAGCCGCAGTGCCCCTCCCCCTCCCCCTCCCCCTCCCAGCCAGCCCACATCACTCACTCCCCCTTCACCTCAGCCAACACGTCCCCCGTCCCCACCACGTCCCCAAACGCAAACGCAAACCCCCTCAGCCCCGCCTCGTGCTGCTTCCGACTCGCGCTCCCGCACGCATCCTCCACCAACCACGTCTCCCACCCGCGATCAAACGCCGCGCGCGCCGTCGTGTCGCAGCAGCAATCCGTCATGACGCCGCACACCACCACCCTCGCGACTTCCAGCCGCCTCAGCCTCTCCTCCAGGTCCGTCCCCACGAACGCGTCGTACGTGTTCTTCTGCACGACGTCCGCCCAACCCCTTTCGCGCCTCCCTTCCCGCTCGTCCGTTTCGAGGTCTTCCAGCAGCGCTTGCACGGCCGGTTGCAGCTCCCACGGCGCGGTCCCCCGGTGGATGCTGCCGGCTGGCCCCCATTTGCGGACGAGTTGGTTGGGGTAGGGGGGCCCGGCGAGGTCCGAGGCTGGGTGGCCGTGTTGGGTGAAGAGGACGGGGAGGGCTTGGGCGCGGAAGTGGTGGATGAGCGTCGTGATTTGGGGGAGGGCTTGCTTGGTCATGGGGGTGAAGAAGTTTTGGACGTCGATGACGAGGAGCGCGGTTTGCGGGGGATGGTGGGCGTGGTGGTGGTGGGCGGTGGTGGTGGATGGCGCCATCCTGGCGAGCCGGTGTCGACGTTGGGTTGGTGTGGGTTTGGTTGGGTGGTTCGGCTTCGTTTGGGGTGTGGACGCGTGGACTGGGGGGAGAGGTTGGAGCTTTGGTGGGTGGTGTTTAGGCTAAGTTGGTTTATATGGTTGTTATTGGAACGCGGAGGGGGAGAAATGTTGGGTGATGTATCACGAGATGGATGCGGAGTCGCGCGCCAGTGACGTCATGCGTGCATGCTTGAGACCGCACCCTATGAAGCTTCTTCATTCACACTCTTCCGCGTCCACGGCTACAATACGTGACTGTCAAGCATGTTGCGACTGAAGGTTCTGGGTCACGAGAAGTATTTCTTTGCACGCTCCAGAATTATTTGCATTTCTACGACGCTTTGTCCGCTTTGTCTCGAACAGTGAAGTGAAAAGTCGAACTTTCTCGGGAATATCATAATGCCAAACGATGAAGTTTGTATACGATCGCTGATTGGCGATACCAGTTACTCCTACGATGAACTTTACTTATCCGCATCGTAGAAAGCGGTTTGTCTCAGCTTTTTATGTCAACTTTTTCGTTAATCTTGAGTATAGAACCCTTAAGCAAACAACGTGCGGCACATGCATATATAGTATGTTCCCGTTAAAACATTTTAAGCTTATTTAATGGTCGATGAAAGTATACTTTCGAAAAAAGCATCTGGTTCAAATTTATAAAAATTACCAGACCCTGAAGAGAAATCTGATGGGGCCCCAACAAGAGCGCCCACAACAACTTTCGACGTTTTCAAGAGCCTATAAAACTGGTTCATCTCGGAATATTGTCCCAGACTGATACCTAGCCTAGCATAGCCTGGACACTATTAACCAAGTATGGCTACTTTCATTGTCCGTCAGAAGTGGATTATATCTTCCACAGTAACACAAGACTTTGAGTCGAGCATTTCCTTGAACAACGCATTGTTCAAAGTGTTACTACCGACATCATCTTCAACAATGCTCAGCCGTAAGGCCATTGTCCAGGAACTACTCGTCTTCGTGGCTATAATAAAAAGGAGAAATCGTACCTACCGTCAACAACCACACAAGTCAACACACATTGAGTGTATGCAGAGGATCCAGCTGAGCTGTATCTTCTCATCACTTTCACATTCGTTTCGATCTCTCATTTCGCGTCTTATCCGTTTCCTTAATGTCTTCCTCGCCGGGTAACCAGCTCCTTCGCGAAGAACAGACCAAAGAGCTAATCCAAGCGACAGTCGACCGGCTCAGCACTGTGGGTACCTGGGTCAACCGCCGGGCCCGCTTCAATGTCGATTTCTGCAAGATCCGGCAGCTCGGCGTCGGCGGTGAGGGCAGCGTTTCCGCCATGGTGCACAAGCCGACCGGCACCCTCTACGCTGTCAAGACGGTCAAGCAGCGTTACGGGCCCGCCATGACGCCCCTCCCCCACAACGAAGTCCGGATCCTCTCCCTCCTCATGAACGTCGGCGAGGGTAAGGGCCTCGACAACATCTGCAAACCTGCCGACGACAGCATGTGGTACCCGTGCACGCCCGAGTTCACCACCCAAGCCATCGTGCTGGAGTACTGCGAGCTGGGCTCGCTCCACGACTACATGAGCAACGACTGCTGGATCGACGCCGATCCGGACTCCGGCATCAACGAGACCGGATGGCGGATCCCGCACGAGGGCCTGCTGCGCCACCTCTACACGCAGATGCTGGCCGGCCTGGCCTTCCTGCACAACGGCTACGGCACCACGGCGTTCGGCGGCCCCGGCAGGCCGCCCATCGGCCGCCCGCCCATCATCCACCGCGACCTCAAGCCCGAAAACGTCCTCGTCTGCCCCGCGAAGCCGGGCGACCACCCGGCGCTGCTGACGGTCAAGCTGTCCGACTTTGGCGGCGCGGCCGAGGTCGGCGCTTTCCCCCGCGCGCGTGCCCTGGACGACGGGCTGTACTTCTTCACGACGGGCTACTTTGCCCCCGAGTTCCTGGAGCCCGGCGTCTCGCGCAGCTCGGCGAACATGGCCAACGACGTCTTTTCCATAGGTGCGACCATGTACTTCTGCATCTACGGCGCCGCCCCCTTCGTCAGGGATCCGGAGCGGAACGTCATGCACCTCAGGCGCAGGGACATGAGGAAGCAGACGCACCGCGGCGGTGAAGCCTTGTCCCACGACTTTGCCATCTGCGTCTGCAACGCGGTGACGTTCGCGCAGAACCGCAAGGATGCCATGACCATCTTGGAGAGGGTGCGCCGGGACAGTCCGAGGTACAAGCAGGAGTTCATCGAGTGGATGGACGAGATCGAGGGCCCGCGGATCGCGAAAGAGGAGCAGGAGGCCTGCGAGAGGGAGGCCCGCGAGGCGGAAAAGTGGGAGAAGCTGGAGCGCGACGCGGTGAAGGTGCTGCCGCTCATGTGCTTCGACCCCCTGTGCTGTGATGTGCTGCTTCCGCACACGCATCGCTGCCGGGATGCGGAGCAGTGCTACCTGGCCAATGTTGAGGGGCACTCGCACATTCTGTTTGCGCTGCAAGACACGTGGGCGGATATCAGGACGCATCTCGTGACCGACTTGGATGTGGTCCCGCTGGAGGAGATCAAGAGGGCCCTACTCTTCATTGAGCTGAAGGCAGAAGCCATGGATCTCTTGAATGGTGAGGCTGAGGATGAGGACATGGCAGAGGTCCCTGATGTGCCTGAACAGCCTTGGTGGTGAATCCTTGGTTACGCATTCTTTCTGGCCTTTTGGTAAACATCACTCAATTGAGATACCCCTTTGACTAGTGCAAGCAAGATTTTATTGGGAAACGACCACGTGCTGATAGTGATATATGTATCGTACGAGCGCTCGATCACTTACCCATTGAGGAAGTTGGATCGTCTATGAGTGTCATTGGTCGATGAATGATGATATCGGACCGTGACACTTGGGCCAAAAGAAAGCTGGGATGTTGACATCATAATTCTAGTATACTTCTCGGTTGATAAAATGTTCTAGAGCAATTGTGATCATTGCGCGTGTTAGGAAAGTGAGTACCACTTCGGAAGTTCCAACCACCGACAAGCATGGCCAGAACCGTAACGTAGCATTGTTAGTGCGAATTCTGATCCCCTTGTGAGCAACGGCATTTACCGCCTTCCTTTTCTTTGATCCAAATACCCCACATAAATCCTCGCCCACGTCTGCATCTAGAATAGGGCCTGTATATTCCTTCACCCGCACAGACCAAACAAAGCATATACTTCCCCCCTAGCGTATATGTCTCACCACCCATCCTGCAACAGATTAAACGTCAGAGAATCTTTATCTTGAGCAACATACACCCGATTCTACTCAGCAGCTGTGCAGCCATCCCCAGGATTCGGCCGTGCTTATTAACTCGATACCTGATATCGTCCACGTTGTGTATTTTACAGCTGTTTTTATCTGGGCTAGTTCAGTCAGTAATCGCGAAAGGACTAGTGCATATGGTGGCTCCATGGCGTGGCTGGCTTTCAGCTTACTTCCCGCTCCCCTGAGCTGAACGGGTGTGGCGGAGAAAAAAAGACACAGGGACTGAGGCGAAGCAGCCATGGTGAGAGGGGCGTGTTCACGCCACATTCAAATTGTAGGATTCTTCTCTCACGAGTGGCGGGCGAAGGAAGCAAAAAGGAAGGAAAGATGGAGCCACCAGGACGTGCAGGGAGCATTCCCGAAGGAGCGGGACGCCGCCCGCCCTCGGCGGGCCCGGAAGGCGGAATGATCTCCAATCCACTTCGACCCCGGATGCCGCCAATCCGCCATTCGGCTAATAGCAGACCCCAACGTGCGCCAAGCCGGCCGGCCTGTTTCATCGTCCGACCTATCCGCAGCTGGCGAACGCCGGCGAGGCCGCTCGGCAGGTTAAATGACGGGCGTGAACCTCTTCCTAGCGGATCACCTTCCATGAGGGGTGCAAAGTCCCGACGAACCCCCTCTGATCACCCGCAACCTGGTTCATCCGGTCGTATCGATAAGTAGCAACCCGCGACCCCGGGTCCGGTATAAGCATGAAAGAAGCTGCGACCCCGCCCGACAGCCCTACCCGCTTGCCAGTATATTTGCATTCACTATAGGCCGGACGAGGGGGCACCGACGCAACAGTGGGGTTGGAAGATGCAGTTGACCAGTGGGCTCGAGCCATACTCGCCGACGCTTTAACCGTAGTCTTCCTGGCTGGCGAGGGGTATTTTCACTTGCCCATGGCCGATGGATTCACTTGCTACTCCCGTGGACTTTTCCGTTGCCTCGAACCTTGACGACAGTGCCCTGGGAAACTCGGGAAGAACGACTGAAGGCTTCCAACAATATCTAGCTGGTCTCGCGTAGCTATCTAGACCTGAGCACGAGCACCTCCGTGTCGATCGTGGGTCACGGTGCCGAGACGCCTCCACACAGCGTCGCCGGCTAAGGGCAGACCCCTCGAGCTTTAAAACCTACCATGCACCGCAGCTGCAGCATCGCTAATGCCTCGTGTTGCCCACGTGCAGCTTTATTCCAATGGGGCGGAGCTCCCGGATATGACGATGTCAACTACCAAGGTTTGAGGATAGAGCACCGAGCAAGGCGGTCCAAGGACCCTTGGGCTTCTTGGCAGTTGCCGGTGGCGTGCAGCTGCAGGAGGCTTGCAGGTGTGCGGCACAGGAGGGATCCCGAAACGGCCCGTCTTCCTGCGCCACCGGTGCAGCCCGAGCTGGCCAATGCCAGCAGCATCACCAGATACCTGCCGCCTAGCGCCCTCGTTACAAATTGATTACCAGTCCGGGCGGGCGTTCCGAGTGGCCAGGCTGTTCTTCTAGGGTACCGCTTTACGTACTGGTTATATCAGAATCCCGAGGCGGCGAGACAATAACCTCACCTCACTCGCTGTCTCCTACTAATCATGGCACACCCATGATCGGCATCCTTCCATCTCCAATCGCCTGGTGTGTGCTTGCCGGCACTCGGTCAGGAACCGACGCTCGCCGCATAAGTGGTCTGAAAGGCACACCCGTACCTTCCGCAGGAGCTGCCTTTAGCCTCCCGCACCACTGGAAAACTCCGCGTGGGTCAAGGGGGGTGGGGCGGGTGCTATAATGAGCACATTTCTTGCTTTCTTGGAGATGCCGGATCGTCCTTTCTTTTCGATGTAACAATCCACACTCCTCCACAGCAGCAGCAGCTTTTATTCGTCGCGACAGCACGGCCCACATGACGGAGCTTCGCCCCATTGCCGTGCAGACAATTGCAACCGGCGTTGCAGGCTGTGTGTGTTCTTTCACAGTTTTAGGCTTGAAGTTCATTTCCCGGTACCACAAAAGCATCTTCGGCGTTGACGATGCGCTCGTCGCTATTGCGTGGTTGATTACCATTCCTCTCACTGTCTCTTTCTACATACGTGAGTGCCCCTTCCGCCCTGACATCAAGGGACAATCATGTGTTGACCCACTGCGGTTGCACCAGAGGGCAAGAATGGCATGGCCTATAGCCAGGACGAAATACCCCTCGATGTATACCTCCTCGGAAGACAATGGTGAGTATCCTATCTTTTACCTCCAAGACGGTGTCCATCTTCCAGTCTGTTAAATACTCATTGCTCGAACAGGTTCTGGGCATCCTCATGGATGTACTACCTCTCCTTGGGCTTCTCCAAACTCAGCGTAACCGTTCAGTTCCTCCGCATCTTCATCTCACCCAAGACTCTACTCGTCAGAAAATGCACCATCGGCTTCGTCACCTGCTGGACCATCATCTCCTTCTGCGTCGGAGCCTTCGAATGCGTCCCCGTGGCGCGGTACTGGGACAAGCGGATCCCAGGCAAGTGCATCAACGGCGCCGACACCTTCCTCGCCAACGCATGCATGAACATCCTCACCGACTTCATCATCATCGGGATCCCCATCCCCAGCCTGCTCAAACTACAAGTCAGCACCGCCAAGAAGATCGGGTTGATGTTCGCCTTCTCGCTGGGCCTGGTGTAAGTGAACAAACACCAGAACCCACCCATCCCCCGATTCCGCATCAACAAAACCGCTGACCACTCCCCCTCCATCCCAGCGTCTGCGCCATATCCGTCGCCCGCATCCCGATGGTCACGCTCGCCTTCGCGGCGGGCAAGCCCGGCAACCTCTCCCTGATGATGTGGTCCACGATCGAGCTGCACGTCTCCATCGTGTGCGCGTGCCTGCCGTCCATCCGCCCGCTCTTCGTCTCCTTCCTGCGCTTCACCGGCATCGACTCCTACCTGCGCTCGTCGAGCGCCCTGACCCCGTCCGCCAAGTCCAAATCCATGAACGCCTACGGCGGCGGCGGCGGCGGCAACGGACGGAGCAGGACGGGCGGCAGTGTTGTCGTCGTGACGACGGCGGCGAGGAGGGGCGCCGGGGGGAGGGTCGAGTATATCGAGATGGAGGAGGGGTTGGGGGATGCGATTCAGGTGCAGAGGAGTGTGGAGGTGAAGTCGGAGGTGTATCAGGCCGAGGAGAGCGTGAGGGGAGGGAGTAGTAGGAAGAGTGATGAGGATAGTATTGATCGGTTGGTGGGCATGCCGGATCGGTCGCATAATCGGGTGACGTGGAGGGATTGAGGAGGGGGAAAGAAGCGTAGCGTGTACGTGTACTAATTTTCTTTTGCTGATGACACTTGTCGCGAGGACTGAAATGCATTGTGGTTGCTGTGGGTCATTGGAATTGATGGACCCTATCTCGCGTGCACACTCAGGGATATTTACTCGTCGAACATGACTCAAGCATCCTTTCAGGTATGCATCTTGCTTGACTTCCAGTGTATGAAGATTGATCTTTGCCTTTCCAGTCGCCCAGCTGCGCTTGGTGCGGAGTTGAGTCGGGAATTATCCATCCTGGAGAGCATGCAACGCAAGTTACAAATGTATGGAGCTAGCTCACTTTTGTTTAACAGGGATACTTGTGTAGTTGAGCCAAATGTGGACGTAGGCATGCGTCTTTAATACGGATTATTAGTGCGCGTCCATCGATTGGCTTCAACTTCCCCCGTAGCATTATCCCGAGCGCGGATATATTCGTTCATGACCTTCCCCTGCGAGGCCCATCGCCTTGAACTTTTCTGCAGCCTGCGGTGTGGCCTGTCGGGAAGGGAAAAGGGTGCTTTCTCCGACCATTTCCGAGTTTTTCCCGATCGGGAAATGGATGAGCAAAATCTTTTCTTTCCCAACACTCTTTATTTTCTTGCTTTTCAAATGCTTAGATGGTACTTCGGCAGGTTACTCATGTACCTGATATCGCTCAACACGTCTCTCTAGATAATGGTCATTTGCAAACGCCTTTTCCATCAACCAGCAGAACTTGTCAGTTCTTCATACCGCCGCCCGGCTAGCTCAATCGGTAGAGCGTGAGACTCTTACACACTCTCTAGAGTGCTATCTCAAGGCTGCGGGTTCAACCCCCGCGTTGGGCTCAATTCCCGACTCATGATGTTGTCTTTTTGGTGTTGGGTCGGGTGGTGAAGTTTTTTTGACCCCTGGGTCAATGCGGCGTTCGGGCCGCATGATGGCACTTCCCGCCACTCTCTGATCGGCTCTAATTGCACTGGGCCATCCTTGTTCCCTGCAACGGCCTTGTTTGAGTCCTATGACATCCAAAACCCTTGGCCCGACCCCCAGGCATCAGTGACGCTCCAACCAACATTTTGACTCTGATGACAGACCGGGACCGGACGCAAGACGTCGTTCTTATCTATATTCGTATCTCAGGTTCGTATGTAGGAGAGGACAATGCCCTGATATACGTTTTTCGAGACCAACGGCCAGACCGATCCTCAGTGAACACTTCAATCATACATCATGACGCCCGCATGCGGATTCGTATCGATTATGGATGATGGACTATTGACGACAGTCAAGTGGAGCTGTACACGTCCTGGTGCTTGCACATGGCCCATCGTTTGAGCAAAATGTCCACAGCTGAACCACGCTATCGCTATCGACAGCTACCCAGCAACTACCCCCCATCCGTCTCAGATCAATTGCCAGTAACCCCCGCAATCCAATCCGCCGCCGCTCCCGCATCCGCCCCATAACTCAGATGCGGCGCCAGAATCACCGGCTGGCCCTCGCAAATGAGATCGCCCTCGGCGCAAAACACCTTCAAGTTCTCCACGTTCTCCACCGGCTGCGGGTTGTCCGGATCGCCGAAGATGACGGCCCCGGCCACGCGCGCCGCCGTCGCGGCGTCGAGCTGCGCACCCGCCTTGTGCACGAGCTGCCCGCCCTGGCTGTCGAATACCATTGGTGTCAGCACGCGTCCGCAAAGGGAAGAAAAAAACGAAGTCGTCCCTCTCCCTCTCCCTCTGTCATCCTGAAACGAGGCACAGAAAAACAAATTAAAAACAAAAAGAGCACGACAAAAACCACAGCTCGCAAAGCAAAACAAACAAAAGCAAACCAAACCAAAAGAAGCAAAAAAACTATCACCCATCCCAAATACACACAAACACAAACACACAAACATACCTATACCCCGCCAACACAACCATCACCTCCTCCCCAGAGCACCCCGCAACCACCTCCCTCGCCATCTCCGCCATCTTCGCCGCCCCCGTCGCCGACCCGCCCGCCAGGTAGCCCGCGACGTCGGCCGGGTACGCGGGCGCGGGCACCCCTTGCACGGCGACCTTTCCCGGGAGTTTAGCTTCGAGGGCCGCCTGCAGCGGGGGCCCGACGACGGCGCCCAGGTCGCCGGTTTCGGTGGTGCCGCGCGCGAAGATGACGGTGATGGGGGCGCAGGAGGAGGGGCTGGATTGGCGGGGGGTGAGGGGTGCGGCGGTGGTGAGGAGGGGGAGGAAGAGGAGGAGGAGGAGGGGGTGTGGCATTGCTGGTCCGCTGGTTGGCTGGTTGGTGGGAGGGATGACTTGGTGGGAGGGAGGAGGCGCTGCGGATTGTGCGGTGTTGGAGGGGAGGTGGAGGAGGCGGCTTTTATGTGGACGGTGGTGGTGGTGTTTTCAGCTTGGCTGCCGAGGCATTGTTGGTGGTGGGTCAGTGATGGCGCATATGTCAGTGTGGAGGAGAGGGGTAGCGGAATGGGTTGTGAGCATACTCTGGGATGTTGGCGGTTTCAGAGATGGCTCGATCTACGGCTGTTGGCCGAATCAATTGTTAGTGTGTGGTTACTTGCGCAGCGCACATGCTTATCCGCTGCTAGTGTAGTCGATCAACCTTGGTCTATTGATCTCAGCTTCTTATCAAGGAAAGGTGCGTTGAATTAAAGCTATTGCCGTTGGAGATCCCGTGAAGGATGCCCCTGACTGGCCAGTGACCCCGGACATATGCTTGTTCATTTCTATTGGCAGTAACTAATTTTCCTCTGATGAGAGCTCGATGGTCCACAAAGCGCCGGAGTCAGTTTGCAGGAAGTACTGAAACTGAAGGACGATACTACCTCCAGTTCCGAACGTTTCGAAATCGGCTCTTTTACTATGTTCATTGAAACAAGGAACAACGCTAATTACAACTGACAATATACTAAAGCTGTTACAAAAAGAAACGACTTCGCCCACTGCGCTCCACTCGGCACACACATCCGAGCTGAGGGAAGAGTGCGCCTTGACCAGACCGCGGTCAAATACGCGCCAAGATCCTCCAAGAGCAAAAGAAAGCAAGATGCGGGGTTTGGATGTTCAATTTTGAGTAAGTGCCGAGGCATGTCATTCAGCCCCTCTCAGTAGGGAGAGTCGTGAAACAATCCTCGGCAAGTTGTTGCGAAGGATTTGGGAAACCGAAACACCGAGCTGTTCGAGTTGCGATTCGCTGCAACTCATGACCGGCTGAACGAAGGGCTTTGCCGATAACCGCAGTAAAACATGCGGCTCGCGGTACTCCGGAGCCTATTCGGGCACATATCAATCATTTGGAGGGAGCAGCTGATTACGATGGATCGAGTGATGCTGCATGCCGTTCGGGCGTAAAAGGCGTAGTTGCTTTTGTAGATCGACATCCGGATGACTGCTTTACTTGACCAAACCACAAGTCCCTGACAACCGGCGCAGGTTCGCGGACATGGTGACGAGTTGCGGTATGATGCCAACGCGGGAGTCCTGACACCACGCACCCTCACATCGACGACTGCGCACACAGCAGAGAAGATTCGCCGGTAACATCAAACGGGCCTTGAATTATCATTAATGATTATATGTTTTTGCAAACTCATGCACATCTTAACACATGGCCAGCAGAAGGTGAGAAAAAAAACGAACTCAACATCCGCCACCCTTTTTTTCCTATCCCTTCCACGACGGAAACGCTCAGAAGTACTGCAGCAACTGCTGATCAGTGATGCAGCTGCCGTCCTGCGCTCCCGAGCCGATCTCCGAGCAGATGGGCGGAAGGGGACTCGCGATCAAGTCGGCGACGTTGTTTGCGTACTCGCCCGCCCAGTTTCCTGCCACACCATCACCCGTCAGCATATGAAAGAGGAAGAAAACGATGGGTTCGGGATATCTTACCGGGACCGCGGTAGTTGCAGTACGAAAGCAGCCATTGACCGCAGTTGTTGGTGGCGCAGCCGATGGTCGTCGTCGTCTTCCACACGGCCTGGGTGAAGTGCAGGACGCTGGGCTCGGTCATGGGCACGCTGTCCTGGTGCCAGTAGGGCCCGAAGTCCTTGATTTCGTTGTAGAACATGGAGACGATGGAGGATTCCTTGGAGCCTTGGCTGGCTTCGCCCATGTTTTGGCCGTAGTCTCTGCGGTTCGCCGTGTTAAAGACGGGGAATTGGAGGGCGCAGTGGAAGGTGCAAACTTACTTGCCGCTGTTGGTGTGTTGGAATTGGCATTGTTGGGCGGAGATCATGGCTTCGTTGGCAAGCTCTGGGTCCCATGCGACGGAGCAGGTGCTGGTGTGGTTGGCGCGGTGGGCGTTGTGCAGGGCGACCCACATGCGGGCGGTGGGATCAGTCGGTTGGGTGGTGGCGCCGTTGGCGGATTGACCAGCGCATTGCCTGTTGCTCATGCGTGTTAGACGGGTTGCGAGTGCTGCAATTGGAGCGATATCGGAGAATTGGGGAAGGGCGATGACAGTGAATGCGGCCATGATGCGAAGCCTTTCGCATGAATTCGCGTGGAATGACAAGAGAGACTGACTGTTGGAGCATGGCGACGGGCGACGCCAGGACGGCAGAAGCAAGCGTAACGAGGAAGAGACCGGATGTCCGCATTTTGTCGAATTGAGATGTGCAGTGAAGTCTGGATGGAGTCCGGAACGAAAGACGGCAAGGCCTTTGCTTGAGCGAGGATTGTCAAAGAGTGTATGCCTCGTAAGCGACAGTGATTTTGCAAAGCTGAATGAGCGTTGAGGGCAGAAGCGACTGGACTGTGGGTAGAACGGAGGTGCGGCGCGAAAGACCAATTTGTACGCCGTGTTGAAGAGCTGCGGATCGCGCTGATCATGGACATGCGGGGAATAGGGTTACCGAAACGTCATTATCAACACCGGGTGGTTATTTCACGGCCCGAATTAGGAAATTGTGAGGGCGAGCGCTCAGGGGAAACTCGCGGTGAACACCAAGCTGAACTTGCATACGACACCTGGTAAAATGCAGCCGCCAGATTTCTCGCAGCATTGGCAATGTGCGGCGCCCGCTCGACAGACCCTGTCCGACATGTTTGACTGAGTTTTGCTTCGAAAGACGCTGTGCTGGTCGATTGGGCGGGTGGACGGATTGGGAGATGGATCGTGGGTGATCGTCGGGATCAACTGTGAATTGCCTGTTCCGGACTGGAAGTGGTCCATGTGCCAATGGGGAACGTGCTTGAGCTTACCGTGGACTTTATCATGTGGAACCTCTTGTTCGCCCTACCGGGCTGAACTCGAAAGGATCCCGGCTTGCGCAATTTCACTGATGGCTCCCATTTGCTGGGGAGCGTGGCTGCAATTCCCCGTCCCGTGTTGCCCAGGGCTCCAGGAAGCTTCAACCACGGAGGCTGAGCATCCGCCGCCCGGCCTCGTACCAAAACGATCGCAGAATCCGCAAGGGCCAGCATGGAACCACCGCGCGCTCAGGCCTCGAGGTAGAGTACAGACGGTATACGCTGGCGGGCTATTTATGGGTGTAGCTCATCAACTGCGAGTATAGCACCAGTGCAATGACTGCCGAGAGATCCTGGACTATCATGGCACCGACTTTGATTCCAACACACTAACAAAGGGTCCAGAAGGCCCAACAGTCCCGTCTCGACCGTCTGATCAACAACCAAACACCGCTGCCGAACTCGCATTGATCAGAACATTCCAGACCACCCTCCACGTATCCATCCCCACATCGCTCGTGATGTTCGCGTCAAACACGAAAGTCGGTCGGGTGTGCCGGAGCCCTGAAATCGCACCCCTCGGCCACCCGACGGCAATAGCACCGCCCGGGCCTACCCTCGCACCCTCCTTTATCTCCACCTTCTCCGCCGCCTCCGCCGCCTTGTCACCGCGTTCCCCCGCCACTGCCATCATAGCCCTGTCAGGACACCCGTCGAGTTCCGAAATCCTTTACGAACGCCGCTGGCATCCACACCGCCGCCATCCTCATCGTTGCACCACCTCTCCCGGAATCGCCTGATGTCCTCCGTCGAATCCCTGCCCTGCTTGAATCCGTGCCGGCTGCACAGCGCGAATACGACGTGAGACCATGACGGAAGGAGAGAGGGAGCGGGAGCAAGCATACGGCTCTAATACGAAGGTCTTAGAGGTACCCGCTGAGGACGACGGACTGGGAGAGGGAGATACGAGGACAGGGAGACTGCAGACGTCGATTGGAGCAGAGGTTTTGAAAAAAGAAGGCTGATGGTTCTGGAGAGCGGCTGGATGAAATTGGTATCGGCGTCAATACGGGAGGACTGAAGGCTATGCCTTTATCAGGGGCTTCAAGAACGTCGACTGTGAGAGGGCGCGCTGGGAGGAAGCCCTCGGTCATCTGAGATTGGCCAATGACGTTTTTCAGGACTTCGTGAGCCAGGGAACGAATGCAGTCCGGGTCGTCTCTACGATGAACGAGATGGCAGGAGCAGTAAGGGGTGAGCTAAATCGGACTGACCTCCAGATGCACATTTGCTCTCCTGATCCATGTCAACAGCGGCAAAACCACAGGCGCTGAGATGACACTTCAGTAAGTGAGATGCATGAGAGAGCAAAGCTGCCTTCGTAGCACGGGACGAAAAAATCAAGCTGTCTGATATCTGTCAAGAACAACAAAAGAGGCCGCAAGAGAATCGAAGCCTCCGAGCCACACAGAGAGCGCTCCAACCTTCCTACAAAGTTTGCTTATCAAGTCCAACACGCAAACATCATGCCCGGGCGCCACCACCCCCCCTCGTAACCTCGACCGCCTCCCGCAACGAACCATCCGGCATGCGGAACCACCCCAGCCGCGCCTCTCCCCCGCCGTCCATCTCCCCTCCCCCCTCCGCATCCCTCACCAGCCGCAGCAGCCCCTCACTCCCGCACACCACCACCAACACATCCCCCACGCACTCAAACCCCCCACCCCCCACCCTCACAAAGTACGTCCGCCGCAACACGCCCACCACCACCGCCACCGCCGCCAGGAACCCCAATATCCCCACGCTCAGCCCCACCGCCACCCCATCCACCCGCAACGTCTCCACCGGCGTGCCCACCCTCACCGCCGCCGCCCGCTCCGTCCGCGACGCCGGCCGCATCCCAGCCGCGTACGACGCATTCACCGCTTCCGTCCCCGCGCCCACCACCGGCGGCAGCAGGTCCGCCGGCAGGCTCGCGTTGACGCGCTGGTACGCCCAGCCGCCGTCGGCGAGCGAGACGTTGCTGCTGGCGAAGTGCTGGAAGAAGGTGGCGAAGGTCGTTTGCGCGAGGGCGCGCTGCGCGGCGGCGTCGAGCAGGGCGGAGGCGTCGGACGCGTTGGTGGTGCTGCCTGCTGTCGCCGTCGCGTACATGGCGTACGTCATGAAGTCGACGTTGAGGCCGCGCGAGGGGTCGCGGTGGTTGAAGGTCTGGTCGGTGAGGTCTTCGGCGCCGTAGCCGCCGATGGTGGAGCCAGAGAGCCGTTTGAGCGAGGCGGCGGCCAGGAGGGAGGAGAGGAAGAGGACGCCGTAGCTATGTGTGCGGGGTAGGGACGGTTAGTTTGGTGTGTGGGATGGGGGGGAGGGGAGGCGGGAGGGGGGGCGCTTGCCTGGTGGTGCTGTTGCGGGGGACGGTCGTGGTGTAGATGTCGGAGGTGTCGATGGATGAGGAGTTCAGCACCTGGGTCGACTCGTGTGCGATGAAGGCTTCCGTCCAGACGTTGGGGTCGTCTGTAGGTTCGTCCAGGATGGTGAATGATTTGACTCTCCCGCTGTTGATGTCGACCGTGACGTCAGCGGAGGCGGTCTGGATGGCGGGTATGCACCGAAGAGCCTGCACGGCGGGGATCTCGGTGTAGTACGGGTAGATGTCGTTTTCGACGGTGACGGAATTGCCGTAGATCCATTTCGTGGCGAAGTGGATTGGCCATGTTTGCGATTGAAAGGGGTTGTCTGTTTGATTGAGTTGAGACCAATAGCCAATCGCGGCGCTGCCTTGCGCTTCTGCTGTGACATTCGCGCAGCATGCGACGTAAGATGGGTTCGATAGGACAGTGGTGTCTTGCAAAAATGTTGACCTGCCGCTATATGGTACGTAGGTGGTCACGTCTTCGGAGTCTGAGCTAACATTCACCTTGTACGTTGTGAACGACTCAGACACATTATCCAGTCCGTCGTAAGGGTTGCAGTCGATGGTGCCTCTCACAGCGGGAGTTGTTACCGTAACGAAGGTCCCTGGTACAAAGTTGCCTGTATATGAGCCGTTCCCAATGTCTTGTATGTGGACATTGCTGGCAATGTTTGATATGTCGAGGGGAACGAAGCTCCAGCCGTCTTTGCTCCAAGAAGGCTGAGACCCATTAAGTACTGCTTGGAGGATGGCACCATACATCCAGTTTGTAGAGAGCTTCGTGTAAAGATTGTTTATGACTCCGGCGGCGCGGGTGTCTCCTCTGTCGGGATCAATGTATTCGTTGACTTCAAAGAGCCATGGGATCTGCCGTATCTCGAGACCTCTTTGGACCGTCGTATTGCTGTGAACGACTGCCTCACCACGTTGAAACAAGGCAGACATTGAAATGGTCACTGACGAGGAGTAAGTATTGCAACGGGAATGTACGCTTCATGACTTACAAACTGGACACAGAGACGATCCAATCGTCACGAGGCAGAGAAACCAATGGCGGTTTGAAGCTGCCTTCCATGCTGCCCACGCCCAGTAGTTGAACTGATAAGATAGATCTGCTCCTTTAGAAATAGGCATGGGCCTTTTCATGGATAGAAATGGTTGTAGTCGGCGAAAGGTTACGTCTATAGCGCCCCACCAGAGGCCAACAACAACACCAAACAGGGTTGATATCATGGAGTAGGTGGAAACCGCTGGAAGCGTTCTGTCAAGTCCTGGGACATTGGTTTGGAACACGAAAGCCGTGCGATAGAGGAGTGAACGCTGGGAATAGCTGTAAAAGACCAGTATCCCGGAAGCTATTGCTATCAGAAACAGAAACATAGGCATCAGCAGTCTTAGTCGAATAACAGCTGGCACCCAAGAACTACTGCTGCTCGGGATTCGTTTGTAGGGGGCATTTGGCTGGCCTGCGTGATTACTTAGTGCCTCGTCTTGTTGGTGAATAATGCGGTATTTTCCCTTAGCAACAGGAGTGAAAGGCGGCTCTGCGTGTAATGTATTGGGACTAGTGTAAAACTTCTTGTCGTGCAAGTGGTGCAGCAGGGAATCCTGTGATAGGTCGGGATACGCTCGAAATTTCTTCAGAGTTTGTTGTTCATGAGCGACGAGAGTAGCGGTTCCTATAACAGTAAATGGATTCCTGCTCAGATTCAGAGGTCTATGTTGCAGACTGGAAAGCTTCCACGCCACTAGCGATAGGCAGAAGGAGTGGAACAAGAGCAAGGCCAAGGCTATAGCAGTTGCTAGCGTAACGACAATTCGTGGTTCGACGACGGTAATCTGTCCTTGCAGCGTCTCTTGCGGGGATCCAGCCTGCGTGAGAGAGAACTGGAGGACTTCGCCGAATAACCTCTGCTTGATCTTTGTTGCGTTTTTGATGAAGTCCTCATCTTCCATCATGGCGGTTGTATCAAAATCATACGATGCTGCAAGGAGTACGGACAAGCCACCAGCCGCAGCACGGGATTGTTTGTCCGGGAGAGCAATGTAATCCGTCCAGTTGGGGCTGAGGGTCAGATTTTGTAGGCCGTAGATGTCTAGGAGACCTTCTGGAATCGGAACGCGCGATTCTCGGTATTTTTCCTCATCAAAGCTGATTATAGAGGACGAATCAGAGAGAGTTGCTGTGACTAGAGTCTCTGCCATATAGTATTTGGCGGTGCACAAGTTTCCGGAAGCGCGAAAGTCCGGAGAGAAGCTGAAATTCCCAGCCGAACCGTTCCAAACGGTTGTCGTGAAAAGGAGCTCTCGATCCCCGCAATTCGAAGTGTTGAGACGACCATAAAAGTTTTGAGACAAATCTCCTTCGTACACTTCTTTGAATTGACCGTAGTCCCGATCGTTGAAGGTAGAAACGTTTGACCATGATGATCCTCCTTGCACGACGAGGTCGAGTTTCGGATCCAATGCCAGTCCGTAGGTGCATCCGCTATCGGCCCTCAGCATGATTGAAGGCCTTTCTTGCCACCTCATTTTGATCTCGTCAGGGTGAGCCGGAAAACTGAGAGGGTAGGTGTCGTTTGCGAAGCCCGTTGCGACTAATGGCATTGCTTCGCAGTCCAACTCGGTGTTGAGCACGGTGGTGTCGGCTTGCCATGTCTGTGAAGAGGTGGAAAGGAGCGGGCCGAGTGGAGCAGTCTCTGATTCGCTGGGCCAAAACGGAAGGACTGTGTACTCGTCCGATATCCACGCAGAAGTTGATACGTTCTGGAGTATGTGGCCGATGGTGCGTAGGTACGTTTCTCTGCCTGTGCGAAGTGGGATCGGAGAGTCCTGGCTCAGCATCATCCGAGAGAATCCAGCCTCTCGTGGGACGGGAACATTCTTTGAAATCAAGAAGGACGAAGACAGGGGGGAGATGGCAAGGAAGCCAACAATGTTCAACCATGCCGAACAGATGAGCAGCCAGCTCCTCGAGCCTCCGTTTTTCTTCTTCGAAAATCCATCTGCCAGAGCATTCCACCAGGCTCCTGGTTTCTGCAGAATGGTGTAAGACCCAGTCGAGCCTCCGGGCTTTGCCAGTCGAGCAAAAGGCTCCGAGTATTTGACGCCATCAAGGAACATGGACGTAAGTTGGACGTAGAGTACTGCGAGGAGAGACGGGGTGAATCGCCAGCCAAAAAGCAGGGCGGATGATCCGTCGTCGGTACCCAATCCGATCTGAGTGCTGGATACCCAACACAGGATTACCACAGCGATGGACAGGACCAAGGCTGAACCACCCAAGAGAGAGATGAAAGCGGGTCTGAGAGCGTAAGGACGATATGTGACCGGGCCGGTATACTCCTTGGTAAACGCTTCAATCGAGCCACGTTCTGAAGTTCACATATCAATGAGCTTGAATTAAAAATGTGTAATCAAGCGGGAACTTACCATCTTCATAGGCTGCGCTTTCTTGTTTGTCTGAGACACTGGACTCGTCTACCACGTCATGGTCACTGGATCTGATCGGTGAGCCGGACCGATCTGGCTGCTTGCCCTCGAGCAAAGGCTGCGCCGCTTCACTCTGGCCTGCGGAGTTCTGATCAGGATGCGAAGGTTCTCGATATGTCGTATGGCTTCGATCTGGGGAGCCTTGCTCCAGCTGCTCATACGAGTCCATTTGACAGGTTCAGCGAAGCCTGGAAAATTATTTGTGTCGGAAGAGACGCATGAGGCTCCGAACGGCTGATCAGCTATTTATGCTGGACTCGGTTACGAAACCTTGAACTGGCAGCTACCCAACATCTATCGCTCACAGCGGAACGAGCGACTAAGGTATTTCATGTGGTTGTACGGAGGTCTCATTCGTGGATAAATTTTCGGCGATCTATTAGAAGAAAATCGTGCATGATGTGGCCCGAGCCGAGTGAGATCCTACTCCCGCATTTGAAGTAGCGGCTACATGAAGCGCAATGCCTGGGTGGATCCTTGTGGGGGCCAGATGTCTTGATTCGACCCAAGCTCTGAAAATATCAAGACGACCCATAAAGATACATCAGGTGGAAGGGAAGTCACCGGAATGTAGTAAATGTTCAAGTACGGCAGGCACTATCTTCCGCCCTGGGGACATTTGGGGAACCCTTCCTTGAGAACATCTCTTTTTTCCACAACCTTACAAACATTGATCGGTTTTGAAGAGATATCCCAAGAAGAAAGACTCGTGTAAATTTTCCGATAGCCGACACCCAAACGAGTCCCCAGACAAACCCACCCATAAACCACACCACCGCCGTCCCGCATCGATTCCAAACCTCACCCCCCCTTCAATCCTCGCCAGCGCCTCCGCCAACGCTTCCGGCTCAGTAACATTACGAAAATGCACCAAAGGCAGCACCAGAAACTCCTCCCCGCCCCGCCTCAATCTCTCCGCCAACGCCACCCTCGCCTCCCCCGCCCTCCCCGCCTTCGTCTTCTTCCCCACCGCCAACACCGACCGCCTCTTCACCGCGCGCAGCGCGCGCTGCGCTGCGCCAGCACCGACGGGCGTCGGCAGCCGGTAGCACCATGATGGCGAGCCGCTCGTGTGCGACAACGACGACGGATTCCGCCCCGGGATGCGGCGGCGCGGGATGCCGCTTGATCAGCAAGCGCAGCGCGTAGTCTTGTGCGCCGTGCAGGAAGTAAGTAGGTCGCGGCTGTGCGGTGCTGCGAGGCGTAGGGAATAGGGCGGCGGGAGGCAGATGAGCTGCTGGAGGCAGCGGGGATGAGGAAGGTGGGGGGGCCGGGGCCGGTGGTGGTGTAGTCGAGGGTTGCGCTGGGGGCGGGGGAGGGTGGGCTTGGCTGAGTGTGGTTGAGTTGGAGAGGCGGGGTAAAGACGTGAGTGGGGATCTGACACCACCAGGTCTTGTCTCTTCGGTTATGTAATTCTTGAATTGGTTCTGAGCTCAACACTGAGCGGGATTGTGGCTCAAGGTCTGAGATCTATCCATCTAATACAATTTGCCCTCCTAAACTCCGAACCATGCGGTGCCGCGTAAGGCTGGAAACCATGCTGTGAAAATGCCATCAATGCTCATCCATCCTGATCCTCGAGATGGTGTTTCTCCATCTTTGTGTACCAACAGTTTACTGTCTCGTTGTGCAGACTGTCTTCGTATCCCTCACTCTCCATCCAAAGCCACTTTGGTCGTCAAGTAGTGCGACTCCGGGCTGGAACAGTACCCTGGCGTGACGTCGGGGCTAAGGCTGAAGGTATGCAAGTTTCCTTGATTTGCCCCCTAGATATGGTCCCAAAACCTCACCGTCCTCAATCTGCGTTCGGGTTTCGGCGAGTTTTTTGGTGTTTGCTCGTTGGGTAGCCGCGTTGTGCTCGATTTTTCGGTTCCTCTTGCGCCGCTGATTGCCATCGGTAGGCCACACGCAATTTTCTGTGAAAGAGGGAAGAGGAAGTAGAAGGCCAAGGCGATGAAGCCTGTGAGACTGAAGAGGATGAAGTTCATTCTCGTGATGCAGAAGTAGTCGAGGAGATATGATGGAGTGTCCAGTGGTGTGCTGAGTTGATGCGTTGAATATGACTGCGATGCACCTTCCCGCTGCAGCTCTTATACACTTGTACAACGTCGAATATAGATCCGGTAGGGCTGTGCAGAGTGCGGCTGAGCCCAAGGCATCCATGTACTCTTGCCCTGCCACACCGACTCGGAGGCCGCCCAACCGCCGCCTGGGTGGTCAGCATCCCCAGTCCCAGTGACGCTCCTTTCTCCAGATATGGACTCCGATGCCAGTCCTCATCCGGTAACCGGGATGAGAAGTAGCTCGTGATTGTCCGCATGATCGCGCTTCCCGGCATTGACCACCGGCCCCCACAAAACCAGGTGAGAGCTCGGCTGTACACATTCCGGCCCCCACTCCGCGCTGATATCTTATCGGGAACGCGGCTGAGGAGAAACGTCAGACTTTATGCATTCTCGCACTTCGGAAGTCCCAAAGATTCATTTGGAGGGAGTAGTGGCTGCGGTGAGTGCGGCCGCCTTTGGTTCCCGAAGCGTAACCACAGACTTGCGCAACAATGAAAGGCATTTGTAGGCAGCAATTATACTTACGCATTATCAGTCATATGTCCTCTGCACAGCCCACCTGCTGCCTGCCTAGCGCATCTTCAGCCACGCCTTGCTGTCATGCCCTCCCCAGTCCGACTTTTACACCCTTCTCTTCAGAAGAAAGATAGGTGTGTTCGATGATGCATTAGGGCTGTGATATCGCGCTATGAATAGGTTCTTCATGCAGGTTTGCTGATCCTTGGGCCGGTAAGAGATTGTTCCTAGCCCGGCGGGGCTTATGCATGACTGTCATCAACACCCTCGTGGTCAGCCAAGTCTCCCCCGACCGCCAAGCTTCTGACCCACATCCCTGTTGACCCCGGCCGTCAAACTTGACCTCGGTGAGCCACAAGCGGAGCTCCGAGTCGTCGAGTCCACACATAAACTGTTGAATCCTTGCTCCTGACAACGTGAGTTGATGATTCTGCCAATCACTGAATCGTAGCCCTGAACCGTAGCTCCGAGACACGCCGTCGAGAACGTTCTACAAACGCACTTTCTCACAACGGCGAGGATCGACACCTCATTTCTCCATGCCATGTGTGACAGACGCATGATTCATCCAGCAAAGATCCGCCAGCCTTCGGTCACAAAGACATAGCACTGGCAATCTCGCGCAATAGTAGGACCGCGAGAATTTGTGCAGGCCATGGCCACGAATGCAAGAAGAGAGATTGCAGCCGACGTCAAAATTCATCGCGCGCTCGATCCAGCCTCTAATCGGCGCAGCTACGATGAGGGCACGTTTAATGTTACCATTCTGGCGATTGTGCCGGCTGGCCAGTACTTGCTGCCCATCGAGCACATCGGCCTTCATAGGCCGCCGACGCGCGAGGTGTTTTCCAACTGTGCGCAGGTTCCAGGTTATGGTTTCGGAGGCGACGGTCGTGCCGAGCGAAGCGGCAAGTTTCCCGGGTATTTATAGGGCGCAGAATGAGTGGGTTGAGAGGCGGTGTATGTTCTCGAGCCCGTCTGGCTTTCCATATTCTGGCCCGGCTACTGTTGATGATGGTGTGTTCGGTTCGGCTGTCCTGAGAGGGTACTGTTGCCTTTGTTGACAAGCTGTGAGAGACGATTTTGCAGCGTCTGAGAGAGGTCGAAGAATCTGTCATGTGGGGGGTGTCAAGGGGAAATTGTTCGCTGCACATGCCTTATACTTGGACAGCATATACAGACCTCAACAAAAGAACTTTACGTGTGCTCGAAAGACTCCAACTTGGGTTACATATCAAGCTGCGCGCATTGATAGCTCTTCATTCTGCCATCCGAAGCCGAACTCGCCATCAAACGATACTTCCACCAAAACCAAAATTCTATATGTGATATTAAAGCAGGGGCTCAATTCGGATAGTCTATATCCATAGTTTAATTTACTTTGATAATATCTTTCGAAAGCCTGCGAGAGGCCTCAAAGATGCTGGTCATCGTACTAATGAAAAATAACAGATGGTGCATACATGCATCGTTTCACAAATAGCCTGCATCAGGGATTACGTGACCATGAAGATGCGCTGCAGGCATTAATAGTTTCCTGCCAGCTCAGCTTTCCCTTTCGACGGGAGCGAAACTTTAATTCAACACCAAAGATAGTGCTTACAGACACCTTCCGTCGGGCCACAGGTCACTCTACTATCAAATGTCGCATCAAGTTGTACTTACGGCCATCAGATCAAGATGGTGTGTCTACCCTTCCATGTTCTAGTCATGATAAATGGGCGAGTAATCCGCAAGGATGATCTCCTGTTCCTGAACTTCCAATAGAAACAGCCTGTGTTCATGCATTCCCCAAATGCCCGTGGAGAAAGTCTACGCAGCATAGTGAAGAACGCGCGTACACCGCTCCAATAGAACTAAAACGCGCAAAGCTACGGTCGCTGATTGGGAAGTGCTACCGGCCGGGAGGCCGTGTTTGCAGGGCCTATCGGAGTTAGTGCTCCCTTCGGAGGCCGAGCCTACAGGTTTGCAGACGGCAAAGGAAAGCGGATAACCACTTGACAGCGGGTGCGGCAGTGGCTGAGACATGCGGATTGCGTTCGTTTCATTGGCCATGCCACAACACGAGCGGGGATCCGGCAGTTACGTACCCCGCGTGGGGCCCCGGAATTTGGGCACATGCCAACATCGCGACCGCTTCTCAAGTCTCCGCTCCGGTGGGTTTGGGGAATTTCCAAGATAGCCGCGGTCTGCACACCAGGAATCTCCGAGATTGCCGTCCAAGAATTGGGTTGCATGTACCCCTCTTCTTTCCCCTCTCCATGACCACTATGTTTCTCTTTCGGGGAACCTGCCACGAATGCACCTCGTATCAGCTGCACATGCCGTGACTTTGCCCGCATACGGCGCTACTGCTGTCGTATAGCCCGCTCTCCATCCACGGACCGTACAGCAACCCCAGCTCATTTCAACTTCTCATGCTCCTCACTACCACGCTCTAGCCGCGAGCTCAAGCGCGCCACCGGCCCCGCAGTTGGTTCTCGTGACGGCTAATGTACCTTGCCTTCTTATTCCATTCTGCCGATGCTATATGGCGCTGCATGGAGCGCCCACCGGTGGTGTCGTTCTCTTATAATGATGGCCGCGTGCTCGAGTCTACCATAGTCCACTCTATTGCCCAAACAAATCTCAAGACACTGGAATAAAGACCTTTTGCGGCTTCTCGTTCTTCCAAATAACCATGTACCGGCTGGTCTCCGCCGTCACACGCGTCGGAGCTGTTGCTGTTCTTGCCAGACATGCTGCGGGAATCAATCTGACCGTCTCAACAAGTGCGGGCAATGCTACTTCGCCGCTAATGCATGGCTTCATGTTTGAGGTGAGTTGTTCTCGTACGCTTTTTCCTTTCTCAACTGTTTCTTCTTACCGTTCGTAACTTCCCCTGCGTCGGCACTGCAAAGATCCCATTATTTACTGCATGACTCAAAGGAAAGAGCAAAGGGAAAATTGCAACATCGATCTGCTGATAAATACCCCAGGACATCAACCACTCGGGCGATGGTGGTATCCACGGTCAACTTCTCCGCAACAACGGCTTCCAAGGGGACGATCAAACGACCACTGCTTATGGAACTGTGGGAGACGTCGAACTGACGGTCGATGCTGAGAATCCTCTCTCCTCGGCTATCCCATACTCACTGGCAGTAGCCGTTCCAGACGGCACGACCGGAGATGTGGGCTTCAGCAATGAAGGTTACTGGGGAATTCTCGTCAATGCCGATCAGTACTCAACTTCCTTCTGGATCAAGGGTATTTATTCAACCGAAATCAAAGTGCTGTGAATGCGGACTGATGTCAAAATGTGGAGGCGACTACACTGGCAACGTCACCATCAAGCTTGTCGGCAACTACAGCGGTACAGAGTACGCCAGCACTACGCTCGATGTATCCAGCAACACCAGTGCTTATAGCTACTACGAAACGAGCTTTGAGAGTGAACAGGCTCCGAATGGTAACAACCTATGGACTCTGACATTTGACGGAGAGAGCACTGCAGGCTCAACCTTATATTTTGATCTCATCACGCTGTACCCCCCTACATTTAACAACAGAGAGAACGGATTAAAGCCTGCTATTGCCAACGTCCTGAACGATATGGGAGCAACTTTCTTGCGCTTTCCCGGCGGTAATAATCTGTAAGTGGCGTCCGCGATGCTTTGCGAACAACCGGCCGTTAACGGCTTTTCAGCGAGGGCTACAGCGAGGACAACCGCTGGAAGTGGAACGAAACCTTAGGTCCGTTGGAGGATCGTCCGGGTCGTCAGGGTATGTGATTTCGGAATCATGGTGGGCTACAAAATGTTAACCACCGATCAGGGACTTGGGGATACCCAAACACGGATGCACTCGGTAAGTGGTAACTCGTGGCTTGGTAGGGTCACGCTGATGGCTTTTATAGGTCTGATTGAGTATTTTGAATGGTGCGAAGACATGGGCCTCGCCCCAATTCTTGGTGTTTGGGACGGTTTCGCCCTGGAATCGGGTGGAAATACGCCTATCACCGGCGATGCTCTCACTCCCTACGTAGACGACGTGCTGAACGAACTGGAGGTATCTCACCCCCACCAACCTCTGCCTCCTCCTCTCACACTGATCAACCCCTCCCACAAAGTTCATCCTCGGCGACTCCTCCACCACATACGGCTCCCTCCGCGCCTCCCTCGGCTACCCCGACCCCTTCACCCTCACCCACGTCGAAATCGGCAACGAAGACTACCTCGGCACGTCCACCCCCCTTCCCCCACACACTCCACCACCCCCCAACTAACACAAACCCCAGGCGGCGGCTGCTCCACCTACCCCACCCGCTTCTCCGCCTTCCACGCCGCCATCACAGCCGCCCACCCAAACCTCACCATCATCGCCTCCGCAGCCATCGCATCCGGCGGATCCGCCTGCCTCCCCTCACCGCTGCCCAGCGGCGTCGTGCAAGACTACCACACCTACGCCTCGGAGACGGACCTGGTAGCCAACTTCTCGCAGTGGGACAACGCCAACCGGTCGCAGCCCGTCTTCGTCGGCGAGTTCGCGTGCTACACGTTGGCGGACGGCACGCACGCGGCGCTGCCATCCGTGGCGTGCAGCGTCGCCGAGGCCGTCTACATGGCCGGGCTGGAGCGCAACGCCGACGTCGTGCGCATGGCCGCGTACGCCCCGCTGCTGCAGCTCGTCAACGACACGCAGTGGACGCCGGATCTGGTGGCGTTCGCGCAGGCGCCCGGGCAGGTGGTGCGGAGCACGAGTTATTTCGTGCAGCGCATGTTTGCGGGGGCGTGGGGGTCGGAGACGAGGGCGGTGGAGGCCGATGGCGCGTTTGGGCCTGTGTATTGGAGTGCGTCGGGGGATGGGGATGGCGCGGCGGTGTATGTGAAGTTGGCGAATTATGGGGATGTGGAGCAGAGTGTTAGTGTGGGTGTGGAGGGGGCGACGAGCGGGGCGTTGACGACGTTGTCGGGGGAGCGGACGGCGGCGAATAGTGTGGAGGCCGGTGAGGTGGTGGTGCCGGTGACGAGTACGCTTGAGGGGAGTGACGGGACGTTTGAGATTACGCTGCCGGCTTGGAGTGTGGCGGTTTTGGCGACGTCCTGATGGGGTAGTTGCTTACATCTTTCCCGCGTCCCAGGCGGTGATGGGATGGTATTCGGAAGGTGGGTTGTCGTATAGCCGATGAACATATTGTCTGTTTCCGGATGACTTCTCCTTGTGATCAAGCAGCGGCTTCTCTCGTCCGTCTCGATGCCAAACATCCTACCAAAAAACATCTGATGACACCCCATCACTTCGGCATATTATCCGACCTCGCAGCCTGAACAGTCAGACCATGGAGAATATATCCCTCATGAACCATTCCCAGATAATGCCCCGAGGATACGCGCAACAGAGATTAGGTGATGCAGCGATGCAGTTCCTGAAGGAAGAGCGGTCATAAGCTCGAGAAGATCAGATCAGCCAATGACGAGTTTGTACAGGGCTAGCCTAACCGAAGGTGGCTTGTGGAGAGACAGTGCTCAAGCGATCAGACCAATGACGAATGGGGGCCAGAATCCTTCGCGTCTTGATCTGGCTTAACAGCTGACGCCCCTTTCCACTAAATGTGGAGTCGCAACTGTTGGTTTTCCAAATATAAGTCCAATCCATGCAATCTGCAACGGCGCTCGGCCCTGAAACGAAAACACCAAACGTCACTAGCCAGCGCCTTGTCCGCCAGCACCACGATACAAAAACACCACCCATCCCTCGCCCACCCCTCGCCGGACCAGCATGCCCGCAGCCTGAACCAGTCCTCCCACGACCTCCCCCGCCGGACCATCCACCATGCTCTCCCCTCAGCCGCGCGCCTGGCTCACCGGCCTCTGCGCCCTCCTCGCCGCCACCTCCACCACCGTCGTCGCCTCGCCCACGTCTCTCCACCGCCGCGCGGGCCTGACACCCAGCCTCTCGGGCGCGCTCAACCCCATGTCCACCGGCAGCAGCACGTACCCGCGGGCAAACTTCCTCTCCTCGGGCGCCATCCTCGGCGCCTTCACCGCCTTCCCGTCGGGCACGGGCGAGTCCGTCATCACGCTCGCCTCGTCCCCCGACTCGGGCGTGACGTGGAACCCGCTCGGCACCGCCGCGTCCGGCCCGACCAACACGACGGACATCGACAACCCATTCCCGATCGAGCTGCCCGGCGGGCGGCTGCTCGTCGCGTTCCGCAACCACGACCAGGAGCTGGACCAGACGTACACGTACTTCCGCATCACGGTTTGCTACTCGGACGACGGCGGCGCCTCGTGGGCGTACCTCAGCACCCCGGCCTCGGACCCCGGCGCCGTCAACGGCAACTGGGAGCCCTTCATGCGCCTCGACGGCGACACCCTGCAGCTGTACTACTCGCGCGAGACGAGCGCCGCCGACCAGGACAGCCTGGTGCGCACCAGCACCGACGGCGGCGCGACGTGGTCCAGCGCGACGACCTTCACCGGGGCGGAGTTGACGAATGCCCGGGACGGCATGCTGGGGGTTGCCGAGTTCGATGGCGGGCTCATTGCCGTCTTCGAGACCGAGACGGGCGGCGGCAAGTTCCACATCGGCGCCGTCACGTATGACGGGACGTCGTGGGGTGACCGTAGGGTCGTGTACGAGAGCGATGGGTTCAATGCGCAGGCGCCGCAGGTGGCGAATGTGGGCGGCACCCTGGTCGTGAGCTTCCAGACGGATGAGGATGGCGACTATGTTGTCAAGGTTGTGACGAGCGCGGATGGCACGGAGTGGGCGGATAAGACGACGGTGATGGAGGCGACGAGCCAATGGGCTGGTCTGTTGACGCTGGATGATAGCAGCTTTTTGGTCATGGCTGGGAATAATGGCGTTGCGAGCGCGCAGAAGGTCGTGCTTAACTAGCTTGACAGTGAGATTGGATACATAGTACACTTAATGTCCGATACACCACCCCCTAATGGATGTATGCAATGTCGATTTCGGTCAGCCATTCCAGTTCCCTATATACTACTGAGCCATCCGTGACACTTATGCGCCGCCAGGGAACGGTTGTTCGCGTTGTCAATGGACTGGGGTCCAGCACTCTTTGGCGAAGCATATATTCGCAGTCCGAGGACGTTGGACCGGGGAACTTAATGGAGACCAATGCTTGTTGACCAGTCTGGCGACTCAAGTGAAGAAATGTATAATCAACAGAACAGAAAGGAAAACTCAACAGGATCAAAACAAGGATATTAGTAGTTGGTCAAGGATTAGTATATACAGTCTTTGTGAATGATCCTCAGCCAATCAGAACTCCCGCACGCCGCAACTGCCCGGCGATAATGCATGACATCCCGGCTGGCGTGATGCGATGAAGAATGCAATAGAAGAGAAGTAATCATAAAATAACGTGCTGTAGTCTTAAGATCGGGGGAGTTATAATGCATGGAATTATATAAATGCTGTAGTGATTCCAATCATAGGTCATGCTAGAGGCCTATGCGCTTAATCGTTGTAGACAATCTTTATGCCTACTGCTCTACATTTTCCTTGTTTCATTAGGGCCATATACGTAGCTACATGGTCGCTTAGTTTGAGGCTGTCGGGAATCGAGGTCTCTACACGCCTGCAGGCCCATGATATTCGGCCCATCCCGTAAATAATTGGTCGTCACATCAATCTGCGGCAGCCTGATTAGCCTCACTAGTGAAAAACAATTGTATCGAGCGGCTGAAACCGCCAGCTGACAAAGCTGGCAGTGCTGTGGCTGAGGCTGAGTTGAGTTCCCAATGAGCTGCATTTGTTCGGCAAGGACTCACCGAATCGGTTCGGTGCTGCAGCAGAAACCCTGCATGACAGAGCCACGGCGTTGAGCATGTCAGCCTGTCAGTCAACCTTACCGGTCAAAAGCTGGCCAGGCGCATCCAGCAGCGCCACAAAACTCTGTTGTGCTCTCTCAGCCTGCCAATCCTAAGCTGCCACGATCTGAAGTGTGTCGTCACCGACTTTGCACAGCCGCGCATCGAACAGGCAGGCCTGGGGTATTAATCATCAGAGAGCCGCTGTTTTTCCCCGCTTCAAGCCTTGACGTTTATCTACTCCTTCGCTAACGCTTCCACCCCGGCTCTTACAAGTGACATTCCGCCGAGGATGTGCAACGATGGCCGATCCGTTCTCAACGGCCGCAGCAGCCATCAGCCTTGTTGATGTCGCACTGAAATCAGCCCGCGAAATCCACAGCCTGATTCCCTCCCTCCGAGATGCCCCGAAATCTTTATGCTGGGCTTTCGAAGTCGTATGTGAGGTTCAGATTCTACTTCAAGACTTCCAGAATCTGGTAGACGCCTATCGCAGCTCTTCCATGCCCCATGTTAGTCCTCAGAGCCTTTCGTCGATACTTCGCCTCGTCCAAAGCATCAGTGAAGACTTGATAACTCTTCGTGCTGAGGCCGAAGAGCCGATCTTCAATACCGATTCTCGTCGTCGTCGCATCCTCAAGTCACTCCGGCTTCACAAGAAAGAGTCATCCATCAACAAAACATGTTCTCGGATTGAACGAAACGTCAAATTCACCCATGCCAGTTTGAGTGCATTGGGAAGGTATGTCTCGTGCTTTTCGCCCAATACAACACTCACTGATAGAACAATCAGGAACAATGACCTCTTCCAAATCGGACAACTGCGGACCGCAAATGAAAACACCAAACTCGTCATTCATGGCCAGACACAACTTCGTGGCGATACTCTTGACATCATGCACAGAAATTCAGCTGTCTCGCAGCAAATTCTTACAGGGCAACACCACACTCACGTCGAAATGCTGGAGGGCCACGCACAATTGCACGCCGATATCCTTGCCGTTCAAAACAATCAACTCCAGAACCTCCCCCCGATTCTACTGCATGAAGGCTCGGCAGCCGATGCAGCTGCAACACTGTCACTGGTACATCGGCTCCTGCCATCCGTTCTGGAAAGAGCTCCGCTGCCAGGAACCACCATGGCTGATCTTACATGGATGGAGAACGAGCTGCGCAACAACTTGTCGGGCGTTCACTTGCTCGCTGCATCAGAACTAAAACAAGGCCTCAGCCTTGTTCCATACGGTACTCGAAGAACGACTCAACCAATCGCACTGCAAATCTTGAACCACTGGAGGTCGCAATCTTCCTCAGTCATGCAAAGAGGCCAAGGTCATCTTCGAAAGCAAAAGCTGGAAAGTCCGCAAAACGAAGAGATGGAGATCGTGGTTCAATCTCCAGAGGGCAACCTATTCGTGTGGGTGAGCGATGGATGCGAGATCACCGTGAATGACTTCTCAACCTCTTTCAAGGGCTTCAGAGTCATGTTCATGCCGAACCAAACACACGGCCTTCCTGGCCTATCAGCATCGTTCGTGGAAGCATCCGGAAATGGCCTGAAGGTTTCATCATCCATTCGGACGTTTGGTATTGTGCCCGCGGGATGCGCGATAATCAAGAAAATATGGGGTGGTGACACTGACGAGGTGCGAGCTATTCTGCAGCGTGGAGAATGCTCTGCTGCGGATAGAGATAAACACGGTTGGTCACTACTTGGAGTAAGAAATCAATAATTCTTCAATAAAGGCGGAAGATTGCTGACTACATACTAGGTCGCGGTCTACAAAAGAAGATATGACATATGCTATCTCCTGATACGTTACGGAGCCGACCCGCTCGATTGTACTCCGTATGTGGCTTTAAAGTCAATGACATCCTCATAAATTAACATCTCAGTAGGAAGGGAGACACAGCATTGGACATCTTCATTGGCCATTGGGATCTAGCAGATGAAGACGTTCATTTCGAGGATTACATACGACTTTTCGCAACATCTGGATGCTTTGAGTGTGACCAAATGAATGAACTGTTTAACAGCCTCGCCGAGCCTCTTGGGTTCTTCCCATCTCCACCGCAGTTCGGTGTTGTTTCCAACCTAGAAAAACCAATGGCAAATCCAAATCGGTTTCAATTCCTACTCAACCACATCTTGGACATCCAAGAGGTCGGCACCTACGGACAGACTCTCCTCATTGAATGCGCAGATACGCATTTCTCTAATATGGTCCCGCTCGGGAGGCTGATGTTGCAGGCTGGGGTCGATGTCCGATCATTTAGCCGCCACGGTCAGGGCGTTCTTCACCATTATCTTCACCGCCTCTCATGTTGTGGTTTCTCTACACTTCGCGGCCAATTTGCGGAAGATATGGTACTGTTCCTACAAGAACTGTTATCCCGAGGGGCCTCGCCCCGAGATGCAGGTGTCACGTCGCCGACAGAAACTGCTCTCACACCTGCTGCGTGGGTCGTTTGGTGTCAGGCTTTGGACAGATCGGGAATTGATATCGAAGATCTACTTCGGGCCGAGGATGAGCTTAATGGGCTACAGCCTCCTAGCGCTGAGGACGTGGAAGAGTTGGTGGGTGACATCGCGGGTCCAAATCTTGTGGCCCCGGAACTGCTGTCTGATGAGCGGCCACAAGGCACATGTTTACGCTGCGAGGCCGGTCTCCAGCCAGTTTACTACCGTCCACCATTCGATTCGATGTTTGGTCTGCTGATTGAGAGTTTCCATTCTCATGAAACACGCACTCGGCACCGGAACGGGCTCCCATGCAGCAACCTCTTTGGTGTAGATTCATGTGTCTACGGTGATCATGATGAGGGTGGCGGTGCGATTTTATATACCACGCAACTTAGCGAAAGGAAATGGGCAGCATATCGGCTATGGAAAGATGGATGGCTCGCTACCCCGGAGGGTGCGGAGTTCTGGGCAACGGATGTCATGACTCAAGAGGCGTTTGATTCTTTCCACCATTTATCTGCTATCAGGCTCTGAAAGACTGTGTAGTCTTTTGTGTTCCGAATCCTTAGCACTCCGCTTTTCAAGTAGGCAATATAGTCATATGGAAAACCCTGAAATAGTGGCTCTACTTTGTTGTTCCATTATTGATACGTGATTGTCAAATTTCGGTGATGAGCTCACGCTCCTAGCTGGGTGAAGGGATAGTTCCAGTTTAAGTGTATCTGTGAATGGTTCGTTGTGATCGTCTTTCGCTCAATCAAGATCCTCTACCGTCTATCCCACCCAGGACTACCCCCGCCTCCATAATCCTTTCAACCCCCTCTCCCTCCACAACGGCACAACAAACGCAAGCACAATGTTACCAACACAAAACACCACAAAGATGCCCAAATCCCTCCACCTCCCCTCCCACCGAAAATCCAACGATGCCGCATACTCATCCCCCGTCTTATATCCACAATACCCACAATCCTTCCTCGCCTCCGCATCGACCAAATACCCGGCACTCCTCGCCAAATAACGCGCCATATACGCCCCACACGTCTCCCCCGGCGGCGGATCGAACCTCGTCAGATCGCGCTCCGCACACCGCACCTCCAACCCGTGCATCACATTGGCGGCACTCCCGCCGACCAAGTAGCGCAGCGGATCGGCCCAAAACATCCACCGCCGGTAAAACGCATTCATCAGCGCGTGCGGGACGGCGGCGCCGGCGAACGCTGTGAGCACGACCCAGGACAGCGAGTTGGCGCAGCCCGCGAGCCGCTCGGTCGGGCAGCAGGCGGCGATGCATTGCGCGAATCCGGTGCCGAACGCGGCGTAGAGCACGAACAGCAGGTACTCGTAGCCGGCCTGGGTCGCGGTCGCGGGGTAGCCGAGCGTCCAGTAGACGCAGAGGAACACGAGCGAGAGGGAGGCGCATTGCGCGGGCAGCTCGACGAGGACGAGGGCCGAGACGAGCGCGGGGAGCGTGTAGGTGCCGTTTTTTTCCCGCGCCGTGTACAGCGAGTGCGCGGCGAACCAGGAGGATTGGATGTCGGGCATGAGTGCGGGGACGAGCCAGGAGAAGATGAGGAAGAAGAGGACGCGGTTTTGCGTGCCTTGGAGGGTGGAGGATGGGTGGTAGAAACTGAAGGCGATGAAGAGCTCGACGAAGAGGCACTTGAAGAGTTTGCTGAGGTTGTAGGGCCCGTCGCGCCAGGTGGAGACGAAGTGGCGTTTGGTCACTTTGAGGATTTGTTGTGGGAGGGAGAGGGCGAAGGCACGGTGGGCGGAGGCAGATGCGGCGGCGGTGTTGGGGTTGTCGCCTTCGGGCCTCAGGGATGTGCACTTCAGATGGGTGATTTCGGCCTGGACTGATTGCGCTTCTGGAGACTCGGACCAGGTGCGGGCCCAGTCCATTTCGGGGGTCTTTGGCAGTCGTCGCGGTGTTGAGTATGAACTCGGCCGGGTTCTCGTTTTCTCCCATGATGGCACCGTATCGGGCGAAGTAGTCGACCACCGTCTGGCAGTTGGGGCCAGTCTTTCCAAAGTACAGAGTGTTGCCCCCGGGTGCCAGCAGTAGAACGTGGTCGAACATGCCGAAAATGATGCCAGATGGCTGGTGGATCGTACACAGCACGGGAATGCCCTGGGCGGCGATCTTGTGGAGGAAGCGGACAATCGAGAAGGCGGCCTGCGAATCCAAGCCAGAAGTTGGCTTCAAGGAAGCGTTAGCATCAACCATCATCTCAGACATGTCTGCCGACTCACCTCATCGAGAAACAGCAGCGCAGAAGGCTTCGCAGCCAACTCGACCCCAATCGTCACGCGCTTCCGCTCCTCCACACCCAGTCCCGCAACGCCAGGCTTCCCAATGATAGCATCGGCAATTGGGCCCAGCTCAAGCAGTTCGATGATGCTCTCAACATAGGACAGCTTCTCTGCCTCGGCCACCTCGGCGGGCTGCCTCATAACGGCGGAGAACTGTAGCGCCTCGCGGACGGTTGCGTTCGGTTCATGGACGTCCTGCTGCATGCAGAAGCCGCACGCACGGCCGAACGCAGCCGTCAGTGGCCTGCCGTTCAAAAGCACCTCACCGCACACAGTTCCGTCCGTCTTGCGCTGTGCCAGTGTGTCGAGAAGTGTCGTCTTGCCCGCTCCGGACGCGCCCATGAGGGCAGTGAGTTGGCCTGGCTTGACGAAACCACTAACTTCGTTCAGGAGCCTTTTCTCCCTTCCGTTGACGTTGATTGTGTATGTGACTTTGTCGAAAGTGAGGGTTGCCGCCGAGGCCGTGGCAGCTGGGGCCTGGGCTTGCTGTTCGTCCTCGCCGCTGCTCTCGTCCTTCTCGCACTCCGAGTCTTGTGGCGAGCCGCGGACCGATATCGACGGAGACGTCGCCAGCCGTGGGTTCGACGGCGATGGTGCCGGCTTGGGAGAGCCAGCCAGCTTCTCCACATCCAAGTCCGCATCAGCGTCGCGTGAAAGTGGCTTCTCACCGTCACCATGCGTTGTCATCTTCGCCCCACGCTTGAAAGACACACCTCCATCGTTTCCCGCCAACCTGACCGTCACCATCAACCCAACCACAGCCAACCCGACATACACGGCCCACATGGCCACCACGATCCCAAAATTCCGCCACAGATGCCCTGTCTCGTATCCAAAATACGCCCTCAAATACGCCTCGCCACCCACACTCGTCTCGCCCTTGGCCACCCCGGGCAGCGGACACCCCTGATACCCGCCCCCATACCCGTCCCCACTCGGCACGAGCTGGTCCTCGGTGCACGCCAACTCAATCCTGCCAAACTCATTCGCCAGCAACGCCTCCAGCGCCCACGGGCTGGGCGACACGCGGCGCAACCACTTCCCCCACGCAAGCGCCTCGGGAACGGACGGCGCATAGCCGGCGTAGAGCTGACACACGGGCAAGGCGGCGCCGGCGGCCAGCAGCGCGACGTTGTGGCCGGGGGCCCACGCGCCCAGGGCGCGGAACAGCGACAGGGCTGCGCAGTAGAAGGCCGACAGCACGGCGAAGAAGGTGAAAAAGGCGGCGGCGCTGGTGGAATCGAGGCCGAGCAGGAAGTAGTACGGCGCGGTGAAGACCAGGACCTCGCTCACCGCGAGCGGCACGTCTCCGAGCGTTTGGCCGAGCACGAGAGCGGCCGGGTGCAGGATGCCGAGCCGGTGCTGCTTCGCGAGGAGGGTGCGGCCGGAGACGGTGGCGGTGACGTGCGGGAGCGCGGCGAGGAAGAAGTAGATGAGGGTGAAGAAGATGCCGCCGCCTTTCATGAAGGAGCCGGTGCTCGTTTTGGGGGCGTGGTAGAAGGCGGAGCCGTTGATGAGGGCGGCCGTGAGGGCGACGAGGAAGCCGACGAGGTGCGAGCGGAGGTCGTTGCGGACGAGTTGGAAGTGACGGCGGGTGACGACGAGGGTTTGGGTCCAGAGGCTGGCCGAGTGGCGGGAGCGGGGGAGGGCGCCGCGGGAGCGGAGGCGGGCGTGTTCGGCGGCGAAGGCGCGGACGTAGGAGGGGTTGGAGGAGATGGTAGCGTCGTAGTGAGCCCTGTCGGCTTGGAGCCGCCGGTAGTGGTCCGACTCGATGAATGCTCTAGCCATGGAGTCGGGATCCAGCGGAACCGGGCCCTGCTGGTCCTGCCGCACCACCCGCTCGACCGGCGACGTCACGGCGGTCAGGAACTCGGCAGTCGTCTGCCTGCTGCGGCAGACGAATCCGAGGTCTTCAAAGTACCCCTTCGCTTCCCCAGTCCGTCCGCAGTAGACCATCCTCCCCTCGTACAGCACCATGACCCGGTCAAAGCACTCCGCATACATGCTCTCCGACGCCTGATACAGCGTTGCCACGTTCGCCATCCCCGTCGCCCGCGACATCTCCTTCAGCATCCGCAGGAACCTCAACGCCGCGCTGCTATCCAACCCCCGAATCGGATCATCCCAGCTCGCCACCGCCGGATTCCCCGCCAACGCCTCCGCCAACGACACCCTCCTCCGCTCCCCCCCAGACACGCCCCGGACGTACGAATCCCCCACGACCGTACCAGCCACATGCCCGATGCCCAGCGCCGCCAGCAGCGCGCCCGTCACCCCCTCAACATCGAACCCCCCTCCCTCCCGGCCGTCCCCCAGCCGACGATGCCCCCGCGCGCCTCCTCCGTGCAACCGCACCGCAAACCGCACCGTCTCCCCCACCCCCAACCTCGCGCAATGCACGTCCTCCTCCCCGCAGTACACCACCTCGTCCCCGTACCCGCTCGCCACGGCGTCCGCGCCCAGCCCCGCATACCGCAGCTCGCCCTCGACCTCGACCCGCGCGAACGGCGCGCGCTCGTTCGCCAGCACCCGCAGCGCCGTCGAGCACCCCGCGCCCGGCCGCCCGAGCACGAGGAGGCACTCGCCCGGGTAGACGACGCCGGTGATGGGGTGGAGGATGGTTGTGCGGAGGGGGGTTGCGGTGCGCCGGCGCGAGAGGAGCGCGAGCGGGACGGCGACGGCGCGGCGGAGGAGTTCGGGGACGTCGGGGACGGTGGGGCGCGTGGCGGCGGCGGCGGCGGCGTGCACGGTGAGGGCGTGGAAGGTGAGGCCGAGGGAGCGGCCCGAGGGGCGGTGGATGGGGAGGCGGTCCGCGCGGGAGGGGGTGGTCTGCAGGTGGGATGGTTAGGGGGTTTTGTGAATGGTGTCGAGGCCGTGCGGTGGCATCGGAGAAAGAGTTCGTCTTGGGTTGGGAGTAGGAAGGTTTGGGAAGGAAACTGTTGGTGACACCATCGTCACGAGGAGCACTTACCTTCGTAGAGGCCATTGTGAAGTGATGTCCTGTCTATGAACTGCTCTTGTACTTTTGAAGCGAGGCGGGAGAAGCTCTCTGTCTTTCGTCTGCTGAGAATCTCGAAATGATCGAACAGATTTTTAAAGCATTTCATTGTGGCATCCGCATAGTGGAATACCACCAAGTTTGTCATTTGGCTCAAGCGCGTACACCGCTATCAGTGACTTGTCGAAGAAAAAAAACCATCAGTCTCTTACACCGAAGACAACATCATGAAAGGCCATCTCGGGCCGACGATGGGTCTCAGTAAAGGCGTCGGAATCTGGATTCCTTTCCCAACTGACGCAAATACTCCGCAGATGCGGAAAAGGAACTAATGAGCTGACACCGTGCGACTTCCGCCCGTGCCCACGTGTAACTGATTGGTTGTCACGAAGTTATCTGAAAGTGAGTTCGCGATGCTGGTCCTCAAGCTGAATCGGTCCGAGACAAGGCATTCCAAAGCTTTGATTGGCCAGTCGACGCCGAGCTCAGTGCTGACGGATAAAGAGCAACCCGTGCGGCCCGAACCAGCCAATCAACCACAACGCTGCCCACCGATGCCTTTCGCTGCTTGTGGGTTTCATGAGGCACGGCTGGTCGTGGCCGTACACGGTTGACATCCCTTAGCTCGCAACCCACAGTAACCGGGCTTGCTGAAGGTCGACCCCTGACGAGTCGACTGAGCTCATTCTTTCTGAGAGAGTAGCCATGGTGCGTGATTCTATTGTATTCACTGAACGAGTGGCAGACTTAGCTATCTATTGGGCCCTGAATAGTATATTGAAACACCGATCGGGGGGTCGGCAGGCAGCTTTCCGAGTTCCTCGTAGCTACACATCGGTCGCAGGAGAATTTCAGCGGCATTGCCGGCCATCCATATCGTATGGCGTGGCGCATCGGCCGGTGAGAGCTGCTTCCATGATGGCAAAACGGCGAATCCCTATCATGAGCCATTATTTTCGTGCATTGAGAGTTTCCACGACCACGTGTATGGACAAGACCCAGGGGACAACAAGACATCATCACATCAGACTGTCAGGGATATCCAAAATCCCCTCGCCCGATGGCGGCCACTGCGAGATATACTGCGTCCCACTCGCCACCGTCGCTGCCGTCACACCGCCATCAGCGGCATCCCTCGTGTCCTGAACCAACGCAGCCGGGTACTCGGGTGTCTGCTGCACATCCGGCGGTATCATGTCCTCGGTCAACATGGACGGAAACCCCGTGAACGGTTCCGCGAAAACATTACTGCCAGCCACCCGTCAGTCAGCCAACGCCTACAATCCCACGACCACGACGACAAAAACATCAACATACCTCAACCATGGAAACGCCCCCGTCAAGTCCCTCTCCAACCCAACCTCCTCACCCCCCGATGCCAACGCATCCTTCGCAAACTTCATGATATCTAGACTGAGCTCCTTGCTGTTATTCGGCCCCACATGCTGCATCGTCTCCAGCGTCCCAATCGCGCTCTCCACAACCTCAAACGTACTTCTTGCATACCCGGGCGTTGTCGCCGGATCCAGCACATCGTACAGCAGCGTGATGCTCGCGACCAGCAAGAAAAACGCCACACTTCCATCGGACTTTAGGAACGGGGCACGCTTGCAACACGCGTCATTCGCCATCTGTATGATGGCCTTTGCCGACGCGACGGACGCGGCCACGGAGGCGTTGATGTCGAGCAGTGTGCCCGCCGTCTCTTGCGCCTCGAAGCGCGAGGAGAAGAAGGTGGCGTAGGTCAGCGCGGGGCGGTGGATCAGGATGTGCATGAGATGGTACCACATGCCTAGGAACGTGCGCTGGACCTCCTGCCAGTCGGCGCCGAGCGGGAGGCCGGGGTCGTAGAACTGGAGGTAGGAGGGGAGGGAGTGGGCGAGGGATTCGAGGGCGTCGGTGCACTGATGCGCGACGGCATGGACGACGAGGAGGTCCGACGTGCGCTTCACGCCGCTGCGCGGAGAGTAGATGTCGCTGGCGATTTTGTTGGCGATGCGGCCCATGTCGGCGGAGGCGCGTGCGGCGGCGAACTCGGCGCAGGAGCCTTTGGCGTTGGGATTGTCGATGATGTCGTCGGGGTATGAAGCGTCGATCTGGTCGTCGTGGAAGCTGGAAGGACGGCCAGTGAAGAGTGAGACGATGCGTTCAAGGCCGTAGATTGTCCAGAATGTGGCTCGTAGTCTGTGCTGGCTGTAGCTGTTGCCTCGGACGACTTCGCGTTTGTGCATGCCTAAAGCCAGCGCGCTCCGGGCAGCGAATCCGAGGTAGAGGTAGCCGTCGTTTTGCTTCATCAACTGAAACGCATACATTGCCTGGCCATCGATCAGCATTTTCTTAGTCATAGGAGGGCAGAAGACGCACCTTCAAGACCATGAAATGGATTCCCTTCAGAGTTGGTCCCAGCATGAAAGTCGAGGATGTGTCTGCTCTTTCGGCAAAATATGCGGCCCAGTTTTCGAGCCGGCAGGCATCGGACTTGGCTGCTACAGAAGACGCCCTCGCCCCTATGGCGAGAACCAGGAAAACCAGCTCTTTGCCTTTCAGTGGTTTCCTGTCGATGGCCGGGGGACTCCAGAGCTTGGACCAGGTTTCATCGATTTCAGATCTGAGGAGAACAGGGGCCTGGGGGTGGATAGTCTTGAAGTACTCGGCAATAAATCCGTCGCCCATCTCCTTCCGGATATGGATTTCGGCCAATGTGTCGCTTAGTGGACCGTGTGGATTTCGGAAATCAAACATGAAGTGGTGCAGTCTCCATTTGCGGACACCTTTGGGCATGCCGACGTGGCCAATGCGGTCGATACGCTGATATATCCTGTCCAGGAAGCAGAAGTGGGAGGCAGGACCGTAGAACTGGAAGGATCCGGATTCAGGGTCATGGACTCCGATGCCAGTCCTTATCTCTTGCTGTCGCTTGTGCTCGGCTGGGTCGAGAAGACGGTCATGCGGGGTTCCTGCAAGAGAATCGGATGTCATTCGAGTCGGGAGGGGGGGAGCGGGAGCAATGCGCGGGGGATCAGCAAGTACGGAGGCTTTTCGTTTCCTCCGATTCGGCTCTGGAGAAGCATACTCGCAGCTTTGGTGTGCATGGGCGCAGGAGTGGCACGGCTGGCCTCCACTGCACTTGACCTTTCTAGCGTGACATACGGTGCATGCTCGAGAAGCTCTGGTAGATGGGCGTTCTCCAGAGTGTGGTGGCATTTTCCTGCCAGGATCAGGCGACCCTCTCGTCGGCCGTTTAGAGGTCGGTCACGAAGGAAGGTCGGTGGAGAGTTTGACGATGTTTTGCTTCGTCAGCAGGCTGGAGAGACGTCCCGGCGTCGATCAAAGACCACGCCTAACCGCGATTGGCTAGGTGCGATATCCCCGCTGCACGTGAATTTATGAGGTCCTCAACACCATGATCACGATGAGGAAGAAGGTACAACATGGCTGCGGAGTAGGATGAGTTGCGCGCTGTCATGAAGCATGCGATGCTCCCATGGCTCTAGGTGCGGAGCCGCGGGAACAACGAACGGCGATAATTTGCGGGTGCGGGAGTAGATGACCGTTGGCGGCCTCGACGAATGGATACGAGTGGTTGCGAAGATGGGTGAGGCCAAGACTCGGCCGCATCATCGAGTGAAGTCCTGATTTGGTGGGGAGTCGTGAAACGGATGCTGAACAGAAGCAGAGCATGGACTGGGAAAGAACATGGCTCTGGGCGGGAGCGCGGCGGAAGAGGCGCAGGCGGCAAACGAGGCTCAGCCCAAGGATTGCAAGAAGACGAGCGGAAGCAATTTCTGGAGGGTGTTTCGAGTGGCCGCCAGCGCGTCTTGTCGGGCGCGGCAGGAGAGGCCGAGTCTGGGCGCTAAGGAAAGTCTAAACGGCAACCGCACCTGCAGCCAATCACCGCCTGCCCCGTCCTGGCTATTTTTGTCGGATCTCGTCGGCCCTGCTGCCCGTCCCTGGTGCACCTCACTCAACCTCTCTGCCAGACTCTGGAAAAACACCCCAGATGCGCTTCCGACAACGTCTCTTGCACAATGTCCGCCCTACGCTCCGCACAACACTCGGTGCGCCCGCGCGCTGAATACGACGCGCACTATTGGCCGTATCGCGACATGAGCGCCGCCGAGCATGCTGCCAAGGACGCCGCCCCAGCGGACACTCTTCTTGCAGCCGTGGCAGTCCTACCATTGCGTAGCCCCGGGACGTGAACTCTGGGCAGTCCGGCACCTGCATCTTGGCCTACCCAATCCTATTTAACATCCAGACCTGCTGCGCCCTTCGTCCAACCTCCTGAGCCCCCCTCCTGCATCATTTCACCTCCAGTCCTTCGTTTAAACAGAGCGCTCCCGTCTTCTTCGACCGACATTCTTGCTGTTTACTTTCGCTTCCGCCACTTCTCTTCGCTCTTGGCAAAATGAAGTCCGTCAGCCTTGCCGCTCTTGCCGGCGCCTTCTTCGCAGGTTCCGCTCTTGCCGACGTGCCCCCCATCGAGATCAAGGTATGCAAACCAGTGCCCCGACCTGCCCGATGAATCCCGCTGACACATTGCAGGGCACCAAATTCTTCTACTCGAACAATGGCACCCAGTTCTACATGCGCGGCGTTGCTTATCAGCCCGAATACAACGCCGACGCCGCTTCCGCCAGTGACACGCCCAACGACAGGTACATCGATCCGTTGGCCGACCCGGACACGTGCAAGCGCGATCTCGAGTATCTCATCCAGCTCCGCACCAACACCGTCCGTGTCTATGCCGTCAACCCCGACCTCGACCACGAAGAATGCATGACGGCCTTCCAGGATGCCGGCATCTACGTGGTTGCCGATCTCTCTTCGCCCGGCCGGTCCATCAAGTCGGATGACCCTACCTGGGATGACGACCTCTATGACAGGTACACGTCGGTGATTGACGCCCTCGCTCCCTACAACAACACGCTCGGCTTCTTTGCCGGAAACGAAGTCTCGCACAGGGCAAACAACACGGATGCCTCTGCGTTCGTCAAGGCCGCTGTGCGTGATAGCAAGGCCTACATCAAGGAGCAGGGCTACCGTGCCATTGGCGTTGGCTACGCCACCAACGACGACGCCATCATCCGCGAGCCCATGGAGGACTTTTTCAACTGCGGCTCCAACGAAGACTCGGTCGATTTCTGGGGTTACAACATCTACTCCTGGTGCGGCGATTCCTCCTTCTCCAAATCCGGCTACGACAAGCAGACGGAGAAGTTCGCCGACTACCCCGTCCCCGTCTTCTTCGCCGAATACGGCTGCAACGAAGTCAAGCCGCGCAAGTTCGGCGACACCCCCGTGCTCTACGGCGACGACATGAACGACGTGTGGTCGGGCGGCATCGTGTACATGTACCACCAGGAAGCCAACGAATACGGCCTCGTGTCCGTCGACGGCGACTCGGTCTCGACTCTCGCCGACTTCAACAACTACAAGTCCCAGATCGCCAAAGCCACGGCCACGGGCGTGAACCGCGACGACTACGAGCCGACCAACACGCGCGCGCGCGACTGCCCCGCCGTCAACACGGCCTGGGCCGCCACCGCCAGCCCCCTCCCTCCCCGCCCCAACACCGACCTCTGCAGGTAAGCCGCCCTCACCACCTTCCCCGACACCCCCCGCTGACCCCACCCGCCCCGCAGATGCATGTACAACTCCCTCTCCTGCATCGTCTCCCCCGACGTCGAAGTCGCGTCGTACGGCGACCTCTTCGGCACCGTGTGCGGCTCCTCGGACGAGGCCTGCGCCGGCATCGGCGCCAACGCGTCGACGGGCGTGTACGGCGCCTACAGCATGTGCAACTCGACCGAGAAGCTCGCCTTCGTGCTCGACCAGTACTACCAGCTGCAGGACGGGTCCGAGTCGGCGTGCGCCTTCTCCGGCTCGGCCACGCTGCAGAGCGCCGTCGAGCCGACGGGCCAGTGCAGCTCGCTGATGGCCCAGGCCGGCACCGCGGGCACCGCGTCGGTGACGAGCAGCCCCACGGGCGGCGCCGCCGCCACCTCGAGCCAGGGTGCGGCGGCGCCCGGCGCCCAGGTGCCCGGCGTTTTGGGCGTGGCGGTGGGCGCGGGCGTGTATGGCGTCATGGCCGTGTTGGCGGGTGTGGGAATGGTGCTGTTGTAGGTGTGTCTGCGTTGTAGCTTTTGTGCAGATGGCATACCTACGCTCGACTTTCCTTCTCGGACAAGGCTTTTCTGGGGAGTCTGTTTCTTGAGTACCGCTTGATTGTAATTTAGCGAACATACATAATGTTCAGTGGCCGTTGGATACTTGTTTGAGCGAAGCAATAAGTGTTATCTAATGACCGATCGATTCTTGAGTGCGTCGTGAAATGCAGTAGCTGCATGGTGCTTCTCTATAGCCACACGTGAGCTGGATGGCTCGAGAGAACGGTCCGGTCCGCTTGGCGGGCGTGTCATGGGTATACGAGGCATTTGCCATACAGGCTGGGTTGAATGTTCTTTGGGCACGTTGTAAAATCTGGATTCTCCCTTCTCCCTTCAGCCCACAGGAGTGAGTGCATTGTAAAGACCCACCCCGCGAGGAGTGCGCGGCGAAAGTACCCGGCGCCTCGGCAGTCCAGTCGAGTGACCAGCGAAGCCGAACGAGCAAGCTATCACCAGACTCGATCGGAAAGCCCGAAAACGCTGCGTCAGTCAAGGCCACATATCCACCCACATCGATCATCATAACAGCAACCCGTTAAGTGAGCGGTCAGCCAGTCCCCCCGAAACGCCGTCTGTCTGAGTCGGCACCACCGACCCCGCCCTCCCGCCCGATCTCGGGTGCGATTACCCTTATCTATCTCCCGCACCTCTTCGAGACCTCACTTCTCTCTCCCCCCCTGCAACACCTCTCCTCCCCTTCAACCTACGACGCCAATTTCCTGACCAATGAGTCCGTGTTGCTCTCCCTCCAACATGCCGCCCGAGGACCCCCCGCCCGCTCCGCCCGCAACCTGCGGCGGCAATTGCTGTTCGAGCACCACCGCCACCGTCGACCTCGGAGCGGCCGCCTCGCCTGCCGGGGCGGTCCCGCCCGTCGACGAGGACGGCTGCGCGGACGGCTGCTGCGCCAAGGAAGATGCGGGCAGCGTTGAAGCCGACGAGCAAAACGGCTGCGCGGATGGCTGCTGCGAGACCGCCAGTGCTACCTGTGCCGACGACGTCGAGGCGCCTGCTGCGCGCCGAGAGCCCGAAGCGGGCTGCGACGAAGAAGACGCTGCTGCTCCGAAGGGGGCCGACGATGGGTGTGCCGACGCGTGCTGTGCTGCTCCCGCTCCCGCTCCCGTTCCGCCGTCCGCCGCCGAGGATGCTTGCCAGCGCGGCTGCTGCTCCGGCGCGTCGGCAGCGGCGCCGTCACCCGTTGTCGATGAGAGCGAGAAGATGGACGAGAAGCCCACTTGTTCTCGTTCTGCCTGCTGCGGCGGCACGAGCCCCGCTAAGAACGGCAAGAAAGCTCAATGCTGCGATGGTGCGACAATTCACGTTGCCCCCACCCCGGTCCTGTGAAATCACGTGCTGACATTCCATTCCCTAGATGGCTGTCTGGACGAGCTCGCCCTCCGTGACTGCGACGACGAGAAGTGCTCGCAAGCCGGCAGCTCCGCATGCGAGTACCACAGGAAGAAGACGCGCAGTCAGTACCGCGCTTCCTTGGAGGCTCTCGGCTGCATCTGCCGCGCCCTGCTTGCGCGCAACATCGAGTCCTGTTGCAACCAGACTGCCACCCTGAGGCGCAGGCGTGCTGCGCGTCCATCTTCCAGGACGTCTTCGATGGCGAGGCAGAAGAAGGAGGCTTCTAGTTGCTGCTCTGGGTCTTCGAAGCCGGCCAGAGCGAGTGGCAGCGTCCGCGCGAAGAACGGCTCTTGCCGGGATGCGTGCTGTGACGCGAAGCCTCCCAGTGTCAAGGATGATTCATCGCCTTGTCAGGATAGTTGTTGTGGAGTCAAACCTCCCGGCATCGAAAGCATTGCCTCGTGCCAGGACGCTTGTTGTGGAAAAAAGCCTCCCAGCATCAAAAGCGCTGCTTCGTGCCAGGATGCTTGTTGTGGAAAAAAGCCTGGTTCGGTCATCAATGTGAACATTGACCGAGTTGACGTCGAACGAGGAGACGTTGAGAACGAGCATGTCGTCTTTACCGTACATGGAATGACCTGCACTGGATGCGAAACGAAGTTGATGCGGTCTTTGACCGTCATCCCGGGCGTGTCACGGCCCCAGACCAGCCTGCTTCTCTCGCGGGCTGAATTTGATCTGGACGGAAGGCTCCTCTCACCCGATCAAATCAAAGCTCGGCTTGAAAAAGAAACTGGTTTCAACTTTGACAAGGTTGCCAATGACGACAAAGAGCTTGAGACTATCGAGGTTCTCACCGGCGGCAACGCCAAGGCCTTCGTCACTCGAGACATGCCTGACGGAGTCGCGAGTGCATCTGTCGTGGACAAGGACGTTGTCTCGCTGAAGTATGATCCCAAGGTGCTCGGAGCTCGCGATCTGGTGAACCACTCTTTCAGCGCTCCCCTAAAGCTGGCACCGCTACGCCCACCTCCGTCCATTGCCTCGGGCCGCAAACATGTATGGATTGTCGGTCTGCAGACCCTGATTTCGGCTCTGCTCACGATCCCGGTTTTGATCATGGCCTGGGCTCCGCTTCCAGAGCATGAGATTGCGTACGGTAGCGCCTCTCTGGCTCTTGCCACCATCATCCAGGTCTTCATCGCTGGTCCTTTCTATTCCAGCGCTCTTCGTAGCCTCATCTTCTCTCGTGTCATCGAAATGGACCTCCTGATCGTCCTCAGCACGACCGCCGCCTACGTCTTCTCCATCGTAGCTTTCGCATACCTCGTAGTTGGATCCCCCCTCTCGACCGGAGAGTTCTTCGAGACCAGTACCCTCCTCGTCACGCTTATCATGGTCGGTCGCTTCCTCGGCGCCCTCGCTCGTCAGAAGGCTGTCGAGAGCGTTTCCGTGCTGTCCCTCCAGCCTGCCACAGCCCTTCTCTCATCAAAGGATGGCCAGGTCCACGAGGAAGAGATCGACGCCCGCCTGCTCCAATTCGGCGATGTGTTCAAGGTCGTCCCGGAGACGCGCATCCCCACCGACGGCACCATCATCTCTGGCTGTTCGGAAGTTGACGAGTCGATGATCACCGGCGAGTCTCGGCCGGTTGCCAAAGAAGTCGGAGCGGCTGTCATCGGAGGCTCGGTCAACGGGTCTGGCGCTCTGCTAGTCCGGGTGAGCCGCCTGCCCGGCTCGAACACAGTTGCGAAGATCGCGGCCATGGTGGATGAGGCGAAGATGTCCAAACCCAAGATCCAGGACCTCGCTGACAAGGTGGCTGGATGGTTTGTTCCCGTCATCGTGGCTATTACGATTGTCACTTTCATCGCGTGGGTTGCCGTGGGCGTGGGGAAACGGGGAATGGGAGGCTCCGAGGCTGCTGTCCAAGCTATCACATACGCCATCGCGACGCTCATCGTATCGTGCCCCTGCGCCATTGGCTTGGCTGTGCCTATGGTTGTCGTCATGGCTAGCGGCATCGCGGCCGAGAAGGGCGTCGTGGTCAAGAACGCAGAGACACTGGAGATTGCGAGGAAGACGTCTCACATAGTCTTCGACAAGACGGGCACACTGACACAAGGCAAACTCAGCGTAACGAGCGAAGTCTACCCAGACGGACCTTCCGATCCTGCCCTCGCCCTCCTCCTCGGCCTCGTCCGCGGCAGCAAGCACCCTGTCTCCGTTGCCGTCGCCGCACACCTAGAATCAAAAGGCATCACCGCCGCCACCGTCAACGACATCCAGTCCCTCCCAGGCAAGGGCGTCGAAGCCACCATCCCCGCCAGCTCCGCCAGCAACCCCACCACCGCCCCCCTCACCCTCCGCGCCGGCAACACCCGCTGGCTCGACGTGGAATCCCACCCCTCCGTCTCCCCCCTCCTCGCCCCCGGCTCCCCCTCCACCACCTTCGTCTTCACCACCAACGCCCGCCTCACCGCCGTCTTCGCCCTCACCGATACCCTCCGCCCAGACGCCTCCCCCGTGCTCGCCCGCCTCCGCGCCCTCAACATCGCCATCTCCCTCGTCAGCGGCGACGACGACGGCCCCGTCCACACCGTCGCAAACGCGCTCGCCATCCCCCCATCCAACGTCCGCGCCCGCGCCAGCCCATCCGACAAGCAAGCCTACGTGCAGAGCATCTCCGCCCACAACGCCGACACCGTCGTCGCCTTCGTCGGCGACGGCACCAACGACAGCCCCGCCCTCGCCTCCGCCTCCATCGGCATCCACGTCGGTGGCGGCGGCACCGACGGCACCGGCACCGGCACCGACGTCGCCGCCGCCGCCGCCGACGCGGTCCTCACGGGCGGGTCGCTGCGCGGCGTGCCGACGCTCCTGGCCATCTCGCGCGCCACCTTTTCCCGCATCGTCCTCAACTTCGCGTGGAGCGGCGTGTACAACGTTTTTGCCGTCTTGCTCGCCGCCGGCGCGTTCCCCGGCGGCGTGCGGATCCCGCCCGAGTATGCGGGGCTGGGCGAGGTGGTCAGCGTGGTGCCGGTCGTGCTTGTGGCGGTGGGGTTGAGGTGGGTTGGGGGGTGGGAGTAGCGGGGGTGGGGGGAACGAATGAGATGGGTGTGGTGTTGGTTTGGTTGGGGATGGGGGAGGGGGAAGGTGGATGAGGTTTGAGTCGAGATTTGCTCGTGGAAATGATGGACTGAGATCTGGGAGAGATTTGATTCAACATCAAATGGTGGGTTTTGCCAACGTTGGGTTTTCTGCGCTTTGTGCTAAGGGGGTTGTTTGGAGTGGCTAGGCTAGTGGAAGATATTTATGTGTACTGGACGAGCCATCCTGTAGGGGTGTTGCTCTCAACGTAGGTACCAATTTGCAACACTTTCCAAGCCGTGCACAAAGAGGGTACCACAGCGCTGTAGATCGACCGACTGTTGGAGCCATGGTCAACTTGGATACGTGGTCATTACTTTCGGAACATCAGTTGGGACGAGTGTACAGCTACCGGATATCATTGTGCAGTTGATTGAATGAACTTCCTACGGAGACTGTCCCCCATCGTCCTTCCGAGAAGTTCTTCGGTGCACGCGTGATCGGCATCCAAAGCTCGTTGTCTTCAAACAGATTCACCCGAATTCACATCACTCGAAAACGTCATCCTTCCATCCCAATCATCCGACACAACGCCCAAGTTGACGGGAAACAGCCACGCCTCATCATCCTCGCTGCTGGGCCTACATCTCTCGCCGATGCCATCACTCCTCGTAGCCACGCGTACCAACAGCTCGCCCGGGGCTTCCATACGTCCTGAACACCGACCTGGGCCAGCAGCACCACCACAACTACCACACCGGCGCCAGTCGCATAGGAGATGTCGGTCGGAGAAAAACCCACCCTGGATGCGTCCGAGGCAGTGATCTTCCAGCCGTCCGGCCCGGACCCGTACGCCTGTCGTCGTCTATGGTTCTCATGAAGTCTGGTCGCAATTTCTGCGTTCTCTGCAACATATGAATTATGCACTGTTGCGGGCCCACTGGCCACCGGGGTGGAGTGCAAATCAGCCATGCTGGAGCTAACTTCGTCCGATTCCATGGCAGATGTGCATTTCGCATCGGCTGAGGTTAGACTATGGGAGAAGGAGTTCATTCGATTCACAAACGGGCTCAGAAGGCTGGGAGAATATGGATTGGACCCTTGGTGAATGTTGGAAAACAAGGCTGAATGAAATATTGCTCAAGACCCACGCAAATGTATCTCTTTCAGCTGAGGTACCATTTGGGGAAAAGCATAGAGAGGTTCTGAAATAGAACAAGATTCACGGCGCTCTGACAAGGATGCCTAGTGGAGTCCTCTTTCTTCCTCCAAGATACGATCCGGGACGCGTATGTGCCTCCGCATGATCATTGGGCATAGCCAGCAGCAGGGGACCTGTAATATGCGGCCTGGTTCGTCAAATGGCCCGCCACCAAGCACAGCACTACGTGTTGGCACTTTTGCGTCATACTTGCAAGGCTTTGGCTACTTTGTTGAGCTATGAAATGTACGCACTCGATGTAGGAGTAACGCACGGGAATGCTGACGCATGCTGTAGCTATTGCCCGCAAACTCGTCGGCAGCCCGACACCAGAAGAAAATGTTATCAAAGAAAGTCAAGATCGTGATGGACTTGTGTGGCGTCATGCAAGTAAGCATTGAAATATGTGCGTGAAGCGGCTATGAAAATCGGCAGAGGCTGTGGTCCTAGTCATTGGTCGAACAGTGCAGGAAATTCCGCCTTGCAGGGTTCTAGGCAACACACGAGAAAGAGAGAAGAGGGGTATGCGATCGCAAGCTGGCATTTTCCAAGCGCAAGGCTCAACTGGTCTTCAGCCTAATAAAAAGCGGATGGCGCAGTGCAGTGCAGCCAAGTACCGTTACTGACACAGCCTTCATGGTGTTCAGTACTCAAAAATAACAATATAGAAGCTACTTACTTGAGTAAGAGCCAAATCGAACAGTAGGATTTTGGATAAACAGAAATGAAAAGTGAGACGTGTTTGCGCAACGAGTTACAGTGGCATACGGCCCCTAAATCAACAAAAAGGAAAGAAAGTACCAGCTCCCGACCGGAAAAACTGATACGCGATTTTAATTGGACTCATTTCAACCCATTTCCGGTTTCCTTTCTGCCTTGGCTGTGTCATGATGCAGGTGAGAATCTCGCGATAGGGCGCACTTTTCAATAAAATAACTCATCGTCTGATGGCCTACCGGAAATTCATTGGCCAAAATGCCTTGAGCCTTACGGTTACCTTGCTTGATATATTGGTGCGTCTCCGTAGATTCTGTGAGATCTTCATTCATCTCTCACCCATACTTGACGCACGGTCAAACCAAGAGCACTTCCTCGATCATAATGTTAGATGATACCGTTTTCTGTTGTCGATGTGGAGATGGACCGTGGTACCTATCTCTTTATCCCAGCTGTATTAATTGCGATCACCAGCTGTGCTCGTGTTGCTCGACCGATGCAACGCGGATATCCGAAACAGGACGGCTAGGTGCACGTCATGCGCCAGTCACGCTGCAAGACCACTTGTCTAGAAGGCTCGGTCCTTCGTCCGACTCATCTGACGGCTTTGATGAGGAAGATACAGCACTTCCTCCGCTGGATCTAAAGTTACCGGATACCAACGATGATACTCTTCTTGAAGCTTTCATAGCTTCGGTCGATACTACACACAACCACAACCAATTGATCGACGAGCTTGCGGAGTGTTTGATGCTGAGAGAAAACATCAGAATGCAAACTACTGCCGAACGCTTGCTGTCTCATACTTTCGACGGTTGGCAACAGATCATTAGTGGCCTCGAGTCCCTCCTACATGCATTCAACATCTTGGAGCGAGAGGGGCTTTGCTCAGGGTCATTCCCGCTTCTCGTTTCCGACACCTCCCGTGGAGGAGTCATTTTGGGGGTTTCAGTTTCCAAAAAAGACATCGTTGATGCAAGGACTCTATGCAACAATTACGAAACCCATCAGGATAACGGGCTTGGTGAGAAACTCCGTTTGAGACTGCGATCGATCCTATTCCATTTGAAGATCCTGACTCCCCACTGTGAGTTCACCCGTATCCAGCTTTAGGTTTGGCTCGAGTTGAGTAGTAGCGAAATGAAAAGAAGCTGAATGCAAGTAGGGAACCAACACATTCGCCCCTCCGTCCAAGATCACTGGAACCTCCTGCTAGACACCTGCGGAATCTTTTTCTCGGTTGTCCGTCTCGGAATGTTATCCTTTACCGGATCTCACACGTCGAATTTCGATGAGATGATCTTCGGTTCCACGGAGGAGCTTGAAGTCATCCGTGTTTCAGCATTCATATGCCTTCACAAGAGGGATCTAGCTTGCTTGCAAGAGTACGTGGGAGGAGCCGCATGGGTCTTCGGTCCGAATCAACTCGAGAGAGGTGCCTATCATGTTTCTATTGACATGAAAACATTCTCTGACCTTTGGGGTCCTTTGTGGGCATGTTCAGAATCTGAGCATCCCCCTGGGTTCCAAGAAATGTATACGGAAGGTGGTGTCATCCGGCCTCATCCCGACGATACGAGTACATACCGATCAGAAGACGAGTTGAGGTGTCACTGGGAACCCTTATCGACACTCGAAATTCGTGCAAGAATGAGGGGATCGCAATGCTCGCCGAGAACCGCATCAGCCGACTACCGCATCGGCTCCAGAAAAATGCTCATCGGGGCCGGAGAACATGTTTCAGAGCAGATTCAGACTGAGACAAGGAGCGAACCATCAATTCCTACGAATGTGCTTCCACATTTCAAAGACAACGAAAAATGCCCGATGAGTCACTCATTCCTATGTAGCAGGCGCCAGATGAGGGTACCAGGGACATACGGCTCGACGTATGAGCCAGACTCGTACGCCGTCAACGCTGCAACAGGCTACAAGTTTACCATCGGCGGTGCAAAAGGGTGGAAGCGCAGGCCGGCAAAGTCACTCAAAGAAAGATTGCTCACTATCCTTAGCGGAATGAAAGGGAAGATCATACCACTACTGAAGGCTAATGTTGGACTGGAGATCAGCCGCTGTTCCATCAATGCGAGACGCGTCACTCTTTGGGATGCTTTAACCATAGCGCACGCGGGAAAGAAAATCGCCAGCAGTGGAGCGGGAGACCAACTATCCCTTCCACATTTCTGCACTCACTTCATTGGGCAGATAGCATGCATTGCAGAATGCTGGAATCTGGCCGGAGCCTTGAGCAGGGCTGGAGTGTCTTTCAAGGAGGACACGCTCATTGACGTAGCGCCCGGCGACAGTTCCGAAGCATCCGAGTCCAAGTCAAAAGTTCGCGAGCTGGTTGTTGACGCAGTTGCAGAGTTGGAGCAAACGGGTGTCGATCAGACGGATGTTCTCCAAGCCTTTTACCCTTACGTTGAGGCTCCAACAGCCGTTTGCCTCGATATAAAATCAAAGAATATGAATGAAAGCAACAACTGGATATCCATGGTCAAGGAGAGCCCTTCTACGGCGTGTTTTGCTGTCATGAGTGACAGCTGCCTGGTTTCTCCACTCACCGGCTCATCTCTCAACCCTAACTATGGAAGGTGCTTAATGGATCCCGCCTTCAGCCAGAAGAAACGCTGTAGTCTCTTGCAAACTGTACTTTACAGGAGCAACTCTGAGAAAAGTGGGAAATTATCAGCACAATCAGAGAGACGAAAATCTACTCGAGGTCTCCCATATGGAGAAGACCTGTTCCTTGAGAACGTTGGAACGCTGAAGCCAGTCAATCGAAGTGGTCTTGTTTTTGAATTGAGCTGCAAGCCGTGGAATCTTTTCCTGAAGGGGCACACCGAGGTAAAAGAGCTCATGTTCGATGAGCACGGAACTGACTTGAGGGGAACCTACTTTATTGTATGAGCGCGGATGGCTCGGGAGGTGTTTTTTTCTTTTTTCTTCTGTTTATCCCGGAGCCTATCATGTCACGATTTATTTACTCATTTTGGGCGCTTATCTACAGGTGTACATACATAGGACCATAGATTAGTATAAAAGCCTTAATCGTATACAGCTTCCCATAAGTTTCATATAAGTATATTAATTATAAAAAAAATGGGACATACCTATCTTAAAGAGTCACTAGCCTAGACATAGACAGGGATTAAACAAACTACCGGAATAATATATCTATAGCTTAATGTAAACACAATAGACTGTCTTATCACGCCAATTATTTTAGATAATTATTAAATTCTTATAGTCAGTAGTGGCCTCTAAACTAAAGTCACTGTTTTGTTTGATGCACCCCATTTCAACCAGCCCCATTCTCGACTCATATCATCCTGCACGTGATACTCCCACTCAGCCTCAGCGTTTCAGTCTTGCACCCCCAGCCTCGGCAGAAACCCACCCTGTCTCGGCTTCAGGACCTGACTTTTGTTGCTGACCTCCACGACATAGACATCCATCTACGAAGTCATCATCACCATCTTCAGGTGGCTCAACACCTCGGCCCCCGTGCGGACTCTTGCCGGCCTAATGTTTTATCTTCTCAAACAGATTTGGCTCGTATCTTCATTGCTTCACCACCTAAGTCCCTTCCCCACACTATGCGGAATACCACGCACATTTTCATTCCATCCGATGGACCACTTGCCTGACCCCAACCTCAATGTACCGCCAATCGTGGTGCTGTACCTGACCAGCTTTGAGTAAAATCGCAAGACTTGCTACATTTCTAGAAAGAGTTTGCTTTGTGGAAGATGGAGCCTTGAACCTAGATCGCCCGTGTCGACAACTGGCAGCGCTGGCGCAGGCTTGGCTCTTCTCAGTCTGATCGATGTTTTCACCAGAGAGCGTGTGGACAAGAGCGTTCCAATCCGGAGAGATGGTAGCAGAGGAGATGAGAGCGTCGTTCATACTACAGCGCTGGGCGGCATTTTTTAAGAGAGCGTCAAACGCCCACGCATACCGTCCATGGGCCCCGAAGTTTTGAAAAATATCCCCGCGCAACTGATGGAAGCTGCACGGGTAGCACGCTGCACCGAATAAAAAGAGATGATCCGCCCAGCGCCGCAGTCTTCTTTTCGATAAGACTTTGGATCAAATATGTTTTGGAAACGTTCGACGTTGGGTTCTGGCTTCACCTTGGCTTAAGCATCCCACTGATTCCAGTACGAAATTCCTTTCGCTCTTCAATATTGGGAAGAAAGAGACAGAACGAAGGCATTCCTGCTCCTGCTCGTCTACTCATCATCCGTATGCGCCAGCCTAGGGGGTGCATCAATCAGATTATGAAGTTTGCCGTGCTCACAATTGTTGCGTCGTCTACTGTTACTCGTCCATCGCGCGAGGGGAGTTATGGAGATATCACCCACGAGGCTTGCAGCCTTGGTCGGAGGCGCAATGTGTTGCATAGAACATCAAAGACGACTGCTGCAGCCTACAAGATCCGGCATACCGAAGAGTGTTCCGGCCACAAACTTGCCAACCCACCGGAAGACAAAGTTGCTGATATCGTCAGAGATGGCGGCATTCCGCTGATCGAGGGTAAGCCGGCCTTACTGGAGAGTCGTACACAAGTGAAAGTTACATGCGTCACTCATCACTCGCGATACACGGCAAATTCCACGTCTGGATCGACGGCCACAGCAACTCCACAACCAACGCTTCGCCAAGATATCAGCTGCACAGACTCGTGGTCTGATTTTTTGTCATCTCCAACACATGATGATCCAGGATGAGCCGCATATGGATCTGTGATGAAGTGAAATGATGCAGAACATGTGAAAGTGTAATCGTCTTGGGGGTCGGGCTTGAGTTCCTACTGGGTTGTTCATGCAGAGTTGATGCTGAACCAGTAGGTCATAAGAATGTCTTTCGTCTCACGGAGTGAACGGAATCTGCGCCATCTTCCAAAACTGGAGCGCATGAGGTGGGGGAAAGAAGTTTTGGACGAGGCTGGGAAAGCGGGGTCTTTTTGTCAACGGCTTTTGTCAAGGCGCTTCAGCTGCTTCGTGGACGCCACGAGAACAAAAAGCATGTGAGCGTATAGACGGGTGCTCGGCTTGGAGCTCTATTGGAGCGGGTTGCCAAGAGCTCAGGAGAGCTGGAAATCGTCCAGTAAATTTCGAACGTTTCATTGGTCCCGCGGAATAGAGGGCAGATGCATTAGCCCCAAAACGCTGCATCACGTTGTATGCGATTGATTGGAGCTCTCAGCGAGGCTGAACTGCACATAAGCAGTCGATCGTCACGACCGAAAGCGGGGCCGTGCATAATGTGGCTTGATACTACGATTCAGCGCATAGGCAGCAATGCGGTTTAACAGCTGATATCGAGCAATAAAGAGAAAACGAGTTATGGACCAACGAGGACTCGGAATCCCGCCGATGCATTTGACCGGAAACAGCAAGCTAGTTCACTGCAGCCGCCTATCGTTTGGAGGAGCTTACGCGCCAGGTGCAGCTAAGCTGACAAACTAATGTAACCCCACCTTGGGGCCAAAACCACGACTACCCGGCAGTAACACGCACAGCGGCGTCTATAAAAACAGACCTGCCTCCCCCTCTGTGGACTATTGTGACTGCGACAAACATCATTGACTCTCATTGTCATCATGGAGTACTACCAGACCGGTCCCGGCGGCGACGCGGCCTCTGGACCCGCTCCCCCCAAGCAGAAGCAGTCGGCTTATCCTCCTCAGAATGCTCTCGACGAGCACTGGGACAAGTTCATCACCAAGACTCCAGGGAAAATCACTCGCATCTTCCCACCCAGCCTCTATGCCAACCTGTTGCCACAGACCTTTCCCAAAACCCTGACCGGAAACGTCAGCGCAACCGCAAGCTACGAGGCTGCGAAGGAAGCCTGTGAACGCAAGGTCAAATGCATCGTCCGTGAATGCAGGTATGAAATACCCCCCTTCCAACACCAATCAGACGCCCAGAACTCTCTAACAACACCCACAGACGCACCAACGAAAAATGGTCCGACCCAGACTTCGACATCGAATCCGACCTCGGCACCAACAACTGCCTCAACGGCCTCGTTGACTCGGACGACGACTCCGACTCGGACGACGACTCCGACTCGGACGACGACTCTCTTCCCATCCCCAGCCCCAAAGTCACCAGCAGCGACCTCCGCAGCGCCCTCAGCACCATCGCCTCCGTCCCCGACCTCTTCCCCTCCTTCCAAACAGTCTCCGTCTCCAGCCTCCTCTCCGTCCTCCAAAACCAACCCAGCTCCGCCGACACCGAGCCCGGCTCCGTCCACCGCGTCGACTGGATCTACGACGAGCCGTCCTTCACCATCGACGACTTCGGCGTCTCCGACGTCCAGCAGGGCAGCACGGGCGACTGCTGGTGGGTCGCAGCGGTGGCGACGCTCTGCAGCGCGCGCCAGCCATCGTCATCATCAACATCACCATCGCCATCGCCATCGCTCATGGAGCGCGTCTGCGTCGCACGCGACGAAGAATGCGGCGTCTACGGCTTCGTGTTCCACCGCGACGGGGCGTGGATGCCCGTCGTCGTCGACGACAACCTGTACCTCGCGAAGTACGACTACGACCGGTACGGGGCGCGCGTGTACGACCCGACGGGCCGCGAGGCGCGGCGCTACAAGCAGCAGCACCAGACGGGCAGCGAGGCGCTGGCGTTTGCCAAGTGCGCCGACGCAAACGAGACGTGGCTGCCGCTGCTGGAGAAGGCGTACGCGAAGGCGCATGGGGATTTCGCGGCGATCGAGGCCGGCTTTACGGGGGAGGGCGTCGAGGACATGACGGGCGGGGTGACGACGGCGATTGATACGAATAAGGTGTTGAGTAAGAAGACGCTGTGGGGGGAGCTGTTGAATGTGGAGAAGGAGTTTATCTTTGGGACGGGCACGCCCGAGTCGGCGGGGGGCGACTCGGATGCGAGGAGCGGGCTGGCGTATCAGCATGCGTATTCGGTGCTGAAGGCGGTGGAGGCGGAAGGTGAGGACGGGAAGTCGGTCAAGCTCGTCAAAATCAGGTGCGTAATCCACTCAGCCTACGCTGCCATTTGAAAGTCAGCTGAAGTCTCGATTAGGAATCCCTGGGGGAAGAGGAACTGGCTTGGAGAGGGAGAGTGGAACGGTCCGTGGAGTGACGGATCAAAGGAGTGGAATGCGTACTGGCTGAACAAGCTCGACCACAAGTTCGGCGATGACGGCATCTTCTGGATGACCTTTGACGACATGCTGAGTCGTTTTGATGTACTTGACCGGACCCGCGTTTTCGGGGAGGGCTGGAGGGTGGCGCAGCAGTGGACGACGATAAATGTCTCCTGGATCACCGGCTACATCAACACCAAGTTCGTGGTCGAGGTGAAGGAAGCTGGTTTGTTTGTGTTTGTTCTCTCCAAGGCAAGTCTGCTTCCCCCCGATCCTGGCTGACGGTCTCTGACTTTGGGTGCGGTACTCCAGCTGGACGATCGCTACTTCAAGGGTCTCGAAGGACAGTATGACTTCGAACTTCACTTCGTCCTCCAAGAGGCAGGTTCCGCGGTCGGCGATCACATCGCTCGAGTCCGACCTTCCAGCGCCGGCCACTGGCAGCGGAGCGTCAGCGCCGAAGTCGAACTTGACCCAGGCAAGTATGAAGTCTTCCCCAAGATCATTGCCACGAAGAACGATGGGCGAAAGCCCGTGGAGAAGATTGTTCAGAAGATGGCCGACAAGAAGCCGCAAAAGCTGAGACAGATCGGTTTGAACTACGACTTTGCCCACCTGAAGGCTACCCCGCCACAGACTGTACCCGTTTCTGCCGCTGGAGCCAAGGCGAAGCAGGAACAAGAGGCTTTCAAGACTGATTCGGAAACGAAGACCAGCGATGTTGCTCAACAAAAGCCCCCAGCAGAGGCTGCCGAGGCAGGGTCAGAGAAAAAGTTGGAGGGTGAAACTGAACAGGAGCCACCAGCGGAGACGATCAAAGCAGAGGCGTCACCAGAGGCAGTCAAAGGGGAACAGGCTACTACGGCTACCGAAGAACCCACAAAGGTTGAAAGCGACGAGAAGCCCTCGGAAGCCAAGAGCGAGAAGCCAACAGATACCAAGACGGCTGAGAGTGCAACCGAGTCTGCGAAAGGCCCTGAGAAGACTGCCTCTGGACCTCAAGGAGCGACACCATTCCCACCAGTGCCGAAGCCTGAAGAAGAGGAAGAGAAACCACCGGAGCCCAAGCCTGAAAAAGAAGCAAAGGAACCTGACGATGAAGAGGGCAACCCGTGGAATGCTGTCTGCGTGATTGGTCTCCGCGTGTACACGAAGGATTCGGAGATGACTATCAGGCTCGAGGCCCCAGGGTCGGCTGAAGAAGGAGCCGTGTTGAATGTGGGCGGTGAAGCTACGGGGGGCACTATGTGATGGAGTTGTGTTTCTCTATCTCCCAGAAAGCCTCCACTGATTGGGAAAATTGATGGATGTTGCGGCATCATTTATGGAAGGAAAGCGAGGGCTATTGACTATTTTCTTCGTCAGAACAGGTATAATCGTGCTCGTAATGATGACCGGATTCGCGCAAGCCTTGTAATCAGCTGAAATGTGTGAGTGAAGTAGCAATGGAGTGGATCAAGCGGATGCAGAACTATCATCCACAAAAGATTTCCAATTCTCCATGGCCGAGCAAGAGATGCTGCGGGTCGCTTCGTCCTATGAGAATGTTTGTGGTATCTTGAGCCCGACCGGAATGCGAAAAGGGAATGCATGAGTGCAAGTAGAATTGCATTGCAGATCGCTTTGGAGATAGAACAGGTTGATGACTTTGGCTGATTCAATCTCTCTGGGTTGGGGTGAAGCGTTTCCTCGCCGGGAAGGTCAGTATTCTGACCATGTGGTTCAGGCCTCCACGTCACCACAGGAATTGGAATACTCCTCCACGCGCGTCGAGGTACATGGCGATCTGAAGTACGGTTTATTCCGAGCTCTATCCATAAGAGGTGTTGTTATTACTCGTGTTGTACCCGTGAGTCACGCGCTCGAAGCCGATCGGCGGGCGCCGTTGCGGCGCTTCTCGGGGGCGCTCGTGGCGTGCAGCTTTGCCCCTCTTGGCTTGCTTGTTCATCAAGTCGAGAGTCATTGTGAGAAAGCTTTGGCGAGGGAAACACCAGAATCGAAAGATAGTGTCTCCTCTCCGCGAATCTTTCGTTCATGCATCACAGCGAAAGCAGCCTCACTTGTCTTCGGCAGTATTCTTTCCAAATCTTGCAAAAGTCGACGATTAATGGGGTTCGAATGTGTCAGTGTCAGCACAGCAACTAGATGTTGTCTTATGAGTATGTGGTCGGTGTTCTGGGGTCCACAAAACAATCATGTTGCCAATCTCAACCGGACCCCACCACCCCACACGCTGACGCTGTGCATTGGAGATCTGGAGGCGTCTCACCGCCGGATGAGCGCGCATCAGTAGTTTGTATGAGTATTGATGCTCAGGTCAGTGCTATCGGAACACCACGGTCCAGTTCTTGTGAGGGCGGATGACTGACCATAGCGATTTAGTGAATGGCAGGACTTCTGACAAGTTCTTGGGCGAGCTTTCTCTCTCCCGCCATGTCCCGCCGGCGATAGATGGATGATTACCAACACATTAATTTAGAGCTCGTATGATAGCAGGCGCCGGCTCTGTAGGATGTGATGGCACAGTGTACACGAAGTGGAGGTTTCAGAGATGTGGCAGAAGGGCGGGCGCGCAACCGCGAAGCCGAAAACGAGTCAGTGCATGCTGATCAAAATACCACTGCGCGTCTATCGTTGCCGACAATAGGGAGCGGATCTCGCGAGGCCGCCATCCGAACGAGCGCGGATCATGCCCAGATAGGTATCAGGCACACCGTTATACAGCGCCTGGCATCCTCGACACGACTCGGCGCTGGCGGAACCAACTCCACGCGCCACAACCCGTCAGCGGCGTCGCTGCTTGCGCCATGCCGCTGCAATGGCGCAGTTTCATGGAGAAGGCGTTTCAGAATGGTTGCCAGCTACAAAACCAGCCTGCTGCCAAGTCTAGCCTCGAAACAGCCTGCAACAACATGAAAGTTTCTAGCAACAACTTCCCGACTTCATCTCAGGCCTTCTTCGACCCGAAATCCGTAGCACCGAACAACATGTTCCATGCTTTCTCCCTGGATGCAGAATGACACGGCTTCGGCTATACTGGCGCTACGTCTGCTTGCAGGCCCGCCGCCAAGTGTGCAACCGGGCCGGGACGAGACCTTGGCTCGTCTCGCCATGCCTTTGCACTAACACTTGCACCCTGCGATCGCCTCAACAATTGCCTCGATTTGTTTCGAGCCGCCGCGACTCAGGTGCTAAGTGGCGGAGAAACAGTACCACAGTCTCCTGAGAGCAGCGCAAGGCATACCGCCCAGAGCCATCGGAACCCCGGAATATGCAAACGACTGCCCAGGAACCGAACAATTACCGGCAGGATGAGCTGTCTCCAGCTGCTTTTGAGCCTAGAGACTTTGAGCAAAGCAGAGCATATACACGGCTAAACAAAGGTGTTGAGAGGGTTGAAGATTCCAGAAGTCAAGAGCTTTGCGGGGAATCCAGCCATGTACGGGAGAGCAACTGGCGCATAGCACTGCCACCCAGTTCCTAATGAGGAAGCCCCTCGCCTAGTTACCCAAAATCTATCTGAATCTCTTGGGGACATGTCTCCACCCGCCAAGCCATCCCCCAAACAGGCAGCATGGTTGTTCCTCCAGCCCGATTGGCCTTTTTCATTCCCAAACAGATTGGTCAAAGCGGCTCAGGCTGATCAAGGCACACATCATATCCCTCAAGGAGAGAGGGAGATTTTCCGGTTCAGTCACTAACCATGTATAAAGACAGGCAGTGAGCCACCCCGATCAACTTCTCAGCAAGCCGGTCTTCCTCAAGTCACCAGTCACAGCATCCAGCACATTCCAATCCACTCTTTCCAACATCGCTCATTCAATCATACGCATCACCTGCCAAAATGAAGTACTCCACCACCATCTCCCTCGCCGCCACCATGGCGCTCGTCAACGCCCGCTCCCTGGGCTTCACTCGCCGCCAGAACGCCATCTCCATCCCCTCCTCTGCCGGCACTGAGACGCTCAGCGAGCCCCAGTACATCACCGGTTCCTTCGACGGTGGCCTGAAGACCTACGGCCGTGGTGTCTCTTGCTCCGAGGGTGAGGGCGGTGAGTCCGACGCCGTCTTCGTTCTCGAGGACGGCGCCACCCTCAGCAACGCCATCATCGGCGCCGACCAGATCGAGGGTGTCTACTGCCTGGGCGCCTGCACCGTCGAGAACGTCTGGTGGGAGGTAAGCATTCACCGCATCCGAAGTTGCTCTGTCCAACCGTAGCTAACGATGAAACCCAAGGCTGTGTGCGAGGATGCCCTGTCCATCAAGGGCAACGGCGACGCGAAGGTCAGCGGCGGTGGCGCGCAGGGCGCCAAGGACAAGGTGGTCCAGCACAACGGCGTCGGCACCGTGACCATCGACGGCTTCCAGGTTTCCGACTTCGGCAAGCTGTACCGCTCTTGCGGAAACTGCGACGAGCAGGGCGAGCGCCACGTCGTCATCCAGAACGTCAAGGCCTACTCGGGCAGCCAGCTCGCTGGCATCAACTCCAACCTCGGCGATACGGCTACCATCTCCGATACCTGCGCCACCTCGGTCGACACCGTAAGTCAGCTGCAAAAGAACTGTACTTTGAACATGACTGACATTTTGTCCTCCAGTTCTGCGCCGAGTACGAGGGCAACAACACTGGCGACGAGCCTTCTATGGTCAGCGAGGGTCCCAGCGATGCCTGCAAGTACACCGATGTCCCTGCTTGCTAGATTCTCGTGGACTTGTTACGAGTCTTCGCATGGTAGCTACCAATTGGCTGGCTGCGAAGTCACGGCTCTTTTTTCACCATTCCATACTTCACTGTGTCTATAAAGCTGGATGCTTGTACATACCTCCGATAACAATTACTCATTGCACCAAACGTTCCCGAACCCAGCACAAGTGACTCAGCCGCAAGTGACTAAATTGCCCGCCAGGACCTTTCCAATTTCTAAGAAACCTGAATGGTATTACCGACCAACACAGAACTGCAAGATCATGAAGACTGTGTATGAAATACTGCGAAGTGCCATCGTCGAGCTAACAGATCAAGGTACTTGTTGGTCGGTGTGATCACAGCCGGGTGTAGGAAGTGAAGCTGATAGCTGGATGGTCTATTGAACACTGCTACTACAGGAGGTTTATATATGCGCGAAGAAAGTGATGAAAAGGGTCCTGATCATGATGATACGTTCCTGAATGAGACCCTTGTGGGTCTGATGATGAAAATCTTCCTCAACGAGGGATATTTGATATCTGCATGATGATGAGGTCCAACAGTACTCTACCTGTATACGACTCCACCAACCGGTTTCTCCGTCTCCCGCAGCCGTCCAATCCCCAGTCTCGGTCGATCACCGTCAGCCGTGTTCGTCAAAATCCGCATCTCATGCCCCAAAGCGCCGCGCTCGTTCTCCGCAACTGTCTCCACACAATCGCCATTCTTTTGAGGAATCTTTCCGTACCGCACTTCCATAGCGCCCACGCTACCCAAGAGGCCGTCGATGTCGTTGTGGGTGGAGTCAGACGTCAACGGGCTCTGGAAGGCCTTTGCCAGCTCCAACGGGCTCATTGTCGCGCTGCGTCCCAGTGCCCACCATCCGATGAAGAGCGGAAGGACAGCCAGGGCGTTTGCAACGATGAAGCACAGCGCGGCGGCGAGGTAGCGGTAATGCGAGACGTAGACGGTGCGTTGGTACGAATCCACGGCATCCGTGGCCTGCACCGTGGACGCGTTCGACGCCGCGATGGCGGAGCGGAATATCAGCTCGCGCAGCGCGCTGATGACGTCGGGCGTCGGGTCCGACCAGCTCAGGTTATCGCATTGGACATAGCTGGTAACGCCGGACAACTGCAGGTTGCCGTAGGTGTTGGCCATGCGCCCCGTGCTGGATACGGCGTATCCGGGCCCCATGTCCTGGATGGTGATGTTGCTGTTGAAGATGCGTGCGGCTGCGTCGGCGATGCCACCGATGGTGGACGGCCACTGGCCCAGGCCTGGGAACTCCGCGTCCAAGTACTGCATCTGCGTAGTGTCATTTTTGCCCGCCGGGCTGAGGGACACTAGGCCGTTGCGGAGTGTGATGGGGTATTTGACCGTTGCGGTTTGCAGAGTGCAGTTGACCGTGGTGAAGTCGCCGGTGCAGTTTTTCGAATCCGTTTTGTATTCGGCGCTGACGTTCATGGCGCCCCTGTAGTAACCCGCGAAGTAAACGTCGGTCGACCCAGCATAATGCTTTGCCGCAAGCGCATCTTGCTTGAGAGCTCCGCTTCCATCCTCGTCGTAAGGGCTGTAGTTGTAGGGGCGACTACCTCTGATACAGTTGACGTCGAATCCCGGCGCTTCCACAGTTGTATCGCAGACTCCCATGCACCCACTATAGTTTAGCCTGATGTCCGACCTCGCCGTGTAATCCTTGACGATTTGGGAGAAACGATTGGTGTAGAAGTTGATGGTGGTGGCGTGCGTCGAGGTAAACCCAGAGAAGCCTATCGGCAGGGGGCCAGGTTCGAGCTGTACGGACAGAGTGGTATTACGTGAAGCTTGCGTCGTGGTTACAGAAGATGAGCGCTGGATCAGCGGGCCATCGACTACCACGACGGATGTCAATATACTCGCCAACGCTATGAGATTGAACTTTCTCCCAGCGAATACCGAGTTTGACAAGCTCGCACCAAAGGCCCAGTAGTTGTGCAGTTCGCTCAGAGTTGTACCGTCGAGGGCACGCTTCCACCAAGACAGCGTTGTCGCTTCCGAGAGTGCGTACCGCATTGATGCGTTGGTCGTTGCCGAGAGTATGGAGAGAAGCACGGCCGGTTGGACCGGGTAACGTCGCAACGGCCAAGCATCTATGTCCACATCGTTAGATGAAACGACGATGACTGCCATGGCACACATGCAGATGCAGGCGACAGAGACGGAAATGACTCCGGACCACGGGAGCGAGTGGAAGTACCCCGGGTGCCACGGCTGGCTCTGCCTGCTTACAGGCTGATAGCGAGGTCGGAAAATCATTGTGGAAGTCAAGGTCGGATGATGCTGGAGGGCAAAGTCAGACTAAGCGCTTTTTCATATTCTTGGGCGAGAGCAGGCCCCCCTTGCCGAGTTATGCCGTAATACAAAGCTTATGTTGCACTACATTGTGGCTGCTTACTGCCAACAGGGCAGGCGACCGTCTTGCTTTGGATTGGACCGAGGGAGGAAACGAAAAAATCCCGCATCTCAATTGCAACAAGATTGGCAAAATAAATTTGGGAAAGAAAATTGAGAGCTGAAGAACTCTTCACGAGGTGTGCTACGCTACTCCTCCATTTACCATCATCCAATTACAACATCAATCACCGACGGCTCCAAAGATTCCCACATATCTTTGTGCACTCGTCCAACTGCTTCCCGACGGGCAACACCTGCCTCCCAAGTGATCCACATGACATTGTAGTATTCGTACATCTTTTCTTGCCTTGGTCTTTGCTCCGTAAGGTACTCTTCTATGTAGGAGTTGCCATAATCGAGCCCGTTCGGTATGGATCCTCGAGATAGCGCAATCAGCTGCAGTGCATGTTTGGACTCAGCAGGATCAATCCCAGCTTTTGCCAAGTAGTCGCGACTATGTAGCCGTAGTACGCCCGCCCATTCGTTCCGGGAGTTGCACAGGGATACGCGCGGCGAGTTTCGCTTGGTACTCATCCAGACCTTCTCAGGGACCTCGGGAGTGGATACGGCACCTTGCGTATAGAGCTGCGCCGTTTGTACGGAACCAAAGAGGTAGCGAGTGTTTGGTTTCGGTTTTGGTTGGGTGCTGGGATCGAAAAGCGGGATGGGATACCAGAATCTGGCACTGCAAGAATCATGCGTATAGAGATTCTTGCCGTGACCATCAGGAGGTCTCTCCACCGTCAATCCCTCTTCTGGGTCCCGCAACTGCTTCTTCCAGCCTTCTGGCAATTTGCTGCTTTCGTGCTTGTAGCGCTCTCTCCAAGTACACCACTCATCCTCGATTCGTCGTTTGTCAGCACCGTCAGGGTCGGTACCAGTATACCAGTCAGTTATCCGGAATGCTTGGCATTCTGTCGTGAGGATCATCCCGCGGCATGCAGCCACCCAGTCGTTTCCAGTCGCCCAGTCGTCGAAGTCAATCGGACCACGCCAGCCGGCCCAAGACCATGTGGGAAGACAGGGTTCCGAGGCAGGTGAGGCAGTGCTAGTTGCAATGGGTACTCTTCGATCCAGGTCGCCTCCAGGCTGCCAAAGTAGTGCGGCATCGAAAAACATCTCTGGCAAGCCGCACAGGAAGCCTCCCTTGAAAGCCTTGGTATAGCATGAAATCATGCCAGCAACTGCGGACAAGCAGTCTTGTGGGAAGCTGAGCTGTCTCTGGTTGAAGTCTTTGATCATGTCGGAATATATGTTGAGAGCGGGATATCCGACATCAAACGTCCAATCTCGTGTGAAATCGGGTTGCTCTGTATGCTCGTGGTCCTCGTAATTTGTTGCACAGCAGCACTGGAACCAAAAGCTGTCTTCCTCAAAACAGATGCGCCTCCGGGCAAACTGGTGCTCTTGAAACGTCCAACCACGCGTGAAGTACGGTTTCTGGTGCGAGGAGTGGTTGTGCTCCCCGATCTCATGCCGCTTGAGTAGCGTCTTTTCACCAAAAGGGAGTGTCAATTGCCTGACGTGGCGTGGTTCTTGGTCCGGGGCATCTTTCAAGCCTCGAAGTCCATAATCAGCATTCGGGCCATCAATCGCCACGATGACAGCATCGGCATTGGCAAAGATGGATGCCATGCGATCCAACTGGTGGTTCATCATGTCAAAGTCGTCTTGGACCATGCAAAGGTTGTCAACCCAAAGGTATCGCTGTTGCAATAGTTGGGCCAGGTAGATGGCATGTCGGATTGTCTTTGGGATTTCGCGTCTCGCCAAAAGTTGGTCCAGGGCTCCCGGCTCCATCAGCAGGTCCAGGTTGTCTTTCGTTACTTTGACCGTCTTGACCCTGCCCCATACATAGCTCAGAGCCATGTACGACGAACCCTTGGGAGCTCGAGTCAGGCACCTGTCAAGGGTGTCGATGAACAGCTGTGGCTCAGGCGCTGGAAGCTGGCGTAAGAAATCAGGACTCGAACATTTCTTCTCTTCATGGTCAATAATGCAATTATTGTACCACCGCAGAAGCCTGTCGGTATTGACCCAGGACGGGTCAAGCCGGATTCCGAATCCGAAGGCCTGGTTTTCTTGACTCCGTACTACATCAAAGTAGGGACTGGTGTGCCAAAAGTAGTGTGATTCGTTGGCGGGTTTGTTGGAGAAGTTGAATGATGATGAGAAGTAATCTCGGCGGATTTCTAGCATACCACGCGATCCGTGGAAATCCAAAATTTTCGACAGCCAGTCCAATAGCGGTACATGTTGGCGGCATTTCGAGACCAAAACCTCATCGATAAGGCCAAGGTCCGCGGAGACATGGCCTTTCAGTTTTTTCTGCTCAATGACAGAGTTGATCTTTTCGCAAATGGCGCATCCTCCCATCTTGGCATCGGCTATAGACTGGTCTGGACCTTCGTTCAGATTCCCCGGTGCTGTGTCGAGATGAAACGGAGTGGCTTCTGGCTCCACGAGAGAGTGACTTTTCGTGGACGTGGGGACAGAAATGGTGGGATTCCTGTTTCTTCCTAAGTAAACCGTGACAGGCCCATGGCGAAACGATAGGTGCAGAGCTGGGGTTCGTGAGTTGCTGACCCTTCGAGGTGGGAAATGCTCGGTCTTTATCCTCCTTGATTCTACCCACTTTATGTAGCCGATGTAACCGGGGGCTATTCCTACTCAGGAGCGATTTTCAATTTCTGATGCATGTTGGATGCAGCCTCACACGAATCCTGCGAGAGCATCCAACAAGCCCATTGGTCGATTCAGGCCAATCGTGGGGGCAGAAACGATACTGTTGTACAGCCCCTCTTGCAGAGGATTGCTAGTGCTTAAAACCATTATGAACGGAATCTGGAATTGCTTTAAGGATATAATAGGTTGACACTAGAGGTTTATACACATTTTAGTGGTATATATAATAAATCAGTATCGCGGTTTTTCGTCAAAAGCAACTTCGCTCTAGCTGTCGGACGCGGAAACCCCCGTAGTCCTTTTGCCTTCCCGGTGGTCACATAGCTCTGTATCTCAGTAGCAGCATTCCCACAAATATAGAATACCGTGATAAAGTACCTTGTGGTGACGTTGCCGACACAATCCCTTGGATCCAAAAGAGACGTCCAAAAACCCCGACATCGAGAGCGGGGTGCCGACGCAGCATCCGATCCGATCCCGACAATTTCACACATCCGCAAACGGGTACGCCAGCGCCTATAAAAGCCCCAGTCCGCGCTTGCTTAGAGAAAAAAAAAAGACGCATCAGCAGAATCTACGAAAACGCCCATCCAAGGCACACACGAACGACTCCACCCAAAAAAAAACCCCCAGAAAACCAAAAAGAAGCCGAACGCCGGCCCAACTCTGAAACCACGTCCCAACCAACAAACCAACCAACATCAACCAACCACGGACTCCTCCCCCTCCCCCTCCCAGCCCCGCCCCACCCCACCCGCTCCAGCCCTCTCCACCCATCATGTCCACCACCACCACTCAACCGCCCAAAATCTCCGTCCTCATCCTCGGCCTCGACTTCTCCTGGACCGCCGCGCACCGCTCCGCCCTCATCGACCCGGCCACGCTCCGCGCCACGGTGCAGCGCCGCATCGCCGCCCTCGCCGACGTGCGCGACCTGCACACGGAGACGCTGCTCGTGAACCCCGACGACGGGACGGCGCGGGCGGTTGAGGTGGTGGGCGAGAGGCTGCGGGAGGGGCCGGGGGGAGGGGAAAACGATGTCGCGGAGGGGGGAGGCGGAGGGGGAGGAAAGAAGAAAAGCTGGGATGGAGTGATTTTCGGGTGGGGGATGAGGGGGGTGGCGGATACGAGTGAGTTGTTTGAGGGGGTGGTGAATTGCGTGAGGGAGGGGGCGCCCGGGGCGAGGATGATGTTTACGTTGGCGGAGGCGAATCATTTGGAGGTGTTGAGGAGGAATTTTGGGGGGTTGGTGGAGGAGAAGGGGGTGTGAGAGAATGGCGGTGATGGTATAGCTGTGTGGGTTGCATGTACATACATACTTCACGACCGAGTGTGGAATGACTTGGAGTACTATACACTCAATACACCCCATCTGCCAGCCAGCCAGCCAGCCTACCCATCCAACCCCCCTCCATCTCCAACCCCCCTCACGAAAACACCGTCACAGCACCACTCCCACTCCCCACCCCCCTCACCCTCCCCCCCACACCCAACGGCCACCCCTCCCAAACGACCCACTCCCCCTTGCCCTCCCCATCCAGCCCCAACACCTCCCCGACATTCCAACTCACCAGCCCCACCGCCTCCCTCTTCCCGATCCGGCCCCCGCCATTCACCCACGCCCACCCGGCCATGTGCGCCAGGTCGCGCACCTCCCAGCCCTCGGCGACGCCAATCGCCACCTTGACGCCCGCGTCCAGCAGCACGTCCACGGCCGTCCCGTCCGTCAGCGGCGCGCCCGTCAGCGAGCGCCGCTGGTCCCAGCCCTGCGAGTACTGCAGCAGCGGCGCGAGCACGACGCCCGTGGCCGGTGACGCGGCGAGCTCGTCGGCGAGGAGGTGCGATTCCGCGGCGCCGATGAGGACGAGGCGGATCGCCGGCGGGGAGGAGGACGAGGACGTAGTAGTGGTGGTGGCGAGCAGCGCGTCCTCGACCTCGGCTTTGGCGCGGAGCAGCGCCGCGATGGTGTCGGCGCTGTCGACGTGGATGGCCAGCGCGAGGTCGCCGGCGACGACGCGCCGGAGGTAGGATGCTTCCGAGTAGCGGTCCGCGGCGCCGCTGCTCGTCGTTTTCGTCGTCGTGTCGTTGAGGGAGGCGACGGCTTCGAGCAGGTTGGCTCGGAGCGAGCCGATGGCGGCGGAGATGGACGGTGTCTTGCCGTTCTTGGCCCCCGGCTGCAGGCTGTAGTGGACGGACGCCTCATCCGCCCAAATGGCCGAGGCTGGGGTGGTGCCGCCGGTCCGGAAGCCGACGCTGACGCCGCGCGAGCCGCCGGTGGAGGAGAGGGGCGCGGTGATGGCGCGCGTGACGCCGTGGCGGCGGGCGGCGGCGAGCTGCTTGGTGTTGAGGGCGAGGCCGTCGACGGCGCGGGAGAAGTACGTGTCCGGGCTGTTGTTGCCGTCTTGGGTGTCGCGCTCTGCGGCGATTTCGCTGAGGCCGAGGTCGGAGCCGAGGAGGGTGAAGGGAGGGGTCAGGTGGCCGTTGGTGAGGGAGACGGTCTTGGTTTTCTGCGAGGATGCGGCTTGAAGCTCTTCGTGGCAGGATCCCACGCAGGTGATTTCGCCGTTGGTGACGATGACGACGTTGTTGGCTGCGTCTTCTGACAGTGCGGCGTGCTCGAAGCCTGGCATCAGGATTTCCGATACGCCGGTGAAGACGACGTTGCCGGATTCGATATCCTCCTCTTCCGTGGTCATGGTGAATTCGTGATTGGGCTTTGGGGGGTCCACGTGCGTCTTGTTCAGGAGGTATGGATGCTCGTACTGGGCGGTGCCGTCAATCCAGATCTGGGCCGGAGCGGCACCCAGGCTCAGGGGATCGCTGTCCCAGACCACGACGTCGGCGTCGAAGCCGGCTTTGACCTTGCCGATGCGCTCACCCAAGCCGAGCAGCTCGGCCGGCGCGCTCGTTACGCCAGCCAATGCTGCGTGGTAGCGTAGGCCGTAGCCGTAGGCCTTGGTCGCCTCCCAGACGACGTGCTGGGCGTTTAGCACCGGGTTGTCGGACACGTACACGGGGGTGATGCCGTTTTCGTACAAGATCTTGCCGGCCAGCTCGGATCCGCGGTAGGCTTCGCTCTTGTAGTCCATGTTGTTGGCGAACAGCGCAGCGGCGGGAGCGCGGCCACCCCAGGCACGCTTGAGAATCTACTATGCATTAGCCTGAAGTCTTTCGGGATTGCTCGGCTGGCCAACCTCGGGGACAATGTATGTCTCGTGTGCGTGATGGAAGGCACGGATGGGGAATTTGAACTCGTTGGTATGATCAATGAAGGCCTCAAGGTCGGGGACGGTGTAGCAGTGGGCATTGACGTGGACCTGGCCGCGGAGCACAGCGCCGAGCGTCTCCCAGCGCAGGTCCTGGGGGAGATAGGTGTCGACGGCGTCAACGCCATGGACCTGGGCGGCGGCGCACCAGTCGTCCTGGACGCGGACCAGGTTGGCAGCCTGCTCGAAGGCGTGCCTGAACTCCCACGACTCGCCCATCCTGCTGGTGGGGCCATGCTCACCGACCTTGCCGTAGACGCGCTTTGGGTTCTCGCCGCAGGCCATCTTGATGTAGCGCCATGTCCGGTCTGGATCGGCCAGCATGTCGGCAGCGCTGACTTCTTCGCGGCCATCGGGCTTGCCGACGGCGTGCTTGACGACAAAGGCCTCGCCGCCGATGTTGTTGCCGGAGCCGGGCAGCACGAGCGAGGTGGTGACGCCGCCGGACTTGATGACCTGGATCTGGTGGTCGAGCGGGTCCAGGCCGTCGATGGAGCGCACGTAGGGGGTGATGTCGGCCGACATCTCGTTCGTGTCCTCGTTGCCGCGCAGCTGCGGCAGCGGATTGACGCCGGCATGGCTGTGCATGTCGATGATGCCGGCGGTGAGTGGCCGGCCTTGGGCATCGTACACCAGCACGTCCGACGGCAGCCCGGCCTCGGGAATCTGGGCGGCCACGGACTTGATCAGGCCGTGTTCAAGAAACACGTCGGACTGGACCCACGAGTAGCCTTTCCCGGCGCGGGCATCTTCGTCGCTGGTTCCGGGAGCGGGCTCGCCAGTCCATACGGTTGCGTTCTTGATCAGAGTGGGCTTGTGGCCATCGATGTACCGGCCGTTGCGGGCACGTTGGCCACTGGGATCCGTGGGCTTGTGCTGCAGCTTGGCGCATGTTGCCAGGTCTTCGTGGAGCCGCTCCAGGGAGAGAGTGGTCCTTGGATGGGGAGGGTGCCGCCGTTGATGCCATTGGCTGTAGACGAGATAGAGAAGGCACGCGACGGCGACGAGCTTGAGGCAGCCTCTCTTGCGCAAGCGGCGCCGCGAGTGCGGGGCCGGCTGGATGGCGGCGTCGTAGGTGGGAAGCCCGTCCTTCTCCATGTCCAATCGGTTTTGATGGAGACGAGATGGAAGAATCGAGGAATGAGGTTATATGGGATGCATCGCGGTGAAACGTCAAGCCGACGTCCAATGATGCGATGATAAGTGGGATGCGGCAACGACACGCTAACGCCGTTTGCGGGAGGTGATGGTGGGACGGCATCCCGCTGACTCAATCCTGACTAATCACGTGCCTTGCATCCTACACTGGTCTTCCAGATCCATTGTCGACGATGTTGGAACTGACAGCTGGCTCCTCATTCTGGACAAGGCCAACGATACTCAGGATACTTTCCTCATGAAGTCAAAGAAGCTGCGTTGCTTTTGGAGAAGCACGCCCTCGCCCCCATCCTTGCAAGCGCCATGGTATATGCGGGTTCGGCGTAGTTCGCGGAGCAGGTGGGGCGATGGGGATGGGGACGTGGAGTGTGGGAGAAGGAGGCAGATATTTCGGGATGGCGTGGAGGAGACGGGGTAAGATGGCAGTCTTCGGTTCCTGTTGTCGTTTGGAGGTGAGATGGGTTGGGTGGGGTTTGGTTGGGTCAGGTCTGGTCAGGTCTGGTCGGGTCTGGTCGGGTCGGGTCGGGTCAATGGTAGGTGTAGCTGTGGTCTTATAGGTGGTACACTCTGCGGGAAGCTTTGTCTTTTCATTTTTTTTTTTTTTGGTAACGGACGATACATAACGAAAGAAGATTGACCCACCTACATGCGTAGTGAAATCCTTCTTTAGTTGACTGCCCACACAGAGGATCGCCGTTGGTTGATTTATTCATCACCCATCACCAAATCAGCTGGAATGGTCGCATCTATATCCTTTGCAGTGTTGGAGATATTGGGTCATTGCAGAAGCTGTCTTTGCGCTTCGTTGTGGCTCAAATACCGAAGGTGTCAGAGTAGCGCAAATGTTGTGCTTTCGGTTGCCGACTTGGCGGTCCCCACCTTGACTCCTAGACACATGGCGTGCTGCCAGCGCTGCACCACCCATCGCCAATGTATTATACTTCGATGGCAAGGTCCAGGTACCGTGATCGGCTTTGCTTCCATTTTCTTTCTCGTGTCCGCTGCACATTTGCCGAGCAGTGAGCTTGTGCATGCCAATGTCTCGGCACTGCTCACTGTAGCAACTTCGGCGCCGCTTTTGAATAGTGCCCCGGCATGAGCCGCGCAACGCTTCCGAAGTATTTTAAAGAATTGGCTTTTCTCCTCATGGCCTTCGCTCTACTTCCCTAATACCTAGCGGTTGAAAGCGGCCATGGCTTCTCTATCAGATAAGGGCCAAGACGTATCAGCGTCAGTGGGGGAACTGAACTGACCCAGGTATGCTAAGCGATCACTCACATTCCGTTTGGTACCCCTGACTTGTGCTCCAGGAAAATCCTCAAGCCGCCGTCGAGCATGCGGCAAAGTCAGTCGCGGCTCACTTCACACCTTTCAGCACTTCATTAACCTTCTACCAGGCAGCTCAACGCGACAATAGAAGAGGTTCTCGCCGCTCAGGAGCACGCCAACACCTTGACACTCGAACAGACAAGAGAAGTGAGAATTCCAGCTACCCCAGATCACACGACGCCACTGACTCAGCTCACACAGCTTGCAAGTCAACTGTTCGAGGCCCATCAGCATGATCCAAATTTTCCAAGTCAGGCTCTTGATCGTCTTCATGATTTCCTCGACAACCATTCCATAGTCGAGGAACCGGAGAAGAACAAGATCGTCATTGAAGAGACAAAGCTGGAGGTTTCACTCCTCACCACCAATAGCCCTTACCCCGAAGTAAGAGCCGTCGTCGATAACCATGACAACCCTGACCTCCCTTGCTCAACCATCCGTGCCTGGATCATTGGTCTTGGCTTTGTCGTCCTGCTCGCCTTCGTCAACCAGCTGTTCAGCGTTCGGCAGCCGACAATCTTCCTTGAGGCCCCCGTAGTACAGTTGCTGAGCTTTCCCGTAGGCAAGGCCGCTGCAAGCTATCTCCCGGATGTGGGATTCACCCTTTTCGGTTCTCGCCACAGCTTGAACCCTGGCCCTTTCAACAAGAAAGAGCACATGTTGATTTCCATCATGGCCAGTGTTGGCAAAACCCTACCAAGCTCAAGATACATCAGTACGTTTTGTTTCCGCTGCATTCATTTCGAGTCTACTTATCTGGTGCAGTATTCACTCAGTTTCTCGACAAGTACTTTGGCCAGAAATACGCTGGCTCTTTCGGTTATCAGATCCTGTTAGCCTTGTCAACCGACTTCATGGGTGTGTGTCCTGCCTTCATGCCAACTAAGATTGTACTTACACGCTTTTGAAGGATATGGACTTGCCGGGCTTCTGAGAAAGTTCCTGGTCTATCCCTCGTTCTGTCTTTGGCCAAAGACGATGGTCACTATTGCCCTGAATAGCTCCTTGCACAACGGTACGAGCTTCTCTCCGCCAACCGTGCTCAAACACTCTGACACGAAGCTCCACAGAGGAAAACCATGCCGTACCAGGTCCACTGAAGCGTCTATACAACCTCTCCCGCTTTCGTTTCTTTCTCTACGCCTTTGGCGCCATGTTCATCTGGTTCTGGTTTCCCGACTACATCTTCACCGCCCTCAGCCTTTTCAATTGGCTCGCCTGGATCGCGCCCAACAATTTCAACCTCACCGCCATCACAGGCCTCAAAAAGGGGCTCGGCTTCAATCCGATCCCGACATTCGACTGGAATATCGCGACGCACCAGCTCGACCCGCTCGTCGTCCCCTTTGCCGTGACGCTCAACACGTTCGTCGGCTGCCTGCTCGGCGGCTTCGTGCTAATCGGCATGTACTACACCAATGCGCTGCACACGGGATACTTGCCCATCAACACGAATTCCATGTTCAACCACTATGCCAAGTCGTATAACGTCTCGGCTGTGTTGGACGACCGCGGCTGGCTGGATGAGGAGAAGTATCAGGCTTACTCGCAGGTCTACCTCGCTGCCAGCAGCTTGACCATGTACTGGTTCAGCTTCGCTGTGTATACGGCGACCATTTCGTATTCGGTCTTGTATCACCGCCGGGACATTGTCAATGGCTTTCGCAGTCTCTTCCGGGGGTATGGCAAGACGGCGGAAGAGTTCAAAGATGTCCATACTCGGCTGATGTCTGTCTACCGCGAAGGTATGTGTGGCTTTTGTCTCTCGTTGGAGTGGTCTCCTTTCTTCAGATCACTGACTCTTGGAATAGTCCCGGAATGGTGGTACCTGTGCTTGAACGTATTTGCCATCGTCCTTGGCGTGGGTGCGGTCGCCGGCTGGCCTACTTATGTGAGGATCTTTTGTATAGCTGTCATGAGAAGCCTCTTCTGATTAGCATTGCAGACGACGGTCGGTGTCGTATTCTTCGGAATTGCCCTCGCTTTAGTTTTCGTCATTCCGACCGGTATTATTTATGCCACCACCGGCCTTCAAGTCGAGTACAAGTAAAACTCCTCTTTCGACTTCCCTGGTAGAATTTCGCTGACAATTCCACAGCTACATCGCCGAGTTCATCGGTGGCGCCTGGCTTCCCGGCAACGCTCTAGCAATGAACTTTTTCAAATGCTACGGGTAATCCTCCAACTTCTGGCTATCGAGTCCCACATCTGATTCTTCTATCCTTCCCAGCTACGTCACCACCGCCCACGCTCTCGCCTTCAGCAACGACCTCAAACTGGCCCACTACGTCAAGATCCCACCGCGTGTAACCTTCTGGGCGCAGGCAGCTGCAACCCTCGTCTCAGCCTTCGTCTGCACCGGCGTGATGAACTTCCAGATGCGCAACATCCACGACATCTGCGAATCGTAAGCGCCACCACCCTCCCCTCTCTCTCCCTCCCTCCCTCCCACACTAACACGCCCATCAGCGACCAGAAAGACAAATTCACCTGCCCCGGCGTAAACACATACTTCACCGCCGCCGTCCTCTTCGGGTCCATGGGGGCGCGCAAGGTCTTCGGCGCGCACGGGCAATACACGACGCTCCTCTCAGCCTTCCCGATCGGGGCGGCCATCCCGCCGCTCTTCTACCTGCTGCAGCGGCGGCTGCCACGGACGCACTGGTTCCGCCGCGCGCACCCGATCCCGCTGCTGAGCGGCGGCACCGCGTGGTCGCCGGTATGTCTACGGGCTTTCTCTCTCTTTACCCTTCGCCCGATATATCCCGGCGCAAGGCTGAACGACTGACTGACTGATTCGCAGTACAACATCGCATACGTCTACCCTGCCGTCCTGCCCGGCTGGCTCAGCATGTCGTTCCTGCGCTCCCGCTACACGGCGTTCTGGGCCAAGTACAACTATGTGCTTTCGGCGGCTTTCTCCACCGCCATCGCCGTCGCGGCGGTGGTGATTTTCTTCGCGGTCGAGTACAATGGGTACGAGATCAGCTGGTGGGGGAATGCGGCGGAGAGCGGGTGTGAGAGCGAGACGTGTACGAGGTTGGTGTTGGGGGAGGGCGAATGGTTTGGGGTTGGGGTGGGGGGGTTCTCGTGATTGGTTGCACTGCCGAAGAGGGGGGAAAGAGAGAGAGAGAGAGAGAGAAAGAGGGAGAGAGGCAGAAGAGAGAGAAGGATCTCGGGGACGGTGCTGGGGGTTTTTTTTCTCTCTTTTCTTTCTTTCGGTTCGCTGGATTGGCGGGTTAGGCTTCGGGCTTCTTCCATAGGGCCAATTAGTGCAACCCGGTTCTTTTTTTTTTTCAGATCGCAGCATGCGTACTGTTCCAGAAAGGCGCCACGAATGGCATCTCTCGGATCGATCGAATAGCCCCCATGGCCACGACGCGCCACATGGCGCCACGAGGTCGAACGAGTGGAAGGAGGACACACGGCTGGATGGTATAATAACGAGATGCATGTTTCGCGCGCGGGCAGGCCGAAGCAATGACGTACCTTTTTCTTATCGGTATCTTCTCCGCATTTCGTGAGTATGACGGTGGCTGCATGGTGGCAGGCAGCAGCAATGATATAATGAAGGACAAACAGTGGAGAAGTCTGTGCGCTAATACTCGTCGCAAACTGCCACTCGTGAATCCGCTTCGCATACAGAAGCATTGCACACACCATGGGCCAGGGTAACAGCAAGACAGACGATGGGGCGCCGCCGCCGTAGTAAGTGAGGGCCAACCCATTCCTCTCCAGCACGACGCTCACGCACATGGCACAAGTGACTTCAATGAGTCGGAGCCTGGTTCGGACAACGGCAACCGGAACTGCAGCAACTGCCGCGGATGCCGGAACTGTGTAAATTGTAAGCCCACGAAATGCTCTGGTGGTACGGGGACTAACGGCAACAGGCAGCAACTGCACCAACTGCACATCATGTAACAACTGCAGTACGATGAGCTATTCGAAGTGCCCGCATGAGTGCATGGAGACTGAATCGGTGACTTGCAGGTAACTTGGAAAACTCAAGAGGGTGCCGGAACTGCTCCAACGGATTCAACCTGGTTGATTGCGATAATTGCAGGTACGTGGCGCTTGTCAAGGCCCAGAATGCTCCTGATGCTGACCTCCAGCTCTCTTGGTCGTGTGTAGCAACTGCAGGAACCTCAAAGGCCGGAACAATGCCAGCAACGAGGACGGGAATGCGTGATGGGTGGAAGGAGCTGGATGGCTGGTTGGATGAAAGTTCTTAGCTCAATGTTGGAGGGCACGAGCGGGGAAGAAACGAGTGGCACAGCACGGACTGTTGGGACTGCTCTCGCGCCTGCCCACCGCTGGCCCTCCACCTGTGCCTTCCTCCACATCTATCGCCAACGTTATCCGAACGCCATTCTTCTGTGCCCCCATCGCCCATCCCAATCCCACCGACCATGGGTGACGCGTCGGTTCAAGTGTTGGCGACTACGGAGCTGGTTGAGCATATCCTCTCCTTCGCCACCCCGCTCGATCTCCTCCAAGCCCAGCGAGTGTGCAAGCGGTGGAACAAGGTGATTGAATGGTCTCGGCGGCTGCAGCGCTGCCTTTACTTCCTCCCCGATCCGCACAGCACCGACGCGTACGGGCTCAATCCGCTGTTCATGCAACTCTTCACCCTGCGGAGGGAAGCCAGCCCGCCAGTGCTGCACGTGTCCAGCAAACGACGGTGGCACCACCACCTCGAGACGAGCCCGTCTTCTGCCTCCTGGCGGCGCATGCTAGTCGCCCAGCCGCCCGAGCGATACTACATCGATCAAGGACGTCGCAACGGTCCGCTGGCATGCCGCTGCGGATTCGGCCCGGAAGTCACATGCGGCGACGCGTGGGACACGTTCAACAAAGCCGTGGCTACCAAGGCATCGTTGTATCTATCTTCAGGGGGCGCTGGGGTCTATTAGTCCATCGGGATTGGGTGGTGCGGATAGATCCCTTCTCGACGCCCCGATCTACCTACTACGTTGTATTCTTGAGCCGGCGATCTCTCATTCTCTCGAAACGTGTCAAGCTTTTTGGGTTTAATAAATGGACGGCAGATCATTCCGGTCCTACCACAGCCAGAACCGGAAGCGGGCCTGGAGCGTGAGGCGCCAGCACCATCTGGGCTGTACTCCGGCAAAACCACCTGAAACGAGGAGGCTAATTGCCCTGCAGGGTTACTTGGCGACGAGCTTGATCTTTCATTCGGCAGACACATGGCCAGAGCTTCAGGTTGATTAAAGAATTGTGGACGGCACACGGGATCCGCGGCGCCACGAGCAATAGGGCCGGCCGCTTGCTGGCTCTACTACGTACAGAGACGGCAGAGAGTCAGCAAACTCACTCCAGAATCACCCGAAGCCGCCGTCGTTGTTTCGAAACGGAGATTCGGAGAGTCGGAGCGGCGAGGCGGTCCGTCGAGATATAAATCGACCATGGCTGCCCTCGTTGCGGAATCACACCCCTCGTTGCTCACCATTGCTCCGCTGTCTACACCATGTTCACCAAGTCGCTCGTTTACCTCACTGCCGTACTGGGCGTTGCCAATGCCGCCAGCTACAAGGCTACCATGACGGCCTACGGCTCCAGCGACAACAACGGCTCGGGCAACTGCGTCAAGACGGGAGCTTGCGGCTTCTACTTCAACGTGAGCACCACTCCACCAACCGAGGAAGCTATCGTCAGGCACTAACGAGACGCACAGCCCGGCTACTCTGCCGCCGTCTCCCAGAACCTGTACGGCGCGGGACCCGGCGAGGGCGCAGGCCCTGCTTGCGGCAAGTGCTACGCCCTGACGGCCGAGACGGACAGCACCGGCAACACGCTCAGCGGCACCAAGACGGTCGTCGTCCGCGTCGACAACCTTTGCCCTGGTAAGTCTTGTTATTCTTCACCCCCGGCGCGAGCGCACGGCCACCCATCTCAAACAAGCCTCGGCCTAAATGGAGTTGCGGGAGAGAGGGTGCGCACTGGGCGTACGGCATCCGTCGCCACCACATCTCGTATTGCGATGCACGCCGGCAAATGCTGACTCGTCGACTTTTGTGCTGCAGCGTCGGGAAACAACGTGTGCTCGATGGGCTCGCTCTCCGACACCAACTCGTACGGGGCCAACGTCAACTTCGACCTGTGCATCGACTCGGGCGCCAACACGGCTGTGTTTGGCGGCAACGACATCGGCCTGGCTGTGGGCACCGCCGAGGAGGTCGACTGCTCGCAGTGGAGCGGCACTCAGATCGGCTCCGGCTGGTAGAGGGTTGGGTCAGCTTAGGACTGTTCATACATCATGTTTATTCTGGAATGAAAACGAAATAAATGCTCAATTCGCGCGAGTAGTGACCGCCAAGCTTTTGCCCTGATCGACCCGAGCTGCATCATCGTCACCGTCCAGGTGCCTGCCTGCCTCCATGCCGCTAGCCCGGCTCCACAACAACCCCAAAACATTTCCGTTCCCGCCCGCCCACTCCCCACCTCCGCACAATCCTTCGCCCGCCATCATCGCGCCCTCCACCACCATGCCGTCCGACCGCCACCACCACCGCCGCCGGCACGCCACGCCCTCGCGCTCGCGTTCCCGCTCCCCACACAACCATGGCGACCACCGTCGCTCCTCCCACCGCACCCGCTCGCGCTCGCCTACGTCGCGCCGCACCCACCATCACCACGGCCGTCACCGACACCACGCCAGCGACAAGTCCAAGAAACAGACGGAGAAGAAACCACCCCAACCACTCCCGCTCTCCGCCCAACCCTTGTCCCGGCACGCCGATTACCGCCGATACAAACCCATGTTCGCCCTGTACTTGGACATCCAGAAGCAGCTGGTGCTTGAGGAATTGGACGAGGAGGAGGTGAGGGGGCGGTGGAAGAGTTTTGTGGGGAAATGGTGAGTCTGCCTTCCCTGTGTTTTTGTTTTCTTTTTCTCTTCTTGAGAGGACGTGAGAAACTGACGTTGGCGAGGAACCGTGGAGAACTGGCAGAGGGCTGGTACGACCCAGTCACGCTGGAGAAAGCGATAGCCTCCTCCGCCGAGCACGACGTCGACGACAACGACCACACGAACGACGGCGGCGCCCGCGCGAGAGAGCCGTCGAGGCAGAAGCGCCCGTCGCCCGACTACAGCGGGCACCGCAATGCCAGCACACCGCCGGCGTCGTCTTCCAAGCAGCCGCAGCGCGGCGAAGCAGACGAAAGCCAGGACGAGCAAGGCGACGCCTCCGACACCAGCTCCGACGACGACTTCGGTCCCGCCGCCCTCCCCGCCGGCGCCATTACAAGCAGCGCCTCGACAATGACGACGCGCAAGTCCGGCCCCGCGATCCCACGCCTAGAGGACCTCGAATACCGCGACGGTACGTCAATACATCCATCCATCCATCCCACCCTCCCTCCTCCCTTCCACCCCCCACAAACACCCAAACAAACAAACAAACAAACAAACAAACCATTAACACCCGGCCCACCCCCAGACCTCCTCGCCACCGACGCCACCGCGACCGCGACGCGCCTCCGCGCCGCCCGCCACGCCGACGCCGCCCTCCACCGCGCGCGCCTGGCCGAGCTCGCCCCGCCGCGCGCCGACCCGGGCACGCGCGAGCGGCGCCTCGAGAAGCGCGCCGACAAGACGTCGACGCTGCACTCGTTCCGCGAGGCCAAGGAGGGCGGCGCCATGGAGGACGTCGGCGAGAGCGACCTCATGGGCGGCGGGGGGGACGGCGGCGAAGGCGGCGTCGAGGAGTACAGGCAGCGGCGCAAGGAGATGGAGAGGCGGAAGACGGACAGGGAGGTTAGGCGGGAGGAGGTGTTGCGGGCGAGGGCGGCGGAGAGGGAGGAGAAGTTTGCGGAGCATAGGGCCAAGGAGGAGAGGACTATGGATATGTTGAGGGGGTTGGCGAAGGCGAGGTTTGGTGGCGGGGGCGGTGGAGAGGAGGGGGGAGGGGAGTGGTAGTGAATCATGGGAGAGGATGGTCATGGTACGAAGGGAAGGAGGTGTTTTAACAGGAGAGTTTTCACGGGTCGAGCAGTGGGGGTAGTCGAATAACGTGAAGTACTACCACCAAACTTTGTCCACAAAAGAAGTAATACAAGCACAAATAAAACCTTATCTCACAACTACAATTTGGGTATCAATGACCACCACCATCACCTCCACACAACCACCTTTTCACACTGGCCAAGACTCCTACTCACCACCCCCACTACCACCGAAGAACCCAGACCTCCTCTTCCTAATAGCCTCCCTCCTCCTGTCCTGCCCGCTTTCCATGCTCGTCCCCAGTCCAGAGTCCCTTTCCATATACCTCCCCGCCGTATCAAGCACAAAGTCGGCATCCTCATCATCCTCATCATCAGCCTCCTGCTCAGGCGCCACGCCACCAATATCAACCGCCGACTCCGTCGTCCCCTCGTCGTCCTCATCCTCGCTCTTGACGCGGGGCGACTCGTACCGCAGCGGCTGTTGGCCCCTGTACGTAGGGAAGGTACGCGGCGTGTCAGAGAGGTCGGGGACGTCGGTCGTTTCTTCCGTCTCATCCTCTGGCTCCGTCTTGATCTTGTTGAGGTCGTACTCGGTTTCTTCCTCGTCGGGTTTCGTGGGGGGTCGGTCGGGTTGGCCGTCGGGTTTGGCGACTTTGCTGCCGGCAGGGGTGGGCGAGAAGACGTGGGAGAGGGCAAGCCAGGCGAGGATCATGAAGACGAGTTCGACGGTCCAGAAGAGGGTGATGAAGACGAGGGCAGAGGTGAAGCGGAAGTTGTACATGAGATACCTGTGTAGGTGTGAGCTGTCATCACCGGCACCAGAGGGGGGAGAAGACAAAACGCCAGAAAAAAAAAAGCGCGCACGGAAAGACAACCAGAGAAAACGTACCTCAAACCTTGCAGCTTCGCCTCAAACATAACCCTCACCGCATACACCTGCAGCCTCTCCACCGCCCGCAGCTCCACCCTCAACGCCTCCGGCACGTTCCCCCACCCCCTCTCAAACCTCACCCCCTCCATCATCCCCACCACCAACCTCTCCGCCTCCCTCCGCCAGCCGAGCAGATACCACGGCATCTCCACCGCCTTGTTCACATTCTCCACCACATCGCTATACCACGTCAAGATGGCCGGCCTCCTCGACACCGCCAACACGACATCCTCCTTCTTCTTCCCCACACCGTCCCCCGCGCCGGCCCCTCCTCCCCCCTCCCCATACGCCCCCACAATCCCCGACCCCGCCGTCGCCGTCGCCGTCGCCCCCGCCGGCCCCAGCAGCGCCAGCTCGACCATGAAGTTGCCCGCCTCGCGGTTCGCCCGGGTGCGCGGCATGTCCAGCTCGACGCGCACGTCGTACCGCTGGTCCGCGACGAGCCACTGGCGGATGCCCGCCGCCGTGCCCCAGGGGTGGTACGCTGCGACGTCGCCCTCGCTCCTCCTCCTCCCGTCGCGCTTCTCCGACGATGATAGGCCCAGGCATAGTTCGTCGCGGAGTTCGGCGAAGGAGCGGGCGTTGGCGTTGGCGTTGGCGTTTTGTTGTTGCGGGGATGTGATGGCGGACGATGACGGGTACTGCAAGTGCACGGGCACGGTGAAGCCGCGGTAGGGGACGTAGGCGAAGTAGAAGACCGAGTAGGAGGCGATGGCGACGCCGGCGAGGCCGAGCGTGCCGAGGAGGAGGAGCGCGGTCTGGATGTAGGCGCGCCGGGCGGGCTTGGAGAAGGCGCGGCGGAGGGGTGAGAGGAGCGTGTCCTGTTGTTGTTATTTGTTTGTTCGTGGGCGGCGGTTGGGCTTGGCTGCTGCTGCTGGAAGGAGCGGGCATGGTGGGCTGTGTGGGGTTTGTATGTTGTGGCACGGATTGTTGGGGACACGAGCGAGAGAGAGCTCGCAAGAGGAAGGGGGGAGGCGAGGCGGGGAGCTGTCTGTCGAGCTCGCCCGCCTTGGATGGGTGCGGAAGACGTACCTTTACGACCTCGATGGCGCCCTTGACGTACTCCTCATCATCGGAGCCGGTGGTTGAGGTCGTCATTGTCGCACCGGGAAGCTTGACGGATGTTCTGGTGAGGTGTTGCAACTTTCACATGTTGTCGCGTTCGTTACGCGAGGACCCTGGGAGCTTTGCCAATTGAACTAGCAGACTAGATCTGACGTAGGCTCAAGCTCTGACGCCACCGAATCAGCGCTTATTGTTATTTGGCCGGCCTTGGTATGATTTCGTCACCAATTCTCAATCAAAAGCCAAAGACAGAGAAATTGAATATTGCACCATCACTAACAAGTCCAGGCAGAAGAGGTATCGAATCGAATCCCGAATTCCCAAACCTCCAAACACCGTACCCCGGGCATCCAAACAGACATCCCCCCCCACTACGCCTGATCATCCCCAAGTCGTTAAAAGTTAAAAAATGAGCCAAGGATATAAACAAAACCGCTAGCCTCCCAGCACAGAATCGGATCATCATCAGAAACAAACAAGGCCGGAGACTTCAATACTCAACGTCCTCCATGACATCATCATTGTCAGCATCCACTGGAGTCGTCGACTTCTGCTCCGTCTCGCGCTGATGTTTCTCCACTTCATCCTCAAAATTAGATAGCTCGCCTTGGATGGCAATCTTCCACTTGATGACGTCGTTGAGGATGCGCTCAATCTCCGTGTGCAACTGCTCACGGATGTCGTTGGCGCGTAGCTGCAACTGCTCGTACCTGGAAGCCCGCCCGTTAGCAAGACACTCATCCTAGTCAACAATGATTACACTTACTCGATATTGGTGTTCATCTCCCTCTGTTCCATGAGCTGCACGCTCTCGGACAAGCTGGCGCGCATCTTCGCCAACTCCTTCTCCATGCGCTCGATCTGCGTATCCGACCCCATCTTCTGCGCCGTTGTGATTTCCCTCGTCTTCTCGAACTCCTCCTCCGCAGCACGTACTCTGTGGCCGAGAGCCTCCACCTCGGAGAGCTTGTCATCCATGGCTTCCTTGACTTTGTCCAGCATCTCGTGGTTTTCAAAATCAGCCTCCTGGGCCGCGCTCATCCGGTCACGAATATCCTTCCGCAAGCCAAGAATCGCGTTCTTCAGCTCTCTTCTAGGGTCGTGGTTGAGAAGGTCGTGATACTGGTAGCCGTTGCCCGCGCTGGTGAGCAATTTCTCCGACGTCGTATCCATCTGGGATGAGTTGAAAGGCAGCTCGCTGAGCGTGAGCACTAGCTCAAAGTCCGCGCCATTAGCCCGAGGGGCGGTGGCGGGGATAATGCCTATCTCGTAGCCCTGCGAGTTGTACTTCTCCACAGTTCTCTCGAGCTCGTCCAACTTCCTAGTCGCGTCCAGCTCCTTCTCGGCGATCTTCCTTCTAGTCTCCTCCAGCCGGACGTTTGTCGACTCTGCACTCTTCTGCAGACGCTCGCGCTCCGTGTTCATGCGATCGATGTCCTGAATGGTGATTCCCTGCTGGTCGACCATGGCTTGCAGGTTCGTCTTTTCCTGCTCAGCCTCCTCCAGTTCGGCCTCGACCTTCTTGATCTCGTCATCTAGGAGCTTGGCCCGGCTTTCAGTCTTCTTCACCTTTGTCTCCACCTTGTTGTTCCATTCTTCGAACTTGATGCGGTCTTCCTCGAGGATCTTGATCTGCTCGTCTAGCTTGGCTATCCTGGGCCCGTTCTTGCTAAGCTCGTCGATTTGATCCTGCAGCGCCTGATGCTCGGCCTCCAAAACCTTGACTTGCTCCAGGTGTCCGGCATTTGCATCGTCGAACTTGGCGGCCATGTTTTGGACATGCCTCGAGATGACCTGGTCGGCTTCTTCCTCGTCGGCATCGTCGTCCACTTGTAGCCAATCGCGGTAAGCATCAGTAAGGAACTGGAAAACGATCCTGTCGCCGGCGACATCGAATCCGGCTTCCATTGAGGCCTCGTCGTAGGCGCCGGATGCGTAGTGCTCAATCATCTGGGAAAGTTGCATCATCCAGTGCAGCAAACCGAGGAAGGTCGACCAGTTGTTGCCGCCAACTGCTGCAATTTGAGACTTCATGATGCTTTTTTCGAAGGGGTATCGCATCTGCTTCAAAAGCGGAGGGACCTCCTGGTCGATGTTCTTCTGGAAGCGGTAACTGGGGTCAATGCGGTGGTACAACCACTGGAACATGCAGTTGAAGTCCTTTTGCGTGGGCGAGCTGAACGACTTGTGGGTGAGGGAGTGTTTCATGTCCATCTCAAAGTTATTGCGGGTCAGGTACTCGCTGAGCTCGTGCGCCATCTGCGAGCGGACGCTGGGGTCCTTCAGGCGGCGTGGGTCTTGTGGGATGGCTGCGGCAGGCGGGGCGGTGGTGAAGAAGCTCTGGTGAACACCCATGGCCCCACTGAGTCCATTGGACGGGCGCGCTCCCCAGATGCTGCTGCGCCGTTGTGACCCTTTATCAAGGGCAGCCGGCGCTGCTGCAGGCGTGGACATGACGCCAGGCGCAAAGCTCTTCCTGCTGCTGCTGAACATGTTGGGCGCCATGGATTGGCGCTTCGCGGACGAGGTAGAGGAGGCCATGTCTGCGAGATTGTTTCCTGACGAGGAGCGATGGAAGTTCGGCTGCGCAGGTCGACCCATGCCCATGCCTGGTGCGAGGGACATGCGACCGCCCATGCCGCGGCCTGCCATATTCGAGTTTGAGTTGGAGCGCTTCATAGCGGAGGCTGGCACTGGGATGCCGGTGAGATTGGTATTGAGGCCGCCGAGGGTCTATTAGTCATGTTAGATTAGCTGCGACGGGGAAGGAGAGATGCGACGGAGAAGGAGAGATGCGACGGGGAAGGAGAGATGCGGCGGGGAAGGCGAGATGCGACGGGGAAGGCGAGATGCGACGCACTTCTCGGGGTCGTCGGACGGAGAAGAGGCCTTGTTCGTTGGCCATGGCGGTGCGTGATTGTGTGCGCGCGCAAGTAGCGACTGATGCGATTCGGCTTCAGGTGCGCGATGGCAGGCGGGTAGGTGTGGGATGGTGGAGCTGAGTTGGCAAGCGGGATTGTTGTGTAAACAGAAAGCACGAGCGGTAGCATCCCTGTCGCTTTCTTTAGCGCCACGCGACTGCCACATTCGGGCCCGCGCCGAGACCACGCCGCTGCCCGCTCGCCCTTCTTTCTGGCCACCGCCGCCCTTGTTCCCTCGCTCACTGTCTCACCCCGCGAGATCGCCCAGAAGCAAAAATCAGTCCTCGGATACACTACCGCCAACATGCCTTCAGGAATGGGAAGTGCGTATTTCCCTCCCGCACTTTCACCCCGCACCACAGTTTCCCGCCCGCTGACCGCCGCGCCTGTCAGACGGCACCAAGCCGATCCACAACAAGAAGCCCAAGAAGAAGGAGCACGAGGACGACGACGAGGACAAGGCCTACAAGGCCAAGCAGATGGCTGGTGAGTATAACGCACTCCCACCGCGCTCACCACCACCGCTTTTTCTGCTCGAGCACGTCTGCCGGGCACTTCTCCGTACTGCACCGCGCGCTTGCACCCGCCACCGCCACAGCTTGCTGACACACGCTTCTCTCCCATGCGACAGACAAGAAGGCCCTCGCCGAGTTGCAGGCCAAGGCCAAGGGCAAGGGCCCCCTCAGTGTCGGTGGCCAGGGCATCAAGAAGTCCGGCAAGAAATAGACGGAGACCACGATCGAACGACCGGAAGAAAATCTCTTTACCGCACCCGCTCGACGGCATCGTGTCATGCACCAGGACACACGGCGTTCCAAACACCTCTCTGGGAGGGGAGACATGATACCTATGAATACTATGGATTTCGGCGGACTGTCGTGGCCGCCGTCAGGACCTTGTTCTGGCTTTTTTTCCCTGCTCAGTGCGTGTGCAGCGTTATGGATGTGACTCGTGTCGCGGTCGTGATCATAATGCAATCTTTCCAATTAGCCGTTCTCTTTGAGAACATTTGCGGCCACGATGGTCTGCACAAGTGGCTTGTACAAGACCATACCTTCCGCGTGACAGCCGGATCATCGTGGGGCACAGAAAGACCAAATCCTTTGCAGCCCAACACGATGTTCCCATGAATCGCGCTTTACCGAAGCGGCCAGTCGGAACAATTATCTGGATCAAGACGTAGGTTTGCAAATCATCGAAGACCATCAAGAGGTAGACGTGAACCCCCCAAGCAAATAGCGCGCGGGATTCATTGCAAGAATTGGATTGAGAAGGGTAGATTATGCTTATCTGCGCGGCGATAACAAGCGGACCGCCTCCACCAAACTACCAAAGCCCACTACACTTGGGCAAAAGCAACGCGAAGAGAAGTCGGATTTCAAATCCACTCTATTACAGGATAAAGGGGAGTAATGCTAAAAAGAAGGCGCAGGTAGGGTATGACGCCGCCAAAATAAAAAAGAACACCAAAGTAACAAGTCAAGTGCCCCCAAAACCCCTGCGCAAACCCTCACCCCCACAATCCCTTTCCATGCAGAATTGAACTAGTAAAGTTCACCAAACCCAAAGCCATATTCCCCCGAGGATTCCCCCTTCATCAAACCGGATTCGTCACCCGCCTCACCCACAGCGCCGTCGTGCCGCCATCGTAGCCCTCCTCCCTCTCGGCCTTCTTCCGCGCGCGATGCAGCTTCATGCCGATCTCGTGCTCCTGGGCGGCGATCTCGGCCAGCTCGTCCTGCATCGCCTTGACCTTGCGCTCGTTGGCGCGGCGCGTGGCGATGTCGACGCTGAGCGGGTTGTTGAGGTCGGGCAGGGTGGTGAGGTCCTTGACGACGCGGTTGATGTTGGCGCGGCGCAGCGCCAGGTCGTCCAGCTGCGCCGTGTACTTGGACAGCGGGTCCGCGTTGGCGATGGAGTCGCTGTCGGCGAGCTGCGGCGGCAGCGGGAGCGTCTTGTTGGCGTCGGTCGGGGTGCAGGCGCGGGGCGTGGGCGTCGACGGCTTGGAGGACGTGGGCGTGTGCGGGTAGGTGGTGTAGCTGTACGGGTTGTAGTTGGCCGTGTTGGTGGTGGGGCCGGTTTGCGTCGGCTGCGTCTGGGACCGCTTCGCGGTGGTGATGGTGTTGGAGTAGGATGGCGTCGGCACTGGCTTGCGCATCGTGGCAATCGTGTTCGTTGTGGTTGTGCTGGACATGGATCGCATGCTCATGGCCGGGCGCGAATCGAAGCGCGGCGGGTAGTGCGAGGATTGGGGCGGTTGTTGGTCGCGAGGTCCGAATGGGCCGTTCCCGGTGTTGTACTTGGCCGGCAGTGCGGGCGGGGGACTGGGCGGTGGGCTGTGCTCGAAGGCTGTCTGCGGTGTAGTTTGCTGGGTCGCCCGGGTGGACCAGCTGAAGCGGCTCCTGGGCTCCTCCTCGTGGTGGGCGCTCACGTCCGAGTTGCGGCGGTCTGCTTCGTACGAGCCGGGGATCTCCTCGACGGGCGAGACATCGAAAGGCATGGTGAATCCAAGAGCGTTGGTGGGAGGCCAGTGCTCATACGGGACTGCTGGTGATGGCTGGGAGTAGTATGATGATGCGGCATGCGAGTAACGCGGGTCGAGATGTGAATGGTCTTCTTGCAGGTCCAGCGGCGCAAGCTGAGGAGGGCGGAAGCTCGCGGCTGCCTCGTTGGCGGCTTCTATGAGCGGACGGTGCTTGGATCGACTGCTGAGGTTCCGCGTGTCGTAAGAAGTCTCAATCAGCACCGGCTCGCCGATGCCGATGCGCGGGTTTTCCTTGCCGCGGCCGAGGAAGCCTTTCTTCCACATGATTGCGGGTTCTGCGGCAGTGGGTTAGTTGTGTGTTCGAGCAGTGGCCGTGTGTTCAAGCAGTCCAGCTCCTCCAGCTGGCAGTTGCCAAGGAAATGTAAGCCACTCCGGGTGGGCGAAGAGAGAGAGAAGAAGAAGATGAAGACTGGCAAGAGAGCCTGCAAGGAAAGAAGGCATTTGCGTGTAAGACGCGCAACTGTCTCCTACGCACTGCCCAGGGCGCCGAAAGGGCTGGGCCCTGGTATAGCGGGCGAAAGGGCCACATGCTTCCAAAAGACTGGGAAGCATGTTGATCTCGCTCAAGCGCAATCTTGCAGGGCTGAGCATTGCCAGATCATGTGCAGCGCATGACTGAGCGCGAGCTCTGAAGCTTTGGATGCGGGGGAGCAGCGGATAAGGCCCAATGCGGTAAAACAAGGGGGTCAAAGAGCGACAGAGGTTTGTTTCACTTACACCGAGCTTTGCGGCCTCGTGGTAGCAGCGGGATGGAGGCGGTGGCGGGAGGATGCAGAGGGCGGCAGATGGATGCAGCAGAGCACACGGCAAATGAAGTCGAGGGGGGAGAAATGAGGGCGGACGAGGGTTCAGGAATGAGAAGGCTCGCTATGTGCGCAGGCGCCGAAATTGTAGCTGGCATGCAGGTGGGTAGGCAGCTGACAGGCATACGAAGAGAGGTTTCAGGGAAATGGCAGGCGTTTCAGAAGCAGAGGGCTCGCGACGTGCGCTCAGTTCGCAGCGGCCCCGGGCGCCTGTGGCCGGAGACCGGTCGCTAGGCGCGAGATCGAGTCGGCCATGGCGCGCGGAGGAGCAAGTCGGCCCTGGCGTGGAGCTGGCGTGCGGGCGAGTCGAGCGACGACAGGGCGACACGAGTTGCGCGAGAAGGCTGCGCCACGTCGCAATTGGTTGGCCACGATGATTGCGACGAGCACAGGCACCCAGCGCCGCGTCCCGCCGGCTCCCGTCGGCAGCCCGGAATCCAAATCCAACACGCCCGGCGCTGACGTCTCAACACCACTCAAGCTCCCCCGCCCTCCGTCTTCCACGACCCTCTCCGCTTCTTCTGCGACGCGCCGACCCTGCTCTCAATCCCAAGCCTTGCGCCTTCGCCGAGGCCCGCTGCTGCATCCTCTGCCTCACCAGCTCCACCCACCCCGCGACCATGGAGAACCCGGCACATGCCGCTGCGACCGGTAAGCTCCCACGTGCTCAGCGAGCCTACCAGACGCCCTCACTAACAATGCAATTTCCAGAGAACGGTGCGGCTGCGCCCCCCGCTGCCGAGGCGTGAGTAGACGCGCCTGCCGTGCCCTCGACTACCGCCCACTAACGCCACCTACAGCCAGTCCGTCATGACCCCCATCAATGTGCTGCTGCTCTCGCTATTCGTATTCCTCGTTTACCTCCGCCTGCGCCCCAAGCCGCCGCAGGTGCTGCCCAAGGCCCCCGCCCCCGTCGTCTTCCGCACCTTCACCCCGCACACGCTCTTGCCCTACAACGGCACCGAGGGCATGCCCGTCTACCTTGCCGTGCGCGGCCGCGTCTTCGACGTCACCCCGGGCCGCAACTTCTACGGCCCCGGTGGCCCCTACGCCAACTTCGCCGGCAGGGATGCCAGCAGGGGTCTGGCGTGTGGCAGCTTCGACGAGGAAATGCTGACCAAGGACCTCGATGCCCCGCTCGACACCCTCTCCGACCTGGGAGACGAGGAGATGGAGGCTTTGATGGGCTGGGAGGAGCGCTTCTCCGAGAAGTACCTTGTCGTCGGCAAGCTGGTGCCCGTGGGCAGCGAGGAAGCCAAGAACGCCTGATCCCGGAAACCCCCCGCCTTTAGAGGACGAATGGTCGTCATGTACTGTAAGCACTTGCTCGACGGGAGCAGAGGTAGTCGGTGGCACGCGGCGAACGCGACCCGCCATCGGTTTAGTTGTGCCATGAACGGAGAGTAATCGCAGACGCTTGTATTCAGGCTCTCACTAGAGGTATCCATACCGTGGACTACCGACTCCAATGAATACATGCAGGCATCCGCAAAGCATGACCATATTACTCATAAAACCGAGCTTTCCATCCTCGACGCATCACAGTGGATGCCGAAAGAAATTAGCCACCTCCATCTATCTTACACAGGGAGTGGGATCCTTCATCTGCATGCAGTTGTACAGTTTCAGTACTTGCTTTTACGTCCGGGCATCTGCTTCGACTGCCCACGCAAAGAATCGCCGCCGCTAAGTTTCGTTCTCGATACACCGTGAAACCAGAGCGGTCCGATAACTCGGTGTTCGAGCGAATAAATAGAATTTCTTATACTTTTTCCCAAAGCATCGGGATGTGAGACAGTTTTAGGTAGGTGGTCATGTTCGCAAATGGCCGATAACGCGTGATGCGTCCAGCAGACGAAGCAGGCTGGGCCGAAGACCACGCGCTCTTCTGATTGGCCGGTTTCAGGTCGATGTCGTCGTCGCCACAATCGCCAACGCCCGTTTCGCAGGAGCGCCATAGCTTAGATCCGAGGCACGTTTCTTGCGAGGTACGCTCTAGTGTAAGAGCGTCCATATAAGGACCCCCGCCGGATGCCTTAGTCCATGATGCCCACAGGTCGACTCGTGCGACATCTCAACACCACAACAACCCACCATGTCGGACATGCCTGCATCCGCCCTTCTGGGCTTCCTGGTGCCCAAGCTACCTGTTCTGGTCAAAACGGCGTTTATGAATGCCTTTTCCATGTCGCCAAACGCGTCCAAATGGGATCTCAAAACAGAACTCATCATCGCCATCCTCCGCGCCGAACTGTCGAAAGTGCCTCCGCCCACCATCACCGAGCAGCAGAACAACACCACCAAGATCCCCGAGGTCAAGGGGCCCATGTGGGTCAGCAAAGTCACCATGCCCGCACCGCCCGAGGACGACGTCCTGCAAAAGCTGCTGCAAGCAATCGACGACATGAAGACGACGGGGACCGAACACTACACCATCCCCTCCCTCCTCCCCGTCGAAGGCGAATGGCACGGCCGCCGCGCCGGCGCCGCCAAAGACACCCCGGAGCCGGCAGGCCTCTCCGAAGCCGAAAGGTACGCGCGCCTGATGCAAGAAGCCGGGTCCGACGCCGTCGTCCTCTACTTCCACGGCGGCGCCTACTACCTGATGGACGCCGCCTCGCAGCGGCCCGCCACCGCCCGCTACGCCCAGATGCTCCCGGGCGGCGGCGGCCGCACCTTCGCCGTCCGCTACCGCCTCGCCCCGCAGAACCCGTTCCCGGCCGCCCTCCTCGACGCCCTCGTCGCCTACGTCTCCCTGCTGCACCCGCCGCCGGGCGCCCTCCACGCCCCCGTCCCCGCCCACCGCATCGTCCTGGCCGGCGACTCGGCCGGCGGCAACCTCGCCCTCGTCCTGATGCAGACGCTCCTCCAATGGCACCGGAGCACTGCGTCCTCGTCGTCTCCGTCGCCGCCAACCGTCCACTGGCACGGGCACGCCGTCCCCATCCCCCTCCCCGGCGCCATGGCCCTCGCCAGCCCCTGGACCGACCTCACGCGCTGCCTCCCCTCGCAGCGGCACAACCAGCGCTTCGACTACCTCCCCGGCGCCGAGTGGCGCGGCTCCGTCTACCCGCCCTGCGCCGCCTGGCCGGCCACCCCGCCGCGCGCCCACCTCTACGCCGAAGCCGACGCGCTGCTGCACCCGCTGGGCAGCCCGTGCGTGCCCGCCGCAGAGTGGACGGGGTGCCCGCCGACGCTGTTCGTGCTCGGCGAGGAGATGATGGCGGATGAGAGTCGCGTCGTGGCGGCGAGGATGGTGGCGCAGGGCGTGGGCGTCGCGTGGATGCAGTTTGAGGCCATGCCGCATTGTTTTGGGCTGGTCATGGAGGATTGCGAGGCCGCGAGGGTGATGAGGGAGGGGTGGAGGGAGTGGGTCGGGCAGGTGTTGGGCGGGGGGTCGAGGCCGGTGGAGACGAGGGGGGAGTTTTTTGCGGCGAGGAGTTGTGCGGCGAAGAAGGTGGATATGAGGAGGTTGGCGGAGGGGCTGGAGGATGAGAGGGTGATGGAGTTGATGAGGGAGGCGCAGGGGAAGTTGCTGAGTGAGGGGGGAAGGGACGAGAATAAGGCGGAACAGACGCCCGTGGTGTAGAATCCGTGCTGGTGTAAATGGTATATACATTAGAAACGCAGTAGCAACTATGTACAGCATTCAATACAAAAGGTGCCGAGGGAGGGATGTGGTAATAATCAATGAAGCAAAGAAAGAGCCAGATGATTTGATATGTGCGTAGAAAGATGATAGGGCATTTTTTCTTAGTCGAAATTTGCACCACCAAGGTCGGCCCACTCTTTCTTCAATTTCAAATACTCTTGGACGAATTTTTGCTGAACTAGTAATGGTGTCAGATATACATGTTCTGTAGACCGAGTACGTTAGATATCTTAGTTCAAGGACGGCTTACTATGTTCAGATTCAAACTCGAGGCTGGCCTCTTTGCATTGAACCTGTTTCCCCTCTCGCTCACACCGGAGCAGATTTTGGGGGTCGATCGGTATCCCCGCAAGTGATCCGGGGTCACCTTTGTGTAAGGGTCTAAGGATTGTCATGCTGAATCTGTCATCTCGTTCGTCGTTCGTGGGACAGAACTTTCCTATAAGACCCGACTGTTTGATGAGCCTGAAATTGGCGTGAACTAAGGTCCATCAGTGTATGAAACTTTTGACATCTGGGTACATATATCTCACTTCGAAGGATTGCAATGGATCGTCCGTCCTCAACACCAAAGATGACAACACGGCGGGGCGGTAATTCATCCCCTACACTCAGCTTTGGGGGGGCGTCCTACACCACATATTGTCAGTTGTTTGGTCACTGTGGGCATAGAAGAACGGTAGACCGCGCCGTTCGATGAAATGATAAGGTTGATGCCAAGTCTTCACGTACCTTTGAGAGCCAAGAAGCCTCTTCTTCCCCTTCCCAAAGCTGAACCAGGTTGGGGCAGACGGGACGGACACTGTCGCTTGCGGACGTTTCGTTGTTCTGATCCATTTTTCGGGAAGCCTTCTTACTTCTACCAAATGGAAACATCTTTCTCAAACTGCTATGGCGTTCCTTGAAGTTGAAGCCGGTAATTGGGAAGCTAAGTTTGTAGGATCAGATGGGAACAGCTCAGGCAAGCTGGAATGACTTACCTTGCACGCACTATTTGGCCGGTAAGGATCGACTGAAACTCTTCCGCTGCTTCTTCGTTGTAGAATTCGTGGTCATAGATTCCCGCATTGTCCTCATGCCTAGGGAATGTAATGTCGAAGCGCTGGGCGGATGTTTCATTGGTCGCGAAAGCATATTGAGGTACCAGAATAGCTTTCTTGGGAACTGCATTACCACTCAGCCAAAGTCACATGTTCAAGATGGCCTCATACTCACGTCTGTAGGACTCAGTGGGATCATTCTCCAAACTGAACGCCCGGAATAAAATGAGATCTTCGTCAGCGGGATCGATCACGACTACTATCCTATGCCGGACCCCGTCATGTTTGATGTAGGAACTATTTGATTCAAATTTATCAGCTTCTGTATCGGCTCAAATCTGGTATGCACATACCCCATTCGGCCAACCTCCTGGAGTCTTTGGTTGTATCTCTCAACGTGTGTTCTCTGGAGATTGGTGGCCTGGATACTTCTTCCTTCGTTGCTGTGATCTTCTATGAGCTTCGAGAGCTTCAGGTCAACCTCCCGGGCTCGTGGCCTTGCATTGGGATTACAGGAGAGCATTTGGCGTATGAGTTCGAGAAGGTCGGTAACGAATAGATGATCATTAGAGTCTTTGGAGACGCGGCGTTGGAGATCTTGCATAAAAGTTGTTATCCCTTCTTTCAAGTGACATCTGTCACTTTGGTCTTTCACGTAGAAGCGATAGTTATCACCTATGTGGGGATCGTTGTCTACTGTCTTACGAGCGTTATCGAGCCCGGGATGGTCTTGATCCTCTGATACAAGGCCCTCGTAAGAACGGATGACAAAGGCCGCCACCTCCAGAAAAATAATTCCAAGGGAAAAGATGTCAAAGGCCCGTTTGTGAGTGCCATGTTCGAATTCGGGTGGAGCATAAGTAGCAGTGCCTCCTCTGTTCCGGATACTCGATGTTTCGTCGCGCGAGTGGAGCGTTCGGAACGTAGCTTGCCCAAAGTCAGAGATGACCCATCTGCCGTCCTCCTCGACAAGGATGTTGGATGGCTTGAGGTCACTGTGGACTCCGAAATCCCTTTCATTGTCTCGAACATCCCTTTGACCGGCAGATCCCAACTGATCAATGTTGTGGACCTTTGACAACGCTTGCGTGATTCCCCGTAGTTGGATCCAGAATGAACATTCCGCTACAGACTCTATGCGGCACTTATGCGCTTGATGAGGCTCGGATTTTCGGATATAGTCGTCGAGATTCGTCTTGGCCCATGGGAACACGATGTTGAAGCTGTCGCCGTGCTTATACGTCTTGATCATTCTCACAATATGTGGGTCTTGTGCGTATCCGATGCGTTGTAGAACCTGCTTCTCTTGCCGTGCCATGTCGTCTTTTTCGCTCTTTTTTACTGCTTCTACTAGAGAGATGGAAAAGCGATTCGATATCTCCTTCCGAGCGAATTTCCTGACATTTGGGTAATGCTTTTTGACTGATAGTCAGCACCATTCCTCCGTTGTGTAAAGGGTGCCCATACTTTGAAGTTGCGGTACTCATCGTGAATTTCGAAACAATAGACTTTACTGTTGCCAGTCTCTCCTATCAATTCTTCGTTCATGAAAGGAAGAATACGATCAGGGCCCCATTCGACGTATGCGGGCGAATCCAGGATTGGGGGACAGTAGCGCGGAAGCTTCTCTCTGAAATCCACACCGACAATGTGGGCAATATCTGGATCTTTAGACTCGAATTCATGCCAGAACTCGGGGATGATTTCGTTTGGGAATTTGCCGATCCAGGATTCGAGAAGCGCATCTTTTCCCAGGCCCTTTACCGAAAATTCGTGGATGAACATGGAATGACGTAGGTTGATGAGAAGAGCAAAGAGAGACAAGGCTTCAGAGGCAATGTTCTCAGCGTACTCTTCCGGTGGCGCATTTCTGTTCAGTAATTTCAGGTCTTTCAAACAACTTCCGCATGTGCATCGCAGTATGCACACAATGTTCTCTTTTGACAGAAACTTCCGAAATCCTTCGCGTGGAAAGAAGGCGCCTTTCATCGAACGCTTATCAGGCTGAAAGATGTATCTACTGGTAATTATGTCGTAGGCTTCACTGCATGGGATTCTCCCTGTTAACTCCGTCATTCTAACCTGCTCTTGCGGCGGATTCTGTTAGTCATTGTTACAGAAACCATACATAACACCCTGGTTGATGCTCAATAATAATACGACAAAACTTACTCCTGAAGTAATTGCAGGAAGTGGAAGTCAAACGTGTTTGAACGCTCGCACATATGGTCTAGTCGGTGGAGTCGAGTAAGCTTTTGTGTGGGGATAGGTCATGGGCTGCTGATTAGAGGCCGTGCATCCCAACTCGCCAACTCGCAAACTTTGGGGGTGAGGGCGGGAGGCTGATCTGGGGTGGCAAATGTGTGACTGGTCAGCGTTACCGTGTACCTGAGATCATCACTTGTGCTACAGGGTAAAGCTGAGCAAAGAGCTAGACAAAGATTGCCTTTCTGGCAATCTTACTCGCTAGGCAAAACTGCGGCAGGTCGCACAATGCCACCCAAGCGCTTGAGGCTGCAAGGACGGAAATCCGTGTCACTTTCAATATTGTGGCTGCAGGACTGCCAGGGGGGATGGAAACACGACCAGTGCGCTTATTTCTGGGTAACAGAACCACAGACAGGGGACAATAATCTGAAGACCTTCATGCCCACCGATTCAGATCTTTTCCTGCGAACTTGTGCCTACCTCTTCATCGTCATGAGCGCGTCGCTTAGCCCTTCGATGTTCCAAGAGTAACCATGCTCCTATTGTTGCTACAAGTAGGATGACGGTCAAGACCACAAAAATCCAGAACTCGCTGGCAAATTGCAGACTCTCTGGATTTTTGTCTCTATTCAGTGAAACGTAACCCATGCTCAGAAGTTGCTGGGGCAATTAGCTGCTCGTAGGATTGCGTTTGCCAAAGTGCAACTCACGGATGCGAAAGACGCCGGCAGATAGACGAGCGTGAGGACTGTGATTGTCTTCAACGACCTTGAATCGTAATGGGCCTTTTTTGACAGGTCAAGCATGCGGTTGCTGTCGGTCTGGGCTAGTTTCATCAAACCCGTGGAAATTCTACCGCTGGAATGCAGCGCTTCGAGTGCCCTGACAGATATAAGGCTCTGCATCTGTCCGGGTAAGTAAAGGAGCAGGCGCTGCCGAGGACCCGCAGACTCACTAGTTGACCAACAGCATCGAGGCGCTTCACAATGGTCTCGGCCCGTTGTCTCTGCAGAGCAATCTCCGTTATGCACACTTGTAATCTGCCACAATCTTGCACGATTGTCAAGTCTACAACGGGGTGTGTGCTTGGAGAGTGTCGGTTCAAATGGAACGAAAGGCTTCGTAGGGCATCGAAGTTTGTAGTGAGGATGTGGATTATCCGTAAAGTCTTGTCGTGAAGAACCTCGAGGTCCTGAACATCGGTGTATTGAAGGAAAGTAAAGGAATCGGCCTTTTCGACGCCATTGAGTGTGTCTGAATTGTGCGCCTTGGATTTCTGCATCGTGTCAGAAACATGCCTTTACCGCGCAAAGGAGCCTTACAAGAAACTCCAGTTTCTCTTCCAGCTCATTGAGATATGCCCGCCACTGTGCCGACGCACGAGATGCTGCCAAGGTATGAACATCGGCCCATGTTGGGAGCAAAGTGGTCTCTGCCTTGGTTCGGAGTAGGCGCTGTCGAGATGATGCCGAGGAGTTTAGGATTATGAAGGTGTGGTCGTCACTTCGATGAACGAATCGGTGGTAGATGGCGGTCTGTCGGATGGACCAAGGGTCGCTGAGGTGGGCTCTGCCATTTTTCTCGACGTACTTGAGCAGGTAGCAGTATTCTGTTCTAGCATTAGTGCACGGTCGCCACACCAGAAAAGACGAAGTCCCCAGCGCTTTTCCGGCCTCACGGTTTGGGTTGGGCTGTAGCTACCAGAAACTCCGCTGTCGCGTTGGTTTTGAGCCTGGAAACCCCCCATCGTTTCGTTCGAATTCGTTGCGCCGTTGCGCCTTCCGAACGACCCTAGTATATCAAGCATCGGAGGGAATACGGAAAAATGCGTGAAAAGCCGACGAAGGGAGCTGTGCGATATCTTGAGACGGCCCCATGATCCTTGCTGCGCGACGAAACTGCGACCGTGTGAGTTTCTTTCGATATATATTGCCCTACCGACTCACAAGATACGTGTTGCATCGGTGCGCGGCTCGCTCAGGCAACGCTCAAGAGAGATATCTCCAAGATGCTGCAGTTCAGCTGCTGTTATATTAGTGTAAAGCCTGTCAGATATGGTTGTTCGTCCCACATTTCTCTGCAATCTCCAAAAGCTCCACCTGCGTCTCACCTTCATCAACGAAGAGCCGAGAGGCGTCGGTAGCGAGCCTTTGTGCATAAAGTGACGTATCATACAGGTAAGGATCCCACAGCGTGTAGGAGGAACAATCAGGGTAAGTATGCCAGCTCTCCATTTTCAATCTTGAGAAGAATTGTGACCCGAACACAGCTGCAGCAAGCCGCTTTTTACGATGCCCCCTTAAGCAAGCCCGGCTCGGAAACAGATGCAAGCCACCGGGGAAAGTGATGACGCTAGGGGTGACAAGTGTGCCTTGTACAACGCCGGTGCACCGGTGAAGTAAGCTAGCTAGTGTTACGGTTTCTCAGGCCAAGCAAATCCGGGATACAGATCCGGCCAGCTCTGCCTCTGCAGCTCTTCTAGTTCAGCCTGCCCTGATCGATTAGTAAAGCATACCTGTTGCTCCAATTCTTCGCTCTTACGTCTGTGAGCTTCCTTTGTACTGTCAAACACCATCCATCGTCCCGAGTCTCCTGTCGGACATCAGCTTCGTACCTTACTTCTCTAGATTTTGGCCGTACTGAGCATCTCCACTCTGTGCCAAATTCCGATGTATTTTTCGCAAGGAAAGTCGTTAGCACTTCCTGGGTGATATATCTAAAAAAAAAAAAAAAATCAGCACGAATCAGTCTGTGAGCGATAAGAACTAACCTCTTAGCAAGGAGTTGCGTGATCATTGCCGTTAGAGAATTCGGGGGAATTTAGCCTTGCGCTGTGTCTTGCAATCTCAAGGCTGGGTAGGCTGTATTATAGGCAGACTCCCGGCTTTGTAGAAGGCAACAGTGTCCATATTCTACGTTGCACTTGCTGCCTATCTCGAAGTGGCCCATTTGAAACGCTGTTGGTTTGTGTTCATCGCCCTTGTGGTTTTCGGGCATGAAAAATCAAGCCACAAATGACGTGTTACTCGGTGCGCCATGCCCCATATGCGCAACCGTGCATGACAGGAGAGTGAGGCAACTTTCTATGTCTGCCTAGCTGACGTGACGAAGTCAAAATCCAGGGTCGTACCGGTCCGCAGTCACAGTCGCACGTAATGCCGCAGGGATCATGTGGGCTCAGCCTTGCATCGATTCCCTTTAAAACAGGGCACTAACGCCACTCAGAACCTTACTCGTTTAGACCAAAGGTTTCTGCAGTCAAGCAACAATCAGAATGAATCATCTGTCAGGTCACACCGGAGCGAGTGCAAATGACAATGCCCCCCAAACTGAGGCTTCTCGACGGACGCCCAGCATCCAGATTGAAGGAGCGCCCAATCACGAGGTCGAGTCTCAGGGACATGGACCTTCTGCTTTCAGAAGCACGCCAGATCAACATGCGCCGGGCCCCGGAATTCCCTCCAAGCGGATGGTTGAGAGTATTTCAATGGAACCCTTGACGCATCAAGAACAACAAGACAATTGGAGTGAGAGAGGCATTGAGGTTCGGCGGCGAAATCTCAACTTCATCGATGTCTCTTCTTTGATTATGAACAAGATGGTATGGCTCTTGCCTGCTTCTATGAATATGGCTGACAATTTCAAGATCGGAACAGGCATATTTACTACCCCCGCCACTGTACTTGTACTTACAGGCTCGAAGCCATTAAGTATGGGTCTGTGGTTCGTTGGTGGTGTCTATACCTTTTTATGGTACGCCGTCTTCTCACTAAGTTGATCTTTTTTGTTAACCTTTCCTTCAAGGTTGTTGATATATATCGAGCTGGGAAATGCGTTCCCTTACAATGGAGGGGAGCTCATATACGTAAGTAGCATCGGCTAACATCGAGAGGTGGTCTTGCTGACATCCGCGAAGCTGGACAGGCTCTACTACAAGCTCCCACGCCTTTTCGCCACATGCATCTATAGTGGGCATTTCATTTTCCTCGCTAATACCGCTGGTAACTCAATCGCTTTTGCGAAGCACGTACTCGTGGCACATTCACCAGACATCAACACGGATCAGCACACTGCTGTCGTGAGACTGTTAGCTGTGTCTATCTTGACGGCAGTGTGCTTCCTCCATTTCAATTGGCGCAGCCTAGGTCTTTTCTTGAACCGGGTATTCACAGCTTTCAAGGTCGTCCTGCTCTTGGTGGTTGTAGGCGCTGGTTTTAACCACCATACGCCTGATATTGCATCGCACTGGAATGAAGATAAGGGCTCAACCTTTGGTGGAGCTATGTCGGCGCTAGTTCTCATTTTCTATGCGTATGAAGGATGGGAGAATGCAAACTATGTAAGCCGTCCTCATTCTTTGCCTACCACGTTCAAGCTGACACCATGATAGGTCGCAGGCGAGATCCCTCAACTGAGTGAGAGTGGTCTAAGCAACCGAAAAGGCACCCTGAGACTCGGGGCCTTCATAGCAGTTTTTGTTGTCACCACCCTTTATATGCTAACAACCGGCGCTTTGGTAAGACCCTCACTCGAGCCAGATGAACTTTCTAATCCATGCATTCTAGTATGCTGCCTGTGAATTCATGCACGACGGTCCATGTCGGATTGATAAGGGCGATGACCTTGCTTTCGTCAAAGGATTTTCCACTGTGGCAAGTGGTACAGCCTTTTCACATTTCCGCCAGGTCATATACTTACAATGACGCGTTAGGCTTTTCACCATACCACGGGCCTTGCAGTTTGCATCGCTTTGTCCGCAGTGGGAAACCTCGTTGCCGTCATCTACACTTATAGCAAAGGTATGCATCTGGTCCAGGAGAATTTAAAATGCTCATCCCTTCGGTAGTCAAACAAGCAATGGCACTGCAGAACTTCCTTCCCCTCTCGTCGTTGCTCGCGGTCGAGCGCGACGAGGCCACCAGAACGACTGCATCAGCTCCTTCCAGCCACGACCAAAACTTTTCAAGCCAAGTGCATCAGCATCATCCAAGGCAACCAAGGCCGACCACGCCAGGGGTGCCCAAAGGGGGTATTGTATTGCACTGGATTGTTACCACAATCACAATCTGTATCATTCCGAACACGGCAGACGGGTACAGTTTCTTACTAGGAATGTTCTCGTATGCTCATACTATTGTCGCTGGTAAGCCACAAATATACGTCGCTTCATATGGGCTTTGTTTGCTAATCAGTCTTGAAGTCTTCACTGCTATTGGATTTGTGTGGATCGCGAACGCGTACGCGCACGCTGAAGAGTACAAGCAGCACAATAAGAGAGATAGGTGGCAAGAAACCCTTCCATGTTCCAAAAATGGAAAGGTGCGTTTCTTTTGCGCATTCCTGGTTGTTGTTCTGAGCGCGGTGGCTATCGGCGGAGCTCCATTACAGAATCAAGTTGGCGAGATCAGCAAAGGCGACGAGTCCAGCACGGATGCCAAGCTCCCAAGATACTGGTGGCCGATTATCTTCCTTGCCGCTGAAACAGTAGCAATTCTGTATTGGATCAGCATATGGTTGCTCCACAAGAGAACGCATCCGATCTTTGGGCTCGATCTTGACATCCGGCAACTCAACGACTGGGGAGAAGGGAAGGGGAAAAGGGGCTTATGGCCAGATAAAATGACCATGGAAATGGAAGAAGCGCGAAAAGATGGAAGCCAAAGGCGAGTTGTAGTGACGGTATGTGTGACCAGAAGTTTGCTCGGTTTGCACACTCGTGGTTTTCTGTTCTTCCCTTTTCTTTATCGCTTTTGCTAACACTAGTGCCAGATAGTTACTGACAGTCATCTTGATAAAGCTGTACATGGGGTAAAAAAAGGTTGGAAATGGTTCCAAAAATATCTTTGGGACTGATTCTGGACCTTTGAAGTGGGCAATCAACGTTGAATGGCTTCTGATTAGTTTGCAATACTGTACTTGTTCACCTGGCGCACCATGTCTCACGGACTATGGCACGGTGTCCTTCAAGTCACATACCCAACCTGAATAGATTGCAAAACGGTATCCTGGGACATACAAAACATATTTTCGTCAGGGACATGGCAAGTTGGATAGAGCTTCGTGACACATGGGATTTTAAGGCTCTATTGAGCGTGGCATCTGGGGGAACACGAAATCAGGCGTTGACCATGTAGGCACACGGTGATGTCCTGTGCGGAGCCGAAAGAACTAGGTCTTTTGGAAACTGTCACGCTGCTCTTGTTGTGATGTTCGGAGTTGCAGCTGCCGTCGTCGACAAAGGTAGCCGAAGGTTGATCAGGGCTACGCTTAGGCAGTGTATGTTAATTTTCTCACGCGACGGTCAATGTCTTACATAAAGCTCTTCCGCCGCAAGGATGACAGTGTTTCGCAAATTCAAAAGGTTTTGGCAATGCGGTGAGGTCAAACACACTGTGCCAAGTGTGAGCCAGCTGTTTTGCCAATCAATGCTCGGTACGAAAAGAATTGCTTTCGAGGTATGTCTAAGTCCATTTGGAATGCCTTTGAAATGATTTGCCGAATAGAACATGGCACATTGCGTATTTATTTTCTCTCACCATTTTCTCAAGAATAATTCAAGAAAGCTTATATAAATTATATATGAAAAGATGGAGTAGACTTGATCTCGGAAGGAGCATCGGGCCCGGTTATAAAGACACCTCCCCTCCAGAGCCCTTCTGTCCCCATGCCGTTTTTGCAACCAACAAAACAAGGAAAAAGAGAGATAGTGTTCAACACCACCAGTGTCGACAACATACCAAACAACACCTCCAAAACGCAAGACCAAAACGCCCACCCCCAATGACACACACTAATTCAATCCCTTCTCTTCACTCTGTTCTCCACCGCCCTCGCCAACCTCACCACCGGCGTATCAACCATGCGCCAAAACAAATCCGCCAACCACACACTCACCGCCAACAAAACCACGTACCCCACCGCCAAACACGCCACAAACCTCCGATTCCCCATCTCCCCATTCTCCACCACCCGCAGCACCGGCTCCCGCGGCACCGGGTCCCAAAACAGATCCTCCCCCTCCACGCCCTGCCCCACAACCACCTCCTCATACCCATACCTCCCCGCCACCCCGAACACCAGCCTCATCACCACGAACCCCAGGCTGTGCAGCACCGGCCCGTGCACGAGGTAGAAGGCGTAGCTGATCTTGCCGAGGTACTGGGCCACGGGCGTCTGGAACGGGCGGCGCAGCGCGCGGCTGTTGCAGATGGCGTGGAGGGTGAGGATGGCGCCGGCGGACTGCCAGAAGCGGTAGGGGCAGCTCTCGCGGTAGATGTCCGGGATGTGGAGCGAGAGGTAGGTGTAGCCCGGGGTGTAGTCGCCGTATTCGTCGGGGAAGGAGAGCAGGTAGAGGCCGGCGGTGAAGGTGGTGAGGTGGAAGAAGGCGAGGGGGAGGGGGTGCGCCGGCTTGGTGGGGTGCGGGCAGAAGACGGCGGGGGAGGGGGGCGGGGGAGCGGCCGTCTCGATGGTGGTGAGGAGGGGCGGGGTGGTGGGATTGGTGCTGGTGGGGAGCAGGGAGGGTTGGCGGCGGTGCTGGACGGGAGGGGCGGCGGGTCCCCAGGTGTTGGTGATGAGATCGAGCTCGGCGAGTAGGGAGCCCGCGAGGAAGAGCACGACTTCGAAGCGGCCCCAGCGGGTGCAGAAGATGATGAAGGCGACCGTCAGCGCGAGGCGCCAGGCGGTGCGCGCGCGCGACAGGCAGATCAGGTTGAGGAAGAGGACCATGCTGGCGCGGTACTCGAGCGGGATGGTCCACACGTGCGGATCGTACAGGTTGTACCATTCGCCCCAGTTGGTGAAGTCGATGTAGTTGCGGACGAAGTTGAGATAGTCCCACATCTGGTCTTGCCATGTCTCCAAGGTCATGGGATGGTGCTCCAAGAAAGCCAGCGTCACGCCGTCATTGCCGATCTCGGTTGCCCATTCGAACCAGCCGGCTTGGATGGCCAGCATGACAAGAAAGGTGCTGAAAATTGTCGGGAGGAAGAGCCGGATGCCACGGCGGAAGATGGACGAGGAGAGCGCCTGCAGCATCGAGTCGTAGGACTGGGATCGCAAGGCCATCAGGGGTTTGCGGGAGAGAACGTAACCGGAGAGCACGAAGAAGACGCACACCATGGAGCGGCCGCTGTAGAGGAGCTTGATGAACGGCAGCTGGTGTATCCAGCGATTCGAAAAGTTTGTGGGATCAACCCCGAAGCCCCGTACCGAGGTCAGCGTGTACATGAAGAGAAAGTGGAAGTTGAAGACGAAAAAACAGGCGTATCCTCTTACGCCATCCAGAGTCGCAATGCCGTTGACATGGTGTGTGGTTGCGGAACCGGCAGAGCCACCCTCACCCAACACCCGTGGTCGGAGGAAGCTGGGAAGGATTGGTGCAAGGGCAGACCCTCCCACGCAGCGTGAGACGTCGTACAGCCACCGACCCCGAGACCTGGCATATGCTCGCAGCTTGACCGAGACATCGGCGTAGGATCGCCCAAACAGCTCGGCTGTCGTTGTTGCCGTCGATTGTTTCTCATTTAACGAAGCCTCGGATCCGGTGCTGCTGCGTCCTGGTGAGCTTGGTAGGAAGACATCGGTGCCGCAGTCCGAAGTGCCAGATGGTACCCGTTGGTATCCCCCGTACATTGTGCTTGCGCTGGGCTGAAGGAGTAATGGCTAGTAAGGTTACCGGGCTAGCCATACTTAATGTAACTGAGCAGCAGAAATGGCGATGGCGTGGCAATGTTGATGGAACGCGTCTAAGCAAGGACGCGGTATTCCCGGGCCCGAGAAAGGGATGCGCGGCGAGCCAAGTACGATGATGCAGCAACACTACAATTCATACTATCCATCCTCTCGGACTAGTAGTAAATGGAACTTGGGAGCGTCTGAATGAATTCATCTCAAGTATGCCCACTGCCGCGAGAGTGAAATATTAGTGGCATGGTGAGGCGGAAAGGACAGCATCGTATGTAAATTCGGAAAAATGCCATCGTGGACCGTTCTGCACGAGCTTTGTCTGGGCATTCTCAGGGATCAAAACAAAAGGCGTCAATGACTGCCAGCGGGTGGCTCGCTGTAAATTGTGCAGTGCGTAATAGGCAATGGAATGGAGCTCAGGAAATCTTGACCGGAATGCAGGGCTTGGCTCGCACCCAAGAGGGGGATATATTGGAAACAGCCGATAGGTTGCGCATATTGGGCGGATGCTTTAGCATGGAGCTGATGAAGATCCATAGTAGGTGAATCTGAAGCACGGGGTGGCAATCGCAATGGAGTTGAAGAAAGGTGGCGCTCGTCACCTCAATGCTTGGCATTGACGACTCAGCTTGAGCAACCCATTCTAACCTTTTCAACACTTATAACAGTTGCTCGCTTTTAGAAAGTGGATGAGAAGACTGGAGCCTGTTGTATGCCACGATGACTCACCGCCAGACACCAGCACCCATCATCACGCGGGGGAGCCCTCCTTTCTATTTGTTCAATCCATCTTCAAACCTGTTGCGTTGATGGGTCAAAAAAGATAATCAGTGCTTACATGGTCTGGGAAGCTTGAAGAGGATGACCCTGCAGATAAAGTCTCTTCCTGTACGGCTGCTCCATCGCACAGGCTGTTCAATTCAAAACCGATGACCCCTCCATTCCAACTCATTGCGCATGACGCCAATCACTCCAAGTTCCTCGTCAGAGGATATTTTGGATCTACATACAACGGCAATGAGAAGCCAGCTGCTGAAAATTCCTCTACTTGCACCGAGACCCTTTGCATCGGTGCTTCAAATGGGACCAATGGGGAATGCGTTGATTCCAGAGGGGAGTGGCTCCTGCTCAGGCTTGGCGCGTTCAACGTGTTAGCCTCATAAATCGTAGAGCAACGAGGATGGTACCTGAGAATCAGACATGTCGAAGCTCATGTCTGGGTTATCTGAATGATTTAGTATGCGAAGTACGTTATGAAATTGACAATGCTTCTAAAGCTAAGATATCTGTAATTTAACTGACAAAACACCCCGTTCATGTGTGCGTGCTTGGCCCATTGATTGATCTACACCATCGCAATTCTACCATCAAGGGCCGGAGAAATCGCACTATCATCCGGCTACATGTGGAGCCCAGAAGCGCAAAGACTCCCAATTCCATCAGATGATTCCGCACTGCAATGAAAAGGCCCCCAGCACGGCACAGATGAGGCCGACGCAGCCATGCACAGATGGTTCTCTCCCGAGCATTCGTGAATCCTTGGACGTGACTCTTCTCGGCAGTTTTGAAGCCGGCTAAGCGCCTCCAGAACAATCTTGTAGATTCGCTCACCCTCCTCCGGTCCAACAACCACTTCCACCTCACCTGCGACGAGAGACGTGTACCCGTCCTTTCCACGCAGCATGTAATCCCGAGTAGCCAGCGAATACGTCGCGTCCAGATCAATCGGCCTCCCACCAATGCGCGCGGACCTCACTCGCTGCAACGGTGGCATCGACGCGTCGAAGTCGAACATGATGCCCGACACCTGCGGAAAGCGGCCCTCCAGCGCGGGATACAAGCTGACCGAATTCTCGAGCGCCGCCCAGATGGCACGTCCACTCGCGCGGACAACAACCGTCGGATCCTCAAACGGCAAGCTGGACGAGCGTAAATAAGCAAAAAGCCCTGTGTGCATGAATGGTTGGGAAGAAGCACTCACCAATTCCGGATGTCCCTCATCGTGAGCACACCCGCCGGATACACCTGATCCCCGCGGATCGTGCCGGAGCTGATGATGCAGCACTCGGCCCCGTACGCCTCGCGCATAGCGTCGGCGATGAAATTCCCCATGTTGCTCTCCCTGCGCCTCACCGTCGTGAAGCGCGCATCCAGATCCACCACCGTCGCCCCCACCGGCGTCTCCAACTGCGTCCGCAGCGCCGCCGACACGGCGTCGACCCAGGCGCGCGTGGACGCGTCTTCGGGAACGTCGGCCGTCACGTCTTCGCGCGCAACCTTGATGTCCCACAGACACGATGTCGATCTCCCCTCTCCGACTGCGGCGGCGGTGCAGTCGCGGCGCGGACTCCTCCTCCCCTGACAAGAACGACGCCACCGCCGCCGCCGCACCTCGATGTAGCTCAGCTGCTTGAAGTCGGTGCCGCTGCGCACGATGCGCACGCCGTTGACGACGGTGTCGCTGTAGAAGTGGTCGTGCCCCGCGAGGATCAGGTCGATCAGGCCGGCGCCGCATTCCTGCGCCAGCCGCACGTCGTTGGGCTCCCGCTGGTGCGTCAGCGCGACGATGAAGTCGGCCCCCCGCGCCTTGAGCCCCGGCACCAGCTCCGCCGCCGTCTCCGACGCTGAGCGGAACTCGAGGTTGGGGGGCAGGACGTTGACCGTCGCGAGCCATTCGCGCTCGACGAGCCCGATCAGCCCGACGCTGAGGCCGTTGGGGAGGGTGACGAGCGCCGTTTTTTGGCAGTTGCCCAGCGGGACCGAGGGCCCCAGGGCGGGGTCGAGCACGTTGGCGCAGAGCCAGGGGAAGGTGCAGTTTTGGGAGAGGCGTTGGAAGTGCGGGACGCCGAAGTCGAGTTCGTGGTTCTGGGAGTGCGGGGGTTAGTGGGTGCTGTGGTGAGGGAGTGGTGGATGAGGGAGAGGGGGTGGATGTACGCCCAGGCATGCGAAGTTGACCCCGATGTTGTTCAGCGCTTCGACCATGTGTTCCCCTGTTTTGAGTCAGTTTTGAGGTGGGAGGGGGTTATCGTGGTGGCTCACCTTTGGTGAAGATGCTTTCCAGGCTGGGGTTGAGAGCGTCCCCTGAGAACAGAGTCAAGACAGGGGGTTGGCCTTCATGCTTTGCACTGTGTTTCTTGAGCACGGTTTGGAACCTGGAGATACCTCCGACTGGCTCCCTCGTATCGGGTTGGATGTTGTATACATCGTTGAAGTGGATTATTCTCAAGTCGGGTTGCAGATGGGGAGCTCGAACGGATGTTCCGCTGGCCAAAAGTCTTCCAGGCATGGCTTTCGATGTGAACTGATGAAGTGGGATGAACGGATGTAGATACTGAGGGGAATAAACCTGAGAGTCTATTCTATATAGTATTTTATCCCCGCCATTTGGTTCTCTGAGTTGAGCTACATGTCTACACTGGAGGCTTTTGCCGATAGGACAACGGAAAATGTATCACCAAAGACTATGATAAACTCAAATTGTCACATCGTTATCAGTAAGCCATGCTTGTGAATGAATCCTTCCGACGCCTCCAGCATGTCTCAAATCCTTTGCTGCGATGCGGGTACGTTGCGGAGCATGGAGAATAGCTAGCTTCTTCAGGAAATTTCCATATCGGGCAATTTGAGCCGTTGGTAATTCAACACTTTTACAGAAACTGGCCTTACAAGCTCACTGCAGGCTTCTAGATTGTTTAGGCGACCATAAGCTTCACTCTTCTCAGCTCTGCATGCAGCGCCGGAGCGGAGCTGCTGCTGAGTAGGTATGAAGCTGTTGGAATTGAAACTAGTCACGGCGTATCCCACACATATTGGCCGCCGCCCTCATGATCGGAAAGCCCGAATATGCAGAAGTCAAATGAGACCTGAATCCTTCGTGGCAAATTGCGCAACATCAGCCCGGCCAGGCCACGGGGAGCCCAAAGGAGCTGAGTCAAGTGGGCCTTATAGCGTGGCTATGTGTAGCCGAGGTCATTATTTGAATTGAACCTTCCTAATGTGAGACCCTGCGCAAAATTCTCACCCACAGGACTCCAGACCGCTGCCACTTGGCATGCAGGGAAAACAGATGCAAGCCTCACGGCAAACAGGCACGATCGGACACTCCCGCAAGCCTTTCCGCCGCGCCGCACGCATATCACTGGGAATAAGCTGACTGGTGGCAAATCTTACGCCGTTACACGAGAAGGATTGCCGGATGAGTAGTCGGGAACTGAGGCACTTTCTCACCCAATAGTTTAACGCCCGCTAAAATTTGTTCTTCGAGAAACCCATACCGAGGCTGTCCGCATCCACTCCGCATTAGCCGGCAGAGCTGCAGACGGAAGGATTGCGACGCATATGGGGGCGGACTCGGGGGGAAAAACAGCCCCCAACTTCTTGACTGACCAGCCGCAGCACGGCAAGAGTCTAGGCTTCCTTCAAACTTGATGCATGCGGCAAATCAGTGGCTGTTACTCGCTAGCCATGTTTTGGATCGCCACGGGCGATGTATTGTTGTGAAGCCTTAGGAGGTACCTCCGGTGCATGATTTGACTTGTCAAAATAACAAGGACGGTGACACCATACAGATAGCCCACAGTGGGAAAACGAAGCATCAAGCACATAGCGAAGATTCACGTATCGAATCAAATGGGTAGAGTGAGATAAATGCATCAATTCTCCTAAACCACGCACGAGGGTCACACTACCGCCAGGATCATCCCCTACGGGCAACGCAAACACGCAAGCCATTCTTAGCACACAAAGTAAAACTAGGCTGGAACTCCATCTCGAACCCCGGCTCAAACGACAAGTCGTACCGGCGGAACAGCGTCGCCAACGCGAGCGACATCTGCAGCATGGCGAGTCCTTGGCCTGACGCTTATCAGCTCGCGTCTTACCCAAAAAGGAAACGAAGAAAAAAAACTTACCGAGACAGTTCCTCGGCCCGTACGAGAACGGGAAGTACGAGCCAGGCTTCGGCGCCGCCCGGTCGTCCCCCCACCGGTCCGGATTGAACGTGTTCGCCGTCGGGCCCCACACGTTCGGGTCGCGATGCACTGTATCACATCACGTCAGAAAGTCGCACATGCTACGCATCGCATCACATGGTTGCTTCACGTACCTTGCGGGTTCCACAGCGCGAGCGTCGTGTTGGCGGGCAGCACGACGCCGTCGATTTCCGTGTCGCGCGCGCAGTGCCTGAAGGTACCGAAGCCGGGCCCGTGCATGCGCAGCGTCTCCTTGATGACGCGGTTGAGGTACGGCAGCTTCACCTGCTCGAGCGACGGCGTGATGCAGTCGGCGGGGATGACGGCGTCGAGCTCGGCGCGGAGCTTGGCCAGCACCGTCGGGTTCCGGAGCACTTCGTAGATGGCAAAGGTGATGGTGTGGGCGGTGGGGTCGCCGCCGGCGACGAGGAAGGTGACTGTGGGTGGGGTGTGTGAGTACGGGGATCATGGAGGGCGGGGGGCTGAGCTGACCGTAGTTGTCGACGAGCTCTTTCATGTTGAACATGTATTGGCCGTTGCTGTCGCGTTGTCTGCGTCTGTGAGCATTCGGACTTGGTTGGGACGGTGGCAGCCGCTTACTTGGCGAGGATCTCGAAGATGCGTTTGGCTGGTTTGCTGTCTGGGGTGTCGTTCTTCCGGCAAGTCTGCACCGCACCGTTGGCCATGGATCGAAGCTCGCCGATGGCCGCGTGCATCTCGCGAGTGCTCTTCAACACCGGCATCTTCGCCCGGAGCGGGAAGAGACCGCACTTCATCAGCTCTGGGAGCACGGTCTGGAAGATTTGCATGACGCGGCACTGCTCGCCTTGTTCGATGGCGTGGAGGTCAATTCCGAAGGCGACTTCACCGACAAAGTCCAAGGTAAGCAGGACATTCAGCAGAGAGAAATCAACGACCTGGCCGCTTGACGCCGTGTTGTCGAGGAAGTCGACGTATTGCTGTTGCCGGTCAGCAAATGGCCCAGGGAGGGCCGGGGGGAACAACGCACGGTGAGGTACTTTCTCAAGCTCGGGAACTGCGCGTTGACGACAGCAGGACCGAAGGCGGGCGCTAGGGCTTTCCTCTGTCTGTGCCACCTCGTGTGGTCCATCTGCGCGAACAAGGCATTTCCACTCAAGGGCTTGAAGCCTTCGTACTGCGCCGGTGCCTTGGGCCAGTTCTGGTTGGCGATTTTGGAGACGAGAGAAGGCTCGCCGATGTAGATGGTGCGGTCCCAGGGGCCATTCCACTTCCCATCATCGTCAGTTTGGTCAGTGCTGGAATGGTGTAGCAATCCACTCACCGTCTGGAAGACGGAGCCGTATTGGATGTGCCATCTGCGCCACTTCTCGTGGATATCGTCTGCCATGGTTTGGTCCAGATTCCCTGTCCAGAAGGACTTGACGGGTGGACCAGGGAACTGCCTCAAGGCTTTGCGATACCTGTACAGGAAGCGCACTGCCAGAAACAATCCCAAGGCCACGAGAGCAGCGGACACCTTGAGAAACAGAGAGCCATGGTGCGGCTCTTGCTGGAAGATGGAGGGGACCTTGGCAGCCATAGTGAAAGACAAGATTCGGGGTAATGAGAATTTCAAAATCAGTCTATTGCAAGCAGTGATGGTGAGCGCGGCGGATGATATATCACTCTCTCATTCTACGCCTTTTTTTTTTTTTCACTCGGTCTCCCGAAGGATTGCGGATCCACTGCGTGCCCATGGAAGGCGTCTTTGCTCCGCAGCTACGGAGACGGCAAGACGCCAAGATATCCCGTGTGCCACGCAGGAGATGTGCCTACGCTGACAATAATCCTGAGGAGGGGGAAGAAAAGCGCCATGGAGGTCGGTGAATACCACCATGTTGTGGAGTAAGACTTCACGGTAGCCACATCGCGAATGTACCTCCTGTGGACCCTTGGTTTCTGTATACGAGCGGCGTAATATCAAGCCGGTTGGTGGCTGGGTGGTTTGGTGTTTTCCATTGGATTGGAGGTCCACGATACGGTCCAGACCAGTGCTTCAAGGGTAAGCAGGCATACGATAATTCTCCGTCAGGGATTTTTCGGGGGTGGGATTTCACAGGGGTGGATGCCGACGGCGTGTGGCGAGGCCCCTGCATAACGCTGTGGCACAACGAAAGGTCTAGCCAGCCCCGCGGTCCGGGCCGCCCCTGGGGCCACGGCCGCCGACGGCGAAGGACGCCACGGACTACCCCGAAGTGCGGACTACCATGCCATGTCCGTAGGCGCCCAGCGCAGTGGCAAAGCTTACCGCTTACCTTTGCCGATTATGTGTGTGCTTTACTGCACTTGCCCCATGTAGAAGGTCGAATCGCACTACTTATCTTGGCCCCCACTAGTCCTCTTCTCCGTTTTTTTTTTCTCTCGCTTAACCTTGTTGCAGATAGCCGGTGGGGTACCTAGATCTCGCTTTGCTCTCAGCTCTACCCACTTCATTCACTTGCATCTACACTTCCTCTTAACTTTTCCCGCTGTGATTTCCCGCTGCCATGAAGGAAGAGACGCACGAAGCCATAGCGACAGATGGCGTTGACGATGCTGCCATCGATGCGGGCGAGCCAGAAGAGGGAGGGCTTCGTGCATGGCTCACCGTCGTCGGCTCGGCGCTAGTCTACTTTGCTTCATTCGGTTTCATGAACAGCTTTGGTTATTTCCAAGACTACTATCAAGCTGGTTACCTGTCCAACTACTCTTCCTCTACCATTGCCTTCATCGGCACCCTCCAGATCTCCCTCATGTACGTCGTGGGTCCTGTTGCAGGCGCCCTTTTCGATGCCTATGGGCTGAAGGTAATCCACTCGCCATATGTACACAAAGGACCTCTGGTTAATTCAATGCAGTGGCTCTATCCGGCCGCAGCTCTGGGCTGCTGCGGCTCCCTCATCGGCCTTTCTTTCTCGCAGCCGGGGGCCATATGGCAACAGTTTCTCTCCCAAGTAAGCCACACCAGCGCCGACAAATCCAACTCCCCCCTCTAACCAGTCCAGGGTGTCCTCTTCGGCCTGACGGTGGCATTTGGCGTCCAGCCCGCCCTCGCCGCAGCCGGCCAACACTTCAAACAACGCCGGGCTCTGGCCATGGGCGTAGTCGCCGGTGGCAGCAGCATCGGCGGCGTCTGCCTGCCCATCATGTTCTCGCGCATCGTCCCAAAGATCGGCTTCGGCTGGTCGGTCAGAGTCGCCGCGCTGATCTTCCTGTGCTGCTACCTGGCCGCCATCTGCATTTCACGGGCCAAGCCCGTTCCCAAGAAAGCCCAAACCGCCGCCGCCGCGGTTTCAAACGGCAACCTCCTCGACTTCAACGGCTTCAAGGATCCCAGATATCTTACGTTGGCAGTCGGAAGCTTCGTCGCCAGCCTGGGCTTGTACGTCCCATACTACTACATCGGTAAGCCGACTCGCCCTTCCCCGCCCATCCCCGCTAACCACCACACCCATCAGAATCCTACACCGTCCTCGCCCACCCCACTGCCCACATCCACGCCTACCTCCTCCCCCTCATAAACGGATCCTCCTTCTTCGGCCGCATCCTCGGCGGCCTCCTCGCCGACCGCGTCGGCCGCCTCAACCTCCTCTACCCGATGACCATCGTCTCGGGCGTGTTCTGCCTCGCCATGTGGCTGCCGAGCTCCAACGTCGCCACCATCATCGCCTTCGTCTGCCTGTACGGCTTCACGTCGGGCATATTCATCAGCGTGACCCCCGCCGTCGTGGCCCAGATTTCGCCCGACGACCGCATCGGGGCCCGGATCGGGGCCTTTTTTACATTGGCGGCGGTGGCGACGTTGGTGGGGACCCCGATTGCGGGGACCTTGGTGAGGGGCGAGGGCGGCGAGGAGCGGTATCGCGGGTTGATATTGTTTGCCGGGCTGACGCTGACGGTTGGCGGGGTTCTCTTACTTTTTGCGAGGGTCTTAAGTGAGAGGGATTTACGGAGGAAGTGGTAGGACGGATGGGATGCACGGCGGGGGTTTAATGGGGGGTTGGTGGTTGTGGAAAGGACGCTATTAAGATGGAAATGTGCTCGTGATCGTCAATTTATGTTTTTCAAGCACTAGGCAACGTTTCTGTTTCGATGCGGGGTTTGGCTGCTGCCTGATTATCCATTCTTGACGCCACACGTCTCCGCGCACGTACTCGTTCCATACGGAATCACCATCTGTGAACCCCTGCTGTGAGCCACTAGCTTTTCCCAAAACGGCCGCTGCAGTCACAATTGGCAAGCTGAGAGTCTGCTTGTTCCTCTATCTCACTGTGATCGCTTTCGCTGACAGGAAGCCCGAAAAACGTAACCTGAGAGTCTCTTTCCATGACTACGTCAAGGAACCACCCACCACTCAAACCTTCTCCTGCCTCAGGCGCATCCTCACCTCCAGACCCTTGTTATACGCCACACCTCCAGCAACGACGTACCTCCCTTCCTTCACCAACTCCAAGTCAAACCTCCTCACAATCTGCATCAAATCAGCATCTCACACCCTCGCCAGCACATCGACGCACAAGCACTCACCTCAGGCAACAACTTCCACATCTCCAACACCGCCACATCCTTCCCCAAGCACACCCTCGGCCCCACCCCAAACACAAAACTCGCCGCCTCCATCTCCGCCACCCTCCTCCTCCCCTCCTCATCCCCCTCTCCCACCACCCACCTCTCCGGCCGGTAACTCTCCGGATCCGGCCCATACAGCCTCGGATCCCTCTGCACAACATACGCATGACACGTCACCTCCGCCCCCGCCGGCACCAGCACCCCTTCCGCACTACTACTACTACTACTACCACCACCAGTCACCGACAGCACCCTGCCGCCTTCCGGCACCACCCGCGCGAAGAGGTTCGTCGCCGGCGGGTTGAGCCGCAGCGACTCTTTGATGCACGCCACGAAGTACGGCAGATGTCGGCGCGTCTCGTCGTACTGGATGGGAGACGAGAGCGTCGACGCGGCGGTCGCGAGCTCGGCGCGGCAGCGGGCCAGGCAGCGCGGGTGCGTGAGGAGGAAGCGCAGCGTGCTGCCGAGGGCGGTGCCGGTGGTGTCGGCGCCGGCTTGGATGAGGAGCGTGATGTGCGCGCGTTTTTGGAGGGGGGTGAGCGGCGCGGCGGTCGTGGGGTGGCGCGCCGTGAGGCAGCTGGGGGGTGGATTGGTGGTTGGCAGGCGGTCGCGTCTCGAGGGGGAGAAATAGAGGGAGGGGGGTGGAGCGGGCAATGGATATATAGGTACTCACTGCTGCAGGAAATCCGGCTTCTGCTGCGTGAAGCCTTCGTCCTCGATGCGCCGCTCCCGCTCCGAGACCTGCTTGTCCGCCTGGCTCATCAGGAACCCCATTCCCGAGTCGTCGCTCACCGTCGGCAGGAAGTATAGCCCCCACCGCGTCTTCATCACCACGTCGCGGAACCACCGGAATCGCCCGACGAAGCCGAAGAAGTCGAGGCCGTCGCGCCAGCTCCGTAGCATGTTGCGCTCGTCGCGGCTGTTGCGGACGAAGCCCCAGGGCTCGCTGAAGGAAAGCATCGTCATGATGTCGGCGGCGAATTCGCTATGGTGCGGCATCTCGTCAGCGGGGATGGAGCGGGGGCGGGAAGGGGTGTCGTACGCTACTTTGTCCGAGATGATCACCGTTTCGTTCTTCTCTACTCGCTCGGTCATCCGGCGGATGAAGAGTTGGACGAGCTCGTCGATTCTTGGCTCCCACGCATTCTTCAGCCCTCCGATAGTCCACTGCAGTACCGCCTGTTCAGACCTCTGTTTGAAAGTTCAATCGGAGTGTGTTGTTTACCTGCGAGCCTCCGAGCGCTTTCCTCAGCGCCCTATGCTCTTCTCCGTCAAGAGTGGTGAACAAGTGCGGGGGCCCCAATGCGCCGGTTCCGTAGAGCGGGGCTTTGGTGTTACATTTCGCATCCCAGTATATTTCCTTGACGGCAGAGGACATTGGAAAGAGTAGCAGATTCGGTGCGATGCGGATTGGTTTGTCGGCTTCAGCCAGACAAGAAGCGGTTAGCATTGGATGGCGTATCCTTTTGTTTGAGGGAGAACAAACTTCCATAGCGTTTAGTCAAGGACATGAGCCATTGTGGTTCGAGGCGCAGCACCGAGATAATGGCTGAGCACAGCGAAAATGACGCCGCGTACCACGGTCCGTGGAATTTTGCCAATGGATGGAAGTAGAGGTTGAAGAATATGCGGAGGACCAGTGATGATGCTATCAATATGCCTACCAATGAGGAAATAGTGGTCATGGGAAGCTCAACGATATTTCCAAGTGCCATTCTAGCACTTTCTGTTTCTCACGCAATGGAGACGGCCGCAATCTCTGGCGCGAGCTGGATGATGAGCTGCGACGTTGACCTACTAAAGAAGGGTCGAGAGCGCTCGAAAGCAACTTCAAGCTGCCGTTCGTAGCTACTAAAACAATATAGCCGATGATTGTATGCCCCTGGTCGGGACATGGATCATGGTGGGGGCTAACGCGGGCTGCGCGGGGCAGAGCGGCGCAGTGCCATGTCGCTACTGGCTAACGTCGTCCTACCAGTTACTCCGGGTATTTAGCATTGGACTATTAGCCTGCAACGCCATCGTGTAGGGCTTAGCTTCAACGATTTGGCTTTATGGGAACCTCAGTAGTCTGCATCCATCAGCCCAGTTTTGCAAACAGCGAGTGGCGTAGACCTTGGCAGACGTAGAACAACCCAATAATTAATATGGCGGTGACTCTAGTGCTGACATCTGCCTCCGATCCCTACTGGTTTGCTCCGCACATAGGTCAGATGAAGATAGTACATACTGCTGATTGTGTCCAAAAAGAAGAGATAGATCATGCAGTCAGCGAAAAGAGAGGGATCATATCAGATGTTCCTCGCACAACCAGATTTTTCATTGGCTCGAAAATCGTGCGTATGCGGTGCAAACTTGGTATGTCGTCGAATCAAGATTTGTTTCGGAGCAACGACCGTTCAGGGTGTCGTCCACGTGGCGCAGCATGAGCTCGGGAACGTCGCCAAGGGCCATGACGTTGGTTTCCTTGGCTTTGGTTTCCTCCAATCTCCGCTCTACCGCAATGGTCAGGAGTATGGCTTCTGCTATGATCTTAATCGGGAAAGTCCCTGGCTCTTGTGAAGCGTCCTTTTGTAGCCGGGTTTCCGCCCAGGAATTGAGCTAAGAATACCCTTGAACACCTGGCGTGCAGCTACCACCCTACAAAGCCCGTCACGTTCAATAAAATTGGTATTAGGTATCCTTTTACTTGGATATGCGCTCCACGCTCGTAGTCGCTGCAGTCTGGTCAGACTCTTTCTCCAGCCAATGCAAACTCTGTCAGTGTTCTGGAAACAGCCACAACGGACAGAAGGGATGAGTTCTCCACAACCAGGAGCGCCAAGCACCCCTTAGAAAGAGTTTTCGCCTACTGATATTGCGAGTTTTTTCCAGATTTCAACAACAACGCCTTCACTCAGTAGATATCTCGGTCTTAATAGCGTAGTTGTTGAACCTCAAGATGCCCACAGCGACGATGAATCAAGATACACGTTCGGTTGCCCAAGGGCGTCTTCGCCATTGGAAAGCCGAATGAGCTGCTACGCAAAGCACGTTGACCACGATCCAGCCACGATCCCAACTGTTTTCCCCTCCTTGACTATTGTATGTAAGTGGTCAGAAACTTGTTAGAACAGCAGTAAGGTAAGGAGTCTTATCCACGGGCATCGTCATGTCCGTCTATGAGTAAAAGTGATGTGCCGCCATGCAGTGAGACAATGGTAGAAATCTTTCCGTGCCCAATCCACATGACCAAATGTACGAATCGGTCGCAGGGCCTCTCTTTAGCCCTCGAATACCGGACGTGTGTTGGTATGGAGCCCTCGCACAACTTCGAAGTGATCATGCCGTCGCGAAAGTGCAGGGTTCGTGGCTCCGTGAACAACTCTTGATACACCTATCCGAAAACCTGCTCAAACCTACAGGTGATATTGTCTGGAGAAAGTAGACAAGTGCGTTCTGCTTCAGCTATCGCAGGGAGTGCTGGCGAATTCGCTGATCTAATGTGAAGTGATTACTGAATGTAAAGATATCAGTATGCTCAGCACCGCTCCAGGAGCTGTGTTATATCAAGGTCGTCATTAGCCCTGATAAGTAATAGACCGAACACATAGGACGCGATGTGATTGTTCAAGAAGTAAAGGGAAGCCGTCACCGGAAAATTATGGGTTCTCATCGTGTGCAAAAACCGCGCGCTATAGAGACGACGAATCGGACAGGGATCCGGAAGGCTGGGAGTGTTCTTGCACGGTACCATCTTTCGCCGTCAGATCAATTTCTGAGCGGAAAGTAGTTGAGAGGTAAGACCCTTAAATGAGCCTTGTTGATTTAACCTCTACTTCGCGCTGGCAGGTGAGATCCCCTGCGGGTCAATGCATAAACCCGATCTCTCCGACGGTCCGCCCTTGCCGGTTTCGCGTGCGTACCACGTGCTGGACCATACGCCCCTCACCAACATAGTACTATGAGATGTTTGATGGGAAAGGAAACTGATGGATGATCGATTCTATCGTTGGCTGAGGCATGGGGAGTATTGGTATTGAGAGGTCTACTCCCAACACGAGTGCGGATTCGAGCAGCTGGCACATCGGTTAGTATATACCTAAGATGCGACCTGTCAAGACACAAGCGTTCTATCCTGGCTGGCGGCTGGCGGCACGGATACCAACACCCTTTTGTTTTGCGTACGGCGAGAGCCGGCTTGGCCAAACAAAGCGAGAAGGAAGTAGAAACACCCCGGGACATTGCAATCATGGATAGGGGATTTCTCCCACGAGCCGGCTCACGGTCGGTGGTTGAATAAATCCGAAGCACTAGCCCAAAGCAGACCACGAGCTACACCTGCACAACGACGGCCACAAACGGCGGCTACCTACCTTTTCCGAAAATTGGGCCCCATGCCCCGCCTGGTAGGTTCCGGGTTGGTCCGCAATGCCAAGATGCACCCCTCGAAATATATTGAAGGGTGCCTGTGCCACTTGCCCCGTTCGGCACATGAAACATGTTCTGCGTACGCGGGCCGGGGAGAGAGATAGCGAGCACGGCTTGCTTGCCCACCATCGAGCGTCCTTTGACGCGGAAAACATGGCTTGGCTTGATGAGGGGCGTCGGAAATAGCGCGCTGTGGATTCCGCCCACCGTCAGGAGTGCATGTATAGAGGGCGGCGCGTCCCGAGTTAGAGATTTCATCTACCAGTCTATTCAATTTTTTTTTTTTGATCCCTTCAGTTGCAAGAATGCTTCGCTCGCTTATTACCACCGCCTGCCTGGCCGCGCTGGCCACGGCCCAGAGCAATGTTGTCGGTTCCGCTGTCGGTTTCGCTGCTGGTGTGACGGGAGGCGGCGATGCCACGCCGGCCGTGCCTGCTGATATCGACGAGCTTACCAGCTGGCTCACTGATGACGAGCCTCGGGTCATTCTTTTGGACAAGGAGTACGACTTCACGGGGTCCGAGGGCACGAAGACCGAGGATGGCTGCCGTCCGGACAGCAACACTTGCGGCGTGAGCACCCGAGCCAGCAAAGCGGCACAAAGACTTGCAGCTAACAGTTTCCACAGAGCAGCGGGCAAGACGCGCTGAACGGACCTGACTGGTGCAGCGACAGCTACCCCACAGTGTCGGTCACTTACGACGTGGCGGCGACCAACCCGATCGACGTCAAGTCCAACAAGTCGATCGTAGGTGTCGGCGAGGCGGGGGTGATCCGCGGCAAGGGGTTTCGGTTCGTCAGCGGGGCTCAGAACATCATCTTCCAGAACGTGCACGTCACGGAGCTCAACCCGCAGTACATCTGGGGCGGCGACGCGTTCCAGATGGCGGGCAGCGATCTGATCTGGCTGGACCACGTCAAGATCTCGCTCGTGGGGCGGCAGATGCTCGTGACGGGCTACGAGACGGCGGGGCGGGTGACGATCAGCAACTCGGAGCTGGACGGGCAGACGTCGTGGAGCGCGTCGTGCAACGGCGAGCACTACTGGACGATGCTGCTCCTGGGCGACGGCGACCAGATCACGTTTGCCAACAACTACGTGCACGACACGTCGGGGCGGTCGCCCAAGGTGGGCGACAAGGTCACGCTGCACGCGGTCAACAACTACTTCCAGACCAACCAGGGCCACAACTTCGACGTCTCGGACGGGGCGCAGATGCTCGTCGAGGGCAACGTCTTCGAGGACTGCAAGGCGCCCATGAACATCGCCGTCACCGGCGGCGTCTTCAGCGTGCCCGACAGCAGCGCGGCGGCCCAGTGCTCGAGCGCCCTCGGCCGCGACTGCCAGCTCAACCAGCTCACCGACTCGGGCGACTTTGGCAGCTTCACCGACACCACCGTCGTCGACTCCATCGGCGCCGCCGACTCGGTCTGGGAGGCCATCGCGGCTTCTGAAGTCGCCTCCACCGTCGTCGCTGGCGCCGGCATCGGCAAGATCTCTTCCTAGTCGACCGAGAAGGCTGCTGCTGCTGTTGCTTGTTTTTTAAATAACTTTGTTGCGTCAAATGATAGATCTGTATTCAACACTTACAAATTGCGGCCGTGGCAATCATGGCGAAGACCTTTATGGAGCTGGTAGTGGTTTAAATTTCGTGTTTGAAACCCGGTGGAATGTTTGCTTGTAGCTGTCCATCTTCCCCGATGTAGTCGATTGACATGACATGGTATGCCATGTGCACAGCCAACGCTTACATACTTGGCCGGTGTTGCGCTTCTGGTGCCGTTGCGTGGGGCGGTCCCGCGTGGTGGCGTGGAGAGGGTGCGTGCTGTGTGTTGCGGTCGAGGGTGTCGTGTCTGTAGGAGGGAAAACTTGGGGTTCTTTTTTTGTTTGAGTCGGGGTCGTTGTTTGTTCCGCAGTTTTACCCATCACCACGCCGGGCTAATGCATTGCGGTGGAGGAGCGGTTGGATACGGATCTAATCAATATTTGCAACCAAACACAAAACCTATGGCGTCGTCGCCTGTTGAAGAGAGCAGCGGTAAATCAGCCGTCCAAAGCGTCCCCCCATCGACCTGCTGCAATGGGCCTGTGACGTCGAGTCACCATACGAATCCCTACACCCCTAAGCTACAGTTTCGTCTTCGGCACTTTCAACTCGATTTCGTCCACCAACTTTGCCACCTCTCGAGCCAGCCCGAAGCTGTAAACATAGCCACCTCCGGGTGCACCTGTGACGGAAATGTCAGCCGCTTCACTGGCCAGTGTCTGCAACGAAACTCACCGTATGCGTGAACCACCGTTTGGCCGTCAAGCTCTTCTTTCTCGACGCGAACCCCAGTCTTCCGTTGAGGCCGGATCCCCACAATGTCCCGAACGACGTCAAATTCCGATGGCTTTTCCGGGAAGACATTGGGCAGACCCTCATGCACACGCCGGAGAATCTGTGTACACGCCTTCTGTCAGCACGACCAGAGCCTATCTAAGCACAAGGCTTTGCACCCTTACGTCGTCTCTGAGACTGGAATCCACCGAAGTGTCGCTGCACACTATAATCAGCACAGCTGCGTAGTACCACGATGGCTGTCAAAACTCACGTATTCCCATACTGCTTGATACCACCCAGAACGGCCGTTCCATCGCCTCTGGGTATGACATACGTATAGTCCTTCCCCCTCCGAGTCCAGACTTTGTCGTAGTCAGTCCTCACGAGCACCGTCTGGCCACGAACCTGCTCGACATCCTGATCCGCCACGTCTCCCAGAAACCTCGCTCCCCACCCCGCAGCGTTGATCAGGACATCATGTCCCATCCCCTTCAAATCCGCCAACGACCGAACGTTCGCGCGCTTAAACGCCACCCCAGCCGCCTCGAGCCGCTCCCGCAACCACGACAGAAACACCGTCGGCGTCAGCACCCAACTCATGTAGCACATCCCCCGCGCCACGCCCTCCGGCAGCTCGTCCCCGTCCATGACGCGGAACCCCGGCATCCTCCCATAATACCACACGTCCTCCAGCCGCCTGTCGTCGTCGTCGTCGTCCCACAGATCGTGCATCTCAACCCTCTTCACGCTGCTCTCCGGCGCCGCCACCGCAATCTTCCACATGTGCGCGAAGCCGTCCCGCTGCATCTGCTGCTCCCGCGCCGGCGACCCGTCCATGCCCAGCCAGGTGGCGCCTGCGAACGGGCTGGCCCACGTCGGGGAGGAGGGGTGGTCGCCGGGCAGGTCGCGCGCGACGATGGTGATGGCGTGCGTTTTTGGCAGCTGTGCGGCGATGGAGAGGCCGGCGATGCTGTCGGGGAGGGGGGGTCAGTGGTGGGGTGGGTGGGGGGGTTGGTGTTGCTGGAGCTGCTTACCCGGCGCCGAGGATTGTGATTTTGGTCATGGTGGTTGGCGTCGGGAGGGTTGGCTTGATGATGGGGTCTACTGCCGCTGGTGGGTTTGGGTTTGGGGAGACGGGGCTTTTCTCCTGTCGGCAGCTGTCGCGGCGCCGGTGATTTCTACCCTTCGTCGTGGATGCAGGACCAATTGCAGTCCTGTCCGCTTTCCCCCTCCATCATCATACCACTGATCTACATACGTTCAAGGTACTCGATGCTCATGGTGGGGTGGATGGACGTGCTGGCCAATGACAGATGCGTGTCGTGCAGCCCCAACGTCGGTCGCTCTGCATGGGTTGCCGAGACCCGCATGTCCCTATCTCGCGTGTACCATCCTTCCTTTGCTTGGTTCGATGGGTATATCGGAGGACCCTTCGTAGGGTTTAAATACCGTTGGATGTTGTTCACTCATCAAGATCCATGCTTCAGGCAAAGTTACTGAGCTATGCACAGTACAACACACCCGCGGGTTTTATACTCCAAGATGCCAGTGGTGATATATAGTTCCGTAGATTTGCATTATCCACATAAGATCCAATTCATCATTACGTCACCAAGTTGAGTTTATCCATATTTCCTCCTATATGCTTACTCTAGATGATAGACCTGGGTTACAGCCTTCCCAAAACGTGAGACTGCCTCAGCAATGTTATCGAGAGAAGCGGCCGCAAAGGTGATTCGGAAAAAGATGTCACCATCCGTCCTTCCACTTGGTACATGAAACCAACTCCCTCGCGCCACAAGGGCCCCTTGCTTGATACTCTCAAGCCATATCTCCTCTTCTATTTCTTCCATAGTTTTAGTCCCAGCTTGAGGATGGCTGCTACCCTTCACTCTCAGCCATTGCTACACTCAGAAGTCAATACGTTGACACCAGCATCATGGGCGGTACTTTTTCTGCACTTACAAACATGCCTGCTTGAGCAGGTTTCCAGCTCACAACCCTTCGAGGAAGATACCGCTCGCAAGCGGCCAGAGTGAAGTTCCGACGCCTTGTGTACTCCCTACGGATATGGAGCAACCAGTCCAGATAGCCAGCATGGCCCCATTGCTCGTCAAGAAGTTTGAAAAGGGCCAACTGGCTCAGGCCGGCTGGGCTTTGGGTTGAGGTATCAGCGTGGTGCTTGTATTGTTCCACGATTTGTTGGGAGGCAGTGATCCAGCCAACCCGAGCACCGGGACAGATGACTTTACTGAACGAGTCCATGCGGACAACTCGTCCATCTGTGTCCATGCTGAGGTAGGATGGGACTACCATCTCGAGCACTTGGTCGGATGGGTGGCACTCCATCGGAACCACAACGTCTTCCTCTGCAGTGACGAAGGGGTCTAGTTGAAGAAAGTAGTACGGGTCGTCCTCCAAGATGATCAAGTCATATTTTTGGGCCACGCAGTAAATATTCCGGCGACGCTGAACGCTTTGAGTAGTGCCTGTGGGATTCTGGCCGGTCGGGACCGTGTAGAGCAGGAAGGGTCTGGGCGAACCTCCTCGTGCTGTTGCATCCCAATTCTCGAGTGTGTCCCACAGGCTATCTGGAATCATGCCCTGGTCGTCCATTTCCACTCCCACAAAGCTGATTCCCATTGGCGTTGCGGTTTCGACGGCGGTGGCAAAGGTGTAGTCGTCTGATAGGACACAATCTCCCCTGTGAGCGAACATTCGCAAAGCCATGTCCAACGCAGAGGTATTGCCAATGGTCATGGTGCACTGCCAGTCGGCGTACGGGGGGTCATGAACCATCTCGGTGTGCTCGGTGATCCAGCGGAGCAACTGGGCTGAACCACTCCCTTGACTGTAGTTCAAAGCAACGGTGAGATCGTAAATGCTGAGCCCATCTGACATGTCATGCTTAGTGGATTGAAGGTGAGCGTTTTCATGTCCGTTGGGGCTGTTGAGAGATAGCACACCCAAGTCCATGCTCTCGAAGGGAAAGTATTCGCTCAAGGGAAGGCCGCCTCCCAGTGATATAACGTCTGTATTGCGAAGGTGCTTGAAGGCATTCTTGAGGGAGGATCCTGTCCGACTTGCCGACTCACGGCTTAAACGATCTGAATGGTCAAATCAGCGGTCTGTAAAACCAAATTGGAGGGAAAGCTCTCACGGTCCCACTTGAGAGACAACGGCTTATGCTGGTGAGAACGAGTCTTGAAGATATCGCTGGTACATGGCGCCGCAACTCCCCATTGAGTCTCACTGACTTCCTTGCGCTGGAGCAGAGTCTTGGGTGTCATTTTTGGGGACAATGGGAATGGAAAAGACAAGGAGGATGTCGAGGTATCTCGCTCGACCATTGAAAAGGCCTTCAGGTTAGCATTTATCGGGTAGAATTGCGTAGCAGATGGGCGGTTTGCCCTGGGTACCTCAGCACCCAGCCTTCAACCAATCGGAGTTTGACTTCTCAACCGGAGCTATCGGAGTGAGACCGGAGTGAGACTCGATCGGATCGGCGAAAACGGAGTCTGGGATGACTCATCTCGGCGACAAATGTCCTCCTAGCACTCGGCCAACTCTACAGCCGTAACACAGACAAGAATGAATGTCCGACTCGCCGCTTGTGAGCCATGCCGGCGCGCAAAGCTTGCGTGTGGTCACGAAAAACCCACATGCGCACGGTGCCAGGATCGTCAGCAGGCTGGTAGCTGTGTTTACAGAAACCAGCCTTTCAAACGACGGAAACTACAGCGCGACCGTCCCCTGTAAGCTTCCGTGGTAATTTGGTTTCTATTTGCATATAACCAATATGTCACAGCGCCAGGGCATCAACTGAGAGGTCCACGTCAAGTGCCTCGCCACAACCACGTTACTATCCAAACCCGGGCTTCCTCGGGTCCTCAAGCCATTCCGCCATTTTCAACCAGGTGACTTCGTTCGACTTGCGCACTTCAGACTCGGGTCTGCACAATGCTCTACCGTCGCCCATTGCCTCTCCATGCAGGCACGTGCCCAAGAATAAGGTCGTTGTCGAGAGTGCACTCCGGACCTTGAAACAGCTGGGCCGGACCGACCTGTCTCACTTGGTATCTCTGATTCACCTCTGGCTCGGCCAAGGCGTAAATCTACCTCTTGCTGAGCCGTTCGTTGCGCCTGTCGTCGGGGCTATAGCTAAATCCGCAAAGGCGACGTTGCCATCTGATGCCATCAATCAGTCTGAGGATTGGGTCTCTCAGCATGCGAGCCTCTTGGAAAGCACAGACAGACCGATATGCCTACGCGGCGACACCAACGTGAATGACTTCTTCTCACAGCTGCTTGATCATGGCTTACGCTGGGATGTCCTTGGCATCTTTTTCACCGCCGCGAGCAGGGCCACGATAGATACTACGTCCTTTCCTCCGCTTTACACTGGGGAAGCGCAACGTTGGGATCTCATAAAGTCATTGACTTACATAGGAGATTGCTGTCTAGAGACATGTCTTGCAGCCGACCGCTTAGACGATTTGCAAATCGTTTTACAGTACGAGAACTGTGTGGTGCACTCTCAGGTTCACGGGGATCAAAGTAAGTCAGACAACCGCTGTGACTCAGAACACGACTTATTTGCGCCTCGGCACAGGCTATCACTCGTGGAGGAGGATGGGGGATCTTTCAAGCTCACTTTTTGCGCTCGGCTATCACGAAAGGACGGATGGCAACGCCTCAAACATCCCCTTGTACGTTGCAGAGTTGCGGAGAGCCATCTTCGCCAGGATCTACGCCGCCGACAAAAGTCTGGCTATTTTCCTTGGCCGACCACCGAGAATAGTCAAAACGTATTGCAACTTCCAGCTCCCTGCTAACATACCTGGCCTCTGGGACGCTGGATCGGAAACCAGCAACAGCTCACATTCCGCGGCATCCAGTCATGATGGGGACCACGACAACGTGGGGCCACCTGAGCCCATCAACTACACTGCAGATACACGCTACTCTGCCTTGTTCGCCTCCCTCAAGGAGGAAATACTCGAACTATATCGAAACCGCTCCCACGAACATCATGCGGAGAGAACAAAGTGAGTGGCATAGCATCCCAAAAAGACTCTGGCTGACGCTGCCTCCGAAAGCGCTATCCTTTTGAGGATCGAGAAGCAATGGGAAGACATGCCCACACACCTCAAGCTGGATGTAAGCTTGAAACACTGCCACCTCGGACCATTCGAGCGAGACTTCCTTGTTGGCACCCGGCTCGACTACCTGCATATCCTTCTGCTTCTCGGACTTGTCTCTTCAAGGAAAATCACCGAGCCTGACCAGTCACTCCTCACGACTGCCGGCGAAATGCTTTCTCTCGTGGTCGAGATGATCATTCTCCGCCAACGCCTGGTGAATTCCGGCACAAGCATGAATTGGAAGGCACGTCCTGGCTCTCCCCAACACGTCCCCCGCCCGGCATGCTGACTGGGCTGCAGGTCGCGCAATTCGGCCTTCCAGCCGCCGGAGTCATTTCCCTCGCGCTGCTGAACTCGGCCATCAGCAGCGGGATACAGCCCATCGCTCGATCGAAGATGGTGCAGGACTTGAGCGTACTCGTCGCCGAGATCCGGACTGGAGTGCTGATTCAGGCGGGGGAGCCGAATTTTGCACTCTTCACTCAGGCGACTCGGACTATACAAAGCCTGCTCGACTCTTTAATGGTGTGGCGATCGCCGCCGGGCCCGCTGTATCCGCAGCCGGATGCGAGCGCCGAGTTTCTGGAGGATTGGAATACTGGAATCGATTTTGATCCGTGGGAGTTTGAACAGGACTTCTGGGCTGGGCTGGCCGGACATCCGACTTTGCTCCAAGAGAAGTGATATCGGTATTCCACTTGTGCTTTGGATATCGGAACCAATGCAGAGAACCGGCAAGGGAGTTACTGAAGAAAAACAGTGGGATTCAGGATTAAGAACTCGACCAGCTACTCAAGTGTTGGACCACACGACATATGCTATGTTGTTCCGTTAGATGACCAGAGAACTCTCACACCTCAAGAGACAGCGCTTGTCCGTCAAAGCCGCAAACATCGGAAATGACGCACAGACGAGCATCGCTCCACCCACCCCGCAGCTCCCGCACCCACCGCCTCACACCCCTCCCTTATTCCTCCTCTCAATATACTCCGCAAACTTAATGAAAGCCTCCGGCGCATCCGCCACCCCCATAATCACCTCCACCACAACCAGCCCCTTCCCCTCGCCCACCCCCTCCTCGCCCAACACCTCCTCCAACTCCCCCCACGTCTCCGCCCTCCTCACCCTCACCGGATACCCCGCCTCCCCCACGGGCGCCCCAAAAAACCCCGCCGCCTCCCCATACCTCCACGGCTGCACCTCGTTGTACCCCGCGCCGAACCCGTGAATCAGCCTTTCCACCGCATACCCATCGTTATTCACCACAAACACCACGACATCCAACCTGTTCCGCACCACGTCGCTGACCGCCTGCGCCGTCATCTGGAAGCTGCCCTCGCCCTCGAACACGATCGTGCGGCCGCGCCGGTCGCCGTCGCGCTGCGCCAGCGCGGCGCCCTGCGCCGCCGCCAGCGCGTAGCCGATGCTCAGCCAGATCGCGGAGTTGATGAGGGTGGTGGATGGCGGTAGCGGCCCGAGCGTCTGTCCGCCGTAGGTGCAGGTGCCGGTTTCGGTGAGGAGCACGTCGGCGGGCCGGAGGAAGGCCGAGAGGCGCGGCCAGAAGGCGCGGTGGGTGATGGGCGAGGAGCTGGGCGGTGGGGGTGGGAGGGCTTGCGGCGCCGCCGCTGCGCTGGCGAGGAAGGGGTGTGGGGTGGGGAGCTGGATCGCGGGGGCGCTGAGCTGCTTGAGGAGCTTTTGGAGGAGCGATTTGGTGGATATGGAGGGCGGTTTGGGGGAGGAGGTGGGGAGGGAGGTTTCGGTGGGGCGGAGCTGGATCGAGTGCCGTTCGAAGGTTATGGTGACTTGGGGGTTTGGCTGGGCGGTGAAGCCGAAGGTGTTGAAGTCGGAGTCGAGGGGGCCGAAGCGGAGGACCAGGTCGCAGTCTTGGACCCATTTTTGCTGGGCTGGGTCGCCAGCGAGTCCGGAGAAGATGCCGTGGAAGTTGGGCAGTGTTTCTTGCACGATGCTTTTTCCGAACGGCGTGGTCAACGTCGGGAATTTCGTCACCGCCACCAGCTCGTTCACTTCGTCCCGGATGTCGAAGCGCGCGGTGAAGCCGTCGACGAGTATCAAGGGCCTCTTTGCGCTCAACATCCTGGTAAGGACCTCTCCAACCATTCGGTCTTCGAAGGCTTCGTCATGGCCTGGGATGGAGAGATCGAGCGGTGACGCAGGCGGTGCCACTTTCGCGGTAACCATATCCGTCGGCATCTCGATGTAAACTGGGCGGCTTTGCAAAAGGCATTCCTTCAGCGCCGCATCGATGAGCTGAGCCGCCGTGTTCGCGTCGGTGAGATTGGCTTGGGCCACCGTGACGGCCTTGTACATGTCGGCAAAGACCCTGAAGTTGCCGTCGCCCAGCGAGTGATGCAGGCATGCACCCGCGTTCCGAGAAGCGCGTGGAGGCGTCCCGACAATGTGTACCACGGCGGCCTTCTCGGCGTAGGCGGCCCCGATGGCGTTGATTGTGGAGAGCTCGCCAACGCCGAAGGAGGTGGCTAGAGCGGCGATGCCCTTGATTCGGGCATATCCGTCCGCAGCGTAGCCGGCGTTGAGTTCGTTGGCGTTTCCGACCCAGTGAAGACCGGCTGGTTCAAGGTAATCCAATGCCGTGAGATTGTAGTCTCCAGGGACTCCGTGGACAGAGCCAACGCCGATTTCGGCAAGGCGTGTGAAAAGGTATTGTGCTAGGTCGACTTGATGGTCCATTGTGGGAAAGCTGGGGAATGTGTGTATGGGACCAGAGCAAGTGTTTCATCAGATAAAGGAAAGACATTCTCATCATGGGAGGAATGATATACTTTCATTGCGTGAGCATCGGCGAAAGTTGTCCGACTGGACTACCCCAGACTCCGATTACTCCGATGGCTCAGGAACTCGGAGAGATGACGGAAACATCAAACGCTGTGGCGTGGCGGAGACTTTATTCCATCGCACTAGTGATTCGATTTAATCTCCATCGCTTCCTTCCAAATCCTGGGAAGCGGCCCATCGGGGCCGTACAACGGATCACACTCGGGTATCGGGACATTCCCAGCCTTCTCCGCGAGCTCTTTGGTTTTTTCCGGAGTGTCTTTGCACCAGTGGAGGTCGAACCGAGCGCCCTTGTGATCCTTCTCCTGGTGCAGCATCGGAAAAGCGTGTTAGCGCGCTTACTCCGATAAGAGAGAGAAGGAGAGAGAGAGAGAGAGAGAGAGGTACCCCCGGATACAGCCCGATATACTCATAATCCCCCTCCGACTCAACCGAGCAGTGCGAAATGCCAGCCTATCCATCCACACAGTCAGCCCATCCAATCCGTCCCACCGCGCGACTGACTCGCGGACACTCACCGGCAAAACGAAAACATCGCCCGCCTCCGCAAAAAAACGCGTCCCCTTCCCCTCCCCGGGTTCCCCCTCATCACCCAAATCCGCACCACCCACCCCCAACATGTACACACTTGACCCCCTTAATATGCCGTAGCATTCATGCGTGTTGGCGTGGAAATGCGCTTTCTTAAACGTCTTCCACTGCCCGCCTTTGTACCACCCGTTCGGTTCGATGGTGGAGAGGATGGTGTCCGGGCTGTGGTCGTCGAGCAGGGCGCGGCGGTAGACGATGATGGGGAGCGGGGAGTTGGGTACCGAGGGCGTTGGATTGATCCAGAAGGTTTCGGGGGTGACGACTGTGGGGGCCATGTTGAGGGCGGGATGGGATCACGGTGATGGGAATTGGGGGTATTGCGGACGTGCAGAGATAGATCGGACAGCTGCTGCCGGCTCAATAGGTTGGGGATATAAGTACACGAACATGATGCGATTTTGGAGTGACGTAGGTCCGCGTGCTGGGTGTTGCGGAAAGGGAAATGTAATCCCCGCTGGCGGGGGAAGATAGGTAAATGGCCGGTCGAGGTTTGCGGGGCGGGTCGCGGGGTCGCGGGGTTGCATCCGATGTAAACCGGATGGGTGCCCGGAACGTATGTACGAGTCGGTTGCGTATCCGATTTGCCGCCACTCGGGATTGCGTTCCGAGCATGCCTGATAAACCATATTCGCTCCATATTGCCATCTTCTTAGGTTTCCCTTAGCAGCCTTGGGTGGAGGAAGACGCTATCGCCCAAGAGTGTACAATCGTAAGCTGTATGGAGAAGACCGCCGCCGACGCCAACATCCAGTCTGCAAAGATTAGGTTCAAATGCAGGGTTAACGGCCAAAGTTGGGGCTCAGCACAGAAGACCTGGAGTCTGGATTCGACAGTGAATCAGACGGCTGAAGAGACATTGCGATCGAGGTTCATCGTGCTCGCCACGGGCTACTACGACCACGACGAACTGCTGCAGGCCCGCATACCCGGCATCGACAGCTTCACTGGCCCCTTCGTTCAACCGGGATTGTGGCCGACGGATTTGGATTGCAATGGCAAAGACGGTGTCATCATCGGATTGGGCGTAACGGTTATTGATGTCCTGCCAGCCATGGCGAGCGAAGCAAAGCATATCACAATGTTACAGAGGTCTCTCAGCTACGTCATCCCGATACCGATGGAGTATTGTTTTGAAACATTTGCCCGTGCTTGGATTCCGCTCGGCTTGCAACAAAAGCTGATTCGGCTGGAGTCGGTCATAACGCCTGTTCCCTTCAGTAAATTCTGCATGCCCCGCAAACTGATGAAGAAGACGATTTTATCGCTCTTGGGGAAAGACGCATCACTCAGCCCGGACGTAAATCCCACTAACAGCCCTTTGGAGCAATAGATGTGCATGTGGCTCAACCTACTAGGAACGACATAGTCTTCAGCTACCTAATCTAGTATAAGGGCTACAAGACGTACGATCTTTTGCCTAGCTTGCAATCGCGAGGCTGAGGCGACTCATAGAAATATGGGCCTACGTGGGGCATATGCACGTCAGCCTAAATTCCTTACCCCATTGTGGATATAACTACGTGTCTATCGTGGAATGCACCAGGGTCGTAGGAATTCAAACCAAATATTTATATAAGCTCAGGCTCGACACTTTACCGTGGTTGACGTCGCCTGACCCGGCTGCAGTGCGCGAAAGTCCAAAAATCGACTCTGCATTGTGTGAACTGCACTTGCATAGCTTTGAACGGAATACACCAAAAGGTTCTTTACTAGTGATGTCTTTTTCAACTCGCGCTAATGGGTTACAGCATGTCTGAATCATCCTTGTTGACATTAAAGGAAGGAGGCACTCGGAAGAGGAGAATTAGCAAATCTCTGAACGTGCCGGCCCTACCAAACGTCCTCGCCGTACTTTGTTCGGTTTTACTTACGACTCCACCGCTCTTTTACCTTGTCATCAACGGCTGTCGCGGCTTCGCTACCGAGCTGCATGATCGTCCTTGCATATCTGATGGGTCAAGCATGTCAACACTATTCGCCGTCAGCATGGCCTTCGGCAAATACAAGTTTGCTACTGTCAAACTCATAGATACGTTGTGGGACATCTTGGTAGGAAGAGGACTTCAAATCGTGCTGATGATTGGCGCATTGAATGTATACAACATGGCTCTTTTGAGAGCCATGGAGAACTACACGGCGTCCTACGATGTTTTCCTGGAAACCAGAATCAGACAGAATACCTTTTCTATCTGTTATGCTCTGGTGTATGAGCTGTGTAGAAACGGGAAAAAGCACCACCAGCCACGACACGTCAAAGGTATACTGGCCGCAATCCTTGTAACTACTGCCTACATTGGAATTTGGCCGACCCTCACCGGCGCAATGTCTGGGTATACGCCTGTTTTTAGAGTCATGATGGCGGCGTGTGATGATTCTGCAATTCCAGTCGACCATTATTCAAGCTCGAGGGTGATTTACGATGGAAATAGGATCGAGATACCGAAAGGCGACGACGGGCAAGGTGGAACGAGCCTATGGAGAGACACGGTCCTCACCCTCTCAACTGAGGGCTCGGCAGGTTGGACGGTATCCACATCGATTTACAACTGTGGAGATGGCTCCCAGATTTTGATCCTCCCAAGTCGCGTCAACGTTGACATTACCACATGTAATGTGTTCAACCCCAGTCGAGCGTTTGTTCTGGTCTTCTAACCATTGTCAAAAGATATGAGGTTGTATTACGTTGACAGCCGGTATCCCAACAATGGGACCGATGTGCCATCCATGCTCAACATCAACGGTCAATATGTGCATATCGAAGCACCGTTACTCAACATCAGCACACAAGTATACGAATATAACGGTAAAGCCTACGATGCGGGCTATCGGAGCCTCAACCAGGTCTGCCAGCCTACGAACGAATATCAATGGGGCTTTTCATACTATATCGCACTTGTATGGTCTATTTGCAACTTGTTGTTCCTATCTCTTTTATATGGCCTGTGGCTAGACGCTTGGAGAAACAGCCGGGTGGTTCAAGGAAGAAAGAAGAATGGTACATATCGAGCTCTACTTGATCTGGGGTGTGCACTGCAGGACGAGATTGGGAAGGACAGCGCTGCGAATGACACGGAGAAGGAGCTGGAAGTGAAGCTGTCCAAAGCCATAGGTGGGCTGTTGGTACCACAACATGAAGAGAAGGTAGTTGGAAGCTTGTATGAGGTTCCTCGGAGTGAGAGTGGATCCGAGCAATGTGCATGTGATGATGGGGAGAGACGTAGTGCAGAGGAGCGGTCGAAAGAGCAGAAGAGGAAAACGGCACAACACTTCATCATAGAAGCATAAAGGGCTCATCAAGATTTTGCTACCCACGTAATCAACCAGGCTTTCAGAAGCCCGCTCGTCATATGGCAGATGTTGGAAAGAGTGTTGTCTTCTCTGGCCTGCCGGTCGAAGTGGCTTTAGATACTTTGCTGCATGAAAGATCAAGTGAACGCGTACGAATTAGAGATGGAGCGTCTCTGCCAGGAAGAGATGTTTCCGCTAGTGAGGAAGGATATCCAGTTCTTCCGGGCCACGGGTTGCGGGAGATGTAAAGATATCAAACCGGCCATGAAATGTCATAGTGCAGAGAGCTCCGGATTTAATACTCGATTCTGCAGGGATGGATTTCTATATAATGCTTACGACCTATGCAGAGTATTAACTTCCGAAAGCGCATGCGCCGAAAGAGTAGCCTATACTCGAACGGGAGACTTCTATGTTGACAGGGAGGCATTTACGCGATGAAGCCGTAGCGCCTCCTTTTATGATCAATTTTAATGGTGACTATGCTTGCTTTGAAGTCGCCGTTTGCCAGGAAGGCCCGAGAAATGCATACAATTGGTGCCGCAAGCAGATTATAGCCATTCAGACTGGGTACTGGTTTTTGAACGGGCAGTGTGGCTCAGGTTCACTCGAGCAGAAATTTGGATGATGGCTCGCTAGCAAGGGTCAACATTTTACATCCCGATGAGTCCCAACCAGGATCTCGAACATGAAGGAACATTCCTTTAGCGCCTCAACTCTAAAAAGATCACAACCCATGGGTTCCTCATTGCACTAAGACTTGTTCTTCAGCACACAGATGCTTCCAATAAAAATCTTACTCAGGTTACAACCGGCCTTGCTCAGAACCTCGGGAGTTTACGTGCCTGTACGTTACATGGCCCCGCTACGCCTTCCTCCTCCGGAAGGCGGGCGCGTGGAGCATCTGCTCCGAAAGCTCGTGTTAAAAGCAAGGGACGGGCGGCGGTGGGATCGAGCTGCTTGAAACACAGCACGAGGGGGGACCAAACGCGCTCACCGCTCTTCTTTTCGGGGGAGCGGAAGGGCTCAAATGCCGCGGTACGTCTGCACGGTTACACGTGTAGCGTGTGCGACTGTATCTACAGGGCGGCTCGAGGTCGAAGTCAGCATATTCTCTGTCATGTTTGCGTTGAGGTCAGCAAGGGGAGAAAGCATCCTCGCAGCAAACCGGCAAGCAGGCAGTAGCGCCATCTCTGTGAATCGATCGTCCGGGCAGCCGTGCGAGGCAACGTTGTACGGCGCGGGCGCATGTGCGTGGCGGACGATACTTGGTCTCAGACAGTCTGGCTCTTTCTCTTTTTTTTGCGGGGTAAGGAGCAGCACCAGAGGCACAGGCAATATGTCATACATATCCTGCCTGCAGCCACATGCAGACGCGGGTTGTATGTACGTTGCTTCCCAGCCTCGTTTCGACCCGACGAACTTCGGCTGGGTCTTCTCGTGCTAGTCGGTCCTTTGTGATATGCTGTCTCAGACTTTCTCTGGGCCATTGCTACCACAGATGCACCGTCCCCGCTCTGGGCGAATGCGTCATGTGGTCGAATGTCGGTCAGTGGCTGGAGAGAGAGGTGTTCCGCCAGGTAGTTGCGGCGTGCGGAGGTTCTGATTGGCTGGTGTGCTCACGACAGATGCGCCATCTCTTTCCGCGTCGGAATACTTGGGCCGGCCAAGTGTGCGCTAGCTTGGCATTAGGGTCTCCTGATGGCCAAGACTGATCTCCGGCTCTTCTTCGTACGAGCGTGACCGTTGAGCAGGGGGCGCTAGTCAGTAGTGAGCCGAGAGCGCACGTGGGGACTCGATAGACTAGTTGATTAGGTGAGAAGGCACGAGGTGTAGATACTATTGATGAGAAAGCATGACTTGGTGGCTCGCTCGCTCTTGACTTTCATCCGTGTACCGAACGACCTGAAATGCCTCAAGCATGCATGTACCGGGAATCTCTTGTCCTTGGGAACGCCATCTTGGAAACCTCAGGCTCAACAGGGATTCGCGATTATAAACGATCCGATAAAGTAAGCAATCCAGGGTCTGCGCGCGCGCTAAAGGGAATACGACGAGCTTTCCAGACGGTCGTCTCAGGAGGCTATGATTCAAGAGCCCGCGTCATCTCCATCCCGGCCGTTTCCCTGTCCACGCTGAAGATTCGGGAGGCGACCTTCCTTCTCCGGCAAGTTCATTTACATATATTCGGCGCGTACATATAGGGGCTCGTTTAACGTCCCGCTGACCGTTGGCCCCCACTTCAACGCCGGCGGCTCCACCATCGGCCCCGGATCTGCGCGCGCTTTGATTCGGCCGTGGCTTTTGGCGGTGCCTGCAGACGCGGCTGATGCGGGGGGAGGGGGGAAAGCGACGCGACGCCGGCCAGGAACACGGCCAGCTCCCGCTGCTTTCCATTGGGCGGACGCGAGATGAGTGTACGTGAGCAAGCGCAGAATCGAGGGGTGGGACCGACTCCTTTAGCGGACGTTTTGCTCGTTGAGCGCCGTCGGCCGGCGGACCGTCTGACTGCAATAATGGCGGTGGCTAGCAGAGGTGCAGACAAGGTGCGGCTGTCGGCCACAAAGTGCCAGAAACTGGGCGGAACATCGGATGCACCACCAGGGCGGGAAACCCCTCAGTGGAGGCGGCGTCCTTGTTGGGGCGGTGCAGAACCTTAGGACATGCGGGCGCGGGGATCCTGCGCCTGCTTCCCTGCTGCGGCGGTCGAATCCGGTACATTGCGATCTGCAAGTCTACCAGATGGGCCCGCGTTGCAGGGCGCCCCAAGAATAGCATGGCAAAGCGAGGAAAAGCCAGAGGCAAAAAATATCAGGATTTTGCACTCGACCCCCGCTGTCGTGGGCGCACTGCAGCCACTGGTTTTGCGCGGGCGTTGCGGCTGTGGCGCCAGAGTCGTGTTTCTCCGCGTCTTGGTTCTGGACCGGGCTCCGGTTGTGGCGCCATGGCCGGCCTCCTGCAATGACGGCGAGCCCAAGGGGTCCACCAGCCTCGACCAGCTTGCAGCGATCCACTAGCCCCCGCACGCCGAGCACGCGTCCCGAGCGGAGAGACCGTGCTGCCTCTGTGCTGGCACTCTGTTCTCCTCCTTCACCGCTTGGGTTGCCTTGTTATAGCCCGCGGGCCTGTCAACAGTTGGGCACATGAGTTAGATTACCGAAGCATAAACAACATCCTTCCGCCCCGATCTCCCTGGCGCATTTGGAGTCTAGAGGGGCCAGCGCCGGGCGGCATGGTACCCGCACGCGTGCATCCCACGCCACGCCGCATCACGGCAGCCGCTCCAAGAACGCCATCCCATGGCCAAGCTGCTGCAGGACGTGAACCCTTGGCACCTGCCACATGAAGGCCTGCCATTGCATGAGGGTACACGCACTCGCATCCTTGCTACCATGGAGCCGGCCTTGCCGTGTGCCCAACATATAAGTCTGCCTGCCATGGCTCCTTCGCACCCAGTCTCCGCAGACTTCGTACGCCGGGAGCACCCTCTGTCCCACTTCAACCGTTCTTTTCGAGTCTGATCCCACCGGCAACATGCGAGTCTCGGCGGCGGTTGCGCAGCTGTCAGCACTGTCAAGCTCCCCAGTCGCTGCGCAGTACTACACCAACACCACGACTGCTCCCGTAGGCGCAGCCACTCCCTACCAGGTGCAGACCCCGCCGCTCGACACGCCATGGACGTACGAGGTCGGCACCCATCCGTGGCCGCAGTACCCGCGGCCCCAGCTGTGTCGTGAGGCCTGGAAGAACCTAAACGGAATCTGGACCTTTGAGCCCGCACCCGCCTTCGCCGCCGAGGTGCCCGCCGTGCCCTCTGGGCCGCTGGCACAGGAAGTGCTGATCCCGTCGTGCATCGAGAGCGGCCTGTCGGGCATCCAGGACCTCAACACCACCAACATGTGGTTCGCTACCTCCTTCACCGTGCCCTCGGACTGGAGCGGCCAGAGCGTGCTGCTCAATTTCGAGGCCGTCGACTACGAGGCCACCGTCTTCATCAACGGGCAGCAGGCGGGCTTCCACCGCGGCGGCTACTTCCGCTTCACCGTCGACGCCACGCAATATGTCAATTTCAACGGTACCAACCAATTGTGAGTTTGTTTGTTTGCTCAACGCCCCACGTCCCGTCGGGTAACTTGCTCGATTCGGAAGAAGAGGCTGGGGTGACTGACCGGGGAACCAACATGATCCCAGGCACGTTTACGTGTTCGACCCGACGGATGCGCCCGGCTACGAGATCGCAAGGGGCAAGCAGACCCGGAACCCCAGCCACATCTTCTACAGGCCCTGCAGCGGCATCTGGCAGACCGTGTGGCTCGAGCCCGCCCCCGCCGCTCACATCACCCGTTTGGACGTCTCCGCCGGTGCCGACGGCAACGGTAAGTAGCAAACCCCCGTTCAGCGGCCCTGATCCAGAGGCCCCGTACGAAAATTTCCCTTCCTGACCCCGAAAAAATACAGTCAATGTCACCGTCTTCAGCTCCACCAACAGCTCTCAACCGGTTGAGTTCACCATCCTGCAGGACGGCAAGGAGATCGCAAAGCAATCGGGCACGTCGGGCTCATCGTTCGACCTGTCAGTCGACTCGCCTGCGCTGTGGAGCCCGGACTCGCCTAACCTGTACAACATCACGGTGACGCTCGGCGACGACGTCGTCTCGAGCTACACGGGCTTCCGCACCATCACCACCGGCACCGTCGACGGCGTGCGCCGCCCGCTCCTCAACGGCGAGTTCGTCTTCCAATTCGGTACCCTCGACCAGGGATTCTGGCCCGATGGCTTGTATGTACCGCCCACTCTCGAGGCCATGGTGTTCGACCTCCACCTTCTGAAGGGACTCGGCATGAACATGGTCCGCAAGCACGTGAGTTTCTCCTCGCTTTCCCACGGCTATCGTGAAGATTACCACGTGCTAAACACGAGCAACGAAACAGATCAAGGTCGAGCCCGACCTCTTCTACCATGCCTGTGACACGATTGGCCTCATGGTCATCCAGGACATGCCCAGCATGCTCCCGGACAGCGGTGAAGTAAATGCGGCCCAGCAGGCCGAGTGGGAGCGCGAGCTGCACATCCTGGTCCAGGAGCACAAGAGCTACACGTCCATCGTCACCTGGGTACATGGCTTCCCCCCCCCCAACATGCCCCTACCTTCTAACACCCATCCGCGTGCTCAGGTCATCTACAACGAAGGCTGGGGCCAAATCACAAGCTACTACCCCGAATTCGCCATCGCCGACTGGATCCACGCCGAGGACCCCTCGCGCCTCATCGACGCCACCAGCGGCTGGTACGACCACGGCGCGGGCGACTTCTCCGTAAGCAAAATCAGACCCCTCCCTCCCTTCCTTTCCCTTCTGCAAAACCCTGTGACGGGTCCGGCTGACAGACGAATCACAGGACAACCACCACTACGCGACTCCGCAATGCGGCTCGCCCTTCTACTCGATCCCGTCCTCGCCCTACGACCCCAACCGCATCGGCTTCCAAGGCGAATTCGGCGGCATCGGCCACAACGTCTCCATCGAGCAGTACGCCGCAACCCCCATCCCCATCCCCCCCCCCCTTTTCTCCCTCCAAACTCACAGTTTTCCTTTCTCTCTGTAGCCTCTGGAACGTGCAAGAAGCCATCAACACCATCAACCAAACGTACGAAATCTCGGAGAACCTCGACGCGTACAACTATCGCGCGCGCGTCCTCTTCTCCGAGCTCGAAGACCAGGTCCAGATGTACGCGTGCAGCGGCGCCGTGTGGACGCAGACGACCGACGTCGAGGGCGAGGTCAACGGCCTCGTCACCTACGACAGGCGCTTGCAGCGCGCCGACGAGGCCCAGTGGCGGAAGGACATCCAGTCGTTGTACAGCGCCGCGGCGGGCAGAGGCGGCGCGGGCGGTAACGGGACGAATGCGAGGGGTTAATGGTGGTGTTTTAATGTGAGGGCTTGCTGTGGGTGTTGGCTTTTTTATTTTAATTTTTTTCCGGTGCGGGTTGGGGGGAAGGGTGAGTAAGTAATGATCCAGTCGGTGGGCTGGAGAAAAAAAGGAAAGCTGGTTTGGGCGGGCCGTAGATCTCCCATATAGAGGGACAGCGAGTGTTATGGCGCTGGTGAAGAAAGGCACGAATGAAAAGATTTCCGAACCGATATGGTGGTCTTTGTGGTGCCGAGGTAACTGTGGACCCCGTCTCAACATAAAGCAGTCGGAGCATCCCAGTTTACGGTTGACATGACCGCCGGTAATCCTCGTACTGATTTTCCGTAGGATGTGAGCAGCGAGTGTTGATGCGCTAGTCCGGGCGTCTCTCCATAAGTAATTGTGGCGCTGTGGGTCATGAAAAAAGACATTTGCCTACGGCGATTGTTTGTGTTGGTATTTGAAGCCTGGAACAACCTTACTTCATCAGTAGCTGAACTGGATATAAAACAAGACAAATGCATCCGGAAATGGAATTTCGCCACCCATGTAGATGGGTCAATTTCTTTCGCCCTCTACTGCGGTGTTGGTCCGTAGAGTGGAATCGACGCCTTGCAACCTGTGCCTACAACTTTTTTTTTCCCTCCTCATCTACATTCCACCGTTAACAGTAAGGCATGACGTAGTCATGAGCGTTTGTTGTTTCTTTGGATATCCACAGGGCTTGATGGTGGCTGAGGGTCGGGCCGCACTGAAACGCGGTGGGGCGCAATCATGGGGGTGGCTTGAATCAAGCCCCACCAAGCATATGTGAGACTCCCTTACACTCCACTTACCCTAGCGGACTGCCTCGCCGAATGCATAAGTATCTGTGGCAAAGTCCAGATGTCTCGAGGACCAAGTTACCGAGCTTCCTCGCCGAGACTACTTGAGCTCGTTATCGTTAAAGTTTCTTATTTTGCAGCGCGAGCAGTCTCCCCAGCAACAGATATTACCCAGAGGTAGGCCTTCTTCACCTTCTCGTGCAACTGAAGCAGAGTTCAAGGATAGACTTTCAAGCCTGACTTTGGCCGCCTCCTGGCAACTGCTTCTCCTTTAACTACGCCGATCCCTCCAAGAGATTTGCACGCGCTTGTTCCGCTTCTATAAATATCTGCCGACTCAGCCTTGTCCGGTCCAATTTGAGGCGGAAAGGCACACCGCGGAGCACTAAGCGAAGTTTGAGGCTCTTCAACGCACATGGGAAGCCTCAGGGGGTTGAACAGCAAGCCAATCGAAAGCGCCGATCTTCTATGACCGTAATCTTGCGACCCTAGATTCTATTTCCGAATGCAGCTTCGCCAAGCACAATACGAGCGAACGGGACACGCCGCACACCAACTACTGCTAGCGGAGTCATTTGATCTTTCGAGCGCTTCTCAGGCAGGAGCATCGCGCTGGTGCTGTACTTAATTACAGCACACGCTTGCCCGCCGCGTGAATCGATCCTCATCACGCCCGCCGTCACTCTTTCCCTCGCTCTTACAGCACCACACACTCTCTTGTCTATTTTCCAACTAATTACATTCTTTCGAACCAACCAAACATCCCAAAATGAAGACTTTCGCTCTCATCGCTTCCCTCGCCGCCTACGCCGCCGCCCGCCCGGTGCCCGAGGATAGCACGACCTTCAAGCTCATCGCCACCGCCCCCGGCTCGCCCATCGACGCCCACTACCTCACCGTCAGCGGCGGTGTCTTCCACCTCGGCAAGGAAACAAGCTCCACCTGCGGCAACATCGCCCCCGTCTTCGAGGGCGCCCTCGCCATGTACGGCGACGGCAAGGAGAACCAGCAGCAGAGTAAGCCCTCAGAGAGAGATGAAAGTAAAAGTAAGACGAGTCTGGCTGACTTTTTTCGTGGCAGCCTACGTCGACATCTCCGGCGCCGCCAGCGGCGCCCTGTCTTTTGCGAGCCCCGAAGTCGCGGACATGACGCCGGACCAGATCGCGGACAAGTTCGCGCAGTCCGCCGACGGGAAGCTGACGTATGATGGCGGCAACTGGCTTGCCTGCCCGCAGGAGGTGGAGGGCCAGTACATGGTCTTTGCGGAGAAGGCGTACGAGGCGCCGAAGGAGAAGTGCACGGCCTTTGAGATTGCGACGAAGAAGGTTCGGACGCCGAAGGTTGTTTGTGTTTATCAGTGAGGGATTGGACTGGTTTTGCGGTTTGGACGTGCCGTCGATGGTTCGACGAGAAATACAGCAAGGCTTGTCAGGCTCACTTTCTCTAAGGATAGGCCTGGAGAGCCGATCACTGCAGGAGATTTGCGTGTTTGGGAAAGTGTACATTTTACACGGCTTACCGTTCACCCCATCAGTATTACACAGCCAAATAGCCTTTAATGCAGAAGATCAAATAATTTGTACGTCATACTCAATCATATTTGATTACAGCAAATTATAACTTTTGAACATTGTTTATTGCCCGCCCTTTCACGCCTACAGTTCCTATAATCCTTGGAAGCAGCAGCCCTGAATCATGGCCGAAGCTTCTAATGCGGAAGAATATAATCAGATCACAACACAATTCGAAGGACGCGCGGGCCGCAAGTACTCGCATCTCTCCCAGGACATCACTTTCTCCCCGGCCTTGCCGCTTTGTGAACCGTCGCCGCCGGACCCTCCGGAGACATAGGTACGTCGTCGGTCGAAACTCGTGGGCCATGACTCCTCGACCCGCTCCTCAACCTCATCAGGACACAAATCCCCGCCGCAATAACCAAGCCACCCACAACGCAACCCACCACACCACCCGCAATCAGCCCCGCATTGGACGAACTCGAATCACCAGCCGCATCAGACGGTGCAGGCGTTGCCCCTAGCAAACATCAAACATCAGCATCCACCATCCACACCGACGACGACATCACGCGCCTCCACACGCCCCATCCATCAACTCACCTGTCTCACCCGCAGGCGCCACCGCCGTCCTCTCCGCCGCCCTCGCCAACACCGCTCGATCCGGATCGGCCACAGCCGTCGTCGCATCCACCACGACGCCCCCCTCACCGACACCAACCCACCTCCCCCGGCCGGCCTCCTCGCAGCACCGCTCCCCCGACCCGTCTCGGTCGCAGCAGAAACTCCTGTCCGCGCACTGCGTCAGCAGCACCACGTGCGCGTCGCCGCCCATCGACTCGCCGTCGACGCACAGCTGGACGCACCTTTTCGCCTGCCAGGTGCGGTCGGTGCAGGAGCCGGCTTGGCAGAGGCCGTCTAGGCGGCTGGTGGTGGTGGCGGTGGTGTCGGGATTGCACCACATGGAGGCTTCGTGATCATCGTCGTCGTGGGCGGAGGAGGAGGAGGTCGTGCAGGGGAGGTGGGGGGTGGTGGCGGGGCTGGAGGTGGTGTTGGAGATAGGGTTGCGGTCGGTTCCGTTGGGGAGGACGCAGGAGGCGCGAGCCGGGACGACGGCGGGGGCGGAGATGGTTGTGGCCGGGGGCATACTGTGATGCGGAGTGGGGAGTTGGCGTCGTGGATGGTGTTTCTTGGAAGTGCAAGTAGAAGAAGCTGGAGAGTTGCAGTGCCGATGGAGCAATCGAGGAAAGCACTTCTTGGCTCTTGGGGGTCTATATGTCTTTTCCCGCTCGGGCGGCGGAAGTGCTGAATATGGCGGTGACGCTCTAGCAAGCGGGGGATAGATTAGGAACAGCCAATCTGTTGCGCGATACTGTTACCCTGACCGTTCCGGGGGCGAGCGTTCCGAGTGCAGCCAAGCCATTTTTCCAAAAGCGAAGACTAAGACATACATGCGATACGCCATTATGATCTCGCGAAAAGTACAGTCCAAGTGCATCCGTTTGTTATTGGCTTTGACCTCTACGAGAATTGCTCAGTGAAATGTAGGTATCCAGCATTTCCTACGCCTGGATTAGATATCAAAAATCAACACATATGTTGGAAGCTCCGCTGAGATGGCCTATAAGTCGAGAGATACACTAGCGGTCAGCGCTTCCCTTCCCCTCTTGTTGTGTATCGCTTCACAAAAGACTTGAAAGGGAGGTTTCCATTGACATCGAAACAAGCTTCTCAACACGTTGACGGATTTGTAGCTTATCTGCCTTGTCAAGCGGAACACGACGCATTTCCTCCAGTAGTGCTCTTGGCTCTACCACATGCATTGGTAGGCTGAAGCCTACTCTTATCAGGTACCCACCGGAACCGGCTCCGAGGAATGCAATCGTGGAAAAGGGGCTGAGCACTGAGACCTTAGCCTAAGACTTTGAAGTGAGACATCTATCACCGATAATTGATCGCCGTAAATTTGCTAGATTTCCCCGATGGGCTAGCGGACAACTCTGAACCAGGAGGGAGTTGATGTGTCCACATTCAAGTGCAGGCATTTACCCACTACTCTTTGTCCGCTCAGCTGTTCTAATTGCACTATGAATTTAAAGTCACGCCATGCCAATGCGACGAGGTCACCGACTAGAGTGCAGCGTCGGGCAAAACCCCACGCTCAAATTCCCCTCATTGGTCAATCGTTTCGCCTTGTAGGTGCTTCGCGTTGTTGTTGTTGTTGTTGTTGTTGTTGTTGTTGTTGTTGGCTCGCGTCTGTTTGGATCATCGCTGCTGCTCTTGTAGCTACAATTGGCAATTTGGGGCCCAGTAGACGACACTACACGCCACCGGCACTCTACGATGAGATATATTACACGCAACAAATTACCTCCGACAGAGCAACGCCATAGCATAATCGTGTTTGATACGGTATTACCACCACGGGGCGAATTCATATCCAGGGATATACTATAAAATGAAGGGCGTTCAACTCATCATGTGATCATTAATCAAGCCTGAAAGGCGATCACAGCGCCCGCCCCTCCCATCGCTGGGATGCCGACTCGAAACTGTCTGTATCTGCAACGACATGTAACGGCGGGGCCGGCCGTCGTCCATTGGGGTGGCGTCGTGTGGCTGATGCACCCAGGTGGAGAAAGGACCCAGCAGAGCGGGATGGGACCTGCGGCAAGGCTTTCCCGGGCACAGCCAGTACAGGTATCATACGAATGAGGAAGAAGACCACACACAGACACATGCGTCAGGAGATCGCCGACTTCAGCTACCGCTTTTTGTTCCATGTTTCGGCGCAAAACCACGCATTTTCGCAGAGGGTACAATGGGAGAAGGTCGATCGTCCCGATTCTCATCAACATCATTCATAATCGTTTGACTTGCGTACGTAGAGGAGCCATGATGGCAGCACTCCTTACAGATCAAAAATGACCGTGATCTGACCACTGCCGCGCAATTCCTCCCCCTTCCACACTTCATCGACCGTCCGGGTCACTCATGGCCTCGCTTCACCCAATTCTCTCCAGCAACCAAGTATTCAGATTTTCAACCACTCAAAGGCAGGTCTGGCACCCACACCCGTGATCGATGGCGCAGACTCCGCTGCAGCACTCGTCCGGCTGCAGGCATTCGACTGAATTCTCCAGTTAATATTTCCACGACAACAGAAGGATACGTAAGAACTGACCACCGCGAGCAGAGCATCTTGGCTGCAACAACCCCAAAGACTCCGGAGCCGACTCCGATGGAGCGGCGAGAGCGGAGGCAAGGAAGAGGGTGAGGACGGAGAGAGCGAAACGCATGATGGCAGATTGGTGTCGATGCTTTTTGGATATTGGAGGAGATGGCGGGATGGGCTTGATGAATTGCGTGATTCTGGTGCAGAAGGCAGTGGCATTTTTATATCCACTCGGGGAACCGTCGACCGTCGTACGTACAGGTCACGCCGGCAGGATCTGGACGTATGGAACTCGACACCATACTCTACGAAAACCTCGCACCGAAAGGATCCTGCAGTATAAACCATCGACCCATCAGCGCTGGATGAGTCGGGGTCCTGCATGGAGAGCTGTTGGACTGGACCGATGCGGTGTCTTGTGTGGTGCCTGGAACGAGAAGTGCCTTCCCCAACTGGACAAACGCTGTAGTGCATGCGTCTGCTTTGAGACTAAGGCTTACATCAGCATCCTTTCACAACCGCTTCAGGCGTCCATCTCTTGCAGCATTTGCCCCACCGACTACACGTACTGCCTCGTCCAGCTTGCATCCTTCTTGTCCGATGCGGGCTCCGTGTGCTCTTGCCCTAAGCGCGATAGGCGCACCGAATGGCGGAGGCGGTACAGGGGAAAGAATGTTGGCGCTATCCCCGCCGGGAGCTTCGGGAGCGGGGCAGCTTTTTTTTTTTTTTTTTTACGAGATGTTGGACTCTGAAACAATCCAGAATGAAATATGCATATAGACATGGTCGAGAATAGAGGAGGCTCCGGAGATGCGGGTAGTGTAGTGACGTGGTCGGGAACAAGACTTGTACATGATTAAAACCACACCGCGATCTGCTCCCCGCTGCGGGAAGATAGTGCTGCTGGGCGTGCAGGTGGGACGGCGGTAAAATATACATTTTGCGCGGGGAAACATACTCAGGTCCGCTTCTAACACTCTGATTGCAGTGCCGTATCGGCATTCGGTTTGGCAGTGAGAGTGCCGCATTGCTCCAGTTGCTTTTGTTTTTCGTCTGAGACTGGAGATCGATTTAGCCCCCAGATCCGACAGTCTCCGCTGTCTGTGCATCCCCGCAGTAGCCTTCGTGACGGTGATCCTTTCAGATGTTGATCACCACGTATTGTACTTTAGCCTCCAGTACACCCCCGTCGAATCCCGGGCGGGGTCTCAGCGTCTCAGCCCCCATGCTGTCAGTCGCTGCCGATCTATCCGGCATCCGACACAATATAGCCGGTAAGTCTGGTCCATCTCAGGTCATTGGTGATGAATTGATCAATGTGTTGGCAATTTATAGGGTCGAGATGCAGTTGAAAGCTGACAACGGCACCTGTCGGAGTTCTCGGATAGGCAAGCGGTGATTGACATGTGTCAGCGCCGGTCAGGGCTATAATGACTGACCCTGCAATCATAGGTCGAGCAGAAGTCGTGGCCGCATAGGTGCAACCTATTGACTCCATCGTTCGTGAGAAGCAACCCTGCCTATGAACGATGGATCGTAGCCAGTTGTGGTGCGGCTAACGACGTGTCCGGGTGGCATGCCGTACGGATCGGGAGTCTGGCCGACTGAAGCCTCGCGCTGATTGGCCGCAGACTCAAGGGCTCGGCGCCGAATCCGATAGTCCAAAGGATATCCCGTCAAAGTAGACGATTGGGCAACGGTTCAAATAGTCAATGGTCTTTGTGGTAAGTATAGTTCTTGACACGTCCCAGCCCGTGCATCCACGAACCAGATTATCCTGAGCCCTGAGGATGGGGAGCCGTCGGAACGGGCTCAATCGGCATAGGACTTGATTGAAAAGGTTGAAAAGGGCAGCAACTCATGCGGTACACATCAAGGAGACAGATAAATTCTGGTACTTGTCACTCTGCCGTTATATCGATGCCAAACGGTATTTCTCCTCCTACCAGCCCGCCGATGCTACAGCCCTCTACTGTGTATTTCGCTTCGCAGCCATGTATTTGCCCGCCACATCTTTGCAGATGGCCGCCACTGTATCCCCACTAAGCAACCCGAGTACGGCGACGTCGACACCTATGTTTTTCAGAAACCAAGTCCTGAGCTCGACGGCCACGAGCGAGTCCATACCCAGAGACAACAACGAGGCATTTGCTCCAGCAGTACCACGCCCCATCTGCAGCATCTGCTCGAGAGTTTCCAGAAAAGCCTCTTGAATCAGAGCCACCGCATCTTCCTCGGAGCCTACCTCATCCAGCCTGTGCTTGACATCCCGTACAGCCAATGGGCCAGAATCACTGCGCTGCTCAAACGCAGTGGCTTCGTGGACGAAGTGTGAGAAACGCGGGTTGGAGTAAAAGGGCGGCCGGCGCGACGTCGCATCCGGCGTGTCCACGAACGGATCGATACCCGATATGATGTCCCAATTACCTCGGAACCCGGGATCGCTGCTCACGACGGCCTCGGCGAATAGGTGGTGCAGATCAGTCTCGGCCATGGGGTGGTACATTAGTTTCCGCAGGTGGTCTTCGATGTGCCGACCCGCTCGTGCCACGTACCCGATGTCTGCAACCATGCCGATATGCATGATCGAGGCGGCGAGGCCGCGGCGTCGGCGCTGTGCTGCCAGGCCGTTCATGAACAGGTTGGCGGCGTGATAGTTGGACTGGCCCGCGTTGCCGAAGACGCTTGCGAGAGACGAAAAGAGGATGAAGAAGTCCAGGCTGTTGGGCTCGTTGAACAGCTCGTCGAGAATCTTGGTGCCGTCGACCTTTGGTCTGAGGACATCGTTCAACGAGACGGCATCCGTGTTGACGAACAAGCCGTCGCTGAGAACCATGGCCGCGTTGCACACACCGGCGATGGCCGGCATGGTATCGCGGACCGTGTTGTAGACGGAATGCACAGACACCTTGTCCGATACATCCATCTGGTACACCCTGACGGTCGCGCCCAGGGTAGCCATCTCTCGCAGCCACGAAGCGTCTACGCTCGCACTGCGGCTGGCAAGGGCAATGTGACGAGCGCCATTGTCGATCATATAGCCGGCAAGAGACCGGCCAATGTCGCCAGCCATGCCGACCATGAGATATGTCTTGTCTGGCTTGAAAAGGCCGGCGGGACACAAAGGCGGAATGGCAACTTCGAGCTCTGTTTTTTCCCAGTGCACGACGTAGGGGTAGTTGGCGCTGCTATTGAAGGACCCTTTCAGGTCCTGCACATCGATAAGCGTTTCTCTTGCTGGTTCTCCAAGCGGATATCCCACGGCTTTGGCGAGAGCCTCATCGAGTGAGACGCCCGCTACAGAAGTGATGATGCCTGTACAGTTTCTGAACCTGTAGACAGCAGATCCTGGTAGTAGGCATCGCGGTATTGTGGATGACGGAGATGAACCCAGGTCAACGAAGCACCTGACAGTCCTTGGAATGGACCTGCGAATTGTACGCTCACAGGCCATGTTGTGAAGCTGTAGACATCCTCCGACCGATTCGGAGACTTTCGAGGTACTGAAGAAAACTCTGATGCCTTGGGCCATTGCGCTGTATCGGAGCGCTCTGACGAGCTGTTGGGGAGCATCATGAACTAGTAATGAGTAATCGAGAGGGGCGAGCTTCAACAACTCGAGTGCAAGAGCGTGGCTAGCTATGTCAGTAAGCAAGGCGTAACCGCTGGAGTACCCATCTGGCAACGATATGTGTTTTTCCATGCCGCTGATGGCAGAGGCGGCGGTGCTGGATAAAGCAACTGCTGGAGCCGAGTTTCCACGTATTTCGCCAAGGCAAAGCGTGCAATCTTCCGAGAAGGTGGTCGAGTATTGCACATCAATGACTGTCCTGTCCGGTCCTCCTGGTGTCATCGTCTCCAGCAAAATCTTGGGTGAGTAACGGCCCAGCGTGTCGATCTGGACACAGGCATCCTCCGTGGAGACGGTCTTCGTCACCAAGCGGCGTTCGGCGTTGAAACGTCTATTCACAGCCTTGTCGGGAACAACACGGGGGAGAAGAAGCTCGCCCTCGTCTAGGGCTACCTCCGGCTCAATTGTCCACAGCATGTCGTGCTCTGAAACTGCAGTCTCGCTGGAGAGAACCAGCCGGAGAAAGCACTCGACAACGGTAGTCGCCGTGAGCTCAGCGCGGTTCCTCACTTCCAAAAACTGAAGTGTGAGGTTGGGCATCTCAGTGAGGAGAGCACGCCCAATGCCGACAGTCATCCTGGACTCCGGATCCCCTGCAGTGGCCCACAGCACCGCCTTAGCACTGCTGAACAGCCCCCTCAGCTTCTCCAGTCTGTCATCAGTCATGGCGTCGGCGAATAGCGGCCGGTTGAGCTCAGCCAGACAAATGACCGACGTCCCCGGAACCAGCGCATCGGCATCAACAGCATCAAGGCCGTCAACCACCACGATACGCTCCTTCCACGCCCCAAGCAACTCCTGCACCGCCCTCACCACCTTCAGCACCGGCAACGTCTTCCCCCCCACAACCACCACCCGCTCCGGCTCCGGCATCCCCGCCCCCACCGCACCCAACGGCTCTCTCAGCATCCCCACCGTCCCATCCACCGCCTGACTCACCATCACCGAACACCCATGCGCCCTCGCATCCGGCCAATCCCTCACCACAGCATCCACCCCGGAGAACCCGCCCCGCCGCAACAACCCATCCCACTGCACATCCGACACGAACGGGCCGCCGCTCCTGCCCTCCTCCGCGCCGAGCCACCACCCCGGCAGCCCCCCAAACACGACGAGGTTCCGCAACGAATCCGCCGTAATCTCCAACAGCACGAGATACCCTCCCGGCCGCAGCAACTTCCGCACGTTCGCCACCGTCGCCGCAAGCTCCGGCGTCGCATGCAGCACGTTGGCCGCGACGACGACGTCGTGCTGCGCCCCCGGCCCGGCTTCGAAGCCCTGCTGCCGCGCGGGATCGCGCGATATGTCGAGCACGCGGAATGCCATCTTGTGCGCGTGGCGCGCGAACCTGGTGGCGGCGGCGCCGAAGAAGCCGGGGGAGACGTCCGTGTAGGTGTAGGCGGCGTAGCGGGGGCCGACGGCGTCGAGGATGGCGTGCGTGGTGCCGCCGGTGCCGGCGCCGATCTCGAGGATGTGCGCGCGCGGGTGCTTGTGGGTGATTTGCGCGACGAGGCGCGCGACGGAGGCGTTGGACGCGGCGTTGCCCCAGCAGGAGGTGTAGAAGCGCGGGAGCAGGTCGTCGGCGAGCATGTGTTGGAGGATGGGCGTGGAGGTGCGGATGCTGGGCGCGAGGTGCGTGGAGACGGCGTGGAGCATGGCGAGGTCGATGGAGTGCGGGTGTGCGGCGTGCAGGGCGGCGATGGTGGAGGGGGTGTCGGAGTGGAGCCATTTCGATGGGACGAGGGCGTTGTGCCCGCTGCGGACCCGGGAGAGCGCGGCGGAGCCTGCGGTGAGGAGCCGCTGGTGGTACCAGGAGATGGTGTTGGTGTCGTCTTGGGAGAATGAGTTCACGAGGTCTTGTAGGTAGAATAGGGCTACGCGTTCTATGGTGTAGAGCAGCTCGAGATCTTCCGCATGGGCATTTGGCTTCTGCTCCACTGCGACGGATGCTTTGTGGAAGATGTCGACGTCCCAGGCTGTCTTGGCGAAGAGGAGACGGTCGTTGGCGGGAGAAGCTTCGGCAATGGCTTTCAAGCGCAGTCCCTGTACTTGGATGCTGGAGCGGGCGCGGGTGGGATCGAGGACGTGGACGTCACCCGCGAAAGAGGACGAGGAAGAGTCAGTGATGAAGGCTTCTATGTCCGCCGTCACGGCTGGAGAACTGTAGTCATGGCACGTAGTCGGGTCGACGGTGATGCGTTCAATGGAAGATGGTAGGTATGTTGTCCAGAGGGCAGCATTGGTGGCAGGAGAGGTCAGAGCAACAAACATTGCCTGGAAGGAGACATCAAGGAAGGCTGGGTGGATCATGTACTCAGGTGGCATGTCGTGGTCCTGCCAAGTAGCCGATGCTCTACAGTGGTTCCGCCTTCTCTCCGCACGCACCATACTCCGGAATGGCCCGTGATAATTCAATCCGATATCTGCAAGTGAGTGGTAGACGCGATCGATGTCTACCGGGTTGAGGCCCTGCGAAACAGGTTCGGGCGGCGGTAGCTCCTCGCCGGTGCTTTCGCCAAAGTGTATGATAACGGTTCCGCAGGCAACCTTCTCAAGCTGACCAGCCGCTTGATCAAAGCATGCGGAAGTAGAGAACTCTGCTTTGAGGATATCCTGTCTGCTGCTCTCTCCCCAAGGCAGGTCCTCATTGACCACCCGGAGTGCGAACACAGTCTCAACTCCTGGCTGATCTTGACCTACGACCATCGCCTTTTGAATGGAAACGTTACCCAGTTCGAAGAGCCGGACAGCACGATCGCCAGCCAGATTCCTCGCAGCCTCCAGCGCCATGGCTACGTGCCCTGTAGCTGGAAATAAAGCCTGGCCCTGGAATTCGTGGCCGCGGAGCCAAGGCAGTTCACTGAGGCGCAGAAAGTTACGCCACCGCATTTCGTGATCCGAGTCATCAGCCATCCTGCGGCCAAGCAATTCGTGCGGCTTCTGGGGCCGAAGACGGAAGTTTCGGGAGATGCGGCTTTCCCTCCAGTGGATCTTGTCGTGCTCCCAGGCATACGATGGTAGACCCTTCAGCACTGCCGGCTTCGCTGCTCCCGGGCCTTGAAACGCTCTCCGGTAACCGGAGAAGTCCACAAAGGCTGGTCCAAGGTTGGCCCACAAGAAGCCGATGCCACTGGAAAATGCTGCAACTGCATCGTCTCCGCGACGCATGAAGCCCGTGTATGGATGGGGTGATCCAAGGGCTGACTGGAAGACCTGTGTGGCAGGGCCTTTCAGTGCCGGATGCGGTCCGACCTCCACAGCCACATCGAATGCATCTCTAGATACAGTCGTCTCCAGTGCCTGGGAGAACAGGACGGGTTTGACCATGTTGTCCACCCAGTACTGTCCCGAAAGGGTCTCGAGACTGCCATTAAGGAGGGATGCATCGCCCAGAACGCTGGACATCCAAGTGCAGTTCAGCCTCGGCTTATTTGGTCTGATTTTGCAGGCCAGGAGCGACTCCAGATACGGGCCAGCACAGGGCAACATGTGATGCGAATGATAGGCAGTGTCAACCTGGAGCTCCCTGGCAAAAGTCTTGTGCTCGTCGAAGACGGCTTTTGCTTCCATAATCGCATCTGCGTCTCCGGAAAGGGTGACGCTGGATGGTGCGTTGCTGGCGGCAAGGCCGATGCGCCCTTCCCACTGCGGCCGAGCACACAGTTCGAGGGCGGTCGCGTAAGTCATCCCAACGGCCATCATTCCGCCCTTCCTGCCGTCTTTGCCCTCCGCCAGCTTGGCATGGAAGCCTCTGTAGTACGATATCGCCATGGCGTCTGCGGCGGAAAGTACCCCTGCAGCATAGGCAGCAGCAATCTCTCCCGACGAATGACCCACGACGGCGGAGAACTTGACACCTGCAGCTGTGGCGAGACTCACCATGGCAATCTGAAGCGCGGTACAGAGAGGCTGACTGAAAGCTGCCTCAGAGACATGCGACGTGTCGCCGGCAAGTAGCTCCGCCTTTAGTGACCATGGCGGCGGATCGGGTAGCCCGGCCAAGAACGCCTCGCAGTGTTCGATGGTCTCTCGGAAAAGTTGACAGTGCTCAATCAGCGCTTTTCCCATACTGGGCCATTGTGCACCTTGGCCGGTGAATATCCCGAGAACTCGGGGCGTCTCGTTCGCATTTCGTGATTCCGTGCGTGTCACCGATCCGCTGTTGGACTCTGGCTCGCAGGCGGTCCTGAGGAAATCATCCATGTTTTCAACGATCTTCTCGCGGCTGAACCCGGAGAAGTAGTGCTTGACTGGGAATGCCTTGCGTTTCTCTTGGAGGACTGAAGTCAGAGCTTCGAGGTCCACTGACGGGTTCGACTTGATGAAGCGGGTGAATCTCCTGATGCTTGCATACAGAGATGATTCGGTCCGCGCGGAGAAAACCAGAGGCCCTCGAACGTATCCTCTTGCCGGATCTCGGGCTATGTTGTTCTTCTCGACGTCGTAGCTCTCCACAATGGCGTGGGCATTGGTCCCACCAAATCCGAAACTGTTGACACTGACGCGCCGAGGTCCAGTGGAAACCTCCGGCCAGGCAATGGGGTTCCCCAGGATCTCGAGGTTCCGGTAAAAGGGCCCAACTGCTGGATTGAGCGTTGCGAAGTGCATGTTGGCAGGCACTGTCCGATTCTGGACAGCCAGAGACGCTTTGAGAACCCCTGCCAGCCCCGCGCACCCCTCGAGATGGCCGATAACGGTTTTGACGGAGCCGACATACAATTTGCTCTCTTCGTGCTCCCGGGATGTGGGGAAGAACGTGTTGGCGATCGCTTGAGCCTCGATGGGGTCGCCTGCTTGCGTTCCGGTCCCGTGGCATTCGAAATACTGGCACCGGTCCGCCTCAGGGTCCAGTCCAGCCCCGCTCGCTTGTACGTCTCTCGGATGAGCGTTGCCTGGGCTTCTGCACTTGGCATCGCGATGCCCTTGGTACGCCCGTCAGAGTTGACGCCCGTCTCTCGAATGATGCATTCGATGTCGTCGCCGTCTGCCAGGGCTGCACTCAAAGGCTTCAGCAGGATTGCCGCAACACCCTCGCCTCTCGCATATCCGTTTGCAGATTTGTCCCACATTCGGCAGCGGGATTCGGGCGACAGCATCTGCAGTTTGCTTTCCATGATGTAGGTGGACGGGTCAAGCAGCATGTTGGCGCCGGCGACAATGGCAGCGGTTGACTCTCCACTCCGAAGGCTTTGCACTGCCTGATGTAGGGCTACTAACGAGCTCGAGCAGGCCGTATCGACCGTCATCGATGGTCCCCTCAAGTCGAAGACGTACGATATGCGGTTGGACATGATGCTGCGGGACACGCCGGACGCCGCGTATGTTGGCATCGTGTCCGTATCTCGCATTGTAATGTCCCAGTAGTCACCTGTCATGAGGCCAACGAAAACAGAGGTCAGAGTGCCTTGCATCTGTTCCATCGTGTAGCCTGCGGCTTCGAGCGTCTCGTACACCGTTTCGAGTAGGATACGTTGTGCAGGGTCCATTGAAGCAGCTTCCAATGGATTGGTGTTGAAGAATGCAGCGTCAAACACGCTGATGTCTTCAGTAAGGAGGTAAGACTTGCTCTTGACGTCAGTGCTTCCATGGTGGCCCTTGTTCGAGTTGTAAAAGCTCGAGAGCCTAAGTCTAGCATCGGAGAAGTCCTGTAGGACGTCTCGAGGGTCGCGAAGCAGTCTCCACAGCTCTGAAGGGGACGACGAACCACCGGGGAATCGGCATCCCGAGCCGATGATGGCAATTGGTTCCGAGGTTGGGGTCATGATCCTTGAAGTGGCCTTGTGGGATGTTGTGTGTAAGACTGGGCAGCTGGCATTGCCGAAGCTCATTTTACATATCTCTCTGCTGTACTGGCAACAGAATGACAGCCCACAAGCCAGCTCGATCTGTGATCAGGCTTTGAGGGCGCTAAAGCTATTGAGACATGATCGACATGTGACACAAACGTCGAGATAGCATGTAGTAGGCTTCAACTGCTGCCTACCGAGGGTGCCTATGGTAGTCATTAGGGCTGATACTGCGCCCCACACTTTAAATTAACTTTACCCTCTCACTCCATTTTTGCATCAAGGGGACTCTCGAATATTTCTAAAACGCAACAAAGGTAGAGGCGTTTTCTTTCAAGCCTTTTCCATCTTTGTGGATGAAGAAAAAGGAAAGCTTCTGACGAGCTTTAGCGACCGAACGAACATCGGCTTGGACTAACACCTGGACTTTCATGTGAGGATCGTGTCAAAAAGCCAGGATCTACACACCCCTTCAAGTTTGCACAGCATGCACGCAACACCTTTCAGCCGCCTCTTCGCAAATTTTTACCATAATGAGCGCATACTCAACTAGGGTTGGTGCCGCTCAAGCCCTCTCTTCCTCCAAACTGAGTGTGCATAAATGACCCAGGGCTTGAGATATCGTATGTCAATGCTTATCAGCCCCTTGTAGATTTGAGGACCAATTAATCTTTCAGGAAATGCAGTACGAATGGTACAAAGCGCTGATGCCGAAGCGTTATCTGGGGACCAGGTTGAAGTTTCGGGTCAGGATCGACAGTTTGTGGACAGTTGGTAGAATGTGAGTGGCTGGGGTTTTGTGGTGTAGTCCTGAAATGGTTTTGACTACGCCGCGTTAAGTGGGGATTGTCCATGTTAGGAAGTAGGACATGCTCGAAAGGTGAGGTGGGGCCAGCGATGCGCCGCCCAGTTCTTCAAGAAAAATAGGGGTTTGGGGGTTTGGGCCTGTGGGTCGATGATGCGATCGCATTCTTTTTGGGGGAAAAATCAGCAGCAGGCTGCAACAGCTGTACTTTGAACGACCATATTTTTCCGTTTCTCTTTTCGACTCTGCTGCCTAGATGCCCATCTGCATCCCGTGCAGCTGAGCACACTCAAATCCAATTCAGTACCACCGCGGTAGAATTTAATGCGAACGCTGAGTGGCTCCAACGTGGCCAGCCCCAGTGAAGTCCCGATACCATACCAGTCCCGACGATCTCAAATCAGCCTCATATAGCGGCTTTGAGGTAGCACATGAGAGCCTTGCGCTGAGGTTCTTCTGACCCATTGAACTTTTGTGACCAGTACAGACCCTTCGCACCGATGGCCAAACCCTCCGCAACCCGCACCGACACCTCCGCAGGCGTAGCCGCGTACTCCTCCATCTTTCTCCGCCTTCTCTACGACTACCTCGTCCTCGGCCTATACTGCCGCTTCGCCTGGCGCTGTCCCACCCACCCAACTCTCACCACTTTCTTCAACTCACACGTGCCTACCACCACCACCTCCTCCTCCACAGACCGACGCCAGCTCCGCATGCTCGACATCGGCGTCGGCACCGGCTACTTCCTCGAACAAGCCCCCCTCTCCGCCGCCGGCATCTCCGACGTCGTCCTCGTCGACCTCAACGCCAACTGCCTCGCGCGCACCGCGCCGCGCGTGCAGGCCGCGCATCCACACGTCAACTGCATCCCCGTGCAAGCCGACTTCTACCGCCTCGACGACAGCCGCTTGCTTGCTGCGTCACCCACGCCCTCCTCGTCCTCCTCCCCTTCCGACGACCACGGCGGCGATGCTCACCACCACCACCGCGGCTTCGACGCCATATCCGCGATGCTCCTCCTGCACTGCCTGCCGGGCCCACCGGCGCGCAAGGCCGCGGCGCTGTGCGGGCTGCGGACGCTCATGGATGCGGAGCGGGGCGTGTTGTTTGGGGCGACGGTGTTGGGGGACGGGGTGGGGCACAATGTGTTGGGGCGGTTGCTGATGCGGTGGCATAATGCGGTTGGGATATTCGACAACAAGGGCGATGAGGCGACGGGGTTTGTGGAGCCGTTGAGAGAGGCGTTCAAAGACGTCGAATGGAGGGTTGAGGGAAAGATGCTGTTGTTTGAGGCGAGGGGTCCGATTTTGTGATTGCCCCTTCAGCCTTATGCTAGTGTTGCGGCCTACGCCTCAAGCCTTGTTGATGATGCGGGGTAAGCGCCTTCATCATACGTGTACAAGGGCTCGGGCTCGCGGATCCCACTCTTTCCGGCATTTTCCCTGTCTATGCTTTGGAAAGAATTATGGACACTCCGCTCATACCCGTCCTAATCCCAAGACCCTTTGCTTTTCACAGCCTTGACTCCATGCCTCACCTTCAATGCTGTCTGTCCCAAGCACCTGATCACCCCGATTCTCCTGAAAGTCGTCCCTTTTACACCACCTTCCCTATTAACGGGTTCAGGCAGCAACACAGTTATATTTTCCCGAATACACTGCAACGAAGAGGAAGAAAGTATCGTAGAATACTTTCTTATTGCTTGGTTATGTTTTCGGTGTTCCCATTGATTTGAAATTCCGCTGAGGTGATTGTTTAAAGCCCTTCGGCTTGGCCAAAGTATTCGGCAGAAACTGCATCGGCCGCGTGCTGGCAAACCCGCTATCAGCAGCTAGGTCCTCGTCAAAATAATGTAGTGCTGCCCATCCATCATAGCTTGGCTTCGAGAGCTGTGTTGTGTTGCCAATTGCTGTAAATTTGACATTAAATCTTGCGCAGTAGTGGTACTCATGCGTGGCAATTATCACGAACGGGTACCCTCTTTAAAAGGTGTCCAAGTACGAACATTGGTCTGCAGGATCATCCAGTACGAACCTCAATCTCCAAGCTGGCTAATGCAAGGGACAACTTTCTGTTGGATGAAGAACCACGCGCATCGAGGGGTTGGATCATCTGGTGGTGGGGGATGGCGGGGTGCCTGGGATGCAGATCGGCAGCTGAGTAGCGGCTGGACTCCAACCACCTGCAGCGGGCTGGCTGGGATCTTCAGTTCGATGATAGCGCCGCGCGGCCTGCGCGGAAGGGATAATCCTTCGGGTCGTTGTCCCTGCCACCCGCCCGCTAAAAATCAACTAACTCGCCAATGATGTGGGGTAAATAATAGTAGTTCTAATGGTTTGCTTAACATCTTTAGGCCTCCACTACCATCTCTACAACCAAGGGAAATTGAAAGAGCCCTCAGTTCTCCGCCGGTGCATGTCTTCCAGCCACACGCCTGTGCAAGGCATGATCTTCAATCGGTCTCGGCGTGGTCCTCGCTTAGCATACGTTGGATGAAGATAAGCAGGAAGGTTCGTAAAGTCAAGAGTTTTTGACAGGTCGTATTTGGGCGCAGCGCTCGCGCCTTGGCACACGGTATGAAGACCTAGTGTGCCAGCCTTCGTGACGATTCCAATTGACATTTTTATCATACGTAGAATTGATATCGTTAGTGAGGCAGCCGGTGAGGGGCACTGGCGAATGAATCACTTGAAATTCGATCCGTCCGAGGATTCCAGTTGCCTGATTCACGCAGCGAGACACTGAGAGAGGAATACAAGCTTCCATTGCGCTGAATCGGGCAAGCTACAATGGTTCGACTCGCGTGTATGCCGGATGGTGATGTTCTCTGGGACCGAACGTGCCGCGGTCGGCAGAAGTTGTTGTAGTAGAAGAAGGTCGTGTCATTGCGCATAGATACTAACTTGGGCGAACGCCAAAGCTCTGGCGATCGGACGAATCCCTGCCATCGATACGTACTTGTACATGTACGATGACATGGGAATGGCTGGTCAAGAGTCGCGTCCCGTCCCGTGCGGGGTCCGGATACGCTAGTCGGGGTCTACCTGAGAAGATGTTTGGGGAACAACGTGATCTGGAGCTGTGCCGATTGGTTTTGCCATGTATCCATCCTCGTCCGTGCCGAGTGGAGCAAGTGATGACCTATTGCAATCGACGCACTATCTTCCGGACGGCCTGCTGTCGGAGGTGAGTCGTCGCGCGCTTGGCACTGGAGTACCTCATTCAGCTTCCTCTTTTTGGCAGGCTGATGCCTCATCAGTCAAGCGTGCATCGCGCAATGGCTGGTGTGCGGCTGGAATTGCACATTTACTGAGTCCCAAACGATCCCCCACGACCCGAGCGCGCGCCGCGTCTCTTCTGGAGGAGAGCCGGTCCAGATGCGAGGCTGGCATGACTTCACAATGATTGCGTAGCTGTACTAGCATTGTCTCGTGCAAAGTCCAGCCACTAGTTAGAGCAAGCCACAAAATGAACATAAGAAGGGCGCTCATCACTCTTCTTTCAGTCCAAGGGTCAAGGGCATTCGTCACTCTGGATTTACTTGTATCATCTATAATACGCCCGCCAAACCCTTCACTAAGCCACCTCAACGCTGATATCCAATCGTAACTGGCAGTCAATTTCCCCTTCAAGATGGCGGAATATCACACCAATGGGTAAGACCAAACCATGGCCCCTGAGAGCTGTGCTAACAGACCCGGAAGAGAGCATCCGCTCTTCATCGACAGTGATTTGGCCAACAAGAGAAAAGACTCATTTGACGTATCGCCCACTACGGTACGTCGGTCCAGCGTCACCATACTGCGAGACAGCACTATGCGAGCGTCGGGCAAGGTGAGAAATGAGCTCAGCACCCCGCAGCGTACACTCATGGAGAACGAAATCAAAAATGTGGACGGGTTCCTCGACTACGTCGCACATCTGCGCCTCCGCTACATGCCCCACCAAGGCAGCAAGTGGGACCGGGTGCTGCAGTGGGCCGAGTTCTTCGGCAGCGCGGTGCATCACTTCCAGGTAGCCGCCCAGAGCGTCATGAACTGCGGCGACGACGCGGCGCAGCTGATCTGGGGCAGCTGCCGCGTGCTGTTGGAAATGGGGATGCAGCGGCTTGACATGATTCACACGGCGTTTGCGCTCTTCAACGACGCCGCCCTCATGCTCGCCCAATTCTCCGAGAACAAAGACATGTTCAGCAGCAGTGGGAACAATGTCCAAGAGAGCCTGGCAACCGCCTACGGTGACCTCGTCAGTCTCGTCGTGGACGTCTCCGTACACTACGTCAACGGCGGCAGCATTGCCGAGTTCGACGCTCGATTCGCACGCCGCGCCGACGCCCTGTTTTCATCCAGGGAGCACATAATCGCGTCGTTCTGGAAAACGCAGCTGCAAATGCGCTTCGGCAAGGACATCACCACCGAAATCGAGCAGATCCGGTACTTCCTCTCGCCCAGTGACACGGTCGTCCGGGCTCACTTTTCGAAAAAGCTGAAGTCGCGCGAGCGCCACGTCGAGTACACGTGCGAATGGTTTGATCCGATGCTCCGAGAGTTCACGTCGGGCGACGACAACGTTTTTCTCGTCACGGGCAAGCCGGGCTGCGGCAAAACCGTGCTCTCGCAGTGGATCATGGAGAGGTTGCGACGCCAGCAGGACCGAGCCAGCTACAACGTGGCGTGTTTCTTTGTCGAGAGCGACTTTAAGACGGAGATTTCGCCGCTCAGCATCGCCAAGGGCCTGCTGCTCCAAGTGTTCGACAGCAGCATTGGCGATGTGGACTTGTACGAGCAGATCCTGGCTCTCGAGCAGCGGCCTCCTGTCGACGGTCTTGCTATGGAGCAGGCCCTGTGGACCGCCATGGAGGGAGCCCTGAAGCGTAAGCGTACCATGCTGATCGTTGACGGCCTGGACAAGGTTGTTGGCGGCGATGATGCCGGCGTGAGGGTGCTGGACCGGTTGCACTCCATAACCTCGCAGAGCAGCGGCACCAAGGCAGTCGTGATGTCGGAGCCGCTGAAGAAAGCCGGATCGCACCGAGCGCGGCTGTTCACCATCGAGACGAAACACGTGCAGCAGGACATGGACCGTGTCCTGCATGGAGTCGTCAGCTCGTCGTTCCCGTCGCTGAACAACAACGAAAAGTCCAACTTGGTCCACCGCGTGGTGGCTCTTGGAGACGGGTCGTTCGCCCACGCCATGCTCCTCCTCGAAATGAGCAAACGCGAGAAGACCCTGTCAGGCATGATGAGCGCGCTGGACAGGGCCCCACGCACCATGGCCGAGTGCGGCAAGAAGCTCGTGGACATGGTGGACCTGCACCAACGGGACACGAGATCCACTGTTGCCTGGCTCCTGGCCGCACAAAGGCCTTTGACGGTCCGGGAAATCAGGACCTTCCTGGCAGTAGACACGTCCCAGCTCACGGCATCCACGCGAATCTCCGACGCCGAGAACGACTTGCGCCATGCCCTGGGCCCTCTGATCCGCATACAAGACGGCGTGGTCCGTTTCCGGTTCCCTCTGATTCAACAGCAGTTGGTCGAGCTGGCGTCGGCCGTGAAAGACTTCGGGGCCAAGGAAGCTCGCTTCCCATTCAACATGCAGGAAGCCAGCTGCGACATGGTCAACCGCTGCCTGGCCGATGTCAAAATGTCGGTGACGGAACACTGTGAACCATCAGTGGAGCCGATGCCGGCGGACATGCTGGAACGCATGTTTGACAACCACAGCCTGTTGGAATACACGGCGCGGTACTGGGCCGTTCACTTCAAGCAGTCGCCCATGTACATGAAGGACGGCAAGCACAAGCTCACATCCGAATTCAAGTACGTCTTCCCGGCATCCACGACGCTCGCCGTGCTCGAGCACTCTTGCTGGACGGCCGAGATGGTGTCGTACCACACGCTGGCCCTGCAACTCCGCCAAACGGTCGTCCCGGACCACGAAGAAGCCATCTTCCAAACCCTAGTGTCCCTCGCCCGCACACACCAAATGGTGTCCAACACCAAGGAGGCCAGCACCTACTACCACGACGCCTTCACCCTCGGATCCCGACTCTTCGGCAAGCAAAGCAGCATGGTCTCCATCGTCGTCTCCGGCTTCATCGACACGACCCAGCCCACAAAGGAGAACCTGACGACGCGCGAAGAGCTCCTCGAGTACCTCGTCGGGTACCAGCGTCACTCGCGCGGCGCCTCGGCGCAGCACACGATCAAGTACGCGCGCATGCTCGTCCAGCTGTACAAGGAATCGGGCAAGATGGCGCGGGCGATCGAGCTGGAGGAGGAGCTGCACAACATGTGCATCGAGCACTACGGCACGCACCACGCGGTGACGGAGGAGGTGCTGGAGGGCCTGATGGCGCTGCTCAAGGAGGCGGGCAACACGGAACAGCTGACACGCATGCGCATCTCCAAGTACGAACGTGCCCGGCGCTCGCTCTCGCTGTCGGACCCGGCGCTGGTCAGGGCGGCCCGGGATATGGTGGCGTTTTACGAGAAGAACGGCCAGGTGCAGCGCGCCGAGGAGGTGCTGACGGAGCTGTGGCAGTCGCTCACCCAGGCGTGCCAGAGCCGCGGGTCGGTGACGCTGCAGGAGCGGAAGCTCGAGGTGGCCATGGCGTATCAGACCTTTTTGCATCACCATGGACGGGCGCAGGATGCCCAGAATGTGCTGGTCGGCGTGTGGACCGAGTATCAGGACGAGCTGGACACGGAGAACAGGCTGTCCGACCATCAGCTGCGCAATATCCTTGCTATCGGCCGCGAGCTGCAGCAGCACCGCTTGCTGGAGGCTGCGAAGAAAGTCTTCAGCAGCATGTGGGGCTATCTACGCCGCGTGAACGAGCAGCACAGTGCCTTGGCCGTGGAGACGGCTATGTGCCTGTCCAATGTCTCGAGAGAATTGATGGAGGCAAAGATCGGGGCGACGGCTAACTCCTCCTCCTCCTCCTCTTCTTCCTCGACTGAAAGCCGCGAGGTGTCGGAGGAATCGATCAGCGAGCTTGAGGAAATCATGGAGTCCATCACCTCGATCATAAAGACCATGTCCACGCCCTCTGCCTCTGGCCCTTCAGAAACCATTTCATCATCGTCATCCAAAAGGGAGCACAAGACTTCCAGCTCGGCATCGGCCAGCCTCGTCACCACCGCCGGTACTCTCAGCTCCTTCTACGTCTCCCAAAAGCAGTGGCGCAAGGCAACAAGCACCTGCATCAAAGCCCTCGAAGTCGCGTGGCCCTCGGTCATCGCCGCCTCGGGCAAACCCGAGCTGCCATCCCGCGACGCGGACCGCATCGTCGCCATCGCAACGGCCAAGCGCCTGGCCTTCTGCTACTTCACCCAGCGGCAGATCAGCAGGGCGGAGCATATCCACGTGCGCGTCTTCCAGGCCACCAAGGTCCTCGGCGTGCGCGACGAGCGCTGCACCCGCGCCGCGTACCAGTTGGTCGAGTTCTACGAGACCGTCTACCAATTCGACAAGGCCGTCGACGTCTTGATGGATCTGCACGCCATGCAAAAGAAGACGTTGACCGCGTCGGATGCCGTGACCATCATGACGGCGTACCGGCTGGCCAGGAGCTGTCGAGAGCTGCAGCGGGACGAGGATGCGGAGAGGTACTTCGTTGAGATCGTGAAGGCGCTCAGCAAGGCGTCGGACGACGAGATACTGGAAAAAGAAGCCATCGAGGCTGCCTTTGCAATGTGCGAAATGTACATTGAGACGCAGCGATGGGGCGATGCCCGGAAGCTCTACACCAAGCTCTGGAAGACGGTGCTGACGCAGAGCACCGGCTACGGCTGGACGGAGCAACGCGTCGAAGGGTTGTACGTTGGGTTCTTCGACGTGCTGCAAACGAAGCTCAAAGTCGACGACAAGATGCTGCTGCAGATCACCACTGAATATCAGCAGCGTGTCGTGGTGCTATTCGGCGAAGACAGTGAGGTCAGCATCAAGGCGTCGCTGCGGCTGGCTGAGATGTACGAGCACAGCGAAGAGCACAGCGAACGCGCCGTGCCTCTCTACGAAAAGGCTCTGTCTTGGTCGGGCAAGACGACGGCTGTGGATCAAAAGCTGCTCAAGTCCCTCACGGAGTGCCGCCAGCGCCTGGCGAACCTGTACTCGAAGCAGAAGGGCACCTCGTCCAAGGGTCTCACCATCTACCGCGAGGAAATCCACAAGACGGCGGCCACGCATGGCTTCGCGTCCAGCCAGGCGATGCGACAGCTCAGCGAGTTCTGTGCCAACAGCGATTCCAAGGAGAGCCGCACCCAAGCCCTCGAGCTGCTCCAAACCGCCATCCGCGACATCCTCGTCAAGGAGCGCAGCGCCGAGAAGCAGGTCGATGCCGCCCACTCGATTGTCCGCATGTACGTGCAGCTGGAGCACCGCCAGACGGCCGTGGACCTGCACACCACCATCCGCCGCCAGATCGTGTCGGGCGAGTACCAAACCACGGGCAACAACGCATTCAACCTGCAGGGTGCGGGCCAACACTCGTTCGCCTTCGTCGTCGCCATGGAGGAAGCCCTCGCCGACGGCCGGCACCACTTCAGCGAACTGATGGCCACGCTCATGACCGAACGCCTCCTCCACCAAAACTACACGCGCGCCGTCAAAGCCGACGTCAGCTTCGACACGCTCTTCTCCCACGGCGCGCGCCTCGTCGCCTTCTACACCACCCACTCCCGCCCCGAAGAAAGCAAGCAAACCGAAGCCGACCTCCTCCAGCGCTTCGCCCGCGTATTCGACGCCCAAGCCACCTCATCCACCTTCCGCGCCTTCTTCCGCACCTGCCTCCACGAAATGGGCACCACCGGCCGCGACCACGTCGTCGTCCAGTCCGCCGCCTCCACCCTCCTCGACCACCTCCAAGCCTCGCGCTTCCGCGACGCCCACGAGCTCAGCGGCTACATCATCCGCTTCCTCACCCTCTACTCGACCTTCTCCTCGCAAGACAACGTCTCGACCGCCTTCCGCCTCGCCCTCCGCCTCAGCGGCCGCACCGAACCATCTTCTTCCAGCACCACCTCCACCGGCTCCACCACCGGCCCCACCACCACCACCGCCCCCCGCGCCCCTCCCGTCCCCCAATGCCCCGACAAAAAACTCCGCGCCCTCCTCACCGACGACGCCTCCTCCTTCCTCCGCCTCGCCGTCGCGCGCCTCGACGCCCTCGGCGTCACCGCCATGCCCCTGCACGACCTCAACCAGCTCGTCGGGCTGCTGGGCGAGCTGCGCAACTGGGAGGCGCTCGAGGCGGTGCTCTCCGCCGCGTGGTCGTCGCGGCACAACGCGCCCGGCGGCGGGGGAGCCGCGCCGTGGCCCGCGCACACGGTCGTGGCGCTGGGCGCGCGGCTGGTGCAGGTAAGGTTCCAGCTGCCCGGGTGCAGGGCGCAGGCGTTGCATCTGGCGGCGGATATGGCGTATAATTTGCGGCGGACGTGGGGGTTGTTGGATGGGGAGACGTTGGGGATGTTGAGGCTGTTGGCGGGGTTGGATGTCGTGGCGGGGGAGGCGGGGGCGGCGTTGGAGGTGCGGGGGAGCGTGTTGAGGGGGGTGTTGGAGGGGGTGGAGCATGGCGTTTTTGGGAGGGAGGAGGCGGCGGTGGTGGCGGCGAGGGAGTTTGAGTTGTTGCGGGTGACGCATGCGGCATGTGGGGGGTGGAGTGCGGGGGATGTGGCGACGTTTGGGAGGTTGCAGGTTAGGCTGGGTGATGTGTTGGGGAAGGAGGAGGCGTGGAGGAAGTGCAAGGATGCGCAGGAGGGGGTGGAGGGGTGGAAGGCGCCGAAGGGGAAGGAGCAGAGGCTGGGGGAGCTGGAGAAGGTGGGCATGCCGGAATCGTGGGAGTTTCTGGGGACAGATGAGGAAGGTCATGTGCATCGGAATAATCTGAGGAGGACGAGTGGGTTGGAGAGGCCGAGGAGCCCTGCTGCCATGTTGCATTCTGGGGGCGGTCATGGTGGGAGTGGAAAGACTGTCACGCCGCCCAGGGAGCGGGGGTCGCCGGAGATGAAAGGGGAGCACAAGATAGGAGAGCTAAAACCGGTGAAGAGGCAGAAGGCCGGAGTCGATGACGACATGCTTCGGGCGTTGGAAGGAGGTCCTGTTGGTGGGCCCATTGGTGGGAAATAATTCGGTTTGTGTCGTTGCTGGCTTCATGTTTACCTGTCTGGTTTTCTTCAGTATTCAGCTCTTCGTATGTCTTTATCTACGTAATCGCTTTTTGATCAGCATACAACTCGGACACTTCCTTGGAATTGGTGAATGCTACATGAGCAAATGCCTAACAATATGATGCCAGTACCGATGCGAAGGTGCTTCGATTGGAAATGTGCCCCAGCTCTGGGGTTCACTTCGGAGGTTCAATCTCGTCAACGATCACGGAAACACCTCGACCCAGTTCGCGGAGGTGTGTGAATGGTACCTTTCCTGTAGTGTAGACGGCATGAGGGACGGTAGTGACAATTTCCATGTCCAAAAGAAGGGGATTGTGTCATCAAGCGTGGTGAACGAAGTCTGTCTGTAAGCCGCGCAGTAACTGGCTGCCTGGAGTTCACCTGCACGTCAGCATTGTGCAACAGTAAACCATACCCCGGACCACCATCTTGTTTACATGCCCGTATCTACTCTTTCGCTTGTGGAATTCTACATATATCCCCGGCGCAAGCAAGTCTTGGCACCATGTCTCTCCACAATCATCACCATTGGATAGTTAACAGTTTTAGCGGGTTGGCTGGACCTGCTGCGACTTACGTCACCAACCCGACCAGCTACGCTGCAGAATTCCCTAATGATTTAGAAAGCCGTCCTCTCGCTCCAAGCCACAGCCCCGCTCCGCTCGATAGAATTCCGCCTCAACTCACCTCTCTCCTTCCGGTCTCTATTAGCGGAGCTCTACCATGCCGCTCTTCCACCCGACTGCCTGACTGGCACTCAACCCGTTCTCATTCTCACTCACTCAGGCTTTCCCGCTTGCCGCTGTGTAGCTCCAAAAAAAATTCCTTTTCCGGTTTTTTTTTAACGGATATTAAATTCTGGTGTCTCGGAGAAGGACAAAGGAGACCAAATAAATGGACGACAAAGTTGACTTTGCCCACGTTGAAGTGATCCTTGCTGAAGCAGCTGAAATGCAGAAGGCCGTCGACAGGACAAATCTTGCTATGAAGAGGTGCCCCGAAGGATAGAAGATTGGATTGCTTGTTGATACGCCGGAGCCGTAGCGTTACGACTGTCGTCGGGCAGCTGCGGCGTGCGGAAGTTTTCATTGGCTGAAGTTCACGCTGCCCGTGAGGGAGTTCATCTCAGGGTTTTCGAAAACCAGAAGACTTATCGTTTTCTTCGCGTGCGGCTGAGCAAGTATCCATCCTTCTGGGAGTGGAAAAGACAAAGTCGCTGTCCAGATTGTGGTCATCGTCATAAATTTGGTCCAAGTTGTTCCATGATCAGCGCCGAGCACAGCCACGGATATCAACGTAGCTAAAGGCGTCCATGGTATTCACCGAGCAGATGAGTGCGAACTTCCCATTGACTGTCTGGAGGCATTGATTCCAAGAAGTACCACCATTCACCCATACTCTTCTACGTCCTACTATCAAGCCAAAGCTTCCACGTAGTATCAGCTTTCGAGAAGGGTCTATCCACTTAGCGCGATACTGGATAGGTTTCCATACTGTATCGCTGCAATATCTGAGCCTTCGGACAGTGTACATGTGATATCTTGAGTAGCTGCAAGCTGTGAGCTCTCGCTTCTAAGCAGGACGGATGCAGCTTCACCGGATCAACCTCCGCATCCGCATCGTACAGATCCCAGTCGTCCTTCCCGCACGGCTTATTCATCCAAATCACCTTTCGGTTCCCCTCCCGGATCGCTAGCATCTTCCAGGATCTCGGAGAACCCTGCAACCTACCAGTGCAGGTGGGCCTCTTAGCCAGGTACACCTTTGAGGGCATCGGAAAATGCTTCCATGTGTTCCATCATTTGGCTACCTCTGGCAGCATGTCTGTCCGTCCCGGTGGAGAGCATTGGCCTAATTAGTCAAAAGGCCGAGGCGGGGTAGAAATTGGTAGGCCGTGCGGTCACTCCTCTAATGCAAATCGCAGTCGCGAAAAAGTCGACGTACTCAAGGTGTTGGTTAGTAATGGTAGGACTGTGTAGGACAGAGTTGAGTGTTGGGAATCGAATGTAGTCATGTCTAGGAATGGAGTTGTTGGCCGCATAATCGTCCGCCAACGATGCGGCAAGTAAGCAAGCTGATTTTCTATGTCCGCTGACCACAACCGGTGATATATGATGGGGAAGTAAGCTGACTGGCCCGCCTGACATGACTTCCGTTGTGTCCTTTTTGTTTCAATGGTCACCGAGGTCCAGTAGTAGGCGCGGTGAAACCTTGACTGCCTTGGTGTCTCAAAGTCATCTACTCGAACTTTCAATCTTGATCCATGCTTGCCATGGCTTCTCCTCAGCTGAGGTTGCGTGGACTGGTCGATCCATTACGGATTCTCCGTACAATGCACTTCGGAAGCATGGTGACGACGCAACGATCCAGATAGCGTTATGCAATGCGCACTAGGGAAGTGAAAACGAGGGTAGTTTAAACTTGTCGCTTTATTGCTGCTTGCTTTCGGACTAGCATATGCGCGATCATCTTTCGAGCGGCAGACCAATAGATCTAAGGTGGGGTTGACGGCACCAGCTCCATAAGCGTGGCCAAAGAGGATTCAGATAGGGTGGTACATGGATATGGAACTCGATCTTCCGCATAATCCCTAATACCCATACTATCTTCTAGGTGATGAAATCGCAACACCTTGATTGCGAATTGAGAGCTCCGCTATACAATCCATACGGATCTTTCTACCGGGTGTTACAGTTCTCGAACTCGGCTATCGCAACTGTACCCCGCGCGTTTTTGAGTTGCACCAGAGTGCGGCTGAACGCTGTCAACCAATCAACCAGACGCCTGTCAAGTCTTCCAAGCACGAGTGTTGTGTAACACCTTTCTGAGCTGACGACATGAACTTCAGCTCAGCCACGGCACCCAGGGTTTTCGCAGGTTGCAGGTTGTCCATCACGCCTCAGCTGTGCTATAACACATCTGGAAGGAATGAGAGTGGTGGTTCGCAAGCCAGCATGAGAGAGGAAACACCATAGGTACTGGAAGTCAATCACTGCTCTATTCGGTAAATGCATGGCTTCCGGCGCCGAAGCTCACCGTATTAGCGTCTCAATCTCATCAGTAGTAGCAGACCGAGAAGTTTTTGTGGTCTGTCTTGTCGCTGCTGTATATAAGAAAGCCTTCTTTCTCTCCCAATTCACATTCATCACTCAACCTCCTCTCCAGTCTATTACCACAATGGGCAGTCTCAAGCAGAAGCCAGCCTTGTATATCCCCCCAGAGGGGATCTCCTTCCGCCTCGCCGGATTTGCGAGCTCCTGTGTTTTATTCTCCCGCCACCATGAGTCTCCATCCTTTGGCCATTTCCCTCTCGGTGAGATATACGCCGACCAGTGGTGGCAGCTGGTTCCGGGGTCCGGAGAGCACGAAGGGCGGTACTTGATCAAGAGCGATCGGACCAAGGAAGTGATTTGGTCTCGAACCAACATGAAACCCTATGTCGGAACCATCGATGTTTCGGGCGGCAGCTACTCTGACAACTGGTTTGTACTCGAGCCAGGCACCGGGAAGCTCACCAACTACTTTCGACTAGTCTGTCCCTACTCCAACACCGTCCTGTTCTCGCGCACCCACATGTCCCCAGAGGTTGGGAACTTCCACGCAGACGGCGACAAGTACGACGACCAGTATTTCCACTTTTTGTTCGAGGACATGGACGTTGAAAGCATTCACTTCGACGTCGACAAAGGGGAGATAGTGAACTCGGTCCCACTCGTGATTGCTCGGCAGCGACTGGTCAATGACACCTCGGTGCCCCAGAGCCTTTCTTCAACATTCACCAAGTCAGAGCAGCGGGAGTCGTCGTTCGAGTATACCCGCGGCTTCGCGGTCACAGTGGGGCTTGAATTTTCCGCTGGCATACCCATTGTGGCCGACGGCAAGATCAGCGTGTCAACGACCGTCAGCAGCGAGTTCAAGTGGGGAACAACGACCACAACCACCGAGTCATTCTCAGACACCTTCAATGTCACTGCGCCGGCGAACAGCAGCGTCATTGCCTCCGCGACCGTCCATCGATACGAGCTCAGTGTACCATACACCATGACTTTGAAGTCTCGGGCCACGGAGTACGAGATCAAGACGGAGGGTGTGTATCATGGAGTCAGTTTCCACGACCTCGTTTGCCACTATTCGGAACCAGAGGATAAGAATAAGAAATGAGGGCTATGGGGGATGGATCGGACTGAAGTCTCGACGGGTCAAATTGGATACGGAGAGTAGCGCATGATGGGTGTGCTTGGAGCCTGCAGAGTTAACTCGTTCATGTTGCGGTATCTTTTGTTTTCTTTTCTCTCTTTCGCTCTCTTTTTCTTTTAGCCAGGAATCACGGGTCGACACACGCTCTTTTCACAGCAATCAGAAACATGTCCAAATCGATTCACCGTTTTTCCTTGGAAGGAAGTGTGAGCTAGTCTCGCACGGAATTTCTAGTCATATACTTGAATCCCACGTATCCGCATCGCCTTCGAGGAAATCTGTACTGAAGCTTGCAACAACGGAGCGGCTGTCGATGCGTCTCGACACCAAATGCGACACGGGATGGGCAAAAGAAGTTTTAATCACACGTTTTTTTGAGTTCAACAGTGCTTCTAATCAAGGTTTGCAATGGCTGCTTGAGACCTCGATACGCAGAGAACGTCAGACTTTTCTCTGGCCGGGGAATGATTCCTGCAAAACTTCGTGCACCATGAACTGTCGCTGGTGGTAAGAAATCACCTGGAGTGCTTAGTATATTGCAGTGAACGTGCTCTACCACGGTCTTATTTCTAACCTCGCGACATGAAAATGCTTATTCCCTTAAGCTTGCAAAGACATCCCAATCAATTGCCCCAATTGGTAAGCCGCTTTTCCAAGAAAGGTAACGATATGATAGCTTACAGCCTCTAGACGGAACTTTGCGAATTTGTGAAACTCCTCACTACTAACATTTACAATCTCCAACGTCATCTAAATTGCTTCTGTCCTGCTTCCTAGGACGTGGTTTTTTAATTGTTGAATTCACTTGGTCGTACCTCGTGGGTGGTGGTCTGCTTGTTGACTTCGTGTACTACGCTCTGCATCCGCACGCGCCGCTAGCGCCGGGCACGCAAGGGTACCATCACTTGATAAGATCTTGGCGATTGATAGGTGGGCCACTTCTCGGGATCTCTAGCGCGGGAGATGGATTGGATATAAAGGCTTTTTGCGGAGGTTGAAACACACTATATCGTAACAGGGCAAGTTACATTGGTAAGAGAGGGCTGAAAGTCCGGCAAGGGAGATCAACTGCCGTTGGAGGAAGTTGCTAGGCCGATAGGGCTACCGGTATCCGCCGGGGAATTGTTCAACTCGGGCATAGGCCAACGAAGAAGCGCGCGGGAAACGGCAAAGAAATCAGCGGACCGCCCCGCCGTGAAACGTTTGACAAGGCGTCCGTGTTGATCTCGGGGCACTCAATAAAAAGCCCGTCCGCCGGCAAAAGACAGGCTTTGGTCTCTCCGTCTTCAAAGACGTAATGTCGGTCCATGAAGCTGACAGCTTTCTCCGGGAGCTTGTCTCGGCCCCCACACGGACGCCCACCCTCGTCGCGACGATCTTCTTGATCCTGCTCTTGTTGATCCTTGGTGCGCCGCGCCGCTACCTGGATGATGACAAAGTTCACCCCGGCCTCGAGATCGTGGGCATGCGGCCCGGGGACACCGTCTCGCAGGCTAAACAGCGCTACGCCGAACACTCCAGATCGATCCTGGATGAGGCGACCGCAAAGGCATGCTACAGCCGCCGTTGCTCGCAAGAAATGCTCTTCGTTGTACCCGATACTGACAAAATGGACATTTTCCATGTGTGCAGCTCCGAAAACCATTTCAGGTCTTGACACCGACCGGCCCGCTAATCGTCCTCCCAGCCAAGCATTTGGACGAGATTAAAAGCCATCGGGATCTCTCATTCCATGAAACCATTGCCAAGGTGAGGAAATCCACCACGTTGTTGGAATCTGAGCAAACGGGTCGATAGCGGTGACTGATACACATGTCGGGTATTGTTCAGTCATTCTTTATCAGACTTCCTGGAATATCCATAGCTGGTGGCATGATCGGCTTCAGGTTCATCGTGGAGCACGACGACGTCTTTAATGAGGTGGTCAGAGTGAATTTGACAAGTAGGATAGGTGCGTGAGCCTCTTCACCTCCTCTTCACCTCCCCTTTCATCACTTCGGAGAACAGTTCAGTTGATTTTACGTAACACAGGCAAGCTCACAGCCGCTCTGGCGACCGAAGCAGCGCTGGCCATCAAGCAGGGCTTTTCCCCATCCAAAGGTAAGCAAGAGCCCCTACCGAGGGTAGAAGCGACCGGAGAAAAAGGGTAGTAATCAGACAGGCCAGCTATCCAGACTGGACACCCATCGTCTTGTACCCTGCAGCCGTGCACCTCGTCGCCCGGCTCTCCGCCCGTGTCTTCCTCGGCGAAAGCGCCGCCCGCGACGAATCGTGGCTCCGCATCTCCACCGAATATGCTCATTACGTCATCCCGTTCGTGCGCGCCCTGCGCAGCTGGCCCCCCGCAATGCGGCCATTTGTGCAGCACTTACTCCCGGAGCGTCGGCGGCTGAGAGCCTGCGAAGCCCAGGCGCGAAGATTGATTGCGGCGCTAGCCGAGAAGAGCGGGAACTCGGACGACGCGCTCCACTGGCAGGAGGAAGTGTCGAGAAAGCACGGGAAGGACACGGATGTGGCGGCCGGTCAGCTCGCTCTCTCGCTGGTGGCCGTGCATACGACGTCGATGGCGCTGACGAGGGTGATGTTTGATCTCTGCGAGCACCCGGAGTGGATCGAGCCGTTGCGCGACGAGGTGCGGCGCGCACTCGCCGAGGAAGGCGACGACGGCGTGTGGACCAAGTCGACGCTGATGCGCATGCGGCTGATGGACAGCGTGCTGAAGGAGTCTCAGCGGTTGAATCCCGTGCATCTGAGTGAGTGGTTTCTCTCTACCATCGGCCGAGGGCACCGGCCGAGCCCGTGGCCACACACCACTTCCTTGACATACCGCTGACCTCTAACCCTCCTTTCAAATCATAAGCTCTCATGACCCGCATCGCCACCGCCGACGTCGTCCTCCCTTCCCTACCCGACCTGTCCATCCCCGCGGGCTCCATGCTCGCCGTCTCAACATCAGAGGCCCTGCGTGACCCGACCACATTCCCTGACCCCGACAGCTTCATCGGCGACCGCTTCCTCCGCCTGCGTGAAGAGTCATCGTCAGCAGCAGCCACTCCCGCTGGGACTGAAAGTAGAAGCGGCAACAAGTGGCAGTACGCCACTACCAGCACCCAGCATATCGGCTTCGGCCACGGGGCGCATGCTTGCCCTGGCCGCTTTTTCGCCGCTGCCGAGCTCAAGGTGGCGCTTGCCCATCTGCTGCTGGCATACGACTGGCGGTTTGAGGAGGGGCACTCGGGAGGGAATATTGAGGTTGCCCAGGATATCGTGCCGAATCCGGGAGCTGTGGTGTGCTTCAGGGATAGGAGGGAGGGGAGGCCGTGATGGCCGTCGTCTTATGGAGGACCGCTGAAGTCTTTTTCGTTGTTCTCCGTGTCGGTTGGGGATTGGGTATGGGTTGATGGGTGTCTGTCGAAAATGCCGAGGACCACATGTGTGTTCGTATCGGTGAATACGTCAGATACTCGTTGCTTTGGAATTAGGAGGCTCTTGCATGATGAGTAGATATCGTTCCTCTTCTTTCGGAGAATATACATGTATTTACGTCGGTCTTCGACTGCGAACATGAGAACGGACAGACAATTGGCAGTAAAATCAACTATAAATCTCTATTATGATCTTTCAATCTCAAAGGATAGATGAAGTCTCCACCAAAGGCGCAAGCATCCCTCAAGCCTTCTCGCCATCTCCCACCATCCTCACCCGACAGGGATACTTATTTGCCGCGTGGGCGCCGCCGCCACCGCCCTCGACCTGATAGGCACGATCGCCCAGCGCGGTCCTGATTGCACCGGCACCGCCCAGGTGGCCAGGCGGATGCAAGCGGTCCCACTCGTCGTACGCGGGGCGGAAGTCGAAGGCGCGCGTGGTCATGGCGAGCAAGATCTTGATCTCGGCCATGGCCAGCGTCTGGCCGACGCAGTTGCGCGGGCCGAACTCAAACGGGCGCCACGCTCCCTTGGCCGGGTGCAGCGGGTCGCCCGGCAGCGTCATCGGCAGCCATCGATCCGGTATGAATCGGTTCGGCTGCGGGAACACGGCCGGGTTGCGCTGGATCGCCAGGTGAATCCCCCATACGCTGCAGCCCGCTGTCGGATACCGCGTGCCGTCGCTGCCGACGAGGACGGTGTCGGGCCCGCCTACACGCATCGCTGAGGCGGGTGGGAAGAGACGGAGGGCTTCCTTGATGCATGCTGTTGTGTAGGTGAGCTGGTTGAGGAGGTTGGGGTCGGCGGAGAGGAGGTCGCCGACGCGGTCTGGGCTGGTGCCGGCGCCGAACACTTGGTCGTGCTCGGCGCGAATGCGGGTCAAGCAGTCTGGATTGGTGGCGAGGAGGTGGAAAGCGTAGACCATGGTGCTGGACGTGGTATCGTGGCCGGCGAAGAGGAAGAGCCGGATCTGGGCGCACGCGTAGTGCTTGAACGTCTCGTCCAGCGTGGTGGCATCGGACGACGCGCCGCTGGCATTCTCTTCGGCCATGTATGAGTCTAGCGCGAGGGCAACGATTGATTTGACGCTTCTGGTGTCGCGTTTGGAATCATTCGAGTACCGTCGTTCAACGAACCGTTTGTCCAGCTCCGCTTCGATGTACTTGTTGATCTTACGTCCGTGGTACCAAAGCTTGTAGGGGCGCATTGGATTCCAGCGATTGAACGGATTGAGTTCCGTACCAAACGACGTCCACTCGATAAGCGCACGGAGGCTCTCCGGAATCCATGAGGTGAATTCCTGGTACCGGAAGTGGGTATCCCTGTATGCTTGTCAGCAGCCGCTCGGTGGAGTCTACACGCCGTCGATTGCTGGACTTACAGCGTGACAACGCCAATCACATCCAACGTCAGGCGGAGTGTGTCTTCTTCCAAGTAGAACATCTGGTTCTGGCGCACGCGTGCCCTCATCTTCTCGCAGAAGACGCGGCATTCATCCACGATCTTCGGTGTTTGTTGCAGCATGTAACTCGGGCTAAAGCCAGGGTTGAAAATGGCTCTCCACCGCTTCCACGGTACGTCCGGCATGGTAAAGAGATTAGGACCTCCGGTCAGGCCAGCAAATGCATTCTCAATCACGGATGGCTTCAGTGGATTGAACTGCTGCGTAAGCTGAGAGGCCATGTCTGGGGTGGTAAGAATGAGTAACGGCTCGCTAAGCGGCCAAAAGTCGAGATAAAAGGCTTCCTTGTTGAGAGAATAGGCCAGTTCCGTGACTGTATAGTTGGTGATTGCGTCGGCCGGGAGCTTCTCCATGAACGGTTTCATGGCCAGCATATGACCGGTAGCCCAGCTGAATGGGGGCATTGGCTGGGGAAGGTCAGCCTCAGACGTGCAAGCAGTATGAAGTTCAAGCTCTTACCAGTCCCTGTCTGCGCAGTTTGTAAACGATTTTGCGGGCATTGTAGGCTTTGGCAAGGATATAGAAAACACCACCGGCAATGGCGACAAACAACGACAAGGAGAAGCGTCCGAACATGTCTGGCATGGCGATGGACTATGGGAGACTATGCAGAAGGAGCGGAGCATGGCCTTGCGTTGACGGACACGGTACATTTGTAATTGGGGAGTCGTGAGAGGAGATGGTGGAGTCTTCCTGGCCCCGGCGCTGGACAAGCCGGGGGTGGGGGCCAGAATGCTCTGAGTGGTCGAGGACCGAACTGTGCCACGATCACCCGCCTGGGACGATCAGCCGCGCCGCATGCACGCGTTATTACAATGCACCCGGCTAACGGCCCCCACCGCAGGCAGCAGAGCGGGTGCGACGTGACGCCCTCACGCCACGCGGCCCGGCTACTTGGTTCAGCAAACAGCTTCATACGGGGTAGTGCAAAGTTTCTTTTTCCGTGGAAGCGTGGATCCAGACCTATCATACCCCCACAATCGGCATGAAGAACCCGTTTTGGCCTGTCGCACCCCTGGGAACAACCTGCATTCCCATGCAACGATTCTTAGCGCTGCCCTCCCGATGCAAGAGGGGAATGTATGCGACATTAATGAGTAGGCAAAGAACATGGGGTTATGGCAGCGCCGGTTGCCTTGTCGCTGTGGGCGGCGTGATTGGTCAGGGCTCTGCTATCATTGGAACTGGCCGGGCTACCAAAGACCAGAACGGAAACTTCACGCTAGCTGCTGAAGATGGAGGGGAGCGCGTGAGTGGAGAACTTGCACGCGCTGACTGATGGTGCCATCTGATAGGTCGCGTCAGGGGGAACAAGACACTTTGCTGGGATTGTGATGATGTGAAGAGATTGCGTTCGGGCCAGCAGCGCGGGAGATGAAGACGGTTGCCTTCTGGGAAGATTTGCGAGATCCATTCACGCATAATCGGGAAAGGCTGCTGCAGTTGATTTTTCCATCATGTTCCATGATAGCCGAAGCGTTTTACCACGGGGCAATGGAGAACAGATCACGCAACAGAGGCGCAGCTGCCGCATCACCCGTCCTAGACAATCTTGCATGCGTTCCAGATTCCCGTCTACCTAGTGATCCAACCCTGTTCCACTTCATGCGGCCCGTTTCCCCGTCGTATCCCCGCTCACTGTTCTGCATTTCCACCGTAGTGCTTGGGCTCCACGGACTGTTGTGAAAGCGGCGAGTCCACGGTCCCACTTTCTTCATCGAGGCGTGCGCCTGGCTTTCCCGTGGACCCTCGGCGCCACCACCAGCGCCTTGACGGCCGACGCCGGACAAGCGCGTCTCGGCTCTCTCCCGGACCCGGCGACGCACCGCTCCTGTCATCTCCGCGGCTGAAAACGCCGCGGAACGCAGTGACAGAACCCATCATGACGGCAACACAGGCCTCGAGCTGCTGCCAGAAAAACTCCCATGCCACGTCTAGGTTCGCACCATCCCCACGCACGCTGCCCACGATGCGCACCATGGCGATGATGACCATGACCAGTGAAAGCGACAGGAAGGTGCCGAGCCCTATCTTTTGTCGCCGGCTCATGTGCGCCCGGTGGATTATGATGATGGGGAAGGTTACCACTGCGTGCGGACGTGTCGTCAGCAGCCGGTCTTGTCGGGTTGAAAAGGGTAGTCCCTCACCTAAGATATCTGTGACAACATCGAGGATAGTGACGGTGCTCGTCAGGGAGATGTTCAACACGCGGGGCGTATTCGGCATGCATTTCACTGCCGCCCATCACGTCAGCTCTACAGTTCCTGGCGGACATTTGGAAAGATGGTCTTACCGCCTTCCATGCCGAAATATGGGCATAGTATGAAGCCCTCGGAGACCAGGAATGCCCAAGACAGACCCGTAAAGGTGACGACGAACCAGAAGTATGTCTTCAGCCTGGGGGAAATGTTCCAGACGAGTGCTTTGAAGTAAGCCAGGAAGGAGAACTTGACCGCAAAAATAGCACTCCAGTTGGTGCCCAGGAAGATCTGAATCTTCTTGTTACTGTCCAGCAGTGGCAGCACCTCGTCCGTCAGCACGATCACCTTGGTGGGGATGGTGTTGAGTGCCTCGACCAGGTAGAGCTCACTGGTGTACCAGTACACCACAGCCATCGACGTAACCAAGCACGCCGCTGCAAATAGGAGAAAACAGTCGTCCAAGAGGAGGCGCCGCATGTATTGTAGCCGGATGATGAAACGCACGACCACGGTGATGACGGCAAGCCCAGTGAAGAGCCCTATGTTTACCTAGAGCAGACTGCGTCAGAACAGCTATTGATCCAAGAACGAAGGCAGCAGAACAGACCTCGAACGCCTTTCTGCTCACGATTCCGGCGTTGTCGATGGCATTCTGCCTGGCCTCTCCATACAGCGTCTCGTTGGTGGGGGTAGCCCAGGAAGACATGTTGCACCACGCTCTACACGATGTTGTGAAGAAAGACTTTCAGGAGCGGATGAAGAGGGGCACTGTGCTCAGGCCAAGGAAAACTGCATTTGTATACCGTGATAAGTCCTTGTGTAGGACCAATATCGATTAACCGTTGTCATCTGCAAGGCCCGGGGTCCCAGTAAGAGCGTTTCCTGGGCACTGCGCATGACCACTAAAAATGGAAAAGTGTAGGTGTAGAGGAGGAAGCCTGCTATCATGCACGTCGTTGATACTAAGCCTCGGCCCCCACGTTAGCCCTTCTACGATTGAAAATAGACAAAGCTACATCGGGAAGGCTTTGAGCTCGCTGTTCCTAACCCCAACGGCAATCGATCCTTGAGCCATGCTCGGCGCCAAAGCCATTCAGCCCGCTTATTTTACCTGAATTGGACCAGCAGCGGAGCGTTCTGTGGCTACCTGCGGAGAAGAAGCCTAGAATGGCATATGATGGTCTCTATACAGCATGCTGTCTGCTTGCCATAAATAAATCCGCTTAGGGCTGCACCGGAGGCCAGCATGTCTTTGGGGGCTGAAACGTTGTGGGTTATCAGCTGCAGATGTGCAGTGGGGGCGTCGTTGCTCGTCAGCTCGGTAAGCCATTGCCCCGCCACCCCAAGGTTTTGACCACGTCAAAGACGGCCGGGAAAGCGGTCCAGGGTGGTTCACTAATGAGGAAAAAAAAGCATTGGAGTAGGCAACCTTTTCAAGGTCACGCCAGCTGCACCTCAGACGGCTACGGAGTAACTACCCAATTGTGGCTCCACGGTACGTGACTCCCAGCCCAGATGGTCCCGCAGACAATTCGAGGTCACCTTTCGGACCCCGAAATGGACGGTAGGCGAGAGAAGCTGCGACGAGAGGAAGTCAAGCGTCTCCATCTTTGATTGGCGGACCGCAAAACCTCGACGGCTAGGACTGTCAGTGTGGCTTGGATTTGGTGCTGCCAAAGGCGATACTATGGGACCAGGTCCTAAAGTGTATATATAAGATGACAGAGGCAGCCTCGGTAGGGTCTTGAGATGTACTATCCGTCATACCGCTTGTTCAAATCAATAGCCATGTTTTCCGAAGTGCCTTCTCTGCGGCAGGTAGTTGTCGCTGCTCTCTTGTTTTCCATTCCATTTCAGTTCAGCTATTTTGTGACTTGGCTGTTGTTTTTCACAACAGTCCGCAGCAAAGCCAGTGGGAAAAAACCGCCGACACTTCCATACTGCATACCAATCCTGGGTAGCGTTGTCTCCTATGTAGCAGATCCGCTCAAATTCATAACAACGTAAGTCGGCGTGGCCCGCTTGCTCTCTGAGATACTCGCTGACCCACGCATAGGATAGGAGCAAACGAGGAATTGAGCCCACTCCGCATCAAGCTCTTCACACAAGAAGTGGTTCTGTTACGGGGGTCCGGGAACATTGAGCAGCTGTGGCGACAGTCAAGGCTGTCGAGCTCCACTGCCATTTTCTCCTTTGTGCTCAGCTACATGTTTGGCATGGGCAAGCGGGCCGCTCGCCGCTATCAGCTCGATGATTCGGGTGCCAACGCCCGCCCCCACCCAGACAGCAGGGTGCTACCGCATAACCGCATCGACTACAGGACCCACCAGGGGCTACATCAGTTTCTGCTGGGGAGCGGGCTGGCACCGCTGTTCGACCGGTTCCAGCGGCTCTTTAGCGCACGGCTGGCGCGGATTGAGGCCACAGGTGGTACCGATGGCGAAGGCAGCTGGGTGGAGAAGGCTGACTTCTTCGACTTCATGGCCCTGGAGTTGACGCCGGCGACAATCACCGCCATGTGCGGACCGACACTGCTGCGGCTGAGCCCAGACTTTCCCCGCCTCTTCTGGGAATACAACGAATGGATCCCAGCCTTCTCCAAAGGATTGCCTCGTCTCTTCATCCCGAAGGCATACGCGGTGAGGGACGGGCTGCTGGAGAGCATCAAGGCATGGCACCGCTACGCCACCCGGGAAACGAGCAAGCTTGAGGTCAAGCCGGCCGGCGAAGAGGATCCGTTCTGGGGCTCAAAATTCTTCCGCGACCGGCAAAGCACGCTGCTTGCCGTGGACGACTACGATGAAGATGCCATCGCAAGCGAGGACTTTGGTTCCATCTGGGGGTAAGGATGCGCCTCGGGAATTCATGCACCGCAGGATCCGAATCGCTAACAAGAAACACCGAGCAGCTTCAACACGAATGCCATTCTCGCCAGCATCTGGGCCACTCTTGACGTCTTCCGCGATCCAGAGCTGCTGGGTCGCGTGCGGCGTGAGGTGGAGCAGTGCAGCACCAGCACCACCGAATGCGGCCTGGACATGGACGAGCTGCAACGGCGACCGCTCCTGCAAGCCGTATGCGCAGAGACCCTACGGCTACGCGTCCACGTGTACATCTCGCGGTACGCGGAGCGCGAAGAGCTCAACATCGGCGGCGATCAGTGGAGCATCCCGCCGAAGAGCGTGGTGCTGGTGTCGACGACGACGGCGCACCTCGACGAAGGCGCATGGAACACAGGCCGTGGCGGACGCCATCCCGTCGACGCTTTCTGGGCGGACAGATTCCTGGTCGTGCCCGGCGACGATGAAAAATATGGACCGATGAAGGCGGCCGCAACCCAGGGACGGCCGGCCGCGACGGCCAAACGCGGGCAGTTGCATCGCCGTGATTCGCTTGTGGATGACATGGGTGGCATCGGAAAAGGCACCGTCGAGGAGATCCGCTTCGCTGGTGACAGCGTGGGGAGCGGCTCGTTGTTTCCGTTCGGTGGTGGAGCACGCATGTGTCCTGGACGGCACTTCGCCAAACGCGAGATGCTGCTGACAATGGCGCTGATGGTGCGTGACTTCGACGTTGAGGTTACGGCGGACTCGAAGGCCCTCGAGATGGGCTGGAAGGACTTTGGCCTGGGGACGCAGCGGCCGAAGGGAAGGGTCCCGTTCCGCCTCCGGAGGCGGCGCTTCGGCGTGGCCCTGCAAGTACAGGGGTGAAGTAGCAGGGGGGACATTTGTGATGTGCAAGTAATTACTCGTGCAAAGAACATGGATACGAGGCCTTGACCCGACTGTCCGGTAAACAATGAATGCAAGGGTGTGTGCTGCTTTGGATTTTCGTGTGGCGTCGAGGTGATGATTTTACGTCTTTTGACCCCAGTCACGTCGGGTGGGGCGAGAACCTGTCCGCGCATTGGCCAGTCATTAGGCAGCCGATAAGAGCAAAAACAGGCGACGCATGGGGCTCCCGTTTCTCGAGGCTGGCTGGCGAGCATGGTTAGGCAGAAATGGGAGCAGAAGATGCTGCATGAAGATTTGGGGGCAGCTACAGTCTACTTAGCCCCCACTGAGTCCCCACTCAACCCCTGAGGCCATGGCCGGTGTCATTCTGCATCATATCGTCCTGTGTGAGCACCTGAGCCATGCTCTTGTATAAGCTTTCAGGATTGCCAGAGCTTCGAAAACCACACATCTACTCCATGACCTTATTCCCATCATGTTGCCACTCGACAACGACCCAGCGCTGGACCCGCTAGACGACCGGCACTTTGACCGCAACCAATGGTTCAGTGCCATGAAAGAGCGCAGCAAACGTTGCAGTTCGCTCACGACTTCCGGCCTGGCTTTCCGAAGCCTCCACGTGCATGGAGTGCGTTCGGCCCTTGAATTCCAGCGCACTGTGGGCAACTATCCCCTCGCGCTGGCGCGGCGGTTGAAACAGTTCACAACATCCTCACGGGAAGATGCGCGTGTTGATATCCTGAAAGGACTGGATGGAGTGGTGCGGAGTCACGAGCTACTGCTCGTTCTGGGACGCCCTGGGAGCGGATGCTCGACTTTTCTAAAGGCCGTGGCAGGGGACACGCATGGAATCTGTCTGAGTCCCGACTCGCGTCTGAACTATCAAGGTCAGTGATGCAACTAAATACCCTCGACAAAGCTGACGGGGCGGTGCACTAGGAATTCCGGCGGACATCATGCACACCGAGTTCCGCGGCGAGTGTGTCTATACGGCGGAGAACGACGTCCATTTTCCCGAACTAACGGTAGGGCAAACTTTGGCCTTCGCTGCCAGTGCCAGGGCGCCGCGTGTCCCAATGGCAGGCATGACCCGGCACATGCACGCAGAGCACATGAAGGAAGCGGTCATAACGCTACTCGGCCTCAGGTCTGCGGTTGACACGAAGCTGGGGAATGAGTTCATTCGTGGGGTTAGTGGCGGGGAACGCAAGAGAGTCAGCATTGCTGAGGCGCTGGTTGGATGGAGTCCTTTGCAGTGCTGGGATAACAGTACCCGTGGCCTGGATAGCGCCACTGCGCTGGACTTCATCCGGACACTTCGCACCTTCACCAGCACAGGAGGCTCAGCGGCCATCATGACAGTGTATCAGGGATCTCAGGCCATGTACGACCTTTTCGATAAAGTTACTTTACTTTACGAGGGTCGTCAGATTTTCTTTGGTCGTACCGATCGGGCGAAGCGGTATTTTGAAGAGCTCGGGTTTCGGTGCCCTGAAGAAACAACAACGGCAGATTTCCTTACAGGTTTGACCAATCCGGCTGAGGCTGGGGCTCTTGTGCAAGACGGATACCAAGACCGTGTCCCCCGAACGGCGGGCGAGTTCATGGACTGTTGGGTCAGGAGCGTAGACTACGCTATTCTGATGCAGGATATTGACCTGTTTGAGAAGGAGTTTCCGCTTGGTGGGGAAGGGTTGGCCAGATTTCGGGAAGCCACGCGATCTCAGAAAGATGAGTCGTTGTAAGCTCCTGTCCTTCCTATCCATGCTAACCGGATACTGATCAGTTTGACAAGACAGCGTAACTCCCCATACACCATTGCCCTGTCAAAACAAGTGCAGATATGCATGCAAAGAGGCTACCAAAGGCTTCGTAACGAATGGAGCCCGCCGCTATCAAACATCATTGGCAATACCGTCATGGCTATCATTGTTGGAAGTCTCTTCTACAACATGAGCAAAGACACTGGCAGTTTCTACCAACGCGGCGTCCTGATTTTCTTTGCTTCGCTGCTGAACGCATTCATGAGTGCTTTTGAGGTAGCTAGATGCATCACATCGTCAGATGATACCGTGCTAACCTTAATTATGCAGGTTCTCACAATGTGGGCTCAGCGACCAATTGTTGAAAAGCACAGTCGCTACGCCTTATACCATCCCGTTGCAGAGGCCGTGTCATCCATGATTTGCGACCTGCCTAACAAGATACTCACCTCGATTTTCTTCAACGCAGCGCTTTACTTCATGACCAACCTCCGCCGCACCCCCGGCGCTTTCTTTACGTTTTACCTCTTCTCGCTCGTCAGCCTGTTGACCATGTCTATGTTCTTTCGCATGATTGGGTCCATCTCGCGCACCGTCGAGCAGACTATGGCACCGGTCGGGATCTTCCTCGCGAACTACATGATCTACACGGGGTTTGTCATCCCAACGGGCTACATGCACCCATGGCTACGTTGGGTGGGGTATATTGACCCGGTCAGCTACGCATTTGAGAGCTTGATGATCAACGAGGTGAGCTCTCAGATGATTGAGAGGAATCGTGTGCAGAAGATGACGGTAGCTGATGTTGAAGCCATATAGTTCTACGGCGTCCGCTACCCCTGCGCTACCTTCATTCCTGAGGGACCAACGTACGCAAATATCACCACAGATCAAAGGGTATGTTCGGCCGTCGCCGCAGTGCCGGGTGAGAGCTTCGTCGATGGTGGTGCATTCCTCGTGGAGTCTTACGGCTATTATCAAAGCCACATGTGGCGGTAAGCTCACCCGTCTGACCGGAATTATCGTTTACCTTGGCTGACGCTCGGTAGAAATCTGGGAATTTTGTTTGCCATGATGTGCTTTTTTTGCTGTATCCACTTACTTGCCGCCGAGTTCATCCAGGCTCAGAAGTCCAGGGGCGACGTTCTACTCTTCCGTAGACGCGACGTTCAGCTGATCAAACAAGGTGATGAGGAGACATCTTCAGCTGCGTCGTCGGTCATCCGTCCCAAGATCGACGAAGCCTCCAGCCCAGGCAGTGCTACTGTGGCACGCTTACAGCAACACACCGCGGTCTTTCACTGGGAAGGTGTCAGTTACGACGTCAAAGCCGGCCGGTCTAAGAAGAGGCTGCTTGACCGAGTTGATGGCTGGGTCAAGCCTGGAACGCTCACAGCACTGATGGGCGCAACGGGCGCTGGGAAGACAACACTTCTCGATGTTTTGGCTTCGAGAGCATCAGCTGGTATCGTGCACGGAAAGATGATGGTAAATGGCTGCGAACGTGATACCGGGTTCCAACAGAAGACAGGTTACGTGCAGCAGATGGACTTGCATTTGTCTACCGCCACGGTACGAGAGGCACTTTCTTTTAGTGCGCTCTTACGACAGCCAGCTACGACTGCAAGAAGCGAAAAGCTGGCATATGTTGAGGAGATCATCAAGATGCTTGAAATGGAAACGTATGCTGATGCCATCGTCGGAGTCCCCGGATCAGGTGAGCTGGCGCATTATTCCAATTGCAAAATGACCCTCGCTAATCGCTTTAGGTTTGAACATCGAGCAGCGGAAGCGCCTAACGATAGCTGTCGAGATGGCAGCAAAACCTGAATTTCTCTTATTTCTCGGTTTGTCTTGCCATATTGCGGAGACGAACGGCGACTGACACGCACCGCTTAGATGAGCCAACATCGGGACTTGACAGTCAAACCGCGTGGTCTATCTGCAATCTTTTAAGAAAGTTGGCCTCCAATGGCCAGTCCATCCTTTGCACCGTGCACCAGCCTTCGGCGACGCTTTTCCAGGCATTTGATCAGCTGCTGCTTCTCGAAGCACCCGGCAAGACGGTGTATTTCGGGCCAATTGGTGAAAACTCACATGCCGTCATCAACTACTTCGAGAAAAAAGGAGCCAGGCCCTGCAAAGCTGGGGAAAACCCCGCTGAGTGGTTGCTTGAAGTGTGCAGAAGCACACCAGACATTGCGCAGAAGTGGCAGCTGTCGGAGGAGAAGAAATCGGTGAAGGAACACCTGCAAGAACTCGCGCAAGATCTGAAGGACAAGAAACTGAGCCAAACGTATTCAAAACCATCGTACGCTTTTGCGGAATCATTTTGGGTCCAGCTTTACGAAGTCACTAAGCGGGCCTTTGGGGAACATTGGCGGACGCCAACCTATTTTTGGTCGATGTTCTTCCTCTGTACCGGCACTGTGAGTTGCCCGTGTGGACCACCCTCGACCGACCTAAGTAAATGCTGATCAGCGTCCATTTACAGGCTTTTTTCATCGGCTTCTCATTTTGGATGTCTCCAAACACGATCCAGGGCCTCCAGAACCAGGTGTTTGCCGTTTTCCTGATCCTTACCATGTTCACCAACATCATGCAACTCATCATACCCAAGTTCACCGCCATCCGAGCGTTGGCGGAGGCCCGCGAGTTGCCATCCAAGACGTATTCCTGGCCGGTCTTCATTCTTTCAAACATCTTGCTCGAACTCCCCTGGCAAACCCTCATTTCCGTCACTGTCTATCTTGTATGGTACTTCCCTTTGGGTAATTACTTTACGGCGGCAAGCGCCGGACCGGATACCAGCGAGCGGGCTGGACTAACGCTTTTACTCATCTGGGCGTTTATGCTCTTCAGCAGCACCTTCTCGCATCTGGTTGCGGCAGGAGTCGAGCATGCCCAGACCGCCATCCAGCTCGCGCAGCTGTTCTACTACCTGTTACTTGTTTTCTGCGGCGTTCTCGTAAACGAAAGCGCTTTTCCTGGATTCTGGACCTTCATGTACCGTGTATCCCCGCTGACATATCTTGTAGCCGGCCTGATCTCAGCTGGCCTGGGCGGCACAGAGGTGAGTTGTTCGAGCGTTGAAGTGAGGGAGATGACGGCGCCTCACGGTATGAGTTGCGGAGACTATCTGTCGGTATACGTGAACACTGCGGGTGGAAGGGTGTTGAACCCGGGAAGCAGTGGCCAGTGCCGTTTCTGTCCGCTTGTCCATGCTGATGCATACCTCGAGAGCGCCAACATCGAGTATATGGAGAGATGGAGGAACTTGGGGCTGATTTTCGCGTACATCACATTCAATGTCTGCGGTACCTTTTTACTGTATTGGGTTGCCCGCGTGCCGAAAGGTAGGGCTGCTGCTGCCAGGGCGACTTCTCGGACGGAGTTCTCAGAGGACGACCATAGCCACAGTGTGGAAAGGCGGGCGGAAAAGTAAGGCCAAGGCGGTAGGCGGAACGGGAATGAATGACTACGTAGAAAGAGTCTTGTGATCGGAATATCATTAGATATGGCTGCCACCAGGGGATAAACCGACGGCTCCGTATGGCTGGCACTCCTACACCGGAGGTGGTATCCCAAAATAGCCAGGCCCGGATAAGACCACGCAGGTGGAATCCGTGACCGATTGGCCGGTGAGCGCCCTTGCAGCGTGCCGACTGGGATTGAGCTTTCATGGGGGCCAAGTGCGGCGTAGAAATAAGCCACCAGCCCCCGCCTGTTCTGGTCCGCCGCTGCCTACGTTGACCAGACAACCCGGCAGCCTGACAGTGAGGCAGGCCGAGACCGCGCCATGCACGTGAATACAGTAGTATCACGCCATCCTTGATCTTCACGTCCACTGGCGGCAAATCCCCTGGTGACGACACCCCGCGGGTCCTGCAACCGCCTCTTCAGCAACCTTGACTGTACAGCTGCTATCCTCCCGCTGCGTCGTAGTCACCCTGGTGCGTTCATCCGCGATACGCAGACGCATCGTCCGTCCGCCGCATGAATCCTGCGGGAGTGTATTCTGCATTTCGCGACACGGCTGATTTTGTGAAGAGCAAGTCCGGCCCCTGACGTCCGCCTGTCCATCATGGACCCCGCGACCGTGCTCTCCATGGCTGGTGCGTGCTTGACGTTAGTGACGCGTACGGTGACGGACGTGAACGACATCGTGGGCAAGTACCGCAAAATGGACCAGAAGCTATCGCTGATCGCAGCGCGGCTCGGCACCATCAAGGCCACCATGTCGCAGCTCGAAAGCTGGCTACGCAGCGATGGTGATGCTGCTAGTACCCCGGAAATAGAGCGCGACCTGCGCGACGCGATCTCTGCATGCAGCGTCGTTGTCACCGAGATCCAGCTGTATGTCACCAACGTCCGAAAAGGCTGGCTTGGCGGTAAATTCAGGTATCTGTGGGATGAGGGCCAGTTTCTACAATTCTCAAGTGCGCTGGACAGTCAAATCGCCGCGCTGGGACTCTTTGTCAATGTCATACTGCTGTAAGAAAGTACTCCAGCATGGATATGGCTACTCATTCGGTTCCCGGCGCTGATTCATGCGTGCACAGGAACTCAAATGCTCAGCGCCGGGTCGTCTTGGACAGTGCCGCTAGTCGTCGCGCTCTGCGAGAAGCCTGCGACCAGGCTTCTCTGTACACTAACCGGCGAAAAAGCCTTTCGGTGAAGGCTGGCAGCAGCAGCTTCGGGTCCCCGACCTCAGAAGGCTCTGCGTTCACCTTTGACGATGAGCTGATCGACTCAGAGACGTATCGTGCCACCTTTCGCAGGGTCATGACAATGGGAACGCAGAAGGAGGGCGATTCCGTCGCCGGAGGGAACCGTGATGTGCGAGAAGCATTGCCATCGGGAACATCATCATCTGGAGTCCCTTCAACCGCCAGCGCCATATTCGACAGCAGGAACAGCGAGACCCTGACCATGACGACGGTCTCCACCGGTTCGACGGCCTCAACCAGCTCCACCCACTCCTACGGCATGCCCAACGCAGATTGGAAAAAGACGTCACGAAACCGCAGCTGGTCAAGCCGGTCGGGGAAGCAGTCACGCGCTTTAGTGAAGGACCTGTGTCTCGCCGCGGCTCAAGGAGATACGCCAACCATCGAAAGCCTTTGTAGCAAAGGAGCCGACGTAAATGGGAGATACGAGATCGTCAGCTTCTCCCCTACCTCCATCAAGGAAGATCAGGGTATTGCTGTGAAATCCATCTTCCGACACGCCTCTTCATCTTCCAAGTCTGAACGAACCCCTCTCCATCACGCGGCTGAACATGGCCAAGCCGATGCCATCCGCGTACTCATTGCCCGTGGTGCAGACCCCAACGCCAAGGCAAAAGGCGGACGGATCCCCCTTCACGCCGCGACGGGAGCATCTGAAACGGTGGAGACATTGATAGCCCTCGGGGCAAAGATCCTCGCCACAGACGACACCGGCGCCACTCCACTCCACGCCCTCTCCTCAACCGGCCAAGCGGACGGCGTCAAAGCCCTTCTGGCCGCGCGGTGCCCCGTTGACATGGTCGACAAAGCGCAGCGAACGCCCCTCCACCACGCATGCCGACGCAGCGCCAACACGGCCGTCGTCTCGGCCCTCCTCTCCGCCGGCGCGTACGCCAACGCCCCCGACGCACAAGGCCTGCGCCCGCTGCACGAAGCCTGCAAGAACAACAACGCCGAGCTCATCCCGCTGCTCGCCTCCGCCGGCGCCGACATCGAAGCCCCAGCAAAGGACCTCTGGCGGCCCCTCCACTACGCCGCCGCGTATCCCCCACCCTCACCCTCGACATCCACCACCTCCTCCCCCCTCCTCTCCCTCCTCTCCCTCTCCGCCAGCGTCACCGCCTGCACCGCCACCCGCCAACACCCCCTCCACCTCGCCGTCTCCTGCACCGCCACCTCATCCCCCCCTCACCCCCCCTCCGTCGCCGCCCTCCTCTCCGCCGGCGCCCCCGTCGACGCCACGACCGCCGCCGGCCGCCGGCCGCTGCACCTCGCCCTGCAAGCCGCGCCGACGTCCGCGACGCAAGAAGTCGTTCGGATGCTGCTGGAGCATGGCGCCGATCCGGTGGCGGGGCCTGAGGGGAGTGGTGGTGGTAGCAGTGCTGTTGAGGCGCCGCTTGTGGTTGCGGCGGCGGGGGCGGTGAAGGGGGTGGGGCCGGCGGTGGTGGTGCCGCTTGTGGAGGTGGTGTTGGAGTTTGGGGGGGCGGGGAGGGAGGGGGAGGTCGCGGGGAGGGCGTTGTTGGTTGTTTGTGAGGGGAGGGTTGGGGGTGGTGGTGGTGAGGGAGGCAAGCGGGATGGTAGGGATGCGGGGGTGGGTGGTGGTGGTGCGTTGCTCGATGTTGTGCGGCTGTTGGTGGGGCCGCGGGGCGGGGCGAGGCCGACGCATGAGGTTTTCAGGGCGTTGTGGCGGAATGGGAAGCTTGGGGGGTGGGAGAAGAGGGCGGTGCATGCGGTGTTGAATGAGGTGGCGCCGCCGGGGCTGAGGCGGGACGAGGCCGAGTGGTTGATTGTGGCGCTGTGATGGGGGTGCTGCGGAGGGAGGGCATGGCATGGTCCTGTAAGTAAAGTCTGCACGTATGCTTTCGCCGCCGATCCACCAGTCGATGTGATGAGCAGCGAGTGGCTCGCGCTTCTCGTGCGAGCCCGCAATCAATAGTGAGTTTAGATATGCAGTTGTGGGTTCGGGCAGTTTGGCAAGCACCTAAAAAGGTTGTTTCGAGAAGGGCGATAGTTTTATGTGAGTCCTATATCGTAAGTGCCATGAGAGCATTGCCAGTTTTTTTTTTGAGTTAGTTGGAAACAACCCTGACAAAACGACTGGTTCGAGGCGGCTTTTATGAGGGGCTCAGGGCATGATTCCAACGCCTCGGTAATTCGGCAGGAATGGACGCGAAGCCGCCTGCGGTGACTGGAACGAAGAGAGTGGGCGTCGTACGGGCCATGACGCCAGCCCCACAACTGGCGGGGATCCCAAGGGGGCACTAGCGTGGGTGGGGTAAGCATGCACTTAAATATTTCATAGCCCGCTTTGCTGTTTGGTGGGACAATCAATGCCACCCTAGCCATGGATGACCACATAGACGTTCTTCTCTACGGTCTCGGGGCGTGAGTAGCTCGAATCACTCCGTGGCTTGTCTACTAATCTTGGACGTGCAGCATTGGCTCATTCTACGCCTTCATTTTGAGTCGAGCGCCCAAGGTGCGCCTGACGGTCGTAGCAAGGTCGAACTATGCCGCCGTGAAAGAGAAGGTAAAAGCTTCCCTGGGTTTTGGGAGATGCCGGATGCTGAGATACCAAAGGGTTTGACCATCGATAGTCAAAATCATGGCAAACACGTCGTTCATCCATTTGAAGGTAAGCAAGACTTGACATGAGCGAACAATGGCTAACGCGCCTGAATTTAAAAGTGGTCAAGTCTCCATCAGAGCTTCAGAGAAAGTTCGACTATATTGTCTGCGCGAACAAAGCAACCGACCCTGACGAGACGGCGAAAGCACTGGTGCCAGTCGTCGACCAGAAGAAAACGACAATCGTCATCGCACAGAATGGGGTTGGAAACGAGCCTCCGTTCCGGGCCCTCTTTCCGCTTTGCACCATCATAACCTGCGCGGTAAGTGACATGGGCTTTCGCCCTTGCAATCAATGCCAGGCACTGATTGCCCTCAGGTTTGGGTCGGTGCGATTCAACCAGAGCCTGGTTTCGTCAAACACATGAATTCCGAGAACACTCAACTTGGCCTCTTCAAGGACAAGCCGGAACCTCAAGACGCGGAAGACCAAGCAAGGCTGGATCTGTTTGCGGAGCTGTTCAGGCAAGGCGGCACCATTTTCGAGCTGGTCGAAGACATGCAAGTGCAGCGTTGGGAAAAGGTCGTCTGGAACGCCGCGTGGAACACGCTAACGACGCTCACCATGCTCGATACCAAAAGCTGGCTGAACTCCTCGCCGCGGGCCACGCCCATGACCCGAGACCTGATGAAGGAGATGATCGATGTTGCGCGTGCCTGCAACGTCAACCTCGACTATTCGCTCATCGACCGATTGATGGACAAGATCCTGGCCATGCCGGGCATCGGCAGCAGCATGCAGACGGACTGCAAGAACGGGAAGCCGATGGAGGTCGAGGTGATTTTGGGATATCCGGTGCGGAAAGCGAGGGAGTTGGGAGTGAAGACTCCCATTATCGATACCCTACACACGCTATTGCTAGCTGTTGATTTGAAGTTGCGGAACGAGTCCAAGTAGCGGCAGCATATCCATGATGGAATGCTTCAATTTAGAAGCCTACATTCGATTCTCTCAACGAGACCAGAGAAATGCAATCCCCCCACGCCTCCTTGTTGATGCGGATGAGGGGTAAGCCAACTGCCTCGCACCTCGAACCCTGTCTACTGCTGACGCGCTAGACCCACCCACATATTATCCGAAACCGGAGTGTGCAGAGGAGAGACCCCACGCTCGGATATCGAAGCCGACATTGCTGTGATTGAGGCTGCGAACGCTCTACTTCCCCAGCCCCCACGGGCCCTTTCCTACGTTTGAGGAAACGAAACTGCGACAGCTCGAGCTCGGCCGTCCCACTGCAATCAGAAGTTACTGCGCGGTGCCGATACAGCAATTTCGATTCCGAGGGGAGTGCGGGGTGTGGGGGTCCTCGCTGACATCTGGACGAGCCGAGAGTGACGCAGCAATACATCCAAATGGCTTCAAGCATTGCCGAGGTCATGTCGAGAGCAGCTTTGCGGGGCATTTGATGAAGCATTTGATGCTTGTCTGAGAGCGGGCATCCCGCGCCTTCGCAACAACACCGCCATGGCAGACTCGTATGTTGAGAGGCTCTTCTCCCTCAAGGGCCGCACGGCCGCCGTCACAGGGGGCACCCGGGGTATCGGAGCAGCAATGGCAATTGCTCTGGCTGAGGCTGGAGCAGACATTGTACTTTTACAAGTGTGCCTTTCCTCGTTGCTTTCTCTCATATGTCACTGACCCATCATTCAATCGCATAGCGAGACGACAAGAATACTGCAACCAAATCCAAGATCGAAGAGCTCGGGAGGAAAGCCACCATCGTGACTGCCGACTTGTCCTCAAACGAAGAAGTTGCCGGCCTCGCACAACGCGTTCTCTCGGACAATCACGACGTCGATATCCTCGTGACGTGCGCTGGCATTCAGAGAAGGCATCCGAGCCACATCTTTCCCACGAGCGATTGGGACGAGGTGAATGAAACAACTCGTCACTTACGATCGGAGAGACGGTGTGCTAAATTAAAATGACTAGGTCCTGCAAGTCAATCTTTCGACCGTCTTCACGCTCTGTCGAGACTTTGGACGCCACATGCTGACGCGAGAGCCCGACTCGCAAGGGCACCGCGGCAGCATCATCAATGTAGCGTCATTGGTGTCGTTCCAGGGCGGCATCACCGTACCAGCCTACGCAGCGGCGAAGGGCGGAGTGGCGCAATTGACGAAAGCTTTGTCGAATGAGTGGGCATCCAAAGGCATCAATGTAAATGCCATTGCTCCCGGTTATGTCGCCACAGACATGAACGAGGCCCTGATGAACGACAAGGAACGCGCAGCCAGCATTCTAGCGAGGATACCTGCGGGGAGATGGGGTCTCCCGGATGATTTCAAGGGCGCGACCGTCTTCCTGGCAAGCGCGGCCAGTCTGTACGTGTCTGGACAGATTCTTACTGTCGACGGTGGCTGGATGGGAAGGTAGAGAAGGTAGCTTGACCGTCTGGCGAAATCATGTCCGGTTTCTATACAAGTCTCGACGCCTTGTGCAAAATCCCCTGGTATTGAGTGCTTATTGCGTCGTAAAGCAGCTGCACACCCGCCGCTGAGAGAAACAAGTGCTTGATGCTTCACCGACCGTCGGGTATGTGCGGAGTTCGGAGGTTCAGCGTTTCTGGAGAGAATGCGCAACCGTAATCTGCGCCCGATGGTAACTCAGCGAAGCAATCTAGGTAACGTCCGCAATTGTCTGGCATAGCCACATGGATTTGGATCTCTGAACCATCTGACGCAATCCGTATCACCACTCTCTAATCCCACCGTCAACACCAAAAAACTCCTTGCACTGCCAAGGCTCCGTATCCTTCGCAATCCTCCTCACCATGTCCTCATCAATCTCGATCCCCAATCCGATTCCCGTCGGCGCCTTGACGAACCCCCCCTCGATGTCAAACACGGTCGGGTCCTTCAAATACGTCAACAAATCAATATCGCCCGCCTCGACATTGTAATGCATCCCCAGGCTCATCTCCAAGATAGCAAAGTTGGGCGTACTCAACGCCACCTGCAAGCTCGCCGCAAACGCCACCGGCCCCAGCGGACAATGCGGCGCGATAGCCACATCCCACGCCTCGGCCATCTGGGCGATGCGCTTCGTCTCGGAGATGCCGCCCGCGTGCGCAATGTCGGGCTGCAGCACGTCGACGTGCTCGAGGAAGGGCTTGACGTCCCAGCGCGTGTACAGCCGCTCGCCGAACGCGATCGGGATGGTAGTGTGCCCGGCGAGCGCGCGGATGGCCTCGGGGTGCTCGCACAGCAGCGGCTCCTCGATGAAGAGCGGCGCGTGCGGCTCCAGCGCCTTCGCCAGCTGCTTCGCCATCGGCTTGTGCAGCCGCCCGTGGAAGTCGAGCCCCGCGTCCAGCCCCAGCGCTTTGACGGCCTTGAGCCGCTGCACCGTGGCCGCGAGCGCCGACGGGCTGTCCAGCCAGCCGACGTCTTCGGTGGCGTTCATCTTCACGCAGGTGAGGCCCTGTGCGATTCGGGCTTTGCTGCGGGGGAGGGGGGGATGTCAGTGTGGGAGGGTGGTGGGGGAGGGATGGGGGACGGACGCTGCGACCTCGACGTCGGCGGGGCGGTCGCCGCCTATCCAGGCGTATACTTGGACTTTGTTGCGCACTTTGCCGCCGAGGAGCTGCCATACTGGCACCTTGAGTGTGCGACCTGCGTGGTGGATCAGAAGAAGTCCCGTGGCCATGGTTTTCCGGCTTACCTTTCAGATCCCAGAGCGCAATGTCGATGCCGGAGAGAGCTGACATGAACACCGGGCCTCCGCGGTAGAAGCCATGCCTCCAGAACTTCTGCCAGATGTTTTCGATGTCGCTGCAGATGCTATCAGTATCTGTCACTAAGAGTGCTGGAAGAAGCTCAAGACAAACCCTGCTTCCATGCCAATAAGCCGGACAATCATCTCATCCAAAGCACCTTCGACCGCGAGATCATGTCCTTCCAGCGTTGCTTCTCCCCACCCATATTCCCCGGTTTCATCGGTAATCTTGACCATGAGCCATCGGGGCTTGACACGAAAGTATTCGACTGCCTTGATTTTCGCCATTGCTTGGTAGTTGATGCGAATAATTTGAGACGATCCTGCAATTGGAGAGTAGACGACAGTGAGAGGTGAGACAAATGAAGATGAGGGTACCATCAACAGCGAAACCGGCACATCAACGATCGTGGGGGGTGGGGGCCTCGGCTGTAGCTGTTGCGGGGGACGACGGCGTGGGGGTCATCTGCTTCGCTATTCCGACTTCCCCACACTCGGAATCCCACCAATATTCGCGGGGTGCCCCACTTGGCACGTCATCGGTTCGGAAAAGGGAACATGGAGCTGCGGAATAGTGTCGAGCAATCATTCTTGGAGGGATGGCGACCTTGGCTTCTAAACAGGAAACAAAAGCGAGGGAAGTATCGGACACTGCACATCTCCCGCAGGCAAACATACCAAAGTTCAAACTAAAGGAACATGCTAGTTAGTCATGTAGGGTATCCTATGGAATCTATCTGTTCTATTAGTGTATTGGGGCGGTCGGAGGCAGCGTAGCCGAGAGGCAACGCCATGTCAATTACCCTTGAGCCCTCTGATTCTTATTACCACTGGTCCCTGCTGCTGCTGATTATCGCTGTCGTTGATCCTCACTACTGCTGGCTGAGATGTCCAATCACCATTCCAGCTCCTTCTTGCCGCCACCACCGCCACAAGCACCCTGCTGCTGCATGTCGGATTTGCCCCAGTCGTAGATTCCACCGCGTTCAGCAAAGGATTTCTTGTCCCAGACAACCTGCTCCATGGCCTTCTTGACGCCGACTTCCAGAATCGACTCACTCTTGGTCATGATGCCTTCTCCCTTGTCGAGGAAGCACATGTACTCATCGAGAAGCAGGTAGCTGCTCGCCATGGACTGGTTGTCCTCGGGGACGTAGCACGGAAGATGCTTGTGGCGGTCGCAAAAGGTACGCCATTGTTCGTCAGTGACCAAGAAGGCCCTCGCGTCTCGCTTCCTCGTCTCGTCGTCGTTCTCGCCAGCGACGATGAGGCACTGGAACACCTTCCACCGGAAAGGCGCCAGCCGCTCGATGTTGGCGACCATGTCCTCGTCCCAGTTGTGGGTGTTGACGACCGTGTTCAGCTTGAACTTGACGCCGTACTGCTTGCACCACTCGGCGATGCGAAACAGGCGAACCACGTTGCCTCCGTCGTCGCCGCGGCCGATCTTCTTGTTCGTGTCCGGGTTGAACGAGTCGCACGAGACGGCCAGGATGTCCAGCCATTGGCAGTTGTCTCGCATCCACTTTTCGCGGATCTTGCTGCCGTTGCTCACGATGCTGATGCTCTCGACGCCGAGCTCCTCCTTGCAGTAGCGGAGCAGCTCGGTGAGGAGGTGCGGGTACAGGAAGGGTTCGCCGCCGGCGATGTTGAGCTTGCGCATGCCGGCCTCTTTGAGCAGGCGCAGACCACGCTTGGCCTCGTCAATGGGGAGGACGTAGGAAGAGGTTTCGGTGTGGAAGCAGAAGCCGCATGTGTAGTTGCATTTCCGAGACGGGAAGTAGTTGACCGAAACCGGAGCGTTCGGGTCCTCGGGCGGCAGCTTGTCGGTGCGTTTCTTGAATGCGACGGACGTGAAGGCGGCGCAGAGGACGATGAGCAAGAGAAGAGCAACGATAGCCATGGCTAGGTACGCCTCTATGGGACTAGGCGGCAGAGACGGCGGTATGGAGTGAGTACTTTGGCGAGTGTGTAGATGAGAGAGTCGGTGATTGGCGGGCTATGACGAAGCCACTTGGAAACGCTGAGTATTTAATAGGTCGGTCTGGCCGAGTGCACGCGCCCATTAATGACGCTTGCCTTTCGCGTTGGGCCGCGCTTGCCTTTTGCTACCTATTGGGCCGCGCTTGCCTATCGCTGGCGGGCCAAAGTGTCATCATCTGCTTGGCGATCGCCTGCGACGCTCTCTTTCCATCAAGGTACTACCCACTGACCTCACGGCCTGGCAACAACCATGGGAACACCCCGCAGCTTTGCCGTCGTCTTCGTCCTTGGTGTGTGTCCCTAGCCCTCCGACCTACTCCGACCCTGCTGAAACAGATTCCAGGCGCACCCGGTGCCGGCAAAGGCACGCTCTGCTCTCATCTCGCGCAGACAAGCAACTTGGCCCACTACTCTGTCGGCGACAGCCTCCGTGCTTGGATGCGTGACAACAAAGCCACACCACTCGCAGTCGCAATCCAAGACAAGCTTGACAATCAGGGCTTTCTCACCTCTGATGACCTGAATCCCTTCATCCGCCAGGCAATCAAGGACGCCATGCGCCAGAACGGAGCAAGAATCCAAGGCATCCTAGTCGATGGGTTTCCGCGATGCACAGAGCAACTGGAGTCGTTCAACGCCTGGCCATTCCAGGACGACTTGCCACTTGCTCCCACCCATGACGCAAACGCCAAACCGGACATTGTGCTGTCCATTGGTATTACCAAGGCAAATGCGAAGGCGAGATATGTCGCCCGTGCGCGGGACAGCAATGACAGCCTGGAGAAGTTCGAGAGGCGCTTCGCCGAATATGAGGCCGAGACTATGCCGGTGGAGCAAGCGTATCGCCAGCGGGGCGTATTGATCGACGTGGGTATCAAATAACCCACGTGCAGAGCCAGTGGCTAACGAGTGCAGGTCGATGCAAACGGAACGAAGGAGGAGAACGTCAAGGAGTTGACCAAGAAGCTTGAAGAAAGTGAGCTGTGGCAGGAGGCTGTCGTCAGAGGAAGTGCCGGAGCGCGCTTTCTCGTGTAAAGGGTACGATGAATGGCACTCCACGACGTAGGTAGGAATTGATATCTTCGGTGGAGGCGGCGGGAAAGAGCGGGGTCGACGATGGGCGGGGCGGGGCGGAGCGGGGCGGGGCGGGGCGGGGCGGCCCGCTTTACACTCACCGTCTGCCACGTAGGTCGCCGCTCCCCCCTCTTCCACGATCCTCCCCACGTGTCCGCCATCCTCATCGCCGGTAACCTGAAGACTCGCATCTCTCGCACCAACGCTGTCGCCCCGTTCCTCGTCCGTCACGTTTGGGCCGTCAAGGCGCTGTACCGGCTCCTCCTGCAAGCCAGCGCGCCCGTTGCTGTACCGGTACCTGGTGCCCCTGGCGCCCCTACTTGTCCAACGCGTGCCGTGCTCCTCTTGCTGGCCAGCTTGTCCGCCTGTGCGACGGCCCTGCGTCCGTGGTCGACATGGCCTGCGAATCGAGCCCGCACGTGCTCGTTCGGGGAGCCACTCTCGAGCAGCTCGTCGAACAGCCCGTCCTGGTTGCATGGCACAACGACGCCAATGGCCAGTACGAACACATCGGATGCCTTTCCACTGCCGCCCCCCGAGATCGAGCCAACCTCACTTTCCGCGTCGGCCGCGCCGGATTCGGCAGCCACCAGCGTCTCCTCATCAGCTTTCACCTGCCCGTCTGCACCCGAGCCACCCAACGCAAGACCGAAAAGAACATGTTCTTGATCGTGCCCGCCGAGCGTCTACGCATCCAGCTGGACCTTGTCGACTTCGATACCTTGCCCCCGCCAACCCGTGGCCAGTTGAGGAACAATCACCTGGGAGACACTGAGGCTGGGCTCGTCCGTGCACGCTTTTCTCTCATGACTTCTGCCTACGTTCTGATGCCCAAGCTTCGCCGGCCGCTCGCGAGGCCTTTGACCGGCGCCCCCGGCAGGCTAATGTCCTCTCTGAGGGCTCTGTCCGAGGCCAAGGAGTTTGACGTGTACTTGTCTCGCGGAGATGTCGAGCACCGCTTGCAGAAGATATGCTCCACCCTCCACCAACACCCCATCGAGACGCCCGATCTGGACATAAACGCGACATTTGACGGGGGATATAGCGGAGGCAAGAATCTCTGGGAAAGCTATCCTTTCGTGGGAGGCGCAGAGTATGCCTGGAACCCCATGGTCGACGAAGCCCCTCCGCCGTACGATGCTGTTCTCGGCGAAGACGTCTCCCCAGAACCTCCCCCCGCCGTTGAAAAGATCCCCCCTCAGCCTGTCCCTGGGACATCGGGACGGCGCGTTGTTTCATGGAATCCAGACCGGCACTTGCGAGCAGAAATTCCCTCCATCTTCCAAAAGTCCGAGCCAAGCAAGATCAAGCAGCTCCTCATGTCCTGGTCTCCAGAATCCCACGTGGGTCTCGCAGACGTCTCCCCGCCGCGGCCTTCAGCAGCGATTGCGGGGCATAAGCGTAGGGTCAGGTCTGACGGAGCAATCTTGGGCAAGACCGAGGCCAGATTCCCGCCCCGGCCAGCCCATCCCGATCCAACAGCAGCCTACGACCGCATCTCCGAAGCAGCCACTTCGAACATTGGCTCCCCCGAAATCACCCAGCCAGCAGATGCCCGCCACTCCGACAGCTTCGGCGACGAGAAGAGCATCATCTCCGCCTACTCGACCGCCCCGTCCTACCAAAAATCGTCGGGGGCGTCAATCTCCCCATCGCCGCAACCCCCCACCCGTTCGTGGCGCGCCGACTCCATCATCGCGAACCCCCCGAGCCCAGTCGACCAACCCGACGACGACGACCACGACGCAGCCGACCCGCCCAGCCCCATGGACCACCGACCCGGCAGCGACCACCCCACCGCCTCGCTCCTCCGCGCCGCCGTCCTCGCCAGCCTCCACGCCCGCTCCGGCCCCTCGGCCGACTCATCCGCCACCGACCCCCCGGACCCCGCCCTCCTCCACACGCCCAACCTCTTCCTCGAGCTGCAGGAATGGCTCGCCGTCGCCTCCTCGCTCGACCCGCTCGCGCACGAAACGCACCGCGCGGCCCTCTTCGCGCTCGGCGCCGCGGCCCGCGAGGGCCTGACGACGGACTTCGACAGCGGGATGCGCGACTGCCAGCGGGCGCTGCTGCGGGACGCGTGGCGCGAGTGGCCGCCCGCGGAGAACATGCTGGAGGACTGCTTCGAGGTGCTGGACTGGCTGAACGGGGCGGTGTGCAGGAACGCGGGGACGGTCATGATGCCGATGCTGGTGGGGCTGCGGGCGCCGGCGCAGGACGTGGGCATGATGGGGGCGGGCGACGACGGCGCGGAGAAGGCGTGGAGGGAGGCGCTGGCCGAGGTGAGGGCGGCGGCTTTCTGGGTCTTTGGGTAGGTAGGTAGGGCGTTGTGGATGTGGTGGATTATTGGAGCGAGCGGTGCTGGGCGGCGTTGATAAGACGTACGTACTACGTACCCATGCGCCGCGCAAGCGCCCCCACCTTTTGTCAACGACGACTTCCGCAGCATCTCCGATCGCTGCTCCTCGACTGCCGTTACGCCGCGGTTGCTGCTGCTCGTCACGAAGTCTGTCGTTTTAACGTAGTCAAAAGACATGATGGTAAAAGTCTCAAGAAGCCTCACGTAGATACAAGTCTATAATGTAATGTAATGTCCTTCGTTATGCGAAACGTCTGTCTTGGCTTCGATCCTCAGCTTACGTGGGACTGCGAAGAACAGGAATTTAAGGTTAAGGATTGCAACGGCTCGGCTCGAGCAAGCATCAACCTACTCAACGTGTCTGGCGCCCAATCCTTTGACGTTTTTGGCGGAAGCTCGAGAGCGTGGGAGGAGAGTCATGAATTCGGCCATGGTGGGAAATAATATTGGGAGAGCGGTGTGTTCGTATCCGGACCTGTGCTCCGGCGACGAGACAAGTCAATTAAGCGATCGAATCCAGTTATCGTGGGCCAGGTCACATTTGCATAATGACCTGACCTTCCAATTCGAGCGGCTTGCCATCCCAGAAAGGTGGGGTTCCCACACCACGCGACGTGGTTCTAAGCAGATCACTTTTATCGATTTTCGGCCCCGTTCCAGCCCTGCTTTCATTATTGACGGACTAACGCCATAAGAACTCTAAACAGCTAACTGCTGTGCCCAACACCAACGGAAACGCCATGGCACTTTCCCGGCCCGACAGCCTGGCCTTCTCGCGAAGTGCGCGCCCGGCCTTTGCGGCTTCGCCCGTCTCGCCCGCCGGCGTGTCGCAGACGCCTTCGACATTCCTGTTTGTGGATGCCGGAACCACGCAGAGTCGAGAGCAGAGACGCCAGATCCGCGCTCAAGTCATGTTCGCCACCCACGAGGCCAGACGGCGCCGAGGGATGAAAGGCAGCGAGGACCCTGAAAAGGCGCAGAAAGACCGCCACGTCCGTAGAACCGAGAGTCCGCTACAAGACGCCAGTGTGATGCACGAAGACCCGTTCGACTCTTTGCCGGTCAAGGCCTTCCCGGGAATGCATAACCTCATCTTTTACCGTACGTTGGCCGCCGCTACAGTCACAGCAATCCAACCGTAACTAAGATGTAGCTGCATCCAGACTTCGACGTCTATCCTGAGTCCTTACCATTCGTCGACGGTAAGTATGCGGCGAGAATCTCCAGCAGAGCGTCTTGTAGCGAGGCTGATGCAGGACAAAAGACCCGTTCGTGACTAGGAAGCAGAACACAAAGGCAAGACGGAGCAACACAGTCTGGGACGTAATGTCCTCCGGGGAGACATCGTTCCTCGTGCTCCTCGCGGAAATGGCACGATTGTTCAACTCGACCAAGCCCAGTGCAAAGTGGCGGGTATGCCAGCTCAAGCTCCGGGGCAAAGCACTGCAATCAGTCCGGGAGGGCCTATCATCATCAAATCACTCCGACTCCTACATTGCCGCCGTAGCAGGCATGCAAGGCGGAGCGGTACGTTCTGCCCCCCATCCCCTCCCGACAGTAGAGCACCACCCCGACTGACGCGCACCACGCGTGCCACGCAATCCAGAGCATAGTCGGCGACGGCAAGACGGCGCGCGCGCACCTCGACGGCCTCCGCGAGCTCGTCCGCCTCCGCGGCGGCATCCACACCTTCTCGCACGTCGCCCGCCGCATCATCGTCTGGGTCGACCTCTACGTCTGCGCCACCCACCAGCTCCTCCCCGCCATCCCCCCCACCCCGCTCGCCCCCTCGACCATCGGCCTCGACGACGACGACGACGACGACGACGACGACAACACCAACAACCCCACCCCCTCACCGCCACCCTCCCCCTTCCCCCCCGCCTTCCTCGCCCTCGTCGCCACCGCCCGCGCCCGCACCCTCGCCCGCCTCCCGCCCCCGCCGACGTATACGTCCACCAACCAGCCCGGCTGCTGCGTCGGCGTCAATGGCGCCGACGCCGTCCCAGTCGTCGTCGACGGCCCCCTCACGCGCATCTTCCACGCCCTCCACCTCGTCGGCGCCGCCAACTCGCCCGCCTGGGTCGACGCGCTCATGGCCCCCGGCCCCACGCGCGACGCCGTGGCGTCCGTGTTGGATGGCGCGGCGCATGCGGTGTTGGTGGAGTTGGCGAAGGGGAGGCGGGCTGATAATGGGGGGGAGGATGGGGGGGAGGATGGGGGGAACTGGGTGGGGGGGGACTGGGAGGGGGATAATGGTTGTGGTTGGGGTGGTGGTTGTGGTGGCATTGCTGGGGAGGAGGACGCGGGAGGGGTCGATGCTGCGGGCCATCGCTGGTTGCGCGGCGTGCTGCTGCATGCGGCGCATGTCTATCTGCGCGCGTCGCTGTGTCAACTGCCGCCTGCGGCGCCGATCAACGTGCTGTTTCTTGAGCGGCTGTGGCGCGCGTTGGATGCTAGGGCTGGGGAGGGGGTGGCTGATAGGAGGGAAGAGGAGGAGGAAGATGGAGGATGTGATGGTGGTGGTGTTTGTAGCGATGGTGAGGGCCTGCGTGGGAATTTGGCTAGGTGTGAGGGGGTAGAAGACGGCGCGGTGTGGGCGTTGGCTGTCGGCTGGTATCTGGCAGATAGGGTGACTACGGCGGCGCGGACCGGGAGCGACGGCTTCCGCATGGCGGCGAGGGCGGGTGTCCTGCTGGCGTGGTTCGAAGACCGGATTGCGGACTGTTTGCTGGTGTTCGATGCGCGGGGAGAAGAGGGGACGGAGCGGGCGGCGAGGGCGGTGGCGGATTTCCCGGGGACGGATGAGTTCAGGAGGGAGTGGCATAGGTTGCTGTTGCAGGAGAGGTTTCGTGAGCGGAGTGAGTCGTTGGGCTCTGAGTAGGAGAAGGCCAGTGGTGGACGGATGAGAGAAACCACGGGCTAAATCCGCATTCATCGTGCTGGTCGACGTTCAAAGTATCCTATGTAAAAATTGAAATGTACAGGCCTTCATGCGTATACCTTGGCTTGCAACGTGCACCCCACACCTCTTTGACTCCGAGCATAACCTTCAGTCACGCCAGTGCCTTGCACCGTACACGCGGCACCCTCAATGTCCCCGACCACGCCCGGAACCCCCTTCCCCCAGCCCTCCCCTCACGCCTCGGGCCAAACAATCTCAATCACACCCCCCTTCACCCTCGCGTTAAACCACTCCAAACACTCAATCTCCGCCCTCACCGTCCTCGCCCCACCCCCCTCCAGCACCCCGGCCTCGACCACCGCCGCCGTCGCGACATACAGCTCCAACATGGCCAAGTTCCTCGCAATGCACGCGCGGGCCCCCTTCCCGAACGGCATGAAGTCGCGCTGCATCCTCTCCTCGCCGGCGCCCTCGACCCAGCGCTCCGGCCGGAACGCGCGCGGCTCCGGGTACACGGCCGGGTTGAGGTGCAGCTGGTACGCCGACAGGCCGACGACGGTCGCGGGCGGCAGGTAGGTGCCGTTGTGCTGGTAGCCGCCGGCGGGCACGACGCGCGGCAGCCGCGTCGAAATGGCCATGCTGAGCCGCAGCGCTTCTTTGATGACGCCGCTGAGGTAGGGCAGCGACTGGAGGTCTTTGGGCGCGGCCGAGGTGGCGTTGGTGTGGAGCTCGGTGCGGAGGCGCGCGTATCTTTTGCGTGTGGTGGTGTGTCAGTGTGATGGAGGGGGACAGGCGCGGACGGATGCGTGGGGGATGGGATGGGAGGTCGGGCTTACTTGTCTGGCTGAGCGACGAGGTACCAGATGATGGTGGCCAGGTTGTTGCCGGTAGAATCGGTGCCGGCGAACACGGCGTCCTTGCATTCGGCGATCACTTTCTCCTTGGGGACGCCGAGAGCGAGAAGCCGGGACGGGTAGCTGTCGTCGCCCTTTCTTTCCTCGAGGAGCGTGATTTTCTCTTCGATGGTCCGTTTGAGGAAGCCGTCGACGATTTGTGTCGACTTTGTTGTTTTGGCGTCAGGCGCGACGAATTCCATGATGCGCTCGATGAGATGCATTTGAGATTGAGAGAGGTGAAAGAAGCGGCTCATGCTGACGAAGTAGTCAACAAAAGGGGAGGCTGACATCTCGCCTTGCTCCTCCAGCCCGTTATATGGGGCGCGAAGAATATAGCTGGACACGGCGTCGATGGCTGGAAGGTGCGTCAGATCTCGTCGAGAGGATTACGGGAGGGGAGAGAAGGACCATAGGATCGTGCAAGGTTGAGGACATCGACCGGCTTCCGGGTTTGCCTCCCCTCAGCGATGCGTTCAACCATCCTGGTGGCACATTTCTCGATTATTCCCTTGGCAGCCATGCAGGATGCATGAGAAAAGAGGGGCTGGATCGACTTCAACCTGGCGGAGCGCTTCTCCAACGACAGGGTGGTGAAAATGGTGGCATGGCCATCTATGTTGAAGGTGCTGTAGTAGTCGCTCTTGACGAAGCCCCCCTTCTCCATGTAGATGGGCCAAAGGGCGTCTCCGTCGGACATGTGAACATCATTGGGGCCAATACGTACGACCGGGCCCAGCTCTTCATGGAGTTTTTGGATTGCCGAGCACTGAGTGCCGGCCCAGGCATGGTAGTGCAGCCACAGAGAGGTGAAGCGGCAGATGAGCGGGCCGGGCACGTGCCGAAGCGGGTCGCGGACAATGCAGGTGATAAAGTAGAAAAGAAGCAGGGATCCCACGAGCAGGAAGGGGACGTTCCCATACGTTATCGCGAGGCTTTCGACGTACCCCATTGTTTCGGCAATCCACTGTTTGATACTGCATTGCAACGTGAAACTATCGTCGACCTTAAATTCCTCTTGGTTTTCGTTGGTCGCTGTGCTGACATACAGCTGCGGTCAGCATGACCTGCATTTTTGCCGCTATCTACCCCGGGTAATGTGCCTTGTTCCGACGGTCCTGATACTCCAACGCTGTCATGTTCTCGTACAGGGGCTCCTTATCACCAACGAAATGCGGCATGGGCCCCACCTGGGCCGACCGGTCTGCCTTGCAAAAGAAGACCATTGATGTCCGCTCCGGCGCAATGTCTCCGTCCACCTCTTGGGCGCTCGGCTTCTGGACACGGTGCAAGCAGGCCCGCAACTCGTCGTTCGTCCAGCGCTGCATCGTTTCTGACACCAGAAGGACGATGTCGCTCTCAGAGGTGAAACCGACGGGCTCGAAGATGCCGGCCTCGGCCTGGCGCACTTCGTACTCGAGACCGCCAACGACTCCCGGGAATACCAAGCTGATGATGCCAAAGTCCTTGTGCGGCCACGCCCGCCCAATCTCCCCAGCATCCAGGAGACGTACGTCCAGCGCGGCGTAGTTGTTGCTGCGCAGCGTGCTGGCCTCGTGTGTGCAGCGCTCGGTGAAGGCGTTGCGCGGGAGACCGGCGGCCGCGGCCAGCGTCTCCAGGATCTCGTAGCTCAGAGTGGAGCACTTCTCAAAAAGCGACTCCATGATGTTCTGGTGTTTAGGCAGCACCGTCGGAGGCAGCCATTTGTTTGGGAACTGCTTGTCGTTGACCGAACCGATGTCGATGCTCTCTCGCGAGTCGCCGAACTTGGGCGCTGGCCCGCCGTTCTTGATGCTCTCCAGAAACCACGTCTTCTCTTCACCAGCCACGCTCCAGCCACGCTGTTGGGCCTGTTTTGGGTCGTTTGCGATCTGCGCTTTGAGGTCTTGCGGCAGATGGAAGAAGTCTTTGCACTGCACATTCTGTCAGTGGGCGGCAGCTTAGCCAGTGACAATTTCTATTCCGCATACCGAGCTGAAAGCGTTGGAGATGTCGCCATCTGGGATGCTTGTGTTGACCAGCTTTACCGCTCCGTCTTCCTTGAGCCTGGTCAGCAGCGCTTCGCCGAATGCTTTCCGCTCCTTCTCAGTGCCTCCGTTCAGCGCTCTAGCGTCAAGGATAGGAAGTGGCATCTTGAAGGGGCGACTTGGAAGATGTGATGGAAGACTTTCCGATCGAGTTAGCTCACCCTCGACGGAGCGTGCGGCTTATTGGGAAGATATCCGTTTGGGATGCTGCTCGCCGGGTGCCTTGGCGGTGTCTGCTGACCTGATTACCCTCCAACCATGACTGCCGCTGACATGGCGAAAGGTGCCCCCAGCGTCAGCCCATACTGCTACGGATCCGAAACTCTGTAGAAAAATAACTTTTTTTTGCGCCAAAGAGAGACTCCACGGTGGCTGTTCCGTGATTTGACTTCACCTCTTGCACGGCCCCTGTGTTTATACGTCTTTAGCAGCGCCAAGCAGGCCGCCAGACCGACCAAGGGATAACGTGTCCACAATGCCCATGTAAATACCTGAGCTCTTATTGTTTTGCTTCACTTGTAGCTAAATCCGCCCGCAGGCTCAAGAGCCCCTCGGCCAAGTATGATACTTTCAGGCCCATCAAGCTTCCAGATCGTCAGTGGCCATCCCAGAGCATTACAGAAGCACCGACATGGCTTGCCACGGACTTGAGAGATGGAAACCAAAGCCTCGAGCACCCCATGGTACGATCAGCTCCTGCCCCGCGATGATGAGTACTCACATGCCCGGTAGACGATAAACCAGAAATGGAAATACTTTCAGATGCTCGTCCGTATCGGCTTCAAGGAGATCGATGTCTCCTTCCCCAGCGCGTCCGACACCGAGTTCGACTTTACGCGCCGGATCGTCGAGACACCAAACATGGCACTAGACGACGTGTGGCTTCAGGTGCTCTCCCCTTGCAAGAAGGAGCATATCCGCCGGACGGTAGATAGCGTGACCGGCGCCAAAAAAGCCATCCTCAGCCTGTACATCGCCGCCAGTGACAACTTCCTCGAGACCATCTTCGGAATGTCCCAGCAACAGGTGCTCGAGCAGGCCGTCGAGTGCGTCGCCTACGCCCGCTCCATCACCAAAGACGACCCGCAACAGCAACACACCAGATGGAAGCTCATGTTCAGCCCGGAAGCCTTCTCGGACACGGACCTCACATACAGCACCCGGCTGTGCGAAGCAGTGAAGGAAGCCTGGGGTCCCACCGAAGAAGACCCAATCATCCTGAACCTGCCCGCCACAGTCGAGATGGCCAGCCCCAACGTCTTCGCCGACCAAGTCGAGCTCTTCTGCCGCTCGATCCCGGCGTCGGAACGAAGCAAGGTCGTCGTCTCGCTGCACCCGCACAACGACCGGGGCTGCGCCGTGGCCGCGTCGGAGCTGGGCATCATGGCGGGCGCGCGGCGGGTCGAGGGCTGCCTCTTCGGCAACGGCGAGCGGACGGGCAACGTCGACCTCGTCACCCTGGCCCTGAACCTGTACACGCAGGGCATCGACCCGGGCATCGACCTGTCGGACCTCAAGTCCATCAAGGCCGTGTTCGAGGAGTGCACGCAGCTGCGCATCCCCACCCGCATGCCGTACTCGGGCGACGCCGTCTTCATCGCGTACAGCGGCTCCCACCAGGACGCCATCAGCAAGGCCTTCAACAAGATGAAGAAGAACGGCGGCTCGCCGCGCTGGAAGGTGCCCTACCTCGCCATCGACCCCAAGGACATCGGCGCCAGCTACGAGTCCGTCATCCGCGTCAACTCGCAGAGCGGCAAGGGCGGCGTCGCCTGGACGCTGAGTCGCCACTTGCAGATCGACATCGACCTGCCCAAGGGCCTGCAGCTCGCCTTCTCCAAGACGGCCAAGTCGCTGTCCGAGACCCTTGCCCGCACCCTCAGCCCCTCGGAGATTTCCGACCTTTTCCTGCAGACGTATCATGTGCTCTCCAAGGATCCGCGCATCTGCAGCGCGGGTGTGGCGAATGCCCCGGCTGGGAAAACGGTCGAGGCGGCTGTCTTTATTAACGGCAAGATGCATCGGCTCTTGGGCAGTGGGAAAGATGTGCTTGAGGCTGTTGAGAACGCTTTCGCGAATGGTGTTGGAGGCGGTGCGATGCGCTTCGAGCTGCACCACCGCACTCTCGTTGCTGGAAATGGCGCTATTCGTGGCATCGCCATCGTTGAGTGTGTGGCTGGAACCGAGAAGAGCTCATGGGGGGCCAATATATCGGACAAGGCCGATGAGAGGTACTTGTTGGCTTGCTTGGGCGCCGCTCTGGTAAGTGCTTTGAGATAAACTGCTGAGACGAATGGTGTGCTGACTTTCGCCTTTCCAACAACAGGGGATGGTGAGTAAGCCGCTTGTGAACCAGAAGGTTACAGACATTATTGGGCGGGATTTGGGTCTGTTGAATGGTCTGCGCCGCGCCAAAGAGATGCAGATGTTGACTTCAAGTGAAGCTTAGTTGGTTTTTTTTCTTTCGTACGGCGCAGACGGCCGCCAAAAATTGCTAGCGGAATTCCTGCTTTTCGTTCGTGCGTCTTTAACCTTTACGATATACTACCATTAAGCAATCGCGGCCAAAATCAGTTTCTTTATATTAATAAAAACCTGCGTGATATTTGAAGAGTGTTGGGAAACCTCGAGTTTTACTTGAGGCGGGCGATACGAGAAGAAGGTGGAGAACCGCATCACTTTTCATGATTAGCTACAAAACTATATACTCGTCAGGTTTAGTATATATGGCGTTTGCAGAAGTGTTAGAATGATGATTGAAAACAAATAGTGAGGCTGGGAGGAGAAGGCTTCCAGTTTGAGCGAACAAGCAATGGATTCGGGTTTGTTTCTCAACATAAATTCGTATACTCAAAGAAAGTGCAATTGATGTCTATATCACCATATCTATGGAAACACCTCGGACTCGATAAATTGAAACCAATAACCCAAAGAAATACCATATCCCAGCGCTCCTCCAACCCTCTCAGCAATCTCCTCGAATTCAAAGCTCAGTCTTGGTCAGGGGGTCATGCTGCTGGGAAGCTACAGGGGCCAGCCCCTGCTTCACCATGTGCGTGATAATTTCATAGCCCAGGGCGGCAGCCACAAAAGCCGTGTCAGCGCCAGGGGTATCGTAGGCGGGCGCAACCTCGACAATGTCGGCACCCACAATGTCCAAATCCCTCAAACCCCTGAGAATCCTGATCATCTCGCGGGTCGACCATCCACCGGGCTCCGGAGCGCCGGTGCCAGGGGCAAAGGCCGGATCAAGCACATCGATGTCAATGCTCAAATAGACCTTGACGTCCTTGGAGATGCGCGACGTGATGGCGTCGATGACGCCGGCCACGCCCACGTCATCGACGGCGTCGGCGGGGATGCGCAAAAAGCCCATGGCGTCGTCGGACTCGTAGTCGATGGCGGAGGCGCCGGTGAGGCGGGTGTTGATGCCGGCATGGACGCACGACGAGTTGTGCAGCAGGCCCTCGACGCTGGCCTGCCAGAAGACGGAGCCGTGGTTGAAGGTGGCCTGCTCGCTGGGCCAGGCGCTGGGGTAGCTGCTGGGGTGCAGGGTGTCGAGGTGCGAGTCGAAGTGCAGCAGCACCATGGGCTCGCCGTAGGCGGCTTTGAGGGCGCGCAGGGCGGGCAGCGCCACCAGATGGTCGCCGCCCAGCACCAGCAGCTTCGGCTTCGGCATGGGCGGCGCGCCGGTCAGCGGGTCGCCCGGGTAGGCGGTCCGGCGCGTGGACAGCTCGGTCAGGGCCTGCGTCATCTGGTCCATGGCGACGGCGTTGTCGAAGGGCGTCACGGGGATGTCGCCGCAGTCCAGGATCTTGGCCCACGACGTGTACGGGTTGACGCTGGCTTGGGCGTGGAAGCCCCGGCTGATGATGTGCCGGCCCGAGGCGGCGCGGATGGCACGCGGGCCCATGCGCGCGCCGGGGCGGTAGCTGACGGCCGTGTCGAAGGGGACGCCGATGATGCCAATGTCGAAGGCTTCCGAGGGGTTGGTGAGGCACTTGACGTGCGGGACGTGGCCGAAGGTCGAGATGCCGGAGAAGGCCCACTGTCGGCGAAGTCAGTTGGTGCGGTGGGCTAAAAGGAACACAGACGCGTACGTTATCGCCCCATTTTCGTTCGAGCTCGGCCAAGTGCTCTGGGTCTTCGTGCAGTGGGGCTTGTTGTGTTTGTTGGAAGGCAAGTGCTGGGGAGAGCAGGGCGAGGAACAGGTCGGTGCGCATGGTGGTAAGATTCGTCGGGAGGGTTTCGGGTGTGAATTGCTTGAGACTGGCGCACCCAAATTATCTCGAGCGTCTACCATCCAAATAGTTACAGAGTCCCGTTATCTCTCCACTCTTGCAACCAAATGATAAGAGCCCGCGACCGTGCTGACAATATCTTGTATGCCCACCTCGAGCTGCTTTACAGAAAGTAGCTTGAGTATCGTCGTCTACAGCGTTGTAGCCAAACATCTCATCATGGCATGAAGGAATGGCCAATTCTGCCACCGAAAATTCTCACACGCCTTCAATATACCGCATTGGCTAGAAACGGCCCCCGATCGGTGCCTCATCGCACGCAATCCGGGTCTGGAATCCTCGTTTGGCCGCCGCCGGCATACCTGGAGACGGCTGACTGCCCATCGCTGACTCACTGACTCGCTGACATCCGCTGACTAGTCTTTGAGTACTGGCAGCTTTACTGCGTGACCATCAGGCTCATGCATACACACAATATCCCAGTATGTCCGCATCTTGTCACCTGCCGATCCATCTTGACCTTCACCTACGATCAATCTATCGCTGACTCTGCATTGATGCCAACGCGGCCAGTTGACTCTGACAACTCATGTTGCGTGCTTCCGCTTTACGATTGTCACAACAGGCTTAGCACATGAAAAGGGGCTTCCTTGTGACGCTCGCTACGAGTCCCCCAGCTATCCTATCACAACTATCATTGTTTTCCATTTCCGGTAATTTCGCAACAACAACAACAACAACAACACCACCACCACCACCACCACCACCACCACCACCACAATGACCACCAAGGCGTTCCCCCAAGAGTGCGACATCGTCGCTACGCTGTCCCCCAAGGAAGGCAAGCTCGACAGGGTAACTATTCCCAAGCTTTGGGTGAATCATCATACACTGGATAGCTGACTTTACGTGTTGCACAGGTCGTCGAGCTTCTCACGGACCTGACGTCTTCTGTGCAGAAGAACGAGCCTGGAGTCTTCAGCTTCCACCTCTACAAGGACTTCGACGCCGAGACTGGAAAGGAGCAACTCGTGCTCGTGGAGAAGTATGCGCAAATTAGCCGAGCCTCTTCTGCGCGAAGACTGCTGACTCGTATCAGATATGCCGATAAGGCAGCGTACGATCTGCACGCTGAGCTGCCTGAGTTCCAGGCAATGCACAAGAAATTCAGGGAGGAGGAATTGATGGAGCGTCCAATCGTCATCAAGAGCGTCAAGCCGCTTGTTGGATTCTATAGAAACTAGACTGTCTTAGATACGCGGAAGTTCAACCGCAATGAATGACTGAAGAACTTTTATCAATAGCCAGTCTTGTGAATGTCGCAAAGCGATCGTGTCATGACAAATCAAAAGATCGAAGCTTGGGAATTCGTGAAACATTGGAGCAATGTCCCAGGATAAAATGTTGTTCTTGATCAATGATATCATAAGAATAATGTGATTTGACTGTGTGGTGCAGAAGGCACGATGCCCGCCAAATTGTGGGCCAGGATGACATCGGCTCGCTGACTTCCACCCCGCCCCGCCCAAAGAAGAGAGCCACCATACATATAATAAACTCCTGCATCTGCAAAAAAGCTCTGGACAGCACTCTCCTCCGAACAAGATCACTACAACCAGTACGAAAATGGCATCAACCACCACTACCCCCTCCTTCCTCGGCAACCCGATGGAAATCTGCCTCGTCACCCGCGACTACAAGCGCACCATCAGCGGCCTCCACGCCCTCGGAATTGGTCCCTGGCGCTGCTATTCTTTCACGCCCTCCAACACGACCAATCAAACCTACCGGGGCCAAGCCTCTCCCTTCGTCCTGCGCGTCTGCTTCGCCGAGCTGTCGCCATCCATGGTGTACGAGGTGATCCAGCCGGTCAGCGGGCCCAACATTTTCCAAGAATTCCTCGACCAGCATGGCGAAGGTGTGCATCACATCGCGTACGATATGAACGGAGTTCCGTTTGCGGAACGGGTCAAGGAGTTTGAGAAGAGGGGCTTTGTCATGTCCCAGGGTGGCAGCTGGATGGGAAAGAACCACTTTGCCTTCTTCGAGACCGAGGAGAAGACGGGAACGTGCTTTGAGACGTATGAGTTTCCGGGGGATTGGGATTACCCCGAGCCGGAGGAGTGGTTTCCCCACGCACCACAGTGAAAGTCGGAAGGAGAGTGAGAGGACTTGCATGTATTAGAGCTATGAAAACTACAAATGCTCATGTTTCACCAATCCATCTTGTCCGTGCTCTTGCTGTGTAGTGCCAAAAGCTCCCTCGCTCGCCCTTCAATGTCGTGCAGGAACCCCACGCTTTCTTCAATCCAAGGAAACTTCTCTCTCCGCTGCCTCTCGAACTTGGCAATCTCCTCTTCCATTTGCAGCGTGGCTGCAATATCATCTGAGCCTTCGATTAGCCTCCGCCTCCGATGCTCCTCCACGACGAACGTAGCAATGACTTCGCTTCCCTCATTGCGGATCTCCTGCGCCACGAGATCCACCGTGATTGGTCTGGCTTGCTCAGCTTCAGCAATGACACGCGCCATGGCTTTCTTGTCTGTCAGCCGGACAGGCAACAGTCCGTTCTTGAAAGCATTATTGTAGAAAATGTCAGCGAAGCTGGGCGCCACGACACATCGGAAGCCGAAGCCTTGAAGTGCCCACACAGCATGTTCGCGCGAGCTGCCGCAGCCAAAGTTCTGGCCGGCCACGAGAACAGTCGCCGAGCGGTACTGCTGCTGATTGAGGATGAAGGCTGGGTCTTCGTCGGAGGTGCCGGGAAGGTTGCGCAGCTTATGGAAGAGGCCAGCGCCGCTGCGCTCAATAGTCTTGCAGAACTGCACGGGAAGGATGGTGTCGGTGTCGATGTTGGCGCGGTTGAGCGGAGCAGCGATGCCGGTGACGGTGGTGAATGTAGTGACTCCGCCCGAGCCTTCACTTGCTGCTGAGGGTTGCTCCTGTTCCTGAAACTCACCGTCATCCTTGTCCCACTCAGACGAGGACCCCCAGTCGAGTTCAAACGCAACATCTCTCACTGGTTTCGCTTCTTCTTGGTCGTCGTCGTCGTCGTCACCGCTGCCATCAACAACATCCCGCACATCGCACAACCGCCCCATAAGCGCGGCGGCTGCCGCCATGGCTGGACTGACCAAGTGAGTGCGGCCACCGGCGCCCTGCCTGTTCTCGAAATTGCGGTTGCTGGTGCTGGCACAGCGCTCGCCCGGCCTCAACGCATCGCCGTTCAGCCCACAGCACATGCTGCAGCCAGGCTCGCGCCACTCGAAGCCCGCCCGCAAAAAGACATGATGCAAGCCCTCAGCCTCAGCAGCGCGCTTGACGGCACCCGATCCCGGCACGACGAGGGCGCAGCGGACATTCGGCGCGACGACAGCCGGCTGGCGGCGAGCTCGCCGCACCACGCCAGCAGCAGCCCTCAGGTCAGCCAACCGCGAATTGGTGCACGACCCGATGAAGACGACGTCGACCTCCAAGTCAGCCAGCCGTTCCCCAGGCGCCAGCCCCATATACCGCAGCGCGCGCTCCTTCGCCGCGCCGCGGCCATCGTCTCCCCCGCCAACGAGCTCCCCAGGCACGACACCCCCCTTGACCGCAACCACCTGCTCCGGCGACGTCCCCCACGTCACCATCGGCTCCACCCTCGCCGCATCAACCCACACCTCGCGATCAAACACGGCGCCCTCATCCGACGCCAGCGCCCTCCACTCGCGCGCCGCCTCCCGCCACGCGCGGCTCCCCGGCGTCGGCACCCCCAGCCGCCACCTCAAATACGCCACGGTCGTCGCATCGGGGGCAACGAGCCCCGTCCTCGCGCCCGCCTCAATCGCCATATTACACAGCGCCATGCGCTCCTCCATACCCAGCCTCCTCACGCCCTCCCCCGCAAACTCGATCGCCGCGCCCGTGCCCCCCGCGGTCCCCAGCGCCGCGATGACCGCGAGCGCGAGATCCTTGGCGGCGACGTGCGGGGGCAGCGCGTTGGCGACGTTGACGCGGACGGTGCGTGCTCTCGCGACGGCCAGCGTCTGCGTGGCGAGGACGTGCTCGACGTCGCTGGTGCCGATGCCGAAGGCCAGCGCGCCGAAGGCGCCGTGCGTCGACGTGTGCGAGTCGCCGCAGACGAGCGTCACGCCGGGCAGGGTGAAGCCCAGGTCCGGCCCGAGCACGTGGACGATGCCTTGGTGCGGGGAGGAGAGGGGGAGGAGCGCGATGGAGTGAGCGGCGCAGTTGCGGGTGAGGGTGCGGACTTGGGTGTAGGAGGGGGCGTCGGGGATGTAGGATTTGGTGCTGGTGCAGGCGGTGCGGGAGGTGGTGGGGACGGTCTGTGGGGAGGTGTCGGTCAGTGTTCTTGTTCGTGGTGTTTTGGGGGACGCACGTGGTCGGTGGTGGCTAGGGTGAGGTCGGGGCGGCGGACGGCGCGGTGCTTGGCTCGGAGACCGTCGAATGCTTGCTGGTGGCTCTCAGTTACTTTCGTTCTCGCGCAGTCGGGGCTGCAATGCGTACTGGCGATGTGCACTCGTAGATGAGATGCCGGTCTGCGGTGGTGGTCAGCATCGCCCAGGCGTGGCTCGCTCTGTCGCTACCCACCGATATACAGCAGATATTGCCCGTCCGCCTGCTGGCAAACCACATGCTGGTCGAATAGTTTTTCGTAGAGCGTCTTCGCCATGGTTTGGTTTTCGCAGCGAGTCTGCTCACATGTGCGCTCACAAGAGCGATAGGGAACTTTCTTGAGTGTAGTAGGCTTTTTCTGGATGATGACTCGCGACGCACGGTCAGACGCTGATGCTGACAGCCCCAACCATAACAGGGAATCCGGGGCCTGAGTATCACGACTTAATACGCAGAGGTACATATTGGATATCTTGTCGGCATCAGTTGAAGCAACACAGCACGAAAAGCAAAGAAGACAGAGAGAGAGACAATGCCTGCCTCCGTAGCTCTTGACGCTTCCAGATTCACCACCGGCTCCGCCGAGGAGCGGGCAGCCTATGCGAGGGACTTACTCGTCCAACTCGGTGGCAATGGCTACGTGCGGTTGAAAAACCATGGCATTCCCTCCGAGATGGTCGAGAGCTGTTTTCAAACGGTGGGTCTTTGAGCTGGCCCCCGCCCTGTACGTTGCGATGCTGATTCCCTCTCTCTTCGGATAGAGCAAGGCCTTCTTCGACCTCCCGCTCGAGGAGAAAGCCAAAACTCTAAATCCCCCAGGCCCCAGTCCGCAGCGGGGTTGGAGCACTCTCGGAGCAGAGAAGACATCAACCCTGTACGGAAAGCTGATGGGCCACGACGTCCCCGATGACCTGAAAGACGCAAGAGTAGGCCACCGCATGCACTTGACCACAAAGCACCCCGAACTAACGGCCTTGCCCCTCTCAGGAGCACTTCGACTTCGGCGCCCCCGATGACACCCTCTTCCCTAGCCGCTGGCCGTCGGCCACCACCCTCCCCGGCTTCCAGCCCTTCCTTTACGACTTCTTCCACCGGTGCGAGAAAGTCAGCCACGACATCCTGCACGCGCTCGAGCTGGCGCTAGACCTGCCCACCGGCTCCTTCCGCGACCAGTGCCTGCCCAACGCCAGCGAGTTCCGGCTGAACCACTACCCGGCGATCGCGGCCAACGACCTCAACAGCGGCAAGGTCGAGCGCATCTGGCCGCACTTCGACCTCGGCGTCATCACCCTCCTCTTCACCGACACGGTCGGCGGCCTCGAGTTCCAGGACCGCGAGAAGCCGGACGAGTTCGTGCTGGTCGATCCGGCCGAGAAGACGGAGATGGTGGTGAACATCTCCGAGACGCTGCAGCGTTGGACGGCTGGCGCGCTGCCTGCAGGGCTGCACCGTGTCACTTCGCCCAAGGCGGTGGCGGCCCTGAACGAGGAGGATGCGGTTGTGCCCGAGAGGTATTCGATAGCGTACTTTTGCAAGGCGGCGAGAGATGCGCGCGTCTGTCCTTTGCAGCCGTTCCGAGCTCCGGATGCTGTTTTGGGGGAGGCGGACACGATGACGGCGTTGGAGTATCAGCAGAAGCGCCTCCTGACCGCGTACTAAAATTTACTAAGCATTTGCATGTCGGCTGGGCCTGTTATGTTTTGCCCGAGCCAAGAGTGGTCGTTTCTGGAGGAAGTTATTTTCATTACTACTGAACCATTTGCTCCAAAATAAAAGTCAGCGAAACACATGAGCAAAGAAACAAATCATCTCAGCAGAACTGGTGGAAGCCCAATTGGGCGCTCAGACCAAAACGTGAATGATGATGATAGCCGACGTGATGAGAGATGTCGTTTCCCCACCCTAATTTTCGTGATGTAAGCACATTGACATGCATGTCATCATCCACAGCCGACCCGGATATTTATCCATTCCAACTCATATACCGGGTCCAGTCTTCCACCAAACTTTCAATCTCTCTGACTACCTCGCCTCTCAAATCAACCTCGGATAACTCACCATGACGGAACAAGAGGAATACCGCATCCACACCCTCGGCTTCATCGGCTGCGGTAAACAAGCGCTCCTACCATAGAAAAAAAAAAGAAACTAATGACAAAACACCAGGCAAACTCGGCAGTGCCCTCCTCCAAGGCCTGCTCCTCAACCCCCCGCCCCCTCACCTCCAGCACATCCACATCACCGTCCGCACGCCCTCCACCGCCGCCCGCATCGAGTCCACGCTCCTCTCCCCCGCCGCCGCCGCACCCATCCCCACCACCATCACAAACAGCGTCGACGACAACAACTCGCTGATCGCCACCTGCCTCGCCTCCTCCGCCGTCATCCTCGCCTGCAAGCCCACCCAGCACGCCGCCATCCTCAGCACCCCCGGCCTCGCCGCCGCCCTAGCCGGCAAACCGCTCATCTCCCTCCTCGGCGGCGTCACCGAGCAGCAGCTAGCCGCGAGCCTCGCCTCGTCATCATCCCCGCCATCAACCCAATCCCCATCCCCGTCCCCGTCTCCCACCCCCAACAACACCGCCGCCGTCATCATCCGCGCCATGCCCAACGCCGCCGCCGCCGTGCGCCGCAGCACGACGCTGCTCGCGTCATCCGAACCAATCTTCCCCGCCGTCCGCGCCCTCTTCGCCACCCTCGGCACCGCGCACGTCGTCGTCGCGCCCGCGCTCGAGGCCGCCGCCGTCGTCGCCGCGTCCGGCCCTGCCTTCTTCGCGCGCGTGCTGGGCGCCGCCGCGGGGGCGCTGGGCGACGTCTTGCCTGGTGGTGGTGGGAAGCTCGCTGCTGCGGCGGAGGAGGACGAGCTGGAAAGGGAACGATTGGCGGTGCGGTTGGCGGCGGGGGCGATGGGAGGGGCGGCGGCGTTGGTGGAGGACGGCGGGTGGGCGCCGGAGGAGGTGGTGGGACGGGTGGCGTCGACGGGGGGGTCGACGGAGAGGGGGTTGGCGGTTTTGGAGGGGTGGGGGGTGGAGCGGGCGGTGGGGGAGTGCGTGAGGGTTACGTTGGAGGCGGCGAGGGAATTGGGGGGGAAGGGGGGTGCAGCTGGTGATGTGAAGGACGAGGGGGTGGTGGGAGCTGCTGCCGTGCCTGCGGATGGGATGATGGATGCGGTGGTGTTGGAGGGGGAGGGGCGGGTGGCGGTGAAGCGGAGGCCGGTGCCGGGTGTGGAGGGGCCGGGGGAGGTGTTGGTCAAGGTTGAGTTTAGTGGGCTGTGTGGCAGGTATGTGGGCCGGATCGAGACGTACTGCGAGGCGTTTACTGACTCTCTCCCTCTTCGGCTGCAGCGACCTTCATCTGTACAGGGGGACGGAGGACTGCGGCACGGATTTTATCCTGGGACATGAGTTCACCGGTCGCGTCGTGGATGCAGGAAAGGATGTGAAAAAGTTCGCCGTGGGTGACCGCGTCGTGGCGGCTTTTACAACGAGCTGGTATCGTCCCTCCCTTTTACTCTTGGCTGTGGCCGGGTTCTGACAAGAATTGCCATGGTCATAGCGGACAATGCTTCTACTGCAAAGCAGACTTGTCATCCAGGTGCACTTCCTGCATGGTCTTCGGAACTCCCAAACTCGGAGGCGCCCAGTCTCAATACGGTATCAAAGGCCCAAGGAAACGAAAGGTTAAACAAACCGAAACTGATAGATACCGCCAGTTCGGGTTCCCTTTGCGGACACAACCTTGACCAAAGCACCTGCGAACATCCACCCGCGAAACCTGATCCTGATGGCGGATATTTTCCCCGTAAGTCCTCTCCCTCTCCACCACGAACACACCGAGGCTAACTCACCACCGTACAGACCGGAGTAAGCCAACGCCAAACCTCCAGCCCCTTTTCCCCCACCACCCACCAAGCAGCCTTTCACTAACGCACCCCCAGTTCTTCGCCGCCCGCAACGCCTTCTCCCGCCTCCCCGCGCACCGCGCCCGCACCAGCACCGTCGCCGTCATCGGCTGCGGGCCCGTCGGGCTCTGCGCCCTCGCCGCCACCACCTCGACCCACGCGCCCGCGCACCTCCTCGCCATCGACGCGGTGCCGTCCCGTCTGCAAAACGCGGCGTCGCTCGGCGCCGAAGCCTTCAACTACTCGACGCAGCGCGGCGACCTCGACGCCCGCATCGCGCACCTGACCCAAGGCCGCGGGGTCGACGTCGTGCTGGAGCTGGTGGGCGCCAAGCCGGCGTTGGGCATGGCGTTTGAGATTGTGAGGCCCGGCGGCGTGATTAGCTCCGTGGGCGTGCATAGTACCGAGTTTCCGTTCACGGCGACGCAGGGTGAGTGCTCTTCCATGTTTGACTGGAGAGGAAAGAGGAGCTGATGTGTGATACAGCGTACGATAAAAATGTCACGCTGCATATGGGGAGGTGTCCCGTCGCCAGCGTTTTTCCGGAGGCGCTGGAGTGTCTGGAGAAGGTGCAAGACAAGCTGGGGTTCTTGACGGAGACGGTTGTGCCGCTGTCGCAGGCGGTCGAGTACTATGAGGTTTTCAATAGGATGGAGGTGCAAAAGGTCATCTTTGATGCAGAGAAGTAGCCGGGGGTACTATGTATATTCTGAACGATTGGTTCGTTGTCGCGATTGATGGGAGCTGCTCACCTCACCCGCTACACAATGCTATGTGCGGAATATTTTGAAGGCAAAGTAGAGAAATACAGGCAAATTACGCTGTTCAATGTTTCATGTCATTGTCACCCTTTAATCAGTGCATCTTTTTCTCGTTCTTTTTTCAAGATGATAGAAGCCCAGTTTAATCTGCACGATAAACTACCGATCAACGTAATAGATCCAACTGCGGCTGGCACGGAATACTCTACGAGGGGCGCCTTCCAGCTCTATCTCTCAAGCAGCAGTCACCTTTCCCTCGGGCAAACCCCATCATCAGACAAACACACATAGCATCATCCATTCTTCCTCCCCGGAACATCAGGCTACAGATATCACACAGTGTCAGCAAACACATCCCGCAAGCAAACCGACCCACCCACCCACTCACCTTGAAGAACTTCTGCCTATTCGCCACCTTCTCCGTCGCCCACCGCTGCGCCGCCCGCGCCACCGCCTCCCGCTTCATCATCTTCTTCTCCACCGCCACCAGCGCCCTCCTCTGCTGCTCCGGCACGCCCACCAGCCCCATCTCCCCCCTCACCGCAACCCGGCGATCCCTACTACTGCTCGCCGTTTGCTGCTGCTGCGGCCGAGCATCCGCGTCCTCTTCCCCCTCCGCTTCTCCACCCTCCGCAATCGCCAGCCTAGTGCGGCGCTTCGCGGCCTGGGCCCGCGCCCCCACGAGGCCGTGCCGGCCGTGCACGACGCCGCTCTCGGCGTGGTGGCGGGACCCGACGATGGCGCCGGACGGGAGACGCATCTCGGTGTCGGAGACGCTGACGGGTGCGCCGCCGGCGGCGCCCGCCGCTCCGCCTTCACGATCATCATCGTTTTCGTCGTCCTCGTCCCCGTCATCCTCGTCGTCGAACTCCCAGAAGTCCAGCAGCCCGCCCTCGACGTCTTCGTCCAGGTTGATCATGCAGTGCCCCTTGTCGCGCATGTGGGTCTGGGCGGCGGCGGCGGAGGCGAAGGCGGCGGCGCAGTAGAGGCATTCGTGGTGGCGGTGCACGAGGGCGGCGAGGTAGAGGAGGAAGGTGTCGAGGTCGATGAGCTGGGCGGGGGAGGGGACAAAGAGGCCGTGGGCGGTGGACATGTGGGCGAGGTTGGCGGCGGGGGTGGGGGAGGGCGAGGGGCAGAAGAGGCAGGTCGTTGGGCTGAGGTCTACGGGTGGGGATTCTGATTCTGATTCTTCGTCTTCGTCTTCATCGTCGAAGTCGGAGGAGATGGAGGGGGAGTGGCAGGGGCGGGGAGCATCGCGGTCTGGGTCGATCACTTCTGTGCCTGAGTCGGATGATGGGGATGGGAATGGAGGTTGCTTGTCTCTCGGGCGGTGCTTCTGGTTGGTGGGGCCGGTGGAGATTTTGCCGTTTGCATGTTTGTTCTTGGGGAAGACTGGGGCTGTGGTGGGCTGGACGTTTGATTCAAACTGCTGCTGGGTTATGGGCGGCAGTGAGGCTATCCGGCGTTGAATGTTGTATTGACTGGTGCCAGGCTTAGTAATGCTCAAGCAGCCAGGTGCTGCGGGTGCAACTCACTGCCATGGGTCTCGCACGTGAGCACGTTGCTGGATTTGGCCATCGTCGAAGGCGGTGGAGCAGGTGTTGCAGGCGAAGGCGGATGCGGGCGTGGAAGCCATGGTGAGGTGCGGACAGGCAGCAGCAGCAGCAATTGCGGGGCAGGCTTGGACGCACCAAAGAGACGAATGGCGCGGCGCGGGCTTGCGGCGCGGGCCGGTGTGACTGCAGTGTCAGCATTGTTGCAGGGGTGGATGCATGTCAGCATCGTGGGACATGTCAGCAGCCGTCACCCATGTCAGCGTCCTCTGTGCGTCCTCTGTCAGCCACCATCTTCAACAGACAGCAGTAGCACGTGATGGAGTATGCATCCCAACTACCATCCTCGCGCGAGCCGTTCTTGCGCTCCCCAGAATTGCGTCCCAACTCACTCAAACATCATGGCTGATACTACTTCGCGCTACGACGTCCTCCGCTCCGTCGCCCAAAAATTCTCCGACGCCTTCGTCTCGGGCTCTCTCCCCCCGCCTGAGCTTCTGGCAGAATATTTCGTCGCCAAAGACGCCCGAATCATCGAGCATGGTCCGGAATGGGCCCAGAAGCGTCTCCCCTTCGTCGGGACCCTCTTCCGCGGTCGTCGTAGTAGCAACACGGCCATCGACAGCAGCACCACCTGCGACGACTACTTCGACCTCTTGGGCGCCAAATTGGCCCTCCATGCGCACGAAAAGACCCTACCGGCAGAAAACGCATACGTTGTCGACACAAACGCTCGCCACTCCCCCGACCAAGGAGCTGGTGCTGTGTTGGTCAAGTGCCACGCTGCCCTGTCTAGCGTGCAAACCAAGCGTACTTGGGAGGAGCATTTTGTATTTGTCCTGAGTGGTTTTGACGGCGATGGAAAGATTGGCCAATTGGAAATCTGGGCCGATAATTTGAATGCGTGGCAGGCTGTGGGCGGAGAGGAGCTGTGAATGTTACATAAATAGATTATGAAAGAGCCTGTGAAGATCTCATGTATTTCTTATCGATTGGTGTCATGGCAGGGGTCGCAGCTTGAACCGCTCGCACTCTGTTCGCCTATAATTAGTAGAAGAGGGCCGTGCCCCGATCCTCCTCTGTTTAAACGCCACGATACTTAGCATGGTGTCAAGGCCCTTGGCCCCCCTTTGGTGCCCCCTCCAGCGCCATTCACGAATTTACGATGCTTATCACAGTGTCAACGTTGTTACAGACACCTTAATTCGAAGATAAGGCGTGTCTACGCCTATTCACTATCTAAAATACATAAAGATTACTTGCTTTTGCCTGCAAACCAGCGGGGTAAAAGAAGATTAATCAAGTCAAGCGTTTGGGCTTGCTAGATGGATCAAGCGGGGTGAAAGTGCCCGCTTGCAACGCGCACCAGCAATCTATTGTGGTTGCGTCGTCACGACCCTCACATGGTTGTACTCGCCAGCCGTGATGTCAGGGTACTTTGTTCCAGTCTTCATGAACTGGGGGAAAGGATACAGCGAAACATCCCTGTTCGGCTTCCCGAAAAAGACAATCGAGTACCGCGACGGGATTACTGCATCCTCGGAGCCATCCTCTCCAGCCTTGCGCAGGGCCGCCGGCACGGAGACGCGGTGAATGGTAGAGCGCAGGCGGTCGTTCGTCCAGCGCTGCATCGAGTCGCCAATGTTGATGATCATGGCCGGGCTGGCGGCCTTGATCGGGTAGAAGGTGCCGGGCTGGTCGTGCGCCTCAACCTCGAGGCCGCCGACCGAGTCCTGGAAGAGCAGCGTCAGGCTGCCGAAGTCGGTGTGCTCGGATGCCCGGGTGCGCTGCGTTGCGTCGGGCGTCAGGATGTCCTTGACTTTGACCTCTGGGTAGTGCAGCAGCCGGAACTCGTTGACACGGTCCGTGTGCATCCGGTCGAAGTGTGTTGCGGGGAGTCCCAGCCCCAGCGCCAGTGCCGAAAGCAGCCGCTCCTCGAAATCGTGCATCGTGTTGAACATGGCTTCCATGAATTCTCGGAATCCCGGGATCGCCTCGGTGGCAGCCCAGTTGGTGGGGTTGGGAGTGTCATTCGGCGCTCCCTGGTCCCATGACTCCTATTGATGGGTTAGTATAGTTTCAATCAGCATGGTCGGGCTGCGTCGCTCACCTTTGTTTCGATGTACTTGGCCATGTTTCTGTCCGCTCGGGTCAGGCTGGACAGGTTTTCCTGGCCTACGAAACTGTAGCCGCGTGGTGCTATTCCCCGAGGATGCTTCGACAACATCTTAGTCTCGTGGGGGAGCGCGAAGAACTTGCGGCTCTACAGGAGTTTGTTAGTGCAATGATTCCACTGGAATGAAGCCACTGACATATTCAAAGCACTCCTTGATTGTTTCTTCGGGCACCTCATGGTTGATGATTGAGGCAAAGCCAAAGGTTTCGAAGCTCTTGACCAACTCGGCGGCAAACCTCTCGCGGCGAGCCGGGTCACCGCTGGTTACGTCAGCGTAGTCGAGTTGAGGGAAGTCCATGTTTGTTCCTTTGGCTGGTGAGACCTGGCGTTTTTTGGCGCCAAGCTTAAATCTATATGTCTCTGATGGGGGAGTCAGACACGCGTTGGGTTGGCGGGTTGTCAGCAAGTGTTGCTGACTCCTGGCGTGTTTTCAGCAGGACGAGTATTCTGATTGGTCGTAACTCAATCTACCCATTGCAGCAACACCAAGTCCATCACTGCACCACACTCACTGCTATTCGATTTTTGCATACTCCTCAAATCATGGGATCCATCACGAACGACAACGAGGCCACGTTGGTGGTGGCCAAACAGCATGTCGAGGGGATGGAGCCCACCCCACTCGAAGCCATGTCGCACGGCCCACTCGCTCTAACAGGAATCCCCTCCTTCAATAGCCTGGAGAAGAAGCGCAAATGGCAGCTCGAACACATGGCTGGAGCCTTTCGGGTCTTCGCCCGCCACGGCTTCACCGAAGGTATGTCGGGCCACATCAGCGTGCGTGACCCCATCGTCACCGACGCCTTCTGGATCAATCCTCTGGGCGTGCACTACGGCCTGCTCCGGGCGTCCGATATGATCCTGCTGGACATGAAGACGGGGAAAGTGTTGGTCGAGGGCAGCAGCGGCCGTCCGGCCAACGCAACAGGCTTCCTCATCCATCGCGCCGTCCACCAGGCGCGCCCGGACGTCCACGCCGTGTGCCACACCCACTCGCCCCACGGTCGCGCCTGGTCGGCATTTGCCCGTCCGCTCGAGATGCTCAACCAAGACATTTGCAATATTTTCGGCGCCCAGGCAGTATATGCCGAGTATGGCGGCCTGGCACTCGATGGGAGCGAGGGAGAACGCATTGCCCATGCGCTTGGCCGCGCAAAGGCGTGTATTCTCATGAACCATGGCATGCTTACTGTGGGCGAGACGGTCGACGAGGCCGCCTATCTCTTCCGTCTGATGGAGACGAGCTGTCAGGTCCAGCTTCTTGCCGAGGCTGCGGCCGCGAATGGGCTGAAGAAAAGAATCATTTCTGACGAAGAGGCCGTCTACAACTTCAAGATGACGAGCGAAGCGGTAATAGAGCTAGTGAACGCTATTCGCGCGGATCCAGCTGACAGTGAAGCCAGAATAATTTGTACCGCGAGTTCCAGCCGGACTACGAGCTCGAGCTACACCTCAGCGGCAGGGAATTTTGCACCTGAGAGCGAAGGACTCGTTCTACCTAACTAGTCTGATGTTTTATCCGACTTCTATGTTTGCCATCAGAATACAAAGAATGAATACAATTGTTCAAGTGCGGACTGCGAGATCTGAGACAGTGATCGATGATTACATTTTTGCACGTGCACATTATCTAGAACACTCGTTGAGACAGCGAAATTCACCACTACTGACGTTACACTACAAGTCTGCAAGTATCAGACTAGAATCCAGCAGGCTCGCAAGGATCCCCAGACCTGCCAAGCCTGCTGACCTTGTTCTGCTCGGTCGGCGGCGGTCGTTGCGGCGAAGTCGGATAAGACCAGCCCACATCTGGCATTTTGTCAGCGGAGAGATGCAGCTAGTGCAACATACTTTGTGTCGATAGAGCCGATGTCAGCTAGGTAGATGCTGACGGCGGGAAGAGCGTGGGAGGATGCCCACAAACTGTGCGTTCCCATATCAGGAACCGCACAAACGCCATTCTGGCCCACTGTCGACACGCGAATCAATTCTCAAGCCAGCAAGGGATCAGAGAAAAACACAGCAAAGCCAACCGGCCCGAGATCGAACTGTGAACTCACTGCGCACACCGGTCTCCCTCTTCGAGAGAGCACACCCACGCCGCCACCGAGAAACACAAGCCCACAAATATGTCGACCACCATCAGATTGCTTGATGGGAAGGCGCTGGCTCCTAACGCCTCTGTTGCGGAGCAAGATGCTTTCTGCGAGGCACTCATCGAGGGGTTCAGTAAGCAGGGCATGGTGAAACTGATCAACCATGGGATCCCGGACGAAGACATCGACGGTATTTTCCAGTGGGTAAGTTGGCGAACATCACCAAAAGCCATGACTAGAATGGACTTTTGTCGCACGCACCTGCTACTATGCTGACATGGTGTTGCATGTGCGAACAGAACCGGAAGTTCTTTCAACTGCCCGATCACGTCAAGCGCAGCGTGGCGCATCCCCCCCGCGCCAACCCGAACCGGGGCTGGGTGTGCGCCGGCCAAGAGAGATCGGACAACATCACAGACTTTGAAAAGGGCGTCAAGCAGAGGGCGAACAAAGATGGCGTCTTTGATCTCAAGGTAAGTCAGCCATCAGTAGTGATGAGTACGATGGGGCAGCGGCACTCCCAGTACATCTTACCCCTGTTCTCACTTGACAACCTTCCATCGTGTGAACCTCGGCGGCATCATCGGAACACTCCCTCAGCCTTCTCGTATCACCCCTGTGAACCTAGCCTCATCTCTCTGAGCGAGGCTAACCATTACTCCGCCCTTTCCCCGGGCGGATACCTGAAACAGGAATCCTTCGATACGGGCGCCATCGACGATCCGCTCTACGCCAACAAATGGCCCGCAGAATCGGACATCCCGGGCTTCCGGGCACACATGGAAAAATTCTACGACATGTGCCAAGACGTGCACATTGGCATCCTGCGGGCGCTCGAGCGCGGCTTCCGGGGCCGCGGCGTCAAGGTCGACCTCGTCGAACGGTGTCGCGAAAACGTCAGCGAGATGCGCTTGAACTACTATCCTCCAATCGTAAGCTAAACAGCCCCCCCGAACCCTAAGCACAGACACAGACAGGGAGGAGATGTACATATGCCTTGCATGAAACCCCCCCTCCCCACACGAACACCCAGCGTTGCCAACCCCGACCCCACCCCGGCCGGCCCGGCGCCAAGATGATACCCGACGCCGCATCCGCAGCCCTCCCCCAATTCATCCCTCATCCCCGAAACACCTTAATCCGACATCACCACCATCACTACCATCGATCCCCTCCCCTCAAGACCATCCATTCCATCAAACCACCCACTAACCCCATCCCCCCCCAAACAGGACATCCCCTCCCTCCGCACGGGTCGCATGTCGCGCATCAGCGAGCACACCGACTTCGGGACGGTGACGCTCCTCTTCCAAGACAGCGTCGGCGGGCTGGAAGTCGAGTCGCAAAGCGCGCCGGGGACGTATTTCCCCGTGGAAGCGAGCTCGGCGAGCGAGATCCTGGTCAACATTGGCGACTCGCTGCAGCGGCTGACCAACGACGTGCTGACGTCGGTCAGCCACCGGGTGACGGTGCCGGTCAGCGAGCGCGACCGCGAGGCCGGGGTGCTGGCGCCGCGGTACAGCGTCGCGTATTTCGCGAAAGTGGCGCGCGGAGAGAGCTTGAAGCCCATCGAGGTGTTTGTCGATGAGGAGCGGGGGTGTCCGGCGAAGTATCCGGACCTCACGGCGTGGGAGTGGAATCAGATCAAGTTGCAGAAGATTTATGGGTGAGAGGTGTTTTTTGAGGGGGGAGAGTTGTTTGGCTGGAAAAGTGGTTCGCACTCTCGTTGCTCTTCATTGTCTTTCATTGGTCTTGTCTATGTTTTGAGAGGAGACTCCGTGTGCCGAAGGCGTCTCCTGTCCGCGAATCTGTCTGTTCTTTGAAGCACGTCCGGATGCGATGCTATGCTTGCTGTATGTACAATGCATATGAAGCCAGAGCCATGGGGGAAGAAGAAGAAGCAGAATAACAACAACAACAACCAAAGAAGAAGCAACAACAACAGAACAGCCAAAACACTGAGAAAACACCCCTTCCCCCAAAGCAAACCCACTCCAACGCATAGCCAGCCAAACGCCACGCATGCCCATGAATTTTCTCCAAGCAGAATGACATTCAGAACCCGCCCTCCTCCACACCCCCCAGCAACACCGCCAACACCCCCTCCCCGCCCTCCATCTCCGCCGCGCGGTGCACCGCCGTCCACCCGCTCTCGTCGCACGCGTTCACGTCCGCCCCGAACTCCAACAGCAGCCGCACCATACCCTCGTCGGCGTTCTGCGCCGCCACGTGCAGCGGCGTCGAGCCCCTGCTGTCCTTCTCGTTGACGTTGGCGCCGGCTTGGTTCAGCAGCAGGCGGACCGACTTCTCGTGGCCGCGCTCCGTGGCGATGTGTAGGGCTGTGGTCCATTTTTGCGGGGTGCCGGCCTTGGTTGCGGCAAGGGTGGTTGTGTGGGGGTTTTTGATTGAGGATCGGCGGGTTGTGGGGCGGGATGCGAGCGGGGGTTGGGGTTGGCGGTCTTGGTGGTGGGGTGGGGTGATGGTTTGATTGTGTGGGTGGTGGTGGGAGTGGTGGCACACTTGGCTGTTCTGGTGGCTGTGCTGGTGTTGTTGGTGCTGGTGTAGCGGTTGTGGCGGCAGCGGCGGCGGAGCTGGTTGGTGGTGATCTAGGTTCATCTGTGTCTGTGATAGCGATATGAAGCCGTTGGTGTCGTCGTCGAAGTCAATGGGCGAGACGGGCCGCCAGTCTTGGATGCGGCGGCTCGTGTCCAAGAGCGACTGCGTGTCGACGACGTCGTTGACGGCGCCGCAGGAGACGCAAAACGAGCAGCCGCCGCCTGACACGCTGTTCCGGTAGCTCTTGCTGCTTGCGTTGTCTACCGACACGGGCGTAGGCGGTTTGGTGGTGCTGGCGGGCATGCTGAAGTCAAAGTCTGTGGCTCGGGAAGACGGAAAGGTATTGTCGATGCTCATGCGGGACATGGGCGGACTTCGCACCGACGAATTGTGCAGGTCGGAGTGGCGCATTGGGGTCGCCGAGGAGAGGGCTGCCATTCCCGGGTCGGGGATTTCACCGGTGCAGTCGACTCGGCTCTCTTCGTCCAAGTCAGAAACGTGTCGTTCTGGAGACTGGTGGTGCTCCTGGTGGTGCTCCTGGTGGTGCTCCTGGTCCTGGTGCTGCTGCTGCTGCTGCTGCTGCTGCTCTCTCTGCTGCTCCTCTTCCTGCTCGCGTTCCTGCTGCTGGGCCAGACGGACTCTCTTCCCTGTAGGACATTCAAATCAGATGGTGCTCGGACGGCGCAGCAGCAGTCAGCACTCACTGTGGTTTCTCTGTGCAATGCGGTTCTGTAGACGGCGGCGCTGGACAGGGGTGGTAGCATTCGCCAATTCCTCTTCCAGTTCAGCCGTATCGTCACCAGCAGGACGAGTGGTGCAACGGGACTTGGACAGTTGGACGGAAACGGTCATGGTTGATGAGGGAGCATAGCCCTCAGTCAGACTATAAGCAGCATCAGGGTGCTCGGGGCGGGGACCACCCTATGGACCATTTTCTGGCCAGGCTGTCAGCATATTCTGCGACATTTGGTCGGGCTGCTGCGACGTCATGACGCGAGGGCGGTCTCAGGGGCGAAATATGAGCCAATCAAAATGCTCGATAGTGTGTTGGTGCTGGCGGCGGTTGGCTGCCCCGCAAGCGTCGACTTCCGGATTGGGGTAACGCGTACCGGCTATCTGGGGGACCCTGCACTCCTACAGATGGAGATACGGAGTCAAGTATCATGGACCGCAGCTGGAAATGTCGGGTGATGGAGAGGAAGATCATGTGTTGGCGGGGGATGAAACGGAAGAGACCCCCCTCATTTGATTCGCGCTCATGTCTGGGATGAACAGCGGGGGAGCGTGATGTCCTTGGCCATCCTCACAGGGGCATGCGGCAATGGGCCGGTAGTGCTGATGATGGGCGTGAGAAGCTGGCAACGAACGCGAGTCCAAGGCGCCAATCCCTGCTCTGCAGGGCTAGCGCTCGTAATCGTTCATTGGCACCCATGCTTGTGTGCGAGTTGGGACTGCTAGTCGGCTCGTCCGACCTCGCGGGAAGCGGGCGGGGAGTGGGCGGGGAGTGGGCGGGGAGGCGTGATGACGGGCAGAGGAGGCTTACTCTGCACGCCGGTGGGATCAGGAAGGTTGCGGCGGCGTGATGTGATGTCCAGGCTGGCACCTGGCGACAGTAAGCCAGGGGCGGTGGTGATGAATCGCTGTCATCAAGCTCAGAGTCGAGTCGAGACCGGCAGCCGTTGCAGCCCCCACGGCGCCACGGCCAGAACCGAACCGCCGATAGTGTCGTGTCCGGGCGCTGCGTGTGGTGCGATTGCTGCAGGCCCGGCGGGCATGAATCCATCGAGATCCGGGTCACAGGGCCCTGGCAGGGACGCGAGCTCCCATTCGCGCGAGCGGACGTCGATCCCGCTGGTGTGGCCGCCGTGTGTGTCGCCTTGGTTGGCTTATCGCACCTGCCTGTTGCGGACCCCGGCTAGCCAGCCACAATCCTCCGCTTCGTCGCGCCGACCATGCCCTGCTCGCCTGCGAGCAACAGCCCCACCGCCGTCATCTTCCAAACACCATCGCCTACCTAGGCTCGCCAACTTCCGTGCGACGCCTGCAAACACAACGTCTTGCACCAAGAGGCCCTGCCTGCGTCGAGCCATCGCTTGTCATCTACCCGGCTCGCTGCACTCCACGGGCTATCACACCGCCGCTGCCACCCCGATCGAACTGATTCACGACACCCTGGAGAGTCAGCCCGACGGACGCCTGATGCTGATAGCAATGTGCTTTGTGACTCGAGCTGAGATTCAGAACTACAAGGCCACGCAAAAAAGGGGTTTACTAAAATCTCACACCAGAGCTCCGTCTTATGCCATCTTCCGCAATGACGTCGCCGCCCCAAGCCACGTCTACAAGCTTGGTAGATCCCCTGTACAACAAACACGTCTAGTATGTAGCTGTGCGACGGCGCCATGCACGAAACGAAACCACCACCCGCCTTGATTAGGGGGCGGACCGGGGACTGCGCCGGCCTTGCAGCACGACGAGCAGCAGCAGCACTGCTCGGGCAATGCCACCATTTCCATCCTCCTCTCTGCCCAACCGAGCCCGCCAGCCAGCCAGCCAGAGAGCCAGCCAGCCAACCAATCCACCTACCTACCCGGTCCCAAAACCGCCCTCTCAATCCCCTCCCGCTCTCCACTCGCCCCCACCATCTCGCAGAAGACGCCCCGTCCCCTCAGCAGCTCCGCCGGGCTGCCAAACTCGACCGCCCGCCCGTCGTCCATGACGAGCACCTTGTCGAAGTCCGCCACCGTGCTCAGCCGGTGCGCGATGACGAGCAGCGTGCAGCCGCCAAAGTCCTCGCGGATGCTGCGCTGGATGCGCGCGTCCGTCGCCATGTCGACGGCCGACGTGGCCTCGTCGAGCACCATCAGCCGCGGCTGCCGCACCACGGCGCGCGCGAGGCAGAGGAGCTGGCGCTGGCCCTGCGAGAGGTTGAGGCCGCCGCGCGCGATGGGCGTGCCAAGCGTGCGGAAGATATTGACGTTGGCCGCGCCGGCGCCATCCGCACCACCCCGGGCCTGCTCCTCCACGGCGTCCGACTCGAGCAGGTGCACGCGCCGCAGCGCGTCCAGCAGCGCCGCGTCGCCGTGCTCGTCGAACGGGTCGAGGTTGGACCGCAGCGTGCCCGAGAACAGGACCGGGTCCTGCGGGATGATGGCCAGCCTGCTGCGCACGTCGTGCAGCCGGAGCCGCGAGATGTCCAGCCCGTCGATGAGGATGCGGCCGCCGTCGCGCGCCGCGAGGAAGCGGAAGAGGGCGAGCGTGAGCGACGACTTGCCGCTGCCCGTCCGCCCGACCACGCCGATGCGTTGGCGGGACTCGGCCGTGAAGGAGAGGCCCTTGAGCACGAGGGGGAGGTCGGGCGCGTAGCTGGCCGAGAGGTTCTGCACTTGGAGACGCCCGGCCGTGGGCCAATCGCGCGGGGCGGGAGATCCCGAGAGGTCCTCGGTTTTAAGTTTAGTGTATTCGATGACGCGCTCAGCCGAGTTCATATCGAGCTCGAAGCCCGTGTACCGCCCGATGGTCTGGATGGCGATGTTGGAGTATTCCAAGGCAAAGCCGAGCGTGAAGCCCGCAAGCGACGCGCTGATGCCGTCAAGCAGGATCACCGTCACAGCCACCAAGAACGTGAAGATGCTGCCAAACAGGCCGTGCCGGAAGGCCATCCAGCGCGTCGCCAAGAGCAGGTTCCAGGTACTCTTGCCGTAATCGTCGATTCGACCAAACATGCGTTCGGCATAATCGTCCGCTTTTCCAAAGCTCCGGATCGTTGCCAGGCCCGCGAGAGCGGATCCCAGCAACTCAAAAATAGGCGACTTGGCGTTGCTCTCGAGCCGCTTGATGTCTCTGGCGCCTTCGAGGTAGATGTTCGTGTAGTACAAGCTTACCAAGGCAAACAGGACAATGGGCAGAATCATGTACCCAGACACGAACAGCGCGGCGCCGATGATGGTCATGATGGTCAGGATGCCGTGGAAAGACCAGTTGAAGTCACCGCCGAGACGCGAGTCGACCAGGGCGAAGTCGCCCACGAAGCGATTCAAGATGCGACCCACCGGAACCGTGTCCAGCCATCGTGGAGGTGCATGGAGGACCGTGTACGTGATGGACTCGAATAGGGCATGCGACGCGCGAATCGCAGCGCGCATCACCGTCAACGTCTTGATTGCGATTGTGAGGGCAGCGAACGTTGAGATGCCAAGGTACACGCCAAGATAGAACTTGAGATCGTCATCCGGCTTCTTGTCAGGCGCGCTCGAGTTCGTCTGCTGGGTCCAATACTTGATCCAATACGAACGACCGAGGATGCTGAGTGCCGAAAGCACGTACAGCCCGATGGTGAGTGTCCAGTACGACACCCCACCAGACGCCCCCATGTAGCCCTTGTACACGTCCAGCTTGACCCTGCCTTTCTCACGAACTTCGTCCTCGACGAACTTCTTCGGCGGGGCTTTCGTGCCTTCGAGTTCAACGTTTTCCAGGTCCTCTGAGTCTTCAGAGATGTCGGTGTCGAAGTGTTGAACCAAGGGCCGATGATGTGTGGCAGTTTTCACGAAGCCATCGCCGTCAAGCTCAACGATGTAGCTCGCGAGAGCTGAGACAAGCCCGATGTGGTGAGTGACGAGTATCCTTGTTCTTGCCTCCACCAGCTCGCCGTGGAGAGCATTGACCAGAATATGCTTGCCCACGTGGGTATCCACCGCGCTGAAGATGTCATCAAGCACCAGGGTGCCCGCCCTCGAGTACAGAGCTCGAGCCAAGGTAACGCGCCACCGTTGACCACCGCTGAGGTTGATTCCGCTGGCACCGATCTCGGTCTCTTCTCCGTCAGGGAGGACCTCGAGGTCCTTTGTCAAGGCGCAGGCATCGAGCACTTTCCGATACCTGGACGCCACGAACGGCAGTCCGAACAATACGTTGTCTTTCAACGACGCATTCTCGATCCACGGAATCTGCGAAACGAAGGCGACCGAGGACGGGATGATCCAGTTGCTCAGTGTGGCGAGGTTGTCGCGACGGTCGAGAGAAGATGCAGAGCGGGGGGCGCGAACAGTGCCCTTGACCACGTCTGCTTCACCCAGTATGGCAGCCAGCAAAAGGCTCTTTCCGGAACCCGTCTTGCCATGGATGACGCTGAGCTCGTTGTTGGGAAACTGGAGGTTCAGATCGCGTAGCGTGAAGGCGGAGGAGTCGATGGACTCTGAAGGCCATCTGACCGAGGCATTCGTGAAAGTGACTTCGTCTCCGGTCTTGGCGTCGCCTCGTTCGTTCTGCTGGTCCAGATGTTGCTGAATCCTGGTGATGCTGACCTTGGCGTCGATCAACTCGGTGATGGTGGTGGGGACCACGCTCAGCGTCCACTCCAGACTGGTGAAGACGGAGAGGGCGGTGAAGGCGACCGAGGCAGTGACAGAGCCGTTGAGCCAGGCGTAGGTGCCCAAGGCGGCGGCACCAAGGAGAATGGGCATGGAAAGCCAGGTAAAAGTCATAAAGGTTCCCCATTTGAACAGGCGCCACTGGGCACCGAGCTCGCGCTTGCGGGTCTCCATTATGACGCTTTGCCACTGAGACTCGATGGCTGAGAACTTGATCTGGCGGATGCCGTGCAGGGCTTCAGTCACGACGTGCGTCTTTTCGTCACGTACCATCATGACGGCCTCGGCTGCATTGGAGTATCCGCGGGTAGCGACCTGGTTGAGGGGCTGGAAAAGGATGGGCACAGACAGGCCGACGACGGTGCTGATCCAGCCGATGAGATTGACGAGGAAGCAGGCGGCGATGAGGATTTTCAACAAGCTCCCGGGAATGAGGACATTGTAGCCGGCGAAGTCAGAGACACGCTGCACGTCAACACCCAACAGGTTGATGGCGCCTTGGGCGGCGGGGCTGGGTTCTTCTTCGTCGGCTTCGTCATCGGCCTCGGCAGCATCACGCTCTTCCTTGGTCATCAACGTCTCCATCTCGAGGGCCTCTTCGTCGACGTCGCCGATGCCCGAGTCTGCGTCCTCGCTGTTCGGCTTCTTGGCGGCGACGTCCGTGTTCTTCACCGTCCTGATGTCCTTCAGGCGCATGGACTTGGAGAAGATGAGGGCCGACAGCTGAGAGCGGATGGGAGTAGCCAGCATGGCGAAGTTGACCCATTCGATCCTAGGCACGGTCAGCATGGGTTGGCAGAGAGCATGGAGGGTCTGCGCACCATGATTCGCAGAAGAGGTGTGTGATCTTCAGGACAATCAAGGCCACAGCCCAGAGCCAAAGGTCGCGGTGGTCGATGGGCTCGGTGCCCTTGCGCTCGAGCAGCTTGAGCAACTGAAACAAGCAGAACTGAGGGCCGACCAGCAGAAAGCTTTCGACGACGGTCAATGCCCACTGGACGATGAAATTTTGGCGATGGTCGGCGATGACGAGGCGCCACAGCGGCGTGGATGGACTGCGGTGAAAGCGGGCGTGCAGATGGCGGGCGCGGGTTTCGCTGTCCAGCGACGGCAGGTCGGCATATTCAAGCGTGCCTTGGGCGCGGGCACGGTCCAAAAGAGGACGGGCCCAGGAGAAGGTGTACCTGCAGAGCAGTGAGCGAGTGGTTGGTGATGAAAAGGGCTAGCGGGCGGGAGCTTACTTGGAGAGGGCAGAGACGGCGTTCTGGGCGTCGACGGGGGCGCCGGTTGGCTCGCTTAGGGCCTGCTGCCGGGGCACCGACACGCCGCCCACGGCTGCAGTCGCGCCCGCAACGAACTCGGCTGCACTCACCGCACGGAATGCCAGCGACGCGTCGGCCGCGGCGAAGTAGTGGGTGAATGCGACTCCGACGAGCAGCGCGATGCAGGATCCCGCCAGCAGCACCCCCAGCCTGAAGCGCCGCAGCGACGACGACTTCTCGCGCACGAATCGCAGCGCCTGGAATGCGACAAGGGCCTGCCCAATCTGCGTCAGCATACGACCTCGTAACCACCGCCTGTGCGTGTCTCACCCATCCCGCGAGCAGCATGAAGCTCTCCATCGACCGCGCGTCCAGAGACGCGAATGCGGAGGCGACCACGGCGCAAATGGCTCCCGCCGCCGCAAACAATCTGGCCGTGCGCGCCGCCAGCGGGGTGTCGTCCACGACATCCTCGGCCCCATCGCCATCCTCATCCACCGCCAGGCTGGCGTACGCCTGGTGGGACTGCCCTCTCTGCCGCAGGCTGAAAAATGTACATGCTGCCGGAACAGTCAAGCATGCTGCCGTGATGGTCGTCGATGCCATCTCCAATAATGTCGAGAAGAAATAAAAGAGTTGTCGAAAATGGTCTTCAGCAACACACCCACGCCGGCCTGTTGTTCGTTGCCTTCGAGTGTGGTGTGCTGTCGTTTTCGCCGGCCAGCGGGGTGCCCATGTCATCAGACTGCCGCGACCCAGGTCAGCCGCTGACACGCCCTTGTCGCCCGCCAATGCACCCTGTCAGCTTACCGCTATGCCTATTCGGTCAACCTAACCATTTGAAGTATCTGTAAAACACTGCTCCAGAGAGCCGGGTGGACCATTATTGCACCTGGTTTTGGATCGTCGCCATACCGCTTCGCCCACACTGACCGGAAAACATGCATTTCCAAGACCTTGCTGCATCCCCTGCCCTTGACTTGTTGAGCACTTCTGATTTGGAACAGATCCGAGCATGGAACTCGCGAGAGACGAAACCACTGGGCCTCTGCGTCCACGACATCCTCCATGCCCAGGCTCTGCTCACTCCGGACCGCCTGGCTCTCTGCTCGTGGGACGGAGAGATGAGTTACGGCGAGCTTGACCGTGCTACAACCCGCCTGGGCCATTACCTCGTGCACAAGTACGGCGTCCAGGTCGAGGACGTCGTGGCATTCACATTCGAGAAGTCCATCTGCGCCGTCGTAGCCATGATCGCCGTCATGAAGGCCGGTGGACTTCTCATGCCCCTCGACCCCCGCATGCCCCAGCGCACTTGGCGTGAGAGGATGCGCGATTTCGGTGCAAAACTGGCTGTGAGCTCGCCGGCATTGGCGAGCCGCATCCACGCCGAGTACTCCAATCGGCTGCTGGTCGTTGACCATTCTCTTCTGGAATCCATTCCCGAATATTCTCAGCACGAGGCCTGCTCCGATGTGCGCCCGGAAAATGGCCTCCTCTTGACATTCACATCCGGGAGCACTGGCAAGCCCAAAGGAATCGTCCAGGAGCACGATGCCTTTGGTACGAGTTGCCGCGACCATGGAGCCGCAATGCTCATTACCTCTGAATCACGCACCTACCAGTTCTCCGGCTACAGCTTTGACACCAGCCTGAGCGATACATTCTGTACCTTTTTGGTTGGCGGATGTGTATGCCTACCTTCGGATAACGACCGGCTCAATAACCTGGCCGGATCCATTACCGCCCTCAAGGCCAACGTAGCTTGTCTGACGCCCAGCGCCGCAGACTCGCTGTTTCCCGAAGACGTCCCAACTCTCAAAGTTCTCTCGTTAGGGGGCGAGGCTCTTAGCGAGCGGTTGGTTGAGCGATGGGCTCCTGCAGTGAAATTGCTGAACATCTACGGCATCACTGAATGTGTGAGTTGTGCTCGGCTGCCTTCAAGCTCAAATACTAACCAAGGACCAGATTGTGTGGTGCACGTCCACAGACCCTATAACAGTAGGAGCTAATCCCAGTAACATCGGCCGTGCTGTGTGCGGCCGTACCTGGATTGTCGATGCCTCCGACCACACAAAGCTGGCTCCTGTCGGTGCTGTAGGAGAGTTGCTCGTCGAAGGCCCCAACATGGCCCGCCATTACTTTCAGAACCCTGAAGCTACAGCAAAAGCCTTCGTGAACCTGCCGGCGTTTTTGGGCAGCGGAACGAGGCGATTCTACCGCACCGGAGACCTTGTCAAGTACGCGCCCGACGGCACAATTGATTACCTTGGACGACGAGACACTCAGGTCAAACTCGCGGGCCAGAGAGTGGACTTGGCCCATATCGAGCATTGCATGCGGAGGTGCGTGCCTGGGACCGTCGAGGTTTGTGTCGTTCTTGCTGCTCGGCAAAGGGTACTTGCTGGATTCGTTGCCGATCGGAGCCTCAAGCAGTCATTATCACCCCCCGAGCTGAAGGCCCAGCTCGCCGAAATACTTCCCGCCTACATGGTTCCCGGTGCTATTTTCTCCGTGGCCAGGATGCCATCTACACCGTCTGGCAAAATCGACCGCCAACGTCTTCGTGTGATGGCATCTGAGCTCATCACAGACTCTTCTGCAGAACGCCCAGACCGACCCTTGACCGATGCCGAAACGCGTCTCCAAGGGCTATGGGCCACTGCTCTGGGTGTAAGCCCTGACATCATCCATCCGAACTCAAACTTCCTACAATTCGGCGACTCGGTTTCGGCAATGAAACTGGCCAACATTTCCAGGAAGGCCGGCATGTCTCTTGATGTGTTAGCAATCTTCAACCACCCTATTCTCTCCGATATGGCCGTGAATTCCACTACCGCATTGGCAAGCGAAGAGGGTGTTGCCAAGTTTGGCCTTATGGAGAAATCGACGCTTCCTGATGCAATTGCCGCGGCAGCATTGCAGTGTGGAACTCGTCAGGATGAGATCGAAGACATTTACCCTTGCACGCCTTTACAAGAGGGTCTCATGGCTTTGTCAATCAAGGAGCAGGGCGCCTACGTCGCCCGCCACGTTCTACGACTCGCTGCATCCACCGACCTGGACAGATTCCGAGCCGCCTGTGCACAGGTTGTGCAAACCAACAGCATCTTACGAACCAGATTCGTGCAGTACAGCAATGAGATCTTCCAGGCTGTTCTCAAAGACGAAATCGAATGGGACACCTCTGATGACCTCGAGAAATATCTCCATACTGATTCAGAGAAACACGTGGGGTGCGGTGATCGTTTGGTCCGCCTGGGGCTCGTCTCTGACGGGAATGGTTCCCGGTTCTTTGTATTGACCGTACACCACTCGGTCTATGACGGTTGGTCCATACCGCTCATCCTCAGCCAGATCAACCAAGCATATCTGGGCGAACTGGAACCGCCACCGCTAGAGTTCAGATCTTTCATCGGCAAGTTGATGGAGGCTGATGAAGACAAGTCTGCTGCATATTGGCGAGGACAGCTCCACGACGCACAACCGGTTTCCTTTCCGCCGCTGATGACAGCGAATCAGCAGCCCCACGCCGACAGCGTCAGGGAACATCGATTTTCCCTGCCTGAGACGCGTAAATCCGACATAACAACCTCCACCTTTCTACGAGCGGCATGGGCGATTCTTATGTCACAGCACTCTCTGACAGATGATGTGATCGTGGGTACGACGCTGTCAGGTCGCACGCTTCCTATGCCGGGAATAGATGAACTCGTTGGACCTACCATCACAACGGTCCCAGTCAGGATTCAGCTTCTCCAATCGCAAATGGTCGAAAGCTTTCTCAAGCAAGTACAAGACCAAGCCACGGAAATGATTCCGCACGAGCACTTTGGATTGCGCCGCATCCGTCGACTCTCTCCAGAGGCCGAGGCTGCCTGTGGTTTCCAGAGTCTGCTCATCCTTCAACCTCCGACTGAATCGGCACCTGCGAATCTATTCGGAAACGCAGAGCTGGAGATCGTGGAAAACATACGGACGTTTGCCCTTACCCTGCAGGCCAGGGTCGAAGGCCCTGAGACTCGGTTGACGGCCAACTTCGACGCGAGCATGATCGACGGACGTTACATTACCTGGATGCTTTTCCAGATGGAGAACATCCTCAAACAGCTTCATGGTAATCCATTTGCGCTGCTCCAAGATATCAAAGCCTTCGGGCATCATGACAGCGAGCAGATTGGAAAGTGGCTCCCTGGTCCGCCTGAGTTCATCGACCGCTGCGTGCACGAAGTATTCATGGACCGGGTGAAGGAGATGCCTGATGAGGATGCAACCGTTGCATGGGATGGCAAAATGACCTACCTCGAGTTGGACCAGCTCTCCTCTCGATTGGCCCACCATCTCTGCGGTCTGGGCATCAAGCCGGAGCACGCAGTGCCTATACTCTTCGAGAAGTCAATGTGGACGCAGGTCGCCTTACTCGGAGCTATCAAGGCCGGCGCTACGTTTGTTCTGCTGGATCCCGATCATCCTGTCGCACGCCTTCAAGTCATCATAGACGATGTGGAGGCAAAATTGATCCTCAGCTCCATCCAACACACGGAAATGGCGCAGGCACTGGGCGTCCCAGTGCTTACCATCAGCAAATCGATGGTAGAGGAACTTCCCCACACTGAGGGTCTGCCACCGGTAGAAATAAGCCCCCGCCAAGCGCTTTACATCCACTTTTCTTCTGGGACGACGGGGAAACCGAAGGGGTCCATCATCGATCACTGTTCGTACGCATCGTCCGCCAGTGCGACATGCAGAGCCATGGAACTCTATCCAGGGCTGGAATCCGCCAACCGCGTTCTTCATTTTGCAGCACACAGCTACGACCAGTGCATCGGGGAGATGCTGGGTACGATCATGCACGGCGGATGTCTCTGTATCCCCTCAGATTTCGAGCGAAACAACGATGTCATTGGCTCAATCAACAAGTACAAGTGCTCCAGAGCGACTTTTACTCCCTCCTTCGGTCGTTTGGTCTCTCCTTCGGACGTGCCCACGCTGCGGGTCGTCGTTGTCGGCGGTGAGGCAATTGCAGAGCAGGACATACAGCATTGGAACGGCGTCCAGCTATTCAATGCGTACGGCCCAAGTGAAACCACGGTTTCAAGCTGTGTCAAGGCGTGGCCGACCATCAACAGCAGCACCGACTTCCGCAGCATCGGCCATCCGATCGATTCGGCTCACTACTACATCGTCGAACCTGGCAACCATCACCAGTTGACGCCCCTGGGAGGTCTGGGAGAAATAGTCATCGACAGCCCGACGGTGGCGCGGTGCTATCTGAAGGAACCCGAGAAGTCGAAGAAGGCATTCGTAGACCGTCCGGCCTGGCTATCTGGCGACGGCCTGCCACCCGGACGAAAGCTGTACAAGACAGGCGACATGGCGCGATACACACCCGATGGCGAGTTCATCTTCCTGGGGCGCCGCGACACGCAGGTCAAGCTCCGCAGTCAGCGGCTGGAGCTTGCCGAAGTCGAGCATCACATCTCGTCGCTCTTGTCTCGCACCGACGAAGTGGTCTCGGAGATGATCACTATTGCCTCTACGTCCAATTCGATCTTGGCCGCCTTCATCCGTCTCGGTCAAACACAGCAACAGGGTGGAGACCTGCTAGACGAGGTTACTGCTGCAAGCCCCGAATGGATGGCATTGCAGAACAGGATCGTCACCCACCTCGGAAAGACGGTGCCAGCTTACATGATTCCGACAGCTTTCATCCCTCTGAGGCGGGTACCCTTCACAAACTCGCACAAGGTGGACCGGAAGCAGCTGCACGCCATGGCTGCCGGTCTCACCGCAGAGCGCCTTGCAGCATTTTCGCTTGCTCAAAACAGCAGGGCGCCGGAGACAGAGTTGGAAAAGGAGATGTGTGCTCAGTGGGCTGCGGTCCTGGGCATCGATTCCAGCGTGATCAGCGCCGAGGAGAACTTCTTCCGACTCGGTGGAGACTCGATCGATGCCATGAAGTTGGTTGCAGCCGTACGCTCCCGCGGTTTCTCGCTCACCATGCGTACCGTGTTCCAGTATCCACGTCTTTCAGACATGTGCCTCACTCTTACTGAGCTCTCGCCCACGCAAGAGGATGACAACCCGACACCATTCTCACTGTTGTCGGAGGATTCGGTCACCTGGCTACGTCAGGAAGCCACCGAACAATGCCGCATCAGTGATGATGTTATTCAAGACATCTACCCGGCAACTCCTCTCCAAGAAGGCCTATTCGCCGTCTCTGCGAAGCACCCTGGCATGGAGATGGCGCAGATGAGCTTCCTCATCGACGAAGATGTGAGCCTGGACCGCCTGAAGGGCGCATGGGAAGCCGCAGCGCGCCGCAACGCAATCCTTCGAACCAGAATGATCACCACCAAGTCCGGTGTGTACCAGGTGGTAATTGACGAGATGATTGACTGGGTCGAGGCCAAGGATATGCCAAGCCACGTTCAGAAAGATCGGGGCGTCCCCATGCTGCACGGCGACAAGCTGTGCCGCTTTGCGGTTATCGAGGACGAGGCGAACTGCGAGAAGCACCTCTGCATCACCATTCACCACGCCTTGTACGACGGCTGGGCTTGGGGCAGACTGCTGGAGCAGGTCGAACAAGTCTATGCCAGTGAAGCAGTCACGGTGTCGCCTCCCTTCAACAAATTTGTCCGGTTGCTGCAGGCGCAGAAGCCGGAACCCCTGCAGGAATACTGGAAGTCCACACTTGCCGGCGTCTCAGCCGATGTTTTCCCCAAGCTGCCCTCGGCCTTTTACACGCCAAAAGCGGACGGTCTTGTGCAGCACACGATCGAAGGGTCGAATTCCTCACACGTTACCGCGGCCAATGTCGTACGAGCGGCGTGGGCCTTCGTGGTCTCGAAGTATACCGAGAACAGTGACGTCGTGATCGGCTCCACCGTGACGGGCCGCAATGCGCCCATCGAAGGGATTCAGGAAATGGTTGGCCCCGTATTTGCAACAGTCCCCTTGCGGGTTCAAGTCGACATGGAGCAAAGTGTCGACGATTACCTTCAAATGCTCCAAGAACGTGTAGGTGGCATGGACACCTTCGAATACCTCGGTCTGCAAGGCATCCGGAGCATCAACGCCGACACGGAAGCGGCGTGTAGCTTCCAGAATGTCCTTGTAGTGCAGCCGGAGGCCCGAGACGAGGGGTCCGGCGGCGCTTTGAGGAATCGTCACGACTGGGACGAGATGGCGACGTTCAACAACTACGGCATCATGATCGAATGTACTCCCTCGCGTACAAACGTCGAGGTCAAGTGCAGCTTCGATTCAGACCTCATCAACACGGCACAGATGCGCCGGATCTTACACCAGTTCGCGCAAGTCCTCGGTCAGTTCCTCGCAGGCGGCAAGCAGAGCTTGAGAGATGTCAACATGGTCAGTCCCGAAGACTACCGTGAGATCGCCAGCTGGAACAGCCGTGAACCCGAAATCATTGATCGTTGCATCCACGACCGAATCGAGGAGCGAGTGGCTCAACATCCGAACGTGGAGGCTGTGTGTGCGTGGGACGGCAGCTTCTCGTACGAGCAAGTCAGCAAGATTTCTTCATCATTGGCAGCGCGCCTTTGCGAACTGGGTGCCAAGCCCAACATGATCATCCCGCTGTGCTTCGAGAAGTCGAAGTGGGCGCTCATTGCCATGGTGGCCGTCATGAAGAGCGGAGCTGCCTTCGTGTTGCTAGATCCCGCCCACCACTCGGTAGAGAAACGAATCGAGCTGGCCCAAGCCGTAGACGCAAAGATCGCCATTGCGAGCACTACTTTCAGCTCATCCTTAACCGGCCATGTAGGCGAGGTTGTCACACTCTCTCAAGACACCGTCGACCATCTTCCCGCAGCATCCAGCTTACCGACGGACACCTACCATCCGGACAACACTCTTTGCGTCATGTTCACCTCGGGAAGCACTGGCAAACCCAAGGCCATCGTGCACAGCCACTCAGGGTTGTATGCAAGCTTCGAAGCGTTCGGCAAGGGCTGCGCTGTAACGTCCAACGCGCGCGTCTTCCAATTCGCCGCCTACGCCTTCGACGCGTCCATCGGCGACCACCTCGCCACCCTGATGCACGGCGGCTGCATCTGCATCCCGTCCGAGTCGTCCCGCATCAACGACTTCGCCGGGGCCTTCGCCGCCCTGCGTGCCAACTACACGCACGTCACGCCGTCCCTCGGGCGGTCGCTCGACCCAGAGACGCTGCCGGGCATCCGGACCATCATGATGGGCGGCGAGGCCCTCATGCAAACCGAAGTCGACAAGTGGTCGCAGCGCGCGCACCTGCTTTCGGCGTACGGCCCCGCCGAGTCGTCCCTCTGCATCGCGGGCACCCTGAAGGCGGGCGTGCGGCTCCCGCCCAACTTGGGCTTGCCGGTGGGCTGTCGGACGTGGGTCGTCGACACCAACGACTACACCAGGCTGGCCCCTATCGGCGTCATCGGGCACCTCGTCATCGAGGGCCCGGTCAACGCCGCCGGCGGTTATTTGAACGACCCGGAGCGCACGCAGGCGGGGTTCATCACGCCGCAGCAGGTGTGGATCCCGGAAGTGCAGTCGGGGAGGGAGCAGAGGATGTACCGAACGGGCGATATGGCGCGGTACAGCGCCATTGGAGATGGGACTGTGGAGTTTGTTGAGCGGAGGGACACGCAGATCAAGCTGCGGGGGCAGCGGGTGGAGTTGGCCGAGGTCGAGTGCTGTCTGAAGGAGGCGCTGGCATCGGCTGCCGCGCTCCTCCCCGCCGTCGACGAGAGCGTCGTGGCCAAAATTTCGTTGCCGTCGTCGACGGAGGCTGGTACGTCATCATCGCTGCTCGCGGCGTTCGTGGAGAGCCGCACGCTGGCGGCGGCGGAGAAGCAAGAGAAGGCCGAGTTGCTTAACGGGTTGCTCTCGGCCGTCACGGCGTATATGTCGCCCCGCCTCCTCGCCTACAAGATCCCCTCCCTCATCATCCCGCTCGCCCGCATGCCGCGCACCCCGTCGCGGAAGGTCGATCGCAAGGAGCTCGCCAAGTTTGCCGCGGGTCTGTCCGTCGAGGAGATCGCGGCCTACTCGCGCCAGAGCCGCACCGGTCGTGCGCCCGCCACGGAAGCGGAGAGCACATTGTGCAAGTTGGTGGCGGGCACCCTCGGACTGCCGGAGAGCCAGGTCTTTGCTGACGATGCGTTCGTCCGACTGGGCGGCGATTCCATCCAGGGCATGCGGCTCGTGGCGCTGGCTCGGGAGCAGGGCATGGCCTTGACCGTGGCTCAGCTGTTCGAAGCGGAGAGCATCGCGCAGCTGGCGGCGGGAGCAGCACAAGCGCAAGCTGAGAAGCCTCTCATGCCCAACGATGAGCAGGAGTCCGCCATGGTCGTCCGTGATGACGACGTGGAGCTCGCAGCGGCGCGGAAGTGCGGCGTCGACGTCGCCATGGTGCAGGACGTCATGCCGTGCACGCCGCTGCAGGAAGGCCTCATGTCGCTGGCCCTCAGCAAGCCCGGCGCGTACGTCTTGTTCAATACGTTCGCCCTGCCGGCTTCGACCGATGTCGAGAAGTTCAAGAATGTGTGGGGTGTCGTCTTCGCCCGGAACGACATCCTCCGCACGCGCATCGTGCAGGTGGGCGAGAAGACGGTACAGGTCGTTATGCGGGAGAGCATGTGGTGGCTCTCGAGTCACACCCTGGCTGAGGCGCTGGAGGAAGAGAAGGCGGCACCGATGGGGCTCGGGACTCCGCTGAACAGGTTCCGCATTGTTACGTCAGACGCGGGGAATTACTTCATCTGGACGGCACACCACAGCACGTATGATGGCTGGTCTATGAAGCTGCTTTTGGACCAGGCTACGGCGCTGTACCAGGGGAGCTCCGTTCCCACCGGCCTGAGTTTCAAGCGGTTTGTCATGGATCTCGACAAGGGAAACGACGAATCGGCTATCTACTGGACGAACAGCTTCGAACACGTCTCGGCACAGACCTTCCCCGAACGCCTACCTCCCGGGGAAGGGCCCGACGTGGGTTCTTTCAAAACGTCTCGGATCAAGTTCAACCGGAAGATGGGTTCCCGCATCACGACCTCGACGCTCGTGCGAGCAGCATGGGCCTTGCTGCTGCGGCAATACTGCGAAGGCGACGACGGCGACGACCAAGTTCTATTCGGCACCGTGTCGTCCGGGCGCTCTGGTTCGCTTCCCGGCATCGAGAGCGTCGTGGGCCCTACGCTGTGCACGCTCCCCGTCGTCGTCAAGGTCGACGGCGCGTCAACGGTGAGCCAGTACTTGGAAGCCGTGCAGCGCCACTGGCTGGGCTCGCTCCCCCACGAACATTTTGGGCTTCAGAATATCGCGCGCCTAAGTCCCACGTGCAAGGCAGCGTGCGACTTCCAGAACCTGCTTGTCATTCAGCCTAAGCAGATGCGGGAGTCGGACGAGAGCGCCGTCATGGGCACTTGGCTCGAGTCGGACCAGCATTCGGACTTCTTCTCGTACCCTCTCACTGTGCAGTGCAGTCTCGAGGATACACAGTGCGAGGTCCTCGCTGGCTATGACAGACGCTTGCTCGGAGATGAGCAGGTCATGCATATGCTGGAGCAGTTTGACAGTATCGTCCAGCAGCTGTCTCAGGAAGATCAAGTGATGAAAGTGTCGGAGCTCGACGTCTTGGGCTCACAGGGTCTGGAGCAGGTCTTGCGCTGGAACGAGGAAATTCGTCAGCTACAGGCTCCCCCCACCCCGGACAACGACGTCTGCGTTCACGACCGTATAGCCAAGCAGGCAGATTCACAGCCTGACCGGCAGGCTGTTTGCGGTTGGGACGGCGATTTGACGTACGCTCAGCTACAAGCCCATGCTGGAGCATTGGCGGAGCATCTCGTTTCCTTGGGCGTCGGCCCGGAAACGCTGGTCCCGTTTTGCATGGAGAAATCGGTTTGGGCTGTTGTCGCAACGCTGGCTATCCTCCATGCCGGCGGTGCATTTGTTCCCTTGGATCCTTCGTATCCCCGCGAATGGCTGCAAGGAGTTATCGAACAGACGCAAGCCAGGATACTACTCACTTGTCCGCAGACTACCGAGTTGTGCGCGCACTTCTCGGAGCATGTGGTCGAAGTATCCCCCATGCTGCTCGAATCACTTCATTCCTCCTCACCTTCAAAAGACGCATCGCCCAGAGCAGAACTCTCAAATGCGGCTTATGTGATTTTCACCTCTGGCAGCACAGGAAAGCCAAAAGGTGTAGTCATGGAGCACGGCGCCATCAGCCGCGGCATCACCAACCACGGCTACACGTTAAAGTTCAACGCAGACTCGAGGGTGCTCAACTTCTCGTCGTACGTTTTCGACCCCAGCATCGCCGATATCCTGACCACGCTGGCGCACGGCGGCTGCGTGTGCGTGCCGTCGGCCACGGAGCGGACGAGCGACATCACGTCCGCCATGAACCGCATGCAGGTGAATTGGGCTCTACTCACGCCCTCCTTCGTACGCACCTTGTCGCCTGAGAAACTCCCAACGCTTAAGGCTTTGGTTGTAGGCGGTGAGCCTCTGGATGCCGACATCTTCGATACCTGGGCGGACAGCACCTACTTGATCGAAGCGTACGGACCGGCCGAGTGTTGCATCTACAGCACGGCTGCGGTGGGGATCAGCAAGGCTGATCATCCAGCCCTCATCGGGAAGTCAATCACAGGGAACTGCTGGATCGTTGACCCCAACGACTGCAATCGCTTGGCTGCAGTGGGGAGTACTGGAGAGCTGCTCATTGAAGCGCCCACGCTCGCCCGCGGCTATCTCAACGACGCAGCCAAGACGAACGCTGCATTCGTCGTTGATCCGAAATGGGCGAGACTCGAACCTGGACAAACACGTCGCATGTACAAGACTGGTGACCTCGTCAAGTACAATGCTGATGGAACCATGCACTTCGTGGGTCGGAAGGACACGCAGGTCAAACTCCGCGGACAACGTGTGGAGTTGGGGCTGGTCGAGCACCACATCAAGCAGGATATGAGCAACCTTATTCGCATTGCCGTCGAGCAGATCAAGCTCCCTGGGGGCGTTCAGCTGTTGGCTGCGTTCCTGACTTTCGAAGACGGAAAGAATCACCTCAAGCTGTCCGATGAGCTAAAAGCTCGTCTGATCTCGCTGCAGGAGTACCTGCAGGCTCACATCCCCCTCCACATGGTTCCATCCATGTACGTCCCACTGGGCAACATGCCGCTGTCCGTCTCGGGCAAGATCAACCGCCGCGCACTGCGCGATCTGGCTGCCGGACTGTCCCAGGAACAGCTATCCTGCTTCTCGCTGACCAGCGCCGAAAAGCGGGCGCCCAGCACGCAGAGCGAAGTCGACCTGAGGAACCTGTGGTCCAAGGTGCTGCGCCTCCCCGTCGACACCATCGGCGTGGACGACGGCTTCTTCCAGCTCGGCGGCGACTCGATCGGCGCCATGCGCCTGGCAACGCTTGCCCGTGAGCACGGCATGCACATCACGGTGCAAAACATCTTCCGCAACATCAAGCTGTGTGACATGGCGCGCGCTGCTGCGCCGCTCGTCGCGACCGAAGGCACCGAGCCGCCTAAGCCGTTCGAGTTGGTCGAAGACCTGGATCGCGTCTTTGCCTGCCTGGAGGAGCAGTGCGGGATTGGACGGTCCGAGGTGGACGATGCGTATGCTTGTTCGCCACTGCAAGAAGGACTGCTCGCGCTGTCGTCGAAGAATAGCGGAACATATACCGCGCAGAGCGTGTTCAGGCTGCATCCGTTCCTTGACTTGCCGCGGTTCAAGGAAGCTTGGGAGATGCTGGTGCGGAGGCATGATGTCTTGCGCACGGTGGTCGTTGACGTGAATGGGGTCTATACTCAAGTTGTTCTTCAAGACCGTGGCATACAGTGGGCGACTGCTATTGGCCTCGAGCAGTATCTTTCCGAGGACAAGAGCAATCCCATGGAGCCCGGAACTCCCTTGGCCAGGTACTGTATCGTGGAATCCGAAGACCAGGGCTACTTTGTGTGGACGGTGCATCATGCCATTTACGACGGGTGGTCTACGAAGCTGCTGCTCACGGAACTTGAGCAGCTGTACTACAACAGGCCTCCATCGCCCGTCCTCACGCCCTTCTCACAAATCCAAGCTTACTATTCTCGGCAAGAGTCAGCTGCAACGGACGACTACTGGAGGAGTCAGCTGGCACACGCCGGCGCGGCCACTTTCCCAGAGGTGAAGTCCACGACTGCGCAACTGGTGGCCGACGCAGCAATGACACACCCAATCACGTTCTCCCGTCCTTCCGGATCCTCAATTACTACTCCCTCTCTCCTCAGATCCGCCTGGGCGTTGCTCCTTAGCAGCTACACGGGCTCTGATTCCGTATTATTTGGGGAAACGTTCAGTGGAAGGGCGATTCCGGTACCCGGCATCGACACGGTGGTTGGTCCGACCATAGCCACTGTTCCCGTCGTTGTGCACCTGGACCCCAAGCAAATGCTGGATGAATACCTTGCCGGTGTGCAGACCCAAGCAATGGACATGACTCCGTTCCAATATGTGGGTCTGCAGCGGATCAAACAGCTTGGTCCTACGGCCAGCGAAGCTTGCAATTTCAAGAATCTGCTCGTCATACAGCCGGTCGACAAGGACGTGGACGAGGTGAAAGGCTCCGAGCTGTGGAGTCCCGTCGACGATGCCGTGTCGGCAGGCGGTTTCCTCGACTATCCTCTGGTGATGGAGTGCAACGTCACGGACACGGGGGTGGACGTCGTGATACGGTACTCCTCGTTGGTGTTTACCGCAGTGCAAGTGGAGAGGATTCTTCAACAGTTTGAGCATGTGCTACGACAGCTCTCTGGCGCAGGGAACAAGGCTACGGGAAATATCACGCTCGCGGACATCGACATGATCAGCCCGCAAGACAAGCACTCGCTTTCCAAGTGGAACGAGCCCAAGCCCCAGACATTATCGGCCTGCGTCCACGACGCCGTCGCCCAGCAAACGCGACTCAACCCGCACTCAATCGCCATCCAGTCGTGGGACAAGACCTTCACATACTCCGAGCTCGACGATCTATCATCCCGCCTCGCTCAACAACTCTGCACGTTGGGCGTCTCTCCCGGGTCCCGCGTCCCCGTGCTCTTCGAGAAATCCGCCTGGGTCATCGTAGCCATGCTTGCCGTCTTCAAAGCCGGCGGCGCCTACGTGCCCCTCGACACGGGCTTTCCCGACGAACGCAACGAATTCATCACCCGGGAGAGCGGCGCCACTCTCGTGCTTGTCGGCCCACAGTACCGCGGCCGCCTCCAGCACACATCCGCACAGGAACATGTCGTCGACGAGACCGTCGTCCGTTCGCTTCCCCCGGCGACAAACTTCGCTCCGAGCACCCCGGCCACCCCCACGGATCCAGCCTTCGTCATCTTCACGTCGGGCACGACGGGGCGGCCAAAGGGCATCGTGCTCTCCCACCGCGCCTTCTGCAGCAGCGCGCACCGCTTCGTGCGGTCGCTGCGGCTGCACAAGGCGTCGCGCGTCCTGCAGTTCGCCGGCTTCGTCTTCGACGTCAGCCTCTCCGAGATCTGGGGCTCCCTCATGTCGGGCGCCCGCCTCTGCGTCGCGGCGCCCGACGACCGCCTCTCGCGCCTCGACGCCGTCGTCAACGCTTACGGCATCACGTGGCTGTTCCTCACGCCCACCGTCGCCGGCCTGCTGCGCCCCCGCGACGTGCCCTCCCTGCAGACCCTCGTCCTCGGCGGCGAGCGCCTGACGCGCGACATCATCCGCGCGTGGGCGCCGAGCGTGCAACTGATGAACGGCTACGGCCCCGCCGAGTGCGCCGTCTACGTCACCGACTCGGGCCCGCTGGCTCCCGACGCGGATCCGGGCTTCTTGGGTCACCGCATGAGCAACCGCTTCTGGATCGTGGATCCGGACCGCCTCGACAGGCTGGTGCCCGTGGGGTGTGTGGGCGAGCTGTTGGTCGAGGGCCCGACGCTGGCGGATGGGTATTTGAACGACGAGGCGAGGACCGCTGCGGCGTTTGTGGAGCCGCCGGCGTGGCGGAGGGGGTTGTTGGTGGGTGAGAAGGGGATGCCGGAGAGGATGTATAGGAGTGGGGATCTGGCGCGGTTCAATGCCGACGGGAGTGTGCACATTGTGGGGCGGAGGGATACGCAGGTTAAGATCCACGGGCAGAGGGCCGAGTTGGGCGAGGTCGAGATGCGGTTGGCGGAGGCGTTGCCCGAGGGGTGGATTGCGGTGGCGGCGATGTCGCGGCTTGGTGGCGATGTGGAGGGTGAGCTGAGGCTGACGGCGTTCGTTGGGGATAAGAGCTCGGATGACGGCGGAGAGGTGGAGTGGATCGATCCGAGGGATGATACGGGAGTGAGCAGTACGGTAAGGCAGCTCAGGAAGAGGCTCGAGGGCGTGTTGCCGCCTTTCATGGTGCCGACGGCATATGTCGTTGTGCGCAACGTGGCTCTGACGCCCGGAGGGAAGGTTGACCGCCAGAAGCTGTACGCTCTTGGGGAACAAGTTTCCTTGGAGCGGTGCTTGCTACTGGAGGAAGTTGAGGTGGACGACGTTTCGCTGACGGAAATGGGAGAGCGGCTGCGCGGTCTTTGGGCGAAGGTCCTCAGGCTCGAAGAGGAGAAGCTGGGTGCCATGTCCAACTTCATCCAGCTTGGAGGAGACTCGATTTCAGCCATGCGCCTGGCGCATGCTAGCCGTACCCTCGGCCTTTCACTGAGTGTGCAGCAGATTCTCGCGGCACCAGTGCTGGCGGATATGGCTGCTTCCGTCCGAGTTGAAAAGCGCTTGGAAGAGGTGTCACAGAAGCCGTTCTCCACGCTCGGCGATGTCCACACCGACACCTTCCTGCAGGACGTGGTCTGTCCCGCCGTGGAAGGCGCCAAGGACAACATCGAGGACGTTCTTGTGGCAACCGACTACCAAGCCTGGACGCTCTCTCAGGGCCACCTGCGCTCGCGGGGCTACAACAACTACCTGACCTACAACATCGACGGCGTCATCGACTTGCCGCGCCTCGACGCTGCATGCCAGGCCCTCGTCGTTCACCACGCCATCCTGCGCACCGTCTTCGCCGTCCACAACCGCCAACTCTACCAAGTCATCCTCAAACACCTCAACGCTACCCCATCCCACCACACCCACACCTCCACCGCCTCCCTCATCGCCGCCGACATGGCCGCCCCGGTCTCCCTCGGCAAACCACGCACATCCTTCCTCCTCACCACCCTCAACCCAACCACCCACGCCCTAACCATGCGCATCTCCCACGCGCAGTACGACGGCATATCGCTCCCCATCCTCCTCGCCGACCTGCGCGCCTTGTACGTCACGGGCAAACCCCTCTCCACGACAACAACAACCCCCTTCTCCGCCTTCGTCACCTCGACCCACCCCCACATCCACGCCTGGCCAGCGGCCGAACAGCACTACCGCGCCCTCCTCCGCGGCTCCCGCATGACATCCATCGTCGCGCACCCCGACGCCACCGCCTCGCACCACCGCCACCCGCTCAACGCGACCCACACGCGCGTCTGCCGCGTCGACGCCGTCGCGCTGCGGGCTTCTGGCCTCACGTTCGCGTCGCTCCTCAAGACGGGCTGGGCCGTCGTTCTCGCACGCCTGTCCGCCGCCGGCGGGGACGACGTCGTGTTCGGGCACGTCGTGTCGGGCCGCAATGATGATGGCGGCGCCGTTACTGCGGTGGGGCCGTGCATGAATATCGTACCGGTGCGAGTGCGCGTGCCTGAAGTCGGTGGTGATGACGAGGTGCGGGAGGTGGCAAGGGCGGTGCAGCAGCAGTACGTCGAAGGGCTGCCGTTTGAGACGCTGGGGTTCAGGAACGTCATCGAGAGGTGTACGGACTGGCCGGCTTGGACGCGCTTCTCGTCCATTGTGCAGTTTACGAGCTTTGAGGGGGTGCGGGAGGGAGAGGCGAGAGCGGATGGGGAGGATGGTGATAGTGATGATGGTGGAGCGCGGTGGCGCTTGGAGAGCTTTGCGCCGCCGGGAGATGTGACGGATGTGTGGGTGGCGGGGCGGCCGCGGAGGCGGAGCGGTGCTGATGGCGGCGGCGGCAGGGGTGAAGAAGGGGTGGAGGAGTTCGTGGTCGATTTGACTTATGCGAGCGATGCGGTGGCGGAGGAAGTGGCGGAGACGATGGTGGAGATGCTGAGGGGTGTGGTTGAGGGGATGCTGGGCGGCACCGAGGCGGCTGTGGTGGCCGACGAGAAGGAGCGGAGGAAGGAGAAGGAAGTGAGGCGTGCGCTCTTGCCGCTTCAGCTCCCAGCTCAGATGACGCCGCCGGTTTCGCCGCCGATGAGAGAGTATCTGGAGGCGCCCGCTGCGCAGGTCGTCAAGGAGGTGTGGCAGGAGGTGCTGGGATGTGGAGAGAGTGGCAGCGATGACGACGCGGACGTGCCCTTTTGGGATTTTTGGGGAGAAAGTGTGCTTGCCGCCGCCGCGTTGAGCGAGGCTTATGGCAGACGGGAAGTGAAGGTTTCGGTCGAGGAGTTGTTGGACAGGCCGACGAGAAGCTTGCAGACGTTGTTGCTCAGAGGGTGAGATGTGGTAATACCGAGTACATGGGGCGTTTTTCATTCGTAGATTGAATAGTCACAATTAGTTTATCTTTTTCAACTGTATTCTTTAATTCTTAATTCTCCAGCGGTGTTCTAACGGTGCTCGCTCATGGTGTTTACACTGACTTTTGCGCCAACAATGGGTTTTAACGGGCTGCCGGGTAGTGTTCCGGCGGTCATCTCTGCCTGGCATAGACCTCGAAGCCGATTTCGGTCTCTCCAGATCATCCCGAATGACCGAGCTATCCCTGCAGCAGCACTGCTACTGGCCTATCTCCAACCTGCCGATTCTCAGCCCATTCGAGCCGTGCCCCCGGAAAACGCATTAAAACAAAGCGCCTGCGCCTTCTCCTCTTCGCCGCCATAGCAACCACTGTAGTCCACAACAAACACCATCGCCATATACGCTCTCCACATACCTCACCACAACCCACGCCGATCCAACCGCCATGGCCGCCACAGGAGCAACAACAACAACCCACTCGGGCACCCTCATCATCGGCGCCGGGGCCTTCGGCCTCTCCACCGCCTACCACCTCGCCCTGCGCCGCAGCAGCCCCGCATCACGCACATCCAACAACGACACAATCACCGTCCTCGACCCCGCGCCGGCCGTGCCCTCCCCCTCGGCCGCCTCGACCGACATCTCCAAGATCGTGCGCGCCGACTACAACACGCCGCTGTACGCGCGCCTCGCCGTCGAAGCCATCGCCGCCTGGCGCTCCGACCCGCTCTACGCCGGCCTGTACCACGTGCCCGGCTGGGTGCTCGCCGCGCGCGAGCGCAGCGTCCCCTTCGTCGAGGGGTCGGTCGCGGTCGCGCGCGCGATGGGCATGCAAGGCGTGGAGAGGCTGGAGGGCGGCGCGGACGAGGTGCGCCGCCGCTGGCCGGTGGTGACGGGCCGGTTGGACGGGTGGAACGCGTGCGTGTGGAACCCCGCGGCGGGGTGGGCGGACAGCGGGAAGGCGCTGGGGCGGATGGCGGAGGCGGCGGCGGGGATGGGGGTGAGGTTCGTGCAGGGGGGGGCGGGGAGGATGGTCGCGTTGGTGGTGGAGGAGGGGGAGGGAGGCAGGCGGGTGGTGAGGGGGGTGGTGGCCGAGGATGGGTCGACGCATTTGGCGGAGAGGGTGGTGCTGGCGGCGGGGGCGTGGAGCGGCGTGTTGGTGGATTTGGAGGGGCAGTTGACGGCGAAGGGGCATGGCGTGGCGCATATACAGATGACGCCCGAGGAGGCGCGGCGGTACGAGGCGATGCCGGTTATGGACAATTTGGAGTTGGGGTATTTCTTTCCGCCGGTCGTGGGGGGCGTGTTCAAGCTGGCGCACAGCCAGTTCTTGACGAACACGCAGACGACGCCGGCGGGGATAACGACTTCGGTGCCGAGGACGTTCGAGGAGCATCCCGAGGATGATTTGCCGTTGGAGATCGAGGCGGAGATGAGGCAGAATCTGCGGAGGGTGTTTCCCGAGTTGGCGGATCGGCCGTTCTGCTTTACGCGCCTGTGCTGGGATGCGGATACCGAGGATAGGCATTGGCTTGTCGATAGGCACCCCAAGTATGACGGACTGTACTTGGCCTGTGGAGGATCCGGTACGTATCATTGCAGTTGGCTTTCCCAGCATCACCATTGCTAACGTTGACACGCAGCTCATTCGTTCAAGTTCCTTCCGGTCATGGGGAAGTATGTGGCTGATTTCCTTGACGGAAAGTTGGATCCAGAGATAGCAAAGAACTGGAGGTGGAGGGCAGGTGAGAAGTTGGAGGGCAAGGACCTTGCTCACATGGATCCGGAGAGAGAGTTGAACGACATGACGGGCTGGAGAGGACGTAGACTGAGAGAGAAGAGTAACCCGAGGTTGTAGATCAGAAGATCGTTTATTGATACATCCCAATCTAATATTTTCTCAATGGCACGTGTTAATAAGTATATCGAAAATCCTTCTTTTCCTTATCTGTACGGTCCGAGAAGGCGTCCATAAGCACAGCCCCTTCTCCCACAGCACCGTCTCTCCTTTTGTTTTCGATGGCACATAATGCGCCGTAAGCCAGAATTGCAACCATGGCCACAATCAAACATGCCAAGAGCCCGACATACCCGTGGGTGTAATCTGGTGCGTCGTTCGCTCGGAAGACTTGTGGTCCGATGATGTTTCCCGTGCAATAAGCAAGAAAGTAGACCGCATTCATCGTCACCTTTTTGGAGTGCCCGGACGTGTTTACCATGGGCAACGATGCCCCTATCACATAAGGCCCCCAATACGTGTAAAACACGTAGTAGGCTGCCAGTAAACCAGCTTTGTTGGTTCGAGGAAGCTTCCACATGAGTACCGCACACACCACAGTCACAAGGTTGCAGGATGCTGCGATGATGCAGCGCAACTTCTTCGAGCGTCCTGCGGGATATGCCATGATCCACGCCCATACCGTGGCAATGATCCCGGTCGGAATACCGAGCAGAGTTGTGACCAGTGTAGAGTAGCCGAGGCCAGAGACAATGATCGAGGCAAAGGTTACGAGCTGCAACAGTCAGACATGGCAATACATGGGGGTCTGGAGGACATACACCACCGTTGGGGATGTTTTGAGCAATGGCAAAGATGAAAAGCAGCCATGTCTTAGGGTCACACAAGCACTCCCGGATCTGGTACCATTTGATCTCTTTGCTCTCCACACCCGTGTTGTTGTCCTTGATGCGTTGCAGACAAATAAACTTTTCGCGGTCCGTCATATACCGGCAATTTGTTGGAGAGTCCGGGAGAAATAGGAAGACGACCACCGCCCAAAGAAGAGAGAAGCCCCCCAGGACCAGAAAGAGCAGTCTCCAGGTTGCGAGATGTATGTTGGTGGCGTTACCAATTCCGTAGCTGATAATACCGGTGAAAATTGAAGAGAACTGAGACATCCAACTGGACTTGTTGCGTTAACAACGGACCATATTCTTTCATTGGGGACATGTCTTACCAGGCAGCACGAATGGGCTGCTCTTGGTTCGTCCACCACATGACGGTCATGATGTTGCAGACCGGGAATAAACAGGCTTCAGCCATTCCCATGATGAATCGAACGGCTGCAAGGCCGGCAAAGTTGTGTGTAGCGGCTGTGCAGCACATCATGATGGCCCAAACCAAGACGGTGGCAGAAAAGAACTTGGCTACGGGAAGACGCTGGATGAGAAACGCACTCGGGTACTCGAAGATGAGATATCCGAAGTAGAAGATGCTGGATTGCAATCGTCAGTGAGGAACGATGGACTGTCAAGATGATATTTGAAGCACGTACCTTCCAATCCAAGAGTACTGATCTCCGACAAGGTGCGTATCCGTCTTCATGCCATAAATGGCGGCGTTCGAGATGACTACTTTGTCGACGGCAGCAACGATAGCGGATATCCATATCAGAGGAAGGATGGAGAGATCAATCTTCCAGAGGACCTTGCGGGCTTCTTCTGGGGTGATTGGAGTCTCCCTGACTTCATCGTCCAGGGTTGCGAGGAAGCGGGCAGCGACATCGATGTCTTTCACTGCACCACTGAGCTCTTCCACACTACCACGTGCCGAATCCTGGGGCACTTCCTTCTCCGTAGCCATTCTGGGTTGGGGTGACTGCGCGAGGCTCTCTTTGGGCGGGGTGGTGAAGCACACGGAACGTGAAAAGGCTGGCAGTTTGAACGGGTCAAGCAAAAGACATGACAAGGTCGGCTGAATTGATATCGAAGTTGCCCTATCAACAGGCAAACCTGCCCACATTCTTGGGAGATTACCCCCATGCTTGCAGATGCGGGGGTGCAAAAACATGTGCCGCTATCCGTGGTACAAGGGGTAGCACAGTTGTTGGATGGTTGTCGCGCGTTTCCGATTCGGGGGCACCCCTCATCACCGCCCGATCGGCATCTTTGAGCATGCTGCCGACGACTGGGAGCATGTCTTATCGATAAACTGCGATGCACAAGCAACGGGAAACGACGACTGGGAATGGCTCGGGCGACCACCACTTTCGGATCGGCACGCGCCAGCCGACCCCCTCTGTCCTTGCCAGGGCCGCTCCCGATCGTAGACCATCAGCAGGCCGCAGCACTAGCGCCAACCCCCTCTTCGCCTACGGATCGACGGCCGACCCAATCCAGCATGTCTCCACTGCCGATGCCGCTGACGCGCAGATGCGACGGCCCCTCCCAAACGCCTATAGTCGTTGCCCTCACCTTTATATACCGTCCGAGTCCTCAACCCGAGTAATTCACAATCTTTTGGCTTCCGCCTGCGACTGTGCTGAACATGTCTCCACACAAATTTGATCTGGAGGTAGATGGCTTGAAGATCAAGATTGCCATCGGTGAGTTCCTTAGTAGCTCTGCTGTGCCATGTATTGATTCCAGATAGACAGAGGTGGCACATTCACCGACTGCTTGGGCATTGTCGAGGGCCGGGAAGATGACATTGTCGTCAAGCTCTTGTCTCAAGATCCCCAAAACTACGAGGATGCGCCTATCGAGGGCATTCGGCGCATCCTGGAACAGGCCACGGGCAAGTCGTATCCGAGGGACCAGAAGTTGAACATCTCAGGCTTTTCTGAATTCTCCGTACGCATGGGAACCACGGTTGCCACCAATGCCCTGCTGGAAAGGAAAGGCGAACGGGTGGCGCTGGTCATTACGAAAGGCTTCGCCGACGCCCTGCGAATAGGCAATCAGTCGCGGCCCGACCTCTTCGCACTCAAGATCGTGCGGCCCGATGTACTCTACCAAGACGTCGTTGAGATTGACGAGCGTGTCACAATCGAAGACTACCAGCAGAACCCGTTCCGAGATGACGAAAAGACGGCTGCTTCACTAGAGACAGATCCTGATCTGGTGCGAGGGTTGAGCGGAGAAGTCGTCAGAGTCCTGAAAAGAATCGACGAGCAGCAGACCAGAAAGGAACTGCAGCGGCTCTACGATCAGGGGTACCGCTCTATTGCCGTTTGCCTCGTGCATTCGTACACCTTTCAGGACCATGAGCTCGCCATCCAGAGGATTGCAAGGGAGATTGGCTTCCCGCAGGTTTCGCTTTCAAGCCAGCTGCTTCCCATGATCAAGGTCAGCTCCTATTTTGCCATGCATCCTTCCACAGACTGACCTTGCCAAGATGACTTCTCGCGGAATTTCATGCACCGCCGACGCCTACCTCACTCCAGTCATCAAGCGCTACGTCGAAGGCTTCCGGGAAGGCTTCTCCGACGGCCTACAGTCTCAGAAGTCGCGCTGCGAATTCATGCAAAGTGACGGTGGCCTCGTCAGCTTCGAAAAGTTCTCCGGCCTCCGAGCAATCCTGTCCGGACCCGCTGGCGGCGTCGTCGGCCATGCACGCACATCCTTCGACCCGGCCGATCCTACGCCAGTAATCGGCTTCGATATGGGCGGCACTTCGACCGACGTCTCCCGGTACGACGGTAACCTTGAGCATGTCTTTGAAAACACCACGGCAGGCGTGACGATAATGGCCCCACAGCTGGACATCAACACTGTTGCTGCAGGCGGTGGGTCTATTTTGTTCTGGCGACACGGCCTTTTCGTCGTCGGTCCCGACAGCGCCGGCGCGCATCCTGGACCCGCTTGCTACAGGAAAGGGGGACCGCTCACAGTCACCGATGCCAACCTGTTCCTGGGCCGCCTGCTCCCCGAGTATTTCCCCAAGATCTTTGGCCCGAACGAGAACGAATCTCTGGATGTAGAAACCACGCGGAACAAGTTCGCCGAGCTGGCAGCGCAGATCAACCAGGAAACGGGGCAGAACAAGTCCGCAAAGGACATTGCTCTTGGCTTCATCGAGGTGGCGAATGAATCAATGGCAAAGCCCATCCGAGCACTGTCCGAAGGCCGAGGATTCGACACATCCGCTCACAATCTGGCTTGCTTTGGTGGCGCTGGTGGCCAACACGCCTGTGCCATTGCTGCGTCACTGAACATCCATACTGTCATCATTCACCGTTACTCATCCATCCTTTCGGCTTATGGTATGGCATTGGCGGATATCGTACACGAAGCACAAGAGCCATGTTCGGGAGTGTTTGATGAGGCTGCCATGACGACCATCAGGGAGCGCATTGCAACACTGAAGAAGGTACAACACCTGCACCTCCCCATTGCACGACAGGGCCAGCTAACATTCGAACAGAAAGTAACCGCGGAGCTCATCGGCGATGCAATCTCCCCAGACAAGATCACCCATGAGGTTTTTCTGAATCTCAGGTATAAAGGCACCGACAATCTGCTCATGATCCTCGAGCCCGCCTCGGGCGATTTCGCTTCGGAATTCCGGACCCAGCATAGGCGGGAGTTCAGTTTCAACATACCCAGCCGAGCCATTCTCTGTGAGGACATACGCGTTCGGGGCATCGGAAAATCATTGTCTATTCCCGTAGAAGCGCCACAGGCAGAGCTCAAATCCACAAAGGCGACTCTCATCAGCAACGACAAGCAGGATGACGAGACGACCGTGTACTTCGCCAACGGTGGCGACCGTAAGACACCCGTCTTCTTCCTGCGCAGCCTCACTGCCGGCAGTCAAATTCCCGGACCCGCAATGATCATCGACGCCACACAGACCATTGTTGTCGAGCCAGCAGCCACAGCAACAATTCTCTCCAAGCATGTCGTGCTCCACGTCCCCTCGACAGGCAAGAAGGACAGCGAGGCTGCCGATGCCATTGATCCGGTCAGGCTGTCCATCTTTGGCCACAGATTCATGTCTATTGCGGAACAAATGGGATATACCTTCCAGAAAACGTCCGTCTCGACCAACATCAAGGAGCGGCTGGACTTCTCTTGTGCTCTCTTTTCGCCAGACGGCAAGCTTGTGGCCAATGCACCACACGTCCCAGTACACCTGGGCTCCATGGAATATGCCGTCCGCTACCAACACGAGCAGATGGGCCCGTCTCTCAAGCCTGGAGACGTCATTTGCAGCAACCACCCCCTGGCTGGCGGCACCCACCTGCCAGACATCACCATCATCACGCCAATCTGGGACGACGCTGGCAAGGACATCATCTTCTACGTAGCCTCCCGCGGCCACCACGCCGAGATCGGCGGCACCCACCCCGGCTCGATGCCCAGCGACAGCAAGATGCTGTACGAAGAAGGCGCGCAGACCATGGGCTTCAGAATCGTCAGCAACGGCATCTTCGACGAAGACCGCGTCCGCCAGTTCCTCGTCGACGAGCCGGCCACGTATCCCGGCTGCAGCAGCACCCGCACCTACAACGACAACGTGTCGGACCTGAAAGCCGCCATCTCGGCCAACCAACGCGGCGCCTCCCTCATCGCCGCCCTCGTCGCCGAATACAGCCTCGCCGAGGTCCACAAATACATGCGCGGCATCGCCACCACCTCCGAAGCCGCCATCCGGCACTACCTCCGCACCCTCGCCGCCTCGCGCGGCCCCTCCGCCGGCGCCGCCCCCCTCACCTTCACCGACCACATGGACGACGGCACGCCCATCGCCCTCGCCATCGCCATCGACCCCTCCACCGGCTCCGCCACCTTCGACTTCACCGGCACCGGCCGCGAGACCTTCAACTGCCTCAACGCCCCCATCGCCATCGCCCACTCGGCCATCATCTACGCCCTCCGCTGCCTCCTCGGCGTCGCCATCCCCCTCAACCAAGGGTGCCTCGCGCCCATCACCGTCATCATCCCCCCCAACACTCTCCTCAACCCCTCGCCGCACGCCGCCGTCTGCGCCGGCAACCCCGTCACCAGCCAGCGCATCACCGACGTCGTGCTCGGCGCGTTCGGCGCCTGCGCCGCCAGCCAGGGGTGCTGCAACATCCTGTCGTTCGGCATGGGCGGGCGCGACGCCGCGACGGGCGAGGTTGCGCCCGGTTTCGGCGTCGGCGAGACGATTTGCGGCGGCAGCGGCGCGGGGCCCGGGTGGAAAGGGGAGAGCGGCGTGCATGTGCATATGACGAACACGCGGATCACGGACGCGGAGGTGTTGGAGTTGCGGTATCCGGTCGTGTTGAGGCGGTTTGGGCTGCGGAGGGGGTCGGGGGGAAAGGGGGAGTGGGACGGCGGCGATGGGGTGGTGAGGGAGATTGAGTTTCGGGTGAGGGTGAGCGCGAGTATGTTGAGTGAGAGGAGGGTGTTCAGGCCGTATGGGATGGCGGGGGGTGGGCCGGGGGAGGCGGGGTTGAATTTGTATGTCAGGAAGGAAAGCGGGGCGGATGGGGTGGTGAGGGAGAGGGTGGTGAATATTGGCGGGAAGATGGAGCTGGATGTCCAGCCGGGAGAGCGGATTGTGATCCATACGTGAGTACCTCCTCCACTCCTTTTTCCTTTCCGGCCATGACGGTCGGTTCTGTTGCGGAAGTCTGACGGATGTTTATGATACAGCCCTGGAGGCGGCGCGTGGGGTAAACCGGTGGACAAGCCGTCGACGGCCGTCACCGTAGCCTGAGCGTCCGTCGTCAAGCTGACGGCCGCACCAACGAAGAAGCCTGCGCCACGCCGTTAGCCAAGCCGGAAAAAGGTGCAGAAGGTGTAAATGTCAGCCTTTGTTCTCACGCCGGTCCACACGAATTCCACTACCCAATGACGATCGCCGCGATGATAGAGATATGAATTAATGCAGCTAAACCTCAACCGCTAAAATATCCCAGCACGGTGGGGGCAGGCGTCGGGGATATGATTGGGGAGAAGACGGGGATTGAGGACGAGGCGGATGCTGCTATGTATAATGTATGTCTCACCTTACTGGTGTCCGATTTTCGGCTCCCCAACAAGCTTCTCGCTGGGGTAATAGGATGTTCTTAATCTCTGTGAGCATTTTGCATGATGTATTGAGCTACGACACAAGTTGAGAGTTGGCGGCTGGTTAAATAGAATGGACAAAAGTGTTTGTGAGGATTGTGAAGTCTGATTTAATTAAAAATGAATTTTTTTGGTGTTGGTTAATTTTGGTAAAAGCGCGTTTTTACAGTTGTTACTAAATGTGTTGATTAATAATTACGTGGAACGTCTTTACAGCAAATCGACTACTTTTAAGTTAGTCATAATTAATATTTCTTGTCGCAAAAGACCTCCAAGCTTGATAAGAGACGGGAAGAGGGTGTTAGTCGATAGCTGTTGGTTGAAGCTTTGCGGCGACGGGGACGGGTGTAGTGGTTCGTGCTGATTCGTTTTGGTTTATACGGCACTCTTTTGCAGCCAGCGGCTTGCGCGAAGATCACGAATTGTGTAGACCGTAGTGACGTAATAGGTCAAGTAAAACGGGAAACCTGGTCGTATCTTAGGGTTGCGATAGGTTAAAGTCGCATTTACCCGGAGAAAAAGCAAGTTGATGCTAGCCGTCGGCCCCAAATGGAACCGTAAGATAAAAGCTGCGGAGAAGCCTCGCGAGGCTGCGGTCTCTTCGTTCTTCCAGACACTTCGTTCCTCAGGGTAGGTCCAGTCCATCCTGCCTTTTGGAAGCTTATCGTCACTCTCCGCTTTTCCGAGGAAAACCATGGACGTTCAATCAAATACTGTCACACTCACGGCAGAATGCCTCTGCAAAGCGCACACGTTCAGCACCAAAGTCTCCTCGTCCAAGCTCCCGCTGGAAGCTGATGTCTGCCACTGCGATTCCTGCCGTCATTCCACTGGCGCACTGTATGCGGTCAGAACAACTTGGCCTCAGCCGCGCGAGGAGGTCGACATCAGCGGGCTCGAGCGATACCAATTTTCTGCAGACATCACGCATCTGTCCTGCGGGAAATGCTCGACGTTGATGTTCTACGAGTCGCGCAAGTACTCCGGCAAGCTCGGGACCTTTTCCGGCCCATTGAAGACCATGGAAGCCCATCCCATCAGACTCGCCAGGCACATCTGGGTCGAGGACACTGTCGATGGCGGAGCTTCTGTCTGGCTCAGAAGGCCAAACGCTGATGGCAAAGAGATTCCGCGGTACCGAGGGCGTGATGGAGAGATCTCGTGGGACTGGCCTCAGGCATCAACAGGACGGGAAGAAAAGCAGGGACAAAAGTTCATCCCTGTTCGGTGTCACTGCAAAGGCATCAATATATGCATGCATCGTGGAAACTATGACGGCAAAAAGAGAGAAGATCTTCCGTGGTTCATCGACCCAAGGACGGACAAGCCGGTGGCCGATTTCGACGTGTGCGATTCTTGCCGTCTGCACTTCGGAAACGAAATCGTTCACTGGACATTCGTAGACTTGACCAACATATCCACAGCCGGTGGCACTGCGTTCCCAAAGACGACCGCGGAGCTCAAGGCAGCAGTGGATGCGGGTGACCACGTAGTCGGAACACTGGCCTACTATCAGTCGTCACCAGATGTACAGAGATACTTCTGCAAAGTTTGCTCTTCATCGGCATTCTATGCTTGTGACGATAGACCGGAAACTGTGGACCTGGCCGTCGGCCTGCTGGACGCACCGGACGGAGCCAGGGCGGAGGGTTTCTTGTCTTGGCTTTATGGGGACAGGCCGGCTTGGGTGGACGATAATAAAGGAGGTTGGCGAGAAGGACTGGTGAAGAGAGCACAGGCCGAAGCAGAGGAGTTTAGGATCACGAGAGAATACCCAAAGAGTTGGAGGAGGCTTGAGCAGGAGGCGGAGGAAGAATCATCTTGAACAACTCCACGCACCCGAGGACGGGTTCAAGAAAGTACCTTTATTGCGCAACCAGAGTTCATCTCTATCGTAACTGAACAGTCGTCACTATCATAAAACGCAATAATTAAATTTTAATGCCAAAGCCATTGGCACCAGCACGGAACACTTACGGGTACAGCTATTCTATTTTGGGTAACCCTTTAACATCTCGCTCACATGCGGCTCATTCCTATCTTCATCTTTTCCAGGCCAGAGCACCATCTTCTTAGCAACGGCTCTAACCTGAGCGACAGCAATAAACAGCCACATAGCCACCAACGCTACAGTCATCCCACTGGCAACCCACAATATACCCTCGCTATCCAACTCCTTCCCCACCTCAACCGTGGCGATGGTAAAGCCCACATTGGGAAACACATATGCCCACCACATCGGCGTCCAACGCACCCTCGGCACCACCATCAGACACGCTCCCAGCGCCAGGCCGAAGAACCAAAAAGCCAGACTCCACAGGAACACGGCGGCCCAGGTAGCCAGCACGAGCAGCATGTCCCGCGCGCCGGGATGCGCGACGGCGAAGTAGTGGTGGGCGGCGGGCAGGGCGTTGGCGTTGGCGACGAGGGCCAGGGCGGTGAAGCTGGGCGGGCCGACCATCATGAACATGGCGGCGCGCTCGCCGGGCGGGAGCAGGCCGGCGTGCAGCAGGCGGAGCAGGAAGAGGGCCATGACGGCGGTGTAGACGGTCCAGCCGAGGCCTTGGAAGGACACGCCGGCGACGATCATGGCGAGGGCGTGCGTCGGCGACGACTGGTGCGGCGCGAGCAGGCCGGAGAGCGTGCCGCAGAGCATGACGGGGAAGACGGGGAGGATCCAGCTGGGGGCGGCGGTGGAGGGGCCGCACTTGGTGTGGACCGAGGGTGTGGAGAAGAGAACGAGGTAGAGGACGACGGCGACGAGGATGGTGCAGGCTGCGTAGGTCCAGAAGACGACGCGGAGTGCCGTCTCGAGCCAGGGCCCTGTCGCCGGGGTGCCGTAGACCTGCGTGTTGCTGATGATGGTGGATATGCTCAGCCAGAATGTTGGGAAGAAGAAGGCTTCGGTGGCGTCCGTCAAGGAGGCCTTCAGGGCGCGGGGGCAGAGCACGAAACGCGTGACGATAGACAGTACCAGGGTGACGAAGAGCACGAGGTCAAGGATGAAGACGATCTTGCCGATCGTTCGGAGGCCAGCGAATTGGTGTGGCGTCTGCCCTAGAGCCAGGGCCAACCCTCCCGTGCTCATCGTTGTCGTGAACCATGCCCAGGTCAGATGCTGGATGCGATCCCTGATGCCGAGCTTTCCGTGCGCTGGCGAATGTGATTGCTGCTCTTTATCGTCAGACTTCTTACCATGCGGCAGCGAGTCGATACTGGGATTTCGTGAGGTGTGCGCCCGGTGTGGGGTAGGACATTGCGAGTGGTCCCAGCCTGTCGTCAACGCGGCGCTCGTTGGGACGTCGCACTCGTTTGTGTATCCGAATTCCTGGGGATCGTTGGGCAAACTCCCAAGTCCAGGCTGATGGTACCCTGGTTGGCGATCTGTCATAATGCTGCGCCTCTACTTCCCGATGAGACGGTAACGATGCCGAGAGTAATCATAACGTGGAGCGCTGCGGTTTGTGAAAGAAGGACACGAGATAGCGGTCCAGACGTCACGCAGTGGGGCTGAACGAAAACCTTGGTATCTGTGGGGCTTTAATCAGCCGTTGTGACGCAAGGCACGTTGGTAGGTATCCGAGTCCTTCCGAGCCGCTGCCGTCGGCCCGCACCGGGAGTTCAACGGAAAGTCCCCCGACGCACTGGTGATCTGTTGGACGGTGATCACAGCTGGGCACAGGAAGAAGCTTGTCGACTAGATGTCTCATTATACGCTGCTCCTACGAGCGGTTTATATAGGTAAACGAACGTTGCTAAAGACGACCTGGTTGGACTGATGATAACGATCATGCTCAAAGTTATTGAATATACGTTGTCCAATATGATCACATCACACTAATCCTGTTTGCCAAATGCTTATGCATTTCCTACACGTCAAACCTACATCGCCAAAGGAAAGGAAAAAGACGGCATCACATCGGAGAAGTGCTTCTAAAAAAAGGTTCCTCTTGTACCTGTCAGAGACGCTATTGGGAGCTTTCTTCACTGCCCAGAAGAAGGCACGAGGAATCTACAGCTGGTCACTAAAAATGACATGCAGAAACAACGGCCGGGACCGCGCGAACATACCCCTGCACAGCCACAAATAACGAGGTGGTACTATGCGGCGACTGCTAGACGTTAGGTCACTATGCCGCTGTAAGTTATTTCTAACCCCCGTCCCTGCAACAGTACAGTGCTCCTTGGAATTACCATAACCAGCCAACAAAACCGGGGAATCCCGGCCGACACCGCATCCCTCTGGTGCTACGGACTTGGAGGAGTGCACCTTTGGGCCATCACTGCCCTTGCATTGATGAGCAGAATGAGAGGGATAACAATGTAGAAATCGAGGAACTGGATGTGGGACAATCATGGAGATTTACTGGCTATGGTGGGGGCTACAAGTCTAATCCTAAAGTGGAGGAATCTACTATTGTCGAGGGCTCCCGCTCGAGGCAATGGATGGGCTGGTGAGGCAAAAACCACGAGGACCGGGGGCGGCGCCAATCGCTGGCTGAAGAGATTTTTAGTACATACGGATCTTCGAAGTGATCGAATCAGATCTTTTCAGCCCCCACTGACGTCCGCTTATGGCTTTGTTTGCCCCACTGACGGCGGCGCTTATATACAAAAACACATCTGACGAAGCCCATTTCCAAATACAAACCACGTCGTCCCAACACACTTACTTCCGCTGGCTGAACCACCTCTTCCCATGGCCGATGCACTGTTGCTTGCAAACACGGTGGTCTCTCAGAGCCATCCGCAAACTGCTCGTATACCGACCATCTTGCGAGCAACCCTCGACTCCGAACACATCCATCAGCTGGAACGGAATGCCTCATCACACCAATAATATGACGACGATTTCACATTGGTTACAAGCGAGGCTGGCATTGATCCACCGACACTGCTTTGCACGCCCTGCAAGCGGTTAATGCAGAACCCACCGAAGCTCAGCGATCGGACCAGACCAGTATCCTGGGTTCCGTTCCACTCGACCATCTTTCAACTTATCGACTGCTGCCACAGCTCCAAGGGGAAATGCCGACTTTTCCAACTGTTTTGGCATGGCCTCAAAAAAAAAATCAGCCTCGGGCGGGAGTTCGGCAAAAACATCAGCATTGGTTGGCACAAAATCTCCCTGGAAGCGGGTTTCGTACACTTATGCTCCAAGTTCTACAGGCTCTTGCTCAACTTTTTTGTGCTTTTCGAAAGCGGGTCCTCCCAAGAGTTCGGCCTCGAAATCATGATGGACGACCCGAAGGATCCGGTCAATATGCAGTTAGGTTCCATGATGTCGGATAGCACTCGCTCAGACGAGACTTTCGCTCAAATCCGCCGTTGGATGGAAATCTGCGTCAGCCAAGATGTAGAATGTAAGCCGGATCCAAAATCAAGTAGCGACCTCCCTACAAGACTGGTCCGCATCGCAGATGCAGGCAGCCGGTTTACCCTTATCGTCGACACCCAAGAAGGAACCGAGTACGTGGCTCTCAGCTACCGTTGGGGGAGCAGTGAGCAAAACTACATGTTGACGGAAAGTACGGTGTCAGAGATGACGGGGGGCTGTCCGACATCGGTTCTTCCCAAGACTCTCCAAGATGCCTGCTCCATCACGCAGCGTCTGGGGTTTGACTACCTATGGGTCGACCGGCTGTGTATATTCCAAGATTCACGCGCTGATTGGATCCACGAGTCGTCGAGAATGGCAGAAGTCTACAAGAACGCATTCTGTACAATTTCCGCAAGCTGCGCCGCAACGGATGACGATGGCTGCTACCGGACGCGGAATGCCCTCGGAATCCAGCCTTGGCATCTTCTGTCCAATCCCTTCTTAAAGGAAAACATCACTATCCAGACCCATGGAACCGATCGACTTCATCGAAACGGCATGCTGGGCCATTTGGCGAACCGTGGGTGGGTGTTTCAAGAGAAGATCCTATCAAGACGCCTCATTCATTTTGGGGGAGAGCAGGTGTCGTGGCAATGTATGAAGTTTGAGGGAAACGAATCATGGCCCTTATTAAAAGGGGTGAACACTTCGCCGTACATCCGGAGTTTGCATGCACGCAATCCATATTGGCAGTCTGAGATTCTAACCATCGTCTCTGGATGGAACTTGTCGAGAATTACTCGAAGAGACGCCTCACATATGAAGCGGACAAATTGCCTGCGTTATCTGGCGTGGCCCGCGAAATGCAGACGATGATGCAAGACGAGTACCTTGCCGGGCTCTGGCGCAAAGATATCGTGGAAGGGCTTTGCTGGTCATCTTCACCCGAAACCCCAGCATCTCCGTCTCGCTATCGCGCGCCGTCTTGGTCTTGGGCGAGCCTAGACACTGAAATAGAGTATTATTTTGGCGGCGACGTTGACGGAAGTTATCTGGTCGACTTCAAAGACGCTGCCGTGGCCTTGGCCGATACCAATCCTTTTGGAGAGGTACGCGACGGATGGCTCCTCCTGTCTGGACATCTCAAAGCCGTGAGGCTCGTAGAGGGCGACCCGAAATGCGAAGGGTCACCACCCCTACTGGAAGTTTCAGATGGCAGCATCGAGAAACTCTGCGACGTCACTTACGCCGAATTAGTCGTCGATATATCCTCATTGGATGGTGAAAAAGTCCAGGCTCACTGCTTGCCCATTTTACACACAATGCTATGCCATGGTGTAATATGCCTGCTTCTGGCGCCGGAGGGTACTGTCGCTCTACCCCAAAGCAGCAAGCTGTTGCCTAGTCCGGAGCCAAATCACACGGTCGAGTACCAGAGGATCGGTCTGGCAAGATTTCGTGGCGTGCACGACAAAGACAAGTTCTTATCCTGGCTCTCAGCGAGTCCGAAGCAGAGCATCTCCATTAGATGAGCGAGCCATCCAAAGCCGACACGACACACTGGCTAGCGCCGAGGCTCTTTTTGCTCCTTCTACCCCTTCTTCGCTGAGCTACGTAGACGGTAGGGGGCACTAGTGTTCTGACCTCGGCATCTACCATATCCACCTCATGCCTGTCTGGGTCGTAACAGTCGGTGGAAATCGTAACATTATCTATTAATTAGATACTTCCCGCTGCCCGCTCGAGCACCTCAACAACCTGTAAACGAAACACTTGCTGCAGTTTCAAGTCCTCCTTACTATCCTCCGTCACACCAAAGTCGCCGCGCAGGCAGTCAAGGACGGCCTTTCTATACTTCGGGCCTGTCTTCTGGCCCAGGTACTTCTCCGCGCGCCGAACAAGCAATTGATGAATAGTAAGCGGATCACGAGTTCGGCGTAGCTGATCTTTGCAAATCGTAATGGCAGGTTGCCAGAGGCCTGGACAGTGGGAATCGTCAGCTCGAGTGTCCAAAACCAGGTGTATTGACTACTGTTGGCCTCACCAATCTCTAGCAGCACGACTCCGAGGGCATAGATATCATGAAGCTTGTTAAATGGCACTGCGGGCTTTCCTTGGCGATCTGGATGGCGGTAGATTTCGCGCTCGATGCAACTGTCCTCTTCTCCGTTCGAGAAGAATGTTTCTGGTCTGCTGAATTCAAAGCCGAGAAGCCAAGGCTGAGACCAGTCCAGTCTTGATGGGATTCCATCCTTGCAGGAATCGCCGCTCTGCTCTTGATCGGGGAAGAACAGAATGTTGTCGCTTCGGAAACTTTCATGCACCTGCCACAGTCAACGATCATCTTGGAACTACTCGCTCTAGGATCTCACCCATTTAACCAACTGTAGCTGGGAAACACATCGTGCAAGATGATAAGCTAAATGAAACTTTTCACCGAGGTCTGGCTTTGGGAAGTCCTTCAGTGAAAGCGCCCGAAGCAAACTTAGAGGCCTTTTGTTGGTGTTTTGAGGGAGGTCAAAGACAAAGCCGACCTGGTTTTTCAGCTGGTCACTTACCCAGCCTCGACAAGACGGGGTCCTGAATATGGTCTCTTTGGGCTGATGCAAGAGTCTTGCAAGTTTTTCAACAAGTGCTCTGGTGCGAGAATCCAGCGGGGTGAACATGGTTGCTTCGGGTGCATATGAACGATACTCGACCAGCAGAGCTTCTCCATTCCACTCCAGAACGGCGAACTTATCCTCTACCGGGTGTGTCCTCTGTATTTCTTGCACCAAGTCGGCGTCACGCAGCTCGAGGTCTGCTTCTGCAGAGCTCGCAGCTGTAGCGGAGAGCTGTAGCCGGGCGTCCATGTCAAACCCAATCTCTCGGGCGTACACATCGCTTTCGAGCCGTCTGAGATGTTGAAGATCGACTCCGATAGATGTTCCTAGGCACCACAGCTTCACGTTCTCGTGTATCCGACCGTTGAGTTCACCGAAGTTTTCGATGATGGCCTCGATGCGCTTTCGGTCCATCAGGGTCCATCTCCAACGCTGCAGAGACTTGTGCCGAGATAGACTCAGACTGGAAGTCGAGCGTGTCTGGGACGGCGGTGCATTGGGCGAAGGTGTAGTTGCAGCGGCCGCCTGGCGACGGGAGAGTAGCTGGAAAGCCTCATCAACTACACCCAAGAGTTGTTCAAACATGATCTGGATTTGATTCTGAACTCCATCATCGAACCGCTCGAAGAGAGTGTTGTTCTCATATATCTACAGGGCGCCTGTCAATGCCGCTGACATGTGTATGCAAAGCTGTAATCGCTTACCGGAAGAGGCTGAAACAGCAAACAACGCAGGGTACGCGTTCGATTGTTCTCGTCGTTGATCTTGCTTTCGAGTTTTTGAGTGTCCTGCGTTAAACATGAGATCTGCCCATGTCCGATTGAGGGGAGGGTTTGTTTACGCATCGTAAGCAGTTGGGTGGACACTTACACTGTCAAACTCGCGGAAGTCAGCGATAAGGTCGGAGGTGGCCCGTCCAATCCTCCACAGCTGATCCAAGACTGCAATGGTGAGAGCCGGGATGCCCAGCGGATCGACCATGTTGGTGGAAGGGCTGGAAGCAATGGACGACACGGCTCGCACTGCAGAGCGGCGGCTATTTATCATGACGTGGCGCCCGAGCGTGGGGGCTGAGCATTATCTAGCGCCGCGAGCTGAGCATACGCCCCGCGCAAGGCTGAGACAGAGGCGCATCACAAGGCAGATGGCAAGGCTCGAAACCAGCAGCTTAATACGGCTCGCCCCGCAGCATCTCGCCCGCCCTTCTCCATCGCGTTTCTTGCATTGCAGTAATGGCGAGTGCCCACAGCGATCCAACGTGTTCGGTGAGCTGGATATTCCTCGTGCATCGCATCCTCCAAAACGTGCTCATGAGCAGCAGGAAACCTCAGCCCAGTACAGTTGGATCACTCGTCACTCGCGAACGCATACCTCTTCAATTTCCGCTGCCTGCTTCAACTTCTCGGTCGGCCCCCACGGTCAGGGGGTTGGCGACATCTCAACCACGTTGCGGGAGCTGCGGCTGAGGCACTGCCCCGCAAATGCCTTGGAACACCAGCAGCGTGTGGGCGAAGGCGAAACATTCATCGTTGAGCGGTGTAGCATGGGCCAGGACGTCGTCGCTGTGAAGCACTTGAAGCTGGATCAGACCACCTCTGACCCGCGCAATTTTCAGCGTCGGCTCGAATCCGTGCTATTGGAACTTCGAATAATGCGGCACTCTCCGCTGCGAGACCATCCAAACATTCTCAACCTCGTCGCGTATGGGTACAACACCCATCGCGTCCAACTTCTCCCTTACATTGTTGTCGAATATAGCCCCTACGGTACTATCCGTGACTACCTAGAGTCGCACCCCGAAGTATATCGCAGCTCCAAGGAGATCCTCCTCGGTGATGTTGCTGCTTGGTTGCAAGTACTGCATACCTCGCAAATCGTCCACGGCGACGTCAAAGCAGAGCATGTCCTCATTTTCCCCTCTTTGGATCGGCCATGCGCAGCCATAGCCAAGCTCTGCGACTTCGGCCACTCATTGCTTCTCCAGAGCGCACTGCCAAATGGAAAGCATCTGCAGTACAAGGGAACAGATATGTATTTCGCTCACTTCAACTGTTTCAGGAGAGCGACATTTCAGATTGACCGGATTTTAGCTACAATGCCCCAGAAGTCCAGAAACAGCCGACTGGGCCTATTGAACGTCACTACCTTCTCAAATGCGATGTTTGGGCTTTCGGTCTCCTCGCTTTGGAGGTCTTCCTCCATGGAAAGCGCTATGATATACACTTTTCATTGCCGTCGATGCCGAAAGAATCGACAGAGCAAGACGAATGGTTCAACAATCTGCTTGCAATCGCCCAGCGCTCACCAGAGATTTCTGGACGCAATCTTGAATGGGCTCTGATCCGCCTTCTGCTCGCAAAGACCCTGAAGCTTGATCCTGACGACCGCGTCTCGAGCCTGACTACTCTGCATATTATGAAGAACTGGCAGTGAGTGAACACCTTGAGCGAGGGATGCCTTCTGCTAGGCTGGTGCGAGCCGAACTGGACTTGCAGGTATCCAAGCAGACCTCGCGTTGCACACTGGATCCGCCGAGTGGTCTTATACTATACGTCGCAACGCCGAACCGGCCTGATGGTGGAAGATGGTCTAATAACCCCAGATATTCAACTTCGATCGAGAAACGGAGGTTCCCTGGGATCACCAAAAGCATATCGTCTTGGGATTTCAGAATTGCTACGACTCGGCTTCAAGCAACACGACCCTGGCAGCCACATGTGCATGGCAGCTGGCCATGTGCTGCACACTGGGATTCGGGACTTCTCGTGATCCTACGGCGGCCGCCCTGTGGACCCAAAGGGCCGCCACAGCGGGACACTCTGTTGCAAACTTCTTCCTTTCTACTCTCTCAAGCACTATCAAAGGGTCAATATCCTGTCATCCGTACCTCGTCTTCCTCAAAGACTCTTTTCGCGCTGTCGCCGAGTCAGACACCGAGGCTCACCCCGACGACGCTTTGTGTAGAGCCTGCCGGACAGGCTGTACATCTTTGGTCGTCAACGCCTTGGCTCGAGGTGCAAATCCAACCCGTCCCTTCCCGGACGGAACCAACATCCTACACTGGTTGTTCATGTTCGACTCCAAATGCAACGAATGGGAAGAACTGGAATCGCAGCTCATGAAGTGGAAGGAAAAGCTTCCTCTAAATCAGGCTTGCCCTTCGATCCACACTGTCCACAAGCAATGGCCCTTGGAACTGACTGGAAGCCCTCTCACCGTCTCCGTTTCTGTCCATGACGTACAAAGTATGCGGTTTCTGCTGCTCCTTGGCGCCAATCCCTTAGCAAGAGCGTACAACACCAACGATTCAAGCGGTCGTCATCGAGCTCAACGAAATTGGACGCCTCTACACGTGGCCGTCAAATACCACAACGCGTCCATGCTTCGTCAACTCTTGGCCGTGGCCAAGACAGTCGGTGTGCCTGATAACCTCTCGTGTGCGTTGAGTTTTTCAAGCCCTCTAGAGAGAAGAGCGCTGCACCTCAGCGGTGAGAAGGAAAACCTTCGCGAAACAATAGAACTCCTTAGCAAAGCCTCAAGTTTGAATATCGCAAGCTCAGAAAGCATGACTCCACTCATGCAAGCGATAGACTTCGATGACTTGCCAGTAGTCGAAGCCATCTTAGAGCACGATCCGTCCCTAGCCATGCTCCCAAACGTCAATCCTCAGAACGCAGAAGAGCTCGATTATCCCATCATCTTCGCGGCTCAAGCGGCAGCTAGACGAGATATCCCAGAGAGCACCGCCATCATGCAGCATCTTCACTCTCTGAATCCAGACGTGCTCCATCTGCGCGATAGTCTGGGTCGAACTTGTCTACATATGGCAGTGACCGGATCATCATTGTACTCTGCAGAGTTCATTCTAGAGAAAAGCCCACATTTGCTACGTGCGAAAGACAAGTTCAAGAGGTCTCCACTTTTCTACTGTACTTCAGAAACAGTCTGTGACTTTCTCACCCGCAAAGGCGTCGAAGTCAACGCTGTCGATCAAACGGGAATGTCGGCGGTGCATTTCGCCATCCAGGAGGGGCGCATCGCAATTGTGGGAGCTTTGAGCAGGCATCGAGGGGTAGACTTGAATCTCAAGTCAAACAACGCGTGGACACCTCTACATCTGGCAGTCTGGAAGAAGAGCAGGGAGATGGTATTGTCCCTACTGACCGGAGGCGCAAAAACCGATGCAGTAGATCGCTTCGGACATACGCCTCTGGATATAGCTGCCCGTGAAGGATCAAGGCACATGACCAGCATTCTACTGGAATCCGGTGCCCCAGAGGGCATTACCAACAATCTCGGCGAGACCCCCTTCTACAGCGCTCTTCGGCACGGCAACTTCTCTTCACTGCAGGCCTTCATTACGTCCGGTCGTTTTCCGCTCGCCAATGTACCTTTGGATGACGAAGGGAACACCTCGATCCATCTTTGCGCTCGGTTTGGCAACGACGAGATGATGGAATTTCTTCTTGAGAAGACATTACCGGCGAAGGCTAAGATCAGCTCACTATTGAACTTCACCTTCCAAACGCCGCTTCACATCGCCGCCATGTATTCAAACGCCGACATATGCACCACTCTCCTGAGAAACTGTCTTGACATCCAAGACAGGCTGTGTCTCGCACGGGCAAAGGATCTCGAAATGAACTCTGCCGTTCACTACGCCATCAGAGGGGTCCAAAGCGGCCTGGTACCTCCAGTGGGAGAATGTTTGCAGATCCTGCGTCTACTAAAAGCCCAAAACACCCTTTTTTTCGAGCCAAACAATCTCCAAGAAACCCCATGGGACCTCGCTCTAAGCACAGGCTATTGGCGCAATGCTCACTTGGATATTCTTGCCTATTTACTCAGCCATTGGGGTTTGAAATGCTGTCGATATCTGTTCGACAGCACCGGAAACCCTCGTGGGAATGAGCTTTTTGCTGCAGCTTGGGATAAGAAGGACGTTTCCTTCGCCCGAGACCTGATCAGGAGCAGCTGTGTCAGCCTGGATGTCATTCCAAGAGAATTGCATCCAACGGACGATGACCCTGAGTCACCACGGGAACTTATCGTGGAAGCACTAATAGCGCGGGACAGCCGGAAAGAGGTTCTCAGGAAAACAACGATTGTTGTAACAAGCAATTATTGAAACTGTTGAATGTGTGGAGTATATCTGGAGAGGGTTCGGAAAGTGTGCGGTACCCTGTAGTGAATTGGTGGTCTTGCCACTTGATCCTGTGTCTATAGCAGTTGTGGACTGCAGCGTTTTGAAACAGTTTCATAATCGGATGTAAGATATGTGGGTGGTCGGCTACGCATTGAGACTCAATAACTAGTATAGAAGCCATCAAAAACTCTCAGGGGCCTGCAATTTGAAGTGATGCTACGAGTTGTATACATCTACGACCCGTTATCTTTGTTTCTTTCCTTGAACATGAGCTCCGCAACAGGGTTTGGAATGATGTCTTGTGCCAGCTCAATGTTCCTCGAGTCGTGACCCGGTGCAAAGGCCCAGTCGTACTTCATCAGCATGTGGGCGAGGACAATCTTCAGCTCGTTCCCAGCAAAGAAGCGGCCGGGACACGCATGCGCTCCGTGGCCGAAGCCAATGTGGTCAGCGCTAGTGGTTACGTACTGCCACTTGTTCTCATTGCCTGGGATCTGACGCAATTTCAAGAACCGGTCCCCGATGAAGCGCTCGGGCTCGGGGAACACGGCCGGGTCCATCATTGTCTCGGTGGTCGTGACAGTGATCATATCACCCTTTCGGACATGGACGCCACCAGAAAGATCGACGTCGGCCTCCGCGATCCTCGTCATGATGGCTGCAGTGGGTCTCATGTTAGCGTTTTCCCATTCCACACGTGTTGCGTGCAACTCACTGAAGTGAACGGGATTCCGTCGCTGCGATTCCTTCAACACGCTGTCCATCAGCTTCATCTTATGAAGCGTCGTTTTCTTCCACCCCCCGTCCTCGGCCAACACTTGCTTGACCTCATCGCGTAGAGGCTGCACCCACTCCGGGTTATCGCAGAGATCGAAAATGGCACGTGTCAGCGCCATCGAGGTGGTGTGAATCGAGGCGAGTCCGAGGCCCAGCTGACCGCCCACGATGTCGAACTTCCTCCCAGACTTGTCCATGGCATCCTGCAGCCACTGGAGAGCATCCGTGTATTCCTTGGGTGGTCTTCCCGCCTTGGCGTCCTCCATCGCCTCGCGCTTCCTCTTGTCAACCACTGGCTGAATGATTTTCCTTGCCATCTTCTCGTGCTTGCAAATCTTACGACGCTCCGGAAGGAAAAACTGCGCTATCGGTTGGAGTATTGCCGGCCAGGACCGCAATGCGCGGATGAAGTCTATGCCGTCAATGGCGTACTGGCCCGAGACGTGTAGCCATTCCTCGTTGCGACAAATCTCATCGCCCAAGAAAACCAGAGCGGACAGTCGAGAAACAAGGCGGACGGCTGTCGGGTAGAAGACGATATTGTTCCAATCACCTTTGTTGGACGGGAAGTATTCGTCTATCGCCATAGCGGTCTCTTCTGAGAGACGAGCGGTGATTTTGCCTGTCAGAAAGTATCAGCAGATCAAGCCAGAGTATCAGGTACGGACAACAAATACCAAGTGATTGGGTCAGCTGCATCCTCGCGGTGCCGGCCATCACCTCAAGCCTATGTGCGCCGAACATGAACCCGGCCATCCCAGGCATAAGTGACGTTGCTGGAAGGGTACCAAAGGTCGACTGCGACGTAGACGATTAGTATCATTTCCTGGCTTTGATATTTCCGTCATACCTTTTCGACGTTCTTGGCAAAAGAAAGCTGCTTGTGGTTTTTGATTTCCTCCGTGTACCTTTTCGGCAGAACAATCACGGGACCAACAGGTGTGTAGACCTGGAATGCATTCCGAATCTGGCAGACAGGATATCGTCAACTGGAGAGGTATCGGGGGAAGCTGCTCTTTCTGGATACGTACCCTAGTCAGTCCCTCTTGGAGGATGGCTCTGGAAGATGTAGAGTAACGTTTCTGGGCTTCTGAAAATGTATCCCTTTTAGACATGCCAACGACCTCGTACGAGGGAATGATTTTATCATCTCGAGGCGCAAATTTGATGACATAGACTACCAGTAGCGTCAGTATAGTAACGGCAACTGAGCCAAGTAAGCCGGGGGGGCTTTGTGCTGTGGGGAGCCGCGAAGCCAAAGCTAGCCGCAGAGTGTCAGCCATGATGGATGGTGGTCGAGGTGAAGAGCTCCAAGGGCTGCTATGGATGCTCTTATATGTAAGCTACGAAGCGAGAACCCCCCATTTGGGTAGACTAAGACCAAGTTGAGGAAACTTTTGCGGTGTACATCTTGGCTGCATCGGACTGGTACCATCTCGGATAACGGAAGGATAACTACCCGTGCTCACAGGAGCTATCGCGAGCCATAATGTTGTAATAGGGGACGGCTTATTCTCGTTCCGAAAGCACGATGTTCTTAACACCTACTTATACTACCACAAAGATTGAAATGTTATCCCAGATGATATCGCAATAATGTTCTCTTCTCTTGCTGGCAGAACCTACATCGTCACCGGTGGTGCTTCTGGCATCGGCCTCGCAACGGTCAACAAGTTGCTCGGCCTCTCTGCAACCGTCCATGTCATTGACAGAGCTCGGGAGCCGCCCAAGATCACTGCCGGTGCCGGCAAGGTTCATACCTACCCAGACATCGACGTGAGCTCCCGCCAAGCCGTAGCCGACACCTTCAAGACCATCGTCGATTGCACCCCTACCATTTCCGGCCTCGTCAACGCCGCCGGCATCTCCCCTTCCGGAAACTACGACATGGCGGGCGAAGGCTACGCCATCGAGAAGGACGAGACGTACGCACGCATCATGGACATCAACGCGGGCGGGACGTGGAACGCGACGACCGAACTGCTGCGCCACACGCTCGCGAGCAAGAGAGCCGAGGGGGGCATGGTCAGCATCGTCAACATCGGGTCCCTGGCTTCGCTGCGGGGAATCCGCATGATGGCTGCATACTGTGCCAGCAAGCACGCCGTGCTTGGGATGACCAGGTCGTGGGCGCTAGAGTACGCGGATCAAGGCATCAGGGTCAACTTGATCGCTCCTGGGCTCATCAGGACGCCCCTCGGAATGAAAGCGGTGGGGTCTGAGGATGAGCGCACCAAGGTCGCACAGGCCTATGCGGACGGGATTCCTATGAAGCGGATTGGGGAACCGGATGATATAGCGGGACCCATTGTCTTTTTGCTTAGTGACGAGGCATCCTACATGACTGGCGAGGCGATTTTAGTGGGCGGAGGATTGTGAGGAAGTGAGAAATTTAGTCTGGGAGTGCGGCGGTACTTCGTTATTTTCAGGTCCCAATGGCATCCCTGTTACTCCGCATCTTGCGTCATGAACACGTATTGTGAAACATTGATGTGCCCCGGAGACACGGCACTACTGTTACCCGACGCACCAAAGGATATAGTAAATTGGCCCGCGCACCCGAAGCTCAGTCCCTTTCAAACATCGTTATAGTAACACCATGTAATAATAGGCTTCTAAAAAGTGAAAGTCTAAGAAGAGCATGTTAGACTAAGCTTTTTGAAATATCAAAGAATCCTAACAAAAACTTAGCGGTAAATCGCAGCGAGGGTGACCGACAAGCCGCCGAAAGTGGGACGTGGTTGTCCCTCAAGGCTTCGCCGTCCTTGTCACTGCAGTGAATCAATTCGGTAGCTCTCATTTCCAAGAACCTGCGTGAACATGGCTACAGGCCCGTGCAACAGTGAGAGATACGCAAAAGAGCAGCAGGATGACAGCACTTCCAAACAAGGTTTGTTCAACGGTCGTTTGACCCCCCATCAACAGCACGCTCCACATACCCAAATAAGTGGCAAATACGACGGCCATCAAGCATTTCGTCTCCACGTCTTCTTTATCCGCAGTGTTTATCTGCGGTGCGGTGCTACTGAAGGGTATGGGGCTCGCCAAAGGCCAGGGTAAGATGTTCTTTTGTGCTGGACCCGCCTCTTGGTCTCAAGGTGTAGGGAACGTGTTTGCAGTGATCTACACGTCAGACTAAACAAATGGTAGGGCATTTCACCTGTTTTGTCCTTCGCAAACACCTCGTATTTGCTTGTCGTCTTCCCTCTCTATTGTTGTGCACAAGCTGGACGTTGAAAATACCATTATCGTGTAACACCCCGATCCATGCGCTGCAGCCGCTGAAGGTGGCAATACTAGCATAACAGCCGTATGCCTGAGGTTCGAGAAAATCTTCCCGCTATGAAAGCAGCCACTGCGATTACGAACGCTTGGGTGAGAGCAAGCCGGAACCCCCTACTTCGTTCTGTCGAAATTCTCGCCCGCCCCACTTCCTGTCTTGGAAGGTTTTCATCGGGTGTTGGAGCTATCTGCTGAATCGTACAGTGCGCTGGGCCACAGATTCCTGCCAGTGATTCCGGTGGGACCAGGACAGGCTGCACTACGGAAAGGGCGAGAACCTGCCCGTCCTTGTCCAATGCCTCCACAAAGCCTGCAGACACATACTTTTGGCTTTCAAAGTGCGTCTCAAACCCGTTCTTTTCCACCTTTCCGAGCAAGCTGCGCGTCACCCTGTCTTCCTGCTGTCCTTCGGCAGAATATATTTTCCAGGCCACGACTTCAGTAGCCCCGTTCCAGCTCATGTAAAAATGGGCTGGTTCGCCCTTGGCCCGTGCATAAAGGTACAGGTCTGGTGAAGTATTCGGGAAAGCTTGCCATGGAGTTTTGACCACCCGGTAGACATGTGCTTCCACGTCGACGAAGGCTACATCCAAGATGCGGTCACCCTCAGGCGTGAATTCACTGAACTCGGCAACTTGGCCCCAGCTCACGAATGTGTTGCCATTCGGCAAAGTTTGCACTGTTCCTTGGTGGCGAGCCAGACCACCGTTAAGTGAGAGCCTTTCGTGTTCCAGTCGGGCGATAGCGGGCGAAGTGGAGTTATCAATCGTGATGAACATGGCTGCGGAGACGTTGCGGGTCTTGGTGATGCCATTCCAACCATTGTTGAAGAATGAGATGCGTAACTTGTTCCCTTCCTCTGAGAGGATCCGGGCATCATGTTGGGCCGAGAAGCTGAAGTCCGCAACCTGAATAGTAGAGTTTCGTCCGCCCATTCGCCAAAGGATTGAGCCATCCTTTCCCGAAATCCGGTAGATGCAATCTGTATGCCGCGCAGACACCAAGTAGTCTCCGTTCGAGAATTTGTCTACTGAGTTTATGTGGCTGCAAATTCTGTCAGGCGTTGATCGACAAGGGAATTTGCCTACTTACAAGTAATCAAACGCAACGAATGAAGACCGACCACCGCCTGCTTGGGAATCAGGGCTTATAGATGTCTCCAGCAGAGGCACATGATCCCAGGCTCTCCACTCGAAGAGCACTTCTCCGCTCTCCAGGTCTATTTCTTGGAAGACGCTGTCCAATATCCAACCGAGTCCTTGGGTGATGCCATAAGCGGAGAGAGCGCCTTGCACAGGCTGGAAGCTGACGATGATTGCTTTGGAGCCTCCATCGAGAAGGCTAAACTCATGAAAGTCTAAAGCTGCTCCAGGCGTCTCCGCTTCGATGGTTCGAATGGGCCGGTATGCGTCGTCCAGGAGGAGGATGTGTCCTTGGCCGCGGCCTCGCTCCGACTTACCTCTAACAACAGAAAGAATGTGAGAGCCGTTCGCCAGCTCGTGCCGTTTCAAGTTGAAATAACCAACGTCGGCCAGACCGGGCTGGTAGCCCGACCAAATTAACTGCTTTGTTCCGGATTAGCGACTAGTGTCACCCCGGCTGACTAGACCTACCCCTTTTCTGTCATAGACGTAGGGCGCAAACTGGCACATTCCTCCCCATGTTGAAAATAGTAAAGAATCGACCGTCGACGTTTGTGCTTCATCTAAGCGAATGTCTAATCTTGGTACAAATAGGTCCGGCCTCTACTCAGCTGGTCAGTCTCTCTTCTCAGAGCTGGAGATACGGTTTGCTTACTGAAAGATAAGACATGCATTCTGGAAGTGCGGAGCCGGTCGACCCCGTCACTGAGAATGTGAAGACCAAAAGGAACAAATAGACCACCAACATATTGTACCCTACAACACCTTTCAGTAGTCACGACCACACCTTTTAAAAGACCTCCTTTTCCGGCATCCGATCCGCCAGTGTGAGGCTAGGCTTGCACGCGAGTCAGTCATCTGCTAGCGAGTACACGGTAATACTTTTTGGGCTTACGATTCAAGTCTACAACGCATTAGTGCGAGGCTAAGCATGCACACGAGTCGTGCTCTGGTAGTAGATGTTTTTTGGCTAACGACTCAAGCAAACAACTCGTGTCAGAACTTACTATAACACATGTCGTGCACGTGGGTCTAAATCTTATTTGAAACTGCATGATCAGCCATCTTCTCGTATATAATAATGGAAATCATCACACGTCATGGGGTCATGTATTGTATATAAGTCTTGCCGCTTGGATCACTCGCAGCTGACGACCTCTTGCCGCATACGCGATCTCCTGTCAACAAGTCAAACCCAGAACTCCAACCAGCAAATCCCGATTAATACTTCACTATGCGTTTCGCAAGCACCGCTGGCCTTGCCCTCGTCCTCCTGCTCGGCACCACCGCCGCAGCGCCCGTCGCAGTGGACAGCGACGAAGCCCATCTCGACTATATCTACACGCAGAAGAAGGATCAGAAGCGCGAGGAGCCGGTCCATCTCGACTACATCTACACGCAGAAGAAGGACGAAAAGCGTGACGAGCCGATCCACCTCGACTACATCTACACGCAGAAGAAGGATGAGAAGCGTGACGAGCCGGTCCACCTTGATTACATCTACACGCAGAAGAAGGATGAGAAGCGTGACGAGCCGGTCCACCTTGATTACATCTACATGCAGAAGAAGGATGAGAAGCGGGAGTCGAATGGTCTTATAGACGTTATTGCTGTCGAAGGTGGTCCGGGACAGTAGGCTCTGTTTAGGTGAGTGGCTTCACAAATGTAGAATAGAGACCGCTCCAGTGCTCACCAAGTCAGTGCAACGGTGGGCTCCTTGAATCTAGCTTCGGAGTCGCTCAGCACATAATGAACAAATGTCAGCTATAGCCGCTATCTATCAATGTTTTCTACCGCTCTCACTTGACTTCCTGCCGCACACTGTTCTGGAGATGCCGATAGCGTTGGGCTCCAATCGGTTGCTACACGGCCACACGGCCGACCTCAACCAACAGGCAGAGATGCACCGTTACAAAGTTGGCGAGGCCAACGTGCGAGCTTTGCGAGATTGCCGTACAAAGCTGCATCTTGCGAGAATGGATCATCTCTTCTGCCTCAGCTGGCTTCATAGGCAGGCATCCAGGAAACGCGATCAATACCACAAGGACGAGGGCCCGGGAACAGGTGTGGCCGTGTTGCTGCGCCGTCCAGCCGCGGGTGTGACCGATGTTGGGAACTGTTCCAGCTTGATGAGGGTATGCGGTGAGGCGGGGTAGGCTTCCAGGGTGGCTTCGGTGGCTTCGGTGGCTGGGGTGAAGACACGAGGTCGGCCGAATGCTCGGCGCGCCTTGAGGTGGCAAAGGTGACGAGGCATCGAGCGAATACGCGGTTGAATGGCGGCGTTGCTTGGCGGCGGCGGGGGTGCGGCTGAGGGAGAGGGCGCTGATGTGGTTGGGAGTGCCGTGTGGGCGGCGTTGGTGGGAGATTAGGGAGCCGAAGAGGGTGTGCCAGGCGAGGTTGGATTGGTTTCCGGGCCATATTTGCGAGCGTTGTTCTGCTTCTTTGCTTTTGGGAGGTGATTTTCTCAGTAAAGCCATCTCTGTGCGGTTGTTGTTTCTGGTTGGCATGTGAGCATCACCTGTCATGATGAGATGGAACAGCGATGACTTCACCTTCTGAGTCATACGACAGTGACTGTGCATCTCGCTTGAGAGAAGCTTGAAACAAAACAGACTCGCGGAGGAAGTGTGGCGTGCGGGGATTTTGCAGCTTTGCTTGGTGCATTGCGGGACATGCCGAAACCGGTTGCGACTAGCGCCGCGATCGAGATGCCGGCGATGGACAAGATGCTTTGAAAGGGTATAGAGGGAATCAGAAGCGTGTGATACGGTTGTTGTCATTCCCGATGTAAGGATGGCTCAAACATATCACGCCGTTGTGGACTACACGCCGTCTTTGATACATGGCACACAGGAAGGGATGAAACTTCCCCTCCTCGAAAACTGTCAGACAGTAGATATGTTGTTTTTAGCATATTGCGGGCTTGAAAAGCGCTGACAACTTCCCGAGGTATGTAGGATTCTATATCATACTTGGCGAGTTAGCGTGACCGCTGTACACTTCAAGAACTTTTTGTGACCAAAGTTCCGTTCATACGGCAAAGTGCATCTATTGACTCGTCTATCTTTCCTAAAACTTGGTTGATCATCCTTGCGCATTTGATGCATGATTTGCAGTATTACCTTGCACAGCTTTCAATTGACCACCATTTAGCTATGGTCGATAAAACAGTCTTCCAATACGAACATGGAGCTTTCGGCAAGGATCGCCGTGTATTTTACCTTTACTGTGCGCTAGGTCCTTGCTCGGCCCCACTATCATCTTAGTAACTGAGGTAATCGGGTATAAGGGAAGCGGTTACCTGTTACTGTGGTTGAAGTGGGAGGATTTGTCCGCCGTTAAAGTGCGGGTGCTCTAATTTCGCCAACCTGCAAGGCCCTTCTTCCCCTTAAGGGGTTCCATAAGCCCAGGTTAAGAAAAGGTGACGATACATGGCTTCGGCGAATATCCTACTCTGGATAGCTTGGACTACCCCCAGCTGCACAGCCTCAGCCGCAGCCACAGCCTCATATCTCGCCCCACTGCCCCAGCTGTTGATCATGGAGTGGAGCCGACCTCGCTGCCTCGCTACTAGCATTGATGTGACCGCTTCTCTATTCCTTTGTTCGCCTCTCTCGTCAAGCACTACCGGCGCAAATGTGCTTCAGCAAGCGGAGCAGAGGGAGATTTTCGAAGCTGATGGCGAGCCACTCCGACGAGCAAGCATCATGTGGGTGAAGCGGCAGCTCTGTGATCGACAGATAGTTGTTTCCGATATCGCATCAACGAGTCAGGCCCACGTGTGGATGCCCCTGCGTACCTCCACAGTATGCATGATCGCAATGCATATCATAGATCATGGAAGACGCCGTGTTGTTCTTCTCGTTATCCTTCAGCACGTTCATGCCCTTTCTCATCGTTTCCGGGTTGGTCACTCCGCCACCACGCAGTACCGAAGCGCGTGTTAGAGTTAAAACGAAGAAAAAAAAAAAGCATCCGTTCACAGGTCGGCGCAGTAGCGGCGAAGCGACTGGAGGGATGCGGTCCGCAGAGTTGGGTTGGGCTCCGCGCGTTTCGATATGCGTGAGCCGGGAGTGTGATAGGAAAGAGGAAGGCCACTGGCAATTGCATGATCCCGCACTGCTTCCGCAGCCTCGACAGGATACAGGTAGCCGATGAGAGCGACGAGACGGGTGTCCAGCGCGAAATGGAGGGCTTACGCAAGGAGCAGGTGCAAAACTAGCGCATATTCAAGTTGATGAGGCCCATGTATAAGAGCAAGCAATAATATTGCGCCATTGCTGCAAAAGGCTTAGTTCCGAGCTTAGCATGGCGACAAGGCGCGGTAGACTGCAATCAGAACCGCGGAATTTGTAAAGTCCGTTTCCTAGACGTCGATCTCCGAACCTTTAACACCGAATCCGTGTTACAGAAACGGGCCCTTGGCTCCATGTAGATCTCAGCCGCGTCATTCGCTGACGAAACAAACGCGGCCGTCAAGCTTTGATCAGCCGCAGCGGATGCCCATTATCCATAAGTACCCTTCGCAGGATGCTACTCCTCACGCCACCACAAAATGCGTTCGTTTCTTCTCAATGCCCTGGTGGGGGCAGCCCTGCTCGGCCCTGCTGCCGCTGAATCGAGCCCCGTGGTCGAAACCCACAACGGCTACGTCCGTGGCACGGTAAGCTTCCTCCGCCCCTGAGCCGCCATGCTGTACTGATCACGGCGCCCAGACTTCCGAGTACGTGCCCGGTGTCAACGTCTTCAAGGGCATCCGGTACGCAAACGCGCCGGTAGGCGAGTACCGTTGGGCTCACCCGCCCCACCCGGACACCTGGGACGGCATCAAGAATGTCACCACCTATCCGCCCGAGTGCCCCCAGATGTCGGGTGGCGAGGGCAGCGTCTCGGGCGATGAGGACTGCTTGTTCCTCAACATTTACACGCCCGCCAACTTCACCACCACCTCCAACTACCCCGTCTATTTCTGGATCTACGGCGGCCGCTACTCGGGCGGCTCGGCCTCGGCCCTGACCTACGAAGGCTCCGGGCTGGCGGCCCAGGGCGTTGTCGTCGTCACCGTCAACTACAGACTCGGCGCCCTTGGCTTCCTGGCTCACCCCAACCTGACGGCCGACGCGGGCATTCCCTCGGGCAACTGGGGCTTCCATGACCAGATTGCCGCGCTGCACTGGACCAACGAGAACATCCAGAACTTTGGCGGCAACCCCAGCCAGATCACCATCGGCGGCCAGTCGGCGGGCGCCGGCTCCGCCCTCACCCACGTCTACTCTCCTCTGTCGGCAGGCCTGTTCCAGGGCGCCATTGCCGAGAGCGGTGCCCGGGATCCGCACGATCCGTTGACTGGTTCTCTCGCCAGCAGCCACCGCAACATGAGCGCCGCTCTGGCCCAGGGCATCACTTATCTCTCCGAGCTGAACGTCAGCACCGTTGCCGAGGCCCGCAACCTGTCCGTCGAGACGATTCTGGGCACTGGTTCTAGCCAGGACACCACCTTCGTGGGCACCGGCTTTGACGGCAACCAGGCCTACATGGAGCCCCCGCTCTACCGACCTGTCGTCGACGGCTACGCCCTGCCGCACACGTACGCGCAGCTCCTGTCCAACTGCTCGCAGAACGACGTGCCCGTCCTGACCGGCAACAACAAGGACGAGAGCGGCGCCTCGGCGCCCGCCCCTTCGATGAACGTCAGCACCTACAACTCCAGCAACGAAGCTCTGTTCGAGCCGCTCGGCCTGTTCGGGAAGTTCTTCGACCTGTTCCCCGCCTACACGGACGACGAGGCGGCCCTCCAGACCAACAACTACTACCGCAACACCAGCCTCGTGTCGACAATGGGCTGGACCAAGGACTGGGTCGCTGGCGGCGCCAAGAGCGACGTCTACACGTACTTCTGGACGCACGCGCCGCCGGGCCAGAGCGCGGGCGCCTTCCACGGCAGCGAGCTCAACTACGTCTTCAACAACATGCCCTGGGGCACGACGCTGGGCGGCGATTCCCTCAACTGGACCAGCACAGACTATGCCATCGCCAAGACCATGACCCACTACTGGGTCAACTTCATCAAGAGTGGCAACCCCAACGGCGGCAACCTGCCCGTGTGGGATCCCGCCACCCAAGCCAATTCGTCCAAGACGGCCATGCACTTGGGCGGCCCGACCTGGGGTCCCATCAGCGTCGGCTCGGATGAGGTCGTCGAGCTGATTGAGGGCCTCTTCGCTGCGCAGAAGGCTTACTAGGCGGGCCATGATTGAGAAGTGCAAGGAGAAGACAAGTACCGCATGTACCATATAGCGAAGTAGCGTGTAATATTCATTGGACGTTTATTTTTTGCATCTACAGCGATGAGATGCCGCTCACAGCGGCGCACCTTGACCCTCGACGTGTGAAATCTAGGGAAACGAAAGACGGTTGAAATCCTTGACAGCCGGAAGATAGCGGAATCATGGGCAGGACAACCTGGTGCTGCTACGTGCACATCGTATATGTACTCCGTGGTTTCAATTCTACCTTTTTGCAGTGGCGAATACGTTGCTCGATCGAGCTCTCCGACTTCGGCTGGGTGTCGAGGATCAAGAAGACGACTTCTCGCGTGGAAACGCCGAGTAACTCTTCCACCGAATGCCGTTCCTCGGCAGCGTCAACAACTGGACAAAGTCGAAGACCCCAGACGAATCTTCTGTGAAGCCTTCCTGATGGACAGCTTTTGCAGCATCGGGACGGGGCAGGTTTCGACTCCCCTGTGTGAGCTACTCTATCCGACCATGGCTCCCGGAACAACAGCCTGACCGGAAATGACGCCCACTGACACCTTCCCACACCGGAAATCACCCCGTACTTCGGCATAGGCGAGCCCGCAGCTCCATCTCAGCAGCAGCCCAATCCAGCAGGAGAACACGCCTCCGCAAACGAGAACGAGGTTGAGTCCATCGGCGGATTTGGTTTCTGGATTGAAGCTGCCGAAAGACTGAATCTGGTGACCAAAATTTTCACCCAACACGGCATTAAATTCAAGAGTTCCCAGAGTATCCAGATCTCGTTGAAGGGTTTGGAGAGCTGGATCTTCGGATCATCGGGTAAGCAGAGATGAAAAATGACCGAGGGCGAGGAAGAGCGATGGAGCTTTGATGCTGAGGGAGAGAGGAGAGTCAAGGATCAGCCGGAGGATTTGAGCGCGGCGCTAGTGGCGGCGTATGAGATGTTGGGTTTGTGAGACTTTTAAGGCTGAAGGTGGTGGGGCGGAAGAGGCGGAAGAGGCGGATGAGTCTCTGAGTGTTAAGGCGGTTGTGGATGGGTGTTTGTCCGCAACTGGGGTTGAGAGTGAGGTGGGCGGCGAGTCGGAGTCAGTGGTGATGCATGCTACGATTAATGATTCCGAACATGCGCTAAGGAGATGGAAGGACACGGAATGCAGACGTGTTATGTGCGGATTATTATTCTTCGCTTCTGGTCGGAAAGAAGCTTTAGGAGATGGATCTCGTCGAGTGAGCTGTTGCGCTGTGATATTGAAGGAGTTTTCAAGGAAAATAATTAGAGAAGCTAGAAGACCGAGTTGTGCATTCCGTGGTCGAGTGAGGTGTTGAGAGAGGGATGGCTGATCAGCAAAGTTGTTGTCGCTTGGCGGGCCGCTTACGTAACGCGGTGTTGAGTCGTGACTCCAGCTTTCGCGATTCTTCGCGTCGCGCTGCTCCGTCCCCCGTCAACCAACCTCCCCACCATCGCCACCATCACCGCCACCATCTCACTGGTCGCATATTCTTTCCGATACTCATCCCGAGGTCCAAGCAATAGCCTGACTCAACCACAACGTGCGACTGAACTGCCTCACGGGTGCTTTGGCAACGGCTCGGTTTGCCTCGTGCGAATTGCCTTCCCAAACTCCCTCGACGGCTCGGTCCCGTCGCCGTTGCGGCCCTACCGCCTCACACCCCTTCGCTCGGCGCCACCCTGCTTCCAACGACAGCCTGATCCATCTACCAAGCGCTGACGAACTGCCTCGTGGCTCTTCTGGCGACGGCTGGGTTTGCCTTGCGCGAACTGCCTCTCCAGCTCCATCGACGGCTTGGTCCGGACGCGCTTCGTAGACGCATTGCTTCTTGGAACCATCGCGGCCCCGTTGCCTCTCAGGAAGCCAAGGCTGCTTCTTAGACAAAGCCTGGGCGGGTGGGTTGCTGCGCGAAATTACGCGCAGGGATTCGTTTCATCTCCCACTTTCGCTACCTTCTGCTAACCTGCGCCTCTAGCCCGTCATGTACGCCTCGAGCAAGCCCGACGTAAACGAAACCGTCGTCGCCGAGTGGACCGATGCCCATGGTCATAGCTACACTCTCGGCTCGCTTACGCCATGCCACAAACGAGACGCTGGATTCACCCTGAAGGTGACGACGGACGAGCAGCAACGAGTCTGGGCATGGTTCATCCTGGCAGTCACGGTCAAGACGGCCGGTCGAGAGCGGCAGCGGGAGCTAGCTCTTGTCATCCCGCCGCATTCCTCGTGCACCTTGTCTTTCGATGAGCTGGAAATTTCGCAGATCCACACGCCTGCCCTGTTCTCGGCTGTTGGAGACGCTCGCCTGTTTGACGCCGGTCGCGTGATTCGTGCCAACTTCGCCCTCGCCCAGTTTGGCCGTGTTCTCATGCCCAAGTCCACAGCGAAGAAGATTGCTCCTGCCTCGCGTACCACATCGGACCTGCTTCGTGCCCTGCACTCACTATCGCAAGCACACTCCTTCTCCGTCTACATAAAGCCCAGCGACTACGCCCGCCAAGGTTTGAAACTGGTGTGCGACCGCAATCGCATTGCTTTACCTCCTACAACCTCCTTTGTCATCGAGGATATACTAGACACTCGGACCGCCGAGGTGGATTGGAGCCTCTTCGGCATCGACCTCGACCCGGTACCCGATGATTCTTCTTCGTGTGCACCTCCACCTTACCTTGGTCCAACGCCTCCGCCCGCTGACTGCGAACCCTTCATCCCGCTTCTCAGCCCCCCTGTTGCCGGGCCTGAGCATGTTCCGTGTGATACCGAGAAGTCGGTCATCTCGGAGACAGACCTTGATCATAATTCGCAATTTGACAAGGAGGACAGCGGACGCTCACTACACTCTCGAAAGAGACCACTCTCCCCAAGCTCCCAGGATGCCCTCCCTTCCACCCGACAGCGCTTGCGCTCAAATAGTAACATCACCACTGCCTCCACCCGTGACGCCTTGACCGTAAACCTCGGCGAATGGGTTGAAGCAGCTCTGACCACCAACGCCTACGTCTACGAACTCCCCCGTCTCCAAAGTCACCTAGATGTCTGCGCCGCTCATGCTGTGTCCGCAAATACCGATGCTTTTCTCGACGCCCGCGCTGCGCTCAGTGCCGACTTCTTCTACGACCCTGATGGAACAAGCGTTGCTGGAGATGAGGACGCCGGCCGCGCTGCCTATGTTGCTGACATGGCACGCCTGCTTCGATGGGCGCTGCGGAAGAGACGGAGCGCCGACGTTGAGAATTTCGACACGTTTTTGTTTCTTGGGCGCTGCGCTAGAGAGGCTGCACGGAGCGGCGAGCTGCCCGTTGGTGGGAACGAAAACGAGAGCGGTGCTGTGGCAAGCTTGTGGCGTGATCCGTATAGGTTTCGGAAGTCGCTTTGCATTAATTGCGTCTTGCTTTCTTGTGTCCCGCGTGATTGTGCCGATTGACGATGGACAGACGTCGTGTGTAGAGCCATAGTGCGAGATAGATATAATGCCATCACTACTCACCTTTACCATTCAACATTGGCTCTGCGGTTGGGCTCTGCCCCCTTTCGGACTTTGCATTTACCGCGCTGTCGTCAAAATTAAGCTGTCATCGCTTCTCGTGCTCCGGAAATCGTGTCCAGGGTTCCGATACCGCCGACTTCGATGGTCTCTGTAAAGTCATGATTGTGAGGAATTGCCTCAAGGCCCGTATAATAGATTAACTTCACATCACGCTCATGATGGTCGGTTGTCATGAACGTCTATGGGTCTTGATCTTCATTCTTTTTGGCATTGGTCACGGTGTTGTCCTCATGTCATTGAGCATTCTGACCCAGAAATCCTCCATGGCCAAACAGCCCGACATATCATCAACTACGAACTCGGAGATCGAGTGGCTGATGATACTTTGTGTGTGGCGAGTACCATTCTCGCAGAGGAAAACTTATCTTGACTCTCACGGACGGAGAACAGCTGTGACGCTCCACCGCAAGGAGCAGCATGACTGTGAGTCTATCGACAACACACTTCGCAACATCGTCAACTGCCTCTCCACGTAACGCAGAGCACAACGCCATGCTCCGATATCGGGCACTAGATAGCTTAGTCACACCCCACACAGACTTGAGCAATTCGACGGAATTATTCAAGGCCATGTCAAGACTGCTGCACGACTATATACCCCGCCGTTCATGCTCACAACAATGGCACCAATTCACATCCTCGACGGCGGACTCGGCACATCCTTGGAAGACAAGTACGGTGTGAAATTTAACCACTCACAGCCTCTCTGGTCATCACACTTCCTCATTGAAAACCAGGACACCCTGCTCAGCTGCCAACGTGACTTCGTAGAAGCAGGAGCCGACGTCCTCCTCACAGCGACATACCAGGTATCCATTGAAAGCTTCGCGAGGACCAAAACGCCCGATTTCCCAAATGGCATCCCGAAAGATTCCATCACTCCCTACCTGACCAGGGCTGTTGACATAGCGGAGCAGGCGAGCAAGCATGGAACGGCTGAGCTCGCATTGAGTCTTGGTCCGTATGGCGCGAGCATGGTTCCCGGTCAAGAGTACGGCGGGAAGTACGACGCAGAGCACGACACAGAGGAGAGCTTGTACCAATGGCATCTCGAACGATTGCGTCTGTTCGCAGCAGTGGAGAAGCTGGAGAAACGCGTGCAGTACATTGCGTTCGAGACCCTCCCCAGATTGGACGAGATTCGGGCTGTGAGGAGAGCGGCACAGGCGGCGGGAGTTAGCACACGAGAGGGTGGCCCTTGTCTTTGGATCTCTTGCGTGTTTCCGGCCGAGACTGAAAATCTCCCTGATGGCAGCACAATCGATCAGGTGGTGGAAGCGATGTTGGGGCGCTTGGGTGATGGTTGCATGCCGTGGGGGATCGGCGTCAACTGTACGAAGATACACAAGCTTCCCGGCCTCATCCAGAAATTTGAGCATGCTGTCAGGAAGTTGCATATCGTAGATCCGCTGCATAACATGCCCACTCTGGTTTTGTACCCAGATGGTACGAACGGAGAAGTCTACAATACCACAACTAAACGGTGGGAAAAGCCCAATGACTTAGTGGAAGATACTCAACCAAAGGTAAGTACTAGCGAAATCTTTCGTATGTTCGCAATACATCCCGAATGTTTTGCTCACCTGCACTACAGGAACCCTGGGAAGTGCAGCTCGCTCGAATAGTCAGGGATTCATACCACAAAGGCTGCTTTCAGTCATTCCTTGTCGGTGGCTGCTGTAAAGCCAGCCATGCCGATATAAAAAGGCTTCGGGATCACCTCCGAAGCACACAACAGTAGCCAACAGAGAGCTGTCCTCGTTCAGGAACAAGTTCTAGCCATGATGTCGAGTGACAGTTCACAAACAACAGCGGCCCGCCCCCGCCGCCACAGCCGCGCCGTTACGAACTGGCTACTCCGTAGTAAGAAGGAAAGGTGGGTCAAGTCGAGGGGGAGCGGGTAAATTTGGTTTGAGCAGATGAGCTAATCGGCATTGTTCAATTTTGTAGATCAACCTTGACGCATTCAGCAGTGTTTCTACAAGAGTGCGAGTTTTGGCTCGCGTTGCTGTTGCGCTGCCGTGCTGCTCAATCGATTTGCGCATTCTCAAGCAGTACCACCTTACTCAACACATGCAATGGACGGTATCTCTCTCACAACGCTTTCGGTATATCTCTCTACCCTTCTCTCAGCGGACCTTCCCGCTCCTTATTCCGCTGCCAAATTCAAATCCCGCACCGAGAAGCCCTGGGCATAGCGAGCGCTGCGGTGCGCTCTGACGATCCAGGATCTGTGCTTGGTCCTGGTTCATGTTGTACGCGGGCCAACCCTTCAGCATCCACCACCACCGCCACCGCTGTATGCACTCGTACAATGCCACTTGTGACGGCGTTTCTGGACGGGCTGTTGGCCTGGTGCAAACTGCAAGCCGGTATCTGCCGCGGGATTCGAGAGCCAATAGGCGTATTTCGAAGACGAGTAGTCTGGCTTGCGAGACTCGTCGCCATTAAGCCGGCTAGAGGGCGCTGTTGTTGCCGATCCGCGCTTGTGGGGAGCCTCTCGAGAAGGTAGACAGCCCATTTGGATAGAGAGTGTTCGTATCACGTGCCCGAGGTTGACTGGGTGAGCCAAGAAATTAACGATACTTGGTGACTTGCTGGCTGGCAAGATACTGCGGAAATGTGACTGTGCAGCAATTTGCCAAACCTCACTTATGGTGCTGATCATCTTTTATGAAGGAATGCAGCCTCCTCACAGCCTCACGGTTGCCTGGTGTGGAGACCCACCTCGTTACTAAATATAGCATGTGTCCCTAAGAAAAGCGGTCCGAAGCAGCGAGAATCCCAGTCACCAATTGATTGGATGTACTGTAGCCATCTGGTCTTCTTCCAACGATGCAGCTGCATTTGGTGCCGCAGTAAGACGTCTGTTAATCAATTTATGCGACCTGGGCCTGTAAAGGCTGCGCTATGGCATCTGGCCTATCCTTTTATTAAGAAGATCCAAATCAGACCTGGTCGCAGTTTCTTCTCCTGCATAATCATATGCATTTTCGTCATTTTCCCCTTCAAGCTTCCTCATCAGAGCCCAGGTCTGACTTCGGGGGCTTCTGCACTCTCATCTCCCTCCTATCAAGCTCACACTCCTGTAAACGTCAGCCATACGCTAAGCACAACTTGAGCTTCTATACGACTTACTACCCTTCTCATCTTCTCACAGCCCACTTCTACCAATCCATCATCATCTCTATCGAAACCAACCTCCCAGATTCCACTGCCCTTCTTCTCTTCCACCGCCATGAACCCTTCCCACTGTCATCCTGCGTCCAATCGGCGTGCAGGTCCACGGTCCGACAAGGTGTTCCTCGCAGTCTGCACGCAGCCCGTACTTTAGCTCATGCGTATTGACATCAAGGTAGATCCAATTCAGCTGAGGCGGGTCGTCGGAGATGGTAGAAACAAGACCTTCACCCAGGCGGCCCCAAGTATGGGAAGGATGAGGGAGGAAATAGCCCGCGAAGGGATGGGCGCCTGGGGGGAGAGATGGTGTGTTGATGTATAGCTTTTGCATGGTCAGTTCTTCTCATCTCGCAAATTATGCAATACTCTGGCGCCTGTTACTCGCGTCTATCTTTCCCATGGTCGTGGATGTTTCTGTCTCGTGCGGATGCGGCTTACCTTGTTGTTGAGGAGTACTACGCTCCTGCCGTTCACCTCGTGACTGCCGCTCGAGGTACCAGTGCAGGAGATGACAAGGTTGGTCTTTAGCCCGCGGTACTTTTCTTTTGCGCTTTTGTGTTGGCCTTGCGTGACTGCTTGGAGCGCTTGTTTGTTCAACATTTTGTAAACGTTACACTCACCAATATTTCCTGCAACTATTTCTCATCGCGGCATCGATCAACTCTCGGTTCCAATACACAGCGGCACTCTGAACAAGCTCACAATGGCTGAAACGTGCGTTATGCCACCAATAGCATCTCACTCAGTCCTTGGCTTACCCCGACTCATCTCCGCAGGGCGCAGGACGTTAGTACCGAGAGTCTTTCCGACGTCGGAGGCGAGTAACCTCTTGCTAAGACTCGTCGCAAACCTACGAAGCTTGCGGTAGCGAAGAAAGATGCTACGACCGAAGCGACTACCGATAGTAAAGCCATAGAAGCTACCACCTCATCCACCGTACGCGGTAGGCGCATGGTACCCGTACACCAGTCCCGAATTGCGGATCGCCCACCGAAAGTGGGCGAGAAGGATAGCAGCCTGAAAATCAAGATCGAACTGGATTCGGAAGTCGAGGTAGAAATCTACGCTAGAGTGAAGGGCGATATCACCATTGGCCTCATGTAGCGAATGGGAGTTGCAGGGTAGAAGAAAGAGACTTGGCTGATTGGCGTAGGTCGAAATCTATACAAGAGTTAAGGGAGATGTAACGATTAGGCTTTTATAAGCTGTGAGTTCTTCGACGATCCTCAGGCTTTTAGTAGTAATAATTTATCTTCTAGCACTACATGAGTCCACGACTAAGCTGCTATGGGTATTTAACGATTTTATAATGGTTATAGAAAATGAGCTTAGTTGCTTCCGTTATTTTTTATTAGATAAATCTATCAGCCTAGCCATTCATTTAGAGTATCACGTCGCAGCTTGCACAGAGTGGAGTCTGGGAAGAACGCGTTGAGCTCGCTGTCGCAGAGCAATCAATTCGGTTGACCTAATCCAGAATCACTACCATTCAAATGGTTCTCACAATTCGACAGATGGCTTTCTCCTTTTCCTGTTATGTTGTTGTTGTTACGATTGTCCCATGGTCTACCCTGTTGAACCTTGGACAGCCTCAGTCGTCTTCCCTGTGAAAGCCACTGCAAGCTTCATTGCTTTCTTCACATCTAATGCTTATGCAACCGACGTGTCTGGCTTTGTTTCTGTGCCAATATTGCTGGTGGTGGTAGGTCGTAAGGAAGGTCGCGTGGTTCGTCCGCACTGAAACGGCGGCAGTGGACGCACATGCACTCTTCCCCACCTCTTCATTCAGTCCTCCGCCACCCAATCCCTGCTTCCTCAAGTCCTTCGCACAATCCACTGCTCCCATTGTCCCAAGGCTTAGTTGATCCACCATGTCTACTCTGGCATTTTAGTGAGGCACCAGCATGGCGCCGTTAGCAAAGGCGCAGTCACAATCCCGCTACCAGTGCAAGGTTCTACCAGGATCGAGGCTCCGCCCGGCTTGGCCCGAGGACACAGCCTGCAGCTCCCAGGGAAGAATGTTGAATGCGTCCAGGTGCGGTTGGATGTGCAGGTTCGGATCGATACGGGAGAGGCCGTCGATTTATTCAGTCATTCCCCGGCTCCTCAACACAGATGTGTTTGGCATGAACTCTGTGGATGGCTTAATTCGCATATGCTGAGAGCCCCGTTCCTGAGCCCAACCTCGCCTATTCCAAAAGCCGCAACCGTACAGTCGTGCCTCTCTAACCCGATTAACACGTGGCCGTCGGAATGTATGTTAAGCGACTGGCGAACCAGGAATTTGACAGGAAGCCTTGATCAACCAATTAAATATTTCTCTTTATTGATGCTTGCGGCGCTGTTACAACAAATGTAGGTGAGGACTGGACGGAGGCCAAATATTATCACAAACTTTCCAAGGTTAACTCTTTTTTGAGAATCTCTGGCACTACCACAAGCATGGATTTTTAGAGAATGACGACTAGTTTGGCCACCTCCAGCCTCCACAATTCACTCATGAATCAGATCAACGCCAGTCGTAACAGATATATTTAGTGCTTTGCACTCTGAACGGTAGTAGCGTGCGCAAGCCTCCAAATATCACCCATCCTTTCGCTTTCCAAGTTTCGCAGCCATGCACTCTGTGTCACTACTTGTTCCAGCTCTTGCGGGCGGTGTTTTGGGCTTCGCACTACCAGAGCCCAACGTTCGCCATATTCCACCACACAACGCCCGATTGGGAAACAAGGCTATCACGAAACATGTTATAATTGAAGCACCATGCGAAGACGACTACTACTACCACGGCGGCCTGCAGACAACGGCCTATGCAGTGTTCCCAGGATCCTCCTCCCCTACTCAGACGTTTGTTGTCACTACTGTTGAAACTATCGCGCCGAGTGACGACCCGCTAGACACACCAGATGTTGATTTTCTTCCTGAAGTAGCCGACGGATTCTACTTTGACGAGTATCTCGACGATTTCTACGGCTTCTATGACTTCTCCGACACCTCCTTCTCGGCGACTCTCCAAGACTTTGCTCCGGGGTTGTCGTCCTACGACACGAACGTCTTCGATGAAGACGACCTTCCACAGTTCGTTACCATCGGCGGGCAACTGTACAGTACGGTATCCCAGTTTTACCTACCACCAAACATCAATGCGATTCTACCACGCAGCCCGCAGCAGCTGCCGGCACTGGATCCGAAAAACTTTGCCAGCATACAAGACCTTCTAGAGGAGATAGCCATCCGACAGGAAACAGAGAGAGAATACGCACGGCTTGTGGCTTCACAGTCGCCTCCAAAACAGCCCCCGTCTAAGGCTGATGCCTTAAACGCCCCGGGGATCGCGATGCTGCAGAGGCAGTCCATCCGGGATGAAATCATAGCTCGCCGTGAGAGTGAGAAGGCGGCCAAGGCCATCCAGGCCGGGCAGGCCAGTGCCGCTGTCCAGGCTTCCGCGAGCGCCGCCCAGGCTGAGCGCGAGGCCGCCGCTGCTCAGTCCAAGGCCAACGCTGCAGCCGCCGCCGCAGCGACGGGAGATACCGCCAAGAGCATCCAGATCACCCTGGATCGGAAGACGCTGCCGATACTGCCTGGAACCGCTGCCGTCCAGAGCGATGGCAAGGCCGAGCCGCTGGTGATCGGCAAGAAGGTGGCCGAAGCGGCTGCCGGCACCATCTCCAAGGACGCCGACAAACTCAAGCAGGTCCAAGACCAGGCGAAGAGCGCAGCGCAGAAAGCCCAAGCGGCTGCCCCAAAGCCCACCGGGCTCATCTCTCGCGCCATCAACGCCACGTCTCCGTCCGGTTCCGGCGCCAACCCGATGGCCAGCAACAACGGCACCGACTTCACGAGCGTCATATCAGCCCTCGTCGGCACCGCCAACCAGCAGCAGAACCTCGACGCCTCATCCACCCCGGACTTCAGCTACAGCACCATCAGCGACGTGACTGGCGGCTTCTTTCTCGCGGCCGACGACTCGGGGACGCTTGGGCTGACGGCCGAGGCGCCGACGGCCGACGCCTTCGCGTGGAAGACGTTCGCGCTGTTCAAGGGCGCGCTCGCCGCCGACGCGCGCAGCCGCCTCTTCGTCTTCTTCCCGGCGACCATGGACGCGCTGGGCGTGTCGCGCTTCCGGCTGGCGGCGCTGAACGAGACGTCGTTCGATGCCCGCGCCGCGGCTGTGATTCCCGTGAATGTTGGCGGCGATGGTGCGGTGGCTGGGTCAGTGCTGGTGCCTGTGGATGCAGAGGGTGGGAGCTACGCTTTTGTTGCGTGTGATGTTGCGGTGGATGGGGTGGTGGTGAACAAGCTTTTTGTCGTCGCGGACCAGGACGCTGGCATCAAGACGCTGCTGGAGACGAGTACGCAAGATCAGGTCACGGGCGGGGTTGCGAACGACTGTTTTCCGGTTTCCTTGAAGTCTCCTTTGTCGGCTGGCCTTTAGTTTTTTCATTTGGTTTGGGGCTTGACCTTGTCCATCTTTGTATAAATTGCAAAAGTCAAAATAGTTTGAAGTTGCTCGATAACTCATCAGTCTACTGGCGATACTGATCGATGTTAGTACCGTCGTATTGATCGAAAGCAGATCCGTCGGTTTGAAGACCTGACTGGTATAGTAGAGCCACATTTGCGGCGACGGCGGCCGGGGACCTTGTGTGCGGCTCGAACGCCACCACGAAGCCTACGCTTCCGTTCAGGGGGCCGGGAGGCAGTAAGAATAGGTAATCAATAGCTCTATGTAACACTTTTCTACACTCCCAGTGGACACTACCTCGCACGAAGACGACAAGTGAAGACTTGGATTCGCTTGTTCCATTCCGATATTGACTGTCATCGGGAGCAGCCAGGTCCATTCAAGGCAAAGCGGACTACAGCTGATTCAATGCGAGCGCCTTCAAGCATGCGACAAGAACGCTCATCAGGTCTCATCAGGTCAAATCTGCATGCGGCTCATTCATGCACATCGGCACGATCTTCATCGTGATCTCTCGGGCCGACGGGATGTGTCGATGCTTGCTTACGTACACGGCAGCAGGGCATTCCGTTGGTCCGGCCTCAGGTGGCAACGATACACCCGAACCCTCTGCCGTAAGCGCACTGCCGCATTTGAGTTAGACGCTTGGCGCTCTCACGTCTGCTGCTCATCCCACATACCACGACACTCGGACGACTGTTAAGCTGTTCTTTGCCATGACCGGTGAGCAGACGAAACGCAGTGCGCCGGGAGAGTGGCCGAGTAAGCGAGGCGGCCGGACTCCGTTTCGACGACAGTGAGTCCCTCTACCGGTTATAGGCCAACATGAAAGTCAAGGGCGGGGAAACCGGCAAAGGCCATGTCAGATGGAATTGGCAGCGACTGGCCCACTCCTAAGCACGAGCGCAGACACTCCCTACCGTTCCAAGCAGGCCGATGGCCAGGCCACCTCAAGAGTGGAGAAGGTTCGCAGGCTGCGCACTCGGCGGCTCGTTACCCGTTACTCCGTTCAGTTGCATAGCCGGCGCAGGCCCCACCGTCTGGCCGCACAAATAAACGCTGTCTGGCCGCTCTGTCCAATCGTGAAACCGGCGTGCAACGTGCGGACAGGTTTCAGACCCTCCGGATCAAAGCAAGCAAGAAATCATGCCTCCACGCCCGGCGGACCAGGTGCGGCTCTCGCTGTTGGAGAAGGTCAAGCTGGTGCTGTTCTACGCCGTCGTCATCACGAAGACATGCGGCACTGCATTGGCCGCGCCCTTCACCGCGTCTGAGAAGCGCTCTCGCGTCTTCAAACGCCACGTCGCCTACGCCTTTGTGCGGCATTGCTTCACCAACAGCAATTCCCGAATCGAGCAGTCCGTATTGCTCCAGCCCCCATCGTCCAACAGGTTGCTGAAACAAACGCCACCAGGGCCATCACCACCGACACGGACGAGCTGTACTACGAATGGGCTCGGAAGACCAAGGTGGCTCCCGCGCGGGAAGTGCTCCCTGACGGCACCGAAGCATTCTGGATCGGGTCCAAAGACGCCAAAACCGTCCTGCTCTACTTCCACGGTAAGCCAGCCCAGCCAGCCAGCCAACCAGCCAGCCAACCAAGCCCGTCCACTCGCTAACCCAAACACCACCCCCACCCACCAGGCGGCGGCTACAACCTCCCCGCACTGCCCGCCCACATCAATTTCTGCGCCCGACTCGTCGACGACGTCTCCCCATCAACACAAGGCGACTTCTCCGTGCTCCTCCTCCACTACGACTACCACCCCTTCGGGCACTACCCGCGGCAGCTGGGGCAAGCGGCCGCGCTGTTCAAGCACGCGGTCGACACGCTGGCCATCCCCAACGTGCTGATCGGCGGCGACTCGGCGGGCGGCAACATGGCCGTCGGCCTGCTGAGCCACCTGCTGCACCCGCACCCGGACGCCGACGTCGTCGCGCGCGTCGCCGCGCACGACATGCCCAACCGCATCCGCGGCGCGCTGCTGGTCTCGCCGTGGGCGGATCCGTTCGGCGGCGATGACGTCTACCCCAGCTTGCGCCGCAATGAGCCCAAGGACTTGCTGGCTGGTAAGTTTTTGAGGCGGTGGGCGGATGCGTGGGCTGGTGGTAAGCCTGAGGATGCGTACAATCGGCCGACTGCGGCGCCGGCTGGGTGGTGGAAGGGGGTTGATCGCGTCCTGGAGCGGTTCTTGGTTGTGATTGGGGCCGACGACGTGCTGTTGGATGGGGCGTTGGGGTTCGCGAGGGGGTTTGCCGGCGAGTGGCGGGATGCGAAGGACGCGCAGATCGCCGTCGTCGAGGACGAGGGGCATATAAGTGGGATCGTGGATGCGGATATGGGATTCAGCGCCGACGAGGTCCGCATGTATGTGCAGATTCGGGATTGGCTGAAGAGCGTCGTCGCCGGGTAGGGCGGCCGACGGCCAGTGGTGGTCCGTGAGCGAGCATGAGGATGAGGACGCCGCGGGGGCAGGAGGACGTATTTAGACACGGTGTTGTTTCCGCTCCAGACGGAGGGGCAGGCACGAAGTGAACGGCGTGGCTCCCGATTCGATATACATAGGTATTGCGCAGTGCTGATGAAATAGGGAGCAGTGTAGTATGCGCACGGGCCGGTGGGATTAAAAGCAGGGACTATCATACGATTGTGGAGCGGTTTTACCGAGCAGCGGGCCAGACGCCACGCGGAGGGATAGGGGCCGGACTGTGGGGCGGGAGCGTCTGACTCGCCGCCGCACCTATATTGCATACATGCGCGTGTGCGTGCGTAACGGAGTAGTAGTGACGGCAAAATTTCCGATCGTCTGCCCTCTCTTCCCTCCTTCCAGATCGAGAGCAGTACACAAACAACAGCCTCCAAGAAAGTGAGAGTATGCACGTGTCCCGCAGGTAGCCCAGCCCGTCCCTTCTCGCGCCATTGCAACCCGCGGCGACGGCCACAACGCCCAGCAACGCCCAGCCAGCATGCAGATCACGGATATCTTCGGCCCTCCTCCTCCAGATGTCGATCTTTCCGAAGACCAATCCGGCACCGTTATAGCTCCTATTGCTGTCGTGCTGGTCCTGGCCATTGTTGCCGTTGCTCTCCGCTTCACCACCAGGCATGTGGTCGAAGCCCAGACCATGGCGGCTGACGATGTCTTCATTATATTTGCTTTAGTACGTGCCTGAATCAGCTAATAACCTTATCCAGACGGCTGACTCGCTACAGTTCTTTGGCTTTGGAACAGCTGGCTGTGTTTTTACTGGTATGTCGTCGCTTGAGTGAAGCACCGGAAAAACAATACTAAAGGCACACAGCGTTATCGTTTGCATGCGGTAAGCACGTTTGGGTCCTCAGTCTTGACCAGTTTGAGCATATACAACAGGTAAGCCGTGCGTTCCCTGGCTTGCGCTCAACGCATGTTCTCATGCCGCTTCAGGTCGTGTATGCCGCCGCCCAGATCTACGCAGCGACCGTGACTTGCACAAAGACGTCCATCGTCCTCTACTACAAGCGCATCTTCTACTTTGAAACAACCTTTTACGTCCTCGAGGCTCTCATCATCGGCTACTTCATCACCATCATCACCGTCATGAACACCGGGTGCCAGCCAACGAACTACATGTGGATGCAGGCAGGCAACCCCACCCACCTCACCATCCCGCACCCAGCCATCCAGCTAACCAAGCCCCCCAAAAGTACGTGGATCCAACCGCCAAAGGCAAATGCGTCGACCTGCTCAAATTCTACTACGCCAACGCCATCGCCGCAACCCTGATCGACATCTTCATCCTCATCACGCCCATCTACCCCGTCTGGCGCCTCCAAATGCCGACGACCAAGAAAATCGCCGTGCTCGCCATCTTCCTCCTCGGCGGCGTGTAAGCTTTTCTTTCCCACACCATCCATCCATCCATCCATCCATCCATCCATCCATCCTTCCATCCATCCACCCACGCACCCTCCCCCCAACGCAACCAACCCCACCGCGCTAACCCCCTCCACACAGCGTCATCGGCGCCAGCATCGCGCGCATCTGCTCCCTCCTCAAAATGGCGACCATGACGGACCAGTCGTGGGGCCTCTGCTCGGGGCTGATCTGGACGTGCATCGAGCCGCTCGTCGGCATCCTCAGCGCGTGCCTGCCGACGCTGGGCCCGCTGGTGCGGCACTGCGCGGGCAAAGTGTCGTGGGTGCACGCGGCGTCGCGGAGTGCGGAGGACAACGGCGGCGAAGGGGGCGGCTCGGATGGGGTGGTGGCGGCGAAGAAGCAGAACAAGGGCCCCACGACGACGACGACGACGACGACGACGACGACGACGACGACGACGACGACGACGAGGAATTCGTCACGGCGGCATTATTCTAGGGCTGCAGTAGGGGGCCCGATCGGTAAGCGGTCGGTGCCCGTTGAGCCGGATGAGTATGAGTTGAGGAGTAGCGAGCTGGGGTTGACGGCGCATAGGACGAATAGCGTCCGCACGTCGGATGAGGTCGATATGCATAGTGGGGTGTTTGTGACGCAGGAGTTGAGTTTGGCGGGGAGGAGGTAAGGGAGGGGAGACAAAAATGGGGAGGGTTGATTCTTTTTCGCAATTTAAGCGCTATCTCTCTGTTTCTCTCTTTTTTTTTTCTTTTCTTCTTCTTCCGGCCAAGCGAATCCCGGATCACAAACCAACCACACCGTTAGCTGGTCGTGGGGGTTTGGGAGAGACTGTGGCACAGGTAGTGCCCACGTGCGCCTGTCATGTTTTCTTCTTGGTTGATTTCAAGATACACGAGGAAATCCACAGCAGGCTGCAAAAGCATTCAGCCCACCTACATCAATCTCATCTCACAAAGACATCTCGCGATGGAGACGGAATCCTACGCCTGGAGGTATCAGTAGTTCGAAAACTTACGTTGCGTCTGGAAATTTGCTTCAGCTGCGTCGGTAGGTGGGCTACAAAAGCTCAAGACTGCAAGTATTTGCTTCAACTGACCACATACGAAGGGATATGAGTTGCATCTACCGGGCCTCGTGAAAGGTAGGAGACGGCGACATGCGTGGGGCATCGTCTTGCTCAGGGTCAGCTCACAGGCTGATGTACGACTCGCAACCGCAAGTCAAGCGCGGTAGAAAGCATACAATCAATACGAATGCCTCACTCATAGATTTGGAAGTGTGGAGAAATAATGCAAGAAAACGGAATAAATATCTTCAAATCATCAACCATCTCAAAACCGCTCACAAACTTTTAAAACCCCACCGCCCCCTCACACAAGCCAATCAACAAACTTCCTCCATAGAGTGTTCGGCTTCTTCACCTCCTCTCCGTCGACATCCCTCGGCGGCAGTCTCCCCGACCACAGATCAATATCCTTGGCCCTCACAAACTTGGTCTTATGCCACAGCTTCCACACGACAATGGGCACGATGAAGATGGGAATGCCAATATAGGACGCGATAAAATCGGCCGTGGACCAATTGCCCTTCAAAAACACGGGGAAGCCAGCGACCAGGGTGATGATGACGCTCCCGACAAAGCCGTACCACGCAGCGTACGGCTGCCAGGGGGCGCGCCAGGGCAGAGACTCGCGGGGGACGCGCTGGACTTGCATGGCGCGATGGAAGCGGATGTAGCAGAAGCACAGGGTGGCCCAGGCGATGAGGCCGGCGACGGTGGAGAGGTTGAGCAGCCAGGTGAAGGCCTGGCTGGCGCCGCCGGAGCCGAGGCTGAGGTAGGCGAGGGGCCCGAATAGCCACGAGGCGATGACGGCGACCCAGGGCACGCCGTGGCGGGTGGTGCGGCCGAAGAACTGCGGCAGCTGGCGGTCGGTGGTCATGGCGACGATCATGCGCGAGCCGACCCAGCAGTAGGCGTTGCCGGCGCTCCAGGCGGACACGAGGATGCAGGCGTTGACGATGGAGGGCAGGGCCGAGATGCCGGCCTCCTTGATGGCGATGACCCAGGGGGCCGAGTTGGCGTTGCCCGAGCCCGACACCAGGTTGGCGTTGCGCGGGTCGACGATGAGGCCGATGAGGAAGGCGCCGAGGATGTAGAAGAAGCCGATGCGGTAGGTGACGCGCGAGGTGGCCTTGGGGATGGCGCGGTGCGGGTCCATGGCCTCGGCGGCGCCGATGACGACCGTCTCGACGCCGATGAAGGAGAAGGAGGCGTTGACGAAGGCGGAGAGGAAGCCCAGGAAGTGGCCGGTGGGGCCGGTGATGCCGTTGTAGTCGACCCAGGCGCCCGGGTTGTTCCAGTAGCGGAAGCCGATGGCGTCGCCCTTGGGGGCGCCGCCGGTGGTGATGACGATGGACACGAGGACGAGGCCGAGGAAGCAGAGGACCTTGATGGCGCCGCCGACGACCTCGGACTCGCCGTAGACGCGCACGCTGCAGAGGTTGATGGCCAGGATGAAGACGAGGGCGACGGTGATGACGACGGCGGGCGAGACGTCGGTCCAGTAGGAGACGAGGACTGCGGCGGCGGAGCACTCGGAGGCGATGGCGATGGTGTAGCAGTAGCCGTAGGAGATGGCCAGGGAGAAGCCGACGGCGGGGTCGACGAAGCGGGTGGCCCAGTGGGGGAAGGAGCCGGCGGTTGGGATCAGGGTGGCCAGCTCGCCGATGCTCTGCATCACACACCACAGCACGGAGCCGATGACCAGGTAGGCCAGCAGCAGACCGGCAGGACCGGCCTTGGCGTAGGCAGAGCCGGTTCCGATGAACAGGCCGGTGCCGATGCCGCTGGAGAGGCCGATCATGGTGACCTGGTAGTTCCGCAGCCGTCGCTGGGTGCCGCCATGGCCGCCGACGTTGAGCTGCGGCTCCTGGATGGAAGCCTCCTTGGCCTGGAACTCGGCGGGCAAGGGCTCCTTCTCGACATCCTTGGCCGAGTCGACGTCAATGTGGCCCATGGTGTGGTCTGTCCTGGAGGGAATCAGGGAGGGGAGTGAGGGATGGGAGAGCGAGGCGGCAGACGAGGTCGAAGTAGGTAGTCATACTGGCGTTTGACATGTTTCCGACTATAGTGACGAGATCGGCTCCACGGTCTGATGCGGTTAGAGGGTGAAATTTTTCTGCCTCCAACGGTTACTGCAGGCGGGCAAGCGCGCAGCACGACATGGGCGGGCTCCACTTTAGTCGACGGAGCCGACCAATAGGCCATGATGCCGAAAGAGCTCCCGCCCTACACGCTGGACGGCCGTGCGCTCCGATCCGGAGGGAGCTTCGGTTGTGTTAGCGCCCGAGGAGCAGAACAATCTCGCCTCCGATGCTCGTGTTGTCTTGAAGCCCGAGGGTGACCTATGACTAAGTCCTGAATCATGATGGCAGGACATTGGATCATCACTGGTGCACGCCGTAACACCATTGTGCCACAGCATTGCGTAACCAAGCCATGGTCGTCTCTTTGTCGTCAACCTCGGCCATTATCTCGACCACACCAGCCTCAACACGACCGTCTCACGACACCCCATCGCCGGGTCGCTGCGGCGTGCGGAAGTTCTGATTGGCGGCCCGTCCCGGTCGTCGCATCGCATCGCGCCCACGCACGCACCCGGCCGGCCATATGTATATAGCAGCCCTCTCGTCTCAACCCGACCTCCTCCGTCTCCTCTTCCCCCTCCCCCTCCCGCTCCCGCTCCCGCTCCCCTGCTCCCCCTCCTCCACGCGCCTAATCCTCCTCCTCAACCTCTCGCACTCCCTCCTCCCCTCCCCCACCCTCCCCCTCACCCTCTCCACCTCCCGCCTCAGCCTCCCCACCGCCCCCTCCTGCTCGCGCACCAGCGCCGCCAGCGCCGCGCCGCCCTCGTCCGAATACACCTCCATCGGCAGGTCGAGCGACTTGCACGGCGGCAGCGCCGTGAGGCTGAGCTCCAGGTACCGGCAGATGATGCGCTTGGACTCGCGCGCCTGCGCCGTCGCGTCGGCGAGGTGCCGCTTGGCGGTCGCGAGGTTGGCGGTCGCGGCGGCGAGGCGGGATGTGATGGCGGCGAGGGCGGTGGTGAGGGTTTGGGTGCGGGTGGTGGCGTGGTGGAGGGAGGCGTGGAGGTGGGGGAGGAGGGGGAGGGGCGGCGGCGGCGGCAGCGGGGTTGAGGAGGGTGGTGCTGCTGCTGGGCTGGGTGGGGAGGTGGAGGAGGAGGAGGAGGAGGGCGGTGTGGATCCGCGTTTTGTGGCGGCGGCGGCGGCGGAGGTGGAGGTGCAGGAGCGCTGCTGGGCTTTGCGGGCGCTGCGCTGGGCGGGCGTGAGTGGAGGTTGTTGGGGTGGAGGATGAGAGAAAACGGCGGAGAGCGGGACTGGCGAGGCAAGGGAGATGGGAGATCAACATCACTCACCGTTTCCACGGGCATCGTGGTGAAACAGTCCGCTTCTTCTTTGTTTTGCTGGACAAACCCTCGTGGAGACGAAGCGGAAAAAAAAAACTAGGTCGTCTAGGAGGACGTGCTATAACAAGCGTAGAGGTGGCTACAGGCTCCAGACAGGCGTGGTTCGACGTGCAAGTGCTGGCGACATAGCGACTTTCTTTGGAAGAAGAGAAAAGTTTGGACAAGAAAAATTACAACCTGTGGCTGGCGTCGCGGGTCCCACGGCGCTCAGAGTTAAATCGAAAGGAATCCAGGGCTGGATGGGGGCGGCACAAAACAAGGCGATGTTATCAAGGGCTGGGTGAGCGACACGGGGAAGTGGGTGTGCGGCAGCCAGTCAGCTGGCCCCCTTGCTGCCACGCCTAGCCCGAAATGGCCGCCCTCGCCCATCCCGTGTCTCAGGTTGGTCAGAAGACAACCATGGCCGCAGCTGCCATTGCGCGGCTCGGCCCTCGACAGACGGCTGTGACTGCACCTGCGTCTCCTGCCCATGCAAGAAACGGCCCGCCACTGCCCAGCTCATTGGTCGCTGCCTGCAGCTCTCCTCGCTCTCCTTGCTCTCCTCGCCCATCCATGTCAGCACTCTGCCGCCGGCCCGGTCTCAGGCAAGGGGGCATGTCGGGGTGTGTCGCGTGGAGCGCAGTCAAGAACACCATCGAGCAAACCACAACCACCACACCCGTCAGCTGAGGATTTGCATCGTGGTCGCAGCCCCCGCGGGGATATTGTACCGAGCGGAGCCATTATGGCGCCATCCCGCCGGCCCCCGCGCAAAGTGGGGTTGAGAAAGCCAAGGAAGACGACAGTACTGTCCCTTTCACATGTATATGAGAAGGCCAGAGCTGCAACGTCCCCATGACGTCACTGCCTTGTCCATGTTTTTGTCGAACTTGCGGGAACCATCCTGAAGGAGCGCGAGAAGCTCACTTGAGCTGTCCAAGCTCCGGCCCAGTAGCTTGTCCCAATTTCCGATGGAGCCACCAAGGTCTCGGACGTGCATGTAGTCGAATGGTTTCTGTTTGCCAAAATCAGCTTAAGAACAAGCCTCTGATGTGATGTACCAAGTCCTGCCGATCCTGATCCTGCTCGTCATTCGGCAGCACTTAGGATCCCTCACGGTACCCATGGTATCTACGGCCATTCTCGTACTTGTAATCCGTCACTTCTTCCAACAGCGACGTGGTGTCGCTAGAGATATCGGACACAGAGTCGGCAGCCGTGCTTAGATTCGCGGCGCCTGGGTTGGTTTGTCCCCGTTGAGAAGCCATATGTTGGACCTCATCATCATGCAGATATCCCTTATTGAGGAACAGTTTCATTATCAGACCCACAAGGGTCTCATTCAGCAACGTATCGTCATAATCATCACCCTTGTTATCCCTTTATCCATGCGCTTATATAAACCCCAAGTAGTAGCAGTATTCAACAGAGCATCCAGCTATCAGCTTCACTTCCTACACCCGGCTGTGATGCCACCGACCGACACCATGCTTGCCTGAAGTACGCGTGAGGTTGAAGTTGGATAGTTGCTCTTATCAGGTGTGCGACAGCACCCGGTCGGCTTTTAAGCACGGGCTGCGCCGCAGTGGCACAGCATCATTCACCTCCGCATTCGTTACCTCGGAGAAAAACTTGTTAGGAAGGTGGGTTCGGCGGCATATAAGGCATGGGTATTCTTGGGTGTAGTCTGCAGCTCAACACATTATGCTTAGTCACATCATAACGCACGTTCACCTCAAACTCCGCTTTAATGCGTGAAGTTTGCGAGGCTTGATAGAGTGAGGTTGACGTCCGAGTTACGAGACTATACGATGCTGAAAACGTGTAGAAGTATATTGCTTTCCAGAAAACGTTCCTTCCTCGATGAGATCAACATGCCGTCCATTCAACGCGGCATCGCAAGGTGCCTCACTTCTTGCATCGTAGTCTTCTCAATCTCTTCCCACCGATCACTGCGGCCGTAGTAGTTCCTCGCACGGTACACTTCGTCATCTTTCTTGATGTCATCGATATACGCATGGAACCTCTTGCTCATCCGCACAACTCGCTGAAAGTGCTCCGGCTCCACCAGGATTTCCTCTCCCTCTTCGAAATCGCTCCTCCGGGACGATTCGTATTCGGCGAGAGCGATGGCAGTCTGGAACGCGTTGCGGATCTCCCTACCGTTCCACTTGACTTCAAGCACCTCGGCGTTCTCGACGACGAAGCTCTGAGCCTTCGGCGTCACGCGTATCTTGCCTTTCCGTTCGTCCTTGAGTTTCTTGAAGAAACTTTGCCAGATGCTCTTGCGCTTGTCGTCATCGAGCGGAGGGAGATATATGACGACGTGCACGCGGGACAGGAAGGCTTCGTCGATATGGCCTACACGGTTGGTGGTGAGGAAGAGCAAACCGCCAAAGTATTCTGTTTTGCGCAGGAAAGCTGCGGGTGATGTGAGCGGTCAAACTTCCAACGCCACTGGAGTCTTCTTACCGGATACGACGCCATTGCGTCCCATGTCTGTGTGCATGCGCCGCTCCAGAAATATATCCGCTTCGTCTATGAGAAGGATTGACTGCCAGCGGTGCGCCAGGTCGAACCAATTTCCCAGCTCGTTTTCGATGTTCTCCTCTTTGGTGCCGATATCCGCAAGAGTAAGGCTAATCAATGGTCTGCGCGTTGCGACAGCGGTCGACTCTGTAGAGTATCAGATGTGCGCTTGTATGGTTGACTACACTTACCGACTGTGTAGGTTTTCCCTACTCCTGGAGGGCCGTGCAGTAGCACGACCACGCCTTCTCCTTTGTCCTTGATGAAGTCTGCCGACCATTTATCCTTGGAATGGATTTGCCGGTAAGAGAGTGCGTTGATGATATCGAGATTTTCATCCCCGATATGCGTGTCCGGAATATATTTTGGCTCCTGCAGTTCGCGCATGTTTTCGACGTTGTATACGTCTAGCTTAGTTGTCAGCTTTGCCGATGCAGGCACTGGCATGTTCCCTTACGCCACTCCTTGGTCTTCAGAGCGAATGAGATGATGGCAGGACAGAGCAGAAATAGATGGTCCTTGGTCATTTTGCTCCTCGGGTCCTCGACGGGATCGATGCTCATGAAGTCTGCAAACTTTGGCCGAATTTTCCGTCCTCCCGTAACGTCCATTCGTACAAAGTCGTCGTCTTTCGGTATGTCGTCCTCCTCGAAAGTCCATTTCGTCCCTGGGAGACTATCATTGCTGCGATTCTCGCTCTCGGCAATGATTGGGCCATCGTACTGTCGACACATTAGCCGTTGACTATGAAACCATCTCAGAGCACTTGCTTACCAGTCGATCATTATCATCCATGCTGGTTCCTTTGTAATACAGGTACTGATGCCTTTTCCACAGGACATTGCAGACCTTCTCTCCTCTCTTTTCGAGCTTTTCCCTTAGTTCACCTCCATCGAGCCTGTCAAAGACGTGTCTGGGAATGATGCTGAGAGACGCGACTGCTTGTTCGCCTTCGAATGACTTGATGGAAAGCTTTCCTCGAGCACGCTGGATGCAATTCTCAAGCGGGTGGTCGAGCACCCAGTATCCCACCTCCCAGTCATCCTGATTGACGACAACGCTTTGGATGACGCAACCAATCCAGGTCTTCTGGAAAAGGCAGTACGCGAACTCACCAGGTTTCAACAGGTACCAGATGTCCTCCCACTTGACTGTTGGTGTTGTTTTGGCGAGCCGTCGGTCGATAGGACTCACGTGCTGCTCAAAGTGAGGAGTAAGAAACTTGAGAAGGACCCCCAGATGATTTTTCTTTTTTGTTCTTTCATCTTCCCCACTCGAGTCAGCTACACTATCCTCCTGCTCCTCTACCAAAGCCTGGTATATCTTTTTGAGCTCAGGGTAGTAGTGAACCAAGACCCAGTATGGCTCATGAACAGTCACAACGTCTCCGGTGAGGTTTTGGCTTTGCATCCGTTAGCATTGGAGCTAGGACCCAAGAGTTGAGGTTGGGTCACTCACGTGGGATAGTAGTCAACGACATCCCGGATCACCTGCAACAGCAATGGTGAGTGTATTTCCATTCGCGTGGGGCCCAGAGAGCGGATGCTGGTCGTCTTCAAGCTCCGTTTGGGCTGCCTGTCCTCCACTACTGATCCTGTGTCCGACACATCATCACTTCCAGCGTCATCGCGCATACGACGATCGTGTCTTCTCGAGTCCACGTTGACTGAGGTAATAACCTCCAGAACCGGAGATGGCTTGTCGTTATCATCTGGACTCTCGGATTCTAATCCTTGGGACTCGAGGTCGAAGGGAACATCATCCTGCTCTTCAGACCATTGCGGGCCACAACGAACGGAATACTCGTCGCACTCGACCCTGTATCTGATCCCGACAGACTTCTTTTCACCCTTGGTAGCCTCTGCAGTATCTTGTGGCTTGTTTTTTGATAGGCCAGAGGTTTCGTTAGCGGAGCCCATCGAAGGACCAGATTCGAGGCCTTTGGGGTCCAAAGGCTGGTCGGTGGCGGGGGAGTGTATCTTTTCCTCAAGGTTTGGGGGCTCAGCAGGCTGTCTCACTGCCACCAAAGGGGCGGCCATCCTAAGAAACAAAAGGGCAAGGCGAGGCTGGCTTGTAAGATTCTGGAAGACTTCGCACAATTTGTATCTCCCGAGTTGTCAGCTGTATGCGCCTTTTCTTGCTATTAACCGCCCCCATCTGCAGGACCTCCTGGTTCTGGATATGAAATGCGAGGATCTTACTGACAGGCGACTGCATGTTTGGGGGCCGACATGAACGTGTCACCATTATTCACAATTTCTTTTTCCGCGGCAGATACCTATCCTGACAGCCACGGCGCTTCTAGATTGGCAGAATCTCGGCCACTGTTACATTTCGCGCGTGGACAACAATGGTTATTCGTAATAGGGACCGTGTGATATGCCACCAATATGTACTCGCTGACCCGCGTGCAATGATTAGCTGAATGCTCGAGTCAAACGCGTCACCATGCAGAAAGCCTCTGCAAAAAGCCGCTCTGCGCCAGCCTCGATTGTGATTCAGCTGCAGGACCCTTACGCGAATTGTACTAGGCGTGTAGCCTGATGCACGGCATAGTGGGGCAACTTGGCCCCCAAAGGTCAGCCTCGTGGAGATAGAAGACCGAGCATCCGTCAGCTCCGGAGATGATGAACTCGGAAATCCAATGCCCCCGCCCCCATATCACAACTCACGTGTCCCGCGGCTATCACCTATAGCGCCACCAATATGACCACAGTCACGCCTTGTCCTACGGACGATACCAACGATATCCAGGCTCATAGTCTCGTCAGGCGATTCACGGAGGAGAAACTGAAGCCGGAGAAAGATAGGGAGCCTCTCGCTGAGAGCCTGGTAAACAGGGTAGAGGCTGAAAAGGGATTGGAGCGTCTCGGGCTTGTTTTGTTCCCCGACGTAGCGACCGGCCCAAAGACGGGACCGCCGCCCCCAAGGTAACCCTAAAACATTCCCCGGTCACAACGCAGATCCATGAATTAAGTAACGACACAGTATCGACGTATTTGAGGAGGTCGTGCAATTGCAAGACGTTTCTGAACGACTTGAGAAATCATGGTTGGACTTTCAGGCAACACTGTCAAGAAAAGAGCCATCACATCAAAACAAGCATCCAAAACCGGACATCGGAGTACTTGCCGCGCTCGTAAGAGTAGCGCGAGAGAAGCGTGAAAAGAACCAGCAAACAACCGGGGGCAAAGCCAAAGCCCTTTTCGTGCGTGTTGTGCAGTCTATGAATGAGCACAAGTATTTGTTCAATTTGCTGCCAAGCGGAGACCGCTACGTTTCGATCCTCACGGGGACACTGACCGTGGTTGTGAAGGTAAGAGTATCTCCAATTTGCATTAGGGCTCTAGGTCAGTCAGTAGAAACTCAAAGCTGTCTTAGGCAACCACGACATACCAGGAGACCATGTCCATCATCGACGAAGGCCTCGAAGAAATCTCCGACCAGGTCCGAGACCTCTATGTAGCAACCAGACTGAGCCCAAGGAACGCTACAATAAGACGGCACATGGCCTCCTTCTATTGCTCCCTGTTCGAATTCCTGGCCTTGCTGATGAAGAAATGGTACAGCCCGGGGTGGTTCAAGCGAGCCTTGAAGAGCTTCGGCACCTCATTCCGCGACAACGTCAAGAGCGTCGTGGCCGACTTGAAGAGATACACCGAGAAGGTGGCAAGGGAAGAGCTTTCCATTTTGGTCGAGCAGTCGAACAATCTGGGAGAAAATATGGGATTGTTTCTCGAGCGACAGGCAAAGCAAACGCTGTTCATGCAGCAGATGATGGTGCAGGCGGAACGACGAGAGAAACTTGAGAGCCTTCGCGCGCAGCAAGCAGAAGAGAGACTCCGCATGTTAGAACGTCGGATTGGTAACATGCAACTCGACGTCGCCCCGCCGACGCCTCAGATCCCGGGCAACAGTGTGGCTTCACAAGCATCCGTCATCACGGACCCCGACTCTCTGCGCATCGAAGGCTCTGCAGCCCCGAAGAGCGTTTCATGGACTGCACGGAGCATAAGGAGTAACGCTGCCATACTCGCATTCCTTTCCCAAGAGTCCACGATAAGCCGCCTCAGCGAAGAGGCTCATTCGATATTCGTAGATCAGTCCATCCTCCTCCGCCTCCAAGAGTGGGTCTACAAACGTTCCTCCGAAGCTCTCTGGATCCAGGCCACCCTTTCCGATGTCGAACCTACACCCAACACACTCAACGCGGTCTTTATGCTGGCGAGCCTTCGCAGCTTCGAAATTCCCGTGTTAGCCTGGTTCTGCACCTACGACTCGAGTGCCTCCTGGACTGAGGAGTTTATCAAGCTTGTCTACTCTTTGATCCATCAGGCGGCCCTTCTGGTGCCAGAGCACTTGACTTCCGAAGACGCTGACGATGCGGTGGACCTTTCGGAAGAAAGATTCGACTGCTTGACGGGCGAGCTCAGAACGCTGCCTGATGCACTCGCCCTACTGGAGAACTTGCTCTCGCTAGGGCCCTCGCTGATGTTTGTCATCATCAGTGGCTGGCAGCTTCTTGAGAGAAGAGAGGACCCTGAGCTACAGGGTTACTTGAGACAGTTCCTAGACATGATCTGCCGTATAGCCGAGAAGGCGGATAGTCTCTCGAGGATCCTCAAGGTTGGGTTCTTTACTGATGGTTGGAGTGAATCGCTGAAAGACGCCGAAGACAAAACGCTGCTAGTCGCACAAATCCAAGACGAGGCGGGGCAGCGTGCTGGCACTATCGGGAACGTCAAGAATGGCAGCCCAGCTGTTGTGGTCGACAACTTCACTGCCCATGAAAGTAGCGAGGCAGACGGGAAAGGGAGAAGTTGAAGCGGCTATTGCCTCTATAAATTGATACATTAGAAAAGTTCTAGCATAATGTCTCGGGTATCTTCCACACTAATGTCCTCACTCCGGCTAGTCATACTTGGAACGATAAGGTCGTCCCCATCTCCATTCCCTCTCGCACCGTCCAACTCACAACGCTCCAAGCCCCATCGGCCGTCTTCCCACCCGTCACATAACAAAAGAAAGAACCGCCCCGCTCGTAAAAAGTACAAATGAAAACAACAAACGTCCCCTCCCCTCCCCTCCCCTTATGAGTGCGGAAAAAACTTCCTCTCACTCTCACTGATACTATGCACATCATCCGCGTACAACATATTCTTATCCGACCCCGCATCCTCCCTCTGCGACACCACCGTCGTGACCTTGATCCCCTCGCCACTACTCCTCCCGCTCTCCCCATCCTCCCCGCCATGATACGGCCCCCCCTTCTCGATCGTCGTCGTAAACATCTCCGCGCCCTTCTTCGCCCTCCCGCCGCCGCCGCCCTCGCCCCTCTCCATCCGATCCATCGAGATCAACGTCCCATGCGTCCGCGACGGGTGCGAGCGCCACCGCGAGGACATGCCGCCGGCCGCATTACTCGTGCCGGCGCCGCCTCCGCCGATGGGCGAGCGCGACGCGGGGTCGGTGGAGAGGAGGTGCGGGAAGAGCCGCTTGACGAGGGCTTTGAAGGTGGGGAGCGAGGCGCACATGATGGCCACGTTGACTTCGACGCTGGACCACACGGCGGCGTTGACGTTGTCGTAGGACTGGTCGGCTGAGTCGGCGACGGTGTAGATGGACTGCAGGCGGAGGATGGAGGTGACGGCGCCGCTGTGAGGAGGGGGGTTTGTTGTTAGCGGGGAGGGGACCGGGAGGGAGGGAGGGGGGCAAAAGACGTACAATGCGCCGAGGGCGAAAATGGCCATCAGTGCGAGTTTCTGCTTCGAGGGGATGTTGAGGCCCTTGAAGGCGGGCATCGGGAGGAGGATGATGACGGTGTCGGAGAAGATGTTGATGGCGGCGTGGGCGAACCAGAGGGCTTTGGTGTTGACGCAGGTGCCTGCGATGGTGCGGTTCCAGAAGCGGTCGATGGGGGTGCAGGTGAAGACGCTGAGGAGGAGCGCTTCGAGGGTGTAGAGGATGATGAAGACGAGGGTGGCGAGGATGGCCATGCGCATGGCTCTGTGCGTGGCGAAGATGCGGAGGTATTGCATGAGGATGGAGAACTTTGTGAGGCCGAGCGCGATGTTGTAGAAGAGGATGGAAAGCCAGAAGTTCTGTGCGGCTGTCAGTGATGGGGTGCTGGGGTGAAGTGTTGGTGTGGGTAGGTTTACGAAATAGAGTTGCTCGCGCATCTCGTCACTGAGCTCTGTGATGTGTCTACCGAGTCCATATTTGACCTCTAGATGGCTATCAGTATCCGTGAAGACGGTGGGCTTTGAAGCTGCACGCACGCTGAGAAATAGTGACCGTCATTCCCGCAATAGCCGCCTGGAACTGTCAGCTGTGGTTCCACGCACGGAGATGGCGTCCGACATACACAGGCGATGGTGATGATCCAGTCGTCCCAGCCGGAAGCACGCACAATGGACACGCGGATCCATAGACGAGTCAGAACGATGACGGCAGCAACGCAAGTAACGGTCACGGTGGTGGCCAGGGCACCGGGGCCCTTGTTATCAATCTCAGACATGGGGAGGAGTTGAAGCTTGCGGCTGTGTGGAGGGATGAGTGCAAAGAGTCAGTCGGGCGGTCCCAAAGAAGCGGCATGTGTGAATGTTATGGAAGAGTGCCTGCGGCTTCTAGAGATTCGACGTCGGCAAGTCCAGCGGAAGACGCCAGGGACGCCCTCCGTAAGGCGCGGCGTGGCACGACGGTACGGGGTGGCGTGGGCACTATTGCAAGCCAAGCGAGCTGGAGTGACTAGTGATGAAGATGCGCAGCCAGGGGCATGCATGCAGGGTTGCGGCAAGCTCCCCGCATCACGGCGGACGTGCGTTTCATCATGAGGCTCCCACACACTCCGAGCGCGACCCTGGCCGCCGGACGATCAGCCCAGCGAGCGAAGCGGGGCCCAGTGTGTTGACTCGGCGAAGCTTAACTCCCTCGAGCTGCTGCGATCGTCAAAGATCGTCCATGGTCGTCAATCTATCGATACGACCGTTCATGACGCAGCAGTGGACTTGATGCTGGCTGCCTGATATCGGCGAGAGTCGTGCCCCTCTCCCCTATCTCGCCCGCAGTGCGGGAGACGGGGCGTTGCAGGATCGCAGTCCAGCCACCTGCGGCAGAAAAAGGCGTGTGCCGCGTCAGCTGGAGTCCAACGCAGCTTGGGGGCAGAGTCCATGGTTCATGACTCTCCAGGATGCGGTCCAGTGCTAGCAGTCGGCGGGCCCGCCCCTCACGCCCGTCTCCCCCGGCCGACATGTCCCCATTGGGCGACTTGCACCCAACTCCAAACCGGTGGATTCTCCAGCCCGCCTGTTCGATTCGCTGACCAAAGAGCTCTTGAGATGAATTTCACTGCAACATCCCTCTCATCTGTCATCCTCGCCAGTTCCATGCCAAGGACCGCTGTTATACTTCCGATGCCAACGTAGCCCGCGCAAACCCGCCTCCAAAGTCATCGGCTCCTTCTCCCGAGTGGTCCAGGAACTGCCGCAATTAGTGTCAATTTTTGTACCGCACGAGCCTTGGTTCTTCATGATGGGCTTCTTGTCGTCAGGTGTAAGCGAAGTGCGGGTGAATCTGGAGCAACGTTAATACCTCCATTCGCAACCCTTGCCAAGTACGGAAGCTTCCTCGCCCCTGTTCCGCAACCGTCGGGTTGGCGGGGTGGCGTTCCCCATGCGCCAGACGCGCCAGCTCGCACGCGTCTGTCCCGCGTCCCCCTTGCATTTGCCCTGGCATTTCCCACGTGGTGCGTGTTTGCCGTGCATGTCTTCGAACATGAGGCCCCAGCTGTCCGCACTAACTGGCTGCCTCTCGGTAGAAGCTTGGCCGAAGGTGAGATTCCCACCCGACTCAGTTCAGCGCAAGTGGTGCTTCCCGTCGATTCATACACGAGCGTCGTTACTCAAGCAAAACGTTTCCGTCGACTCATGTGCGGGAGTGCGCACCCAAGCTGAAATTCCTCTTCGAATGCCGACCAAATTTCCACCGCAGTTGTGCGAACAGCATGCGCGGCGGGTGATGGATTCCTGCTCTCCTGATGCATTTTCCTTTTGCTGCCTTGTCACGCCATGCAGCACGTGTTACATGCTCTCCCTCGCGGCTTGTGCCGTCGGCGCTATGCTCGGGTTCGCGAACGTCGCGTTCCCCGGCATCGCCCCAAAGGAGCGCAAACCACTGACTCGGTCACGGATTTTCCCCAGAGGTCCAGAACGCACCGTAGGATTTCGGCCTTTCCGGCAACTTATAATGTTCATCCCTTGCGTCATTTACACCACCCTCTTTCAGCCGACTAGATCTTGTGAAGTAGTTGTATCGTGGTGACGTGATAGGTCGTAGGTGTATTGAGTTGTGGTAAGATCGGAACTCTGGCTGTACATACCTTGGTGATGCGATAAATCGGAGTCGCATTATTGATCCGATGAAAAAGCAAGTCGCTGCTCGCAGTCGGCTGCAGAATGGAGTTGTACGCCAGAGAAGTGTGAAGGCACTGCAGCAGGGAAGGTTCCGTTCTTGTTCCTTCAGAATTAGAGTCGAGACTATTCCTTGGTGCCGCCTCGGTCCGTAGTTGGAAGACGCTCGCCCATCCCCGTCACCTGTTAAGGTAAGTCTCGTTTATAACGCTAGCCAATTGGACACCATTCCGTTACATTGTTTGTCTAAAGAAGCTACATTCCATTGCTCCTGTTCTTTCCGGAATTCAAATTGCGATATTATTGGTGCGCACTGGTAGGACGGGTTCTTGGGGAGAAGTGAGCATGTCAAACATCGAAAGCACCATTCACACCTTCTTAACAGTAACTACTTCTTAAGGCACTCGAAACATCAGCGGTGATAAACATCTTGCTGCACCATGTTTTAATTCATCTCACGCCGCACGTCTTATTATATCCGACGAACAAACCAATCCATCGGCACCGCAATCTATTTCCACATTGCGCAATCGTTAAGCCAATGGCTGATGATATAGCCTAAGCGATTCTGGATGAGGCGCCGGCGAGTGTTTCGATAAGAAGGAACGCGGCGCCCCACATGCCGACATGCCCCACGCCCTCCACGAGTCAATCGCCAGCCCAATCTCACGCCCCCACATTTCGATTGGCGACCGCCGATCCTTTTTCTGCAACGAGCCAGCCACCAAACGCGTTCTTTTCGGCCTGCTTTCCTCCGAGCATGGGGTCTTGAGAGTTAGTCGCTTTCCGGGCTGGCTTTTCAGCCATTCAAGCCAATCTGGCTGACGGCTGCTGATCCCACTGCTGGCGCCGTATCAGTGCGTAATAACTCGACGCTGGTAACGGGCATGAACGAACGATCCCGGACCCGCAGCGGCTGAGAGGGATGGCATGATGAAGGGGGCCGAGAAGGGGGGAAAAGAAGAAAAGAAAAAAAGAAGAAGACAGACGGCCACTGGCGCGTCGTTGTGGCGAGTGGTTCGAGCTTCAGCTGCTGCGATGACGGCCGCTGTGACAATAATGCAGTGCATCGGCGGCTCCCGCAGTTCTGGTGCCTGGGTCGACTATTTTAGTTCTGCTGCTGATCAGTGACACGCCGCTTTTCTGCAGGATGACTTCACCCCATACCGGCCTGACGGTGCCACGGGCAATTGCGAATCGTTCATCGACAAGATTTTAGCGAAAAGAAAAAGTGTAAATTCTTTCGCTTCGAATCTCGGCCACTCCCGCGTGAATGAGTTCGCCGTTTGCACTGTCTTCACTCACGCCCTGTCAGCTGATCGCTCCGTGCTTAAGCGGTATCTGTCGTTAGGCCATCCGGCTATCAGGCCACACCCGCTTTTTTTTTTCTTTCCCTCACACCTTCCAGTCCGATAAGAGGGCGACTTATCGTCTGTGTCTTCTCTCGGAAAAGCCGAAGGAAGAAGTGGGTCGGACAAGTCAGGCCTTTCATGTGTCTGACTCCGATCGGAGATCCTTCCGCTCGTTCTCATCTGTTGATCCCGCCGAGCAATCACTCGGCGGTTCCTCTCATTCTCGTATCGCTTATGAGCAGATGCCTGAGGAAAAGGGAAACAGAAGCTGAGAAAGAGAGAGTGCTGAAAATACAAGCCGGTTTAACGCAGAATACAACATCTCGCGTCCTTCGGGCATGCACTGTGTTGCCTGCCGATCGCTTCTTGCCTGCATTTTCCTAGTAATCACCAGTGTTTTCTGAACATGACACATACCTTGAGGAGCTTCCTTGGCCTCTGCGTAGTCAACTTGACAAGGCTGTTCTTGGCAAAAGAAGTTGCACTGCTCGGCACCATACCAATAGTTGACATTTAATTATCCCGTCACATATATCTGAAACAGTTGGGGGACAGCGGAACAGCGGGAACAACAGCCTGTTGTTTCTGGCACCGTGACTGAGCGACGAAGACTGAACTACTTTTATGGCACAATAAAATAAGTAAGAGGATGTTCCCGCGGTCATATTCTGCACGGTACTAGATGTCAGACCTATATTAAACGATGCAGTGGAAAACGTCATTACGGATGTGGCCTGGGATATGAGCCTCCTTAGCTCATAAGCCGTGCGTGTAACGTAGACAACCCCCACCAGCTTACGTTTGAACTCAACGAATTGCTCTTTCTAAGGGCCTACACCATGAGTTACGTTTCATGAGGAATAGGCTACGCTAAACCACTTTCAGATTCCCAATTAGGCTAACTACTTGGCAGTTCTGCGAGGACTCAAACAGTTTCTCCTCGCGCTTTATGAGATCCATGCGTATGCCTTGCCTGGTATGAGACTTAGGCCCTCACCAGTGACGTCAATAGCCTGCTTATCTAGCATTCAGTGCTGCTCTTGGATGTTCGTATAAGCCTTTAGCTGCACCGTTCTAAACTTGACCAGAGCTACTAGAAATGAATATGAATCAGAAAGCTGCTATTAGTACACGAGCTTAAAACTTGCTCTAATTAGATCACGAATATAATCACGTGCTTCCCTTCAATGCCGAAATTATCTACCGAATCTTAGTCCACCACGGCTTTTCCCGTATCAGGTATACAGCTTGGCTGCAGACACACCTAAAATAGTCTTTTCCCGCATTTCTCCCGGCTTTAGTCAGTTGTTGTCCCACCTTGGTCACCGCTATCTTTGAGATGTGATTGAGCTCAGCTTCAACTTCAATCTAAAAATACCTATGGAAAAGCTCCTTGTCCCTACCGCAGCAGGCAAAATGCATACTCTTTCGGGTTTGCAAAAGCAGAACGCTCTCAACGCGTGTACACGTGCTCGGACTGCCCCCAGATCTTCAAACGCAACGCGCATGGTGCGCGACATGAACGAGTCCATACCCGGGACCGACCAGTCTTTTGTCCATCCTCCGACAAAAAGGACCTTGTCAGCAGACACGAGCGCCGCTCTCTCCACCCCGTGGAGCACGCCGCTACTAGAGATTTAAGACCACGCAGGTCGTCTCACAGCGGGTCAGCTGCATTATCAAACGAGAAGCCTCAGACATGTGCTCCAGGATCGACTCGTGGTAGCCCGAGTGAGAGCATGTCAATAGATGACATTCTTTCCCAAGATGGGTCCACAGGAAGGCCATGTGGCGTATACTCCCAGGAGTGTTTTCGAATGATTTATTGTGGGACAGTATTGTCCGATGAACAAGGGCATCCATGCTAGACAGGTTCCTTCGTCTTAGCGTGTATCGGCAATTCTCGACACTACCGCTTGTCGAGGATGTCACTCAAAAACCTAGGCCATGGAAGAAACTGATCAGGCCCCCCTTGTAGGACTGTGATGCATCGGCGGCGGCACCTCGAGTGTGTTCCGGCGAATCTGTACCATTTCTCCGGTCGAACCAGTGCCCGAAGATGGAGTAGGGTTGTGCTGCAGGTCAGGTCGGCGAGGCGTGATGGCGGACGGGGCTGGTGACCGAGACCGTGGGGACGGCGAGGAAGGAGTCGATGCTGCTCTCGGCGTGGATGAGCCGCCGCCTGCAACACTAGGACTCGATGCACGGCTGGCCGCTCTCGATCGTTGTTGGCGAGGGGTAGGCGTGGCGTCCCGGCGTCGGTTGTTACTGACGATGATCTTGGGAAGCCGTCTGTTTCGCTGTCGCTCTGCTGGGATCTCAGGGTAGGCGCCCGCGTTTCGTATCCACTCGGAGTCGTCAAACCTGCTGAAGCCTACGGTACCGAGGTAGTTCCCGACCGTTGTCAACACCCTCGTTACTTCTCGTCTGTGGCCCCCGATGCTTGCCTGTCTTTGTCTCCGGCTGCTTGTTGGCTGTAATTCATTTGGCGGTGATTGAGAGCGATTATCGAGAGAACCTGGAGTGGCGATAGGTTGGGAAGAGGTCGAGGACAAGTCCCCGCCAGCTTCCAAGCCCAGTGAACCACTGTAGTCATGTATGGAGGCATCTATGTTTGCCTCTTGCTCAACATCTTTCGCAACCAGAAGGTAGAAAGACCCGATGGCGGCGAGCCCAGTGCCAACGATTGGTGCCCATTGGCCTGAAAGTTACAAAAGGACCTGTTAGCCACCCGTGACAGCTGGGAATGAAGGCCAAGACCTACCGATACTGGCCATGGGCTCTGTCTGATATCTGACCTGGGCACTGAAAAAGTTCATCTCGCCGAGGATGATGATAGCGAGTACTGCGCCACCGAAGACAAGAATCTCAACAATACCTAGGAACCCCCTGATTATATCGTTGACCTTCTTCATTGTCCCGATGGTGGCGCCATTTGTGCCCTCAATCTGCTCATCTTCATCCCCATCACCGAAGCGAGTATTCCAGTTCATCTTGAGGATCTTGTTCCACATCCACCCAAGGGAAAGGAAGGCAGGGATGCAGCATGCGGTCGAGATGAGCACGGCCGTGCCGAAGGTGAAACGATCCGGTGCCGGGATCACGTAGATATTGTTTGTTGAGCCGCCTCGTAAAGGAGAGTGTGGGCCTTCTTCAACAGAGCATACGAGTCCACAGGTAGGGGAATCATGGTAGGGGAACTCGGCGGCACTGGTGGAAATCGGGCTTCCATCGTTGTCATGCAGGCAGTCGAACGTCCTCGTCCGAAAGAACTCGACTGTCAAGCTCAGTAGACCTTGGTAAGGGCGATTTGTCAGCAACAGTGTAGAGCAGAACCGACCAAGACACGACTCACCAGCGAGGATAAGGCCAGTCCACAAGAAGATGGTGTTCCGTCCCGGAGTGTTGAAGTACGTCCGCGAATTCCGGACAGTGACCTGAGCGGCCAAGAGGCCTATTGAGCAAAGCTGCAGAGCTCCATAGATATCCATATCAATAGCACCTAAGAGCTACGGGTGTCAGCCCTGGCAAAGAAATAACTTGGATGGGCCTAACAACCTTCCCGGTGCATTGTCGCGAGAACGATTCCGTGGATAGCAGCGATGGCAGGGAAAAGCAATGCGGCTGCCAAGCAAACGTCCTTGAGCCATTTGGTTTTTCGAGCAGACACGCAAGCTGCTACAAGGGCATAGTATCTTGAAGAGTCAGCTAGAGCGCTTGGGCGTGGGGCGCAAACTCACAAGAATCTTGCGCCCGGCCCGTACTGGCCAGACACGGGCCAAGCACAGATGACCTGCAAAGGTCGAGTGGTAGAGTCTGCAGCTGCAAAAACCGAAGAATTAGTGGTGACAGCATTTCGGTCCATGATTGGAGTGAGCGGCGGCATGTCCCTTTGATCGTCTCCGAAAAAAAGCTTGGGGAGAAGATGGAGATGATAGAAGCCCCACGTCCACTTGTCAGCGCTTGTAGGGGGTGAAGAGTGCTGTCCGAGTTATCCTGTCATCGGGATAATGATTCGAGGCATCGTTCGAAGGCTTGAGGACAGAGGACGTGGCAATTTTAGATTGCTTGGTCAGGCTGGATAGGCATCAGCTTTGCTTTGCCTTGAAAACGCCTTGCTGATGAGGCTCAGCGGGCAGCAAGAAGCCGCCTCCATGACCAATGTCCTTTTGGGAAGCTAGTCGCGTGCTACGCCCATCAATATTGTCCAACCCAATGGTAAGCTTATCCCAGGCGGCTATATTTGACCTGTCGTATAGATGTTGCTTATTCATCACATCAACTTTTCTTTTCGTAAACAGCCTTTCCGATGATCAAGAAAAGAGATTGTTTACAGCGCTCTCGGTTTGAGAGAGATTTAGCTTTTTGAACCCCGTCTACTAGTGCAAGCCATAATAGTGGGGTACATGGTTTCCTGAACATAAATGGATAAACTCTCATTTTTCCCGACTTGGCAGCATGTGCATAATTATTACGTAGCCGTGCAGTTGACCTTTGGCGGAAGAATGCAGCCTTGCATTTCATCGACGATGATCACCCCTGGAAAATGCGATACAAAGCACCATTGGTCTAGATGGTCACACAGCATGACTAGGCGTTCTGATTAGTACGCAGCTCGCAGTAGTGCTGATCTGCGGTCGGTTGCAGCAGTGTGTAGTACATTTAGGCTGTTTTAGAACTTACCGAGGTAGCGAAACCGAGACTCAAAAGGTTTCTGCACTGAACAGAGCATGCGCAAAACCATTATATAGCTGTCCTCAGGTCGATAAGGACAGGCCCTGCAGCACATTCAAGACCATGGTAAGGACTGCTCAATATTCGGGACCTGCCATACTGCATTCCGCGCACACTGCGCTTGGCGCAGATCCTTGACAAAAGGGTCATCATGGAGAAGCCTTGGCGCGTACTCCTTCCTGAAGGGCAACCTTAAGTGGTGGTCGCAGCCGCGTTGCCTGAAAGTGTCGAGCTCCCTCGCGCTCACTCCTGTCATCGATCTCGCCAACCACAGAATGCCGGAAGATCTTGATACCGGCCAGATAAAAGAGTGGCGATCAATCGTCACGCTAATCGTCTTCGTCGTCACCAGTAAGCATACGATAAAACCTGGGAAAAGCCCACAGATTTAACTCTTTCCCCATTGGATAGATATCATTGTACTGTTCCCTTTTCATCTCACTATCTATGTGCCTCGGCTCATTTCGGACGCTGTCTTGGATGCACTTGGTGCTATGCAAGTGATAGCGCCAAGGCAGGAACACTTTGCATGTGGCTTCCAGGACGATGAAACAAGCAAGCCCAAGTGGTTTGTGCGGCTGCGGCTCCACTTGAACTTTGTCACGGCACCATTGATAGCAGATCTCTTCCTGCTAGCTATCTCGGCTATTGGGCGACAAGAAGTTCACGACGGTACCATCGGGGCAAACAACATCTCTCCGATCGACATCATGCTTTTCTTCCTGTCGCTAGCATACATCGCCATCTCCATCGATGCGTCCGGTCTAATTAGATTCCTGGCCTTCAAGGTGCTCCAATGGGGAGGAGGCGTTGGGCACAGACTATTCTTCTACCTCTATGCCTTCTTCTTCGGCCTCGCTGCCTTCATCGGAAACGATCCCATCATCCTATCCGGCACAGCGTTCCTCGCCTACATGACGCGCGTGTCAAGCAACATTGAGCATCCAAGAGCGTGGATTTTCACCCAGTTTGCCTTGGCAAACATTGCTTCGGCGATCCTTGTCTCCTCCAACCCGACCAATCTCGTGCTTGCCGGCGCTTTCGACATCAAGTTCATCGACTACACGGCAAACATGATCGTGCCTGTTGTCGTAACGGCCATCGTACTCTTCCCCTTCTTGCTCTACATCATCTTCGTGGGAGAATCTCTCATCCCATCGAAGATCATAATGCACCAGCTCCCGGACGAAGTCAGACAGAAGAAGCCCGTGAACCCCAACATCCCTCACGCCAAAGGAAAGGTGGAGGAAGAAGAAAAAGACCACACGAATGATGACGAAGGCAAACTGCTCTCGCTCGAAGAGATCATGAATCCTTTTGTGGATAGGATAGGCGCAGCTTTCGGAGCTATCATCATGGCCACGACACTCATTACCCTCCTGGCTCTCGATGCTGCCAGCGCGAGGATCGGGAAACATGCTGTTTTTTGGGTGACGTTGCCAGCCGCATTCGTCATGTTCTGCTGGGACGTCACATTCGGATGGTGGCATTGTGAAGATACACGCAGGATTGCCCAAGAAGGTCGGAAGGAGGTGGAATACGCTCGAGTTGAGCGAGAGATCAAGGAAAGAGATGCCAAACGTGGGAGTCCAGAGAGGGAGAACACAAACCGCGAATCTGCTTTAACACGGACAGTTCTGCCGGAAATTCAGATACAAAGTCAGCCTGATGTTGATGAGTGTAACAAAGACATTGAAAAGGTAGACCACGATTGTGAGGTGCTCGGACGAAGGGCTGATCAGTCGTAGGACGACAGAAAATCGACCAGTGAGCACATCGAGAGATTGCCCGCCCCCGCAACCTGTGGATACGAACTAGAAGACCTATCAGGCTCAAGCTCAAGCGGGCAAACGGACCTTGATATGCGAGTCAAGCTTGAGTTGGAGCGTCGAAAGGTGGAACGGGCGCGTAGACCGCGAACGCTCGTATCGCGCGTTGCGAATGCGTATAGGTGGTCGCAGGAGACATTTCCAACCGCCACAGCAGTATTGGCACACCTACCATACGCACTCGTGCCATTCGCCTTTTCCATGTTTGTTCTCGTTCAGGCCTTGGTCACCAAGGGCTGGGTTCCCGTGTTTGCCTACGGATGGGATCATTGGGTAAACAAGACGGGAACGGTAGGTAGCGTTGGCGGCATGGGCTTCCTCTCTGTCGTCTTATGCAATGTAAGTCTCTGTACTTTCATAAACCAGTAAGTGTAATTAGCTAACCGGCTGTACTCATGCATCAGTTTGCAGGCACGAATATTGGCACCACCATCCTGCTGTCCCGCGTCATCCAGGCGTGGCAAGAGATCCACCGCGTTAACGGGATTCCCATCAGCAACCGGACTTTCTGGGCAACCGTGTACAGCATGGCACTCGGGGTCAACTACGGTGCATTTAGCGCGGCATTCAGCGCGTCACTGGCTGGGCTCTTATGGCGGGACATACTCGCCAGGAAACATATCCACGCCCATAGTCTCGATTTTGCGAGTGTTAACCTCCCTATCATCGCGATATGCATGACGGTCGGTTGTGCGGTCCTCCTCGGCGAGATCTACATTATGAGGGACGAGTCTCCTTACGATTTACCCTGACCATTTGCCATGATTCTACTAGATCATCAAGCCTGAAATTCCCTCAACCGCTTCCTGAAGCAAAGCACGGTCGTTGTGTTTCACGAGATATGGTCCCAATCGTTGGTTGAGCAGTTCCCCATTTCCTAAGCTTTCTCTTTGTCTCAGTCATGTCATCAGATACGCATATTTAGCGCCACATGTTAGTGAGCAGTCATATCCCCATTAAAAGTTTCGCAGACTAGGTTTCATTCTAAAGCCCTTCTCACATCCGTTATTGGGGACAAGCCTGGCTGGCTCTTGCTTACCGTCACCACCAGTTTGTCCTGACGAATGGCATAACCACCTGCTACCGTCATTGTGACCGGATAAGGGGCTTTCACCTGGATTCCTTTGGCTTGTGGTGTCACCAGTCCCGATCGTGCGAACCTCTAGCTCCTGAGGACCGAAATTCACCCATCCCCAATCCGTCTCATCAGACACCCACCGTCCCAGCCGCAACAGCCTCGCCATTGCCATGACCTTGACTAGCTACAGTAGACCATCAAAGCAGACCACACGTATCTCCTCCCCAGGGCTCATTATTGAGCTGACATGCCACCATCCACGGCCAACGTCGTGCCGGTAACCCAGGCGGCATCGTCGGAAGCCAAGTAGCACACAGATCTCGCCTGGTCTATGGGGCGGCCGATGCGCTTCAGAGGGTACATGGACGCAATGGCATCGTGTCCAATGCTGCTGAAGGCACCTTGCAGGGCCTCATCCAGCATCGTGCCGTACGAAGCTGGCATATCCGTCAGCATCCTGATCCCTTCTCCTCGCTGGGGGTTCTGATTGGCCACTCACATCCAGGACAGATAGCATTGCAAGTGATGCCGAATTGACCGACATCCACGGCCACGGTCTTCGTGAGGGACACGATAGCGCCTTTGGAAGCGTTGTAGCACACTTGTTCGTCCACCATCAGCCACATCCTCTCTTTCTCTCTCTCCGCCAGCTTGAAAGATGGACGGCCACTCACCCAACCCCGGTATCCCCACCGTCGCCCCCAACGACGCAACGTTCACAATCCACCCCCTGATACCGCTCGCATGCGGCTCCTGCGTCTTCATCTGCTGGACCGCGTACTTGCACCCCAGATACGCGCCTTTCGTATTGATGGCCAGGTGAGCGTCGAACATGTCCTCGTTGCTCTCGTCGATGGGCGCCGGGTTCGCCGCCTCGCCGCAGATGCCCGCATTGTTCACCACGCTGCGCACACACACCCCCACCGCATCGTCAGCACCGCCATCAACTCTGCTCCACGACACGACAGTACCGCACACCCGCAGTATCAAAAAGCAGCAACAAACAACAAACAAACAAACAAACAAAAACTCACATATCAACCCTCCCCCACTCCTCCACCGCCCTCGCAATCGCCCCCTTCACATCCACCGCCTTGCTCACATCCACCTTCACAAACAGCGCCTTCGTCGCGCCGCCGCCATACTCCTCCCGCTGCACGAGCTCGTGCGTGGGCACGCCATCATCCTCGGCATTCGCGGTGCTGCGCGCGCCCGGCACCAGGTCGGCGCACAGGATGCCGGCGGCGCCCTCGAGCGCGAACTGCTTGCAGATCTCGCGCCCGAAGCCCGACGAGGAGCCCGTCACGAGCGCGACGCGGCCTTGCAGGCGGCGGGTTCCGGGCGCGGGCGCGGGCGCGGGCGCGGGCGCTTGCGGGGGTGGGGGCATGGCGTGGTGGTTTGGTGGGGTTGTTGTTGGTGATGGTGGTGGTGTTGTTGTTGGTGCGACGGGATGTGGGTGTGGGTGTGGTATAGTTTTCTTTTTTCTCTTTTTTTTTGGTGGCTTACGGTGCTCTGGAGCGGGGTGGGAGGGGAGGTTTTTTAAGTCGTTGTCTGGCTTGGCGACGGCGTGCCTTGGGCTTGGTTTTGCAGGCATCTGTCGGGTTCTTGTTGCGTGGTCCTGCAGGGCGTGCGATGTGTGAGTGGGTAAGCTGGCGGACGGCCGCGTGGTTAGAGCGTTGATCCCCCTCCGTTTTGGGCAATTGTCGCCGGTAGTTGAGGATTTAGCCCCCAAATCCCCATCCTTGGGCTCGGCCTAAATGGTGGTGGATGGCCGGGGAAACGCAGTCCGGGGAGGAAGAGTGGGTTGGGCGAATCGGTGCAGGCGGTTGATCATCGATCCGATGCGAAGCTAACGGAGAAGGACACAGGCAAAGGTAGTTGAGATAAAGGCGATGCAGATTTGAGGTCCAGATCTTGTGGGGCAGCGAGCTTTCCCTTGGCGCAAATGTAAACCATGCGCGAGGCTTATTTATTGGTAGTTGTTTCGACTGGGGATGTGGGGCACGGCTGATCACTCAACCCTGTTATTACCCTATATCGTAAATGCTCGCTCAAGGTAAATAAGCACCCCAGAACTTGGCTCGGCATTGCACCCGAAGCTCTGAATGCCGTGGTCGCATGCCTAGCTCGGTTCTTCAAGCTCTATCCAATCAATGTCCTGACAAGCCTTTTCCGAAATCCGAAAGTCCGAGTAACTGCCACGTCAAAAGCTCTCGGTGCGTAAGCCTGGCACGTACGAACTTCTCCTTTGGAGAAACATGGCATCTCCCAAAACCAAAGGTTGTGGGATGCACAAGGACTCTACATTCATCACACAAGTGAGGTCCTGCGGATCTCTCACAAGCTAAGCCTTCGGGAGTTCCCGAGCTTCCCGGAAGTCGATCTTCCAGAGGTGTCGGGTCCATGTCGCTCCATCACACGGGACGATCGCGGCCGATCTGCAGAGCGGCGGCCATGGGGGTATTCAAGTTGTCCCTAGTCGATCCGGCGGCGGAACACGTCCTCCGATCCGGGCAGTCTCTTGGAATGGCCAGGGCGATTGTCGGAGCTGCGGAGGTTGGGGTGAATAAGATCCCGCAGAGGTCCGAGTTGACTATTGCCTCACGCCACGACGTCTGACCGCTTCGCACGACCTCGTTATTTTGTACCACCCAGCTGCTACTTGGTGATGACAAGCAAATATCCCACCGACCTTCAGACTGTAAAGCCAGCTGTGATGCAATGGTCGTGAAGTGGTGCGTTAAGCGGCTCAAAGAGTGTTTGCCGTTCTTAGTACGAAGCCACTACTTATACTAAGATGTAGGAAACACCTCCCATTGTTCATTCACGGAGGAGATAGATATGTCCGTCCACAACCTGCGAGAGCCTTTTGCCAACCCATCCAGATGTTGACTTTTGTGCTCCCTGCGATCAGCTGATCCTTTACTCAAAAGGCGACCAAAGACCACACAGCCGCGGTACAGCCAATCAACAGTGAATCATAGAAAGTTCAAAATTCGTCGTGTGTATGTACGTTTGTAAGACGTCTGGGGTTTATGTACAAAGCCAGAGATGCTGACCCAGAAAGATGCCAACATACATCCTACTCCCGCTGTGAAGAGTTTACGGCAGCTTCAGGGGCAGTTGTTGCCGGCGCCTAGAAAATCAGATTCAATTCGCGGCAAGGAGAAAGGCGGGGCACGTACAGGAGCACTCAAAGAAGCCGGGGGTATCCAGCCTCACACAGTCGGAGCAGTATGAGCCGCCGCCACTGAGACGAGAGTTGCAGGTGAGGGCAGCGGTGTTTTCCTGGTTGATGTTGCAGTCCCAGCTGTAGACGCCGCCACGGTCGGCACACTTGCCGGTGAGATCAAGAGTCTCGCCGGCAGTGAAACCAGCGAGCAGGGTAACGAGGACGGAGACGGCGAAACGCATTTTGTCTGAAAGGCCACTGGTCAGGGATGCACGTTTGCCTTTTGCGTGCCGTTCCGCACTTACTTTGAAGGGTGCTCAGGCTGTAGCGGAGGGATTCGATGATTGGGGTTGGCTGAGGGATGAAGTGTTGGTCGCTTCTTTATATCCTGCGGGCACACCGAGAGAACGTACGATTTACGAGTCGGGCTCGGGTTCGAAAAGTCTCGATCATGCTTTCGACACGTCATGGAGACCCAGCTGTGTGTTTATACGACGGTAAGAACATCCGGTTTCCCCACACAGTTAGCTTTGGTGGGGTAATTGTTTCAAAACCCGAACCGGTCTGGCGGCCTATTCTTGTCCGCTCATAAAGAGCAAGCTGCAGGGTGAAGATGTGGGTAAACAGCTTTACCTACCTGTTCAAGCATTCAACTACCGTGATCGACGGGGCTTGGTAGAGGCAATCGAAAGATCAAGGCGCCGAGATTCCACGTACCGAAATTACAGTTCCCGAGAAGCTGCCTCATGCGACTGAATCCACAGCTCGCTTATATCAACAACATGGCACGATATCATGCCTCTGGTCTCTGCTGATTGCAGATCTGCCAACAGGTGGTCGCCTCGTTCGATCCCGCTTCCGCTTTCATTGATCTTTCACTAGTCAATGTATGGCTCTCAAATCCCACAATCTGCGGCCGAGCTGCCATGGAGTCCTTCGTTAAGAACGTGCAAGTTTTCTGCTCCCCACCTCGCAGCTGAGCTAGGTACCGAAATAGCCTTGGCTTGCTTGAGTTCCCCGCGCCAAGTCAAGTCAGTAGCTCGCCCACGACTAAATTGCGCTTCTCTCTGCATATACAGGATTTACCCTGAGTTCAACATGGCTGGGAAAGCGATGATGGTTTGGCCCCAGCCGTCGATCGACGCACCGGAAAGCTTGAAGTCGCCTTGTTTCGGCATCTGGTCGTACCTGCATACGGCAACGGGGCTGCATGAGCATCACGGCTGACATGGGCGCCAAGAACGCGAGACGCCTTCGTATTCGCCCCGGAAAATGTAGGTACGTACCTAGGCACTTTCATCCGGCTCGTCACCACTACCGTAGCGGCAGTCGACCCGGCCATCTCCCGCATCACCGGCACATACCTAGCCGTGGCGCGCGCGCTTACGCAGCAGCCGCGCCGGGAGCCTGGCTCGGCATTGTGGCGCGACGACGGTGGCAGCCCTCACTTTAGCGCGCGTCTGGATCGTGTCCGTTTCGCGGCAGTCTTTCATTTCCCAGATGGCGCCATTCCGCAATCGTTCCTGGACGACGGAGATCAGGATGTGCCCAGTCGCAATGGCCGGTACGCAGTGGAGACGACCCCGCAATCGACGCTGACAGGCTTCGCTGTCGTTGGCGCGCCTCAACTTTGAAGCGCGCGGCGGCGACCTATCACCACAACAGTCTTATCACAACTGCTCTCGGTGGCGTCGATCTTGGCTGTTAGCTGCCCGGGCGGCTGACGACAGCGCTTGCGCTTGCGGTAAAGTGCGTGCGTGCGTGCGTGGCTTCTGCTCCCCCGCAAAAGCGCGCTGGAAGGTCGAACGTAGCGGGCCTCGTGTTCGGTGGCTTTTGCCGGCCCGTTCGTTGGTGTTGTGCGGTCGTGCGGCCAATGACCACGCTCGTGATGGTGCTTGGTCCGCTTCTGTGGCTGAGCTTCTCTCCCGTTGGTCTAGGTACCTACCCCTCCTCCATGCCGGCACTTGGTCCGGGAATCGTGGGAGTATGTGGTGGCTGATTTCGAGTTTGAAGTACGCCCCCCTCTCTTTTCAGCCCTGTCCCACCGAAACATGTGCATGTCATTGTGCATTTGAATTGGCTTCCATTAAGAATATCCCTACAGAGATGGAATCAACGTGCACGAGAGTACAGGGGTGCTACTATGATGTTGATAAGGAACCTTTATCGGAACAACCCATACAGTTTGATCCCGCGGGCCGACCATGCTCTTTCTGACTCCAAACTTCTCTTCTCCCAAGACCTCAGGGCCAATGAAGGGGTGCCCATGCTTTTTCTCGAATCGCTGGAAGAAGAAATGTCCCAAAGTGCCGCCGAGTCTGTCCATGAGGTTTTTCGCAATTCCTCGAGCGGCCCAGTCGATGCAGATCAAGCCCACCCGAAGAGATTTTGATCAAAAGCAAGCTGGGTGTTGCATCACGCTCACGATTTTAATCTGCCACCTATGTCATGACTCTCACCACGATGTATGCCACAGTAGTACAGTGCGACTGAATACCAAGAAGCACTCAATGACAATATGTCTACCGACATGTAACCTTTCAGCCTCTTAACCCGCACACAGGATTGGTTGTAATTCAACAACATTGATGAGTGCGAAGGATGGTGTTGCAGCGGTGGCGATAGATGAACCATCAGCCGAACAACTAAGCCCAATCGAGCGTATGAGGCATGCGTGGCTGGCATGGCGATCATACATCCATGCACGTGTATAACGGTCATCATCAAAAGCACTCTAGCCTCATACCGGAGTGCAAAGTCATGTAAGTGGCCACCGGTCGGTGCGAAGAGTTCGGCGCCAGTGTCTGGTCTAGACCAACTCCCTAGGCGAGGATGGCATGCAGGATTGCGCAGCGGCGGATCGCCCCGAGCCGCTCACTGTGGCTCAAGCTGACAGTCAAGCAACCTAGTCGTCCCTGTTTCGCTTCCCCTCTCCGGCACAGCGATAATGGTGGCGGTACTTCCCGCTCTTTAGGGGGCAGTTTTCTCATTCATGAGACACTCAATCTTCTCGCCAGTTCTGGAGTTACCTTAGACACACCTTTGGTATAGGTAGACTCATAGTATGATAAGAATGAGACCGCTGTAAAGTGGGGGAACAGCTGCGGAGAACATGTGCCAAGGTATTACTATTGGAGGCTAGACTGGCCGAGATGTGCTTGGTGCCAAGAGACTCACGACCACCGTCCTGGGTCCGTATCCCGTAACGGGAAAGTTGTCCGCTCGGTAAAAGGCGCGGTATGGCCGCGTCATGCACCTGGTCTCAATCAAGAATGGACGGCAAAGCGGTGCCGACCGTCTTCTCTGGCGTGAGTAACGATCCGGATGCTTTAGAGACGGTCTGAACTTTCTACGGCGTGTTCCGCCCGCATTCGGATCTCACTTCGCTCTTGATGTTTCTCAAGTCAGCTTCAAGCAACAAGATAGGATGTGTCATGCATGTATCGTTTGCCAATGTCTTGTAGTCGAGGTTCCGTGCAAGGTTCTGGGGTGTGGGTCTTATCGCACCATTTGGCTTCAATATTGCAGAGGAAGCACACCGTTCACTCCCTTGCAGTTTTCCGCTTGGTCTCTGGGGGAGACCAATGCGACCTGCCACATCCGGCCAGATTATCTACACCGTTGCCGTTCATACGTCCCACTGCCCAGAGACAGGGCTGCGGATGGGTGAAGACCTCGCCACGCTGATAGGGTGCTTGGCCGCGCAGTCTGGGGAACCGATATCCGTGCATACCGAGACCATCTCGCATATATAACTGGTGGCCCGGTCTGCAAGCACAAATTTTACCTTTTCGAGACACCGTCCACCCGCCTCCAGACCGACACTACATCCACATGGCGATCGCAGGTGAGAAAGAAGACAATGCGCGGGGCTCCGGCGCTCCTACATACGAGGTGAAGGGAAAAGACGGACTTGTACGCTCCTTGCCCCTAATCTCTACTTGTGCGCCCGAAAGCCTTACACTGAACAGCTCACGGCCACAGCAGTAGAGGTCGACTCCAGCCAGTTCGAGGCCGACCTCAACATCAGCGGGGATGACTTGGCAGTCGCCGAAGAGTACGCCAAAACACTGAATTTGGAAGATGTACGAAAGGTGCGTAAGGGTCCTGCTTGCGGCTTCGCGATCGCGATTACTCAGAGCGGTGCAGATCCTCGAACATGTCATCAAAATCCATGAAAACGATCAAAACTTCCCCATCGCCGTGCTCGAGAAGATGGAGGAGTTCCTCAGCAACGAGGACGTTCTCTCCAATCCCGAGGCGCACGAGAAGCTCATCCACGAAATGAAAATCGAGGCGGCTCTGATCTACAACAATAGGTTGGTTGTGTCGTCGCTACAAAGGATCGTTAGAGTTATTCCTAATCTTGGCTAGTCCTTACGCCGAGGTCCGTGCCGTGGTCGACAACACGGACGATCCGTCCATTCCCAGCGTAAGCACCGCCACCAAAGACCCTGACGTTTCCTACTGACATAACACAGTCCACGATTCGTGCTTGGACCATTGGACTCCTGTTCGTCATTGCAGGTGCCTTTATCAACCAGCTGTTCAATATCCGTCAGCCCACCATCAATGTCGAGGCCAATGTTGCTCAGCTGCTTGCCTGTTAGTAATCCTTAGACATTTCGGCTCGCTCACTAATCCAACTGGTACACTACAGTTCCACTTGGTAAAGCCTGGGAGAAACTGATGCCTGATTGGCGATTCTCCCTTTTTGGCAACGAAATCAGTCTGAACCCCGGCCGTTTCTCGAAGAAGGAGCACATGCTCATCACCATCATGGCAAATGTGGGCTTCAATGTTCCTTACACAAATTACATAGGTAGGCACAAACCAGCAGCCATTCTTCGTTCTGTCATAATAATAACCGTCAGTCTGGACCCAATACCTGCCCAAGTTCTTCAACCAGTCCTACTCCGGAAACTTTCTATATCAGATCCTCATCGCGTTGGGTACAAATTACATCGGCTATGGTGTTGCCGGAATTTGCAGACGATTCTTAGTCTACCCAGCCCATTGTGTTTGGCCATCCTCTCTAGTCACCATTGCCTTGAACGCCTCGTTCCATGAAGGTCAGCTTTGTCCACGTTCTCGGAGGAAAAGAAACCCCTTACTGAAGCGAGTTCACAGATAAGGACACCCCAGTAATCGGCCCGTTAAAGCGTATGTTCACGACCTCTCGCCTACGATGCTTTCTCTTTTGTTTCGTCGGCATGTTCTGGTGAGTAATCCGGCCATGATCCAATATCCTTAGCAGCTCACCCTCCATAGCTATTTTTGGTTCCCCAACTACATCTTCCAGGCCCTAAGCTACTTCAACTGGATGACTTGGATTGCCCCCAACAATGTCAATCTCAGCGCCGTCACCGGCATGGTGAACGGCCTCGGCATCAATCCCATCCCAACCTTTGACTGGAATACTCTGCTTTTCCTGGAGGGAAACTCACCGTTGGTGCTTCCATTCTTCTACTGGGCCAACCAGCTGGTCGGAATGCTCGCGACAGTCCCAGTCATCCTCGGCATCTGGTATTCCAACATCTACAACACGGGTTACCTGCCCATCAACTCCAACCGCGTGTTCGACAACATGGGCCAGGAATACAACATCAGCCGGGCCATCGATTCACGCGGCATGTTTGACGCCAGCAAATACGAGAACTACTCGCCGGCATACCTCGCGGCCTCCAATCTTCTAGTCTATTTCTCCTTCTTCGCCATCTACGCAGCCACCATAACCTACGCCTACCTCTGGCATCGCCATGAGATCTGGATGGGCTTGAAGGGCATGTTTAAGCGTGGAGAGAAGACTGCGTACCAAGACGTTCACAACAGGCTCATGTCGGTGTATCCAGAAGTATCCGAATGGTGGTACCTCGCCGTACTCCTCGTCGCCATCGGCTGCTCGATCGGGGGTGTGGCTGGATGGGAGACGTACACGAGCCCCGGTGTTGTGTTCTACGGTCTCGCTCTCTGCCTGGTCTTCGTCATCCCCGTTGGCCTGATCTACGCCATCACAGGGCTGGAAGTGACGTTGAACGTCATCGCCGAATTCATCGGGGGGTCATGGGTCGCCGGCAACGCTCTGGCCATGAACTACTTCAAGTCTTACGGGCAAGTAACATCGACACCAGCCTCTCAACCCAACTACCACCGCTGACAACCACACCAAACCCCCAGCTACGTGACCTGCTCCCACGCCCTCCGCTTCTGCAACGACCTCAAGCTCGCCCACTACGTAAAGGTGCCACCCCGCCACACCTTCTGGGCGCAAATCGTCGGCACCTTCGTCTCGAGCTTCGTCTGCACGGCCGTCATGAACTTCCAGATGAACAACATCCCGCGGGTCTGCGAGTCCGACCAAGCCAACCACTTCACCTGCCCGGGCATCAACACCTTCTTCACGGCCGCCGTCCTCTGGGGCACCATCGGGCCGATCAAGGTCTTCGGCCGCGGCGGCCAGTACACCTGGCTGCTCCTCGGCTTCCCCATCGGGCTCCTCTTCCCCGTGCTCGCCTACTACGCGCGCAAGAAGTTCCCCAAAGCCCGCTGGCTGCGCTTCGTGCATCCGGTGTGCGTGTTCAACGGGCCGATATCGTGGGCGCCGGTACGTCCCTCCTCCCTCCCTCCCTCCCTCCTTCCCTCCTCCCTCTTCTCGCCCGAGTGACGGAACACTGACATGCAATACCCCGCGTCATTAGTACAACGTCTCGTACCTCTGGCCCACCGTCCCCGTATCCTGGCTCTCGCACATCTACCTCAAGACGCGCCACACGGGCTTCTGGGCGAAATACAACTACGTCGTGTCCGCCGCGTTTTCCGCCGCCATCGCCATCGCCGCCATTGTCATCTTCTTCGCGCTGCAGTGGTCGAGCGTCGAGATTGATTGGTGGGGGAATAGCGTTTCGTTTAGGGGGTGCGAGGGCGATGCGTGTACGGCGTATACGTTGGTGGAGGGGGAGTACTTTGGGGCGAGGTTGGGGGAGTTTAGTTGAGGGTGGTGGTGGTGGTGGTGGCGGCGGCTGTACCGCTGTGAACCTATTGATCATGAGACCGAAACTAGTGCTAAACCAGCAGTTTGTCAATGATGGGACAGAGATAATCACTTCTATGAAAGGACAAGGATACAAGTATTACGAGCTATGCGTTCATACTGGACTAACTTCGGACGAGGGATTTCCGTAGTGAATCGGGTCCGACGTCCAGTACAAGCCTACGCGGCTGTAGATGTTCTCTTGTTTGAGAAGGAGTAGGCCGCGATAATGAAGGTGTCCATCCTCGTAACATGCTGTTTGCAACGAGGAAAGGTTCGTGGGCGCTGATGACGGCTTTTGGTTTCTCCAAAAATCTTTGGGTAGGGCTTTACAATAACTCAGCAGCCAAATAAGCCTCTCAAGTTCCGCAAATACACCTTCCGGAGACTACAGTCCCTAAAATGGTTGCGAGACCCTCGAGAGCGGGTGGCCGGTCGGACAATTTCGTAAGTTCCAGTTTGACGTAGTCCGCTACAATGTCGAGCCAGGTGACGAAAATGTCTTCAAGCGGACTGGACGGTACAGCTTCTGCAAGCGGAAGCACTTGACACCGGATCTCTGTAGGTCTTCGCACAGACGTAACCGCCAGGCGCTTTCATATCCTGAAGGTTCATTCCAGCGCATTGTGTGCACGGCAAACCGGATTTGCCGACTTTGATAGGCTCGTTCGTAGCGTCATGGAATGAACAGGCTTTGGGTGGTGCTGATTTGCCGCCATCGCTGCTCGCGACCTTACGTACCGAATGTTTGTTGGATTGACTTGCTGACCCATTCCATAAGATTATTCTATGCGCCGAGGAAAGGGTTTATTACACACAATTGACTAGCGAAAAGTCCACCAATTGGCAATCCATATGAGAGCTCTTGAGGGATCGGATGTGCATACTCGAGTGTCGGCACATATTCTGCTGCCTTGGCCTCGGCAAGAAGCCTAGTCTGTTGATGCTCTGGTGTTGTATGTGATGTGAAAGATGAGATGATGTTCGAATGTTCTCTGCCGCCCTTTGACACTCAACGGGACCCAATGAAGGACTACCATGCCCAACAGATACACTACTCCCAATCAGAAATTGAACCGCAGCAACGCAGGGGTGATTCTAAACAATGGATTTTTACGTCAAAAATCATAAACTCTGGACTTATACCTGCCTGTTGCTAGACCGTCCTCACGACTCCAACAAAAGAATACCACGACACGAGCCATGATGTGGACCGCGGATGGAGTGCGGATTCTCATAACCACATCGGCCACCATAGCCATGATAACCCTAGTCTGCACCCTCTGGGCCCTTTGCGACCTCCACCCACGTTCCAGCGCGCCGCAAACCCACTACGCCACCCGCCCCATCAACACCTCTCGCCCACTCCAAGCCGACAGGGTCTTCGCCACCTTCCTCACCTCCCTCAGCGATGACGCCAACCGTGAAACCGACGACAACTACTTCACCGCCGCGCGCATACTGACGTACCAAATGCTGCACGCGCCCGAGACGCGCCTGCGCAACCCCGTCCCCTTCGTCGTGTTTGTCGCGAGCTCGGTGTCCGTCTACAAGCGCGAGCGGCTGGAACGCGACGGGGCGACGGTCATCGAGCTCGCGGGGCTGACGGCCGACTGGCTCGAGCCGGGAGACTCGCGGTGGTCGGACGTGATGACGAAGGTGCGGATGTGGGAGATGGACCAGTTCGGGCTGATCGCCTTCATCGACGCCGACACGGTGCTGCTGCAGCCGGTGGACGGCCTGTTCACGGACGCGGCGGTGCGGGAGTGCAAGACGGGGGAGCAGTACCCACCCGTGGCGGCGGCGGCGGCGGCGGCGAGGACCGACGTCAGGGGGCGGACGTCGAGGGCGGCGGAAGCAGCAGCAGCAGCAGCAGCGCCACCGACATACACGACGGCGGCGGGGGTGGTCCTCCCGCTCGCGGCGCCGCAGCCCGCGTCGTACGTGATGGCGGCCATCACGCAGATCAGCCAGGACCACGACTTCCCGCCCGTCCGCCGGGGCAAGGACGTGCCGAACCCGACGTACTTCAACGCCGGGCTGATGGTGTTTCGGCCGTCGCGCGCCATGTTCGCCTACTACCGCTCGTTTCTGGACATCCCGGGCATCTTCGACCCCGCGCTGCCCGAGCAGGGGCTGTTGAACTACGCGCACCAGCACGACGGCGACATGATGTGGACCAAGCTGGATCCGGTGTGGAATACGCAGTATCCCAGGGTGAACGACATCGACCACGGCGTGCGGATGCTGCATCAAAAGTGGTGGCATAAGCCGCTGGAGGAGGGCATGGCGGAGCTGCTGAGAGCCTGGAGGTGGAAGATGGAGGGTTTCTACGAGGGGCTTGATCGTAGAGCCCAAGACCGCGCCTAGAGCGCGTGTGCGGTAGGCGAGAAGGCAAGTTTTGCTTGGGACGTTTTTCCTTTATTTCTTATGCGGTGCGGAACAGGCGAGGTGATATCGGGTTGCACGAACGAGCGGCAGCACTTGTAGACAAACACGGTATACGGTTATTGACACTTATTTGAGCATTCATACTGAGCCAGCCTTTGGCATCAGAGCACGGCCACCATGTCTGCGCCGACCAAAATCGAAGACTCCCAAAATATCCCCATGACCGCGGACAAGAAGCGTCCGCAAGAGCATGTCGTCGACGCAGAAACCAGCAGCAACGAGAGAAATGTTCACATCCAACATGGGGTCAAGCGCGTCGAGGCCATCAATCAGGCCCGGTCCATGAAAGCTCTCGTCATCACTGCCATCTCGCACGTTCGCTCCCCAATTCAGGAGGATTCCACCGGATTGACCTGACGCAGTATCTACATCTGCTCTTTCGTAAACTCGCAGCAGCAGCAAATCGCCGGGAACTTGGGCGTATACGTCACTTCCAGCTTCATGCTCCCCACCGCCAAAATCATCGACATCTGGGGACGCGTCGGAGGCTTCATCATCATGACCCGGTCATGACGGTGGCGTGCAGGAATGTCGAGACCTATGCCGCTGCCCAAGTCTTTTACTGGGTGGGCTACAACCGCATGGGCTATATCATCAACGTGTTTCTGGCGGACATGACTTCGCTCCGGAACCGCATGATGCTGTACGGCCTCAACTCGACGCCGTTAATTGCCAATTTCTTCGCCGGCCCAGCTTGTCAATATATAAAACAAACAAGAATTTTGCTCATTAACAACCTCGATGCGATGGTGGTGTAGTTGGTTTATCACGTCAGTCTAACAGAAGGCCTCCTCTGATATTATCGAATGTATCATGAGCCACTGGTCCACTGAAGGTCCCGAGTTCAAACCTCGGCCGTCGTATTTCTTTTTGGCTTTTGATGATTAGGAAACACGCCAAATCAACACTCGGCTTTTCCTTTTACCGCAGTGCAAAGAAAATTTTTCTCTACATTAGTTGGTCCAAGCGCCTTACTTCAAGTATTTCGGGCCGCCAAAGTGACTTGATTATTATTACCCTCAATTTATGCAATGGTATTCCGACAAATCTTGAGTCCCTGCATAGTGTTTTACAGCACTTTCGCGGTTGAACCATTGTTTTGGCGTCCGTTGCTTGAGCTGAAGGTTGTCGAATGGCATGTCGAATTCTGTTAACGAGGAAATACTATGTTTGCAGCTCTCCAACGCCCAGGACAGTCTGTCTCACCCACTTCTTCAGTGATATGTGTTGTATTTGCATTGCAAGATTTGAAGTTGTACGCTTTTTGCACCCAGGATTGGACCCACGATTACCCATGGAAGCTATCTAGATGCGAAGAAATGCAGATGTTCCACGATATGTTTGTCGACAACACAGCATACTCGAAGAAAGACGCTTGAGCGAGTATGCCCATGGAGCAATATTCGGGTTTAATCCGTTGCCCGCACATTCACGTCGGGTAGCCGTAGTATCTGAGTTATCCATACAACATACACGCCTGTTAGTCGTACGCATAGTCGGAAAAACACTAGCTAAGTGGCATCCCGCTTGGGTAAGGGGTCGTAGTAGGGACAGATACCCAGGCCTAAGAGAATATGTGATGATTACCTGGAAACAGATTTGATACCGTTTGTGCAGTCGCCGAGGAATTTATTTTTTTTCTCGTTGGAAATCTCGAAACGTCTTCCGAAGGGATCAGTACTTTCTCAAACCCAATCTCGAAGAATGCACATGGGCGCAATTGGCCACTGACAAACCAGAGAGAAGACGGCTCTCCAGCGTCGAAGCATGCGTGCAGATCACCCGCCGATGCGCAGTGATCCCCATGATTTTCACATGCGAAAAATCGCCTCAATCTATCCAAACCACACCAAACCACACCACACCCTCTTTCATCGATTCCCCCGCACACCAACCCCGGATCAATTCCCCGTACATAACCGCTGACGCACCCCGCGCGCCTGCCACCCCCTCAACTCCACCAACCAAAGACCGTTCCTTCCTCACCACCACTCCTACCGACAAGCGCGCTGCCGTGATCAGACCACCCCAGCGAACCACCCATCAAAGATCACGCCCCCTTCTACAACGAAAAGCACGGCAGCCATGGCGCATTTCAACGCCCTTATTCACGATCCAGTCAAAACCTCCCTTACCTGCAGAAAGATTGAACCGAGCCGAACCGCGACCGAGAAGCACGCAGGCTGAGGCAGAAAAGAAGGAAGATAAAGAAGTGTTGGGAAACGATTGCTTCGCTGCGGTTGGTAGGTGCGCAAGTGCATGCAAAGACTCTCTCCAACAGAAACGGCACAAAAACACCAACACCATCATCACCACCATCATCGTCATCGCTGTCACGCGTCCGGTCTAGCCACGCATATACAGGGGCGTCATTCGTTACTTGGCGACACCATGCACAGCGCGGGGAGAGAGAGGGGGCGCTGATGCTAGATAAGCGATGATGAACAAGAAACAACGGCGCGCGCGCTGGCGCCAACGAGCCGCCGCGATAAGGAAAGGCAATGATGCTAAGAACGTCATAATCACAAGCGTCGGAGAGGAATGCGAGGACCTTTAAAGAGAGGGGGAGGGGCATGCGAAGGAACTACAAGAGAGAGAGAGAGCCTGCAAACAGGAAAGAATGAAAAAGGGACAGGTGAGACCACACCCCCCATCCCCCGCAACGACACTCCAAGCACCAGCCAGCCAACAAGAACCAACAGAGTCAACGAGTAGCAGACTGGAAAACTCCCGAAAGACTGAATTCGTAAAACTACGTACATACATACCCCGGACCGTACGCCGTCCGTTCCGTTCTGGCCCAAACGCCACGCCACACCGTCCCAGCTCGCGCGACGGACGGAGATGCGCATCGTCATCTGAAGATGGATCTACCTTAGGTCGGACGGGCGGCATCTGCCCCGCCCGTCCTGCCGCTGCCGCTGCCGCCGCCGCCGCCGCCGTCGCCCGCTCTGGCCTCACTCTGGCCTTGAGCCGTGTCATCTCCGCTCTCCGCATTCCTCCCTCATCCCAACCTCAATCTCTACCGTTTCTTGCTTGCGCTCTTTCAAGCTCACTCACCCTCTCGCGGTAATCAATCTAAAAACCTCCCAAGTAAGAGACATGATGATGAAAAAAGATCAAGGAAACAGGAGAAACGAATCCGCTATGCATCGATCATTCGATCAGTCAATGCCACCCCGACCCAACCTACTTCGAATCTCATCTCATCTCGTCTAACATTCCACAACCCGACCCGACAATCTTTATGACAAGAAAGAAAGAAAAAAAAAAAGAGGAAGAGAAGAAGACGGAGCAAGGCCTACAACGACGACAAGAACAGCTTTACGCCACCCTCCTCCTCGCCCACAGCGCCTGCAAAAACGCGCCATAGCTCCACGTCAAATCCTCGGCACCACGCTCGTATCCGGTCCAGCGATCGAACTGCTCGCTGAGCGACCCGTCGCTGCTCGCATGCCTGCGGATGACGGCGAGGAAACCGTCGCCCAGGGTCTTCAGCCGGCCTTGGGCCGTCTCGACGACGCCGGTTCCATCACCGGCTTCGTACTTCTTGCGGTCCCACGACAGCGGGCAGTCAGACGACGAAGAAGGGCAGACGAGACCGCGCCAGAAGTCCCAGCCCGTCTCGCTCACCTCGACGGCGGCGGTCCGGTTGACGGCGTCGGCGGTGCGGAACAGGATCTCGGCGACGCTAGCGGTGCACAGGAACCACGGGTTGCCGGCGCCCGGGTGCGGCGCGGCGTAGCCGTCGTACGCGTCTTCCGGGTAGCGGCCGACGCCGGCCGGGCGGAGGGGATCCTGTTCGTTGGCGGCGAAGTCGTCGGCCTCGGACGGCTGGGCGTTGATGGGGTAGCGGTCGCGCTGGTCCTTGACGAACTTCATGAGGGTGATGAGCACCGCGTCGTCGTGCGGCGGGTACACGGCCGGGTCCGGGTAGGCGGGGTCGACGGCGTCGGTGCCGTGCAGGCTGCCCAGCAGGACGCTGCAGTCCATGCCGGAACGCTGGTGCTCGGCCTCGGAGCCGCGCGTGGCGCGGATGTAGCCGCCGCGAGGGTCCCAGAAGTCGTTGCGGATCATGGACTCGAGGCGCGCCGCCTGCTCGCGGTAGAAGGCGGCCGCGCCCCCGTCGCCGAAGGCAGATGCCACCTCTGCGCCCTCGCGCAGCGCGCGGAGCTGCGCCTGCGCCGTGAAGAAGTGGCGGCCGCGCACCTCCTCCCACACGTCGAAGCCAGACTCGGCCCAGTGCCGCGCCACGTATTCCAGGTCCGCCTTGATGATGCTGCGCGCCGGCAGCTCGGAGTTGTACAGCCGTCCAAACAAGTCTTCGGAGGACGCGGCCGTGCGCGAATCCCACACCCCCGGGTTGCTCTCGTTGTATGCGCGCATGAACTTCATGAGCGCCGTCGCCCGCAGCGCCGGACCGTCGCGTTGGGGACGGCCCCAGTTGGAGGTGAAGGGCGACCCATCGACCTCGAACTTGGGCTCGCCGAGCCCATCTAGGTTGGGCCACGAGAAGTCGCCCGAGGGGTTGGGCGTGTGCTGTATCTTCTGGGAGATGGACGCGTACGATTCAAGGGTCGGCAGCAGGATGGTACGCGCGAGTTCTGAGGAGGGGTCGGCGACGTACAGGTCCACGACCGTGGCCATGGTTATGCCGGCGTCACGCACCCCTAGCAGCGCACCCAGTCAGTCGAGTTGTTCACAAGTGCGGGGCAGCTACTGACATTGGTAATAGTAGTTTGGATGTTTCTTGGACGGACTGGCGATCACTGTGCCAGGCGCGGCGTGTTGGGCATTCCGGCCGCTTGGGGCAATGTTGGCCAGCAACCTGTCGACGGCGATGTCTTCCTCCTGGTCCAGCCATGTGTCGAGGCTTTTTCTGGCGGCGGGGAGGAGGCCAATCTGGTCGGACAGGGCGTGTGCCTTCTCTTGGAGCAGGTCCGCGAGGGCGGCGCCTTGCAGCGGGGCCTGGTGGTCGAGCACGGCGGGGATGACGAAGGCATCGGCGCATAGCAGCAGGGCTGCGCCGGAAAGAGAGAGGCGAGCAAACATGACGACGTGAAGGAAGCGCGCTAGAGGGTATCACCGGCGGTCATCAAACGAGGAAGAGTTCAAGCAACTGGAGATGTCTCAGAGGGAGGACGGGAAGGATAAAGAGGGCGGCGGGGCCTTAGGGGAATGGGGGCAAAGAAGAGCAGCCCGGGCGGCGCAGGCTCACGGCGACGAAGGCGCGCCTGGCGGGTGAGGGCGGCCTAGTGTGGGCGGCCATGACTGCTGCGGGCAGAGTCGCGATGCGCTCGTGGCAGGTTCTGTCTCGCAGGTGCCGGGTGCACCGCCATTGTCCCGATCCAGTCAGCGCGGCGCGAGCGTGGGCCGACGAGTGAGAAGGCGCGGTTCGGCGGTCGGGTTACGGACCTCGGACGGGTGTCTGAGCTGGAGCTGAAAGAATGACGAGAGGTCGCGGGCCTGACGTGGGCGCATGACAGACAAAGAAACGGTCGCGGGGCCGTGGCGAACCAGTTCGCGCGTCATCGCCCCAGTCACATGCGCTCGCCCGGCTGCCGTTCCTGCAGCAAGAGCCGCCGGCCGGGCTGGATTTGACCTCGCCCGCCAGCCTGGCAGCGCAGCGCGCGCAGCAAAAGTCAGCATACATGCGTGCGCAGCTCGAGGCCTGCCGCGCTGAATCCGAGCACCACCGCGTATTCCGGCCCGCGGGTTGCCCCTGGAGCCTCCTGTCCTCCTGTCCTCACCGATCCTTCAGGCGGCACTCACGCGGACTGGTCTGTGACGTAAGCGGTGCACGCGACGCTCCGGTCCAGCCAGCCAGACATTGCGGGGCCACATGGGCAAAAACCTGGGGAAGCCAGCCGGCCTAACGGCTTTGGCAAAGACGACGGGTCACTTCGGGGAGATCAGGACCAACGCGACCGCGGGGTCTTGTCCGACAACGACTCTCGGCCTGCCATTCAAGGCACGACAGCGCATAGCAAAGAGGTCGGCCACGATGCTGCCCACACTAGCCCCGCGATGCGCCGCTGCACCGCCGGGGTTCGCGCGCCTGCGATTCGCCGGCTTCCGTCAGGAGACGTTTGGCGGCGGCCACCGGTGGCGCAACGGCCAGCCTGCGGTCCGCAGTCGCACGTCTCGCGACTTGCCCACCAGCCAGTCGTCGTGCGTCTTCGAGTTGCATGTGATTTTCGAACTGCCGAACCCTCTCCGTTGCAACCGCCCAGAGAACCCGCCGCCGGCTTCAGACATTTTACCAGCTACGTGCAGCCGCGGAACTATCCTGCCCTTCCGACTGGATGTCACCGCTAGGTAGGAAAACAAAAAGCGGGTAGATCCATACTGGTGCGGCCCGACCGTAGGGTCCAGGCACGTCTCAGGCTGACGTGAATGGTACGGTTTGACATGTGAAAGTTGGCATTCCTGGTCCCTGAGAAGGGTGCCCCTATCAGTATTCTTCCGCATTTAGAACCCGACAGGAGAGACGGCACACCTTGCAGCTCGGCGGCATAATCAGAAGCATGGGGCAGAGCATAGACGTCTTGATTCGAGCCAGAGATATGCAAGATAAGACGATCAGGTACGCGGTTGGCCCGCTAAGCCCTGCGGAACTGAAAAGAATCTCCCCGACCCAGACAGAGCCAACGACAAACCTGAGCGAACCGAATGCTTCTGCCTGGACACATGGCCCATGCCGTAGCATCATGTCGCAACACTGGCAGCTTGTCGTCATGACAAATGCACCAGCATACAACCATCCCATCGAGTTCCTGATCGGGAAACCCTAGCTCCTGACTGTGCCTCCCGCTCCGTCTTCGGGAACACCAGAGACCGTATTTGGTTAGTCGCCCCGTGAAGTGTCGTAAGTCTGGAGACGGCGGCCCCCTACGGAGTACCTAGACGTAGAAGAATTTGAAGGAACCGTAAGCACGCAACTGCGTGTTCGGAAGCCACCCGTACCACACGTGCATGCAACGCGACATCTCGCAACCAGACTTCACACCGCAGCCCGCAGCCATCGAAGCTAACGTCTTGACCGGTAACGATGCGGTCAACGTCCGAGTCCACGTGCCTTTCATAAAGTCTTCTCTTCTTTCCATGCACATGCTTCCATCGCCACACCGTGCAGCTCGTGACCATCACGTTCCCACTTCGCCAAGCCTGGCGAGCACAGTACCTCCATCCGCCACTGCACTCCTGCGCAAACCCAAGGCGTCATCCTCCCTCACAAACATCGCCACACCACACCATCACCCCGTCTCCAGACCTGCACCCCACCCTCACAACTTCCCCCTCACCACCCCCGCCCGCCTTGCTCCTCCCTCTCCTCCACCGCCTCCATCCTCGACGACATAGCCATGCGCCACCGGATTCAATCCGCCATTCGCCGCCGGTGGCAGCGGGAACGGCGGCCTGTGCAGTGTCGGTGAAAAAAACACCGGGTGTCTGACCGCAGCGTCGTAGTGCTGCGTGATCGGCGTGTGCAGTAATCTGGGGTGGAGGACGGGCTGTTGCTGCTGCTGGGGTGGCATAGTTCCAGGTCGAGGCGCGAAAGCGGGGTGGGGAGCTGGTGCGGGCGTCGTCGATGTTGACGTGAGGAAAGGCGGCATGGCTTCGATCTGGGAGCGCGGCGGTGGTTGTAGGGTTCGACTTCGAGTCTGGGTTTGCGGCGGCGTCGTCGTCGGAGGGAACGAGGGTTCGCCGGGTGCGTACGCAGAGGAAGTTTGGCGTGCTTGTTGGCGCAATGGCGCGGGCAGTAGTTGCGTTTGGCTGGGAGACGGGAGCTGGGAGGGCGGTTAGTCGCGCGATGCGGATGCGATTGATGCACACGCACTTTTGGCCGCGAGGGCTGCAGGGCGGGGAGCATTATTGCGTCGTAGGTGTAGGTCGTAGGTGTTTTTGCGGGGAAGGGAAGATGACGGTGACGGCATTCCCGCGCGACGCGCCCGCACCGCGCCTCAACCGCCGGGCCGACGCCGCGCCACGGAAAAGTCGACGAACTGCGGTGCGAAGCTGTCAGGCCCATCACCGCCCTCGAGATGCGCTTCCTCTCCGCGCGACGCGCCCTGCCGACAGCGCTGCGTCAGTACGCAACATACTCGCGTAGCCCGCTGATCCGCATCAAGAATGCGACCTTCTACCGCAACCATCCAGGCTCGCACAGCGATGAATCACCGAACCCACCGCTGTACCCGGGCCTCAACTTTACTCTCCCCGCCAAGTCGAGACCCAACCAGCATTGGGCCATCCTGAGCCCGAATTCCGCCAACCGCACCGCCTTTCTGCAGATTCTGCGCGGCCAGCACATCAGCATCCCGCCCTCCGCCCGTTCCTACCCCTACCTGCTCGCCGATGAGGTCGCGAAGAAGGACCCCCGCCTGCGCAATCCCCACAATGCGATCCAGTACGTCGGCTTCGACGCCGAGCGTGGCGGCCTCCCGGGCGGCGCCAGCACCAAGGGCGCCTACATGAGCGCGCGCTATGAGAGCATGCGTGAGGTGACGGACTGGAGTGTGCGCGACTACCTGCTGGGCAAGACGGAGCTGAATGCGGACGAGAGCCTGGCGGTGCGGCCACCGGCGGACATGGTCGAGCGCGTCATGGATGACCTCAACCTAGAGGCGCTGCAGGACATGCCCGTCAGCCACCTGAGCAACGGGCAGACACGCCGCGCCCGCATCGCCAAGGCCTTGCTGGCCCGCCCGGAGCTGCTTCTGCTGGACGCCCCGTTCATGGGCCTGGATCCCGTCAGCCTGGAGTACCTGTCCGACCTGCTGCATCGCATGGCCGAGGCCCGCGAGCCGCGGCTGGTGCTCTCGCTGCGGCCGCAGGACGTCATTCCCGAGTGGATCACGCACTTCGTCGTCGCCGGCGCCCATCCCAAGGCCAGCGTGATGGGTGACCGCCAGGAGATCTTCGAATTCCTGAGCGAACATTACAAGCGGACCAACGAGACCGATTTCGAGTTCCGTACCGCGTATTGGAAGATGACCGGCAAGAACCCGCAACTGACCTGCAAGTTCCACGGAGAACGTGTGGTGGACGTCCTCGATGAACAAGCAGACGAGATCGTGGCGCTCTACGACATTGCTCGGAAGATGGACGCCAAGGGCGACTTTGATGTTCTCGCTACAAACCCAGAGGCTGCGGATGTCCGTGCTAAGCTCAGACGACCGGTGGCCACCAATCCCGATGCTCACACAAGAGATGGCATATCTTATTACGACACCAAAAGATATTTACCAGGAGAGACTATAATAGAGATGAAAGGTGTACAGATCAAGTATAACGATAGCGAAAATCCTGTCCTAGGAGATTGGAGGGGTGGTCTGTATTGGGAGGTAAGAAGAGGGCAGCGTTGGGGAGTGTTTGGACCAAACGGTAGGTTGTCTCCCAATATCCGTCTGGGCTTTCATCGCCTTGCCGTGTGCTGACATGGTCCTCTAGGCTCGGGCAAAACTACACTACTCTCGCTCATAACGTCCGACCACCCGCAGACCTATTCTGCACCGGTAAAGCTTTTCGGCCGTTCCCGCCTGCCGGAGCTAGGCTCGCCTGGAATATCTATTTTCGAGGTGCAATCCAGAATGGGCCATTCCAGCCCAGAGGTGCACACGTACTTCCCCAAACACCTCTCCGCCCGCCGCGTCCTCGAGTCCGCATGGGCGGACACGCCCCTCTCCAAACCGCGGCTCGACTACGAGGTGGACGAGAAGGTGAACGCGTGCCTGCGCTGGTTCCGCGGCGAGCTGTGTCCGGAGCAGGGCGACACGCTGGACATGCGCGGCGAAACCTTCTGCTCGTCGCGCAAGACCCGGGCGAAGAGCCAGCAGTCGCGCTGGCTCGAGTACACGGCGACGACGCTGCGCGACGAAGAAACGCTGCTGTACCCGTCGCTCGACTGGGCCGACACGCTGCGCTTCGGCGACATGACGTTCAGCGCGCAGCGCGTCGCCCTCTTCCTGCGCGCCATCATCAAGGCGCCCGACCTCGTCATCCTCGACGAGGCCTTCTCCGGCATGGACGAGCTCGCGCGCGACAAGTGCATGCTCTTCCTCAACCACGGCGAGGCCATGACGATGCGGCACCTGACGTCGTCGGAGCGCCCCCGCCTGCGGCCCCACGGCGCCACCTTCAAGCAGTCGACGCTCGCCCAGCTCGGCCGCGTGCGCGTCCCCGGCCTCGCCGCCCACCAGGCCCTCATCGTCGTCGCCCACGCCCGCGACGAGGTCCCCGGCTGCGTCCGCGACTTCATGACCCTCTCCGAGCCCGGCTCCCGCGAGCGCCCCCGCTACGGCCGCCTCGCCGGCCCCATGGCCAGCGACTATCGCCGCTGGGGCGAGGTCTGGGGCATCAAGAACAAGCCCGGCCGCGCGGCTCGCGACGAGGGCTTCGACGCCGTGATGGGGTCCGGCTCGCCGTTTGAGGTGTACTCGAAGTATCTGAATATCATGGAGGGCCTCATAGGGTATGAGGGGGCTCCAACGGGGGCGAAGAAGGGGGGGAGGTGGGCGAAGAAGGAGAGGGAAGAGAATGAGAAGAGGGAGAGGGAAGAGAATGAGAAGAAGGAGAAGGAAGAGGGTGAGGAGAAGGAGGAGGAAGAGAGTGAGGAGAAGGAGGAAGAGAGTGAGGAGAAGGAGAAGAAAGAGAGTGAGAAGAAGGATGGGAGTGAGTAAGAGAATCCAGAGAAAAGACGATGTAGGTTCGAATGCTTCGTGTACCATAGGGGGGGAGGTTGTGCCGAGTTGATTACGGGGTCCAAGTCGTGTTGGAAAGCAATGCGTGGTGAGAATGGAAATAGAACAAAGGAACATATTGTGTGAGGGGCCGAGTGGCAGCAAGACGAAGAGAAGAAAAAAGTAAATATTCTGTATGTATTATAGATTTGGTATCAAACAGGCATAGTACTCGCGAGACCTGAATCTCCAATCGAGAAAAGAAACAAAGCAAAAAAAGAAAATAGAAACTAGAGCTTCTCTCATTATATTGCTAAAGCCTTGTGAAAACATCCATGGTACTGACGTTCCGGCCAGAACCATTCGCCGGACACGCTACACCGATCAAAACACCTCCCACAGGCTAACCTTTCCATCTTTCGAGCCAGCCGCCAGCCAATGCACCGCCGCAGCCCTCTCTTCCCTCCTCGACCGCACCGTCGTCGACTTCCTAGCGGCGGCCCGTCTCGCCGTCCCCTCCCCTTCTACTCCCCCCTCAATCAGCGCACCGACATCTTCCCTCCCCGGGTCTTCATCTCCTCCCTCTCCCCCACCCACGCTCCGATCCGCTGCTGCGGCCCCCGCGTCCACATCCGCAAACGCCACGGCATAACACCCCTCCTTGTGCCACGCCAGCACCGCGACTTCCTTCAAACTGCCAGCAGCATACACGCGCACGCGCCCGTCCCAGCCGGCCGTTGCGAGAACGCGGCCGTCGGAGCGGACGGTGAGGGATTGTTGGCCGGAGTGTTTGGTGTGGTTCGTTTTGGCGGGAGGAACGGGTGCGGGAGGCGAATGTGGTTGGGGCTGGGAGGGAGAGGATGGAGGTTGTTGGGAGGAAAGGAGGGTGGAGAGGAGGGATGGGGGATTTGATGGCGGAGTGGTGGTAGAGGGGGGAGGAGAAGGGTTGACGGGTAGGGCGGTTGTGGCGGTGTGCTTGGCGATGAGGTCGTCGGCGGAGGAGGTGTAGAAGGTGAGAGGGGTTGACAGTTGCTGCGGGGGGGAGGAAGAAGGCGACGGCGCCGAGGAGAGGGACAGGATGGGCTGGGCGTGTGGGTGGCTAGTGTAGATGCGGGACCAGGTGTTGGTGCTGGCGGAGAATGCGTGGATGGCGGCGGCGCCGCTTTCGTAGCCGGTGATGCAATGCAGTGGTCCAGAGGGAGACGGACTGTGCAGAAGGGAGATGGACATGACCATGCCTGTGAGATTGATCAGTACAATGACGCATGCGGGTGGAAGTTTGTTGCGGGGCGGTACCTGTTTTTTGACCGATATTTGGCACTGTGTTCACACGGCGTTCGGTGGGGAGCTGAAAGACGTCTACTTGATCATCTTTCGTGCTCGGCACAGCGATAAGGACGGTGTCGGCGCTCCGAGTGGACGCATCAGATGAGGTGGGTTGCTCAGGGCAGATGGCAAAGGAGCAGAAATTCAGGGTGTTGACGGGGAGAGAATGCAGTAGCCATGGCTGCTTGCGGTCTGCGGCTGTGTCGTCAACGGGCAGCACAGTCGAGAAGTCTTGCTCGTGTGCAGGGCCAAGTTGCCAGACGCGAAGATGGAAGTCGCGTCCATGCCTGTCTCGGATGAACCATCAGCCGAGGCGAATAGCGAGCACTGGCATGCAGGGAAGGTGGAGAGAGATCAAGGGTTTCAAAAGCTCCGAGCGGAAGCTTGGTGGCACGCATTGTTGCTTTTTGGGGAGCTGAATCCAAGGGCGCGGCACGGATCATGCGTGGGCAGCCCGAAAGGGAAATACGGGCCAGGAAGCAGGCAGGAAACTTACGTGACGAGCCCGTCTTCAGCCCAAGTGCCGAAGCCGAGAATGGCGCCGTCGTGGGCGCGCCAGACGGCGACGGCACGCTTGGTCGCGACATTCCAGAGCACGACCCAGCCGTCAGCATCGCCCGTCAGCAGGCGCGAGTTGTGGCGCAGGAAGCGCACGGCGTGGACGTGGGCGGCATGGCCGCGGAGCACATAAGCGGGCTGGGCGGGCGGGCGGCGGTGGTGGTGCTGGAGCTGAGCCGGGTGGGACATAATAATAGCTGGCTGTTGGGTGCGTAGAGTTGGGCTGCGGGCAAGGCGGGACGAGAAGGATCGACGGCGATCGTTTTTTGAGTGGGCGCCTGCGTCCGCAACTTGACAACTCGGAGCGACGCGTGCGCGCAGAACCCTTCCGACTGCTCGCCATCTCCCCGCCCTACCCAGGCCAGCCCGCGGGTGCAATTAAGGTTTGCTGCGACGGCGGGGGAACACAGACTGTTGCAGCCCGTCGCAGCCGCACCCTGGGCCCACCCCGACACCCGACACCCGTTTCGCACGCCCCGCGCCACGTGGACGAGCGCGCCTTCCTTGCTGCCTGAGTGCGCGGCCAGCGGCACAGCGGCGCAGCGGTGGTGTTGAGTCGACCCAGGGCCAAGCCGGCACGGGAGCAGATAGGCCGGGCGCGGCGGGCGCGGCGGGCGCACGTTTCTCTGGCGATCGCAGCCGCGCCAGAGGGTAAGCTGAGGCGAGGCCGACCGACGGCAGTCATCATCATCGTGCATGGCCCCGGCCCAAGACGTCACCCTTTAACGTGCAGCCTGCCCCGGCCGCGAGCGAGCAGCCGCCCGGCAGTCGACTGCCACCCGCTGCAAGGGCTTTGCGAGTTGCCGGTCGAGCTGGCGCGCTTTGGGTGCGGGTGCTGTGAGGAGAGGGCCCCGTCAGAACAGGCACTGGGTCCACGGCGCGGTCGCTGTCGCGGGGCGTCAGATCGGCGCCATCAGCCGGGGAGAGCAGCGAGACCAGCGTCACCAGCGTCGCAGGCATCGGCGCAGGCATCGGCGCAGGCATCGGCGCAGCGCGTGCTCAGCTGCGGCAGCCGGCGCGGCCATTTTTATCACGGACGGGGTGGCTTGCTGGAGCTCGCTTCGAGTTGCGGGCGCGATCCCTGCCGCCTTGAACCTGCTCGCCGGCCCTTTCGTCGTCCTCAGCATCAACATGTTCACCCTCTGCGCCGCGCCTCACCCAGCCTGCAGCAATAATTCCGCTCTCCGCGCTCGCGAGCGCTCCACACCGCCCGCCCCGCCCCAGAGGTGCCGGACGCGTGACTCGCGTCCAGCCTTTCGCGACGCCCGCCTCTAGGTACCTGAAACCCTTTGCATCCACCCACCCGACTCCTCTCTCACCACCCATGCCGCACAGCCTGGCCCCGACGTGATAGACCCTATTCCGCCCGCCGCTGCATGCCGTCGAGGGCTCTTCCCCGACCCCAAGACACCGTGGCTGTCCCGCCCGCCCACCCCGGGTTCGCACAACCCCCACCCGACCTCGACTACCTCTATGCAACCACCACCCAGTCCGTCTCGCCCTCGTCGACCCTCCGCTCCGCTCCTGACGGCCTGCTCGCCACCCTCGCTGCCCCCGCGCGCAAACGCAACTCGAGCTCCGCCGCGACGAACGCGCCATTGAAGAAGCAGAACATCGGCGCCCGCAAGAACAGCCTGCACAGCCAGCAGAGCCAGCAGAGCCAGCAGAGCCAGCAGAGCCAGCAGAGCAGCCGTACCATGAGTGACGCAGACTCGGCTCAGGCGGCCCCGCCTGTCGAGCCTCCCGCCGCGAGCAAGCCCAAGCGCGTGCGCACTGGCTGCTTGACTTGCAGGGAGCGCCACCTCAAATGCGACGAGGCCCTGCCCCATTGCCAAAACTGCCGCAAGTCCAACAGGGTGTGCAAACGCGGCATTCGTCTCAACTTCATCGACACCACTGTGCAGGCCCCGCCCGTTGTTCCGCCGTCGCAGGACTGGAACGTTAGCTTCCTCGACGAATCCCGAGACATCGCTTCCGAGTACAAGGGCGGTCTCAGCAAATACGGCGCCCCGGAGGTGCAAGCCACCACTCAAGCCATGAACGGCCTGCAGCTTGATTTTTCGCAAGGGCCTCCTCCCGCCCCCGAGCTCTCCCACCAGCCTCTACCCCCCATCCAGGGCGTGCTTCCCGACATATACGCCGACGACCACAGCAACATGATGTACGAGACCTCGCAGCCGCCCGCCAATCCGCACGTGCAGCACACCGGCATCGATTTTTCTGCTTCCAGTTCCATGCAGGCAGCTTCCGCCTACAACAGCCATGAGCCGACCACGTCGCCACCTGCACGCTCTCGAGACTATCTAAACACCCAGGAAGAGGTATTGTTCATGCAGGTCTTCGTCGAAGAAGTGGGCCTGTGGATGGACAGCATGGACCCCCAGAAACACGTATGTACCGCTCAAGTCTCTCCAGTATACATTGCCGTCTGAACCCCATGATAGTTTTCTAGGCTGCTGCCGTTTCACGCTCTTGGAGAACCCATGCTGCTGAACGCTTTTTTGGCATGCGGCGCCCGCCACTTGTCTCTGGTCAATGCCCGGTATACTGACGACAAAGCACTGCATTACTACGACACCGCCACAAGATATTTGCTCAACTCTCTACAAAACCCAAACCGCGACACCGTCATCTGCGCCACTACCGCCGTCATCCTTAATGTTTACGAAATCATGTGTGAACGTGCTCTGCAACGAATGAACCACATTGCTGGCGCCCGTGCTCTCATCAAAGAATGCGGCTGGAACGCGAGGTCGACTGGGATCGGAGCTGCCTGCTTCTGGCTGAATGTAGGCATGGAGTTGCTGAGCTGTCTGCACTTCAATTGGCAAGTTGCTTGGGATCCTGACGAGTGGGGCGTTGACATGGATTTCACCCGGGAGACCGAGGCTGGGCGGGAAGAGCCGTGGACCTACCGCATCGTCTACATTGTGGCAAAGATCGCCAACTTTCGGGCGTCGATTCCGAGAAAGTCTACCGGCTCTCCGCGAGATGACCAGATCAGACTGCAGAAGAGGTACGCCGAGTGGCAGAGATTAAAGGGTTGGTGTGATTCCTGGAACGAATGCATCCCCCGGACCATGCACCCGATGGCATATCTCTATCCATACCAGACCACTTCACAATCAGCCTTCCCCGAGGTTTGGCTTATCAAGCGGACGACGATTGTGGCCCGTCTCTTCTACCACACGGCCATGTGCCTGATGGCGCAGATCAATCCGGTCGAGTCCAAGGACGGCGGCGAAATGCACGACCTCTTGCAACGTCACTCCCAACAAATATGCGGAATAGTCGCGCATGTCAAAGACCGGTAAGTGCCCAACGGAATTGTGGAGCTAATAGGTTGCTGATGGAAACTTCAGTGGTGTTGCTAGCGTGGCCCTCCGTTCCCTTGCCATTGCTGCCGAATGCCTTACCAATCGTCGTGAGCAAGAGGAGGTCCTACAGATCCTGGATAAGATACGCCAAGAGACTGGGTGGCGTGTTGCGTTCATCAACGCCGAGCTCAAGAAGCAATGGGGATGGCCAGACGATCCGCCGCCCCAACAACAGCAACCGCAGCAACAACTTCCGACTCCAAACATGGGCGGAGCTGCGCAGATGCCGTATGTGGCAGCTCAGGCGCAAGCTGCAGCGCAAGCTCAAGCGCAAGCTCAGGCCCAGGCTCAGGCCAACGCGGCGGTTGCTTCTGTGCAGTCGCAGGCAACGTCGCTGCAGCCAATGACCAGCCTGCAACCTACTCCCACCACGGCCGTGAGCAATCCGACCCAGATAGCAGTAGGAGCGCCCACAACCGTGGCCCCTAGACCCCGACTGCCTTCAGGAATTCTCAATCCGATGCTCGCCGCAGCCGATTTTTCGATGCCTCAACATCCTTATCAAAGCTACTATGTTGCGCCCAACAGCATCAGTAGTGGAGGCAGTTGGGCTTTTAATACGTGAGTGAATAAGGTGTCGATCTGCAGTACACTTGGGTCAACGCGCGTGTCTGTACGAATATGCTTGTTTTATTACCTACCCCTTGGAGTTATTGAACGTTAACGACCGCGGAGAAGTGTGGGGTGTTTTTTTGTTTTGATCTATCGGGGCATGCAAGTCGGCAATGGGGCCATCGTATCGGATTGGGCCCCTATATCGGTCTTTTGGAAGCATTGAGCATCCTTGGCGAAGATATCGTTTTTTTCATGTTTTCTTAATGTCTTTTGTTTCTCGCTGGATGGATAGATGGGGGTCGGTCTCTTGCATGCTGCTGATCTTGTCCTTGTTCGTCGGTTATCCCTTCCTTTTATTACGCGCTGGGGTTTCTTTGTTGTCTCGTTTGACAAAGTTACATGATTTACGAACACGGTGCGTTTGCGATTCTTGCTTATTTGCGTTTTGTTTGTTAGCTGGTCTTTGCAAACGTTCGGCGTGAAGGCGCATACTAAACTTGGGAGGTTCTTGTTTTTTTTGTTTCTTTTCACTTAGTCGTTGGTGAGGCACCCAAAAAAAATCGTTACGTTGTTTTTGCAAGGAGTTTTGAATCGTGTATCCGTTACGAAGTCGGTTTGGAGCAAACCGACAATAAAATTGGAGAAATGAAATTCGTCTTTCAGCATGTCGTTGGTCTTGTCAGGCTGATTGATACACACCTCAGCTACTGACGATGATGATCTTGTGAGTGAGGCTTCCGAGATAATTTGTAGGAGCCTCAAGCTGCCAACGAGGGGTTCAATTGATTTATTCTTCGGCTAAGTTCGTCCCGCGCCAACACATTACTTTCCAGTGCCAAATCCCATTCCTATATTGGACATGCTCCCGTATCGCACAGGCCAACGGAGACAGAAGTCCTAAAAGTGTTGAAATGATCTATCCATGGATTAATTCGATCCCTCGGACGAAAGGGCATTTCGATCAAAGTAGATTTCTTTCTCTAAATAATCAAACAGAAACTGTTCACCTCCGTCACTTAATCTTGAATGTTTGAAAACCGAGCCAGACTCCCGTTGCCCATAGCTGAGCATTTCCGCAAAGGAAATGAATGCAAATGGGTTTTGTGCTCAATTAATGATAAAGCACGATGAAAACTTTTTATTCCCGCCTATCCAGCAAGCCGCGCCATGCGTCCGAAGCAAATTTTCCACCGCCGCTCGCCCACCATCCCCGCATCTTAACTTTTTGTGGGGGAAATTGCCCCCTCCAAGCCAAAGATGGTGAAAAAGAAAGAAAAGCACCCAAAGCCGTCGCATATATCCACCACGTCAGTCTAGAAGCGAAAGTGAAGACCCCTCTCCGAAAAGCCCCAGTGGTCGGCAGCAGCAGCGTGGGGAGAAAGGAACAAAAAAGACCGCAGAGAAAAAAGACTCCAATCCCTAACCCGATCACACTGAAAGTGATACCGACTTTTGTACCACCCCCCACCATGGGACGTTCCCCACCATCCACCCTCCACCATCCATCCTCCCTTCCCATCCCCGTGCATCCCAGCTCAGTCCAGCCCTCACTCCGCACCCGCACCCGCACCGCCCGCCGTGCCATCACCATCGCCATCACCGCCATCACCGTCCTCACCGGCAAAGGCAAGAGCAAGACCATGATCACATCCACCATCGCCCGTCTCCGCCAACTCCATCTCGGGGACTGCCAAATCCGCGATCCACGACCACGTCGAAGACGTGGATACGGAGCGCCGACGAGCTCGCGGCATTGTCATCATCGTCTCCTCGTGCTCAGCTCCAGCTCCAGCCTCAGCTCCAGCTCCAGCTCCATCCCCAGCCTCAGCTCCAACTCCAGCCTCAACTCCAGCCTCAACTCCAGCCTCAACTCCAGCCTCAACCCCAGCCCCAGCCCCAGCCTCAACACCAGCCGCCTCCTGCAAAGCCGGCTCCGAAGCGGTAGCGGTCCGTGCAGCAGGAAGTGGCGGAAGCGTGACCGCCGACGCGGACGTCGTGCGGTGGTGGCGGTGGAGCAGCAGCAGCTGCTGTTGCTGCTGGGGAGAAGAAAACGGAGATGAGGGCGGGGGAGGTAGTAGCGGGTCGGCGGAGTGGAGGCGGGGGATTTTTCTGGGGCGGCGGGGGTCTTCATCTTCCTCCTGCCAGTGCCGCTGCTGGTCGTTTGCGTCGTCGTTGCAATCGTCGTCGTTGCAATCGTCGTCGTGCTGCTGGATAGGGGGGGAGGGGGAGGGGGAGTGGTGGCGCTTCTTCTTCTTCTTCGTCGAGCTGGGTGGGATGAGATGAGCGGCGGGGGAAGGCGAGCGTTGGGAGGTCGGGAAGGCGAGGTCCGAGGTTGGTGTGAGGGTCGAGTTGGCTTGGGAAGGGTGGTCTTGAGGGGCTGGGTCGCCGCTGTTCGCGTGCTGAGTCTCGATAGGAATGTCCGCGTCGTTGTCGTCGCCGTTCGTACTGCCCATCTCCACGTCACCGTCACCGTCACCGTCGTCATCGTTGTCTTCCACTTCGTCTGCCTCACTTTCGCTCTCGGCGGGCGGAAACCGCTTCACCCATTCCTGCTCCAGGGCGTCGAGCCGGAAGCCGTTGATCTTCCAGTGGAGGTCCTTGTCGGCGTGAAAGTTCATTTCGTAGTTGGACATCTCCTTGGCGCCGCGCAATCGGTGCTCGTTGCGGGTCGCGTGCATCATGAGCCTACGCCTGCTGGACTCTTCGGCCATGAGGTCGATGCCATAATCCCGGTAGAAGGTCTTAGCGAGGTGAGCGGCGAAGGCGTTGGCACGAGGATCCGGTGTCAGTTCAGAAATGGCGACGATGGACGAGTCGGGATAGGTACGAGTGGACTTGGATTTCGGCATCGTTGTCGTGCTGGACATCAGAGGTGTAGGTTGTTGCGTGTTTGCTGAAGAAGCAGCTTTCGCGTTGCTCGTATTTGTAGGTCCTCCACGCTCTGTAGCGCTTTTCTCCTCGAATTCCTTCTTCTTCAGGGCACGCAATTCAACAAACTTGTCCAACTGGTTCAACGACATCTCCCATGTCAGCTCATGTTCACCCCAGCGGAAGAGGCCCCTCGTCGAACTTCGAGCTTGGCTATCAAGGAGTAGAGCGGAGATAGCGGCAGTTGTATGTGTGATTAGCTGTTCCATTGCTGTGGTATCTGCCGTAAGATTCGCCTTGTACTCATAGCGCCAAGAAGCGAGAATGTAGGCGATGAGTCCGTTGACACGCGGATCAGGAGTGACATCAGCACTATAATTATAGCTGGGGACGGTACTTTTATGAAGCTTGCCCTTAGGTCCTATTGTCTTAGCTGTGGAAGTCTTGGGAGCTTTTTTGGCGGGCTTCTCAGTGAGACTCTGCTTTTTCATGGCTGAAACTCGCTGCTGCTCACGGCTGGACGGTTTTTGGGTCTGTTGCTCTCCATGCTCCTGATCATGCTTGGCTCGGTTCTCTGCCCCGGTATCCTTGGGTGACGAATGCATCATCATTTCGTTGTGGAGCTGAGCGCTGGGATTAGCGCCGTCATCATAATCGTCATCCTCGCCGACAGGCTGGTCTCGCTCCGAAGTAGCCGAAACGACATTGATAGTGTCATTGATCTCCTTGCTCGAATTGTCGGCGGATACCCCTTGGTCAGGCTGCGTAGGCGTGCCAACCTGATCTTGAGAGGACCGGATGAGGGGTCGACCAAGGCTAGAAGCACGCTCTGTGATCCATTGAAGAGGGTTTACCCAGCTGGAGGAGGTAGGCATTTGAATCGGGTAAGTTGGCATTGGTTGGCCAAACGGCGTTAGGTTCATGTGCGGGTTCATGTGTTGGTTCATTTGCTGTCCAGAGAATTCGTCGAAGCCAGGGTAAGCGCCCATTGGGTGCTGACGGACAGTCATCTGGGGATCGACTCCGAAGTTCGTTTCAATTGGAGGAACTCCGGCCGGGACCCGATCATTGAGAGCTTCGTGGAGAGTGCGGTGCATATAAGCGCTGAGGTCGTGATCCAGATCGAGCTGCTGTTCGACGGATGCAACCGGTGGTTGCTGGACTCCTGCACTAACGAAGGGTATGCTCTCATTTTGATAGTTAGCCAGGGCGACATTGTTCGGTGGCTCGCCTTGGGAGTGATCCTGGAGCTGAGGCTGATCCTGGAGCTGAGGCTGATCTTGGAGCTGAGGCTGGTTACGTTCATGCAGGAGTGAGTCAGCCTTTAACTTGAGCCTCACAATCAAAGAGTTGGGACCAGAGCTTGAACCGCCGACAACCTCCTCCATAGACGGGTTGGGTTTGGGCCTGTCTTCCTGCTTGAGCCGTACTCCAATGAACGCTGCTAGCTGGTCGGCCTTGGTCCAATTGGTGCTTTTCAGCGCCTTGACCTTCGCAATGCTCTGATCTCGGACGGCTTTTAACCAGATTTCTGTCGCGAATGGACTGGTCCAGGGTCCATGGAGCCCTGTAATTGTAAGAGAAGAGCGAGCGGCCTCTCGTGCCCTCTTCATCTCCTCCTTGGTCGGAGCCCAGCCGATCCAACGGATGAATGCAGCGCGGCTATGTGCGAGTTGATCAAGTGTCATCTTTGAGCGCACGTCCATGTAGTGGATGATGGACTTCCATTCTTTGTGACGCTGCTCGTCCGTAAGCTGCCTGGGAGTTGCTGCTGCAGGGATGGCGGATGCACCAGTAGCGTTGGGTCGTGTGGGTGCAGGGGGTTTGTCGTGCTTGGTTGCCGGGATAAGAGCGGGGGTCTCTTTGGGGACGCCTGTCGCGCCCGAGTCTGGATGGACAGGCACCGGTTCAGCATTCGACTGAATGGGCGTGTCGGAATCGGCAGGACCAGCAATGGTTGCAGATTTCGGAGCGGGTTCGGATGATTCGGCAGAACCTGGGGGTTGATGTCAGCAAATCGTCTTGAGAAAGAAAGTAGGGAATGTGTTCGGGGAAGAACGGTTTACCTGGAAGCATATGGTTGAGAAGATCGTCCCAACCCTCTCCGTCAGGACCCATGATACCACCATACTCATCTTCAATAGCTTTCATACCCTGGACGACCATGTTGAGCAGCTCAGAAAGTCTCGCCTGGGCAGTTCGACTGAGTAGGCTGTCCACGGTTTGCGGTTGAGAAGGCATGATCAATAACGGAACTGCCCGCAGTAGTGATGCTATTTCGGGACAGTCAGGGCGGTACGTTGTCTCAAGTCAAAGGTAGTCCGCTGATTCCTTGCTCCCGTGCAAGATCTGAGCCCAATTGCTGGAGGGGACAAAGAGTGGCAACGAGTCAGGGTTCTGACGGCGATCAGGTCCAATCCTGAGTTGGGACCGCTGTTCGAGAATCCGACCGATCGCTGATAGAACACAAGAGGCTGAAAGAAACCCTAATTATTACGGAAAGGCCAAGGCCGCGAATTCGAGGGGAGAAATAGTGCAGCTGAATGGATGGCGTTAGCTGTGAGATGTAAATGCGGATGTGGTGGTGAAGCTGCTGGGCCTCACATTTGCAAGTCCAGATGTTCAAGTGAGGCGCCACGCGCGTGTACGTCGGGGGCAGGAAGCCCGATGACAGCCTTTGAGGCCCCTTCTGCGAGTGTTTCTGGCTTCTTGCGTGTCAAGAGCTGGCAATGTGACGGTTGCAGAGGTTTTGTGTGTGAGGTTGGGGCTGAAGAGGAAGAAAGGTCTGACATCTAGATAAGACCTTGAGTGTACCTGCAACAGGCCCCATGACGTGCGGGAGCAGGTGTTGCATGTGATCATGATTGTCGACGCAAGACAGAAAGGAGCAAGAGCAAGGGCAGACACGAGGGTGGGAGGCAAGAAACCAGCATAAGGCACGTGAGTGATAAGTGAAATAGAGCACATGACGCCAGAACGGAAAGCGAGAACCGAAAAGGCGTACACGGATCTACACGTAGTCCGTCATAGGAAGAAGCGAGCGCAAGGGGGAGGGATGGTAACGACTTCAAAGAATTTAACGGGTATTGTACCAACGCAAGAACTACATACGATCCAACGCAATGGAATGAAATTGCGCAGAACATCATCCATAGCGTCGACTGTGATTCCTCCTCTTCAGAGGTTCCAAGAGTTCCTTCAAACAAGTGGCTTCAGGATGATGTTGTCGATGAGGCGAACCGGGACCTGTCCGCCGCCGAGACCGAGGTCCTCGCCAGGCTGCGGGTCCTCGGTGGGCTGCATCTTAATGGCAGCACTTAGAATAGCGCCCTTCTTCTCGTCGACCGCATCGACCTCCTCGAGAGTATTGGGGTCGGCCAGGGAGATGTAGTCCACATCAAAGAGAGCGCGGCCCTTCGGCTGGAGCTCCTCCTGCTCGCGGATTTTGTTGTTTGTCAGGTCATGGGCCGGCCAGAGGATGTCATCCCTCTTCCGCTTGCCATTGGTATACTGCTCCTCGGCACTCCACAAGGCCCGAGACAAGACGGTCGACACCTTGCGGCGACGGGCCCCGAGATAGACGTTTCTCGAGCTCATAGCCAGCCCGTCGGCCTCGCGCTCGGTCGGGCCAATGCGGACCTGGGTGGGGATGTGGAAATCCTCGACCATGCGCCTAATGATGACCGTCTGCTGCACGTCCTTCTGGCCGAAGTATACCTTGTCGGGCTGGACGATGTTGAAGAGCTTGGTGCAGACGGTAGCAACGCCGCGGAAGAAGACTGGACGGGAGGCGCCCTCGAGCTTCTTGGCAAGCGGGGTGATGGTGACGAAGCTACCGTGGCCGTCAACGTCGGAGGAGGGCGGCAGGGTGGGATACATGATCTTGGAGGTGGGTGCGAAGATGGCCTTGATGCGGCCGCGGGCGGACGAGGCGTGCAGCTCGGCGTCGAGGGCGCGCAGCTTGTCAAGGTCAGCATCCCAGGTCTTGGGGTAGGAATCGAGGTCCTCGTTGACGCCAAACTGGGTAGGGTTGACGTAGATGGAGAGGTAGATGTCATCCGTCTCGGCGGCTGCCTGGCGCACGAGGGAGAGATGGCCGGCGTGCAGGGCGCCCATGGTGGGAACCATGCCAACCGTCTTCTGCGCCAGCACCTGCTCACGGCGGTACGCGCGCAGCGGAGCAACCTCGCGGAAGATGCGGAAAGGCGATCTCCCAGCCATTGTAGTGCTGAACGGACGAGCGGAGGAGAATCGGGATGGTCTCGCGGACGCGCGCAGCGGCGGGGTGAAGGTCGAGCGAAGCATTCCGGCGGCGGCAGGAGAATTTATGTAATAGGGGATGCCTGGGCGGGTGGGCTGACTGCTCGTCAGCCGGGAGTGACAGAGACGGAAGGACAGCGCAAATCCATGGTGCTGGTGCCGAGAGAGAAAATGGTGTCGTGCTGCTGTGTGCGCGGTAGAGCAGCTCACGACCGCGACGCCAGCGGGCCGGGCCGTGCGCACGTGACCCCGCCGCTGTGCTATCTTATCGCCGGCCAGCCGGAATTCTGCACGAAATTTTGGCCGCCGACTGCGACCGCCCAGCCTCCGCACCCCAGTCACCACCACCTCCCCGCCTCGCCGCCCCGCCCAGCAATCATGGCTGACGATGGCATGCTGCTCAACTTTGACCTTGGCGACGCCGCCCTCGTCGCAAAACCCACCTTCAAGGGCGGCCGCTGGAAAGACCGCCTGACTGCGAAGAAGGCCGCATCGCGACGCGACAGGAAGGCGAGGCCCGATTCCGACGACACACACACCCCCTCCGACCCGAGGCCTGCGAAGCGCCAGCGTGTCGACGACCGTTTCGCCCACCAATTCGGCCATGGCCCCCCCGCAAGACCCAGCCAGCCGCCCGCGAAAAACGCCCCGCCCAAGCAAGTCGTGTCCTCGCTCTTCACCTACAACCCCGTCTCCAAGACCCAAACGGGGACGAAGCGCGAGTACGAGAACGAAGAAGCCATTGCCCCCAGTAACGCTCCGCTGTCGTCCGAGCTCGAGACATTCCTCAAACTCGGCCTTTCTCCGAACCTCGCCAGCCACATGTTGAACAAGCTCTCTATAAAAGCCCCAACCGCCATTCAAAAGTCGGCCATACCGCAGTTGGTGAAGGAAGACTCGGATGCTTTTATCCAGGCCCAGACCGGTTCCGGAAAAACCCTGGCCTATGTGCTGCCCATAGTGCAGCGCCTGGTGAACCTAGGCAAGGACACGGTCCACCGCGACTCCGGCCTCTTCGCCATCATCCTTGCCCCGACTCGTGAACTGAGCAAGCAGATCTCTGTCGTCCTGGAAAACGTCCTGCGCGCCACCAACTGGATCGTCTCTGGCACTGTCATTGGTGGTGAGAAAAAGAAGTCTGAGAAGGCGCGCGTGCGGAAAGGCTTGAACATCCTGGTCGCCACCCCCGGTCGCTTGGTCGATCATCTCGAGCACACCGAGGCCTTGGATGTTGCCAATGTGCGATGGCTGGTCCTGGACGAAGGCGACAGGCTGATGGAGCTTGGCTTCGAAAACGATATTCAGAAGATTGTCGGTTGCTTGAACCTGCGCATGAAGGCGACCAAGAACAGGATAGCCGGCTTGCCCCCAAAGAGGATGACTATCCTGTGTTCGGCAACCATGAAGATGAATGTCCAGCGCCTGGGTGAGATCAGCTTGAAGGATGCGGTCCACATTCAGAACGAGTCCTCCGAGGAAGAGACCAAGGAGTCGACTTTCTCTGCCCCGGCCCAGCTCCGCCAATCATACGCTGTGGTGCCCGCCAAGCTTCGTTTGGTTGCCCTGGTTGCGCTCCTGAAGCGGACATTTGTGAGAAAGGGCAGTGTTATGAAGGTCATTGTTTTTATTTCATGCGCCGACTCGGTCGAATTTCACTTTGAAATATTGGCCCGGGAGCCACGGGAGGCACGGGACGAGTCCAAGGAGGACGGTAGCGAAGAGGAAGACAAGGAGGAAAAGAAGGACGAGAGGTCCAGGTTCGGCGATAGGAGACGCTGGAAGCCCGAGCCAAGGAAAATCGAACCGGTCACCACCAACCGCACCATTGCACCCTCACCCACTCTATCCGGCGAAGACAACCCGGTCACCGTCTACAAACTCCACGGCTCCCTGGCCCAGTCTCTCCGTACATCCACTCTCCAGTCCTTCACCAAGAGCACCACGCCGGCTGTGTTGGTCTGCACTGATGTTGCATCGCGAGGTCTTGATATGCCCAACGTGGACTTTGTTATCGAATACGACCCGGCCTTCGCCCGCGACGACCATCTCCACCGCATTGGCCGTACCGCCCGTGCGGGTAAGGATGGGCGTGCCATGCTCTTCCTGCAGCCAGGCGACGAGGAAGGCTATGTCGACATCCTCAGGCAGGACCGGCCCATGACTGACTCGGGTACCACCGGCCTTGTGCGGCACGACGCGAACGAGCTTCTCCGAAAGGCCTTCACGCCGCCGGGAGTCATCGCCAAGGCGGCTTGGGAGGATGCAGCGACCAAATGGCAGCTCGACGCCGAGCGCTGGGCCCTTGCTCAGCCGGGCCGCCTCGAACTGGCCAGACGCGCGTATCAGAGCCATGTACGGGCCTATGCGACGCACGTCCAGGACGAGCGCATCTACTTCAACATCAAGGAGCTCCACCTTGGGCACCTCGCCAAGGCGTTCGCCCTTCGCGACCGGCCCGGCGCGATCAAGGTGCCGGGGCTGCGGCCGGATGCGGCCAAGGGCAAAGAAGAGAAGGGACGGCGTGTCAGGGAGAAGGCGGGAGGTGGAGCCGGGGGCAAGAGCCGTGCAATGGAGGATGCGCGGGGTGGAAACGACGTAGACGAGGCGGGCAAGAAAATGAGGGCATTGGCGAGAAAGATGATGGGTGGGGCCAGCGAGTTCAATTTGGGATGAAACCAGAACGACGATCGCCGGTGTTCGATGCGGCTTCGATGAGGGAATTGAGGGGAAAGAATAGCAGCGTCGCAGTGATGAACAGGGGATCATGCAGGTGATGATACCACCCGTGGCGTATGTTTGAGAGGCCCTGTGGAGTAAGAATCGTCGCTTACCGGAAAGAGGCCAGGGCTCCCTCGACCGGTCAGCCCGCTTTCCTCTCCAGACCGCACCACACCGGTTGCGTAACGGTCCGTTGTCCCGCAAAACGGCCCCGCAGAGCGCCCCAATTGGGGAGGGGTTGTGGATCTGGTCGAAGCGGACCCATGCTTCGGATCGTAGGGCCCCATTCGCTCGCTTCGAGACTACTGGATGCAGTACCAGGGGGGCCGAGCGGACAGGAGCCCCTCGGTCCAGACAGTCCAGACTCTTCGCTGTCTTTTATGTGGCCTTTCCCTCTCTCCCCAGGCCGTCAATTGCAGTAAACTCACTTGCCTCTTCTTCTCTACAGTCGTCAGAAGTAAAAGAGAAATATAAAAAAGACTTCGTTCCACCATGCCAAAGTTCTGCCTCTTCGCCTGCCGATCCCGCCACGACGCGAGGTCCTCCGCAGCCTCGACCACCACCGCCAACTCATCATCGCCCACCCATCACGACGATAACGACGACTGCCAACCGCCCGCCCGCGTCCTGACGCCCACCGGCAAGCACTTCGCCGTCGCGCAAAAGGAACGCCGCCGCGCCTCGCCACCGCCGTGCATCATCGTGCCCTCGGCCGGCGGCGGCCGCAACCAGTCCCTCTTCCCCTCGACCACGGACGTGTCGGCCCTGTCAGACAAGCCGGCCGACAGCCCGGTCGACTCGCTGCACCGGCACCACCGCCACTCCTACTACCGCCACCAGTCGCACGACACCACCGGCAGCGGCACCACCATCACGGGCAGCAGGCCGCAGACCGTGTACGCCGCTGCCGACAGCCCGGTCTCGAACCTGGCGCCGACGATCCGGATCGTCTCCGATGGCGCCACGTCGCCGACGCCGGTGGATGCGTGTCACTACGAGAACCTCGCAGCAGATGACGACGACGACGACGATGACCACTACGACGGCCGCCGCTCGGCCACTCTGAGGGGCTCGCCGAGCCCGAGTAATGCGTCCTTTTACGACAGTAGGCCCAGCACCGCCTTCTTCGACGCCGAGAGCCACTTGCGCTTTGGTGGTGGGCCCTCGTGCGCGTCATTGGGCCGCTTCGACACGAGGGGGCACTCGCAGGGGCTGGTGCCTGTCGCGCCCGCCGAGTAGAGAGGAGTCGTCCATTACCTTTTTCCCGATGACGAGGGCGAAAAAGTGCAAAGGCCATCTTCGACCGTCGTCGATAGTGCGTGTGGTGGGGTCACAGTGGTGCGGGAATCTTCTTTCCGGACCTCAGCTCTGACTTCACCCCTCCACCCTTTTTCCACCCCCCCCCGTTCATTCACGGACCTGGATGGGGGGTTATGGGTAGATCGATAATCTCGATCCCCATTTCCCACCTCCAGTTTTTTTCTTTTTTTTCTTTTCTTATCTCCAGACCGCGGAGGTCTCGAACGTATCGACGTTGCATGCATGCGTTGTTCAGTCGCTCCGATCTTGCAGGGGACAGGGGGGAGGATGGCGCAAGCGGCGGCGGCGGCGGCGATGAGAGCGCTTCCCCGTGCTTCGTTGTCCTGTTCGCCTGCACACTCCACCCATATCCACTTCGGAGCTCCACTCCCCGGTGCCGTCTCCAGTCAGCATTTGCTGGCGGGTGGGGGCGAGAAAGGACGCTGGACGACGCAACTTTTGCCCTTCTGCCTGCCGCCGCCGACTTTTGGCGGCAGGTGAGAGGGGCCTCGGACCAGGACCTTTTAATTTTCTTCTTCCTTGGACAATGGCCTCTCCTTCTTCATGCCGCGATAGGTTTATCGCGGTGCTGAAACACACCGACGAGACGACTAAAAATTTGGTTGCGGTCGGTCCGTCGGTCGTCGTCTCATTAGCATCACACTTGCTTTCCATTTTGTCATCACGGAAAGGGAAGGAACCGGAAAGGAAACCCAAGGACGGGTGTTGCCATTAATCCACACAACAGGCAGGCGGCTCAAGATTATTATTTTTTTTTCTTTCACGTCGCAAGACAAAAGTTGTAACAGTATATAATTTGTAACAACCACAACAATACCAACAGGAACGGAAGAGAAGGGAAAGGCGCAAACAAACAAAACCTGGGCGGATCAAGTTTTGTTCTTTTCGGGTTTGGATATCAGTATTCACGGAGGGAGGGTGACTGAAGGGAAAGCCTCTCTCGCTGGCGGCGGTCAGAGTCTTGTTCGCTTTCGTTCCGAAAGCAATTTGTATTGTAAAAGAAACCAAAATTCAAAGATCAATCAATAATCCACACACATTACCGATATCCCAACCTGAACCACGTACTTGATCTCACGCTCTCTCCAACCTTGGCCTCTACGGCGAGCAGCGCATCAAGGTGCCCACCAACGAGGCATGCTATTTTGCTCTAGAGGACGCAAGTGCGGAGGTCCAAAACCCCCCCAAACTCTCCATCCCGCTCAGCTTCGTTGCCAATCGCTCCCGTCTCCGTGACGTGACGTTCCAGGAACCGGCACGCCTTAAACGTAGATCCTCCATCGCCGGGGTGCCCCTCGCTCACCCCGAGGTGAAACATTCAGTGGGTACCTCCCGTACTCCCCCACCATTGACCGGTAAGGAAATTGTCCAATCAGCGCGGCAGAAAGATAATAGGAGAGGGCGTCGTCGGCGCTGATTGGTCTGCGTGATGATTTCGAGTCTCGACCGTGACAGGGCTGAAATGCGGGACCTCGTGTTTTTTGTTTGTCTTCTCCTGCAGCTGGTGGCCGGGAATGTGGGTTCTGGAAGGACGGAGGGGACACCGGTGCAATGCTTGTTGCCGTCGGGGCTTCGACAACGGTCTAGAACACGGGTCAGGCCGCGGATGCCATGGCTGCTGTGAAAGGCGGGGCACACGTGTGCGTGGTGCCCGACGACTGTGTGCCAGTTGGCTTTGGTGGAGAGCCATGTATATTGTTCGTCAGCGATCCACTGAAGCTCCATGTGAGAGCGATTCCGCGCGAACGATTCGGTGCGAGGAGTCTTTTGCGGGATTGAGATGCAAGGGTCGGTTGCTTTGTTTTCTGTTTTCGACGAGTGTTCGATTTCCAGACTCCGCAGAAGCAATAGCCAAGTGCTTGTACGTACGGTGCGGCTTCTTCCGTGCACCACTGCCATGGGGCGTATGGACGGATGGCCAAGATCATCAGCGACACTACCATTCGCGGCGCCACACTCCTTCCCTGAATGCAGCCGAAGCACACCCCAGACGGCGCTCAACGCAAATTAAACAAACAGCATCTGGTCCAGTCATGCTCCGCTCTTTGCTAATTGGCCGAGAATTCGGCATCTCGTTCTGCTGAACGGACTGCGAGGACTCGCCTGAGCTAACTTCTTTATCGATTGGACGACGTGTGATTGAACTTTCCCTTAAAACAAGAGCCTCAACCGGTAAGTACTTGAGAATGCGGAGTCGAACTTGCACTGTTTTCCTCGTGGTAGTACGTGCCACTTTCCCCACCATCTACGTAGTCCTGGCTACCTTCGCATGATAATATTGGGCGCGATCCGTTCGTCGCTGTCGGGCAGGACGGCGAGAAGTTAAACGTACGCGCTCTCGCTCGCGCTCTCGCCTTTTTTTCTCCCTCAACATGCTGAATGCTCTGCTAGTGGCTTCTGATTATATCGCCACGCTCTTCTCGTCATTTCCGCTCGCGCAAGTCAGCCAGTCTCGACTTCACGACCAAAACGCACCATACCTCTCTTTCTGCATCTTGCGACACAATCCACCAGACCGGCAATGGACTGAAAAAAGCATCTCCTATGACATTTTCACCTCCTATTGCGAATAGTGCTGGGCAGAGAGATGCAGAGCGGAGGTTGTTCAGAAAGAGAAGAGCGAGCGGAAGCGGTGCGCACGGATGAGAAGGAAAGACGCGATGATGGCGCATGTGAAGGCGATTGGGGCGACAGAGCAGCACCGGTGCAGTGCAAAGATTTCTGGGCGACATGAAGTCCGTGGGGCGGTATTCCGGCAACTCGCGACAATGGTATCAGTGAGGTCTTCCTCACGGGCTGTCCGAAGACATACAAATCGTGAAAGAGCGGAATAGGTACATAAGTAACAAGGGGCGTCTTGATGCTTTGGACTTCAAGCTGTGGTATACTTGCGACCAGTTGAAATATGATGTTTGAATTATGAGATGGATTCATAAAACGCTGCCAAATCAAAAAAAAAAAATTTGAAACCCATTTCTTGAACCCATCATCGAGCCCGAAATGCAATTCACGCAAGGGCACAGAACCACAAACCAAAGACTAGCAACTCCGACTGTGACACCGTTCTCCTCCTCCTCCTCCTCCTCCTCCTCCTCCTCCTCCTCCGTTGTGAGCTGAATGGTGAAGACCGTTGCGTCAAACGTGTCTTGGCCACCATATTGGCCGTCGATATTTCAAACATCAGCACAATGTTAACCAGAACAACAAGCAAGCGCACGGCGCGCAAGACTTTTTGCTTGATGGTATCCAGCCGAGTCGAGGTCGATGCCGTAGACCTCAGTGTGGCCATCAGCCTCGGTGATGAGCTCTGGCAGCGCCTTCAACAGGACGCTGATGTGGGGGTTGTCCAGTTAGATCCTGCGCATCTTGCGCACTGAAACTCTTCGTCAGAATTGGTTGTTTGGGTTAGTCCTCGTTCCTCCCCTCGGAGCTGGGCTTAGGCGTTCTCCTCCAAGAGCTGCTCCAAGGCCACGTCGGCAGAATCAGTATCGCGCGTTTTCATTTTCCTTGAAAACGCTACGCCCATCTTCTCTTCATACCATTCCGCGAGCTCGATCAGGGCGCCCTCGAGCTCTTCGACCGTGTCGTCACACGTGTCGGCTTGGGTCCTCCTTCAAGGTTGACCCTTGCTCAACTGGTTTTTTGAGATTCATCTTCCAACCGTACATGGGCGTCTCGGTTGTGGGCTGGACTGGCTGGATTTAGAGGAGTGTCTGGCGTAAAAGCGAAACCCCCCCACATGGGGGCGAGGATGAGAGCCTTGCTGCGTACGTGTGGTGCTCGCGCGCTCTGGTGGCCGATGACGAGCGTGGGCTCAGTGCGCCGTCTCGGCGGTCGCGGGCGTTTGGATGCCGTTCAAGCACCCATGGCGCCAGCCAGCTCGATCGTACGGTCCGGGAAGGACCACGCGAAGAGATCTGGCATGATTGTGGGTACGGTGGGCAGGGTCATGGTGACTGCGCGCAGGCCAGACCTGTTTGCCATCCGAGGCACCCAAGGCCCCGCGTTGGCGAATGGCGTGGTGGTGATGCTGTAATGAGGCAGGGAACGTGCCTCGTACCAGCCGGGGTCGTTCTCGCGGCCGACGACATGCAGGAAGTCGCCTTGGATGACCTCTTCAGGATCTGGCTCGCGCCGGATCCTGAAGAGGTCATCACGGGCGCCTCGAACTCTGACCGGGAGCGGGGCAGCGCTTGTTTTGCCTGCACCAACCGCTCGCGCGGTGGCAGCTCGTGAAAGTCAATCGTGTACGGTAGGAAGCTGCGGAATGGCATAAGTCAGTAAATGCTATGAGCAGAGGGAGCAGCCAGGTGCGCAAGTGTAGTACTTACAGCGAGGCCACCCAGTTTGGGAAATGTGTGTTTACGCTCGGCTGGACCTGAGCGAAGAACTCCTCGTGCCTGGCGCTTATGTTATCAGCAAGAGCGTCGCATCGCAAGCAGTGAGGTGGGGTGGAGGTGGGGTAAAGAAGAAGATGTAGTCGTGAAAGATGATGCAGCGAGAAGCGAGAACAATGTGCGCCAGCAGTAGAAGATGTTGATGAAACTCATCGTTTGGCAATGATGATGCAGGACAGCGAGGGAGATGAAGCGGAGTGAGGAGGGCGCGCGCAACTCACTCTTCGCCTCGAGGCGGAGGCCCCGAGGGCAGTAGATAAATGAAGAACGACCATTTCGCCAAAGGCGAAGGAAGTAGATCACTGTCGACTGCGCAATGCGACCGTGAGGTCGTGGTGTTTGTGGATGAAGAGGAAGAGAGTTTGGAGCGGAGGAGGAAGGGTTTTATATCATTGTGCGCGCTCGGGCCCAGGGTCCAGGCAGCCGGCAGTCACTGATGCATGATGCCCCGTGCTAGACCCTGGAACCCCCCCGCGCAGCTGCATTTCCTTGACTGACCTATCATTGGCTTTCCCGGGCTATGGAAGCTAGGTGGAATGCTGCACATGACCCCTCCACGCCATCAGGAGGCGGAATCAGACAGTGCTGGAGTTGTCAGAAGGCAGCTGCGACTCTCGCAACCAGTGGCAGCCTAGCACAGACAGGCGCACGGAAGAGCTGCCAGAATGTCAGGTGAGCAACATGACTGGAGTGTCAGTGTGCTTGTGGGGTTTCAGGTTGCGTCATACCTGGCGCAGCAGCAGCAGCAGCAGCAGCAGCTCACCACTATGCGCATGGTCTTTGCCTCTGCTGACTCTTCAACGCGTCTTTTACATGAACCAATACCTGCTCAGCGCATCTAGCCAGTCATGCTATCAGCAAAATGACTCCCTTCATTGCCTCTCTCGCAAGAGCGGCTCCTGCGAAGACCGCCGCACAAGATGTTGGTGAGCGCGCTGGTCATCGTTGGCAATCGGAGCTCGTCCTCACACCAGCAGAATAAGCCTGAGCAAGCGTAAGAAGCTGCCCAAGCTGCCGGCGGATCTCAATGACGCTACTAGTGACTCCTTTCGCTGTGCCTCTGCGTCACGCTGCGCTGACGCGATGATCTAGATAGATGACGCTGCGACTGTCCAACCAGGTTTTTTAACCACGACCGGCCGCTCCTTCCAGCCCCTCCTCCCAGCCCCTCCCCTTTGGTATTCGCCATGGAGGACCGCTACACCCTTTTATTAGCATACTTTCGCCTAGGACACGCCGCAGCATCGCGTCACGCACACGCGTGGGCGTTCACACCATTGTCGTCTACACGGACTGTCTCGACGCCGCCGAGGACATCACCCACACCAGATACCAGACAGACTGAGCGCTGTGGGTTTGGAGAGAGCGGAGTGGCTTACGGAGCGGATCTATGACAGTATCTAGCTGCTAGAGACGCAGTACGGCCTCAAGACACAGATCAATGGGGTGTCCGGTCACAGGGACGATGAGGGCATCAACGAGTGGGCCAGCTTCAATGCCCGGAGCGCCGTCGGCATCAATCTGCATCAACTCTCTTAGACACAGCGTCCGACCCGCCGGCGCATTTGGGAGAGAGAGTGGCGGTTATGAGGTGACTGACTCTAACGCGGTGACTCTGGCTTTTGGCTACTGATCTGACGATAGAACCTTGCACGTCACTGGCAGAAGAGCGGGACAGTGACGGACTAAAGTTTGCGCTGTGCGCGTACCATCAGACACTACCGTTTTCACAGCAACCTGATGAAGATGGCACCAGTTGAGCCCGACAACGCTTGTCGCGGTCGCAAACCTTCTCACGATCGAACCGCTCCCTACAAACCTCTCACAAGCAACAGGCATAACGCCACACGATCAGCTTTTCGAGAATCTCAACAAAGCCCCTCAGATATGGTCCAGATCACGAAAGAGCGAGAGGGCGGTGGAGGCAGCTAGGAATCCGGATAACAAGGGCGCAAGACAATCTTTCGGGAAGCAGTTTGCTATAATGGGTTAAGGGAACAAGGTGCTTTCTGGTGGCTTCCATCCACTCAAGCGACCCTAGTTAATCTTTCCGTCTTCGTGAAGTGGACTTGAGGAGTTGGGTTGCCAAGAGCTCGCGATACGGTCGCCAGTTGGAGCCGACAGTACGCCCCTTGCATGTGAAACGCTTGGCAAATGTGACGAGACAGAACACTGTAAGCACTGGGGCGGACATTTAAGCCCATCAGCGGTATGCATCGAGGAAAGGGCGGATACACACATGCGATTCAGAATGAGGATAACCCATAAGACGAACGAAGGACACTTCGTCAGCCCGTACAACTTGAGACTTGTGGCAGTACCAGATACTTACGTACTCATTCTTGACCTTCGAACGCTACTTGAGTCCCTACTTTGAGCTCAAAGTAGAGGATAATTCTCGTGACAATGCATTGCGAAGTCACGCTAAAATGTATCTCGACGGCACGTCCAGAGGAGGGCACATACCCAGTTTTCGATCGGCCGAAGGAACAGTGACAAACAAACATAGCAAATGACGGGTACCTGTTTCCTAGCTACTCTCCAGGATACCGCACTCACCAGGATTACTACAGCAACATCGTCCGAAAAAATCCGCAGTGGGCTTTACTACTCCACCTTCTCTACACGCAATGTTTAAAGTGATGGAAATTGCTATTGGCGTCTCCCTACTAGAATCTATAAGTAACAGAACAGGAAAGTATAGGAAAGACTAGACTATTCCAGTGCATCAAAGGTCAGCCGATGGAGACCTTGGGAAATTTGCAGTGCCGCTTTGTGTACTACTACTTTTCCCCTCATTAAGCTAGTGTCGACGTCTGCGTTCCTAATGTCCTTCACTCTATGCAAGTCACTGCAAATTTCCATACGAAAACTGACCCTTGGTGTTGGTATCCGAGGAGAAGCAAAGGTCCCTCTTAAAAGTAGAGCAGATATGAGTCAGCATGAACAGGGGTCAGTCGAAGTTCTTGGTCAGTGAGTATTTGGTGGTATGTGGGAGTCCACGGGTAGCAAGGCAACAAGGGCATTTAGCTATACTCGTGGCACCTCTTTGCGGTCATTGAAGTAGTTGCTCTGCCGCACCGGTCGGTTAAAATGGTATGGGCCTCGTGATGGAAGATGAGCGGCAGGATGCGAAACCGGCCAGGGTGCGCACTTGGGCGAAAAGCATGCGAAAGGTTTTCGAATGGGGTAGTAGCTGTCGATTCATGATGTTCCCTCAGCTGCAACTTCAATTTTGACTTGGTTCCGTGTGTTCGCACGGCCATGATTGCTCTTGAGCGAGACTGACGTTCAACGGAGCGCTGGAGGGGGTTGAAAGGATTCTGCCCTTTCAGCGAACAGGAAGAAGCTGGCCCGAAGAGAAAGCAGAAAGCGAAAAGCGCAAAAAGTGCTGAAGGAATATGCCATCATTGAAGGATGTCTTTGGAGTGAGGTGGGAATGAGGTGAAGCTTCTAGATCGTTTGCTAATCGCGTAAACGCAACTTCCACACCAACAACCGACACCGCCTCATCCGCACTTCTCAGCTGAGACCCATTCAGCGCCACCAAAAGATGGCCGGAGCCTTGAAGAACCTCCTCCGCCACTGCGCTCTCCACACGAACCCACAAGACAACAAAATTCGAGCCTGCGACACCTTACGCTACCGACCTACCGCAGGAACGAGTGCGCATGGACAAAAGTGAGACTACAACTTACACCCTAACCCTCCTGTGTGCCGGACACTAGATCACAGCCTCGAGTTGTTGCTGCCGTCCCTATATGTCCCAATCTACACAAGTCAAACCCGGCCACCACTTCAGCGCGATAGGCAAGCGTCATGCACAGCATGCGACACCTTTCCACCCTAACAACACATCTCGCGAACCCCGTAACAGACGGCTGTGCTGCCGCATCCCAGCATCAGTACCGCCGCCGGCCTATCCTACACGCGCATTGCAGAACAAGCTGACCTAGACCGCGTAGTACGTCATCGCCTGTCGGACTCGTACGGAAGCGTGTTGCACCCGCTGTCGATTTCGATGCCAATCAGCGCGACAGTATCAGGCTATCTATTCTCACGCCAATGGTTTTTCTCCCTTTCTCTCTCCCTCCTCAATCATCACTCGGTCGGATCGTCCAGCAGCACCGACATCAGATCACACACACGCGTGGAGGATACAACACAGCACAGCACAGCACAGCGCAACGTCAATGATGCGGGTTGGTCATAACGAGAAGGAAAAGACACTTGTTGCAGAAGAGCATGCCGCCAATGGGCATTGTCGATGCATATATATATATATGTACGGTAAGAAAAGCAAGCAAGCAACATCATCGTAGCAGCCTCGGGTCCAAGGGTTTTCTTCCATCTCCTTAGCCGAGCTTGCTGTTGACGAAGGTGAGGGCGTCTTGGCCGTACTCGGTGCCGTATCCCTGGTGCACCGAGGCGTCGCTGCCGTTGGAGCAGTAGGGGTCGGCCGCGTCGCAGTAGGACTGGATGATGTCGGCGTAGGCCGTGCATTCCTGGGACTCGGGGTCGAACTGGATGGGGTTCGTGTCAGTCAGTCTCTCTCTCTCTCCTGGGCCGTGAATGGCTCTTCTTCATGGCAACTTACACCCGAAGCGGTCGAGGTGCCGACGTTGTACGACGCACCGGGCTTGTGGCGCGGGTTGCCCATCCAGATCATGGCGGCGACGTGGGAGCCAACGTCGCTGGAGATGGGCGCAGTGGTGTCGGTGATGCCCTGGTTGGTGTCGCCACCGTCGCAGAAGGCGTTCTGCATGATTTGCGAGCCCTGTTTCCAATCTTGTCAGCGCCCCTCTCTCTTTCTCTCTGTCTGTCTGGATCAAACTGACCTGCGAATAGCCAACCATCACAATCTTCGCATCCGGACACGCGCTCACATAGGCCTCGACCTGCGACGCCACGTTCGCCGTGCCCGTCTGCACCGACGACCCGTAGCTGTCACCGCCAGCGGCCGGGTAGTCGATGGCTTCGGACGTGGCGCCCGGGTGCGCGTTGAGGATGAGGTTGACGACGGTGGCGGACGAGCCGAAGCCGGCGGAGACGGTGGTCTCGCGCGCGCCGAAGACGTGGATGGGGGCGCAGTCGACGGCGCGCTTGTGCTCCTGCTCGACTGGGGCGGCCGAGGCGATGCCGGCGGCGCCGAGCAGGAGGGCGGTGGTGAGGGAGTGGCGGTGTTGCATGATGGTGGTGGGAGTGAATGAATGAGTGTGGGCAGAATGGAAAAGAAGGATCAACCTCTGTGGTTTCCGGAAGAGCCAAAGGGTGGGGAAAGGGTGTTTATATATAAAAGGCGGAGTGCATATAAGACTCGCGGCTATAATAAGGTCGAGAGCGGGTAGCCGGATCTGACCGGCATCTGGAGAGGCCTCATGCTTCTGGGCCGCTAACCCACAGTGCTTATGGGACTCGGGGATGGCTATAGCATATGAAAGGGAGGGGTTGAAAACAGCCGGAGAACGAGACGGGCATTGTGAAACGTCTGCTTGGGGTTCTCTCGGATGCTGATCAGTGCAGGGGCGGCCTTGTTTCTCTACGCGAGCGTTTCGAAACTGTCCTACCATCTGCCGCCCCACCTCCAAGGACCGCGTCTGTGTCTTTGTTTGAGAAGTGTTTGTTGGTTGGATTTAGCCGACAGTACAAGTTGCATTCCAGCCAACGGGTTGATCTCCCGCTCATCCAAAAAGCTTGGTTCCCCCAGCATTCAGCCATGTTTCTCCCCTACCTTTACTTGAATCAGTGGCATTTTCGGTATTGCGCAATGAACATGGATTGAAAGCGAGTTGGAGATGGGCAGCCTAGCCAAGGCACTAAGCTCAATCCCTAAGTTAAAGGTGTTTCAACTGTAGGTTTACGTCAAAATCATCACATTACCTCGACTTAGGCGCAAACGATGCAGTGCACCCAATCTAGGCAAGTCTTCCAGGCAGTATACCAGTCCAATTGAGTGAAAGCAAGATGCGCTTCCGGCAATGTCTGCCCCAGCGCATCCTGTTCAGGCAGTCAAGCACCAAAATAAGCTTATCCCCCCGCTGCGCCATGAAAACTTGATCCGTACCCCGCCTGCCCATCGTTTCACCACAACCGATCCCACGAATCTCTCCGCTACCTACGTCGCCCCAACAGCAACATGTCTTTGTCAATCTTAGCGATTCTTGTCCTTCTTTATTTCTGTTCGCGCCTCAAACTGGAAGCCTCGATTACCCGGAGTGGGCCTCGCAACAGTGGCGTCATTAAAAACAGCCAGAAGGCTGTCATGGAGCACGGCAAGATGCGGATGGAATTTTCGGAGCGCCTCGTGCTGTTGAGATTGGGGAACGAGAAGCCAAACCACCAACGACCATGACCGCCAAGTCTCTCCATCTCGCTCTCCGAGTGAGTCGTGCGCGCAGGTATATGCAAAGCCATCGCAAAGGTCTCGGGGGCAGTTCCCATAGCTAGCAATGCATTGGTCGGCCGGAGCTTGAATTGTGAGAAAGCCTTTCTCTAGCATAGTGAATTGAGTGTATTGGGGTTGTATTGATTCACCGAGCACTGGCTACTGTAAACGTGAACCGTGTTGGGCTGCTAGGTAGCACAACAACATGATTGGCCAGAGGCGGAGGCGGAGATGCGGCGGACTCAAGATCCCTGACGTGTGCCTCGGCAGTTCCGCTTTCTTTCCCCAGACTCTTGGCCCATGTGGCTGTCGACTCCAGCACCTTTCCGCTTGCGCCGCCCTCTCCTCTAGCCAGCCTCCATTTCTATCGCGCAGCTCCGCGTTCTGATCGCTCGCCGTCAATCAACATCCTACTACGGCCATCCTCCCGAAATCCGCCGACCTCGGCAGGAGGAAACGCATCCACCTCGGCCGTCACTGCAGCTCCGCAATCCACCTTCCATGACCGCTTCCGCCACCCCGTCGCTACCGGAAGCTGCTTCCTAACCATTCGGCCAAACCCAACACTCACCGCAGCAGCAGACGCGACGCCGAACGCTGCCGCCCGCACCGAACACACTCCTCCGCACCGAACGCCGCACCCACAGCCCCTCCACACACTTCGCCCACACCCCCCGCCTCACGCGCGCAGCCTCGCCGCCCAAGCTCCCCCCACCACAATGTCCAGCAGCGACGACGACAACAGCGCCAGCGACCGTGGCAGCGGCAGCGGCAGCGACAGCGGCGGCAACCCCGCCCCCCGCAAGCCCTACACACCCACGACGACCATCGCATCAGCCTCTTCGTCCAACGCGTCGTCGGCGCCCGACCTGTCCATCCTCGGCGACACGGTGTCGCTGCACCCGGCGGGCTTCAACAGCCCGGCGCTGACGCCGTCGACGTCGCCGGACCGCAACCTGGTCGAGGGCGTGGCGCGGTTCCGGACGGCGCCGTTCGAGTTCCTGCGCGAGCTGTCGTCGCACGTGTCGGGCCACGGCTGGCGCAGCTACGACGACGTCATCGGCCAGCCCGTCTTCTACGCCGGCTTCTCCGAGCAGATGAAGGCGCGCGTCGTGGGGAATCCGATGCTCAAGGCGAGGATCAGGGAGTTGGCCGCGCGGAGGGTGGGCGTCGAGGAGGGGGAGGGGAGGTTTGGGAGGGGGAAGGGGGAAGGGGTGGAGAGGGAGAAGGAGAGGAGGAGGGCCGAGGTGCAGGGGCAGTTGGAGGAGGTGGTCGAGGGCATGACGGACGATATGATTTGTAAGATGGAGAGTAAGCGGTTTATTCGCGGCGCGTATTATCTGTGCGCGCAGATTTTGACGAGGGCGTATCATCAAGGTGCGTGGGTTGTGGTGTTGCAGAGAGAAGGAAGACTCTTTACCTTCTTCTTTCCCTCTTCCGAGTCATGCGCATATGCTACGGCTGTTTCTACGTATTGGACTTGGGCTTACTTCTTTCGCAGGCATCCACGTCAACTCCGAAGAGGTCCTGCGGTTGCGCGCAGTCGCCGAGAAGGCCGAGAGAGACAAGCACAGCATCATCTTCCTCCCCTGTCACCGCTCACACGTGGATTACGTCTCATTGCAACTCATCTGCTATCGACTGGGCCTTGCTTTGCCCACTGTTGTCGCGGGTGATAATCTGAACTTTCCACTTGTCGGACAGTTCCTGCAGCATGCCGGTACGTCCAGGGAGCGGATGGCGGGATACTGCCAAAGTGACTGTGCACTAACCGTCTGACCAGGTGCTTTCTGGATTCGCAGAAGCTTTGGCGATGATCAACTATACCAGACCGTTGTGCAATCATACATGGACGCGCTTCTAACCCACGGCTATAACTTTGAATGTTTCGTTGGTATGTCGCTTTCAGCCTCCGATTCGATCACGACTTCACCGGCTGACTTCAACAAACAGAGGGCGGCCGATCACGAACGGGCAAGCTCCTCCCTCCCAAATTCGGCATCCTCAGCTTCCTCCTAGACAGCGTGCTCTCCGGCCGCGTAGACGACGCCATCATCTGCCCCGTCAGCACCCAGTACGACAAAGTCATCGAAGTAGAGTAAGCGCAATTCTCTCCATGCAGTGCACTCCAAGCTCACCCCTCCACAGCTCCTACATCTCCGAGCTCCTCGGGCAGCCCAAGCCCAAGGAAAACCTCCGCGACTTCCTCTCCGCCTCGTCCGTCCTCTCCCTCAAGCTCGGCCGCGTCGACGTGCGCTTCGCCGAGCCGTGGTCGCTCCGCGCCTTCATCAACACCCAGCAGGCCCGCGCCTCGCGCCTGCCACCTGCCATGGACAGCAATCCCAACCAACCCACCGACAAGGCATCCCGCCTCCGCCTCCTGCGCACCCTGGGCTACCGCGTGCTGTCCGAGATCAACGCAGTCTCGGTCGTGATGCCGACGGCGCTGGTCGGCACGGTGCTGCTGACGCTGCGCGGGCGGGGTGTGGGAAAGAGCGAGCTGGTGCGCCGTGTGGAGTGGTTGAGCGAGCGCGTGCGGAATGCCGGGGGTAGGGTGGCGCATTTCGGCGGGGCGCCGACCGAGTATGTTGTCGAGAGGGCACTGGATGTGCTAGGGCCCGGACTGGTGGGGAGTGTGGCCGGGTTGCCGGAGGAGACGTTTTATGCTGTTGACCGGTGAGTGCGGTGCTTCTGTCTTTCCTTTTCTCTCTTTCTCTTCCCTCTCTTCCCTTCTTTCCGCCCCGCCCGCACGCAACAAGTACTGACATGATCGGCGTTGTAGCTTCCAACTCTCCTTCTACCGCAACATGACAATCCACCTGTTCATCCTGCCCGCCCTCGTCTCGGCGGCCATGTACACGCGCGTCAAGCAGGGCGGCGCGCCCGCCCACCAGCGCATCTCGTACGCCGACCTGTACGAGCAGGTGGCCTTCCTGTCGCAGCTGTTCCGCGGCGAGTTCATCTTCCCCACCGAGGGCCTGGCGACGAACCTCGACCGCACGCTGCGCTCGCTCGAGGCCGACAAAGTCATCAAGGTGACGCGGGTGCAGCGACCAGCAAGCGAAACCACGGGCGGCAAGGAAGAAGAAGAAGAAGAAGATTCCGGCGTCGTCCAGTGGGTCGAGCTCAGCGACGAAGAGCGCGAGCGGGGCCGCGAGAACTTCGACTTCTACTGCTTCATGATATGGCCTTTCGTCGAGGCGAGCTGGCTCGGGGCCGTGAGCCTGATGATGTTGACGCCGCCGCCACCACCACCACCAGCCGCTCCCGCCGGCACAGCAACAAAAACAAACGAAGCCGGCAACACGAGCAGCAGCAGCACCACCACCACCACCCCCTGGCTCGACCAAAAAACCACCCAAGACCGCGCCCAGCTCCTCGGCAAAACCCTCTACCACCAAGGCGACCTCTCCTACTTCGAAGCCGTCAACAAGGAGACGCTCAAAAACGCCTACACCCGCTTCGAAGAAGACGGCATCGTCGTCGTCTCGCGCTCGCCCTCGCTCTCGCGCGCCCCGCCGGCCCTGCGGCTCGCCGACGAGTGGGTCCCGCGCAGGGACCCGGCGACGGGCCAGATCGTGGCCAAGGGCCGCCTGTGGGATTTTGCCGAGATGATCAGCCAGAGCAGGAGGGAGGGGAAGAATCGGAGGGATGGCATGACGGTGCGGAGGAGGGTGTTGGGGCTGGTGGAGAGGGTGGGGGCGGAGTTGTGGGCGGGGGCGGCGGCGGTGCGGAAGGATGGGGAGGGGAAGGGGGGAGAGAGTGAGGGGGAGGAGGGGGAGAAGGTGGCGGAGGCGAGGAGGAGGAAGAGGAGGAGCTGGAGTGGGAGTGGTGGGGGGGCGAGGGCGAGATTGTAGGGTGGGGTGGGGGGGTGTTGGTGTTGGTGTTGGTGTTGGTTTCGTTGCTGGGGTGTAGATGTGGGGACGGGACGGGATGGGATGGCTGTTGTTGGGGCGGTTTTTCCTTTCCTTTGGCGTTGGAGGAATTGGGATGCAAAAACAGGGTTCACCTGTACTGGCACTGCTTGTGGGGAGAGATGGTCGCGAAGAAAGATGCCGGGTACATGAGCTTCGGTATCTAGAACAAAGACATTGATTGCACTTCGCTACGAAACTCCTAGAGACTGACTCAAATATATATACATGCATGGACAAAGCGTCGTTTGAGCTACTATACTCAAGGCTCACACAACAGCATCCATCGTACCGTGTCGTCGCTTGCAGCTTGCATATCCTTCGCGTACCTGCTGGATGAGAAGACCGACATTGAGATGCGTTCTGGACCTCCGAGATGACTTACGATATAATTAGTTAGTTACTTTTCGGGGTATATGGAGCCGCCCAGGGGGGCAGGCTCTCCTGACCCTCATGCTAACAATCAACACTCATTCGATTATCAAAAGGCTAACATATATAAGGCAAACAAGCATTTTGGTAAAGAAAAAGCAGGTCGTTCATCAACAACCTAACTGCGATGGTGGTGTAGTTGGTTTATCACGTCAGTCTAACAGAAGGCCTCCTCTGATACTATCGAATGTATCATGAGCCACTGGTCCACTGAAGGTCCCGAGTTCAAACCTCGGCCGTCGTATCTCTTTTTTTTTTTGGCGTTTGGCAGTACGGCAGCGTTGTGGCGAACTGTTCATCCCTTTCGGAGAAATTTTTTTTCTCTCAAGTGGACAATGCGGCGGCAGTATCTCGGGAGATCCTTAACAAATGGCCCAGACTATTCGGCTCCTAAAAGAATGCGAAGGATTTACTTGTGTATGATGGTCTCCCATGAGTCCCATCTATGTGGAAGATGGCCAGTGTATGTATTGCTTAAGTTCGGTTGTGATGTTGTCACGGGCTGGGACTCTTTCGAGTCTCGACCATGGACGCCATCCAAAGCGAAGAACCATCGTAAACAGGGAAGCCACTGTGAAGAGTACCTTTGCATCGAGCGTGATATGTGTCAAATGATACTCACTGCATTTCGAAGACCCACGTTCCATGGAATTTTCTGATGGGCCCTTCGGATAAACATCACCTCCCTTTCTGTTGATCCCAAGATAGGATTCAAGAACCAACCCAGCATTCTTTTTCCATGAGCTTTCCGGTTGCCATGCAGCTCGGACACCTAGGCCGTTTCCTCACTTGATTTGGTGACCTAGCAAAAGTTGTGCATATTGCTAGTAGCTTTTGCAAGTGGAAACGCCCCGTATGAGGACAACACCCAGGATGAGTTTTCATACCCATTTGCACGAACTTGCTTGATGCAGAAGATACGATTCCAGTACCAGCAGAGAACGTCAGCAACGAATGCCAAATCTTCAGGAAGCGTGAAAGACTTGCTTTGGCAAGATCAGGAAGACAACAGGACTCGCCCAACGAGGTGGGAACTATTCCATTCAGACTGCATCACTTGTTCCTAGACTCCTGGCACGAAATGCCAGAAAGGATCTTCTCCGCAAGGTATCTTTGCTTTGGCTTTGAGCATCGGTCTTTTTGAGAAGAAATTCCCCTTGGATCTACAAGAACTGACTCGTTCGCAACTTGGCTAGGTGATTCGACTACCGGGTAGCGTGGCACAAACTGCTTGACTCTAGGGCTTCTACTTAAATCATCGAAATTGGGTACATGGTATTAACATCGTGGTTTGAATCGCATTTTCATTTTACATAATTCATCCTCCTGGTCTGCAATTTAACTTTATTTGGAGAAGGTATTTCTGATTTAAGTAAATCATACAGTCCTTATATCACTTACACTCTGACACACTAAAAAGCTTGAATTGATTGAGCTGATTTACTGGAAAGCCCTACCTGACTCGAAGGAGGTCCAGTCCGAAAGAGACGAGATGGATGAATTCCTGCCTGAGGGTTGGGAGGAGATTTCCGGCAGACCAAAGACAACTGACGTCAAGACTGGAGTATGGTTGAAGATGTGCTTGCGTACATCGTTGGCCCACGATGGGTGGATCGGTACGAGATTACAACGTGATCCACTCACGGCACTAGATGACGCGGTACTATCTCAGATGAGGCCAGGCGTTATCGTCACACGAGCTCAATCGGCGACTTTCAACTAGATCTAGACGTAACAGCTTCGGGAGAAACACCAAATATCCTCGATCTGGCCAGGTTGGTGGTGGGACATTGTGAGCACGACGCTGGAAAAGCAAAGAGCTTGTGGGGTTTTGAGAACACATCCTTCGACTTCGTTGCTCTTCCTCACAATCCCCAGCCAAAACAGAAAACCCTGTTTGGAAGCCTTTTAAGAAGCCTCTCCTCAAGAATATTCTTTGAAAATAGTATCTGGTAAGTAAAAATAATCAACATCCTGGAAGAAACACTGACGTGCAGTGTGTGGATGAACATTGCTTCTTGGCTTTTATTGTTGAATAAGCCATCTAGCCTCCAGAATGCGTATCTTTGTACTGTTGGTCTGGTCGCGCAAAAACAAGGCGAGCGTCCCCTTAAGCAAGTAGTTTGTTCTGTGGAACAAAATGGAAAGCCAACATGAACACTTGTAACAAACAACGCTGCTCCATGCTCTACGAAGTCCATCACAGGATATTGAAGTCTCAATCCATTCATCTCTTCGCAACCGACAAAGCTAATACCAGACGCGCAATGACGATGAAAAAGCAAAGGATGCCTTGCACAATAATGCAAACGTACGTCATTGTTTCTGCTAGAGAGAGGCCTTTCATTTGCCGCCTCTGTGAAATCCACATTTTCTACGCTAATAGATCGCTACCTAAGGTTTCCGTATTTTGAACCCACTCCGCATCGCATGTGAAAAACGCCGCCACGCTACGCACGAAAGACGGCGTTCGTTTAAGATGCAGACCGACCGACCCAAAAAAATGTTCCGCCGCATTAACCATTACACAAAAGGGAGAGGGGGAGCAACAGTACAGGAAACCGACAACGACATGACAAGGAAAAGCGAAAGACAGAGTGAGTGAGTGAGTGTGAATGAGTGAGCTTGCTTCCCCGACCCTTTGCTATGATTGAGAGGAAGAACGACATGATTGTGTGATCGGTGAGGGCCTTGCTAATCTAGAGAGGCGCATAGACGTTTCAAGAATTGCGGGGCTCTGATCAGAGATCCCCGAGAGAGAGATACTGTCTGTCTCTGTCTTTTCCTGGCCGGTGGCTTACAAAGCCCCGGTGATGATTTCCTGTTTTTCCCCCTCCTCGGAAGATTTGTGTGTTGTGTATGCGGTGCCCCTGTCTCAGACAAGAGAAAAAGAAAAGGAAAGTCCAAAGCCGTCAGGATTTCCAGTGGAGTTGTAGAAAAGAAGAAGTGAAAAGGTGAGAAATAACGTAAAGTAATCGGATGCGATGACGACACTCAAGGTCGAGAAGCGAAGAGAGATAAGTATGTCCAAGAAGAGAAAGCGCGTGAGAGACGAAAAAAGCGAACAGCAAGGGGCCATCGTCGTTACAGACGAACAGACGCCTACAGCTTCTCACTCAAAGCGTTGTCCTTTTTGGCATTGAGGGTCCGGATGGCAAAGCAACCGATCAATGCGAGCTCGAGGATCGCCGAAGCAATGGCCAGGGCGAATCCCGCGTTCTAGAAAAGCGAGCAGTTAGTATGATAACCAAAAATCCTGAGACGCGTCACAACATGTCTGAAACCTACCTGCTCGGTGCAGACCCTCGCAATCTCAGACGCGCCGGTAACATTGTCCGATGCGTGCTCGCACGCATACGCGCTCAAGCTATCGCCTCCAGCACCCGTCTCGAACAGCTTGTACACGGCCAACGCGGCGATCCACGCGCCGACGAAGAAGATGCCCATGCCGACGCGCACGCCGGCGAGGCGCTTGACGGGCTTCATGAAGCGCTCGCGCAGGCTGAGGCCCCACACGATGATGGAGCAGCAGAAGCTGGTGAAGCCGACAGCCAGCAGCAGCCACGAGGGCAGCAAGCTCAAGTCGGACGGCCAAACGGGGTGCGTGCTGACCGTGTTGTCGATGGTGCCGTCGACCTTCAGGCCGCCGTACAGGCTGAGGCTGTGGCCCATCAGGATGGCCACGGCGCCCGATATCATGAGGATCAGCGGCAACAGCGTCCACTGGGCCATCCGCGGCCAGCTGTACTGGTCGGGCGACCTGAAGCGCGAGGCGGCGAGGGCATTGGCGGCCGAAGCGTCCGAGAAGCGGGAGTGCGTGGTTGGGGCGGGAACGCCTGGGGGTGCTGGGGGGAGGGTCGGTGGTCGGTCGAGCTGCTTGGGGGCTTCTTGGGGCGGCCCGAGCGCTACGTCGTGGAGGTCGACTTGGGTGGTTGCCTGCGAGAGCGGGGACGGGGTTCCATCGTTGGCGAAGCCGGGACTGCTGAAGGGTTGCTGCGGGCCGAAGGAGGGGTGCGGGCTCCGCGAGGAAGAGGCGGTTCCTGGGCGGTTGTCGAGACGAGGTGATGTTGCTGCGCTTCGCTGGTAATCGGGACGGTGCGGAGAGGCTGGGGCCGGGCTGCCGTAGGTGTTTGAGCGATACGAGGAGGCTGTGGGCGGGCGATAGGCCTGCTGCGGCGAAGCAGTGCCGGTCCGTGACGGGTACTGGTAGGGACCGGGTCCAGGGCGTGGGCGATGAGATGCGGAGGAGCCCGGGCGAGGCGATTCCGGACTGAAGGGAATGCGAGGCTGTGGTGAATAGGGTTGTGAATACGGCTGCGGCGAGTACGGCTGTGGCGAGTACGGTTGCGGAGGATACTGCTGCGGCGAGTAGGGTGCAGCAGTGGGGGCGCCAGGCGGGAATGGAATGGCATTGTCGGTGCTGGGAGTCCTATCGGGGCGTTGCGGGCGCGGCCTGTATGGTTGGGAGTAAGACATGGCCAAGTGTGTCCTGGATGGGTTGCGAGGGCCAGCGAGGTTGTCGTCCTGGAAGCGAGTGGAGTGATGTGGTGAGTGCAAAGTCAACAGCAGGGCTGGCTCAGGCACGACTGGGGGGGCCGGGACCAAAGAGGCAGGCGGAGCTGGGATTTGCGAACGGTAGGGACAGGCGGCAATGCAGAGAGCGGCAGTGGTCTTGCTCCAACTGTTTCACCACTCACAGTTTGAAGCGCGACAGAAGGACCAAGAGGCCGCAGGCGGCGCGGCGGGGACGCGAGCAGCCATATAGGCCCAGACCTGCCCGTGGGCCCCACCGGGCGCCGCAGCTTGACGAGGCCGGCAAACGGGCGGCATAGCCTCGTCGGCGACGCGCTGGTTGGCTCGGCGGGTGTTGGCATCATTTCAGGCAAGACAGGCGACGGGGAGGGCAAGTGGGCCGATTGCGAGGAACATCTCCCGTAGGGCTGGGGGTGCCTGATGGGGCGCTTGGCCCCCAGGGTTACTAAATTAGATTAACTTTGATGAGCCTGCCGCCGGCTGCCTAGGTGCGCAGTCGTTGGCCGTGGGGCGGCGCCGCCCGCCTGTAGGTAGGCCATTGCGCGCAGCGACGCGTGGGTAGAAGCGGGCTGCTGTGTGCTGCCGTGTGCCATTGACGTGCCGAGTAGATACTGCGACGAGCGTGAGACTGATGTGTTGTTGGTAGAGTCGGGAGCACGACAGGCCGAAAGTGGTGGGCAGCGGGCAGCCGGTCTGAAACGCGGCGCGATTCGCTTTCTGCGCGCGACACGTCAACACCATCTCCGACTCCGTGCGCCAACGGCCGTGCAAGAGTGATGCGGTGGCTTGGGCAGGCCTATCACCGCCCGAGGCAACGGCATCCCGACTCCGTGTATCTCGCAGCACGCCATCAGCAGTTTGCCCTGCATGCCGCCGTGGCCCCTGAGCCCTCGTCCCGCGCGCTTCGCTCCCACACGCGCGCTTCCAGAAGCACGCCAGCTCTGGGCGGCGGTGAGTTTGACGTCTTCTGGCGCGCTCTGTCCGCAGTCCAACCTCTGCGCACCCCGGCCTCGGCGCGGACCTCGGCGCTGCACTGAGACCTGCTGACTTCTCCTGACTTAGACTCATGCGTGTCAACGCGGCCTGTGAGGCTGTCGTGACCTGCTGGGCCACGCGGGCTAGTACGTAGTATGCAGGTACAGCCGCCTTCCTGGCGTTCCTGGCGTTCCTGGCGTGCCTGGCCTGACGCCGATCGGCCTGTCCCGGATTTTCAGATCAACACCTTGGCCACTACCTCCGACCCGCTTCGCCCTGAGATCGCTATATCCGACCCTGCTATACACGACCTGCCTCCCACTCCCATATGTACACCACCGTACTCGCCCGGCTCCTGGAACCAACATGCGACCGCGGCCGACTTTTCCTTTTCGTGTTGTTGTCCCGAGAAGCGCCATGTGCTAAATATAGGTAGTCTGCCGAGCCGAAGGAACGACAATGCGTCTCGACCGGTCGCTACTAGATCCCCCATAGTAGCCCCGTCCCCGTCCGTCATGACGATCTTGACTGAGTAGAGAACACAATGCCACCACCAACGACGACGACGACCACCCCGAAGAAATTTACACCATCAGAGACATTATGAATCGCACCAACCCGCCGCCTACGGGCTCAGCCGCTCCACCTTCCACCCACCCTCGACGCTCTCATCCCTCGGATACCTAAGCCGATCATGCAGCCCGCTCTCCTCCCCTGCCAAAACTCCACCTTACCGGGCACAATCCTCACACCACCCCAAAAAGGCGGCACGGGAATCCTATCCTGTCCCTCAAACGAGGTGGTAAGGAGTCGGTGTGTGGGAAGGGTAGGATTGCGGAGGATTGCGGTGAGGGATCGGAAGTTTGTGTTCGAGGTGGTGACGAGGGGAAATGTGGTCAAGACGATCAACAACAAGCGAAACAGTTCTCTCTGGGGGATTGACTCAAGACTGCAACCCTTGCGCAGAAGATTGCTACTGGCCAGTCCGCGCTCTTCAACCTCACCGGTTCAGTGAAACGTTCGACCTCAACGCCGATGACTTTGATCCCTTCGCCGCTGCTGTCTGGCACAACCTGGACCTTGTCGCGGCAGACGTTCTGGAGTGTAACACTCCAGAATGCCTGGCCTTTCCCGACCGTGAGGCCAACTTCGACCTCAACATGCCCCAATCGAACCCAAGCAGCACTTCACTCTATATGGGACACTCGATGAGGAGTGTGAGAACGACGATCAGTATCCCGATGTTTCGGGGACCGGGGCCACCTACGTAGCCCCATCAACGACATCAACAAGGCCTTCCCAGCCGCTAATATTCTGAGTCAATGTCGTCTTGGAGACTGCATCGATGAATATTCCCACTTGCTGCATTTTGATAACATCGTCGGCCGCCCAGCTGACACCATCACTATCAAGAAGCTCTCTAATGGCCAGATCACCTCTATTCGCCTGGGGAACCGTGATCATTTCTACCGATAACAGTACGCAGACGATGAATAATCCTAAAATAGCTTCCCTTCTATACACTTTCTTTGGGGCGGGCCTTTTACTGGGTCAGTACTGTAGGAAGGCTTACCTTTTCCGATGACTAGGCGCCGACACTGAAGTGACATTGTGGAGTTATGGGGCTGTATCACGGATAGTGCCAGAAACAGCAGGAGGAAGGCTTGAACGTTTCCGCCATCTCTCGCAGTTCAATTCTCAGTAGGGCATGAAAGTAACGCCGAGTAGTCTATACTAAAGTCTTCAAACAGAATCCATATAGTCATACACATCACGTTCACCTCGCTCTCCATCATCGCGAGATAACTCTGGCTGTTCTAATTCCCTCTCCGCCTCGCCGTAACAACATGGAAAATGAATGCGCGAACATGGCCCATTCCGGTAGAGAAGACACCATCGTTTGGAAGAGATCGCGATCGGCAAGCACATGACATTGATACACGACAATAATACGGTGGACTGACATGGCTCCAAGCTGCCGTGTTGCCGTGGGCTGTTGACTTGTGACTGAGGAACAGATAACGTTGTGTGGCAGGGTTCACAGGGAGCTAAGCCTCACAGCCTCGCCCAAGTCGTTGCGAGCTTTATCATCATTCAGATCCCTGGAAGGGAAAGGAAGGGGGGAAGGAAGAGCAAGATATAACAAGAGAATGCGACTTTGCTAACGAATAAAGGCTTAGCACGCGCAACCACGCATCAGGCCACTGCCCGGTTGCAATGTCTTCGCCGGTCGAGGGTGAGTAAAGGTAGCCCATCACTTTTTAACCGGTCTTGCTTGGCAGACAACTCTAATGCGACATGCATGTACTTGCAGAGGGGCTTAGCAGTTGACGTAAGCCAGGCCCAATGGAGTCGTGATTCGTGCATTGCGGGGTTGCGGAGCCGACTTCCCGGCACGACACGAGCGACAAGCGAATGAGAAACGACAAAGTGCTTGGTCAAACTTGATAGCTATCTCTCTTGGCACAGTTTCACCAAGAGCCCGCATTCTTGTGCCATCCTCCTACTCGCCCATCGCAGTCGCGGCGCCGCGTGCCATGGACCCACAAATCCCAAAACGGTGCTGCACAGCCTCCCGCAACCATTCTAGCTACGCGGGGTTCGGCAATGACGGCTACGAAAAGCAGCTCGACTGCGTGAAGCAAGGCAGAACAAGGAAAGATGTGTCGATAGTCACGTAACAGTCTGTAAACTGCCTCTTGGCCGCAGAAGCGACCATCCCCCATGCTCCGAGAGCTAATTCTGTAATTCCGATTTAAATCCCGTAGTCCCCTATCAACGCATAGTTTCCGCAAGCGTTTCCACGGCTTCTTCACCTGCTTCCTGTTCCGCTAAAGGTCACCAGGAAGAAGTCCTCCAGCCAGCTCTTAACCATCCATTCGCTCACCCACCAACCCGTCCGCTAAAGAAGCAAACCCAGCCACCACAACCCTACCAAACGCAGCATCCCCACCGCATATCCGATCGTTCCAACACCGCCCAGTCCGGAACCTCCCTCCCACCCAAACACTCGCTCGCACCGCCATACACCCACCACAATGACATCCACAATCACCACATCCACATCCACCACCCCCATCCCAACCACAACCGCCGCCCTCCCAACCGACGACGACGACGACGATGACGACGACGACGACAACACCATCCAATCCACCACCGCCACCACCGCCGCCACCACCATCCCCGGCGCCTCCCTCGGCACCATCGCCGTCTCCGTCCTCCCCGGCGGCTCCTCCACCACCACCGTCACCCTCGCCACCGCAACCGCCACCACCATCGACGGCACGCGCACCGTGACCGCGACCGCGACGACCGACGTCGTCACCGCCGCGACCGCAACCGCAACGCCAGCCACCGCCAACGACGCATCTCCCACTCTCACTTCCTCCCCCTCAGCAACTGGCAGCGGAACCGCCGGAACCGGAAGCGGAACCGGCCTCTCCCACTCCACCAAGGTCGCCATCGGCGTCGCCGTCCCGTTCGGCCTGCTCGCCCTGGCCCTCGTCGTGTGCGGCGCGTATCTGCTGGGCCGACGGCGGTACCGGTACCGGCAGCAGCCGCACCGCAGCAGTAAGAGCGGCAGCGAAAGCGGCGACGCGAGCGGCGGCAGCGGCGGCGGCGGCGGTGCAGGAGGCTTCTTCGCCATGCTGTTCGCGCGGACGCGGCGACGGGGGCGGGGGCGGACCGGCACCACTGCGGACTCGTCGGCATCGTCGTCGCCGTGCAATGAGAGTGATGTCGAGAAGGCGATGGTGCTGCAGGCGGGGCCGGTCGAGCTGCCGACGGGCCCGGATGTGCCGGAGCTGCCGACGGCGGTGAATTGTCAGGAGCTGGATGCTGGGGCTGGGGCTGGGGGTGGGGGTGGTTCGTCATGCGTGGTCGCTGGCGCTGAGGCTGAGGAAAGGCGGCAGCGGCGGCCGCTGTCGCGGGAGGGGTTGGCGAAGGAGTTGAATTTGGCGGGGGTGGCGGCGGGGGGGTCGGCGGGGGCGGCGGCGAAGGCGGGGCCGCCACGGCGTGGGAGGGGTGGGAGGGGGGGTAGTGGTGGTCATGGGAGTGTGGGTAGGAAGCCTGTTGCGGGGGCGGGGGCGGCGTTGGGCGGAGGGGGAGTGCTGCGTGGAGGGTCGACGACGACGGCGGGGGAGGAGGGTGGTGGTGGTGGTGGTGGTGGGGACTCGCACTCGCCGATTAGCCCGGCCAGGACGGCAAGCCAAAGCCAGTCGGAGCCGCTGTCGTCGGTGAGCCCGATGAGCAGCTGGGGTCCGGTGATGCTGGCGGAGCTGCCGGGGGACGATGCGGTGGGGAGAAGGAGGGAGAGCAGGTAACGATCTGAGGTGTAGATACGCCGGCTGGCATCATGCAGGGTTATGGAAACGAATGATGAGTTTTATTATCGTCGAGCTGCTAATATGAGGCATCGATGTGGATTTTCGATCTAGTAAGAGCCGGGAATGTCAGGAGTTGAGACCATGAAACGGTTTTCAACAAGTACATCAGAAGTATAAAAAAAAAAAAAAAAGAACCGTGCACAGATTGAGATGCGGATGATTGATCATTCTCGGACCAGTTCAAGAAAACTGATCGTCGCATAACATGAACTTCCCAGACCCCTTGTACGCTCTCCTCAAGCTCAAGTGTGTCCTTCTCCTGTATATTGTACATCGCACACTCGTCGACGCAATTGTTCACGCCGACCCGAGACACGCCGACCATTTGAGCGTGGGTCGAATTGTAGATCCTGCGGAAGAGACGCGGCTTGCTGTCGTGATATAAGTCACGCTGTAGATGGTGTAAGGTGCACGGTGATGGTACTTGTGGTAGTCGAGACTGGAAGCCATTGGGTCGAGGGCGGTGCGCTGGGGAGGTCTGTGGGCCAGTTTGAAGCTGAGGATGATGGGGCGCTGGGTGGAGTAGCACTGGGTTGAGTGGCTGTGGATCGAGTCGCACTGAATGTCAATGATGAAGTCGTGGCGCTGGGCCGAGTGAAACTGGTTTCCGATGACGCAGCGGCAGCGCAGTTGTTGTTTTTGTTGGTGTCTTTCTGTGATAGCGCTCCTCCTACACCTCCGCCAACAGCCGCAATGACTACTACTAAAACAACGATGGCGATGATCCGAAATTTCTTTGACTTGGTGCTTAGATGTCGTCTCTCTGGAGGAGTTTGTGGTGCGGTTGGCAGCTCCCGTGTGTGTTCTTCATTGTAGGTTCGTTGCGAGATTCCAGTACCTTCGTAGTAGCCTTGCTGCCCTGCGTGATCATCTTTGTCAACGACTATGAGGTCGGAGAATTCAGATGGCATCTTGGAAGGGCCAATGCCACATCACACTCGAGCGGCTCATGTGGAAACCCCGCGCTTTTATCCTGGAAAATGCCTACGAATAAAAGCCGTCGCTATCGTTTCTTACAGAAATCATAGAGACTGATTGGTTGCACTACAGTCTCACAGGCAGCTCACATGGCTCTTGGAAACCCCCGACCCTACCACTTACCATCTCCTTCGGCTGCCACATAGTACGCCAAGCCGTGGTGCAACGTCTTAGTTGGATGCAAAAAGTTTGCTCGCTCCGCGTGTTCCCCGCCTTGATCCCCCCCACCAAATTCAATTTACTGAACCTGCGGAGGTCTCATGCAGCCAAGCACTTCCACATTGGCAGAGAAGACGCATTTAGCCAAACTAGCACCACTCCCACACCTTTGATGAGATGGCGCGGCGAGACTGTGTGCACTGTTCTGAATTCCAAGACCATGCCTGCTGAATCTTTTGGAGCGTATTAATCGTTCTAGGTATCCAGTGAAATGTTGCACGCCAGTAGTCTGTGTTTCTTATTGTCAATACAATCACCAGCAAACGCTCTGAGTGGGCCGTCGAGCGAGAAAAGCGTTTCACTAAGCCGTGTGCAGTGCCTTTGTGAGACTTATCTATCAATCAAGTACGGTAAACTCCAGAGGAGCTGGATGGGGGAAGAATGCATGCGTATTTAGTGCAGTGATTTGATTTGTACAACAAACTAACCTTCACTGCCAACCAAACTGTTTGCTTTGAGTAGACCCCGCAGTCGTTGAGAATAATACGGGCGTTGACCGCTTCTCATTTTGTCGCTGAGATCTTCCGAGGATTGCTTATCGGGCGGTGGCGCGGCACTCTGAAAAGTCGATAGTGGAAGAGTGTGATTGGAGAAGGAAGGGGCTATGTATATTTTTAACCATCCCTGTCCGCACTGCCACCGCATCCTTCTACAGATGGTCCCCGCGCCCACCAATACCACAGTCAAGATCCTAGAGTCGCAACACATTGTGAAATAGATGACACTGCCCTCGCAGGCAGAAGCGCACTGATCGCCACATACCAAGAAGTGAAACTCTTCATAAACCCCTAAGCAGCGCGCGCGCGGCCTGCAACCTTGTCCGCACGTCAGCCTCACCAACCCCGGACTACAACCTTGAAAGCTTCTGCCGCACAGCACACCAGCCACCGCACACAAACCGAACACGGGACCTCGCGCAACACCAAACCCAAAGAAGGCAGATTCCGACCCCCCCAAAAAAAAAGGACTCCCAACCACCACCACCACTCCTCCTCCGACCACCACCACCATGGCCGCCAAATCCTCCGCCATCCAATCCGCCTACTCCTCCCTCTCCGCGCACATGGCCAGCGCCGCCGCCGACTCCTCCCCCCCAACCGCCTACACGACCGCCATAACGCACACCTTCACCGACGAGGCCGGGTCGACGAGCGCCGTCACCATCAGCGCCGCGTCGTCTTCACACAGCCGAGACGCTGAAAGCTCCGCCTCCACCGGCGGCCCCGTCGTCGCGGCCTTCACGGTGTACGGGCCGGATGATCGGGTGGCGTATTCGACCACGACGTTGTCGACGGGGGGTTGCGCCGCGGGGCAGACGGCGACGGCGGGTGTTTGGGGGGGAGGCTGGGGCGGCGGCGGCGGCGGCAGCAACGGGGCGGTGGGGGTTAGTGTGTTGGTGGGGGTGGTGTTGGTTTTGGGGCTTTGGGCGGGTGGGTATCTTGGTGGGAGGAGGAGGACGGCGAGGGGGGAGGGGGATGGTGGGCGGTGATGGGGGAGGCCCGGGGGGGATTTGACTAGTGGGAGGGAGGATGGTCGTTGATGGTTGGGTTTGGTTGGGGTCGTTTTTGGTTGTACGCTTTGCCTGTGGGTAAGTCCTCGCAGGTATAGGATCGAGTAGTAGTCCGGATTCGACGCACTGATACTGTGTCGAGAAAAATTGAGGACCATTCTTCCACATGTACTTCCAGATGGTTCCGCTAGATGTCGGCTGTGGGCTACTAGCTATCGGTCCTGCAGGACATACATAGTCTTGTAGATCCAATAAAGACGGGGAGCCGTCTCAACGCCACCAGATGCTTCGACGACCAACCCGCACACCGACCAATAGCAAGCCACAACCTCACAATCGTTCAAGGCACCGCGAAAGTAAGTCTGTCCCGCATCGAATAGTCGAGACCTGAACCCCGCAAGCGCGGGACGACGGCACGTTCTGCCATCAAGCAAGCATTCGCACGTCAGTCACCCCGGGCTTGAAACATCCATGAAGAACAAACATTTTTCGAAGCAGCTAAGTAGAACACAATGGTAACGACATCGATCTTGATATAAACCAACTCGTCTGGAACGTCAACGCAGCCAAGCACCGCGAAACAGCAAACAACGACACCCAAAACACAGCAGAGCACGAACATCTACACGTCGGTCGTCACCGCCACTCCCACATTGAAGCTACTGTCGACAAAAGAAATGGACGGACAAAAACAACATATCTACCGGCGACCCTCCTCGAAGGAAGACAAGATCAGTCGAGCAGGATATCAAGTCCCACAAGTGAGGCTGCTGCGAGCACACCAATCGTCACAGCTTCCCTCCGCGCAAACCCACAGCAAGCCCCAACAACCACAAGACCACCACCACGACAACTGGAAAATGACCTTCGGCACCGCCATCACCACCGGAATCATCACCGTCGCCGGCGCCTACTTCCCGGGCAAGCTAGTGGCCATACGCGCATCATCATCAACGAAGAGGAACAGCAACAACAAGTCATCCGACACCGGCCGGTACACCACTCACAAAAAGCGGCGGGGCACAGGACCAACGACACGAACCACCGTCATAGTCAAGCGCGCAACGGGTGGAAGACATCATGGCGGAGATGGCGACGGGAAGTCAACGGCGCGGAGCTGCCGCCGCCGCACCATCAGGTATATCCGCCAGAGTTGGCGGAAGGAGCGAAGAAGGCTCGGTGATGTCGAGAACAAGGTCCTGGATCAGCGGAAGGGTGAAATCTCTGGTACTGGAGCGTTCAAGAACGACTTCCTGCTGACCAGAGCAGCGATTACCACGCAGCACAAGCATAAGGAATATCAGTGTGAAGCAGTAGTAACTACATTTTTGCGAAAGGTAATTATCTAGACTTTTTACAGGGTGTACACAATGTACAGCGGAGCTACAGCATTACAGACGTTCAAGACACGACTAACAACTACATATAGGAAAAGACGTCAAAGTGAGATCATGTAGGAAAGATAATAGAGAAGGTGCGTCCACGTAAATGGCGAAACAACAACGCTACAAACGTAGTCCAACAGCAATAATACAATAGACACACAGAGCCTACAAGCAGAACAACAATACAACAAAACACAACAGCAGCAACAAGAACAGCGAGTACAGCAAAACACAAACAATAGTACAACAGTACAACAGTACAAAAAGCGACAAACAAGCAAGCAAACACTTTTTAAAACACAAGTTTTTCCACCCCGTCCGCCGTCGCCGCCGCCGTCCCCCAAAATCAACGCACCGGTCCTCCATCCCACATTACCGTATTAGACAACCAGTCCAATCAGCCGCCGATCCCCCAACGCCATCGCCCAAGTCTCCGTATAATACAGCACAGCACAACCGACGGCCGCCACCGCGCAAAGCGGCAGCAGCAACCACCACTCAACCGAGAGCAGCAACAACGACCACTCCAGACCGACAAAACTCCACGTCACGACGCCCACCGTCTGCTTCTGCTTCTGCTTCTGCCTCTTCCACCTGTCCTCTTCCGCGCTCATCTCCTTCAACCACCACCATTCCTCGACGACCTGCTCTGCCTCACGACAACCCCACCGCCACGGCGGGGTGGCGACGAGGACGAGCACCAGCTCCAACAGCCGCCACTTAGTGGCCGTTGACAACGATGGGGATGGGCCCGCTGCCGTGTGCACCGCCGCCATGAGCGCCGCTGCCGTGGGCGCCGCCGCCGCCGACTTTCGCCGGGGGGGCCTCGATGGCGAGGTCGTGCTGCTGCTTGTTGGCCTCGGCGGCGAGGTCGCCGAAGCTCTGCTGGCGGTTGACCTGGAGCCAGCGGAGGAGGTAGTCGGGCTTGCGCTGGGTGACGGCGCCGTTGGCGAGGACGCCGTCGGCGGAGAACTCCCAGCCCTGGGGCAGGACGAAGGTGCCGTACGTGTCGTGGGCGGGCGGCGCCTTGGTGCTCCACTTGTCGACGGGCACGAACTGGGCGAGGCGGCTGTCGGCGTCGGCGTACTGCTCGACCACGTCGGCGACGAGGGCCGAGAGGTCGTCGACCTCGTCGCCCCAGCCGCCCTGGCGCGCGTAGACGCGCTTGACCAGCTCGAGCTGCTCCGACGCGATCTGCGCCGCGTGCGCGTCGTCGAGGACGTCTTCCGACTCGTCGTCCTGGAGGACGGCGCGGAGGATCTCCTCGTGCAGGGCGAGCGCGTCGGCGTGGCGGTCGGCCGCCACGTAGAGCGAGGACAGCAGGTTGCACAGGTCGATGGTGACCTGGTCGAGCAGGCCCCAGGTGCGGCGCAAGTTGTACGTCATCGACTCGCACAGGGAGATGGACGCGTCCTGCTTGCTGCGGACGAACAGCACCTCGACGAGGCGACGGCCGACCGAGATGACGGTCGTGGCGGACCACGAGCGCTGCACGAGACGCGAGTGCCAGAGCTGGGTGAGGAGCCACTCCAGGTCCTCGTAGTTCTTCTGCTCGCCCATGAGGCGCACCAGGTTGTTGAGCTCGGCGGCCTGCAGCTGCACGAGGTCGATGTCCAGGCTGCGGCACGCCGTGAGCGTCTCGCGGAGGACCGCCTTGGACAGCTCGATCATGCGAGCCTGCAGCTTGACGTCGGCGCTCTTCTTGACGCCCAGGCCGGCAAGGTACAGCGACAGCTTGAAGCTGTGCGGGATGTTCTTGGACACCTTGAAGCCGTCCTTGGACGAGATGAACTGGTACACGCAGAGCGCCACCTCGTACGCCTGGCCGAACTGGTCGGCCTCGAGAAGCGCATAGACCTTGGCAACACCGGCCTCGCAGCCGACGATGGTGAGGTCGTCGTGGTGACGGAGGCGGCCGAGCGACTCGAGAAGGGCGATGAAGAAGGTGCGGGTGACGACGTTCTGCACCTTGATGCTCGCACCGAAGTTCTCGATGAAGATCTTGAACAGCGCCTCCTCGACCGCCAGAGTCTGCTCGGCGTTCTGCGGGTTGCTCTTGAGGAAGGCGTACAGGCGCGCGCCGTCGAAGAGCTTGTTCTCGACCGTGACCTCCTTGCTCTGGAGAGTAAGGTGGTAGCGGTCGTACAGGATGCCCTCGGTGAGCATGTCGGTCATGATGTCCGAGAAGGTAACCTTCTTGGTGGCATCGACGGTCTCGTGCTGGCGCAGAGTCTCCTCGAAGGCGGCAATGAAGACCATGCTGCGACGGTCAACCGTGTCGGGCAGCTTGACGCTGACCTTGCCCGTGTTGCGAGCCTCCTTGGAGATGATCTGGAAGCGAAGGTCCCTCAGAAGAGCCCAGGCCTGAGCAGACATGTTCGAAGCCAGGTAGATCTTGGCCAGGGAAGCACCAGACTCGTGGAGCTTGGTCGAGTCGCTGGCCGTGGGGGCAGTGAGCACCTCGACAACAGTCGTCTGGAGCTGCGTCTCGGCCTGCTTCTTGATCTCCGGCTTCTCCGACTTGCCCCAGACGCCGACCAGGGAAGACAAGCTGGCAAGGGTCGACTTGTGGGCGACGCCGTGCTGCTTCTTGTTGATCTCGAGCTGCTCCTTCCAGAGACCCTCGGCCTTCTGGCTGGACTCGGCAGAGACCTGGCCGTTGGCGTTCTGGGTGGCATAGAGGGCTGCGAGGTGACGCTTGGCCGTGGCGAGAAGACTAGCCTGAGCCGGGGTCTTGGCCTTGTCGGGGTTCTCAGCAGCCTTGGCGACAACCTCCTCACAGATCTTGACGGCCTCCTCCTGGTGCTCAGGAATCTTGCGAGAAATCTCGGCAAGCTGGAGGCTGGCGGTCGTGGCAATCTGGGACTCGGGACCGTAGTGGGCAGCGGCCGTGGTGCGGTACTCGAGAGCCAGCTGGCGGACCGTCTTGACATCGACCCTGAGGTGGGTTTCGAGCACCGTGTGGTAGCGCTTGAAGATGGTCTGGACAAGCTCGGGAGACATGTCGTACTCCTTGGCCTTCTTGGTGTAGGTGACCCAGACGGTGGCGTAGATGGCACGGGCCTCCTCCCAGCGCTTCTGCTCGTAGTAGATCTTGGACAAAGCAATAGCGGCGCGGAGAGCGTCCTTGGTGAGGACACCATCCTGACTCTTTTCGGCCTTGACAACCTCGAGGTAGTACTGGTCAGCACCCTTGAGGCGGTACTTCATGCACAAATCACCCATGGTGTACAAGGTCTTGAGAGTGAGCGGGTTGCGGGAACCAAGAGTGGTCCTGTAGCTCTCAAGAAGCTGCTGGTAGACAATCAGAGCCTTCTGGTACTGCTGGGTGCGGAGGTGGAATTGGATCAGGTCATCGGCAGTCTCGGCAACGAGCTCATCCTGAATGCGCAGGCTGGAGCGGGCAGACAGGAAGAGGTGGTTGTACACCTTCTCGGCCTGCTCGGTCTGGTTGCACTCAGTGTAGCAGACGGCAAGACGGCGAGCGAACTTGATCGAGACGGTGGTGAAGTGCTTGGGGAAGCCGTACTTGTTCTCGACGCCAAGGTTGACCCAGAGCTGCTTGAGGATCTTGATGCAGACATCCGCAGCCTCGTTCCAGCGACCCTTGCTGATGTAGAAGCTCGACAGGGTCTCGGCGGTCTGGATCTGCTGCTCAATCGTGGGCTGCTGGACCTTGACAACGCCAGCCTTGGTGGCGGCATCAGTGGACTTGGCGGCAGGAGCGGCAGCGATGGCAGTCTCGACAACCTCATCAAGAATGGCGTCAGCCTCGTCATCGGCCTCATCCTCGCTGAGATCGGCGTCTTCAATCGAGCCGGCAGCGACAGCCTCCCTCTTGGACTCCTCCTTCTTCTTCTCGGCCTTCTCCTGGACGGCGCCCATGAGGGAGACGGCGGTGGAGACGGCAGCGGTGGAGTTCTGCTGGCCAGTGCCCTTGAAGTAGCCCCAGACGTTCTTGAAGACGGCAATGGCAGTCTCGAGGATACCCATAGCCTTGAGCTCCTCACCAACCTGGTTGAGCTGCTTGACGACGGCCTCGGACTTGTTCTCGCGGTGCTGGTAGTCGAGCCAGACACCGTGGAGGATGTTCTGGGCCTCGGCCTCACGACCGTGACGCTTCAGGAACTTGGCATAAGCAATGCTGATCTGAATCTTGCGTTCGTGAGCGTCGTTGGAGGCGGCGTTGGCACGGCAGTACTCGGTCAGGCCGCGCCAGAGAGAGATGTAGAGCTCCTCGGCGTGGATGAGGTCCTCCTTCTCCTCCCAGGTGTCGGCCATGCGGAGGGTGATCTCGACACGGCGGATATCGAAGATGTCGAGGTTGCGCTCAGCAGACTCGAAGATGGGCTGAGTGTACGAAACGACGTCCTCGTGCTTGGCCTCCTTGTAGAGAACAGTCTTGAGCTTCTCGGCAGCCTGGGTGGCCTCCTGAGAGAACTCGCCGCTCTGAGCGATGGTGAGCTTGTACACATCGCGGTAGACGGCCTCGGCCTTGTCGTTCTCCTTGATGTCGGTGTACAGCTGGGCAAGCTGGTTGTTGTACTTCGTAGCCAGCGCGCTGGTCGTGCCGTGGCGCTGCTTCTCAGTCTCAACAACGTACTTGAGCATCTCCTCCTTACGGGTGATCTCGTCGTTGCGGGCATCAGCCTTGACACCCTCGAGAGAGTCAATGGTGGCAGTGGCGCAAGTAACAGTAAGGTCGTTGCCCTTGCCGAGGATGGCCTGGCCGAGCTTGGCGGCATTGAAGAAGAACTTGCTGGCCTCAACGGGAGCGGACAGCTTCTTGTAGGACTGGGCAACGTTGATGGAGCTCTGGAGAGTGCAGAGCTGGGTGTCGCCCAGAGCCTGCTGACGGATGCGGAGAGCCAGAAGGTGCTGCTCATTGGCCTTGCTAAGAAGGGTCTGCTTCTCCCAGGTGCTGCGCTCAAGCAGAGCAAGGAGGGTCGAGCTGGGGAAAGCCACCTTGAGCTCGGGGGTGATAGCCTGCAGCTGGCCCTCAGCGTAGAACGGAGACTTCTTGAAGTGAGTAAGCCAGTTGCGAGTGGCATACTCGAGAAGAGCGTTCGTGCGGAAGAGGTTGTCAACCTCGCGAGGGCTCAGGTCGTCCACAGAGGGCTCGGTGTTACGGCTGACGACAACCTTGCTGTAGAGCAGGAGCCTGGTGGCGAAGTCCTTGTGGGCCTCCGCCGGGGGCATGAGGTACTTGCTCTCCTTGCTGAGCTCAAGCAGGTGAAGCCTGACCGACTCGTTGCGGAAGCGCACCGTCTTGTCTTGAACGAGGACCAGAGAACCGCAGGCCTTCTGGATGTCATCGATGATGTTGGTAGACCTCGGCTGGTGAGTGCCCTTCTGGACATTGAGCTCCAGAAGGCACTGGATCTCGGTCGTCGTAAGGGGCCTGTCAGCGACAAGCAGCCAGGCGAAGATGAGGCGTGCATCGCCCTTGAGCGAGATGGTGCTGATGTGCTTGTCGAGGACCTCCTTGGTGGTGCTGGGAAGATCCTTGACCGTGGTTTGGACGTCAACGATGGTCTTGGCAGAGCCGAAAAGCTGCAGCACGAGCTCGGCCCAGGTAAGGGAGCCCTTGCTGCGCTGAGCAACCTGTTCAGCCACCTCATCAATCTCGTAGCGGTTACCGATGCCACGCGACGTGAGGTAGGCGCGGACCATGTGCTTGACGTCACCGGTGGTGCGCTCAGGACCCATGGTGAGCTGGCGGGTAGGCTTGGGCCAGGGCTTGGACATGGGGCGGCTGAGAACAATGACGCGGACGTTCTTGTTCTTGGCCGCAATGTTCCAGAGCTGCTCGTAGGCCTCGAACTTCTCCGACTCGTCGCCCTCAAGGGCGTCAAGACCGTCAATGACGAGCACGACGTTGTTGAGCGGCTTCAGGGCGGTCTCGAGGGTGTACCACAGAGCATCCTCAGCATCCTGAGTGCTGCTCGTGTTGGTGTCAAGCTCGACAACGTTGGACAGGCACCTGTAGAGGGCGACGTTGCCAACATTCTGCTCGAGAAGCTGGTGCAGAAGCGTCTTGACGAGCGCAATCTGCGTGGCCTGGGCCGGGACCTGGCTGTCCACAGTGGCGTGGATGGCCTGGTAAGTCTTCTTGCCAATGGGCCTCTGCAGTCTCTCCAGGATCCAGCCAGCCAGAATGCTCTTGCCGGCGCCGGTCTCGGCGGTGATGGTGAGAACATTGTCCCTGCTCCTGGTGAAGTCGACGAGAGGCCTGTCGAACCACTCGCAGGTGAATTCGGCGCGCAGGTTGCGGGTGGCGCGGCGGCCACTGACCATGGCCTGCAGGTTGCGATCCTGGGGCAACAGCCACAGACGGATCTCCTCGATCGAAACGTGGATGTCTACGCGTGTCAGCAGAAATCACGATTGCGGGGCCAATGGGTACATACCAGCAATCTCGGAAGAGTTCTTCAGCTGGTAGGTCCAGAACATGTTTGCTATTCTGTCCTTGTGCTGAACGAAAGTCTCCATCAGGCGACCAAAGGTAATGTTGAAGTCGACCGTGACGGCGGTGGTGGACATGGACCTGATGCTCTTGCGGTAGAAGATGGTGATCTCAATCGCGAGAGCAAGCATGTCACCCAGAGCAAGGCTCAGCTCCGACCTGGCCTCGGGGATGGTGCGGAGCAGGCTGTAATGCTTTAGGTAGAAGGCGAAAGCCAAGCCATACTCGTGGAAGATGGAGAAAGCCCTCTCCATGGCCTCACCTTGGCTGGGTCCAAGCTAGTGTGGCATGTCAGTAAGAGGTCATGAGGGGCCAATGGCAGGCCAATGGCAAGTCAATGGCATCGACTTACCTGAAGAAGGATCTGGAGGCACGCGAAAATGAGCTCGACGGCCTCCTGGCTCGAGGCAACGAAGGTCTCAACCGCCTCCTCGAACAGGGACAGCGAAGTAGCAAAGTACTCGGCCCACTTCAGGATCTTATCCCACCTGCTGCCCTTGGCGGGCATCCTCCTCAGACGCTCGGCACCAATGTAGCCGAGGAAGCTCTCAATGGTGATGCCGGCAGCGAGAGACTCCTCCTTCGAGCCCTTCAGCTCGGCTTGGAGCTTGGCCCTCAATAGCTGTTGGGCCTCGTGGACATTCTGGATGAACTGAGTCTCGCTCACCCTGGTGTGGGGGGCGGGCGAGGGCGAGACAGCCCTGCGAATGGAGTTCTTTGCCTTCTTCAACATGCCAGCGGACTCGTCGTTGGCAATTGTGGTGCTCTCGGAGACGACGGTGGCGGGGATGGAGTTGACGGACATCCTGTCGGCCTCGGGCTTGGAGGGACGAGGGATGGGAAGCTGCCTCGAGGAGCGGGGTGCGGAGGTAGGTTGCACCTGTTGCGAGGTGGATCTGGTGGGGGCAGCGGAGCCGGAGTCGCGAGGCTTTTTGAGGTTGGAGAGGAGGGACATGTCGGCGTTGGAGGACTCTCCTGACCAGGTTGAGTTGGTTCTTGAGAGGGGAGGAGGCTTTTGAGAGGCGGCGGGGTGGAAGGCGAAGGATGGGGTGCTGGAAAGGCTTTGAGCTAAGCCGCCTGGTGGAGGAAGTAAAATGGACAAAAGTTAGCGGGCTGCAGGTGGCGGTGCGGCGTGATGGAAGCAATCTAGAAGCGCCCACTTCGGAGAACCCACCTTCTTCGCTCTCCCCTCCCAGACCTAAAACTCCCAATGCTTCGGAAATACCCTTGCGTACGCGGTGCTTCTTGCCACGTTGGAGGAAGCTGGGTAGCTTCGTGTTGTCTTTCGTTTTAGGGTGCATTGATCACTGCTGATCTCACCGCCTTTGTGGCTTCAGAATTGGGAAAATTACGGGTACAGGTCGGACGGGACGAAATGAAGGTACAGGGTCGGGGGCTCTTGTAGAATCAGGTAGTCAGACAACTCGTTGCCTATAAGTATACTCGAAGGTCAGCCTGAAACGTCATGTGAAGCTCATTAACGCAAATTGCCAAATGAAAAGGGAGGCAGTACCGGTTCCAGGGGAGTGAGGTTTGGGAAGGGACAGATATTGGCATGAGACATACGACTAAGGGTCACTTTGGCCTCCTGGTGCCAGGAGGGGATCGGCCGCGCAGGGGGCCTCAGCCGGTGTGGAGATCGCTTCGGGCGGAGCGCCGGCCACTCGGCGTGGCGAAGGGCGTCGAACATGGCGGCGCAGTGGGGCCAGCTGAAGGGCCCCCCTTTTCGCGCGCCGGTAGACGATCGTGAAGTCGGCGGGCGGGCTGAGAGCGGTGTGTACGCATTGCCTCGTTCGGACTGGGCCGGCCCGAGAGGACGTTAAGCTCAGCGGCGGCACCGGATCCAGCGCGTTAGACGAGCGAATGGCACGGGCCTGGGGGCTGCGGAGAACACCCGCAGGGACCAGGCGCGGTTGCGCTGTTGACCGCCGCTTTGCGACCTCGGCCGCGCCGGCTGCCTATCAATCCCGCCGCCATGCGAAGCTATATGACTTCGGCCTCGCCATTGCGGCTGTTGCGAGCCGGTCAGCGACCTAGCAGCCTGCCAGCTCACCCGCACCCCACAGTATACGGGCGCTCGTGATGGCCCTGCTCTTTTCACCACCAACGTGCACACCGATCTTTGCGATCCGCTGCGCCCGCTGCGCCCGCTGCGCCCGAGCGACTCGCCCTGGCGAGAATCGCCACCGCAATCACGCCGCCGTGGGCTGTTTCCGCCGCGCCGCCGTCGTATCAAACACCAGGGGCGGGGCTTCGTCGAAGGTTCGAGTAAGGGAGCGCCTCAGGGTCTAGATGCCGCAAACGAGCTAGCAGACGTCGCGTTGGGCGGCCCGTTCGACGCTACTGCGCGGCCCGTGGTTGCCTGAGTCGTGGCCCGCCGTCGCGCCCACGCTTGCACTGTAGGACCCGCGCCGGGGAAGCGGTCACGGCCATACGTAATGGATATTCCGCGAAGCGGCTGCGACGCCGCCATAACTGAAATTTCAATAGGGGACCTCAGCTGGCAACCGGCGCCGCCACGGCGTAGTAGCGTGTCTGCGTGCATTTGGAAGACTGGCGCGTCGCCGTGCGAGCGTCGACTCGTGGAGCAGAGTGGCCCCCCGTGTCGCGCAAAATTCGCAATGGGCGATCTCCGAGAGCCAGTTCCGATCACCGCTGTCACGTCAGTTGTGGTCTCTGAGACACTTGCGCAAACCCCGCCGCGAACCCTCTCGCCAGCCGTGGGAGCATCGTTCGATTTCATGCGCCGCGCAGTCGTGTTTGATGGCCACCCCCGGCGCCGGCGACTTCCGGTTTGATTCTCGACACCTGCAGGAGTGGCTTGTTTCGAGCTTGATACCCATCACCAGCTTCAGCCCTGCGCCGACGCGTATCCGACAACACGTGTGTGATGAACGAGTCCTGCCCCGCCTGGGATATTAATAGGCGCAGTATCGGTGCATGTGCCCCAATCAATATCCAAAGTTGGCGTGTGTCATTTCGCTACTCAGCCAAGGCGTTGATCCAGATCATCCCCCAAAACCGCAGCTTTCCTTGCTCATCAATGAATTTCGGGCACTTTGGCCATATTGTTGTCCCGTCTCACGTAAATCGATAAAGCACATACGAGACGCCATAGCCTTTTTTTTTCTTTTTTCCTTCCAGCCGTGAGCCGATCCATTGTACCTAGACTGCACGGCCTGCTGCCGAGGCGTCCGATGCACCTCCATGTGTCTGGTTCAACGTCCTAGCCAAGGACGAACATGCCCCCGTGCCAGCCGTAGGCTCTGTTCAGCCGCCGCCCATGTCTGCGAGCTGTTCGAAAGGGGATCTTGCCTGACGGATGAGGCTCGTGGAACTGTATGCTTCTTTCGACGTCAAGCCTCGTGGGATTGAATTGCCACACCGAGCCGTACAGCTTCTCCGGGGCGAATCCCGTCGAGCTCATTGCATGCAAGAAGTCCGTCCAGGTCACCTCGCCTGGTTGTGACGAAGCAGAGGGACTGTAGAATAGAGTGGAGAAAACCTTTTGCGCCCTCTTGTCGACTGCAAACACGGGCTGCTCGTCGGGACGGTGGCGCTCAAGGGGCTCCGCTGGTGGAGTGTCTAATGCGTCGGAAGTCTGTGCAGTAGTGCCTCTGGTCTTCTCCTTGTTCCTGGAAGCGGACGCGCCGGAACGGTCGATCGTTTGCTCCGTTCGTTGCTCTAGATCGAAGTAGAGCTCGGACAAAGGTTTGCACAGGGAGTGTACATCCCCTGCTGGCGTGACGGGAGCTTTGGCCGGCTCTATCCACTCTGGCGTTCGTTGCAAGATCCGAGGTTGTGACAGCAGTTGCCGCACCGCAGTGTTGTCAAGGCTCCGCTTCTTCGCCAGCATGTGCTCGTCAACCTTGCTCCAGAAAGAATCCAGGTTCTGCTCGGCCCGTCTCATGGCCTCGACGTTGTCCCGGGTCCTTCGCTTGTCGACCGGATAAAAGAACTTCTTGTCGGAGGGGTTCCCCAAGTTGGCCAGGGTCGTCCCGTCAGCAACTGCCAGGAACTGAACCCAACCCTTAGTTCGTTCAGCCCAATCCTTCTTGAAACCCTCTTCCCTCCCTACCATGTGGGACTCAAATGTCCGCGCCCACGGTTGGTAGAGCTCGATGTGGCGGATGCACTCGACCATGACGGCAAGATCGGAAATGACGTCCACGATATACAGAGACGTCAGCTCTCTTGCATTCGCATCGTTCTGGAGCAAGCGCTCCAGTTCGTCCACCAAGACGGTGATCCCTGCAAGGTGCCGGCGCTGGTCGTCCCAAATGGCGTTGAACAGCCACAGGACGCGCTGTCGGGTCTGATCCGACCCGCTGCCAGGTTTTTCCCGGACGAGGATCCTAGTCGACTGTGGGTCATCCGGGGGGTCTCTGACAAAGAAGCGGCGCAGTGGGGGCGATGCGACGACGCCTTGCTTCAGTTGTCCAAATGGACCTTTGCACGAATGATTAAGGTAGTGCTGAAGCTTCAAAATGGCAGTGAGGTACTCTTCGGGCAAGTCCTCCTCGATGGAAATGTCTTGAGCATACTTGTGTTGCAAAAGCTGTAAGTTGGCGATCTGATCGCGAAACTCGTTCCAAAGCTCGAGCCGGAGATAGGCGTTCGCAATGACTTCGCCAATGACGCGATTCCAGAAGACGTTTTCACGGCCGGGCTTGAAAATAGGATGAGGCTTGCCGTTGGAATCTGGGATCATTTCCTGCCGATGCTCCTGGTAGCTTGTGACGCAATCCGCGAAGTAGTCAGGATCTTCGCGCAGCGCCCATACATGGTCCTCGGCGGCCGAAAGCTTAGACGCAACCAACGACTCAAGCCTCTTCCAGTCTAGACTTGCCGGGGCGCGGTAAGGAGCCTCGGCTGCGACAGCGGCAAGTGAGCTGAAGCCAGTCTCTCTCTCAGAAACCGATGGCGGCTCGGGCTGGACAGAGAAATCGTCACTGATCATGGCTTCAGGCTGAATGTCGTGCAAGATGGATTTGCAGCATTCAACGAGAAAGTTCAAGACGCGGTCTTGAATTTCAAGAACGTGAAGTCCGTAACCGGGACCCATCCCTTTGCCGGAGGTCAGCCACTCGAAGGCGTCGGGGTGATCGTCCCATGAAAGGAGCTCGCCATATGTATCCGGGCTCCTCCGTGCGGTGAACATCATGGTGTGCTCATTGAGGAATAGTGGCACTACAGCCCTTGCGGTGCAGCCGAGACGAGCAGCTTCGGAGTCAGCCATGGCGAACGCATCGGGCGGGTTGCGGGCACGAGCATTGAGCATGAGAAGTAAATTTCTCGGCCTCAGCAAATCCTCTTGGTTTATGTATGGAAACATGTAGGAGTCGGTAAACTTTGTGGCAGTGGTGCGTTGGTGCTCGGGTTCACGGGTGAAGGCGTCGAAATCCGGACGATGGGTAGGGGCCATGTTGGGCCAAGCAGCCAACAGCACTTTGCGGCGCTGCTCTTTGGTTTTCTTGAACCATCGCTTCTGGATGGTGGCTTCATGCCTCTTGATGAGGGCGTTCAGGAAATCCCAAGCTTGGAAGATGCGGGCGGAGTGGCTCCGGGTTTTTGCACGGACCTCTTCCGGCGACACTGGCTTGGGGATGGGGAGATTCGGGCTCAGGATCTTAGCGAAGCTAGCGGGATCATTCCAATCGATATCGTCGAACTCTCCAGCAGGGCCATCGAACGCCTCAGCGCCAGGTCCAAAGGGGTTAAAGCGAGGATTGATGGAACCCGCCATGGGGTAGGTCAACTACTGTGCAGGTCTTTGTGCGAAGTCGCAGACCAAGGGAACCGGCGGAGTCCAATTGCACGCTAGACGAGCGCGCAGGAGGCCGGGAACGGGTGGCGGTCGCAGGAAGATGAACGACGTATCAGACAGAAAAGATGTTGGGCGGGGGTTTCGAGCGGGGAAACGCGTCGCGACGCGAGAGGCGCTGCGAGTGTGCCGGGGTTGTGCCGGGCGCATGCGGAAGCGGCCGTTGGTTGGCTGGGGAAGGCGCGGCGGCACGGCAGGTACCCGCCCGGCACCCGCCCGGCCTCACCTCTCCTCCACCACAACCACACCGCACTCTTCATTCCATCCCGAAATTTCGGCCCCTCATCCCCCATGCAAAGATCCTCCCGCTCACCTCTCCCGAGTCCCGCCTGCCTTGCTGCATTCCCGTTTCTCATCGCCAGGGTCATGCAGGCCACACCGCGGTCGACCAGGGGTACTGAATGCCCCAGCCCCAGACCGGCGGTCAACCATCGAACTCGGTTCCTGCTCTGCCAATGACTCGTCCCCGCTTCCCCTGCTTCCAGAATGAACGTGATGGATCTCGATTGCGGGCCTCCCCGGCTTTTACCGCTTCCTCCATGGGTTGTGCGAGCTTGAACTGCTCCAAATTACTAGCAAGACCGAGTGTCCACCGTGGCATGATTAGGACGTCCATGTTGCTTGCTATTGAGCCACTGCTGATGCTGCTGATGCTGCTGTTCTAGCTTACCGCCCTTTTATGCAGTTGAATGATGGAAAATTGACCTCGTCTACAGCATGCTGACAAGCTTCCGTTCGACCGCCCCAAGGTTCGTAGGACGACATGCATCTTTTCAGCTCTTGTAATGTTCCCGACCCTTCCTCTGGACCGAAACATCTGTCAGTTCACCATTTCCAAAGCGGTAAGCAACTTGATATATCGACGTTGACGGCGCGTAGCTGACGAAGCGAATGGTAGCGCCAGACTCATAAGTTCGCAATCGCATGCATGCTGCTTGGCTACCAGTCGCTGCTGTCCTCTTCCGTTTTTTCCCTTTTTTTTTCACTCTTGCTTTCTTTGACGCTTTGTTCACCTGGGTCCACGTGCATCTTGAGTTACACACCGACGCTCCTTTATGCTTATTCAGTGCCGCTTCAACTTCCCCCAATCGACTAGGCCGCTTGCGCAGTAGACGATTGGTTGAAGTTACTTCTGAGATGCTGCCGCTAGTAATTGCTCAGCCCCGGAATCCCCATTTGAGCCTCGACATTGCTTACGTCTTTCAACCTCCGGTCGTCGTTGGTCACTTGCCAGGATCTTTTGGTGCACGTCTCCACATCCGGCACGGCCTTTCTTTGTCCCTCCGCTCAAATCATGACAACCCCTGCGCCATTGGACTTCGACAATCGACTGTTTCCGCTTGTTGTTTCTCGGCCTCGGCTTTCATGCATCCGAGATGGTTTGCAGTTTCGCATTGTTTTACGGCTATCCGCCACCACGTGGATTTGCAAGCAGCACCAGCCGCGGCAGCAAAGGTGGACGCAGCAAAGGTGCGCAAGCCAGACAAAGACGTACACTTTAACGATTGCAAGCGCCTCTGCCGCCCCGAAGCCACAAAGAACGTCACCGCGGTTGCGGGGGCGCATCATGGCACAGGCTGCACCTTCGAAGCGCCCACATCCCCACCTTCTACTAATGATGCCGTCCAATACCTGAGTCTAGAGCGCCTGGAGACTTCCAGAATAAGGTGAAACTGCCGACGAGGCTCCACAACGGCTTCTAAGCGGTGCTAACGGTCCATCAGACGGTCGAGTTTCAGATGGTCGGACTAGCTTCAGGAGTAACTGGACGCACGGTGTCCATGATGTCAGCAGCTCTCCAGACGGCATTAACCCCTACACCGCACCTGGCGGTTCTGCACCAGCAGCGTTTATACATCCTCTCCGCCCTCCAGCGCACCCACATAATCATCGACAGTGCCCGCGCGCGACTCAACGCCATCGACAACGCCTTGTCGGGAAACAAGCGCCAATCTTCCACCACCGTCCCAAGCCGCCTCTCGCAGTCACACTGCTCGCATCGCCCCTCTCGCCCCTCCTCCTCAACCCTTTCCAGCGACCCGTGCGACACGGCCCCCAGAGCGCCAGCAGACCGGACTGCCGACGATCAGCCGCACGACATTGCCAGTCCGAACCAGGAACAACGGAATCGTCTTTCCCGCGCGACCAAGAAAAAGCTTCAACACAGCCGCTGGCGAGCTCGTGGTACCTTGCGCAACTGCACCGCGGAGGAGCGCGCCCTGCTCGAGAGCCTACGAACAGTACAAGACCAGATTCTCCAGCTACAGGACCTTGCTTTACGGGATTCGACCAGCTTACTGACCATGCCTGGACCGATGGCTCAAACCGACTTCGGAACTAACCCCTGGATGTCCGGATGGGCCGTCGAGTTTGGCGAGAAGACCGCGCCGCTTGGATGCGGGTTTGGTCCAGGTGACTGCGCGCCAGGGATGGCTGCACCAAACGGGGCCATGTGCCCCGCCGTCGACGGCGACGCAAAGCAGAATAGCAACAATCCCAGGGCCGATACCTGGATGAGGGACAGCGGTATGCCTCAAAACGGCAATACAATGCCGATCTTCAACCCGCAGCTCATGCCTTTCGACCACACAGCAGTGAATCCCCAGCTCCAAATCAACACGGCCTTCAACCAGGGCCAGTTCGCCGCCCAGCTCCAGGCCGCCTACGCCCAGCAATTCATATACTCACCCGTAATCACTTCCCCGCTCCTGCTCGACTCTGAAACCACCGCCGAGGACCTGTACGACTGGCAGAACGGCGACGAGGCCGGCGACCCCTACGGCTGCGTCGACCCTTCATCCACCCAATACAACGCCGACCCCTACAGCTCTTTCTCCTACTCCACCGGCGGCTCCTTCTCTTACCCCGAACCCATCGCCTCCCCGATCGAGCCCGCCCAATCCAGCACCCAGAACTCGGGCGAACCGTGCCGCTCCCCCTTCCCCGAATCCTGGGACCTCGCCACCGCCCTGCGCGTCGGCCGCAGCCCGCCGGCGGACGAGGGGTCGCCGAAGATCGACGGCGTCATCGCGAACGGGTCCGGCACGCCCGGCCGCCCGGCGCCGCGCAGACGCCACGTACGGCAGCTGTCGGCGCTGACTAGCCCGCGCGGCAGCCGCGTGTACCACATCGACGACTTGGTGCCCGATCACCAGCAGCCACGGCCGAGGAGCGGCGCGGGCCCGGGTCCGTGCGAGGATAGGAGCGCGGCCGCCGGCGGCACCGCTGCAGACCGCAGGGGCTCGGTGGTTGTTCAGAGCGCGGAGGTCGGGCGCGACATGGGTTTCGGCGGCTGGTTGGAGAAGCCGCAGTGGGCAGACCAAGTTGCGGAGGAGGAGGAGGAGGAGCAGCAGCATGAGCAGGAGCAGCAGGGGGGCGATGGCCGTCATCAGACGACGGTGAACAACAGCAACAACAACGACAACAAGTGGAAGGGCAAGGGCAAGGCGCTGGATCCGACCAGCCCGACGTTCGTCCCCGGCGCAGGCTTCTTCGCACTGCGCGCGCCGGCGGTCAATGCGGCCCCCGCCGCCGCCGCCGCCGCCGCTGCCGCTCCTGACGACGACAGGATCGACATGTCATCCTTCACCTTCCCACCGCGGCCAGCGCCCGCCGCGCCGCAACAGGCCGCCGTCGATCCCAACGTCGCCCCCGACTCGGGCCTGTCGTCCTTCTCGTCCACGGGCGTCGACAGCGCCATCGACCAGACCAGCCCCAGCGCCGTGGCGGCGGCCGCGGCGGCCGCGGAAAACAAGCGCCGCTACTCGAACGGCTACTCCAGCGCGGCGGTCGACCTGCTGCTCAACCGCTTCCGGGAGAACGCGGCGAACCCGATCAAGAAGCGGCGGAGCTGGCGGAAGAATCTGAACCTGAATGTCAATGGCGGTCGCGGCACGACGGCGGCGATGGCGGGGAAGATGACGGTCATGGGCGCTGTGGGGGAGGAGGAGATGGGTGCGGGGCATGGCCCTGGCCCGGCGGTGGGGTTGGGGCTGGGGATCGTGTGAGTGATGATGATTTTTCTTGTGTATGTGTGTTTTTTTTTTTCGTTTTTTCTTTCCGAACCTGGTGGGAAAAAGTTTGGTAATGCCCTTTGATGGTGATGTCCTGCTTTTTTCCGTTTTTCTCCCTCTGTTATGGCGGTTGGTTTTCTGACTTCTTCTGTTCGATTCGATATGATGAGCGCGGAGTTCTTCCCTGGCTTTTGTTTTTTTTTTGCTGCTGAATGATCGATTAGATGGATGAGCGATCTTTTTTTTTTTCTAACTTGATATCAACTCAACGAAAATTATTGCTGTTTAGTATAGGTTTAAGAGACTTTTATGTATGTATATAATTGGAATGAATGAAAGTCACTCTCTTGATGATAAGCTTGAGCTCGATAATTTATTTTCCCAAGACCGTTCTCTGCTCGCATCACCTCCCCCCGGGGTGCCAAGAAAAAACACCCAAGACTTAGAGCTAAGATCACGAGAAGCAAGGTAACTGTCATCATAATCCTCTCTTGGCGCAGAAACGACAGCTTCTCAGACCGTTTCAGCAATCGGTCCATCCCTCGCATCTGCAGATAATATGGCCCGACCGTACTTTCCCATGGCATGCAGCCGGGGAATGATGAGCTCAGCACGTTTATTGGAGTGGTCGGCGTATCGTGATGGAGAATTTGAAGGTAAAAGAAGACAGCTTTCATTATTTTTCGAAGATTGTTATGTCATGCGAGGAAGAGGAGGGAGTAAACATAGATCAAGAGTGGAGCAAATTATTTGGGGTTACGGCAGGGACGCCCACAGCGATCGGTTCCGCAAGATCAACAGAATGGAGAGCTGAAAGAAAAAATGTCTCAGTTCTCCCACTACTATTAAAACAAAAGGTGCCAGCCTTCCTACCCAGCATCCCGGACACGGCGTGAGCCGAAGAGTTCTAGAAGACAACCCTCACAACGCATGCGGCGCCTCAGTCGCAGCCGTCAACGACCCCTTCTCCACGCTCGACTCCTCCTCCACCACCCTCTCCCCCGGCGCCACCACCCCCCTCTGCATCGGCGACACCGTCCCGCCCGCCGACCCGAGCCTCTCCCCCCTCCCCCCCGCCACACCCGCCCCCTCCCTCCTCCCAACCAAATCAAACGCCGGCTCCGGCCCCCCCATCAAATAGTCCCTCCTCCTCCCCCACCGCCCCCACCGCCTCCACCCCCTCACCTCCCCCCTCCTCCCCCACGCCCCCCTCACGACGCCCACCCACGCCCTCCCCACGCCCCCCCTCCACAACAACCCAAACGCCTCGCACCCCACGGCCGCGAGCACGAACAGCGTCGCGACGGTGACGCGCTGCGAGATGACGATGGGCGCCGTGTGGCGCACGCACGCGTCGTTGTCGCGCGTGAGGATGATGCACGCGATCCACGGCAGGGCGGCGTCGGCGTTGGCCAGCGCCAGCTTCTCTTGCGCGTTGTCCAGCACGATGAAGACGACGCAGACGAAGGCGGTGGTGAAGATGGCGAGGAAGACGATGAGGAGGGACCGCCATTGCAGGGCGAGGACGAGGTTGATGCGGTGGAGGGCGGCGCGGGCGGTGGCGGTGCGGGCGCGGGCGCGGGCGAGGGAGGTGGTGGTGGTTGTTGTTGTGGTGGTGGTGGTGCTGGGTTGGCGGGGTTTGTGGGTGGTTGTTGTTGTGGAGTGCGAGGATGGGGTGGTGTGGGCGGCGGAGCGGACGAGCGTGGCTTGCAGGTAGACTTTGATGCAGTAGGCAAAGGTGGCGAGTTGGAGGAGGAGGGCGAGGGCGCCGAAGGCGAGCAGCCAGGACCAGTATGTCGGGATGGAGCCGGTGTGGTTGACGTGGCAGTAGCCGCCGAAGCGGAAGGAGACGCCGGCGTGGGCGAGGACGGCGGAGACAAGGACGATGGTGACGGTCCAGGCGGTGATGTTGGCGGCTAGGTAGGTGTATTTGGTTGGGGTGTGGTCCCACACGATTTGGAGGTGCATGAAGAAGGCCCGGATGAGGATCCAGGTCACGAGTGTCATGCCGCCGAAGGCTGCGAAGGCCTGGGAGGGGGTGGGGTTCAGTGTGGGTGGGATGGGGGAGGGGGAGGGGGGTGGCTTACGCCGGAGAAGGCACAGGTTGTGCTGGTGTTCATGTCGTTGGGTGTGATTTCGTTATGGCATTGTTCGGGCTGGCGGGCTAGCGGGATGATGAAGCCGAGCTCCAGCAACATGATTCCCACGAGGAGAATGATGTTTAGGAAAGTGCGGCGCGTGGCGGTGACTGGGAGGACGGCCATGGAAATGAGCAGGAAGCCACAGAGAATGAAACCGACAACATGGAGCCAAGCGGCGCCGTCGGTCAAGTTCTTGAAATCTGCATCTTGGTCAGCTGGATTGGTCTTGGTGCAGCAAGTGCAGCAGCCTTACCGTCGTCATAGACGTAGTCGAAGATGGGGCATGGGATGCAGCATCTGGAGGTTGCATTGGGGCCCTCAAGCGGGTTCAAGGCACATGCTCGACCAGGAACGACTGGGTTGAGGATCAGCACTCGAACGGATGGGTGGTAGAGGCTTGGACTGACAGCCTCCGCTTTTCGGGAATAGACTTTCGTCCAGGAAAGGAGCGGGACAGGCCCCGTTGAACGGGGAAGTCATTTCAGGCACGACGCAGACACAGAGTCAGTGAAATGCAGGGAGCGTGTCTTGGGGAGGGAAAGAGAAACATGGCCTCCTAGATCGGGGCATTTGTGAGTTGAAGGAGCAAAGACGCTGAGGCGATGCTGGAGAACAAAGGAAGCATGATCCGAGAGCCATGTCAGCCGGGTGCGGCAGCATGGGAGCGAAACACAGACAAAGAATATGGCTGGCCATGTCTCGGAAGGCTGGAAACATCGATGGAGAAAAGCGCGAGTAATAAGCGGGTCTCTGGCTACAGAAACGGTTGTGCCATGCGAATAACGAATGATTCTGCAAGGGGAGTCTGTGACGGGACGACGGCCCAGTCTGCCATTTTCGAATCCGGCATTCTGATTGGCTCGCGATGCAAAAATCCCCTGTAAAACCCTGGCAATGGCAAGTGGGTTGTCGTGCCGCACATGCGACGGGCTCGTAACCCGGCTTGTCGCGCGCTCTGCAGAACGAAGTGGGACCTGAAATGCCGTACGGCTGGAGGTGTTTGCAAGAAGGGACTGGGAGTCGAGATGGGCGCAGAATGGGATAAATACGTCGGCAGTACGAAGCATGAGGGCCTGGACATCAGATCCGCAGAGTGCGTCAGCCAGGTTTGCTCGGTGCTGAGGGCCGTTTTTGGCTCTGGAGCGGGGTATAGCGGGGAGAAGGCGGATAATAACCAAAGGCGTGGCCCCAACAACAGCAGGCAAAGTGTGACACAGGATCTTCAATCCCACGTCCAATATCAATCTTCGCGCGTATGCAGGCTGCGAGCGAAGCAATTCTTGCATGGCTTGTCGCTCCCCGACGCCATCGCAGATGGACGGCGTCGGCCCAGCGGATTGGGTGGCCTGAGCGCGTGACAGACGAGGATGAATTCTCAGCGTTTGGTGAAGTCACATCGACGTATCGTCGGCGGACAGGAATTACAGGAAAAATTATAAAATTGCGCGATTTAAAAGCAGGACTTGGATGCATGGCTCCGCGTGCCTCCGCGTGCCTCCGCGCATCGCTTAGAGTTAGTGTCGTGGAGTCGTTTCCGAACACCTGAAAGTCAAACAACATGGCTTGACATAACCGCTGCTCGCGCACGCGGGCCGGGAGCTGAGTCGGTCGGTCAGGGTTTAATTCTCGAGCCCACGCGACAGAGCTGGGGGCGGACCAGGGACCAGGGTCCAACGCCGTGGATCGTCAATCGAGTGGCTAACTCTATCTGACTCCCCCGCATCTTGACAACCGCCTGCACCGCGAATGGAGCGAGTCGCACACGGCCTGGGGGCAGCTGGGCGTGCCTGCCTGCGCGACGCCAGCCGGTTGGGGGCGTCCCAGCGCGCCCCAGGGCGCGACAACAGCGTCCGAGCGCTGTCACATGCAGCTGGGAAGGCGCCACCAATGGGTGCGCCAGTGGCATGGCTGCTGCACCCCACGCGCCTGCATCCTCTCAACAACTGCTCCACCGGCCAGTGCTCCACCTGCTTCCACTGTCTTCTCTCGCCTTTCACCAAGCTGTCCTCTTCCTCTTCGCGCTCAACCGCGACCTCCTCCTCCTCCAATTGACGTCACTCTCGCGACGCACCTCAAATCACCTGCGCCGCCCACCTCTCGCTCCGCCGCTTTCCCGCGCCGCAACTCGCTCAACCTGGATCCCGAACGGTAGCCACGATGCCAGGCTCCGAGACACCAGGGACCGAGTCGTCCACCTTGCGCGAGCGTCGTCCGCAGCCTGACGCCAATGGCTCCCCTGCCCCTCCCGAGAACGACGCCGCCGCCGCCGCCAAGGTCAGGGAGCTCAACCAGGAATCAAAAGAGAAAAAGACATTCGGCAGGACGCCCGATGGAACCAGTTAGTCTAGCTTTGACCCTCCATGACCGGACCTCCTCCTTGCCCCCGGGAAACTAACGCTCCTTAGTCTTTACCGTGCCGCACACCGAGGACATGGTCTCCCAGCTCCTTAGCCCCACCCAACCAAAGAACCTTTCCGACGCCATCATCCTTGCCGTCCTGGCCGCCCATCTCCTCGCCCTCTGGCTGCTTCCGTCCGCCGTGCGCGTTCCCTTCTTCGCCGCTGTCTTCTTGCTCTGGCGCGCAGGCTACAACATCGGTATCGGCTGGCTCTTGAAGGAGCAGTCGGAGCATCTCAGACTGATCAACTGGGCTCGGAAGACGCACATCTTCGAAGACCCCGCCGCCGGCAAGAATCGCCACCCCCGCCTGTATGCGCTGCTCAAGCGCGAGATGGAGACCAAGATCCCTGACGACTACAAGTTTGAGACCGCCCCAATTGAGTACAATACCTGGCTGGTGTTCCGCCGCGTGGTTGACTTGATCTTGATGTGCGATTTTGTTTCATACTGCTGCTTTGCTGTTGCATGTGGCGGCCGCCCCGCCGGCGAAGGCATCGCCATGACTGTCGGCCGCTGGTTCGCTGGCTGGGCCCTCGTCCTCTTCAACCTCTGGGTCAAACTCGATGCCCACCGCGTCGTCAAGGACTACGCCTGGTACTGGGGGGACTTCTTCTACCTCATCGACCAAGAGCTCACTTTCGACGGCGTCTTCGAGATGGCTCCCCATCCCATGTATTCGGTCGGCTACGCGGGTTTCTATGGCATCTCGCTCATGGCCGCCAGCTACAAAGTCCTGTTCATCTCCATCGTCGCCCACGCTCTGCAGTTTGCCTTCCTCACGCTTGTCGAAAACCCCCACATCGAGAAGACCTACAACCCGCCTCCCCCGAAAAAGCGTACTCTCACTGGCGAAAGTGATGTTCATCCCAACGTCGATGCTGGTCATGTGAATGGTGCTCCGCCCTTGGCTTCGTCTACTCAACCCTCGCCCGTACACAATCTCATGGGCTGGCAGACCCACGATTTGCATCGTGTCACTGATGTCTCGGTCATTTTGTTTCAGCTTTACATTTTCAGTGTCACGTTGCTTTCGCCCCAAACTCCTTTCTACCAGGCACTGTTCGTCGCCCATGCCGTGGCATGGAGACTCTGGTTCTCCGCTGGAATCGGTATCATTCTGAGCGAGCAATCCAACAAGAAGCGGTGGACACGCCACTTCATCAAGTATGGAGAGAGCACTGAGGAGGCTTGGCGCCAATGGAAAGGGCTGTACCATATCAGCTGCACCATGTGCTACGCTAGCTTCATTGCCGCAGCATGGAAAATGTATGCCCTGCCTCCCGACTGGGAGTATGGCTTGGCCCTGCTTAGGCACGTCGTGGGTGTCATGCTTGTTGCGCTCCAGATCTGGACCGCCGTCAGCATATACGACAGCTTAGGAGAGTTCGGATGGTTCTTTGGTGACTTCTTCTTCGATCACGCGCCAAAGCTCAACTACAGCGGCATTTATCGCTTCCTCAACCAGCCGGAGCGTTTCCTCGGTCTCGCCGGTGTTTGGGGTGCTGTTGTCATCACCTGGAGCAAATCGATCTTCTTCCTTGCTCTTCTTAGCCACATTCTCACGCTTTTGCACATCCAACTTATCGAACGCCCTCACATGCAGAAGCTGTACGGCCAGAGCATTCGCCAGGACTCTGGCATCTCCAAGACGCTGAAGCGTTCCCTCCCTGCTCCATTCCAACAATGGCACGGTAACATGGACCGCGTTCTTGGAGACACTGTCGAATTTGTTGAAGACTTTCTCGATGCTGCTCGTCCCAAACTTGCCGCCGGCGTCGAAACCATCGTCAAGGACGCCACCAACCTCTTCAAGAACTACCCAGCACGCATTAGCATTACTCGTGTGACTCCTGATCTCGCTGGCCTCGACCCGAAGGACTATAGCTTAGCAGTCTCCGGTGAATCTGCCTCTGAGTTGGCAGAACGCGAGCGCCGCACTGGTCGTGAAGGTGAGGACGCCCGTGGTCCAGCCCGCAAGTACAGCGAGTTCAAGACTCTGTCCTTCGAATACGGTGCGCCTATCAAGGTACGCTGGACTGCGCCTATCAACCATTCGAAGAAGGACTGGATTGGTTTGTACATGGTGTCGGACAACCTCTCTCGTGAAGTCACCCGCATCGCTTCCCAGGGCCGCTGGGTGGCCACCAACCCAGGCTCTTACGACAGCGTCCGCGCCGACGCAGGTATACTGGTCTCAGACCAGCTAGTCTCCGGTGCTGAGCGCAAGGACGGCGAGACGAAAGACTTTTACTCGGGCGAGGTGGAATTCTCGGGCGACAAGCTATGGTGGACCACTGGCGTGTTCGAGTTCCGCTACCACCACGACGGCAAGCACAACGTCATGACCATCTCCCCACCGTTCGAGCTCCGCATCGGCCGCTTTGACGAGGACGACGTCGAGCTGCGCCCCTCGGTCCCCAATCCCACGGCCACCAGCATGGCAGACGGTTCCAATGGCAACATTGTCGAGAGCTCGCTCCGCCTGGCCGTCGAGCAGGCCCTTCTGCCTATCGTCCGCAACTCTTTCGACCGCGATCCCGAAATTGCGCCGGAGACGGTGGATGAGGGCTTCGGTGGTCTGGTCGAGAGGGACGGCAAGTTTGCGAAGAGAGTCGTCTTCGCGGTGCATCAGATGTTCGGTGTCGAGTTTGCTCCCGAGGTCGTGCAGGCGGATGGGTGCGTGAGGAACTTGGCGTGGCGGATTGTCAACGCCAAGAAGGTTTTGGTGAGTGGAGGAATCTCTTTTCCTTCTGTGTGACATCGTTTCTCGAGAACCTTCTTACTACTTCTTTAGGGTGTGTAAGAGAGCGGAGAAGGTGGTTCCAGCGATGATGCGAGGACGACTGAAATTCTTTTGCCTTCCACCGCTTTGTCGCCGAAGGAAACCCTCTCGTCAGGGTTGCTTGTTCTTCTTTTTCATACCGCGTATTTCCCGAGCGGTCCATCTTGCTAATGCTTTTTGCTCTTTTCTCATCTACGCAGGCACCTTACAGCATGTCGAGCTCCGGCGGCAACACCACGCCTAGCGGGGCGAAGTATTGAAAGCCATCAGCACGATGGCAAGGAATTGGAATGGGATACCCCGGATCATGAGGAACCTCCGCCGACCGATGGGGTCGATGATGAGAAGACGAAGGTTTCATGCGTATGTTGAGATACACCAACCGGTGATTGCGAGCATTCCGGCTGTTTCATCCAATATTTTTTCCTTTTTCTTTCTGCTAAAAAGATGTCAATGATACTCCTGGGGGAACTCTGAAAAGGAGTACTGAGATAGTTGGGTGGGTTTATTTGCTACGTTGAGGAAAGTGGTATCTGGGGTTCGGCGGTTGTGGAAGAAGATGAAATAAAAGCAGAAGAAAATGGAAAAGGACGGGCTTAATAATACCCGCCTGCTATATGTATGGCGGATGGGGTCTCGGACTATAAAAAGCGAAATCAATACAATGTTAGTCGTGAGATGTGGAGATGATGTGTGGAAGTGTTGAGAGTGAGGTTGTTGTGAGAGAGGTAGTCTTCGTCGGGTTGAACCGAAAAGAGAAAGGAGAGGTAACTGATCGTAACAGGGAGAACAAGAAACTTACTAGGCCCATGTAAATACACGTGTTGGGCAACTCTCGGCAGGAAATGAACGCGGGACACTCTTGGAACTTGATCGCACCGCCGCCATCGGGCGCGCATTCATAAAGTGTGCGGATTGAGATCAAGGACGCCTTTGGTATTCTTCTGAGCCGACAACGCATGGTTTAGAGCCGAATGTTATTACACTGAGAATCAGCCATGACTGTACACGACGATAATAGTTTCTGTTTTCCTATTACCTCTCACGACATCAAGAAGTTTCGCAAAAGGATCAACCAATCGTAACGAGTTCACCTCAGTTGACTATCGAACAGAAAAACATGCACAGACATACACACACACTCCCTCTCTCTTGCATGATTAAATCCGTTTATGCCCTATCGCCCGAGCTCCCGTCTGGCCACCTGTGTACCCTGAACTCCACCAATGCATGCATGAAACTAGGAAAACTTCAGTGATACAACAACAACACCCTGGGTATAAACAACCAGTGACTTCCTCCCCCGCGCGATTGCCTCTCCACCGCTGCTGCTGCTGCTGCCGCCGCCGCCGCCAATCCGCAGCTACATGCCCCAACCGCTCCCGCCCGCACCACCATGCGCATTTCCCTGCGCACCACCGCCAACGCCAGCAGCGCCCGCGATGAAATCGCCATCCAAATTCATAAAATCGCCGACGACATCGCCGACGGCGGCGATGCCGGCGAAGCCCGCAGCATCGGCCATGAGCGCCGGGTCGGTAGCCTGCTGCTGCTGCTGCTGTTGGGGCGGCGGGGCGGGCGCGGTGATGGCCCGCAGCTCGTCCGGGGAGGGGGGCTCCAGGCTGTCGGAGATGTGGACGGCGGGGGGGACGGCGCGGCCGAGGGCGTCTCTGCGCTGGTTGTGGCGGACGCCGAGGGCGTTGGCGTCGTTGCTGTCGTTGCGGGCGTTGATCCAGTGCGAGGCGTCCTGCAGGTTGCCGGCGCGGATGCTGCCGTCGTATTCCTTGTCGCCGAGGATGATGGGCAGCAGGCTGCTGCTCTCGTACCAGCGGCCCTTGACGTGCTGGACGGGGACCTGGTGCATGGGGCGGAGCAGCTTCCAGGTGCCCTTTTGGCCGAGCTTGGACGAGACTTGGTTGCGGTAGCGCAGGTCGAGCACCATGCGGGCGGGGAGGTGATCGACCGAGGGCACGGGCTGGGTGGCGGGCAGGCTCGAGATGAAGGTGTAGAGGTCGCCGAAGATGGTGACGATGGAGCGGCCCTGCTGGACGCGCTCCATGATGTCGATGACGACTAGGGTGGGCACGTCGATGTTCGGTACGTCCATGTGTATCCGCACGGGCTCGCCGACCCAGATCTTCTCTGCGCCGAGGAATATTCCCGCCCAGTGACGTTCCTCGGTGCCGGCGCCGGAACGCTGGCTCAGCAGGTTGAAGGTGGTATACGTGTTGTCGACTGCTTTGGCAGCGAGTATGCTTGCGTCCACCTCTGGGTTTCCGTGCCCGTACTGTCCACTGACGGCAGCTTGCCAATCCACGTTTTCGTACGTAACGTCCCGACGGTTTTGTAGGTGAGCGAAAGTAAGCGGAGGTGCACTCCACGCAAGCCAGGGGCGGAGAAGGTTCTCAGCATTGAGGTGCACCGGCGTCTGGAAGTCATGCGGGTGTGACAGCGGCTGTACAATGTAGTGACGCTGTACTTGGTTGTTGGCCAATTTCGTCAGATATCTTCGAATCAGCACGCCCAACCCCCACGCCTCTCCGCGACTCATCCATACCACTTCGCCAGGCCGGAAGAGAAGGGATTGGTATGAAGCGTCGAGTTGATAATCGGGCAAAGCCAGCCGCGGTATCGTAGACGGGCCAGGCTGAGGAGGTGTCTGAGGAATGTTTTGCGGTGTTGCTGTGCGCGGGGCTGGAGGCTGGTGTACTGAAGGCGCTTGCTGAGTGGGGGCTGCGATAGGTTGTGTCTGAGCGCCGGCTGAGGCCGGGCGATTAAGAGCGACTGGCTGGCTCTGCGGAGTCGATGATTGGCTGCGAGGTCGATGAATGGCAACGTAAGGATCTCTGCCGACGCCAGACGTTGCAGGTGTTGCAGAAGTCGCAGGCGTGGCAGGGGTGGCAGGCTGTGTAGGGTGCGCAGGTTGTGCGGGTGGTTGTGGAGGAGCCTCCTTCTTGACCGGGGGTTTCTCATCCTGCACTTCCTCCGGGCAGCAAACTTTGCAGCTGCAGTTGTTCGCGTCTCCATCTTTATCCGTGGCGAGCCACAACAGGTGTGGGAAGAAGTCGGCGGGACTTCTAAATCGCTTCTTGCGGCCCATGGGGTGGCCGTATAGATATGCGTCCTGACGGTCGTGGCCGCCGCCTGCATGGTTTTTGGAGGCTTTGCGGGATTGGGGATCGCCATCGTGTGCGCGCGATTTGATATGCTCAAAGAGTCGGTAGTGTTCAGGAAGAGCGGCGAGCATGCATGCCTTATCTGCGGGGGTCAGCGGAGGCGGGTAGGAGTGCGGTTGGAATCTTACGTTGGTGCTCAGAGCCAGGACCAGCGAGTTCGCGCATCAACATGCCGCCCAGCTTGCGACGCCAATCCAAGTGTTTGGGCTCATCTTCAGCGATGGGGCGGTAGTAGTCGCTGACGCCGTTCGAGTCGGGCTTGTCGTTCAGCTGCTCGGGCGTGGGCTCGTTTTTCTCCTTCTTCTTGCCGTGCACCGTCTCCAGCTTTCCATCAGAGCGGCGCACGTAAAGCGGGTAGTATCGTGTCATTGTGGCGGCGTGGCAGCCCGCGCGAGCATGGCCGTGCTGGTGCGGCGGCGTGCAAGGTGTTGATTGCGGCGAGCGATCGGAGAATTGGCTTGCGCGGAACGCTTGGCTTGGGTCGGGCGCGGGCGTCGGAATAGCCCTCTTGACGGGGAGCGGCAGCGCGGCTGGGCGCGGATGCAGATTGCAGCGCTGCAGGCGGAAGCAGTCGGCGGCAGGTGAGAGTGAGGTTCGGAAGGCGACCAGAGGTGAGGGCCAGGTGAGGGCGGGGATGTGGTTTTGCGGCCGGCAAGCTCTGGGGCTGGAGATCCCTGCGCCGATCAACGAGCCCAGCACGAGATCACGCGTCGGTGCGGCGCGTCTCCCCAGATATTCCAGCCAGCCTGCTCTCACCTCTGCCAACCATCACAGCCCTCGTCTTCATGTCGCACATGGACCCAATTCTGCCCAGCTGATCCTGCCAACTGACCAAACAAGCCTCGTTTGCACGCGCGTCGCTGCAATCGCCCGTTACAGCTCCAATGGACCACCCGGCGCTGCCCGTGCAGGGCAGCTCCAAGCTCGTTACGCCGCCGGCAAAGCGCCGCAGCACCTATGAAAGCTTACTCAATGCGTTTGGGGCTCAGAACACATCGAGTTCCGTGACTAAAGCCCGCAGGTCCCTTGCCTCAACAGAATCCATTGCGCACCCGCCTCAGACGCTCTCCTCGTCGCCCGACCCATTGCCCATGCCGCCGCAACCACCGAATACTGCGAAATCCATCGAGCTGGACAGTCCAGCCAGCACTGCAGATGGGCTCGACGACCCGTCCACCCAGAGTGAGGACTTGACTCCCAGGCGCTCACTCCGCCCACGCCGCAACCTCTCAGATCTGAACTACACCGACTCGCCCCGCCTCGCACAAAGTTCCGCGAAGAAGGAAAAGGTGAATCTCGTCATGTCGGACATGGTTTCGTCACCGAAGAATTCACCTAGGCCGAAGATCAATGCCAGCGCGCGGGCCCAGATCCGTGCAGACATCGAATCGAACACCAAAGTGAAGCGAGACGCTTTCCTCTACCGTCACAACGAGTATTTTCTCCCCCTGCTCCCCGACGGCAGCTACATTGCGAAGCTCAGCAAAATCAAACATGGAGCCTTCGTGCCTTACTGCGAGCTGGACAAACAGCCCCAAGGCATCACAGCAACCTTGAAACCCTACCAGTTGAGCGGCCTCTCGTTCTTGGCTCACATGTACGACAATGGTATGCCTTGCATGTTGGGAGATGAAATGGGTCTCGGTAAGACTTTACAGACCTTGTCCCTCTTTCAGCTTCTCGAAGAAAGAAAGACCAGTCACTACGCTCAAAACCGGCCGTATCTTGTTGTATGCCCCTTGAGTGTTGTGAACTCCTGGGTCAATGAGGCGACCCGATGGACACCCGAGCTCAAGGTCCTTCGCTTCCACGGACCCAAGGCCGAGCGCGACGCGCTGAAGAAAGTGGCCACTGGCCAGAGGGATAGGTATGGCCAGGAGACCAATCGGTCCAAGAGACGGAGGGGTGACCGTCGTCGCGGTTCGAACAAGATCATCAACTTGGATGATGACGAAGATGACGATGCCTACAAGATCGTCATCACTTCCTATGAGACTTTCGTGTCTGAGCAAACTTGGTTCAAGGCTGCCTTCGTTTGGCGGTACATTGTTCTCGACGAAGGTCATCGCGTCAAGAACAGCAAGGCCAACGTCTCCCACGCCCTCCAGGGTCTTCGCGCCGAATATCGCTTGATCCTCACCGGAACTCCGCTCCAAAACGATATGCAGGAAATGTGGTCCCTGCTCCACTGGCTGTTGCCGGATGTCTTCACCACCAAGACCGCTGAGCTGTTCAAAAACTCGTTTGACCTTAGTCGCGGCCAGATTGACACTTCCGTCATGGATCACGCACGCCGACTTCTCGAGCTGTTGATGCTCCGAAGGATGAAAACGAGCCCCGGAGTTGACCTGAATCTGCCTCCGAAAGAGGAAGTTCTGCTCTACGTTCCTCTCACGCCGTTACAAAGATTCTGGTACCTCCGATTACTGACTCGCTCTGGCGAGGCTCTCTTGACCGACATCTTCGCCAAAGCCAAGGACAAGGAGCAGAAGGCTCTGCAACAGGATCTTACCGAAGAGAAAAAGTTGAAGATGTTGGAAGAGACTGAGAAGATGGCCAGTGAGACACCGGCGGGGTCGGACGTGTGGGAGGAAACCCGGGAAATGATGATCCAAAGCCTGGCCAACGAACGTCAAGAACAAAAACAGGGCGATTGGGCCAAACTGATGAACTTGGTCATGCAGCTCCGAAAGTGTTGCAGCCATCCATATCTTCTTCCCGGAGTCATTCCAGACCCGTACCCCCCTGGCGACCACGTCATCCGCGCCTCTGGGAAGTTCATCGTCCTGGAAAAACTCATACAGAACCTGATTTTGGAGCGCGGTAAGAAAGTACTCATATTCTCCGGATTCACAAGTACCCTTGATCTTTGCGAAGACCTCTTGACCTTGTTGGGTGGAGACGGAGAGTCGTTCCGCTACCTCAGGTTCGACGGATCCACCGAAAGGGCCCGACGTAATCTGGATGTTCGTTTGTTCAACGACAAGTCGACCAACTACATGGCAATGATAGTCTCTACCCGTGCAGGTGGTTTGGGAATCAACCTCACCGCGGCTACCGAGGCCATATTCCTGGACGAGGACTGGAATCCGCAGGTCACTCTTCAAGCGGAGGCTCGGGCACATCGCATCGGACAAACGAAGCCTGTAACCATTTACAAGCTGTGCACACAGGGAACGGTGGAAGAACAAATGATGGGCAGGATTCGTAAGAAGTTGTACCTTTCAGCGAAGATAACCGAGTCGATGAAGAGCGTCTACGGAAGTCCAAGTACGAAGAGAAAGCGCGGCAGACCGAGTGAAGAGGATAAGCCGCATCTCAACGTGTCGCAGCTCAAGACGCTTATCCGCCGCGGCGCTCAAACGCTGAGCCACCCAGAAATCGATGTCACCGAAATGTTGTCTTGGGATCTGGAAACCATCTTGGAAAAGTGCTGCGATAAGCCCAGCAGCGATAAGCCCAGCGATTCGGCAGTTGGTGAAGACCGCAACGTTGATGAACAGACATGGCTGTCATCCATGGAAAAGGTCGAGACGGCAGTTTTCGACGGCCGCCGTATCCAACGCAATTCCGATGCCGACCACTTCAGCGTGCAGACGGATCTGGTCAGGAACGATCGCCGGAAGGGAAAGGAAACGACCGTGATGGTTGGCGGCTTTGCGGTCAACAAGCAAAGCATGGCTTGTGGCGAATGGGAAGCGATGCCGACGTTGGCCGGCAAGGATCCGCGGCTGGCAGAGCCCGTCCGGGCGAAGAGGAAACCCGTGGTCAACCAAGACGTAAGAAACCTCCCCAATGCCGATGTATTCCTCGCCGTCGACGAGAGTTCCACTGACACGCCACAGCACTGCCAAGCCTGCTGGGACGGCGGAAAAATCTGGCTGTGCTCTTTCTGCCCCCGCAGTTACCACGAAGGCTGCCTGACCGATGAGCAGAAGCGCGTCGTCGGTATCGGCTCGCAATTCTCCTGCCCGCAGCACGGCTGCGCCGACTGCGCGAAGCGGGCGTCCGAGGCCGGCGGCATGCTCTACCGCTGCCGCTTCTGCCCGCTGGCTTTCTGCGAAGACTGCCTCGACTTCGATCGCGCGCAGCTCATCGGCGACGTCGTGCCCGAGTTCGAGCTGCTCGGTGTTGGAGAAGTCAGGCAGGCCTACTACGTCAGGTGCCACGTCTGCGCTGATACCTTCAAGGAGGAGCCCGAGATGAAGGACTTTTACGAGGGAGAGGCGAGGGGCTATGAGCAGCAGTGGGAGGAATGGAAGGAGATGAAAAGGGCGAAGAGGACGAAGAGGGTCAAGAGGAAGGACTCTGGGATTCAGAGTGACGTTGAAACCAAGAAAGAGGACGTCAACAGTGAGTATGATTGGGATCCGGAGTATGTCTGATTTTTGGTTCGCGCCTTGGATCATTGCGCCGCAGCTTTGACGCAAAAGTTTGGTTGGATAACGAGCGAGAGGCGTTCGACAAAAGGCTATGGGTATTGGGTTTTACGGATATTGGGTTCTTTGGGATGATGCGGTCTGGATCTTGCGCGACGGAGAACTTGGAAGGGAAATTTCTTTTATTTTTTTGGGGGGGGCGATGAGGGATGATGGTAAGGAGAGGCATTCGATTCGGACGCCGTATACCCCCAGTTTTCCTCGACTTCAAGCTGGTTTGCCCGTCCATTTTTGCTTTTTGGTTCAACGGAGTCATGGTGGCTCGCTCTCCTCCGATATAGAATAGAAAATCAAGTAGATGCAAAACCGGTTGACTGCAGGCCAGCAGAATATCTTCACCCAAAGCAGCGTGCCACTTTCTTTCCAGGACCACTCTTCTTCTCCTTTCAAGGCTTCCTCCCCACGACCACCAAAAACGGAAACCCAACAACCGTCCTACCCCCCGCCTCCTCCTCACTCGGATCCACCTCCTTCTCCATCACAAACGCCTCCTCCACAACCACATCCACGAACCCCGCCCCCCGCACCAACCGCTCCATCTCCCCCCTCTCAATCCCATGCCTCTCCACCCCCTCCCTCTTCTCCCTCGGATGAAACAGCACGCTCTCGGGCCCCACGTCCGCAAAATCCGTAAACGCCACACAGCCCCCCTCCTTCAAACACCCCAAACACGTCGCCAAAAACGGCCCCAACCGCGGAATGTGATGCAGCGTCAGATGCGCCACGACGACGCCCCACCGCACCGGCGCCGGCGCGCGGGGTCCCCCCGGCTCATCGTCCCCACCACGTCCGCAGACGCGCCGCAGCAGCGCGCCCGCCGCGCGCTGCACGTCCGGCTGGTCCGCGCGCTCGAGCAGCGTCTCGACCGCGGCCAGGTTGGACAGCGGGGGCCGCTGCGAGGCGTTGGTCATGGCGGCGGCGGCGGCGGCGCTGGCGGCGACCTTGGCGTTGAACGCGGCGACCATGCCGCTGGACAGGTCGGCGCCGAGGAGGCTGCGGCAGTGCGGGGAGAGGTGCGACGAGAGGAGGCCGGTGCCGCAGCCGATTTCGAGGATGTCGAGGGTGGTTGGGGATTGGGGGTGGGCTGGGGGGTGGGTGGGTGGAGGGTTTTAGTTGTTGGTGTTTTTGGTGTTTGTTTGGTTTTGGTGGTGGTGGTGGGTGGGGAGTTGGGGGTGAGGTAGGTACTGCTGTGTTGGGGTGTAGGTACTTACTGAGCTCTGGGACGTGGCGGAGTAGGGCTTCGTAGGCGAGTTCGCTGCTGCGGACGGTGACGGGGTTAGTGTCCCAGGCGGCGGCTTCGGCGTTGAAGCGGTCGGTGGCGGAGGTCGACATGGTTGATGATGGGCTTTGGATGTCGCTGTCTCACTTGTTTGGGGGGGCTTATAGTAGGGTTGGTGAGGGATTGGGGGGAAAGGTGAGGTTGAAATAAACATCGACGCCGGGGATGACAGGGTTTCATTGCTAGCTCCGTTACACTTGTTCCCCCCACTTTACAACCAACCACATCGATGTTTTCTAGCTATAAGAAGAAAACAACCCATTCTGGGCGATGTAGATTACTACTATTCATATAGTCCAAAATCTTCCCAAAGAGCTCTGAATCCAACTCCCTGTCAACCCTCTACTTATCTCGGTCACTAAAATACCTCCCAAAGAACTCCAAGCGCGTCCAAGTCTCTCTCTTCCCTCTACTTCCCTTCATCAGCCCCCTGTTGACCACAAGCCCCGACGCTGCCACCCTCCTCACATTCCCCATCCTCCGCCACTGAGCCAGGAGCCTTCAGAATGGCATCAGATAGTGCACTCCTCACCAGCATTCGACAAAGGAGGGCTGGGTTAGTCGTCTTCATTCAGTAGCTTGGTAAAGTAGCCCACGTTGTTGCTGTCGGATGCCTCCGTGGGGACGGCGGGGGCGGTGGTCGGGACGGTGGAATATCCGGGAGGGTAGTAGTCCGGATAGTCAGGCGTTGCGCGGGCGCGCTCCTGCGGCGTAGGCGGTGGGACATTATCATCGTGCTCGTTCACATTCGTCTTGCTGGCGTCGTTCTGGATCATTTGGGCATGTGGTTGTTGCTGCGGCTGCGACTGCGGCTGCGGCTGTGGCCCCTCCTGGCGCTTCCTGTTCCTCCTCTTCTTCGGCGCGGCAGGAGTCGGAGCAGATGCGGGAGCGGTGGGAGCAGGATCGGGTACGGGAGCGGGAGCGGGAGCAGTAGAAGCGGACATGTCCGCCTCACTGGCGCCGCCGACAGTCTTCCTCCTGCTGTTCGACTTCCGATGCGACAGCTTCGTCTCCATAAACGCCAGCGGCTCCCACACGAGGTCGTCGATCCTCACAAACGCCTCGACATCGTCCCTAAACGGCGCCGCAATCGCCTTGGAGCACAACACCGCCGCATGCACCGCCCCAAACCTCTCAAACACATCCACCGCCTCTCCATCACCCCGGCCAAACACCTGCCCCAGCTTACTCATCGCATGCCTGTCGACCTCGAGCAGCGCCTGGCCCTGCGCCCCATCCGCCGCCGGCCGCACGAACCCGTGCGCCGCGCCCTCGACGAGCCGCTCGCACACGCGGTACGCCCACGCCTGCACGTTGCGCGTCTGCCGCTCCCAGCCGCCCGTCGTGTGCTCCGGCGGCGCGCCGGCGAAGGCGGCGGCGGCGGGGGACCGCGCCGAGTCTTGCGAGCAGGCGGGCGACGTGACGGCGTCGGCGAGGAGGCGCGCGAAGTCGTCGAGGTGGGAGGTGAAGTGGGCGAGGTGCAGGTCGGCGGGAGGCGGGGAGGGGGCGGTTGTGGTGGTGGCGCGGCGAGAGGTTTCGGTGTGTTGGTGGAAGGAGTGCGCTTGGGGGGCGCTGGTGATGCGGCGAGCTGGCGGGAGGGCGGACCATGCGGGGTAGACGCAGGGAGGGCGTTGGGCGGCGGGCGTGGCGGACCAGGGGAAGACGTCTGGGTCGCCTTGTTTGGTGCGTTGGGATTTGGGGAGGGAGCGGTTGGTGTTGGTGCGGCGGTCTTCTTTCTTGAGGTCCGCGTAGGCGGAGGGCTGGTAGGCGAATTCGATGATGTTGCCTCCGCCCTCGGAGCCGAGGAGGTCGCCGAAGATGGCTTTTTCGTTGCGGATGGCCTGCAGGGCCTGCTCCAGCCTGTCGGTGGCGGTCAGGTTCACGACGTATCCTGGTTTGCGGGTGAGGACGCGGTGACGGGGGTTGGTCGACACGCGGAAGCCGTGTTGTGTGCCGTCGGCGACGACGTCCATGAACTTGAAGTAGAGTGCAGTTATCTCTTCGGGAGTGTAGAATGGCTGGCCGTTCTCAGCCATGCGGACAAACTTGTCTGCGGCTTTCCCTCTGCTCGCCAGCTTGTCCCTCATCTGGCTGAGGTCAATGGCCGCGTTGTACCAACGTTCCGCATTCAGAGCATCGTTAGCACGAACCGTCGACAGAGTAGTGTCAGCGTAGACGCCAGCACGCTCCCAGACGGAGTCACGGTGTTGCTTCGCCTGTAATGCCGAGTAGATCCGCAGGTCATAGTTGGTTTCCTGCCACTTCGCATATGTCCTCGTGCGGTTGACATCGAATGATGTCGTAACCTTCTTCTTCAGCCAGGCTTGAGCGTGGCCGTTCAGACCAAAAAGAGTGATGTCGGATTCGTCCTGGCCGATTTGGGAGGGATCGGTGATGACAGTAACGATGACACCCCCGAGGGTGCAAGTCTCCTTGCCAGCCGGGTCACTGATGGGCTGGACGGGCTGATGAGCCGCAGTGGAGTTGCAATCCACAGAGGAATACGCCATCTGGGTGAAGTTTTGACCAGCAATTGAAGGACTATAGTTCGTAGATGGGTGTGATGCAGCTTCCATTGCCTGGTTGGGCGGGCTGGAAGACGCGGGTTGGAATGAGGACCTGACCTGGGCGGGCAAGTAGGAGGCGTATGGGGACGTATATCCGCTGACATAGCTGGGCGGCTGGTACGATTGAGGGTGGAATGAGCCTCCACTGACCGGGCTGGAAGCGCTCGAAGGAGGTTGGTCTGAAGACCGTCCGCTGGCCTGGCTGGACGAGCTCGAGGTGGACTGGAAATTTTGCAGGAACCTGCTGATATGGCTGATCTGCAGGTCGTCGATGGCACTGCTGTCCGTGGGGTTGTGATCCTGCCTGAGCTTCTTCGCTACAGGCGCATCTGCGTCGTTGTCTTCAAGGCGGCGCTTCAAGGGGGAGGAAACCAAGATTGGAGAAGATCCCTTGAGCTAACACGATGAGTTGGAGCACTAGGCGTGAAGGGATTCGTGGATAGACTGACCTGGCTGATCCCATTGGCCAAGCTGTGGTGCCTCATGTCAGTCTCAAGCTTGAGCTTCTTTGCTACAGGCACATCTGAGTCTCCATCATCACGAAGGCGCTTCTGAGGAGCCGCGGAGACGTTATCGTGAGCCAAGGGAGATTGGGGGAACTCCATGACGGGAGTCGGGGGCATGGCTGCGCTGGCAGTCATACGCGGGGCAGGGACATTCTTCTGAGCGTTCTCCATGATAGCGCTTGCTGAGTGCACGTATGGGTTGAAACTTTCGGGGTGGAAATAAGAACGAAGAGGTTGATATGCTCAGATTAAATCGAATGTGCTTGAAACAGAGAGCAGGAGTTCTTGGAGGAACAAGCGTGTTTGAAAGCGATGCAGGCAGCTCAAAGTGAGGGTCTGGACAGAAAAATCTGGAGGATCGTGGTCAAGGTCCAAAGGCTTCGACCTTTGTAGGTGGTTAGCAGCATGTCGCGTGGGCAGGGCGAAAGTTGCGTTGCTATGGTGGGTGCTCAACTGCCCGATAGGGAGGACCTGCGACGCGGTCGAAGGTGTGTTAACACCCACTCGCGACCACAACCACACAAACACCGACTATCCGCCATGGTCTGGCAGCTTCTCCGCGCCTTAGTATGTTATTCCTCGATCTTGGTGCATCTTTCTCGTCTCCTACTAGAATGTCATCGAAGTAACCAGTCTCAGCTGCCCACCGCAACACTTCTACGATGCTCAAAGAACAATGTAGACTCCCGTCCAGCGAACATTCCGCGTTGTACCGCAAGCAATCTTCTTCTTCTTCTTGCCAGTCACCAAGGTTTCTTGAACCTTGCGCTTTCTACACAAAATACTCCTCCATCGCCCTTTCCTTCGTCTCGTTCTTCACTGTGAGACGCATCGGCTTTCCACAGATAGCTATTGCGTCGCCCGTCGCACAGTCCGACGGTATATTCGCTAAAAAGAAACACGATTCACATCGAGGTATAGAATATATAGGCTGGCTGGGCTTTTTGGCATATATTTAGCGTTGGGGAGTCAGAAATATGGAAGTCCTTAGCTTTCATGCAGCAAGGCATTATGTAGTTCTCTACAGGCCTATGAATCACAAAAAGCTCTTGTTTATATGCAATTAAGCGTGATTCCCGTTTGTTGACTGATTCACCTACCTCAGAGTGTGAAGGCAACGCACACATGCGCAAACGAAAGTACAGGGTCATACTCAAATCAAGCAACAGCAATAGTCTCAGATGATGCTAAAATTTTACTAGTCATCTCGTCTCTACAAGATAGTAAAGGTGCAGTTTCCAACACCAAATCGACACTCTAAATCTCATCGCTTGACAGTGAACACTAGCGTCTCACAGCGAAACACTTGCCATCCAATGCCAGTCAACCAGAGCTCGCTTACTCGCTTACTCCTCCATCACATCGTCGATCTCGGCATCCAATGAAATCTCCCCTTGCCAATCCACGCTCTCCAGAAATGTAGTGTACTCCCCCATGAGCTCGTCGTCATCCATGGGCTCCATCTCCTGCGACGGTAGATCAGCTTCAACATTTAACGGGGAGACATCCGTCCATACCGGAAGTTGATGTGGCGCCTCCATCGTCTGCGGCGCATCCTCTGCGCTATCCATCCACATCTGCAGGTCCTCAAAGCCAACCGCCCGCTGAGGCTGAGTCTCCTGAAGGCCCTCCTGAAGGCCGAACAGCGGCGACGTGAGGGAGCCGTCGTATAACATCTGCTGCTGGAAATCAGCACCGGTGTTGATGGAAGGCAGCTGGCCGCCCCAGACGATCTGCGCGTATGCGGCTTCCGGGCCAGCGGCCTCGCTCAGGTCCGGCAGAGGCTGACCGGTGGCGATATCCAAACCAGCGGTCCAGGGCGGGTAGGCCTGATTGTTCTCGGGGTCGAACAGCGCATCCCAGTGCCACTGGGCATCGATCAGCAATCCGTCATCGCTGTCATCAGTCAGCGGCGGAGCGTTCAGGTACACCGGGCGCGTCAACAGCCACTCGGAACCGTCAGCACACCCCGAGGCCCTATCGCGGTCATCTTCATGCAGGCCAGTCGCGCTCAGCTCCTCTGTGCCATCAGCACCACCAGTAGCAGTCGTCCCACCCGCACCGGTACCAACATCGACAGCAACCCTCTTCCCCCTCCTCCCCGACCTCATCGGCACCGCCCCGCCGTCCCCCTCTCCCTCCCCCTCCGCAGCAATCCTCACATGCCTCCTCCCCAACGGCTTCGCGCGCCTCCACCCACTCGTGACGCGCACATCCGACCGCACGCCGCTCCACGCATACGGATCCGCCACGAAGCCGTCGAGCGCGAAGTCGCTCTTGACCCACATCCACGCGACCGACTTCTCGCGGCGCAGCACCGCCAGCATGCTCGCGAGGCGGCAGGGCGCGCTTACCTGGCGGCCGGCGTCGCGGAGCAGCGACAGCGACGAGGGCCGGTTGCGCGACGTGAATTCTTTGGGGAACGGCTGCGGGAAGCCGTGGGTGGCGCCGCGGAGGAAGGCGGTGAGGACGCGCCAGGCGGCGGCGAGGAGGTCGGTAGGGGTGCAGGTGGGTGGTGGGCGGGATGCCGATGGGCCCGCGGGCGGGGCGGTGGTACTGTTGGTGTGGGGGGCGGCGAGGGCGAGGGCGAAGCGCCGGGCGTCGATGCTGGCGGGGGCGTTTTGCATCGAGGTGACGTCGCGGAGGGCGGTGTAGAGGGCGATGACGAGGGGGAGCTTGTTGGCTTGGAGCAAGGCGAGGTGCCGGGCGGCGTGGGGGTTGGTGGAGCGCGGGAGCCGCGGTTGGAGCGAGGAGAGGTGCTGCAGGGCGGATGGCATGTCTGGGAGTTGGTCGGCCGGGGGGATGGAGACGAAGGCGGGGTACATTGGAGAGCGGTTGTTCTGGATCGCGAGCTGGTGCAGTGTGCCGGGGGGAGGCGTGGCCCAAGTGTGCGGTGGGACGGGCTTGGGCTCCTTGTTTCGCCGCTTGGTGTTGACGAAGCGGTGGACGGCTTTGAGGGAAGCGTAGGTGGTGGGGCTGTAGATGAGGTTGCGGAGCTTGAAGTCGTCGCCGGATAGGACGTCCTCGACGGTGACCTTCTCCAGAAGAAGTGTAATGCACAGCCTCCTGTGGCGCTCGACCAGCGTGATGCTGTTCTCCTCGTCATTGTTGTTGCCCTTCTGGTCGTCGCGAATAGTTCTCATGAACCCGTTGTCTGCACCATCGAGAAGGAGGTTCATCAGATTCCAGGACATGGCAAGGATCAACTTCGTCGGATAGTAGGTGCCAGACTTGTACGGCTCTACCAAGCGAGAGAAGTCGCGGCTGTTTTCAAGGTCCAGCGCGTACCTGCAGTCGACAATGGAAGTGTAAATGTCCTCCACGTACTTCAGAACGTTGGCGTGAACCTGCACAACGGTCGCATCCGGGTAAGGTTGACGTCGGAAGGATTGAAGGTAGGCCTCGGCTTCCTCCTCGCTCAGGAGCATCTGGTCTCGCGGCAGACTGTCGAACTCGGGAAAGATCGACCTGCGATTCGGGTCTTGGGCAACGTTGTCGTCGGTCGCCCAATCACAGGCAGCGGGAACCATCAAGCGCTTCAGCTCTTCATCCATGGGTGGGATCTCAGGATGGTTCGAGGCCATGTTTACAAAACTCGTGGCTGAGGGACTTTCTTCCAAGGATGTCAAGAAAGTGTGTCGTGTCGTTTTTCTTAAGTCGTGTCTGAAAGGACCGAGATTGAGAGAGGTTGAAACTGGAGGGTTGGAGAAGATTGATGGAAGAAGAAGATCTGTTTCTCTTGTAACGTGCTTCTGCAGTGACTGAGTGTCCATTGTTTACTATCAACTCCCACGGTGGTGTACACTGCTTTATTAGTCGCTAACACCCTGATCATTCTAGAGTATAACACAACCACTGTCATCATCGTTCTCTTTTATACGAATGCATACCTCTTGGGTTAATTTTGAGCTGGGGTCCAGGAGCCAGTCACTATCCGCATCGATTGCCTCATTTTCTTAGCAGAAATAAAGATATCAGTGTACCATTGCCACATCCTTTCGTTGAAGAAGCTTCGCTCACATTTCAGTTGCTGTGACCTCGTAATACTTATAGGAGAACATCCTGATGGTGTATAATAGTCGCAATATATATCCCTTCCAGGGGACGTTGCCCAAAACCTTTCCCCTTAGGCCCGGGGTGTTGGTTACAGAAGCTTTAAGTCTTTTATAGATATCTTTACGAACCACATGGAACCCTTTCGATTTGAAAAACGCATAACAAGCATTTATACAAGCAAGTGCCACCAACGTTTTGACATAAAAAGATGATGTCTCGACGGGAATTGCATTGCCTATGAAGTATGAACTAATATGGACTTTCCTTAGTGATCATCATTTCGTTCATATTTGAGCTTTTGAGATCAAATGCATGGTGACTATATTCTGCTATCTACTAATCCTGTATAAACCTGACTATTTCTTTCTTTACTAAGCGTTTGCTGAAGTTTGCCTGTTCGTGCACGGCTTCCATCTTGAGAAGAATTTTATAATTCCCCCACCATCTTTTATACATATTTCCCTAACAAACTCTGTCTCCATCATCTAGATATACCAGTCCGGAACCTTTTGTCGTTTCCATCATCCGTTGCACCCGTGCCGACACATCAAACCGGCAATCCTTAGATAGCCGATTCTCCATCTCGAGACCTAATGGTCTTGCTCTTGCTACTCTTGCTACTCTTGCTACTCTTGCTACTCTTGCTACTCTTGCTGCTCTTGCTGCTCTTGCTGCTCTTGCTGCTCCTGCTGTCCCCCCTCATCCAACAGCGCCGGATCAATCGGAACCCACTTCTCGCCCTCACCCAGTACCGGCATCGGGTCCAGCAGAAAACAATTCTCAAACCCGGCATCGACATGTGCCTCCGCCCCCGCTCCTCCAGCAAGATACCTGTCCCACTGATATCCCCCCTCCGGCCAAGCGCCACCGCTGCCCGCACGCTCCACGTACTCGGCGTACGCCGGCCCCGGCTCGAAGAATATCTCGCCAGCAGCGCCGTCCGATCCCCCCTTCCTCCCGGCTCCCGAATGATCCGGCCCCGGCGGGGTTTCTGCGTCACGGAAACGCGAAGACCTGGTGCGATACCGACCAGCCTGCTTGCTGCCGATGACGCGGGCGCTCGACGAGCTCTTCCCCTCCGCCGAGAAAGCATCGAGCGACCGCAGCGGCCTCTGCAGCGCCGACGTCGGCGTCCGTGGCGCAGGTAGTTGTCTCGTGCGGCGGCGGCGCGAGCCGGCGGGCGTTAACGATCCTCCGACCTGGCTCCACCGTCAGCTGCCAGATCCGATCCCTCGGCCACCCAGTCCCGCGATGCTAGCAAAAGAACGTTTACCGACACGCGGCGCGCGTAGGCGGTAGGCACTCACCTCCTGTCCCACCCCTGCCTGTCCGGGTGCCGCCGCCCTCCTCCTCGTCTTCCGCGGCGGCGGCGACGTGCGCACCTCCGGCCCCTCATCCATATCGCCCGTGATGGCGGCGATTTGCGCGACGAGGTCTTTCCCCGTCAGGATCTCCGTTCCGCGGCGGCGGCGGTCTCGCGGTTTCTTGACGCGGGGCCTCATCATGCCGGCGACGCCGGCGTCGTTGGTTGCGTGGGGAGTGCCAGGCCGGGAGGCGGGGTGCGTCGTGCTCATCATATTGCCGGGAGGGGGGACGGGCGGAGAGGGTGTCATCCAGCTCGCTTTGGGCCTGGATGAGGATCGAGGGCGCTGTGATGGGGGTGTTGACATCTGTCGGTGGTGTTAGTGGGGAGGGCTTTTTTGGGGGGGTTGGTTCGTCGCGCTTGCACGTTGGGACTTGCGTTTTCTGGTTTGAGGGTGCTTCCTGCCGTGGTCGCGGCTCGTGGCCGGGATGGGGTTGCCATGGCGCCTTCCCCGGCGCGTTCGGTCTCGTCGACACGCTGCTGTCGCTGGTGCGGCCCGGATTTTGTTGCTCGTGGGAAGGTGGGTGTTGTCCAAGGCGGCATGCTTGCTAAGGGCCTGCTGTAGTGGTTCGAATCGTGTGGCGCGGTTTTGTTGTCAATAAGTTGAAGCGAAATAGAAATGTGTATCTGGAGCAATGTGAAGACAGGTGGAGCGGAGACGAATAAGTAGGTTTGGTCGAACCCTTGAGCTAGCTCATGGGGCTAGTTTGTGGAAGGTGTGTGAGAGACGCTGAACCGATTCGCCGTCCACCCAGATTTTTGAACATCGCTCCTCCGAGATATGGGTTTTCTTTACGTTCTTCATGAGCTCCTTCAGATAGAAGAAGAAGCTGCAGCTCTTTGCAGCGTAGGATTAGGCTTGGAGCTGACTGCTTCGCTTACGGTTTGTTGCCATTTCGGGACATTTTATCGCCCAGCTCGCAGAAGAGAGTCATTGTCTTTTAGCATTGGTGGTGTAGTGAGAAGCTTAGGCCACCCAGCCGTAGCTGTCACGGGGGCATGGCGCAGTCGGAGTCCTGATTCGCTCTCTGACTCCATCCACGGATGGCGCAGGAAGTGCATGGCATGGGTTGCAAGTCATCCCACCTCTAAATGCACTAGCTGATCATCTGTCATCTCACTGGTTCGCATGCGCAAGTGTCAGCATCTATCACTATGCCCACAGCAAAGGGAGACGAGTAGATCGAGCCGAGAAAATAATGAAGAGTCTCACTCACGGCAAGTGATTGCGACCGCAGCAGTGAGCACTGTACCTCAGCCACACGGTGGCGGCTTGGAGCCTTGGACGCATACTCCACAGCGACAAGCCTCCAAGGTCAGCGCAGTGCCGACATCACACGAGCCTGCTTCTTCTACCACCATCATCCTCTTGTCACGTCTCACGCGCCGACCACAATCCAGCGGGGACGAAAACGACCGGAAGATCAACGACATCGACGACAACCGCAACGACCCCAACGACGACAGTTGTCTCAACTCGATCCTAACCCGCACCACCCTCCAGCGAAACCTCACCATCCTCCCTCCAAACAACCCACCCGACCAGACCAGACCAGACCAGCCCACCCCGCCCCACCCCACCCAAATGCTCGCTCCCGCTCCCCAGCGCCACGCCCCCGCACCCGCGCCGCCGCCGCCGCCGCCGCCGCCGCCGCCGCCGAATCCAACCACCACCGCACCACCCACCAGGCCGTCGCCGTCGCCGCCACCACCCTTCTCCCCACCACCGCCCTACGCGCCCGCCATGCCCACCTTCACCTCCACATCCACCGCCCAAGCCCACCCCCTCCCCCTCGCCGCCGCAGCAGTAGTCCAGCTCTGCCGGTACGGCCCCGCGCCGCTCGTCATGCAGACGCGACGCGCGTACGTGCCCGAAGGGCTGGACCGGTTCTTGGTCCACGGCGGGCGGATGCGGTTCGTTGCGCGGCGGTGGAGCGGGGTTGAGGAGGTGGATGAGGATGAGGAGGATGAGGAGGGTGAGGGGGAGGAAGGTGAGGAGGGTGAGAGCGATGATGGGGGTGGGACGGTGTGGTTTGATGCGGTGGAGGAGCTTGATGGCGGGGGGGATGGAGCGGGGACGGGGACGGAGACGGGGATGCTGGATGATGAGGATGGGGGGGCACGCCGGTGGCGCTGCTGGTGCGGTACTAGTGTGCACGGCGGAGGTGGCGATGAGGAGGTGCGGCGCTCAGGGCTGTCGGTTGGGGAGGAGCTCGCGGGCGGCGAGGGCTGTGTGCGTCGCGCGGTTGTGTGGCGCCTGGAGACGGAGGCGGGTGGGGGCGAGGAGGATGGCGATCAGGAGGCTGAGGAGGAGGCTGAGAGCGATATGGAGTCTGATGTCGCTGAATGGGGAAGCTGCGATGGCTCCGATGACTCCTCGAAGAGGATGTTCGGGAATCGTTAACCCTGATCTGCATGGGCTTTTACCGGGATCCACGGTGCTTTTTGCTACAGATGCCTGTTCTCGATGACACTGACTACTCTAGGAACGACTACGCGTGGTGTATGCACTGGTTATCGACTCTTATAGGGATTTCTTGTTGAAGTATGGCATAGCTTCTTTGCAGTAGTCCATGGTGGTTCAACGAGAGTGGTATGGCTTGGATATCAAACCATCTGTTGAAGGGCGGATCATCACGGCACGGATGCGAGCAGATGATGACTGGAAAAGACGTCTAAAATCAAATTCAACGAGGATATAAAGCTCTGCTTGCTCGAACGCTGCAATCTCCATCCACCCAATCCATCACAACGCTTACGAAACTTTGCTCATGCAAAGTCCTTCCTTCCTTTTTTTCCATATCCTTTTTCACATACCTTCCGAAGCCATCAAGCACCCATTAATACACATACCTGAACTGGGCCATATCCCTATCTGTCTTATCCAACAGGTTCAGCATGATGGCAGACTCCTGTCGCACCTCGGCGTCAGCGATATCGGCGTTGCCGCCGAGCCCGTCGCTTCCGACAGCGGCCTTGGTGTCGCGACGTTTGTTCTCCCAGACGTAGTAGAAACGCAGAGCCACGCTGAAGATGATGCCGAGCACGAAGCAGATCAACATGGCCAAGAAGCCAGACTGGTACTTTGGGGCTTCGCGCTCGAAGAAGAGCTGCGGGCCGATGATGTTGCCGACGCAGTAGGAGACGAAGAGCTGGAAGTAAGGAAACGACGTCAGTCCTGCGAGAACGGAGAGGGGATGGGGACAGGTCATCACTCACCATAGCGTTGACCGTATTCTTCTTGGTGAAGCCGCCGACATTCGCCGCCGTCAGGCTGAGCATGAGCGGGAAGTTTGCGGAGAAGCAGATGAGAAGGCAGTATCCGAAAAACTTGGCCCAAATGTGTTTTTCGGGGTCGATCTCGCGCGCCATGATGGCGCCGACGAGCGAGACGACGAAGTTCCAGACGAGCCAGTAGGTGCGCGTGTTGCGGAAGAAGGTGGCGCCGCCGGCGGCCATCAGCACGTAGACAAACTGGAACGCGGTGGCAACCATGCCGATGAGGAGTGTCTGCTTGACGCTGAAGCCAAGGCCGTTGACAATAACAGAAGCGAACTGTACGCATCCCACATTAGCCAGGTTATCCCGCCATCTCCCATCGGACACCCAAAACTCACCGTCGTGACGCCGCCATTCGGAATGTTCCCACAAAGCTGAATGAGCACAAACAACCAACTCTGCGGATCCTTCAACGCCTCCACGACCTGACTCCCCTTCCACTCCCTACTCTTAATCCCGGTCAAGTTCTGCTTGACCCTCGCCACCGCCAACCGCGCATCCTCCCTGCCCTTCAAAAACCACGCGCGAGTCGGACTGTCCGGAATGCCCCAAAACAAGACCACGCTCCACGCCAACGAAAAGGCGCCAAAGACGACGAAAACGGCCTGCCACGCGGCGAGCGTCTCGCTCTTGACGCTCGCCATCGAATACGCCAACACGCTCCCAAACAGGCCGCTGACGACGTTCCCCAAGAACCACGCGCCGTGCCGCAGCGGCTGCTCCTGGCGCTTGTACCACATGCTGGTGACGACGCTGAAGCCGGGGGCGACGGCGGCCTCGCACATGCCGAGGAAGAAGCGGGCGGTGAGCAGGCCGGCGGCGTCGCGGCACGCGGCCATGAGCATGAGCACGACGGCCCACGCGCACACCGACGTCGCGAGCGTCTTGCCGACGGGGAAGCGCACGAGCAGCGCCGCCACGGGCCACGACGCCGCGAGGTAGCCGAAGTAGAAGATGCTGCCCGCCCACGAGTAGGCGTGGCCGGTGAGGGAGAGGTCGGTGCGCAGGTCGAGGATGGCCGTGTAGCCCATGGCTTGCTTGTCGAGGAATTGGAACATGTAGGAGATGGCGAGGATGGGGAGGAGGCTGGGAGGTGGGGTTTGGTTAGTGGTGAGTGGCGGGGGATGTGGTGGGTGCGGAAAGAAATTGATCTTCGGTAGGTATTTGTGTGGGTAGTTGAAGCAAATTCTCTGATGTAAATGTAGCTTTAAACAGCCATCTTCGTGAGGAGGTGAAGCAGATAATATCCAGACGCAGATATAAGGACCAAATTGTACAAAAGCATCCAGACATTGATTCTGCTGCCCATGCCATGTAGGTGATTCTGTTCTTTCTGCGCCCATAGTGGGTATGTCCTCCCAAGTGATGGATAATGGGATGGGAATCGCAAGCGAAGAACATGATTCTCCGAAGACTCCAATTGCAGTGCAGACGGGGGAATCACCACGGACCACCACCACCAAAAAAAAGAGGAAATCACACGAGACAGAGACAGAGACAGAGAGCAAAAGAAGCACCAAAGCGCAAAGAACGAAAAAAAAAAAAAACGGACAAACTCACCAACAATCAATCCTCCTCAAGATCCTCCGATCATCCTCCGGGCTCACCTCCAGCTCGTCCAAGCCCCCAGCATCCGACCCCAAATCCTCCAACGTCGCGTCACCATGATTGGCCGCCGCCGCAGCAGAAGCGCTCGTAGTAGTCGCAGCGACGCCTTCGCCCTTCTCTGGCGCGTACGCCTCGGGCGCCGACGACATGTTCATTTTTATTTCTCTTTACTGAGCGACACTTCTCTTCCTATTTTTTCTTCCCCTTACAAACTCGCAAGGTGCATCCGCCTGCGTTGGCCAATATTTTTTTTTCTTCTCTTCTCAGCGGCGTGAATGCGCGTCTCGCGTCGAGCAAAGGGAAGCGAGATGAACCCGGATCGTCGGCCAGCTGTGGGGTTCGTAGGTACGTGTGTGGGTGTGTTCGTGAAGCACGAGCGCGCGCAGACAGCCCCGGTCCGAGATTCGGGCGGTCGGGTTGGGCGGGGGACGGACGGGGGAGGCGAGATTTTCAGGGGGGGCGGGAGGGCCGGACGGCGAGCGAGCCGAAGCTGTGGTGGCGCTTTGATCGTGTCGAGTCGAGTCGGCGGAGAGAAGAGCGCGGGCGGGCGTTCGTGTGTCGGTGACGCAAGACCCAACGACGACACGACGGAGCGACGACAACGGCGAGGAGGAAGGGACGAGAGGTACACGAGAACGAGAGGCGAGAGATGAGAGACTTAGTCGCGCTGCTAGTGTGTCGTTATTATAATTTACCTAGCAGCCCGCGCGGATGCTGGACAATAAAGCGGGGAGCAGGTCCACTTGCCAATCATCCGATTGTCGCCGTTCCGTCCCAAGCAGGCAGGCGGCGGGCAGAAGAAAGAGTAAAGCGTCGAGGCGAAGCGAGAGTAGTGCGGCGAAGGTAAAAAACAAAAGTGGAACCGAAGCCAAAGAAAATGAAATGGAGAGGGTGGGAGTGCGGCGCGGTTGCAGGACCATGGTTTGACTGACTCTTGCCGTGCAGTTGACAGGAGCGATGCGGAATAGCGGGCAGGGCAGGGGAGCCAGGACGGTACGCGCGGGACAAGGCACGGAAAAACGTGCGCAGCGCTACCTTCGCATCCAGCAAATGTCGCGCCCGTTTCAAATTGGCATGCTGTTGCATCCGGGCTGATCAAACTTGGCTCAATTTGGGGAAGCAAACTGCGCCCCGTGCACCACCCGGTATGAAAGGGTTATCGACGTGGCTCACCTTCAAGCTGCGAGTCTGCCGAACGGCCGTAAGCTCCTGAGCGCTGGAGGCTGCTGGGCCGAGTGATGCAAGGCGGTTGACGGTATCATGACCGGCGGAGCGTTTTCTGACACCAGTGGAGACGTGGGACCACCCGTCCGCGCGAACCCCCGCCTCCGCCTTCCGGCCCGAGCTAGCCCAGCCCTGTAGGCGCGCTTGCGTGTTGTCTCTGGTCGAACGAGGACAAGCTCCGCGCACTAGCTCGCCTTCTCTTGTTGCTACAACTGCACCAAAACACTCTGGTCCGGCTATGAGAGCTGCGACACTGAAGTTTCGATGGGCGGTGACCCCGGCCTTGTCCTCATTTCAATCGTCATCCATAAACTCGTACGCGTCTCCAAATGGCTAGACTCTATATACTAGTAGATACTTACATGCAATACGAATGGCGTGGGTTGATCTCTCTGCTGATCTCTCTCGACCTCTCTCGACCGCGCTCTCTCTCTCTCTCTCTTTCTCTTTCTCGGGTATCTATCTCTCCTCTCCAGGTCTCATTGATTAAAAGGGCATACAACGGTGGGTGTACAAGAACAACGATAGGAAAAAAAAAACTTTAAGCCAAGTCGGGTCGATCAGATCACAAAGTGCTCAAACCGGCCTTCGGCCAGCAGCAACATGTGATCGACCCGCCTGCCGCCCGCCTTGTCCTGCTCATCCACCACCGCCTTGAGGCACGCGAACGCCCGTGCGTAGTTCTTGCCGTACTTGGTGAGGCCCTGGTAGCGGTCGAGGATCCACGACCGGTGGATGAGGTCATCCGTCTCCATGCCCGCGAACAGCAGCGGCAGCGGGATGCGCGCCAGGAACCGCTCGCCGTCGTGCTTGTACCCCTGGTACGCCAGGTTCATGATCTCCTGCAGCGCCCGCTTCTGCGTCGCGTTGGGCGCCGCCAGCGGCTCCGCGAACCGCGTCAGCCGCAGGAACTCGAGCTCCATGGCGTAGTAGTGGGGCACCACGTAGCGGATGTTCTGGTGCAGCCGGCGGCTGTGGTCGACGTCCGGGCTCAGCTGCGACGCCAGGGCCAGCAGCTCGGCGAACTCGTCGCGCAGCAGGCCGAAGGCGTCCTCGATGTTGAGCGCGCGCCGCGCGGCATCCCGGTCGTCGCCGCGGTGCAGGGCGGCGCTGAACTCGGCGTTCTCGTACCGGACCAGCGCCGCCTTGGCGTACAGGCTGTACACCTTGCGGTTGTCCATGTCGTCGACGAGCTCGGCCTGCGGGTACCGCTCGCCCCAGGTGGTGCGGAAAAGTGGCTCGCTGTACTCGTGGATCGCGTTGAAGCCCCGCAGCAGCTTGCCGTTTTCCTCACCGGCGATCTGCCGCACCAGCTGGTTGACGGACCCGCCCAGATTGGAGCCTATGCCGAACGCGGCCCCGGCATCCAGCACCGCCATCCACACCATCATGCGGGCGGCGAAGAAGGAGATCAGGGCCTGGCTCGCCGGCGGTGAGCACGCTGCCTGGCTCGTGCCATCGACGTCCATGGCCTCGCTCGGCTCCTCATTGGTCGCCGACACCTGCAGCAGAGGCTGGAAGCGCGTCCGCAGGATCGACGCGGCACCCTGCAGGTGCTTCGACAGGCCGATGCCACCGCCGTCACCGTACTTTTGCTCGTACGCAATCATGAGCCACAGCGCGGCCAGCACCTGGTCGAGGTCGAGGTCGGCGTCTCCGGCGTTCATCTGCTGCGTCATGAGATGCAGGGCCTCCGTGTAGTGGCTGACCGACTTGGGCGAGTTGGGCCGGCTGGCCACCGGGATGAGATCCTGGTGGGAGCTGCGCAGCCACAGCAGCTCCTGGTCGGCCAGGGCCAGGATCATGTGCATGGGCATGGCATGGCGCTGGGCCTGCAGGAACAGCAGCGAGAAGACCGAGTACTCGGGGTTCTTGGTGTGGTGGTTAGTGGAGAAGCGGGTGCGGTAGTAGTAGATGGCCTCGTGGTCGGCCGGGGTGAAGACGACGGAGCAGGCGGCGGCCATCTCGGGCTGCTGCAGGCCCGAGGCGAGGGTGGCCAGGCTGTCGTGTCTGGATGCTCTCCTGGCGATGATCTGTGCGGCGGTGCTGCTGGGGATGGGGGGCCGGCAGTAGTCGGGCGGAGACTGAGGGTCGCGGTCGCTGCTGCCGCTGCTGCTGCTGCTGCTCGACGGACTGGCGGCGCCCTGCGATGGAGTGTCGGCCCGGGCCGACGAGGCCGACGGAGTACGGGCGCTGGAGGCCTTTCTGGTGTAGGGCTTACGTGGGCGAGGCCTGTAGTCGCACTGGCGCCTCAGGCGGACGCAGCGCTGGCACACGGGACGTCCCTCGTCACATTTGACCTTTTTTTCGCGGCAGGTCCAGCATCCCTGGCGCGAGCGCGGCCCGCTTCGATTGGCGGCGGGCCGGTGTGGTAGTGTAGACTGGGGCGATGTGGCGGTGATGGTGGTGTCGTCTGGCCGGGCCGGCGGCGAGCTCGATGATTCGTCCGGCGACTGGGCTTGGAGCGGCTTGGGTGCGGCTTGATCAGCCTGCATACTCGGCTGAGCGGTGCCGTATGATGGGATGGCGGAAACGAGGGGGGGACGGTTCTTGCTTGCTTGTTGTCGGCTGTTTCTGTAGAAGATCGCGCGTCCGCCGCCGCCGCCGAATTAGCCGGCGGACGGTTGGACTAAAAACTGCCCCTAGAGAAATCGAGTCACGTAGCGGGGGCGGGCCAGCCGACAACGCCGCCCATCCTCCCCATCTCCATCCGCCACGGTGCCCGCCCGGTGCCCGCCCGGTGCACCCGCAGGGCCACGGCTTGCCGGGGAAGCCGCGGGGCACAGCGTAGCGCGGCCGGATGACAAAAGGGGCCTGCGGGCGCCGTGGGCGAGGCGGGCGAGCCAGAGCAGAGGCTCGTGATGGTGGCGGGGCGACTTCGGCTGTGGCTGTGGCCTGCGGGGGCGCAGAAGAGGGAGGTGACAAGCTCCGCCAACCTCACTAAAGCCTTGGCAACTCGCGCCAGGGCACAGGCTGAGGCTAGTGCAGCAGCAGTGGTGAAGGTCGGCAATTCTTCAAAACTCGTCCCAGGTCCCAGGCCCAGACCCTCATCCCATCGCGAGCACCATGCGTTGCCACGACTGGCCACCGACCCCAGGCGCTATCCGGAGGTCCACTTCTGCTAGAGGCAACACGCTGCAATAAAAGGACAGCCCGGCATGAGGTCGGCGACGTCTGGAGGCTGGTCGATCTCGAAACCTCCACCATGACCCAGTCCAAGTTCCCCATCCAGGTCCGATCCAGCCATGCCGAAGAGGCCCGTCGGACGGTGAACGCAGCCATTGACGCTGCCGACGTCGCCCTCCGTGCGCTGAACAGGGACATCCATGGCCATCCGGAGACCGCATACGAGGAAGTCCACGCCCACGACGCCCTGTGTGCCTTTCTCGAGAGCCAGGGCTTCGCCGTGACGCGCCACGCATATGGCCTCGCGACCTCGTTTGAGGCGTCGGTTGGCAGCACCGCCGGCGACGCACGTGAGATCGTCTACTGCGCCGAGTACGACGCGCTGCCGGGCATCGGCCACTCGTGCGGCCACAACCTGATTGCGACCTCGTCCGTTGCCGCCTTCATCGGCGCGGCCAAAGCGCAGCAGGCGCTGGGCTTCAACGGTCGGATCCGCATCCTGGGCACTCCGGCCGAGGAGGGCGGCGGTGGCAAGATCAAGCTGCTCGAAGCGGGCGCCATCCCAGCGTCGACGGCGGCGGCCATCATGGCGCATCCCGTCGCCGGCCACATGGCCAAGATACCGGGCGCGAGCGGGCTGGCCGGCTTCAAGCTCATCTGCAGCCACAAGTTCAAGGTCGAGTTCTCGGGGCGCGCTGCCCACGCCGGCGCCCAGCCGTGGGACGGCGTCAACGCCCTCGACGCCGCCGTCGCCGCCTACACCAACGTCTCGATGCTGCGCCAGCAGATCCGCCCGGACGAGCGCGTGCACGGTGTCATCGAGGACGGCGGTCGCGTGCCCAACGTCATCCCCGCCTACACTCGCATGGCCTGGAACGTGCGCGCACCCAAGGTCAAGGCTGCGAACGCCCTGCGCGAGCGCGTCGATGCCTGCTTCCACGCCGCCGCTGCCGCCACGGGCTGCAGCGTCAACATCGTCGAGTGAGTCGGCCCGCTGCTTTTCTCGGCCCGCCTGGTTGATCGCTGACTCTTCGCCCAGGGGTCCGATGTACATGGATCTGCGTGCCAACCTGACTCTTTGCCAGACATACGTCGACGATATGGCCGCGTTGGGCGAGAAGATCATCCTGAACGAGGATGAGCCTGCTACTGCGTCTACCGATATGGGTACGTTCTCCTACTCAGGCCCGAGTCTTGAGAGAATTTTTCTCAAACTCGAATTGCTCGTATCAAAGCGTAGTAGTGCTCCTTTCGTTCTTCAAGCTAATTCGGACTTGATTTCAGGCAACGTCTCGTACACAGTGCCGAGCTTCCATGGCGCCTTTGGTATCCCGGCTCCTAAGCATGTCGTTGGGCATCATCCGGGCTTCGCGGCCGCCGCTGGTACGGATGAAGCACATACCGCGGCCATCACGTGCGCCAAGGGAATGGCCATGTTGGGCTGGAGGGTTTTGACGGATGACGATATTGCGGAAGACGCGAGAAGAGATTTCGAGCGAGACGATTGAGGTTAGGATTAACCAATTGTATAGCATGCTGTTTTTCGCCACACACTGTTGTCTGTTCCTCAGCTACGCTGCGTCGCTATGCACCAAACACAGGTGACGTGACGTGCAAGGCCGGGTAAGAGTGAGAACCGCCTTTTGGTGAACGTCTGTTTTCTAGCTATCCCACTTTCGGTTAGCGCCGCTGGCGCTGCGCGTTCGCGACACCAAAAACCGCCCGCTCGTCGACTTCCTTTCCTCTCTCTACCCGACACCACCAGCGCAACCACCCCGCGGCTGGTGTCATGCTCCGCCCACCCCCCCCCACTCCTCTCTGTGGCTCAGCCGGCCCTCAATCGGCTTCTCTCGAGGCAGACTAACTTCTGCTTTCTGCGGAAGGCTACTTCATTGTAGTCCTACCCACAGGGTTTCTGTTCGACTACATCATCAAAAGATCATGATGATCATCATCATTCAACAAGGATCGCGAAGGTCATCATCGCTCAACAAGGGTCTCATTCAACAACGTGTCGTCATGAATACGCCCCTTGCTTGAACAACACCACCTTGTTAAACCTCCCTTTCTTCATGCGCCTATATAGACCTCATATAGCAGTAGTATTCAATAATCATCCAGCTTTCAGCTTCACTTCCTACACCCGGCTGTGATCACACCGACTGACAGTTTCCTACATGTACATGCATACCTTCGGCCGTCTCGGCCACCTCGACCCGGGTACTATCGCTCGACGGTGGTGCCTTTGTCGCCTCTATCCACCCAACAGCTCATGGAGGATGGCGTGTCCCTCTTCAACGCCCGCGCTCTCGAGAAATAGTTCAATAGGGCGGACGCGAATGCCGGTATCGGATAAAGCTGATAAGTACAAGACAAAGGACTACTTCGGGGAGACTGACCCGGAACGAATGTTTGATATGGACACGTAGAACTCTAAGATTCATACAACCCTCCAAAATTATCGCGAGGGCACTCCGTACCCATGGGATTGCGATTACTGGCATGCTTACCGTCTTCGGCAAGAGGCACTACTTCGAATCGTGGTTGAAAAGCCACAGGGCTAAAGTCGAGAGCACGGTTCGAGAGGCTACCACGCATTTAATTAAAGGTGTGGTTGTCAGGCGAAGTCCTAGCCTTCCTAAGAAAGATGCCCGGGTGGGGAAAGGAAGGACGCCGCTATGAACGTCATGTCCGAGAATGAATATCTCAAAAATATCGCGGCTGCACCCGTCGACGGCAAAGCAGTGGATAATGGATTCCGACACCAATGACGATGGTTCTAGAATCGACTACCACACCCCGCCTGGAACCCCAATTTGAGGCGCCCGAAAGGAGGCCGGAGCCGAAGACGACTGGCGAGCTAAGGTGAACAGAATCGCAATCCAGCCCACGGCCAACGCAACCCACGCCGCCGAATTGCTAGTTGTTATTTTATGCTTCTGAAACAGCTGATCTCCAGAGGTATTAGAAGAAGACATCCGGATGTAAATGCGAACATTTACACTGTTCGAGTGCATACAGATATGGTACTCTACTACTTACGTGGGATAGATGGAGGAGGAGACGATTTCTTTCTTCATCCGCTGTAAGGCTGTCTTTGGAAAAACAAAGCATCAACAAAATTCAGACACCCGTTGGGCTTTCACCACGTCAACCACTCGTTCTTTTGCTTCCGAGAACGCAGCGTTCGGCCGCACACAGATGACGATAGGCAATGACACCAATCTGCCGGCCGCTCAACGGCTGTATTACAAAACTCAATCGTCAAGACGGCGCTTCCGAAATGTTCTCTCTGCTTGCTTCGACGCCCCATGATGTGCTAACAAACCAGGCATCGGCCCGGTTGTGGGAATTAAGTCGACATACCTAAGATCATCTCTTCGTCAACGCAAAAACGCGCCGCAATATATCCAAGAGTCCTACTTCTTGTCGTCACAATTGGCCGGTTTGAGCTACCGCGAGGCTGTAGAAGACCAGTTGCTGCCACGGGAGGACCAAAGATGCGCGATTCGGGGCACACTCGGTCACGGCAAGGTGTCGTGTTCGGCATAATATGCTAAGGCGGGTTGGCATAGCTTTGTCAGCTCTGACACGGAGGTGCGATGCTGATGGCGGTGAGGACAGAAGGCCGCCGCATTATACCCAGCCCGATGCTTCCATCCGATCCTCTCTAACATCCTTTGCAGCAAATGCCTCGGGTAGGGCACTGGAGCCTCAGTGGATGAGGAACACTTCTTCGCGTAGTCTTGTAACGTCCGTCATCTCTTGTACGTGGATGTGGACCATCGCCCCCTTTCCGGGACCCGGGTGATGGTCTGGAGCGTGCGTTGCAACACGGGCCGTCACTCGGCCGAGTTCGGACTACACCCGCTTTACTCTTTAGAGGCCGCACGTAACTACATCGGACATGGTCCCCTGGCTCTCTACGTTCGAGGTTGTTTCTAGGGCCCTTGTTTGGGAAAGGTTCGCTTTCAAGGGTACAAAAGGTCGCCGGGGGGGTTGCGAAAGAGATGTGGAGAAGTCGAGTTGCGGTGACGGGGTATCTTGAGGTTGACGTAACCCTGTTGCTGGATCTCGGAGTATGCTCCGGGCAGGGGGGAAAAGGAGGTAGCATGCGGGAGACATCTGCCGTCACGTAGTTACAACTATGTCAACAGCTGAGGAATTTTTTTCGCGAGATGCTTTTCTGAGGTAGGCACTGGAGTAATAGAGCGTAACCTCTTGGATGCATGACAGAAACCAACCAGCCGAAGTCTACAGCGGCATCAGAAAGTCGCTTGAGCGTAGAGATCTCTGAGTACATACACTGCAAGCTTTCCAACCTTTGTATTCATCCTCGATGACCTTGTAGTTGTGCAAGTCCTACGGCCAAATATCTTTCTATTCCCGCGTTTTGTCCAAATACGACGAGGCAGCTGCCAACGTACATGCACACCGAAACATCTTGTCATGTCAACGGGTCTACTTTAAGAATAACTGCCTTTCCCTGTCGACCCTGATGTTCTTTGCGTCTGGCGCGCTGATGATTTGTTACACACTCTGGTACCTACTCGACGTCCGTGTTACCATCATGAAACATCAGGCATTCAACGTCCACAATGAGACCGCGCACCGGAGACCCACACAGAAAAACGGTATCCATGAAGGAGAAAAAAGCATACAGCCCCCCAACAACAGGAGGAGAGAGATAGAGAGAGAGAGAGAGAGCATTCCGGTTCCTTCTTCTTCCTCTGAACGCGCCTCGCATCCAACCTCCGCTAGGTCGATTCCTTCCAATAATCCCAAGCAGCGCCACACGTAGGTTACCCGATGCGGCGAAGCGGGCAGGCCGGTCGACCACGATCCCGGGAAGGCGAAGGCACGGCACGGCGGCGCGGGGCGCGCGCGATTGCCGCGACGGAAGGATCTGATTCGTCGGTGCTTCCTTCGGGGCGTGGCTCCCCCCCACCGTCAACCAAACATCACGCTGCTTTCCCCGGATTTCTCTGGCTCTCGTGTCGCCCGCCTCGTCCGGAATGCGCTTGCCCCCCGCCTCTTTCCTTCCTCTATTATTGTTGCTCGGCGCACTCGCAGCGGCGAATCGGAGAGATCCCAAACTTCCATATCTCACGGTAGACGGGGAAGACCGACGTCGCTGGCGAAATGGGAAGAAAGAAACCAGCGGCTTGACCCCCACACAGGGGGCGGGGGGGTCAGTCGGTTGGCGGTCAGATCGTTTGAGAAAAAAAGAAAAGAAAGGAAATCAAGGATGAAGGACTGGGAAACGAAACGAACTAACGCAATATGCAAGCGAGAAGGATTCCTCGCCAGGGAAGATTCCTCGTGGGCGGGAAGCATTCTGGCCGACCATTGCTAGTTGACCTCACCTAGCGCTAACCGGTAGTAGCACAACAACGGTCCCTAAATCAGAAAAAGAATACCATCTTTTTTATTTTGCTTTAACGCCCACCACTCACTGTCATGCCCTTGGAAGTGAGGCTGCGTTGGCGAGGCTTGCCGAGTGGCAATGAGGCCAACCATAGGTCCTTGATAAAAGGGTTCGATCGGTGGAGTTCGGTACAGTTAGTCGAGAGCGCTTAGTTTTTCCCTTTGTCTTTTTTTTTCCTTCTCCTTTCTTTTCATCCCCTGTTGCCAGTTCCTCGTCGATCTTTCTATTTTTTTCCCTCCCTAGCTAGCCCTAGTTGTCGATGTCTAAGGGGCGGCGACGACGTGTCGGTGTGCATCTCGGCACGATGCGGGGGACCACGATTGTGCCCCGCGTCGCGCGGCGGCGCATTGAAACGTAGCTAGTATTGGTCCTCTCCAATGCTCGAAACGGACGAAGCGGGTGTGGCGCTCCTGGTCTGCTTCAAGAAGTGGGAGACACGTCGACGAATTTTTTTTTTTCTTTCAGCAGTGCCACTCCGTCCAATACCAACCACATCCTTACCAAACGCCTCGACTGGAACTTCGATGGAGTCCCGGTAGTAACCTCACCAGCGAGCGCCCGCCCAAAAGATCGCGATCAAATCACGTACCGATCCGATGGAAGTCTCCGTCGCACACCTTCCGAGGAAGAAGAGGTGGGAGAATACTCTACAATTGTCATTACGTGAATTCTGGCTTTCCTTTATATATGTTTCCCTCCCGGCCACTGGGTATCTCAGGTATGCAAAGCTTATGTAAGTGGGTGCGGTTTTTTTTTTGTCGTGTGCGAGGTTCGAAAAAGGGAAACGGTAAAATAACTTCGCAGTGAAGGCAAAGATAAATCCGCGAGATGATGGTGATGGTGGCATATGAGAGAGATAGAGAGCCCAGTCCCGCGTACAAACTCCACCCCTGAGACAGAAAGGAAAGAAGAAGGGACTCTGGCTCTTTAAAACCCCGGCCAGCGAGAGAAACAACGATGGATGAAAAAGAAGCAGGGGAACAGATACAAGGAAAAGGAAAGGAATACCTCACACGGCGCCGCACCAGTCCGGACTTTTTGTTGCTCTTTCCATCTACCATCTTCAGTCCGTGGATTGGGTAGTCGGTACATAGACACAGCCGTAACGCCCCCGTAAGAATACATGTGTACTGCATCCAGTTCAGCCTTGCTCGCCCGTCTACAGAGAAAGCAAACGGGGGTTTGCCTACCACGAAAACAAACTTTGGAAACGCGCATGCCGCTCAGAGGAAATTTTTACGATTGCCGGGATGGTTCCTTTTTTTCCAAGCGCCCCGGGCTCAACGCAAGGTGCCCAGCGTCCGGCCGTTTCCTTGGATTTCGGTCGGCACGCCGCGCAGCGAGCGGGCAGGCGGCAGTTGCGAATTTGGCCGCGGGGTGGTGGGCTTGGAGCCGGGCTGCTGCGGGTGCTGGGGCTGTGTGGGGGAGGAGCCTTCCTGCAGCTGCTGGGGGTGCTGGGGGTGCTGGGGCTGGGGCTGGTACAGCGGCTGGGTGCTGTGCTGCGAGGACGAGACGTGCGACAGGCCGTGGGAGGAGAGAGTAGAGGAGGCGCGGGAGGCGGTCGAGACCATGCTGTCCGCACGGGTGGGCAGGTTGACTTCGGTGGTCCTGGAGGTGCTGCCGCTGTGGGTCGAGGCCGAGTCGTGCTGGTGCTGCTGCGGGAGGATGGGGTCCGGGTCGTTGCCCGAGGCGGCCATCAGCTCGGGGAAGAGGTTCTTGGTGGAGATGGCGTCGGCGAATTCCTTCCAGCGGATGATCTGGCTGCCGCTCTCGTCGAACTCCAGGCTCCAGACGTATTCGTTGGTGAAGGGCCCGGAGACGGTGCGGCCGGTGGCGATGATCCAGAGACACACCTTGCGGGCAGGCACGTCCTCGATGATCTCGTGGACCGACATGTGCATTTCCTTGAAGGTGTTGGCCAGCATGTTGAGCGAGCGCTGGCAGGCCGAGTTGTCCTGGGGGGCGGCGCCCAGCGACTTGGGATAGATCTCGCGCCAGCAGCTGCGGTCGCGCAGTTTGAAGACGGTGGTGGTGTCCAGGCGGTTGAAGGCGTCGACGACGGCCAGGGCGGTCTGGCGCTGGCGGCTCATGCCATTGTCCTGGTACTTGCTGGACGACTTGTCCTTGAAGAGGGCCACGAAGGGCATGATGGCGGCTGGTTCGCGGGCACTGCGGGCACTGCGGGCACGGCGGGCGTGGGGGCGGAGGCGGGGTCGGGAGCCTCAGGCGCTGGCAACCGTGTCGGGGCACGCGGCCGGCGTGGTTGTCTGTTTAGCTGCGGCGTGGTTGCTTGGAGCTTCGAGCGCGCTCTCTCTTGGGCGAGCGGCGTGGGCCAGGGCAGGGCAGAGGTATTAAACGCAGATTGGCAGCGCAGCCCTGGCGCGCGCGATCAGCGCAGGGGCGCTGCACTCCGAGTCGTGCCACTGGCCCGCGCATTGCTCAGCTACCCGCGCAGCCAGCCGTCGCCCAGCGGACCGCGCCCCGGCCGCCCGCGTTGCTCATGCCTGGCTGCCGCCTTTTTGCGGCGCAAGGGGCGCGCGGCAGCTGCAGGATTCGATCGCAGCGCGTGGAGAAGCGAGACGGGCGGGCTCGCGGGCTAGAGGTGCGGGCGGGGCGTCGCTAGCTGCCAGTCAGTGCTCGCCTGTTGATGGCGTCAGGCGACGAGCCACCGTCGCAAACCACTGCACCGACACTCGCCCAGCACACGCCCCTCCACGCCTGACGCAGTCCCCCACCGCCGCCGATTCCTGCCAATCGCACCCGCCCGCCAGAGCCCTGCTGAGCCCTGCTGAGCCCTGCTGCGCCCGGCACCCGCCGACGAGCCCTGACCGATCGTGAAGACGGCTGCGACTCGCCACCCCCTTCATCATCGACGCACCCCGTGCCCGCTGCAGCGTCGCCCGCCTGCGCCTAACCTGCCTGCCCCGAGTCACCCAGCTGAGATAGGAGAGTGGCGTTTCACAACGGCCGGGGGGGGGGGGGGGGGCGCCCGCCCACCGCCATACTTTCTCTCGCGGATGTCGACGCGCACCAGATTGTCAGATCGCCGCCCGCCATCTGCCATGGCATCGCGGCCGCTGACCAGTCGCGGCCGCAGGACGCCCAAGGGGCACGCCTGCATCCTCTGAGCGAGCGAGCTGTCTCGGATGGGCGTCGCGGATAACGACTAACCGGAAGGCTTGCGCCGCGGAAAACGAGCCTCACGCAAATCTTCGGCCGTTACGGCAGCGAGCGACACCCGCTGACTCGTCGCGGAGCCGGGCGACTCGTGCCGCTTGGGCATCATCTCCCTGGCGAGATTGCTGCATCGCCCGTGGGCATCAATCGGCCGCCGGCGGGCCGGAGGTCTCTCCGCGAAGACAGAAACAGCAACTTCAAGACCGGAGTGCAGCAGAATTGCGGTCCCGCAGCAGCAGCCTTTCTCCAAAAACGCCCTCTGTCCCTCCCTCTCCCATGTCTTCCCAAGGTGCTCCCAGCTCCACGCCTGATTCATCTTTTGCGAGATCGCCTGCGCGGCTCCAAGGCGCCCTTCTCTAAATGGACTCACTCTCCATTGATAGCTCGAGGTCCGTCCTGTATCCCTACGCCCCCATTGGCCGCCTCGTCTTGACTGATTTTCCAAGCAGCTCTTGGGAGCTCCGCAGCCCCTCGCTCCCCCTCGCCCAAGGCCCGCTACCGCCTCCACCGAGCAGCCCAACCCAGCGTGCTCGGGGGACGAAGCATTCCCAAGCTCTTGTCCGATACCAGCCGCCGCAGGTCTGTGGCGTCGTCGAGGTTCGCAAGAATGCCTGCTTCCTAGGTGTCACCGCCATCGTCCGCCGTGAGACTCGGGAGCTCGTCAACTCCAGCGAGTACGGTACCTACGAGTACCCCAGGGTCAGGTATGTCGTCGAGGACCTTAGCTGGCCCGTCTTCAAGCGCTTCGGCGGCCTGGACCTGATGGACCCGGATCTTCTCCATGTGCTGGAAGCCAAGTCTCGCTGGTGGACAAGGACGGATGACTGGTTCCTACTGGCCCAGCATGCATTTGGCAAGAGCCGCAGGCGCATCCTGTTCACCTTTGCTGATCCAAGTGTGCCGACTCTCCCGCGTGCGCTGCCTGCTCCCCCTCCGTTCGGACAAACACCCCAGGAAAGGGATGACCGTGTGTCGAGCCGCATTGAGGAACTTGCCTGACAACTACCGCTAGGCCTATCGGTTGGAGTCGTGGCATAGTCTTGGCCCTGGATATCTTGCCTGTGGGGGTAAAGCTTGTTCTTTACCCAGCCTGGAGCCGACCTCACTTCACTCGTCAGTGTGTCCGAGCGTAGATTTCCCCCCACCATCCGCCTACTAGATCGCAGATCCCCATGATGCAACCTTGCTGGAGACGGACCTTCCCGAGCCATCTAGCCACCAGATATTTTCCAAGCCGGAGGTCTAGATCCTTGGCACGGATGTGCGATGACTTACATACCCGTGGGAATCCGGAACATCCGGAGCGGATGGTGCTTGCCTGAACAAGCTAAAAGAATCACACCCGCTGTTTCGCCTAGAGTCTAGGCCCCATTCACAACACCACTTTCCGGAGCAAAAGTTTTCTACCTGGATTCAGTCCTCCTTGTACCATCCTGGATCATGGCCCAACCTCTACTGGATCCGTTCCCCTGACCGGAAGCCGTCCGCACTTCTTTCTGACTGCAGCCTTTATCCTCTGGACTTCCACTTCCCTGATCCACTACCGGGACTCCATCCGGATTCCAAACCACTGGCTGGACCTGGGGCATCTAGACCCCCGAAAACAATTCATTCCATGAGTTTCACGCTTTGCAAAAGTAATTTTGTTTCCCAACGCGCAACGGTCGAGCACACATACCCATCAACGGCAGACAACACAGTGTTAATCTTCACCCCAAAAAGCAAGTACCCCGCATCGCTGTTTGTTTCCGTTACTATTGCGTCGCCGTTTTATACATTTTTGCTTCGTTTGAATTGCCCCTGGATACGGGCTTATCGTTACATCACACTTTACTGGTTCACACACACTCCCTCAGCTTGTCTTTTGCTTTGTGTTCATTGTCCTCGTTTTTGTACATAGCATTCATATGGCGTTTTACTTGGAGCCCTCTTCTGCTAAGGAGATTGAGCGGACGGACGGATGGACGGATGGAATGGGTGGACTACTGGGATTATGGACTTGGGTGGCACCTTTGCTTTTTGATATTTTGTTTGTTTCCCCGATCGCATTTGCATTTGTTCTCTCAGCGCTACAGTCGCTTTGGGTGTTAAAAGCACATCTCTGCTCAAGATTCTGGTTTTCGTTGTTTTTTAAAGTCCGGCAACGGTCTTTTCCCTGCATTAAGAATGGTTTGATACTTGAAGCACTCCTTCGCATAAATCTTCTGTTTATTTTTTTTGTCTTTTTCTCATGGGTGGCTCATCTCCAGCGTTCCTTGGCAGCGTTCGAAAGAAACGTCGGTTTACATCCTCTCAAGCAAATTTTTAATCCGCAGCAAGCTATGCAGGTTGCGTTTACTTTTAACAATCAACTTGCGTACCTACCTATCCTCCGGACACCATTGCTTAACCATCCATGTCGCCTCGGAGACCGCATCGCAAAGTAAGACAAACCGGCAGGAGGGGAAAGGATACAAGGAGAGAGAGAAGAGTAAATGTCTATGACGCCACCCATCCTCCGCGGTGCATCTCGAATCTCTCCAGTGTGTCCACTTCAGGGGGGGGGTGTGGGTTGCTGACGTGACGTAAGGCACGAACGCCTTTCCGGCACTTGCCGTTTTCGGAAGGAAGTTTCAGTCGGGCGGTAATAATCAGGCTAAGGGATCTTAATGTCGGAGATGGTACCGATGCTGCAGGGGCGAATATGAGCGTGCGTCACACATGGCACGCTTGCGTTACTGGCTCGGCTGGCTCATTGGGTACTGCTAATTTCGACGACGACAACGACGACGACTGCGGCGATGATGACGAATGACGGCGATGACGGCGATGACGATGACGAGCGGTAGGTAGAGAGGTGAAAGATGGAGGTGATGTGGTTTCTTTTTCGTTTGTTCCGATTTACGCCTCATGTTTAGCCTCGATCTTCCTCGCTCGCCCTTCTCAACCCAGCGCCAATTGGCTTCCCTTCTCCGTTTCCCTTTCCCTTTCCCTTTCTCTCTTCTTCTATTCCCCGTTCACTTCCCTACGCCCCCACCCCCACCTCGTCCCCCTCCTCCCACCACCTCCCCCTCTCCTTAAACCTCACCCACATCGGCCCCAACGTCATCGTAAACGTATCCCTCATCCCCTCATCAAACACCCTCCCCACCACATCCTCCCCGCCGTCCTCCTCCTCCCCCTCATACCCCAAATCGAACCTCAACGCCACCCTCGCCACCACGCTCCTCATCTCCCACATGGCCAACGCCTTGCCCGCGCACGCAAACTGCCCGACCTGAAACGGGAAGAACGCACCCGCCCCACCGCCCGCGTTCCCACGCCTGATGAGCTCCGGCCGTCCGCCCAGCCGGCGATCCGCGATCCACCGCTCGGGCAGGAACTCGTCCGGCCGGACAAAGTAGCGCGGCGAGCGGTGCAGCACGTGCGGCGAGATGTACACGTCTGTGTTGCCCGGGATGTACAGGACGTTGTTGGGTGCGGCGCCGCGCCCTTTGCCTTTGCCTTTGGCTTTGCCTTCACCCGCGCCTACGCCTACGCCTACGCCTACGCCGCTCTCGTCGTCGTCGTCGTCGTCATCGTCATGCAGTATCACGCGCAAGCCCTCTGGCGGCGTGACGCGCGGATTGCCGCCGGGGGTCGCGGGCTTGAGGCGCATCGTCTCGTTGAGGACGGCGTCGAGCAGGGGCGCGGCGGCGAGGTTGGCGGCGAGGTGGGGGTAGGTGAAGGATTCGGGGCCGAGGGGGAAGAGCGGGGCGAGGGAGCGTTGGAGGAGGCGCCAGAGGGCGGGGCGGCGGGAGAGGTAGTAGAAGGTGTTGATGAGGGTGTTGGACGTGGTGTCGCTGTGTGAGAGGGTGCGCGCGTCTCGGGTCAGCTGGTGGGTTTGGTTGGTGGCTGTGTAGGGGAGGGGACGACGGAGGGGATGGGGGGACTGGGGACTGGGGACTGGGGACTTACGCTCCGGCTGTGACGATTAGGCGGCCGTCTTCGTTGAGGGCGGCTTGTGTGCGTGGCGCGTGCGGGCTGCGCGCTTCGTAGGCGCGGAGGATGTGCGTGCATATGTCCGATGGGGGTTGGGATTTGTCGTCGTTTGCGGCGAGGGCCTGTCTGGGTCAGTATGGCGAATGGCGTGCTGGGGGTGGTCTTGGGGGTTCCCTGTCTCTGCAATGGAAGGAGAGTCCCTTTTCATGAGGACAAAAGAAAATATGGGGGAGACTCACATCCCGCTTCTCCTTCACTAACCCGGCACAATACGACACAAATGGCCTCACTGGCCCATCCGCCCCCGGAATCTTAGACAAGGCATTCAAAGCCCACGGCACCGGCTTCAACACCCCGATAAATAGCTGCTGCGCCCTCAGCGCCCTGACCGCCCAATGCTCCACTCCGCCCCCACTCAACTGCCCAAAATCGCGTCCAAAACCCACCACCCCCATCAAATCGTACGCCAAGTACGCGACCCATTCGGTGACATTAACCGCTTCAGCTCCGGAGTCGCCGGCCGTGGCGATGGCGTCGAGGAAGAGGCCGATGGTGGATTGCATTTCGGGGTCGTACTTGGCGAGGGATTTGGCGTTGAGTGCCAATTCCCACGGCTTGCGGCGGAGACGGTGATCGGTGAGCGAGCGCGTCTCGATGAGGCCAAGGCGGTCGTCGTTCCAGTCGGAGAGGGCGTAGAGGGTGGATTTGCGGCAGGCGGCGATGGGGATGAGGGCTTCGGCGCGGGCGATGGAGAGCTCGCGGGGACCTGGGAATGGGGGTCAGTTTTGGTCGATTTGAAGCTGGTGATGGGGGATTGATTGGTGATCAGAATATGATTTGGGATTGTTGTTTCGGGCATTTTTGTTCCGTCTCTTCTTGCCTTATCTTTTCCATTGACATCTGCTTCGGCTTCCGAACATCACTTGACAGGGAAAAAGAGAGACATGGCTAAAGAATTGCATCAGCACACTCACCCGTCCTCACCACATCCCCATACTCCTCATGCATCCTCTCCAACTCTCTATGCCACTGCACCGACCTCGCCGACTTCCATACCGCATACAACTTAGTCAACCGCGCTGGCCACGGCCCCGGAAAGCGCCTCAAGCGATGGAAGAAACCGCGGTACACCAGAATCGAAGCCGCCAGGCCGAGCGAGAGCAGGGCAGATGCGTGGGCAAGCTCTGCAGTCGCGGAGAGGTAGGTGGTGGTGTCGAAGACGTGCACGTTGAGGCCAATGAAGAGCGCGGCGAGGCTGAGGAGCGCGCAGCCGATGTGCGGGAGGAACATGTCGATCTCGACCAGCTGGATGGCGGCGTGGACGGCGACGCCCGCGAGGACAGGGGCGAGCCAGGCGGGCATCGTGGTGGTGCTAGTGGTGGTGGCTGCGGGTGCAGATGTCAGAGGCACCCGCAGGACTCCCTTTGATGACGGTAGCTATGGAGGCACGGACGAGGGCGGGCGGGCGAGTTGGCAAGATGTGCATGGGCGGATGGCTCTACTTGTATGGAAAAGAGGAGCAATGTGCGGCACAGTCGTGTCCGACGGGAGAGTGGAGCGAGTGCCCCGCTCGCTCCACGCGTGATGATTTGCGGCTGGGATCCAGCCTGAGCCCGGTGACACCTTCTACTTGTGGGACGCGCATCCGATGAATCCAGCGGCGCGGGTCCTGCATTTGCATCTGATTAGCTATGATTGGCCCATGGCGTATTGCAAGACGCGAGAGCCACACTCGCCATTTGTCATGTCAGACAATATAAGGCCATTAGCCAGCACTGGAAACCAGTGCGGCGCTGTACTTTTTCCTAGTGCGACATGTTATGACAACTTGTTTGATGCTGCGATATCATGGTGCTCATGCTTGTTCTGGAGTATCTACACGAAAGAATGCCGTCTGTAGTGCCACCGATGCCATAGCTTTGCCCCCGCTCGATCGAAAAGAACTGGTGGAAACCGTTAAAGGGCTGGGGCGAGTGTTTGAGGAGGTGAACGAGTGTTGCAACGAGCTACCCGAGAGAAAGCGCTAAATACCCTTCTTGGTCATCGCGCCTTCCAACACCGTCTGAGCTTCCTTCTGGTGCACTTTGTCTTTGCTCTTTCGCGTCCGTCACAAATCGGAAGGTGCAGAAGCGGACTGACTGGCACGATAGTTTTCCATAGCTCTGTTCGCCTTGTACATTGTCCAGGGCGCTTCGACAAGCTCGACCATCCGAAGCCGTCCGTAAAACATGATATTGAAGCAGATAGTCTTGTCTTTCTAAGAGTAGATGGTCTGCATCAGTAGATGAAACCCGAGTGGGGCGAGGATCCAAATTTCTCGTACCTCGAGAACTGTGAGTATATCAATGAGCTTATCCGTGAAGGCTCGACCGTCATCTGATGCGTACGAAGCTCGAAAGTATTCGGTCTTGCGGGCCCGGATAAACCCATGTTGCGCACCGTCTTGTATTATGTCTGCCAACTGCCGGATCCTGGCGATGACACTCCGCTCGCTCCACATTTTAGGACCGGTGAATCCAGCTGTATGCACCCAGTCCCTGCGAGCATCCGAAATCTCCGGCGCCTCTGTACTCACAAACATGTTGTAGGCCGCCTTGACCCAATCTTCACGCGTGGCTGGGTCCGTGGTGAAATCATGACCGATCGCATCAGCTTTCACCTCTGAACGGCCATACATCTCCCTGAGAAGCGTCTTGATTTCTTGGTGGGTCATCCTCTTTTCATACCCGGCCAGGGTGCCAAAAAGACTGTATCTCGGGTGCAGTACGACCTCGGGGCTTACGGGTGTGAACGGATGTTGGGTTGCCTTCGGAGTTCTGTCAGCGTTAAAGTCAAGCAGTAGCCTGGCGGTGGCCACATACCAAAATCCATTCTGTGGGCGAATAGATGAGACTGAGGATGGCCGGCTTTACCCATTTGAATATAATCTCAACGCTATACTTATGCGCCTGCCAAGAGTCAATGCCTATCACCCAACTGCAAGTAAGGAATCTCACCCTTAAAACTTCGAGCAGTTCGGCCTTCCGTGCAGGCCAACTTAACACCTCTTGCGGCAGGAATCCGGGGGGGTGGTCTGCGTAGCGGAACCCATGTCTGTATCCATCGCAGATGAGGCGCTGTGGATCGTTAGCTAACATGCTGAACAACGAGACAACAAGCCACGTACTGCAACCCGGTAAGCCAACGCAACCACCATCTTTTGAGGTATAATCGGAAGCCTCGGGCTGGCGGGCTCGTCCATCTTGATGAACGTCATTCCCGCCCATTTTCGGGAAAGGTCGAGAGGCCGGTCACCGCTGATCATGGCATCGTATATCTCTCCAACGAGCGCTCCAAACTGACTCTCGATCAGTATGCCCGTATCAACGTCCCTGGTATTGTCGATGCGCATATGTATGTCGCGGCGAGCTTGCTTTGCCCAATCTGGGGCCATGGCCGTTTCATCGGGCCCCAGTTGTTCCCACCGTCTGTAGGTTGATAAACGTGGGGGAGGCGAATTTGCGGGGAGAGGGAGCTGGGGGTCAGAGTCAGAGTCCATCGCGCAAACAAGAGTAGAAGTCGGATGCTGGTGATGGATCAAGCGGGATTGATTTGGGTATTATCAATGCTGTGCTGCGAGATGATGGGCGTGAGATGAGAATGGTGACTGAATGCACGCAGTTGTTGATGTAGAGGATAGATATGCACACTCCAAGCGTTCCGAGTGGAAGCAACGCAGCAGCAATACAAGCAAGGCAGCCACGTTCTGTCCAGGCCAAAGGCGGCAACGAACTGGAGTGTCAGATGGACGCGTTGGGAATGCGCAGCTTCCCACCTCGAATGCCCGTCCCCAGCGCAACCGCCAGCACAGATCTCCCGCCACAGTCTCATCTTAAGCACGCTGACTGGCTGTCCACACTTACCCCATACTGCTGCGCGGCTTTCTCCAATATTGGAAGAATTCCTCCTCTGGCTGCAACCCCGGGGTTTACATAAGTTCGGCTGGGATGATTGGCATCATCCTCGAATACTGACAAACACCGGGAAATGATGGCGTGATGACTTTTGATCATTTTTTCTCCTTATATGTTGAAACCACCGTGCTCGGCGGCCTCCACAAAGCGCCAGAGCCCTGCTTCCCTGGCAGCCTTCTTCACGATTGATACCTCCTCATCCTTCACCGCCCGGTTGATATCCTTGTATCTCACCGTCTCGTTCGTTTCCTCATTTGCCCCCACACCCCCCGGCTCCACAACTCCTTCGCCCGACTCATCATCCTTCTTCTTCCTCCCCCCTCGCCTCGCCTTTCCGACATGTGCGCGCGGGAAATATTGCTCCATAACATGCACAAACAAATCCTTCGACACGTTCTCCGCCAACCACCTCATGATCTCCACGCCCTCATCCTCCTTCCCCGGCATGACCAAATGCCGCACAAGCACCCCCGACTTCGCAATGCCGTCCGCCGTAAAGCACAAGTCGCCCACCTGCTTGTGCATCGCCTTCACGCTCTCCATGGCCGCCTCCGTATACCCATCCGCCTTCAGCAGCCTCCTGCTCGTTTCCCCCCTCCAAACCTTGAAGTCGGGCAAATAGATGTCGACCAGCCCGTCCAACAACTCGATACTCTCCAGACTGTCAAACGCACTCGTATTATACACGATCGGAATGCTCAACCCCATCTCCCTCGCCGCAAGAATCGACAGCACCACCTGCGGCACCACATGCTCGGGCGTCACCAGGTTGACGTTGTGGCAGCCGCCCACCGTCTGCAGCTTGACGTACCACTCGGCCAGCTCCTCGGGGGTGACGTCGAAGCCGTTGCGCTGGTGCGCGATGTCGTGGTTCTGGCAGAAGACGCAGCGCAGATTGCACCCGCTGAAGAAGACGGACCCGCTCCCGTTGTGGCCCTGCAGGCACGGCTCCTCGCCGAAATGCGGCGCGATGGTGTTGACCTTGGCCGTCGTCGCCCCGATCAGGCACACGCCCGTCGTCTCGTAGCGGTTGACGCCGCACTGGCGCGGGCAGAGGTTGCAGTTTTGCAGGTGCTTGTAGGCGGCTGACCGCTTCTGGGCGGCGCGCCGCTCGTCGAGGAGGAGGTAGCGCGGGATGTAGTCGTCGAGGAGGAAGGGCGGCGCGAGGTGGAGGTGGCGCTGGAAAGGCGGCGGGAGGCGGCGGCGGGAGGGGGTGGGGCGGAGCGGAGCGGAGAGGGGTCGACGCGGGGTTGGCGGCGGTGGAGGGGGAGTCGTCGTCGTCGTCGTCGTCGTCGTCATGCAGTGGCGGCGGTGGTGATTGTGGAGGGCGGGCGGCGTGGCTGCGGCTATGGCTGCCGCAGTCGTGGAAATGGCGGGCTTCAGCCGTAGGTGCCACCGCGGGCGGGCGAGAGGTTTCGCGCAGAGCATGATAAACGATCAGGCATGCTGTGGTGGATGGGTGGATGGTTCGTGGCGGAAAGATTATGCGGGAGGGTTGTGGTTGATGGGCGCGGGCGAGCGGACCATGACGTCGATTGCCAGCAGCGCCAGCCTATCACAGCACAACGGATGTCACCCGGCCATGGCCACTACAGCAACACAGGCTCAAACACTTCGCCTCTACATCGTTTGCCAAACTTCGGCGAGGGTGCTCTGCGATGCAAAGGTCCCTCGCCCCCACTCGGCCTACGAGAATCCGACCTCACCTCCGTTCGATCCTTCCTTTGCGGCATGCCCCGCTGTAGAGTGCTCTTCGGCGACTCCGTCTGCCGAACTCTCGTGTTGAAAGGAGAGAGCCGCTGGAGCGGTACCATGGCTGAAGGCTCGCCGCCCGAAATGGTCTGGGTAAGCCACAACAAAGCTGTGGCGGTTGCGGCTACTACCGAGCGCGCTCCCCCTTGTGGAAAGCGTGCGGACTCATCAAGTGCCGGATGGATGCTGGCAGTGCTGGCAGTCGACCGATCTGGCGGTAAATGGGCCCAGAGGCACCTCGGCCCATCTGTGGCTGCATCTAGCGCATCGTGCCCTACCTGAATAGGTTAGCGCCGAAGCCCACGTGGTGCCATCTGGCTCAACATAGCGTCTTTATACAGCCACAGCCGGCATCTGCCACCGTTCCAGGCTCCTTACTAACAAAAGCTGTGCTGCGCCTGACTGGCTGCTTCTACGCCACTTTCTCCTGTCGCCAACGGAGTCGCTTCGAGCACGAATCCCCGACCATTCTCCTGCATAGTCCATGGATTTGTCTTGATGTTTGGGAGATATCGCCATGCTCACGGGCGATTGCACTGTCTTCAAAGCCGAGCAGCGGGAGCGGTGATTAATTTCCGAGGCCCACCTGTGGCTGGAGTCTTCTCTCAGCTGTAGACGCCTCAGCCCGTGCTCTCTGCCTGATTTTGACCGCCTGCCCGCTTCAGGCGGCTCTGGTGGTCCAGAGGCAGCCTCGCCTCGGCCCGGACCCTTCAGCTTTCGTATCTGAACCTCTAGCCCTCCACATTCCCACTATCCGAAGCTTGGCAGGAAGCTTGGCACAAACTTTGAACCCCTCTGGCATGGACAGTGCTTCCTCCACCATGCAGTTCGGTGGTGTTGACCATTTGTTTAAGAAGGGGCGCCATTGTCTCTGTTTCCTGCACCATCAGTCCTTCGGAGCTCATCGGCCACTACCACCATAAGCCACTCGTTCGGCGCCCGCTTGTCACTTGCAATGCATTCCGCCGTCTTGCTCCCCCTCCTTGCGGGGTTGGCTGCTGCCAAACCAATCGCAGCCACCACCGAGGCCGCCTCCAACCCGACCCCGGATGCTCTGCCTGTCGATTTCCTTGCCAATGTCGCCATCCCGACCTACTCAACCATCGATGGCGTTTCTTCTCAGGACGTGCCTTACGCCACTCCTACCGCCCTGGCCGCTGCCTCGGCCGATCAGGCCGAGACTCCCTTCAGCGTCTTCCCGGCCGCTACCAGTGTCGCCATCAACGCCGCTGGTGAAGATGGAGACGCCGCTTCTGCGTCTCCCACTGCCACCGCAGCCAAGCGTCGTCACTTGGCCGACATCCAGAGGCGTTCCGCCTGCGACACCCAGGCCACCATTGAGAGCCAGTACACCATCGACGTGAGCAGCGCCAGCGCCTTCCGCGCCGACACTGTCATGGCCGGTGTGGCCAAGGCTGCCGTGGTCCCCTCCGGTTACCAGAGCAACTTTGTGAACCTGGCTGGAGCGAGCAGCGCCTACGCTTATCTGGGCTATACCGTCGTCGACACCGGCTACGATGTCCAGGCCTGCGCTGACCAGTGCGACGCCAAGGAGGGCTGTCTGTCTTTCAACATTTACTTCGAGAGAGACCCGACGATTGAGCCGGGCAATGGCTGCACCAACCCTACTGCCTTCGCCAACGTCAAGTGCTCGTTCTGGGGCAGTGCTCTGGACGACCGCACTGCCACCAACACTGGCCAGTGGCGTGCCGATTTCGAGGTCGCCATTGCTGGCTCCAACGGATACACGTCCAACAGAGTCGGTAAGACGATTGACGGCTGGTCGGCCCCCCTCAACCTTGGCAATGCCGCTATGAACGCTCCCCTTTGGGATGCTGCCGACACCTGGACCTACATGGGCTACAAGCTCTTCCAGGATGGTCCCTTCGACGTCAGCCTTTGCTCGGCTGCTTGCGAGGCCCAGACTGCGTACAATGTCGCCCACCCCCCTTCTTCGGGCTACACCCCTCTGTGCGCCGGCTTTGGAACCTACCAGCTCACTGTGACTGACCGCAACACCGGCATGTCCAACGTCGTCGGCCAGATGTGCACCATGTACACGTCCGCCTGGGGCGCCGAGTACGCCACTAACACGGTTGCGTGGAACGATGCCATCATGACCAAGTACACGTACAGCCTCAGCTTCTTCTACTCCAACCCCGAGCTTCAGCCCGTCACTGGCGCCAACCTTGATGCTCTCAGCGGCGAAGGCGCCTTCTGCACTTCGTACAACAGCTATGTTGCGCCGGAGACCACCACGACCTCCACCATCACCCCCGTGAGGACCATCACTTCGATCGCCTCCTTCACCGCGACGGTCACTTCCACCAGCACTGTGTCCGTCGCTACCGGCGGTATCGACAGGAGAGACGATAGCGACAACTCCACCGACACCGGCATCGTCGTCGAGTATATCACCGCTTCCGCCGACCTGATCCCCGCTCTGCCCATGAACATCCTCACCGCAGCCAACGCCTCCACCACTGCCGTCGCCACCACTCTCGCCAAGCGTGTCGCGGCCGGCGCCACCCCTGCCGCAGTCAGTGGCTGGTCCCCCCTTAAGATCTCGGCCGCCTGCTCGCGCGTCGCCACCGGCACCATCACCCGCACGACCAGCACCACCCTTCCGACCTCGACCGCCGTGTCTTCCACCTCGACCACCACGACCCAGACGGTCAGGACGACGACGACCGTCTACGTCGCCGCCCCGACCGAGTACCTCATCGCGTCCGACAGCACCTACCAGCAAGCGCGCCTGACGCTGCCCTTCGCCGTGTCGGGTATGAACGGGGGGATGTCGAACCGCGAGGTCTCGCTCGACAAGGGCGGCTGGATGTGCTTCGAGAACCCCTACGACAGCAACGGCAACTGGGACTACCTGCGTCTGTACTGGCAGGGGTTCTCGGCCGTCGACATTGTCATCAACAGCGCCAAGGGGCACTACATCAAGGCGACGATCGGAAACGCGCAGAACGTCGGGCAGCGCAGCATCACGTTCCGCTGGAGGGTTGGCACGACGCAGAACGCGGATGCCATTTACGACTTTACCATCACCGTGTACGAGAACACCCCTGGCACCATCGAGATCCGCTACAACGAGATGTGGGCAAATGGATTGAACGGTTATGTGCCGTATATCTCGAACTACATCGCCAGCGTCGGTCAGATCGTCAACGACTACAACTCGCAGGGTAGAGGCAGGTTTTTGACGTACAGCCCGTCCAGCCTGTCTCGCGGTATGATGGTTACCTCCAGCTTCTCGCAGAACAGGGCTTGGTTGGGAAGCTTCAACCCTTAAGTGTCAGACCATGACCTACTCAGGGACTGGCGGATACAGAGGGAGTCACGAATTTCTTACAATATTCCCAAGAAAAATCATAGTACTTAGATAGTGTTTAATGAATCATGTCACAACAACTTTTCTCCGGCATCTCCTTCGTGCGACGCTCTGCCCTGTTTGCACGAACGATCCATCAGCACCATCTTCACCCCCGGAAATTGATACTATATAGAACCATCCTCTCCCAAACTCTAAAACTAGGGTACACACGTTCGCCCACAGTAGTGCCTCGATCCTGATTAGACAAAGCTTGGGCAGGACAGGCGGGACGGCGGCCCCACCGAATTTGACAAGACATCCGTCCCGCCGTATGTACCAGCAGCACCTTTAGGCGCACAAGAGCCGTCTTGAACCATCAATCCCGGTACAAGAACCCATCTGGGCAACGAGCTGCACGCCGGACGTTCCAGACACAGGATTCCACCAAAATATCTCGCGGAAGCAGTCGTTCCGTGGCGCCGCACTGGCGCATGAAGAGGCCAACAACCCCCCGGAACGTTGTTTTTCTGAAACGGCCCTTGCGGCGGAAAGGAAAATGACGTGGTTGACATGGGATGCCGCTACCGGCTTGGCGCAGGGATGCGTGCTCCACCATACCAAAAACGAGGGAATCCGCTGGAAAACACTGTTGTACTGATCCCGGAGCTGTGCGTCTGGCATGGAGTCGCTGGATCGTACGTCGCACTTGTGGTGGTACAGTTTGACTACCTTCCTAGTACGACTAGCGTCCGTAGAGCTAAAATTTAGGCTTGATGAGGGGTTCAGGGCGACGGGGGCCTTTAAACACTGGTACGTGCGAGAGGCTCCTCGCTCCCGGGTCCGACAGCAACGACCACATTGCTGCTCATTTCATGATTCGATTCACAACGTCTACCTCAGACCTCATCCGCAGCATCCGAGCAATGAAAACCGTCGACGGCATTCCTAGCCGCATATCGTTGTACCTAGTCCAGCTAACCCGGGCAAAACGAAAAGAAAAAAGAAAAAAACCATCCAGAACAGGAACATCTCCGCATTCTCACACCCAACACGCCCCTCCGTACCTCAGCGCGCGCCTGCAGCATCACTGCAGTCGTCCCAAACCTCATCCGCCGCCATCCGTCTTTACATCCTCCCAACCCAACCCAACCCAACCAGCCTCCCCCCTCCAATCTTAGACGGCCACCTCCACCCCAACAACACCACTAAACCTCCCTCCTACCGCTCCTCTCCGCCCACTCCCCCCTCCCAACTCATCCACCCATACATCCACCCACTTCCCCCCGTCCCCTCCCTTCTAGCACCCCCAGCACCCCTAGCCCCTCTAGCACCCCCAATCTCCCCACCCCCACCTCCCCATCCCATCCCGCCCCGCCCTCGCTCTTCCCCTCTCCCCCGGCACCAAATTGCACAAACGCCGCCGCCGCCTTTGTTAATGCATCGCATTCGCCGGTACTTACTGGCGGGGTCGGGTGATGGAGAGAGGAGGCCGAGGGGGAGGAGGGGGAGGGGGGAGGGGTGGGTGTTTGTGATGGTGGGGTGGACGGTGCTGGTCGAGGTGGCAGGTGAAGTGGTAGGTGAGCAGGAGGAGGAAGACGGCGGTGGTGGCGAGGGAGCGGAGGGTCGGGGTGGCGGGGATTCGAGGTCGGTGTGGTTGGTGGTTGTCGAGGAGGGAGGCAGTACTGGGGCAGGCTTTGGAGCTGTCGTGGAGAAAAGATGGGGAAGGTCCACCGGCCGGCGATGACGTAGGTGAAGGTGTTTGGGGGATCTCAAGGCTGAGTTGGTGACGCAGGGACGGTCGGAATAAGCAGGCTGTGGGCGGAGTCATGGGGAAAGTCAAATTATTATGCTTAGAGCTTAGGTAGCTTGCGTAGACAACACTCGGCGTTGCTACCATCCGATCGAGAAAGCTGAAAGCACATCAGCAGATCCGGCGTGCCGAGAAACGCATTAAACAAGTCGGATGGAGGCCGGGCGTGATGAAACGCGATGGCCGGTGATGGAGCCGCTTTGGACGGAAGCGATGAAGAATCCGGGCGGTGGTGAGGCGTTTCAGGTTTCACGATTCGCGCCTGCCCCCCTGGCCCGCGCCGCCAAGCCGGGCCCTAATTGCTTGGACCGCCCTCTCAGCCGCGCGCATAGCATCCTCTGCTCGACCGACTGCCCGCTGGCGGGAGAAACAGCGTTTGGTTTCGGCCGCGTTGTTGATGTTTTGCTCGTCCTCGCCGCCGGCGTCGATGCGCCCAGCTGCCTGACAACTTCACCCCGTCGCCCTACCCGGCGGCCGTGGGCCCTTCTGCTCCACCACGGCGACCCCGAGGCCACCACCCCTGCCCGCCGCCGATCAAGCATGCAGCCACTCTCGCAAGGCTGCTCGGCTGGGCCGCCGAACGAGCTTCATCACTGCTCCGCCCAACCACAGCCTCGGTGAAGCCGCGCTTGGCCTGTGGCAAGCGCCGAACCCAGCCCCTCCGCTCGCCAAGCTTTACCGATTCGCCCGAGACGTTTCCCACGCACTGTCTCCTTCCTCTGACAGCAATCCCGCTGTCCATCCTCATCGTGTCCGAGCTGTTTCATCCGGCATGCACCTTGTCCACGGCCCCTCCTCCGCCACTGCCGAGCTGCCTGGCGCCAGCTCATCCCCAGTGTCTCGAATCGTCAGTGGCTCAGCCCTCCGCCGTCGACCCGAACTGGACGAAACGGATCGCTGTTTCTCCCCCCTGGGCCACTCACGCCTTGGCACGCGGGTACGGCCACTCCCAGTTGCGCATAGGACGTTGCCTTTAGATTAACGTCCCGGCCCTTACCAACATCCCCGTGATTAACATGCACTGTCCCCGCATTTTCTGCCCAGCCGACAGCCTGGCCCACCCGTCTGGTCTGACGGTGGAAATTGTTCTCGACCCGAGTCTGTGTATAAAGCATTCTGCCTATCCCGATCTACCTACCCTCTCCACCACCATCACCACCACTTTCCTTCTCACCATCCTTGCGCAGGTCGCCGACTCCCTTCGGACACTCTTCCATTCGCTTACCCTATCAGCTTGACGCTGCTCTTGCCTCTCCCTTCTTCACACACACACTCTCTTCCCCACATTCCTTCCTTACTCCCTCCCTTCTTTTCACCATGAAGGTTTCTACCGTTGCTGTGCAGGCCGCTCTGGCCTCCGTGGCCGCTTCGGCCGCTGTCGAGCTGAACAAGCGCGTCACTCCCCTGGACGTCAAGCTCGAGACGCTTAACAACAGTGAAATCAAGGCCGTCGTCACCAACAACGGCAACACGGACTTGAACCTTTTCATCCGCAACTCCTTCCTCGACAGTGCCTCGATCGAGAAGGCCGAGGTCTACAGCGCCGATTCCCGCGTTGCCTTCGACGGCATCCGCCAGCGCATCGGCACCAACAACCTCACCAGCGACTCTTTCCAGAACATCCCCGCCGGCGCCAGCATCGAGGCCACCTGGGACACGGCCGAGATGCACGACCTGTCCGCCGGCGGCGACTTCGACATCCTGACCCAGGGCGCCATCCCGTACGCCAACCCCAACTCGACCACCATCGTCGGCGCCGTGCCCTACCTCAGCAACCGCGTGCGCGCCAACGTGCTCAGCTCGCACGCCATCAAGGTCCGCCGCAACTTCCTGGGCAAGATCGAGAAGCTCAAGAAGCGCTCCACCCTGACCGACTGCTCGGGCGACAAGAAGACGAGCACCGAGACGGCCATGACCAACTGCCAGAAGCTCGCCTCGGCCGCCGCCGAGGCCGCCACGTCCGACAACGCCGCCTTCACCGACATCTTCAAGCAGGCCGACGCCGCCGAGGTCAAGAAGGTGCTCACCGCCGTCGCCGAGGAATGCGGCAGCACCACCTCGGGCAGCGCCACCTACTACTGCGACCAGAACTCGGTGCCCGACGAGTACGCCGTGGGCGGCTGCCAGTCGCAGGTGCTGGCCTACACGATGCCGTCCGTCTCGCTCGTCGTCAACTGCGACCTGTACTACAGCGCCCTGCCCGACCTCACCACCACCTGCTACGACCAGGACCAGGCCACCACCACCCTGCACGAGTTCACCCACCTGTCCGAGATCAAGGGCACCGACGACCTCGGCTACGGCTACAGCGCCGCCACCCAGCTCACCGGCGCCCAGGCCCTCAACAACGCCGACAGCTACGCCCTCTTCGCCAACGCCGTCGCAAACAGCTGCAGCGGCTCGAGCTCGTCCTCGTCCTCGTCGTCCTCGTCGGACAGCAGCACCGGCACCGGCACCTCCACCGGCTCCGGCACCGCCACCACCCCTGAGACGTCTGGCTCCGGCTCCGGCTCCTCTTCCGGCACCGGCACCGGCACCGGCACCGAGACGGGCTCTGGCATCGGCGGCCTCTTCACCCCCACCGTCGGCGGCGGTTCGTCGTCCGGCTCCGGCACCGAGACGGGCTCCGGCATCGGTGGCATCTTCACGCCGATCGCTGGCGGCTCCTCGACCGGCACGGAGACCGGCTCCGGGTTCGGCGGCATCTTCACCCCGATCGCTGGCGGTTCGTCGCCTTTCGGTGGCGAGTCGTCCGGGACGGAGACTGGCTCGGGCATCGGCGCCATCTTCACCCCGCCTGTCATGGGCGGCGCGGGCTCGGGCTCGGGCTCGAGCTCGAGCAGCGAGGAAGACTCGTCGTCGTCGAGCGGTTTCGGTAGCTTTTTCTCGTGGCCGCCGAGCTGGTTGTCGGGGAGCAGCCGTCGTGCCGTTAGGGGCGCGTAAAGGGTGTTAGTGAGTGAAGTGAGTGAGTGATACTTTGGCCTTGTGGTCGAAGGGCGCGGGCTGTGTCGTGTATAGGGGCGGGTTTTGGTTCTTCTGTGGTGATTACTTTTTTTTTGGTCTTGGATCTTTCTGTTTGTATATATAAATATTTTGGGTTTCGATACCCTATCTAGACGAGAAGGTGGTGGACGGGGAGGAAGTGGGCCTCTTGCGTGGAGGTTCGCTTTCGTCCGTTCTGTTGGAAAAATCTTCACGATGACGATGTGGACGTTTGATCCGCGAAAAATCTCTTGGACCCTTTTTGCATTGAAGTGTGTTGAGTGAAGTGAATGGCTGTGTTATGGGAGTATTGGGGCCGCTTTAATATCGAGAGCGACTTCAAGTATGCTTGTCGATTGTAGGTGAACCAGTGAACGGTTGACAAGTGATGCTCTAAGCAGGGTAAGAGTGACAGTGGATCTCTGATGAATAGAGTAAGATCGAGGCTGTTTTTCTTTCTTTTAGTCGGTACACAGATAACAATTCTTGAAATAGAGTGTTTCGCCACAATGTCGGAACCAACATGAGTTCTAAGTAGTGGAAAAGAGGTCCAATTCAGCCTTTAAAACTTGAAACAAATAAACGAAGCCACTTCAAGAGGTTTCGAAGTGTACAGTCAAAAGCCCGTGTTCTTACTCGGGGAATGAGAGCACTTCCGAATCTTACCATGAATAAACTCCCCGCAACAGTTGAAGAGTTGCACTTCGCAGAAGGTTAAGAAGTGCGATGTCGAGCCGGATGTATCATACCAGGACCAAATGCAGGCTTGGCGCACATTCCGGAGTTACAAGGGCCGCGACCAAGTCCTGCATTCCGTTGAAAGAACAGGAATTGGCCTAAATTTAAGCCAAAAAGCGAAAAGGCCTCTTGCCCATCAGACCGAAATTTCCAGTTTCCCTTTTTTTCTTCTCCCCTCATCTCCAGCATCGACCCAGCACCACAGTAACAATCCATCCGACACCGAAACCATCTCCTCTCAGGTGCGGTGCGCCGCGCCACCATCAGGGCAATCAGCCAGGAGGGGGACGAACACCAGCCCAGGCCCCTCACTTCGCTCCGCTCCGCCCCGCCCCGCCAATATGGCCCCCTCTCGCGAACCCTCCCACCAAGCCTCAAAACGCAACACCACCCCCAGCTACACCTGCGGCGTCCTGCAAATCGACTGCGGCGGCGGCTACTGCTGCCCCCTCGGCCAAGTGTGCTTCGCCTCCACCTCCTCCGCCTCCACCTCCTCCTCCACAACATGGTGCCGCCTCGCCCCCGGCATCCCCGGCACCGACCAGCCCGCCCTCCTTGCCCCCGGCGCCGTCGACGTCGCGGCGTCGCACTCCACAGCTACTACCACCACGACCACCACCACCTCGTCCTCGTCCTCCCCGCCCCCCATAACCACGCCCCCAACCCCAACACAACAACCATTCTCCCCCCCTCCCAGCACCAGCGCCGGCAGCGGCTACCCCTCCCCCCCAGTCGACCCCTCCTCCCGCGCGTCCCCCCGCCCCATCGCCGGCACCGGCGTCGCGGGCATCGTCATCGGCGTCGTGCTGCTCGGCGCGCTGCTCGGCGGCTCCGCGTGGTCGCTGTGGCGGCGGAGGCGGCGGGAGAAGGAGAGGGCGAGGGAGGATGCGTTACTGGCGGGGGGTTTGGATGGCGGGGGGGATGAGGGTGGGGTGAAAGGGTTTTTGAAGGGAGGAGGAGGAGGAGTGGTGGTGGCGGAGAGGGAGCGGGAGCGGCGGGGGGTGGGGATGGGGATGGAGGAGTGTGAGGGCCGGGGCTTGGTGGATATGTATGCGGGGTGTAATGTGGGGAAGGTGCCGGGAGAGGTGCCGGGGAGGGTGGAAGTGGTGGGGGATGGACCGCTGCTGCCGTCGCCGACGACGACGTGTGTGGTTTCGAGGAAGCCGCTGGCGAGCGCGAGTCGGAGAGGGAGGGGGCGCGAGCGAGGGCCGGTGTATGAGATGGATGGGACGAGTCCGTTGGCTAGGACGGCGGCGAGAGGGTTGACAGGGTGAGTGGCGGGTTGGCGGGTTGGATTGTTCGCGTCGGAGAAAAGGGCATCGGGTCAGGAGTGGTTCCTTGAAGTAGATCCCCCGTCTTGACGGGATTGTTGGGGGTGGTTTTAAGGTTGGGAGCCTCTACATCGGGCCCGAAAGGCGGTGACAACCAAAATAAGAAGATGGACGGGTCTCGTGGCGGATGTGATGGATGCCACAACGACTTTGCAACGTAGGAAAAGCGATGGCATGAACAAAGGAAATTCAAGTCTGAACGGGCCAAATAAATCCCAAGTACAACAGCGACGGCTTGCGTTTCTGTGTGAAGGTCGCCGGTTTTCAGTCCCTGGATACCAAGAACTCAAAAACATGTCCCATTGGCTCCGGCGGAAGTGTTACCGGCGGGAATGAAGTGGGCGTTAGCTGTCATGTCCAAACCGGCGGGTAGCCGAGCCATAAGCCCTGCACAGCAAATGTCAAAGATGTTCCCTGGTCCTGGAGCTACTTAGGATTCCCCAAACGATGCAATGTTCAGTCGTGAGACAGAAGTCGCAAGGGTAGCTATGACGTATTGAGACAAGCGTGCGGGTGATCGGCGGGCAGGGGTGCCTCAGGAGCTCCGCGATTCTGTGCGCGCCCACGCTCTCACCGTGCACCTCCGCGTCAACACCTCACTTTCCCACTCCTCCAGCGACGACGGCTGCAACGTCAAGATGAAGGTCTCAATCACCGCCGGCCTCGGTCTCTTCGCTGCCACCGTGCTTGCCCATGGCGACCATGGCCCAGAGGTTCCCGCCGACGCCGACTGGGCCACCCGCCACATGGCTGGTAAGTCTATTTGCGCCCTACGTTCCATTCGCCGGCAATTGCGAGTCCCTGGAGCCGTCTGTCAGTGTCAGATCCGTTGGCACGTCAATGGTTGCTGCGCGCCGCCAGTCCGCTAGCAATTCAGCTTTATCAACTCCTTATCTCTGTTCTTTGCGATACATCGCGTCGCGAGCAGCTTGCTGACCGCTATTGTCACAGAGGAGCACCACATTGGTTCCTTCGACGCCGGTACTTTTTTCGCCTTGCACGACTACGACAGCACTGGCAACTGGTCACCCGACGATGTCCGCAAGACCTATGGCCTACTCGACGAGAGCGCCGCCTCCATTCCGCAATCGAAAAAGGACGAGGTCGTGAAGATCGTGTTCCAGCTGTTCGACAAGGACGACAACGGCGAAATCAGTAAGGAGGAATTCATTGAGTCGACCAACAATGGCGTGAAGCTGCCCGATTTTGGCACCGGCCCGGGCCACCACGGCGATGACGAATATGAATATGAGTAAGCAGTCCATGCTGTGGCGTTGAAGGACGACAACTGACGAGCGCCGTAGGATCCACCACTTCGAAAAGTACCACGGCGGAGATGATGTCAAAGAAGAGGATCTCATCCACCCAGAAGACGTAAGAATCACCGAGCTCCCGACTGCTGTCCAACCCGCTGATGACCTTTCAGATTGAGCATTTCGCGAAACATGACCGCTTGGATGCGGAACAAGACAGACTGGAGGCACAAGAGAAGCTCACCATTGTCGAGGCAAATATTCCCAACAAATTTCGTCGGAACAATTAGATACTACTGATGTGGAATTATTAATAGTCTTTGAAGCACTACTTTCACTCTGAATGGCGGCGATATGGTGCAGTTGACAAGGCTAGATGGCGCGTAAGCCCGACGATATTTATCGGCATCTCAGCAGCTGCCTGGCTGTGTTGCATCTTTGGTGGCAGCAGATTGCGATGGCCTTATTTTGAGAGGTGTTCTCTTTACGATGCCATGGTGTCCTTCTAGGCTCAGGACCATATGCACACAGCGAGACAGGCCGGGCCTTCACATAGGCAGCCTACAAGGGCCCTACCCACTCTGGGCTACTGACTAGCCCCGCCATTCCTTCCCGATATGAAGCACCCCAATTCTCATGCTCGGGACAGGAGTGCGGGCCTTGGCTCGTGGATGACTGTCGGGCTTGCTGGGAACAGCATTGGCTCGCGCAGTATCATGCGCTTAGGCCGGATCCGCATGCTGAGGAACCGAATGCAAACTCCTGGATCCATTTATGTGCCTCCTTCGCCGGTGAACTGCACTTGGGAATTGATCGGTCTTGGCGGACGCGGCTACCCGGTAAGCTGCATTGGTGACCGCATCGGTACCGAAGCCGTGTCCGACGTCGAGATCCGGCACGTTCCGGAGCGCCATGGTCGAATTCGATCGCAGATCTAGCAAAAAGAAGGCACTTGGCGCGTTGGGGCTGGACTCAAGACGCTGGTAGTGGCCTGATCAAGACATCGCATCCATGTCGGCGGACAGCCTTAGCAGGTCCTCGTGATCCAGGCCAGGCACAAAACGCCGCAGTCGAACCAACGGTTACGGGACATGGACCAATCGCAGGGCTCGGCAACTGCAAACACGACGCTCCCGGCGCTGTCTGAAAAATGCGATCCGTTATCACTGACATGGCGGCTGCGCAATGCCCAGAGAAAGCATCCCTGCAGACAGGCCTCGTCTGACGTCATTCCATGCGCGGCTGCTACTCTGTGTTGCTAAAGAAACTGGGATCTACTGCTCGCCCCACCTCCACGATGATTTACGTGTATTTTCCGCGTGGCTGACCGAGCCGGAGTGGAGCTTAGTCTGCTACTGCCTGCCGTTATTTCATCGCATTCTTCAAAAGGTGCCATGGCGACTTCCATCTCTCGCAGTCCGCTTTCCACTCCCGCCTCACAGCTTTCACTCACAGCCTGACACCCGCACCCCCGGCTGCATCTCCTGCCAACCAATCGAAACCGACTGCGTCTGCCCGCATTGCACACCACGGCAATTATTTCGACGATCTGCCAACGTCAGCGCCCACGCATCACATACCGGTCGCGCAATTGCATTTGAGAGCTTCGCTACTCCCCATCGCTCTTGCCAACCCCAACCCATCAGCCGCCCGCTGCGCCGAGGAACAGCCCAAGACTTCGTTGCGAGCAACGACCGAGTGCCACTACAATGAGTGCAGGCGTACGTTCATCTACCCTTCGATTGTCAGCACCGCTGCGCTGTTGCTGCCAGCCTTGTCCTTACCTTTTGCCGCCACAATGACCCCGCTCTCAACCTATACTATCGGTTCTTACTCCGAACCTGAGTCTACCTTGGTTGGGCGCTCAGAGAACCGTCGAATCCGCGCACAACCACGTCCAATTATGCTAACGGATTTCGCGCCATGTAGGAAGACATTATCCTTTACATTGCCGCCATATTCTTGCCGCCTCTCGTCGTTTTGGCGAAGACGGGCTGTGGTGGAAACTTTTGCCTCAATGTCCTATTGACTCTGCTGGGATGGATTCCCGGTGTCATTCGTAAGTCTCGCCACCCGTGCGATAGCCTTGCTCGCTCGGCGAGTGCGGGCCCATACTTTCTCGAAGACTAACTAACGTATTCTGTAGACGCGTGGATTGTTGTCGCTTCCTCGCCCCGCCGGAGACGTGTGGTTTACCGGCGCACTGCTGTTACTCCCGCGCCAGCTCACCACCACCACCGACGGACGTACGCTAGTCACCCGGCGCCCAGGCGGAGACGCTACTACTGAATGTAATGCGTCGCCACCTTTCACAGTGATTGGAAAGACTTGTATAAAGCGGCCGGAATGACGGACACTTGACGACTCACGACTTTCTTATTGGTGACGTTTTCAGAATACCCAAGGGGCGAACAGCTTCCTCGCTCAGTCTCGTTTCGAGCGAGGCATATTGAAATTTCCTGTCTTGTCGATGTTCTTTACCTACATCCTTTGCATCAATTTCAGCTCTTTCTGTTGGATGAAAGCTGAGAATGTACTTCGATATATTGTACGACTTTGATGTGAACTCTACGAGGCCTACCCAACCTATGTATCCCGAGGAAGTACAGGGGCCTTCAGTCGGCATTTTTCTTCCACAGAATCCCCCGGGACCTGCTCAAGCAACATCATCCAGACATCTATACCATCTCGTTGCACCTTGGCCTCATCCATCAGTGCCTCCAAGTCCTTGGTCAACGCCTCAGCCGCCTCAGCCGCCTCCATCCTCGCCTTCCAAATGCCCTCGATATCGGTGACTGACGCTAAGGCCTGCGGTGCAACCTCTCTCCACAACACCGTCAGCGCGTCCGTGCACACCAGGTCCGCCTATCCATACAGAACCCACATTAGCGCACTGCATTTCCATGCTATCAAAGAAGAAGCACTTGGCGTCACAGAAAGAGCGATCAAAAGCTCACTCACCCGCCCCAGCATCTCCCCCACGTCCCGACACACGCCCAACACCGCCCTATCCACCCTCCCCACCGCCCTCGTCACCTCCTCCGCCAGCCGCAGCTGCGCCGGCCCCCGCCTCTCCTCGACCTCGTCCAGCGCCTGCCCGAAAACCGCCGCCTGACACGCCGTGCGCAGACGCCAGTCGACGATATCGCCTCGTCGTTTTCCCGGCGGCGGCGGCGGCGGCGGCGGCTCCCGCGTCTCTTTCAGGGGGCGCGTCGTCCAGCCCTTCAACCACCACCTGTCCCTCCTCGCGGCAGGGGCAGCGGCGGCAGTCCCATCCCGCAACGCCCGCGATCCCCATCCTCCCTCCTCCTCTCCATCATCCACCAGCACCCCGCGCCCGCGCCCTCGCATCATCAACCCCCGCAGCCCCCCCACCAACGCCGCCCCCACCCCATCCCGCCTTCCACCGTCGTCGCCTCCTCGACCCTCTCCCTCTCCCTCTCCCTCACCATCACCACTACTAAACACGAGCAGCCCTCCTCCCTCCGCCGCCCACCCCTCACTCGCCCGCTGCAGCTCTCTTAACGCGTCCCGCGCGCCCGCCACACCCCGTCGCGCCGCTGCCGACGTAGTAATGCTAGTGTCGTTGCGGCCGCTTATAGACGATAGTCGTGCTTCCAGCGCGGCGAGCGCGCGGGCGGCGGGGTAGGTCGCGTGGCGGACGGCGGAGAGGGCGGGGATGTGGGTGTGCGAGACGGGGGCGTGGAGGGTTAGGAGGTGGGTGAGGGATTGGTTGGCGGCGAGGGCGTGGGCGTGGTGGTGGTGGTGGATGTGGAGGAAGGGGGCGGGTGGGGAGGGGGAGGTGGTAGGGTGGTGGTGGAGGGGTTGGGGGATGATGGTGGTGGCGGTGCGGAAGCGGAGGGAGTCGAGATGGGGGCGGAGGAGGTGGTGGAGGGTGGAGAGGAGGAGGAAGAGGAGGAGGAGGGTTGGGAGGAGGTGCAGGAATGGGATGGTGGGAGGGGGGTTGTAGATGACGGATGGGGGTGGGGGTGGGGAGAGGGCGCGACGGCGGCGGCGAGGGCTGGGGTTGGGGCTGCAGGTGATGAGGTCGTTGCGGAGGCGTTGGCGGCGGATGAATTCTTGGATGGGGAGCTCGCTAGTGTTGGTCTCGAGTGAGGTGGTGGCCGTGGTGGTGGGGGTTCTGGCGCCGGTCATGCTTTCGATCTGGTGGTTGGAGCTGCTCCAAGTTGTGGGTGTGTCTTGGGGCGCGGTCCACTCGGGAGTATATCAGATCTCGTTGCTTTGTTACTGGGGATAGTCGAAAACGGCCGCTTGGCACGCACGAAGGCTGAAGGAGAAGCGCCATTGTTAGCATCCATCTAGCTGAGACACTGCTCTTTGTGTAAGTCTACATTTCTGAAAGAGCCTCTTGGTGCGCTCCCTGGGACGCCAACTGTCAGTCGGTGATAACAGCTGGGTGGATGAAGAGAAGCTGATAGCTGGATGATCTATTGAACGCTGCTACTATATGGTTACATGGTGTTTATATAGGCGAATGAAGAAAGGGATTCAACAAGGGTGTTGTTCGTGATAGCACGTTGCTGAATGAGACCCTTGTTGGGTGATGAAGGTTATCGTCTACAACGTGTTCGTGATGGTGTTGAGCAACAAATCTAGGAATTGAGGAACCATGTCATCCACCAATACTGGAATAGCACTTTGGCTCAAAAGATGGAAGGCGTAGCTCTAGACGTGCTGGAGTGTTTACAGTTGTCTTTCGAACAGAAGTTGAAAGAGTTGGGCGGAGAATGGCGATACGAGGCGACCGTTGGTGTTGCATTGACCAAGGTGACGCAGCCCCGCATCATGACTAAGACGGCTTTGATAAGCGGACCCGCTCTGACTCGCGGTTGGAGCTCTTGGCGCAAAAAGTCTGGACGATCATCACGACGTCGGAGCTTCAGCTCCATTTCCACCACAATCCTGCGCCTTCCCTGGAGCATGCCCGAAAGATGAGCAAGAGAACCGCACCCGCCGTCGACGGAGCAGTCTTGCGCGAGAAGCCCCTCCCAAAACGCCAGAAGCTCGATACGCCCCGAGGCCCTCCACCCAAAGCCGAAGAAATCCACTCTGCGCGCCAGTTGCAACACCTGCTGGTCTTTGAGCAAGGCAACACCCAGCAGCTGAGAAATGGTAATGCTCAGACCTCTGATGGCTCAACGCGCCGGCTGACCACCCGCTCCAGGCATTCAAAGCCTAAAGGTCTTCCTCGAGTCCATCCTCTACCCAAGCGACGACCACCCCCTACCCCGGCAGCGAGCCATTCTCCGAGATTTTCTCGATACGCAAAAGCCGCGCACAAATGATCAAGATGCACCTTTCATGTCGAACCTCATCCAAACCTGGAGCTTCGCGTCCGACTCCAACAATGACCACATCTCCTCCTCCGCCGTTGCCGTCCTGGCCCTCCTCTTGAAGACGCTGTCGCACAACCTTGAATTGCGCGATTATGGCATGCAGCTATGCCGCACGATCCTGCAAATATCACAGTTGAAGCTGTTGGCCCGCGGACTGTCCGCGCCGAAATACAAGGAATCTGCCATTTCGCCATGCCTGCGACTGCTCACCGAGGTCGTCTCCTTTGACGGAGGCGCTGTCGCAAAGCAACTGTATTCGAAGCGCGACTTTACATTCGAAGGGAAAATACTTGCGCGGAATCTGGGGATACGACACACCGATGAAGAAGCGGCAAAAGCCAAGCGGAGACCGTCGGTTCGCACCAATGCCGTCAAGTACGTCTTGGCGCACTTCAGAAACCAGGAAGAGGGCGCCAAGATTGATATCCTCAAGCATGGCAATGTCATGAGGGCTTTGTTCGACTACATCAGGGACGACCCTCCGGAGGTTGCAGCTGAAATTCTGGATGTCGTCAAGTCTCATATCATTGCCGACAAGGAGATTCCAAGGTCGAGCAAGAGCCATTTGCTGACGGACCGCGCATTGTCGAACATAGCGGGTCTGTACAGAGTTGAGCAGACACTGGAGGAAGAATCAGACAAACTGGCCATTGACGTTGTCGCACACAAATTCCTGTTGCATGCGTGCAGGTCAGCAGAGGCAGGAGTTCTGGCACCTTCTTCAGGTTGGTATCCGCCCGGCACAGATAAAGAGCCCGAGCACGGGGATCATGATGCAGGCGACGGGAACATCGATCTGGGACTGGATTCGCTCGAGTGGTATGACCGCTACCAAGGTCGTGTCACCGTACGGAATGGAAACCTGGCCTCCTTCATGCAGGGCCTGAGACCTTATGCCAACAAACTGGAACAAGAGTTGGTGCTGGCGATATTGGAAGCGTGCCCAGAGCTCTTTGCCGACTACTTCTTCAAAAAAACGAACTTTACCTTCGACCCTAAGCTGACTGCCACTTGGATCGGCTATGCGTCGTTCCTGTTCTCGGCAACTCACCTCCCTGTCCCTCGTTTCCTCGGTCACAAAGATGGCTACGCATCCGTACCACCTCCTGTCTCTATCGCAATCGAAAGCCTCCTACCTCAGCCGCTTACGCAAAAGGTGTTGACGAAATGTTTGAACCACAGCTCAGACCTGATAACGTTCTTTGTCATAAGGCTTCTCACGATGGCTTTTCAGAAGCTAGAGCAGGTCCTGGTCCAATTCAAAAATGCGTCCTCGCAAAGCTCGAACCAGCTTTGGCAACAGGCGACCGAGAGGCTATTATCGGAATTCTGCGCACGCTGTCCCAAGATGAGAGACGTCATCGCAGCATTTCGCAGGATCCCTGATACGAACCTCATGCAGCGCGAGGCCGTCACTAGGCTATTGTCCATGTACTACAACGTAACGCCTCAGATTGCTCTAGATGAGAAATTCGACGTGTCTATGGCGCTGACCAAGTCCCTGAATGAGCTTGACCAGCAGACGACATCGGGAGAAGAGCACGAGATCAGACTGCTCGAGCTCAGCCATCTGCTGCAGATTGCGAGAAGTGCGACTGATATGCGATGGTGGCAGAAGCCCGAGTCGCTGAAGTTTTCTCCTTTTACATCTGTCCTCAGGGTTCTTTCCTCGTCTCCAGATGGTGCCTCCTCCGAGACCATCACCCAGTTGCTTATCTCTGTCATTCACGACCACGGTATGCTTCGAACCGATGGCTACCCATCATCATTCGATGCACTTGTCTCCAGCCTGACGGCCAATGACGAGCTTGCGGATGATTCAGTCTTCAGCTTCATTGACGAATGCTTTGGTCGTTTCGTACGAAGGCCGATAAAGTACCAGGATGACCTGGATGCCTTGGTGGTCTTATCAAAGGTGGAGAAAACTCTGGAGTCCCCCGTCAGTCTGTTGCTTGCGACCCTGGTAGAACAGTGGCCATTTGTTCTCAAATTGGAGAAGCATGCCGCCAACCATGTTTCGCAATGGATCGGCCGATTCCTCTCCTGCCTGAAGAAGGTTGGTGAGAATGAGCTGGTCCTGCATTCCCTGCTTGGTGCCATGCTGGAGGTTTCCGGCGGCTCGGCTTACGGAAAGCCGCTCACTGCCGCGCTGGGCAGTGCGAAGACACCTGAGATCAGGCCGATCATCAATAGAGTGCAAAATGACGGATCCGAAGAGGATGGAGATGGCGGAAACAACGGCTCACTTGATGACTTCGAGGTATCCCTGGAGCTCCCGCCCAAGGAAAATGAGAACCATCCAGAACTTACGCGGTGGATGCACAAAGACGTGGATGAAGCAGTCGAGGAAGGCCACATAGCAGCTCTGGTCTTATGTCTCTGCTCTGAGCATTTGTCCATACGGCGTCAAGCACTGCCCAACGTGCAGAAGCTGATGACGAAAGTGCAGGTTAGTAATATGATGGATCCAGGAAATCAAAGCTGACGAAAAGTTGGACAGGCATCGGGCTACGAAGAGCATGAGCTTATCTACCTCCTTCTCGGCGAAATCTACGAGACGGCTCGGCCGCTCGTGGGCACGGATGAGCCTCTCCCATGGATTGCCGGAACGCTCGCCGCTCGTGCGATACCGATATTGGCGGATCCGGCGAACTTCTTGTATCCCAAAGTGGGCTCTTTCCTTACACGTGGACCGTCGTGGACGGTCAGCAGGCTGCCATCGTACTGGGCAGAGAAGATCATCCTCAATCCTCCCGAAGGCGACGATGCGGCTCACTGGCGAGAGATCGAGTGGCTGCTGGAATGGTACCTCGATGGATTACGGACAGAGAAAGACCTGGGCATCTTCCGGGCGAGAGGCATGTTCGAGAGGGTCCTGGCGTTGTACAACGATCCAGCGAGCTCGAGGCGGACGAAGGAGCTGGTCATTCGGTTCCTGTTCCGAACAGTGGCGGTGGAAGGAGGCAGCACGACATTGATCACGAGGGCAGGCGTGCTGAGCTGGATCAAGATGCAACTGGCAAACGTCGCCGGCGGAAAGGCGAAGAAGGATAGGAAGAGCGTCAGTGCGGCAAGGGCAGAGAAGACGCTGAAACGGCTAGTGGGCAGGTTGTTGGAGACTTGCGACAAGGTGCGGGTGGAAGAGTGGAGCGGCGGAGACGCTGCGAAAGAGATGCAAAAGCTGGTTGAGTGAAGTGACAGAGGGCTGTTCCATGGATGTTCATGGTTTGGCATGGGTTTGGCATGGGGTGACATGGGTTAAGCATAATTAGCTTCCCGCCGCCCCCGCACCCGGCAGACGAAGCCGCCTTGTTGGTTGCGCCCGCTCGCTAGAACTGGGGCGAACAAGTGGACCATGCGGTTTACGACTCAAATACTGCGCATATGTGCCGCGACTCGAATTGGAAAAATGAACACTGTTAGTTGACGTAATCACTGCACGCTGGGTGAAGGCTTCCACTGCTGCGGAGCCGATGACGCTGTCGCTGACCCGCAGGCTTGGGGGCTTGGCACGAGTTTGTCGTGTTTGCCTGACTCCCGCCGCCCACCCACCACGCCGGCCACGACAGTCGCTCCAAATCACCCATCGCCAATTCCTTCATCCAAACAAGCCCCCCGCCCCGTCGCCAGCCCGCACGCGCCGTGAGCCCGTGACCCTCTCCGCTACGTAATAACGCCCGCTTGTGGCTCAGGACCCCCTCTGCCTCACCGCCGACATCTCGCCGCAGCTCATCTCCGCGACAGCAACGCCCACAGCTCCTCCCAACACCTTACCCGCCGCGCTCCCGACTGCACCGCCGCCCGCTCATCTGCGAGCTCCACTGCTGCACGCACCGTCCGCCATAGCTTCAGACCCGTGAATTGCACCCGACGCTCGCCCTCGACCCCGCTGCATCACCTCACCCGTCCGCACAACGACCCAACACCACCCCCGTTTGTCGCGCATTCGCCGGCCTGACGCTCGTTGGCCTCACATCACACCCTCGGCCAAGCTCGCCACCCTCCGCCAAGAAAAGGCCAGTCGACGGCTGCCTCAGGTGGTTGCCCGCCCACAGTCGCCATGCCTTTGGAGGTCATACGTTACACTCCGGACGAGCTGCTCCACCTCCGCGAGTCACCCCTCATCCAGAAACCCGATGGCCTGCCCGCGATAGAACAATGGATGGAGTGAGTCTACCGTCAACACACCGACCGACACGGCTAACCCTTGCAGACCTGCGCCCGACCAGAACCAGCGCAAAGGAGGGCGCACGCAAGGTGTCCGGAATGACGACGCAGCGCAACCCGGCGAGAACGGCCAGCGCGCCTCGCTCTTCCCCAACAAGCACTTCACCCGCCACTCAAACACAGGTGAGCTTTGCGTTAGTCTCACCTCAAGTTCTTACTAACCCGACCAGCCCCCGAGGACATTGTGCTAGGACCCCCCAAGATGGCCTTCGCCTCCTCGTCGCGTGTCCCAAAGCTGACCGACACCAACGACAAGGACGAGGATGCCGACGCCCGTGCCAAGGATATCCGTGACAAGTTCTTCAAGGATCGTGAGGAGCGCAAGAACGGCCCGCTGAACGGCCGCCGTGCTCGCGATGAGGGCGAAGGCTGGACCAACGTGCGCGGCCGCAAGGCCTCGTTCAGCGAGGATGCCGATCGCCCACCCCGCATTGGCGGACGCTTCACCCGCGAAGCCGATGGTGAAGAGGCGGCCCCGCGTCGCAACGGTGCCCGAGGCAGATTTGAACAGCCCTGGCTCCGCGACAACGTCGAGGCCAAGGAAGCAGACACTGGTCATGGCAGTTGGCGCGACCGCGGCAACGCCCGCGAACGTGACTGGACTCGAGGCAGCAACAACCACAACCGTTTGGAGGAAGAGCCCGAGTGGATGGACACTACACCCGTCAAGAAGAAGGACGACATTGGCATGGCTCGCTTCTCGCGCGGCAAGGGCGGTGCTGAGTGGTTCGAAGACATGCCCAAGGACGACAAGAAAGCGCACACCCAGGAAGATTTCCAGCGCTGGAAGGAACAGATGAAGGCTGGAAAGGCTGCGGATGAGAAGGAAAATGTTCCTGAGCCTGCTCCTGCCAAAGACACGCCTACGTCGTCGAAGCCCATTACGCCCATGCTTCTTGACGGTAAGGACATGTTCGGTATGTGGGGTGCTGCCGCTGTCCGGCAGGAGAGTCCTGCAGCAACGGAAGGCGCCACGGCACCACCGAAGCCGAAGCTTCCTGCGAAGCAGTCCAAGTTCGCCAAGTTGTTCTCGCCGCAAGAGGAACAACAACAGCCTCAGCAGCAGCAGATTCAACCCGAGGCGCTTTTCGGTGCAGCAAATGGCAATAATGAGGATAAGGAGGGTTTCCAGCGTATTCTGCAGATGCTTGGCAACACTAGCATCCACACCCAGTCGCCCTCCCAAGGCTCGGCGCCTCAGAGCAGGAAGCCATCTCTCTTCTCTCCTGTCGAGACGCGCTCGCCCGACCGTGATACCGTGCACGTCCAGCCTCAGCCGACCCGTCATCATATCCTTAGGTCGCGCGAAGAGAAGGCCGGCTTCATTGAGTCCGTCCTCGCTCCTCGCGGCACGCCCACGGAGTTCAAGGGTCCTCAGGGTGTCTTTGGACCCTTCTCTCCCGCAGGTGAGCCGGGCCCGGAGCAGCTGCGCCAGGAGCCGATGCGTCAAGAGCCCAGGCCTGAGAGCATCCGATCCCCCGAGGAGCGCATGCACCAAGCAACCCCTAGCAGCAATGGCATGGGCAGCTTCGGCATCCAGGGCCTGATGTCATCACAGCCTCCGCCTCACGCAGCGCAGCTTTCTAGAGATAGAGAATTCCTGCTCAACCTGATGACTCAGCCACAGCGCAACACCCCGCCCCAGCCTACGCAAGCTCGTCCGCCGCCGCCGCCTGAGCTCTTCACCAACTTCATGGAGTCCAAGGCAATGCCCCCGCGTGCGAACCCTCCTCCCGGCTTGTTCGACGACCGCCAGTTCCCGGAGAACGATGTTCGCTACCAGCCGCAGCCGCAACGCCGCATGCCTGAGAATCCCGAGATCGAGAACGCCATGCGTCGTGCTGGCCGCTTCAATCTTCCTGTCCACCCCGGCCTTGACGACCCTGCGATTGCTGGCCTTCAGCGTCGGGGAACTGCGGATGCTGGCATTCCTCGCGGCCAGCTGAACAACATGGGCATCCCGCACCAGGGTCCTCCTGACCAGATGTGGTCCATGAAGCCTCCCGGTCTCCAGCAGCCGCAGGATCGTCCTCCTGTCTCAAGTATGGCTCCTCCGCCTGGCTTCCCTGCGGCAAACCGTGGCCCTCCGGGCTTCGGCGGCCCGAACATGCCTCCATTCTCTGCCGGCAACACCCCTCTTGGACACCCCGGCATGCGTGGTCCTCCGGTGCAGGGCCCTCCTTCGGCTGGTCCCGGACCCTCCCCCATGTTCAGCCCGCCTGGTCACGGCGGCCCGCCGCACGGCTACTTCGGCCCCCCGCAGGGCCCCCCGCCGCCTCCCGGATTTGGCGGTCCCGGTCCTGGCCCTATGGGTATGAATGGACCGGGAGCGCACCACGACCAGGTGCAGCAGATGCTTGGACTTCGCGGTGGTAGTATCGGCGGCCCTCCCCCGGGATTCGGCGGTCCTGGCGCCATGGGCATGCTTGCGCGCGGTCCCGGCGGACCGGTCGGCCCTGGCCTCAACGGAATGGACTTCTTCGAGAACCAGAGGAGGGGCAGCCATGTCCAGGGTCCTTTTGGACCTTAGAGTGTAATTGATGGTCTTGGATTGGGCGATGGTCTTTGTTTTGCGTTTGAGAGGTAAAGGAGCAAATCCGTGTACCGGGGGTCTTCAGAAATTTCTTTTCAGGTTCTTCATTCCCACTCAGGAAAATGGGTATCATGGCGAGGGCGTGGTGGTACGGGCATCTTTGTTTTTGTCTCCATCTCTCATCCTCTTCCCCCTTTCTGCTCCACCCTATATCGAGTAACAACCCGGGGGAACATACGAAACGGCATTTTGATACCTCCTTTTGCTTTCTGGGTTCTTTTATCTCTTTTTTTTTCCTCCTCGTTGTCCTCCCAAGTTTGAATGAAAAAAAAGGTAAGGGAAAAGCGTTCGGTAAAGGGGAAAGGGGGGAGAGTCATTGAGGGATCTCTAGCTTGCTCCTTTTCTTCATTTTACTTTCCTCTTCTTCTTCAGGATTCCTCTTTCTTTCTGGATGGATATGGTGCAGGAATCTTTTTCCTTCTTGTCTTCTTCTCCTCCCAGGGTATTCTCTCTCCGTTCTTTGGCATGTCTGTCTTGTGGCGAGCCTTTCTGCTGCTGCTACTACTGCTACTGCTTGCTCTTTTGCATCACTTTTAGCGCTGCTCTGCCGTAACCCACCCCGCCTTCCTTCTCAGCTCCGCTCTCTTCTTCCTTATTGCCCTGAATCTACCCTTTACTTTTGGTATTTGGGGGGTTATTTGTGTGTGACTTGTGTCTTTGATGATGAGGAGTCGTGGGGTCGGCGGGACGGGCATGGATGGGCTTCCTTCTTGGTTTCTTTCCTTTTTTTTTTTTTGCGCTCTCCAGCGGTTCATCTCCGTCGACGGACGGACAGACGTCCTTTTGGCTTGTGTGTGTAATTAAGTCGTACTATCGTTCCTGCTAGTCTGCTTTTTCTCGTCATTTTTATGAAAGACAGCATGTAAGCATCCGAAAAAGTTGTCGTTTGTTTTTATTGTTATGAGTGTTCGTTCAATCGTTTTGGTTTTTTTTTATTGCTCTTATCGCTACGGTACGGCTTGCTCCTTGTTTTGTTCCCCTCTCCCTTGTTGTGTTAGTTGGTGTTTCTTGTTCGTCGTAAACTCTTTCGCAGCTGAAATGAAGAGATGATAATGGTATCAAACTGGTATGCATTGTTGTTTGCGCAATTCCTTAGCTTATTTCCATGGCTTTTTCGTGTCTGTTTTTTTCTCTTCTTATTGCTACCGGTTTCTTGCCTTTTTCTGGGAGGCAATGCTCGTCATGGGAAGGAGGGAGAGAAACGGGATGGGGAGGATGGGGCTGGAAAGAAGGGATTCGAACGAACATTTAGGGGTCGCTCATACGACGACAACAGGAACGACGACAATGACAAGTCGCTTACATTGTTTTTCACGTCTGTTTCCCCTTGGTTTCGTCGTCAAACTGTTTCTCGCGATGGCGAATTAGCGGGCTTTTTCGGAAGGGACGGTATCTGGCCGCTGCGGAGGTGGACGGAAAGGGAGAGGTAACGGAAGGGAAGGGATCGCCCGGAATATATCGAGCGGGCTTGCTAGTCGAGGTGGGGCGGAGGGTCATTATGGTGTAAGAGCAAACTCAAGTAGAGGAGGATGAAGATGGGATGAAGATGGTCGTGGGCACTTGTAGTGGTCGAAGTGGATCAGCAATGAGTTTGGGGATGATGTTGTATACTTGGACGCCACTCCTCTCGATGCAAATGATGACACAATAAACATATTGCGATAAGCCGCGACCTGCTGACACTACCAAAGAGACTGTCATCACAGCCGTCTAGAATTTTCCCTCGGGTGGGCCATTCTTCTTTTCTGCGGGTGAGCCTGCAAACCCCCCTCGACACACCTTCCTTCCCCCAAAATCGGCAGACCTTCCCTCGGCCCCGCCTTCCCCCAGCCAGTTTCTCGATCCACACCCCCGCACAACGGCCATCACCAATTCTCGCCCCGAAAACAAAGCGGCACGACTCAGGAAAACCCCACTACTAGGTACCTACTTTAAAAAAAAAGACACGCCATCCTTCCAAATCCCCATCCCCCTCTCCTTCCCCCCCCACCCCCTCCAACTCCTTCGACCCCGTTATTATTCCACCACCAGAACAAATGTCCCGCCGCCTCCTCAACAAGACCGCCATCGTCACCGGCGCCTCGTCCGGCATCGGCCGCGCCATCGCCCTGCGCTACGCCGCCGAGGGCGCGCGGCTCGTCTGCGCGGACCTCGCGCCGTCGGCGAGGAATGCTTCCGCCACCAGCGGAGGAGCAGCAGGAGGAGGAGGGGCAAAAGAAGAAGAAGAAAGAGACACGCATCAGTTGATCCGGGACCGCGGCGGGGAGGCCGAGTATGTGGGCGTGGATGTGGGGGATGCGGCGGGGATGGAGGGCCTGGTGGGGAGGGCGGTCGAGAGGTGGGGGAGGGTGGATGTGTGAGTTTCTTCTTTTTCTTTTCTTTTTCTTTCTGATCGGTTTTTTTTTCTTTGGTCTCTTGGGGATCGAGATCTGTTTGTTGCTGCTTGGGACTCTCTGGTTCCCTTGGCAGCGTGCGTGCGTTTGTTTGTGTGTCTTTCTGATGGTTCGGGTTCTTTTCGATCTTTGTTGTAGGATGGTGAACAACGCCGGAGTGTCGTTCGAAGCGAAATCGCCCGCCGTGCTTCACTTGACCGACGACAACGTCTGGGACGACACGATGCGGATCAATGCCCGGTCCGTCTTCTTGGGGTGCAAGCATGCCATCGCGCAGATGCTGAAGCAGCCGCCGCATGAGTCTGGGGATCGGGGGTGGATCGTCAACATCTCGTCGATCATGGCATTGATTGCCGGACCGCAGAATCGTAAGGACGTCCGCCTTGTTTTGGTCGGCCGCTTGGCAGGTCTGCGGACGGAGCTCGCTGACGCGCTGGGACGATAGCTTCGTATTGTGCGTCGAAAGGTGCCGTGACGGCTTTGACGAGGCAGGTTGCCCTGGACTACGCCGAACATCGCATTCACTGCAACGCTATTTGCCCCGGATGTATGTAACTTTCGCTGAACAAAGCCTCGTCTGCTGACTAGTACACAGATATCCAGACCGCATTGTTACGTGAGACAACCACGAACTTGACGCCCTGGGACGTTCTGGTGAAGAGACATCCTTTCGGCGGGCCGGGCCGTGCAGAAGACATTGCGAAGATTGCAGTGACGCTGGCGAGTGACGATGCAAGCTGGATGACCGGAGCGAATGTTCCGGTAGATGGTGGATTCACCGCGCGGTAAGCTTAGCATGCATTCAGACTTGCAGTATTCTATCAGCTCGATTGCATATTCTTCCAGCCCGTCTCAACGTGAAGCACTGCCTCGATCCCATGTGGAATATAGTTTTCCAAAGGCTGCCTTTTGTCGGCCTCGTAAACCGAAATGCCGCCAACAATGGCATGCTCCAGATCTGGGAACTGGAGCGAAGTGCCCTCTCTGACAAATTCCCTGGCCTTCTTCAACATCTTCTGCACGGTGACGGTTCTGGGTAAGACCGTGCTTGCTGGCGCAAGAAGGACGGATGAACCCGATTTGAAAGTGAACCGAATGTTGACATCTGGTGGGATTTGACCTGGAAGGTGATTTAATTAGATTACTGCCACGATTTTGGGGGACCAAATGCCTACCTGTAGACTCAGCATCACTCTCGCCTGGATCAGAACATTGCTCCGAGCAGGATGAAGCGCGCGTAGGCCCAGAACACATCCGCTGCAACGGAGATGAACGACCGGGATGAACTTGCAGGCTACGGCGGTTTACGGAAGGCGACGCAGTGCTGCCCCGCTTAAGCACTCTAGCTCGTTCAGAGGCCGAGGGGGCACCAACCGACGGCCCTGTCGACTGCGCACGCGCGGACTGAACTCTCGGAGATGCAATCTCCAATGCGTCCAGACGACCGTCAATCCAAGTTTTGATGGCGTCCCAAGAAGAATCCGTGGAGTTTCCGCTGACCGGGAGGAAGTCAGTGTCTTCAATCTTCTGTCTCTTGCCACCTTCATGGTCAGAAAGCGGTTCGCCTTCGATGTCAAAGGCGGATTTGCGAAGATAGATTCTGCCCAACGAGTTCCTGGCCGCCCACACAGCGCAGGTCGAATCGTTGTCCACACCGACAACGACGCGGCCGCATTTCTCAGAGGTATCGGTCAAGCCAGTCAACTTGTTCTCAAGCGCCTGTGGCAGCAGACCTGGAGCCGGTCGAGAGGATTTGGCGGGGCGCTCTTGTGCCTCTTGGTCCTGTCTCTGCCTTTTACGGCTGGGCGTCTCCTTGGAGGGCGAGACTGTCATTGTTTGACTACGGACAGGCGTGGTGTAGGTTACGCTAGGCGATGGGTGCACAAAGATGTGATCGTGAACCGGCGGACTTGGTGTTGGCGTATCGCATTGTCGATTCGGCAAGCCGTTCGATCGTGCCTCTTGGATGGTCGATTTGTCTCCATTAACGACATAGTCAGTCCGGCTCGTATTGTTAGTCCAAAGTGTTCCACTCACCACTGTTGCTGGAGATTGCCTTCGAGTTCGACTGCGACTGGCCTTTTTTGGCGAAGCATATGAAGTAGACTGGGAAATCTGACTTTGACGGTGATGCGCTACGAGTACTTGCGAGAGCGTTCCAAAGTCGTGGCGACATTTCGCTGGCTCCGCTGCAGGGAAGCTTGTTCCCGTAGTGAACATGGAGGTCATATTCAACCTCGGCAGCTTCGTAGTACTCATGCAAGAGGCGCTTGAAGGACTGCGACAATGTAAGATACTAAAATTTCAATGGGTTATAGGGTTCGTACGTTGAAGTCTGCTATTTCAGCAGCCATGACTTTTTCGACCGGCTCACAACGGTCCGGGTTGCCCGTGAATCGTGTAAATCCCACGTATGACATTTCGAAGATGATAGCAAGATATGTATGGTTATGTGAGAGAAGTTTACGATCCTCTGGACTTTGGGGTCGATTCAACTTATATGGTGAAAAGCCAAGGGGGTGAACCCCCCAACTTGTCATCATACTCTTGCAATTGTGGTAGTACGATGCAGAAACTCAGATAAGCTTGCGGCATTATGCGCATCCATGAAGCTGTATTCTGACTGGGATGTTACACGTCATACACAAGTACAGTGGATCGAAAAGCGGTATCAACATTAAAAATTGCTTTTCCTCTGTGGAGCCTACCACTCCCTGTTTGATAAGCTGATGCGACATGCCCGACCTATCAGAGAGACACGGCACATGAACAGATGGCTGGGAAGAGCGAGCACCTTATTCCCGTAAATGGAGCAGGGAACAAATTGTGACACAAAACAGTGAGTGAACCAAACAAAGTAGAAGTGCGCGTACGTGCATTCCATCACCCGGACGACCACCCGCCCCGCATACGCCAAGCATCCGGCTAGTCATAGAGAAACCAACGGTGATACCCCAGAAAGAGAGAATGAAAGAGGCAGGCGGTTCGAAAAGACCATGTACATTGAACCAATCCGGTCCAGAATCCCTGTTCATCACAAGCAAACCACGCCATGGCGAATCCCATCACACACCGCCACCAGCACCACCCCACAGCGCCTTCTTTCACCCTGCTCCCAGAAGCCGCTCTAGTAGCCCCCGTCGCCGACGCGCCTTCTGTCCCCGCCTTCCCCACCACTACCACATTGACCACCACCAGTCCACGACACCACACTCGCATCAACGCCCCAATCTCCCCCCCTCCGACGACCACACATCCCCTACCGATAACGACTCCAGTGCCATAAGCTCCTGGCCCAACCCTGTCGACGACGTCCTCCCCTCTACGCCCCTATCCCCATCGCCATCCCCATCCGCGTCGAAGTCCTCGTTGTCGTCGTCATCGTGCAATGTATCGGGCAAACCCAGCGTCGGAGTCCAGACCCGATCCTCCTCTTCCGGCTTTAGTTCCACTTAGTCACACTCCATCGGAAGCGGACCAGATGTATCAAAACGGCAATGGCAATCGACTAGCAAACTGCCCATATTTCGCTTTACTCGATCAGAATGCTGCTGTAGTGCTTTCCAGCAGCTCTCCACAGCAACGTTGAAATTTTTTTTCCCTTCCTTGCCATGATCCATGATACACATACAAAAAGAAAAAAAAAGGGCAACTGCTCCTTCTCCAGCAGCGCGGGTATCTGATTGATTCCTCCTCCTCCCACATCCCACCATGGCCGCCCCCTTCCCCCCACCATCGTCGATGAGATTCTTCTGATCATCATCCGCTGGTCCGAACCGACATGACCGCATCCATCCAATTCCTCCTCTCCCCTTCCGTCGACGCAGCGAGCAAATGGACGACTCCTTCCGCCTGCACGAAGAACGGATACAGCTCCGTGCCCCTCGGCAGCTCGTCCATGACACCAGCCTTTGCGGGTTTACGCAGCGACCCGGAGATTGAGCATTCGATCCCCCGGACGGGAAGTGGCTATACGTCGATCAAGTCAGCTTCCACACAGGAGAAAGAAAAAAAGAGAGAGAGAGAGAGAGAAACAAAACAAAACAAAACATACCTTCTCGACCCACAACCCCCCCGAGCCCGAGTTCCCACCACCCCCTCCGCTCCCCCCACTCCCCTTCCTCCCCCACCTCCCCGTCCCCGTCCCACCATCCCCACCTCCTCCGCCGCTTCCCCCTCCTCCCCCAACAACACATCCCTTGACCTCCCACCGCCCAAACACCACCCAATTATCCAACACCACTCCCCTGCACCCCCTCCACGGCCCCTTCCCGCCCACCCTGCACGCCAACGGCCCCATCCGCACCAACCGCCTCCCCCCCTCCAAACAACCCAACTGCTCCGCGAGCGCTGCCCCCGACACCCCCGCGGCCGCCGTCATCGCACCGACACGGCGATGCAGCTCGCGCAGGTCCGCCAGGTGCAGCTCGCGCGCCAACGCGGCGGCGCACTCGTCGCGAAGGGCGGAGAGGCGGACGTGGATGTCTGCGGCGACGGCGGCGGGCGAGTCGGCGGATGCGGATGCGGATGTGACTTTGACCAGCCGCTCCGCGATCCGGACGTACGCGTCGAGCCGGCGGAGGGGCTGGGCGAGGAGGTCGTCGAGGCTGTGCGTCTTGGCGAAGGTGTCGACGAAGCGGGCGAAGGCGGCGGGGGAGTCGTCGGTGGCGCTGCTGGTGCTGGTGCTGTTGCTGCTGCTGCTGCTGCTGCTGGGGAGGGCGAGGGTGCCCTCGCAGTGGGCGCGGATGGCGGAGGCGGTGTGTGGGTGTTGGTGGAAGTAGGTTAGGTAGGTGGGGCCGGCGGCGCGGAGCCAGCGACGGAGGAGTTGGGCGAGGAAGGAGGGGGGAACGATGGGATTGGTGGTGGCGCCTGCGGCGGCGGCGGCGGCGGCGTGCTTGAGGGGGTCGAGGATGTATTGGGTGCTGGCGTGGCACATTTTGGTGGTTCGGTGGAGGGCGATGAAGGAGGTGTGCCAGGCGGAGGGCCAGCGGCGGGCGATGGGCTCCTCGATGAAGGTGCGGAGGATGGTGAGTTTGTTGAGGTAGACGGTTTCGGAGGTGCTAAGTTGTTGGCGGATGGATTGGAGTTCGGCGGCAGTGGGTTCGGTGGTAGTGGTGGTAGGGAGGAAAGTGGATGAGGGAGAGCATAGGCCTTCGACTAGGGTGTCGGCATCATTGTCGTCATCATCTTCGGGCTCGGAAGCGGAGTCGATGGTGTCTGGGAGGGAGATGCTGGAATTGGTGGCAGGGTTGGAGCCGGTCGAGAAGATGGAAGGTGTTTCTGTTGTTGCAGTCGAGACACGTGAGATGGTAGCTATGTTCTCTTGAGAAGCCGTGGGGATTGTAGCCAATGTCGACATGGAGGCTGAAGGCATCAAGACGTGGCGGCCAGAGGGTAGCGGCTTTCTCTGGACCCGAGGAAGATTGGCGCGGGGAGATTCCCAAGGGGCGGGTGGGACGGATCCAGGCTGGGCTCCCTTCACAACAGGCGGACGTGGGCTACCCAGAGAGGTGCTATCCTCGCTAGGCTTTCTTTCGATGCAAGCCTGAGGGCGGGTAGAAATGGTCCCTATGCTCCCTTTCCTCTCCGACAGATGCGGACTCTCGGCCAGGACGGCGTGTCCTGTCGGCGTGGTCGTCGTCGTCGATGTGAAGCTTTTCTCAATGTCCTTTTCCTTTGTCACGTCCTCTTCGGAATCCGGGCTATCCTCGTTGGTCTCCTGCTTGCTACCCTCAATCCTCAAGGTCTCGACATCTGGATCCGTGTCAGCAGCGGCCTCGACCGGCTCCGAAACCGTCCGACTCTTGGCCGGGCGCTGCTGGGCAGCAGCCAAGGCCCGCCTATACGCCTTCGAGTTGACGACGGCATCATCGAAGTCGAACTCGGTCTGATCGATGGTCGAGGCGGCCATGGAGGGGGCGCGGCTCACGAGCCTATCGCGGTGGGAGGAAAAGACGGAGTCGGCAACGCGGATGCGCGGATGCGTGTCCCGCAGCGAGCGCGAGCGCTGGGCGAGGCGCGAGATGATCTGGTTGTTGTCGCGGACGAGCTGCTTGAGCTCCTGCAGCGACTCGAGCTGCAGCATCTGCACGAGCAGGTTGAGGGCCATCTGCTGGCCGCGCAGCTGCGACAGCAGGTCGCGCATCGTGTCTTCGCGCCAGATGAAGCGGCAGCGCACCTTCCAGGTCATGGCGTCGGCATCGCGGGCGCCGGCGGACAGGCGGTGTATCTCCTCGTCCAGGCATGCGTAGACAATGGTGCAGCCGGTCAGGGCGGTGTCAAACGTGTCGCGCAGCTCGGGGCGGTTGGCGAAGTGCGAGTCGAGGGAGTGGGCGGTGGCGTCGCGCAGCAGGAGACCCTGGATCTGCGAGAGGGAGGCGCTGATGGACGAGGACTCGGCGCAGATGGCGGTGATGGTGTTGGAGGCATTGTTGAACTTGTCGCGCAGGTCGCTGAGGGACTTGGCGGTGGTGAGCACGCAGGTGGTGATGTTGACCTGTGGGATGTCAAGCTTGGGCCGGGTGCGGGGCAGGAGCGATCAGCTGCTTACCACCGAGTAGGTGATGGTAATCGGGTCGACCATTGTGCAAAGTCCGCCCGGTTGCCAAGCTGCTCGGAAGGAGAAGGGCCCTTTTGAGAGCTGACGAGAGTTGCAGGAGCTCCATCTGGTTGAAACAGGAATCCGTTTCGTGGGGGCTGCTTGAAACATCCAGGACACCCCTGCTTCGAGCCAGCCCGATGGGGCCCGCTTGAGCATCCTTCCTCGCTACACGGCCATTTATAACTACCCTGCAACCTGCATCACTGGGACTGAATGCATCGCTCTTCCGGCTGCACATTTGCTCCAAACCCTCCGGCCATGTTGAGCAGATCATCTTCCACGCTAGCCCCATATTGTTGCTTGTGCAGCGCCTGCCGAGCTACGAATCACAGCCTGGCCTGTTGCGCCACCGAGGTCGCTGCTGCCTGAGTGCCATGGCCCCGCTCACTTCGTCAGCCTCGCGGCTTCCCGCCTGCAACATCAAGTTTTCAACATGGACGCCATCCGGCGTCTTCTCACATTCAACCAGAACCTGCCCGAACAATATTACGCCCATCGCCCGCTGCCAGACCATCACATACGCCTCGTCCACATCCTCCCATCCCAGCGGCGAGACGCCCCGGTGGCATGTCGAATCTCTGTTCACCCAGAAGAGCGATGTCCCGAGTACGAGGCTCTCTCGTATACCTGGGGAGATCTCCAAGACGGCACTCAGACCATAACCGTTGACGGTTTGCCTTTTGTTGTTCGCTCGAACCTGTGGCTTTTCCTGATCCAGCTGCGGGACCCATACATTACCCGCGTCGTATGGACCGATGCCCTTTGCATCAATCAGGATGACATCGACGAAAGAAACCACCAAGTCGGCCTCATGAGTTGCATTTACCGGAGCGCTACCCGGACCCTTATCTGGCTCGGTCCGGCAGGTCAGCGCAGTGACATTGTGATGAAGGCAATGTCAATTATTCACAAGGTGACACTAGTGCATCAGGAGCTTTTGGACCGCGTCACAGAGCTTGGCGATGGAGGGCCCCTACCTTGGCAACAAAAAGAATCCATCCAAAACCATTTCACCGAGGTACGCCGCTGGTATCATGTACAACTGCAAATCCTGGAAAGCCCTTTCGCTAGTTCAACGTACATTACGGGCCCGCAAAAACCGAGCTTGATCCCTGGGGTTGAAGAAACTATCTCCACAAAGACATTCCGACTTTCTCTAAGGAAATTATACGATAACGTCCAGGACGAGATGATACGCCTACATCCAGCGGATGATTGGCGCTTGAAATATCGGGAAAAGTTTATGGAACACCTTGAACGGCTGTTTTGCAAGGCCTTGGGCAAGTGTGATTTCCTGTCAATCGCTCTCTGTCATCTAGTCAAACGCCAGTACTGGAAAAGAGTTTGGATTATTCAGGAAATCGTCCTGTCACCTCACATTGAAATCTTCTGCGGCGCCAAGACCGCACCGTGGGACGGCTTCCGCTACTTACTGCGCTCATGTGATATCAGAGCTACTCATGGACACGCGCTGCAAGTAGCTGCCAGTATGGCCACGCCGCTCAACCGTGAGTGGGAAATGCGACACGACACAGCTCTACCAACAGTCGTCGAGATCCCTCGCGGGTTCGAGGGATTGGAAAGTGTGCTGGATCAGTTCGAAGCTTCCACATGCACCGACGTACGCGACAAGGTCTACGGCCTTCTTGGGCTCGTTGTGACGTCCCTGGAGGCCGACTACTATAGGACGCCAGTTCAACTCTTCGCATATCTGATGGCTTTATTCGCCTCCGATCTGTCTCAAAAGGATGCATATGGACAAGAACGCCCTATCTCAAAGCTTTTGCACTTTGGCAAACTACTTGCCCGTACACTGAAACTGGATGTCAACGGTTTAAAAGGCAGTCAAAGCACCGATGCGTACGGCACCATCCTCAAAACATCGGGAGCCATATGCGGAAGGGTCCTTTTATCAGGATCGGACATTCAGAACTCGGAGGAAACTGAAACCAAGTTTCTCGACAACCTGATGGCCCATGTACCCGCAGGAGCGTCTAAGACACATGGGGCCTGTTTTCGCGCCAGTGCTTCTGAACGCGTCCAACGGCTGAAAAAACTTATCCCACTTCTCTTGGCTGAATCTGCTTGCTCCATCGACTATACGCAATTCCGCGGTGACGTTGGAGACCCTGAAGCTGCCGTTACACCGATCTCTCTATCTTATTCCCCGACAGACCATTCAGAACCTCCAGCCTGGAACAACCCCGCTACTGGCGAGCTTCGAGAAATTCACTGGTTTGCCTATTCCCATGACGGGTGTGTCGGATTGTCTGATGTGGACGTGCAAGAGGACGATCTCATTTGCAGCTGCGGTAGCATCGGTCCGATGCATGCATTCGTCCTCCGTGAATCAGTGTCTGGGTACCAGATAGTAGGGAGGGCAATACTGTCAGGCACTTCCTACATCAAGCACCGCAGTCTATTCAACGCCGAAGGACGATTTGGTCAAAACGAAATCAAGTTTCCGAGTTTGGAAGTCTCATTTGACGCCATTTCCCTTCTTGCTTTTGTCTTGTTTCCATTTCCTTAAGGGCAAGGTTTTTGTTGTTTTTGAAGCATGTCGTTAGCACTGTAGACATCACTACTGACATCTCTAAGTCTCGGGTGGAAAAATGAGCTCAAGTACCTTTTCTTACCTTCTGATAGATTAACGAACGTAATGTGACAACCTTCTGGCAAGTTTATCGCACACCAGCACTGAAGTGCACAGCCAACCCTTCAGAGCCTGCCATGTGACACTCTAACTTTGTGTCTGTGGCTAATTAAGTTGAGGGCAAAGTGACTGCATAAGACTTGTGCTTGCTCACATGGTTTTTCCAATCAAATGTTCGCAGTAAATGTAAATTCCAAGACTGTGCATGTGCATCTACGCAGCTTCAGTAACCTACGAAGGCGCCTCATAATCCCCCAAAAAACCAACCTGGCTCCACTAGGCAGACGTCTTCCTTCCGTAGATAGATCCTCGGAGAAAAGCGACGTCCGCAGCATTCTTCGGCCATGGCCGCCTGTCTAGGATCCGGCGTAGCATGTGGAGGCTTCGCGCAGATTCTGCCTGGCACAAAAACAACCTGTTTGAGCCGAAAAAGATTTGAAATAGGAAGCAGACCCATGGACTCACAGCCATTTCCATTTCCGAACCCCGGACGAACTCCGCCGCACGTGGCATGCACAATCGCACCAATGACAGAAGCACAATCTGGGTTCCTGCCGACGGGTCTGAGTCAGGTATTAGTATGACTGTACCGAATGGCTACAAAGGGCGGCTGAACTGAGACCATAAGCAGGGATACGGTTCCTCCTGTTGCCTAATCGGGAAAAAGCGTCTCGCTATTCGACACCGACGTTGCAGCTTATGACGTGCCTTCGCTCCCAGCAAGGCTGACTTCGGGAATGGGAACGGTGCCTCCCGCTGAGCTAATACTGCGGTAAGAAGAAGAAAGCGAAAGAAGCAAAAACCCAGCCAAATTATGCGCGATACGACTCAGGCCACACAGGGCCGGTGTTTAGCGAATGGCTTTTGGGGGCGATTTGATCTCGGTGCATCCACACCACCACAGCTCATTGGGCAGCGGCGGCATCACCGCCACACTTGCCAACAGTACAGCCGCCCGGCAACGGTTATTTTGGTCCCGTCGGCCGATCCTGAAGGATTTGTTTCGCTGTGGCGTCACTGCTCTTTCACTGCCTTAATACTTCCCATTTGAGTGTGACGACCACCTAATTATTCGACCACTTGGCTGTGCATTGTAAGCCGTACCTGCAACGCATGCACGCCGGGTGCTCAGTTCTCTCTGCTTGATGTCAGACGGGGTGTTTTCTGAAGATGAGAACCGTAAGAATCGCGTTCAGGAGACACGACTCATTTCAGAGGCCGCAAGACGTCCCTACGGGGACCAAACCAGGCAGCACCACAAGGACGCCGTCCACCGGAGAACGATTTGGTGTGTACAAGCGATGTGGCGCACGCAACCAACACAGGACACCGGACATCGTGATGCTGGGCGGGGCGCAGCAACCTGCACATGAGCCCTTCGGAGGGCCGAATCCAACATGTTGCCTGCTCGTGGGATACGCGTAAAGGACCTACCTCAATGCGTCAGACGGAGCCTCCGCTGCTCTGCAGCGCCGCATGCCCGAGATGCCTCTATAAAACAGCAAGCACGGCACGGTCCAGGAAAGGGCCCAAACAAGCACGGAGAAAGCAGATACCAACTCGTCTTTTCCGCGAAGATGCTATCCCAAATCCTTCCCGCCCACCTCGGCTGGGCAGCATGGCTGCTGTTCGCCGTAGTGCTGACAGCAGCCGCCCTGATCTACTCCTTCATCTACGAAGACCGCCCATACCCCAACATCCCCATCGTGGGCCAAGTGCCCTGGGATTTCCTGAACATGAAGACCAAAGAGCGCTTCGTGCGCTACGCCAACGAAGTCCTAGCACAAGGCCTGCTCGAAGTCAGTCCCCACCCAACATCTTCCCACCCACCCACCCCCAACTAACCGCCCACAGCACCCCCACCGCCCCTTCCAAGTCAACGGCGCCAACGGCCCCCTCATCATCCTCCCGCCTCGCTTCGCCAACGAAATCCGGCACGACCCGCGCCTCTCCTTCACCGGCGTCATCGAACACAACTTCTTCCCCACCTACCCGGGCCTCGACATCTTCTCCCCCATCGGCCCCGGCAACGACATCCTCCAGACCGTCGTCCGCAAGCACCTCTCCGGCGGCGCCGCGCTCGACACCGCCCTCACCCCCGCCCTCAGCGACGAGATGCGCCGCGCGCTCGCCAGCACCATCACCCCCCTCACCACCACACCCCACTTCCCATCCTCCCCATCCTCCCCATCCTCCTCCTCCGCCGATGCAACCAAAGATACCCAGCAATGGCAGCCCCTCAAATTCTTCCCCCTCGCGCCGCACCTCACCGCGCGCGTCTCGTCGCGCGCCTTCCTCGGCGCGCCGCTGTGCCGCGACGCCGCGTGGCTCGACGTCGCGGTGCGGTACACCGTCGACGCCTTCTTCGCGGTGCGGGCGCTGCGCACGGTGCCGCCGGTGCTGCGGGCGGTGGCGGCGGGATACGTCTTGCCCGAGATGCGGGTGGTGCGGGAGGAGGTGGGGAGGGCGCGGGAGGTGGTGGGGGGGGAGGTGGAGAAGAGGCGGAGGGAGAGGTTGGAGAGGGGGGTGGGGAGGAAGGAGGGGGAAAAGGAGGGGGAGGGGGAGGGGGATGCGATTGCGTGGTTTGATGAGGTGGCGGGAGGGAGGGAGTACGACATCGTGCGGGAGCAGTTGATGTTGAGTGTGGCGGCGATACATACGACGAGCGTGACGCTGGTGGCGTTGCTGTACGACTTGGCTGAGAACCCGGAGTGGATCGGGCGCGTGCGGGAGGAGGTGGTGGCGGTGTTGCGGGAGGATGGCGGGTGGAAGAGGGGGACGTTGGGGAAGATGCGGTTGTTGGATAGCTGTATGAAGGAGAGCCAGAGGCTGCATACGGTTGGAGCGCGTGAGTGGGCCCCCTTCCCTTCATCCCTCTTCCACTAGGAAGTGACGTTACTGACAACCGCACCCCGTAGTCTCCATGAACCGCCGCGTCGAGCAGGCCATGACCCTCTCCGACGGCACCCATCTGCCCCGCGGGGCCCTCCTCGGCATCCCAACCCTCACCATGCGCGACCCCGTCACCAGCTGCTGGGGCCCCACCGCACCGCACTTCATCGGCGACCGCTTCCTCAAGCTGCGCGAGCAATCGAGCGGCGCCGGCAACCGCCATCAGTTCGTCAGCACCTCCGCCGACCACATGGGCTTCGGTTACGGGCGCCAGGCATGCCCGGGCCGGTTCTTCGCCGCCGCCCAGATCAAGGTGTCCATCGTGCATCTGCTGCTGAACTTCGACTGGCGTTGGCCCGAGGGCAAGGGCCAGCCTCAGAGCGTGATCCAGTCGGAGCATATCCCCGATCCGGAGGCCGAGATTTTGTTCAGGAGAAGGGTCCCGGAGATTGACTTGTTGTGACCGCGTTTTGTACGGCGTCTTTTGTTTGTCTTCCTATATGGATCGGGGGAGTGGGACTGTCGGTTGTTGCATAGCCTCGGCGTTGGTGTTTGGATTTTTTGGAGCATGGGATGGTAGAAACAGTCGCGAGACACACGTTATGGGTGACGTTTGAGAGCTTCTATTCGTTGCCGCTGCTTTGCGGATTCGCAACCTGCTTTATGCTGTATCACATCTGTTCTTTGAATGAAACCTTTCGAGTAACAGCGCTGGAACCGTGTGGATGCTGAGCTCTCATCCGGATCGACATGGCCATTGAAAAACCGTGCAAATGGATCTTCGACTACCCCAGGCACCGCACATGTTTTGATCGAAGCGCACCAGCCGGTGCCGTCCATTTCGTCTCGAATGATCGTGCCCCGTTCGTAAAAGAATCACCGGTTTTGCTACGCAGGCGGGCAACTTTGAACAAATCAGCGTATTAAATGTATGTCATTATCTTATCTTTTCCAGCTTCATTTGCACCGTCCCTTCATGATCCATTATGCATCAAAGTGCCTTCATGTCCACTCTGCACATTTCCATTAGCGTCTCTTTCGTCCATCTCTTTAAACTTTCTCCACATACGCAACGCCGCTCTTCTGATCCTTCTCGTGGCTATGGTGCAGAGGGTCAATCTGCTGGTCATACGCATCCACAACGCTTGAGTGAATCGTCGTCTCGAAGACGTTGATCTCGGTGGTGGCGAACTTGCGCGCGCCGACGCCCTTCTCGAACAAAAGGTCCAACTCGGCGAACGAGCGTCCTGAGGGCTCCGGAAGACGGAAATAAGTGTAGATGATGCAGCAGAAGCAGATGCCTGCCCAAAAGAAGCCGGTGTAGTTGCCCCAGTCCCACGCGCCAGGGTTGAGCATGTACGGGGAAAGGACACCGCAGATGATACCTGTGAAATTTCTCAAGTCAGACACAAGAAACGACGGAAGGAGCTTTGCTCGAGACTTACCAACAACGTTGTAGAGGTTCCTGCCCAACACAACGGTCTTGACCTGTAGACGACGGCTGGAAATTTCGGAGACCAGGGAGTAGGCAACACTTCCGACGGAGCACTGGTATACCATTGCCCAGCAGATCATCGTGGCTCCGGTAGCCAGAGCAGCTGCTTCGCGGTGAGCCTCAGGGACGAAGCCGAGACATCCCATGGCGAAAAGCATGAGGCACAGTCCAACCAAACCCCAGAGGTACAACGAACGGCGACCAATGCCCCTAGCCATAAGGAACCATGCGACGACGGTGCCTGCGACGTTGATGGCATACTAGGATTTTCAGTCAGCCGAGCCATTCAATGGATGAAACTTTCTTGGGGCGGGGATAAAAAGTTTCTGGGATGACGTCTTACCTGGCCTAAAGCGAAAGAGTAAGAAGTGGAGGTCGGGAGCCCGGCCTGCTGAAGGAAGTAGGTCGAATACGAGGAGAAGGCGTTTCCAGAAAGATTCTGCATGGCCCAAACCATGCAAATGATCTCGGTACGGCGTCTGTCGGGCCCCTTGAAGCAGTCCATGTAGGTGGCGCCTGCAGTCGTCTCGCTCTCCAAAGCAGTGGTGTGGGTCATCATGGCAATGGTCTCATCAGCGTCGAAATCGGTGTCGCGGTTGAGGCTGGTGAGGCGGATGAGGCTCCTCTTGGCCTCTGCGACCCTGCCCTTGCGGACAAGCCACCAGGGAGACTCAGGAGCAAGGAAGATGATGACAATGAGAGGAACGGGCCACATCCACTGCAAAGCGTAGGGGATGCGGAAGGACCACTCGTCGGTCCGGGGTAGCATGGACTTGATGACTCCCACGCCAATCAGCTGGCCGAAACCCCAGCAAATATTGACGTAGGTAGTCAGGTAACCACGCAGGGCAACGGGCACGACTTCGGAGGCATAGGTAATGGTGAGTGTCTGAAAGACGCCCCACGGGACACCGGCCAAAATCTCGCCAACCTGGAGGGCGACGACGGACTGAGCAGTGAAGAAAATGGTGATGAAACCGGTGAGGAGAAACAGCGAGATGATGAGGGTCCAGCGGTAACCAAACTTGTCGGAGGCCCACCCGTTGATCATCAGACCGATGATTTCACCCACGTAGACACCGTTGCTGAGACCGGCCTGCCACGCAGCGGGAACCTGATATTCGCCACTGGGAAGCAGCTCGCCGAACTTTCTGTTGAATTCCGGGAAGGCGTAGAAATTGGACAGCAGACAGGTTTGGTAGCCCTGCAGAGGTGTCAGCAAATTTGGATGGTGCGGAAAAAGCAAGTGCGGTAGGATGACTGACTTCCATGACGATGCAGGTGGAAATGGCAACACTCCAAGCGACGGCCTTGGGGTACAGCTTGATGCCCTCGAGAAGGGTCATGTTCTTTTCCTTCTCGGTGGCAATCTTGGCGTCATGCTTGAGCACCTCGACCGTCTTGGTGGGCTCAAAGTCCTCGACCGGGACGATGGTCGCGATATCGGGCTTGGAGTCGGCCATGGTTGGTGATGGGTCGAATGGTCGGTGTTGGGAGGACGACGAGGAGCGGAGCGGCTGACCTGGAGGGCTGACCAGCCGAGGGAGAGGACGGGGATCTTATAGGCGCGAGGGCTGCAGCGACTGCGGGGTCTGGGGTAGGGTGTATGCCCTGACATCCTGATCAGGGCAAATGGGCGCGCGCCGGACTGACGCGGTGCTCTCCGTCTGGGCATGCCCTGCGCAAGCTTCAGGCGTCGGGCGATGCTTCTAGCACTCCTGCGAGCTTTGGCCGGGACGGACAGTGGCCAGTCACAGTCAATGCCGACGAATAGTAGAGGCGCTGGGACCGAGGCGGCAGTTTTGCAGTAGCTTCTGTCGGATGGGCGGCCAGATTTGGCTGGTGGCACTCGGCTTGTGAGGCCTGGGCTGGAAATGGTGGAGCTGGGCAGACATGAAGCCGACCAGGGCGGGTCCGCGTTTTTCCCCGTCGCTCGCGCTGCCAGTCTCCACGCGTCGTGCCCACGCCCCAGTTTTCAGTCGATCGAGTTGCCGGCTTCGGCATGACGACCGTCGCCGGGCTGCCAGCTGTCGGGAGCACCACCACGGCCCCGGGCCGTTCAGGCTGTCGAGCCCGTCGAGGCACCGTGTTCGGCGGCGGTTGACTGGCGAGCAACTTGGCTTGCGCGGCTCGTCAGCGCGGCGAGAATTTGCGTGCGGCTTAAGCAGCCACGGCGCCCATGCGAGGGCCCGTGCCGTGCTGGGCGCACGTGAATGGGCTTATCCAGCCAATAACGCCTCTCACTTGTCAGCTATCGCATACCGCTCTTGCCCGCCCGGCTGCCGAAGCCGTCCGCGACTCGCTCCTTCACCTTGGCAACTTGCCGACCGACAACAAGCCGCAAGCCACCGACAACAGCACTCTTATCACAATCTGCATGCTTCAGTCGAGCGATCCGGGCATCGTCCTGGCGAAGAACGAGATAAGTGATTGCCGTGACGCTTGCTGACTCACATCCGTTCGTGCGAAGCGCCCTTCGTCCCCAACTTTTTCCGTCCCTCGCGCTCTTCCTCTCAACCACCAAATGACAACCCACCCACACCACAGCGTCACATACGCCGGCCCACACCATCAGAACCCGCAACGCCATACGCCGAAGCTCACATTCCCCGCAAGACTCCCGCACCGTGGCTGAGAAGTCGGCGTTTTAAGCTGACCTGTTCGCCGCGCCAAGACACGAGGAAACCGATTGCCGACGGGAACACACTTCCTTCAAACCTACCCTTCACGGCCGCTAACCTCTACCCCGTGGGGAAGACGGCATGGGCCTTGTTCCGACCGCATCCCGTACCGATTCACCAAGATTTGACCCTCGATGCTTCACCACGAGCCGCCGGAAGCTGTTTCCCTCCCCAACTTCAGCGACATGGACGGGTTGCTCTTCCCTGCAACCGATCCCCACGGACCTGGATTCGGGCAAATCATAATGGGAAAATAAGGTCTTCAGCCAATTGGGACACACTTATTCGGTTTCCGCGGTCCCGATCCGATTCCGTTTTTGGTATTCAGGGATCTGATGGCCTCCGGCTCGTCCCGTGTTGGATGCCGGCCATCTGCAGCGGTCCGACATGTGGTTTTAGCTCCCGAGCAGCCGTAGCGCAGCAAGTCATCTGCCGGTACTCTGGAATTGGGTCGGCCGCTTCCCAGATCTGCCAGGGATCAGTGTTTTCACAAGCCGAAACTCACCTACACCACAGCGGTAATCCTACGTTCAATGTTGAGTGATTTCGCCTTCTGGGGTGATACGTTGATTGATACTTCGAGTGTTGCTCATGTTCCGCGAGTTTGAGGCCTGAATTCGCTCCGTTTCTCACGCTCACGCTCACGAGATTACAGACACGAATTTGGGATCCCTCAATCAAAACTGCGGCATTGGAGGCGGATATTGGCCGGAAACAGAAGCACTCATTTCAGCTTTACATAAACTGTCACTGAATCAGCCAACGTGAGATTAACAGAAGTTGGATATTGGAAAACCTACAATATGAAGATGTATATTCAAGCAGCCTTGGGTCCTTGGGTATGCCTCTACGGTGTCACCGCCACATGGTTTCGGCCAGTTTGAATCGGGCCTGCCGTGTAAACCGTATTGAACGACGTGGGAGTGCTGAGGCTGGGAGCGCAGACAACCTGTGTTAGCGCGCCCGTGAAAGTGAGAGTCTTCATACTTGTCTCTGCACTGGTAAGGTCATGGACTATGGCCACCGGCGTAGACCACTGCGAGAAGAATGTGCGTACCTTTGAAGTTGGACTGCAAGAGTCAACTTTGGTGCTCACAGACGTCAATGCCTCCGCGTTCGGGACAGTCACCGCGACTGTTATAGCTTCGTGAACGGTGACTGTTGTGGCTTCTCTAACCGTGACTGTTGTGGCTTCTCTAACGGTCACTGTCGCGGCTTCGCCGACGGTGACTGCACTGGGACCGGTCACAGTAAACATAGGAGTGACGGTGCCGTTTCTTTGCAAGCCCTCCCTCTCCTCCGGGGAAATAATGGGGAATATGAAACCAAACGCCATGTGGAAGGACTTGAGTATCGTGACAACGAGGAAGAGTGCCACCCCTAGGCATATAACCATCCCTGCCACATCGTGAGCCTTCAATGAACGTGCCATTGTGCTGTTTGTTAAATTGTCAAAGAACTCTGGGCCTGCTCAGGGTGCATGGTTTCTCTCTGAGAGTTCAGCAGGCTCACAGGCCTTTATATCAATTGTAGACTTTGTTTGGCTAAACAATACCTGGGGCTCAACAGGGATTTTTGTGCGTTGTTCGTATCACGGCCCGCCCCTTTGATGTTTCACGGGACTTATGAAAACCCAACACCGCATCGAGAAACTACGCAGATGCTTGTCCATGGATATGGAAATTAATCCAGCGAAGATGCTATCGCTCCAGTTCCCCTGCGTAGGCATCCTGGACCCTTGGTTCTACGTAGTAATGCGTCTTGTTTAATCTTTCAACAGCTTGGCATGAAGTCAGGACAAGGCTACCCTCTACCCACTAAGACTGCGCCACTGACGTTCTATGAATGCCACTTTACGAAAGAACCTACTGACAAAGAATTTCAAAAATCGAGACAATGAATTGTTGGATGTTCCTTTGTGCTCGCTGAAGTAAACACAGTTGACAGTGGAAATGCCTCAAAATCTTGTAAAAAGGATCTGACGCAGGCCCAACAGTTTCGACAGGTACGCTACAATCGCGAATAAACTGTACTAAGGTCAAAGTCAGCCTAACGCAAGAGTTTGTGAAATTTTGTTCACCTCAACAAGCTTAGATGTGCACTGTGTTTTTCAAAAGGCCGCCACTGATGCCAGAAGCCGCGCATGTTGATGTAGTAAGCTCTGTGCAATTATTGGGAGGTGTACATCAACCACGGCTCCTCTTTCAGAACGGCCTCCACATCAGCTGGATTGTCTCGTCTTCAATCGATTGCTCGATTTTGATGCCCAGATAGTGCCTTTTATGCATTTACTGCGTATCGTTGTTTATTTTCCATTTACAGTGTATGATATGCTCAATAGATGTTCTATGCCCATGCTCCTACCAAACTCATCCCAATGGCTCCCAAAACCACGAGCAAGCAAGCGTAAGCCCGTCTCTTTCCCCGTAGAACGCGCCAACTCTCATCACTGAGAAAATCTTCAGCCAGTAGCTCTACTAGGGATGCGTAGACGAGCAGGCCGGCAGAGATGGCGTTCATGATCCCAACTACTAGCAGGCCAACCTCCGAGTCTGGACTATAGAGCGTATGGACACCCAGGCCAATGGCTTGCCCGAGCGGTGTTCTACACAAGATGTCAGTAAGGTTACAGCCCCATATAAAGCCTATATAACTCACGTGCATCCATAAGCTAACGACATCATCCAAGGCTGGACAGCCTTCCGTTCCCACCTCAAAGCTGCAATCCTGGATCCCAATGCCAGCCCCTCAAACGTCTCTATGCGATCGTCAGCCCGGAAGTAGCCTATCAGATCCTCAGAGTACACCGCTCACGATGGAATGCGATCGCAATCAGCAGAATGACAAACTCCTTCCCAACCGACACACTCAACGCCATGCCTATGAAGACGCTGTGGAACAAAATCCCCATCTCGAGCAGCATGCACTGCAGCAACTCCTTCTTACGCTCCTGCTCCGGCGTCAGCGGCGCCACGTCCCCCATCTCAACCGCGCCGCCTTCCCGACTCTCTCGCTCTTCCCCCGTCGCCCTCTCTTTTCTCGTCAACATCTCCGCCGCGCCTCCGCCCTGCTGCTCGCATCTCATGCCGCCGCCCTGCACGTCCACATCCAGCCGCCTCAAATCCGACGAATCCTCACCGCCCGCGCCCACACCCGCTTCCTCTCCCCGATCCACACCACCACCACTATCACTACTGCCCCTATCCCCCGCACGCCCCCCTGAATCCGATCCGCCTCCCGCGGGCCTCGGCTTAGCCAACGCCATCTCCACCCCGGCGATGCCCAACACCGCCGCCAGCACTATCGCCCCCGGCATCGCGGTGTACGTCTCCGTCCAAAAGGGCGGCAGGCGCGGGTCGCCGAGCGCGGTGAAGGCCGTCGGGAGGAGGTGAACGAAGGCGGTGGCGAGGAGGACGCCGGTGCCGAAGTGGCGGGCGGCGAAGAGGAAGGAGGTATAGGACGAGGAGGATTGGGAGGAGGAGGAGGAGGAGGGCGGCGTGAGAGGATGGTGGTGGTGGGGGTGGGAGTGGGAGTGGGGGGATTGATGGCGGTGGCGGTGGGAGGAGAGGAGGGTGGTGAGGAGGGGGGTGGAGCAGGAGAGGGTGGAGACGACGAGGATGATAAAGAGGGCGGCGATGTGGAGGGGGGTGTTGTAGGAAGGGGAGGGGGAGGGGGAGGGAGTGGCGCTGGTGGGGTCGGGGTCGCTGGTCGACATGGTGGTGGTGGTGGTGGTGGGTGTAGAGCGAGGGGAGGTGGAGTTGTGAGGGGTTTGTTTTGTTGCTTCAGTCCCGTCGTGTGTCACTTGCGATTGAGACGTGCTTGCCGTATGTGGTCGTAGGTTGACTAAGAGGGCGGTAGGTTGGGGGGATGGGACGGCCGTGATGGTACTTAGGCGCGGCTCCGAACCGTGGAACCAAAAACGTTCAGGGGCTAGGGATGTGCGCTATATATCCATGGTGAACCACAAATAGGCGAGTGGGAGAACGAGAAACTATACTTAATTATTGTCGGTCGGTGTGATCACAGCCGAGTGTAGGAAGTGAAGCTGCTCTATTGAATACTGCTACTACATGGGGTTTATATAGGCGCATGAAGAAAGGGATAATCATGATGTTACGTTGCTGAATGAGACACTTGTGTGTCTGATGATAAAACCTTCCTCAACGAGGGCAATCTGCATAATGAGGTCCAACAATTATTTTATTGGATAATAGGAGAGTTAGAACAACTTTATTAACAAGATGTGAAGTACATGTGTGCCTGGTGCGAAAGCCAAGTAGAGAGGTTTTTATGCCAATAAGGGAGACGAGCGGATGTGCTGCGCACACAGGAATCTGCGAGCAATTTTCCTCAGTTCAATTACTGCTTCGGTAAGCTTTCCATAGTCACCAGGAAGTGCACCAACGACGTCAACGACATGCTCAATGACGGATCCAACACGAGATCTGAAAATCTCCTTGAATTGAACGAAGAGCCCACGGAAGAGGACTATAGACATAGAATTATGTTTCAGACACGAGGTTGCCCATCTCTCAAGCAGGCGCATGCCTCAGGCACACCTTGCCAAGACGTCTATTCTCTGCTTTAACCGCGTGCTACTCTCCTCTTCTTCTCGTAGTATCTTGGATATTTTGTAACTGGATGAAGTATTAAGGAGAATCTCAACTTCTGCAGACGGATGTCCAGGTTTTGTACTGTCTTTGTTCCACGTAAAGAGTATTGCTCCTTGATGATTCTGTATGAAGTCTTGAAGACCCAAATGCAAAAACAAATGACATAAATCCCTTCCATCTTGATTGCTGATCTACTTTATATCGTGCGAGTAATGTCTTTTTGTAAGTAGAAAGACTCCAGCCTTGTTCACATTCATGCAGCCTGCGCGTTGTTGGTTTCACCAGCTGCGGGGCAGCGTCCCACAACACCATGGCTGCATTCATGCAGCCCTGATGCTAAATTTGTAATCATGAAGAAGTTTCAAATGCGTTAGGCTGCTTAGAGCCTAGAATTTCTTGAACCAGGCTGGAATAATGCCGGTTTGGAACCAGTAGTCTTTCGATTGATGTTTGCTGCGCATCGCCACGGTCGTGAATATGAATTTCATGGAGGGCTACGAATATCCTCGCTAACGCACACGCCTCTAGCGTGTGCTTATAAGTTAACGTCGTCATTGGCCCTTGGCTGTCGCACGTATTTTACGAGACCACGATGGATGACATGAGCGCAGATCCATTTTTACAAACGCGTCACCGGGCTGAGATGCTCTGCAGAATGACCTCTGTGGCGTCATCACTATCGTCGTGTGTAACACTACGACGGCGCCGATATAAGACCCCCGCAGATTGCGCTTTCCATCTCACTTTTAGAGCCTTGCACGCAGCCATGAACGCTCTCCATGACACCTCGAGCATTACGTGTATCACGGCATATGTCGTTACCGTTTCCATACTGTACTTTTCAGCTCTGAGCCTTTATCGACTAACGTTGCACCCACTCGCAAAGTTTCCTGGACCCAAGCTCGCAGGATTAACGTGAGCTACTATATAATGTTTCTTACTGCTGAAGATTGTCTTATTCGTCTTAGGTACTGGTATGAGATCTACTATGACATCTACAGACGGGGCGATTACACCAGGGTTATCCTTAAACTCCACGAAACGTACGGTCAGTACACTGATGTCACCTTTTCTTGGTGCCGAGATTGTTTGTAACAAATCCAGGACCGATTATCCGAATCAACCCAAATGAGCTACACGTTAGCGATCCCAACTTCATCGAAGTGCTGTACACGAGCACGGGAAAGAAGCGAGAAGTCTCATCTTGGCACTTACGCCCCTTTCAGTACGTGTCCAAACAAAGTCGCACAATCGAGGGATCTCTGACCGTTTTATAGGTTTGAGGGAGTATGCGGAAGATGTGACGAAGATTGGAAAATGCAGGGCTAATCTTCCATAGGCGCATTTCGGCACCGTGGACCATGATTTACATCGCACGCGTCGTGCTCCATTGAGCCGCTTCTTCTCCAAGGGCATGGTCATGAAGCTGGAGCCAGCCCTCAAAACAAAGGCGATCCAGTACTGTCGGAACCTCGAAACCTGGGCTGGATCGGGTGAAGCCCTTGACTTGGTCACATCAATCTCATGCTTCACAACAGATGTGGTTACTGACTACCTGTACGGCAACGGGTACCGTTTTTTGGATGATCCCAAGATGAAACTCAGTTTGTACCATCCGATTCACATGGGCGCCGAATCAATCATTACGTTCAGGCACTTCCCAATCTACCTGAAACTGTTCAACGCCATCCCTTCGTGAGTAAGAAGTCAAAAGTGACATGTTGCTTCCACTGAAGACGTACAGTTCCATCATGAAGATTTTGAGTCCTGATGCGGAGCTGTGGCGGTTGTTCCGGGTGGATGCGCGCACGCGTATAAGGCGAATCAAGGAAGACATCTACGCGAAAGATGCGGAGCTACGGACTACAGTTTTTCACGAGCTACTGATGAGTGACTTGCCGGAGTCGGAGAAGACAGTTGAGCGACTGGGCATGGAAGCACAGGCGTTGGCTGGGGCAGGGGTAGAGACCGTGACATGAAGTAAGACTCTCTGCACTGCTTCACTGGCAGGTCCTGGATGGAGCTCATTATTGACGCTTTGCTTCAGCGCTGTCCGTGGCCATGTTCTACCTCCTGTCCTCTCCGGAGACGATGGCGAAGCTTCGCTCAGAGCTCGAGGCCGTTGCTCCGACCACTGACCCAAGCGCAATGCCGCCATGGACAAAGCTTGAGCAGTTGCCGTATTTGAGCGGCTGTGTCTACGAAGGTCTTCGCCTCAGCTCTGGACTGCCGTCACGTCTCGCGCGGAGCTCGCCAGACGAGGCCATCATCTACAGAGCGCCTGATAGAACGTGGATTATTCCCCCGCGCTACTCGGTCGGAATGTCGGCATACCAGATTCACCATAACGAGAAATTGTTCCCACAGAGTAGGAAGTACCAGCCGGAGAGATGGTTCGATGAGGGCGGAAAGAGGAACAGACAACTGGACCAGTACCTGCTAAGCTTTTCCAAAGGGTCGAGGCAATGCTTGGGAATGAAGTGAGTATATACACTTCTCTTCAGCGTACCGCTACTGTAGTGCAAATTGCTCTAACTATCACCAACCTGTAGCCTGGCCTATGCGGAGCTGTTCACCTTGCTGGCTGTGCTGGTCCGCTGCTACGGTCACCGTCTTGAACTATTCGAAACGACGGCTGAAGACGTAGACTTCCACCATGACGCCATGATCCCCACAGTCAAGCCGGGGAGCAAAGGGATTCGGGTACTGGTGAAGCAAATGGGGTAGGTAGCCTGTCAGAAACTGCAATTACGAGCGACCGACAAGTATTTTATTGCTCTCTGTTGCCGCGCAATGCTGGTCATGATGAAGATTGGGCCAACCAATTAGATCTCTCGCACGCCGAGGCTACCTGGCGTTTTCAGGGGGAATAAAGTAGCCGGTCTAGAACAATTAAAATAATCCAGGCGCATGGCGGACAGATGGGTCAAAAGTCCGTCATTCCGATTTGAAGCCTAGTTCTGAGGGGATTCTGTTCTACTCCGTGAGTACTCCGTCGCCAGGGCGAATTGACTAGCACGGGTGGACTGCGCGTGATTGGCTAGTTGGCTACGGAGTACTCACGGTGTTGGATTGAAGAGGCCGGCCAAACCCGCTGGATCCTTCCTGACTCGCCGCCGCAGTACTTGCCATCTACCCCACACCGTCAGCTCACAGCAGGACAGGGCGGGACATCATACCTAGAATATATAAGAGCACAGCTTCTCCACCGCCGACAAAGTCTTTCACAACAACATCAAAAACCCACCCCGTCCGTCGCAACCATGGAAACCTTCACCAAGAAAAGCTTCACCTCCCCCCGCTCCCTGACCTACACCTACTACGACTCCGCGCCCGCCAAACCCGTCTCCACCTCCGCCTCCACCCCCGTCCTCTTCCTCCTCCACGGCTTCCCCGACACCGCCCACCTCTGGAAGAAAGTCGTCCCCCACCTCTCCACCCTCCCCAACCGCATCATCATCCCAGACCTGTACGTCTCCTCCTCCCCTCCCCCAAACCAACCAACCACCCACCCAAACCAACCACAACCACAACCACAACCACAACCACCCAACCCAACACCCCCGCCCTCCCTAATCAAAAAACCCCAAAAAAAAAAGCCTAGGCTCCGGCACCAGCTCCAAGCCCACCTCCGACGCCCAATACAACTCGCGCTCCACCTCGGCCGACCTCGCCGCGCTGCTCGCCTCGGCCGGCGCGACGCGCAACGTCGTCGCCATCGGGCACGACTGGGGGTCGTACGCGGCGCAGCGGCTGTGGCTGTGGCACCCGGCGCTGTTGGCCGGGCTGGGCCTGCTGAACGTGGGGTACGCGCCTGCGGCGAGGGCGCGGTTCGATCTGCAAGCGGTGAATGACGCGGCGACGGCGATGGAGACGGATAAGGGGAAGAAGAGGTACGTGCCGCTGGCGTATTGGGAGGTGTTGGCGGCGGCGGGGGAGGAGGGGGCGGCGGTGGTGGATGCGCATCTGGAGAGCTTTTGGGGGGTGTTGCATGGGGAGGGGGAGGGGTGGGTGCGGGAGGTGTTGTGTGTGAGGGGGGCGTTGAGGGCGTTTTTGGAGGGGGACGGCGTGGCGGAGGTGAAGGAGTATGCGCGGCCGGGAGGGGGGTGGAAGGAGGAGTGGTTTGCTGGGGTGGAGGAGGGCGGGGGCAGTCTGGCGGGGGCGATGGGGCCATACAGGGCGATGGTGGGGAATCATCAGTGGGAGGTGGAGAGGGAGATTCCGGTCGAGCGGAATAGGGTGACGGTGCCGACCTTCTTTTTGGCGTGCTCGGGGGATGATGTGGGTAGTTCGAGTTCGGAGAGGATTGAGGAGGCGAGGGCGTCGGGGTTGGTGCCGGATTTGACGGCGATGACTATGGACGTGGGGCATTGGTGTACGATGGAGAAGCCGGATGAGGTCGGGAAGGCGCTGCATGATTGGTTGGTGGAGAAATTTTACGGTGGCGTTTCGGAGTAGGTCGAGAGTGTAGGGCCTGGAGTGGAGATGGCGGATGCAGAGAAGTGCGGGATGAGAGAGGTCCTCGGACACGAATGTCGTTGGAAGGATTATCCGTGACGCTGCTTCCGTTCGTTGTTCCTGTGCTCTCATTTCTCCAATATGTCGAAGTTAGAAAACCACAATGTCTATGTCGAACGAACCGGCTTTATGACTGCGCACATATCGTCCTTCCAAAGACACCAAAGCAATGCTTGAACAAAGTTCAAATTTCCATTGTGGAATGAGTGGCGACTTTGAGGACCAAGCCAACTTGGGACCGATCAAGACGTAAACCGGGGAGGCCAAGAACATCTACGCTGGCGCTGGCATTTAGCGCGCGCGCGAAAGTTCCCCGGTATGGCTAGCAAGCCGTGGTTGCGAAAACGGGCGAATACCAAGGTTGGCCAGCACAGCGTGCCACTCTTCAATGGCCTCAATGGCCCGTTCCCCAATCAGCTCTGTGGCTTGATGTTTTCTCCGGTCGTGCTAAATTTAGGATAAAGCACCGAGCATCAATAGTACACCATACCAACAATAATGCCCGCTTCCTAATCACCTCAGAGCCTGCTACTGCTCGAATAGGTAGTAGTCTCAGCAACGTAAGCTTCGATGGACTTATGAAACGCATCTGTTGACACAAAATGTGATGTTTTCGGAGTACAATCCTTGTTCGGAGTACTATCATCGCTATCTCCGGCTTCGTGCTTTTGGTGCGAGTTTCGACCGATCGTGCTTTATCATCGTCGAGCCCAGGTACGTTCATTGGTGCGTTTCTTGGAACCAAACACGTGCATTGTGTTTCAATATGAATTGGTATATGTTCCAGAATATAGAGGTCGTGCATTCAATGCCGGTAAGTTTTGAAAGGAGAATAGTCTTGATCAATTTTCCGAGTCCATGATCCTACACGGCGGCATTGAGAAATTATCGGAAGCCTTGATATTGGCGGTAGTGTAAGTGGCGTGCGAGCTGCAAGGGTTTGGCGGACGTCGAACGATTGTTTGTTGCTCTTCGTGCGGTGGGACAAAGGATAGTAGAGTTAGGCCACCCACCACACGGACGAAATGCGGACATCTATCAGGGGTCTACCCTCATTAATTGGGCTAACATGAGCCATTGCGGCTCAAAATCACGCTCACAGCTGACTGATGCTGCGTGTATCGTCCGCGGCCGCAAATGACTTACAAATGGCAAATGGGTCAACTCCGCTCGAACCCCGCAAACCCCTGGGTAAGTCAACTCGGCGTTGAGAGATATAAACCTCCACGACGGAATAATGGCAAAAGCATACGCCCTTCAGCTTCAAAGACACAAGTCGCACAGTCACACTTACCTTCTCCATCACCATCTCGCAGCACAATGGCGGACCTCGACTTGTTCAAGAAATACTCCCTAACCAAGACCTACCACCAAAAGGTCTACCCGGACATCGACCCCACCAACCCAGCCAACTCGGCCGCCGGCAAAACCGTCGCCATCAGCGGCGGCCACAGCGGCATCGGCTTCGCCATGGCCCGGGGCTTCTGCGCCGCCGGCGCCGCCACCGTCATCCTCCTCGCGCGGCGGCAGGCGGTGCTGGACGAAGCCGCATCGGCGCTGCACGCCGAATACGGCACGACCGTCTGGACGTACAGCCTCGACGTGCGCGACACATCGGCGGTCAGCAGCACCTTCTCGACGATCCGGCAGCGGCTGGGCGACGGCGGCGACGTGGACATCCTGATCGCCAACGCGGCGGTGCTGGACCAGGGCGAGACGACGCTGGACTACGACCCGGCCGTCATCGCCAACAGCTTCGCCACCAACGTCTTCGGCAACCTCAACCTCGCGCGCGGCTTCCTCGCGCCCGAGCTGCCCGCCGTGCCCAAGACGTCGCTGCTGCCGGGCCTCGCGCCCATCGGCGGCGCCAAGGACACGACGAGCGTCCCGCCGCCGCCGGCGCGCGCCAAGGTCCTCATCGAAGTGTCGACCGCGGCCGCGTACTTGCTGCTCCCCGGGCAGGCCGTGTACAGCACGAGCAAGCTCGCGTCGACGCACTTCCTGCGGCACCTGCAGGCGGAGCTGGACCTCCTGCCGGGGCGCCCCGTGCGCGTGCACAGCTTTCACCCCGGGGCGGTCTTGTCGCCCGGGGTGCGGGATTTGGGCGTGGTGGAGGGCATGATGCCGCAGGATGACGAGAGTCTGCCGGGCGGGTTCGCGACGTGGTTGGCGAGCCCGGCGGCCGAGTTTTTGAAGGGCAGGCTGGTGTGGGCGAATTGGGATGTGGGCGAGATGGTGGGGATGAAGGAGCGGTTTGAGGCAGAGGCCGACTTTTGCACCGTGTCTTTCAAGATGTGAGCGGCTGTCGTTTGTAGTGGGAATCCTGTACTTATTCGTGGCCTCGAGCGCCCGTGCGCGCACCTGTCTAAGCGAGCCTCTTGCAAGTTGGCCTTTGAATTCCGCTCTTCCTCTTCCCCTAAGCGCTGCGAGAGTGTGATTCTGCCCCTGTACCTAGCTCAGCCGAATGCCCTGTCGTCGCTGCATGCAAATGTCATGCGTCCCCTCTGCTATTCCTGTCACTCTCCATCAACACCCGCACGTCTGGAACCGGATTCATGATTCGCAGAAGCTTATCCTTCCCGTCTGGACCCCTGTGGTCCCACATTATACTGCAAAGGGCTAAGCAGCCCGTTGCTTGTACCGAGCCTTGACCAAGCTTGTCCGCTATAAAGATCAGGGGAACTTCCGTTTGATCGTCCCCCGAACACACCGCCATCAATCTTGCGACAACCACGTCATAGCCTCCGCGTCATCTATCTACATACTAAACCTTTCCACCCGGCCTCTTCACACAAAAACACCCCTCCCAAAAAAAAAGGGAACGACACAAAAAAGCCACTCACCCACCCACCAACCAACCATGGGCCTCCACGACACCTTCGACTTCGACGAACCCGCCTACATCCTCAAAACCCGCGCGCGCACCACGCCGCAGCTCCAAGAAGAAGAGATCCGCAAGCTGCGCCAACACTTCGCCGCCTCCTGCTCCATCGGCGCCGGCGTCGGCCACTCGATCCACAGCGCCGGCATCTCGCTCGGCGTCTCCGCCTTCGGCCTGCGCCGGCTCGTCGTCGCCCGCCGCAAGCTGGCCGTCATCCGCGCCGAGCTGACCGCGCGGGGCGTCCCCCTGCACGACCCCACCAAGCGCGACGTCGCCATCCCCGTCGGCGCCGCCCTCGCCGGCATGGGGCTCGGCGCCGAGATCGGGAACCTCGTCGGCGGGATGATGCCGGCGCCCGATTTGCCGCCGGGGACGCATTTGGATCAGGCGGGGTGCGTGGTGGGCGATTTGGCGGGCGCGGGGGAGGGGTTCGTGCATGGGTTGGCGGATCAGAGCCATGTCGTGGGACATGCGGTGCAGGAGCATGTTGCGGGCGCGTTGGCGGGGCATGTGGGCGCCGAGGCGGCGGCGAGTGGCGCGGGTGACGCGGCGGGGAATGGGCACGCGGTCGGGTATGTGGCGGGGATATTGGCGGCGAAGAAGACGGAGGAGTTTATTGCCGAGTGTGTGGGTGAGGCTGTGTTTGCGTATGCGTTGGAGAAGATGCTGGATCCCGAGATTAGGGCTGAGTTGGCGCTGAAGGGCAAGTGTAGTCGGTTGTTGGGGCCCCTGGGGCAGTATTGTAGGGGGTGTGGGCAGTCGATTAGGGAGGGAAGGTTTGCGCGTAAGTTTGGGGCGGGGACGGTGCTGGTGGGGGATTGCGATGCTGATGGTTGGTGTGTGCAGATTGCTGTCAGGGTGCCGATGACTATGATGTCTGCATGCCGTGCTTCGCCAACGGCGTCAACTGCCAGTGTGCTGACCGCCAGATGGTCATCATGCAAAAGTCTGTTGCCGGCGACGTGGTGATATCCGAAAAGGGAGACTCGTGTAGGCGACTTGCCAGTACCGGCGTGAACTGTGTCGGTTGCCAGAAGGAAGTCACCCAAGGTCGTTACTACTGTGCGATTCCCACCCAGCCATCTGCCAGTCAGGCCAGCTCACTGACAGGCTTGCAGACTGCGATTCTTGCAACCAAAGCAAGGATGGGTATGACCTGTGCGAGTCCTGCTATGGCTCCGGGCAAACGTGCGAAACCCCAGACGAGCATCGTCTATACGTCTATCTGAAGGCCAATGTTTCGAACAATGTCGGCCCCTACGCTTACGTCTCATCCGAGGCTGTGCCTTGCAGCACCTGTGAGAAGCACGTGGAACAAGGGCCATACTACCGTGAGTTGTTCAGCCCGTCTTGGCAAGCATTACCGGCACTAATGCTTTCAAGACTGCCCTCATTGTGGAGATTTCGCCATGTGCGAGCGGTGTTACGAGATGGGGCGGTCGTGTAGAGACCGTGATGCCGGCCATATACTTATCCGCTACTACGCCTACTCTGCCATGTACTCGGTCTCTGGAGACTTTCACGACAAGACGTGTAGATTCTGCAAAGGCGCATTGGGCAAGTCAGGAGACTCTTTCTACCGTAAGTGCTGTCCCCACGTGGCTAGCTTGAAGCTTATCTTGCCGCAGGTTGCACCAAGTGTGATGACGGCCATTACGACCTCTGCGGCGGTTGCTACACGAAAGGCGCAGGCTGCGAAGACCGGTCGCATTCTCTGGCGAAGTTCACTATCCAGTAAGTTGACTGGTTGGGACGGCAGACAGACCAAAGCCGTGGCGGTGAAGCCGAGACCATTGTCCATGAGGCCAAGTCAGCCGAGTTTTGCTCTGGTGCAACCACGAGCCTTTCCGGAAATGATGGTTCCTATGCCAGACGGTCATGTACAGGACCAGAGTGTCGAAGCGGACTGTTCCACGTGTGTCTACCGTGGCTGGAACCCGACGTGACGCCACGGTCCAAGAGCCACAAGACGTCGTTGTGGCTGAGCCTGCTTATCAGCACTATTGTCCATCACACGTGCAGCGCCCTCTATTCGCCTTGACCGGCACCAGCCGGACGCTGTGATGAACGAGCTACTAGTTGGAAATAGGGGTAAGCGCAGGCGCTTAGCGCTTGCTGTTCATGGTAGTTCCGGAACACCATGGTTCCGGGACTCGCAAAAACTGGGACCGCACCAATCATCCCCCAAGTGGTTGTGGCCTGACGGTCCTTCTGTCCCCGGCGAGTCTGGGGTCTAGGCGTCGAGGCTGTTTTCAGCTACCGGCTACGCCTAGACGTCCTTCGTCTTGCTCTTTCGCCGTATATATGATCATGTGTACCCCTGCACACCTGTTGGCTGCACAAGCCCCTTGCCTGGTATTCCTCTCGAAATGGCCAACAACGCATTTCTTACCGATGAGGAGATCACCCAATTCTTGGATCAGCTGGACCGCTACAGGGACGGGAAAATCGACTATCGGGAATTGCAGCACAGGCTCGACCAAGCCCACAACGACATCACGCCGGATCCACAGCCGGACAACATCTATCACGACGCCAAGGAACGCCATCGTTTCCTGCGCAGCATCGTCGGCACCGACGAGGACCACATCCCCCGAGCCGAGCTTGCTCAGCGGATTCGGGAGTGGGAGATTCCTTCGTTGGAGCAATCCAGGAAAGAGGAGCAGGATGAGAAGGACTACGTGAGCAACCTGTCGATATGGAGACGGGTGCGCGCCTACTGGGCGGTGCACGGCCCGGAATTTCTCTTCATTGCCCTGGTCGTCGGCATGCAGCTTGCTTTCGGAGTCTGGCAGCTGGTCAAGTACGTCGTCATCGTCGAATACCGCGAGGCTTTCGGATGGGGTGTCGTGCTGGCCAAGGCGTGTGCTGGCGCCCTCTGCCCGACCTTCTTCTTTCTCATCCTGAGCATGAGCCGATACTTTTCGACTATTCTCCGGAGATCATACCACATCTCTCGCTTCATCAACTTCGATCTGTCTCAAGAGTTCCACATCAAGATTTCCTGCGTGGCTCTTGCGCTTTCGACTCTGCACGCAATTGGCCATTTGACCGGGACCTTCATCTACGGCACTTCACCCCAAAGTCAGGCTAAAGTCGCCATCCTGCTCGGACCCGCGGCGGCCAACCAGCCATACAGTTCCTATACTTCGTCTCTCCCGGGTTGGAGCGGTATGGTAGCGCTTGGGCTATTCTGGACGCTTGCCCTCTGCAGTATGCCCGTGGTCCGCAAGTGGAACTACGACATCTTCCAGCTCAGCCACCTGCTGATGTACCCCATCATCGGCCTCCTGATGGCTCACGGCACCGCTTCTCTCCTGCAATGGCCCATGCTCGGCTACTTCCTCGCCTTCCCCACGCTCCTGATCCTCGTCGAGAGAGTGACGCGCGTGGTTGCCGGTTTCCAGCGCATCCCGGCAACAGTCAGGATCCTCGATGGCGAGACGGTCGAGATCAAGGCCGAGGTGCCCAAGGAGCGCATCTGGAAGTACCAGGCGGGCAAGTACGTCTTCCTGCAGGTGCCACAGCTCAGCCTCTGGCAGTGGCACCCCTTCACCGTCTCCGTGTGCATCGGCCGCGAGTTCCAGCTGAACATCAAGACCGACGGCAACTGGACGCGCCGGCTGCGAGATTTGGCAAAGGCGTCGCCAGACGGCAAGACGGCGCAGATCGACATCGGCATCAACGGGCCCTTCGGCGCCCCCGCCCAGCGCTTCCACGACTTCAGCCACACCATCGTCGTCGGCGCCGGCATCGGCGTCACCTCCTTCTCCGGCATCCTGGCCGACCTGCAAGCCCGCAACGACCGCGTCCACTCCTGCTCGCCCACCGACGAGAAGCAACGCGACAGGAAGCCCTCGCTCCGCAACTGCCACTCAGACTCCTCGCTCGCATCCTCCGCCTCATCTTCATCCCACCCCGACTCCCACTCCCCGCTTCCCCCACCACCCGCCTCCGAGAACAAGCCCAACAAGAAACCCAACACGAGCAAACTCGAAAAAGCCCCGCACAACACCACCACCCCCTACGCCGCCGACTACCGCCGCTGCGACTTCCACTGGATGGTCCGCGACCGCAACTACCTCTACTGGTTCTCGGACCTCCTCAACCGCATCTCGCGCTCGCAGGCGCGCTACCAGCGGGCGCGGCGCGAGTCGCGCGCCCCCTCGACGCTCGACATCCGCATCAACACGCACGTCACGCAGCGGCGCGACGCGCTCGCCGTGCACGTCTACCGCTGGCTGCTGGAGAAGCAGCGGCGCCCCGCGCACGGCCGCCACCACCGCCCCAGCGTGAGCCCGCTGACGGGGCTCGTCTCGCCGACGCATTTCGGCCGCCCGGACTTCGTGGCGATCCTCGATGAGCATTATGAGGACATGCGGAGGTATCGGATGAGTCTTGTGGCGAGGGAGAGGGAGGAGGAGGAGGATGTGGAGGGGAGGAGGAGGGGAGGGGGAGGCGGCGGCGCCGGTGCCGGTGCCGAGCCCGGCTGCTGCATTGCGGGTAGGAGTGGGAATCGGTTGAGGGTGGGCGTGTTCTTTTGCGGGGCGCCGGTCGTGGGCGAGATCTTGGCGGATCGGTGCAGTGCGTTGACGGCGAGGGGGCGGGCGGATGGGAGCAGGGTCGAGTATTATTTCATCACCGAGGTTTTTGGGTAGGTGGTTTCGTGGAGAAATTAAACTTTTCTTATTCATTTCTTGTTCATTTGATATTGCGGACTGCGGTGTGCTGGGCGATCGATCTTTGGGAGTGTGCGTGTGCGTGTGCGGTGCCGGTGCCACGGATATGCCCGACTGTCGTATGCCGGTCTGTCTTGCCTACTCGTCTGGCGGATATTTGTCCGACGGCGATCTTCCTCCAATGAGGTGTCCATTCCACCCACGCTGCTCACACCCCCCCGTGGGGTACACCCGGTTTGAAAAACTGGGGAACATGCTTTCCCCGCACTTTGAGGAAATCGTTGATAAAGGGTGTCTCCGCATTTTATCCCGAGCGGCAGCCGTCCGTTTCGACGGTTTCTTTCAGTCAGGAACAGTTTCTGCCGTTCTGAGATTGCCGTCTTCCTCTTCGCCAAGTGGCAGTTCAGCCGCAGTTCCTATACCAAAGGCGCCGATATGCAGCACGCGAAATCCGGATCCGTCGAGGATGTCGAAAAAATCGAAACTACGACACCGTTGCCGGATGATTTGCCATTGCCGGAATGCCTTGCTCACTTGAACTCGGACGAGCTTCGTCAACTCGAGAAGAGCCTTGTTCGGCGACTCGACTGCACGCTGTTGCCAGTGGTGTTGCTTTTGTTTCTGCTTAACATCATGTCCGTCCACTTTCCACTCAGCAAAATAGCTGGGGCTGACACGCCATAGAGACCGAAACAACATCGCCAGCGCGAAGATTGTGGGCATAACGGAGACACTCAACTTGACCAACAATCAGTATAACACGTGCCTGCTTTTGTTCTACGTGGGTTGTAAGTGAAGCTGGGTGGTTGCATCCAACGTCAACGTTGACAAAGCGTCGGCAGATGTCATCACGCAGGTCCCATCGAATCTCATCATCGGCAAAGTCAGGCCATCACTCTACATATGCAGTATCACGTCTGCGTGGGGCGTGATATCCATGTGCCAAGGCTTCACCAAGAACTTCGCAGGCCTTGCCGTCACCAGGACGATTCTTGGTCTCGTTGAGGGTAAGCACCTACCGAACTCGAGCAACACAATCCGTCCGACTAACCATTCAGCTCCGTTCTTGCCTGGAGTGTTCGTGCTCATGTCATGCTGGTACAAGCGAAGCGAGCTTCCGGTACGCATCGCCATTCTGTACGGCGGCAACATGCTGGCGACGGCTTTCTCAGGCCTCATCGCCGCGGGCAGTAAGCTCCCTGCTCCCCAAACACCCCAACGCGTCCACACCCTCGTCTCACACCACCACCCCCTCCAGTCACATCCCGCATGGACGGCAAAGCGGGCCGGCCCTCGTGGGAATGGCTCTTCATAATCGAAGGCGCCATGACCACCGTCATCGCCCTCCTCGTCATCCCCCTCCTCCCCGACTACCCCCTCCAATCCCCGCACCGCTGGCTCTCCCCCCCGCACCAATCCCTCGCCGAGCACCGCATCCGCGCCGAAAACGCCGGCATCCCCGACACGGACCCCTCCAGCGCGCTCTGGGGCCTCCAACAGGCGCTCCTCGACCCCAAGCTCTACGCCTTCACCCTCCAACAAATGTCCCTCATCACCGCCCAATCCTTCAACAACTTCTTCCCCTCCATCGTCAGCACCCTCGGCTACCCCCCGACCACCACCCTCCTCCTCACCGCGCCCCCCTACCTCCTCGCCTTCCTCGCCAGCCTCCTCGTCTCCCTCCACGCCTCGCGCCGGTCCGAACGCGGCCTCCACATCGCCGCCTGCCTCGCCGTCGCGCTCCTCGGCAACCTCCTCGCCATGCTCGCGCCCGGCGTCCCCGCCCGCTACGCCGCGACGTTCCTCATGACCGCGGGGGCGTACGCGCCGTACAACCTGTGCGTCGCGTGGCTGTCGGCGTCGCTGCCGCGGCCGCGCGCCAAGCGCGGCGCCGCGCTGGCGGTGGTCAACTTCATGGGCGCGGGCGTCGCGCACTTTTACACGAGCTACATGTTTCCCGATTCGCAGAAGCCGCGGTATTATGCGGGCGGTGGCGTCATGAGCGGGGCGTGCGTGGTGGCGGCGGCGGTGGCGGCGGGCATCAAGTGGCATTTGAGGAGGGAGAATGAGAGGTTTGAGAGGGAGGAGCGCGAGGGGGGGCCGGAGGGGTTGGCGGCGGTGGGCCGGAAGAGGGGGATTGTGGGGGCGAGGGAGGGGGAGGGGAGCGGCGCGCAGGCTGTGGTGAGGTTTCGATATGTGCATTAGAGGGAGGGAGGGAGGGTGCTGGTTGTGAGAAATACTTGCTGTTCCACATCGGGGCGGAGGACCGCACGCTCTCTTCAAGGTATGGCTTCTTGGAAGATGTAGGTCAGTGTCCGACGTCTGTTTGATTTTTCCTTCATAAATCGTTGACTCTGTATGATGTGGACAGTGAGAAGTGCTAGTACTTTTAGATTAAAATACCTACTGCATTAACTGCGTAGTTATTTGCCTCTCCAGTTTGTAAAGGAGTCTTCTTATTTTTGCGTATCGAGCTAACGACTAGCTGGGCATACACGTACCCAAAGTGTACTCTGCTCTTCCGTACCACACTGTGCTTTGCCCTAAATTCCTTTTCGCGGCTGTGAAGAAGGAATGCTGAAGCGCCAGTACGTAGACGGCAGTGTCAGATTAAGCTTGAATAGATGCTTGTCTCCCCTGTTGGCTGTGCCGTTACAAGTCCAGGTAGCTTGTCTTATTGCGGGGTCGTACAGACAAGGGTGCGAAGCTGCTGTCTCAGACCCGCAATCCAGACGGGGCAGTAAATACCATGAGCAAGGCCCAGAGCGACTCCTTTCGAGCAGCTAGACCTCGGTTTTCGATATTTCCCTTGTGGAATTTTCTGTACTTATTTCAGAAGCTATTGTAGTTCACCAGTTGCTGAGTGACTTTGGAAGCTTCTTGGCCTGTTATCATAGAGCAGCTCGCGTCGTTCTGTATCCGGTAATGTTAGCATCGATCAACATCGCGTCATTGCCAATCCCTCGAGGATCAGCGCAATCTGTGACAACTCCCGTCTCTTTCACCGCAATGAGCTTGTTCGAGAAAACTGGCGATGGGCAGCTACGACAAGGCTGAGGCTGGGCCAGCGGCTAGGCTGAAGCTGTGGCGTTGGCGCCATTACTCAGTCCTCGAACGTCGCTTCAGCCAGCGTGTCGCATCCAGGAATGAGTGTCCTGGACGTCTTACCCGAGAACACGTAGAATGCCTTAGGTCTCAGGATGCTCACTACCGCATAACATGCCACGTTTAATGTCTTGCTGCTATTTATCTTTGCTCACTTGTAGACCCAACTCGTGAAAGCTCAATGGGGACGTGATTGCCGGGTAAGTCTGGCGCGTTTATCGCTGTGGGGCTTACCCGACGGGCAGTCCCAATCGGATTGCATAGAATATCGTGACAGTGTACGAGACCAGCGTAGTATTGAATAGCACAGTAAAGTCAAGACTACGCTATGATTGGCAATCGTTGTCATCATCTAAAAGCGATACTACGAAATGTCGCAGCTGCTTGCCGAGCGTCTGTTGCTGACGCGTCCAACACCCGGACTATTTCTACACCGCATTAGATTAGCGAAGAGATGCAGCCTGGATAAGCTTGTTGGTGGGGGGACGACTCCATGATCACCGTTATGCGGGGCGCGGAAGAGAGGCGATCCGGGCAAAAGGCCCCCAGCTTTGCCAGTTTCAGACGCTGCCGCTCACACGGTGCCTGTCTCATAGCCACATACGGCAAGTGATGGCCCCTCGCAACTCAATCTGGGCATTGAGAGTGCCCAGTTGAAAAAGCCCGAAGGCCTCCTGGTTGCTCATTCCATCTTTCACTCAGCATCACTTCAACGCTCTCTCTCTCTCTCTCTCTCCGAAGTTCAAGACATTCCTTTGTCGCCGGCCGACTCGCTACATCGATACCCGAACGCTTCTTGTGCATAATATCTACACCTTAATTCACCATGAAGTTCACCCTCACTGCCGTTTTCTTCGCTTTCCTTGGCATCACTGTGGCTGCTCCCATCGGTAAGTCCCCTTTATGCACCGCCGCTCTCTTATAGATACTGACGGATGCGCTTGAAGCCGACCCGGGTGACACTGCTCCCGTCATGGCCAACGGCGGAGATCCTGTGCCCTTCGCCAACACCGGAAACCCAGGGAACGCAATGAACCAGTAGATGTTCTTGGCGTCACGGACGAGTTGGAGAGGCGCTACTGTTGGACTGGTGCAAGGTCGCGGTCATCAGTGAACTCGGCAGCTTTGGAGTGGACGATACCCAGATTGAGCAGAGCAGAACTATTTTGGCAAAGGATGACGCTCATCGGTCATGCTCTCGCGCCATGGCTCAATTGAATACTATTATTGATGATCAAAAGCCCTTTATCAATGTGACATGTAACATCTGCATGCATTCCGTATGATAATCTATAGATGGGCAATTGGTCACGCCCGGAATAGACCCCCTGACAATTGCATTCTCCCTCGGAGAAGTTGCATCAGCATCTTCAGTGAGTGGCTTCAAAAGTGGGGCAAAGTTGCATCTTCAGTTGCCACTTCGAGAATGGCGCCGGGTGAGCCCAGAGTGCACCCACCCTGCAGCCTGCGAATCATCAATGAATGCTTCATCATCAACGTCTACTATGGCCGATGAATAGGCTCTACCATGCATCATGCCTACCAACGTTGCCGTAAGACCAGGAGAAGCTCAAGCAGATGGGTTCTGCTCGGTATCCCATCAAAGCGGAGCGGCAGCGGGTAGCGGCTGTTTTATAATTGTGGATCGCTTTATAAGCACCCCATGTCCGCTTCAAATTTTGCAAACATTGTCGTTTGGGTTTCCGCAAGCGGCAATGGATCCGAATCGGGCATTTGTTGCTGAGCAAAGAACTGTCACGACAGGATTTTCTCGGCCGTCGTCCGAACCCCCTCTCGGGTTTAAATGTGTAGCTACACAGTCGCCGAGACAGCTAGCAGTGGCGGTGTAGGCGCAGCACCCCACTCTGCACAAGGCATGACGCTATAGGCTCTCCTGGAGCAATGGTCTGATAGCCTTGATTCCTGATTTATCAGCAAACATCAACTCAACCCCAGCTCTATAAATCCACCACCAACCTTCTCTCCCGCAGCCACCACCGCATTCATTCCACACCCAACCCCGGCAACCAACCATGACAAACTCCGAACTCATCAACACCGCCGCCCCCGGCGTAAGCCCCTCCTCCCCCACCTCCACCACCCCCCAAAACTAACCCACCCACCCACAGGTCCCCTACTTCACGCCCTGGCAAGCCACCCCCGCCGGCACCGCCCTCAACCCCCAACCCAACAACAAGCCCCTCCCCAAACTCTTCACGCCCCTCCAAATCCGCGGCCTCCGCTTCCAAAACCGCATCATGCTCTCCCCGCTGTGCCAATACTCCGCCCGCGACGGCCACGTCTCCGACTGGCACCTGGCGCACCTGGGCGGCATCGTCTCGCGGGGGCCGGGGATCAGCATGGCCGAAGCGACGGGCGTGACGGCGGGAGGGAGGATAACGCCGCAGTGCCCGGGCTTGTGGAAGGCGTCGCAGGTGGAGGCGTGGGCGCGGGTGGTGGCGTTCGCGCACGCGCAGAACCAGCGGGTGGGGGTGCAGCTGGCGCACGCGGGGCGCAAGGCGGGCACCGTCGCGCCGTTTTTGAGCTTTTCGGCCAAGGCGCCCGAGGCGGATGGAGGGTGGGGCGGGGACGAGGTGGTGGGGCCGAGCGCGGTGGCGTACGATGCGAACGTGCATGTGCCGAGGGAGATGACGAAGGGGGATATTGGGGAGGTGAGGGAGGCGTTTGCGAAGGCGGCGGGGAGGGCGGTCGAGGCGGGGTTCGATTTCGTGGAGATTCACAATGCGCATGGGTATTTGCTGCATTCGTTTTTGTCGCCGGTCGCGAATCGCAGGACGGATGAGTATGGCGGGTCGTGGGAGAATCGGACGCGGTTGACGCTGGAGGTGGTGGATGCGGTGAGGGCCGCGATTCCGGAGGATATGCCGCTGTTTTTGCGCATCTCGGCGACGGATTTCCTCGAGGAGGTCGAGGGGTTCGGGCCGGAGAAGAGCTGGACGCTGGAGGACACGATTGCGCTGGCGGAGATTCTGGCGGAGCGCGGCGTCGACGTCTTGGATGTCAGTGCTGGCGGACAGCATCCCGCGCAGAAGATCAAGGGCGGACCCGCGCACCAGGCGCCCTTCGCCAAGGCCATCAAGGAGAGGGTTGGAGACAAGATGCTCGTGGCCACGGTCGGGACCATTACCGATGGGAAGATGGCGAACCAGTTGCTGGAAGACGGCCTGGATATCGCCGCCGCCGGCCGCCTGTTCCAGAAGAACCCGGGTCTGGTGTGGGCATGGGCCGACGATTTGGATGTCCAGATCGAAAATGCGCAGCAGATTGGCTGGGGTTTCATGGGCAGGGGCAAGAAGGGAAAAAAGATCAACACCTTTTTGACGGCTGAGTGATCAATGGCCGCGGGTCATGATTTCCAGAGAAGAAAAAAAGATAAGCATAGAGTTGCATAGAGATGGAGAATAGAATACAGTCTTCAAGCGCTTAAGTGATAAAGGATGGGCGATATTTTCAACAACTCATGAGAGGCATAAGAGAACCGCTCACCTCCACAACTCCCTCCACACACAAACCGTTGCTCCACCAAAGGACCCTGTTTCCCCCACTACCACCACCACCACCTCCTCCTTCTCAATCCCCCGACCCCTTCAGCTCCACATTCCTCTCAATCGCCTTCCCCAACCTCTCCGTATCCCTCGGCCTAAACACAACCTTAAAATGCCTGCTCATCGTGACCAAACTCGTCGGATCGGCGCTCCCGGAGACGGGATCCATATCGACATCCTTCGCCCACGGAACCGGGTGGCCGTGCGGATCGTACACGACATCGTCATCACGGCCATCCGCACGCGACTTCTCAGACGAGGACGGGGCGGGGACGCAAGGCAGGATCTCGAAGCAGTTGAGGGTGCGCAGGAAGATGAGGTAGAGCTCGCGGTTGGCGAGGAGCGAGCCGGCGCACATGCGGTAGCCGAGGCCGTAGGTGAAGAGCGGGGCGTCGGGTTGGTCGAGCCAGCGTTCGGGCCGGAAGGTGGTGGGGTCGTGCCAGATGTCTGGGTCTGAGGGAGGTGTTAGTTACTGTTATTGGGAGAGGGGGGGAGAGAGAGAGAGACACTCACCCATGTTGCACGCCCACGCGTTCAGGAAGATGGTGGTGCCGGCCGGGATCAGCTTGCCCTCATAGTAGACGTCTTTGATCGTGGTGCGCGGCAACGCCAGGCGCAGGACGCAGAAATAGCGCAGACACTCGCGCACCAGCGCCGCGACGTACTCGACCTTGCCCTCGTCCTGGGCGTCGCACAGCGGGTCCGCGTCTGCGGGGTACACCTTGCGGATCTCGGAGATGGCCTTGCGCTGGATGTCCGGGCGTTGTGCCAGTAGGCCGACGCTCCACTGGACGAGGGTGGTGATGGTGTCGAGGCCGCCCGAGAGCATGGTCAGAGAGATGGACGTCAGCTCCTCCTTGTTGAGCGAGGCTTCCTTGTCGAGGATGACGTTGGCCTGGATGCACGGCTTGTGGGTGCCGGCGGCCATGCGCGCGTCCAGGTTGGTGTTGAGGCGGTTGAGGTACACGTCGCGGCGGTTGCGCACCTCCTTGCTGCGCGTCTTGGCCCAGCGGTCGAACGGGTTGAGGCGCAGCAGCGGGATGTAGTCCTGCAAGTTGCCCGTCGTGCTGCGGAAGCGCGAGATGTCCTCCTCGACCTCGGTGATCTCGGCGAACATGGGGTCGTCGCGCGAGCCCAGCCGTGTGCCCCAGTTGAGCGTCAGCGACAGCGACAGCGACAGCCGCTGTATCATGGGCATGGGGTCCACGCCAGCCGCACCGCCGGAGCCGTATTCGAGTCCTTCCTTGACGAAGTCGCGCGTCTCGCGGTCCAGGTGGTCGATGTAGGTGGCGATGCTGGGCTTGTTGAGGGCCGAGGCCGCGCCCTTGCGCCGACGCTTCAGGCTCTCATTGAAAGGGCTGGTCCCGATGGTGGTGCCGGCCGTATTGCTGACGACCTTGTGGAAGGTGTGGAAGACGGGGCGGCTTGACAATGCCTGGCTGTTCTTGCCAAACAGGTCACGAGCTGCGGCGGCGCTGTTGACCACAATGACTGGCACGTTCCCCAGCTGGATCTGGTATACCGGCCCGAACTGCTTGCTCCATAGACGGTACTGCTCGGCCGCATTAACGCGGATGTGATGGATGTTGCCGATGATGGGTAGACCGGTGGGGCCTGCGAAGCCTGGTATTTGGGCTCGTAGTCGGACGAATTCCTGGGAGATGACGTAGACTAGCAGAATGAGGACGGGCACAACGAGGACGGTGCGAATGGGGTGTTGGAGCGTCTGCAATTCGACGAAGCTAACCGCGTCGGCAATCATGGTGGGCGGCAGGCACGGCTGTTCGGTCAAGGTGGTGTTGGTGGTGAGGCAGCTCCAGCAGGATACTGCCGGAAGCTCTGATCTAGATATGGAGGCCCCCGCGGAAACATTGCGCTTGTGGGGAAGGGTTAAGCTTCTCCGTGAGCTGCGAAACCCGAGGCTGGCTATAGGACGTCTGCGTCGTAGCTGCCATTCCCGCTGATTGGCCTTGCATAGTGCGGGGAAGGAACAGCGGAACGCCCCCGCGCCCCATGCGGAATCGGCGCGGGACGAGGCCTCTTTCGGTAATTCCGGACGCCTGCCAAACTTATATCAGCACTCTTCTGAGTCGACGCCTTTGGCCATCTCCGGATCCCGCATTGAGCGCCGCCGCGGCCGTTACAGAAACCGCTAAGAACATGGGTCCGGTGAAATACTTACTTGCAGAGAAAACGGCAGCGAACTGCTGGCTACATCCCATACGCAGTACCATTGGATTCCGCAAGGGAGCGGTTGAGATAAGATGCGATCATCATTGGTGAAGATTCAAATCGAAAGGACGTAGCTATGGCCATTATCTGCAGCACAGGGGTATCTGATTTGAAGGAGATGAAGAAGCCGTAACACCAAACACCAGGCACCGACACCTCCATTGCGCCATAACTTCACCAGAACGGCTACTAAACGTGAACCATCACCAGTTCCAAGTCCTCGATGACGCTGTGAACACTGGGGGCTTCCACTGCAGTTTTTCGGGGTCAATGCCGCGTCTCCCTTTGACTTTCTCCTTCTCTTTCTGGCGGTTACGCTGTTCGATGACAGCGTCCGTGAGGACGATGACGTGTTGGTTCTTCTACACCGCACGTTAGCAGAACCCGGGCGGAACACGAGAGTGGTGTAAGCTTACCGAATACCGCAGCATGTTGAGGTTCTGCAGCGTATGCAGCACGTCATTGGTCGTCATGGCTGTCAACGCGCCAAGCTCTTCCACGTTGGCGTCGGCACGACCGTCCATCAGCAGGTCCACGATAGTCTCTTGCCAGTACGCGCGGTAACCCAGCAGACCTAGATCGGACAGGGGCTTCTCGGGGCTGCCGAGCTTGCCTTCGCGCTTGGACAGCTCGTAAGAGAATGCAATGAGCAGTTTCCCGAACCCCTTCCGTTGGTATTGCGGCAATGTCAGGATACAGGCAACGTTGTATCCTTCGGCGCTTTCCTTCTCCTTGGAGAAGTAGCCAACCAGATGAACGCCATGCTCGTCGCGAGTGCACATGCAATAGAAAAGGAAGGGGTCGACATCGTAGTACAGCGTCTTGTGGTCCAAGAAGAGCTTTGACAGCAGACAAAGGTTGCGGCACCATGTCCGTTGTCTCCTTCCATCGATCTCGAAGAAGCTGACGTAGTCGTCGCGGTAGATCTCGTTGCCGGGTGGGTGGAATAGCTCGCACTTTGACCGATGACGCTCGAATTGCTTTTGCTCGCCGAAGTAACCCAAGCAGAACTCGCAGATGTGGACCATGTCTATTTCGGTGAATTCCACCGGGTAGGGGGAGAAGTACCACGGCTCCACCTCGAATTGCCCCATTTGGATGCGCTCTAGGTTTCTGACGCGGGAGATCTCGGTCTGGTTCTGCGTCATGGAACCAGAAGTACGCAGTTTTTCGATCTCGTCCTCGCGCGAGTAAATCTCGTTTGGGACGGCTTTGGCAGCGGCGGCAGCGTCCTGCACGTCGACCAGGTCCATTTCGTCATCCTCAGGACGCGGAGTCTCGCCATCGGCAAGCTCTGTAGAGACAATGACACCAGAGTCTTTGTTCTCCTTGCCGCCAGCGGTTGAGGGTTGCGGACGCTTTCCAGGGATGTTGGCCGAAGTTGGCTCGGGACCAGGGGTCGAAGAAATCTCGCGATCAAGCTTTGATCGCTGGCGCTTGATGTTCTTCGAGGACTTTTGGCTATCAGCCTTGGAGGTCTGGTTTTTGCTGGCAGATGACTTCTTCTTATCGGGCTTCTCCGGAGCCGGCCACTCGACCTCGCGGCTGAGATCGATGCGCTCGGCGGCAATCCATTCGTCCAAACGCTTGTTGAACTCCTCATAATGAACGTAGAAGCGAGGCTTTCCTTGGCGATGCTGGATAGAAAGGATTTCGGCTTTGCGTTTTTCGCCATCCTGCAGACGTCAGGGCGAGAACCGAAAGATGTAAAAGCTCGAGGCGATATTGAGAAAAGAAAAAATTGAAGTAAGATTTGATGAACAGGCAAGTGCAAGCGTATTGAAAGCATAGATCAGACGGCGGTTGTGGAGTTGTTGGCGACGTACCTTTTCCACGAACGCCTTCACTCCAACCCTATGCGGAAGTGTCAGTGCGCTGGGTGCAAAGCTGGCGGGTCGGCGAACGAGCGGCAACTCACCTCAGTTGGGCGAGAGTGGCATAGCCACGCTCGACGGCTTCGGGGGTACCGGCGGGCTCGTGCGACATGTCGCGAGGGGCCATAGACTGGTGCGCAGCTGTCTTCCAAGAGCCGAGGATTATGGCGATGGGAGGGCGATGATGCTGTCGCTCTTTGGCTCGCAGTGCTGGTGATGAAACGCGACCGTGAAAGCGCGACCGCGGCGGTGGCGATCGGCGAGTCGGCGGCTGCGCCCTGGCCCACGTGATCTGCATTTCCCTCTCCCGCTCGAAAAGTTTCCAGACGCCGCAACTCCGACAACACCACCCTTGTTCTCCGCCCATTGCGCTCTGCTGCTGTCGCGGCCCCCCTTCCGATCCACTGTAGTGGACGCCAAGTGTCAGCCCCTCCCTCGCTGCCCGAACGCCCCGCAGCGACAGCGATCTTGCACATACGATGGATCTCAAGGCCCTGTCCAGCAACTGGAAGAAGCTGCAACAGACGCTGCAAACCACCAGCTCCACCAAGGAGAAGAAGGACCAAAAGCCCATCCTCAGCCGCAAGAACCCCAAAGAAGCCTCCTCCAAGATCACCAAACGCGCAAAGCCCAACACGACCGCGTCCGCAAAATCCAAAGACTTCAAAAAGCGCAAAATGGGCTCTCTCCTCTCCACCGCGCAGGAACCCTCGCAGCCCTCCACCACCCCGCCTTCCGCCACCCTCGCCCTCTTCGCCGAAGACCACGGCATCCCCGTCGCCGACGTCGCCGCCGCCTACAACCTGCCCACGCGCAGCACGACCAACCTCCCCACCACCACGACCAACGCGTCCGACGTCCCCAACGGCGGCCTGACCGCAACCGTCACGCCGGGCAAGTACGTCGCGCTGGACTGCGAGATGGTCGGCGTCGGCCCCACGCCGGACCAGGACTCGCAGCTCGCGCGCGTGTCCGTCGTCGACTACCACGGCGCCCAGCTCTACGACTCGTACGTGCTGCCCAAGCTGCCCGTCACCGACTACCGCACCGCCGTCTCGGGCATCACGCCGGCGCTGCTGCGCCCGGGCTTCGCGCGCCCCTTCGCCGACGTGCAGCGCGACGTGGCGGCGTTGCTGGAGGGAAGGATCCTGGTGGCGCACGCGGTGAAGAACGACTTGGATGCGTTGATGCTCGGGCACGCGAAGCGCGACATACGGGATACGTCGCGGCACCCGGCGTTTCGGAAGACGAGCATGGGGAAGGCGCCCGCGTTGAAGAAGCTCGCGAGGGAGTTTTTGGGGGTGGAGATACAGGGGGGTGAGCATTCGAGTGTGGAGGACGCGAGGGCGACGATGCTGTTGTTTCGGAAGGAGAAGGATGCGTTTGAGGCGGAGCATGCGAAGAGGTGGGGACGGCCGGAAGGAGGCGATTCGGGAGGCAAGAAGAAGAAGAAGGGGAGGAAATGAGGGGGGATAGAATAGGTGTGGGTCATTGAGGAAGCATATTGCATGGAAGTTTTTTCGACACAAAAAGTTAAGATACCCCAGACAGTTATTCATGTTTCCTGCCTACATACCCTCGCCCCGCCGTGTCTCTCTCTCATCTCCGATCCCGCCGTTTCCCGCATGTCGGTCGCCCAGAGACACTGGGAGAGAGGTGACCTCAGCCAGAGTACTCCCGTCAACACTGCCCGGAGCAGACGAGCCCACTGGTGAAACGGCATCCTCGACACTGCACCTCGGCTTCTTTCCGCCGCATCCCTCACAGCGGCCGTCGTCTCTTTCCGTGCTTCACCTGTCGTCCTCCTTGGCTTCCTGTGTGCGTCCGACGGGACCTTGCGCAGTGATTTCCTCCCATCCCACCGGTCTCGCTTTCAGCTTCGGATGCTTCGAATCCGCCAAATCCAGCATCGCCAGCCTTTCCCCTTTCTCCGTAACTGGTACATCCCCGTCGCACTTGGACCACGTACCCATCCCGAGCTCCTCGTGCGCCAAACGTTGCAGCTGGAGCGTCTCGTTGGTACACCACTCCAGGCGCGCGTACGAGTCGAGCTTACAGCGACGTTGGACGTACGCGACGAAGGGTTCGAGGACCCACGAGGCCACGATGACGAGGCCGCCGGCGGCGAAGATGAAGAGAGGCCGAAAACAGAGAAGTTGCTGTAGGCGGTAGAGATGATTTTCTATAACGGCGGGGGGTGGGATCAAAGCGTTAGATCCAAGCCAATCAAACCCACTCCACCGCCGAGAGTGGTGGTGGTGGTGGGGGGAAGGAGTTTACACGTCACTCACCTGCCGTCTGCAAAGCGCCCTCTCCCTCTCATCCACCGGCCTCCGGTACTCTGCCCGCAACTCTGGCGCCGACGGGCCCTCGGCCACGGCGACAGCGCTCCCCTGCAAGCTGGCCATCATGATCGAGTGCCACCGTTCTACATCACGCTGCCACTGGTCGGGCGGCAGCGGCGCCTGGACACCGTTGTACAGCGTGAAGGAGGAGCTCAACGACTGGCTACCGATGGTGTTGATGATGTCCCACAGCGCGGGCGGCTTCGCGAGGAGCAGCTCGACCAGCCGCCGCAGCCACCACGCCTCGTCCGCGCCCTGCTGCACGACGCTCGCCGCGTTCGCCTGCAGATCCAGGTTCGAGCTCAGCGGCGTGCAGCGGCGGCGGCTGCCCGCTTCTTCGCGGGGGTTGCAGATCTGCTGCTGCATGACGCAGCCGAGCACGGATGCCGGCTCGTCGCGGTAGTAGAACTGCGACTCCCCCGTGTTGTTGCCGCCGTAGACCCATGTGGTGCCGAAGAGGTTGTTGGCCGAGTACCACGGGTCGGCGACGGCGGCGGTGTAGCCGATTTCGTTGGCTGAGAGGAAGATCAAGACCATGTCTGCGTCTGCGCGCTGAAGAGACGGGATGGGCGCGAAGGCGGATTGGGGATGGATGGTTCCGTTGACGCCGTAGACTTGGCGCGTTCTGCGGGGAGGGGCATTTGTCAGTGGTTGCTGATATCAGGGTCTGTTGCGTTCGACTGCTTACCCTATGTTGTAGAAGGCGGGCGCTGTGTTGTACTTCACCGTCAAATCCGAAACGTTCGTCACGTACTCGTACGTCGCATTCGTCGTGTTCTCGAAAGGCGCCTGGCCGTAATAGTACAAGGTGTATGCCGGCTTTGTCCAGTTCCTCCCAGTACGAGACCACCATGTGCTTGTCTCGGGGAATTCCTGTTTGTAGCCTTCAGTAACGATGGGCGCGCAGTGGGTGGTGTGCCGGTATTGGAAGCGCCGTTTCGGAGGCAGGTTCACGCCAAAATCGTTGTTGAAGTCCAACAGCCCGGTATCGATGAAGATGTTCTCGTCGACGAGTTTACACATCTCAGGTCCGAACGGGCAGGATGCGTTATGCCAAACTTGGAAGTCCAGGCGCGGTTTGATGTAATCGTTGCAGCTGGCCGTGTTCGTGTCGTTCGTGTAGCACCGCTGCGCATATGTCGCGGACGAAATGACGTCGCGTGAGTTTTGAGGATACAAAATTTTGAGCACTTGTGGATATGTGAGGCTCTCGCCTGTGGCTATGCCGAAATCGGGGGTCTGGATGAGCACCTCGTTGCCGATGCCCGTTGAGACCCTTGAAGAGAAGCCCGATGCCACGCCAAAGGCGCAGAGAAATAGCGCAGTGGAGGTAATAAGCGGTACTATGCGGCGGTACGGCTTCGAGTCTCTACGTCGCCATGCCCACATGGCCTGAATGAAGCGAACAAGCCCACTCGCTCCATTCGCAGAGTTGCGCAGGATGGCCTGGCGTTGGTGGTAGATACCATCGCGTGTTTTGTCAGTAGAGAAGAGGCTGTGAAGGGCGAAGCATAGGATCCTCCAGAAGCTGGTGCCGACGATGGTAACAAAAAGTGCGATGAAAGCGATGAGGAGATCACCGTTGCGCCGTGGGAGGGTAAGGGTTCGTCCAAAGACCGGTCCGCGGGACCAGTTAGTCCAGATTCCAGTGAAGATCTCGTAGTGACTGGTTACACTGTTACTTTCGGTGTTAGCTTCCATGTTGAGGACGGGCCTGAAGTAGAGTAAGATGCTCTGGGCGGCTTGGTGAAGGACCGAAGATGACATACTAGCATTTATGTCCTCAACACTGTCTGACTTTAGAGACAAGTTCGGAATTGAGGATCAAGTAGTTCATATCTTTCTTGTATACGCGGTACAAGCACGATATCTGTACAAAATATTGCCATGTGGCTTTGTGCATGGAAGTCGTTGTCCCAAATATAGCTTACGGACCTCCTTAATGCAGTTCAGCACACCACGTATTCTTGCGCACGAAGTAGTTGAACTGTTTCACAATCTTACTTGACGTTGACTATTCAATGCCAGCTGAACATCTCGTGCAACGGCGTGCATGGCGTTGCTAAAACTTCAGCCTCGTTGCGGAAGCACATGAACGCTGCGTCAGCAGCTTCTACCAATGGGGTAGGACATTTGCAGCCAACTGTTCCCCAGTGCCGGACAGGCTTACGTTTTGGCCCCTTAACGTCGTCCATATCCATTCTGTCTGTCTCATATGCCTAACTCCTAGCAGGTGAAAGGAAAATCTACAACAGAAACGCCCTATCGTTACTCCTAACAAAATGAAACATCCAGCAAAAATGTCTTCCCCATGACGAACTGAGCACGCCATGGAGGTTACCACCAAAGGTGGAAATGCGCTAAAAATGGTACCTCAGCCTCGGGATGTCAGTCAGGCAAATGCCACTGCCAAGTGAGTTACTGTAGATGCGAAGATTAAAATTGTATATCGCGTTGTCTCAGCCGTCGACATGTCGCCAGTATTGCGGGACGCGGCCCTTTTCCCATCGTCGTCCTGCCACCGATCCCCATCGCATCATCTCGCCGCATCTCTCTCTCTTTCCAGCTGATGAGTGGGTCGCTAATGTTTTGGGCTTCCCTCGCCTCTTCCCACATCTCGGAAGAACTCTCGCGTCCGCGGAGCATCCCCAGGGCCGTACTCGTGATTGACCTGCTCTTGCTGGAACCCCGCTTCTCGAGGCCTCATATGCTTCCGAATTCGGCTGCTCTGTGGCTGTCTCTTGTATCAACACGAGCTCTGGGGGTAGAATCTATATCACGCGTTTACTCACTACAGTTGTTCCTTCCAGTCCATCGTCATCTACTGTGCCGGTCGACGATACGGCATCCAAATCTCGCGGAGGGGGGGATTTCGGCACTTGTCGAATACCCAGGGTCCGTATCACCTCGGACGCAAGCGGAGGCGTCTCAGTACTGGGCGAGGACCTCGGAGAAACGGTTTCAGACGCAACCCGGGGCACCGCCAAATCGTGACCGGGCGGCGGTAATGGCGATGGCCCCGGAGAAGGTGCAGCTTGAGGTGGAGAGGAACTTTCCGAACTATCACGGCGTTGGGCCGACGATGGCCTCAGCCGTTCCATCCGCCGTTGCCGTCGTACTTGGCCCCATCTCCGGTGCTGCTCGTTGGAAAGATCCCATATTTGCTTGCCGACGTTCAAGGTCGGCGTGGTTTTCTGCTGGCCGTAATCGAGCCGTTGGCGCGTTTTTTGGATCTCTTTATCTTGAAGCTTCAACAGCCCCCGGAGAGCATGGATCTGTTCTTCGAGAATCCTACTGCTGGGATGTCAGCCGTAAACCCTTGGGAATTGCCTTTCCGGTGCGTCGAACCAAGGCTCAGTGAGTTGCTCCGCCGGATCCCGCATCTTTTCCTCGAGCTCCACCATGCAGACAAAAAGCGTCATCGACGTCCTTATAGAATCGAGCTCCTGTCGCAGTGCCGTCATTTTTGATTTGTACAGATACCATCTCCAACGGAAGAGAAGCCTGTCCCAGGAATTCACCGTGCCTTCGCTGTCGGCAAGACTGAGCTCTTTGACCAGTCCGTTCATCTCCCCTATTATGAGCTCGTTCTCGCGTGCCATGTTGCTTCCAACGTCGTCTTGTTGTGCCATCTGTGCGCCCATGGAGTTTGCTTTATTTATCGTTGAGTGAAATTGTCTGAGCAGAGTCGTATGAATGGTCAAGCTGGAGTGGACCCGCGTGACTTCAGCATTGCTGTTCTTCATGGTCCCGATAGCCTCTGCGAGCTCTTTGCTTGTCGTCAGTGCGACATGAACGATTGCTAAGATGGCGCTTGCGGGCTCGACCATCGTGGCTCAATGGGCAGGGCCTCTGCTGTTTCGAACCAGTGCTGGCGTCACAGTTCTGAGGGATGTCAGCTTACTTATGATCGTCCTTTGACAAGGTTGAAGATCGGCGTCGTCACTAGCGAGCTATGGAGGCTCTTAAGGTGGTGAGAAGCCATCAAGGGTCTACGTGGCGCTGCATTGGCGACGCCGGATGCAACTGGCTGGAAGGAGGAGCAAAGGGTGGGGTAAGCGCCGAGCCGATTCGCCATGGGCCATTACACCGATTACGCATGTCAGCTACTTTGTAAAACCATCAGGTGGGCATGTGAAACCACTTCTTGAGTGCCTAAGGTGTTGGTGCTAAGGAGAAAAATGTCGTGACAAAAGACTATTGGTGACAATCCGGATCGGAAGACCAGAACGCCCGCCCGCCCGCACCTCCCAAGCGCTACCGAAAAAGGGTCGAACATTCCTTCCCTCGGGCAACACATGCACCCCAAGGGCGATTATGCTTGTTACCTGTCTGACATGTCAGCCTGCATCGCAAGTTCCCCGCCACCATTCCCCCCATCCACCGCCTCCTCGCCTCCTCATCTCGCCCGCGCCATCCACTCCGGCACCTCCACCAACTTCGACATCTCCGCCACCGTCTCCTCCCAAACCATCGCCTGCACCCTCTTCCCCTCGGCGCTCCTGATAAACTCCGTCTCCCTTCCGATCAAACGTCAGCAAAAAATATTCTACCAACAACCAACCAACCAACCAAAAAGGGCACAACATAAACAAAAAAAGGAGGAAGGAAAAAACGAGGAAAAAGAAAAAACTCACCCAAAAACCTCACAATCCCCCAAAAACCTCCCATGCGACTCCGCCGCCCCCGCCACCACCGCCGCGTGCACCGCCACCCACCCCGCCTGTTCCACCGACCGCGCCCGCACCGCCTTCACCGCGTCCAGCGGCCACCGCAGGTACCACGGCAGCGAGTCGCTGATGCGCGTGTCCACCATCCCCGGGCAGAACATGTTGACGGCAACGGCACCTGCGTCGCCCGAGTCGTCAGAGGAGGAGAATGCGGCGGCGGAGGAGGAGGAGGAGGAGGAGGAGGAGGAGGAGGAGAAGTTGGAGTCGTCACCGCGCACCCCCAGCCGCGAGCGCAGCTCGTACAGGAATAGCACCGCGAGGAGCTTGCTGTCGGCGTAGCGCGCGAGCGGCGAGGAGAAGCGCCAGCGGCGGTTGCTGCGGCGCTGGTCGCTGCGAGGCAAGGCGGCGGCGTCGAGGGCGCCGAGTAGCGTCGTTGGCGGTGGCGGTGGGGTCGGGGTCGGGGTTGGGGTTGGGGTCGTCATGGCGGCGGGGGATGCTGGTGGTGGTGGTGGTGGTGGTGGTGCTGCTGCTGCTGACAGGGAGGCGGCCAGGTGCGGGATGGTGGTGTGTGCGGTGAGGGCGTGGGCGCGGCTGCCGGTCCAGGTGACGCGGGAGGGGCGGCCGCAGGCGGAGGAGGTGGCGCGGAGGAGGTCGAGGAGGGTGAGGAGGAGGAGGACGTTGGAGAGGTAGTTGACTTGGAGGGTGGGTTCGTGCTGGGGTGGGTGTTGGGCTGAGGCGCGGGCGGGGGATGAGGAGGAGGAGGAGGAGGAGGAGGAAGAGGGGGAGGGGGAGGATGGAGCGCCGCCGCTGTCGTCGGTGCTGCTGCTGTACTTGCGTTGGGCGGGCTCGACGGCGGAGCTGGCCGTGGTTGTAGGGCTGTTGGCGTTGCCGGTGCCACCGCAGCCGGCATTAAGCACGAGCAGGTGCAGGGCCGGCAGTGTCGCCTTCACGGCGGCAGCAAAGTGCAGCACGCTGCCGTAGTCGGCCATGTCAAGCTCCATGACAGCGACCCGGGCGGCTGGATAGTTGCGCTGGCGTACGGCCGGGTCGGACAGCAGCGAGGCTTTGGCCAGCTCGCCCTTGTGGATGTTGCGCACGGCGAGGATGACGGTGGCGGCGCCGCGCAGGAGCAGCTGGCGCGCCGTCTCGAGGCCGATGCCCGAGTTTGAGCCTGTGATTATGACTGTCTGGCCCTCGACCGTCGCCGAGTCCGGCGGGGCGTGGAGCGGTGGTTGGAAGAGCGGCATTGTGGCTGGCTGAGCTGCGAGCAGGGATTATTCGACGACCTCGAGCGACCGGGAGTAACACGTCGAGGAAAGGACTGTATCTTATAAAGCGGGGGATGAGATTTTTGCACTACTCGACTGCACTTTCTCGTGCCTCTGCTTATACCGTTGGGGGAAGGTGAGGTGACACGGCGCCTGGCAAGCGTGCATGCGCCGCTCTGATTGAAGGGAGTTGAAAACTGCTGCAAAGTGTGTGGGACAGAGCGGAGAAATCTGCAGAGACTAGGTAGGGTCTGGGCCGAGTGTAGAGCTATAGATGTAGTTGTCTTTGCCTGAGGGTTAGCGAGCCATGTGATCACTGGTAGAGCGCACCGGACAACGTACTTGTCAGCTGCACGCTTCCAACACTGGGCCACGGGGGATAGGAACCTCGTAAGTCAACACATGGCTCTTATGATGCTGTGCAGCGGATCGTGGAGAGCGGAGGTTTGAGCATGCTTCTTTGTCATGTGGTGAGCGGGACGGCAGCAAAAAGGACACAATCTTCATATCAACCGCAGCTGCTCTCGGTATCACGACGTACTCGCGAACGCCTCATTCGGACACTTTCGCAGTCGCAAAGAATTTTGCTGTATTAAAGCATTAGCAAGCCCCGCCCGGGCAAGCTACTCCGCCACCCACACCCATCGCTCCTCCCGTACACATTTCCCACCCAGTTCACGCCCTCCTCTTCGCCGCAGGCGTACCCGTCGCCGCCGCGGTACTGCTCGTCGACGACGAAGACGAGGCGCTCTGCACCGTCGCCTGCACGACCTGGCCGGCAGCGTTGAAGACGATGTCCACCAGCTTGTTCAACGGCGAGTACTCAAACGTCTTCTGCACGAGGCCGTTGGCCAGGCTCGTCGCGTCGCCGACCTGCGTCATGTTCTGCGAATAATTGCCGACAATGGAGCTCACGACGTCGCCGCCCGCACCGACGACCTCCTGCACGATGTTGCCCAGGTTGTCCACCAGGAACTTCAGCGTGTTCCCGCCCTGGGTGACGCTGCCCAGCAGGCCGTCGACGGCGCCGACGACCGTGTCGACGATGCTCGTGACGTTGTTGATGGCGGTGATGAGCAGCGGGTTGAGGTCGAGGCTGGAGAAGACGCGGTTGACGATGTCGACGAGGTGGCCGAGCCGCACCACCAGCTCCAGCTGCGCCTCGACGTCGGCGATGGTGATGTTCACCTTCTCGACCGACACGGCCACGCCCGCGTTGATCTGCACCAGCTGCGCCACGTTCGCGTTCAGGTTGATGTCGGCGCTCAGCCGGTCCACGTCCAGCTCGATGCGCCCCACCGACAGCTGCGGCACGTTGAGGTAGACGTCTGGCACTGTCGAGTTGCCCGCGCTGGACGACGAGCCGGACCCCCCAGAGCCAGTGGTTGAGTTCGTGCCCGGCGTGGACGTGGGGAAAGTTGAGGTTGGCGTCGCGCTGGCGATGGTAGGCGCGGCGGACGCGCTGGTTCCGGATGTGGTCTGCGCCGCGCTGAGGACGAAGAGCCCCAGAGCGCTGATGAGGAGCGAAGTCGGCTGCATGATCCCTGATGCTCTTTCTTTGTTGATGCTCTCCTTGTGAGTTCTCTTTCAGAAGCAACGAATGACTGCGAATGGCACCGAACAGGAGAAAACGGCGCGCGAAGCAGGATGATTGAAGGCCGCAAAAGAAAGTAGAGGGTGGGTGCACGAATCAAGGCAGCAACGCGCCGGGAGAGGGGAGCGAAAGCGTGAGGAGAAAAAAAGCGCGGGTTCGTCCGTCGTCAACCGATCGCGATAGTCCAGACCATGTCATTAAGAGAGAAACACGCCAGCCAGCTGGTGGGCTGCATGACGGCGGGTCCATCCCCCGCATGGGCGGCGATATAGGCCAGGGTTGGATGTGGCGCATGATGGTCAGCGTGAGGATGAGATTGGACAGATGGAGTGCAACAGGCAACCCAGGAGCTCTGGCTGTTTCACCTCGGACGTCATGTCAGCCACGTGCAATTTCCCGTCCAAGGCACCGGGCGAATTGCCGTCGTCTCGAACAAGTAAATCGAACAAGCCTGGCCAATGGGATCCCAGAAGCAAGCTTCCCCGGCATCGACCCACCCGGTAGCCCACCGCTCCGGCTCAACGGCCATGCGTTGCCCTGTTCGAGCCTTGCGGAAATGCCGCCGATTAAGCATAACCATCACGTTCATGGGCCGCCATGCAGCCCGTCCCGCATCCCGCTACCGGTCCGAACGGCGTCTGGACTGTTTTCTTCTCTTGTTTCCCCATCGGCCTGCCTTGCTGTGCCGTCTTTTCCCGCCGCTGTGACTCCTGACTGCAGACATCAGGTCAACGGTGCGTGCTGCTAAGCTTGAAGCCGCATCTGATCTCGTCGCTCTTTTTCTTCCCTCGCCTTGCTCCAGCTTGACTCCTGTAGCCACCCCACCATGAAGTTCACTCTCCTCTTCCTCTCGTTTACTCTCGGCGCACTCGCGCAGAATGGCTACTTTGGCTATTCCCTCACCGACACGGGCGACGCGGACTCGGCTGTCTACGAGACGGCCGACACCAAGGCTAATACCTCCGTGGACATTCCGCCGCCCGATGTCTTCCTCAACGCATCGGTGCATGTCGGCGAGATCGACATCGAGGTGCTCAACCTGACAGCCAAGGTCAACCTGGCCGCCCAAGTGCTATCGCTGCTCGATTTCAACGCCGGCGTCGACGCCTCTGTTGACCGCGTCTCCCTGACGATCCAGAATGTGACGGCGAAAGTGATCCTTGAGGCGCGCCTGGCCAACCTTGTGTCCATGATCGAGAGCATCCTTGACTCGCTCGACCTCAACCCCATCCTGGCCACGCTCGGCAATGGCCTGAGCGAGATCACTGGCGACCTCACCGATGCCTTGGGCGGCGATTCCTCCTCGTCGAGCAGCAGTAGTTCAAGCAGCAGCAATCTTCAGTCCCGCGAGGACCTCGAATCGTTCCAGCTGGAGAACAACATCCTCTACTCGGTCAACGACTACAGCGGCAACACGCACACGAACCGCAAGCTGGCACAAGATGGCGCCATCGTCGACCAGAGCCTCGACAACGACGGTAATGTGCTCGGCGAAAAGACGGTCGGCAGCTACGATGTCAATATGAGCTTCACCGGCCACGAGCACGAGACCGAGTTCGAGGGCCAGAAGGTGACGGAGCGGATGTACGAGTACCACCCGTTCCCCGGATTGGAGGCCTTCAGCGCCATCTACGTCAATGCCGCTGGCAACGTCGTGGGCACTCAGGTGGTCAGCGAGATCAGAGGGGGCGGCACCAGCTCCATTGCCGCGGATACTGATGAATGAACGAACGAACGGGTTGGATTTTAGGGGGTTGGCTTGCTTTGTTTTCCCTTTTACTTCCATGGGCGTTTGAGGTCTTATCTTACCTCATCCGAAGTTGATGTGTTTGGATCAGTGTTAGCGGGGCATGGAGGATAACGTTAGAGGACAGGTTTGAGGCTTGCTGATGCGGGTCAGACGGGCTTGTCTCGATGAATCTGATCTGAGGTGCCAAGGATTGGCGCAACGGCCGGAAGACAGCAGGGCCTGGTCAAGCGAGCATGTTCCATGGACATGACCGGATACTGAAGACACCAACGCGTATGCAAGAACAAAACGCGGCGCAAAGATAGCGCATTTGCCAAATGGAACGGAAGAAGCCGCAATTTTCCCCCTTTGATGCAACTGAACATGGTCCAGCTTGATGACACCAGTAGGATAGGTATCTCTCCGCCTCGCAGCTCGGAGCAAACAGAGTGCCGAATGATTGAAGGTTCAGTCGCACACACGAGCACGGTCGGCCCGTAGCTATAACCAGTGACTCCCTGGCTTCCAGACATCGAAGACCTTAGGGAAGTTCCGGTACAGCTTGATTAGGATGAGTGGGTGGAGAAGCGGGCCGTGGGCTTGAGAGGCGTTTTCCGTGGCGCTAGCTAGGGCGGAGCTCTGTGGATGAGATAAATCCGACGCACGTACATAGCAGTAAAGCTTCGGATGCCCCGACAGGTCCATCACAGTGGCGGGCAGAAACCATTCTGGTTGCTTGATGGCATGTGATTGTCGCACAAGGCTGTGCGACATAGTGGTGCTGAACGGGTCAAGTGCTGACGGCGGCAGGCGTGAGCTAGAGAAGAGGGGCCGGAAGGACTTGGTGATGACTGGCAGCGAGGAGAAGCAAAGAGGGCTGCAAACAGAGTCGAATGCTGACTCGTGAGTGCGGAGCTAAGCGAGAGCGAGAGAGAGGGCCATAGGGCGTGGCTGCTTAGTCCGGCGGGGCCGGTCCTAGATCGATCCTTCCCTGTATATCGTCCCGCTGTCCCGCTGTCCGTACAAGTGCCGCCTGGTGCCTGGCAGCTCCCGTTCGCGTCAGCCGGGCTGCAGAAGAATTCCCCGCGGTGCAACAGCTGCAGTCGCGGTGAAGGAACGCACTCGCGCGAAAGAGAAACAGCCTTCACGTGTCAGCCCCCGCACCCGAGCTGCGGGCTGCTGAAGGTGGCCGGTCCGGGGCCGGTGTTTGGGAGGCGCTTGGCGGGTGTTTGTGCGACCTGGCGGCCACGCAGGTGCGCAGGTGCGGGTGCCGCAGACAAACAGGGATGAGGCAGGTGCCACGGCGGCGTGGGGCGCATCCCATCCCGCACGCGACGGAGAACAACAAATTGCTGCTCTCCGACCAGACCGTGTCCGCCGCCTGTCCGCACCGCCCTGCTTCTCTGCCGCTCTGTCGCGCTGCTCTGCGCAAGAACTGGTGGCCCGCCCACACCGCCGACCGCGCGCAATGGCCGCCGACGACACCTCCTCCACCAAGGGCCGATGGGAGCGTGCCCTGGGCGTCGTCGACACTTGGGGGGAGACGGCGCGATACCACGACCTCCCCCATTACTCGACGCATGTCTCTTCCACTTTGTCCTCGTCGACCGACAACTCGTCGTCCTCGTGGTCGTCCGCCGCCGACACCTACCTGCTGCCGGACGACGAGCGCGAGCCCGAGCGCCTGGACTTCTGGGGCCACACCTTCGTGCAGACGCTCAACGGCGCCCTGTACGCCGCTCCGCTCGACCCAAAAGACATCGAGCTCGTTCTGGATATCGGCACCGGCACCGGCATCTGGGCCTTGGACTTCGCCGACACCCATCCTGATGCCCGGGTCCTGGCTTTTGATATCAAGCACGTGCAGTCCAGCTGGTATTACCAATTTTTCGACCTTTTGCCCTCGCTCATAGTATCACGCAACTTCCTCAACGTTTTGTTGCACTCTTTCTCTCCTCCCCAAATCTCCCTGTCTCCTTGTTAAAAGAAAAAAGAGAGAGAGAGAGAGAGAAGAAAACGCCGGCAACGTGTTTCTGATGCTGCCATACCACGTACAGGACATCGCCGAACTGCAAATTCTTTGTAACCGATGCCGAGGAGGAGTGGCCGTTCGAGAGGAACGCATTCGACTTCGTGCACGCGCGCTATCTGTACCCGGCCATCACCGACTGGGCGCGGCTGTGGCGCCAGTCCTTCGAGTGTCTCAAGCCGGGCGGCTGGGTCGAGCACCAGGAGGACTCGGCCATGTTCTGGTCCGACGACCCGGGCTTCGAGGGCTCGCGCACCAAGTACTTTGCCAACCAGATCGAGTACGCGTCCAAGAAGATCGGCAAGAACTTCCGCATCGCCGCCGAGCAGAAGGATCGCATGGAGGAGACGGGCTTCCAGAATGTCGTGCAGAAACTGTGCAAGGTTAGTTGGCTGCTTCTCATCATCATCAGGCAGGATGTGGATGATTGGCACTAGCGGCAATGGGTGTTTCTTCCCTCCTTTTGTTTTTTTTCTGACTCGATTTTAGATACCCATCGGCACATGGGACGAGAACCAGCTGGACTTGGGCAAACGCATGCTCCTCGTCGTGCTCGAGGGCATTGCGCCCACCGCTGTGCCCGTCTTCACGCGCGTCCTGGGCTACGACAACGACGAGATCGAACAGCTCTTAGACGAGGTCAGGGCCGAGTTCCTGAGGCAGGAGTACAGGGTGTATTTGAAGTTCTACTACACATACGGTCAGAAGCCGCCAGAGTCGGACTCGGAGCAGGAAGAATGAGCGTGGGAAAAAATGGGGAGTATGGATTTCTGAAGTATATGTATTATACTCCTACCCTTCTTTTTTCTGGAATCGGCTTCTTATTCTCTTTGTGGCGCTCCGCAGGATTACATGCATGCAGCGCTGGACATGTCATTTTTTTCTTATATTTTCTACACGAATTTGATCCTCTACTGTCGACACACCTCTCGATCACCCGCCCGCTCGCCTTTGTTTCATATGATTGTCTAGCCTTGCTCTACCCACTCCACCCCATAGCCCGATAGCCTGTATCGGCATACCCATTCCCAGCTCTCTTTCTCCCCCTCCTCCGCTCCTCTGTGCGTTCTACAGCCTATCAGATCCGCCACCCTTCCCGAGACCGGCCATCTTCCATGATCATTTACTCCCAGTCGATCGACACAGCGAAGAGTCGAGAACCGCGATCGCGATCCTTTTTTCCATGCCAAGAGAGACAAGCAGAGCCCAGCGTGCATACGGTTGCATAATCCGAAACAAACGCAACCTGGGGGGCGGGGGACATCATGCAAGGTGTAGTTTTTTATCAAGGCCCGCCTGCCCGTCTGCCTGCCTTCCTGCCTGCCTGCGGGTTCGCCCGTCGACTGTTGTTGTTGTCGGAGGCGCCGCGCCGCGCCAGGGTTCGGGCACTTGGTGGCGGGCGGGAGCCACTCCCGCAAGTTCCGCCCGCCGCCCCGTCTCTGGTAAATGCCCTATCCCTGCAACCTTGTAGCTGCACCCGCGTCCCGTCCCGTTTGTCGGCCCAATAATACCACCAATCACTCGATCTGTCGAGGATGTGATTGTTTGGGTGTGTCTGGACTTTTGTTGCTTTTCTTTTCTTTGTTCCAAGGTCCGCAGAGAGGATTTGGTCGGTTGTTCGGTCGGTCGGTCGGTCGTTAATTGCTCATCCGGCTTTCTAGGAAATGGACGGGTTTGGTTTTGAAACGGGTGGCTGGCTGGCTGGCTGGCTGGCTGGTATTTCTGCGGTCGGCGAAGTGGCGACGCGTTGGCCGAGGTGTTGCGGGAGGGAGGGAGGGGTGTAGGCATTGTCCGGGCCATCTTCCTTTTCTGATACCGGTAGGGGAGGGAAACCGCCGGCTCCCAGTTCCAACAACCAATCCGAGTCTGGAGTTTTTGTATGTGTGTGTGTGTGTGTGTGTGTGTGTGTATGATAAAATACGTAGCGCGGTACTTTTCTACTTCTGTTTGTTTCTTTCGGTCGTTTCGTTCGTGAAAAAAGAGTGAATCGGCAAATCGATAGAGCAAAAAGATCAGGATCCAGCCTGGAGGCCCAGCCTTCTTCTCTTTTCACCGCTTCTGCAAGCGCCGCTCTCCCTCTTCCACACTACTGTTACTCTCCTCATCATACACCTTCGTCGGCTTCACACTCTGATACGTCAACTCAAACTCCTCCTCAACCAAAATCCCACCCTCGTCGCTGGGACGGCCATGGTGGTTGTTGCGCTGTCGATCTATTGTTATACTATTGTTATTCGCCGTCGTGCCAGACAAGACGTAACCCCGACCACCACTGGCGTCGATGGTGGTGCCGCCGGCATACGGGCGCGACTGTGACCGCGACCGGTTACCGGACATGGAGCGCCAGGAGTTGGGGAGGAGGCCGACGAGGACGGGGAGGGACGCGGTAAGCAGGCCGAAGGTGAGATCCACGAGGGTCCAGGTGAGGATGCCGGTGTAGCCCCCTGAGTAGTTTGTCAGGTCTCTCGTGTAAAGTTTAGAGAGGAAAAAAAAAGGTTGAAGATGATGAAGGAAGATGAGCAGAGGGAAGAGGAGGTGGAGAGAAAGGTTAAAGAGAGGATGGTGGCACAAAGGCAGAGGAAGGCGAGACGTACAAGTTACATCCAGTGAGATCTTCTCCTGCGCGAGCTGGCGCAGCACGCTGCCAACGGCGGAGACGGCGCCCATAGAGAAGACGATATAGAGGCGGATCTTGGTGCTGAGGGGTAGCTTAACCTTCCACAGCACGATGATGGGCGTCGTCAACAGGCAGAAGTCCATGACGGCGTGCATGATGCTGAGCACGTTGGAGATGACCTTGGTGCTCCAGCACGTCGGCATCGTCGCCAGCTTGCCTGAGTAGATTTTGTTCCACATGGCCGCCGGTGGGTTGCATTGGAAGCACGTCCAGAACAGCGCGAGCAGCGTATAGGCCGTCAGCAGGAATAGGAAGAAGTCGTTGAAGTAGCGCCAGATGCGCGACGTCATACTGGTTAGTCGGCGGTTGAATAGGGTGATGCTGATCTTGATGAGACCGACGGAGGTAAAGAAGAGGATTTTGCAGACTACACCGAGCTGGTAGGGAGGAGATGAGGTTAGAAAAGCGGGAGAGGCTTATTTCGGGGCGAAATTGCATACCCAGTTGAAGTCGTTGTACTCGGCGTAGGTGACGTCCCAGCTGTGTTTCCCGCCTCCGCCATATTCAACCATGGCAATCTGAATGATAGGATACGCAATCGCCATGATCTAAGATTGGGGGTCAGTTAGCTGATGGGGTGAAAAGTTTTGAGGAAGTGTATACACACAGCACCTGGAATCAACATCCAGTCATCAGCACCCCAACGCACACCAGTTCGAAAGAGCCGTACGGCCAGGCGAGCAACTGTCACCGAGACCATGACAAAGATGCACACGGACATGGCGGCAATGATGGATGCTCTCTTCTCCTCGTATTGGTAGCTGTCTGGACGTTTGGGGAGAAGGCTAAAGCCCTTGTCGGCGTCAAGCTTGCCGTCCAAATGGACGGCGCGGAGCATGCCTTTGACAATCCAGTAGTCATTGTCGGTCGCCGGCGGAGAGCCGATGAGGGCAGACTCTGAGGTTGATCGGAGTCCTAAACTGTGGTAAGACATGGTAGAGTTCCGCAGCAGCGGGTAGAGAAAGTGATCTACCGCGAACGTGCAAGAGTGGCCAAAGGAAAGCAGAAGGGCGGAAGGGCCATTGAGGCAAAGGTATATCTATCTTTTCACAGTCACGGCAAGCTCCACAAAACAGTTTAATGCGCGGAGGACGGCAATGCTTTTTCTGTCGGGTATAAGCACACGGTCAGGCGAATATTCTCAGAAGGGAACCAAGCCGCGGGGAAATCCCAGCTCGCGGTTCTCAACGGGTGCGTCAGAAGGGTATAACGGAGTGCCTGGATGATTCCATGGCAGCGCGGGGGATGTTCGCAAAGGGCGATCGGATATCCGGCACCATGGTAGCAGAACACGGCATTGCTCCCGAACGCGTGGCCGTACGAGGGCGATACGGCCGGGCTGGACCAGGCGGCCGATTCAAGGCAGTCTGCCGCTGGGTAGCGCGTCCGTAGCGGTTGCCAACCGGGTGGTGGGCAGTTGGTTAATATGGAGAGATCGCAAGGACAGGCAGCGGGGCCGGCAGTGGTGCGACCTCTGGCAAGATCCGAAGCGAGATTGGCTGCCAGCCCTGCCAACTGCTGCGAGCGGGGCCACTAGGCCTGGCCGCCTCAAAGCTCCGCGCCTGCCTCGAGCCCAGGCAGGGGCGGCGCTAGAAAACGCATCAGGTTTCGCGTTTGATGCTGTGCCTCGAGCGCGTGAAACAGCTGTGCAGAGCCAGCCCAGCTCACTCAACACCAGCCTCACGCGCTGTCGCGATGCAATGTCTGCTACTACTTGCGCCCGCATCCAGGCCAGGCGGTGACGGCCGAACTCGCCAGCCCGCACCGAGCCCCGCGATGGAGCATACAAGCAAGCGAGCCTCGCGGGCCCGGATCGCCTCCCGCCCCTACAGGCCTATCTGCTTGCCGCTTTGGGGCGCAGCGGTCGGCGCATCGATGCAGGTACTCGTCCGCTCTCTTCGCTAAATAACCACGCCGTCTCCCTATGCGCCGTATCTCTGCCCACCTCTGCCTCCTGCCTGCCAACTCAGAACCGCGTCCTTAATTTCTAATCGCTGCAGCAATAATGGTGCGTCTGAACACCGTCGTGCCCACGCTGCTGTCGGGAGCCGTGCTTCTGGACGGCGTCCTGGCCGCCAACACCACGTGTGTGGGCGTCAATGCCATTTCGCCGCGCTGCAAGTCCAACGAGAGCCTGCACTACCGCGACATCTTCTACGTCGGCGGCCGGTATGTAAACACGGCCTCGGGCAACCTGACGTACGACCAAATCTACGTCGAGAAGCTCACCCCGGCGGCTGGCGTGAAGCAGCCGAAGCCCATGGTCTTCTTCCACGGCGGAGGTGAGTGTCCGCCTTTCTTTTGGCCGTTGTGGCTTTCGTGCTAACCTCGAACAGGTGCTACCGGAACGGTAAGCCTCGCCCGCCAAGCTCCTCTCCAGCCTTTCTTCATGCACGCTCACATCTCTCACGCAGACTTGGCTCAACACGCCCGACGGCCGCAAGGGCTTCGCCTCCTACTTCCTGGACCAGGGCTACCAAGTCTACCTCCTGGACCAGACCTCGGTCGGCCGCGCAACCGAGGAGAACCTCAATGACTTCCCCATGCGCTGGGGGTCGACGGTTGAGATCAGCCAGAAGGGCTTCACCGCGCCCGAGATCTCCAATGCGTATCCGCAGTCGCAGCTCCACACGCAGTGGCCCGGCACCGGCCTGAGGGGCGACCCATACTTCGACGCCTTCCAGGCCAGCATCCTGCCGCTGTCCACCAACCTGACGGCCCAGGAGCTGTCGATGCGTGCCTCTGGCTGCGCCCTGCTCGAGCTGATCGGCAGCTCGTACCTCGTCTCTCACTCCATCGGCGCCCTGCACCCCATGCTGCTGTCCAACGACTGCCCGCAGCTGGTCGCCGGTAACATCAACCTCGATCCCACCACCATCCCCTTCCAGAGCTACACCGGCAACACCACCTCCGCCGTCGGCCGCACCGACGCCCGCCCCTGGGGCCTGACCAACACCCACATCGACTACGTTCCCGCCGTCCAGAGCTCCGACGAGCTCAACACCACCTCCGTCGGCGAGGACACGCTCGCCAAGCGCAGCTGCCTCATGCAGGCCGAGCCCGCCCGCCAGCTGCCCAAGATTGCCTCTGTTCCCTACGTCGCCCTGACCGGCGAGGCCAGCCCACACATGACGTACGACCACTGCATCATCGACTACTTGGAGCAGGCCGGCGGAACCCCCGAGTGGATCAAGCTGGGCGAGATTGGCATCCACGGCAACGGCCACTTTGGCTTCTTGGAGCTGAACAGCCATGACATTGCCGGCGTGGTCCACGACTGGATCCAGAACAGGACCATCAGCTCTGTATGACGATGATAGAAAGCTGATGAATTGCTTCGTTACTCAAAAAAAAAAAAGAAAAGAAAGAAGGAAAGAAAGATAGGATCAAATAGAATCCAGTGGCCCGATATCGCGTTTGGTGCTGAAAGTGCTCGATTCCATATTTTCTAAGTTGTTTTTGTCAATATCTACGCCGAGTATCCGCCTGCCTGTCAGAAGATACCCGACAGTCGATTCATACCATTTGATCCCTCAGCCCAATCATGACCTTGCCTGGTTACCTGTCGGTGATATCCAAATGTCCAGGACGCAATGCAACACACCCGGCGCATACGTCTTGACCCTTTCTACATGTTCAAGCTTGACCACATCATCCCCTTCCAACCCGTCCCCGATCCCTCCACCACACCTCTCAGCCCTCACCACCCCCCAGATCCTCCTCACCTCCTCAACCACCTCCCCCGCCTTTCGCCCAACCTCTCCCTCCCCAAAATTCTCATGCAAATGCACCCACCCGCCCAATCCCGGATCCAACACCCTCACCGCCGTCTCCCACGCCCCCCTAGACGTCGGCAACAACCCCGCATTGACATGCCTCACCGGCGGCAGCCTCCCCCTCAGCCTCTCCACCCTCCTCGCCGCCCGCACGTTACTCTCGCGAAACACGACGAAATCCCTCACCACCGCGTCCTCCCCCAACCCCTCCCAATCATCACCGTCCCCATCACCGTCCCCATCCCCACCCCCCTCCCCACCGCCCACAACAACAACCTCAACCCCCCACCCATTCGCCCCCGCCCCCCTCCTCAACCCCTCCACGCTCCACGCATTGATCTCCCACCCCAGCACCGTCCGCACCCCCGCCTTGCGGTACGAAAACGCAAAGTACCCGATCCCGGCGTACAAGTCGACGGCGGCGCACCCGGTGGCGGTTCCCGCGCCCGCGCCTGCAATATCCTCGCCTCCGGCTCCGGCTCCGGCTCCGCCCTCGCCCTGACGCACCGCGTCCCGCACCGCCCCCAGCGACAGGATCCGCGCCTTCTCTTTGACGTTGCCCCGGCTGAACATGGTGTGCAGCGGCGCCCACGTCTGGGTGATGCCGTTTTGGCGGGCGGTGGCCCAGAGGGCGGCGGTGAAGTCGGCGGGGGAGGGGGAGGCGGTGGGGGGATGACAAGGGGGAGGGCCGAAGTCGCCGTGGAGGGGGGTGAGGGAGTGGGGGGCGCGGAGGATGTTGGCGGTGGTTGCGGCTGCGGCTGCGGCTGGGGCTGCTGGGGCTGCGGCTGCGGCTGCTGCTTGGTTGGAGGGCTGGTCGGCGGCCGCCGCCGTGGTGGCTGTGGCGTCGTTGTGCAGGGCGATTGGCGCGTTGAGTGCCACGTGCGTGACGGCGAGGCGCTGCGCGACGTGCGCGAGGACGGTGCGGAGGAGCGGCGTGGTCGACGATGGCGGGTCATGGGCGGCGAGGAGCGCGGTCCAGGACGGCCGGTGGAAGGTGTGCGCGGGGAGGAGGAGGAGCGGCGGGTAGATGGAGTAGGTGCCCGGGAGGTCGGCGGCGAGTTGCGCGGGCGTGAGGGAGAGCGTTGACAGGGTTTCGGCGGGGAGGCTGGACACTAGGGCGGAGTGGAAGGCGGCTCGGAGGGGGTTGCCGTGCGGTTGGCCGGTGGTCGGCGGTGAAGCGGTTTCTGGGACGGGTGTTTTTGGGAGGTTGGTTATGGAGATGTTCGTGAGCGCGTCAGGAGGGAGGCGGGATGTGAGGGCCGGGGTGAGGTCTCCGAAGTATGTCTCAACGATGGCGGCGTCTGTTTCGTTGATGGATGTTGTGACGGGTAGAAATGGTACGATAAACAGTTTCCCCGAGTCGAGCGTCTGGTCTCTTGCGGAAGACCCAGCACGGGTACTTTCTGCAGTATACGGTGCAATTTTCCTTCTCTTATCCAGGAGCCGATGCTCCTCAAGAAACGTCTTGACGGCCTTGACATTTTGAGCCGGTACTACTAATGCAGGGGAGTCGCTGAAGCGGGCAGAATGTGCCATGGTGTGGGATGTGGTCGAGGGTTAGTGATGTGAAGTCATTGGAAGATTGGGGAATGGGGCTGGGCAATTAATGTGAAGGTATAAGCAAAGACGAAAAGACAAATGCCCGTCTCAAGAAAATTTCTTCGACTTGGCTATGAAGCTTCCAGCGGGGAGAGGCTCGGATATTTGAGCCTATAGTCTCAGTCAATTTGTCGACTAGTTGAGCGAGAAGAGGGAAACCACCCGTAATGAAGGCTTGAGATGATGGAGAGGATAGTGGTAGAATGAGAAAATGCCTGGAGGTGCTGAGGCTGTCGACAGCACCGGAAATCTGCCGAGGATCTGCCTTGCACAGGGTCTTCTTAGACATGTAGTACAGCCGTGACAGAACACTGCCGCTGCTGCATACGTGAATATATCTCGGAGAAGTTGTGGCTAAAACAGTAGTGGGAGTATCGACTGCTACCACATCAATCTACATCAAGCCTTGCATTGGCTGGCGCTAAGGACTGACGTATGCTCCGACTACGTCATTGGCTCGATTCGTGTAGCCACTGCTTCCTTGTCTGGCTGGCCCGTTACTTATCTACCTCAGTAGCCACAAGCCATCTTTCCCCCGCACTTCACAGTGCACCCCACAGCCACTTTCTCCCGACTCATCCAAAAAGCACTTCGATGACCACTTCCAAGATATCTCCATCTTCCAAGCCTACTCATGGACACCTCATGAGTTACCGAATAGCTCGTGGTGAACAAGGCGTTCTGACATTCGAGCCATACAAATCCTTCTTGCTTCCGCTATGGCGCTTTCGAACTCCAGCACTAGCCCGGAAAAGCTCCAAGGACCTGTGGGAGCGCTTTGAGCTGTATGATGAAGAGGATGACTTCGTCGGTATGGACATGTGCAGGAAGTTCATCCAAATGGTGCGTCCAACATCGGATAACAGGACCATAGAGAGCCTTGACCCCCTAAGCTGAGAAGCAGCATCCTTGCTGATCCGCTCGTCAACACAGGGGATGACGCGCTCCAAACGCTACGCAAACCATGCTGGCGGACGCAAGTACGACAAGAGCAGCGGCGCTGAGTTACCCAAGAGCTCAACCCATAAAGACGCCAAAGACAAGCTTGAAGCCTCCGAGATATTCCGGGAAGCTTGGGACCGATGCCGAGCGCACGAGGGATACCAGCAGAAGAAGGAGAAGTTCATAAAAGAACAGAAGGAATGGGACAAGCAGGCGAAGCGGGAGAAGCAGGATGAGCAATAAACTTGTCCGAGGTATCCTTCCAATAATGCCAGGAACACCGATGGGTCAGTCCACCCGGACTTTTTGGTGTACGATTGTCCGATGGGTAGCTAGCGGTGCAGATTCTGCCCTGAGGCACTGGAAGAATCGTCTGGCTTGGGCGTCGCATGGATCTGAGGCGATTCAGTCTCTGCACGCTTTGAGTTCCCAGCTGACTTACGCTTTCGGCGAAGGATATCCACTCGCCAATGCCCTTGGAGTAGGCATCCTCGATCTCGTCTGGCGCAACTTCGTGTCCCCATACCACCACTTCGTCGAATTCTCCAACCTCTTCCATCACGCGCACCTCGATTCGCTGGTCTTCGCCTTCCTCGGACGCCCCATTTTCGCGGCCAGTATCGGCTTGCGGAAGAACCCTGTTCGTGTTGCTCAACACAGCACCTGCACATCGCATCAGCCATTGCGCTCGTGCGCTTAAAGCATTCCCGCGCACCTCTGTAGCCGTCGGGGAGTGGCAGTTTGCGCCCAAGTAATTTGCGGCCGCGGAAATGGGCTATTTGTTTTCCATCTACGAAGCAATATCAGCTTTGGACTGTCGAGCGATTGCTCGTGCGACGCACCGTTTTGCTCTTCTGGTCGCCAATACCGATCGGCAGCATTCACAGGTCCGTTATGGTCGATTCGGCAGGGCAGCAGATTCGGCGTGCACTTTCCCGAGTGCTGAGACGAGCGCTGGACGGACAGCATGGTGGATGGTGGACGAGGCGGTTTGGCTATGGTGGTTTCGCAGGTCTCTCGCGCGCCGACGCGACGCGTTGCGGACAGACGCACGGCCGGGATCAGCGGATCCGATAAGATAAAGGCGATCGACGAAGCTTCCCGTTACAGGCACTCGCCTGGCGTCTCACCATTGCGACACCGATCCGAGAGGCTTCCGAAAGTACGCTGACCGGAATCTGCTCGAGACATGCATGAAAATGAATCAAAAAGGCTGACACATGAGTCCTATTGCGAATCGGCGTGGGCGACTGCGTGCTCGGTGCATCGGTCGCGAGCATCGAGCAAGCTCCCCGCAATCGCCGCTCACTGTGCCTGCAGGGACCACCGGGACGCCCTTCATCCTAGCCTGCAACCACCTTGACCTCACCAGCACCACCGCTGTCGCAGCCTGCCACCGATCACCGCCTCTGTCAGAATGCGCCACCCTCTGCGACTCCCGGACAGCCAGCTGTCTTCTCTCAGCTCACCGGAGGCGCCGCGCCGCAGCGCCTGGGGGTTTTGAAGGTCCTGCTCCGAGTTTTTGATTCCGCAAACGTCATTGACAAGCTCCAAACGGTATGGCCTGCGCAGAGGGAAGACAGCACTCTCCGCCAGCCTACGCCCGATACGACGAATAGCCCACCTTTCTGGTTGCTCGCCGCATCTCTCACTCAGCAATTGCCCCACCAGTCATGCCGCAACCCGGGGTTGTATCTGTCCGCCGCGGACATAGGCCAGACCATGCCTCCGACGCTCCCTAGTGTATATGCGGCCCCGAGTCCCCGACTATCTTCTTTTTCCGCCGCGTCGTCACTCGCATTCTTTCTCTCCCCCTGAGCCCCTCCTGCCCCGCGCGTCATTGTTGTGGAAAGCTTCTTTGTCTTGCGTCCGTTCTGTCTCTCACGCCGCTCCTCTGCAACATTCCCCCCACAGCCGTTGCGCCGTACCTGCGGGACAGAACCGTTATCTGAACGATAACAATTCATTTCGTCGACCAACCTCGCGCGACGAGCTTCAACGCGATATTCGTCCAAAAACGGTGGCCTATTCCCCATGGCAATCATAACTCCCCTCGCGTCGCGCTTTCATGCGCTGCGCAGCTATGCTGGTAGTACAGCCTGGGCCCCGCTTGTGGTACTGTCACGGAACGCTGTCATGTCGGTTCTGGCGCGTATGCGAACGGGTCGCCTGGACGTTGTGGATGTGGATGGGAAGGAGACCATCTGTGGAAGCGCTGAGAACCGGGCTGGTTTACCCCAGACCGTTTTGCGCGTACACAACGACTCGTTCTGGGTGCGAATGATGCTCTTCGCGGATATGGTACGCTTTGCGCTAGCTACTATCAAATTATGCTTTGATCGCCTGGCTGACTTGCTTAAGGGCTTCGCAGAGAGCTACATGCTAGGCGAAGTCTCATGCCCGGACCTGACAGCTTTTTTCGAAGTATGACACCAGCACCAGCTGAATATTTCTTTTGAGCTGACATACCATGTTGCAGCTGTTCATCCTGAATCGCGAAAACCTCTCCGACGGCTCAACCATCACGTCCACAATCAGTACGAACATTGCGGGTCTGGCACGGGCCACAAATACGCTTTCCAACGCTCGTCTCAACATCGCCGCGCATTACGATATCAGCAACGATATGTTCGCCGCCTTCTTGTCCCCAGACATGACATATTCATGCCCAATCTGGCTCCCCAAGTCGTCACCCCTCTCAACAAGTGAGACTTTGGAGACGGCGCAGATGCGGAAACTGGACCGCTTCATCGGCAATGCTCATATCAAGGCAAATGATCATGTGCTGGAGATTGGCACCGGCTGGGGAAGCTTTGCCATACGTGCAGTGCAAACCACGGGCTGCCGGGTCACCAGTCTAACCCTAAGCACGGAGCAGAAAGAACTTGCGGAAGAGCGCATTAGAGACGCAGGGTGTGAAGACCGAATCGAGGTGCTGCTGTGCGATTACCGCGCCCTTCCCCCTCCGCAAAACGGAAAAGGTGCCTACGATAAGATAATAAGCATTGAAATGCTTGAAGCCGTGGGAAAAGAATTTTTGGCAACATATTTCGAATGCGTGAACAGGCTCCTGAAGAAGGACGGTGGAATTGCGGTCTTCCAATGTATCACCATGCCAGAGACAGTGAGTTCAAACCTTGATTCACCCACATTGGAAAACGAATACCCCGCGTGATACCCCCGGGCTTGCAACCACCAAATGTCTTTCATTCTTAACATGCTGACGGCCGTTAAAGCGCTATGATGCCTACGCCTCCTCGGACGATTTCATACGCCGCTACATCTTCCCGGGCGGCCACCTCCCCACCGTTTCCCAGCTCGTGGCCTCCATCAACGCCGGCAGCCGCAAGACGCTGATCGTCGACAACATCGAGAACATCGGGCCGCACTACGCGAAGACGCTGCGGCTCTGGCGCCAAGACTTCACGCGCAACTTCGACGAGAGCATCAAGCCGGCGCTGCTGCGCGAAAGCGAAAGGAAAGGGCAGGCCATGGGCAAGAAGGACGTGGAGACTTTCAGGCGGAAGTGGGAGTATTACTTCACTTACTGCGAGGCGGGATTCCGCGCGAAGACGCTGGGCGATGTCATCATCACGGTGGGGAGGGAGGGCGCCGTGGAGATGATGGAGGAGGTGCCGCTTTGATGGGTGGTGGCGGCTCTCTGACTTTGTCTGGAAGGGGGTATGTGTATATGTAATTGGAGTTGAGGTGGTATTCGATAGCGACAATGCTGGGATGGTGGTAATCTGGTGCAGAGAGCGGATAGAGAGAGGTTTACTTTGCTGCAAAGCCTGGACCCGTCTATATGTTTTCCTCTTTTTTTTTATTCGGCATACTCTCATCTCGGTCATGCTATGAGAGTGGAGTTCTCTTTTGTTATATCCTCCTATCATTTGCTCACTCAAGCTAAGACCCTACCTGTAGGATTGCATATAGATTACATTGTCCTATTATATGTGGTTTGTGCGGTGCTCCAGATTTCTGCAGGGAGTTCGGGGCCATTTGTTGTCGTATGATTGCGAGAATTATCAATGACTCCATGTCCGATGACGCATCCGCCACCATCCTGCTCGTCTGATGGGACCACCATTTCCACACTCCCTTAACAGTCTCAGGGGCATTGGTGGCGTGTGTGGTCGAGCTTTCTGATCATGCCAAATTCTGCTGTCTGCTTCTATAGGCGCCATTGTCTATTGCCAGACTACCAACATGCTCCTATTCCCAGTTTTCCTCTATGCGTGAACCAAGGTATACACATCTCCAACCAAATGCGGAAGTCTCCGTTTCGTAGAGCAAAACACCACCCATACAGTCGCAGACGCTCAATTGCAACCCGCCCTCCGTCTGTCGGTGCCACTTCTTCCTTCAGTAATCCATAATCTTGCCAGGATTCAGCAGCCAATGTGGGTCGAGGGCGCGCTTGATGCTCTTCATCACCTCGACCGTCTCAGGTCCAAGTTCCTTCAGCAGCGAGGCTTTCTTTCCGAGGCCAATCGAGTGCTGGTGAGGTTAGCCTAGGCCGTCTCCCGGGTGAGCGGGCAAACATACCTCGCCGGTGCAAGTTCCGTCCATTTCCAGCGCCCTGTCTACCATTCTGTATACGCAATTCTTCACAGCTTCGTACTCCTTGGGATCCTTTCTGTTGTATAAGATACTCTCATGGAAGTTGCCATCACCGATGTGCCCAAGCACACTGGCAAACAATCCAAGATCGTCCATCTCCTTCTTCGATATCTCTGCACAACAGTTCAGCCGACAGATCCAGAGGCAATCCCAGGAGATAACTCACCGATGATATCCGGTAGCCTTGAAAGGGGCACCGCAACGTCCGTGGACCAGACATCCTGGTCACCTTCCCTGAGTGCCAGCATGCTCCACAATGCCTCTTTTCTCGCCGACCACAGTTCCTTCATGTCCTGAGGATCCACCGTGAATTCGAAGTTACCCGCATTGTGGGCCTTCGCAATCGCCTTGACCAGCTTGATATTCTCCTGCACCCCCGCCTTGGTGCCCGAAAACTTGAAGAACATGGTTGGCGCCTCCTTCCACGTCCTCTGCGTCGCCTTCACCCTGTTGATCACACTCATCTGCACCTCATCCATAATCTCCATGGCCGCCACCGGCACGCCCGCCCGCATAATCTGCGCCGCCGCCGACGCCGCCTCCCTGATGGACGGGAACGGCACCACGGCCACGCTCGTCTCCTGCGGAATCACAGTCAACTTCAACGTAATCTCCGTCACGATCCCCAACGTCCCCTCGGACCCCACGAACAAATTAGTCAAGTTATACCCCGCGGCCGTCTTTCTCGGCCGCCTCCTCGTCTTGATGACGCGGCCATCCGCCAACACGACCGTCAAGTTGACGACCCACTCCTTCATCGTCCCATACCGCACCGCGTTCGTCCCGCTGCAGCTCGTGCCGACCATGCCCCCAATCTTAGCGCTGGGCCCGGGATCGACGGGGAAGAACAGGCCGCTCTCCTTGATCTTCTCGTTCAGTTCCATCCACCCGACGGCGGGCTGCACCACGACGTCCATGTCGTCGGCGTGCAGCGCGACGATGCGGTCCATGTGCGCGAAGTCGATGCTCACGCCGCCAAAGGGCGCGGCGAAGTTGGCCTCGAGGCTCGACCCGCCCGAGTACGCGATCATCGGGATGCGCCGCGCGTGGCAGACGGCCGCGATCTGCGCGACTTGGGCGGTGGAGCGCGGGTAGGCGACCGCCACCGGCAGCTGGTCGATGTTGAGGGACGACCATTCCGAGTAGCCGTGCGCGCGCAGGTCGTCGTCGTCGGTGCTGATGGCGTCGGGGCGGCCGAGGAGGGCGCGGAGCTCGGTGATGGCCTGGGGGGAGTTGGGGGGGTTGGTTGTTAGCTAGCCGTGTCGGTTGGGGGATTTGTTTATGTGGTGGATGAGAGACAGTGGAGTGAGGCAAGCGGGCCCAGGACGCGGGTATACCTTTTCCATTTCTTTCTGGGTTGCGTAGACGGGCTTGCTTGTGCCGGACTTGAAGGCATTGAGGGCGCCAGTGTCGTAAACTCCGTAGAGGTATGTCAAAGCACCCGTGAAGCTTGAGAACAATATCACGCGGCCCGTCGTCCAGAATGCCGGCGAGCTTGCCTTCGCAGCCTTTCTCGCGCCCTGGGCGGAACTCTTCCGCGCCTGAGCGGCGAGGCCATGTGCGGTAAAAGAGCGCGCGAGCGGCCGCAGTTGTCTGGTGGCTCGGAACATTGTGAGAGGGCGGACGGCAGACACACGGAGGAGCATTCACACGAGGCGAGCCGGCGAGCGGAGAGTGGGTATAAAGTGCAAGAGGCAGCTAATTAATAAGACGGCGACCGGCAACTAGCGGGGCTGGCGGGCTGGCGGGCTGGCGGGCAGTCCCCGCTCTGAGACGCCGTCAGGCACCTGTCGAAATGCGGGAAAAAGACGCTCAGCACGGCAGGTGGGGCTCCGGATTTCGTGATAACTGGCGCGGCGGTTCATGATGCTTGGTGCCGGATCGCCGCGCCGCGCATGCAGAAACGACACGATGCACTCGCGGCGGGTGCTGTTCTCTTGGGTGCGATTGGCCGGTGACAGATGTAGGTCTGACAGTAGCGGCCGGGCTGGCTCGAATCAATGTTGCGCCGAAGCAAAGCGGACGGGCGGCATGATCAGCTGCAGGGGCCACGGTTGGACTCAGATTGCGGGGAAAGGTGCTGCAGAGTAAGCTAGGAGAGTACCACCTCGCAGTGGTTCCGTGTCCAACTCGCCGAGTAAGAAATATCGGCGGGTAGACGGCTGAATGAGCCATGGTCACGACGAAGGAAGAGAGGCTGAAGTGTGCGGCGTGAAGAAGCGGCCGGGGTCTGCAGCGGATGGCAGCAATTGCGGCTGCTGCGAGCAGAACCCGAGGCCGCGGATAGGTCCGCGCCCACAGGCAGCCCACTCTTCACCCGCAACTCGAGCAATGCTCTATCCGGCTCCATAATGGCGTGCGCGACTAATCTGGCTCGCTCAAACGAGGCGTCTGTTGGCGGGCAGGGTTCCCGTCTCCTCCAGGGCTGGATGCAGAGCTTCTTCCAATTGCCTCAATCCGGCCAGGCCGTCAGCGCGGGGGGGTCAGTAGGCGCCATATGAGAACCGCCGGCCAAAGGAAAGTGTCTTGTGGCCGGTCTGCATTGACTGCTTTTCCGGCGCCGCAGGACAACATCCGCGGTTGCTTTTTTCTGTCCGCAAGGCTGCGCTAAACCCCATTAGGGCTCCAAAAAGTCGCCGATAGCGCGAGTCATTGGGCACGTCTTTTCCCAGACCCTCCGACGCAACTCTGCATCACCAACCGAACACTCATGCTCATAAGCCTGGCGCGGTCTTGCGCCACCCCTCTCAGCCGCAATCCACGCCGCTTCAGTACTGCAGCTACCATGGCGCGCGACTACAACGTGCGCACCCTCCTCACATGCGGAAGAAGAGTGCGCCGTTGCTGACTGACGCGCCACAGGCCGCCGTCACGGCGCTCAACACGCTGCAAAGCAACTTCTCCATCGTCGACGCCATTCGCAAGTCTGGCAAGGGCATGAACAAGAATGCCATCCCCGAGATGATTGAATGGTTCCGCAAAGCCGGCTACGAGGTGTGCGGCTCTCCGTCCGCCAACACCATCCCACCACCCCGCTGACCTCGCAATCTACACATCACAGCCCTCCGATTTCGACCAATTGAAACCCATTCACATCGCCGGCACCAAGGGTAAAGGCTCGACGAGCGCTTTCGTCTCCTCCATCCTCGCGCAATACCGCTCCACGTCCTCCACCGCGCCCCGGAAGGTCGGCCTCTATACATCCCCGCACCTGAAGTCGGTGCGGGAGCGCATCCAGATCAACAACACGCCGCTGAGTGAAGACGACTTCGCGCGGTACTTTTTTGAAATCTGGGACCGTCTGGAGGCGGCCGCCGTCGCCTCGGGTCAAGATCCGCACGCCCCGGGCACGAAGCCCGTCTACTTCCGCTTCCTGACCATCATGGCGCTGCATGCCTACCTGCGCGAGGGCGTCGACGCCGCCGTCATCGAGTGTGGCATTGGCGGCGAGCACGACAGCACCAACGTCATCGTCCACCCAACCGTCGCCGCCGTCACCAGCCTCGGCATCGACCACGTCGCCATGTTGGGCTCCACTCTGCCCGAGATCGCCTGGCACAAGGCCGGCATCTTCAAGCCCGGCGCCGCCGCCCTCTCCGTGCCACAAAGCCCCGAGGCGATGGACGTCTTGCGCCAGCGCGCTGCCGAGAAGGGCGTAGGGGACGGATTGGTCGAAGTCGCGCGTCACCCGGACGTCGACGCCATCAAGCTCGGCCTGGCCGCCGACTTCCAAAAGACCAACGCCAGCCTCGCCGTCGCCATCGCCGCAAGCCACCTCCGCGCGCTGGGCGACACGAGCATTCCTGCCGCCAAGGACATCAACGGCTGGACGCTGCCAGCCGAGTTCCGCCGCGGCCTGGAGCAGGTGCGCTGGCCGGGCCGGTGTGAAATCCGGCACGAGGCGGGCGTGGCATGGCACATTGATGGCGCGCACACGCTGGATAGTATCGAGGTCGCCGGCCGCTGGTTCGCCGAGGAGCTTGCGTCCTCTTCCTCCTCCGACCAACAACAACAGCCCCGCATCCTCATCTTCAACCAGCAGACCCGAGACGCGGACTCGCTCGCGCGCGCCTTGCACTCTGCGCTGTCATCTGGCCTAGCGTCGGTGGCCCAGCACCCCTTCACCCACGCCATCTTCACCACAAACCTGACTTTCCGTGACACGGGCTACAAGCCGGACCTCGTCAGCGTGAATGCCAACGCCGACGACGTTGAGAAGTTGGCCGTGCAGGACGCGCTGGCGAAGACGTGGGCAGAGATTGATCCGCAGACGGAAGTCAGGGTGGTGAAGACGATCGAGGAGGCGGTTGAGTATGCGCGCGACGTCGCTCAGGGCGCGCCGGATGAGGTCAAGGTGTTGATTACGGGGAGCTTGCATTTGGTTGGTGGGGCCTTGGAGGTACTTGATAGCGGCAAATAAGTAGGAGATGGATAAGCTTTTTTTTTTTTTTGCATGTTCTTAGGGGCGAGTAAGGAATGGTACTGACACACTCCGGGCAGGAAAATTGCATATAGATGGCGGAAAGTCACGCGGTCTCAGGACCATGGTATTTATCAGAATTCTTCATTTCAAATTTCTTGCTAGTTCGATAGAGGTTTTGCTTCGGATTTTGACATTCATGTAGCCGTGGAGAGAGCAGTGGGTTTAGGTGTCCTAGCCAGGTACATAACTACTTGATATTGGTAGAGGCTGCAACTTGAATTTACTGTAGTCCCGGTCAGAAATCACATCTTGTTCTTTTCTGAAGTCTGCATTTTCTATCTACTGAGTAACAGTCCAACATTGTGCGCAAGCCACTAAAGTCACATCCCCGAAGTATCCGTCTTGATACACATGTATAGCTTCTATGTTGAAAAGAGCAATCAAAAAGCATCCGGACAAGAGCTTCGACTGCCTTGCTTTGTCGCAATGTTGTTAGTGACGCAGTAGTCGCGCGGGCGGGCGCTACCTAACAAAACGCCAAGAAAGACGGCCCGAACCAATCTAGGCGGTCCGAGCCGGGCCGGGACAAAAATCTGCCCCCGAGGCCAAACACCATCATCGGCATCCGCATCAACCACGACCACGCCGACTGGCAACCAGCAGATGGGCAAAACGATGTTGACGAGGGTGGGACTCGAACCCACGAGGATTGCTCCACTAGTATATCCTTTTCTGGTATCCTCTTTGAGGGAGGGATACCTGAAACTAGCGCCATAACCACTCGGCCACCTCGCCGGATCAGATGCTGTGTTTGTCTGATTGTGGAAAGGACGTTGGATTTGTGTTATTATTCACCCGGTAATTTGTTGGTCAGTACGCTTTTGTGCCTAGAGCTACAATCGAGTTGTCACCCAGCGTTTCGTTCGAAATGTCCATAGATCACTAGGTTGACCATTGTAGCAGAACTTTCCCTACCTACTATAGATGTTATAGGAGCTATTTGCAAACCTTAATATGATAGCAAGGCCGGAAACTGTTCGATTGCTGACAGGAAAGGGGCCGATGGCTTCCGGAATTGTAAGTTTAAGAAGCCCGGAGCCGTGGCGAGGACCACTTCAAAATAATAGACACTTAACGGTGCTGAACTAATAGACCTATAGTAACGACTCAAAGGTAGAATGAAGTTGCACTGACATTCATGGCTGAACAATAAAAGCCGGGCTAAATACATATGATGAGTGGTGGATTTGCTCAAAGGTCTAGGCTGACGACGGGCTGGTCTAGGATCAGCAGCGCAGGCTTCGCGCGCCAGTCCTGTTCCTAATAATGCTAATCCCGGACCTGCGTCGCCCCCTGCGCTGCAGCAGCAGCCTGAGCAGAAACCTGAGCAGCAGCCTGTCGGTTAGCGCGCTGCAGGAGGCGCGCCGGCGCGAACTCAGTTGCAGCCATGGAACACGGCCGGGATTCACCGATGCGGGGAAGAGAGTACCTAGTGGGAGCACGGGAGGGGGGATGGCAGAAATATTGTCTTGAATGATGATCTGGTTCTGGCCGCGCGCGGGCGGCTGGCGGGAAAATGGGGGCGCCAATCGCAAAGGGGCGACGGCCGAGGCGAATTCTTCACTTGACTGATGAAACCATTCCCACACACACCCCCCGCACCACGGCGCTGTTCCGCCCTCGCCTTTCGCACGCGCCAACCATTGACGTCATGCGATGCGTTGGTCCGACCTCGAGCGACCATCCCGTTCGCATTAGTTAGATCCATGCACCAGCACACGTGCTGAGCGCCGACGGTGGCGGCGAGCTTAAAGATGCGGCCAGGGTCCCTGTAAGTATGATGCCCGTCCCCATCCCTTTCATCAGTCCCAGTGAAGAAAAACCCCCGAGAAACAGGCATCAAGGGAACCGACTCCCCAACCTCCGCTCACAACACTACTACTTCGCCCAACCCACATCTTCTCCACCAAGCCGGGCTCCGCTCCACTCCACACCTACAACAAACATTCCTTCCAAACAAAAAGACAAAAAAAAAACCCCCCCCAATCAACAAAACAACAATGTCCCACGAACGCCCTAGTCAATCCCACACCTCCCCCTCCCCCTCCCCCTCCCCCTCCCCCACCCCGTCCTACAGCCACAGCCACTCCCACTCCCACTCCCTCGCCCTCGCCCCCACCCCCGCCCCCAGCCGCAACCCCTCGCTCTTCCCGGGCGCCGAGAACAGCCCGGCCAGCTTCCTCATGACGTCCGCGCAAAACGGCGGCCGCAACAACAACACCGCTGCTGCTCCTCACCTCACGGCCGCGCAGCCCGGTCGCCACTTCGCGACCAACGCCGAGTACATGAACGCGCTTGCGGCGGCGGCGCAGGCGTCGCTACAGTCGGCGCCGAGCTCGCCGGGGGCGGACCTGCCGATTGCGAGGGGGGGGAAGAGGGGGTCGGTTTATGGGTTGGGTGGGGGTGTGGGGGTGGGGTTGGGGATAGGTGGGGGTGGTGCGGAGGGAGGGGCGGGAGGGGGAGGGGGTGAGGGAGAGGGAAAAGATGGTGCTGGTGGTGCGGGGGTGGGGTTGGGGGTTTTGCCGGAGAGGTTGGAGGGGCTACGGGTTGGTGGTGGTGGTGATGATGAAGGAGGGGAGGAGGAGGAGCGGCGGGGGGAGAATGGTTGGAAGAGTACTGAGGGTGGTGGAGGGCTGGTGGGGGAGGATGGTGCGCCACAGCAGCAGCAAGGGCAGCAGCAGCAGCAGTTTGGTGACGCGAACGTTATGAGAGGAAGCTTCTTGGATATCGATTCGAGCACGCCGGTCACGACGCCGGGGTCTTGTGCGCCGGCGGCGGATTACCTTGGCGGCGCGCTGGGTTTGCGCGAGGAGAATCGGAGTGGCGGCGGCGGGCCGGTGAGCAGCGCGGCGGCGAGGGGTTTGGATGAGATGGAGGTTGAGAAGGGCGGGGACGAGATGGAGGGCGAGTACGAGGGCTTCACTGACCCGTTTGCGAGAGCGAGGGCGGGGGTGAGTGTTGCGAAGGGAGAGGGCTTGGTCTCGCAGGCGGGCGCGATGATGAATGGGCAGCGGGAACAGGAGAGGCCGCCACCGCAGCCGGCGCAGGAGAGAGCAGCGCATGGAAGGCAGCAAAGCTGGAGTCAGCAGGATTTGCGGCACGAGATGACGGCGAGGCTGTCTAAGGATCAGCCATTGCAAGGGTATGAGAGCACATCGGATATGCAGTAGAGATGTATGAGGTGTGGTTTTCTTCTGGCGACGGTTCGCTTTGAGATTGATTCCCCAAGATATAGCACATGTTTCTTTTCCTGTACTATCAGCAATGCATATCTTAGTGGGCAGACATATGCAGATATGCAGGGAGCTTTGACCAATCTCGGGCGCACGTGCCTTTTGAGTTGCTTGTCGGTTACGAAGCTCAGGACCGCGACGAATCAGCCCTGCCCGAGCTGCCACATCGCACCAGTCAAGCTTCTGCACACCAGCCTCCCTCCGACATCCAACGCGGCTTGCCAGTCGTTCGACCTTGCCCTGCAACCGCGCCCAAGCCTCAAGCGGAGCCGCATTGACGGGACCGCGATCCCACACCCCATGCTCCCCGCGACGCCATTCTCCCACCAATCCGTCATGCTGCGCTGAGCTCCTCCTGCGCGATTTCTCGGATAGCAATGGCCCCACACATGTTCCCGACCGACGAAGAGCTGGGGAAGCGGGATGACGACTACACTCCCGGCAACAAGTCTTCTCAATCCTGGCGCAATCTGCCCTACAACTACCGCCGCCGCCGCGTCGCCATCATCATCGGTGCTGCCCTCTCCGTATGGCTGCTCCTACACGTAATCTCCCATACCGACCCAGGCTATACGATATACGATGCGACGAATCCCCCGAACCTCGTCAGGCCAAATGGCCCACCGCCGAAGGTCATCGATGATACAGACGAAGCGGCGCGGCAGCACTACTACAACGGCCATATCAAGTTTTTTGAGCTTGGCGATTCCCTGCACAAAATAAGCAATACCGGCGGCTTGCGCGATAGGAATCGCAATGTACTGTTCGCCGCCTCGAGCCTGAAGAGCGTGTCGGCCCTGATTCCCCTGGCCTGCGAGATGGCCAAGTGGAACCGGAACTACGTGCACTTTGCCATAATGGGTCGATACGACATCTTTCTTGATGACATTCTTGAGGTGAATGGTGTTGATCGCGAGGGATGCAACATCTACTGGCATGACGCTCGCCCGGATTTCGTGACGTACAGCTCCGATACCCGCGCTGAGGCTGTGGTTACCGCAGCACTGGGCCATGTTCACACTTTTATGCATCCACAGGTCGTTATTACAGATGATTCTTCCAGAGAAGATGTTTTCTTCACGAAAGGAGTGCGAAGAAAAACAAAAATCCAGCACCTACCAATCATCGAGATCCCTCAGGGTCGTGCGGACGACCTGGAATGGCTCACTCGGCTCGATTCGAGCTCACTGAGAGCATGGCACACTCCTAGTATCGACATCCTGATCCATGCTCCTCCGAAGTCTTCAGGGTCGCTGCTTCGATTGCTTCAGTCTATCCAAGACGCCGATTACTCTGGGCTGACTCCCCCTCGAATCACCGTCGAGCTGCCCCCTGACATCGACCCACCATCCATGTGGTTCCTTGGGCACATGGCCTGGCCGCCATCGCCCAAGGAACCATTCGTAACGCCCCGGCAGAACGGACTGATCTTGAGACACCGCATCCCGGACCAGAAGGTCTCGTCCGACGAAGCAGCAGTGCGCTTTCTAGAGTCGTTCTACCCCTCTCTCGGTTCACACGTTCTGCTTCTCGCACCCAACGCCCAACTATCTCCCTTGTATTATCACTACCTCATGTTCCACCTCCTGGAGTACAGATACTCCAGCTCCGCAGCCGCCGACAACGCGCACCTCATCGGCCTCAGCCTCGAAGTCCCCTCCCACCACCTCAACGGCACCACCGCCTTCGAGCCGCCCACGGCCGCAGCAATGCGTGTCGGCAGCGACGGCGAAGCCGACGCCGACGACAAGTTCGCAAAGGCCGCGGCCCGCCACCCGGACGCGGCGGTGCCCTTCACGTGGCAGGCGCCCAACAGCAACGCGGCGCTCTACTTCGGCGACGCGTGGACCGAGATCCACTCGTTCCTGACGAACCGCCTGCGCGCCTTCCGGCTGCAGGCGGACCCCGTCGCGCGCCCGCGCACCGTCCACGCGAGCCTGCCGTCGTGGCTCGAGTACTTCCTCGAGCTGATGCGCGCGCGCGGCCACGCGCTGCTGTACCCGGGCCTCGACGGGCCAGCAGCGACCACGGCCCAGCACGGCCTCGTCACCGTCCACACCGAGCTGTACCAGCCGCCCGAGGAGATGCTCGCCGCGCTGGCCGCGCGCCGCGACGAGGACGACGAGACATCATCATCATCGTCTCCTCGCCGCGACGACGACAAAGACGATGCTGTATCGTCCCCCTTCCTCACCGCCGACCCCGCCGCCGCCCTCGCCCCTCCCCCCCTCCACCTCGAACCCTCCAACCTCGTCGAACGACACCTCCCCCTCCACCACCTCCTCCCCTTCGACGCCGACCCCCCGCCCCTCCGCGCCCTGCCCGCGCTGTCGCACCAGGGCTTGCTGTTCGCGCAGGAGGCGGACGTGGCGGACGCGGCGGCGGAGACGGCGAGGAAGTTTCGGAGGGCTATTGGTGGGTGTGGTGATTCTGAGTTCGAAGGAGGGGGGAAGAAGAGGGTGGGGCTGGTGGTGGGGGTGGGGGGGAGTGCGAGGGATTTGTTTTGTTTTGGGGATGGGGATGATGAGGGGGGTTTTGAGGGTGCGGTTGAGGGTAGAGAGGCTGGTGGGTCAGTGGGGTATAGTGATGATGGGGAGGAGGAGGCGGGGGGGAAGGGGAAGGGAAAGGAGAGTAGGACGGAGGGTCGTGAGGGGAATGTGGATAAGGATGAGGATGCGGGTGTTGAGAGGGAAGAGAGTAGGACGGTGGATGTCGAGGAGGGGGAAAGAGGAAGAGGAGGAGGAGAAGAAGAAGAAGCAGAGTGAGGCGTTGTGAGTTAGGGGTTCGTTTGTTCGTTTCCCCCCTTCCCTTCATTGATGGAGTTCGGGCTCGTGGGAAACTGGGGCTTGCGCCGCTGAGCGGCCGTACCTAATCGGGAAGCTTTGCGCGGGGCGCGCGCTTCTGCTGGGCGTTGTTAATGGAAGAGAATGGAAGAGTTATGTAAGTTCTCAAATCAGTCAATCCAGAATCATTGACCATGTACGGATGGGATGGACTTGCACGACGAGTCGACTCCCTTTCGATTCTCACCATCGAAATATCTGCGGTCTTTCTTTGAAGAGACGTCGTCTATTTTCTTCTTGCCACAATGCCGGATGTTTCACCATCGATATAAACCAGCTCATGGCATCCCTAATCCTTTGGGGTGACGCATACATTTCACCAACACTGGGTAAGTTTTATTTTGAGAATGTTTTTTGATTGGTGTGTATTGTTGAATAAGAGCTGCGTTCATTTGCGCTGCGCTGAAGACATGGCTATGGTATGTGGTATTGGACGTATGTCCCTTCCCTGACGTGACAAATATATACAATTGCTAATATTGTAGTAAATATAAAAAAAAAGATCGTGGGTTTCCAGAATTAAGTCAAAGCCGGCGTCTCATCCCGCGCGTTTCTCCCTCTCTCTCTCGCTTTTCAAGCGCGCAGCCTGAACTTAGCAGACGACGCGGTAGTCGTCGAGTTGGCCTTGGCAGCGGCGATGATGTCGTCGGCGGCCTTCTCGGCGACCATGTAGGTGGACACGGCGGTGAAGGTGCCGGGGATGCGGGGGTAGACGGAGGCGTCGACGACGCGCAGGCCCTGGACGCCGCGGACCTGGAACTTTGAGTCGAGCACGGCCATCTCGTCGCCGTCGGCGCCGATGGGGCACGTCGACGAGGCGTGGTGGCCCCAGGCGACGTCCTTTGCGTACTGCTCGATCTGCTCCTGGGTCTGGACGTCGGGGCCGGGCAGGGTCTCGGTGACGGGGACGAGCTGGCGGTCGAAGGCGTCGCGGGCGAGCTCGACGGCCTCGTACAGGGCCTGCAGGTCCTTGCTCGCGTCGCCGCTGCCCGTGTCGAAGTAGTTGAAGACGATGTCGGGCATGTCGAGCGGGTCGGCGGAGCGCAGGGTGACGGTGCCGGCCGTGTTGCGCGGGTGGGCCTTGAGGATGGCCCAGGTGAACCAGTTGTGGTTGATGGTGGCGTTGTACGAGTAGTCGGGGAAGTAGCCGCGGAAGTTGACGGGCCCGCCGAAGGCGAAGATGTCGAACGAGTCGTCGGCGGTGGCGGTCGACTTGTAGAACATGGTGGCGGCCAGGCCCGACGACGAGTAGATGCCGCGGTCGCCGAGCACGGGGTTGTTCCAGCGGTCGACGCACGGGTCGTTGGGGTCGTCGAGGCGGAAAGTGCAGCCGTCGAAGGCGGTGAAGTTGTTCTCGATGGTGCCCTGGACCGAGATCTCGTAGTGGTCCTGCAGGTTGGTGCCGACGCCGGGCAGGTCGGAGATGACGTCGATGCCGAACTTGCTGAGCTCGTCGGCGGGGCCGACGCCGGACAGCTTGAGCAGCTGGGGCGAGTTGTAGACGCCGCCGGCGACGATGACCTCGCGCGAGGCGGAGGCGGTGCCGGGGGTGCCCTTGTTGGCGGCCGAGGAGCGGGGCGAGGCGCTGTACAGGTGGGCGCCGTCGAGGAACTCGACGCCGGTGGCGCGCGGCGGCGACACGTCCTGGTCGAAGGTGACCTTGGTGACGAAGGCGTTGAGGCGCACGTCGAGCGGGTAGCGCTTGGAGCCGTCGGGGTTGGTGGCGTCGCGCACGGCGACGACGAACTCGCGCGAGCCGGTGCGGTGGGCGTCGTTGGTCGACAGCGGGATCTGGTAGTAGGCCGGGTCCTTGTCGCGCGACTCGGTGTCGGCGTTGGCGTCGCCGGCGAGCAGGGTGCCGATGTTGAAGAGGTTGTCCGTCAGGTTGCCCAGGGCGAAGGCGCCGCCGGTGAGCAGCGACAGCAGCTGCGGGTCCTCGAGCACGATGCTCAGCGGCGCGTTCTCCGTCGCCAGCCAGCCGTCGTAGCCGTGGCCCGGCTGGCCCGGCAGCAGGTACTGGTTCTTCTCCATGCGCGTGAAGTACTGCCGCATCGAGTCGGGGCCCCACGACGCGTCGCCCGTCAGCGTCGAGATGTACTCGAAGTCGGACTGGTGCGGGTACACGGCAATCAGCGCGTTGTGCGCCGTGCACCCGCCCAGCGTGCCCGTCCGCGGGTACAGCGTGCCCTTGATCGTCGAGCCCTCGGGCGGGTCCACGCCCGTGTACTCGCCGCCGTCGGGCGTCGCCCACGTCGTCTTGAAGTCGCGAGCCTGGCGGTCGTCGTCGGCGTAGTGGCGCACGAAGAAGTTCCACGCCAGCAGCTCGTCCTCGGACGACTTGGCGCTGTACGCCGGGATCGTGTAGTTCTCGTTGGCGCCCTGGTCGTCGCCCGCTTCGATGAGCAGCGTCTTGTGCCCGGCGATGGCCAGCCTGGCTGCGAGCGGGCCGCCGCCAGCACCGGAGCCGACGACGACGTACTCGTAGCCCGTCAGGTCGACCGCCCACGCGAGCGGCAGCGTGCTGGCGAGCACGCCGAGGATGCGGGGAAAGAGCATGGTTGGGTCTGGGTTGGGTGGGAAGTAAAAAACGAATGTGATGACCTGGCGGCGAATCGGGTCAGCGCGTCTGCATCGTGGACTGGTGCATCGAGGATACTCACCCTTTGCTGGCTTGATCAAGGAGGAATCTCTGGAAAAGACCTGACCTTGGTGAAGAGAGGCGGTTCAGGGTGGCATGCCGGGCCGTTTTAAACAACGGCAGCGGGGACGGCCCAGGGAGAGTATACTGAGCCTGGATTGCCATGTATTTCCTGTTTTGGCCGAGCTGTAGCTATTAGCGCCCTTCGGAAAGTAGGGCTGCGTGTTAAAGCGGGCGTGCTATGCTCGCTTTGGCACCTGTGGCCGCGACGTTGTGGCTCCCGCCCTGTGCCGCCGCCTCCGCTGGGGCCGGAGGGAGAGACGTTGGAGCTAGCAGGCTAGCAGATGGGCAGCAGGACCCTGGCCGAGGGCGTCGATGGCTTGCACGAGGACAGCATGGCGCGCCGACGGATCGTCGAGTCGATAATTCCCATGTCGTCCGCAGTGGCTGTCCGTCGGCCCCGTGCGCTGGAAAGCTGGAAAGCGATGCGAGAAGGCGGCCGGGGCAAAGGAAGCGCGGCGAGAAGCTGCGTGGCTGCTCAGTTGCATCCACAGCCCATTTCGGAGATTTGTGCTGAGACGGGCAAGTGATGTTGAGGTGTGCAGGGATGCAGGGGGCAGCCGTCGCGGAGATGAGGCTCCTTCCGCCCAAGGTCCCTGGCCGGTGCATGATCCGCAGGCGCCTTTGCGGGGAGGACGGCTAGCCGTCAGAAACCTTAAGGGGCGCCGGCTGACGGATTTCCCTAGCATCAACGTCGCTAAGGGTTGGTGGCGGCCGCTAATCTGGACGCTTCGCCGCTCCCTCGCTCCCTCGTGGCACTCTGGCCAGGACCCTGGCCCTGACTTGACATCCATCTCTCTTGGCCATGCGGCGCAGTCGCCTCCTCTTGGGCCTCGGCCCGCGGCCTTGCCTGCTGTTTCGTGCCTCGCATGAAGCATGTGTCGACAAACATCTTTTGCATTGATGGTGTGGCTTCGATATCTCGCGACTTTGTGCCCTGAAGAGAAGCCGCCCGAGCCGTGTGCGCTCTCGGCCTCCGCTTCCTGAGCCTCGACAGTGCACGATAAAACCGAGGCCCGGCAAGCGTATCCACTATACACAGTACAGCCTCTGCCGGCATCAGCATACATCCGCTTCCGCAAGACCGCGCGCTTGGTGCAGGCCCGGCGACCCGGGCAATCTTTGATTTGGAGGTTCTGGAAGGGGACGAAGATGGCCGGATGGACAGGGGAGAATGCCTAATCGGACGGCCAGAGGCTTGCGACACAAGCGTTTAGTACAAGCCATTGCGTATGTAGACAGCCACAGTGGGTGCACGTCGGCGGTGAGACCGTCCTGGGCCCGCACGGGGCACTGCGGTGACAGCGGCTTCGTCCCGGTCTGATTGTGCGGATCCGAGGACTGGCGAACATCCAAGGCCTCTGTCTGCCCTGCTCCTCGCCTGGGATCTGCAACTTCTTTCAGACTTCACCCGCTGGAGACGGTCCTGGTTGTGCCAGCAGGGCTCGCTCCAAAGCACCAACGGTGATTGCAGCCATGCATCCGGGCCATTGGCGGGGCGAGCGGCTGCAAAATCTTTGTTCTCCCGCTTGATTGCGGCGTAGCAATGGTCTGTGATGCTCGCATCCTGCATGAAAATGACGTTCGTGCTCCGTCGCTTGCGCGAGTCGTGGAGTGGACCGATCGCCAGGAGAACAACAACTTCTTCGCCCCCAATCTGTCCAAATGTCCGACGAGCAAAGAGGGGCGGAACAAGCACCGGACGCCCCGGTGGAGCACGCCGCCTAGCCGACTTCACCCACGCCGATCAGAATGACTGCCCGGTCCGCCCCGGATGCAACTAACTGGTCGTTGGGCCGCGAAGCCAACGGGCGAGGGAGAGATAAGGACTGCTAGTCGCAACACCAAGGACTTGGGCACTTGCCGCGAGTACGAGGTTGACATACAGAAGCCTTGACGGAATCGCCGGATGATCGTCCTCGCCTTGACCATTTGACAAATACCCGGGTCCATCTCCTGGTGACGAAGCTTGCCACTCCTTCGCGGCAAGGATAGTAGCGCCATCGTCTTGGCTGCAGAAGCCCTGTGGATATGCGATCGTCAACTTACAGCGGTGTGAAATCCTTCGCCACGTGTGGCCGGGTACCTGGACTCCCCTGAAGACCTCGCCTTGGTGGTGGTTGTGATGAATCCCACCATTGCCTCGGAACCACGCACCAGATCGGCGGGTCTAAGTCCGATGCCTCACTTGACACTTACTCGTGAGATCGGAAGCTTGATGTTCCTTCGATTGGCGACTATCGCAGCCAGTCTTCTCCAAGGACTGAAAAAGCCTCGTATCAGAGCGGCGAAAGAACTTGGCGATGACTGAACCCTGCCAGGAGAAAGGGGGACGGCAATGGATCATCACAGCCATCAGTTGCATGCTCTCAAGTGAAGACGTAACATGGGTGATAAGGGGCGAGCAATGGGGCCATCACGAGAGAACAATGCTGGAATCATCTCAGCACATCACCCAATGACGTCAAAGAGGTATTATATTCCTTTGCTCCAACAGTTTCCAAGTTGTCATCCCTTTAGGTTGAGACTGATCGAAGTGTAACAGTGGCTAATCACGTCCCTTGCTGCAGTTGGCTGGCGCAAGCAAAATCTTGGTGAACATGCTAGATGACTACCAAAGAGGTTTCGACTCTCAAGAACAGTGAGAATATCCCGGAACCACGAGAACCTCGCTGGTTGATTTAGCATTGCATGCGTCCGGGAACAGCGGTCCTAAATGACAAATGCTCATACACGAATGACGTGGCCTAGTATTTGAGTCATCCCCTCCACGAGCAAGGCAGTTCAATGATATACAAAGCTTCCGATTCCATTCAGTGTCATGTTTCAGTCGGAAACAAGTAATACTTAAGGTCCCGACACCGCCTACTCCGGTGCCGCCCGGCCGACAGCCTCCTAGCTCCCCACCGCCCTGAACGCTTACCCACCAACCTTTCCACAGTCGAAGTCTTCACGGCAACGAAAGTACGCATCATGTGCAGCACAGAGCCCGTGAATATAGTGAGGAAGACGAAAGCCTCTCAGAACCATGAGCGCGACGGGGGGGCAGGCTTTCCCGGCCCCAGTTTGCCCACTACACCTGGACACATTTCCCCATTCGCGTTCCCACTTCGACGCGCTCGCTGATTGCTCCATCATCTTCCTTCCCGCTCGCCTCCCTTCACCAAAGCAGCCATAGTTCCCGCCTCTCGTCGATCAACTGACCCCATGACGAACAACTCAGCGCGTTCCCAGCTAGCTTCCAAGTTCCACCCCTGCGTCCCATGCGATCGACCGAACAGACGCGGGACGCCACATCACCCATCCCATCCAACGCACGATACCTTCCCCCTCTTAGTGCCGCCAGCGGAAGGGGCAGACATGCGGTACGATTGGATCAGAAGGCAAGACATGAACGATTGCCAACGGGAAGGAAGTTGTTGAGAAAAGGAAGACCAAGGGAAATATTGTTTGCTTGCACCCACGACGACGGCGCGACGAAAAAGGGGCACGTGGACGAAGTGACTGGACGAGTAGTGGCTCTCGTTCGCCCTAGGCCCTGATTCTATCCGAGTTGAGAGGTCGACGGCGAAGTGACTTTGTTTGTAGGTACACCCCCCGGCTGCCATGGACGATTGGCAGAGGCGTGCTGCCGTGACGGGAGCGGGTGGGGGAGTTTCCCAGTTATTGGGATTGCGCTCCGTTGTCGCGAGTGATGGATTGGGGTGAGTGGGAGAGAGGTGGGCGAATGGAAGGGGGACCTGGCGTGCTGCCTGCATCGAGCTGTCTGGACAGTGACCCTTTCGATATATTGATGTGATACTATTCCCGAGGGCTTGGACTGAGGTGCTTTGAATGCTTGCTATATCTCATTGTCCTAGAGGACATCTTATCCAGATATGCAACGTACCTTGGAAGCGCATGATTGCAGGCCCCTCCTGGCATTGGTTCTTCTCTCCTGCAGCCAAACGATCCAAAGAACGGGCTGCAGAACGCTTTCATTCGGGAGACACTGATCAGCCAGCAGACTTGCAAATGGCCTGACATGACGTTGCCATGAAAACGCACACTTCAATCACAGTAGTTGTATTCGCTTGGGTATCTCTAAACGGACCATGTAGCAGCTCAGAAACGCTTCCCGTTCTACTAGTCACACAACCGCGTCTTCAAGTTCTTCTTATCTGATTTGCTAGTCTATAGAACCTGGAAGTCCCATATGGTCACCTTTCACGTGCTTTGACCAAATTCATACCAAAAGCATGACCCCGCCCAAATAAGCAACAACCCCACAAAAACAAAGCAGACACCGTATTAAATCATCCAGCCAGCCACCCAACCACAAGCTTCTCTGAAAAAAGCTTAAGAATAAATAGAACAAAGAAAGAGAAGCCTAAAACAACGTGCACCCGCCAAAGTCGCACCAAACCCGCCTTCTTGGCCAAACAGACGGTTGTGATGAAACCTGTCAACCGCCCGTACGACCAAAAAAAAACAAGGGGAGGTAGAAACGGGGGTTACGCAAAAACCGGGCGCCGCGCGGCGCGCACACTCGCATTGCCGCGCCGAAGAGACAAGAGAAAAAATAAACCACCAAGGGAGGGAAAGAAGCGGGAGAGACAAAAATAGCCATCGGGCCCGCGGCCCGTCCTACAACTGCCTCCTGCTTTCCATTTTCATCCGTGTCTTTGCGGGTCGGTTTCGGGGTATGAGGAGGGGGGAAAAGGTGGAAACGGAAAAGGAAACTAAAGCCTAAAGGACTGGGACTCGTTGCTGTTGGTCGCACGGCGGTGGCAGCTGTGTGTGACATGGGGGGGATGCGGGCGGGAGTTTCGAAGGACATGAGACAGAGTGATTAGTCAGAATGGGTGGAAAAGAGAGGGGAAGGCAAGTCGGTCTCCAGAGAAGGGAAAGACAGGGATCGGGGCGAGCGGAAGGCGTAGCCTAAGGGCTAGGAACGAGCAGGGGTACGCTGCGCTGCAACGAACTTCGTGATAGCTGAATGTGGTGTTGCAGTCAGGGGAGGGCGGGCGGCCTCCTGACGGTTGATGTCATGGGCGGCCCCCGTGTGAGTGAGTGACTCGACGACGGTGGATCGACGATGCAGCAGCAGCAGCGCAGGGATCCTGTGAGAGAGAGACAATAGTCTGCAAGTGGTGGGAAAAGATACTACTGGTCGTCAGCGGCCCTCTCTCGCGAGTCCTTGATCGAATCAGAATTGGCAAAGATGAAGGCTGCCTTTGATTCGTGAACTGCGCCTTTGTTCGTGCGCTCAACTACCACAGCCATGTACTCGCCGACATGTCTATTTTTCACCAGACGGGCAGGCAGACGAAACCCGCACTCAGCCCAGCACTGCCTCGATGCCGCCCCCGGCGTTGCCGTTCGACCTGCCCTCCGCAGCAGCACAGCAGGTGGTAGCCGGGCCCCTTGTCGCGTGCGATCCGTGGGGCGAAGCATCCATGCCCGTGAGCGAGCCAGCCAGCCGGTCAGCCGTTGTCCTCGAAACTCCAAAGCCCTGCCTCCGCCGGCCAGTCATCACGAAAGCTATCCGTCACCGAGGCACGACAGGCACCCGTGTGTCGTGCGGACCAAGCAGCGATGCCCACGCCCGATGGCACGGCGCGGCACGGCACGGCGCGCGCGGGGCGGGCGATTTGACAAGTCGAGTGCGGCCGCGTCATGTGCAGGGCTGAGAGGAAGGGGGAGGGGAGAAAGATGAGAACGAGGTGGTAGATCGGGTATGACTGTCCCTCCGGCCCGTGCTGTGATACTCGCACAAGAGACGCAGGGCGGTTTCAGGGCCCCGAAATATCTTGTTGGAAAATGAGTGGCCCACGCGATCGGATGTGGTTTGTAAAAGGAGGCGGAAGAGTGCAGTCCGGGGGGGAGGGGGCATGGGAAAGGCGACGTCGAGGCGGGAGCGGGGACGGCGACGAGGCGGACAGCGGAAATACGCATGAACGCTTTCAGTGTCCTCGTGTTGTGCGCCGGTGTCGCCCGTTTTATCTCCTACATTGGTTTTTTGACAGCTCGTTTGGCGTGACTTGGGGTAGCGCAGACGCGTTGCGCGAGGGACAGGGCGACCAAGACCAGCCGGGGATGTGGGCAGGCGGCCAAAAAGTGTCAGTGGGCGGGTGTTCCACTGGCTGCCACGATGCTTGTCCGCATGTAACCTTCTCTCCCGGTTGTCGCGTCGAAGCATTTGTCTGCTGATCCGCGCAACAGCACTTTGCAATGCCATGCCTGGCGCCCTGCACTCCACAAATATGCAGACGACGAGGACTTGATCGGATGCAGCCGAGATATTCCATGCACGTTGTGGCGAACCAAGCCCAAGTAATCCATCCCCGCGTCAAACCATCCAATCACTGGCCGCGAATGTCGCACTGCTTGCCCTGCAGCCAGCTTCTGAGTGCATCGATTGGCTGCTTTTACCCCGGCCATGAAGACAGGGCGACAGCGGCAACGGGGAGAGTCCTTGGAGGGATGAGCTGGACAACGTAGGACGGCCGTCCACGGCAGAGCGGGCAGCGGAGCATGCGCGGAAATTGGTCACACCACCAAGCCTCGAGACCAGCGTGGCACAATCTACGGCACTGCCGGCTGCGGCGGGAAGGCCATCTAGAAACAATTTAATCCGCACAACGGCCTAGTCAGTTCCTCGACCGCGCAGCGCGGAATGACTTGGATGGATTCGTTTGACAGAAATAGAACGACGGCCGGAGGACTCATCGCCTCTGCTGCTCAGGACGACCCGACGACCGCTCGAGGAAAAGTATGCTGGTGGTCGCTGGGCGCGGCCGTTTGGCTTCCAGAATTCGGTGAGGAGTGTGCCTGCTGGCTTGGCACGGGAGCCTACATCAGACACTGCTCTCGGCGGGCGAGGCGGTCAGTTGAGACGACTCCACCGCTCGATTGACGACAGAGCGGCAGCCTTTGAGGCGGTGAGCTCACCGCCATCTTCGAGCGTGCTGGCGGGCGCGGATTGGCGAGCAGCGGTCAAGGCTCAAGGGAAGGGGCATGATTACAAGTATGAAGCATCCTCCCTTCGCGCTGCAGGCCGCGAGATATGATCATGTAGATCAGCGAAGGTGCAGAACCTCACCGCTGGCCGTCGTCGTGCTTCGAATTCGGCCTCGTCCGCTGTCCCTCCGGTCACGTCTTCCCTCGCACCCGCCCGTCCGCTTGCGCACACGACCCCCACGGCTACCACTATCGGTCTCACCGAGCGGGCAGCCCCAGATGGGAGTCAGCTTCTTTCCCGCCTGCGATTCGAGTCCGTCCTCCGGTAAAACATGTCGACCCGCCCGCGCCGCCCGGCCATTTATGTCTGAGACCCAACCGGGAAGCACTTCTGAGCCGTGGTGCGGGCTGGGCAGCAGCATTGAGCATGCCCAATCCGTTCCAGTACAAACGCACACATCCGCAAGTGCGCGCTCCGTGCGGCTAGGAGCCCACGTTTGAAAAGAGATGGAGGGCGCGGCGCGGCCACAGAAGTCGTCAGGGGCAAATGCGGGCGACCCTCCGCGCGGGAGCGAGCAGGACGACGCCGCCAGCCGATTGGAAGCCGCCAACCAACTGTGCGCCGCACCGTGGGAGCCCTGACCGTCACTTCTTCTGCAAACAGGGAGCATGGGTTTTGCAGTGTGCTGGCGGGCGAAGAGGCAGATGGTGCATGTGGGATCGGCCATAATGTAAAACTGTGTTCCCATGATGCCAATCTTCACCGTCTTCCACCTGGACAGCTGGCCGCATGTTTCATTACACTGTTGACAGCGTGACCGGGAGCATGGGCCCGTTTGACCGCCAGCCAGGAGAAGAGTAAACCGAGCCGTTGTCCACGGTGCAAGACCTGCCTGCCACGCATGATCACCGGCCAGACCAGCCAGCCCGGCAGGATCCGTGTGCGGACATGGAAGCACGCTCTCCTTCCCAGCGCCAGGGCAAGCGGGCTAGTCAGGGTGCCGACGCAGGGCGCATGGGCCCTCGTTTCCTGGGCAGAAGGCTGCCTGCCGCTGCTACTTGGCCGCTGGCCGGCGGATCAGTGCAGGAAAACTGCATGGCGTGAAAAAGGCAGACCAAGGCTGGGGCTGCCCGCGGATGCGGTGAAACTCCGCCTCGAACAACGCCCTGTCCCTGTTGCCCCCGTGCCCAGCGCGCCGCATCTCCATCGACGAGCGGGACGTTACGAGAGGCTTTCCTCAGCCGACGGATCAACGCCTCTGCTTTCTGACCGCTCGCTTGCTCTTCTGCTCTATCCCTCTTCAAACAACAAGCGTACATAGCCAGCTGACTGGGATAGAGCAATCAGACCCACTCTTACGAGAGTCATCACCCTCAGATTGCTCTTGAAGCAAGCCTTGACAGCCCGCAGCCGGTGAAGGATTGTGCGCAGACGGAACGGGGCGAATAGCAATAGCCCGAGTGGCTGCCGGGTATAAGATCGGGCATTGCCATCGTCATCGCTTCGTGAGCTTTCTGGAGCTCTGCTGGATCTAGATCCTGCTGTCTCCACGTCTTCCCAAAAGTCATCAGGACCGCAGATCAGTCTGCTCTAGGCGAGAAATCCTCCTAGCCGATCTGCGCTCAAGGCCGGAGAGACAGACCATAACTGGCTGGCAATCGGTCCAGCCTCCTCCACGTACGCGGCAGCCATCTTTACCAGTAATTCGGACTCGATTTGAGACCGGCCGGCCGACGAACGGGTAGGGATCGCCCAAGCAAAGGAGATATCGTCCATTCCCGAGAGCAAGCGGGCCTGCACCGTCCCGACCGCCAGACCCGCCGCCCTGCAGGAGCCAACAGCAGCCAGCGCCAGCACCAGAGCCGTAGACGCAGAGCAGCAGCAGCAGCAGCACGCAGGCGGGCGGGCGTACGTGCGGGCGAGATCTCAGGCATCCGCACCACCCGCACCCGCGTCGCGGTCCCAACAAAGACGGTGGCGCCAGGCGTTGCAGTGCGCTAAACGGCGGCTCGGTCACCTGTTGGCAGCCTTCTGCCAGCCTTCTGGTACCTTACCGCTCTTGACTTGCAGCAACAGCAGCAGTGGTAGCAACAGCAGCAGGAGAAGAAGAAGTGGTGAGTTGTTTCCCGCCCCTCCCCCTCTTCCTTGTATAAGGCCTCTCTGCTCTTCCTCGTCCCTCGTACAACGTTCCTCACTCTTGGTCTTCCTCTGAGCACACCACTTACCCATCATTCTTTGAGCACGCACAGTCGGGGATTTGACCCTACCGTGTTCTCTTTCCTGATCGTTTCAGTACCCGGCATCTCCTCCGTCTTACCATTTCACTCTCCCGCTCACATACCTTCCCGAGACCAGCCAGCATCGAGGGCCACCACGCCAAACGGTGTACCTACCCAGTCCACGGCGCCCTCTCAGCCCAATCCACCATGATGAAGATCGAGTGCCTCCTCAACCCTCTCGGAGCCGACCACGGAGGAACAGTCTCTCCTTCACTACCGTCGTCCCCTTTCCTGTCGACGACGACGACGACGTCGCCCACGCCGACACCGACGCCGCCAGAGCGACCGCAGCAGCAGCAGCAGCCGCCTCCCAAGTCACGCCCGAAGCCGTCCAAGACGGCGGCCGTCTTCATCAAGGGCCGGGCCAAGGGCGAGGTGCGCTACCCGCCGTTCGAGAACGTCGACGAGTACGAGCTGCACCGATACAGGATCTTTCCACGGCGGCTGGAGCACATCAAGGAATATCCGCGGCACATACCGTACAACAGCGAGAAGAAGTCGTTCCTGGCGAAGACCGGGCGCGAGGCGTTCGAAGGTGAGTTAGTTGACAGCAACACAACAAAAGCGCCGTCTATCCATCCATCCATCCATCCATCCACCCACCAACCCCCTTCCGCTAATGCCCCTCCCACCACAGTCTTCCAATACACGTTCAAAGTCCCCGGCGACGAGCACGAGTACGTCGTCATGTGGGACTACAACATCGGCCTCGTCCGCATCACGCCCTTCTTCAAGTGCTGCAAGTACTCCAAGGTCAGCCCATCCCCTCCCTTCCCCTCCTTTCCCCTCCCCTCTTTTCCCATCCCATCCACCCGCTAACCCATCCAACCCCCCCACTAACCCATCCCAACCACACAGACCACCCCCGCCAAAGTCCTCACCCTCAACCCGGGCCTCAAAGAAATCTGCCACAGCATCACCGGCGGCGCCCTCTCCGCCCAGGGCTACTGGATGCCCTTCGCCGCCGCCCGCGCCGTCGCCGCCACCTTTTGCTGGCGGATCCGGCACGCGCTGACGCCGCTGTTCGGGCCGGGCTTCGCTGCGACGGCGGCGACGGATGACGACGCTCGTCGTGGTACTGGTGGTGCTGCTGCTACTGGGTGCATACCGCCCAAGCATCCGGCGTTTGGCGGGTTCAGGATCGATCCCGGCATCGTGGCGAGGTGCGCGGAGGAGACGAGGGCGTGGACGGCGGCGGCGGAGGCGACGGCGACGGCGATGGCGATGGCGGGGGAGGATGGTGAGGGGGAGGTGTTGCTGCTGCAGGGGATTCCTCCTGCTGTAGGCGGCGGTGGGCGCTCGTCGATGTCGACTGGCTCGCCTCCGGCTGCTATGCGTTTGACGGCGCCGGTTTGGGGGGCGCCGGAGGTGGCGGCGGCGGTGCTGCCGTTGTCGAGCAGCGACGGCTATAGGTCGTTGAGGCGGCAGCAGCAGCGGCGGCCGCAGTCGTCGTCGTCTTCATCGTCTTCATCGTCGTCGTCATCATTGTCGTCTTCGTTGCTGTTGTCGTCGTCGCCGGGAGCGCAGTATCAGGCACCACTTCAGCAGCAGCAGCAGCATCAGGCACGCAACCCGCACTGGTCGCCCGAGAGTGGGTACTGCAGCGACCTCGACAGCAACAGGTATCGCCGCGGCGGGATCGAGTCGCCTCAAGTCTCGCCGACGACCCAGGTCGCGCAGTGGGCGAGCGTGAATGGTGGGCCGATCGGCGGTAATGGCAATGGTGGCTACTACCACCATCATGTGGCGCATGTCACGCCGACGCTGTCATCGCCTTTTGCTGGATCAACCCGTCTCCATCATCATCAGCATCATCAGGGTCCGACGTCCTCGCCGATGGTACAGGCGCAGGCGCAGGCGGTGCCGATGCTGCACCAGCCGTTTCTGCCGCGGCCTTACCTGCCGCCGCCGCCGCCGCCGCCGACGCCGCAGGAAGTGTTTGGGCAAAGTGCGTTTGCTGCCAAACGGCGGATCTCGAGGGTGGTGGAGGAGGAAGAGGAAGAGGAGCACGAGAGCCAGGAAGATGACGATGAGACTGTGTCTGCTTGGAGTGCGACGGCGGCAGAGACCCGGTGCGACGGTACTAGCTCCGAGACGGGGAGTCCGAAGGTATCGAGGGGGGCGGACGTGAAAGCGGCAAAGATGCTGCTGGCTCTACGTGGTGGCGAGGCTGGCGGGTCGCCGGCGCTCTCGAGTCATCGTGAGAAGCGGCTGCGTCGTGCTTCGAACTGATGGTGACCATGGGTTCAGGACTAGGACATGTCTTATCAATTGTAACGCTTGGGCTTATTCTTTGTGTATTTGCGGGGCATGGCACAGAGCATGGAGGTTGGAAAGCGGTAACGGCTGTATCTTACGTATCAGAGAAGTATCATGGGCGGTAGTGGAATCCTCGCCCAAAAAGCAGTATCAACGAAATTCCAATTCCGATTCTCCTAGAAGCTTGGTCTCATACCTCGATGGCAGTGTCTAGACTAGTGCTTGCACCCTCATACGGAGAATCTCCAGTGCAACGTGAGAGTAGAATTTACGGTATGTAGCATTCAATACCTTCAGCGCGTCCAAAGGAAATCAGGCCTTGGCCTTGAGCTTAGCCACAGTCTTTGAGGTCCGCTCAACAACGCTCGCCTCATTGTAATTGCTCTTGATGCTGGGATGCTCAATCGTTGCAGCAGCCCACTTGGAGAAGTTCGGCAAGTCCTTCAAACCAGACTTGAGCTTCGTGGGCAGATAGGTCCCATTCGACAGCGAGTATAGACGCAGGAGGAAAGGCGCAACTTGAGTCTGTTTTCTCTCATCAGCCAAGGTTGAGTTGCTTGATCTTTCGTGTATTTACCTCGGCATAAGTCAGCTCCTTGCTACCGTCGACGAATGGTCCGGCATCAGCGAGCAGTGGCTCGACGAACTTGTCGACGTCGGCAAGTACCTCGTCCACCTTTGCATCCTGGTTGTCGGAAATCAGCAACCCACGGGCCTGTCCGCCCAGCTTCGACATGAACGTGTCGATGAAGAACTGGATCCTCGCGCGGCGCAGAGGGGCGGATGGGTCGGCCAGGGAGGCGGGCAACAGGTGGGATGGGCGTAGATCAACCAAGAACTGCGAGATGATGTTCGATTCGTATATGATCTCGTTGACGACCACATCGTTGGAGAATTTGATGGCAGGCACCAAACCACGCTGAGCTAGGGTGTCAGTGCGGCACGCAAATGCTCAGAAAGAGGTCGCTTGCTCACCGGATTGATGTCAAGGTACCATTGAGGGCGGGGCTCGTCGAGATTGATGATGATGCGCTCCACCGGAATCTTGAGCTCTGTGAGAATGAACTGCACGCGCTGGCACCACGGGCAATCAGGATAAGTGTAGAAGGTGATTTTGGGTGGGATCCCGGGAGCTTCGTAGCTAGCCATTGTTGCTGTGAGGGATAGGAGCGTTGAGGTGTGCTTGGCTGAGGTGAGCTCCACCCTCGCGTTTTATGCGTGTGAATTGCGTCAGCGGGGATCGCGGGACTCGGAGCGCGGGGTCATTGAGACCGACGAGGGCCATTTGTCAGCCAGGACATCATCAACCAGACCCCTTCGAGTGAGCGCGCCGTTGAGGCGCGTGTCGCAGTTGCTGTACCTAGTGTCGCGTCCGTCGGACCCTTGCAAGCCTCGGTTCCGTCGACGGGTGGACTACGGCAACTACTTTACATGGGCCGGAAGCTTGACCTAGCCTCTGCCTTCCTGCAGCCACTCTAGACGTACACCGTCTGTCCAATGAACTGCGAGTCTCCTCAACGTTGCTGCTGGTGCTAGCAGTTTCCAAACATCATAGAAAAGAGGTCGGTTCTCTGGGGTTGTACTGCATTCGCGCTTGGAGTATTTTCCATTCCTGTGTGTATGCATACAGCTCTATCTACCATCTCAAGAGGAGCCGGCTGTCGCCTTCTGGATAAGCTTGTCGTGAAGTCTCGCAATCTCGGGAACAATGAGGCTCTCGATCTCGACGACTGGCTCGGCATCGCTGAGCACAGGAGGTTCCTGGCTCTCCTCAACAGCATCCTCGTCACTCCTTGTTTGCAGTGCCGCCTTGCCTACCAATGCCTCGATGCCGGACGTACTCCTGCCTCTCCGGTTTCGAGGCACGCGAATCCACTTCTCGCCTTCGTCAGCACTGACGAAAACGACTTCCCACTTGCGGGTCGACAGCAGATTGCCAATCACGAGGTGATGATGGTAGCGCTTCAAAGCGTAGGTGGCCTTGCGGAGCAGCATGCTGGGGTCCGTCTCCAGTTTGAACGAGACAATGATGGCGTCGGGAGCCCAGCCATCCACCAGCGACTTGAGGAACTTGGGGACAGGCTCCAAGTCGATGATGAGGGACTTGCCTTCGGTACGAGCCGCAGGCTGAGGCTTGTTGCTCACAGCGCCGGCGGACGCATCCTTTTGCTGCTGGGTGAATTCCTCAGCACTCTGGATCTTGTGCTCGACCATGCGGTCTTTGGGAACGAAGAAGTCAGACACAGCGGCAGCGAGGTAGAACAGCGCGCGGCTGCCCAACGGCCGCATCAGCTTGGCCACTTCGCGAAGCTCCCACAGGTAGTCGGTGATGGTGACGAAGGACAGGATCAGCAGCGTGTTCTGGCGCTTGACCTCGGTGTACTGGCGCAGGACCCGGAGCATCTTACGCTGATGCTCCTCGTCGACAATCACGCGGCCGGCTTCGTCTTCCCGCATGAAGTCGAGGAAGGAGCGCGTGTTGTGCGAATAGTGGCGGCTGTAGGGCAGCAGCGAGAACTGGCGGTGCAGGTAGATGACGGCGTAGCCATTCTGCAGGAAGTACTCGGCGGACGTGGCGCCGCGGGTGCCTGCCGAGAAGTTATCGATGTAGCGGACCGTCTGCTCCTCCAGCGGCACCGTGGTGCCGCCTGATGTGACGAGCGCCACGCGACGGCCTTCCTCGGCGTGTCGCCCGATGAAGGCACGGGCAAGCGTCAGGTGCGCCTGCAGCGAGGGCGGCGGCGGGTTGCTGCTGAAGTACTGGCTCTCGGCCGCAGCCGGACCGGGGCTCGCGCTATGGGACATGGCCGATGTTGTCGCGATGGGAATGCAGCTGTGAGCGAGGGCTGAGTCGGACCTCAGCGGCGGAGCGGCGGGTGGCGCCTCGACAACCCGCCTAGGCAGCACTCACGTGACTGGAACAACGCTGCCTGGAGAACTTGCTCTGACAGAGCATCATACGATGCGGAGCGTCGAGCTCCACGCCGCCACAGAGCACCGCTCCATGATATGCACATCGGCCGCCGGTAGTTAGACCTGGAGATGCAGGGTCTGGAGTTGCCAAGAATGCACGCTAGGCCCGCCGATGTTCGGCGCTCCCGTCGCCCTTGCCCGTTTTTCCTCACGTCAGAGTCGTCCAATCACGCCAGCCGCAAACGCACTGTGTCCCATCTGATAAGCGGTTATCCGATCGCAGCCCTCTCTCCGCTTCGCTTCTGGTCAGACGGCCTCTACAATGCGTTTCCCCTAGCAGTCCGCCTGAAGTCTTCGAGCCTCTCTCCCCGTCGCTATGGACCAAACGCTGACCTACTGGCTCCTCGATACGCGCTCCCTATGGCCGGGCGATCGCATCGACCAGGCTGTCCGTTCCACCCGCCAGACTAACTCACCGAAGCTGCGCTGAACCTAGCCACAGGCAGCCGACGTTTTGAATCTGCTTAGCCCGGAGGAGCAGGAAAGCGTGCGAAGAAAACACTTCATCCAAGATGCTCGTCTGAGCCTGGGCTCCGCCTTGCTCAAGCGTGCCTTCATCGCCAAGGTCACGGGCACGCCCTGGCACGAGATCCGCTTCGGCCGTGCTGGAGACCCTGTGCATGGAAAGCCGTGCTACATGTCCGAGGACGGGCGGCCTGTGTCCAACATCAATTTCAACGTCTCTCACCAGGCCGGCCTCGTCGCCTTGGTGGGGTCCACAGTTCCCGGTGCTGAACTCGGTGTCGATATTGTCTGCGTCAACGAGCGGAATGACTTCAGGGTGATTGATGCAGACGGGTTTGACGGATGGGTTGACATCTACGAAGAGATCTTCTCGCCCGAGGAGTCGTGGGACATGAAGTACAGTATCGACAGCGTACAGCTCCTGGACGGCTCGACACTCACGTCCGCTGAGATCGGCCGCAGCGATCGCTGCTGCCGGCGTAATCAGACCCTCACTGCTGATCGCAAGTTGGAGAACGGCCGCACGGAAACGGTCACGTTCGACTCGGACCTCTTGATCGATGCCAAGCTGCGACGCTTCTATACCTTTTGGTGCTACAAAGAAGCCTACATCAAGCTGACCGGAGAGGCGCTCATGGCGAGCTGGCTCAAGCAGTTGGAGTTCAAGAATGTGCGGGCGCCAGCTCCTGGGACGGTCGCGAGGTGCTCCACTCACGGGACCTGGGGTGAGAAAGTTGACGATGTTGAGGTTTGGCTGCATGAAAAGCGGGTTGAAGATGTCCGGATGGAGATTCAAGCATTCGGAGAAGACCGCATGATCTCCATTGCAGTAAAGAATGTCCCTGGACCCATACCATCGATACATCAGGTAGACTTGACTGGGGATATCTTGGCGTTTGCCCCAGGATGCTAGCTGGCGGTTCATCTTGTTGAACTCTGCATAGCGTGCCGTCGCCTGCAATATCAACGCTTGCCCGGAGTATAGGCATTTTGTTGTCTACGTCGAGTTGAAGTAGATGTGTAATGCCGCCTGGTTGATGCGGGCTGTTACAGCGAAGCGTTACTTGTGATAGCCATAGACAAGATTCTATCATTAATCTCAGCCATGCTCGGGGAAAACACTATCAACGGATGTCTCGACCTGTTAGTACAGAACTGTAGAAACGATGTTTGCAGAACAAAGGTGGAGGCATACCGCCGGCTTCCATGCCGTTCTCTCGAGCCCCCGCGCTAGTCCGAAACGGGCGATGGTGCAGCCTTATCGATCAGCTCGTCATCCCGGCCCGACTTCGCCATCCAACCGAAACTCCATTACCAAGCACCCTTTGCCCAACCTACTCAGCAACAGCAGCAATACAACCGCCTGCCTGTAGAAACATCCTGCAAGCTTGGTCCAGCCAGACTACCCGCTGCCCGGTCTTCCGCCGACTCCCCCGCCGTCCGCCCGAAAATGCGCCCTGACGGTCCCCGCGACACCATCGCCGGGCCCGATGTGCCCGAGCCTCCGTTCCCGCTGAAACTCGGCGGTAAGGTGATCAAGGGCTTCGGTCGCGGAAGCAAAGAGGTGAGTTCAAGCGTTCATTCTGCTGTCAAGTCTGTGCCTGCGCCCTCTCTGGTCTCCTCCGTTTTTCGTTTTCTTTCCTTTTTTTCCTTTTGCCTAAAATGTCCCTTCCTTGTCGGATATGTCCGCCGCTTCCGAAGTCCAGAGATTGCAACAACGTGTCGGCCTCTGCTGGCTGCCGTAATGCCATGAATATGCCACCGCTGGTGCGACTGAGGCAAGGTGGCCACAGTTGTGGCTTTGTCTGCTGTGCTCGTTTCTTTGGCTCAAGAGATGTGGCGCGGATGACTCTTCGGATGGAGCACGTGGCTTTGCAGCCTCAAATCGGTCTACAGTCATCCTCCGTTGGACTCCTGATGTCTTTGTGCAAGAAGTATCAGAGTATCATGCTTTAGTGATGGGAAACCTTCTGTTTCTGCTGTTTTAGGCAAAGTCAATGCCATGCGGACAGGGAAGACGTCCTCTTTCCTCTTTGGGGTCAACATGGATATCGGTGTTACACAACCTCGAGATCTGCACACACCTGGGCTTTTGCAGAAATTTCCTATATTCGTTGCTGCTATTCGCAGGTTCTCTTTTCTTGACTATTTTGATTTTCAACCATCTCTTTTCTTCGAGTTCACTTCGCTCTTGCTATTCTCACTTTTCCGCACCATCACAACGCTAACGACAAGTTTCTCCCCACCAGCTCGGCATCCCCACCGCCAACATCCCCCTCGCCGGCCTCAGCGTCGGAGGCCACGATGATCTCGAATCAGGCATCTACTACGGCTGGGCAGGCCTAGACTTCGTCAGCAACGACCCATCCTCCTCCTCCTCCTCCACCACCACCACCACCACCACCACCAACGGCACCACCACCAGCACCAGCGGCATCGCCACCAAGGTGAAAAACGCCGTCGGCAGCGCACTATTCGGCAACAGCAACAGCACGGCTGACACCCCCACCCCCTCGCAACAGGGCGGCGCCGCCGAGTCAGCACCATCACCCTCATCCCCCCCGTCATCTACCAACGCCGGCGCACCATCATCATCGCCGCCCCGCAGCAGCAGCAGCAGCACCAGCAGCGTCATCCACCCAATGGTCATGTCCGTCGGCTGGAACCCGTTCTACAAGAACACGGTCCGCTCCGTCGAGGTGCACATCATGCACGACTTCGCGGGCCGCGACTTCTACGGCTCGCGCCTGCACCTCGTCGTGCTCGGCTTCATCCGCCCCGAGTTCGACTACGTGTCCAAGGAGAGCCTGATCGACGATATCCGCACCGACATCGAGGTCGCGGCGAGGAGCCTCGAGAGGAGGGCGTATGCCGAGGTCAAGGGGGATCCGTTTTTGGTGGATTTTCCGCCCAAGGATGGGGAGGGGAGGAGCGAGGGCGGTGATGTGGCGAGGTAGGTGAGCAAGGGGGGGGGCGGAAGGGCGGAAGGGCGGAAGGGCAGGCGGGCGGGCGGGCGGGCGGGGAGGTGGGGAAGTGGAGGGTGGAGCGGTCGGTTGTTGTGTTGGGGGGCTCGCTGGACTCGCTGGGCTGTTGCTTGAGTGTGCTAGAGGATAGGCTGATGGGGGCGATTCCTTTTCTAAGAGAATAGATTTTGCAATTTTCTGTACACGAAGGATAGCAGGTGGACGGGTCGAGAGGCTGACATACGCTGAGCTATAGACAAATCTGTGTGTTGTCTGTATGAATACGACCACCGCCGCTAAGGACCGCGCTCAACCTTCAACCTAGCGTACAATTGGGAACAAGTGTCCAGATGGGATTGTTAAGCGGACGGGCGCATCTCAGTACTTGGGGGGACATGACTTATGGGATCGACACGGATACGAGGCAAGTCATGGTGTTGCAGCTACAGCTGTCCGAGCTGAGCAACGGACATTGACCGTAACTCCCACGGCCGAAAATCAACGGACATGACGGACACTGATTTCTCATCGAAGTCGACAAATCCTGATTTGTATGCAAGCCTCATAAGCTTACGGACGAGACGGGAGGCACAACCAGATTAGCCGCCGCCGCCCGGCTTTCCGCATCCCTTGCACTCCGGCCAGCACTACGGACTGTGGAACACCACTTACAGGAAGACCGGAGTCCGTGTGAGTTGATACAACCATGTTAGCGTCCTGAAGCCTGTTGACCAACACCAGAATATTCGTGATGGGTATACCGAAAGCGTTCTCCTGCTCTACGGCTTCAATGTTTGCAGTGTCAAAGTGATATGCAACATCGGCTGATGGTATTTCGCTACAACGCTAGCTCTAGCCAAGACGGTCTTGGGTATCCTATAGTGCTGATGCATTACTTGATGCATTACTCAAAGGGCCGTCTAAGATCCGCTGCTCGTCCGTCAACCATCAATGCTGATGAATCATTGTTGATGACCTTCAAGTGTTGACAAACCTTCAGGTGTTAAGTCCGTCAAGCGCCTGTGATGTGTAATTGGAAATATGAGATACTCCGGGTTGGTAATTTGCTCACTATGATTATTGATAATGCCATCCCATCTTTTTGTCCGTGTCCCTGTGCTGACGGATGACTCTGTCAAGCCCCTCCGCAATTGCTCCCTCATCCGGGGTTGGTCCATGTATGTTGTTGAAAGGATGATGATTCTCAATCGTCCCGGCGCCGGCGCCGTTCACGGTCCGAGTCGCGGTATTTGTCTCGGCTTTTGTCAAGGTGATCGCGGCGCGAAGAAGACTTGGAGTAGTAATCATCCCGGCTTCTGTCGCGGTGCTTGCGATCTCTGTCGCGATCGCGATCCCTATCCCTATCCCTATCCGTTTTGTCGTAGTCTTTACTGTCGTACTTGCGTTTCCGGTAGCGATCTTCGTCAGAAGCGCTGCGGTCTCGGTCTCGGTCGCGGTCGCGTCGCGAGGACCGGCTCTTACTGTCGTAGTCCCTATCCGAATCCTTCTCTCTCCTTCGTCTATCTCTGTCACGGCGATCGGGTTCGTCATCCTCGATGTATCTGTGACGTCTTGATGACTTCTCCGGACGCCTATCCGAATCGCGGGGAGGGGAATCCTTCTTTCTTGCAAGCTCACGCGCGCGTGCCGCATCTTCGGCTTCTTGCTCCGCAAGTCTCTGCTTCAGCTCCTCCTCGGTGAACTGCTCCCCAGTCTGCTTGTTCCTCATCACGACTGGGTTGTACGATTGCGCTGGCTTCCCTCTTCCTTTACCGCCTTTACCCCACGCACCCAGCTCTTCAGCAATCGCCGCGTCGTGCTTCGCGCCGATACCTAGCAATGCGGGCCTCTTCTCCAGAACTCTTGGCTGCACAGCCTTCAGACCTTTCCGCCTGCCAATGGCCTCGCCTTCTTTCCAGCCCATGCCGCGCAGCATAGCGGCTCCAAACTGTTCCACAGGCACGGCCTCGTATTCCTCGAGTGTTGCGACGTCGGGCGCGAGTCCATAGTCGCGGGCGAAGGCCTCATCCTCGTTATCGGCAATGGGCACAACCAGGTTGGACGACGTTCCTTCACCCATCAGCGCCTCGAGCGCCAGCTGGTCATCCGTCTTAGGCACAGCCGGCGCAGCAGTGGCATCCTGTGTCGTATTTTCTGCATCCGCGTCTCCACCAGCTTCCGCGGCATCCGCCTTCTTCACCACATTGAGGCCGTATACCGGCTTCTCTTCGGGGAAGTCCTCGGCGTCTTCGTGGCCGTTCGCTTGGGGGCGGGTGGGCAGCTGGCTCTTCTGACGCTTGCGGGCCTGGCTTTCGGCGTGCCAGTCGCGGTTCGCTTGCTTCGTGATGACGAGGGGGCCTTTTTCGTCTTTTGGTTTGGCGGCGTCGATTGCGCCGCCGGCGGATGCGTCGAAGTGCGAGACATCCTGCGCTTTGGGTGCGCCCTCGTCTTCGTCGTCGGAATCGTGGAGGGTCGAGTGCGGCCGTTTCTTGGTATTTTGCGGCGCGGCCTTCTTAGCACCGAGGGCAATGGAGAACTTCGGGGGAGGATCGGGGGCTGCCATGGCGGCGGAGGCAGCGCGCGGGCGGGGTGGGGTGTTGGTGAGGAAGGATGTCGCAGCCTGCTTGACCTTTTGGATGGAGGGAGCGCGGCCTCACATGGGGACGTCGCTGAATAAGCGTGGCTGGTGCTCCGGCCCTATCACGTGCAGCGTGGCTTTCTCGCGTCGGGCGAGCTTTACCGAATGCGCTCGTGGGCAAATGTTTCTCCGACCCTTTGCGCCTTGTATAAGATCTGAGCTTCGATCGCCAAACTTTTTTTCTGCAGCGACTGCAACCACCTGCCGCACGCCATGCGCACCCATGATGTGCTGCTGGCCCGGCACCTCTTTTCCACTCGTTCCCAGGTAAGGACTCACCATATCCCTGCGACAGCGCGACAGCACCCTCCCCTTTGAATGATGACAACTTAAGAACATGTCTTCTTTTCCCAACCGATTCGACCTTGACGAAAACTGTCTTTCCGGGACCCCCTCGCAAGGGTCCTGCTACTTGCCAGTAAACGTTGTCTGACACTCATTCACTGCTATCGTTCATGCAGAAACTTTCTGTGAGCTTGACTAACGATGCGCAAGATTGTAGGATCCTGTATTGCACTTTCCGCGCCAGCCTCGAAATCGTAGTAGCGCCCGTTTCCCACTTCGCTGTGCGCATAACATGGTTCGGATTGGGGAACCGGCCACTCCTGCCTGCCAATAATGCTTCTTTGGTTCAGAAGAGAGCGTGCTTTGCTGCGCTACATACCATGTCCTGGTGACCGGCACTGACCAGCTGCATCACTTACTGCGCACCGCTTACAGGAAGTTTCGGCAAGGTTAGTTCTGATCCTTGCTCATCGCACTTCGTATCCCACTCTTTCATGATGAAATCTATACCACATTCGCAGTTTTCACTCTAGCCGTCGCATAAGAACCCATCTTAGACGGTCGATGAGAGCGCAATCTTCCTTGGATGTCTGATCCTTACCGCTTTCCACCACACATTGTTCGCACCAATCTATTGGAACCCTGCTAACAATTCAAAGTACTAGGTTCCATGCTCGCAAACAGTTGCTGCGTTGACGTTCACCTGCTGAACAAGAATGACTTATGCTCGTGATATTACATAGTTACGCAATGAATTAATGAACTAAACCAAATACATGTCCATCTCCTTATGTGTTCTTTTTGTTCATGTCAACACCGAAACTGAGCATGGCGCTGTCGACGCCACTGGCCCCTCTGATGATCCATTGCAGTCCCGACGGCAAGACGTTCATCCATTCCATCCATCTTGCGTAGAGTGGGAAACTGATCTCGCCTCCCTCGCCCGCATCGACCATCTTGATGATAGCCTGCGCGACTTGGACAGGCTCAACAATCGGGGCCAGGAAGCCGGATGGGGTGGCGAGGTCGCCGAACATTTGGGTTCCCAGCTGGCCGGGAGTCACCAGGATGGTCCTGATGTTCTTCGCGCCAGGATTGGACGATTGCCTGAGCTCTGCCTGCAGAGAGGTGTGCATGGCAATCAGGCCAGCCTTGGCCGCCGTGTAGTCGGACAAGCAAGCCGCGCCGACCTTTCCGAGGACGCTGGAGACGGTCACGACGGTGCCGCCGTTGCGCGCATTGAGCATGCCCGGGAGGAAGGTCTGCAGCGTGTGGAAGTGGGCGAGCAGGTTGACGCGGAAGTTGCGCTCGATCTCGGCCGGCGACAGGTCGAGCAGCGGCTTGCCGTTCACGACGCCGGCGTTGTTGATCAAGACAGTCGGCGTTCCAAGCTGCACGACCAGTCAGTCAGCAAAAAGACCAAGAAAAAGACGAGCGAGCGAGGGAGCAAGAAAGAAAGGAAAGGCAGGAAAGCGAAGCCGCAATCCCCCCACATGACATACATCGTCCACAATCCTCCTATACACGGCCTCGACCTCCTCCCTCGCCCCGACATCACACCTATAATACGCCACGCCCTTCTCCTCCCACCCGTCCCCCTCACCATCCCCATCCACCACATCCACCACCGCCACACTCACCCCCCTCATCCCATACACCTCTGCCACCAGCGCGCCCAGCCCCCCGGCCCCACCCGTCACCACCACCACCTCGTCCTCGCCCAGCGCCACCGCCCGCGCCGCCCCGAACGCGTGCTGCCGCCCCGCGACGTGCACGACGAGCGTCCACAGCGTGACGGCGATGGCGTAGGCGCACGCCGCTTGGAAGCGCGGCCAGGCGTAGGGCGTGCCGACGGCGCGCAGGCAGAGCGGGATGAGGCACGCGATGAAGGGGTGGAGGAGGCTGCGGTTGGCGATGTCGGCGAGGAGGTCGAGGGTGAGGGGGTGGTACCAGGGTGTGGGGTGGCGGCGGGAGGGGGGGTGGTGGGGGAGTGTGATTGGGGGGGTTGTTTTGGGTGGTTTTGGGTTTGTTGGTGGTTTTGTTGTTGTTGTTGTTGTTGTTGTTGCGGCGGCCATGGTTGCGGTAATGGTTGGCGTGGGCGTGAGCGGGCGGTTGGTGGCGGAGGAGGTTTGTATGTGCGTTCTGGGATTGTTGGGAAGGGGGGGATGCTGCTTCTTATGTGGCTATCGCGGGCAATGATCCCTTTTGTCGCTTCGCGACGGTTTCTTCTTTGCGTTGAAGGTGGAGGGTGCGGACACAAAACGCGGTCCGTCTCGAAGGACGTGATGCAACCGCCGGCGAGACCCTGGCCGGCGATCCTGTATCAGCCCGTCTGCGAATGAGCTCGCTCTGCGGCGGGAAGGAAGCAACAACGGATACGGGATGCTCGCGAGGCTCCTTACTTTTTTTTCTTTTCTTGCCAATGACTGCATGAAGGCATTGATATCTCCCGGTGAAGCATCAACGAAAAAAAGCACCCGACGGCAACTAATTCTTGACGTCAAGCGTCGAGCCCCTCCTCCGCCCCGCCGAGCATCGAAATCCCACCGTCCGTCATCAGCCTCCACCACGCCCCTCCGTCCAAAGCAATTCCCCACCAGTCCAACACGAAAAAACAACAACGACAACAAAACGCAAAACCAAACAATCGCCCACCGTAAAACCCACGCAACAATGGCGCTACCCGGCCGCATTCCCCGCGCCACCGACACCGACCGCCCCTCGCACGCGCAGCCCTTCTTCCACGAAGCCACCGCGCTCTAGCCGCCGACTGCCGACCGCCGACTCCGTCTCGCTCTCCTCCCTACACCTCATCGCGCGCGCCGGCTGCGACGTTGGGAATACGGATTTCGAGACACTTGAGGCACTCGCCGAGAAGGTGGCCTATATCTTATTCGAATCCTTTATAGCGAGCGAATCGCCTAGCGCGAACCTGAGGACTCGCATCGAAAAGCCGACAGCAGTGCCGCTTGCCGATTTCCCGGCCATTGGAGTCCCCCGGACTCAAGCGCAGGTGCTATACGCTTAGTGGAGAAGTTCTCTCAGCGTTGTCGCCATTTGTGTGACCCTTGACGGATCGTCGTGTCTGTATACACGCGGCCTGTACAAGACAAAGGTTTACGCCATGTCGCACTGCAGCTGGAACGTGCCCTCTCGGAATTGTCTTCATTCTCAGCGCGTTCCGTGTCGAGGCCGGACCTCTTGGATGAGCATCGATATTAGTCAGATGACTGATCTACTCCCAGATGACGCTTCGCACGTAATCATCACAAATCTCTGTTTACTTGAGGATGTCGAAGGTACCTTCTTCTAGGTGGTAATCACCCCGGAGCAAAGAGATGCGATTATTTTCCAACCTAATAAGTCTCATCTCGATAAGGAGGTGGTTGATACTCGTCTCTGGAAAAGAAAAAGATGCTTCGTCTTTTCAAATGCCATGAGGCGTAAAGGAAGAAAACGGGTCCCCAAATCCGATCCGAACGTTGTGCACCAGAACCGCGGAAGAGATCGACTTGCGATTTGGTTGCATTGGCGCACCCCGCAGTCGCGACCTCAATTGAGGTGGACGTGGAAGGAGAGACAAAAGTCGGCATGATGAAGTCAAAAGTAGTGTCTTGCTGGACACTTTGGTGGATCTATAGAAGCGATAGCAGTCTGCCGCTTGATAGACAGAGATGGATCGGTATTCTCCATAATCACTACGGCACTTTCAGATAGACCTTTATGAACACCAGTCTCACAGATACGCTGCGTCATCCTTATCACGGCCAATCACGTTCTTCACTATTGCTCTCTCGTGGACGCCTTCGGCCGCATCTCAGTGCGCAATCTGCTTGATACTTCTACTTTCTACATATCGGCCATGCTTGCTCCAGCGATTGTCGCCTCGCCAGATGACTTAGTTCAGTACTACATTTCCAACGGGACTGCAGTTGATCCCGCAGCGCCCAGGGGCTACAGCGAACGCTTCATCCATAGCGAGGTCCCCCGTCGGTACCCCACCGTCGGATCTATCATCCACGACCACACAGACGAAGTCCTGCCCTTCACCATCGTCGAGGGAGTCGAATTCCAACTGGCTTTCCACATGGCCGGCTTTACTGGTGCGTCATACCATGTCCTTTTCCTCCACCTCACATCATCATTCCTCTTTTTCCCTTCCTCCTGCCCCATCCCCATACCGCGCTTTCCACCATCTCCCAACCACCAACCCACTCACCCGACACCGTCCCCATCTTCGACACACCCCACCCACAACCTCCTCGTCTCGGATCCGCACCTAGGCGCCGCGCTGGCCGCACATTTCGACGACATACCTAGAGCCGCATCCTCTTCCTCCTCCTCCTCTTCCTCTTCTTCCTTCTCCTCCTCTAGCGCATCCACGGCTTCACGACGTAGGGGGGAGGGACGGGACTTCGAAACGGCCCGTATACCGCACCGCGCGTACTATACATATTACGGCGAACTACGCGGTTGCAGAGCGCGGCCATAGGGGCTGGCCGGCCGGGAGCGCTGGCGTCGTACGTATATATACATTCCAGCGGGGCTGGGCAGGGAAACGTAGGAGGATAAGGAGGATGAGAAGGATAAGAAGGGGTAGTAAGGAAAGTAAGATATTTAAGTAAGCGGGAGAGGCGGGATGTTAGGGAGGGGAAGCACGAATGGGTGGGTGGTGAAGGCGTGGGGGGTATAGTTGGAGGAGGAGAGGACGAGCTAGGCGCGGAGGGAGGGGGTTGTATGAGGATGGTTTGGGGGTGGGTGGTGGTGAGTGGAGGGAGAGATGGAGGAGGAAGAGATGGAGGGGGAAGAGATGGAGGGATGGAGAGATGGAGGAGGGATTGGGGGATGGGGGTGCGGAGAGACGGGGAGATTGGGTGGCAAGACGGTAAGGAGAGGCGCAGGAGATTGTGGAGGGATCGATCAAAATCAATGCGGAGTCCACGTGGAGGAAAGCAAAAACGTGGTAGTGATTGTGAGGAAGCGAATCATGCGACTGTGGGGTAGAGCCGGGCCCAATGCGATGGGTTGCTTTGATAATTGGCCACGGCCGTATTTAGGCCCAATGTCAACCCATGCCTATCTGCATCTTTACAGTAGGAAGCAGACTCGACGGTTGAGGCGCGGCGTAGCGATATCGGCGATGTTGCCGGATCGAGGTAATGATGGTCTGGAAACCACGTCACAGAGTTAATCGTCCAAATGCTCGTCGTGATCAGGACGCGCCTGCCGAGTCAGGCCCGCGCAGCCCACAATTCTTGCTCCCCTCCTATAAGGATGCGCGCGCCGCGCCGCCCGTCCTCCTGGTCCCTCGAATCGTCACACCTCGGCCATCATGGGTGGCTCCAATTTCCGCGTCGTCATTGTGGGCGGCAGCATCGCCGGCCTTTCGCTGGCCCTGATGCTGGAGCAGAACGGCATCGACTTCGTCGTGCTGGAGGCCTATCCGACGATTGCTCCCAATCTGGGCGCCAGCATTGCCCTGCGCCCCAATGGCTTCCGCATCATGGACCAGCTGGGCGCCTACGAGGACGTCCTGAAGTGCGGCCAGTATCCCGTCGACGACTTCCAGATCCACGACCCCAGCGGGAAGCCTCTTTTTGGCGCCAGAAACCTGCGCCGTGGGTGCATTGAGCGGTAGGTGGCGCGTCGATTGCGTTGGACGGACTGAGCTTGAGCACTGACATGGCCATTGCCGCAGCTATGGATACCCCATCATGTTCTTCACCCGCAGAGAGCTTGTGCAGATTCTGTACGACCACATCAAGAGCAAGGACAAGGTCTTGGCTGCCAAGCGTGTCCAGACCGTCAAAGACCACCATGACAGCGTTACCGTGACCACCACCGACGGCGATGTCTTCGAAGCAGATCTTGTCGTTGGTGCAGACGGCCTGCACAGCGCCATCCGGCAGGAGATTGAGAAGAAAGCTTCCGATCCCGGTGGCTTCAAGACTGGTATTTTGGCCTGCCGCCATCCTTGGACACAGATTGCTGACGATGGTCACAGAGACTCTTCCAGCGAGGTTCGCAGGTGTTTTCGGCACCTCGGATTCAGACCTGCAAAGCCCAAAAGGATCCGTTGTGATCTGCTCCGGCAAAGACTCCAGTCTCTATGTCGCGGCCGGCCCGGACGACACGACCTTCTGGATGGTCTTTTTCAAGCTGGACAAGACGTACCTTGGAAGAGACACGCCATGCCGTGGAGAGAAGGCCGAAGAGGAGTATTCGAAGAAATACTGGGACCATCCCATATCGCCCGGCTACAAGTACTCGGACCTCCGCGAGACGGCCATCGTTTCAGTGTGCACTCCCCTGCACGAATACGTCATTGAGAACTGGCACGCTGGTCGGTGCGTTGTCATTGGGGACTCAGCGCACAAGGTACGTACCCCGTGCACGTGGGCGTGCACCGAGATATCCTGACGCATTTCCAGGTCAACCCGGTTGGAGCCCAAGGTGGCAATGCCGCGCTCGAGAGCTCGGCGGCCCTGATGAACGGCATCATGAAACTGCTCAAGGCCCACGGCTCAGAGAAGATTCCGCGAGAGGAATTCGGCCCCATGCTCGACGAGGTCCAGAATCTGCGGAAGCCCAGGACAAGCTTTCTGTGCCAAAAGTCGATGGATTTCCAAGAGTTGTGCGCCGAGACGAGCCCGTTCTACACGGTGATGAACAGGTACATCATGCCATTGCTCGGCGAAGACGCCATGTTCGACGACATTTGCGCAGGCTACCCTTCGGCCGTGTCGTTGGAATCACACCCCATCCCCTCGAGGCCGCGGTCTATCCCGTACTACGACGAACTGATCCGCCAGCCCAAGCCACGAGGCATCCCGCTCAGCATTCTTGTCAGCACCATCCTGATAGGTCTGAGTGCTCTTGGCGTCTACCTCCTTCCCATGCTCAGTAACATCAATGGGACTTTCCGTCTCATCGAGTCAGCTGCGGCGGCGAGCCATATCCACGAACTGAACATTCCACTCCAATCCCTCGTTGATGCAGACCAGTTTCCTGGCCTCGACAAGCTCTGCAAGACTATGGTCGCCGTCTTCCTTCCAGTGGTATCCGGAGCAGAGGACTTGCGGACAAAGGTGCAGGCCGCCTACTTCCTCGTCGGCGTCTATCTCCCACTGCTCTCCATCATCGCCGTCGAGGGCTACAGGTGGAACAGCAAGAGGACCCTGCTCTGGAGGTAAGTGAAGCAGTCTCTCGTCCCAGCACAAAAAAGCCTATACTAACCGAGCCCTCACCAGCCCAACCCTCTGGACCGGACTCTCCCAGCTCCTCGGCCTCGGCCTCGTCCTCCCCTTCTACCTCCTCGCCGTCTTCGTCACCTCGCGCGGGCCGAGCTACTGGACCGCGCACGCGCAAGCGGCGCCCACGCACAAGCTGCAAGCGCTGCTCCCCAGCCTCGTCTTCGCCTACCTCGCGCCCTCGATCGCCATGTTCGCCCTCCCCGCGACCTCACCCCTCCTCCAGCCCACCATCGCCTTCTGGCAAGGCTCGCCCGCGCTCGTCATCCTCGCCACCGAGCTCCTCTCCCGCGCCTTCACGCCGCCGCCCAACCCCAAAGAAACCGCCGCGGCCGTGACCCTCACCAACAAGCCGGAGCCCTTCCTCACCGCCCCGCCCCACCGCGCCCCCGTCGACCTCCGCCCCACCCGCCGCCTCCACTCCTTCACCGCCGCCGCCGCCGCCGCCGTCCACCTCGCCCTCGTCTGCTACGTCGCCGTCCACCCAGACCTCTCCCTCACCTCGACCTTCCTGCCCCCCGCCTTCACCACCACGTTCGCAACCACCACCGTCGACAACCTCCTCGCAGCCCTCACGAACCCCGCCCAAGTCCCAACCATCGCCCACGGCACCGCCCTCTTCCTCCAATACGACCTCCTCCTCACCCTCGCCGCCACCTTCCTCTGGTCCGCCCTCACGCTGCACGACCTGCGCCGCGTGGGGCTGACCGAGCGCGCGGGCGCGAATGCCACGAGCTTGCTGCTGCTGGCCGCGGGGTGGGCGCTCGTCGGGCCCGGCGCCGCGACGGCGCTGCTGTGGCGGTGGAGGGAGGAGTGTGTGGGTGGGTTTGTGCCGAGGAGGATGGTGAAGGGTGAGGCTGAGGGGCAGGGGTTGACGCAGCGCCAGGAGAAGGTGGTGACGACGACGACGACGGAGGGGAAGGGGAAGTGGGGGAAGTTTGGTCAGGTGGATCCGGAGGTTGTGGTGGGTGTGGGGAAGGTTTGGTGAGTGAGTGAGTGGGTGAGTGTGTTTGGTTGGTGAGGAGGGCTGCTGCGCTGCCCTGCGTGGTGTGGTATGGTGTGTTGTTGGGAGAAGATGAGGTGGTGGAGGTGAATTTGCCGTGCAGAGTCGTCTTTCGTTTGCACTGTACATGTCTCTTTCTTGGTTCCGACTAACAAATTGCACAAACGGTGTTGACATATTCGGCGCTATTGGCTGTGGAGGGGATGGTCTAGGGATGTATATAATAGGACGATGGGATGGAAGGAGAGAAAAATTATTAGCATAAGTAGGTACATACATCAGCAAATTTCATCATGTCACACAATAAAAGAAAGACTCCATTTAACACTAATACCGGCCGTTTCAGCAACCCAACGCCTACAAAGGAAAAGAAAAAGAATCCCCAAAACCAGAATGAAACCAAACAGGAACCCATTAGTCGCAGCTCAAGCTCCCTCGAAATCCTCGACAAACCCCCGCATTCACATCTTCCAGACAAAGTGCTCCCGTTCGTCAACGACATTACCTCTTTCTTATCTCACCAACTTCGACGGCTCGAAGGCCTTTGGCCACGGCCCGACGAGCCACGTCCACGCGCCGAAAGACTTCCACGCGCCGAAAGACTGCCACGCCTGGCAGTGCTTCCACGCCCGGGAGTGCTTCCACGCCCGGGAGTGCTTCCACGCATCGAAGTGCTTCCACGCCTGGGAGTGCTCTCACGCCTTGGAGTGCTTCCACGCGCGGGGGTACTTCCACGCCCCACTGCAGGACTTTTACGCACCGAAGGGCTCCTACCATTCGCCGTCCTCTTCCTTTTTTCCGGGGTCGTCTTCGCCTTCTTCGCCTTCCTCGCCTCCAACCTATAGTGTAGCTCCGCGGCGTCCACCATCTTCTTCATCTCGTTTGCGGCACGTGGGTCCTTGGGCGGGTTCTTGAACAGCGGTGCCAGATCCGCTGGGCGCAGCTATAATCAATCCCACAAACGTCAGCAAACACCATCTCAAGGACCTCGATAAGAGGATGAAAGAGACAGAGAAACACAAAACAGAGAAGATCCACATACCGTATGCAACCCCTCCCCCTCATCGACTTCCCTCAGACGCTCATACGCGCCACTCCCCACATCCACCACCAACCGACTCTCCATCTCACGCACCTCCCACGACCTCTTCCTCCCCGGCTTGACCATCCCAGGCCCAGGCCCAGGCCCAGCAGCCCCCTTCCCTTCCCCATCCCCTCCCCCATCGCGCGGCGGCGGCGGCCCCGGCCCCGGCCCCGCCAGCACCTCTTCAATCACGCGCCTGACAGCGCCCTTCCTCGGCTCCGCCTCCACCTCCAACAGCTCCATCGCCATCTTCATCCGCCGCCCACCCACCGCCGCAACATCATCATCATCATCATCATCATCATCATCATCATCATCATCACCCGCATCATCGTCCACGACCGGCGCAAAAAGCGCCCGCACCCCCTCCGCCAACCCGCGCCGCGCCTCCCGCAGGCGCCGCCGCGCCTCCGCGACCGCGACCCGCCGCGCGACGCCGTCCCAGTACCCCGACGCCTTGTCGTCGTCGTTGAGCAGCTTGGCGAGGGAGTCCGCGTCGAACGCGGGCGCCCGGTGCGGCAGGTGGAACAGGTCCATGCGCGCGGCAACAGCGGCCGCATCGGCCGCCGCGGACGACGACGGTCGTGCGTCGATGGCGCGGTACCGCTGCGCGAGCCAGGCGTAGTGGGCGGCCTGGGCGGCTGGGGAAGGCAGGCGGGCGGACTGGTCAAAGCGGAGGCTCTCCGCGGGGGCGGGGGGCACGGCGGCGTCGGGGATCCAGCCGAGGCAGCGGAGGGCGGCGAAGACGGTGGCGGCGTCGGCGAGGCCGTGGGCGGCGAGGGTGAGGAGCGTCTGGGCGCGGTCGTAGTGGAGGCGGTGGGCGGTGGCGATGGGGGGGACGGTCGAGGGGGGCTGGTGGCCGAGGGCGAGGGTCCAGGCGGTGAGGAGGAGGTGGAGGGTGGGGATTTCGCGGGCTTGGTTGGGGGGCAGGACGAGGTTGGGGTCGACGGGCGTCATGGGGCGCCAGGTGTGTTCGAAGGTGGTGGTGGTGGTGGTGGCTTCGTCGGTGTCGGTGTCGGTGTCGTTCTCGTTGTTGTTGGCGTCTTCGGCGCTGGGGTCTCTCCACCAGCGCATGTTGCGGAGCACGCTTTCCGCGGTTGCCTCGAGGCTTCGTCTGCGTTGGCCGATTGGGAGACCGGGGCGGGATCGGTCTTCCGTCCAGTAGTGCGTCACCTCCGGGATGGGGTCGGTGGCGTTATCTACGTACCGCGCGGTGGCATAGACGAGGTGGCACCAGTCCAGTGGGATGAAAATGGGCTCTCGAGGGCGTAGAGCAAGGCCGTTGTTGCCAGACATGGTTTTGCGGCGTGCTTCATCCAAGAGGTTGTAGTCGTAATACGAAAAAGCCTTCTTCTGAACCCGTTGTTTTCTCCGTCTTTCCTTCATTTGCGCCACGGCCATTTCTGCCCTTTGCTGCTGATGCTGGGTCAAGTCCCTCAAGCTGAAGCTCTGGGCAGTGCATTCGCGATCTTCCAACCCATCACCGGCGATCTGTGGGCCAAGGTAAATCTCCGTTTGATAGCCGTTCAAGCTGATAGCCTCGGTGACTGAAGCTATGCAAGCCCAAAGCATCATCCGAGAGATTGGATGCTTGAGTTGCATCCCGATCTTTTCCGCATGCTCAGATTCTTTGAGCTCCAGGATTTCGTTCAGCGTCTTCAAGCGTGTCGATAAGAACTGGCAACTATGGGTTTCCGCCATAGAAGGCCAAAAGGCGAGGGCCCATTCGTCTGGAGAAGTTTGGGTTTCCTCGTTGCTGGAGTGGTTTGAACTAGAAGTATCGCTTAAAGTAAAAATCCTTCCCAGTTTGGGACGCTCATTCGACTCCGAAGGCTTGTTCAACCCCGGAGCCTCATTTGAATCCGAAGAGCTCTCAAGGCCTAACTCCCTATTCACCTCGTCCATGTCTGCATTCTCCCATCCCTCCTCCAGACCGTCATCTATACTGCCATCCAGTCCGCCATCCAGACCGTCATACAGACCGCCATCCAGACCGTCATCCAGACCGTCATCCAGCCCCAAATACGTCTCTAGATTCACTTTCCCCTCTCGGACATCATCGTAGTCGGAGCGTGAATGAGTCTTCGAGGTGGAATGACGACTAGGAGGTTTGTTCGGATGCGCAGACTGGCCTGGACGCAGAGAATGACTTGAACCCGACTTGCCGCCTCGACCTGAGGGAGCGGCCTCCGAATGCACAGACTGGCCTGGACCCGACTTGCCGCCTGGACCTGAGGGAGCGGCCACTGCCGACTTGTTCCTCTGGCTCTCCTCGGCCACTCTCAGATTTTCCACGTACTGAGTCAAGCCCGCGTTGGTGTGGAGTGGGAATGTCATATCGAACCTCCGTTCCTCGGGAGGCTCCTGCGATCCGCCGTCCACGAATTTCCAGCAGCGGAGAAAGGCCAAGATGGTGTCGTATTTCGCAAGGCCGTGCACCGCGCAGCTGATGAGGCGCGAGGCATCTCTGTAAAGCGTCTCGGTTTCGCCGGCCTTCCGTTTTGGCTGGCGTTTGGACGGCTCGAGGCCCAAGGCGAGAATCCAGGCGTTGATGATGACGTGTAAGCCGCAAGTGCAGCCCTTTTGACCCATTACAGGCGGCCACTGGTGATCGAACTCCTCGATCTCCCGGTCCGGCCAATTGTTGGCTAAGACCCTCGACGCTCTCTCTGCGATCTCATCGCGCTCGTTCAGTAGCATAGTAGGCGAGCTGTCATAGAAGGCAAACTGAATAGAGTCTTGCTCAGCATGGGCTACCGCCAGTACGTGATGACCATCAGTGCCTTGCACCATGTTTCCGTTAAGTTCTTGGAGGTCCATAGCGACGTAAGGTATATATATAGGACGATCGGGACGGCGGACACTGAAGCCTCGAAAACCGGGATCAAAGTCAGACTCAGGAGCGTCAATCATTTGGAAGTGCGTAGTGAACTTCCAGGCATCGTAGATGGCGAATTTGAATCTTCCTTTCACACTGATTGCCTCGGTGACGCAAAGGATAGCCAAGCACAGTTTGTCAGCGTCTGAAAGGGTTTTGTGATCGATATAAAACACTTCGATAGCGTTACCAATGCTCGCGAAAAAATTGTTTTTCTCCCTTTCGGATTCCTGTAACGAGGCTCGGTAGGACGCACAGGCGTCGCCATCTGCTCCTTGGAAGGCCGTAGTGGTTCCTGCTGTAGAGCCCTTCGAAGGGCTACCGCCTTTCCTGCCTCGATTGTGACTTGTCTTTTTCTGGACCTTTGGAGACTTCCCGGCTGCCTTTGCATTTTTTTGCTTCTTCTTTGGGGCCATGGCGTCCGTAACTCTGTGCCCAGGTGCAGCAGTAAAGGTCGAAGTGTTTGTCGGAGTGAAACGGTAGAGCAGAGAAGGTTGCAAGCGAGGGGCTTCATTATACAGCTCGTGTTTCTTTCGAGGTCTTATGGAAATGGAACTGCACCACAAGGCCGGAATTGGACAGGATCGCAAGTCGGACGACAAAGACAGCACTTTGCAACATCAGTTCGATGGTGACAAAGCAATTGACATTGAATTCTACTTGATGTGGTGAAAATGTTGGAGTGTGAGTTTGCGACAAGAAACAACAACGGGAGAATACTCCACACCTCCTTGTTCAAGGCTTTGGAAGTGAGTGAGTATACAATCTGGTGGCAAACATGTCGGGCATCGGAGCAGTATGGCGCCATGACCCGAAACGATGGAAAGAGACGAATCGAGAATAGTTGATGGTCCGCCATTGTTGTCTGAAAGGTAGTGGTGTCCCGGTGCTGCCGTCTTTCAGGTCTCGTGTAACGTCGACACCGTTTGTTTGACAAAGAAGCCGCAATCTGTTGGCAGACGGTCTGCAAAACTAACTTGGCATCATACGTGAGCCTTTGTATGCTTGAGCTCGAGCTCGATGATTGCCTACCACTGGCTTATCCAAATGGCTTAGGGCCCTACAGGAGACTGAACCGTCGGCGATGGCTTGGAAGGCGACAGAGCAAAGCATGGGGGCAACAGCCATGGACAGCGAGCGGCCAGCCTCGTTGTCCAGGGTTCCGCGGGCTAATAAGAGTGCTATTGAACACGAGTACGGTATCGTGGTGGATGAACTAGTCATGCCCTCTGGGCCTTCAATTTGCAGGCACTGGGATTAGTTGTCATAAGCCCCGCATGGAGTACTTGTCAACAAGGTCGAAGACGACAGTGTTGTCAACTTTACAGTCTTGGCCATGGCCGGTACAACCCATGTCTTGCTCCAGCTCAGGCCCAACGTCGCTTCGCATGCTCCGGATGAGATGGGCGGCGTGAAGGCAGGACGATGAGTTGGGCATGTGCTGGGCAGGGTTGTGAGGCATGTCGTCAGCGGCAGGCCATGTCCAGTTGCCTAGGTTAGGAACGCCGTAGTAAGTGTTGTACGGAGGGTCGTAAGCACATGCTGAGTCTGCAAGCGCGCTGATGGGAAAGGGTGGCGCAGATGGTATTGGGACCACGGGAGATTCGGCAGCAGGAGGCGTGTCGAAGGCCGAGCTTGAACTGGTTGCGCTGGAGTAGGAACGCAGAGAAGGCTGCATCTGAGGCGGTAGAGCAGGCGGTTCCAAGCCGGCGGTCGACAGCGGCGTCGAGGTGGGGCCTTGTGAAGCGGGGCTCCTGCTGCTCTCACAGCTGCTCCTGCTTGGGCAGGCGGAGACGGGGCCGGGATTGCATGGGCGAGGGGCGCGGAGCATCGAGTCCAGGGCGTCTGCGGAAGCCGAAGGAGACGGGAGGCTGGGAGACGGGAGGCTGGGGGGGTTGAAGCTGTCGATGTCGGCGTCGGACACGCCCACCTGGCGCAACAGAGCGCGCAGGCGGCGGTTCTCGTCAAGGACACGCTTGGCAGCGGCCTGGATTTCGGCAGATGCCTGCACGCCCATCTGCTCGCAGGAACGGTACTTGGACTCGAGCTCCTGGAGGTACTCTTTCCTGCGGGCGCGCGAGCGGCGCTGGTTGTCCCTGATGCGCGCGAGGTTGTCCTTCTGAGCGCGAGTCAGCATTTGATTTCCAGAGCAGGGCGGGCGGGCGAGTACCGCTTGTGGGTCGGCCATGTTGAGCTTGCACGGGCAATTGGCTGAGAGGGGTGCGGGTGTGAGGCGCCGAGAGAAAAGGGCTTGCTCTTGGCGCGATGGCTGGGGTTTTGAGGAGAAACGGAGTGGCTCAGTTGTTTTTGTCCAAGGCACCGTGCCACTCGGCTGAGATCGTCGGGCCAGGAGCGGAGTCGTCAGAGCTGGCGGGTCAGGGACATGGCGGCCAGATGGTCGCGGCAGGGCCGGGATGGAGGAGCATTGCGGTTGACTACCGGGGAGACAGCTGGAGGCGTGCAGGTGCGGAGCAGCCCAGAGCGCCGCCGTCACCGTGCCCCGATGCCCCCGATGCCCCCGATGCTAGCGCCATAGCTTGCTCTACAACTCCAGCGACCCTCACTCCACGCCCACCCACACTACCACGATGCTCCGCCGCCGCCGCCCGTGCCCATGACCAATCCCGCCAGCCAGCTGTCGCCCCGCGGTCTCGCCCGCCAACGACCGCCCCAGCTTTCTTTCCTCAACCGGCATGGCCTTGGCTCCGTCTTTGTGCGCGCCCCTTGGCCGGTGTTTGCATCAGACAAAGACACAGCGTCTTTGTCAGGTCCACCCGACTGCATCCTCGCCACCTGGGCCGTGTCTCGCTGCATTCCTGCCTCGGCGATGCTGCATGGCAGCCTTTTCGCGGCTGTGCGGTCCGACTTGAACGCTAGACGGCCGCTTCAACGTGATCCCGCGTGCATCTCTACTGTGTATGGCCTCGCTGCTCCAGACAAGCCACCACGGCCGCCTCCGTGGCCCTAGACGGAGCCGAGCCGAGATGGCAGCATGCCAATCACCATCGCCACCCGCCGGTCCCACGCCTGCTTCTTCCTCTTCGCCCGCTTCATTGGTCCAACAGGTCAGCATTCTATTGTATGGCTGGAAGCCACTTCCGGCGCGCGAAATACTTCTTCGCCGATTCCTCGGAGATGATGCTTGAAGCATTCTTGCACGTTCGATACCAGAACCCTTCCGCCGCTGATCGTTTTCCCATCTCTCCCCACAACCAAACACTGCCTCTTCACCAGTCTGACTTCTGCATCGGGCTCGATTGCAGTCCATGACGCCAACGGCGCTTTGTTGGCTGCCTGCACTGTGGGAAAGCCATGATTCTGCCAGAAGAACCCCGCTGTTGCCAGGGTCGAAATGCGGGGAGTGAAGAAAATGAACTGCCGGAGCATTAGTTCGCTCGAGCGATCACCACCATCCCTCCCCATCTCCCCGCCATCGCGACAATCCCCAACCCCTCCAGACCTCTCAAATACACTTTCTCCAAGCTTCGCCGCCAGAGCCAATCACCGCCCTCCAACCCGCATCGCCCGTCTCCGCGGTCCAATCTTGACTTTTCTTCAGGATGACGTTGGAATCTAGACCCGAGTCCATCAGTGGCGGCCGCCTCTGCGGCGCCATCCGCTACACCATCCACTTTCCCCCCCGAGTAGAGTGGCCTCCCTCCCACCTAAGTCTAGATTAGCTCTCCCCGCTTTTCTCGCTGTCGAGATGCACATTGTCGTGCGTGGTGAGAAGGGATCGGTGCATGGGAGACCCTCCACGATGGCTCTGCATACTCCGTTCTGGTCCTGCCATTCCTTCGCCCCCTCCCCGCCCCTCCTCCGGCCTCGTTTCTCTCGCATCCAGACCAGGTTCAACTTTTGCGTTTGCTTCCGCTTTTCGCCCCCAGCCTCCCCCAGTAGCCCCACTACTCCAAACGACCATCTCAGCCACACACACACACACACACGCACACGCTCTCAATCGCAACCGAACCGTTCTCCTTCCCCCTTCTCCTCCCTCTCCATCCCTACCCATCCCTCCCTCACCATAGAACCCAACACAATACGTCAATCCCACCCCCCAACGCCGCAAAACCACCGACCGAGCTCCTTCCCTCCCTACTCCCCCACACAGGGCTCCTTGAGATCCCCCTCACCACCACCACCACCAACGTCACCCCCCGCCTCGCCTCCCTCGCCTCCCTCGCCACCACTTTACTTCCTCCCCTACCTACCGCCTCTACCGCCTCCACCGCTCCTCCTCCTCCTCCTCCTCCTCCTCCTCCCCCCACCAAAATAAAGCCCTGCACGGCTTCCGCTCCCCACCCCACGGCTCGAGCTCGACCCTGACTTGACGTGGCGTGGCTGGTAGACGATGACGGACGGACGGACGGATGCGCTGGGCGGCAGGATGATCGAGAGGTGCAGGTGTGCAGGTGGTGGGGCGTTTTTGGGACGACGAGGAGGAGGTGGCCTAGTCGGCGAGGTCGTTGGCGGTAGAAGCGTGGAGGAGGAGAAGGAGGAGAGGGGGAGGTGATGGATGGGTTGGGTTTGAGCGGGGCCTCGGTGTTTGATGGTGGGGGGGAGGTGGAGATGGACATGGGGATGGAGAGAGGATGTTAATTGAGGGGGGATCTGAGATCTGAGATCTGAAGAGCATTGGGAGAGTCTGAGGACCTGGGGACCGGGGGGTTGGGTTTGGAATTGGGGGTTTGCGGGCGGCGGGGTGGGTGAGTGTGGGTGTGAGTGTGTGTGTGTAGGGGGGAAAGGTGAAATGGCGTGAGCTGTGGTTCTCGGATCAAGAGGCAGGTGTATGTAGGTAGGTGTATGTAGGTAAGTATATGTACGTAGGTATAGGTAGGTAGGTAGGTAGGTAGGTAGGTAGGTAGGTAGGTAGTTTAAGAAAAGAGCGTAGTGTAGCGAAGTGTATTAGTAAAATTTTACGTTAAGAAAGAATCCTGATTTCATTCAATGCCCACCCAGCCCATGTTTCTTGCACGCAAGTCAGTACACCACCTCTGCCGCGCGAAGCATATTCCAAAAAAACACAACTCGTGCATATTGAGAAAAATGCAAGCCGAAAGGTGGCGAGGTGGCGTACCGGGTATATCTCTACGACACCGATTGATGCAAAATGCCCACGACCAGCGATCAAAATGCCGTCGTCCTCCGCGCCCCCGAGACAACAGCAGCACGCGGTCAGTCGCTCCCGCAACACCACCACCACCCGAACCCCACTCACATCCGCCTGATGGCCTCCTCCTTGAACTTCTCCAAGCCGCCGTCCAAGTGCTTCCACCAGTCAAACAGCATGCTCTCGCAAATGAGCTTGAACCACGGCGTAAACTTCAAGCTCTTATCCTCAAACATGGCCCTCAGCTCCTCGGGCGACACGTACCGCGTATCCCGCACCTCATTCACATTCACATCCAGCGACACGACGCCCGCCTTGGGCCTGATGAACAGGATGTAATCGATCTCGTGCTCGCCCCACTTGCCGTCGCTGGGCGCGAGGTAGTGGATGCGGGTGAGGAAGTCGAACTCGTCGACGGGCACCTGGGCGGCGGGGATGCCGAGCTCGTGGCCGAGCTTGCGCTGGGCCGCGCGCTTGGCGCCCGCGACCGACGTCGGCAGGTCCGACCCCGTCTCCGTGGGCACGCCGAGCGGGTGCGAGCAGCAGGTGTTGGTCCACATGTCCGGGAAGGTGATCTTCTCCGACGCGCGCTGCTGCAGGAGCAGCCGGTTCTGCGAGTCGAACAGGAAGACGCTGAAGGCGCGGTGGAGGAGGCCGCGGTTGATGTTGTCCATGAGGTGGCCTGATCGTGTCAGTCGTCGTGCCATCATTCCGTTTTATTTTTCCTTCTTTCTCTCTCAACAACCGGCGAGTGCCTGAGATGGGAGGGGACAACGGAGGGAGGGAATGCGGACCGCGAGAGGAAGGAAAAACGGATCAAGGGCGGAGAACAGTGAGGATGGACTTAGGTCACACGTACAAACTTTCTTTGACGCGCTGCCGATGGGCACGTCGTTCTCGTCGAGCACGATGCACATCTCGTCCATCAGGCGGATCTGCTCCTCGTCGTAGCCGGCCAGATCGCTGTCGCCGTTGCCCGACGACGTCTGGCGCGCGCCCCCGCCAATCACGTCGGTGTTGACATCGCTGCCGAACAGGCGGAGGATGTTGTCGGCGGTGATGGCGGGGGCCGCCGCGGTGGTCGTGACGGTGGTGGTCGAGCTCATTGTTGATCGAGGAATTCCGAATACGAGACGTGAGCGGCGGAGAGGCGGTAGGTTCGACCGGATGGGGGAGAGTAGAGCGCTGGAGGGGAAACGACTCTATCGGCGGCAATGTTCCTTGGTGAGGGGGAGAGACTTGTTGGACGCGATCGGCGGGCTTTATTGCAGTGGCGTTGAGCCGCGCCGACAGGGTCCAGGACCAGGCGGTGAGGCCAGCGACTTTCTGCCCGCTGCCGGAGGTACTCCACCTATTGGGGCCTAATTGATAAGCTCGTCCTTTGCACTCACCTTTCACTCGGCCCGGCTTGATCGGATGTGCTCAAAGATGGCGAATTCATAATATTGAAGGCATTAAATTGCAAAGCCGAAGGCAAACAAGTCTATGTACCGAAAGCAAAGCAAATCCTAGCAGCTACGAAGGTATCGTGCGGGAACGCAAGTGATCGATCTTTTTGAACAGGAATGCCTACTACCACGCTGGCATTTCCATCCCCACGTCATCGGACGTCACACAATCCCCTTGGCCGTCGAATCACCATCATCACCAGGCTCTACGCTTACCCTTTGCACCTGGAACTGGAGCCAGCGCAGGGAATTCATCGGCCTCCGAGTCGGCGTTGCCGTTTTCATCCTCTCCGAATTGTTCAGCTCTGCTCCTCTCCTCGGCCAGACTCAACTGTATCGCATATTCCAAATCGTCCATCTCCTTTTCCTTGCTCGATCCCGCACCACCCGCCTCGTTCGGTTCAGCCCATGACGTCTGATGAGACGAAGAGGCTGGTGGCGACGCTTTGCGGCCTTTAGCATACCTGATGGGAATGTCAAACCCGTTGTCAATTGGAGCTGCGGGAAGCTCTCCAAAGGCCGGAGTCGATCCCTCATTCTCTTGCAAGCTCAAACGAATGGCTTCAGCAAGGTCTGCGTCGAGCTCCTCTTCATTCTTGACTGGCGGGCTACTCGACGGCGTCATGGTCGCAGGAATGGTAGGCGTGTCGCTGATGACGGAGCTGGCTTCGCTCTGCTTATTTTTCTCGGCCTCGGTTGCAAGCGCCTCTTGAGACAGCATGGTTGCATACGCCAAAGCCTGCTCTTCATCGTCGAGGAGATCGACACCGAAACGACCGGCAAGACGATCAGCTTCACGTTGGCGATTGATTTTTTCCCTTTCCATCTCGTGCTTCTCGGCGGAAATGAAGGCGTTGATCTTCGATCGCCCTGAAGCAGAGAAGCCTGGTCCGCTGCCACCATTGTTGCTCCCTCGTTCTGAACGTCGCACGCGCCGCTTGTTGCTCTTGTACTGGTCCGCTGCACTAGAGCTGTAACTCCAATAGCGTAGATGGGTACCGAGAGATACCATGCCACGGAGGACTGTCGGATCAGGATCCAGACATATGGCTCCCGCAGCGAACAGGTTGATTCCCACCCCTTGCGGAGAAGCTTGCGCCTGGACCAACCTGCGACGGGCACGGGACGAGAATCTAGAGTTGAGAGTCCGGATGGGTTGCATGCTGGATGCCAGAGGGTCCCATGCCTGCACCAAGCCGTCGTTGCCACCGTGGACGAGGTACAATCCGCTCATTGCAAGGCACGAAATCTGGGGCGAGTCCGTGTAAATGATTCGCACGGGCTCGATAGTGTTGACCAGATCCGTGGATTTCGCAACCGCGGTACGCATATCCCACACAAAGATACTCCCAGTATCTGTTCCAGCGGCAACGAATCTGGCCCTTTGGCCAGGGACATCTGCGGGGTTTGCGGGTTGGCTCTGGTCCGAGAACGGCGATGAATAGGGAGAAGATGCTGTGGACGAGCCAGAGAAACCGAATATAGGATCCTCAGACAGGGTCATGGTCGCATACATGGACGCATCCAAGGTTGTTGTAGTCACCTCGACGGATTTCGCGCCATTGAACGAAAGCAGGGAGCACCTCCACTCTTCCACTAGGTCTTGGCTCTCAGGCGATACAGCACTGGAGGAGAGAACCGATGACTGACGTGGACGTGTTGTAGAAGGTGGCCGAGATGGAGCATCAGTGCCACCAAAGAGAGATGGCTGAGTAGCGTTGACAATATCGGCAACCTCCCTAGGCATTGGCTTGCTCTCTGATTGCGTAGGAACCTTGAGACGCGTGAACCGTTTTGCAGAAGCCAATGAGTCTTCTTCCAGGCCGCAGTCGAACACGACAAGAGCTTCGCCAGCGCTGTTGCTATCGTCCCCAGCGAAATCAACTTCCATCCTCCGTCTCATGTCCCAACCAAGGCACATCGTACGGAAGTCAATCGGCTTCATCCTCAAGAAAGCATTGATCTCCAGGGTCTCAGCCTTGATTTGCTCCTCGGTCAGGCACATCCCATTCCACGAGGAACGAGGAGAGTAGCTTCCATCTACCGTCCTCTCGCGATAAGGATCCGGACGCGCAATACGTCTGCTAGGCTCCACGATGTTCCAGTAGACAGTACGTCCAGTTGCCCATGCAAGCCGCTCTAGGATGGGCTCATCGACACGTGTGCCTTTAGGGACAGTGGGCCGTTTCGGAAACTTGGTCAAATGGAACAGTTCACCAAGAGCGTTCAGGGCGATACACCAGATACGTTCCTGCCCTTGTCGTCGAGGAGAGTAAGCATCGTCCACTGCTAAAGCAATGATGGGAACACCGGGACTAAGGACCCAGCGTGCCGTGAGCTCACCACGGCCCAGGCGCGAGTCCTGCAGGCCATTAGTACCGAGACTGTAGGCTGAAACGACGCCTGATGATGAGCCGCACAACATGCCAACCAACCCTTCTGAGAGAGTAGGGACTGAAGCAGATTTCGCGATCCACACGGACGAAATGGCCTCGGTTGACACAAGCAGCCGGGGAATACCAAGCTCTGGTGAGCTAAGCTCCATGGGCAGAGCCAAGAAACGGCCGCGCATTTCCTCGGTGGAACGATAATAGATGCTCCCGCCAGGAGAACCTTCGCCATGCACCATACCGTAAGGTTGGCTCACGTCGAGAACATTGGGGTTGCCAACCAGATTGCCCGATCCGAGGCCCCATTGGGCTTCTCCAGGGAAGCGTTCGAAGAATTGGAGGAAGAACTGGGGGTCCGAAAGGCCCCATCCATCCGGCTTTCCGGCACTTGGATCGCTGGTAGACGCCATGCCAATATCGTTGGCTCCATGAATGAACAGTGGGAGACGCTTGTTGAATCCACTGCCAAAGGTTGCATGCAAGTGGTTGACAGTCGTGAAGAGCTGTGAATTGTACATAATGATGGCTTGGGGAGTCTGGTTAGTGCTTGAGCGCGAGTTTGCCGATTGCGTTGGCAGTGCCATAGGCTTTCCCCGGCCAAGCGACCGCAAGAGTCGAGTGCGCAGAATGTACTCGCTCCTCCATGATGCAAGCGCCGTAAGTCTAGCAAAGGCTCTTCTGTCGGAGCGCAAGGTTTCTTGGTCACCATCCTCAGCCACGTAGTCTGCACCTATGGTGATTGAGTCAGGGCCAGGAAAGTAGCGCGCAAATGCGACTCTCCAAGCATGAGGTGTAGTGACGAGTGAATGGAAGCGGCGTGACACCAGTGCGACTGCGGAGAGGTCGTTCGGTGGCAGGTGGGATAGGGCATGAGTCAGAATTTCTGGGAGGCAATCAGTCATTGTGGCGGGACGAGCACACGCAGTGGAAGCGGCAAATCACCATTTGGCAGCTTCGCCACAGGCGAACTTCTGTCTCCAGCCTTGCGGCTCTTCTTGATGACCTCGAATATAGGGCCCTCTGGCTTCCTCTGCGGCGAGGGCGACAGCGCATTCTCATACTCGGCGATGCGATTGCGTGGCGGCGGGCTGGGCTTCTTCAATCGAGCGTTTTCGTTGGCATCGAGGTCGGCGCGCGCATGGGCACCAGGGAGCGCGTCGCCCGTCGCGTCTGGTGCGCCGATGTCTGCTCCCACCGCACTCCCAGAGCGGAGCGGGGGCAAGCGATCTGCAGAGTCGAGGCCATGCTGGGAGGGAGCGGGCGATTCGGGCGCGACGGATTTGGTGGACGCGTTGGTGATAACGTCAGAGAGCTCTGAGTGCATAAAAATTCGCGGATAGAATGTGGATGGGTGTGTTCCTGAGCCAGGTGTCCTGGTTCAGTCGCGTCAATGTGGGCGGTCGCGGTCGGGATGGCTGCCTGGAGGGAGATTGTTGGAGGAGGAGAGGAGACAGCACGGTGACGTTTATCGTCTCGACTCGCGTCGACGCTCAGCGGCCGTACCTACTGCACGTGGCGATTCGACCGGCGCTCCGGCCTTCAACATCCGCTCCTCCTTCTTCATTCCCCGGCCGTTATCAAGATGACTGGCTAGCATTGTTTTCATTTGATTGGTAGGATGCAGCAGCCAGGGCAAAATGAAATAAACCACTTTTATGTGCCTGTCTTCCACGAACCCGGCCCGTGCTGCGCACACGAGGCGTTGTCTCCATCAGCGAACTAGTTCCCTAGTGTCACCATACCTGTCATGCGTGCGTCTGCTACTTCACCAACTGTTTTGATGTCAATTTCCCCTGGACGGTCGCTGACACACGATGCAATACTCGCAGGCATCGAGCTGTAGATCTACACGTAAATTTGGGAATTCTTATTAGTGTGGAATTTCTCACAACGTCGGTCCCGCCACAGCACTTGAGCACCTCTGACGAAGAGTGCCGTGGTATTTTGTTGCTGTTCTGCCGGCGCGGGACGGCACCAGACGCAGCTTGACAAACCAGGGTTGCAGACCGCCTACGCCCACTTTCCTGATTGAGTAACGGAGTTGCGTGATCCAGTGGGGACAGCGCGGGGACGCATCGCCAAGGCCTTCATCCTCAGCCCGGGCCGTCGAGAGGTACTACGTAGTAGGCCTCACAAATGTATGGACTTTGCAGTAAACTCCGCTATATCCGCTCAAGACATCATCAGTGCTCAAAACCTAAACTATACGCGTTCGGAGATGCGGAACTGCCGCGTTCTGGATCCATAACATATATACTTTGCATCATACACAGTAGACTTCTCTCATCTTCTTCCCGCTCTCCTCCCCACAGTCAAACTCGCCCTCAGCATTGCTTCATACCAAGTCACCAGAACAAATCGACGCCATGGCCAACTCTGATATACCCCAGGACCTGCAAGCCAGCATCGACGCCACGCAGGTCACTTACAAGCAGCTCGGAACCTCCGGGTTGCGTGTCTCCGTCCCTATCCTAGGCGCCATGTCTATCGGCCACAAGGACTGGCAAAACTGGGTTGTCCACGACGAAGCCGAAGTCTTCAAGCTCCTCCAGGCAGCGTACAGTTTCCCTCCCATCTCCCTCTCTCATCATCCCTGACCATACCTGCAGATACGACCGCGGTCTCAACTCCTGGGACACAGCCAACATCTACTCCAACGGCGTCTCCGAAGAGCTGATCGGGCGCTTCCTCAAGCACGCGCAGATCCCGCGCCGCAAAGTCGTGCTGCTGACCAAATGCTTCGGCTACGTCGGCGAGACGCCCGGCCTCAGCACGATGCAGTACCCGCAGGCGCGCGACACGCGCGACTACGTCAACCAGGGCGGCCTCTCGCGCGCCGCCATCTTCAACGCCGTCGACGCCAGCCTCGAGCGCCTGCAGACGTCGTACATCGACGTGCTGCAGATCCACCGCTTCGACCCCGAGGTCCCCGTCGAGGAGACCATGGAGGCCCTGCACGACCTCGTGCGCGCCGGCAAGGTGCGCTACATCGGCGCCAGCTCCATGTGGGCCTACCAGTTCGCCAAGATGCAGTTCGCCGCCGAGAGGCGCGGCTGGACAAAGTTCGTCAGCATGCAGAACCACTACAGCTTGTGCTATAGGTAAGAAGCCCGCTGGCCGTTGTTTTCCCCGTTCTCTCCGGCACATCCTTCTCCTCGTTACCCCAATGGCATTGCTGACAATTTGCTCCTTGACTGTAGAGAAGAGGAGCGTGAAATGATCCCCTTCTGTAAAGAAAGCGGCGTCGGCCTGATTCCCTGGTCGCCTCTCTTCCGCGGCTTGCTCGCGCGGCCGCTGGACACGCCCGAGACGGATCGCACCAAGGCCATGAAGGATCTCCCGATCAATGTTCCAGTAACGGACGCCGACAATCAGATCATTAGCCGTGTGGAGGAGCTAGCCAAGAAGAAGGGCTGGGCCATGTCGCAGGTGGCGTTGGCGTGGATATTGCAGAAGGGCGCCATTCCCATCGTCGGGCTCAGCAGTGTGAAGAGGCTAGACGAGGCGGTCAAGGTGACAGGAAAGGAGCTGACGGACGAGGAAATCAAGTACTTGGAAGAGCCGTATGTGCCCAGGGCGGTAAGCGGGCACTCGTGAGCGAACGCAATGGGTGAAGCCGGGTGAGAAACTATCGGCCCGTGCGAACATAGTTGAAGGTATATGTGGGCGAGGTTTGCGGCTGCGCATACCGCACAGTCACTGTTACGATGTAGACTGTTACGATGTAGCTTGAGTCTTTGTCAAAAGCAAAAAGGGCCAATGCCCCCGTTCTCTTCGTCTTTGTGGGAGATTAATTGTGCCACATCCCAGCCTCGAGTATCTTTTTACAGGGCTCTTTACTCAACCGATGGACAATACTCTTGGACAAACGCCATTCCCTGCCACCCAGTTTCCAAACAAAGACTCCAGAGTATCTTGCCCTAGTCCGCCATTCATCTTCCCATTCCCGTAGTACCAATAGTCGCCTCGATAACCTTTTCCCTGCAGTCTCCGACGTTCTGTGCCTCGTTGAGAATAGCCTTCTGGATCTCCTGGAAGAGGAGGGCCAACTCCCTGAGCTTGTTCTCGTGGTGCTCCTCGGCGGTGCCAGCGCCCCGGCGCGCCATAAGTTCCTGAGACTGCTGCATCACATTTCCTTCGACGGTGCGCAGGTGCTGCTCGAGCTCGGTAAGTAGGCGGGCTTGTTGCTTCAGCGTATCGGCCATCTCGTCGGTTTGGCTGCTGAAGAAAGAAACGAGGTCGGTGTTGCCTTCGTCCGCTGAGGCATCGTCTGGCGAAGCTGACTTGGCGGGAGCAGGTGCAGCGCTCCACATTGAACCGGCATAGTGGAACTGAGTGGGCAACTTGAGATTCTCAAGCACGCGGAAGCTGATGCGCGCATTCTCGACATCCTTCTTGATTGTTTGCTTGAGCTGGGCAATGGCCTGCGAGTCGTTGTCCAGGGCGGTCTCGACGGCTTCGCACTTGCCGTTGACCCACTCGACATCGTTGGGCAGATATGAAATATTTTCCTTCAAGCGGCCGTCGATGAAGGCCTGGCATTGGTCGTGATGTGAGATTTGTTGTTGGATGAGCGAATCCATCTGTTCGATCTGCTTTTGCATATCTTCGTGGAGGTCGGAGAAGCGCGTCGATCCGCGGACCTGACTAATGTCGATACGGACGCCCGGAACGGTTGCTTGCATGCCAGCATTGTTCTGGGTGGAGCCAAACATGCCGCCGCCCGCTGGCTGTTGAGAGTTGTTCATGGCGGAGCCGCCGAAGAGAGAGGGTTGCTGAGGTTGTGTGGCGGTCGTAGTACTCCCGAATAGAGAAGGCTTGCTTTGGTTCTGCGCGGTGCTGCTTCCACTGTACGAGGAGTTAGCCAAGCATTCCGGTTGTGTGTGACAAAGGGCGCTGGGGCGTACAACAAAGATGGAGCGGGCGTTTGCGTTGCCTGGGCGGTGTTGCCAAAGAGACCTCCGCCCTGCTGCTGTTGCTGGCCTTGCTGTTGCTGACCTTGCTGCTGGTTTTGGCCTAACGCGCCGCCGAACAATGAGGAGCCGGTCTGAGGTTGCGAGGCGGGCGTCGACCCTGGCGCAGCGCCTCCGCCGAAGAGCCCACCCCCAGTGGTGGCAGCCGGCGTAGCGGGCTTGTTAAGGGCGCCTCCAAAGAGGCTGCTGCCTTGAGTCGCCGGGGCTGCATTGTTCGTCGAAGAGCCGAAAAGGCCGCCGCTCTGAGGTTGCGAGGTCGAGGCGGTGCCGCCAAAGAGGCCGCCACTGCTCTGGGGCTGGCTGGCGCTGGTCGAGCTGCCGCTGCAGGAAAGCGCAAGTTAGCAACTGCCGCGTACATGTCACAATTGATGCGCAGTCGTGTTCCAAACCTACAAAAGCGAAGAGCTACCGCCCGTGTTGATACTCAAGCCGCCCGACTTTCCCAGTCCTCCAAACGACATTGTTACTACTCCAAATACCCCAAATACGTTCCAGACGGAGAGGATCGAGATCCGGCACTGGCAGCGGTCTGGCAAGACTTGGGCGGGCGGAGCGAAAGGGCGCGGGCGCGGGCGCGGGCGCGAGGAGACACAGTCAGTTGATGTTGTTGTCACGGCCGTCAGCTGCTCGGGCGTTGTCGCGAAAAGCTGCGGCGTCCAAGCTTCGCGCGCCGACAGCTCCACCTCGCCCGCCGCAGCTTCAACCTGTCTGCCCGCCTAGCTCACTCCCCAACAGGGACCCGCAAGAACACCGCTCCTCGAATAGCCGCGGACGACGACGCTCATTTTTTGCGGATTCCATCTTCCATACCCGGACATACATCGACCTGAAACCATGGAAGAGGACGACGATTTTTACGGCGACGACAGCGGCCCGGCCGTCAAGCAGGACGAGCCCGCCAACGGTGACGAAACTACAAAGGACGATAAGATGGACGACTCGCTCGAAGAAGGCGAAGAGGAAGAAGAAGATGATAGCAGCGATTCGGTACACATTCCCCACTCTGTTGCCGAGTTCAGGCTTCCGAGTGCTAATGCAGACTGCTGCATTAGGATATCGAAATCATTGTAGAAAGCAAAGACGCGCCAGCACCAGAACCAGCTTCGTACGTACAGATCAAATGTTCCGCCGTATGAGTGCGCCCCATTGACACGAGCAATAGCCAGCGCGGTGCCTCCTTCAACACATCCTTCAAGTCGGAAACCTCGCGCGCCGCGCCCGCAGACGCCGCCAAAGGACAGCAAGCACAACCTGCCGGAACCAAAGCTGGAAGCGCCGCTCCAGCAGCATCTTCAAAACCCGGCTCGGCCTACCCTGAAGTCCGCACCTCAAACCTCGACGTCAACGCAGTCCCGATTTATGATCCTGTGGGCAAGCCCATAACAGATCTGGATGTCGATGCTGGTAAGGCTTGTTTCTCAACCCCTCCGCAGCGCGCGCAGATGCTAACCCACAACAGACCTCGCCGAGCACGAGAAGCCGTGGCGCCTCCCCGGCGCCGACCAGTCCGACTACTTCAACTACGGCTTCGACGAGTTCACATGGACGACGTACTGCCTGCGCCAGCAAACCATGACCAACACGCTCAAGGACCAAAAGGCCGAGACGGCCAAATTCGAGATGATGCTCAACGGCGGCATGCCGCTCATGCCTGGAATGCCTCCGGCCGGCCCGCCGTCGGCCGCTCCGCCTGTCCCCGGCGCGCCCACCGGCCCCGCAGCACAACAGCCGCAGGGCGGCCAGCAGCCGCAGAACGGAGGGATGCCTGGCGGCATGCCCGGCATGCCCGGCCTCGACGAGAACATGATGCAGCAAATGGCGCAGCACATGCTGGCGTCCGGCATGGACCCGTCGCAGATGAGCTTCGAGCAGTTCATGCAGGGTATGCAGGGTATGGGCGGCATGCAGGGCGGCCCGCCCGCCGGCCCCGCGGCGCAGCAGGCGCAACAAGGCGGCGGTTTCGGTGGTCAAGGTGGTCAAGGCCAGTTCGGCGGATATGGAGGCGGTCAGGGAGGGTTCAGAGGAGGACGGCGAGGAAGAGGGGGTTGGTGAGGGGGAGGAGGCTCAGGTCACCAGCTTTGAATTCGGGTGTTGCACTGGGTATTGGGCGGCGTTCTATACTTTAATAGGGGCATTACAGGATCAGTACGGATCAGGTATGATGAGGCGTGAACATGGGGAAAATGGGAGCTGTGACGAATACCAGCATTGGCACAACCAAGGCGAGAACTCGAGGAAGTTTTGGACTTGACAAAAGGATGAAAACAAGCTACCATTTCAGCAACTTAATGCCGTGTTCTCCATACTTGATTACAACCGGACGGCTGATTTGTGGAAAACAGAAAGACTCCTAACGTCACACCTACTGTAGGTGCAGGAAGATATTGAACTACGGCGATTTTTTGCGTAGGCAATCGAAGCAGATATCTCGACATAGATGTAGGTTCAAGAATCCCTTCCTCATGAGGAGATGAAGCAGATATCCCGACGTAGATGCAAGTATAAAATAATGCATCTCCTGAAACCATATATCCCGAGAGACTGAGAGTTTAATCCATATTTGTAACATTCTCGATTTGAAATTCTTGTTCCCATGCTGGATAGATCCACCATTGTCGGTATCGCTCTGATATACATTTTCTAAAACCCATCTCTGACCCAGCTCTTCTCCTATGCAGGTCCTGGATTGGTCCCAGGTGACTTTGCCCTCGGCGACGGGTGCGTTCCGTAAACCCCGTACTATATACCATGGTGGGCAGTAAGAGGCACGACAATCGGAGTCTACTGAGCTGCAGGAAGAGGATGCTCCTCAGGATTAAGCACAGCAGTCCACGGATCGGTCGAACCTTAGTCCTTGTAGAACCAGCCTCTGTACTCGAAGAAGTCACCGCTCTTTCGGTTGTAGGATTTGGTGTCAAACGGTATACCCCAAAGTGGTCCTACCCTTGATTGCCTCAATAGTCCCCGATGCGTTGACACGACATGAGGCTTCGTTTTGCAAGAAAGTTCGTAGCCTCCGTGAAATCGACCCTCGCGTGCCACAATCACATTCACAGTTTTTTATGCTTCCGACCTGTTGCTCCAACCAGCCAGTCAGACTAACAGAAGATGGTCAGACTCGAAGTCACTTAGTGGATGGCAGGCCGGTTCGAGCAAGGGAGTGGGGTTGAAAGGATTAGTTGCATACATGGCCCATTGTGCGCTTTTTAGCTGCAGAGTATGTTTTCGAAATGCAGGAAAATGGTATCACATCAATGCCACCATCTGTTGTCCAAAAGACGCCATCGATGTTCCAGACATGGAGGCTTTCGTTGCTTGGATGAGGTTTCAGAATGGGCATCGATGCATAGCCACGAGAGAAACACGCTGTTCGATCGATCTCCCCTGAATGCAATGAGCGAGGCATGCCAGTGGCCACCAGGCCTCAGGGATAAGCAGAGGACAAGGCGTCCACGCGTCTTCATCTCCCCACGCTTGATGGCTCATGAGAACGGGGTCACATCTGGTTGGCAGAGCGAGCGTTTCGCTCGCATCAAGGCAGTCTGCCCCACATACGCTATTTTGGAGAAGGAAGTTTCAGGGAGGATGGGCAGACCAATTAGGCCGTGACGGGGCATGACGGCAGGCGGGAGGGCCTAAGGCGGTGTAGATGGCGGGTAGACGCGTCGCGGAGGGCGGAGAGGCCCTGCACTGGCGTTGCTGGCAGATCGGAATGTCGCAGAGGCCGTCGCGTCGTCGTGCGCGGCCTGGGGATGTAGCAGGTTAAGTAAAGCCAGCCAGTGCGAGGCCAGGCCGGGGCGTCGGGTAGGCGTAGGGCAGAGATCGACCAGGGGCTCGGTTGCCTCTTTGGAAGGGTTTGGAAGTTTCAGGCTGGAGGTGGGCGGGTGCTGTGCTGGCGTGGGCGGCGCGGGTGCGCAGTCGCACGTTCGTTCGTGATTCTTGAGATCGATGGCGTGCTTGTCGTTTGCCTCTTTGGGCCGAACTCGGCGGCCACTGGGCTGACTGGGCTGGGGAAGCGCGGCCCTCCGCCCAGCACCCAGGCTTCGCCCGCGCTTCTCGAACGTCGGCGTGCAGCAGATCGAGAGCCGCATGCGCGGATTCCAAGATCCCCAGCACCGCGTCCCGCGGGCTGCACGCATCGTCGACAGCCACCTCTTGCTGCTGCTGGCCAGCCTCGACAGCCCGCGCCGATCCGGGGTAGCGCCCGGCTAGGCTCAGCCTCCCGCAACGACGACATCGCTGCAAGAATGATGCGTAACCGCCCTCGGCCGTGATTCATGCCCTGATGCAGTAATCAAACGTGCTCAGTGCGCGGTTAGCGTATGTGGGTATGGCTTTGTGATGATGAGGTGCTGGCCCTCGCGGATCGCGCAACCAAAGCCCCAGGTCGCACCTGCCGCGTCTTACGCACCGCTGATGGTCCAAGTCACCACTCCGGATTGCCGCAGCTTCATCCGTCCGCTGCCGTCCAGCTCAGTCCACTCAGTCCACTGCCTGCCTATATATCTCCCGCTCCCGCTCCTCTGTCTTCCAGAACCAGCACCAGTCTCCGCTGTCAAGTCTTCCACACCACCCGTCCTTACCTCCTTGTCACGACCGCTCTTTGTTCACAATGGCTCCATACCTCCAGGAGACTACTGCCACTGAGGTAGCCGCCCCCGCTCCCAAGAACCTTAAATCCATCACGACCAAGTCGCCATCCACCCTCAGCTACGAGCCTGGCCACGTCCCCGCCGAGACTCACGAGACGTACGAGTACGATGACCTCAAGCCCCGTTTCCCGGACATCAAGTGGCCCGCTCTCGGTCCCATCCCCTACGAGGATAAGGGTCTGAAGGGAGACCCCAACTTCCGCAACCTGTTGGCTGGTGCCACCGACGTCTTCGACTACAACCCCAAGATTGGCACCGAGATCCACGGCGTCAAGCTCTCGCAGCTCACCGACGCTCAGAAGAACGACCTTGCCCGCCTGATTGCCGTTCGTGGCGTTGTCTTCTTCCGCGACCAAGATGACCTCGACATCGACGCCCAGCGTGAGCTCGGTGCCTACTTCGGTCAACTGCACAAGCACGCCACCACTTCGGTCCCGCGCCGTGAGGGCCTGGAGGATGTCCACGTTGTCTTCACTGAGGGCAACAAGGACCTCCGTTCGCTGTTCACTCCTACCTTCCTCTGGCACTCTGATGTCACATACGAGGTCCAGCCTCCCTCGTACACCATGTTGAAGCTGCTTACCGGCCCCGGCCGTGGCGGTGGTGGTGACACCCTCTGGTCCTCTCAGTACGCTGCGTACGACGCCATGTCGCCGTACATGCAGAAGTACCTCGAGAGCTTGACTGCTATCCACTCGGCCCAGATCCAGGCCGACGGCTCGACCCAGATGGGCCGTACTGTCCGCCGTGACCCCGTTGTCACCGAGCACCCGCTTATCCGCGTCCACCCCGTGACCGGATGGAAGTCTCTGTTCTTCAACCCTGGCTTCGTCACCAAGATCAAGGGTGTTCCCAAGGTCGAGAGCGACCACATCATCTCTTACCTCAACGAGATCATCGCCACCACTCAGGAGGCACACGTCCGCTTCCAATGGAACAAGAACGACGTGGCGTTCTGGGACAACCGCGTCACCAACCACTCCGCTTCGTACGGCTTCGCCCCTCACCGTCGTCACGCTGTGCGCGTCTGCTGCCAGGCTGAGCGCCCATACTTCTCCGAGGATGGCAAGTCCCAGGAAGAGGAGCTCAACGCCAAGTACGGACTTCCGCCTGTCAACAAAGATGGCTCTGGCATCGTCAACTACAACGATTAAGTGCGTTTCATTCTGCGCCATCGTGAAGCGTTTCAGCGTTAGATTTTCCATCCAGATTATGAGTTTAGCGGGCGTTTATGGGAGAGCATACAATACCAACTTGATCAGGGTGCATGTGTAGTCCGGTTTTGGATGATGGGAGGTATAGGGAATGATTTGGATTAGAGCATCGAATACCAGAATTTTGCATACCATATGACCGGCCGTCGCAGGATGTGAATTTTATTGTCTTGCTCGCCTGCGTAAGTGTGTGGTGAATTAGGCGACTGCCTCATGTGACGACGTGGATCAGGGTCCTGACGCGTCGCGTCGCGCACCTCTCGAACCCGTCCACCTTTCGACTCTGACATCTCATGACTCGACCTCGCCACACTGGATGAGAAAACATCAGTTTCTGATGGCCTGACTACAATGGCCGCAGTGACACAGAAGCCTGGTGAGCAGACACTCGCTCGAGACGCGTCTGTCCTGGCATACGCACGCTTCCATCGCATCTGCAGAGACTACACGCGTGAAAGCCCTCTCGACTCTCGACACCTCCCGCAAGCACCTATTTTCCTAGCTCAAGAACTCAGCGATCCTTCCGGTTGCCCACAGTTCCAATTCACTCAACCAGTTGGCACTTCCGAGCGCCTTGAGATAGATTCTGCAGCAGCGCATCTATTGAACTCAGTATTCGCGCTCCGGAGTTCTCCTCAGGTGACCGACGCCTACTGCCCTCCTCATCTGACGCGTCACTTGAAGGTCGAGACGCCTTTATTGAGGATTGATCATGAGCTTGACTCTTTTCGGTTTAGGAAGCGCGAGTCTCTTAATCTGACGGATGTGACGCTTCCCCTCGAGCATACAGATGACGAAAAAGATGAAGGACTCTCTTGGCCCCTACAGTGTCGCAATTTCTCGCATGAATTCCACGGCAAGATCGCATCCGACAGACTTGACGTTCAAAAGCAGGCACTTCTCTATCTTCAGTCAGTGATGAAGCGGCCAGATAAGCCGGACATACCAGACTCCGCACCCGTCAAAAGACGACTGATTCAGCCTATCACTCCACCGCTACTTCCTCTCAGCCCTGAGTTCACTCATGTCCCTGATCCGTCCTCATCATCACCTACCGGACAGGTCCAACTACTCTCCGGGACTACTGATTCTATAGCTGTCGAGGCCGAAGCTTTGGAGGCTAGGATATCGAAAGAGGACAGGATTGACACTGATGATGTGCCGGGCCTCAAGTACTACACCGAAGACCCAATGTTATGGGATGGCATTGAAGATCTTGAGGTTGAAACGACAGCACCCTCCTTCAAGCCAAGGCGACGCGCAGCCGAGCTCAAGATCGAAACTCCGCTTACGCCCCCTGCAAACATTACGCCACCATTTCGATCACCGGCGAAAAATACAAAGTCAGTGTCGTTTCCTGATGAAATGCTCCAATACATCACATACCCAATGGAGATCCCGTCCAAGTATGAGGATGGAAATGCTGTGTTGGATTCTGAGAATGATTTTGATGCCTTCTTCGAAGAAGACATGGCGCCAATCGCGAAGAGGGCTGATTGGAGGGCCGAACACGAACAACTACATGAAGCGGACACCACCAAACGTGTCGAAGTCCCGGACCTGGATTTTGAAATTCCGATTGCCCCTTGGCACTCTTTTGGCCTGAGAGCATCACTGAAGAAAGATGGTATCTCGACCGAGTTAGAAGCTCAAGCCAGGCTTCTCTCCTATTGTGCCAAAGAGGAGCTCAAAATTACCCCAAAGTGGCCTGAGTCGAACAAACAAGACGGGGAGTTGAAATGGTGGGCCTTCCCGAGGAATCTTTCCAAAACAGTCGTAGCGGAGGAAATACAACATGACGCGGCTCTGAACAAAATGATAGGAAGCTCGCCAATGGGAGATGTAGATATCGTCGACAGTAGCTCCCTGGCCTGGAAACATGAAGGACTACGCGTTCTTGACCAGCCCGAGGATGAAGACGAAGAGATTTTGCCTTGGCACTTTGAGCCTGGCGATGACCTTGGTTCACTGTTACAGAAGAGGAAATCTGAGATTGCGAACGCCTCAGCAGAATTAGCCAAGCGACTCCCAGAGTCTCTGTCGAAAGAGAGTGTCATTTATCAACCGCAAAAGAAACAAAAGACGAATGAGAATGCTGTTCACGAATCCACCCGGCTGGAGAATCAGTTCATGCTCGGCGGATTGTTCTCGGCATCAAACTCACTGGAACAGTTTATGCAGATAAACAGCGGAACGATGAATACAAAGCAACCTTTGGAGAAACGTCCACCTGAAGAGAAACAGCAGGATAACGCCAAGGTAGAGGCTTCTATTTCGGACGCCTCGAAGCGAGCAGTCGAAAGCAGCCAATCTCCAATGCCACTTCCCGCCCCTCCAATAGCGGACGAACAGCCTCCAAAACCTTTCATAATCTCCTCTTCACTCCTCATCCAACGCCGCGAACTCGTCCGCACCATCCAACGGCTCTACCCCCGCGCCATCCTCATCGAGCGCGACTTCAGCAGACCCCTCTCCACCTCCACCACCACCAGCACCCCAATTAACCACCACCAACCCCCCACCGAACCCGACCTCCTCCTCTCCCCCTCCACCGGCCTCCTCATCACCACCCTCCAACGCATCAAGCAACGCGCCCTCCCCAGCAACCAACACGCAAGCAACAACAACAACAACACCGCAGCCGCCCCCCACAGCACCACCACCACCACCTTCCAAACCGAACTCGCCCACCACACCACCAAACTCCAACACCTCATCGTCCTCGTCAGCGGCGCATCATCCCTCGATGATCAACATCCCGCCACCAAGACCACCACCACCACCGCTGTGCCACCCCTGCAACCCCTGCACCCCCCCGACGCCCGCGACTGCGACGCCCTCGCCGCCCTGCACGGCTTCGCCGCCGCCGCCGGGGCTAGCCCGCGCTGCCGCGTCTCCGTCGCGTACGTGCCCGGCGGCGTGGCGGACGCGGCGCGTTGGGTCGTCGGCGTCATGGCGGCGTATGGGCGGACGGAGGGGGAGTTGGTTGGGGATAGGGGCGGCGGCGGTGGCGGTATGGGAGAAGGGGGGGATGTCGTCGATGGTGGGGAGCAACAGTCGTCGTCGTCGCCGTCGTCGTTGTCGTCGTCGTCGTCGTCGTCGGTGCTGAAGGAGGAAGAGAGCTTGTGGGAGTTGTTCCTGCGGAGGGCGGGGCTGAATGCGTTTGCGGCGCAGGTGGTGCTGGCGAGGTTGAAGAAGAAGGAGGTGGAGGGGGTGGGGAGGGGCAGTGCTGGTGATGGTGGGGGAGGGCCGGCGGCGCATGGGTTGGCGGCGTTTGTGGGGATGGGTCGAGAGGAGAGGAGGGAGGTGTTTGATGGAGTTTTGGGGGATGGGGAGCTGTTGGACGCCGTGGGGAGGAGAGTGGATGGATTGTGGGTGACGCCGAGGTCGCAAAGATGAGGGCTGTCTATGGTCGTGAGCTGGGTTTGGCTGATTGCTTGGGAAAGAGGGACATCTCTGGGAGATTCTGGGCCAACGTTAATACATAAGTCAGGAATGCGGGGGACTGGGATATTAAAGCGTTTGGCTTTGTCGTGGCTCAGCATTTTATCCGAGACCAGGAGCTGAAGCTCCTCCGGAAACTCCACAGCTTGACTTCGGATAGACGGAGTGGGCTACTAATACACTAGCACCAGATGGACCTGCAGATTTCGTAGCTCACGTGCTCTCGCAGGAATCTTGAGGTAGTTACGGGAACTGATGCACCGTGTCATTGATGTGTTATAAACTGGTATTATGTAGTGTAGTGGAGCATTTTCCAAGAAGGATGCAAACGAAGCTTGCACGACCTTTCACCCACTCGCATTCGTTCCAGATCAGTGAAAGAGCATCTTCAATATCTATTAATGCAGTGTGAGGCACATGTGCTTACCGTGGCAACATTCTGGACTAAAACTACGAAATTTGTTTGTCTGCAGACAACCAAAGCCCAATATATCCTGGTATCAGAACAACTGTTGAATAATAATCAGGCAACATAAGATCTCGGTAGCAGCTTCATAGGCTTCTCCAAACACCATTCTGTTAATTTCCTCTTCTTAAAAGCCTAACCTTGCAATTCCCAAAAAAAAAAAAAAACGCCAAACGGGCACATCTCATATTCCCCCGGCCCACCAACAACATTCGCAACGACAACCCCTCTCCCCACTCAACAAATCCCCACAACCCCATTCACGGGCACATCGATGCTCGTCGTGTAGCTCGCGGCGTCGCTGAGGAGATAGACGTACGCGCCGCCGAGCTCGCGCACGTGGGCGAGCCGCGGCATGCCGCCGTAGTAGCGCAGCTGCGTGTCCCAGTCCTCCTGCCGCGGCACCCAGTACGTCATGGCCGTCTCGACCAGCCCGGGGGACACCGAGTTGACGCGGATGCCGTGCGGCGCCCACTCCATGGCGAGCGTGTGCGTCATGTTGCGCACGCCGGCCTTGGAGGCGCCGTAGGGGGCGGAGGGGACGCGCTGTGTGGTGGGTGGGGGGTGTTAGTGATGTGCGGGGGAGGGGGAGGGGGAAGGGAAGGGTGGTTGGTTGGTACCTACCTTGTTGGGGCGGTAGGACGCCATGGATGCGGTGAAGACGATGGAGCCTTTGATGTTGAGCTTGAGGAAGGTGCGGGCGGCGACGCGGGCGCAGTAGAAGGCGCCGAAGAGCTGTTTGGAGGGGGCGCGTGTCAGTCGGTGAGGCATGTACATACATATATACGGCCGGGAAAAGCACAAAACCAACCACCACTCACATTGACCCCAAACAACTCCAACACCTCCTCCTCGGTAAAGTCCAGCGCCGCCTTGTGCTTCGTCCTCCCCGCATTCACCACCATGCCGTGCAGGGCGCCGGCGCTCTGCACAATCTCGTCCACGGCCTCCTGGACGCTCGCTTCCTTGGTGACGTCGGCGTGGACCGCGAAAAGGCGGTCGGGGTACCTGCTCGCGACGGCGGCGAAGTCCTCGCCGGGCTCGCTCGAGATGTCGATCGAGTAGACGCGTTGGGCGCCGTTGTCGAGGCAGCATTCGGCGACGCCGAGGCCGATGCCTCGGTTTGCGCCGGTGACTGGGGGATTTTTTCTTTCAGTTTCTTGTTTGGTTTTTGGGGGGAGGTGGGTTTTGTTTGGCATGGTTGGTTGGGAAGAGTGGGGCGGGAGGAGCGTGGTCATTTTTTTATTTTTTATTTTTTGGTTGGTGAACAAGATAGAAGGGATTGGTCTGGAAGTGGTGGTGCGGGGATAACCAGAAGCTCATGAGTTCAAGACCTACTCGCAATGACCTTGCCCTCAAGCTGTATCTTGGTTTGAGGAGTGGTGGCAGACATGATGGATGGCGAGTTGGAGATTTTACTGATACGTCGTGTGGTATACTGGTATGGAAAAGAAACGAGTTATAGCGACACTGCTTGTTCACTCCATGCGGAAAAAACTAAATAAATATACAGGCACTACGTAAGGCGGGGGAGCTACGACGTGGAGGGGTGGTAGTCAGAATGGCGCCTCGTTACGAGGGCGCGGGCCTCCGGCTCGGGGCATAGACAGTCCCCCACCAATCAAACCGCGGGGGAGTCCAAATCCGCCCCGCTCCCTCTTTTCCGCGAGCATTGCCCCGCTTTCTGGGGTTTCTTGGGCTATGTTTGCTCTCGGAGCTACGTCAGACGTCTGATGATAAAAAGGCCCAAAACCAGCCGTCATGAAAGAGACACCAACTTACCGTCCAGCTCGTTTCGAGGGCACAAAACAGCACGCCAAAAATCCCCCCAACTCCTCCTCCACCCCAATTGGCACCCTGACTTGCTCCCCACAGCATTTCCATGAGCACTAGCGGCAGCAGCGACCCTCACACCACCATGTCCACCTCCTGGAAAACCAGCAACCGCACCCTCCAGATCCTCCGCGCCGCCGAAGCCGGCCGCTACGGCGTCCTCGCCGCCATCGCCTACAACACCGAACAGATCCTCGGCCTCGTCCGCGCCGCCGTCCGCGCGCGCTCGCCGCTGATCCTCCAGTTCTTCCCCTGGGCCATCACCTACAGCGACGGGGTCCTCGTCCGCGCCGCCGCCGACGCCATCAGGCAGCTGGCGCCCGCCGGCGCCGAGCCGGTCCCCATCGCGATCCACCTCGACCACGCGCAGGACGAGGCGCTGATCCGGCGCGCGGCCGACGAGCTGCCGTTCGACAGCATCATGGTGGACATGTCGCGCTTCGACCGGGACGAGAACCTGGCCAAGACGCGCGAGCTGGTGGCGTACTGTCACGAGCGGCGGATCGCGACCGAGGCGGAGCCCGGCAGGATCGAGGGCGGCGAGGATGGGGTCGCGGACACGGCGGGCTTGGAGGGGAGCATGACGACGGAGGGGGAGGTGGCGGATTTCGTGGCGACGGGCGTGGATGTGCTGGCGCCGGCGGTGGGCAACGTGCATGGCGAGTATGGCCCGGCGGGGCCGAGGCTGGATTTTGGAAGGTGAGAGGAAGGATTGTGTTCCCCCTGTTGCGGAGAGAGAGAGAGAAAGTGATGCTGATTTTTTTTTTGGTTTTTGCCCGCGGAAAGGCTGGATACCCTGGTGTCTCTGGCGAAGGGGAAGGTCCACATAGCGCTGCACGGGACGAACGGCTTCGAGCCCGAGTTGATGAAGAAGTGTATCGCAGCGGGCGTTTCCAAGATCAACGTTAACAGGTTGGTCCTGGATGACTATTCCAACCACGTGGCGGCTCAGGCGGGGAAGATCCCGCAAACGGTCCTGATGGAGGAGGGCACAGAAAAGGTCGTCTCGCTCACCATGGAATGGATGCGGCATTGTGGTTCGGCTGGAAAAGCTTAGAGGATGTTAGATCAAGGCATGCTCCAAAGGGCCTGAAGTTCCTCCCCGAGCGGCTTGATTGGCCAACCAGTGCGAAGTCGGCATTCGTTGATGAGATCAAGGATGGCTTCCTGTTGCTTTGTATCTTGGACGACCAATCCAGCTGGAAAGTCTGTCAACAGCAGAAGGGAAGACATGGGTGGAAGGGGGCGGCGTACCGATATACAGACATTGAGACGACATCAAGGAGGCGGCATCATCGGTCAAAGGCCTTGCAATACCGCAAATTGTCTCGGCACATTTCATCATCTCTTTCTGCTTGTGCACGTACCCACTCAAACCTCCAAGAAACGGTCGATGAAGATCAATCAATATACGAGCAGCATTGTTTAGCTGCACAGCTACAGCTAAAAGAGGGGTTAGCACAGTTTCAAGTAGACCGATTTCGAAGGCTTTCACCGAAACAGGAAGGGTATATCCATATCGACGGGAAAACGTCAGATTCAGTTCCACTCGCGGTCGGCAAGGGGGAAAACTTGAGCGTCAGCAGGCTCTGCCACTCGTCCAACATCCTGACCAGCGCGTCCGCCTTTGCAATCTTTCCGTGGACGGAATCCTGCTCCGTCTCCGTCTCCTCCTTGGAGCAGAAGTTGACGGCCTTGGCAAAAGTGTAGACGGCACGACAGGCGAGCTCGTGCTCGTTGAGCTGGTCGAAGGTCCTAGGATGCTTCCAAAAGCTGAAGACCTTGCGCTTCTCTCGAAAGGCAGCCCAGACATCCTGGCACAGCCAAGCCCACCAGTTGGCTTGTTTTAGTCCTCCCGAGTCTCCGTGGATGATTTGGGAGCGTTGGATCCAGAAGACGCCCTTCAAGTGGCGCTCCCAGTCAGGGCGTGAGCCGTCGAGCATCTCGTAAGTGGAGACGATGAGCGAGGTGGCGAGCAGCTCTAAGCTCGTTTTGAAACAGTCAAATTGCATTGCTTTGTGTAAGTAGTGAAGTGTTTCGTAGTAGTATTTGAGCGCAACCGCTCTTTCGTGGTGGACATCTGGTGCGACATGAGGATTCAGGGAAATATGTCGGACGGACAATGCCAGGATAGCATTCATGAGGCCGATGTTGTACATCTAGCAAGGGAATCAGCAGCGATACACGACGGAAAACCCAGCAACGAAAGGCGTACTGCAAGACGGGGCACAAGAGTTGAAAAATGGTCTTCCTGGTCGAACAAGTCCAGCCACCGGCCGACCCGCCGGACGAAATTATCAAAGAGCAGACATTCGTTTGGCGAGAGCTGGATCTGCTCCGAGCATCGCCATGGGCGGTGCTCGGTGAGAGCGTTTTGCCGCGAAGGAGAAAGGATTGGAAGCTGCTGCGAGAGAGTGTTGGCATCATTACCGAACAGCTCGGGGTCCAGGAGCGGAACGGTCTGACTGGAGTTGCCTTCAAGCTCAAGCGCCGCATCGTCGAGCAGCAAGCCGAACCAACCCGCGGTAGCGGTGCTGACAGCTGGTCGAGCAGAGCCGACGGAGCTGCCAGGCGATTCACCAATGTTGACGCCGTCGTCTACACCAGGCTGGGGAAAATCTGGGAAGGGAAAATCGCAGCAGGTGTTCTCGGGAGCGGCTTCGGTCCGCAGGATGGGCTGGTTGGCGTCAACGGGGGACGGCTGGCTTCCTTTCCGCGGTTGCAAGGGCGTGGGCTCTCCGTACACGCATTCATGTCCCCTTTTGGCGCAAGGGCCGCACGGGACATTGGCCTCGTCGCACTTGACGTGACGCTTCCGACAGGTGATGCTGCAGGCGGGGTGAGAGACGAAGCTTCAGGCATGGTAACGCGGCTCACCAGCCTGTGCGAGTCCTTAGGCCTCGGCCGCGGGGTTTGCGGGTGCGGGCTCGGCGGGCTCGGCGTTCTTCGGCATCTGGCATGGTCTGGTTGCGATGACCGTCACGGTGGTGTTGAAGCAGAGACGACGCGAATCGAGACTCGGGAGATCATCAGGCAGGTGCGGGGCCGCCAGTGGCGTTTCGCCGGGTAGGTATTCCTCGGATGGCTCCTCTGACTGCCCCTCGCGTTAATTGAAGAATTCATTCGGATCCTTCTATACTTTTGCACTGTCATCTGGGCAGTTGCTTCAGCTGTCTATGCCGAAAGGTTGAAGTGAAGGTGTAATTCCAGCTTGCCTATCTTTGCAGTCACTATGGCTTGGAATTCGTAGGGAAAATCCGCCAATGAGACAGGGAAGCAAGCAAAGAACAGCCTATTGCTTTCTCACAGAATGTAAACAGAGTCAAGTAACTGCATATTGGGTGAAGCATTATACACGAGACCCTCGAGACGAGGGATCGTCATCATCATCTCAAGGGAGCAATCTTTCCCGAACCTCGAATTGGAGGGAAATGGATGTGACAGCGTTGATGCACTACACGACTCAAGGACTACCGAGATATATCCATCATCTATTGCGCTCCACGCACATTCAAAAGCGCAAGCATTATCGCAAGGTACACGCACACGCATGCGAGAAAAACGAGCTAAAAGTCAATCATCAAGTCCATTCTATCCCGTTCAGGGCCTCCAGATACTCTTGCAACTTCCTCAATCGCTCCCAACGCAGCCGACTGCTACCCGCAAAACCCCAAATTCCCAGAATACCTCTCCCCATTCGTCACCCTTCATGTAGTCAAGCTTTCTCATCATCCATCCAGTCATCATTCCCGCCTAGATAAAAAAGAAAAGCAATTCGCCCACCCAAATATATGCAGTGACTTGAAAGAGTATAAAACCCAGGAGTATCTGATGATGAAAACGCCTAAACCCCAGATAATAGGAGAATAATAAAAAAATAGGAAAATAAAAAGAGAGCAGATCTAAGGGACAAAAAATTCCCGCGCCCGCTTGAACGCAGCAGCAGCAGCAGCAGCAGCAGCAACCCCGGCGAAGCCCGCAGCCCGATTGATCGTACATAAAATCACAGTGTATGGTGAAAAGAAGAGCGGGAGAAACCAGGAGAAGGTGAGGAAGAAGGAAAAAGACAAGGTCATAGTAGTACACGGAAACGGTCCTGATGCTCTGTCAGAACCGCCCCAATCCATTCTTCTGTTCATCCATCTTCTCATCGTCAATTTCCATCTTCGACCTGCGCCAACCATCCTCTGATGCCCTCTCTGAGGGTGCTCTCCTTGTGCAGACTCTCTGCAACCGAGCTCCTGGTGCCGCGTCGCTTGGTCTGCTTCGCGGCTGCCGTGGGCCGGTTTGTCGAAGACGTGACGTCTTTTCCAGCCCGCGAAGGCATGAAGTTGCCACTACGCTCCGCCGCCACGCTGCGTACTATTGAATCCAGCGCCCCGAGAACGAGTGACTTGCATTCCTGGTTGCCGCGCGGCATGTTGTCGAGCGTTGTGATCGTGCTCGCAGCATCGCTAACCTCCTGTTGCGTGTTGATGCGGACACCGTTGTTGCGGCCTCGGCGGGAAGACGAGCGTGAAGACGATGCCGACGCCGTGGTGGAGACGGTAGTAGAGGTGGCGACAGAAGAAGAGGCGGGTGGCTGCTTCTTCGGGCTGACGTCCTCATCTTGTTCTTGTTCCTGAAGACGGGTCCTTGTCTGCGGCGTGTGGTTCTTATCCAGAAGTTGAGAAGTGCGTTGAGTTGGGGTAGCAGTTGCCGGCGCGATCGAAGACGTGCTTGACGTGAGGGCAGGTGTGCTAACACCGCTAGACGCGATACCCTTCTCCAAAGCATCGGCCAATGTCTCGTCAAGGTCCATGACCGTCTCTTCGATGAATTTCTCCTCCAAATGCAGCTCCGTCATGGGGACCGCTGGCATCAAGCTTGAGCCATTGGTATACGGATTGCCATATTGACTCTTCGGCAGACTTTGCGGCCCCGGCGTCTGTGCGGTGATTCCGGGAGTGATGGCTGGTTGACTCGGAATAGGAATCAACCTAACCTTGCGCTCAAGGTGCAGCCTCTTGATCGTAAAAGTCCTCGCATCGGCAATCAGTGCGGTGCAGACGTGCACCCACTTTTCCTGCGGGCCGCCCTCCAGAGTGGGAGTAGTGACAGCAGCAACAGGGGTCGGCTCAGCACTCATTGACTTCCGTACATCCTTCTCCAAATCCACGTACGGTTGGACACCTTGGAGAGCGAAGTCCTGGTGATAGCGCGCAAGCCAGCCGGCGACGTTGACCGGAGGTTGGCTGTCCAGAGATATAGCTGACGAGCAAAAGGATGGTCCGAACGTCGAACCTTCAAGGCTCCCCACGGAATTACCAAGCGCGGGAAGCAGAGGAGACTGAACCGGTGACCCGAAGCCAGGAAGAGCAATGTCCACGTCGATGACGCCATCGTTCTCGTTGACAGAAAGTTTCAGTGGGGAGTCGAGATGCTTGGAGCGGGCAGGGATGGCACGGGCCGCGCTGTGTGGTGCACCGGAAGACATGGGGCTCTGCTCCGCGTTGGTAGCTGCCTCATAGTCTTCCGAGTCTGCTTGATCGAAATCATCGACCTGGAGCTCTTGGACCATGTTCTCAAGCTTGCTTGCGGAATGGTTGTGTGTCCGTCTGTAGCCGAATCTCTCAATGCTAACACCGTCGTCGGTGGACTGCAGTATGTCACTGTGATCAGACGAGTTTTCACGGCGCCCGCCGCTGCCCCAGAAATTCATGAAGCTCCCCCATTTGCTGGATGACGAGGAATCATTGCTGGGACCGCCGGTGGTGCTTCCGGTACGGTGTAGAGTATGCCTTAGATTGACCGAGGCGAGACTGCCACTGCTCGGTGGGCGTGTTTCGTTGGAGGATTGCGAACCTGAGTTGTGCCGATGAACAGCGAAATGCGCGACAGGAACCGCCGTGTCGGGGGTGACAGTGGAAGTAGTGGTCGTGCTTCCCTTGCGCACCGCAGGATCCTCAACCATGGATGGAATCGCCAAGCCGGTGTGGTTTATCGATCTGACAGAATGGACTTGAGATGGTCGCCGTGAGTGAGGTGCCGATCGAGATGGAGGGCGTCTCTCTTCCTTTTCTTCTGCCGTGTCCTCAGGTAGGTCAGGATTGCTCCCCTTTGTGGTATTCAAGGCGCTCATGTTTGGATAGCTCTTGTGCCCCTTTCTGTTGATTGTGCGCCTAAGGGATTGTTGTCTCGCCAATCCCGCCGCATTCGGGGGTGACTGAGAATACCCTCGCAGTGAGGTCGAAGTGCTGGGGCGCATTGGCGATGCGCCATCCAAGAGACCGTGGTTGGAAGCCGGAAGGAAGTTCGACAGCAGAAAGATCAAACGTCTCGCAGCCATCTTGTCTGGTGAAATGATAATCGTCCGACTTGCAATAGTGATATCTTCGCCGGCGATGTTACGCTGCTGCTCCCGGTACTTTGTTCGGTATGATTTCGGTCCCAAGATGTTCAACCACTCCGTATGTGTACCCAAGAACGCAGTGAGCAGGTTGAAGAGGAAGAAATTTTGCTCTCTTCCACCGGCCCAACGCCCGAGCCATCGAGCTTCTTCGCGCCAAACACCCCATCTACCTTGGCCAGTGACGACCCGAGGAACTTTCATCCCACGGACTACTCGATCAGCAGCGTTTTCCACAGCCGCTTTGACGTCGGGATCAAACAACAGTGCAAGCGGCTGCAACTTCAGCATACGACGAGGGGGCATCATTGGTTCTCGGTGCGAGCTTCTGGTAGATCCATGAGTCCGACTCGGAAGCTGAGGCTGCGGAGTTGACTGTTCAGCGGCCTTGAACAGATCCATGATCTTTTCCTGAACGAGAAATTGGAGGCTCGTCAGCGTGCGAACGATGACATCCCAATGCTGTCCAATGACATCTACCCGGTCATCAACGTCGCTGTTGCCGGATAGCGAGAGCAACGAATCTACGCCGAACGTAGCATCCACAAAGGCCCAGCCCGAACGGCGCTCCGAGTCGAAGGAAGAACCAAGTGAATCCTGGCCGCCGTTAGATTTCGATCCTGCCCTGTTGGAGGTGGAACGAGCGGGCGGCGTTGAGACCGGAAGGTGCAGAATGATCCCAATAGCATACATGGGCGTTCTGCACGGCCTTGTGCTTCTCCTCCCGGAATAGTGAGAAGAACCATTGGTCGCAACCTGGGGGAAGGGATAGCTACTATTTTTTGATGTCGAACTTCCGGGAGTAGGGGTTGTAGAATTTGAAGTTGAAGGGTCCGGCATTTCAACCTCATCCGGCGGAGAAACGGAGAAGAGGCGGGTGATGAGAATGGTCCGCCGGCGGACTTCCTTCTGTGAAGCTTCTGCCGTGGATGGTAGGGGCTCCGGTGGGATGTTCGAAGGGGTGTATGACGTCGCCAATCGGCTCTTCGTCCGGCCGGGTGATCTTCCCAACGAGCCGAATCCCTCGTGGAGCGGAGGACTGGTAACGTGTCTCTCGGACGCCCGCGGTTCCATTGGGATGATGTGAAGCTTATTGCTGGGTCCGCGGTACGCCATTGGTGCCGAACCAAACATACAATCCAAGCAAGTCCTCACTATTTCGTCCGACTCTCGCAACCTAGCATTCTGCGCGCTCTCCTCAAACGATTGCATGTTGGATATCGAGGCTCCTCGTGTGCGGGCGCGTTGGAACGCACTGACGGTGGGCGACTGAGGCACCGAGCCCTGGGCGGCGAGCGAGGATCTCCTGCCATGGCCAGGCGTGAAGGCAGAGGATGAACCCGGCGCCTGACCCGGCGACATGGGCCCACCAACGCCTCCACTGGGCCCAAACATTCGGCTCGCCCTCCGCTCGGAGACGCCCGAAGGCGAATCGGCACTCCCGCTGCCCGGCTTCGAGTCGAAGAGGACAGTCCGCGGGGTTGCACCCGCCTCATCCTGGGCGATTATGATCCGGAAGTCGCGGTGTTGGTCGAGGTCAATGCCGGCCTGGGTGCCATCGTTGGGAGGGCCGCCGGCGGGGCTGCCGGTGGAGAAGATGTGCGGGAAAGACTGCTGCGAGTCGGACTGGTAGAGAGCGTGGGCGTCGGGGAAGAGGAGGTTGCGGGTGTGGGAGTCCTCGGTGACGGACTCTATGAGGTTGCTGGACTGGCGCGGGGTGCCGCGGCGGGAGGGGTTGAAGGAATGGAGCAGCTGGCCGAGCATCGTCGTCGTTCGTCTGGCGGGGCGACGGCGGCGGACGTCTCCATGGAAGAGGGAAGGCGGGTGGTGGAAATATCAATGGCTAGCCTGCGGCCTGGACTCGGATGTCTGGGGCAGACGGCTGGCACTGGCTCATGGCCACGACTCGGGGCGGAGCTCGCACGAGCAGCGTGAGGCACGAGGGCGCGCGGTGGTGAGGGCTTAGAGCAGGTGGCCAGGGCGGCACGGCGCGAGCGCTGGGGTGGTGGCCGCGGCCGGTGAGGGCTGGCGTGCCGGGCTAGATGGGAGGCGCGAGGACGGTCGGGGGGAGGGTGAGGGCTGCGATTGCAGGCGCGGAGGCCGGGCTGCGGTCGTATGCCGGGCGGTGGGAAGGGAGGAGCGCGGCTTTGAAGCAATGCTTTGCTCGCGTGGTGGGCGGCGTCGAGAGCGTGGATTTACCTGCACTCGCACGAACCAAGAGGCGGTGTGCGGTCCAAGCTCGACACGGCCTTCCTACCCGACAACCTAGAGCAGCCACAAACGACGATGCCAACGGGGAAAGCGTGCCTAGCTGCGCGCCGCAATCAATCTCGCCCTGTCGCGCCCTACGCTGGGCTGCCCGATGATGTCGTTGCGGCGATCGCCCAACGCTCATTTCCCTCGCTCGCCAGGTTCGAGAAAGCGTCCGCCGCCCGTTTTAGCCTGAAGCGGCGGCCGTTTGCCCAGCGCGCGCGCGAGAGGAGTGGGAAGGGATGCAGCAGGCGTCAGGGGCGCTGGCGGGAGCGGGTGCTGACTGGCGCAGTGTCGGCTGCCGGGCGCGCAGCGGAATGCGGTGGCCGAAGCGGGTACGTGTAGGGGTGGACTAGGAGGCCGTGATGGCATGCCTTCCAGCCCTTCCTGGCTTTGCGCGCGCGCGTGTGGCGTGCCGACGCGCAAGGTCCGCGATGGGCAGATGGGTGCGTACGAACACCACGCGGGTGCGGTGTGCGTCGCCCATATACCTCGCAGCCACGCCGCCGTGGCTGACCGTTGCACCGGCGTCAGCAATCACAGGCTCGGGGCAGATCGCCTCGTCGTCGACCACCTCGCCCCGAAATAGGGCGCTGTGCATGGGTGCCGTCAGCCACCATGCAGCACCTTCGCATGCGGACGAGCCGCGCGCGGCTGAGCTGCCGGTGAGTCGCGGCCAACTAGGTATTATTATCGGCGCGAGGTGTGGTGAGGGCTGGCGCAGGCCCGGAACGGCGCGATGGCTGCGCGCTGACTGGCCGGCCCGAGCCTCGACGTGGATGTGATGGAAGTGATTGGGGAGAAGGGCCATCACGCATCATCGGGCCTTGGAGGAGTTGCTTTCCAACAAGCCCAGGTGCGTCCCGAGAGACCGGCTGTGGCACAGGAGCGTGGGCGGTGCGGAGCCAATCCGCAGCCGCACCCAGCGCCAGCACTGCCGGTATCTCTCCCGCCCGGGGTTCCATCCATCCCGTCTGATGACTCCCATCCGTCTTACAGGCACGACGTCCACCCAGCGCCCGCAACCAAGCCTCGCCGAGCATTCATGTGATGGCCACCGCGCTCGCGCCGGCACGGTGCCAGCGAGTAGCAGGCTGCAACGTCAGTCGGGTCCAGGTGAGCATGGAGCAGCCAAAACAGGCAGCACATGTCTCCCACGGCCATGGCCGGGGCGGCCGAGTCATCGCTTGCGCCCACGCAGCACAAAAGAGCCTACAGAACAAGCATGACATCCGACGCGTGATGCGTGCTGTACCTTCGTCGGAGCGATGGCTGGTCCTGGTCCTGGTCCGCTGATGGGATGCTGACGAGCCGGGCGCAGGCGTCCGTTTCCCGGTCGGAGTGTGGCAGGGGCACCGCAGCAAGCACGCGAGGCGCGGCCGCCGCTATTCGCTGCCGGGCTCTCAGGGTCCAGGCCGCGCAGCGGAAAAGCAGCTGGCAGCAGAGCCGGCCGTGTCGCGGCAGCAGGCCGTCGTAATCCGATCGAGTCATCAGAAGTCCAGACGGAGGTAGCTGCCAGCGCCCCGAGTGCTACCCTACCGCTTATCGAGCGCTGACGTATGTATGTTCTGGGAAGCCCGAGGGCACAAGGGCATCAATCGAGCATCGGAGCTGAGCTCTGATAGCGAGCACCGAGTACCGACATGGCTCTCGTCGTCGCTGCCGAAGGCCGTCGTCTGCTTCCCAGCGAGCCGGAATGATCCATTATTCAGCTCGAGCAGCCCGACCGCCCGGCGGCCGGAGTACCCCGCGCTTCTGCCCCGCGCGCTCGCATATCGACTCGCGCTGCGCCCATCGCCAGCAAGCCATTTTCCGACACCCGGGGCAGAAACAGCCCTTCTTCATGCAAAACAAATCGACCGAGATCTGGTGACGGGAAGAAATGCAAGAGACCCCCGCCCCATGCCGAAAAAAAAGAAAAAAAAACTTGATACCAGACTGCCACCCTACGTGGCCGACGAAACGGCGGGGAAAAGCGATGATGCCGACGCTCCACCTTTTCTGGCCTCTCAGAAAGAAAGCTGCATGCACTAAGGTCGCTACTCACTACTTGCTGCATCGCGGACAGAGCCAACGCTGACCACTCGTTCCCGCCCTTCATTTCGACGCGTTCAAGGATCATGTCCCTCCCATTCCACGCCAGACATGCTTCTTCCTCGCATGAACGTGTTGCGAGGGGCCACACAACATCCCCGTGTCGAAAACACACGACAACCACAGCATCTCAGGCCACCCGTTTTGCCGACATGCGTCTCTAGCTGACGCCCATTCCTTGCAGCCGTGTATTGTACCTCGATCCGGCGCCGGCTCTACCTGCGTCCGTCTGCTTCTGCTACGGTAACGGTCCGAACGGTAAGCTATGCTAAGGAGGCACGGCTACGAGAGTAAAAAGATATGTAAGCTCAAGCTTCAAAGCTTGTGAGACGCTATTTCAAGTGATGCTGTAACGAGCCTAGTGCGGGTGATGTTCAAACACACGGCCGCCCATCGAAATTGTTTCATCCAAGAAGCCTTCATGCCGGGTTCATCCGAGCTACATCACTTGGTATATTCGCCATCATCCTTCAGTGAAAGAAAAAAAAATAGAAAACCAGGGAAGGAGCGGCTATCACCCACATGCGTTTTCAGCTCCTTCTGGGATCATTCTTGTTTCTTTAGCGCCGCCGCATCCCCGGCCCGTCGATAGAGCCAAAAAAACAAAACCTAGCCAAGCTAACCATCACTACCATACTAGGTACTACTGACTAACATCCCCATTCTCCGACGATCGCGTAGCGTTCCTCGAATGGGACGCCGCCGTCCCTCCAGTAATAGTAGTGACGGTCCCAAAAAACCCACCTCCCGATCCGACTCCCCCACCACCACCACCATTATTAGCAACATTACCATTGACACCACTACTGCTCACCGACGCGGGCGTCGAGCCACCGGCATCCAACAGCGTCGGCGCCGGCGACGAAGCCGCCGACGACGACGGAGCCCGAAGATGCGGCCCTACAGCAGGCGTGGACGAGCCTAGACTCGGCGGCGGCGGATGCGCCAGCGACGGCGCTCCGGGAGACACCTCTCTCCCATTACCGCTGCTCCCCACCGACACCGACACCGCGGGCGCCTGCGCCGCCGTCGAGCCGGAGCCGCCGCTACCCGGCGCCGGCGCGGTGAGGTTCGGCGGCAGGCCCAGGCTGGGGATGTGCGAGTCGAGCACGACGGTCGGCGTCATCCGGGGGCTGCTGACGACGTTCATCATGGCCGACGACGACGCCGAGATGCGCGGGCTGGGCGAGGCGCCGCTGTTGTTGCGGCGCTTGAGGTGGATGCTGCCGCGGTCGCTGTTGTTGGTCGTCTGCTGGAGGTGCTGCTCGGCGGCCGCGAACTCGGCGTAGAAGAGGCGCAGCGCGCGCTCGTCGTAGCAGAGGGACTCGATCTCGTCCTTGATCTGCTCCGCCGTCTTGAAGCCGCCCTTGCCGTCCGAGCTGCCGCCGCCGAGGCGCTGGTTCGAGTTCAGCAGCGCGGCGCTGATGAGCGTGTCGGGCGTGGGGCGCATGAGCGGCGACGCGAACGGCGAGCGCACGTTCTGCGTGGGGTTTTGGAGTGCGAAGATGGGGGTGGGCTCGCGGCGTTGCGGCAGTGGCTGTTGCTGCTGATCACCACCACCTCCTCCTCCTGCTGCTGTGCCGTCCGCCGCAGACGACAGCTTGCCGTCGCGGGTGAGGCCGATGCCGAAGGCGCCGCGGTTGTTGCACAGCCGGTTCGCCAGCAGCAAGAAGTCGCCGTCGTCGGTGATTTGCGCTAGTACGACGCCGGTCTTGTGGATGAACTGCGTGTGGTTGTAGTCTGGCTTGCCCCACGAATACGTGACGTCGACGTCGGCCGGAAAGGAGGCCGCCGACTCCATGTCGAGCACAAAGTTGAGTTTTTTCAAGATGGCTTTGTGGTAGACGAACCTATCGGTATGCCGCTGCGGCCCGAACGACGTCGAGTCGAAGTACTGCTGTTGCGGGGCTCCCTTTGGTGGCTGGCACGCCAGACGCACTATGTAAGGCGCGCGAAATGGGTGCGAGTCTCCCATGTGTGATGCTTCAGCTAAAGGCAGCTCCACGAGCCTCAGTCCATACTTCTCCACGCTAGTCGCCCAAGTGTTGATGGCGTCTTCGATCAGCTTTGCCGTGACGTTCATCCACTCGATGCGGATGTGATAGCAGTTGTCTGGGTTGTGCAGCCGATCATAGTGAAGGTTGACGACTTCGGGTCTATAAGACCTCTTTCGGTTGTCGACGTCGATGCGCATGACATTGCTTAAGACTGCCTGTTTGCGTGGACTGCCCATCCGCGTGGGTGTCTTGTCTCCATTGTCTGAGGTTGCAGTGGTTGGTCTTGACCTGGGGACTGAGCTGGACGAAGCAATGGACATTGGTCTCGCCTCGGTGGTCGAAGGAGTCGATGGAACCGACGATTTGTCAGAGCGACGGGTGCTGAGACCTGCAAGCCAACTTTTGGTCTCCGATCGGGGTGCTCTGTATTCTGTCGAGATTTGGAAGAAGAAATTACCATCACGGAAAGGATGCTTCCGTGTGACATGGTGGAACAGCCCCTTGCCCATGATCTCATTGCCGAGCTCCACTGCCTGCTCTCTGGTGTTGATGTCCCGGAAATTCTGCAGCAGCCAAGTGGTCAAGTCGAAGCCGAGAAAACAGCTGAGATGGAGCTTGAAATGCCATCTCCTGTCAGTCATTGGGATGCCCTTCTCCCCCTGCAAGTCCGCGGCAAGCTTCGTAATGTCGTAATTCGAACGATTGTACTGCTCATTTCCTGCAAAGAGCGCCGTCGAAAAGGCGTCGGTCGTTCCTTCTGCTAGGATCGTTCCGTCCGGACCAGCAGCAACGACCGCGGACGGATCCCTTGTTTGATATTCAATGGCCAGCGGGTTTGCATCCTTGCTCATGCGTACTGCCGCCTGATATTGTCTCTCTTCAGGCGGAACATATCTCCACTTCTGCCAGATCTGCGTGAGTTTTCGAATGCCCTCCAACCGAATCTCCTCGTCCGAATCTTCGGCGAGCATTGACAAGTGTCGACGCGGATTTGGTGGGATATCTACCGGGATGAGGACGAAGCGAGCTCGCCAGAACCGGAGAGTGTCGGAGAAATCTTGCTCGTAGCCAGCCAAGTAGCTGTCTATGAAGTTCCAGTTGTATTCGTCCCGGGGGTTCTTCAACGGGAACTCCTGGAACTCGTACTTCTCGTCAAGAGCCGTTCGGATCAGCGGTTGGTATGTGAACGGCGGCTTTGCTCTGTCCGATGACGCAATTTCCGCCGCCGGTTTCCTGTGGAACCTTTTGACCTCGACCTCCCCGGCACTTACGCAGACCAACTGGTGGATGGTACTTCCAAGAGACATGAAAATGGATGCCCCGGCCTCAAGCATGTAGTCTCGTGCAAAGATGTTGGCTATGTCCTGTTCGGGCTTCCCGGTGAATTCCGATACCGAGGAGCCAATGATGATCTGGAACCCATGAGCAAGCCGGAAAGCCACAAGCTCCCTGATGAGATTCTCTCGGCTCTTAGGCGTAGCGTACAGTTCCTCTTCGTCATTTTGAATGATTCTGTATGGGTTCTCGTTATACTCCGTGGCGAGCTGTTCCGCGCTGGGGAAAAAATCATTTGTCAACGGCACGGCCGCTGGCGAACAAAGCGACTTCCACTTGATTGATGTTGCCTTCAGAGGGCGAGGGAAAACATGATGCCAGCGCCGGAACTGGCCCGCAAGGCTGAGATTGTTTTTCCTCGGATTACAAGGATTTACGAGGACCATCCACGGCGCCAGGAAATTGGTTGGCGATAAGGTCCTCGGTATTTCTTGTCTGTCCCCACTCGAGGACAGGTTAATCTTGGGTCCCACCTGGTCAAGCAGAGTTTTGGAACCAGCAAGTAGGAAGAGCGAGCCGGGGTCTTTGATGTCTGTTGTGGCGTGTGAAGTGGACAGGGCCTTGTCTTCAAATCGACCTTTCGGTGTACCGGAGCCAACGCGTACGCTCGATTGGGAAGCCTCACTTATGGATGGTTTTTTCGAGATTTCAATGGGCTCGGTCGCTCTTTTCGGGTCATGAGCATCACTCCCTTTAAGCGCTGTGGACAACACGCTGAGCTGCGACGGCTTCTTGGCCACGGAAGTACTTGGCGCGATTTTGCTCAATGTCCCCACAGCGGCTACCTTACTTGTTGTGACCTCAGTACTCGGAGCAGCTTTCGACGGCCCAAAACCGAATGCAGAGAAGCTGATGTGCCTCGAAAGCCACTTAGATGGGCGCGGATTGGTACTAGAGTTTGTGGAACGGTCTGAACCTGCGTTAACAGCATCTTTCGTTCGTCCACGTTCCGGCGTCATTGGTCGTGAGTCAACATCGAATTTCGTTGGAGAGTCCTCGTCCTCAGGAAGAGATTCAGCTGGAACGCTTCGAGGCGGTAACCGAGCAGCTGTATTCGCTCGATCCATGAGGAGAGGGTGGCGGATGTCCCGACCCACTGGACTTGTGGAAAAGTCCTGCGTAGCTCTAGAAGCAACGCTCAATCTCTTGTTGACCGTGATTCGAGAACTACGCAGATCCTTGTCCAGCGAGTCTGTCGAACTGTCCGTTTTCTCTTTCCCTCTTAGAAATGAAGGGGATTTTGGAGGCCGACCAGAGCTCACCACCGATTCAGCTTGGCTGTTGAACGATGCTGAGAGGAGGGATTCGTTCGGTGGGTATCTGAAGCGGTTGCTACGCAGCACATGTCGTGCTTCAAGTTCCTTCTCTTGCCGGTCTTTTCGCGCGTTCTCTTCCGTTTTCTTACGGTCAGCCAGAGTGCGGAAGATGTGATCATCATAGGCATCCATCCAACCACGCTGCATTGCCATGTGTTCATCCGAACCATGCATACGCGATCGATGTATGGTACGTGTTTCCACTGGGGAAGACGAAGCAGAGATGAGCAAGCTGTCTTTCTCGTGACTACGTCGGTTCGGACCGTCATCAGCCGGAGCCAATAGCGACCAAGGATACAAGGGGTTCTCCTGCAAGTACGGTAGGGAAATATTGCTCATCTCGTTCTCCATGACACCCATCATCTGAAGCTCGTACATGCGACATCTCAATGAAAAGCCTTTGGATTTTCTTTGCGATCTCGCCTGGGGATTACCTCGCTTATTCACTTGTTCCATACCAAAGATCTCATCAGACGAGCCACTCCAGTAGGAAATGTCCAACCAATGCGGCATTGCGTAGCTCCATTCACCTGGTTCAGGGTCCAAGGCAGGGTGTGATTGATAACTTCCGAGTCCGAGTTTTGCAGGGGATGCTGCCAAGGAAGTTGAGCCGCGGTGCTTCGGGTGCCGGGATGGTCCAAAATTGGGGAACGTTTGGCGCGGCGTCTCATCATCCGCACCAAAATCGAACTTAGAGCCGACGTCATCCGTTTCAACCACTCTTTGTAGTTTCGTATCGGTCTCTGTGGCCAGGCGTGGAGTGCGGTACTTGAAGAGAGGCACGGAATGTAAAGGCATTGGCTGCAAACAAACTAGATCGATGCCGATGCCGCTTCCAAGTAAGATGTCAGTAGTAAGCTTGAGCATGTTGTAGTCCACCTCAAAGATGCCACTGCCTGGAGAGATGACTATCACCGAAATGCCGGTCCTCACAAGGTCCCTGTCGATGTAATCTTTTGAGTATTGCAGCGCGGCAAGGTTGATGGCCTCCAGGATGTTTCCCTTGTCCGACGTTCGAGGCGTTCCCGCAATGATGGTCTCGGGCTCTGCTTCTGGCTCGCCCTCGAAGGCATCCTGCAAGCCTGTCGTTGTTTTCTTTGGATGTGAGAATGGCATGACTGAGACGTCTCGGAGGAACTTTCGAAACTCTTTCTTGAGCTGGTAGAGGATGTTGATCCAGTCACAGCTAGCCATCTCACTCACTACCACGCGGTAGAAATCCCTCGTGGCGGAGCCAGCCGCTGCATCGGGATCGAACGGCAGGCCATTCGCCTGTGTGCCATCGGGAAGAAAGCCTCGATCATACTGCATGCGTGTGAACATGATGATGGTGATGAGGTGCTTTGCGTCCAGCCTCTGCCACCGCTTGAACAAGTCAGGGAGGAAGCCGTTGATGATCTTGTTGAACATGATCTCGCCTGATCCTTCAGTGTCGAAATTCCACATTTCTTTTGACATTTGAAGGAACAGTACGTAGCGAGCAGATTCACTACGAAAGACGGGCTTCGTCATTGTGGAAAAGTAGGCAGAATGGGTTGTTTGGCCGTCGACGAAGACGTTCTTGACAGTGGCCTTGATGGTGCCCATGAACAGTAACTTCTGGCCCTTGTAGACGGTCTTGCCACTGAGCTCAGCAATGGCAAACCTCCACATGTCGGCGCGCGACAAGTACTCGTCACGGAAACTGATCTCAACATGAGAGGCCGAGTACAAGTCATGCTCAGCGGGAGAAAGCATTACTTGCATGCGGTTACGAAAGCCAAAGTTACGGGCAATGTGGTCGGAAATGGAGACTTGCAGGGTGGGATATTTTGTCTTCAGGTCCGGGCCCATTGCTTTTGCTTGGAATACGTAAGTCTTGCTCGGGTCGACATCGCGGCCGCCCTGGATGCGATGGCCGTTCTCGTCGAGGGTCAAGGTGAAGGAGCCGCCGTGGGGTTTCCTCGACGAGAAGCCGCTCGTGGAGGGGGCGCGGCGAGTGTCCAGCTTGATGCGACGGCTGCCATCTTGAGACGGGGTTCGGGCCAGCTCTTGGAAATCACGGACGGATGTGTTCTGGTTCAATGCCACGATCTTCACCAGGCTGCCTGGACTAATTGCAAGCTCGGAGAAGCGGTCAATGTTGAACAGGACGTCTTCGCGGGAAACGCCGTGATCATGGGTCCACAAGGTGCAGACCTTCTGCACCTTGGGGGCGCCAGAAGAAGCAGATTTAGGCATTTGGTCGACTTGCGACGGCGACGGGTGTCTCGGATGATCGGTCAAGTGCTGTCGCGCGCGCAGGCGTCGGCCAATGGCGTGGCGGATTGGCGGGGCATTGATCCTGAGCGAGAAACACTGACCGGGGCCGTGGAACGCTGAGCTGAAGCTTGCGGTGGGTAACGACAGAAGATTCGGAGGCAGTGGCTGAAGCTTCGAGCGATTTGTAGATGGAGATGAGGTCTGTCTGGGATGGCCGTCGGCAAGAGACGAAGCGCGCTCCCATGCGCACGTGCCTCCCTCCTGTCGGCAACCCTCCGATAGGCGCATTACCAACCCTGTCATTGACATACTTCGATCTACCGCACAGCTACAGCTTCACGCTTTTGATAGACACAGACAGCCACAGAGCGAGTGTTTAGAATCCAAAAACCCAAAGTGATATAATTTCTCTGCTGCACTGCTCTACAAATACAACAGTAACGGTAGCAGGCACAACTTGACACGCCTTGCACTGTCCACACGAATCCCCAACGCGCCCGCTCGCACAAACTAAAACACCAAAGGACCCATCATTATCCCACCTTCAGAGCCCGCTCAGATCCGACCAGCAGAATCAACGACTTCTAAGTGCTCAGCCCCAACCCCGTCGGTCCATCCTCTGCGTATCTACCCGTCGAGAAATCGATCCCGGAGTCTCTCAACCCAACTCCCCTTCCAATCAGGTCCTTGAAATCAAGCCCAACGTCCGACAGCATCGATCCGTGCTCCCTGGCGCGCTCCATGCATTCCGTCCACATGGCGCTGTCATCGTCGATTGTGCTGAGCTGGCGGGAGAGAATGCTGTTGAAGTCTTCTACGTGGTCCTTGGCCCACTTGACGCAGGCCGACATCATAGTGGCCTGGAAGCAGCTTTGGAAGGTGAGTACCGTGTTGCGGATGAGCGTAAAGTAGATGAAGGAAATCTGATAGATGTATTGGTGAAGGTCACCGTCGAAGACGCATTGCCTATGAAAGCGTGAGTAAGGGAGATGTTTTCGTTGTCAATAACGTACCTAATCCGCTTCTTGATAACGCTACCGCGAGCCTCGAGGTAAGCTTCTCGCGCTCGGTCCTCGAAGCCCAGTTGAATGAGCCAGTCAACGTGCTTCTTTGTTGCCGTCGACCAGTTGTGCGTTTCCTGAAGCTGCCGGGTCAAGAGTCCTGCAAGTTTCGCTGCTCGTTCATTGACCTTGTGCAGGAAGATCTCTTGTGCAAGAGCATTGCTCTTGATGTTCTTGGATATTCGCCGAAGACGATCAACCTTCTCCACAGCTGCTTCGAAACGATGCAGTGCAATGTCGATGTCCAGCTCATCGAGTTGGCTCTCGACCCACCGAATCGTCTGCCTCTTGCCATCAACATCAACAAAGAGGCTGGACCGGTTTTGGGAAGCACTTTCACCCAGCCCTTCGAGCAAGTCTTGCTCCTTGAGTACGCTCAAGTCTCGGGTAGCGTAGTAGTTGACAGAGTCATTAGTCTTGCTCCTTTCTTCAGTTTCAGCTTCCAAGTTCTTGCGCAGGTCCTCCATCGCCTTCCGGAAAGACGAGAGCAGAGTGACCTTCTCAACTTGGTCACTGCCCGGGTTGGCAAAGGTGAAAGACTCTGTTCCAACACGAACGTTGATCGAATCTGCAGCGCGCTTTTTCTCACTTTGGTCACGCCCGGCATTTGTTTTGGTCGACAGATCCACCATCTGGACGTCTTGCAGTGGCCAACAGCGAACGGCAACAAGTTGCGTATGCTGCTGTGCCTGCTTCGCTTCCCGAGAGTTCGGTGGCGCATCGGTGCGCTTCTTCTCGGCAGCGACGAGCAAGTGATCGTTGAGAAGAATGAGATGCACCCTTCTCCGCACCTTCCAAGTAGCAGCATTGAGCTCTACCCAGCGTCCCGACTCGTACACAATGTGGCGACCGGGAATGGCAGGCAAGAATTTCTGCGAGCCCTCAACCCTCTTCCATAGTGTCTGCAAGTGCGTGTTCCAAAGAGCTTCGAGGTTGGCTACGGAGCTGCGGTTGGCATTCCGGCGTGAAGATCCAGTATCGGGTGATTTCAACGAGCTAGACGACGTGGCCTGGCCCAACGTGCTGGTCAAGTCAGACATGAGAGCGCGAAGGGTACGCATCTCACCCTTGAGCTTGTCCGCCTCTTTACTAATCTTGATAAACTGGGTACGGTTCTGGTAGACATTGTGTTGCAGGTCCGAGGAGGTACGGTTCTTGACCTTGCGTAAGTCCTCCTGGTATCTCTGGATGTCGGCTTCCGAAGCATCAGCTAGTAGTGAAGCAACATCTGTTCAGAATTAGCATCGTACCACGCCATTTTGTACATGCCACGTACACTGCTCGGGCCTGAGACTGGGATCCCTGAGTGCCTTAATGTCCACCTTGATCCCGTGTCCATCTGTCCTGATAGGTTTGCTGTCTGCAGAGGGAGGCGGAGGCGCGAACTGCTTCGGGATTCCGGGCACGGCAGGAAGCGGAGGGCCGCCGGGAGGGCCTTCGTTGGGCAGCTGGTTGAAGCGCGTTGAGTACCTCCTCTTGACCAGGTCCGACGTCTTTCCGCTAGCAGCAGGAGGCTGGGGGCGTTCGCGAGGAACATTCAAGGGCTGACCGCCAGGACTCTGCCCATCCGCAGCGGCGGCGGCGGCAGCAGCGGCTTGTTCCCTTGCAGCCTGTGCTTTCTGGCGAAACTCGTCTGGAATGGCTGGGCCCTGGAGGTTCTCGGGCAGCGGTCCGCTGATTTGCGTGGGGGCACTGATCTTGGGGCGGTCCTTCTTCTTTTTGCGGAGCGAAATGCCCCTGCTCTTCTCCTTCTCATCCATGATGGTGGGCTTGTGGCGGGCGGGGGACCTGGAGTTACGGGCTTGCTGTCGTCACGGAGGCTGAGGCGGGCGGGACGGAGTTCGGGGAAGGACAATGAAAGGCGCGCACGGCCCTGAGTCTCAGGCCGCCTGCAGCGCCCAAGTGACGCGGTCGGGTGTGGATCTCGGCTAGCAGCAGCAGAATATGCTGCCGAAGTAGCTGGAGCAAAAGGCTAACTGGCGTGCAAATGGTCTTTCGTGCGGCTAGCTTCTCTGTGGAGACGGTGTCAGCTGCGATCGCGGGCGGGTGGGATGCGTGGTGCGGCCAGGACTTTGCGGCGGGCGTTGGATCGGGCATTGCGTCGTTAGTTTCAAATCTTGACCTCCAGCAGACGCGAGCGGCGCTTCTAGATTGAACACCACCATCGACCATCGCACTTCTCGATCCGGCAAATCGCCGCGCGCCCGCATCCTCTACGCGAAATAAGACATCCGGCAAATTCTTACGTCCTCTCCCCACCGTCGCTCAAACCAGACATGTCTTCCACCGCGCCCTCCGTCAAGACCTCGACCATCGTGGTCGCCAGCGTCGGCGCCGTCGTCACCGGCCTCGTTGCCTACGCCTTCTACTTCGACTACAAGCGGAGGAACGATGCGGATTTCCGCAAGGCTCTGAAGCGCGAATCCAAGAAGCAGGCGCGCGCAGCCAAGGAGGAGGCTGAGGCCGGCGCTGCTCAGCAGAGGATATTGATCCGCGAGGCCGTCGACCGCTCCAACGAGGAAGGCTTCCCGCGCGACCCGGAGGAGGTTGAGGGCTACTTCATGCAGGAGGTCGCCCACGGCGAGCAGATGACCCAGGACGGTAAGCTCAACGTCTCCGTCCAACCGACATCCTGGTGGCAGCCACACTGATAATATATTTTTTACGTCATCCAGCAGGATCGGACCCCGTCGAGGCGGCGCTCTGCTTCTACAAGGCCCTCAAGGTCTACCCGCAACCCAAGGAGCTGATCAACATCTACGACAAGACTGTGCCCAAGGTATGTGTTGAACCCGCGCATTTTTGGCAGCAAACAGAGTGCTTATGTAACCTGCGTAGCCCATTCTTGACATCCTCGCCGAGATGATCGCCTACGATAAGTCGATACCCATTGGCAAGCCCGGAAACGACAATGCCGTTGACGAGTAAACGCGCTTCTCCTGTTGCGGATATCCCGCTTCAAGAGACTAATTGGCTCGTAAAAAGTAAACAAAAAGCGTTGCGCGAAAGCGCGTGTAGACGGAAAATTGAGCAATCCCAACTCTGCTGTACACCATGTTTGTTGTAAATACCAAGCGGTTATCTGGAGTCTGGGATGGCTATGGCGACGTTACGGATGGATGGATGGACTGAATGAATAGAAGGCATTCGTTGTGTAGGAAAGGGTCTGGCGCAATCGACACGGGCGGCATTCACAAAACTAGTGGCTATTTCACATTACTTTGAATACCAAAAAGAAAAGAAATAGTTTGTCGTGTCTTGGACGCATGCTCTCATTACGCAATATCTTTCGTCGGCATTCTAATCATACAGCGTGCTCCCAATATTACCGCATCCATGGCCGTCCCTATAACGCCATGCTCGCAATGGACCCACCCATGACCGGAAGCGGTGCGAGAGGGCATTTACAAAATAAACACGCCGCTGCGGTTTATACAATAATCCGAAGGTAATCGTCGAGGTCGGGAAAGGCAACCGAAGTGCTCGTTTAGCAGGCGCATCCTTGGCCCTCCTCTGGCGGATTGGGGTTGACGTTCACGTCGATCACTGCCGAATGGTCAGTAAAACTCTGCCAAGAAGCCGTCTGAGGAAAGGGAAACTGACTCTGGCTTGGGTTTTGCTGGTTCTCGCCCTCCATGCCGGGCAGCGCCTGCGCAATGCGTCTGAAAAGCGTCTTCACGTTATGGCCGAGCTTCGCGCTGGTCTCGATGAACATGAGGTTGTTCTTCTTGGCCTCCTCTTCGCCCTGCGCCGTCGTAACCTCCCTCTTGTCGTTCAAATCCGTCTTGTTGCCGACCAAGACAATGATCACGTCATTGCCGCGTTCGCCGCGCACGTCATCGACCCATTTCCGTGTGTTCTCAAAGGACTTGCGGTCTACAAGTTGTGTGTCCAGTCAGCCTCCGAAAGCTCGAATCGCCGCGCAACCGTAGATGGTACGACACGGGCTATAGTGGGGGGTCTTGGAAAGGTTTACTGGAGATGTCATAGACGACAACGGCGACACTAGAATCGCGGATGTACGAGGGAATCAAGCTGCGGAAACGCTCCTGACCGGCCGTGTCCCAAAGCTGTAACCGGACGGTGCGGTCCTCGAGGTACATGGTCTGCGGGGTGCAATTGGTCAGCTGTCTCTGCGAGGAGAATGCGGTCGGAAAGCTCCAGGAGCTCGGGAGAACGCACCTTGGACAAGAAATCGATACCAATCGTTGCCTGGTAGGTGTTGTCGAACGAGTCGTACATGAAGCGGGTGATCAGGGACGTCTTGCCGACTGCAGCAGAAGCGTTGTTAGCCATTGCGACTGGGAGCAAAGCTCCGGCGACGCGTGTGCGGAAAGGCAGGCCTACCGCTCTGTTCGCCCAAAAACACCAGCCTGTGATCGAGTTAGCCTCCGCTGGCGTTCAGATGCAGATGAGCTGGAATAGCGGGGCAGCGGGCAGGCTTACTTGAACTTCTTCAGCGGGTTGGAGTAGCCTGATTGCGCCATCTTGATGTGTGTTGTGCAGAGAAATGCAGCGGTGGAGCGCGCGAACAGTCAAGGGGAGAGGAGGAAAAAGAGAATGGAATGGTCGGTGAAGGCGGCGGCAGCGTGTGGGGATATACAACTGTCACGTAGTCGCTCGGACGGCGCTCAGACGCTGTTCAGGAGGGCAAACACCCATCACCGAACGCAGAGAAGGTGCAGGGATCCCGTGCCAGTCCAAGCCATCGGGAGCTCGCTAGCCCGCAGTGGGTCTAGCAAGTGACGGAGAGGGTCTTATCGATGCGTGCGACAGAGCTCCCCGCGGATACAACAGCCGTTTCAGCCGGTTGATGCCCCCTTTCCGCCGAGGTTGGCAGGTGAAAGAGTGCGGCTCAGCAAGCTTCTACGCGTACAGCCTGATCGGAGACTTTGCGGCGACAACTAGGCTTCAATCCAAAGCAGCTGAGAACGGCACAGTTCCTGCCGCCAAAGGCTTTTCCGTTCTGTTGTCGCCTTCTGCCAGCACTTGTACGTATGCGTAGGGGTGTTCGTGCTAACCATCTGGAGCAGCAAAAATACAGTAAGCTTTGGGCAGCTTGGGCCCCCTGCCAAGATAGCTTATCGATAAGCTCCGACGGGCGGTGAGGGAGGACGAACGAGGCTGACCGGAAAAAAAGTGCGCGCGCCCTGACCAGCACCGGACGCATCTCTCACGGCATTTGCGCCTAACAACCAACAACGCACTCTGCCTTGGCGCTGCAGTCGTCATTCTCGGACACACCCACCATGGCGACGATCTCCGGAGCACCTCAGCAGCGCAAGCAGCCCTCGCGTAAGGGCAAGAAGGCCTGGCGCAAGAACGTCGATGTTTCCGACGTGCAGACAGGCCTTGAAGGAATTCGCGACGAAGTCATTCATGGGTAAGACTCTCACAGGCTTATACAATTTCGTGGGAAGCTTTGCATCTCCATGAAGAACCCATGCGTAGGATGTTGAAGCGGAGCACCGGACGTGAGCGTGTGAAGTTCTCCGCTAAAAACACGTCCGGACTGGATTTTCGAGCCCTTTTGAGTGGAGCTTTGTCTATTGCTGCGGCCTCGGCTCTAGTCCAATTGTTCCGTCTGCCTCTCTAACACGTTCTGCAGAGGCGTCGTCGCCGACAAGGCCGCAGACGAGCTCTTCGCCGTCGACATCGCCGGTTCCACCGACATCAAGAAGGAAGTCGAGAAGCGTCACAAGCCGCTCAAGGCCGAAGAGATCCTTGCCCAGCGCTCTGCCGTCCCCGCCGTCGATTCGCGCAAACGTTCGTCCAAGATCACCGACGGCATCATCGAGCCGAGCAGCAAGCGCCACAAAGTCGGCAAATATGTCTCGCACAAAGAGCTGCAGCGATTGAAGAGCATCGCGCATGGTGGCGACACCACCGAGAAGGACGTGGTCCAGACGGACGGTACGGTCGCGCACGATCCCTGGGCGATGGAGGAGGAGAAGGAGGATCCCCGCTTCTCGTTTCTGCCGAAGAAGAAGCCCATCCGCGAGCCGGAGACGTTGAAGCACTCGCCTGTTGTGCTGTCGGCGAGCGGGAAGCCGTTCCCCGCAGTGAAGAAGCCCGAAGCCGGCAAGAGCTACAACCCTACGTTTGAGGAATGGAACGCGGTGCTTGAGCGCGAGGGCGAGAAGGAGGTTGAGGCCGAGAAGAAGCGGTTGCGCGAAGCGGAAGAGGACAGACTACGCGAGGAGCGCGCTGCTGCGGCCGCGGCCGAGTCGGATCCAGAGAGCGATGGCAACGAGAGTGCCTGGGAAAGCGAGTGGGATGGCATTCAGAGCGAAGCCGAAGACAGCTACCTGAAGCAAAAGAGACCCGAGCGGAAGACGCCTCAGCAGCGCAACAAAGCAAAGAAGAGAAAGGAGGCTGAAAGGCAAGCAAAGTGGGATGCGCAGATGAAGAAGAGGCAAGCGCAAGCTGAGCAGATTAAGCAGCTGGCTAAGGAAGTTGAGGAGAAGGAGAAGTTGAAGAAGGAGCAAGCACTCTTGAAGAAGGACGAGGAATCCTCTGAAGATGAGGAGGAAGTCGTTCGGAGAAGAAAATTCGGCAAAGCACCGTGCGTCCCATTCTTTCCCTTTGTTTCTTTCTGGAAATTGCTTCTAACATGACCTCCAGAGTCCCCGAAGCTCCCCTCGAAGTGGTCCTCCCAGACGAGCTACAGGACTCTCTGCGTCTGCTCAAGCCCGAAGGCAACCTTATCAAAGACCGCTACCGGAACATGATTCTCCGCGGCAAGATCGAGTCACGGAAGGGTGGCCAACGCAAGCAGCGGAAGACCACCGTCACGGAGAAATGGTCATACAAGGACTGGACGCTGGCGAAGGCGAAAGGAAGATATTAAAGGCGATCATGCGTTGTTCATCGTTTCCATACCATTTGCATATCAGGCGTTCTCAGGTGCATTACAGCATAATTCAATCAAAAGGATGATGGACTCCTGCCTCTACCGCGCAGTGCACGGAAGTCAGATCAAGGGTAAACCTATGCCTTGAAGTGCCTTGAAGTCTTATGTCCAACGAAGGCAATAAGGTATCTAACACGAAACAAGCCGTGGAGAAAGTCTTTCTTCTCAACACTTCCCACACTCGGTCTTGGAAAGGAGAAAGATAATGGAAACGCCCCAATGTCCAATGCATCAGTGTCCTGACGCAAAGTTGTGATCCCTATTCTACGCATTACCGACCTCCTCAAAACCGAGCTCCAAAAGAGAAGGGGGAAAAATCTACCCGTTGCCGAGATATCAAAGCGAAGGTATAAAACAATGTGCACTGGCTGACTACTCGATGCTCTTCTCACCCACAGCCTTCTCGTCTTCTTCTTCTTCTTCCTCCTCCACCACCGGCACCATCTCACCCGCAGCTCCCTGCCCGCTCTCCGCCTTCTCGAACAGCTCCTCCTGCGCGGCCGCCGCACCCTTCGGCTTGTCCAGCTGTTCCGGCGTCAGGAACGCCATGGGGTCGCCGTCATCGCGCGTCCGTAGCGGCGAGAGTGTGTTCTCGCCCGCGAGCGGCGGCACGACGGCGCCGATCAGGCTCTTGCGGTGGCTCCGCTTGTCCTGGCCCAGCGTCTCGCTGATCTCCTCGACGACCTCTTCCTCTTCCTCTTCGGCCTCGATTCCCGACGCCTTTCCGAGGAGCGCCGCCTCGCCGCCCTCGCCGCCTTCTGCGCCTTCCTCGCCCGCGGCGAAACCGACGCGCGAGGCGAGCCGGCTCGCCACGACGGCCTGGCGCAGCTCGTCCATGAAGCCGCGCATGCCCGCGAACTCGACCGTCTTTGGGACCGCCTTCTCGTCCTCCGCGTCGACGTCCTCGTTCAAGCCATAGAGCGTCGCGGCGGCATCGAGGCACTTCTCGGCTTGCACACTCTTGTCGAGCTTCATCCAAGCGTCGGCCGCCAGGACAGCCCATTGGCCGGCTTTGCGACGGCGCATGCCCCAGCTCATGCTGCCCACGCCTCGCATGCTTGTATAGCAGTCGGATATGCGCTCGGTGAAGAGAGCGTGTCCGATGGCGCCGACGAGGCGAGTCTCGATGACTCGAGCGGCCCATCTTGCAGCGTCGTCGCAAGCTGAGTGGCCACGCATCTTTAGGAGTTCCAGGCTGAGGACCAGGCCTCGAAGTGCGTTATATGGTGCTTCGCAGCGGGCGAGATATGAGTAGCTTGCAGTCTCGAGCATTTGGTCGATGTTTTCTATGCGGGTCTTTGTGGACATGCTCTGCGTTACAAGCAACGTGCTTATGACAGTCATCTCGTTTGCACCTGCATAGTATTTCCAGGCCTTGTCGTTGTTGAAATCGGAGCGAAGGATTTCGTAAGTGCTGGATGCCAGCCGAAAATCACGGAGCATAAAGGCATAGTCCGCCAGCTTCCGCATCAGAGCTTCTGGTGTATCAGGCCTATAGAAGCCTTGAAGCGAGTCGTAATTACTGCCTGATCCGCCTTGAAGCGATATGCCCGAATTTCTTGAAGAGGATCCAAAACCGGTCCAGCGTTTAGATAAAGACATGAAGCGGCCGCTTATACCTTTCCGTTTGGATGCAATTTGCTCGTTCCATTGCATGGCATACCTTTCCATCGTGGGGACGATAGACTGAGTGACGAGCTCACGAACGAACGTACGAATTGCAGTAGCATCGGACTCGAACAGGCACGGTGTTGGATCTTCAACATCCTCCGAGGTTTCTAGCGGAAAAGTCAGTTGTAGCCTTGTCGAAGGAAGAACGGTCAACACTTTACCTCGTTTCTGAATCTCAGCCAGCTCTTCAGAAGCCGAAAGCCAATCGCTCATGGGAAGTCGAACTGCATCGTCATCGGAAGAGACACATTGAGTACTCCTCAGTCGTAACAGATGGCAATGCAAACCAAAATGCCTCTTCATCTGCTCATACAGCGCTGTAGACTTGCCAATGTCATCATGATCTTCATCGTGCACCAGCACGTAATATCGTAAATAGTCGTTATTAACCCATTGCGGCAATCTGTGGTCCCCGTTATTTGTGCTCTGGTACAGCTGACGCAGCTGTTCAATTGGATTCGGGCAGCGGGAGCTGATAGCTATGATGCAGGCCACCGGATGGGAGAAAGTCTCGTGGGGAGAAATGGGTAGTCCAGAAAGCAATCGACGCAAATACAGTCGGTAAAAAGGCGACGAGGACCCGGGCGCTTCGGCGCTTGTCCTCTTAGAATTGAAGTAATCGTCCGCGGCGCTCCCCATCTGCAGCTCTGCAAACGACAAGTGCCGCTCCACGGCCTCCTCTATGAGACCAACGTCCCCGCCCACTCTTACGAAAGGGAAGGGTTCCCCTCTGGGATCGCCATTTGCGCTTCCCGGACGAGCCTCGGTGCTGCGTCGTGGGCGGACGCCGAGCCCATCCTTGAGGCCTGTAAAGCGAACCCCGAAATCGTCCCAACTCTTGCTCGCACCGTTGCTATCCCGGATGGTGACTTTTCCCTGAACGCAGTCGCCATAGGGCCGTATCAGCTCCAGAAAGCCCCCCGCAAAGCCCTTGGTCCGACATATTTCTTCGGTATCGGGCGAGGCGACAACGCCAACGTGTGGCACGAAAGAGCGGAGGATGATGGCACGGATCTCATCGGTCGCGCCGGGGGCGGAGAGTACTGGCGAGGCAGTGCCAGTGCGCGGGGGCGGCGAGAAGACAGAGCCGGCGATTATAGGAGCATGCGGAGTGGAAGTGCCGGATCCCGGGGTGTTGGGTCGCAGGGTCGACGTGGAGGCAAAGACGGAGGAGAGAGTGGCAGTAGAGCGGCGGTTGGGCAGGCTGGATATGGATGAGGCTATGGACGGAGCGGGCGACGATGTGCGCTTGGGAAGTGCATTGGTGCGGCCGGAATCTATGCTTGAGTTGGGAGAATGCAGCGGCCCGTCATCTCGTGAAGGCGTCATGGGAGCGTTGAGCAGGCCGGTGGGGGGGTTGGTGGCCTCGCAGCGTGGGCGAAACAGGGCATGGATTGACCAGAACGGAGCGGTTCCGCGATGAGAGAGCTTGGACGCGTGGAGGATCGCCGCGGAGGGTTTGGCAAGCGGAGTGTGAGGGAGTGGGTTGCGATAGAAGCGTGGCTTGGCCAGCAGAGCAGGTGCGCGGAGCAGGGATGTGCCTGCCGATCTGCGCGAAAACCCGCGGCAACTAAATACGTCAGCTCCGGTATTGTCGCTGCTCTCGCTGCTGCCAAACGCTGCAACCTGCACCTTCATCCGCCAAAGCGCAGAGCCGCACCAACCCGGCGCTGTTATCCTCTCGCTTTGCCCGTTCTGCCTGCCGTCACATGCATGATACCCCGGCTCGTCCCCCGCGTCGGCTTCCTCCCGCTCCTCTCCGGCAGCATTAAACCCCGGCCCCGAATTTCTCTCTTACAGTCATCCGCATACCAACTCACTGCACGTGGCTTGCAGCACTCCCTTCGCTGCATGTCCTTGCGGTCTCCTTCTTCCTCGCCGCACCCAGAAGAGCGCAGCTTGAAAAGACGCAGACTCGAGGCCCCCGTCCTCACTTCGGCCTGCCAAGTAAAAACAATGGCTACCAAGGCCACGCTGGAGCTTACCGAAGTGGAACAGACCCTGCGCCAGCTGCTGCTCGATGTTGCTGAATACATTGACAACAATCCTCTTCCCGCCTCTGAGGCACACATTCAGCTCCCCGAAGACCTGGCCAATGCCAAACTCGTGCTTCGCTTCACCGGCGGCTGGGTGAGAGATAAACTTCTTGGTGTCGAAAGCCATGACATCGACGTCGCAATCAACAAAATGACCGGCGAACAATTTGGTTTGCGTCTTAAAGAGTACTTGGAAATCCCGGGCAACCCAGAGAAGTACGGTCTTGAAGGTGTAGCTTCGTCAGACAAGGCTGGCACGTCTGCAAAGAACAAGCAAGTTGGCGGACTCCACAAGATCGAGGCCAATCCGGAGAAATCAAAGCACCTCGAAACGGTGACGACCAGGATTTTGGGTCTTGACATCGACCTAGTCAACCTACGGAAAGAGACGTATACTGAGGATAGCCGGAATCCACAAATGGAATTCGGCACACCGAAAGAGGATGCTCTCCGCCGCGATGCTACCGTCAATGCTATGTTCTACAACTTGAACACCTCAGTAGTTGAAGACTTCACTGGCAAGGGCTTTGAAGATATGGAGCTGCGCATCATCCGCACCCCACTCGAACCTTACCAAACCTTCAAAGATGATCCCCTTCGCGTCTTACGCTTGATCCGTTTTGCTAGCAGGCTGGGATACAGCATCGAACCTTCGGCAGAGGAGTCCATGGGCAATGAAGACATCAAGAAGGCCCTTCACATCAAGATCAGCCGGGAGAGAGTGGGCGTCGAGTTGGAGAAGGCGCTTAAAGGTATGTTAGTCGACATGATAAAGAAGTCGTACACTAAAGCAACTCGCAGGACCCGATCCGCTCGGTGCCATTCAGTACATCGACCGTCTCGGCCTTTACACAACCGTGTTCTCAGATCCCACAAAAGACCACAACTTCACTCCTCCTGCCAATTGGCCTGTCGCGTATCAGTGCCTTTCCAGGATACTGCAATCTCAAGAATCAGCCTCAACGATTGTTCGCTCTATGGCGATCCTGGATGCAGAGGATTCGTACCTGTCGTGGCTCATCTCGGCGATCGTCCCGTGGACCGATGCACCGGAGCCGCAACCGCTGAAACCAGGCTCGAAAGCACCTCCTCCAGTAGCTTGCTCTGTTGCAAGAGAGGGCATCAAAGCTCCGAACAAGGTTTGCGATGTTATGACGGCGTCAGTCAGGAACCTCGAGGAGATCCGTGGACTCAAGGACAAATTCAATGTCCAACAGCGCCAGCCGCATAAAAAGTCTGAGGGTGACGACGCTGGCGCACCCGACACTATCGGTATGGCTATCCGCAAGTGGGGTCCAACTTGGAGAAATCAGGCTCTCTTTGTGCTTTTGTATGAGGTCTTGAACCATCCTGAAGGAGAACAAGGTGAGTTGCAGATGATCGGCGTTCCGTCAACAAGCAGCTGATGTATATGACAGAGATTATTCGGTCCTACGGCCAATGGTTTGAGCAAGTTCAAAAGCTTAACCTCACAGAGGCTTACGCCCTCAAACCTCTGCTAGACGGAAAAACACTTGCCAAGGCGTTGGAGACACCTCCTGGTCCTTGGATGAGGTCTGCTCTCGACGTAGTCATGGCTTGGCAACTGCGGAATCCCGGAGTCACCGATACGGCCGATGCAGTCGAAGAAGTTCGGATTCATCGCCAAACCGAGGATAGTAGCTCTGGCAAGCAGCAGGCTGGTAAGAAGAAGGGTGAGCTGACTTCCCACCTCGCATCACACTTCCTCCAGCTTACAATCCGTCCGCTTTTCGCGAAGACTCAAAATCCCGCGGTGACCGCTCAAGGTCGTAAGAGCATCCAGTCTCCTGGCCCTCAGAAGACTCGTCTCTTTACCGAGGACGAGTCTGAAACGAGACCTTGGAAGGGCCAGAAAGAAGGCTACGTATTGGAACTGCTGCGCTGGGTTCTCCTCAAGACGGACGCCGAAGGGATTGAGAAGATCTGGCCATCGGTTATTCCGCCCATCCTTGCTCTTGTCGACGACTCAGACCCAAAATACAAAGCAAAGGGTTGTGACCTCCTTAGTCTGCTACTGGAAATCACACCATCTTCGCTGCTCAAACGGACTGGCCTTGCCCAAGTATTCAAAGATGCTCTCGATCCATGTCTCACATACCTCCCATCTCTCACGCCAGAAAGCGAGTCCATTACTCTCCTCGATGCTGCATACCCTGCCCTCATTTCTCTTGCTAGAACACAGCACCCCATCTCCTTACCTGTAGACCCCCTCTCTAACGCGGCCCATGAGCGAGCTAAAGCACTGGATAAGCTGATTTGGGACGGCATTTTGTTCGCTCATGCTCATGCTGGCGAGCACGTCCGCATCGCACAATGCTTATTCATGCACCTCGCCTCCATCATCGATGAGCTTGGTGTGCACTCTGTCAAGCACCTCAAGAACATCGTCCCGCTTCTATCAGGCACGTTGTCCGAGCCGCTCGGTCCTGCCTATCCACCACTGCCAATCCAAGCGACTCGTACAATGCAAGTCATGATACAGAACTCATGGATGCGAATCCAAGCGTGGAAAGCCGAAATTTTGAAGGGGTTGTCGGTGTGCTGGGTGAGGCTGACGGCGGAGGGCGAGGAGAAGGATGGGTTCGTGGAACTGAAGACGGAGTTGCGGAAGACGGTGGATTTGCTGAAAAAGGCTCTTGATGGTGTGGAAGGCACGGAGTGGGAGGCAGATACAAAGAAGTTGATCGATGCAGATGGGAGGTTGGAAGGATTGCTGGCTTAGATATCAGCAGCATACTATGCGAGCAACACGCAAGTTTTCGAGGCTTGTGAGGGCGGAATTTGGTATCATCTTGTGAATGGCTACATACATGACATGAAAGATAAGTTTGCCTGTATGATAGGTGTCCGTTCTGAAAGTTCCTATTCGAAAACGATCATCTCATCCCCAAATTTCCTGAATACGCGAGCACTTTCACCCAATCTTTTTAATCTGCTATGCTGCCTCGGGCTGTTATTTGAAGTGACTATATACCGTCATGACACACCAATCACTGTTTATATAAACCCGTCAACTGCTAAAGCTTATCATCTAGAAACTTTTGAGGACGTATGAAATTACTCAAGAGGTCAAGAATTAACCTTTCCTGAGTTTTTCTCTTTCCCAATGCTCCACTTTTTAAATCCATCATAACGCGTAACCCCAGTCAACAACGTCTTTCCACAACTCAACTCAAACCAGCCCCACCACTCTTCTATCGCTTTTCCTTCATTCCATCCTCCTCCCTTCGCACCTCCTCATGCCGCCGACGCCGCCGCTATCTCCCCATCCCCCTCACCCTCCACGACCACCCACCCCTTCGGGCTCCTCAACCCCAGCCTCTCCGCCACGCCCTCCGTCTCCCTCGCCTTCCGATTGACATTCTCCATCTCAAAGCCGGCAACCGCCTTGTACTCGCGCCCGATGGCCTCCAGCTCCTCCTTGGGGATGACGTCGTGCACGTCGGCGAAGCCGTCGGGCGCGCGCTCCTCGGCCAGCTGCAGCACGTGGTCGGGCCCGTTCGCGCGGTTGGCGTAGACGATCTTGCGCGTGGGCGGCAACCGCAAGCGCTCGTACTCGGCCAGCGCCTCGACGACGCCATCATCGCCGCTTGCTGCATCGCCGCTGCCGTCACCGCTGATCTCCTCGACGACGACGAGGCACCGCGCCAGCGTCTCGGCGTCGATGATGGCCTGCGTCGCGCCGTTGCTGCCGATGGGGTACATGGCGTGGGCGGCGTCGCCGAGCAGCGTGACGCGGCCGAAGCTCCAGCGCTCGACGGGCGTGCGGTCGCACATGGGGAACTCGTAGACGGCGGGCGCCCTGGCGATGAGGTCCCGGACGCGCAGGCCGCCGCACGTCCACGAGTCGAAGGGCGCGGCGAAGCGCGATTTCGGGACCGCGGCGTTCCAGTTGGTTTGGGCCGGGGGGGTGGTGTCCGGGTCGGAGGCGGGGCGGACGCGGAGCTCGGCGATCCAGTTGACGAGGGGGCGGCCGGCGTTGGTGGTGGTGGTGCTGCGGGAGGAGATTGGGTAGGCGATGAATTTCTGGTCGGCGTGGCCGGCCCAGACCATGGAGCGGCCGGTCAGGTAGGGGGCGTCGAGCTCGAGGCAGCCGCGCCAGAGCATGCGGCCGGAGAAGTGGGGAGGGCCTTCGGTCGGGTAGAGCTGGCGGCGGGCGGTGCTGTTGATGCCGTCGCAGGCGATGAGGAGGGCGCCGGTCTTGGAGGGGATCGAGGCGGGAGTGGGCTCCGCTGTCGTTGCTGTGGCGGTGGTGGCGTCGGGCGCTACGGACGACGAGGACAGGGGAGCGCTGTTGCTGCTGCGAGTGCGTTGGATGAAGGTCGCCGTCACGGTGCCCGCCGCGTCGTCCTGGGTGAAGCTGGCCAGGGCGTGGTTCAGGTGGACTCGCTCGGCGCCAACGCGCTCCTTGACGGCGTCCAGCAGCAGCATCTGGAACTCGCCGCGGTGCACGCTGTACTGCGGCACTGCGTAGCCCGCGTCGACACCGCGCGGTTCGGAGAGGATGGGGTCACCGTGACGGTTGTAGAAGTTGAGCTCGGCTGTGCGGATGGCGGTGCTGTCGAGCGCCGGCTGTAGGCCCAGGTTGCGCAGGATGAGTGCCGCCGACGGCTGCACATTGATGCCCACGCCCAACGCCGATAACGTCGATGACGCCTCGAAAATGTGGATGTCGGTGTAGCCTGCGGCGTGCAGGTGCAGCGCCGTCGTTAGGCCTCCGATCCCGGCCCCCGCGATGAGGATGGTGGGTTGCGAGCTCCGGGGCGCGACAAAGGACGGCATCATGGCCTGGGAGATTGCGACTTAGGAGGGATGTATAGTAGAGGCGGAGGTAGAGTTCAAGACGTTGATGGCAGGAGACTCATAAGACAAACAGCGAAGGAAGGGAGCTCCGGAGTTGCTAGGGTTTAGACGTTTAGATCCACCGCGACTGTCGACTGGGCCCGTACTTGTAGTAGTTCGGATGTCGATTTCGGCAGTTTTCAAAGCGGCCGAGCGTTATTAAATAGGGCATTGTGAGGCAATAGAAAAGCGCTAACAGCCAGGGCTCCAGAAAGCAGCTATAAGGACTAGGATTAGTGCGTGGTGCCCGCCGGTCAAATACGAGAATGCTAGGGAGAATAAAATACCGAGACTAGGGTAAGACCTAGCAAAAACTAGATAGCAGATAGGGAGAGAAGGTTCAACCGCCCAACCCTTGTCCGATGTCCCTTTCAGCCGCAGGGTCCCTGCGAGATCGGGATGCCCACGTGAGGGGTTCTCCACACTCGTATTAACTGCCGAACGTCCCGGCAGATGATTGGTGCAGAATCGAGGAACCCATGGCGTGAGAGATATACTGTGGTCAATTTGCCGAGGCGACGCTGCTCTATGCGCAGACAGGCTCCATTGAGCGCTTGGTATAAGCTAGCGTTGCTGTTGGAACGATGTGTTCACCGTATGTTTTGTCCAGATTATTGTACGGCTGGCTGAACGTGCATTACAGGGTCCAAGCGTTGACTCACACTCAATTGTTAGTGTCAATAATCCTTCAGGGCATGGCTTTAGTTGACGATCGCGCGAGATTCTGGAAACAATCTTATTGGGTATATCCGCTATTGAATCAATGATTCATCCAAACGACAAACTGCGCCGCCTAGACGCAACGAGGTTTTCAACCCGCTGGCTCATTGCGCATCGAGAGGCTTCTGGGCGTAAACAACATGGCTGTTCACAGGCGATACATGGTTAGCATGCTCTCGAGAGTCGGCTAGAAACATAGACTCACAAGTTATGTTGTGCCTGCAGCTTCGGATTGCTCAAATCTTTGCGGACATCGGCGAGGAAGACCTGAACCTCCTCGGGCTGCCAACCCTGGGCGGTAAAAACGCGCATAGCGGCGCTCTCCAGGCCCTCCCTGAACTGCACCAGATCGAGGGCGCCGACTTCCTTCATCTTCCGATCCTTGGGCCAGGTGCCGACGGGGATGGGAAGCAGCTTGTGGGTAACGTTCACGAAGCCAGCATCTCTGACCCAGCCTTCAAGCAGGGGGCCGGGCTCGGGCTCCCTGCCCCATGCCTTGACGCCTTGGATGACACCATCACACCACTTGTCCAAAGGACATCCCGGCTTGAACTCGCCGCCGGTGGTGTAGAACTTCATGGTGAAATCCTGGAGTTCGATCCAGCCTCCGGGCTTGAGGAATTGGTATGCTTGCTGGACGAGCCTCGGCCAGTCCTTGATGGTGCCGGCGAGGTAGCGGGCATGGATGTAGTCGAACTTGGTGCTGTAGAGCCAGTCCTGCTCACAGTCGTCGATCTCGAACTTGCAGTTGGGCGGAAGCATGGCAGGCTGGATGGGCGACAGGTCAGTGCCCAGGACGTCGGCTGAAGGGTACTCGTCGGCCATCTCAATGGCCCATATGCCGGTGCCGGTGCCGATGTCGAGGATCCTCTGGGGGTTCTCGGCGATGGGGGCCAAATGCAGCTCTCCGCCACATCTCAGGGTAAGGATGTGGTGGAACAGGTCCAGGCGGTCCATCTCGGCTTCGTCATTGGGCAGGAAGTACTTCTCGCCATAGGCATGGTAGCGGCGGCCGTTCTCGAAGGTGTAGTTGAAGATGCTGGACCTCAGAGAGGTGGTGTAGCTCTCGCTGCAGCGGGCGGGTCAGAGGGTGGCGCGAGGGAGCACGGCGTTAGGAGCAGCACATACGCATCGTCTCCCAATGCAGAATCCGTCTCACTGTGCGAGTCGGCCTCGATGACAAGGTCGGGAGCAGGGCCGGCGGCGGCGGGTTCGGGCTGCTCGGGGGCGGTGTTCTGGGGCGGCTGGGGTGAGGCCATGTCGGGCGGTTTGGCGCTGAGGTGCAGAAGCTGGAAGTGACAGTTGCAGAGGACAGGAAGAAGCCCCTCTTCTTTCTGGCGGAGGCAGGAGCAGGAGCAGGTGCAGGAGAATGGCGCCGAGGTTTGCGCCTGCTTCGCACCGTTACCGCGCCAGCGGGTTCTTCAGGTGCGAAAGGAGCATGGGCGGCGACCAATTTGCTCCGGGGTGGGTCGGCCGTGAGGCGTGCGGGATGGGGGCATTGCGCCGCAGCGCCGGCCTTCGCTCGCGCCATCCCCTTGCGACTGTCAGCTGCTCCGTCCTGAGGGAGCTGAGCAGAATCATCATGATCGCCCGCCCGCCCGCCAACCCTGGCCGATCCCACGCGACGCGCCATCGGCCCTTTTGCTCATCTCGCGGAGGGCGCTGTTTGTGGCGAGTTGGCTAGTGGCCGTTGGCAGCGCTAACCACCAACCTTGGAAGTATCAATCAGCTACGGCGTCGCCCCGTCCGTCTGTGTCGTCCGTGACTGTGCAAGCTCACAGGACCCCGGCTCCGTGCACGTGCAGACTTTGTTGGCCGTCTTCTCATGAGCCCTCTCCGCCACCCAACCTAGCCTCCACGCTCCCCGTCTCCCGGAACGGAACGCCCGTCTCCCGAACGCCAATGCGCGCCTGGGCTGTCATGGCTCCGGCATCCCCGCTGTATCCGCTTTCGCCTGTTCAGTCAGCCACTTCTCCGAAGACCGAGCCAAGCACCACACCATCTCCAAGCCTCGGAAGCCCGCTCCGCCCTATCGCACCGCTGGACGAAAGCGATTGAAAACCATCGTCCTACCGATTCGCCATTCAGCTCTGTTCAGCCCATCATCCGCCGCTCCCACGCTTAGTCACCGCTTCGGATCCCGGCTGCGAAGTCATTAACGTACATCTTATAATACTCACATGCAGCCTCTAGCGAAGCTCACTCGTTCTATGACCAATCTCAGCCTCCGCGTCACTTTTCTGCATCCTTTGTCGATATGTGCCTTCGCCAAGTATGCTTTGGAAGTCGAAGCATCAGAAAATACCAGTTAGCTAGGTATGCACTCGCTTCAAAATCTCGCAGCTGGATTTTTAGCGCCAAAGCGAAGTCCGGAAGGATTTTACGATTCCAGTCGTGACGGCGTTCCACTGGAGTTGAAGGGCGGCGCGGATACCGAAGCTCTCCACTGCAAACCCCCCCATGAGACTGCCGGTGGACGGGCCTCACCTCCCTTGTGTTCTATTCGAGTCGTCCAAAAAGCAACATCAAATCTTTTTCGGTCACTAATCAGCCTCAACCTCCTGGCTTTTACTTCTTCCATTCTAGAATTGACGAATGGTTCGTAGCCTTGAAGTAGGTCATGGCAGAAGGGAAGACTAATACTCCAGGCTTATCAGCGAAAGCAGACAAGCCGTCTCAATCTATCGAGAAGCCCGTTGTACATACATACAAGCTAATTGCGGTTTCTACGACAACTAACGTCAACCCCGGATTTCTTGATCATGCGCGAACATATACATTCAGCTCTTGATTTGAAACCGCAGCTCAGTGTTCAGCAAGACTGACCAATTGCAGAAGATGAATACCATGTGGTGGTTTATTTTTAGACCCCAGCGGCCGACAGCGCACGCAGTCAGCCCCCACGCGATACTGTTCCCAACCCCGCTTCTCGATTGGGAGATTGACACCTACACGCAAGTGCCGGATCTGAAATAGTGTTGCTGACCTGCATTTCACCGTCCGGACCCCATTTAAAAGGCATAGCCTTATGAAGCCTGGATTCATCCTTCATGTTGTGCCTTTTGACTGTGGCTGGCTAACATTGGAATATAACTGCTGTCGTGGCCGCCCTCTACGATTACAGATTATATGATACCACTTCTTCTTCTCCAGCTCCCCCTTTGCTCCTGCATTTAGCGTTTGTAGCGGTTTTTTGTTTTATTTTTTTCTCTATGATACCCCTTACCTTCTCATAACGGGCATATGTTGGATTCTTGACTATTGAACAAACGCCCGCATTGAAGTATTCGCACGGCGCACTTACAACATGACTTACCACGACATTGACATTCCTCTACGTACGCATTCAAGTTCTACCCTGGCGAAACCTAGGCTTACCCCTCGTCAGCCGCCTTCATCGCCATTGATTGGACTGGCATGACTCTTGCTCTCATCCCTATCCTCTTCCGCTTCCATCTGCGCCGACGCCAACGCCACCTCCAACCTCAATCCTCCACTCGAAACCTCTCCGACGCCCTCGTCGTCCTCTCCTGGCTCTCCGGCATCGTCCTCGTCAGCATCAACACGTGGAAAAACAGCCTACGCCAGCACTACACACACCATCCACCATCCACACTCTACTACGGCGTGCCCCGCCCCCTCGCCGCGCACCTCCTCTACGTCTCCTGGATCTCCCTCTTCTTCATCTACATCTCCCTCTGGTCCGCCAAATTCGCGCTCCTCGCCTTCTACGCCAGCCTCCTGCGCCTGCAGGGCCGCTGGGCCCGCGTCACGCTCGCCTGCGCCACCCTCTTCGCCGCCGGCACCTTCGCCCTGCACGTGGCGCTGCTGACGCGCTGGTGCCGGCCCGTGTCCGCCAACTGGAACGTCGACGGCGAGCTGTGCAGCGCCGTGCACGACATCCACAGCGTCACCGTCTCCACCGCCGCAAACGTCGCCACCGACCTCGCCATCCTGTGCATCCCGCTCTTCGCGCTCGCGTCGCTGCTGCGCCGCGACTTCGTCGTCGTCGTCCCCACCAACGTCGGCGCCAGCGCCAGCGACGGCAGCGGCATCGGCATCAGCCACGCCGCCGACAGCTACCACCTGCCCCAGGGGGGCTCGTCGCGGTCGCGGTCGCGGTCGCGGTGGTCGTCGTCGTCGTCGTCATCGTCATCATCGTCGCTGCTGTCGATCGGCGGGCTGGCGTTTGGCAAAGCCGAGCTCAGCGGGCTGGCGCTCGTGCTCGCCATGGCGGCGCTGAGCATCACGGCGGCGACGGCGCGCTTCGTCACGCTGGAGCTGGTGCGGCACGTGCCCAAGGCCAGCATCACGCACACCATCGACGTGTGGGCGCTGGTCGAGATCGTGGCGAGCTTGCTGGCCGTGTGTCTGCCCAGCCTGCGGGCGTTTGTGAGGGGGAGGAGGCGCGCGGCTGCTGGGAAGCGGGGGGGTGTAAGCGGGGATCGATCGGGGGCGGAGAGGAGGAAGGAGATGGTGGTGGTGGCGGCGGCGGATGGGAGGATGGGGGAGGGGGGAGGGAGGGGGAGTGCGGGGGTTGCTGCGGTGATTGAGATGGAGGAGGGCGTGAGGTTGGGTGATGGCGGGCGGCGTCAGGGTGATGCGGAGGGGAGTCTGAGCGTGCTGCAGGAGGGAGCGGAGACCAAGACGGTGGATGCGAGGGGAGTGGACTCTCCGCAGTACTTGGGCGTGGTTGGAGGGGCGCGGACGGCGAACACGAGTGAAGAGAGATTGTTGTGAGGGTGGATTTTGTTTATGTGCAGCTCGGAATTTAGTCCGATACTCCCAACCTCATCTTGACGTGTAACCCTCACTAAGCGGGATCGTGGCATCCGTCCAATTCCCTCATTCTCAAAATCCCTCGGTGACGCCGCCAATTGTGTTGGAATGATCCGCGCAAGATCGATCCTAACGCAGAAGTCAAGGCAATGGGAACGGACGAGCAAGAACATCGTCCGTCCAAATTCAGATGTTGAATCCAACAATCGCCCGATTACTGCGGTTGTCTCCGTTTCGAGAAGTACTGTGCAAGCATTTACCAAAGTGGCAGGCCGCATGCGATCGTTCCCTCACTCGGTCAATCCCTTGAACTTTCATCTCAGTCGCCTTTGTACACTGCTCAGCCGGATGCATTCCCGCTCTTACCAGAGGATCGCTTTTCCAAAGCCACAGGAGATCTTTCCTACCCGCATTTCTTTAGTGCCGCAACAAAGGACCATCGGGGGGGGAAAGCGGATCACCCGACGCCGCGCGGCAGTCTAAATGCAATTGTGTCCATTTTTTGAGACGCTTTGACCGGTGCGATTCTGATCCAGTACATCGGGAATGTGACAACGTTTTTCTTTCGTCTATCAAGGCTCTCGTGGGGCGTCAGGTCCTGGTCTCGTTCTCTCTATCCCCTGTCTTTGTAGCGGCATCCCGGATGCACATGGCTCATCCAGGTGAGACGGCAGCATTTTTGAGCGCTTTGATTGTCTCCGGCCGCCACTTGGAAGGCATTCTCCAATGAGCTTGGCGGGAAACATTGAGCCCTGACAAATACGTGCGAATCAAACCAAGGACAGACGAGGGCTGAGCTGTAGTGCCTATCAGTTAGATTATCACATTTGATGACTGCCATGAAGGAGCCATGCACTTGCAAGAGTCTCTTTCCGAAGGCAATTGTATCAAATCCCACTTCAATTGTTTCAGTAATGAAGAGATGACAAGGGTTTCACCACCATCTAACGTATACAAAAGAAAACAAAATAAAAGCGCAATTTACGACTGAGTGGTATCCTTCTCTGAACTTGAAAAAAAAAACAACGACAGTAGTCTGTGCCAACCTCGGCCCCAGAGAGAGCACTTTCAACTTTGTATGCCCCCATCTCGTCCTCTACCACACGCACAAGCAACACCAAACCGTCGAGTATTAAAGAAAAATAGCATCGTCCAGACGAAAGAATCAAAAAGTGACCACGCACCGCCTTCGTGCAGGTTCCCTCCTCCACCGTAGACCACCACCACCTCACTCTTTAGCCCCACAACCACACCCCGACCCACCCAACGTGACTTCCGAATCCCTCCCCAAGCTCTCCAAGCTCTTCGCTTCATGTAGCCCACCACCACCTCCCGGCCCCCTCCCACCTTCGCCACTCACAGCCCCCCGCCTCTCCGACCCCCCTTTATAAAACCCACCACCACCACCGTCTCCTCCTCCTCCATGATCCATCCCACCCCCCCTCTCCCACTCCAACCCCTGCCCCACAAACCCCCACTTCCCCCTCCTCCTCTCCTCCATATCCACCTCCGACACCGCGCCCACAGCAGCAGCACCCCCCAACCCGCCCGCCCACGCCCCCGCCCCCGCCCCCGCCCCCGACAACCGCCTCAACTTCCTCACCCTCCGCTGCTGCTGCTGATGCTGCTGCTGATGCTGATGCAACGGCGAAGGCATCGTCGACGACGTCCTCGACGACGACGTGTTTGTCGTCGTCGTCAGGTGGTGGCAGCTGCTGCCCCTGCTCTCCGACGTCATGGCGGCCTCCTCGGGCGAGACCGGGTGCGAGTTGTTCCAGCTGCCGCGGAGGATGTTGATGGCGGAGAAGCGGCGGGATTGGCGCTTCGAAGGGCTGCTGCTGGTGGTGGTGGTTGTGGTGGTGGAAGCGGCGGCATGGGCGGCGGCGGCGATGACGGCGCTGGGGAGGGGGGAGATGGTGGAGGATGTGGATGTGGATGTGGCGGCGGTGGGGAGGTGCGGGACGGAGTAGGGGGGGTAGTTGTTGTGGTTGGGTGTTCCGCTGGTTGGTGGGGTGGTGGTGGTGGTGTTGGTGGAGAGGTGGGGTGCGGAGCAGGAGGTGTAGGTGTTGTTTCTGTGGGTTGTGGAGGCGTGATGGGTACGGTCGGGGTGCTGCTTGTGGTGAGGTTGTTGGTCAAAGTAGCACGAGATGTTGCTGTGTGTGAAGAATGGGTTGGTCGTGGTGGCGGTGGGTGTGGGTGGCGTTGCGGTGCCTGGGAGCGAGGGGGAGAGGATCGGGAGGGGAGGCGTGGGGGGGAGCGTGTCGAGGAAGGCTTTTTCGCGGAGAAAGGCTTCTCTGTCGAGTGGGAGTGGTCCTGTCAGCAGTCTTTTTCTTGGCTCCGAGTAGAGTACACTTACTGCTCAGGTGTCAACCCGTCAAATCTGATTTCCATCCGGCGGAAATCTTTTGGTGGATGCTGTTTGTGCGACTCACTATTAGCATGGTCGTCGCTGTTGCAGCCCCGTCGTCCGATCACATTTCATACGTACAATCTCGATGGGCTGCGCAGGTTTCTTGCGTGCACCGCAGCAGGAGAGGACCGGAGCCAAGAAGATGTCCTTGACTCTCGCAAAGCTCGTCCGTTGGTCGTTAGGGGAAGCCATCTTTGAGGCGTCAAGATAAGGTATTTGGCCAAGGTTATTGCCGTGATGATGTTGTAAGGTCGGACATCCGCCTTTTTCAGCGAAGGGTATCGTGCATCAGGATAGAATAGAAGCTACAGAACCAAATGGACACGCCTGCTGGAAATGACTAGACGAAGCACACAAATTACACGTAGGAGGGGTGCGTCTGATACAGACGGGGCGGTAGAGATGGTGGCGTCGACGAGGGCGAAGAGGGTCTCTGAGAAGCGAAACCAGGCTGATGTTATAATCAGGAACATCTCGGTCGAAATTATGGATTCCCGTCGAGATGAGTCGCCACGCGGCAGCCGCTTCATTCCTTGCGTGTCATAGACAGCTCTGCGAGGAGCTTGGGCTAGGCATTCTTCGTCCGTCGAGGACAAAGCGGGCAGGAGGTCGGACGTACGGGGTTACGCTTCGATACCGCTCGCTGGCGAGGAATGCTCGCACAGATCGACCGGTATGGTGACATCGTTGGCTGTCTCAGCAGCCAGTGGGAAAAGACTGGTAAGGACCTGGCCGGGTGGAGTTGGCAGTGCACATTCTCCTGGTACCGGCAGCGAAATGGCAGTGTAACTGCCATCTCCTGAGAGCCGTTGAAGGGTTGTCTGACTGTCGCCGCTGTTCGGGCTGCTCGTCTCGTGGATGGAGAGGTTCCTCGCTACAGGCGGCCAGTGTAACCATTCCTTGCATGTGCGGGCGCATTCCACAGGGAGGCCACCAAACGCGTGCAGCAGACGCGTAGCTCAGTCATATATCTAGCAATGATGCCCGTCTTAGCTGTCGTACGCTTATCACTTGGCGCTCGGCGCTGGCGGTGGGCCAATTCCATCGTCCCTTTGCCAGCCGAAGGGGGTGGTCGACTGCAAGTCATGTGAGCACGCGTTTACCGGCGACGAGCCTTGCATTGGGCAGCGGGAGCAAGCCACTTATGAAACAGAGATCGTCAGGTTCATCGCGGAAAGGGATTGAAGATGCGGATCCTGCCCACAGGGCTGAATTTAACCGATTTAGCCTACGCTTCTCTATTTGGGGTAGTCCTTCACATGGTAGCTCTTGAGCTTGACGAATTGGTCGAAGCCGAATTTGCTGAGCGTCTGTCCTTTGCCTGACTCCTTCCAGCCCACCCATGCAAGGTCCTGCGGAAATGGTCAGTTCATGAAACACTTGCGGATTGTGCATAAAGGGACTCACCGGTGCGGGATAGTCGCAACGGTTCACGAACACGGTTCCTGCCTCCACATCGTCTGCTAGCGCGTGTCCCTTCTCCACGTCCTTGGTCCAGATACTAGCGGTGAGGCCGAACTGGCTGTCGTTCATCAGCCTGATGGCCTCCTTGTCGTCCTTCACCTTGACGACAGGAATGACCGGGCCAAACGTCTCCTCGGCGATGACAGCCATGCCGTGGTTGACATTGGTGAGAAGTGTAGGTGCAACGAAGTTGCCGTCGGCAGGCGGGTTCTTGAAAGAGTCGTTGTCAGGAGTGGCGTCCTTTGCACCCTTTTCCAGTGCGTCCTTGATGTGAGAGCGGATTGTTTCCGCAGACCTCTTGGACACGACTGGACCGACGTGGGTCTTCGTGTCAAAAGGATCGCCCAGCTTGTAACCCTTGAGAACGTCTTGGACAGCAGCCACGAAGTCGTCGTGGACGCTCTCCTGAACATAGACTCGCTCAATACTGCAGCAGCTCTGGCCAGAGTTGAAGACGGCGCCGTCGACAATTTCCTCGGCAGCCCACTTGATGTCCACGTCAGGACGAATGTAAGCAGGGTCCTTGCCACCAAGCTCTAGGCCGACGCGCACATCGATCCTGTCACTGGCAGCACGCTGAACCGCCAGACCGCCGGCCACTGAGCCGGTGAAACACACCAATTGGATAGAAGGATTCCTAACGAGCGTCTCAATCTGGGTGTATGAGCCGCAGTGGAAGTATTGAATGACATTCGGGGGCAGGCCGGCGTCAGCGAAAACCTGCTGCAGGTGCTCAGCGCTAGTGGGCGTCTGCGGGGACGGCTTCAGGATAACGGAGTTGCCGGCGAGAATTGCGGGCACAACTGAGTTGATGAGGGTAAGGTAGGGATACTGTTTCACAATGCTACATTAGCCATGCACGAGATCGGGAGTGGCGCTGGCGGAGAGACAACTCACGTTCCACGGGAACAGAATCAGAACGGGCCCAACGGGGACCTTCTTAATGTAGCGCTTGAAGCCCTTCTCAGGTTCGCCATCAGTGGAGGCCAAGGCCTCGCCGGCCACCTTGTTGAGGTAGTGGCCGCGCATGACAGCGGTCGAAACCTCCTTCGCGGTGTAGGCAATGGGGCGGCCCATTTGCTCGGTGATCTCCTTGGCGATCTGGTCGGTACGAGCTTCAAGGTTGTCCATGGCCTTCTTGACGATGGCCTTGCGCTCCTCCAGGGTGGTCGTGCGGAAGGCATTGAAGGCGTCTACCGCATCGGCGGGGAGACGCTGCAGGTCGACGTCTGACAAGCCATTGCGCACGACAACGGGCTTGTTGGTGATGGGCGAGATGGTGGTGATGGTCTCGACAGACATGGCGCACTGCTGATGACACTGGGTGAGGATGAAGGTGGTGAGGGTGAAAAAGCAGCAGCGCTGGCGTGAGGGTGGAAAACAAAATGGTAAGGCAGCCCACTTGACAAGTTGCCGCTGACGTCCGATGGCGGGGCAGTTGCAGGGCAATCGCAGGGCTGATAAGATAGGCGGAATCTTGTCCGCCCTGTCGCGTCGGCAGCCCGCCCATAGCGCGCCGAGCCTCAGCAGACAGACGCGTCGCAACCTGTCAACACAGGGCACCGCCCACGCCCGCCACGCGTTGCATCGCTGCAGGGTTGCAGTCCGCACGAAAGTTCAAGTGTCGCCCGGCATTTCACATTTAACTCGCTTCATTTCCACTCGGTTTGAGTGTGGTGTGAGACAATTGGCGACAGCTGCCCTACGACCAGGCTGGCCTGCGGGATCGCCGCCAGCATCCATTGCCCAGTCCCGGAACTACCCTTCTCCCACGGTGTACCCAGAACGGCACATGGTCTCTGCCGCGCGCAATAACATTGCTCTTCAGTGGAAATGACTGTCGACGGGGCCGACATGGAACCAGCAGCGGGGCCATAGGGCAGTGGTGAAAGCAGTGGTGAAAGCGCCAGAGCTGTCGGATCGGATCTCTGACTCCGATTTCTGTCACGCATCGGTGTCTGGGGTGCGAAGGAGGACGCGCATAAAAGACTTGTTTATGCATCACCAGCCTGGGGCTCGACTGACATGATGACGCACTGCGAGATGACCGGCTGGTCTGGCCACGGCGTTGCACAGTCGGGTACTGCGGGTCTGTCGAGAAGCGCTCGTTTCGTGGCGGCAGGTTGGTGTTTCACCCCTCGGTGGACACATTATTGACATCCCAAGGCACCACGCACCAGCGGACCAGCTCGCGGCAACGGCCAAAGCGGCATGGCCCAAGGCGCCGTTGTCTCCGGCAGGTGCTGGGGGAGCCGCGATGGGCGTATGGTCCCCGCGTGGGCAGCTGTACCCCAGCTCGCTTGCGCGACCCGCTTATGCAGCTGCACGTCTTTCTGGTGAAGATTCCGGTTCGCATGCGCAGTCGCGGCGGGCTAGGATGGGCGGGCGGGCTGCGCAGCGTCTGCTGGAGGCGCAGAGCGGGCGGATCGACTGACACGGCCCCGATGAGGCAGACGAGGTGTGACCCCCCGGGATCGCTGCGGCTCCAGGTTCAGCGTCCCCACGGAGTCCCGGCCCCGTAGCCCAAAATCGCCTGGCCTGGTGGCTCGGTTTCTCTCTCCTAACAACTTTCTGACGAAAGGCCCGGCCAGCATATCCCGACTCTGGGCGAATAATGGCCGCTGCCAGCTGGCCAGGCCTCGGCCCCGACTTCTTGCCTACCGCCCGCGAAAATTTCACGCGTTGCTCCTAGCGGGGCGCCTCTACACCGCTCGCCGGGCCTCCCCAGCAGCATCCACGGCCTGCCGCCTCTGCCATCTCGCAGATCCGCCGGAGAAATTGCTCCGCTGCGAGGCCGTTCCTGCATGGCCACGAGACTTGATTGAGGCCGCAGCAGCGCACGCACGCTGGAAGGCCTTTCCGACGGCGGCCCATTCCACGCCAGCCTCGTGGCCGGCTGTGCAATGCTTGTCCGCGCCCGGTGCCTGATGCCGTGTCTTCAGATTTATTGGCTGTTCGGATAGAAGGAGCGGGAGGGCTTCGTTGCAGGCCTCTCCCTGACCAGCTCGATCCGCCGGGTCTGGAGTGCTTGCTGTCATGCAGGAGGCGGAAGTCGTCCAACTGGGCGGTGGCTCCAGGCCTGGGCCGCCCCGAGCAGACGTTATTTCGACTACCTGCAGCGAGTAATGAGCGCGATTTTGCTGCCCGCCGAATCACAGCCCGCTCTCGCCAGCCATCAGCAGGAAGCCCTCGCACAACGACCTTCTGTATGCAGCTCACTCACATGGCCTCCGTCGCAGCCACGCATTGCACCACCCAGCGTCATGCAAGAGGCTTGATCGCCGGCGTGGCCCTGTTTCAACACTGGCTCGACGACGCCCTGTCCGCCGCCGTTCTAGAAACGCACGCGAACTCATCACCCTTCACAGGCGAACGAAGCTCTCGACCGAGGCCAGGCGTGCGCGGCGAACAGAGCCACGAGCCGCCAGCCGCCAGCCGCCAGCCGCCAGCCGAGGACCCGCGTGCCTGCGTGCCTGCGTGCCTGCGTGCCTGCGCTGCTGGAAAGCTCCGTGTCGCGGTGCCGGTGGGTTCGGCACTTCTTTCTTGCTGTGGCCACAGATGCTACACGATGACAGCACGGCACGAGGATGCCCAAACTCTCGCATGCTGCGCACCCGGGCCGCCACACGACACTACCACAACCGGTCCCACCACGGACCACCTGGGGTCGCCGCTGTGGGCGGCGGCGCCCGGCGGGCAGCCTCTGCGCCTCCACCCTCCGTGGCAGCATTTCCGGGAGCTCCCCCGGCACTGAAACGGCAGTGTCGCTCGACGGCGAGCGCGGGGGCTGCTCCATCAGCCAATATCCGTTTATTGGCTTCCCCGGGTTCCGATTCTTAGTGGACGGCCGGCCGTCTGACAAGCGTGAGGTGCTGGCGATCCTGGGCCTCCTGCCATCTGCCACTCCATCTCGTTTACGGCAGCCCATGCTCCGCCCGTCCCTTGATTTATGATGCGGGCTGCAGCTAGTCCCCCGGCACATGGGACTGCAACGCCGGCGATAGCCACCCAACGGAGCCAAGCGTCGACTCTAAGGCGAATGGAGGCCGCCGTCCTAGCGCACGGGGCCTTCTGCTCGAGTTCCCTGAGCTATACCCCGCGCACTCCGCGTTTGTCCAGGTATATGGTACCTAGGCACACCGCAAAATCCGCCATATAGAGTCCCTTAGTCTTTCCATGATCTGCTAGCCGCTCCTCGCATGTTTGTTTCCTCCACCCCAGCGCCTCCGATCTCTGTTGCGCGTGTCAGACGCCAATTTTCCCTCTCTTCTCCGCCCACTCGACCTCGCGTTCTCGGTACCATTTGCCCCGAGCGCTCCCAGGCTCCGAGATGCTCTCTACCGGCCTCCATCAGTACACTATATCGGCCTTCAATCAGCTGCCGTCCTCGACCCTCTTAAACCATGATCAAGATCTGCCCTCCCAGCGCATCTCCACCGCCGGCTTGGACGCCCTCGCCCAGAGTTCGCAGTATGCGCTGCAACACTACCCGCACACGCCACATCATGTGCTAGACGGAAAAACTTTTGGCAAGCAGAGACACCATCCATATGTAAACCTGCCCGCCTCGGCTGGTTCCCGGAATCAGAAGTCAAGCATGGTGCCCGACCGGGCTGGCCGGCACTCGAGTGCGCCGGTGAGGAGGCGGATCAGCAGAGCCTGCGACCAATGTAACCAGCTCAGAACAAAATGCGACGGGAAATCTCCATGCGCACACTGCATTGGTGGGTAGTCGAAGGCCCTGAACTCAAATAGTGATGCTGACCGCCAGAAGAATTCGGTCTGACCTGCGAGTACATGCGGGAACGCAAGAAGAGGGGCAAGGCTTCCCGCAAGGAGATAGCCGCACAGCAGGCTGCCGCCGCTGCCGCTGCCGCTGATGGCGGTAATACGAGTCCTTCGTCGACAAACGGCTATCCCAGTGAAGAGCAGCATGGCAACAGCCCCGGCCAGCCCCATGAGCGGGATGGTCAACAAAAACCCCCGGGACCTGACCTTCCACCGCCTAGCAATGGAGCACAGCGATCCGCCAGCATCGGGAGTCATCACGACATGAACGGCACAGCACATTACGACATGCACCACGTAGGCAGGTATGGTTCCGTGGGCGACATGTCGGAGCACGGTGGACATCATCAGATCGCCGGGCCTGCCGATGGTCTGGTGACTGGTCTCGCGACGCCGCGTCTGTCCACGAACGGAGTCCACGATCGCAACCTCCACATGATGAACATGTCGGACTACGGCTCTATGGACGATTATCAGCGAGCTGTCGGGTCGCCCGGTGCCGTGAATGGGAACATTATTCTCCAGAACGGCGGGGCTGTCATGCACCATTCGCTCCTTGCTACCAACGGCATGCAAGCCTATGGTGACAACTCTTACACTATGCTCAGCCCTCAAAGCCAGCACGCACAGCAAAACGGATTCCGTATACCACCCGGCGAGAGCCCACTTGCTGGGTTTCTGGGCAACTCGCCCGTTGATGGTTCCCCTGGGTGGCTCTCCCTTCCATCGCCTTCGGCGGCTTTGTATTCGCAGCAGCACATGGCAAACTCCCAGACGCTTCGATATCCGGTTTTGAAACCGCTGTTGCCATATCTCCAAGGGATCATTCCTGTCTACCTCGCCTGCGACCTCCTGGAGTTGTACTTCCAAAGCGCCAGCTCCGCTTTCATGCAACCCGTATCGCCGTACGTGCTTGGCTACGTGTTCAGAAAACGATCTTTCCTGCGGCAAAACAATCCTCGAGTGTGCAGCCCGGCTCTCCTGGCAAGTATGCTCTGGATAGGCGCACAGACCCACGAGTCGGCTTTCCTCACCTCGCCCCCTTCAACCCGTGGCAAGGTATGCCAGAGGTTGCTCGAGCTGACCATCAGCTTGTTGAAACCACTCATCCATACGCCAGACGCGAGCAACCATGCTTCACCAAACTTTGCCGCCAACACGGTCATCAACGGCGTCGCTCTCGGCGGCTTCGGAGTAGCCAATCCGATATCTGGGCGGCTGGCAGAGACTGAGGGCGGAACTCCCGGGTCGGCAGCAGCACTGGACGACATCGTTACATACATGCATCTGGCTGTTGTCGTGTCTGCCAGTGAGTACAAGGCCGCGAGTCTGCGATGGTGGAACGCTGCTTGGTCGTTGGCGAGGGAAATGAAGTTGAACAGAGAACTTCCACCCAGCCCTCCGGCGCCCGGGCGAGAGACAGGGGAGGACGCGGACGCTGAGGGAGAGGTCGACATGGACGTTGATATGAACGGGATGAATCACGGTATCAGCGGGCAGGTGCACACGCCTGGAATGGTGTCGGAGGAAGAGCGTGAGGAAAGGAGGAGGATATGGTGGCTCCTCTACACCATGGATCGCCACTTGGCTCTGTGTTACAACCGGCCACTGTTCCTGCTCGACGTCGAATGCGAGGAGCTGCTTCAACCGGTCGAAGAGTCGAAGTGGCAGGCAGGAGATTACTACACAGGCAACTCTGACCAATATTCGGACTCGTCATCTCCTTACTACAGACGTAGGGGCCCATCTTTCGAAGTCACCGGCCACTCGATTTTCGGATACTTCACGCCGTTGATGACTATTCTCGGCGCGATTGTCGATCTCAACCACGCCCGAAACCACCCAAGATTCGGCAGCCGCTTCCGAGACAGCAACGAGTGGGAGCACTATGGTTCAGAGCTTTCCCAGCAGCTGGAGGCTTACGGCCGGAGCCTGGAGGATTTCGGGAAGCGCTTCACGAGCAACCTGGCGTCGGGAAACGACAACGAGACGGCAAATGGCACGGAAAACGGCAACCGCGATGCAGGCACACCCTCGGCACATTCGGTCAACTCGTCAGGCTCGCGCATCACTGAATCGATGATCCAGACCAAGATTGTGGTGGCCTATGCCACCCATCTGATGCACACGCTGCACGTCCTGGTCAACGGCAAATGGGACCCGATCTCTCTCCTGGACGACAACGACCTGTGGATCTCGTCGCAATCGTTTGTGACGGCGACGGGGCACGCGGTGTCGGCAGCAGAGGCACTCAGCGACATTTTGGAACACGACCCGGACCTGAGCTTCATGCCGTTCTTCTTCGGGATGTACCTGCTCCAGGGCTCGTTTCTCCTGCTTCTGATCGCCGACAAGCTGCAGGGCGAGGCCAGCCCCAGCGTGGTCAAGGCGTGCGAGACAATCGTGCGTGCGCACGAGGCCTGCGTGGTTACGCTCAACACTGAGTATCAGGTAAGATTTGCAGGCCCCAGCGTGGTTGGCAGACACTCAGCTGATGGTTGGCAGCGCAATTTCCGCAAAGTCATGCGGTCGGCGCTGGCGCAGGTGCGGGGGCGGTGTCTGGAAGACTTTGGCGAGCAGCAGCAGCGGCGGCGCGAGGTGCTGGCGCTGTACCGGTGGACGGGGGATGGCAGCGGCCTCGCGCTGTGAGCAACTGGCAGTCCCGACAGAGCGGGATGGATGCTCGCCGCGGCGGCAAGGCTGCGCCGTTTCGTTTTCTCTTGTCGGTTCATTCGCTCGCCACTTCTGGCGGCCGGCCTCACGTGCATGGCACGGAGAGAAGGATTTGCTTATATCGGGCTGTGATATTGGCGCACTGGGCATGTGTCTTTGAAATATACCCGCTGGTTTGGTTTTGTTGCGCGCATCTCACACGAGGCAAAAAGCCAAAAACACCTTGGATTCGCACGGCAGGCCCCGGGCCGTGATCGTCTGTAACTCTGCTGCATGGGGAGGGCGGAGATTGAGCTGATGAAGGGACGGAAGGCTTTGCGCTTCCATCGATCTCAGCGCATGACACGGTTCACAATCCATGCGGCTCATCATCGACCCCAGGCTGCAGCCCTCATCGGCCAGGCGCATCGACCCTTGACTTCCCCCTCTGCGACGCACTAGCAGCGGCATTTGACGCAGGACCGCCTTCCAGAGCCCGCCATCCAGCCAGCCCGCCGCCCGCTCGTGTACCCAGCCTTGTCGCCATGCATTTGCTGTCAACGGCCCAGCCTAGCCGCTGGGAACCGACCTGCCGCCAACGCCGTCATTTTCCTTAGCTTACCGCACGCTGCAGCCCACGGCGAAGCCGTTGGCCGAGGCCAATAGGCTCCGCCCGTTGCCCGCGCTGCCTCGAGCCACCACCATCACCGCACGCTCGACTCACTTCCATCGTCACTGTTACCTCCAAGGACCGGTCAAGACACGGCCATCATTTCCCTTGTCTCATCGAGCTGCAGCTTTTGCAGATCGTACGAGTCAACCACCGTGGCAAAGCGTGCATTCATGCTCGCCGGACGCAGCCCCATGCGACGCCCCCGGCACGCCAAATGGCCTGCGCCATGCAGCCGCCTCTCTACCTGGAGGGGGCCCGGGGCATCATGCGGCACAGCACGTGGCGAGTAAGATCTCGGCGAGTGATGTAATCCCGTCATCAGAGACGTGGCTTGCCTGTTGCTCTCTCTTCTTTTTTGCTGTGTTGTCGGTGGTGGGTGGTGGTGGTTTAGGTAGATGACCCGGGGTCCCTTGCGTCAGCAAATCATCCATGCATGCAATGCACATCCACAGTCCCGCCACCGCGTCCGCTGCGCCGAACTTCCATTTAGCCTGAATTGATAAACACAAGACAGCAGTTCCAGCTCCAACCTCGGCACATGATTCGTCCACTCTTTGTTTCATCACCTTGATGCGCTTTGTTGCGTCTGTTGTTTTGGGCCTTGTCCCTCGCCTTTATGCCAGAGAATAGAGTAGATAGGTGGGGGTGTTCTGTGGGCCCGGGCATTGTACTATAGCTCCGGTGATGGCCAAGGTTGAGTGGTCATGTTCGTATCATTTTCTTTCCCGAAAAGGAAAACGGTGGCAAGGGGTTTGGACTTATTTCTAATTTCGAGATACGGCAACAAAAGCTTGACAGCAAGCTTTCTGGCTTGTCTGCCAGGTTCCCTCAGAAGTCCGCATACAGATCAAAGCAGATTGGATGCCCAACGCGGGGCCCCATCCCGTCGTCCGATCCACTGATGCAGCAGCTACGTCTGCGGTGGTGGCAGCGTGCGACCAGATCGGCTTGATCGCAACAGATATGCCCGTCGACGTTTGAATGCCCCCAGGAAACTTTAGCCCCGCGGATGCAGGCTCCGTCGGGCGTTTTTCAAATTCTTTCTTCTTTTCCCCCTTTGCCACTCTCACGCACGATTGCAGACTCCCAGCTGCAACAATCCACAATCCGTGAATGAGCTTCCCCATGAGGCAGAGTGCTGGAGATCAGGGAATCGTATTTGTTTCTTGTATACAACCGTGCCCTCTCCATCTGGCCGAAGAGATGTGCCACGAAGGCGTTCTATTCGGCGAGGGGGCCCACACCCACAGACGCCTTTAGAAATGCCATCGGCGGCGCTTCCGATGCCCTTCATGGTCCAAGTGAACCACTTCAGCTCTACTGGAAACTCGGCGTGTCCGTGCCGGCGTTCCTGTAGTTTTTTCTTGGCCATGTACGATGCAGGTCCCATTATCGTTATACCCCCTTCCCATTATACATCTCTGATCAGGATATTCCAGAAACACGCTCCCCTTGTACTCCTCTCCCACTTTTACTCAATTCTTTTCTTCCCTTGTGCTAGTTCTGACATGGCGCAAGCCGGAAGCGGCCATAATGTCCGAGCAAAGCGCGTCAGAGCTACCCACGAGACCATGATGCCAGTTTCCTGGGAATTTTATTCCGCTAACGACAGGGGCTTGATAGCTGCTGGTGTGTGCCCTCTCGCCACGGAAGGTGCACGGGAAACCACGCATCAACGTATGAATTTGGCACATCTCCGAACCCCTCAGGTACCTGATCGATGAACAGTTGCTGCTGCTTCACCGGTCCAGTGACTTCGTTTTGTCCTCGTCGTTGGATATATGGCGGGGGGCGGCACCGGCGCCGATCATATCTCACGGACGCTATCGTGACGGGATGCGTAAAACGGGAGTTGCCGGACTAGTTATTGTGCTCTGCTCTCCCCCGCGAGAGGCTCTTGCAGGGAGCCCTGGCGGCACATCCGATGATCAAGCTTAAAGTGGCGGCCGGAGATGCGGGCGCCAGGCTGAAGTGATTAGGCACGCCGCAACGGTTCGCGAAAGAGGGAACCCCCTCTGACTCGGGATCTGCTGTCTGGAAATCCTCCCTCCCCACCCACCCCCCTGCGGGCTCGAGAGTCTCGAGACACTCCTGCAGCGAGCTTTGACGGTTATGGAAACCAGACACGGGAAAGCGGTCCGTTGCGCCCATGCATAGGCTACTTCCTGAGCCGATGGTGGCGGGAATGCTTTTCGCCAGGGCTGAGCTCAAATTATTGATGGGGACACCCAAGACGGCTAGCTGCCAAAAGCTTGGAAGAGCCTCAGTCCTTACGGATGCCTGCGTACGGGTATCGCCCAGTGTCATGAGAAGTGTTGACTTCCACGGCCTGTTCTTAATGGACTCAGCAGAGAGCATTGTGATATAACTGGTGTATGGGCGCCTTCAGCAGTTTCACCTCCGTACACTAACACAAAAAAAACAACAACAACAACAAGAAGAAGAAGACGGGTCCTAAAGGGCAAGGTGCGGCGACATCGCCAAGCTTTCAGATCAGCCCACAAAGCTCAATTCAATCAAGATCCACCATCATATCCACAAAAACGGATGCGGGGCCGTAGGAGACACCCGTAGGTGCTCGGGAAAAGCCGAGACGTTTCATACAGGGACTTTAACTCAGCATGCCGTTGGTCATCGTTCGAAGTCTGAGTGCAAGCGAGCATACAGGGCCGGCCGGCCCAACATCCAATCCAAATCTCTTTGCACACCGCCTCGAAAGCAGTAGCATGCGGGTGCCAATCTGGGAGGTGGACCCCAAAGCTGCCAAAAGCATCCCCCAAGAAATATCACACGATAGGAGTTAACAGAGCGATGTTAATGGTGGCGCCAACGAGGTCCAAAAGAGAAGCTGCGCGCCAAGGATCGGATCGGAAATGGCGAGTGCAGATCAGCAATAGGACTTAATCGAGTATTCTGGGTTTCAGGGGTACTCTCGGATCGACTTGCTTCGTCGATTTCTTTTGTGGTAGTTTGCTCGCCCTCGGCAAGCCTATTTGGTGCAGGCAAACAACACACCCCATCTCCACCAAGGAAAACTCCGTCGCGGCGCGGGCTCATGCACCGCACGTTCACCGCACACACAGCCGCGCGTGACCGGTACGGGGAGACTCTGCAGATGGAGCGGTCGATCAAGTCGTCGGGGATATCAGCTGGCACGGCTGCAGCAGGCTTGGGTACGTGGCTGGAAGATGGCCCCATGAACGCAACCCCCGAGCTTCCAATTCAGCCACCGCCGCCTTGCGACGTCAGAAGTTTGGTGGCGGCGCCAAAACAAAAGAGTGGATACAGCCAGGATCCGGTGCTTGAAATCGAAGCGCTCCAACACAGTCCCAGGGGTGGACAGGGACTGGGCCGGAAAGACGGGAAATGATTCCGGCGATGCTGCGCTATAGGCGTGGTCTGCTAATAACAAGGGCTGCACATCCCGTCAACCGCACAGATGCCTGGAACATCGTTGTACCACCATGAGCGGACGCTGCACACCTGATCCAGTTCAAATCTTCCCCTCATTTCGGCCCCCCAACCGGACTTTGAAAGGCTTTGCGCGAATACATTGTGACGAGTCACGCCCGTGTAGGTCGCTGCTTTGGGTGTGATTGACGGGACCCGCAGGCACGGCCCGTCATTCTTCGTTGCGTGCTTGTTGCCTGCGATGCAAGCATTTGCGTCAGTCGCATTCGAGCCGGGAGGGTGCCAATGCTCACCAAGCAGAAGCTGCTGCCGGCTTTTGAGTGAGAGACAAGGTTGGACGTGTCACGTCCCGAAAGGAATCAATGAAGTGGATCCACCGGCTCCGCCAGGAGAGATAAAGAAACGGTATGTACAAGGACTACTCGTGGTGGCGAAACGTTGGAGCGGAGCGGGGCTGAAACTGTCGTTTGGGGCGTCATCCGGTGTTATGCAAAGAGAGGTGGATTGATAAGTGTGGGGATGATGAAGGTACGTCGAGCTGTGTGGCCATTGATAGAAGTGGAAGGCTGGGCGGGGATTCTGGTTATGTATGTATGTATGTGTTGGGTTCTTTGGTTAGAGTATGCTCAAGCCATATCGCGCAAGTGAAAACAAAACAGATTTGCAAAGGGAGAGTTTCACGTCTTGCTTATATTTGCTCGGTAAACCCAAGATGCCCGTGAAAAGGTAATCGCAAAGATGCGTAACATCAAAGGATGTACTACAATTAGGTTCTCACAGAATCGTACTCCTACTTCGCGGTCTTCAACGCAGGTACTTCCTCGTCTTTCGGTAAGATCGAAGGCTCCGGACCAACAGGGGTGATGCTCTAAAAGTTTCACGCATTCATCAGCAAGCGACCGCCAGAACCAGTGAAAAAAACAGGGGGGGAGGCAGACTTACGAAAGGGTTGATCTGCTTGTGGCTCTTCGTGTAGTGCTTCTTGATGTGTTCAAACTGCGTCGTCTCGCCGAAGGCCGGTACGTCCCAGTACAGCTTCCTTAGCCAGCGGTGAATGGCCGGGTAGCCGGAGCGGATATCACGGATGTTGCACTTGAAGTGCTGGACGTAGACGGGATCGAAGCGCACGATGGTCGTGTATAGGCGCACGTCGGCCTCGGTGACGTTGTCGCCGAAGTAGAAGGGGCCGGGAGAGGAGGCGAGGTGGGCCTCAGCGCGGTCGAGCGAGGCGAAGAGCTGCTTGACGTTGCGCTCGTAGGCATCCTGGGTGGTGGCGAAGCCGGACTTGTAGACGCCGTTGTTGATGTCGTTGTACGTCCACTCGTTGGTGGCTTCGATGTCGGCCTGCAGCGCGTCCGGGAAGAGGTCCACACGCTTGTACTCGGCTGGCAGCAGGTCGTCGAACTCGTGGTAGAACATGCGGATGATCTCGCTCGACTCGTTGCTGACGATCCTCTTGGCCTTCTTGTCGTACAGCGTGGGCACGGTGAAGCGGCCTTCGTAGTTGGGGTTCTGGCTGAAGTAAATGTCACGCAGGTGGGTGAAGTCCGGGTGCAGCGGGTCGGGCGTGGTGTTGGCGCCGGGAACGTTCTCGTCGGGCGTGGCGAAGCGCCATCCTATCCGAGCCATCAGTCATGGTGGCGAGCAGCTGGGTCCCTCGCACGACCTACCCTTCTCGAGCATTTCCCAGTGCACGCTCGTGTAAGAAACGAAGTCCTCCAAGCCCTTGAGCTTCCGTACAATGAGCGTCCGGTGGGCCCACGGGCATGCATACGAAACGTAAAGATGATATCTCCCCTTCTCGGCCGGAAACTCGGCGCCGGGCTTGCTGGAGATGAAGTTGCGGAAAACAGACGTCTGCCTCTTGAACTCTCCCGACTTGTCCTTTGGATCCACCCAATTGAGGATGTCCTTCTTCTCGGTCTGCGCGCGTGACTCGGTTAGTGCTGGCTTCAAAGGCAGAGCAAGGGTGGGGCTGTTGCTGGCGACGTACCGACATGTTTGCGGTGAGAAGCTGTGGTCGGAGCGTAGCCTGGATGTGCCTGCCAATGAGTCTTGTGCGTGCGAGGGCGGGATGCATGAAAAGTTGCGTGGTGGGGTGCCAATGGTTACGGGCAATGTTTATGTATGCGGGTAGCTGCTGAGCTCGTCGCGCTTCGGCCGATCGCCGCCCCGCTTTCGTCATCCATTCGAGGGCTTGGCGCCTGCTGACCAAACCTTACAAACCCCTGCTTTCCCATTGCTTGACCATCGCACTCGAGCCTGGTCGTGACTAAAAGATTACCCATGCTTTGCATTACACCTCGACTCGTCGACACAGGACTCTTGGTTGCACATTCGGCATAATGCTTCTATTTGTACACCGCAGCGCGTCCCATTCAGGGAATGTCGTGACTCTATAACCCATACCACCCTTCGCCATACCAGTGCGTCCGAGAAGCAATTATTCCTCCCACTCGGGGTTCTGTCACACAATTAGCAAAGCCCACTACGCTCGCCCTGCGTCAAACATACCTTTCTTAGGATCACCACACCCTCCAACGTGCTGTTCAGGCTGATGTACTGTTCGTCTTCCAGCTCCGCCCGCTCTCCAAACGACAGCAGCACCGGCGTGCTCTGTGTCTGCCACCCAGTGATCGTCTTCGGGCGACCTGCCTGCCCAACCACATCCACCGCCTGGCCCACACGCACATTGACCGTCAACGGCTTCAACTCCTCGTCCAGCGTGATCAGGAACCGAGGTTGCATCGCAGTCACCATGAAGTAGAGCAGGTAGTGCGAGTCAGAGAGCACAAACTGCTTGGCGTCGATGAGCGAGACAAGGACCGTAAGGAGGCCTGCCGCAGAGACACGCGACAGAACCTGCCGGTCAGTGTGGAACGGGTTGACCGAGAGAGTGCCCTTGCCCATGTGCAGCAGACCTTGGGCGATCCGCACCATGAACAGCGCGTTGGGGTCGCGCGAGTAGTAGCTTGCTAATTGCCTGAGCAACTGCGCAAGACGAGCGTTGTTGGTGCCCGCCCCGACAAGACCCATGGCGAAGATGGCATTGATGGCCACGTCGTTGTCGTTGTCGTGGCTGTACCTCGAGAGCGTGTCGTACACCTTCATTTGAGGGTTGCTCGGGCTGATGAGACCCAAAGCCAACGGAACAGCCTTCCTGATGTTCGTCTCACCATAGTGCATCAGGTGGCCGAAGGTCCGGAGCACCATCTCCTGGCCAACCTCCTCGCCCATGGCGACCAAGCTGATACCAATGACAGCGTATGCTTGTAGAAGCTCGTCGCCCTTCTTTTCCTCGTTGTCTTCGTCAATCTGCTCGTTGCAAATGTGGAGCAACTGTTGAATCTTGAGCACCGCTCCGGTACCTGCCCACGCGCAAACTTCCGCAAGAACCGAAGTTGGTTTCGACATGGGGTGGTCGATCGCCTTCAGCGTCTCCAGAATGACGTCAACCTCTTCTTGTTGACCAAAAAAGAGCAACGCAAGACCGAGAGCCATGAACCGCGTCCACTTGTCCTTGAGCTGCTTCGTCCGGTCCTCATCCAGGAAAGTCTGGATGATGGCCTCACTCACATCACTGTGAGCAGAACCAACAAAGATCATGCCCAGCGACAGAGCCGCCATGGCCGACAGCTTCATGTCCAGCGAGGTATCGCTGACAATGGGCAGGAGAAGCTCGAGAAGCTCTTCCTTGTTAGATCCGGCATATGCCAGGCCAAGGCCCATGATGGATGCTACGCGAATGGCCACCGTCTTGCTTTCCAGGTTGTCTGCGTCGCCAAGAAGAGCCATAGCCGGGTCAGCATCGCTCCTCACACCCGAGTTGACTATGCCGCTAGCGAGCATGGCTCCTGCCTTGATCTGATCCTCGTCCAGATAGGTGTAGCGGTCGATTTTGTCCAGACCTCCTTCGGTATCCCATTGCATCAGCAGACCCACTGATGCTGCCGTTGACAACATGCCCTCATCCTTGGTCCTCCACACCCAGCTCTGCTTATCCTCCTCAACTAGCAACATCTTGTCGTTGCCGAATCCGGCGTTCACGAAGGCATTGACAAAAGCGCTGGCAAGGTTGTGTCTGGCCGAGTCCGTGTTGGTGAGACCGGCTGTGCGACTGCTCTCGAGGTGCGTCTTGTAGATGTCATCAGGCGTCTTGGGGTCCAGAATGTTGAGCTCCTTTGCAAGAACCTTGAAATGGTCCGCGAGCCTGGTGTTGTTCAGGCACTCGGCCAATTCGCCGTCCTCCTCTTCCTCGGGCAGATCAATGACTATTCTTTGGCGGGCAATGAGGAATGCCAGCTGCTTCTTGATAGACTTGTCCTCGGTGGCGTTGAATGCGTCTTGGATCTGCTCCTTATCGTTCAGGCGGATCGCAATCACCATGGCCTGTGTGAACTGCTTGTAATCGCGGTAGATCTTGTACGCGGTGCGGAGGAAGCGGTCGTTATCAGGGTAGGTGAGGAGAGGAACCATGCTGCGACAACGTTAGCGCTAGGAGCTGGATCGGAGCTTTTCAGACGACACCCACCTGACCATATACAGTGCAACGCGTGAGAAGGTGTTCTCATCGAGATACTGGTCGATCGATTCAATCATCTCGAGCTCGCTAAGGATGTCGACAGCGTCGGCTTCAGCGTTGTGCTTGAGGAAGAAAGGAACAAGGTTCAGGCCGAGGTCAACGAGCTCATCGGCGACCTTGTCGTCGTTCAGACGATCCTGGAATTCCTGTCCGATCTCCAGAGCCAGGTGGCGCATGTACTCATGTCCCCACGAGCCCAGGTCCTTCGATGGGGAAAGCAGACGGTACTTGAGAGTATCGCGGCGGTTCTCGTCTGAGTAGGTCATGCCGAGAACCGACATCATATCTGCTAATGATTGCTGCAATCAAGGTTAACACTCATCTCTGGAGAATGCTGACTGGTATGTCCGTACCTTGTCCTCGCCTTCCGGCCATGATTCGTACGTCTTCGCGAGCGAGTCGTAGTGCGGGCGGAGGAACTTGAGCGGCTTGGGGACCGCGGTCATAGACGAGGTGGAGGTCTTGATGAAGTTCTTGATTGCTTCTAGTGCAGGCTTGTACAGGCTGGTGTCGGGTTCCTGTCGGGCAAGTGTCAGCAAGTCGGTAGAGCAAGCAACGAAGGCAAACGCACCTGTATCCGCTCGACGAGCATGTCGAGTTCGTTCTTGAGCTGCTGATCCTCCTCGCTCAACTCCTCTGCGGCTGTGTCAGTGGGGCGGGTACGTGATGCGGCGAACGACGCGGCGACAATAGACTGACCTGCGGGCATGACCTTCTCATCTTCCTTGATGGGGTTGCCATCCTTGTCCTTCTTGACCTCCTTGGGCGTCTCGTCCACAGCCTTGGCCTTGCCCTTGTCGGCGGCGGTGGGCTTCTTGTCGTCCTCGTTCGCCATCTCGGAGCAGTACTGGTGAGCAGCGGAAGGCGGCGGGGCGAGTTGGCGGCGCGCAGGAAACGTGAAGACCTGCGGAGATGACGGACGGCGGATGGGCGGGAGTTGCGACTACGACGAAGGATGGGGGGTTGGTTGAGGGAAGGGAGTTGGTGTTGCTGAGGTCTTGGAGCTGCTGCTGGAGGCGCGCTGGAAGCTCGTCGCACCGGCCACTCATGCCGTAGATGAGCCGGCGAACACAAAAGTGATGCAACACCGCCCGCCGCCCGCACTGTTTTTGCGCAATAATTTCGCCCGCACCCACGCCCAAGCTCCCCCAATCTTTCGGCGCCATGAAGCTCGATACCAAGGCCATCCGATACCTCACCCAGGATGACTGGCGTGTGCTCACTGCGGTACGCACGCGGGCCCTTCGCCAACTGCCCTTGCGACTGACGGCTGATGAGCGCGCAGGTTGAGATGGGCAGCAGGAACCATGAAGTCGTCCCCACCCCTCTGATCGGAAGCATCTCGGGGCAGCGCGGAGGTGTGCATCGGTGCATTTCCAACCTGGCAAAGGTCGGCCTCATAGGCAAAGTAAAGAATGCGAAATACGACGGATACCGCCTGACCTACGGCGGACTCGATTACCTCGCGCTGAACACGCACTGCAAACAGAACACCGTCTTCAGCGTAGGAAACCAGATCGGTGTAGGGAAGGAGTCCGACATCATCGTTGTTGCCTCGCCCAGCGGAGTTCAGAGGGTCCTCAAGATTCACCGTCTTGGCCGCATTTCCTTCCGCACCGTCAAAGCCAACCGCGATTACCTCCGCAACCGCTCCTCGGGGTCCTGGATGTACATGTCGCGGCTGGCGGCAATGAAGGAATTTGCCTTCATGAAAGCCTTGAACGACAACGGTTTCGTCGTGCCCGAGCCGATCGCGCAGAACAGACACACCATTGTCATGAGTTTGATAGATGCTTTTCCGTTGAGGACCATATCCAGCGTACCCCAACCGGAGAAGCTCTACTCAGAGCTCCTGAACATGATTATTCGCCTCGCCAAGTATGGTCTTATCCATGGTGATTTCAATGAATTCAACATTCTGGTTGAGGAGAAGGCAGAGCCATCCAGTTCGAATGACGTTGATGCGCCACCGAAGATTACGCTTAAACCTGTACTCATTGACTTCCCTCAGATGGTGTCTATCGACCATTCAAATGCAGAGTACTACTTTGACAGGGATGTAAACTGCATCAAGCGATTCTTTGAACGCCGTTTCCATTTTGTCAGCGATGAGCCTGGACCATTCTTCAAAGACGCTATCAAGTCAGTTGGCGAAGCTGCTGGAGCCAGGAGGTTGGATATTGAGGTTGAGGCGTCAGGGTTCAGCAAGAAGATGGCAAAGGAATTGGAGTTATACATGCGGGACGTTGGTGTGGACGGCGATGGCGACGGCGACGGCGACGGCGACGGCAATGCTGAGGACGACGGTGAAGGGTCTGAAGAGGAAGAGGATGAGGATGAGGATGAGCAGACGGACTCAGCAGCGAATGGCGATGTTCTTGCAAGGTCTCACGACGACGAGACAGATCATGACCTCCACAACGGCATGACTGTTCTCCACATCGACGACGATACTCCAGACATTACACATGACGACATCCAGCTTTCTGCGAAGCAAGTTCCCCCGAAATCGAAGGGATCAGCAAAGAAAGCTTCGGGCTGGGCTATATGAGCCCTGGGGCTCGATGTTCTAACTTCTTCAAACGCCTACAAGCCTCTGACTACTGTCTAAACGTGCAGGTCCCTAGGGCCATGCGAAGTAAAAACGCCATGCAGCGCGCACTTTCGCACCCGGCACTCTACCTTGGGAATGGGAAGGCTCTCGTTGTGCAAGGCTTTGGATGGAAGGCTATTCCGTCACGGCTCTAGCAGGCATAGCGGGTGGATGGCGCGTGTCGCATCGCGTCGGACAACATGAAACTCCGTTGCGGTGTCCGCGGATTCCGCGTATGAAACGGCAGTTGGGCGCGGGTGGACCAAGATAGATATTCGATCCGTCATGGCCCAACGTTGCACATGTGGCTAATGCTGTCAGAAGCACGCCCTGCGTGAGGAGATGCACCGGCCGCCCAATGAACAGCGGCGGTAGATAGGACTAGCTTGGTGATCGCCCGCATGGAATACAGCGACAGTGCTCACAATCGGATCGCCAATGCATGGTGTGATCGAGTCAAAGAGCAAGCCTCAGGGAGCAGCTGTTGGGAGGACGCAGCGGGAGAAATTTTCGCGCAGCACGCGACACAGGGAATCGGGCAGCGGCTCGCGGTAGTGCACTAGAGCACAAGCACCGCGAGGACATGCCAAAAGGGTCGCACCGCCGGGCGCGGGCTCAGAGCATACCGTCGCTTAGCTCCGGTATCTGGGTGAGTGGAGCTCGACGCCGCCCGCCGCCGCCCCCGCGACCAGTCACCACACAGCGCCGCTACTGACTCGGCACGATAACAAGATGCCCGCCGTCATATCGCCTCTGGGCGCTTTCCCGGATCTTTTTCCCTCATGGTCTGACCAATTCCCGCCCATATATTGCCCGCTCACGCGCATTTGAAGCCTCTACGCCCGATAGCTGCCGTCGCCCAGCTAGACACCATGGGTCCCTACACAGCGCCTTCCTCCGCTGCAGACCAGTCATCGCGCCTACTCAGTACGTCATTCAGGTCGCATATGAGCTCTTTCAGCGCTTCGTCGCCCATTGCCGAAGCTGCCATCGCGCGCGACATCGAAGAGGAAGCCGAGCAAGCAGGCACACAGCAAGATGATGACGACGAGCCATATGGCTGGGCCATCAAGCCTTCCGACCATGCGCTCGCCGAAGGTTACCGCCGCCCAAATTACGTCGCCACCGGACCGCGCGCCGCCGTCGTCCAGAACATGTCCGTCCCGGAGCATGGCTATCTAACGAAGCGCGAAGCCGAGGAGGCGCGAAACGACGCGCGCAGTCTTTTGCGCGACAATTCCCTCCTCCCTCCGAAGCACCCTCGCCGGCGGTCCAGCGGTGGCCAGTCCTCATTCAAGGGCTTGAGCGCGCGCCTCTCGATCCCCAGGCTTCGCAGGAGCATTGACGAGGAGGCTATGGTAGACGATGCTGTTGACAACGGCGTATCCGATCTGTCAGAGCGCACTGCGCTACTTGGCGCCGCAAGACCAGCAGATCCGACCAAGCCCTATGGAGGTTTGGACACGCCGGACAACATCCGGCAGAAGTGGGAGGAAGCTGTGACGGCTGGAATGATCTCGACTACATGGCAAAGAGAGGCCAAGGTGCTGGCGAAATATTCTCCTTCACTAATTCTCACCTTCTTGCTGCAATACTCGTTGACTGTTGCGAGTATTTTCACCGTTGGCCACATTGGCAAAGTCGAACTGGGTGCTGTCAGCCTGGCCAGTATGACGGCCTCCATCACCGGCTACTCGGTCTACCAGGGCCTTGCCACTAGCTTGGACACACTGTGCGCCCAAGCTTATGGATCGGGCCATAAAACACTAGTCGGACTGCAGTTGCAGCGCATGGTGTATTTCTTGTGGACCATCACCATTCCAATTGCGTTCATATGGTTCTTTGGCACCCAGATTCTCGAAGCCATCGTCCCTGAGAAGGAGACCGCAAGACTAGCAGGACTTTACCTGAAGGTTCTCATTGCTGGCGCACCAGGCTATGCCGCCTTTGAGAGTGGCAAGAGGTTCGTTCAAGCACAAGGGCTATTTTCAGCAACCTTCTACGTACTGCTAATTTGTGCTCCGCTGAACGCGTTCATGAACTGGCTTTTTGTTTGGGTGAGTAATCTTGGCGTCCGACGTTGGGCTTCAGACGAGACTGACGCGCATACAGAAATTCGACTGGGGTTTTGTTGGTGCTCCCATCGCTGTCTCAATCACTGAGACTCTCATGCCACTGTTCCTCTTCCTCTATGTGCGCTTCGTGGACGGCATGCAATGCTGGGGTGGATTCTCGCGTCTGGCCCTGAGGAACTGGGGCCCCATGATCAGGCTTGCTCTCCCGGGGCTCATTATGGTGGAGGCTGAATTCTTGGCTTTCGAAATCCTGACCCTATCCGCTTCCTGGATCTCGACTACGCATCTTGCTGCGCAGAGCGTCCTCAGCACTCTCACTGCCATCACCTACCAGATTCCTTTCCCCGTCTCAATCGCGGCCAGCACGCGCATTGCCAACCTCATTGGTGCCACGCTCTCGGACGCGGCGAAGACGGCTGCCAAGGTAGCATTCATTGCAGAGTTCGGCATTGGTATTCTGAACGTTGTGCTCCTTTCCTCACTCCGAAACTACATTCCTCAGCTTTTCACCAACGACGAAGACGTGGTCGAGGTTGTGGCTGCCATCCTACCTCTGTGCGCCGCGTTCCAGCTGTTCGATGCGCTAGCAGCGTGCTGCGGTGGTATCCTGCGCGGCATCGGTCGCCAGGAGGTGGGCGGTTACGTCAACCTTATCTCTTACTATCTCATCGGCCTACCCATCAGCTTTGGAACCGGGTTCGGATTGGGATGGGGCTTGTATGGCCTGTGGGCGGTAAGTGACTGGACCATTGCTGGCATGAAAGCCCGGAAGCTAATAATCAATCCAGGGACCCGCTCTTGCACTCGGCATTGTTGCTCTCGTTGAGTATATATTCATTCACAAGACTAGCTGGGAAGCTGCGGTCGAAGATGCGCAGAAGAGGAACCTGGAGAATTAGCGGGCTTCGTAGAATGATTTGGTTTCATTTTGCTTTCGATTGGTTGTTCGAGTATCTGTCACCCCGGTTTCGTCTCGCGTATACCTTGTCTGGTTTCTGTCTGGGCGTTCTTTGGGACTGCGCTGCGCTCTACGATGGGTAATAAGACTGGCGTAAGGGATGGAAAGCCCCGAGACTTCGTGCTATATATCTCTCCAAGCACGAAGCTTCGATTCACTTGCAAATGCCTTCAAACCGCTGACGATTGAATTTATCTTCTTCCTATTTTCTTGCTTCCCTCACACCAACACCATGATGAGATAGGGATTAACAGCCTTGGCTCGAACATGCTGGATATGGATCTCGAAATGGCCGTCCGACACAGCATGACGATTGAGCTACGTCTGGAAAATGCGAGACATGACGTAAAGGGAATCAAACACGGTTGGCCGAGTGATGGATGTGGGCGATGCAAGCTACTGAGGTGCCTCCTGTGGCTTCGCCGCGGGCACGGACGCTGGCAGCCACAGATCAGGGTCCATAGACTACAGCGACTCACCTCACGCCAGCCCGCCCGGACGAGCGATTGCCTTTCTTGGCTCAGCAGCGCAGCCCCGTGTCAGTTTTCCTCGTCCAACCTCTCGAGCCCGACCGCCCCACTTCTTGTCAACCAACACCTCCTCGACGTCCTTCGCCAGTCCTGCGCACCGACATCAACCAACAAAAAGTGCCGACGGCGGCTTTGCCGACGCCGTCTTGAAGATGCCTACAGATCTCGAGAACGCGAGACTCATGCTCCTTTGCCTGCAATTCAGCACCGCCACCACCGTAAGTGCATCGAGCCCATGCCGTGCGGGTGCAGCTTTCACTGACTGTCGCCAGTTCGACTACAAAAAGATCGGCGAGGAATGCGGCATCTCCGCTGGCGCCGCCAGCAAGCGCATGAGCCGCCTCAAGAAGGCCATCAAGGAAGGAAAAGAGACAAACCTCGACGTCCGCTACCTGTGGTCTTGCATTCGGTTGTCGGACATGGACAATGTGAGTGTCTCACTTCGTTTATGCGCCACAGCCTTTTCTTTCTTCTTCACCTCGCCGCCGCACATCTCACTTCTGTTTACACGCCTTTCGCGTTCCCCCGTCACCGTTGGTTGCAATCCATGCATGAAGAAGGCTCATGGGACTTGTCTTAGGTCGACTTCAAGGCTGTGGGCGCTGAGCTCAGCCTCAATCCTGGCGCGGCATCCAAGCGCTGGTCGCGCCTGAAGCAGGCACTCGAGCGTGGTGAGACGGGCTCCACCGGCCCGGCCACCGGTGCTGACGTTGGAAAGCAAGGCGGCGCCAGAAACGGCAAGAAGCGTCAGAACGCTGAAATTGCAAGCGATCAAGAGCCTGACGCTGCCAATGCCAAGAAGGCAAAGAGCAAGCCTGGCACTACTCGCAAGACCAAGGTCGAGGAGAAGATTGGCAACGATGACGACGGTGCTGCAGAGCCTCTCAGGGAAGCAGTCACGACTGGCGCTAAGAACAAGAAGTCAACCGTCGACGCCGACACCGACGTCACCCGCGTCACTGCCGAGACGCCCAAGGCCAAGTCTGCTCCTCGCCTTCGCCGCCCCAGACCCTTGACGGATGAGGAGATATACAAGAAACTCGATGTCGACGAGGCTGAGATTCTGGAGAAGCGTAGCATGGGCCCCAACCCAGTTCGCGCCTACCCCAAGGCTCACAACCTTACTGACACCTTCCATGCCCTGCGCACGCCCGACGGCAAGGAAGTCGCCCCCATCAGCGGTGTCTTCGACAACATCATCTCCCCCGGCGGCGCCCCCGCTGGCGGCTACCCCACGCCGACTGACAACAGGGTTTTGCCGAGCGAGCAGCAGCAACAGAACAAGCCCAATTCGCAGGAAATCTTCGCCGAGGATGCTATGATGAGCCCGAGCGGCGGCGGCGGTAGCACCGCCGATAGCACCATCACAGCCGACCAGCAATCCTCGACTAAGAATAGCAAAAGCAATGGCAGCGTTGTTGGCGATGACTGGTTCCAGGTCCCACAGAACCTACCGAATCCCTTTGTCGACAGCGGCGCTAACGGCGGCGGTCGTGCTGCCCGCGTTGACTACATGTCTGCGTTCTTCCTCAGCAATGATGATGTGCCGGGCGATGATGAGGAGTATTGCTGAGCGGGGGAATAATTGATGCTAGCAGCTTAGCGGGTGGGATGACTGTTGCTCTTTTTCTTTGTCGCTGCTGGAACGGGTGGTGACTGGTGAGGGTGGTTCACGGACTTGCTTCGGTATTTCTTCTCTTCTTTTTCCTCCAATTTAATATCCTGGAGTCCTTCGTGGTCGGGGATACTACTCCCTTCGCTGCTTTGGAAAGGATGGTGGATTTCAAAGCTGAACGGTAAGGTGGTACCACGCTTTTTCAGGATACTACTGCTACCCCTATCCAAAATGAATTCCAGGTGGTGGGGAACGTAAGCGGCCTTGTTATTTCCAAGAACGATCGGCAGTAGTTTTACAGGCCCACTGGTTAGTCAAAGAAAGAGCAAGAGGGAGATACATAGGACCAAAAAAATCTAAAGAATGTTTTCCAGCGGATCTGGGCTTGTTCTCCCCAGAGGCTGTGAGATTTGATAGGTTGTTTCGAAGGGATCTCCGAAAGAATTAGCCACACGGCGGGTTGGGAGAGCAATCGATCTGCAGCGACCCTTTGTGTAGATGCAAGTGACAAACAAATGAATGTATCCCAGATGTAAGATCCCGCTACCTTTGCAAGAGGGATACAGGCGGTGCAATGTCTTTGGTAATTCACTGCGGGCACATCTATAGTCATGTTACTGGATGGGGTGGTCCCCGTTCCGGTGGGCGAGTGCTTGACGGGAGGTGAAACAAGCGACCGAAGCTTGTATTCCCTCGACTGTGAAGCCGACGACAACCGTTAAATAGATGTCAAAGGAGCGAGATATATTCCATCTACCTACCCAGCGCATGGTGATCAACTTGCCGATCCAGTTGCCAGCACATGCGCCCTTCTGGGGTGATGCGGGGAGAAGTGCGGACTGGCGTCGTGGAGAAAGCACGCAACATAGGGGATGCTCCATGGCTCGATTCCTTAAGGATTTGTTACGGCATGCTTCGCGGCCTTTTCCGTGCAGGAGGAGAGATGCAGCGGGGTTGGTATCTGACACGAAGAAGGCGCAGTAAATAGGGATGGCCGTGGAGGTTGGTGCCCGTCCTTCCCAAAGGGTTTGATGTCAAGGGCTCAAGGCAGGGGGAGGAGCACCTCATTGTGGAGGCATGTGAGTTGACGCGTCAGCCTAATAATAGCAGACAGCTCGCGCCTCGTGTCCGCGATGGTTGTTTGATCGTTGGCAGCAGGACAACCGTGGCGACCGTGGCGGGCGTGTGCGCAGGCTCGGTAGCGCACAGCCGCCGTCCAATCGCAATCTTCGGTGCCTGGACGTGGGACGCCTCCCGCATCTCCCGCAACTCCCGCAGCCCCAACACCATCCGCTCTCCCTACCACCGAGAATCGCAACAGGGTCCGCCGCGCGAGGACCAACCGGGGCTACCCCGAAACGTGTGCCAGGATGAAGCAGCCTTCAGCCTCCCGCTGTGCTGGCACGCTGACCCGAGGATCCACTCGGCCTCCGCTGCGACAGCGCTCCAGTTTTCCCCGACGTCATAGGTCGACCGACCCACTACCTTATTTCGAATGATCGGCCGCTGCTCGCACACCTAAAAGGCTTACTCAACCTTCTTTCGACAGCCTGTGTCCTTGCGCCCGCCGCCTGCACGCTCGCCGAAGGTCCGCGAAAAACTCCAGACCCCAGAAAACCCGTGGCTGTGCCGTCGCGCCGCTGGTGCTCGCCAGCTCCACCCCAGGCGGACAGGCGACCCATAAGCACAGTGCCAAGAGCTCTTGGCCCCTTACCGTCGCCTTGCAGGCTGCCTGACCAGTGATCTTCCCAACCGGACCCGCTGATAATCTCTCCTGAAGCGCTGAGCCGCTGCGGTGCCGTTGCCCAGCGAGCTTGAGCCCTCTTCTTTTCAACATGACGTCTCGTCGCGCCGGCTCTCTTCCTGCTCCTCGACCCATACCTTCGCTTTCCCCAGCAGCCACCCTTTCGCCAAGATAAGATATCCGATGTTGGATCTGGTTTATCCACTCGCTCTGAGATCCACACTTTCCATTCTCTCGCTCTCTCCACGCCTGACGACGCAAGCCTACGGTTGACTCCATCATGCGCTTCTCGCTAAGCAGTTTATTATTACTCTCCACCGCTGCAACTGCCCTCGATGTCTCTTGGGATGATGACAGTATGTCTCTCCCGTCGACCGCCACCATCGCTTCTTGCTTGCTGACCCGCCCTCAGACTCTGTCAAGAAAGGCATAGAGGCCGTCGCCAAGGGAATGACTTCCTACTACACCGGTTACCGGCCCGGAGACGTACCCGGCAACTTGCCCGATCCGTACTACTGGTGGGAAGCCGGTGCCATGTTCGGCGCCCTGGTCGACTACTGGTACTACACGGGCGACGACCAGTTCAACTCCATGACGACCCAGGCCCTGATCCACCAAATGGGCGAGGACGCCGACTACATGCCCGCAAACCAGTCCAAGTCGCTGGGTAACGACGACCAGGGCTTCTGGGCCCTGTCAGCCATGGCCGCGGCTGAGAACAAGTACCCGGATCCCGACCAGGGTCCCGGGTGGCTGGCGCTGGCGCAGGCCGTCTTCAACGAGCAGGCGAGCCGGTGGAACGAGGATACGTGCAACGGCGGCCTGAAGTGGCAGATCTACACCTTCAACCAGGGCTTCGATTACAAGAACACCATCTCGCAGGGCTGTCTGTTCAACATCGCCGCCCGCCTGGCACGCTACACGGGCAACGACACCTACGCCGACTGGGCCGAGAAGACGTGGAAGTGGACCTACGATGTCGGACTTATTAGCAAAGATTACCACTTCTACGACGGCACGTCGGACGCGTCGAACAACAACTGCACCAAGAAGGATCACACCCAATGGACGTACAACTCGGGCATTTTCTTGTACGGATCAGCGGTGCTATGGAACGTGGTAAGTCGCGCTAACTGATGCCCCGCCCTCCTGCATCTCGCCCCCCAGCCTAACATATTCCTTCTCTCCAGTCCGCCGAAGCCGGCAACGAAAACAACATCTGGCGCGAGCGCACCGAAGGCATCCTCAAGGCCCTCCGCGTCTTCATCTCGCAGGACGTACCCAACGTCATCACCGAAGTCGCATGCGAAAAGTCGGGCACGTGCAACATGGACCAGCGCTCGTTCAAGGCGTTCCTGGCGCGCTGGATGGCAGCCACGACCAAGGTCGCGCCGTGGACGACGGAGACGCTCGACCCCATCCTCAAGGCGTCGCGCGAGGCGGCCGCCAAGGCGTGCACCGAGGCCGACGGCAAGACGGTCTGCGGCCTGCAGTGGACCACGGGCAGCTTCGACGGCACCACCGGCGTCGGCGAGAACATGGCCGCCCTCGAGGTCATGTCCACCGCCCTCATCCAGCACGTTGACGGCCCGCTCACCACCAAGACGGGCGGCACGAGCAAGGGCGATCCCGGCGCCGGTGGCGACGCGGCCGGCGCGAGCACTCCGAAGCGCAGGCCGCCCATCACGGCTGGCGATAAGGCGGGTGCCGCCATCTTGACCATCGTTTGCATTGTCGGCACCTTGGGTGGTGGCTTCTGGTTGCTTATGCCGTAATTTGAAGAAGTATAGTATGTGGATGGCATGAAAGAGGAGGCAGCACCCACCCATCGTGGTAATTCTCTTCTCTTTGGACTTTCGATCATTTCTTTTCGGAATGACTCGTTTTTTTTTCTTGCTCTTGAAAGCATGGATGTCCGGCGATGTGATGGGAGAGGAGGGAACTGAACTTCATGGGATCTGGCTTCTCCGATCGGGTGGCGGCCGATAAATTCTTTTTTACGTTTTGGGTCTGGGACAAATATTTCTGGGTACTGGATATACCATTGGGCTAGGGAAAGCGCAAAGCGAAAGCTTTCATCTTTTGGTTTTTTTTTTCGTTTTTTTTCTTTTTGAATTGAAGAACTGGTTCAATTTTCGACAACGACGCACGCGGTTTTTTTGTCGCTTTTTCTTTTTCTTCTCTCTAGCTCGTGTTCCGCAAAGGCTGGAGGGGAAAGTGTTGGTGGGAGAGAGAAGCTGCTGGCGCTAATGTGTAGTAGTAGTAGTAGCCGTCGCCGCCGCCGCCGCGGTATGAGAAGTTACTTGACCTTTTATTTTTTTTCTCTCTTCCTCCCGGGAAGCTCGCTGCCATCGTCCGCTGCTGCTGATGGAGATGATCGTACAGGATTTGATACTAAAGACATCTAGCCAATACCATTTTTTTTTCGCCAAGGGCAACCGAGCTCCAGATCGCCATCATGTGAATGAGGCAAAAGCCAGCACTGTATTCAGTCGATCACTCTGCCTCTTCGTCTTCTTTTCTTTTGTTTTTCAACAGGCTTATATTCATCTTCTGGCCAATCAAGCAAATCAGGCAACTATTCAACGCGAGAAGGGAACGGAAAAGGAAAAAAGGAGGAAGAGCAACACTCCCGTCTATGCAAGTCAACCATCGCCTGTCCCATGCAAAGAACTTTGATCCCTCCCGAGGCGGAAACGAGAGAAGGAGAAAAATAGCAAAGGAGAATAAACCAGTGAGGCCTCTCCCGCCTCGTCCACCGAATATATCCACCCATCCACCATGCCAAGAGAGAGGTCCACCACCTATCCTGTTCCCGCCGAATTAGTCGATTTCATACCTACACACAACGAGAACTGCCGTGACCGTGAGGGGAAAATAGCAGAACATGGAAGGACTGTGTAAAAAATGACGGGATTGGATCGAGAGAAAGCGTCCCCATCCACGGACAAGCCGGCAATCCTGACGTCCACCACCGCTCGCATCCTTCCCATCTCCGTGGCTCTTGTCTACGCGAAGTAGCTCTTCCACAACACGCCTTCCAGATCCTCGAGCTGTTCCGGTTCAAATGCCTGCGGATTCCGTCAGTGGAAAGGTTAACTCGATTTTAGAAAAAATTGGAATCTCACCTTCACGTCAACATGCCAAGTGTCCTGCCTGGTCTTCTTGAAATCGGCGAGGATCGACTTCACGCTCTTGCCGACAGTGCCGGGGTCACCCGCCGCCTTGAGCGCCAACGTGGCCAGGACCTCGGGCAGCCAGGGGGGCGGCGGCGACGTGTACGGGAAGGCCGAGATGAGGGCGCCGAGGCCGAGCACGGCGGCGTGGCGCACGAGGATGAGCCTGTTCTGCTCGGGCGTGGGCGTGCCCGGCACCCGCCGTTTCGGCAGCGGGTTTTCGCGCAGCATCTTGGTGAAGCGGTTGCGCAGGTCCTCGACCTGCCGGTTGCGGAAGCCGACCGGCGAGCAGCGGATCATGCCCGAGAGCGTCGTCTGCGCGCCCAGCCGGACCTCGAGCTGCGAGTCGCCCAGCATGGCCGAGACGCAGTCGAAGAGGGCCTGCTGCTGCTCTTCGGTCATGAGGAAGAGGCGGCGGAAGTAGATGACTTGGATGTTGATCAGCACGCGCAGGCGCTGGTGCCAGGACGTTGCGTTACGTCCAATGCGGATCATCGAGTTGATGAACTCTTGGTCTTCACCCGCGCGGTGGGGGATGTTGGGCAAATGGCGGAAAACGTGGTAGGCAAGAGATTGCAGCTCGGGGTCTTCCTTGATATCCATCATGTGCAGGAGCTGCTCCATGAACAGGTTCGGGAAAAACTCCACGAGCTGAGTGCATTCGTAGGATGAGAGGTTCGAATCGAGCCAGAGAAGGACAGTCTTGCCGGCTTGCGTGTATGAGGTTGGCTGTTGCTCGCCAGCAGGGCGCTCCTTGCGCCACTTCTCCAACCTGTTGAAGACATCGGTGATGACTTCCCGGAACTTGGCGTCGGGTTGATATGGGCGTACTCCAATAGAGGACGAGGACTTCTGCGCATCTACCAGCGCCTTCACGTTCGGGTACGATTCGTGGTACCTGGTCCGATAGATGCTGGCAATTGTCTGACCGATGGCCTCACGTACAGCCTTGTAGGGATGGTCGAGATGCTTCACAAAGTCCTCTAGGATGGGCTTGTCAAGCTGGAAGTGCCAACCGCAATCTATGACGGTCTGCTGGAGCAGATTGATCTTGGAGCTCTCCTTGAATGCCTGGCTGGAGGACATGTCCAAACGGAAGGCAGCCAAGCCATCGACAAGAGGCCAGCTCCTTCTGGGATCCTTACCCTGGAGCGCAATGTGAAGGAAGGTTGTCCAGTAGGAAGAGTTTTCAGGAGTAAGCCCGTCTTGGAAGATTCCGCGAACGAGCGGGAAGACATACTCCCATACCTGAGTTCGGATGTTGGTCGGTAAGTCAGGGGCACAACAGAGCAAAGCACCCATGATCTCGGACGTGGCGCGATGTTGATGCTTGTCGGTGCCATCAGCAAAGACCGACTTGGTCAGATCCTTGATGTCATCAAATGACACTTCAGTCAGCCCCGAGAACATGAGGTCGAACGCATGCGTGAGCATCATCGCACTGGTCATACGGAAGCGATCCTGGCCCGAGTCTCTTGGCTCTTGCTTCAGATAGGCAAAGTACGTTGAGAACCAGTTGCGATCCAAAATGCTTGCAATCTGTTTCCTGACTTTGGTCTCCACATCGTCATACTCGAGGCCCTTGGTCTCTGTCAAGAAAGCTGGCATGGTCTTGTTCCAAACCAACCAGCCAGGATAGTCGAAATCGACATAGTACTTGGCCTCAGGCTGGCCAAAGCTGGCAAGATAGTCCTCTGTCCACGAAGGATCCTCGTCGGCGCGGGTTGGCACGGCGATCTTCTCCGGAACATCCTCTTGACCTAGAACATACTTCTCGTAGCTGTGATGCGCAAGGCTGCGGGTCTGAACAAGCTGGAAGAATCCAAGCAGCGCTCCTTGGTATAAGCTACGCAGAGTTGGGTGGGGATCGATCGTCCCCTTGGTTGCAAGCTCAATCATTGCTTCTGATGCAATGTTCTCGAAACGCATGCCGAGGTTGATTACCACGGTTGCGGTACGAATGGCCTTCTTCCAGTGGGACGCTCTGGCTTGCTCAACGAGCTCCGCTGAAAGCTCCGCTTTCTTGGCTTCTACCTTTGTTCTCTTGTTTCTCACGGCGTCGCGCTTCTTCGGTATCCTTGGTTTGTACTCTTCAATCTGCTTCTTGTCGATGTGCTCCACAATCGCTTCTACGATCTCTCCGTCGAGTATCACCATTCGTTCGAGAGGCTTGCCCATATCCATGATCTGGAAGGTTGCGTTGGACACGAGCTTTTGTACGGATGGCTTGTCTGCCTCGGTGACTTCAATGAATGACTTAATCAACTGAGGCGTGAATTTCCAGTTCCGCGAGATTGTCTTCGCCAGACTGCCAAACAGCAAAGAGAACATAGCACCCTTGATGCGTGGGTAGTCGCTCTTTTTGACCGCTTCGTCGAAAGCCTTGAGAAGAGGTGGGATCACCAGAGGTCTAGACCCGACGATGCACTTGACAGCAGACTCGTTCGCGGTTTGTGCAGTACGCCGGATTTCGGTGTACAAGGAAACGCTTGAGTGGGCCAAGTCCATTAGGAGCAGCTCCTCGACATCCGACCGTTCACGCGGAGCTGCGTTGTGCCTCAAGCGCTGCAGGTGGTACACATAAGCACGTCTTACAAGAAGAGGTCTTGGGTATTCCTTCCTGAGCCCGCTGACCTTGAACGGGTGGACATCCGCTGCAAGAAGCCGAGTGACCCGGTCAAGAACGTGAGCGGACCTCTCGATTCCCACATCGATGAACCACGACCGGTAGGCATTGTACAGGGCATTGAAACAGGGCACGTCGTCCTCTTGCTTCTCGACCAGGAACTGATGGATGCGATGCAGAGTGTAGCCAACTTCCTGCCGCAAGCCGTGCAGGAGGCGGTACTGCTCATTCGAATTGTCGCGAACCCATGGATACCCAACCTCGTACTGGAAAGTTGGCCTTGACTCATCATCCTCGCTTTCTCCTAGCTCGTTGTCGACACCATCGTCCGAATCATCTTCCATGTCAGCATCGCTGCCTTCTTTGGTCTTTTGTGGGGATGGTGCAGGGTATTTGGAGTCAAAGAGCACCGAGACGCCAGAAATGATCAAGCGGAGTAACACGAGGTTTCGTGAAACCTCGTCAGACCACTCTTTCCCAGTTCCGTCACGCTTGACAGGCGAACTGTCACCCGTGAGTGCGTTAAGGGATTCCATGGCGCTCTTGACTTGGGACTCGAATAGCTCGACCGCAAAGGTGATACAGCCAGCATTCGGCACATGCCATTTGACGCTGATGTCCTTGGCGCTGGGCATAAACCCCCAGTCTTTGACGGTAAGACCCCGTTGAGCATCGGTTGGCTCGTAGAGGGAGTAATCGATCGTGTAGATGCAGGTCAGGTTGAGGAGCAGGTGATGGATGAAATTCGAGACATGTACGGTGGGAATACCGCGGCAATTCTCCTGCATGTACTTGGCGATGTCGAACAGCTCTTCCTTGTAGTCCAGGACGGCATCGCCAACGTGAACGACACACATACTCAGCAAGCTAATGTTCCAAACAAGAGCTCTATCTTTGGGAAGGACTTCTGAGCCAGTAGTCCTCGATGACCCTGCCCCGTTCTCCCCTATCTCCGTGCGGATTCCGGCCAAAAGGTCAGGCAGAAGTCTCTTCAGCGTCTTCTGAGGGTTGACCTTTACAAGTCCGTTGCAAATAAAAGCCATCGCGTCCCTGGCCTGGTGGATCACATGGTTCGTGACGAAGTTTGCGATCTTGTCCAGTGCAATGTCGAAAAGCTCGGGCGAGAGAGCTGCCAGCAAAGGCGTAAAGGCAGCCGGAAGAGTGTTGACCACATTCTCCTCGGGGGAACCGCTTCTTACACGAGATGCATCGGGGAGGTTCTCAAGAAGTGTGAAAACACGGCCGAGGAAAGTGATGACAAATTCAGCGAATCCGGTAGTGGATGACCTCAAGACCGTCTCCTCTTCTTGGTCAGAAAGCTCCGTTTCGTAATCAAATTCGACGCCGGCGCCTTCCCTCTCAAGACGATCAACCTGGGAAGCAATCCACTGCAGAGCAAGATCCGGGGTGCTCTCTTGTGCGGGCATGGGGGTGACTGTCCCAGAGCCTGGCTTTTCTATCCCACCATTCCCCATGGTGATGTCGTGGCTTGGTTCCGGCTTCTTCTCCTTGGTAAGGTCGTGAAAGGGAATGATGTAGGAAACAGACTGTATGTAGCTGAGGGTGTGCAAAGTCTTCTCCAGGTCATTTGCGTCGATGCCAGGAAGTGCGAGGCCAAGGAGAGTTGTGATGTGGCAGCGATAGCCCTTGGTTCTCACCATCGTCTTCGAAAGCATGTGCAGGGCTCTGATTGATGAGATGGTTCGGTGGACTTCGACCAATCCTTGCATGGCAGGATAGATGCGCTGCAAAGCCCCCGGGAGAATAAGGTTGGGCTCAAGATACGCCAGACATTGCAACGTGGACAAGGAGAAATTGATTGCTGTTCCGCTCTTCGCGAAGATGCCCATGAAGATGACGTCTCGGAGACACAGAACAAACCTCTTCTTGATTGCATCATTGAGCCGCCTCTCCTCCGGGACTTCCATCTCTCCACTGTGCTCCCGGTTCCACCGCATAACGAAGAAATCCGCAAGGTAGTAGACAAGCTGAGACAATGTCTTCGTCCAACTTCCAGAGTTTGATGGATGGTAGAAAGTCTCCACAGCCTCAATGAGTCCCTCCAGCCTTGCCAGTATCGAGTCCGGCTTGTCCAGGCAAGCCGGAGAAAGAGACATTACAATCCATCGAGCAACATGATGCGCGATGGGATGCTTGCGCTGGTCTCTATCCAGCATAATCGCCAAACCAGCACCAGCATCGACGTTTGAGCTGTATGGCGAAGTTGACTGACCCACTGGAATCTCGAGCAAGCGGAGAATGGCAGTGAAAATCAGCTGTGACTGATCTCTGGTGAATAAGCCATGTTCGGAAAATGGTATGGACTTTGAAGAGAGCGAATCGCGGGCGAGCCTGGAGCAGATGTCTATAAAATGGACATCAAACAGCCGGGATCGGTTCACGAGGGACCAAAGGTGGAAAAAAGTCGGCAGGTAATGCTGCGGTTGGAGGTCTGGGCGATCCGCAGGCGCGGGAGTTGTGGGCAGAATCAAGTTCAGCAGTCCCACAACCACATAGGCGCCTTCGGAAAACGAGGTACTGAAGAAGGGCAGGAACTCCTCCAGCATAGCCGGGATCTCTGAAGGATCAAAGTATAACTGTGCGAAAGTACATAGCTTCGTGACAGTCCGGATGTTCCTCCTAAAGTTGGTCATGGTCGAAGCGCCAGACTCGGAGGGTAGCACGTAGTTCTTAAGCTCCTTGTAGAGGGGCCTCCAGTCGAGAATGAGGTCCTTTCCGGGGCGTAGATAGTGCTTGCGCCTGTCATATGTCAATCGCGGGAGCTTGCCGAGCTCGCTGGAAGGGGAAACTCACTTCGTAAGGACCATGAACATGCTGGCGAACCTCTCTGCCACCAAGATGTCGAGGCCCGGCGCCAGAGCAAGCTCATAGTAGAGCTTGATAAGCTTGACGCGTATGTCGCGGGGCAAATCGAACTTGAGGGACAACCATCCGCGTATCTCGCGAGTCCAGTGTACCGCACCGGGCGAGAACTCCCCAGAATTCACAGCAACATAGAGGTGCTTTAGGCAGGTATTGAGGTTCTCTAACCGCTCGGCGTCGGACTCGGACTCGTAAGGTAGGTACTTGGTGTAGGGGAACGTGCGAGGTCGAACGCGGTTGGGCCGTCCTTTGGCGTTGGCATCGCCGTTGCTGTCTTCCCAATCTGCACCGGGCGAGGTGGCGCGCGACAAGTCGGCGCCATTGGACCCGTCGACGCCGCCGACAAGCTGTCCTAATCGCTCGTAGCCGGCCATGGTCGTGGGCGAGGGTGGTCGGCCTCGTCCAAGGTCAGTCGGGCGGTGTCGCGTGAGAGGCGGTTGGGGGAGATGAAGGATGCGGATGTAGATGGAGCGGTGGCTGGGTGGGCTCAGTTATGTGAAGGATGCGGGCGCAGCGAGCGCTCGACGGCTGTACGACGGTCTGGGGCTGTTCGGGGCGTTGAGCTCGACAGCAGCGGCGACATGGACGAGGGGCGCCACGAATCTGAAATGAATGCGGCGGGCGGCCTGCACGCAGTCGTTGGTTCGTGACCTCGGGGGCGGAGAGTGCGATGGGAGGCTACGTTGCGGGTGGGTGGGTGTGTGGAAGTTAGTAAGACGTACCCGCGCTGCGGCGGGAGGTACGGGCAGAAGCTATGACGACGGGGTGGGCGAGCTCGGGGCGGGCGAGGTAGAGGCGGCGAGGTGGAGCTGCGCGCCGTTTCTTTCTGTTGACAGCCGCCGAGAACCACGGATACCAATCAGCGACCGCGCGTTTGACCGGCGCCCCAGCGGCAAAGCAGAGGACGCGAGGCACAGAGACCCTGACAGTTGGCACCAGTCGAGTCTCGATTCCCGTGGGAGTGTAGCAGTGTTGGACCAAGGCTCTGCACTCGGCGCGCGGCGGCCACCTCTTTTATTCCAGTGCTCCAGGCAGTCGCCAGTACGCAATCACCCTGACCGCGAAACGCCCAGAGGTAAGCCACGCAGCGCACGACCGCTCGCCCTCGTCCGCCCGAGAGCACTCTGACCCGCATGCTTGCGTCTTTCGCCGCGCCGATCGCTGCTGTCGCCGCCTCGAGCATCGCGGGGCTTGTCGCGTGAGCGCGTATTTCCCATTTTGGCCACCGAGTCCGGTTCGAGTACCTACTGACCAAACCACCCAGACGCTATATTACCTGCTTGCGGTCATAGCTTTTCTTTTCTTATCTTTCCAGTGTTGCCGTTCCACAAAGCGGAGGACAGGTCATGAGTTCCTACTACGATATCGACGCGATCCTCACGGATGCGCAAGTGCGTCGCCCCACATCACCGTCAGCCTGCTTCCAAGCCTCTAATGCGTCACACAGAAAGTGCCCTGCACTTTTGAGCTTACAGTGCCCGGCCTGGGCTACCTCGATGGAAACGTCGGTCAAGACGTAGGTTGCGCCTTGTCTACATATTAATAGAAGGCTAACGGGGCGAAATAGATGAAGGAAGGCACCAAGGTTGAGCTGCCGCTTTGGCTAGCAGAGATGTTGGCTGTTAGGTAAGGCTGAACAGAGTCACGTTCGCCCCCAGTTCTTGGGGAGCATTCTCCTGCCACAATGGAAGGCTGTGTAATTGACGTGTCCTCCACAGTGCACCCGCAGCAAATACGAGCATGGCGACACTTGATCTCCCTGCCGCCCTTTCTGCGCGCGTCATGAACGCTCTGAAGGCAGATCCACGAACAGTTGATCTCAGGGCACTTGCACCTCACTTCTATGCTCTAGGTGCCCGCATGCTCGAACTCTTCGAGGAGGAAGAGATGGGAGAGATCCTCGCGGAAAGCTTCAAGGCACGGGCAAAAGTAATAGCTGACCAGGCTCACAATCCCCGGGGAGCACTTGGGGAAGGCGCAGACTTTCTAAGGGGGCTGGACGAGAACGAGAGGCAGCGTGAGTTCATCCTCGTTTGTGTAAGGTTGTATCGTATGCTCACTCGGGAACCAGTGTTTCGTGCCGCCCATGACAGTGCAAAGGCCGTACGCACATGGATTGCTGAAAACAAAAAGAGATGATACCTCTGTTTAATCTAGGGAAACTGGCGTACTCAACCGCTGACGGGCACTTGCACGGCGCATTATACCAGACAGATGTATTTAATAGTCTATGGTCTAAGCCCAACCGAAACATAACTCCAGCTCTCCGGGCTGCAAGCGCTACATGGGCATCAGCATGCCCTTGTTTGCAAACTGATTATGGGTATCAACACTGTGCTCCGCTTTCAAGCAGATCTACATCTAGCAGATACGCGCTCTTCTCATGCGACCTTCAGCCTCAATCGCGCTTTCTCTTCGTTCTGTATCTTTTTCTGTCTCCACTGCCACTCCACGAGCACGGGCAAGAACTGCCACAGATCGAATTCGGGCCACAGGGTGTCCAGAAAAACGATCTGGGTGTTCTCGTGGCACTGCCACAGCATGAAGTCGCTAAGACGCTGAACTCCGGACGTCCGGACCAACAAGTCCAGGGGCGGGTTGTCTGCCGTGAACATGCGGTCCGAGAGTGTCTGCGCAGTGATGGTTTCCGGGTCAGGGTAATTGTCCGGCACCTTCTCCTCCTTCAAGCCGTCTGTGGATTCGTGCAAGGTTAAGGAGTTCGTGGAAGCAACGTCGGAGACGGGTGCGTCGGACGTCTTGTCTCCATCCAAGGAGTCAGGGGCATCGTCTCCAGCCTCAGGGGAATCTTCCTCGGAGAGACTCTCAAGGTTGCGAGCGCGGATGTTGCGGGCGATATGGCCTTCAGAGAATGGCCGACGCAGGGGGGGCGGGTGGGGTTTGCTGTAGTCTACAACAGTGTTGCGGATAGCGGTGGTGATTTCGTCGCGGGAAGTGTAAGGGAAACAGACGTTCAGAACAGCTCTAGTGTCTGTTAGCCTGTGCCACCAAAAACAAGGCACTCTTTTCCATACTTGTTGTTGTCCTTTGTCATCGCCTCAGCTCGCTCCATGGCCTCAATCACGTCGGGCTTCAAAAGATCACGTTGGCCCAGAATTTGGATTCTTGCACCATAGCGATCCAGCAGGTCGCCATGCTGGGCAATCTGCGACAACTTGAACTTTGCCATATCCATCAACGCATCTACCTCGAACTTGGAGCGCTTGAAGTTCTCAATGCTGAAGGCGTATATTGTCACAACCTTGACCCCGGACTTGTAGCACACTTCCAGGATCTGGGGCATGTTAGCGCGCAGACAACGGTGGTACGCAGGGTTTCATACCCTCGCCAAAGCCTCGAACCCTAGATTATGGCCCTCCACGGTTTCAATATGGTGGGTGCGAGCGTAGCGCCGGTTGCCATCCATGACAAAGGCGATATGCTGAGGAATGGGGCCCTGGCGGAGAGATCCAATGCAGAGTTCCCGGAGGCGCTCAACGCCCCAGACTATGGGTGGCGACATGAAAAGCCATTTCCGGAACTGCGAGAGGTGTAGAGGAGAGGACGACATGTTGGCCGGGAGCTCTGAGGCGCGCGGATGGAGCTAGGAATGCGAAAGGACGGCGGACGCGGGTGGGCAGGCACAGGCGGAGCAGAGGGGGCAGGCGGAAGGTGGCGGCCAAATCAGTCCCAGCGAGCGGGAAAGCCGGGTCTAAAGAGAGTGCATGTGTATTGGGGAGCTGCGTACAACATCGAGGCTCAGTCGATCGTTGGGACTTGGCCGACGCAGTTGCCAGGATGCGCTGCCCGGCGGGTGAGGTTCGGCAACGCGGGCGAAGGGTCGTGCGTCTGCTTTTTCTTCGCCTTCTGCTCCGCCGCCACGTCCTCATCTCCCATCCCTTCTCGTGCGCCCATCACGAGACTTCGCCTGTTCTCTCTCCACGCCCTCGTGTCTCGCACTTGCGGGGTGGAAGGTAGTCCCAATGTGAGGTCCGTCGCGCACCGTGCCGGATCTCTTGCTGTCTGCGCATCTAGCCCCGACACGCAGCCTTTGTCGGCCCCGAAACGCCCGACGGCTTATAAAGCCAAGGCAGCCGTTAACTCAGAGCCTGGTTCCGCACCACAGACTCCTTCCCAGCCGCCATGACCGCCAACGGGGATCCGGCTGTCAGCCAGCTCGTCGAGCAGCTCGCCTTCGGCTTCGATACTCTATCGTCCGAGTACCGCATTCTGCATGACAGGCATCGCGAGCTCGAGAACAAGCTCGTCTGGGCCAAGCAACAGGTCAGTAGCCACAACTCGCACAATCCCCTTCTCCTCCCGCGCAGCCCTCGCACACACCCTACATGATGAAAGAAAAATTAGCTCTAGAACAGCAGCTGCACAGCAGCGGTGTCGACAATTTTCTTCACTTTCTGATCGTATCTCTCATGATTGCCGCTTGACCCGTCAACCCTTGTTGCGGGCATTGACGCTGACAAGATTGACAGTACCTCGACCTTCTGAAGCGATTCACTCCCGATATTGCTCTTCAGGATCACAAGGTGTTCGTGCAGAGCCTGGAGGAAGTCGAAAGACACGGCGAAGGGGGGCCGCCGGACTGGCTTGATGCCCTTGCGCAAAGCGATGATGGTGATCGCAGAACTGGTGCCTACATTATCCGGAACGCCGAGCGTGCTCGCGACCAGCTGAGATATTCCCGCCCGTTGCAAAGCCCGCTGAAAGACGCGGAGGGGGTCAAGATTTGGAACGGTCGGACAGGTGATCGAGCGTCGGACAGAATGTCGAAGCTCGAAAGCCTGAGGCAGGCTGCCAGTGCTGCGGGGCTAGAAAGAGACTTCACCACTCCTGGCACCCCTGGGAAACTGGGGTGTCCTTTCGGCGCACCCAGCATGCGAGGCCGGTCGACGAGCGGCAGAGGAAGCATGGGTACACCTAGCCGTTCTCAGTCCAGAATACTCCCCCATGCCATGCGGTCGAAGCGTTCATCCTTTAATGACCCTATCAGGGCAGACATATGTGTAATGGAGCCCCCGCAATCCCCAGACCCGTCAGTCTCAGGCTCGGCTGCGCCAGTGTGTCCGATCCGTTTCATGGACGATCACTCGCCGGAGGAAATAGCAAAATACTTTGAGAACCACAAGCATGAACTGCCTCGTAGCCACGAGGTTTGCATCAAACGTTTCCAGAGCAATGCCGAGAGCATTCGCCAGCTAGACGCAAAATACGGCAGCTTGGTCAACATGATTCAGGGTCTGGGGGAGAAGCATCAGCCCATGCTGAAGGAATCGCCGGCGGATGATGAGGCAGTCGTCGAGACCGAATCCGGCGGTAGGGTTGCGGATTGGGCCAAAGCCGTCAGTACAAGTGCTCAAGCCGGCGGCGAGGAAAGCCCGGACCCAGAACAACGTCTGCCCGAGGAGGAGGAGCGACAGCCACACTTCGACAGGCCTATGAAAGAGATACGGGTCGGCGAGTCGCCCAGTCGGCCATGGGGAATCTCAGTCCCAGCGGCATATAACAACGCTCCAAGCGTGGGCACTGACGGCGTTGTGACTGCATCTCCTGTGCAGGACTCGCTTCCTGCCCCTCCAGCGCCTTCAGCGCCTCCTGTTGCCGAAAGCAGACCGCCTGGAAAGTGCCCCTTCGACCACACTAAAATGCGTGGAGGTCCACCATTCGCACCGAAAGGGGATACTAGACCAGACCCTGAACCGGAGCAAAAGACGCTTCTTGCAGACGCTCCAACAATTCAGCCGCCTCAGCCCGGACCAAATCACGAACCAAACATCATCAAGACAGGACAGGAGACATCGCATCCGCCGCGGATGGTGTTCACCGGCCCCGTCTTCATCGGCTACTCGATGGAACAGGCGATAGCACTTTTGCAGCAGACCAACATGGCAGGGAAGACAGGCTGAAGCGGAGCTTGATGAATTGCGCTGGGCAGGGAGTCTGGGACATGGTTCTTAGCTTGCAACGTTTTTGGCACGAGATGATTCCCATGGTGATGTGCTCAGTCGTTATTGCTAGGCTCATCAAAGGAAATGGGCTGTGCTAGTAATAGACATACCCCGTATCTAATCGAATCGAATTTCGGTAATAATGTCTACGGCCCACTTGAAGTTGACAGACGCGGTAAGTCGCTTGGACGAAGGGAGAGAGCGCATGCGTGAACGTTCAACACGGAAGGAATCAAGACATGAAGACGGCCGCCTGCAGGAGGGCAGAGACGTGTGCGTGCGTCATGACGCAGACTCGGACTCGCACTTGAACCAGTCGCGTGCCTGAGACGGGTGCGGGAGACAGGTGCGGAAGACAGGTGGACGGTTGACACTCGAAGCGAAGGCGATACGTGCTTGGCGCGGCCTCGGCCTCGTACCTGATGAGTGCCGTTGATCCGGACGAGTGGTACGAAGCTGAAAAAGATGAGGGTGCAAAGCCCTTGCGTCCGTCCACTGACCCCAGGTTCTCGCGCCACCGCGTGCTCCCTGCAGAAGACTCCGACCCGCGCTGACGCCTCCACTCCGCTCATCGCGCGCGCGGCTGCATGTCCCACACTCGTTTCACTTCTTCTTCTGCGCTCTTTGTGTGCTGCCTTTGCGCGCTGCGCTTCATTAATGCTGCTCTCTGGCCTCGGGCTCCGCAGCAGCTGCAGCCGTCATGGTGCGCCTTCCCGCACCGTTGCGCGTCGCGCCGCCGCCGCGAAGGCTAACCCACCACCAGCTTCATCCGCTGCTGCTGGTCACCGCTGTGGCCTTCCGCTCGCTCGCCGCCGCGCAGACTCCGCCTGACATCGTCTTCTCGAACATCACCCGCTCGCCAGCCAATTCGAACATCACCATCTCGTACAAGTCGCCCGATCCGGGAACATGCACCACCGTCTTCGACTCGCAGAAGCAGTACTCCGGCTACATCAGCCTCCCGCCGTACACATTAGCCCCAATCCAGCAGAACTATTCGATCAACACCTTCTTCTGGTTCATAGAAGCCCGCGAGCAGCCCGAGTCGGCTCCGCTCACTGTCTGGTGGGTGTTCCGGCGCGTTGGCGCAGAACAGGCTGAATAACCGCCCTTTAGGTTGAATGGCGGCCCCGGTAGCAGCAGCATGATCGGCCTTTTCGAGGAATCGGGCCCTTGTGAGATTGTGCAAATGTCCGATGGCTCCTACGGCACCCAGTCCAGGGTCTGGGGCTGGGACAGGAGCTCAAATATGCTCTACGTCGATCAGCCCAACCTCGTCGGCCTCTCCTACGATGATGTGACCCCAGCCTCGCATGACTTGCTGACCGACAGCATTAATTATCCCCCTGCGGCTGTTCCAAATGGGCAGCCGTCCTGGTCCTACCTCAACGGCTCCTTTGGCACCGGCAAGAACTATGCCACTGCAAACACCACTGAAATTGCGGCGCATGCTGTCTGGCATTTTCTTCAGGCTTTTCTAGGCACTTTCCCCCAGTACAATCCAGGAGTCGGCTCGGACAGCTCTTCTGTCGAAGCGGCGGGCATCAATCTCTTCGCCGAGAGTTACGGTGGCCAGTATGGACCTACATTTGCACGGCTGTTTGAAGAGCAAAATAACAAACGAGATAACGGCACCATCTCATCAAACGATACTGTTGAGGTATGCGCATCTTTCTCCTGCTCCCATGACGACCAGTATTTGTGACTAATGCGGCACAATTGCTTAGATTAAACTCGCTTCTCTCGGCATCATTAATGGGTTCATTGACATGATGATACAAGCGCCTTACTATGCTTATTTCGGTAACAACAACACGTACGACATCGAGTTGCTCGACACCACCGCTAAACTCAATATGCTTTATGCCTTCAACAAGCCAGACGGGTGTTCCGAGCAGGTCAAGGCTTGCCGGAATGTGTCTAGTCTCTACGACCCAGAAGGTGAGGGTGACGTAACCAACGTGAATGAAGCCTGTTCCTCCGCCGTTGTCGCCTGTAACGAGCTGCCAGCCTCGTACAGCAAGTCCGGACGCAGCTTGTACGACATTCGACAAGAGCTTCCCGATGTCATTCCCTCGGGCGACTACATGGAGTATTTAAACTACGCCAGCGTACAGCAGAGTATAGGAGCCCGTATCAACTACACCGAAAGCAATGCCAATGTGCAGAAGGAATTCATCGCAACTGGTGATAGCATCCGCGGCAACCAACTTGAAGACCTCGCCTATCTGCTTTCAAGCGGCGTTCGTGTTGCCATCATCAATGGCGATGCAGATTACCTCTGTAACTGGCTCGGTGGCGAGGCTGTATCCCTGCAGCTGGCCTCTTCCGTGCCTTCATATGCGAGTGCATTCCAAGCGGCGGGCTATGCGGATATCATTGTAAACAGCAGCTACGTCGGCGGCGCGGTCCGCCAATTCAGCAACCTGTCATTCTCACGTATCTATGACGCCGGCCACATGGTACCGGCCTACCAGCCCGAGACCGCCTTCACCCTGTTCACCCGCATCATCGAAGGCATGGATCTGGGAACCGGCAAGCCCATCAAGGACATCAACACCTTCTACACCCAAGGGCCCAAGAACGCCACCCACACCAACTCGGCCTCGTCCAGCACCGCCTCGCCGACGTGCTGGATCCGCAAGATCAACGACAGCTGCTCGTCGGACCAGATCGCCGACATCAAGCAAGGCGGCGGCGTCGTGCTCAACGGCATGTGGTTCGAGGACGACGACGACTTCGACCCGCCCGCGTCGAGCGTCCTCGCGGGCAAGCCGGGCACCCCGCTGCCCAGCGCCAGCATCAGCGCCAGCGTCGTCACCAGCAAAGGCAGCACCGGCGGCGTCGAGAGCAGCACCGTCGTCCCGACCGGCGTGTACGTCGCCACGGCCACCCCGACGAGCACCGGTGCGGCGAAGCCGCAGGTCACACGTTTCGCGGGTGCAGGCGTAGCGGCTGTTGTGGCGGTTGCGGCAGGGTTGGTGCTTTGATGAGGCCGGCTGGCATGCGGGATTCAAAAATAAAAAGTTGCGGTATGCGAGTGTCTTATATGCGTATGTTTTTTGACGTTTTCTTTTTCTCTTAGTGACAGATGTGCGGGACAGGAAGGTGCAAGCACACGGGTGCGAGGATGGTCTGGCGTTGAAGGGTCATTTTCATGGCTTTGGTCTTTTTCTTGCTTTTCCTCACACGCACGCACTTCCGTGGCTGCGATAGACTGCATATCAAGCATGAGGTCGGTTCAGATATACCCTGTATGGACGCTTACGGAGCAGGTGATCACGATACTTCCATAGCATAGGTAGGCAGGATATGAGTAATGCGTAATGAGTATGGCTCTTTATTTTTGCTTCAACGGGCTGCTATGTACTCTTCTATAACCGGGCGCATGCGATCTTGGTTTCACACAAGTGAGAGAGGCAAGGCGATTACCTGATAGATGGATTTAAAAAACCCGTCCGTCACTCAAATATTTTCTTGTCCGAAGCGCCGCCGCAACGAAGTGACACGGAGCTACTACTACTACTACTACTACTACTACTATAATAATCTCCTCGCCACCAGTCAAAGCGACGTGACGACAAGACAGATGCAGCTCCGCCAGCCCCAGTCCCAGCCCCAGTCCCAGTCCCAGCTCACCTCCCCCTAATTCCTTCCTCGAGCCGCGCCTCAAAAGAGCACGAACCACTCAACGAAAGAAGAGAATCAAGCTCAGCCAGCCAGCCAGCCATACGAGCGACATCAAAAATTGTCCCCTGGTGTAAGCCCCCACAAGGAGAGAGTACATGCCCGTCACCGACCACGCTGTGCAATGCAGGGTGAGGCGGGCAGGCTCCCGTATTCATGAGCACAGGAAAGCCCCGAGAAGGTAAGTATGAAGAAGAAGAAAAAGAGAGAGAGAGGAGGAGGGGGTGGGGGGGTTTATGTAGATTCTGGCTGGGAGGCGGCACGGGGCGTGGGTGTCTGTGCGGTGGCGACGGGTGGGAGTGGGTGGTCATGTGGAGGTAGGATTGGGAAGGTGAATGATGGAAGGGAAAGGCGCGGGGTGTGTGGTTAGGTGATTGAAGTACACATAAAATTCGGGCCAGGTGAAAAGAGGGTGGAGCACGCACATTGTGGCCTTCCAGCGAACATGGAGTGAACGAGTAATCAGGCTTGTAGACGACTACTAGACATTTCAGTTCAATAATCAATATGGCAAGCAATCCAACTTGATTCGATACAAAGCGGATATATTTCAATAGCTAGTGGGCGAAGGGAAACAAAAACTACCAATTAAGCCCTTCACTTGATTGCCTCGCTTATGTTCACCTTCATGTATCCGAATGCTGCGCGTTTATATGGGTATGAAGCTAGGAAAAGATTGCTGATCCCAAAGGACCAACCTTTTTGGCAAGGAAACAACCGAAGAGACAAGAGGTTTAGAAGAAACAGGGAGATTGCCATCATGCATACGTATTCACATATACTCTCTACAATGCCGGCCCATCCCATGCTTCGCGCCTGATCTTCATGAGGTTCGACTGTTTGTGCGGGAAGCTGACTTCGCGCTCCTTGTAGAAGCCGACTTCCTCGAGATACTTGCGGAGTCTATCCTAGCTGTCAGTATTGTTACATTTGTGATGCCTTCCTCATAGAGGAGGAAAGGATATCTATAAGGTTCGAGGAAAGAACTTACTTCTCATTATCAATGCGCGGCTCCAACATGACCGTCTCGGTGCGCATGTCGGCCAGGAAGCAGTAGTGCACGAGGGCGCTTAGCCAGATGCGCACGCGGTGGGCGCCGCGGAACTCCTGCTCGCCGACGAGGCAATGCAGGCCGCGGTCGTAGTTCTGGGTCCCGCCGCCAATGTGCTTGTTCAAGTTGTCTTCCTTGACCCAGTAGATCTCGAAGTAGCCGAAGGGCTTGCCGTCCCAGCAGCCGATGACAGGGAAGCTGTGGCGGCTCTCTAAGCCGTGCTTTAGGAAGGCTTCCTGGTGCGCGCGGGGGCCCTGCTCGCCCCAGAAGTACGACACGCGCGCATCGTTCATCCAGCGATGCAGCAGGTCCACGTCCGAGTCGTCCAGGGAGAGGGACTCGATGCTGGGCTGGCCGCCATCGGATAGGCTGGTGCGGTGCGAGATGGGCCCCGTGTGGTGCTGGGGCTTGGGAGAGGCAGAGGCGACGCGGAAGGAGAGATACTGGCCGACACTAGGAATGTAGCGCGTGTAGAAAGTCTCGCCTTGTCGCGGAGGCTTCGGCCTCAGCGGGTGCCGGATGCCGTTCGAGAAGACGAACTGAGAAGGACCCGGAGGGTAGTAAGTTGGGAGGTGGCTACTCGAATGGAATGGTCCCGGCGCGGTGGGAGACCAAAGGCCTTGCGGGAGTCCATCCATGTTTGCGGATTCGCGCTTCTTGGGCTCCGAGGTCGGGGAGTTTGGTCTGGAGTTGAGAGGGGACTCGGAGCCATGAGGGGATTGCGAAAGTGCGGGAAGGGTGAACAGGTAGAGACGCGGATCCATCTGCCAGAAGGCGTGGCGGCTCACGAACATGTTCTGCCAACCTTCCCCAGACTTCTCGTCTTGGACGGTTCCCACGCTGGAGTCCTCACTGGCGATCAATCCCATGCGCTCGAGCTTGGGCAGCACGACGCGGCCCTTGAAGATGCCCTCACGGTTGATGTTGATTCGCCAATCACCCCTCGGCTTGCCTAATTGGGCCGTGTTCTTGGAGGTGGCAGTCGTCAGCTGCGGCTCAGGCACGGGCTGGTGGAAGTACCAGTACAGCGTCGCCCACAGCATCATGGCGATCTGGCGCGTGGGCGACGAGGCGGGCTTGAATTCGGTGCTGCTCGGATTCGAGATGGAAGAGATGTACAGGTGATCGTTGCGCAGCGTCGGGCGCGTGTAGCGGCGCACGCGCCGGCGAGTGGGCTCCTGGAACTCGTCCTCGTCCTCACTGGGCTGTTTCTCTGCATCCGCATCTTCATCTTCAGGCTCGTCGACCTGTGAGTTGAGCACGACAGTCCATCCCGGGGGCAGGGGAGAGTTGTTGTGGCTGCTCAGGTCATTGACCTTGAACTGCAGGCCGCCGAAGACGGGCACGGCGGTCAGGTTCTGGCCATTTGGCAGGTGGACAAGGCCCTGGGTGGTCATGGTTTGCTCGCGCGGGGTTGGTGGAAGGGAGAAGAGCTGCGTCGAAGCGAGCGATGCGACTGGGGGCGTAGAGAAAGCGTGCATTCCCTTATAAAGTGACTATAGCATGGCCACACCTACTTTCCCCGTGCTTCCTAAAATTTGTCGCCTGGGGCCGCTAGCGCGTCGGACTAGATGGCGTGAGGCCACCGAGTCTTGGACGCAGCGGCGTGGGCGCGTGGCAGCAGCGAAGGCGGTTTGTTTTCTTCAGGCTGACACATGATTTATCCGCGGTGGGGTTGGCCGGCGCCTGTGGCCGATGACGTTGGCGACGCTCAGGGCCCGCGGGCTGAGGCCTGAGCGCGGTGTTCCCGCCAAACATGGCGATGGATGCTCGGCCAATCTCTACAGATTTTTCGCGGAGCTGTCGTCGCACGTCGTCGGTGGTGGCCTTTGAGAACAGCGTAGCGGTACCGCCGGAGCAGCCGTCTACATGCCGACCTACCTGCCTTGGTATCACGCTACAACGCCCTGCGCGCGGGAAGGAACGCTGTGCGCAAAAAAAGGTGGCCACGGGCTGTCCGACCGTCCGAGTCACGTAAGCTTGTGGCGCTGCTCATTGGCTCCCGCAGCCGGTGCCCTGGTGCCCTTGCCGCCGCACTTCGGCCGCCAAGCTCTGAAGTCATCATAGCTTCAGAGCTTCCGCCCGAGCGTCCGAGGCCCTCGAACTTCTCAAGCTCGCCCACACCCTCATAAACCCCCTCCCTCCGTCATCCATCATCCTCCCCACTGCAATCCACATCCCGCAATGTCTGCCACTCTGCTCCGCAACTCCGTCGCTCGCACTGGCCTTCGTGCTGCCGGCTCCCGCCGCGCTGGCCTCGCTGGGACCAGCTTCGTGCGCACCAAGGCCACCCTCCCCGACCTCGCCTGTACGTCCATCGTCATCTCTGTCGACCTCCTTCGGGCAATTGGTCCGCGCCAGCAGTATACTAACGTGCCGTGAGGGCAGATGACTACGGCGCGCTGGAGCCGGCCGTCTCCGGCAAGATCATGGAGCTCCACCACAAGAACCACCACAACACTTACGTGACCTCGTACAACAACTTCTCCGAGCAGATTGCGGAGGCTAAGGCCAAGGATGATGTTGCTGCTCAGATTGCCCTGCAGCCGCTCATCAACTTCCACGGAGGTTAGTCAGCGCCGTAGCCCAAAGCCTGCGCCGAACGAAGCGGGGGTGTTTGACGCACAGATGTGCCGGACCTCCAACCGCCTCTTCCGCGAATTGCATAACACAAGAGCGTACGCTGACCCGATGTGCCCACAGGTGGTCACATCAACCACACTCTGTTCTGGGAGAATCTGGCACCCAAATCGCAGGGCGGCGGCGAGCCTCCGTCGGGCGCTCTTTCCAAGGCCATCAACGAGAGCTACGGAAGCCTCGACGCTTTCAAGGAAAAGTTCAACACTGCTCTCGCCGGAATCCAGGGCAGCGGTTGGGCCTGGCTGGTCCAGGACGTTCAGACCGGCAACATCGGGATCAAGACGTACCAAAACCAGGACCCTGTCGTAGGCCAGTTCCGTCCGATTCTCGGCATCGATGCGTGGGAGCACGCCTACTACCTTCAGTACCAGAACAGGAAGGCTGAGTACTTCAAGGCCATCTGGGAGGTCGTCAACTGGAAGGCGGCCGAGAAGCGCTTGAAGTAAGCATTTGTTGCCATCAAGGAAGTGAGTGGGAGAGTAATGGGAGGCGGTCGGCTGGGTTGCATGTGGTCAGCCCTAATGTACAGCGTAGCTATGGAAATTAATGATACTCCTCCTAACGTTTGGTGCATGTAAATGTGAACAAGCGACCGTCCATGGCCCAAGAAGGCGAAGGCTCGATGAACCTTGTATGCGCACGTGGCATTAGCAGGTCGGCTGGGTGCAGCGCTTGGTTTGCGAGGGGGCGGAGAGCCGCAGGGGAAAGACAGCAGAGCCGGAGCAGCAGCCGGACCGTCACGTCAGGAACTGGCCAGGAGTCCGGGGAACAGCTGTTCTGTTACCACGAGGTAGGGCACGAGGAGGTCCAGATAAGCTCGCAGTCAGTCCACTTGGGGTGCTCAAGAGGAAGTCCCGGGGCGGGTTTGACTCGAGATCATACGACAAAGAGCTAGCCTGGGATCAGCAAGCGGAGAATTCTCGTAGGGCTCCTCCGCGCCTTCCCCGCGCCCAGCGCCTTGTCTAGCTCAGCCCCATGCCCTGGGTCTGGCCGTCTCTGCTGCATCCCCGTCACTACCCGTGTGCCCGTCCGAGTCCACCCCTCGACACCTCTTTCCGTACACCAATACTTCACACTTCTTGCTCCGGTCGCCGCCACGCTCTTATTAGCCGTCGACCTGCTTGCGGCACCGGCCGGTTTCCTCCAATACCCGCGGTATGACGACCGGTACCAAGGTTGCAGACGAGGCGTCCGTCCACGGCGCTCGACCGGAGCAGCGCTACCAAGAAGATGGTCCTTCCTTTAGGAGAGGGTCCACTGGTGCGCGCACCTCAGGATATCCGCCACCGCCGCCGTTGAATGCCAATTTGCCCCCAACACCCCACCAGATCTGCGACAGGGCCACTCCCCGTGCAGAAGAAACTGGCAAGACGGTGGTCGCAAACGAAGCGCTTGCGCAAAATGTCCAAACCGAGCGCCGACAGAAGAAGGATTGTTTTCCCTTCATGGAACTCCCCTCAGGTGAGCAGCGCGCTCAAGCCGCAACTTCCAGCTTTCGGTGGGACGCTAACCCGTTGGGCATCAGAGCTTCGCCTCGAGATCTATCGCATGGCTCTCTCGCGCCCGAAACCCATACTCTTGCACATGCCCCGCCCGTCCGAAAAGGAGCAGAACCAAGGCGACTACCAATGGGAGACGGAGGAGGACGGGCCAGATCTGTTCGGCCGTCCGACGAGGAATAGCGAGACCGTCGATGTGGACCAAGACGAGCAGGATCTCGTCCTGCCGCGTCGCAACGCGCCCGATCGCCGCATCGAGTCGAGAAAACAACTGCCCACGGGCGATAGCGGCATAAACACGGATCCGCTGGTGCCGGCGCTCCTGCGCGTTTCACAGCTCATCTACCGCGAATCCCGGCCCGTGCTATACTCTGATAACGAGCTGGTGCTGCACCTACCAAGCGCGTTGTGCACGCTGTCGCAACTACATCAGCGCAGCCGTAGTCTGATCAAGCATGTCAGACTCGCCATCCCCACACATCACGATATCTTGGAGGGCTTCGCGGACCTGGTGCGGCTTGGACTGCGGTACTGCTGGGGTCTGAAGACCTTCACGATAAGCCTGCCGGATATGTTCCCCGAGGAGCGCCACGTCCCTTCCAGCACGACGAACGTGTACGCCAACGCTTTCCACATCCTGCGCTGGCTGCCTAAGAACACGCTAGTGCAACTAGAAGGGAACGTGCACGAGGAGATTCGCAAGGTGGTCGAGGAGAACGGACAGCTCTCGAAGAAGCTTAATGAGGTGAGTCCACCCAGAGACGGCACGGCAATGCAATGTCATGCTGACCTGGTGGTTTCGATTACAGAAAGAGTATCTCCGTCGACAACACCAGATGCCCGATCGTCGGTGAAGGCGCGGATATTCACCCTTTTGCGGCCAACGACTACATGATACGGTACAACAGGAACGAATTGGACTCAAAAAGGACAAGGTAATTGGCGTTAAGGCTGGGAACTTCTTCTCTCACCGAACGGAGGATAGGGAACAACTCAAGTCACAGGCCTCGAGGTGGCTGGAGATTTGAGAGTTGGATGAGAGCCAACATTTCTAATAGGTGCACGGCTGTGTTGCCTAATGTATTTGCTGGGTCCCTGCAAATCAGACTCTCGGGGGTCCAGCACAAATGAAAACTAGACTTCATACTTGAAAGGGGCTGCAACTCGATTTCTCGACGGATGGAAGTCCGTGACACGTTTCATCTTGCCAGTTACTAGCGAGTGGCTGAATTATCTGGCATTCACACAAGTGTCAACCTCTGAGGCGCGCATTGAATATGCGTGTTGGAGATGATGCAATAGTAGCGGGTTAGTCGAAATGCTCACAAGCAGATAGGATTATGACTGCTAATCGCTAGGGAGGCACCCGACGACATCCAGGGCGTGTTCGGAGGATCGGCGTTTTGGCAGGACAGGGCAAGACAATAATGATGACGCTATCGATCCGCAAGCAGCGCGCGCGATCCCAGCACAAAGTCGTCCTCCACCACGAGCATGTGAAGGATCACGAAACGGCTGCCTACACGGGCGCTCCCGTGTCATCATTCGCGTCGGCAACCGAACCATTGAATCATCACCGTCCCGGTCTGGGCTCGGGCTTTCAAACCATCCGGCGACGCGAGTTGCGGCGCGGTTATAAAGAGCACCGTGTATAGCTGCCATCAAGCTCGAAATGCTATCCGGACGCATCGCTTTCGATTTCGCGCAAAAACTGCGCTGAAGGAAGGAAGCAAGACAGACATCTTCCTCACCACGACGGCTGGTCAACGTTACACCACCACCACCACCGCCTTTGTTTCCGTTCCCTCCCTCCCGGCATCGACATCCAACCCCGTCCTTTCCGTCGTCTTACGCAATCCGCGCAGCGACACAGGATACTCAGCAAACAATGCCTCTCCTCCCGACCCTCCTCCACGCGACAGCCTTCAAGACGCCGCTCCTGCGGACACTCGTCCCGACGCTCGCGCTCGCGTACGGCATCCAAGCGGCCGTCGCGGCGCCGTCCATCGTCTGGCGCAGCGAGCGCTTCTACGACGCCAGCGGCAGCATCACCTACCTCGCGTGCACGGGCGCGAGCCTGATGCTGCCGGTGCTGCGGGCGAGGGCGGCGGCGGGCACGTTGGGGACGGCCGGGCTGTTGGCCGAGGTGGTGAGGAGCGCGAATTGGAGGCAGCTTGCGCTGAGCGCGGCGGTGGGCGTGTGGGCTTTGAGACGTGAGTTTTTTGTCCTCCTTTTTTTTTTTTCTCTCTTCCCCCTCGCAAGAATAAGATGGTCGGTTTCGAGCATGAACGGTTGTAATGAAGGGGGGAAGGAAACGAGCAGAATGATGGATAGTCGGACCCCGTATACAAGAAACACCCAGCTGACAACACACACACACAACACACAACCAGTCGGCTCCTTCCTCCTCCAACGCATCACCGCCGAAAACGGCCGCGACTCGCGCTTCGACAGCATCCGCACCTCGGCCCCCAAGTTCCTCGGCGCCTTCATGGCGCAAGCCACGTGGGTCTCGCTCTGCGCCCTGCCCGTCATCCTCGTCAACGCCGCGCCCGCCTCCGTCTTCGCCGCGCTCGGCCCGCTCGTCCTCGCCACCGACGCGCTCGGCCTCGCGCTGTACGCCTTCGGCATCGCCTTCGAGGCGGCCGCCGACCGCCAGAAGAGCGGCTGGATGCATGCCAAGCAGCGCAAGGAGCACGACGAGGACTTCTTGACGAGCGGCCTGTGGGGGAAGAGCAGGCATCCGAATTACTTCGGCGAGATCACGCTGTGGACGGGCGTCGCGACGGCGGCCGCCGGCGTGGTGGCGAGCAAGGCTGGGCTCGCCGGCTTGGGCTTGGGGGTCGGCCTGGCGGGCAAGGCGGGCGCGGTGGCCATGTGTGCGGCTAGTCCGGCTTTTGTGGCGTTTCTGTTGCTGAAGGTGAGTTTTGGCTTGTCCCTCTCTCTCTCTCTCTCCCCTTCTGTTGGCTGGGTTTCGGTAGAGAAAGGAGGTTGCTAATGGAGAGGGTGGGGAAAAACAGGTTTCGGGCATTCCGCTCAGTGAGAACAAGTACGACAAGAGGTATGGAGACCGGAAGGATTATCAGGAGTGGAAGAGGAACACGCCTATGCTCTTCCCCAAGTTCTTTGGTTGAGTGGTTGTTGAAGTCGTTCGGTGGAGCGTCAACGCCTTTCAAGTTAGCGAAGACGATGGGACAGACGATTTTTGACTTTGATAAAGACCTTGTGAGTAGTCTTTTACGCTTGTTTAGACTATCCTTCATCTTCCAATTGTATGATCTCAAACGACCACCAGTCAGCCAAACTGTAGGTTTGTATGGCTGTTTGTGCCCCACGTTATGAACGTAATAACTTCTCTACCGATATTCGGATAAGTATGCTCGCTAGAAAAAAAAGTATCTCCGCCACCTTCCGTCTCTGCCCCTGTATGGGCTTTTTTTTCCCCCTCTGTCCTCTCACCGATTTCTTTTTGTGTTGCCAGTATCCGCCACGTAACTCTTCTGAAAATGAAATCATAACTTTTGGGCTCCAAATCATAGCCAAAACCAATCGAAGTCGCCTTTTGAAATCTTGAATGAATTTTTCTGGCTGTGGAAAAGTCGCGAAATGCCGAGATGGAAAGGAAAATTGGTGGTTGTGTAGCGGAAATAGACTATAGAAGCTCGTCGGTATCTCGAAAAGCCAATGCAAAGAAAGTCGTGATTATACCCTCGGGTGAAGTTGAGGCTTCAAGAAATAAACCCCGTTGTCTGTGTTAGGCCTCGAGGCTCTCTTGCAGCAGGCGTTCACACTCAGCGATCTTGGCCTTGAAGACAGGCAGCTTACTGCGAATCAGCTCCCGGAGAGCCTTTGCCTCGGGCGTGTCGTTCTCGTCCGTCTTGAAGAGGCGCAGAAGCATGTCGTGAAAGTGCTGAAAGGTATCTAAGACCTTATCGGCGAAGCTCTCGGCATGGCGCTGGAAAAGCTTTTGTGCGGCAATTTTCGCTTTGTCATGGCACTTGTGAAACGGGTTCGCCGGGCCCCTCTCAAAAATCTTCTTTTGGAGGAGTCTCATGCGCACTTTGTTTGAGCCGGGACCGTTTATGGCAGCACACTCAACGTATATCTTCTCCAGAAGCTGGAGGAAGTAACAGTCCTTCGGCTCCGCTGTCAGGAGGAGGCAATCTCTGATAGAGCTTCGGGAATCAGCTGAAGAGCGCGAAATGTAACACTCTTTACTTACCAAAGACCGTTTTCCACTGCCTGGGCCTCCGACTTGCACGCCTCGTCAAGCATATCTACGTTCAAGCGCATTTCATCAAAGAATGGTTGAAGGATGTTGTGAGATGGGCCAGTAGAGTCTGTCGAAACCTTGTTAGCAGCAGCCAAGATAGAAAACATGAGGTGCTAGTCATACCTTGCAGACGTCCTATCAGTCCTTGAAGCGCTCCCACCACCTTGTCCGATAGGTTGTGGCCAAGCGGCTCACTCACATCCTCCCAAGGACGGAGCTCGGTCTTCATGTCCTTGATGAGCGGCTCGAGTATTGCGCAGTTCCAATCGTGGAATCCAACTTTAGGAGTCTTCCACCTGCCTTTATTGCGACAGAATGCCTTCTGAGTTGCTGAGAGTAACCGTTAACGTCTTACCCGCGGTATTAGAAACTTTCATCAAACTCACAAGGTTTCCACTAAGGAGAGAATATCAGTTGACAGGCACTCGGAAGAGATAGATATACTTACCTTCGCGTATACCTTCAGCTTCTCTGCCGCTGCTGTGATGTAAGTCGCCTTATTCTTCTCTGTGAACACGTCAGTGCAAATTAACATCAAGCACTTCACTTTAACATACTTATCTTCCCAAGGCGGCTCAGAACGCCATCGCTGAGTAGATCCTTGAAAACCTGACTAATCTCATTTGACAGGGGCTGATTCACATTAGTGCAATAGTCCTCGTCTGTGTGGGACCAAGTGCGAACCTTCAGTGCATCCACTAAGATGTTCTGCAACTCTTCTTTTCTTCTCAATTTGCTTTGAGAGCAGGTCATGGTCAAGTGGTGAAGAAGCGAGGGCAGCTTGTACTTGACATGATGCTTAAAGGCCATTATCTTCCGATCGGCTGGTAAGGAGTAAACGTGAGCGCGAAGTCTGGGGATCCCGGTGGCTTCGACGCTCATTATCGGCGGATGATCTTCGTCGCCAACAATGTGTTTCATGTATTCCATACTACTGACACAGAAGACTGGGAGAATTTCCTGCTTCATCATGCCAAGATTTCGGTTTACAAGGGCTTGGCGGACCTTGTTGTTGCGGAGTTCAAGGCAACTTTCCCTGATTTTGGCCAATACAGAAGTCTCCCGGGTCCTAGTGGTTTCGAAAAATCAGTGGCTACTCTTCAAGAGTTGGTCATGTCATGTGAAAGTGGCTTCGCCTCTGGAGCAAGAAAGAGGGCGAGCGGAGGAAGAAGGGCCGGCCGGGGGATTGTGAGGGAGACGAAAACCCAATTACTCACTCCAAGACATCGTTCTGCTTCGCAAGACTTTCGACGAGATCATAGTCTCGTTGGGAAAGAGCCTGCTTCTGTCGGAGCTGGAAGCTCTTCGAATCTATCTTGATTGAGTCGAGTTCCTCTTTCAAGAGCAACAGTCTCTTTATGTCGCCCGCACTCGCGCCTGGCATGTTGATATATTTGTCAACGAGACCAGATTCATCAGAAATTCCTGACTATTCCGAGTCAGTTTGAACTTTCGAATGGTTAGGACTCGCTCACATCCGACTTTGTCACGGCCATGAAGACGTTCTTGCCCCGTTTGCGCTTGTAAGCCTCGACAAGGGATTTGTGAGCATCGGCGTTCGACTGTGCGCGATCGATCTTGGCTACAACCCCCGTGTAGTCTACATCTCTCATGTATACGTTCGTGGCCTGAACGCGGGTCCGGTTGATGTCGGATGTACCAGGTAGATCTGCGAGAACAATATCCTGAGATAGCAGGGGGCAATCGAAGAAGCATCTACGAAACAATGTGAGCGGGGTGAGGCGTTTTTTGGCTGGTTAATAGACTTACTTGACGAGTTGCACAAACGGCCATGGCGAAGGTTGCTGACGGTCGACATGCGCCAGGAATTGGGCGAGCTGGTCTCGAAGGTCGTCAGGTGTGTGGGCTTTGATGATAAGCTCACTCGATGTTACGCCGAGACTTTTGAGTAGCGAATCCGTCCATCTTTTCAATCGACCTAGAAGGTTAGGATCTTCACGGGAGGTTGCGGTAATTAGGAACTGCTTGGTCGCCTCTGGACTTGCGCACTCTTCGTGATCCGCAAAGAGCGAAAACAAGGCATCAGTTGCGGTGGTGGACACTTCCCCCTCCTGGATCGCCTGGTCGACGTCTTTTTCGGTGGAGTCTTCGTCGTCTTCCCCATCCTCACTTGTTCCAGCCTTGTAACTGTCCCAGAAGTTTCTGACCCAGTCTTTCAGAGCAGTCTCTCGAGCCTGAGGCAGCAGGAAGGTGACTTCAGCCTCGCAAGGCATCTCCTGGGAAGGGCGAGGTTTTCGAAACTCCTGTACGACCGCCGTGCATGCCTCGCCGTAGCCACCCTATGGTACAGTCAGCACGCAAAATGTGAAAAGGTAGCAAGAGACATACACTTGGGGCTAACCCGTTGTAGCCCAACAACGAGTTGATCAGGCTTGATTTTCCAGTGCCTGAAACACCTTTGAAGCCAACCTTAATTTCACCGCACTGATAGATCTTGCTAAGGCCGCATGCCTTCTCCTTCAAGAACTCGAAGTCCTCGTCAGTGTATGCATTATCTCGGATATCTCTCACAATCTCTTCAGGAATCGAATGGGCGATCAGTTCCGCGGAATGAAAGCTCGCGTGGTTCGTAGCCATCTTGGGAGGAGGTTCCGTAACGGGGTCATGTCTCTTGAAGGGCTGCTGCCCGACTTCGCTGGAAAAGGAGACGTGGTCTACGCGGTGATCAGCAAGCTTGTTCCGTATGTCAGAATGTTGCGACATCACTTACCTCTCTTGCTGCCTTTCTTTGAAGGTGTCTCACACAGCGAAGGTAGCCCAGATGTGAAACGCGACTCCTCTGACGGATCTTCCAGGACCAGCGGCGTCGACCAAGTGTTCGATATGAGAAGGGGTCGGTCCTCTCCGTCATTGCTGACATCCCATTCCGCCTTGATTGGTGGTGTAGGAGCGATGGCATGCTGCTCATCCGATGCCATTGTGGTCAGTGAAGGTTGGGATGGCTTGGGGCTCCCGTTGTCATCCATGATGTAACTCGTGGTGAGACCTAGGTGGTAAAGAGGGTCAACAGAATCGCCGGATGAGTGAACCGGGACGAGACTCACCTGTCACCAGTTGATTGTTGGAGGAAAAGAAGAGAGAAGAGCGGACAAGGAATGAAGGGCTTATAAGCAGTGACATCGGACCCTGAGTCCGATACGATCATGGGGCATGGACTTGCTATGAGGAAGGAACCGTAGACGGAATCGAGAAGCTACGTGAAGAGTACAGTCCGATCACATGATGAGGGCGGTAACGGAATACCAAATCAAGAAGCCACATGGAGAGCGAAGGGCGGAGCTCGATCAGACCATGAGGCATGAATCTTTCAAGAGGGAGGAAACATAAGATGAGGTCAGGAAGTGACATTGTCGCTTTGCTACAGAAAGGGATAACGAAATTGGTCACCACGCTCTGCCTAACGCCTCGATTATGAGGCCGGCTTAGGTGGGTAAACAATGCCCGTCTTGGGGCAGTTGCTTCCGTACGTGGTGTTCGTGGGGACGTAGCTTCCACCATTGACCCTACCAGCCAAGTGATGATAATACCACACTTCACTTAGAGAACCATTTGTGCAGCCGATATGCGGCAGGTATCCTCCCGTGGCCTCAGTGAAGCATGCCTCAATGTCCGCCAAGGCGTATGTGCCGTTGCTCGTTGGCACAATGCCGCATGAAGCAAGATAGTCCTGGGTAGGAAGTTGCTTGTGGAGGTGGACGACTTCGTGGAGGAATTGGACCAGCTCGAGCTCGGGGGTATAATGGGTGTAGCAGGATGGCCGGAGGGTGGTCATGCAGGTGCCGTGCTTGCTCCACTCATGCTCCCAGAGCTCTTCGTCCGTGCCGTTTGAGGTGGTGATGACCGGGTCATTCTACGAGTCATTAGCATAGCAGCCCGTCTCGGCGAGACAAGAATTGGCCCACCCTCCAGTGCTCCTTCATGTAGCCCAGCAGATCGTCCTGGCCGTATTCCTCAAGCGTCGAAGCGATATCCACGTAATTCCTAGACGCATCGCAGGACGAAGGGTAGCTGCCGTTGCAGTAGTCGTTCCAGAGACCGTGGATGGTCCAGGTGTTTTCCGGTCCGCCAGCGGTCTTGGAGTAGAGCTGGGTCAGCAGCAAGAGCCCGCCAGGCGACTCAACACAGCAGGCATCGGTGGTCAGGCTCTCGGGCGAGCAGGACAGCACCTGCAGATCATGGCTCGAGCAATTGCCGTTCGGAGCTGAGTGCAGGCTTGCGGCGGCAAGAGACAGGTAGGCAGCTGCGCCCAGGATCAGACGGGGGACGAGCATGTTGGCGGAGGAGGAGCGCGGTGGAGGGCGGAGGGCGCCATTGTACCTGGCTGGCTTAAAAGCATTATCAGTCGGCAAGCACCGCGCCCAATGCCGGCGGCGATCAGGTACCTCGAGTCGTTCGGAGGTGAGCGATGGAGAGTGAGGACCTTCTTGTTTGGGAAGCGGCGGCGACGATAGCGGCGAGCCACTGGAAGCGAGGCCGCGAGGCCGTGCGTTATGTCATAGCCGAAGTTTTGCACTCGGCGCTTCCTTCCTCCACCGCGATCCGCCCCGCCACGAGTCATCATGGCCGACGTCGATTGGAGCAGAATCTTTCCAATCCACAGACTTCCGGCATCACGAAGCACCAAGTAAAGACACGGCCGAAACGGAGAAACAAGCAACCCTTCTGGCACCCTTGTCCCTCCAGGCCCATTGGGGAAGTGTTGTATAGCCGAGACCATGGCCGAGCCACAGCAAAAGACCGTCGATCTTCTTGTTGACTGGTTCGTCCGCCATGGCGGCTATGTGCACCCCAGCGTGCGCTTCGGCCAGGACTCTTATGGAGGTGTGGCCGCATTCGCAAACGAGGACATCTCCAATCCTCCCAGCGGCGGGCTCCACCTCTTGACATGTCCGCTGGAACTGCAGCTCTCTCACCATCAAGCCCCCAAGGCTATCCAAGACCAACTGCCAGAGCACATTCTCCGCAACATATCTCTAGTCACAGAAACACTTCTTGGTGAGAAGTCACTTTGGGCGCCCTACATCGAATGTTTGCCCAAGAGTAACCAGCTGCATACCCCCATCTTCTTTTCCGAGGATATGACCCAAGAAGCCGTCAATGAGAAGCGGAACGATACTGCCTGGCTTCTCGGTACCAACCTTGACAAGGCATGGCGGCCTCGGGCGGAGCAATGGAAAGAAGACTGGGAGAGTGCCGTCCGCGCTCTGGAGAAGCAGGGCATTGCAGCTGAGAGCTACACCTGGGAGCTCTATAAATGGGCCGCCACTATCTTCACGTCGAGATCCTTCATCTCCGACCCCGGCATGAGCAAAGACAATGCATCCCATGCCGTCCTCCTGCCAGTCATTGACCTGCTCAACCATCGCTTCCCTGCAAAAGTGTCCTGGTTCTTCGACCACGGCGCCTTTCAGTTCAAGACAGAAGAGGTGGTCGCTAAAGGTCAAGAGATCTTCAACAACTATGGCGGTAAAGACAACGAAGAGCGTAAGTTAGCTGGTCTGCCTTGAGTTGTCGAAGTCTGACTCGAGCTTGCTCCTCCAGTCTTGAACGGTTACGGTTTCTGCATTCCCGAAAATTATTGCGACGTATCAGCAATCCGATTCGGACAGTTGCCTCCTCCACTCACCGCAGAACTCGTAAGACTTCTTGGAGAATGGGATCCCGCTCAAACACACTACATCAGAGGCCACGACCACCTGCTCGGCCCATACAAGGTATCACTGCCAGAGCACCCAGATGTTACGTCCTCAGGTGTGCCGCAGACGATTTGGACTGTCATGGAAGTCCTCAAAAAATTCCAAGATGAGCAGCAGGGGCAGCGTGCGCAGTGGCGTAGCACGCTTTCGGCACGGTGTGACCTGCTCGAGATCCTGGCTACCAAGTATGACAACATCGACCAGTACTGTGACTTCCTCCCGGAAGCTCCCAAGAACATGAAGCAACAATACGCGAAGATTTACCGGGATAGTCAGATGATGATTCTCAAGGAGAACCATGCCGATGTTGAGAAGCTGGTGGAGAAAGCCAACTTCACAAGCCTCGAGGACGCCGTCCAGGCTTTGAAGGAGGACAAGGAAGAAATAGGTGGGAAGAGGTGGATCGAAGCGATGGAGATCACCTTTAAGACGGATGATCTTGCATCTCTTCGGGAACAGGGTGTAGAGCGAGAGGCTTGGATCCTTTGGCTGTGTGCTGCATGGCTTTCTCTCTGTGAGTGGTCCTCTATATTTGGCGTCTCTCTTACTGACCTAGTCCTTCGAAAGCTACCTTAGAAGATAGCGAGTCATCTCGTATCTCAACATGGGTCAAAGATCTTCTGGAGTCTCATCCATACGACGAGTCCGACCCTGACTCACACCTGCCGGTTGTCATTCGGCAACTGCGTGGGCATGCCGACGGCATCTGGCAGGATCCAAAGTTCAGCGCTGGGCTGTACCACTGGGCGGGTGAGGTGGTGGATGCAGAGGCGAGGATGTTGGCATACCTGGACGACAACGAAAACCAAGGGAAGCTTCTCATCTGCATGAAGGACTGAGGCTACCCAACAATCGACCTTGGACAGTCCCCCTCACAGAAAATGAGACACGCGTGGAATTGAATCAGCCGGATCTGGACTCTCTGAGTTTATCCTCCGCAGACCAGGACCAATAGTGATGTATAATGTCACGTGAAGCGGCATGACGGCCTGTCTGGGGTCTTTTACTCAATTCATATGCCACATTAATGCAGGAAAAAGACATGATAGATACTAGAAGATTTCTAGGCTCGTGTAAAATGCAGGCGGATTGAATGGCGATAATTCACCAAGGCTTTGAGTTTGTAGTAGCAGCGGACAGACGGAGAAGGATCGGGGTGAGCTGGGATCGTCAAAGTGGAAATTCGAGATGTCGGTACATTTGCGAGTAGCCAAATGCTGTGCACAGAATGCTCCGAAGTGAGTCAGGTATGAGCGATGGCGTCAGACGATGCAGGGCGAGCAGAAGTTGTATGTCTACTCGGTAGGCGGGCAGCGAATGAAGTGCGGGCGAATCAGATTACAAAGTGGCCCTAGCGGCTTTTCGCTGGGAGCTTCCGAGTTGACCTCGTCGATTCTTCCACCTCGCTCCGACCGACCCTTCAGCCCGACGTCAACGCCGACCCGAACCCAGTCGCCCCCCTTCGACCACCCGCATCCATTCCAATTCGCATTCAAGATGGGCATCACCGATTTCCTCTCGGACCTGTACTCGTCCGTCGTCACCCAGGACGTCGTTGCCGAGGCGCCCAAGGCCGACACTGGCGACGAACACCAGAGCGGTAAGAACCAAGGAACCTACGGATCTGGAACCGCACAGCAGCGAGGAGCGAGCGTGCGCGGCGGCGCCTCTGCCGTCGCCACACCAGCCACCGCCGGAGCGTCCAAGGAGAGTCCGCAAGAGGCCGAAGTCAATAAAGCTGATGAGAAGAAAGGCGAGGACACCAAGACCGAGGAGGAACCCGAAGAGGAGCCCGAGGCGGAAGAGGAAGAGGAAGAGGAGGAGGAGGAGGAGGAGCCCGAGGATATCAAGGAGAAGCTCGAGGAGGGTGAGTGATTGCCCGGCTCCCACATGCCGTGCATTGCCGTCGCGAACAAGCGTGCAATTGCGCCACCTCCGCTATGCCATTGAGGCACAATTGGCAGTGCATCACGCAGCTTTGCGTCTACGGGCATGCTGCTAACGATTCCCGCTGCAGAGTGCGCCGAGACGCCCGAGTGCTCGCCGGCCAAGCACCACTACGACCACTGCGTCGAGCGCGTCACCAAGCAGATCGAAGACAACGGCAAGGCCGATGAGGACTGCGTCGAGGAGTGTAAGCACAACACTAGCGTCCCGCGCGAATGCACGGACAAGGGCTCTCCACTTGCTGGAGACGCCTCCACTGATGGATCGACTCGCAGTCTTCCACCTGGCCCACTGCGCCACCGCATGCGCCGCCCCCAAGCTGTTCGCCCAGCTCAAGTAAACCGGCCCGCGCGAGAAAGACCCCCGACCTCCGCCGCATACGGTTTGCATGTAGGATGGCTGCGATGCTGTAGATCGGTCCGACAAATACACACGAGATATGCCCAGAGACGATCACAGAGCCATTCAGCATCTGTACATCTTTTCTTCCGCCGCACCCCGAAATGTACTATGATCCTAAACCCGTATTTTTCCTCCCCACAGCAATCAAAAAAGAGCTGTATTTGCATTTCAAGTGGTACAAACATGCATGTGAATGCAAATGTGTTAGTCATCACCGGCTTTTGGCGCAGAGCGTAGCAGAGTCAACACGATTTGTTCTGTTCAGTCCACGAAGCAAAATACATTATTGCTACGTCACGATGCTCAAACATTTTTCCATCTCGGAGATCACACACCCTCATCTGCAACGAACAAGTCAACCAAACCCCCTCCAATCACACCGCCGCATTTCCATCACGACCCCCCACCCTGGCGCCCTTCCCCGTTCTCCTCCTCCTCCCCAACAACCACCGCGCCCCTCTCCTCGGCATCCTCCGCCTCCATCCTCCCCTTCCTGTGCCCCGCCCCCAATCCCAACCTCCTCACGCCCAACAGCAACGGCGCGGGCAGCACCGCCACCGCCACGACCGCCTGAAACACCAGCGCGCGCCACATGCTCCCCGGCGGCTTCCACCCCCCCGCATCCCCGCACCGCGCGGTGCCTGTGCCGCCATCGCCATCGCCGCCGTCGCAGCCGGGCTCCTTGAGCGCGTCCATGACGACGACGAAGACGCCGCCGAGCAGCTGGCCCGCGGTCCAGCACAGGACGGAGCCGGCCTCTGGGCTGGCGGCGGGCCAGGTGGCCTCGACGAGGCACTCGAGCGCCACGGGGACGAGGGCGAAGCTGGCGGCGCCGAGCAGGGCGGCGACGGCGTAGGGCGCGGCGACGGCGCGGGCGGGCGGCGCGAAGACGAAGGCGAGGTAGCACGCGGCCACGACGGGGCAGAGGAGCTTGATGGTGGCGAGGTAGGGTTTCGGGTGGCGGCGGTCGAGGACGGGCGAGAGCAGCGCGGCGGCGGCGAGGCCGACGAAGATGAGGAGCGCGCCGCAGATGCCGGCGTCGGTTTCGGTGAAGGCGTAGGGGTGGAGGATCTGGTTGAGGAGGGAGGAGAAGGCGTTGAAGAAGCCGACGTAGACGGCGAAGGGGAGGAGGAGGAGGTAGAAGGTCGGGTTGGTGGAGAGGTGGGCGAGCGAGGGGAGGATGGCGGCCGGTTTGGGGGCGGCGGTGCTGGCGGCGGAGGGGGGCGTCGGGGGGGAGGCGGGGACGAAGAAGGAGGGGAGGGAGGCGATGGTGGACTAGAGAAGGGTCAGTTTTCCAAGGTTCTTTTTTTTTTTTTTGGGAAAGGTTGAGGGTCAGGGGATTGGACGTACGATGATGGCCGTGTACAGGACCATGTTGGGCACCTCGCTCGGCTTGGTCGCCCAGAAGGGGTCGATGAGCTGGCCCAGGGCGCCGCCGAACGGGTTGGCCAGCGAGGCCAGTGCCGTGGCGGAGATGCGGCCGCGCTCGGTGAACCAGAGGTCGCTGTAGCGGGTGGGCGCGGCGAGCACGAAGGGCTGGGCCAGCCCGATCAGGATCTGGCCGAACACGACGACGCCGAAGTTGCCGTGTGGACCGGCCCGCGTGCCGGCGTAGCGCACCCAGTTCCCGATGAGGGTGAGGATGCTGGCGATGACGAGGGCGGGTTTGGGTCCGCGGTGGAGGGTCATCAGGACGACGCTGGATGTGTGTGTGAGCAGGATGGGTGGTTCAACATGTAGAGGCGGGATAGCTCACGGACTGATGACGACAAAGGAAAAGAGAAAGGCGGTGCTCAGCCAGTTGACTGCAGATTCGGAGACATCGAAGTACTCGGCAGAGTCGGAGGAGACGGCAGCAAAAGTCAACCACTGCGGGCAGCATGTCAACACGACTCGTTTCTTGAATGGCCAGAGGCAGCCGAACTCACGTCCCAGCTGATGATGATGTTCAGCAGCACCAGTTGCAGCAGGCCGAACCAGCGCCGCTTGTACACGCGGTGGTGAGGGTGGGCATTTGCGTCGTGGTCGCGAGCAAGGGGCGCGTCTCCGTCCACTCTCGAGCAGCCCGGGTCGGCCATCTTCTCAGGACCGGCGTGTTGTTGCGGCGAAACGGCATCCATGTCAGCGAGACCCGCTCTTCGTCATTGCTCCCGGCAGTGGAGTCGCGAGCGGCGGCGGAGACGGCAGCAGCGACGACGATTGAAAGGCGAGCTGGCGCTGGCAGTCTCGGCGCCGCCAGGGTCCATGCTTGTGTGTACTTGTCAGGTGGTTGCGTTCCTCATCCCTTCGCCTGCGTCCTCGGTCGTGTCACCAATGAGCGCCACGGGGCGGCTAGCCCGGGGGCGAAGATGGGCGTCGGGCCAGACAGCCTGCCTGTCTCAGCATGGCCGCCGGACCGAGTGCAGCGTACGCGCCGGGCGTTTTGCCTTTCTGCGAGCAGCCAGGATACTGCATGGTGGGCGCTGATTCGCCAGGACTCGCGGGCTCGACGGGGGCGCGCATGGGGGCGTACTGCTAGCCAGCGCTTGTCCCGACCTCTGCATAGCCGTCGGCTCCTCGCTCGATTCTGTAGGAAGAGGAAGAAAAAGGTTCAATGGGCAGCCATGTGGCGCGCAGCCGCATCACCAGGACGCGACAACTTCCCACGCTGGGCTGATGAGCAGAGCGCGCGTGTATCTTGTGACGTCGAGCTACCCAATCTCGAAGTCCGGCACTACCCGCAGCGCTCTGCGCACCCGGCGCCCCGCTGCGAAAAACAACTGAAATTTCGAACCACCCTCGACCCTCGACCTTCGACCTTCAACCCTCAACTTTGTTCAATTCACTCCGCCGCTTCCATACTCGCTCTCCCCACACTCCAGTCGCTGACCGCAGTTGTCCTCGTCTCGAGCAGCAACCAACAACGCGGTCCGCTCTGCGAATTGGTTCCAAGAAGCTGTATACGATGACACGACTTTGTCTCCCACACCCGGCAGCTCGCCCTTGAGGTTGTGTGCCCAGTCGCCATACCCAAGAGCCACGCACGCCTCGTCACCCGCGCACACGTCCAGGTAGCCGGCGAACGACTCGGAATACCCCGTTGCAAGCTGTCGCTGGTGTTCGGATAGTTGGCGTCCCACACAGGACGGTGCTCTATGACTGCGTGTGTGTCAGTGACGTTGGACACCTGCTTCCCCACTTCAATGTCAAGAGGGCAAACAAGAGTGTACACTGCTTGCACAGCACAGCAACGTCGCGAATGAAGCCAAGTTCTGCACTTCGTCTCAAGTTGCCGGCTTACCTTGGATGCATTATGGGTAACCCTTCTCGAGCGCAGACTCAGAGGACGGTCTCACGAATTTGCAGGAATCCTGACTGACAAGGTGACAACGGCTTGGAATGTGTCAATACGGTAGGGCGTCAAGCCTTTTCTTTTCAACGGTCTCAAATATACCCGTGGGTTGCCACTATGCCTTATTGGCTTTCCACATTTTGAAGAAGACCAAGAGGGATGCTTGCATCGACCCTTTATAATCCTGCTGCGTTATTTTTGCTCCACCGACGTTGCAGGTTCGCTTGGGGACGACATGTACCATACAATAGCACTACGCGACTTTTCAATACCAATATTTTTCACCGCACACATCCGTATCTCTCCCTTCTCGCACACATTCAGGGCAGAATGGTTTGTTCTAAGAGCACAGGTCAGTAAGATATGTGGTTGCTCAAGCATACTCAAACCACTGAGCTATCATTGCATCAACATGTTCATGTCTGATCAGGATCAGGACCTATATGCGGAGCTCGGGAAGATAACCCACCTTTCAACTCCGCAACCACCCTGCATTAGCGCTGACCAGCCCACCGCCCATCTCCGCATCACGCCATTTTCTTCGGAGACCGGCGCGTGGGCGGGGAGCAACAGTCAATGGTTCGTTGGGCGGTTTTGGCTAAATCCCATCCTACAATCCGATATCGAATTGCGGGCACAAATGCTTGATCCAACTCCGTACATGCTGATCTCCGCGATTCTCACACCGTGCTCTGCTTATAAGACAGGTGCCAAACAGCCGCCAAGTCCATGGCACGCTCCCAATTGCTAACATTGCATTATCTCAACTCACCGACGAGGCCGTCCCCGCCATCAACAAGAAACCATGACGACAGCAACAACGGCCACAGCGGCTCCCGAAAGCCGTGCTCCCGCAGCAAACCACCAAAACGACACCCTCCCCGTCCCCAACTCCACCCTGTCCTACTGGCGCGAGAAGCCCCACCGCCTCGACACCCACCGCACCACCCCAGACCTGCCCGCCTCCTGCGACGTCGCCATCATCGGCTCCGGCATGGCCGGCGTCTCCGTCGCCTACCACCTCGCCAGTACAAGCAGCACCCCGCACCCGCCCTCGACCCTCCTCCTCGAAGCCCGCCAGCTCTGCTCCGGCGCCACCGGCCGCAACGGCGGCCACGTCAAGGCCAAGACGGCGACGCTGCTGTCCCTCCTCTCCCACGACGACGACGACGACGACGACGACGAGAACAACAACAGCAGCAGCAACAACAACAACGACAGCAACGACAGCAACGACAACGACGACAACGGCCTCGCCACCGCCAACGCCCTCTCCGCCTTCGTCCAAGCCCAGATCGCCGCCCTCGCCGCCGTCACCACCGCCGCCGAGCCCGGGCTCGCCGCCGAATGCGACTTCCAGCTGCGGCGCAGCTGGGACGTCTTCGTGCGCGACGACGAGGCCACGGCGCGGGTCGCGCGCGCGTGGCGGCGCTGCGTGGCGCGCGGCGACGAGTGGACCGCCGGCCGGGAGATGATCGACGGCGGCGACGTCGAAGCCGTGACGGGCGTGCGCGGCGCGCGGCTCGCGGTGAGCAGCCCCGCGTGCTCGCTGTGGCCGTATCGGTTCGTGGGGGGGCTGTTGGAGCGGGCGATGGCGAGGAATGGCCGGTTGAACGTGCAGACGGGGACGGGGGTGGTGAGGGTGGAGAGGGACGGGGAGGGCGCGGGGGAGGGCGCGTGGCTGGTGTGCACGGATAGAGGCGTGGTGAGGGCCCGGAAGGTGGTTTTTGCGACGAATGCGTACACGGCGGGGTTGGTGCCGGCGTATCGCGGGGTCATCACGCCGTATAAGGGCATGTGTGCGCATTTGGCGGCGGCGGATGGGACGCGGCAGCCGAGGCTGAGCCATACGTATAATATTGAGTATGGTGGGCGGGAGGGGCTGGAGACTGTCGACTATTTGAATCCCAGACCGGATGGGGGGATCGTGGTCGGGGGTGCGAAGTGGTTGTATCAAGAGCAAAAGAGCTTGTGGTTGAATACCGTGGACGATTCGACCTTGATTGAGCCGGTCATGAAGGCGAAGTACTTCGACGGGTATATGCAGAGGAATTTCACGGGGTGGGATGACAGTGGATCGGAGACGGAGAGGGTTTGGAGCGGGAGTGAGTATCTTTCCATTCGCGACTTGTTTCTCACTGACGAGGTGGCGCAGTCATGGGAAGCACTCCTGATGGAGTTCCGCACGTCGGAAAAGTTCCCGGCGAGCAAAACCAATGGATCCTTGCAGGCTTCAATGGCGGCGGCAACGCGTTGATATTCCTTACAGCCAAGGCTGTCGCGAAGATGGTATTGGAGGATGTGCCATTTGAAGAGACAGGGGTGGCTGTTCCTGCGTTTTTCAAGACAACTGCAGAGAGACTGGCAAAACATTCATGATTCATTATAAGTTAGAGAGGAGCTCCAATTGGGGCATGGTCGACATCGAGGTGTATTTCTAGAATCAAGGATCATGGCAATCAGCACCTGCGATATATTAAATTCAGCATCAGCCCATACGCCACGCCAAAGCAAACCTAAGTTGAAAACAAGAAGGGGCTCACCAGTAAAAAGAAGATCAGGTTACCGCCTTATTACTTGGTCTCCAGAGCATGCAGGTGAATATGAACTGCTCTCCGTCCGGAATCAACCTCGACAGGTCGTATTCAGCAAGGACCTCAAACCCCAACTTGGTATACAGAAACCTCCCCATCGGAGTGGCTTCCACGTACACTGGAACACCGTCCTTTTCAGCCTGTTCCATTCCCCATCTCACCAAAGCGGCACCCAGGCCCCTGCCTTGGTAGTCGGGATGGCAGCACAACCCGGAGAGGTCTTGCACCAACCAGCATCAGCTCGACATGTCACTTCCAAAAAAAAAATACAAAAAAGCAGGCAAGCACACGGAGAAAAGAGAACCACTCACCCCAAAAATTCCTATCATTCCCCCAAATCTTCCGCTTCGCCTCCTTCATCACCCTGGACGACTCGTCAAAAACCTCCGGCACCGCACACTTCGGCCGCGGCTCAACCTCCTCCTCCTCCTCCTTCCCCGCCGACAGCGACGACGCCTTGACAGGCGGCATCCACGACGCCCACGCCACAACCCTACCGCCGCCGTCGACATCCGCGTCGGTATCCACGATCTTATACACGACGCCGCTGCCGCCGGCGAAGCGCTTGCGTATGCGGCGGCGGCGGAACTCGAGCTCCTCGTCCGGGCGCAGCGGGTCGACGAGATGCTCGGGGAAAGTGGCGGTGCGGAGGGGGTCGCGGTGGAAGGCGGGCGTGGCGACGGCGGCGCAGGCGTCGAGGTCGGCGTCGGTGCGTGCGCAGGGGAGGAGCGTGTAGGGGGGTGTGAGGGGCATTTTTTTTTCTTTCTTTCTTTCTTTTCTTTCTTGGTTTCTTGGTTTCTTTGGCGTCTTCTTCTTCTTCTTCTTCTTCTTCTTCTTCTTCTTCTTCTTCTTCTTCTTCTTCTTCTTCTTCTTCTTATTCTTTGACTTCGCAGGTTTGTGCGGATTGAGTGGATTGCTGTTGTTGGTGTTTGGGCGTTCTGCCTTTCGGTTTGTTTTGATTAAGCGAATGGTATACTAGGGAAGGTGAGAGGGAAGGTATGAGGGAGGGAGGGAGGGAGGGAGGGGGAGGAGGATGAAGAGGAGGATGGGGAGGAGGATGGGATTATGGGCTACCTTGACACCAGCCAGTCATGGCGAAGGAACGAGGTCTTATTTATCTTGCCGTCTCAAGGTTGCATCGCATTATGACTGTACTCTGCGCGGGTATGCATAGGTAAGCAATTTTCTGCACCTCTCTCCCTCTAGGCAGGTAATGCCGGCTGACGGGTGGCGCCATGCGGATAAACATGCCAGTTTTCTTTGCGAATGACGGGGAACGCATTCCTGACCGACGGCCCATGGCCCCTTTTGAGAGAGGTGCTTAGGGTGGAATTACCGAAGATGGCTGCGTTGGCGTTTTGATTTGACTCATCGTCTCGAACTCCGATTTCCGATGTGGGGATGAGGCAGAGCCGAAAGGTGAGGAATTCGAGCCTACAATTGCTTTGTCTTTGGCACTGACAAGTGAGAAGTGCTTGTGTTTCGACCACGTATTCAAGAGGCAGAAGATTGTGAAATGATTCATCTATTCATAACCACGCTCATATCCATCTGCGCTTGAGCAGATCTGGTTAAAAGATAGAGGTAAAAGAGGAAAAAGGCCCAGGAAGAGCAAAGGAGAAAGCAAGCTATCCCTATCCTACTCTCATCCAGCCTATCGAAACACACATCCTTCGTACCAAACTTTTTGCCTGCCATCCCACTGTGGACGAAACCACTATCGTCATCGTAATCGTTTCCTGGGTGGATCCCTCTTTCCTCTCATGCAGGCCGACGAGAAAAATACGGAGCTTGATCCAGCTGATTCACCCACCCAGGAGCCTCGTCCCCATATTAACCCAGAACCCATCCGCATTCCGTCGTCATGAAACAAAAAAAGAAAAGCCCCCAAGGAAGAAAAGAAGCACATCTACGGCCACCCGTGAGAGAAACGAACCCGCCATGCCCCAAGGGAACAGTCCCTGACGAGCACCTGAGGCTGCCCCGCTGCAAGGGTTCGGTAAGCTGTTGCCCTTTCCACGATACCGAGCCAGTGTCCTTCGGCCAGAGAAGAGAGAATTCGCGTCTCCCCGCTGTTCAAATAAAGGGACATCTGGGCAGTAAATCCAAGTGAAAAAGGCAGCAACCACCAAACCGTCTCATAATACATGTTCGTGAACGTGTCGAAACTGGTGGCGCAAAGAAGAAAACGGGGAATCAACGGGGCTGAGAATGGCTCCTATCGATGTTCGGAAGAAACCATAAAGGGGGTATTCGGGGGCGTCCAGAATAAAAAAAAACAGAAAGCGAAGGTAGACTCAATTGCCGGCGAAGCCGTTCCACTGAACCGCCATATGAACGATGGCCTCGGAGTGGCCAGACCGATGAGCCGCGAAGAAAACAGACCCTAACTTTTGAGCACCACCAAGCGTGAACCCTGGAGCAGCGACAACGCCTGATACGCCATTTGCGGACCTAAGATCGAGAAGTTGAAGGGCTAGAGAAAGCGCCGAAGACATCCGCGGAAAAGACGCTTAAGCCTTGTTCTCAGAGGCCTCGCCTTCCTTGGTGGCCTCCTTAGGGGCCGCGTTCTCGTCCTGACCATCGCCCTTGCTGTTGATGTACTCCTGGTAGACACCCATAGCTTCTTCGACCTTGGCACGGAGAGCGTTCTCATCGGAAGTCCTAAAGAGGCTAATTAGTCATCTTACGGGCTTTCAGCTTGGGGATATATCAGGGAGGGAACATACAAGTTGATAAGCTCAGGGTTCTCCATCTCCAGGAGCATACCAGTGATCTTGCCAGCAAGCTCGGGCTGCATGGCGTGGATCTTGGGGTAGAGGGCCTCGCCAAGCATCTGCTTCTGCTGAGGAGCAGGAGCAGCCTGGAGAGCAGACATGTCGACACCCTCACCAGGAGTAGGGGTCTGACCGGGAGCAGGACGACCGCCAGGGAAGCCAGGCTGGCTGCGGTTGCCACCACGGTTGTTAGGGCCACCACGGCTGTTTCCAGGGATCTGACCGCCCATCTGGGGCATGCTGGGAAGGGGCACGCCAGGCATAGGACCACGGCTAGCACCACGACCGCCCATAGCAGCCTGCTGAGCAGCAAGCATCTGAGCGTAAGCGGGGTTGAACTGGGGAGGCATGCCACCCGGAGGAATAGCGCCAGGGTAGGGCATGCCCATAGGGGGCATCTGCTGGGCGTTGGGGCCGCCGCGACCGCCCTGCATGGGCAGGCCCTGAGGGAAGCCGGCGCCACGGCCACCAGGCTGCATACCCTGGGGGAAGGGCATCTGGCCACGGCCGCCCATGAAGGGCTGCTGGCCAGGACCGAAGAACATCTGGGGCTGGACAAACTGCTGGGCGGGCATGCCGGCGGCGGCAGCGGCCTGCTGCATGCGAATCTGGTTGCGGGCCTGGATCGTCGCCTCGAGCTGGCTCTTGCGGACATCCTTGCGCTGGGCCAGGGCAACGTAGAGCGGCTTGCCGCCCATCATCTTCTGGTTCATCTCGGTGACAGCCTTGGTGGCCTCATCGGGGTTGCTGAAGCAAACGAAACCGAAGCCCTTGCTCTTGCCCAGAATCTTCTGCTCACCCTTGATGGTGACCTTGTCCATCTCCTTGGTGAGCTTGTCAACGCCATCCTTCTCGTCGCCGGAGCCCTCCTTCTCTTCGGGCTTCTCCTCCTCGGGCTTCTCCTCCTCTTCCTCCTTCTTAGGAGACTCGCTGCCGGAGCGACCAACGGGCTGGGTATCACGCATAACCTTTGCGGAGGTGATGGTGCCGAAAGGAGCGAACATGTCACGGAGCTTCTCGTCATCAATGTCGTCCTGGAGGTTCTTGACGTACAGGTTGACGCCCTGGTACTTGGACTGCTTCTCAGCGCGAGCAGCCTCGTACTGCTTGCGCAGCTCCTCCTCGCGCTCGTGCTTCTTCTGCGCACGGCCGACGTACAGCTTCTGGCCCCTCCAATCATTGTCGTGGAGCTCGTCCACAGCCTTGGAGGCGCTCTCGTGCTTGACATAGTTGACGAAACCGAAGCCGCGGCTCTTGCCGGTCTCGCCGTCGTGAGCAAGCGAAGCAGAGGTGATCTGGCCGAACTTCTCGAAGAGCTCGCGGAACTCATCATCGGTAACGTCCAGGTCGATGTTCTTGACGTAGACGTTGGTGAAGTTGGCCTTCATCTCCTCGAACTTGCTCATACGGTCCTTCTTGGGAATGTGGTGGCCGACGAAAACCTTCTTCTCGTTCAGCAACATGCCGTTGACGGCCTTGATGGCGTTGTTTGCAGCCTCGGCGGTCTCGTAGTGAACGAAGCCGTAGCCCTTGGAATTGCCGTGCTCGTCCTGAGCGACCTTGCAGCTGAGAATGTTGCCGAAGGCGGCAAACGTGTCGTGCAGAGCCTTGTTGTCAATCGCCGAGTCCAGGTTCTTGATGAAGACGTTGCCCTGGCCAGTCTTGCGGAGAGCGGGGTCACGCTGCGACCACATGATACGGCAAGGCTTGCCCTTGATCAGGGTGTAGTTCAGCTCCTCCAGGGCCTTCTCGCCGTCCTCGGAGCTGTTGTAGTTGACGTAGGCGTAACCGAGCGAGCGGCGGGTGACGGCGTCACGGCAAACACGGATGGAGGCGACCTGGCCGATCGAGGAGAAAAGCTCGAACAGCATGGCCTCGGTGACGGAGGGGTCGAGCTCGCCGACATAGAGCGAGGCGGAGTTCTGGTGCGCGGAAGGAGCGGCGGAGGTAGGCGTAGGGGCCTCGGTAGCACCTGCAGCGTTGGCGGTACCGTTCGCATCGCCGGCGATGGGCGAGGCCGGGTTGGCATCAGCGCCAGGAGCAGTGGAGTTGGCAACCTCGGCGGACATGTTGCTGGCGGTCTGCGCGCGGGTTAGCAGGCTAGAGGGGTCTGGACGCGGCGCACGAGGATTCTCGTGGACAGCACGCGCTAAGGTGGCTCTTTCGCCATGGATGCTCACCAACGAAGAAGCGGGGAATGGGTATTGAGGATTTGCGGGTGTCGCGGGTCGGCTAGGACAGGGCGTCGCTCGGAAAGCAGGGAAATGCTCCGGGCGATGGGATCTGGCGGGGAGGGGCTTTGCGGTGAAGCAGCGGGCTGGGCGACTGTGCGGTTGAGGTGGGCAAGTCGCGTCAGGAAGAGTAGGCTTCGCCGCGGGTTTTTTGTGGGTTTTTAACTTTTTTTTCTGTGAGGAGAATTTTTTCTGAAGGGAAGTGGGCAGAAGGGAGACAGAGACTCAAAGAGAGGCTCGCTCGGGCAGTTGCGTGGGCGTGTGTGGGTTTTGTGAGCGAGAGCTTTGTTGCGGGACAAAAGCCAGAGGCTATGAAATAATTTTGTGCCAAGCCGCCTCACCCGATTCGGCAGGGACGCACCTTGGCGCACAACGGCCGCCCGTTGCCTCAGGCTGCGACCTCGCGCCCACCACGCGCCCGCAGGTCGCCTGCTATGATTATCAATGCCCCTGCCGCCGCCTGTCCTCTGTGTGTGGCCGCTCGCTCACTCTGTCGAGCCGTAGTCGTTTCGATGGCCTTCCAGAAGCCAGCGGCCAGCGGCCAGCGCACGCGAGCGCGAGCGCGCACAAAGACGGCAGCCAACGCACGAGCACGCGCATAGCAGGACAGCACCTTTCATCACATACGCATCGCACACACAGCCAGGCCAGCGCCTCCCACCACTGTGATCCAGGACGCGCAAGCACTCAGACAGGTCGCACGCCCGCTTATGCCTGCAGGGTGCCGTGGCGCGGCGGCTGTGGCGCCCGAGGCTGTGGCGCCCGAGGTTGCACGCTTACGCCCGTCCTCACAGCGACAGACGAGCCTCCATTCGTTCCCTAGACTGCTTGCAAATAAAAGAACAGATTACACAAAGGGGTATTTCATCGCGGTCGTTCCCGGCGGCCTCCTAGTCTTGCAAACTTTCGTCCCAGCCGCCCCCCTCCAGCAAGAAGACTTGCACTCGGTCCATGCAGTCCTCTATGCCTTTCCCCAGAGCCTCTCGCCACTGCTCCTCCACCAGGTTGACTTTGTCTTTGAGGTCCTCCGTCAGCCGCTGCTCCTCGTCGCGGCTGATCATGCTCATTTCCTCATCTACAGCCTGCCTATCTTCACCCTCCAGCACTCGCTGCGTGCCCAACAGCTTTGTGTTCGCCGACATGACGCCCGTCTTGACCTCGTGAAGCAGACATAGCAGGTTTGTCTGGCTCTCGATGAACTGGTATGCCGACTTTTGCGCGTGCGAGAGCAGTGTGTACAGGTATTGCAATGGGTGCTCGTGGTAACTGGGATTCTCTTCGTACTCCATTGGCGGAATCAAGATCTGGAAATGGTCCGTCAGCGTCTCGGGGATCTTCTGGACAATGTCCCAAAGACCCGGCCCGATGTCCCAGAACGCTGAGAGCTGGTCTTCGACTCCGCGTGTGACATTGTCCTCGACAGTTGCGTGGAAGTCCTCAAAGCGCTTCAGTGCTTGTTTCTCATGCGCAACCTTACGCTCATGGGCATCCCTGGCAAAGAAGTCTTCGGCCTCGCGGACCTTGTTTTTGTTCTTTGCGGCAGCGTAAGGAGTCACGACAAGCGTCTTGTAGAGGTTGTTCCGCTGAGCCTCAAGTTCCAAAAGCTCTTTGTACAGCTGTTCGCGAGCCTCAAATAGCCATTTGAAGAGAGTGAGTTTTTCGAGAAGCTCGGGCTGCTCGTCCCCTTCCTCCTGCGTCTGATTCGGGCTCGTTGCCTGGGCCTCGTGTAGCAAACCAGTCTTCAATTGCTCAATCGAGGCCGTAGCTTTCCGAATACGCTCCGAGAGGAGGGCGTGCAAAGGAGTCATGACATCCTTTTGGAACATGTCAAAGTCTTGTTGGATCCGTCTTTGCGTGATCTGCGCCTCGGTTGAGTCGAACTCGGCCTCGGCCTGCGCTGCCTCCCCAAAGGACATTTCACCCTTCACAATTTTGTCTTGGATTTCAGCCCTGAGCTCAGCGCGACGGCTCCTCTCGCCCTTCGTGCCCTTTTCCCTTAGCGCATCGCTTCGAGCTTGGTAGTTTTCCCTGATGGCGTTCGTGTCTTCAGGATCCAGCAGTCCACGCAGATTTGCTCTAATGGATCCCAGATCCGGATGACTGTTGTTCACTGCTGGGTGGTGTCGCGGGTAGGGTGGGGGTAGAGTCACAAGCCTTGAAACATCCAACTTGAACGGATCCGGTGTTGCGGGTGCAGAATGAGTCCAATACCCAAGCGGGGGTGGGGGAGGTATTTGCCCACCCATGTCCTGTTCATGCCAGCCCACTTTCTCGGGCGGGTAGTCATTCGGCCCATAGATCCCGACGGGGGTCGTCTCGCTGGGCCCAGGGGTGCCTGCTCCGGAATAGTTGTCATTCTCCCACTGCATGTATTCTTGCGCCTCGGTAAGTTGCACGCCCATGTACTTGGATTCCCGCTTTGAGCGTTCGATTTTTTTGCCGTGGCCCTGAGAACCATTCGCACTTCCCTCCCACCAGCGGCTAGCAGACCGACCGCGCGAGTCCTCTTCGTCTGGAACCGTGCTTACAGCCATGCTAGGAATCGGCGAGAGGCAGGGCTGCCACGAATTGCTGTCCCCGCGTGTTCGGCCAGGTGTACCATGGCTGGATGCACTGCTGAGTGGCGACTCTGAAGCTCCCCTGGGACTAAAGGTAGCCGAGGAGATAGCAGGACTAGGGTTGGCAAAGCTCTCTACAGATGATATAGAGTCCTGCCTTTCGTGTTGAGATACTGGGGTGGAGTCCATCTTATTGGGCGTTCCCGAGCGCCTGCCGGCCGAGGTACTCGTGTAGCTTCGCCACATGTCCCGTGTCAAGTCCAGGATATCGCTAGCCATAGCCTCGAAGGCCGAAGAATAACGATCCCGACGCAGGCGGGACTCGTGGACTATGAAATCAGCGAAGAGCTCAAGGCGCTCTTGGTCCGTTACAGCAGCACTTTCACGCTGAATAAATTCGCGGTGCCGGTCAATCGAGGCCTGTGCAAAGAGTTCCTGGTCCGTTGGTAGCCTTGTTTTACCCGCCGCGGCGCTTGATGAAGACGAAGGACGAGAGGGGTGAAGTGGTTGGACCATTGGGACGTTATCTAGAGGCGTATGTAGAATATGGGAGAGGGGTCGCTCGCTCCCCGAAGAAGTCGTGGAGATGCTGGATGGCATACCCGCAGAGTGCGGCGGTGGTGTCGGCAAGGTCTTTGCGTGGGATCCTGGTGACGGTCTGAAACGCGAGATTTTCTCACCATAGCCCTCCCCACCCGGACTGAAAGGTGGTGTTGGCGCAAAAGATTCGGGGGACATGACCATCTGCCGAGGCGTGGAGTTACTGGAATCCGCTTGCATGTCTCCAAATGACTTGTTATCCCTGGCGCTTGGCTGTCCGCTTGAGGGCGAGGAAAAGCCGCTTCCGCTTCGGGGTGTGTTCTTGCGCCTTTGGCTGATGGAGCCTGAATCGGCAGTAAGAATAAGGTTTTTGGGCCGCTGAGCAGCTTCCATGTCACGTGCCCATGGATTATTGCTTGGCTCAACAGCACTTTGTGTCTCGGTGATCTTCTCTTTGGCAGCACGGCTTTCGCTTCGCCGTTCTCGAATGCCCCGTGCGCTGGGATCTCTGCGCGCGGGTGCTCTGGAAAGCCCAGCATTTGAAGCCGATGAGGATGGATGTGCCGTCTGCGGCTCCGACGGTCCAGGTGCATCATCACTGCCATTCAAAGACCCTTGACCATGTGGATCCTGCGTCGTGAGGCGCAGTGCTCTTCCCCAGGGTGACTTTGATCTGTTTCGTGCGTCTTCTTCACGCCAATCGGCAGGTGTTGGCGGAATAGGGCCGAGCGTGCTACCAAATCCTGCTGCCCTGCGGGGTGCAGGTGTAGCTAGTGAATTGGATGCCGACCGTGACGAGAGCTCGGATGTTCGATTCATGCTCTGTGATCGCGAGCCACTAGGCGGTGGGCCTGGTGGAGGCGGAGGTAGCGGCATACCGGGCTCCCAAGCCGCGGTTCGCGAAGGAGTGCTTGAACCTTCATCGCGAAGTGACATGCCAATGCCACCGGTAGAGGCAGCCCGTCTCGATGCAGGGGGGCGTTGAGCAACCTCAGGGGTCCACTGGGCTTGGCGCTGGGGTGTTGAACTGACAGCCAAGTCAATGCGAGTGCCAATGATCGATGTGGATTTGCAACTTACGGTGTTTGGCTGGGACCTGCGATTGGCATCTGAAAGTGTGTCTGTGTTGGGCCTGGTGTCCTGGCCAGTGCTTCGGTCGTCTGCAGTCTCAATGAATCAATTGCACTGCGGGACTGCTCCGCGCCGCCCATGCCCCTGCTTCTGCCGGTTAGAGCCGAAAGGCCGAAGACGGAGCGCTTGTCCCGGTTTCGGGAGCTAGACCGATCGCGTGTACTGGTGGGTGGTGGTGGGGGGAAAGATGGTTGTCCCAAAGGCGATGTTGTACTCCCAGACGGGCTTTGGTTGAGGACGCCGATGCGTGGAGAGCTAGTATTTTGCGGCGTAGCAAACGGACCGCTCGAGAGCGACGGCGAGGCTCCCATGGCAGCAGACATGCTTTGTTGCCCAGGATTTGGGGAGTATGGAGGCGGCGGAGAGGGCATGTTCGCTGTCGGAGAAATCTTAGTGACTTTCTTGACGACCAAGATGCAACAACAATATAAGGAAATCTCCTCCGGACCGGTTGAATGTTAGGAGAAAACAATTAGATAGCTAAGAAACAAGTGAAAGTAATTACCCTCCATGCCCGTCGCGTCTCTGGTGCTCCCTCTCAGCAGGCCGCTCGGCGAGGAAGCAGCATGGGCCATGAACTGGCCGCTAGCACGGGGGGTTTGCCTCCCCCATTCCTGCGGATTGTACGAGGACACCACTGCAGAGGACGGGCCGCGGAACGCCATTGGGCTAGATACTATGGTGGCACTCGTCGGGGCAGTCGATGGCTGTGACGAAGGGTTGGAGGAAGCGGCATATGGGGGAAAAGGTAGGGCGGAGGGCGGCGACGCAGCAGAGGCGGGAGTCTGCAGATAGGGCGTGCCGACGGTGTTATTGTTATGGTGCAAGGACGTTGATATTGCCGGAGGTTGTACGACCATGCGCCGGGGAGGGCTCGACACAAGCGGCCGTGCCTGAGGTGTCGCAGAAACTGCGGGCGGGCCAGCTACCTGCGGTGGCGGGGGCCCAGGAGGAGGAGGGACCTGAGCGTACGAGGCCATAGTGGCGCGACGGAGCCTTGCTCTTGATAGCCAGCAGCGCGCATTAGCTCGGACGCGAGGTGCCTGGAAGCTGGGGTCGCGCAGGGCAAGCAGGGCAAGCAGGGCAAGCTGGGAGGCAGCTCAGTGTCTCAGGACGGGCACCGACGCGGCGGCTATTGCGAGCCTGCGACGAATGGATGGAGCGCAGGGCGAGAGGCGGCGCGGGAGGAAGCACCAGCTGCAAGCCGCTGAACATAAGGATGGCGCCGAGTCAGACCACGCGCGGGCGGGAGGACGACGAGTGCTTGTGCATGGCGGCGTGAAGAAGCAGCGCGGCGTGAAGATCGTCCCTAACGTGATTTTCGCAGCGGCGCGAGTCGTTCATTCGCCCTGGGCGCCGAGATGCACGCTGAGAAGAGAGGGCGCTCGGACGGGACGAGCGATGCGCATGGCGGCGTCGGCGAGGGCGTCGCTGGGGCCTAGCACCGATGGGGCGATTGACTGTGCAGAAGCAACCGCGCGAGGCAGGGGCACGGGCGAATGAGGGCGGCCGACGGCGGGCAGAGCGCGACGACGCGGGAGGGGGCACAAGGCCGGGCGCTTAAATTCAGGACCCTCGCCGTGTCACCCGGTCAAGCTTTGGGGGCTGCTGCGCGCGCAAAGAGCCGCGATGCGGCGACACAGCGCAGGCTGAGCAGGCTGAGCAGGCTGAGCAGGCTGAGCAGCAAAAGCACGCAGCTGCCCGCCCGGTTTATGTATCGTCTGGCAGCCCTCAGCGCCGCTGCGTCGAAACGTGGTATACGTTCGCTGGGCAACGCTGCATGCGCGCTGCAAACTCGCCCGGGCGCTAAACGTGACTGCCAAAAATAGGCGGCCAGTAAGGCGGTCGCCAGACTCCCCAACCTTGCTGTGTCACGGCGCGCGCTGCTCTGCTGGGCGGAGTGGTGGAGCGCTGCCCAGTCCTGTGTGGGGCAGAGGGCGGGCCAGAGCCTAAAAGTGCAGGTCAAGATAAGGTGTGGTATTGCTCCCAGAGACTACTGCACTAATTATATACAGAAAATCATCCCATCGTCGCCTTAATCTATTTCTTGTGCTTCGCGTGCACGTCAATCACCTTCTGCACCTCGTCGTAACTGCCGAGGAAGATGCCCGACCGGTCGTGGATGTGCTCCGGCAGCACCTCCAGCATCCGCTCCATCCTGCTGTTCACCGCCTGCCCGCCCGCTGTTGCTCGTCAGTGACTGTCTCCTCTCGCCCGGACGTGCGCAGACTTACCGTTCTCAAACACCATGGCCATCGGGCCGCACTCGTACAGAATCCTCAGCTTGCCCTTGGTGGTCTTCTTGTCGGCCGGGTATGCGAAGATGCCCCCGTACAGCAGTGTTCTGTAGGCATCGGCGACCATGGAACCGATGTATCTTGCGCTGTACGGCTTGCCGCCATCCGGGGGGAACTTGAGCATGTTGATGTACTCCTTTGTCGGCTCCTCCCAGTACAGCATGTTACCCTCGTTGACCGAGTAGATGGAACGACTCTTCGGGATCCTCATGTTGGGGTGCGTGAGGATGAACTCGCCAAGAGACGAGTCCAGCGTGAAGCCATTGACGCTGCCGCCCTTCATGGTCATGACCAGCTGCGCCGAGGCGCCATACATGGTGAAACCGCTGGCGACCATCTCCGTGCCCGCCTGAAGAAGGTCGTTCTTTGTGCCCTTTGCGCCCTCAGGCAGCTTGAAAATGCCGAAAATCGTTCCGACCGAGACTCCCGCATCCAGGTTGGAGGAGCCGTCGATGGGATCGCATGCGACGGCGTACCGCGCATCGGGGTACTCATCAAATGCGATGGCCTCCTCCTCTTCCTCCGACACCAATATCCTGACCTTGCCGCTGCTCTTCATGGCGGCAATGAAGATGTCGTTGCCAATGACGTCAAGCTTCTTCTGGTCATCGCCGGTCGAGTTCGAAGATCCCGCCAGGCCGGAGAGCTGGGCGCGGTCAGCTGGGCTTCCAGGTCCGCTGCGTTACAGCCTCCTTTGACTTACGTTGATCAGGGATGCGCGGCGGATGTAGTACGAAATACTTTTGAATGCGAATTGCAGGGCGTGGCACAGCAGACTGGGGGCGCAACACCGTTAGCGCAGGTCGCGCAAGGAAACCGCCAGAGGAGCACTTACGTGAAGTCACCGGTTGCCTCCTTGACCTTGAATTGCTCTTCGGTGAGGAATCTCGTCAGGGTGATGATGTCGGTGTTGATCTTCTCCTGGCCGACAGCGCCGGCCTCGCCATTGTTGACAGCAGACATGGTGAGGGGGGTTTGATGGGAAGGCGGATGAATCTGGGGTATCAGGACAGTAGGTTGGAGAAGAGGGGCATGCAGCGGGAGGAAAGCTCTCAAGTAGGAGCCAGGAGCTCGCAGCAGCAACTGTGCTTATGAAGTAATTGAGTGGGTACAGCTGGGGTCGGGCACGCGGAGGGAGCACGGTCTAGAGCTGGGGACTTGTGGTTGGATGACTGCCAGCCCTCGGCACGATGTGGACCAAGGGATCCTCAATTGATGTCAGTTCGCTCACGGCGTCGTCACTTGCCAGGCAGATCCGGATGGAGGCGCAACTTTGCCATCGCAGATTGCGTGCAGAGCCGCTGCGCTTTTAAAGCATCCTCGCGCACTTGCGACGAGGCCGGCGGCAGGTATGACGCTGGAACGCGCCCACCCACGGATGAGGGGCATGTCGGGGGCGGGGTTGCTCCCGCCTGGAGCTCACACATGCCCCGCGCCGCCCGACTTCTCCCGCAACACTATCGGGCAGCACAGGAGCCCGGCTTCAACGCCTCAGCAGCACATGCAGCCAAGCTTCACGAGAGGTGGAAAATTGCCGTGGCTGCCATGGAATGGTCAATTTCCTCGGAAGAAGAGATAGCCGCGCAGTCGCACACTCGGGTTAAAGATACCAACACCCTCCAGGGGCGCGCCTCTCCACCACCTGCCGAACGCCTCTCCCGGAAATTTGACACATCAAAGACTCCCGGCCGACGCATGCGGAGCGCCATCGAGTCGCGTGTCATACTGCCTATTGTTCGATCGGCGAACGCACCGAGCCGTGGAAGGCGCGGGCTGTGCGAACACGGGCTGCGCGGAGCTGTATCCGCAGGAATCTCGGGCATGGGGCACTGGCCTTTCCCACTCAGGAAAGCATCGTGAATGATTGGCGGTGATGATCTTGGTGTTGCGCCGGCCAGCCGTAGCTTCCTCCGCGGCTGGGCAGGTCACGTGCAGCTCCTAGAGGCTGCCACTGCCGCCCGGCCCGGTGTTAAGCGATAATCCGGACCCTACAAATCTTCATCCGCCGAGAAAATCTCCTCGACGTCCTCCACAACGCGTCCACCAACGCGCCACCATGCCCAGCATCGCAGGCACTCATGCTGCGCACTCTGCCATGCCTGGTTCATGAAGCACAACGCGCGTCAGTCGCGTGTTCAAGGTGAGCAAAAACCACTCCCCCTCCCGTTTCTCTGATGAATTGGCAAACCGCATTACAAACTAGAGTCTTTGATCTCTAACGAGAAATGAAACTCGCACTTGCTTGCACGTCAGTCTGAGAAACCTTGCATTCAGCACAATTGGTTTTGCACGGTTTTGGGGCTGTTGCTAACCTGGAAACAGTTTTTCAAAAACTTCGCGTATCGCGACCTGAAGGCCAACGGCCCTTCAGCCTCAACCGTATGTCTCACGCACTTTCACACACACTCCTACATGCACAAGATGATCAACGTATACTTTATACGCTGGAAATTACCGGCTGAGGCCTTGCGCCGCTGAAGATACAAATTGGCTGTTTTCTGATCCTGCTCTCAATACACATGTTTTACAAGAATCTTGCTGTAGAGTAGTAGCTGACAGTCCACACAGAAGCCGGCTTCTCTATGACCATGACGGTACGCGATTTCGACTTCATGATCCCTTCCACCTTACATGATGATTGGCACTGGGCTCCGACAAGCATGACGGAAATGCCACATTGCGGCAGGCCTAGAAAACCTCGCCCACTGATCTGGCGAATAATGCTTCGGCATCTCAACACATTCTGGAAACCTGTACTGAGACGGACTCAGGTGCATGATGAGAACATCTAGCTATGCTCTGGTCGACTGCCTGTGGCTAGGTCGTCAGCTCTGCAGCTGCAGCTACCGCATGATACGTCATGATTTGGGTAAGTCCACAAAAATTTTCTTTGCAGCCTAATTTTCGTGATGAACACCTAGATGACGAGTCTTATTGGGGTTTCCCATGCAGACAACCTTTTTTTTAAATACCATTCATGCCTATCTGATCCCATCGTTTTTTAATCAAGCTTGAATGCTATCCGCGGGGCGTCTTCTAACGTTGCATCTAGTATCCAACCACCTGTCGATGAAGTGTTTAAGCAGCATCCCACATTCGACATTTGAGTTCATGGTAAGCTTTCCCGCTGTCCTTCCTATATTACTTTCATGATGAAACGACTTTACAAATTGACAAGCATATGTCCAAGCGCCTTGACCGGCTGCGACGACGAGACTGTCTTGTCTGAATTGTTTTAAACACTCCAAGAATGCATGTGTAGGCAACTGTGCTCATACTAATGCCTCTCAGGTTCCAACTGCTCTGTCGGCTTGCTGCCATAACCTCATCCTGGATTTTATCCCCAGGCTCGCTGGTCCCAGCAGTCTTTGTAAGTTCCTTTTGTCATTTTGCACATTGCACAGCACAATTAAATGATGATCCTTTTTTTCTCACGACGGTCGACATAGCTTATGCATTGATGAGATTGCCTTCTGACAAAGGCTTTTTGGACTGAAATTTACCCTTCCTCCTTCTTTCACAACATTCCACTGAGAAAAGCACAAAGCTAACCTTCGTGCTATTCAGGCTGGCCGATTCAGACGTGGAGACTTGGCACTTCAAAGATTTTTCGTTGTTAGTTTTGTCTTGAACAGGATTTCAAGGAAGAATATGCCTTGTTACATTCCGCCAGGAGATGGAGTCTCCATGAGTCTTGGGTTGGGCTAGGTTGACTGGATATCGCGGACGATGTTGAGGGAGTCTGCATGTGTTAAAGGGGCTTTTTCAGGCTCATGGGGCCAGCAACCTTACACAAGATAGCGCGCATCGTATTGGTAGCATTGGGCACGAGCCTCATAGCCATGGTTATTGAACAGCAACATTGATCATGTGTTCATAGATGATGGTGTTTCTATTCTTACAACGTTTAAAACCTGACATGCCTCCAAGCCCGTGTGGAACCCACCATTGGCTCCACCATTGGCGCATGGACTTGGCAACCCACACACTTGATTGTCTCTTAACGCCCAATTCTGTTCAGATGCCAATATTTTGAACTCCCAGCGTCATATGCTGATGTCCATCTCCTCCATGGCAATTCCAACTTGCTTCTCCAGCCCCTTCCAGCCTGTTCGGCCGCAGATCTGACGTCAACAGTCTCGCCGACACTCATTGCCACCGCTCGGGTTTTCTTCCCACGATCGCCATTTCCGCTTCAGTTGCTTTTTTCTCTCTCGTGTCCCCCAGACGCGCATGCAGGTTTCAAAAAGGGCCGTCTTTGGAGATGACGTTCTCCGTCATCCTCAGCCATATCTGTCCCTGTTGCTTTTCCTGCCGCCACCAACATTACCCACAATTATTACTGTTTGGTTTCTTTTTCTTCCCCGTCCCCTAGTTCTTCTTCCCGGGCACGTCGGCCTCGACTGGCAGATCCATGCCGACCCTTCTTGCGGTCAAGCGCACGCGCTCCTCCTCGTCCATGTTCATGCCCGGGTTGTAGCGTTCGAGCAACGTGATGTACATGCGCTGGGCCTTGACGTACTGCACGAACTGCTCCGTCTCCTCGAGGCTGGGGGCGCGCGCCGACGCGGCAGACGGCGCCGCGAGCTGCGTGCGGATGTGGTGCTGGAGGGGCGACGGGTTGGACAGGATGGGCTGCGAGGAGCGGGTCGAGGGCGCGACTTTGGGTGCTCGCGCGGGCAGCTCGCGCAGGAGGCGGCGGTAGAAGGAGCGGAGCTGCGGGGCGGCGGGTGTTGTTGCGGACATTGTCGGTAGATGCGAATTGATGAGGCGTCGATTGGAGTCAGGGACCCTTGACGTTGGTGGGGAGTGGTGATGCGGGGGGTTGGTCGTCTAACTAGAGGGTGCAATGCGGGAGAGAGACATTTTGCGCGGAGAGCGGGCGGCGAAAGCTTCGCTCCTCCGAAACCACCACTTTTTCCACCATGTCGTGATTTTTGGCCGCGCCTTCCCCCTCGTTCTTGCTTCTCCCGCCCTCGACGCCTACGAAAGATGCCGCAATGGGGTAACACGCCCTTGACCTGCCTCCGATGCACGCGACGCCACTTCTCCACTGGCCGTCCGATCCTCCCAGGCCACAGTGCCAGCGGCATACGCATCGCAACGCCGCGCATCCCAGCCCGCCGCTTCGAGAATGAGCCGCCGGTCAAGCCCCTGCTCATCCAACGGCATCTCAGGCAGCTCCAGCGCTCGCAGCCTCGTCGGAGAGTCTTGGCTCCTCGCGATGACTATCTGACGCCCGACGATATCGCCGCCGCAGCCGAGGCCCACACCATTGAGGTCGCGGCAAACCGCCAGCAAGAGTTGGAGGCGAAGCAGAATAGGGAAAAGGACACAAAAAAGAAACGCAAGCCAGCACACCTCAACAGCGATCCGCCGACAGAAGAGCAGGAGCAAAAGAAGCAAAAGCCAACACCAGCAACCCTCACGGATCCAGAGACAACGCAAGAAAAGCAACCCAAGCCACGCCACAAAACCGGCGGCAGCAGCCTCGCGACACAGCTAGCACAGGTGCACCCGGCGTTCCCGCGCCCGCACGAGCCGCACCGCTACATGTCGACCATCCCACCGACGGACGCGCAGCTGGAGCGGGCGCGCGCCTTCTTCGCCCGCGGCGGCGGCCGCTTCGTCTTCACGTGCGAGTCGTTCCGCAAGTTCCCGGCCGACAGCCCGGCGCCCGAGGTGGCCTTCCTGGGCCGCAGCAACGTCGGCAAGAGCAGCCTGCTCAACGTGCTCTTCGGCCGCCGCGCGCTCGGCACCCAGGACAACGCCGACCAGGGCACGGCCAAGGTGTCGAAGCGGCCCGGCAAGACGCGCACGATGAACGTGTTCCTGGTGGGCGAGGGCGCCGAGGGCGGCGTCAAGGCGCCCGCGACGGACATGCATGGGCGGCGGGTCAAGGGCGTGGATCAGGTGCGGTGGATCGGGCCCGGCAGGGCGGTGGCGGTCGTGGACATGCCCGGGCATGGGTTCGGGAGCAGGGCCGAGTGGGGCAACGAGATCGTCAAGTACTTGACGCAGCGGAAGCAGCTGCGCAGGGCGTTTGTGCTCGTGAGCTCCGAGCACGGCTTGAAGCCGTCGGACCGGCAGGTGCTGGATATCCTGGCGCGGAATGGCGTGCCGCATCAGGTCGTGCTGAGCAAGGCCGACAAGCTGCTGTTGCCGAAGGCGAAGGACAACTCGATGGGGGTGGTGCAGAAGGGGCTGTCGAATTTGAGGGACGTGCAGGATGCGGTCGTGAAGGAGTTTCAGTTGAGAGAGAGGGAGAAGAAGGGAACGCCGGCTTTGGGGGAGATACTCACGGTCAGCTCCAACAAGGGGATGAGTGACGGTGAGGGGGCATCGAGAGCCGACAAGATTGGCATTAATGGCCTCAGGTGGGCAATTTTACAGGCTGCAGGTTTGGAGCAGCCGTGGGAATAGAGTGCATAAAAAAAGATATCTTGCGCCGAGCAGATTATCCATTCAGCCCTGCTGACATGAAATGACCAGATCCAAGACAACTCCTGCTCCCATACCCTGGTGTGTTGTGGTGCTAAGCCTGTTCTTTGAAGCTATCCATAGATTGAGGCTCAGAAGTGAAAACGCCATTCAGAGCTTCCTCCGTTATGCTCAGTACCGAGCTATCGATCCTTTCATTGCGGTCTGAATTTCTTAAAGAAACCCGTTAGCACTCCGCAAGCTCGGTTTAGGGAGTCTTTACGTTGACGCGTCTCCAAAAGGTCTCATGGCAGAAAACAAAGCTATACTCACTCGACATGCTTCTCGGAAGTCCCATTGACAACAGCTTCCGCAGCCGGGGGTTTGTAGTCGGGATTGAAGAAGTCCTGAAACCGCTCCGGCACTTCCGACCCCGACTCCTCGCCGTCTTCCGGATCCGCAACAGTGGCTTTCCTGCCCTTCCTTGCATACCTCCCTCCCTCGTATCCCCGGTCCGTCTCGGATCCGTCTCCGCTTTCTCGATCCTCGGCTTCTTCGTCTTCGAGGTCTTCCTCCTCCTCAGATCGATTGCCCCTCCTCGTTGACGACCGCCGCCGCCGCCGCCGTGCTGCCGCTGCCGCTGCCGCCGCCGCCGCCGCCGTACGTTTCTTCGCCTTCTTCTTCAGCCGTTCGAGATCTTCGCTATTCAGTTGTTGCCCGTGTAGCACCAGCGCCCTGCTGGTGCGGTCTGGGCTCAGCGTCGACCTCCGAGACGGAGGAGACCTCGAGTCGGCTCCCGGCCAGTCTCCGTAGAAAACGCGTAGCGAAGGGAACATAATGTCCCAGGAGTTGGACCTGCGGCGCTGGGGTCCGTGTCGAGTCGGCGGCGAGTCGTAAAAGTCGGAGATTCTGGCGTTGTAATACCCGCTGTCTGAGCGTTGGGGCGGCGGCGGCGGCGGCGGCGGCGAGCGTCGTCGGAGGGGTGGGGCTCTGTCGCTAGTTGCTAGGAGATGGCCGTGTCCGGTCATCCTTGACAGAGGGCTGGCCGTGCGGGGGCTGAAGTACTCGTTGTAGTAGTAGTCGTCGTCGTAGGCCCCTGAGCGGCCTCGTGGAGACGTTTGCCGCTTGCCTCGCTCGAACGCGCGTCGTGGGCTTTGTCTTCTTTCGCTATGATACCTACTCCTGTCGTCGTAGGAGTCGTTGGTGTTTGATCGCCTGATGAAAGGCCTGCGTGGCGGTGCAGGAGATACGTATCCATTGCTCTCCGTCGGATCGAAGTCATGGGGAAACCAATCATCATGTATGGAGTCTAATCGCTCAGCAATGCTTGGTATCAGAGGGTCATATTGAGTGCTGCGGGGACGCGAGCGTGACCGGGACCGCAGGTAGTCACGAGATGCAGGCAGGCTCTGTGCGTACGTGTCTCGCGACGAGCTCCGAATGGGCAATGATCCATATGGCGAGCGATCTCGGCGTGTGTATAAGCCGTCAGTAAGCTGCGGAGAGCGAGACTGGCGGGGTGTTTCCCTTGGATCGCGGCTACGGCTTCGGCTTCGGTGGCGGCTGTAAATGCTTTGTTCGTCATCGAAGAAATCCGGCTTGGAATCAATATCGCTGTAGGTGCGAGCATCGGACAGTAACTGGGGGAATGCAACCGGAGCATGACCACTTGGCCTGCCTGTAGATGGGCGTGGTGCCGAAGAAGTCATGGTGTGAGCTTGGCTTTCAGTATCTACAGAGTTGGCATCGGTGCTGGTGTCTTGCGATCCAATGTGGTCCGTATAAATACCTGGGGCTTCGGGGCTGATTCGTACACGGTGTTCAGGTGTAGCTACAGCCTCCAATGGCTTACTTGAAGGTAGTGAATCCGGATTCTTTTTCAAAATCGATGTTGGAATGGTGTTTGTTGCACTCGAAGGCCACGGACGATTGCTGCCGGACCTTTGAGGAAGCTTTGGCCTCGTGGGCTCTTGTGGTGGGTAGTCGTCCTGCCTCTGAAGGATTGCAATCACGGACATAGCCTCCTCAGCATAGGTCAACAACCCTACCCGAATCCTATGTCTTGTTATCTGGATCCCTACCAGCTGCCATGCAAACGGTTGAGGCTCGGCGTCTTTGCATTCCATCAAAGCATGGAATTCGTCTTTGGCTGCTTGAGGAAGCGAGGCGAAGCTCTTCAAGACGGACTTGTAGTTTTGCTTCTTTACGATTGCCAACAGTGTTGTTACAGGGAGAGGCATTCTAGACCTGGGGGTCTTCAAGGACCACGCTTCCAATATTGGCTGCTGTGTGCTTTGAGCCTCAGTTGACGAGGAATCAGAGACAAAGGATGCGGTTGCTGAGCCCCATCGACCAAACAAGCGTTTCCGTGGTCTAGATCGGCTGTGAAAGGAATCAGCTACATGGTGGCTGGCGAGTGCAAGCACGAACCACTTACCGTGAGGTCGAAACAGTCTGGGTTTCACTGGTTGTGGATCCTGCGGTCTGGTCCTGGGAGGCAGCTGCTGGTGTGTCAATGAACGTGAGTGGATCAAGCTGTTCTCCGAATGCTGCGCTCTCCTCAATCTTGCTCATGACCTCGTTGACCTTTTCTTCTTCCAAGCCAGTCCCTACTATGGCCTCCCGTATCCGAGTCTCGTACTCTGCCTTTTTCTTTTGCCTTTCTGTCTCAGTAATCCTCTCCTTTTCGTTCTCTCGTTCGACTTCCCTCCTCGCTTCCTGTTTCCGTCGTTCGTTTTCGGCATCTCTTTCTACTTGTTCGGCAAGGGCGATAAGTTGTTTTCCTCTTTCCGTTCTGCGTCTCTCTTCCCGTTCTTTCTCCCTCAGAAAATTGTCGTACTCTCTGAATTCCTGCTCCTCAGCCTGCCTTCGCGCCTCGAGATACTCACGTATCAGTTCCTCCTCGTCATCATCAGATAGGTAGGAGCCATCAGATGAAGACATGCTTGAAAGATCGATCTCAGGGGAAGGCGACCGTGGCCTCGTCGCCCGTCCGTTCTTCTTTCCTTGCCCTTTCTTGTACTTTGAGCTAGCTTTTTCCTTTGTGTGCCTCAATCTTCGCAGCTTCGCGCGGGCGTCGGCACGTTGCTTCTCAATATCCACGGATGATGGCATTTTTGACCTTCCATGACGAACTGTCAGCCAACACATATATGGATCTTCGGATTACTCACAGCTTATGGGCAGTCGCGCTGACCATCAACAGCTGCAGCTCCAGCTTCAATTCTCCCAAACGCTCTCTCGGGGCAGCCAGAAGCTTCTTGGACAACAACGGCCACTGCCACTTTTGCCGCTTCTTGATGAGGAAACCCTCCACAATCTTGTCCAGGTCTGTCTCGCTTTCGCTAGGTGCTCCCAAAGCGCTGCGAATGGTCAAGATGGTTGCCTTGAAGTCCGCCGCGAGCCGCTTGCAATTCTTCTCGCCGACGGGGGATAGAAATGCCGTCTCCTGGTTCTCGTCGAGCAGTTTCGATAGCCCACCTACGTGGCTCGAGGCCTGTTCCACCTCGATCACAAGCGCCTTGATGTTGTCCTCGGCCGCTTCGACCTCGTCAATGTACCTTTTGAGCGCTGCGGCAAGCTTGTAGCCCAGCTCCGCGATGGCAATGATGTCGCCCACGCCAGACATGTCCGGGCGTCTGAGTTGCTCAGACCGGTTTTTAGAGATGTAAGCGCGCAAGGCTGAGGTGAAGAAATAAATATGTGGCGGGATGGTGATCAGCCGCACGTGTTGGCCCCCACCTTGCTTACTTGATCCCATCGGCGGCTGCAATGGATTAATGGTCCATAGGATACTTATAAAACCCCTTTTGTCAATTCCGTTGAACCATTCTAGGTGTTGAATCACTAGTTTTATATACTAACTGGAAAGAATGTCCTACATAGCGGAACGTTGCGGCGTTCTGGAGGCTATCTGGCTTATTTCGGCCCCCAATATGTACTATTCTTGTCTTCATCATCTATGATTTGCCAACATACTGAGACATAGCTGATGCTTGGTTAAAGGCCTTTCTACCTCCTTCGTAATCCCTCATTGTCCTGTGAAGTCTAGACAAGTCAAAGCCAGCCAAGTCAAGTGAGACCTAACATGTTATAGATTTACCTGCATTTCATAGGGGAATTCTTGAGATCTTTGCAGCCGACTTTATTACTGATGGCATATGAGGAGCACAGAAAACTGGCTCATCTACATCCCGATATCTGTACAATTCGGATCCCTCCAGAAACCAAAAAAAGACATTACATTAGTAGTTAAACATATTCACCGACTTCCTCGAATACGCATACGTCGTCGGATACGCGCTATAATCCGCCTGGAACAAAATCGCATCGTCGCACGCACTGCCCAAGCTGGTCAGATTCGTCCACGCCGGCTCCCAGTAATGCACGCCTTGGCCGCGGCCCTCGGGCACCTTCCTCACCACATCCATGACCTTGCGCACCCAGTCGACCTGGCCATCGATGCTGACGGGGATGCTCGGCTCGCTGAGGTCCGGGACGGGGCCCCACGTACCCGAGCACAGGATGGGGTAGTCCGTCTCGACCACCTGGACGGGCTTCTTGTACTTGCGCGAAATGGTGGTCAAGCTCTTCTTGAGGTTGGCGAACGTGGCCGAGGTGCCGTAGAAGGGGTAGAAGGAGAAGCCGAAGACGTCCCAGTCGGCCGTCGACACGAGGCCGGTGTCGGTGAGGGCGGAGAACCACGTCTCTTGCAGCGTGACGTTCCAGCCGTTGTCGACGTGGATCATGACGTCCGGGTTGTGCACGCCGCTGGCGACGGCGTCGCGGACGCCCGCGCGCGCGGCGGAGAAGATGGTGGCGAGGCCGGTGAAGTTTTGGGCGCGCGCGCGGTCCGAGGTGAAGGCGTCGACGTCGACGTAGCCGAGGGGCCAGACCATGCCGTGGCGGACTTCGTTGCCCAGCGAGACGATGGAGAGGTCGACGCCCGCGTCCTGGAAGGCGTGCATGGTGGTGTTGACGTAGCCGCGGATGGTCGTCGAGAGCTCCGGCAGCGTCTTCGGCCAGGCAACCGGGGCGTTGTTGTGCTGCGGATCCGCCCATGTGTCGGAGAAGTGGTAGTCGAGGTAGATGCGGTAGCCCTTGCTCGCGAAGCGCTTCGCGAGGTCCAGGATGTAGGCCAGGTCGTACTGGCCGGGAATGGGGTCAACCCACAGCCTGGTATCATGTCAATTTGGGATCATGGGCTGGGCCGGGTGGAGATGGACAGACCTGAGACGGACAGTGTTCATGCCGCCATCGCCGAGGATGTCCTCGGCCGGCCGGGTCTGGTTGTTCTTTGCAGTGTCCTTGTAAAGGACGCCGCCATCCTCCAGCATCTTCAGAGAGGAGAGATCATGTCCCTTGTAGAAGAAGGGCGCGGGCTTTGGGGCAGCGGCAGCTCCGGAGAGCAGCACAGAGCCCACGGCGACGAGCTTCGTGATAAGCATGATGGTGTTGATGTGGAGAGAAGCTTAAGATCTGCTGTATGGACAAGGGAGGAGTTGCAGGCCCTTCTTATAGAACCAGCTTCGAGGCTCTGTTGGAGAAATTCCTCCAATTGGCAATGATGCAGCGGTAGTCTACCGGCGAAAATGTCGTATACTGGTGCGGCTCACGAGGTGGCAAGCCAAGTATGGAGCCCCGCACTCGGATGGTTACCCAAAAAGGAAGCTGCCAAACCGCCCATGAATACGAGTGACGGCGTACCCGGTACCTGGATGATTCGCATGGAGCCGATCGCCGCTAGCCGTGCCCGAAGACTTGCATTTGGGTTTGAAACAACACACGGCCATCATCGGCATCCCAGAGTCCTCTTGCCTGCTCCAGCAAGAAGCATCTTCAGTCTGCCTGTTGTTCCTGTAAGGTGCTCAGAAGCTCGCTTAGGTGGCGACGCCACAATATCCACAGGCTGCATTTACCCGGACGCTAGAAGCTGGGGCGTCGGGCGCTGCATGCTCGGCATGCCGTCTTCACCGTGCCCGTTCGGATCCGGGGCTTTCCAGAGTCCAACGAGTCTCATGACGGGTGTGACGACGGAGTCTGACTCGGGTTGAGCCAACCATTAAGGCTACGGGCTTGCACGAGCCATGGACCAGCTGAGTCTTCTGCTTAGCGAAATGCGCTGTCCATTGGTGGCCGGCCTTACAAAGAAAAATTCGAACGGCAGTCCTGTTCTCTTAAAGAGCGAGAATGCAACAATCCGTGAGATACGGTTGCGGCACTGGAATACAGTCGCGCCGCTGGACTTCTCAGGCTTGAACGAAGACCTGAATGGCTGAAGGCGGCAAGAAAAAAAAAGTCGCGAGGGTCAGAGGAAATTGCCAAGATTCCAGGCCGGTATCAGATCCATCTGCTTGTGCGATGTAGAGCAGTAGAAGCAGAAGCAGTAGCAACGTCGCAGCCAGTTGCGTCGCGTGTCTGTGAGGTTGAGGTTGCCGTGTGTTGGTGATGAAAGAGACAACAAGGGGTGGGCCATGGAGCCACAGGGCGACGGGAGCAAAGTGGTGGCCGCCGAGTTTCGCTCCGCCGCTTCCTTCAACACCACGTCCGTCATGGCCAGCGTCTTCACCCAGAGCCACATCACAGTCTCCGCAATGTCCCGGCTTCTCGCGCCCCAGAAAACACGTCTCCCACGCGTCTTCGGAACCGCACCTGGCCTTGGCGGCCGCAGCGGGCGGCCGTTCTCCGCTCGTCTCCGCATCTCCGCGGAGACCCCTTCTCCGCCGGCCGCTTCTTTCCGCCGCGCTTCTAATCCAGATGCTGACATTTGTGCCATTCTGAGCTCGCACTCCCGTTCCGCTCCAGAAATCGCGTAACTGCAATCGCTGCTATAGGTCCATCTTGGTAGCTCCAACGGCTGCGCTGAGGCGTCGCTGAATCAGCCCGTCTTCTGCCTTGTTGCCGTGATTCTCGTGGCCGGCCACGCTTGCGCTTCCGAAAATATCCAACGCTAGCTGTGCTCGAGCTTCTCCTCCAAGGGAAGTATTACGCCTGGTGGAGTGACACAATGGTCATCTGCATCGAGAGGATCCGGCTGCGACCTCTGCTTCTTTTCTGCATGTCCGCGGAGCTTACCCACTGCTTCCGTGTATAAGAAGCCGGAGCAGTCTCCTGGGACCGTCATATTGCATCACATCGCATCCCCAGGGACAGTAATATCACATCTTCCACCCCACCACACCAATGCCTTTGACTCCTGAGCAGGCCAAAATCATCAAGGCCACCGTGCCCATCCTCGCCCAGCATGGAAACACCATCACCACCCGCTTCTACGCCAACGTGCTGCGCGAAAATCCGGACCTCAACAACATCTTCAGCAACACCCATCAAGTCACCGGCCACCAGCCGCGCGCCCTGGCCATGTCGCTGTACGCCTACGCCTCGAACATCGACGACCTCGGCGTGCTGAGCCCAGCCGTCGAGCTCATCTGCCAGAAGCACGCCTCGCTGTACATCCAGCCAGAGCACTACTCCGTCGTCGGCACCTACCTGCTGGCAGCCATGAAGGAGATCCTGGGCGACGCCCTGACGCCCGACATCCACGACGCCTGGGCCGCCGCGTACTGGCAGCTGGCCGACATCATGATCGGGAAGGAAGCCGAGCTGTACAAGCAAGCCGACGGCTGGACCGACTGGCGCGACTTCCGCATCGCCCGCAAGGAGCCCGAGTCGTCCGAAATCACATCCTTCTACCTCGCCCCCGTCGACGGGAAGCCGCTGCCCGCCTTCCTCCCCGGCCAGTACATCTCCATCCAGGCGCACGTCGCCGGCCTCGAGTTCAAACAGGCCCGCCAATACTCCCTCTCCGACGCCCCCAACGCCGCGCACTACCGCATCAGCGTCAAGCGCGAGCCGGGCGTCGACGGCGTCGCGCACCCGGGCTACGTGTCGAACGTGCTGCACGCCGACAAGCGCGAGGGCGACGTCCTCCGCGTCTCGCACCCCTACGGCGACTTCTTCTGCGACGCCGCCGCCCTCCCCGCCGCCGACAGCCCCGTCGTGCTCCTCGCCGCCGGCGTCGGCCTCACCGCCCTCATGTCCATCCTCAACACCCTCACCAGCTCCACTTCCACCACCGACCAGCCCTCCCGCCCCCGCCGCCCCATCTCCTGGATCCACGCCGCCCGCACCACCCGCGCCCGCGCCTTCGCGCCCCACGTCCGCCGCCTCGCCGCCGCCAACCCCAACCTCCGCGCCGTCAGCTTCGTCTCGCGGCCGGACGAGGCGGCGGACGTGCCGGGCCGCGACTACGACGCCGTCGGCCGGCTGGAGCTGGGCAGGCTGGACGCCGAGAGAGACCTGTTCGTCGCCGACGGGCGCACGAGGTACTATGTGTGCGGGCCCGAGCGCTTCATGGTCGATATGCAGAAGGGGCTGCGGGCGCTGGGCGTGGATGAGGAGAGGGTGCATTTGGAGTTGTTTGGGACGGGGGGTGTGTCGAAGGCTTGAAGAGAGAGAGAGAGAGGGAGAGAGAGAGGGAGAGAGAGCTGTCTGTAAGATAGGGAAGCGGGGATTGGTTCACGATTTTGAGTTCCCCCCTTCTCAACTCCTATTTGATCGAGACGCAGGGAAGTGCTCTGTTTTATACCTTGTATAAAGGATTGTTGGCGCTGATGGGTTGTTTTCAAGCTGAATTGTTGTAAAGATAAGAGAATTGTATAGAATATTACATCTTCGATCGTTCCGTCCCACACGTTAATATGCCTTGATACCTTTAGAATGCGGAGGAATATATCGTGATAAATATTCTCAGGATAATTTACCCTGCTGACGGGATTGATGTGTGCCAATGTCTGGGCATTTCTGTACAGTCTAGAATTCTTAGACTTACGTCTACTATGTACGTCTGGGATAGGTGCTTCAATCGCCTCCTAGAACGAGTCTACATGTCTACTAAGATGTCATATGAAGGGGTCAATCTTTCGTTGCCAATCATGTTATTGGCCATCCCCGTGATCTTATCAAGCGTTTTGTCAGTGAGTGTGGATTATGGGGGTAAGAAGTTCCAGCACGCCCTTCAGGCCTCTGAACAGCCGCCCGAGTTCACCTCCGAGAGGGGTCCATCGCTTTCCTGAGGGATGCTCTTCGAAGAGTTCTTCGGGCAGTCTGCTCTGGAGATAAATTCCTTGACCAATAGATGAGCTCCGATAAAAGGCCTAGGATGTGTCTGTACGGGGGAGATAGGTTCCCGACTCCTTTTTTTTTTTCAGAGACCATGGAGAAGACAAAAAGTGAATTGGAAAAGGACGACGATGCAAGCACAAGCGCCAAACACCTGAACAGAACGAGGCATTATCAAGCAACCTAAAGATATTCGATCACCCGAAGCTGATACGAGAATACTCAATCGGCTGCTCGCGGGATCAGATGAGCTGCACGAAAATTGCGAATAAGACCCAGCCCGTCGGTTCTCACATCGGCCAAGAAGTCACAATTTACACTTCCATCTCCTTCGGTCGCGGGATGGACGGAAGCATAAACGAGGCATGATCTCTCGACTTCTGGCGGCCGGAAAGTAAGTTACTAGCCTATTACGTACCAGCGGGACGAGCTGTTGGCCATACTGGAACGCGCGGCGTCAGAGAAGGTTCGTATGAGCGGCCAACCGTCCGGTCGGAGTTGCAACCCGATCAGCCGGGCTGGTTGCTTCGGGTGTTGTAATTTCCTTTACCAAGTGCGAGGATGGGATGGGTGAGAGAGAGTTTGGGGGTTCAGAGACGGAAGAGCGGGAGATGACTCGGGAGGCTTCAGCAACGACCGGGGGGGAGGAGCTGGCCAGAGCGATGCGGGCCGCACAGAGCGAGTGCATCATCCATGAAGGGTGGATTAAGGTTTGGGTGGGTTGGGGCTCGGCCGGGGCGGGGGAGGGCGTGCATCCGGCACCTTGTGGTGCGAGGGGGAGAAGGGAGGACGTGAAGCATGGGTGGCGGCAGGCGGCAGGCGGCAGATTTCAGTTTAGTGTGGCTGCTGGTCCGGGGGGCGAGCGGGAAAACAAAACGGTCGAAGTGTGGAAGGTGCGGTAGCGGTGGCACGGGAAGGGCGCGGACTGGTACCAGCCTTTTTCTTCTCGAACGAGCGAACGAGCGAACGCACCCACCCCCGGCCGCGCGCCAGCCCGCCAGCGCCGCTTCAGCCCTGCCGTGAGGTGTGGGCCCTGGCGTCCCTGGCGTCCCTGGCGTCCCCGGCGTCCCTGGCGTCAGTCCCCTCCCTCAGCTCGCCCGCCAGAAGGTCCCGCTTGCCACACGTGGCGCCCGCGCCCCGGCGCCAGTCTGTGGGATGTGAAGCCTTGACCCTGCGAGTGCCTTGGGCTTGCTGTGCCGCTGCCACGGCCCTGTTTGTGGCGCTTCCACAACCGCTCGCCCTGTTTCCACTTCGCAGCCTGTGAGTGCAACCGCCGCTGATAAGATCATGCATGGGATGAGGCCCTTGCATCTCCGAAAATCGCGACCCATCTCAACACCGGCTCACCTGTATCTCAAGGAGCACTAACAAAGGCACAACCATTGATCAATTCCTAAATGGGGCACGCGCGTAGCAATCAACATGGCACGTATTTTCGTGACTCGGCGCGTGGAGGAGGTTTATCTCTCTATCTCGCTATCCCTCTCTCTCTCTTTTTTTTTTGAGGGGCAAGGAGAAAAAACAATTCAGCACGACTCGTTTCACGGACAGAAAGCCGTCCAACGGTGACACCCCGTCATCGGTGGCACTCGGCGGCAAGCTCCGGCATGCCGGAACGTTCTATGAGGTCAGTACGTTACGATAACCGGTAGCGGTACCTGCAGTCAAGTTTTCGTTTGAATGTCACGCTAAGTTGCACAACCGATGCCTATCGGAAACTTGGATATGGCGTACCAGATTCCTAGCATGCCACAGTATTCTTTTTTATCCACAGCATTGACTTTGAGCAATTGAATTTCTCTCATCCTCGTAAACATCTCGAATGGTATCTTACAATAGAATAAGCCCCGACTATAGGTCACCACAGAGAGTGAGCCGTGCGTACCTTTGCCCGGAAGACCAATAGCTACTGGAGTTCGTTGGAATACTGAAGCTGAACTTGAAAAGATTTCCGATAGCTAGCAATCGCGGAACTGTACTGCCGTGAGATTGGCTGTGAGGCGAATTAATTGGGTGGAAAACTTGTAAGTGCAGCATCAAGTATGTTCTACTGTGTAGATCATAAAGGGAGCACATCAGCTGCAACTGCATCAATGAAGAAACGAGATGCAGCACCAGAGTGGGAAAACAAACAAGTAGCTGTCACGCAAAACTTCACACCTGTGTCTCCTGAACAGCAGCCACAGATGTCAGAGTCTTTCTCGTCAGGGATTGAGGATCGGCTCACAACAAACGAATACAGACCTGTGGGAATAATGAGAACCCTGAACATCTATCGCCTGAGTCAAGTGATAAGCGGCTCTTGACGCATGACCTCACATTTGTCATTGTCAGGCTTCGAGAATTCACGTCAACTGGCTGACCACTCATTTCCTATTAAGGGAATGTTTGGGTGTCGCATTGTTGTGTACCATCGTGAAACATATTCCATCCTTCTTGGGGGTTCTCCACCGCAATCAAACTCTTGCTTCGCCTGTCTGACCGGTGTTGCAACAGCCTTGAGCCACGATCGATGCGATCTGGAAGGGTCTCCATCCAGGGGACCACTGGCATTGATTCACGGGAACAGATGATCGCAGTGGAGATTTGGGACGATAGCGAAGAGGAAAACGGTCGAGGAGGAGCCACGCTGCGGCACCGGTAACGAAGTTCGGCATCCGACCGATTTACCGTGAGCTGGGGGACACCGCGCTGCCGAGAGCTTAAACAATGGACTGAACGTTGGCCCTTTGGGTTGTTGCCAAGCGAAAACAGCCCGCACCTGGGCCCCCCTCAAGCACGGGGCGCAGCCCAACATGATACAAGCGGCGGTAGTCGGACCACAGTCAGAGTCTACCGCCGTAGGTCGGTGCGCCGGTGGTTTGAACAAACAGCACGACAGTGCCTGGGTGTGAAACCGCCTCAGCCATCATCGAGCCGCAAGGCTAGTATGTACGCGGAAATCCGGTGAGCGCGTGCTCTTAGGCCTTCGACGTGGGGTCTTTTTGAAACAGATCTTCTCTTGCCTTTCGGATTGTAGCATCCGCCGTCCGGTCGCCACCGCGTATGCAATGCGGTATGTCATGTCGTACCACGGCAATGCGACGCAGCCATCCGAAGCGACTAACAGTGGAGCTGTCCGAGATCAGGTGAATGGTTTGATTGAGAAAGCAGGTGCTCAACCTGCGCTCTGACGACGCGGCATCAATGCATACCCATCGCCTAATTTCTTCGATCGTGGATCTACGGTCTCGACCAACCGGTACGGCTTAGGCAGCAACGGAACCGCCTTGCGTGATGGATTTGGAGCAGGATTCCGGGACATGAGATGTTCTGTAGATGATTGAAGGGCCAAGGAACCGGGGTGGCGGGAGATGAAGATTGTAAATCACGATTTACCTGTCAAGTGACGCTCAGCCCTGCGGGTGAATTGGTCGTGGCGTCCTGGATACGCCAACCAAGCGCCGAAATGGTGATAGGAAACCTGCTTACGGTGACGGGATAACAATGAGTGCGGGGTCCCCGATATTAAAGGATGCGTCAATGCAGAGACCGCTGACGTTGACGCCCTCGTGGTGGCCAGTGATCTGGCACGTCCAGTCTGCTGCCCGTTGGTAGGGCTGAATCTGCAATGACCGCGCCGCACGAGGCAAAGCTTGTAGACAGGACTGCGCGGAGAGACGTTCCTTCTGGACCGCGGCAGCGAGCCGGCGTTGGTCACATCTTGCCATTGCCGTACAGGCCGCCGCCACAGGACGGGAGCGTGGGAGCATTGGACGCCTTGCCGCCCAAGTCGGCCGGGAAGACTGGACTACACCTGCAAGATTGCAGCTCTCCCGCTGGGCTGAGCCACTTCGTTCGATATGATCGGATTGTGGACGCGGCTTGCGGCGTTTCATGCATGGGAATCCAGGTTAGACACGCTTCTCGTGCGGCTGCTCTGCCTTACCCGCAAGCACTGAGGTGGCAAAGACCCCTTCAAGACCCCTTTCCAACTGCCACCAAAGCCAAAGAGGGGGGGCCCAGCAGCGCTTGCCAACACACAGCGCGAGGCGAGGCCCCCTCGGCCCTTCTGGAAGACCTAAAGAAGCCGGGAGGACCCAGTCAGGCCCGGACGCCGTGGCCAGCGGGGCCAATGTCCGTTCAGCCTCACGCGCTGCCAATGGTCCTGAGCGCCGGGTCATGTACCAATACAAGCCGCAAGTGGCTAGGGAAGAAGCCGCAGAAGTATGGTATCCGCTCTTTCCGCGTCAAGGTGTGGCGGACCGGCCCCCCGCTAGGCCTCTGAAGAAGGAGTTACGAAGAGAATCTCTGACCGGTTAGGCTAGCGGGCGGTCAGACTGCCAACT